TTCATGAGAAACAAGGTCATTTTTGGATTGTTTTGTTTGCACAATATTATTATATTGAGACGATCTACAGTATCTATTATTAAATGACCTGATTTTTGTCTTCATTTTTTTGAGTACGGACCTTGAACTTCAACTTTTTCGTGAAAAAAAGGAAATACTGTGTTCACTATTTCAAGTGTTATTCTTCCGTGATACACCACTTCTGAGATGAGATGAAATGAGATGAAACCTATAATTAAATATGGAAATTTTTGAAACAGGAGGAATAGCCAAATGCTGGAAATCATTGATTTTACGGTTTCAGCGCAAAATTTTAGTCTAGAAATTTTTTTTCAAGATTTCTGGAGTTTTTATGACATTGTAGATCAGAATTTCGTTCTCAAAAATCAGTGTAGATCAAAATTTCGTGCTGGGAACGATGGAATTGCTGAAAATAATTTATTGCATGGTTTTCAGCGCAAAATTTTGATCTAGAAAAATTTTTTCTCAAAAAAAAAATTCACTGTTTCAAAAAAACTCATAATAATTTCTGAGTCACCAACTTTCATTCCTAGTGTTTTTTCATGCCACGGAACAAATTTCAGGATGACATTTTGCAGTGAAAACGCCGAAACTAGTTATTTTTAGAAATTCCAACGTTTTCAGCGCAAAATTTTGATTTAGAAAAAATTTTCATAATTTTTTTTTCAAAAAAAAATTTACTGTTTCAAAAAAAAGCTCATAATAATTTCTGAGTCACCAACTTTCATTCCTAGTGTTTTTCAAGCCACGGGACAAATTTCATGGTGAAATTTTGCAGTGAAAACGATAAAACTAGTTATTTTCAGCAATTCCAGCGTTTTCAGCGCAAAATTTTGATCTAAAAAAATTTACATAATTTTTTTTCTCAAAAAAAATTCACTGTTTCAAAAAAAGCTTATAATAATTTCTGAGTCACCTGCTTTCATTCTAAAGATTTCTTTGTCACGTGACAATTTTTAGGGTGAAATTTTGCAGTGAAAACTCTGAAACTAGGTATTTTCAGCAATTCCAGCGTTTTCAGCGCAAAATTTTGATCTAGAAAAATTTTTTATAAAAAAAAATTCACTGTTTCAAAAAAAGCTTATAATAATTTCTGAGTCACCAACTTTCATTCCTGTTATTCTTCATGCCACGGGACAAATTTCAGGGTAAAATTTTGCAGTGAAAACGCTGAAACTAGTTATTTTCAGCAATTCGAGCGTTTTCAGCCCAAAATTTTAGTCTAGAAAAATTTTTCACAATTTTTTTCTCAAAAAAAATTCACTGTTTCAAAAAAAGCTCATAATAATTTCTGAATCACCAATTTTCATTCGCAATAGCTTTTCTTTTTGAGGATGAAATTTTTGAAGTGAAAACGCCGAAACTAGTTATTTTCAGCAATTCCAACGTTTTCAGCTCAAAATTTTAGTCTGTAAATTATTTCTTCATAATTTTTTTAAATAAAAAAAATCACTGTTTCAAAAAAAAGCTTATAATAATTTCTGAGTGACCAATTTTAATTCCAAAAAAGCTATTTGTTGCGTGACATTTTTCAGGGTCAAATTTTGCAGTGAAAACGCTGAAACGAGTTATTTTCAGCAATTCCAGCGTTTTCAGCGCAAAATTTTAGTCTAGAATATTTTTTCATAATTTTTTTCTCAAAAAAAAATTACTGTTTCAAAAAACATATTCAAAAATTCCAGCAGAAAATTTTTGTTACAGTACTTCAGAGGTGCATCTCCCCCGATTTTCAATATATTTTCCCGCCAAAATCAAGCAACAGCTAAAAGATAATCGGTCGTCGTTTAGTAGTATATTATAATAGGGGCAGCTAGGTGTTACTTACTTATCCCCTCTCCTTTTTTCCCTTTTCCTACCGCCCATTGTTTTTGCCGCCTGTCCGGAAACCGCATAGTGAAAATATGGTGTCGATTTCGCTCACCAATTTGCCATTTTTTCACGCATCGATGCATTTTGAATTGCGCGCGACGACAAAGAGCAACACAATATTTATTACAGTAGGCTCAGGAAAGCAATTAGACCTGCGAGCTAAATAGCTGACCAATTTCAGGATTTTCCCGGAAAAGTCGCGCGCCTTATAAATTGGAAATTCAAGGCTTCGTTAAGAATGGGAGAGCTGGCGCAGTGGTAGCGCGCTCAGTTTTTGCTTGAGGGGTTGGTGGTTCGAGGCCGGTTACGAACTTTTTGTTTTTTTTTTTGGAAAATATAGAAAATGTTCAGGGGATTTTTTGAAACAGTGAGATATTTTTATGATTTTATACAGCTTACGTTCAGAACATTCAATCGAAGTTGAAAAATCCGGAAATTTTTATATGAATTTTTTGAAACAGTGAATTTTTGGGGAAAAATTGGAGGATTTTTAAACAATCTAGATCCGAATTTTCCGCTGAAAATCATGAAATCACTAATTTACAGCCAGATCGAATTTTTGAAGAATTTTTTGAAGATCGCGCTTCGGGAACATCAGAGTTCGGGAAAAAATAACTGAATTTGTATAAAAAGTTGAAACAGTGCATTTTTTTAAAAGAAAAATCTTGGAAAAAGTTGCTAGGTCCAAATTTCACGCTGAAAATCATGAAAATCGTCATTTTCAGCCATTCCAGCATTTTCAGCAAGAAAATCTGTTCTGGAAACTACCCAAACCTAGAGTTTTTTCAGGTTGTCAAAAATCTTCCCAAAATTCCAGAAAATCAGGAAAAACATTTCCAGACCCAAATTTCACGCTGAAATTAATAGAATCCTCCAAATTCAACAGTTTTCGGCACAAAAATCTACCCCAAAAATCAAAGGGCACACTTCAAACTCATACATTTTTCTTATATCGCACTTGTTATTGTTTTGGGTACTTTTTTAAGATGTCGGCACCTTTTTCACCTCTCAAAAAACAAAAAAAAAAACACTAAAGTGGATTAAATATGACATAGATAGGTCTTCTTCACAAGTTTTTGTTGTGTTCCCGCAAAAAAAAGAAGGAACTTTTTTTGGAGGGTGAAAGGTACCGTAGATTTTCTCACACCTGCCAAGGATTCACCCTTTTTTCTTTTTTTTTCTTTCAGAAAATAATTGCGCAACCTGGGAATTTTTCAATTTGAATCTATTGAAAAAGAAGATTTCAATTTTTCAAAAAAAAAAAATGAGAAGCTTGCGCAATAAAAATTTGGAGAAACAGGTGTGCAGAAAATGTTTTCTTTTTTTGAGACATGTTTCTATATTGCGCAACATTTTTTCAAGATCAGAATTTTGTGAAAATGAGTGATTTTATGATTTTCAGCGTGAAATTTGGGTCTGGAAACATTTTCGGTTTCTGGGAAAATTGTTTGATGACTATAACAAGTCTCCAGGTCAAATTTTCGGGCTGAAAACGCTGGAATTGCTGGAAATGAATGAGTCCTTGATTTTCAGCACAAAATTTCAGTCTAGCAAATGTTTCATAATTTTTTTGGTTAAAAAAATTCACTGTTTCAAAAAAATCTCATAAAAATGTCTAAGCCACCAACTTTCATTAACGTTTTCATCCGCAACTTCATTTTTTGTACTGAAAATTCTCCAAATTGTTGAAAATCAGCAGTTCCAGCGTTTTCAGCGGCTAATTTCAGTCTAGAAAATTTTTCCTATTTTTTTTTCAAAAAAAAATTCACTGTTTCAAAACAATCTCATAAAATTTCTGAATCACCAACTTTTATTATTATTTGATTTAACAGTGGAATCTATTATAGGTTAAAATTTAGCGCTGAAAACGCTGAAATTGCTGAAAACGAGTGATTTCGTGATTTTAAGCGTAAAATTTAGGTCTGGAAAATTTTTCCTATTTTTTTCCAAAAAAAATTCACTGTTTCAAAAAACTGATCATAATATTTCTGAATCGCCTACTTTCGTTATACGATGAATTTTTATTAAGGTTAATATTGTTGCGCTGAAAACGCTGAAATTGCTGGAAATGAGTGATTTCTTGATTTTCAGCGCGAAATTTCAGTCTAGAAAGATTTTTCATAATTTTTTTGGTAAAAAAATTCACTGTTTCGAAAAAAATCTCAAAAAATTTCTGAATCACCAACTTTGGTTAACCGTGGAAAACTTTTCAGGTCAGAATTGTGGGCTGAAAATCAGCGATTCCAGCGTTTTCAGCGTCAAATTTTAGTCTAGAAAATTTTTCATAATTTTTTTCTGAAAAAAAATTCACTGTTTCAAAAAATTCTCATTAATAATGTCTAAACCACCAACTTTGATTTGACAGTCAAATCTATTATAGGTTAAAATTTAGCGCTGAAAACGCTGAAATTGCTGAAAATGAGTGATTTTATGATTTTCAGCGCGAAATTTCAGTCTAGAAACATTATTCACAGTTTTTTGATTTTAAAAAATTCACTGTTTCAAAAAATTCTCATAACAAATGTCTAAACCACCAACTTTTATTGACACGGTAACGTTTATATCCGAAACTTCATTTTTCGTGCTGAAAATGCTCCAAATTGCTGAAAATCAGCGGTTCCAGCGTTTTCAGCGGAAAATTTCAGTCTAGAGAAGTTTTCATAATTTTTTTCTGAAAAAAAATGCACTGTTTCAAAAAAATCTCAAGAAATTTGTGAATCGCCAACTTTGATTTGGTAACGGTGAATCATTTAGGTTAAAATTTTGCGCTGTTAACGCTGAAAATGTGTGAATTTATGATTTTCAGCTCAAAATTTCAGTTCAGGAAGGTGTTGAGGCATCAAAAATCCCTCTCTCTGTCTGCTTCTCTGCACTCTCTCCTATATATTTTATCTCTAACCTCTTCATTCATCCAGCCAGCCATAAAGTGGGCGTGTCCTCTAGCCTCTACAGTATCTCCAGCCGCACCGCGCGTATTCGCAAGCCCCGCCCACTTTTTGGCGGCTGACTCGCGCACAGCAAAAAGTAATCCCTCCACTTTTTGATTTTTGGGAAGTCTATATATATTCTGTGGCTGGCTGGCTGGATAGAAACTTTCGAACGTGAAAAAAATGTTGACACAAATGACGGCGGCGACACCAAGTAGTGAGTTTTACGAGCGGAAGATGCGCGGAAGCTTGCGGATTACGCTTGCTGGAATCTCAATTCTGAAATTTTTAAGCTTTCTTATCTCTACTGGATTATTTTAGTGCCTGAAAACATTCCCGAACTGAAAATTTGCGCTTAAAATGATGGAAAATGACTAGTTGCAGCATTTTTAGAAGTGGAATCAGATTTGATGCTTGAGAAATTTTATTATCAGATTTTTGAAACAGTGAATTTTTTTTGGGAAAAAAATTACGCAAAAACTTTTCTGGACCAAAATTTTACCCTGAAAATCAAGAAATCATTCTTTTTCAACAATTTCAGCGTTTTTAGCACAAAATTTTAGCCAAAAAATTGTTCCCTCGAATCAGAATGAAAGTTTTTTGTAACAGGAAATTTTTTTGGGAGGAAATGTTATGCAAAAATTTTTCATTTCTAGGCTGAAATTCACCACTGAAAACGTTGGGATTGCTGAAAATGACTAGTTTCAGCGTTTTCAGCGTCAAATTCTAGCTCGGGAGTAAAACTATTCGACATTGAATCAAATTAGATGATTGAGAAATGTTATTATCAGATTTTTGAAACAGTGAATTTTTTTGGGAAAAAAATTATGAAAAAATTTTTCTACCTCAAAATTTTGCCCTGAAAATCATGAAATCACTCATTTTCAGCAATTTCAGCACAAAATTTTAACCTAGAGAAAATAGGTATCCGATCAGAATCGAAGTTTGTGATTGTCACAAATTTTAATAGGATTTTTTTGAAACAGTGAATTTTTTTTGGGAAAAAAATTATGCAAAAATTTTCCCAAACCAAAGTTTGATGCTGAAAATCATGAAATCACTTATTTTCAGCGATTCCAGCGTTTTCAGCAAGAAATTTTAGCCTAGAAAATGTTCCAAAAGAAACTCGATCGAATTTGTGATTGTCACAAATTTTTATAGGATTTTTTTGAAACAGTGAATTTTTTTAAATCAAAAAACTATGAAAATTTTTCCAGAACTAAATTTCACGTTGAAAATCATGAAACCACTCATTTTCAGCAATTTCAGCGTTTTCAGCGCAAAATTTATAATTGTGGATCAAAGCAAAAATTCCGAGAAATATCGAAGTTTGTGATTGTCAGAAATTTTTATAGGATTTTTTTGAAACAGTGAATTTTTTTAAATCAAAAAACTATGAAAATTTTTCCAGAACTAAATTTCACGTTGAAAATCATGAAACCACTCATTTTCAGCAATTTCAGCGTTTTCAGCGCAAAATTTATAATTGTTGATCGACACAAAAATTCCGAGCAGTATCGAAGTTTGTGATTGTCAGAAATTTTAATAGGATATTTTTGAAACAGTACATTTTTTGATGAGACGTTAATTTTCAAAAGTTTTTCAAATTTTTGGCGCCACAAAATCCGCGTGGATTTTAATGCAAATTTATAAAATAATTCTTGGCAATATCTACGTGTAGTTAGAATCAAAGTTTAAAATTTTGAAAATTTTAATACAGTTTTTTTGAAACAGTGAAATTAAACTGCAATCTTCCGAAATGCGCAACCTTTTTTTTAGCTTTTGAGTGCTCAGAATTTGACTCCACTGTTGATTTTCTCAATCCAAAATCAACCTTTCCTCAAACTTGCTCGGTTCCCTTTTCAGTGTGAAAAATCCAAAAGCTTCATTAAATTTTTTTTCATTAAAAATAATAATGAAAAGTTGGAAGAAGTGCCGGAGGCGCCAATTCAAAAATCTCAATTAATTTTCATTTCTATTTCTATATATATATGAAATTTGCTGACAAAAATGAAGAGCACTCATGGAGCACACGAAAAAAGGGAAGAGACACTTGAATTTTTGCTGGTCCCTCTTCTCTTCCAAGTTTTTAACTTGTGACATTTTATTTTTCCTTTTTTTTGAAAGAGGACGCGGAGAGGAGTACGGTAGTTTTGGACAAATTGAGGGAAGATAGATTTTGGAATCAAGAAAAAATCACTGTTTCAAAAAATTATATAAAAATTTGCAAAATTTCGGAATTTTATTAAAATTGCAAACATAACTTCAAAAATTCATATGAAATAAATTCACTGTTTCAAAAAAATTGTATAAAACTTTGCCTTGTTTTGACTTCAGTAAGCATTAAATTTTCGATAAAAAATCATGCAAGAAAAATCATTTTTTTTGTTTCAATTTGAAAAAAATGAGGAGAGGAGGAAGTGATTAAGCTCCTAATTAATATTGCTAAAAATTAATTGGGTGCCAAAATTTGGCACCCAGGTGACAAAAAAGTTTAGTTTACTACTTTATTATTATTATTAGTGAAATTGTGCAGGTGCGGATAATTAATTAATTTTTATAGATGTTTTTGTTTTGACAACAAAAATTGTGTCACAAAGAAAAGAGCACGGGTTTTTTTGAGGTTGGAAATGGCGCAATGGACAAAAATTTGTAATTTCACTGTTTGAACAATTTTTTGAAAATTTGAAAAATTCACTGTTCCAAAATTTTCTGAAAAATTGTGAGATTATCAAAATTTGTTCCATCAACAGAATAATGCACAAAAAAAAACGTTTACTGAAAATAAAAAAAATTTTTTTTTGGAAAAATTCACTGTTTCAAAAAAGTTGTATAAATTTTCGCAAAATTTTCAAATGCTGATCTTTGGCGCATTGTTCCATGCGAAAAAAAACAAACATTAATTTTTGCTGCTGAAAAAACCACGTGTCAAAATTCAGCGCCAAAAAGTTCACCAAAACATTTTAAAAATTTGGGAAAAATTCACTGCTTCAAAAAATTGTATAATAATTGAATACAATTTGACGAAAAAAAAATTGGTTTTTTATTAAAAAATTCACTGTTTCAAAATTATCTAATAATTTTCCGTTAATTTTTATCAAGCTGATTTTTGAGTTCATCATACAAGTACAAAAAATTGAATTTTCCACCCAAAAATCCACGCTCTGCTATTCCAGGTCGAATTCTGCTAGATGTTCCATGTCGAGTATGTCAAGATCATTCATCCGGTAAACACTACGGTATATTTTCGTGTGATGGTTGTGCTGGATTTTTCAAACGATCAATTCGTCGACATCGACAATATGTGTGTAAAAACAAAGGAGGATTTGAGGAGGGAAGATGTTTGGTGGACAAAACACATAGGAATCAGTGCAGGTACAGTGATTTTTGGAAAAATGGAAATTTGAGATCAGCGGGAAATTTTGAGCAAGGGAAGTTTTTTCGCAAAAATGTGATTATCGATTTTTTCCAGGTGTCAAAGTACAATAGTTTCATTTTTCTAGTTCAAAATTTTGTGCTGAAAACGCTGGAATTGCTGAAAATAAGTGATTCCATGATTTTCACCATGAAATTTGGGTCCAGACAATTTCAGAGAGAAATTTTGCCTAATGTGAATAAAAATTTACTGTTTCAAAAAAATGTTATCATTTTTACTCGTTCCTCCAAAATTAATAGTGACGTAAATTTGGTAGAAAAAATCATTAAAACACTTTTTTGTGCTGAAAACGCTGAAAATGAATGATTTTATGATTTTCAGCGCAAAATTTGAGTCTAGAAAAGTTTTCAGAGGTTTTGGGAGGCTGAGGAAGATTTTTGAGACCTTTAAAAGTTTCTAGATCATATTTTTGTGCTGAAAACACTGGAAATCAATAATTTCATGATTTTCAGCGCAAATTTTCAGCCAATAAACAATTTTGTGGTCCCCCAAGCATATTTATACTCAAAATTTCCCCCAATTCCAGAGCGTGCCGACTTCGAAAATGTCTCGAAATCGGAATGAACAAAGAGGCAGTTCAACACGAAAGAGGCCCCAGAAATTCGTCATTGCGAAGACATCAACAGCTATTATTCGAACATCAACCGCCTTCACCAATTTCGGTTCGTTTTTTATATGTTTTTATTGGGGTAACACAGATGTTTTGATCACAAAACTGATCATATAACACAATAACATGTTTGCACATGTACTTAAATTATTCGAGGGGTGAAGTGGGGGTAATAATCAGAGGGAGAAGGGCACCTGCTAATCGTTTTTTTGTGTTTTGAAATAGGGAAATCTGAGAAGGGGGACCTTAGGACTTTAACTTAGACCTAGGTTTAGTTAGAGACGCAGAGAAACTCGACAGCTAGAAATTCAGAGACGCAGAGAAGTTAGACAATTAGAGATTCCTATGAATAGAGTTAGAGACGCAGAGAAACTAGCCACTGCGCGAAAGCTTTCGGTTTACACTCGCGCAAAGCGCTCGGGATAATTTTGAAACTGTGAAAAAAATTCACTGTTTCAAAAAATTGTTTAAAAATTCGCAAAATTTTCGAATTTTGCGAATTTTTAACCACCATACACCAATTTTTTTCGAAAAAAAAATTCACTGTTTCAAAAGATTGTATAGATTTCCTCCAAAATTTGGTTTATTGATAGTTGTTTTAATGGAATAGCTCCGAACACTAAAACTCTTCTAGACCCAAATTTCGTGCTGAAAATCATGAATTCAGTCATTTTCAGCGTTTTCAGCGCAAAATTTCAGCCCCAAGTTACAGGATCATATAATCTTAAATAGTCTTTAAAACGCCTTGGAACCGAAATTTCGCGCTGAAAACGCTGAAAATTAGGAATTCCAGCGTTTTCAGCTAGAAATATCCACCGAAAACTTTTTTTTTCGAATTTTTTTTTTTCAAAAAAGCTTTTTCCTTTTTTCTCCTCCCGTGGTTCCCACATTCAAAACCTCACTAACACTAAAATTACTGTAGTCATCGAGAAAAAAGAACAAAAAGTTGGAGGGGGTTACCTTTACCTTTTTACCGATTACAGTAATCTTCTTTTGTTTGATGACTCAAAAAAAGCGGGCATTTTGTGTGTCGGCCAAAAATAAAAGGGGAGGAAATATTTAGAACACTACTTTTTGACAGCAATATGTATACGATTGAAAGGGGAATCACAAAACACCATTTCTAGATCAAAATTATGGGCTGAAAACGCTGGAATCGCTGAAAATAATTTGATTTTAGGATTTCCAGCGAAAAATTTGGGTCTAGAAAAGTTTTCAGAGGTTTCAGGAAGATTAGTTTCCTGTATCTTGGGCAGGGTTATAGAATTGTTTCTAACAAAGCTGAAATTTTATGCTGAAAACGCTGGAATTGCTGAAAATTAATATTTGAATAATTTTCAGCTACAAAGTTGAAGAAGTCAATTATTATTCCTAATCAACTGAAAAAAGATTTTTTTGAAACAGTAATTTTTTTTTGAAAAAAAATCCTGAAAATATTTTTTAGACTTAAATTTTTCGCTAAAAATGAGCAATTTTTGATGTTTTGTTAGAAAAAATTTCACTGTTTCAAATTTTTTATTTCAAACATTTTTGAAAATCTTCGCTGCTCGAACGACCTTTGATCCTTTGATTTTTGGAATTTTTCTAGAGTACTCTCTCCTGTTGGAATTTTTTCCAATCTATAGTACTCTCCAAAACTGACTCGGATTAGTGTTTACCTCTTTCGGTGTCAAAATGACCTCGAACAATTTTTTTTCGCAAAAATGTTATTATCGATTTTGGCCAGGTGCCAAAGTACAGTAGTTGAATTTTTCTAGATCAGATTTTTGTGCTGAAAATGGTGGAATTGCTGAAAATGAATGATTTCTTGATTTTCAGCGCGAAATTTGGGTCTAAACAATTTCAGCGAGAAATTTTGCCTAATGTGAATGAAAAATTTACTGTTTCAAAAAAATGTTATCATTTTCATTCGTTCCTCCAAAATTAATAACAATTTTAATTAATAAATGATAATAATAAAAACACAAATGTTTGAAAACGCTGAAAATGATCGATTTCATGATTATCAGCGCAAAATTTCGGTCAAGAAGGGTTTACAGAGGTTTCGGGAGGCTGGGGGAGATTTTTGAGATTTCTAGATCAAAATTTTGTGCTGAAAATAGTGGAAATGCTGGAAATTAGTGATTTCATGATTTTCAGCATGCGATTTGGGTCTAGTCAATTTTAGAGAGAAATTTTGCCTGTGAAAAAAAATTTACTGTTTCAAAAAAATGTTATCATTTTTACTCGTCCCTACAAAGTTAATGAGAGTAAGATTAATCTGAAAGAATCCTGAAAACACATTTTTGTGCTGAAAACGCTGAAAATGAGTGAATGTATGATTTTCAGCATGAAATTTGGGTCTAGAAAATTTCAGATAGAAATTTTGAAAAAAAATTTACTGTTTCAAAAAATTTTTATAAATGTTATATGTGCATCCAAAATTAATAACGTTGTACATAAAGCTTCAGAGAGAATCGGATTTACTGTTTAAAACAAAAACCCCAATTTTCTTGCTGAAAACTCTGAAAACCTTCTCAAAATCTAAAATTTTCAGCCCGACATGGAATCCGAATCCGATGCCGCAGGTCCAGCCACTTCAACCTCAACATCTTCCAACTTCGGAACTCCACAATCTCATCAAAGCCAATCACAAAATGAGAGGTTGACTGAAATCGCGGCTCGAATATTTTTCCAACTTTTCGGATTTTGTCAAAATGCGTTGAATCGAATGCCAAAAGAACAACAATTGCAGATATTTCAACAACATTGGCCAGAATTATTTGTGCTAAATGCGGTTGAGACGAAAAGTATTACATCGAGGTTGGTTTAGGCTGAAATTCAGGCTGAAAATACAATTTTTTGGATTGAAATTCTCTATTTTTCCAGACAAATCCGGCGCTCTTCCCAATTCTCATCTCCTGATTCAAATTCCAACTCAAATACCAATTTGGCACGCGACCAAGTTGCTCAAATCTTCGAAACCATCGAAAATCTCTCGCTAAACCCGCGCGAATTCGCCTTCCTCAAAATCTATTCCCTAACCAAACAAACTCCAAATGGATATATGATTGGAATTCAATTGGCCTCAATGCAAAACCTGCTTTATCCCCGTGACCCTCTTCGATTCTTCAAATGTGTTCAAGCGATCTCAAATCCACCCACAACTTCAATCATTGATGTTTTATTTCGGCAATCGATCGGAAATGCTTCGATGAATTTATTGATTAATGATATGTTTCAACCGAAGATATTGCTACCGGGAATATTTTCAGCTAGAAATTTTGCGGCTTCTGAAAATGTGGATTTTCTTCCGGCTGGAATTAAAGAAGAGGTTGAGGAAGATGAAGAAGAATCAAGTGAGGATTCGAGTTCCAAAGAAAAAGAAACAGTTAAACATTCAATTCGATCAATTGTTGAATTATTGGCCATTAAGGAAGAAGAAGACGTTGAGAAAACTGATTGATTTTATGTTAGAAACTTTCTGTGAATTTTATTTATTTATTTAATTTATGCCCGAACTTGTCCAATTTTTGTGTGTGTGGAACAATAAATTTTTTGTGAGAAATTCAATTCCAACATTTTTCAAATCTCAAACTTACCAAAAAAGTAGGAAAAATTGCGAAATTCAATTTTTTCAGAAAATTTTCAGCTTCCCATTTAATTTCAATTCTTATCTTTACTCTAGAACCCTCAGAATCCCCAAATGTCCCCCGAAACCCCCAAAAACTTCATTTTCTCCCCTTGTCCAATAGAGCGCACATCGCACATTCAAACAAATGCGCCCCATCGCACAAATTCGAAAATAGCGTTTTATTTTTTTTTCGCCTCGTTCACCTCGTTTTTCCTCGTTTTCAGCCAAATTTCAACTGTTTTCAGATGGGTTCCGATGTAGAAATGGCAAGTTCAAGCGATCCAGATGATTTGTATGAGGAAATCGAGAAAATGAAAGCATTGGTAAGTTGAAAATCAATTTTTTTTTTTGAAAAAAAAAACCATTTTCTTTCAGTTGCTGGAAGATTCACGAAACTACAAAAATAATAATGAAATGCTTCAACTTTTGCATAGAAATGGTGATTTTGAGGAACTCATCGAGGCGAGGGATAAAATTGTGCAAAAAGTACCGCTAACTTCTGCGAATTGGTTGATTTGGATTGCAGAAAAGCGAGAAAATAGTGGAAATTATGAGGAGATTGAGGATGTTTTTGAGAAAGCATTGAAAGACTCAAATGACGTGGCAATTTGGCTAGAAAGAATCTATTTTTCATTTTCGTATGGAGTTGCAAAAACTCGACAAACTTTCGAAAAAGCTCTAGCTGCACATGGAACTCGTTTTGATTCTGGAGGACAAATTTGGCTAGCCTATTTGAGTTTTGAAACAGCAAATGCTCAGGGTAATCCAACAGATGAAAATATGCAATATTTGGAGAATTTGTATAAAAGAGCATTGCGGGTTGCGACAAAACATTTACAAGAGATTTATGAAGAAGCTTGTGATATTATTTGTGGTGCGAAAGAAAATGGCGAAATTAAGACGATTTTTGAGGAAACTATGAAATTGGCTAGAAAATTGGAGAAGTTTGAAGAGCATTTGGAAGGAGCAGAGGGTTATCAAAAATATTTGCAGTTTGAGATTGGTATGTTAGAATTTGGGCGGGAAAAATGGGGTTGTTCACGTTGGAGCGCGTTTGCTATTTCTGGGAAACTCAAGTGCGCTCTAATGTGAAAAAATAGGCATTTTGAGCCAAAATTTGAGATTTTTCCTTGAAAAATCGCTTTTTTCATGAAATATATCAAATGCGCTCTACTGAGCATCCTAAAAACTATTTAAAAATTTGAAAAAATCTAATTTGTTCACAATAAAGTATCAAATGTGCTCTATTGATCCCTCAAAAATTTTTTTATTGCTAAAAATTTCGAATTTTGAAAGAAATTAGCAAGTGCGCTCCATTGAACCCTCGGAAATCCAACAAAAAATTCAAAATTTAGAAAAACTGTTCAAAATTCCTTTCAAGCAAATGCGCCCCATTGTACACCCAAAAATCTATTTTAAAAATTCAAATTTTCTTTCAGAATCCGGAGATCCAGGTCGAATTCAAATGTTCCACGAGCGAATTGTCAACGAATTTTGTGAAGATGAAAACGCTTGGTCATCCTATGGAATTTGGTGTGAAAAAAAGCTGAAAATGCCGCAAATCAGTGCTGGAATCTATGAAAGAGCTCTCAGATTCTGTCCATATAGTTGTATTTTGCACCAGGAAGCACTTTTGGCTTATGAAAGAGCTGCAAAAACTCATGAGGAAATTGACGCGGTTTTCGAGTATGCAAAAGAAAATGTGATAAATTCGGCAGAAGATGGAAGAGCCTTGTATAGAACATATATATATTTGAGACGACGACGGGTTTGTTCAGCAGAGCGCATTTGCCCAGAAGATTTTGCAAAAATTGCCGGGATTTTTGAAGAGGGAGCTGCGAGATTGAGAGAATGGTTTCCGCATGATTGGGATTTGAAGGCGGATTTCCGCGCGGCACAAGCGTTTTTTTATGCAAGGTTTTTGAAGAATGTTGAGAAGGTGAGGATTATTGCGGGAAATTTGAGGAAAAATCTGATTTTTGACCTGAAAATGACCTGAAATCAATTTTTGAGCAGAAAATTACGGAGAATTTCCTGAATTCGATCTCAAATTAATTTTTTGAGCTAAGAATCACATGAAATTAATTTTTGAACGAAAAATTATGAAGAGTTATCTGAAATTGACCTTAGATTAATTTTTAAGCGAAAAATGACTGGTAATTCATGAAAATTTCTATTTTTGACCTGAAATTGATGAAAATCATGAAATGTGACCTGAAATTAACAAAAAATCCGTTTTTTACTTGAAATTAACAAAAACTTGAGAAAAAATACGATTTTTGAACTGAAAATGATCAAAAATCACATTTTTACGCAAAAAATGACTTGAAATCGAAGAAGAATCCAATTTTAAACCTGAATTTTTGACCTAAACTCCCAATTTTGCAGGCCCGCCCCATTTGGTCCGACATTCTCGCTTCGGGATTCGGAAAAAACGCGCAAAAATACATTGACGCCGCAAATTTCGAGCGCCAATTCGGCGACGCGGAACACGTGCGGAAATACCTGAACACTGCGTTGAATTCGGTTTCCGATGATGTTAATGCGATCTATCAATATTATATTCAATTTGAAAGGGAAGAAGGAACTTTGGAACAATTGGATGCGGTTTTGGAGAAGATTAATTCACAAGTTGCGCATAGAGCAAAAAGACCGCAAAAGACTGTGCCCGAGCCAAAAATTCCAGCGAAATTGGCTCAGAAACGACCATTCAAGTCTGATAATCCTCCAAAACCCGCTGAAAATGCTGAAAAACCGAGTTTTTCATCAGAAGATTGCTCAGATGAGGAGAAAAATCGGACAATTTTTGTGTCGAATTTGGATTTTGGGACCACTGAAGAGGATCTCAAGAAAGTTATCAAAGGAATTGTGAAGGTCCGATTTGCGAAAAGAATCAAAGGCGATTTGCACAGAGGTTTTGGATATATTGTGCTGGAAAATCTGGAATCTGTTAGAGAAGCGCTGAAAAAAGATAGGGTTTTGGTGAATGGGAGACCGATGTTTGTGTCGAAAAATGATCCGGAACATCGAGTTGGATTCAAGTATTCGAAAGGTTTGGAAAAGGCCAAATTGTTTGTGAAAAATGTGCATTTTAAGGCGGATGAAAAGGAATTGGAGGTGAGGATTTGGGGGTATTTTTGGATGGAAATGGACGATTTTGAGCTCAAAATTCAGTGAAAATGATACATTTTGACAATTTTTATGCGAAAAATTACGAGCAATTTCCTGAAATTAACCTAAACAATGTTTTTCGTGAAAGTTTATGAATTTTAGTTCATAAATCAAAAAATACACATTTGAACAAGCGATTTTTTCCCCGAAAAATTCGGATTTTTGTGAAAATTTTGAAACAGTTAAAGACACGTAGAAAACTAGAAATCGTTCAAAAATCATTATTTGCATGTTTTTTATCATCCTTCAAATAGTGGAAGTACATAAATAAACTTGAAAAATATTGAGTTTAACAAAAGTCAAAAAAAGAAATTGCCTTTTTTGAAATCGCTCAGCCGACGCAAAATTTGGTGTTTGCACAAATGTTCGTGATTTGCCGCACATGTGTGCATTCTTAGCATATCGTACCACCACTTTTTATTTATTTTTTTCTTTTTTCAAACGAACAACACAACTTTGAAAAAAGGCGCGTGTTCAAATTTTTACGATTTCGAACACACATTTCTAGTTTTCTACGTGTCTTTAATTTTTTTTAAATACAAAAATTCATAAATTTTCCCACAAAAATTTACTGTTTCGAAATTTACATGAATAATTTTAGATTTTCTTGAAAATTTGATAACAATGCATTTGGAGAAAAATTTAATGTGTTGAAAATGTAAATTTTCTACAATGAAATTAAATTTGAAAATTCAAAATTAATTAAGGTAATTTTTTTCTCGTTCTCAAAATTTCACTCAAAAAAACCCACGGTTCAAACGATTTTTCCCCGGAAAATTCGGATTTTTGTGAAAATTTTGAAACAGTTAATTTTTATAAAATAGAAAAATTCAAAAATTTTCCCAGAAAAATTTACTGTTTCAAAATTCACATGAATAATTCTGGATTTTCTTGAAAATTTGATTACAATGCATTTGGAGAAAAATTTAATGTGTTGAAAATATGAATTCTCTACGATGAAATTAAATTTGAAAACCATGTTTTTCTCGTCTTCAAAATTTCACTCAAAAAATTATTTTCTAAATTTTTTCCACAAAAATTTACTGTTTCAAAATTTACATGAATAATTATGGATTTTCTTGATGATTTCAATATACAATTTATATTTTTAAAAATTTTAAACCATGTTTTTCTAGTCCTCAAAATTTCACTCAAAAAATTGTTTTCTAAATTTTTTCCCCAAAAATTTACTGTTTCAAAATTTACATAAATATTTTTGGATTTTCTTGGAAAATTGTTGCGATAGCCCGTTTTCTTCTTCGTTTTTTTCAAAATTAATTTTTTTTTTGCAGAAAATCTTCTCGGAATTCGGAAAAGTTGAAAATGTTCGAATAGTTCGCCACAAAAACGGTCAACCAAAAGGCTGTGCATATATTGATTATGAAACTGAAGAAGCTGCGACAAAAGCATTGATGGCTACTAAAATTGAGATGAGAAGTGAGTTTGGAACTGGAAATTTGGATTTTTCATGAAATTTTGGGTTGGGAAGTTGAAAATGTGATATTTTTAGATGAAAAATTCAGCAAAAGTTAATTTTGCAATCATTTTTTGACCCAAAAAACCTTATTTTCCTTAATTTTCAGACCGCGAGCTCTCAGTTGCTCTTTCAAATCCACCTACAAAATCCGCCGACAAAAATTCTTCGAAACCTTCGACTTCTGCTAACTCAGCTCCATCTTCTTCTTCAAATTCTGCTCAATTTTTGGCACCAGATCAATCTTCTACCCGAAAATCTTCGATGCTCCAATTTTTGCCCAGATCCACCACAAAACCTGCTGCTCCAGCTCCTGCTCCAGCTGAAAAACCGGCTGAAAATCAGGATTCGTCTGAAATTCCAGCCAAAAAACTGCATAAACCCATGTCAAATGACCAGTTTAGGCAGTTTTTGATGAAAAAATCGTGAATTTTGTCATTTTTTGTTTGACTTGAAATTAATTTCAGGTTGAATTTTACAGTTTTTGTCATAATTTTGTTATTATTTATAAATATAGAGCACTTTTTATTGATTTTTTTCTTTGAAATTTTCAAGTTACTGGAACTTTTTGAATACCTATTGATTTTTTTTGGATATTTAATTTCAGGATTTTGCAGATGTCTTCTTCTGATTCGTCTTCTGAAGATGATGGACCGAGAACGTGAGTTTTTTGGGGGGTTTTTGTGCTGAAAATCTGAAAAAATGACATGAAATTGAATTTTTAGTGAAAAAAACTGACTAGAAGTTTTTTCAGCAAAATTGACCTGAAACTGAATTTTCAGCGAGAAATCCATTGAAAATAATCCAAAACTGACTTGAAAAAATTCATTTTTAGTATGAAAAAATCTACTGTTTCAAAATTTTCATGAATATTTTGGAAGTTTTTGAGGAATTTAATAATCGTTTGTTGTTAGGCAAAATAATTGAAAACGTTGAATTTTTCATTAAAACCTAGCATTTGTGATAAAATTATCGGAATTTCGATTTGCGTCTGAAAATTGGCTGAAAATCGTAGAAAACGATCTAAAATTTGAGCAAAACCTCCAACTGAAAATTTTACGTTTCAAAAATTTTATGAATATTTTTGAAATTTTTTTGAAACATTTATAGTTCCTTGAATGTTCAAATTAATGTAGTATTTATCAACAAAAAATTGGCTGAAATCTCGAAATTTCTGAACAAAAACCTTACTGTTTCAAAGTTTTCATGAATATTTTTGAAGTTTTTGAGAAATTTGATGAAACAAGGTTTTTTCCCAAAATTCTAGCAATTAAAAAATTTCATGAAAATTTGAAGATTTATCTGAAATTCAGCTAAAAATATAATTTTTCACCTGAAAATCAACAAAACTTCCTTCAAAAAATTCACTGTTTCAAAATTTCATCAATATTTTTGATTTTTTTTTCAAATTTGTTTATTCGATATACGAGCCAACCTCATAATTTTCTTCAATTTTTCAGACGTTCTCCAGCACCACCAGAATCTCCACCACCACCACAAGAACAAGTAAAAATTGAGAAAAAATCGCGTGTTTTAGCTTCAGATTCGGATGAAGAAATGCCAAGTGATAGAGGAGAAGAGAAACAGAAGAAAAAGAGGATTTTGGTGAGAATTTTGGAGAGGATTTGGATGAAAATCTGAAAATCTGAAAATTTATTAAATTTTAATGCAAAATATGCCAAAAATCACCTAAAATTCTGAATTTCTCAATAGAAAATTGATTTTCCCCAATATTTCCACCAATAATCCCCCAATTTTTTGCAGTCTGAATCTCCAGTCTCCTCGCGCGAACCTTCTCCATCTCGAACATCCACAAAACCCAACACAACCGATCTTTTCGGTGATGACGTGTCATCGTCGGACGGCGAACATTCGCCGCGCGGCGGCCGAAAATCGCCGAAATCGGACGATGAGGACGCAAATTCGCTCCACGGAATTGTGATGAACACGGATGAATTGGAAGAAATTGAAGAGAAACAGGAGAATATTGTTAATATTGAGGTGAGTACTGTAGCGCTCAAAAAATCTGGAATTTTCAGTTCTTGAATTCCACGTGGCATTTCAAGCTAGAAATTCCGGAATTTCGGCCCCAGAAATCATCTGAATATTCCAAGTTTTCAGGCGAATCTCTCAAAAATCCAAACCCAATTCGAAAACGAGCCATATTATGTGAAATTGCCGAATTTCCTGTCAGTCCAAACACATCCTTTTGACCCCGAAAATTATGAAGAAGATGAAGATGATGAACAAGTGAAATTCGACGAAGAAGGAAATACAAAACTGAAATTGCGAGTGGAAAATACGATAAGATGGAGAGAAAAAGAGGAAATTGATGAAAAAACGGGAGAAACGAAGAAAATGAGAGAATCGAATGCGAAATTTGTGAAATGGTCCGATGGAAGTATTTCGTTGTATTTGGGAAATGAGATTTTTGAGGTATGTTGGGGAAATTGATGAATTCTGTAGGAAATTGGCAGAAAATCCGGATTTTTTATCTAAAAATTCACTAGAAAAATTGACTCTTCCGCAGGCTTCCGGAACTGCCGCTGTTGATTTTTTGTTCGGAAAAAATCCGGAAAAAAACACTGTTTCATAATTTTTATACCAAAATTTTGAAACAGTGAGGTTTTTGTGAGACCGACAACAAGAATCGAATCAATTTCCAAAACCATCAAAAATATTCATGAAAGTTTTGAAACAGTAGAATTTTTAAAAAATATTTTCATTGAATTCCAACTTCAAAAATTCAATTTTCAGCTGCTAATTACAGAATTTAATTTTTGAAGAAAATTTTGTTATTTAAATATTTGTTAATGAAAATTTAAAATTTCAGAATTGTTATACAAAAACATTGAAACAGTGAATTTTTCCAGATTTTTTTGGGTTATAAAAATCATGAGAAATATTTGTTGCAGGTTGCAAAAATGCCTCTAAACTCGGCAAATCTGCCAGTTTTATATGCAAAACAACCTGGTGGAATGGTTGCTCAATCGATATTAACAAATCGATTGACATTCCGACCACATTCGACTGATTCACAAACACATCGAAAAGTAACATTGAATATGGCGGATCGTGGAAGAAAATCAGGACAGGTTAAAGTGATGGATTTGGATGTTGGAATTAATCCTGAAATTGCTAGAAGGGTCAGTGAATTTTGGAGGGGATTTTTTGAGATGAAAACTATGGAAATTGAAGAATTTTGACTTTGAATTGATGAAAATCACAAAATTTTGATCTAAAAATGATTTTGGATCGAATTTAAGCCTAGAGCTTTGAAATTTCAGAATTTACATGAAAATAAGATTTTTTGAGCCTAAAATTATGAAAATTGAAGAATTTTGACCTTAAATTGAAAAAAAATCACAAAATTTGGACCTTTGGGTCCCAAAAATTACAGAATTTTGACCTAAGGGGGTCAGTTTTGGCCTACATTCAGACAAAAACTGGGGAAATTAGCTACATTTTGGTTCTAGAGCTAATTTTGAGCTCAAATAATGATTTTTGAGCTGAAAATGATGAAAACCACAACATTCTGATCTGGAAACGATTTTTGTGCTCATTTCAAGCCCAGAGCTTTGAAATTTCAAATATTTACATGAAATCTATCAAAAAATCTGAAATTTTGCTTAAAAATTTGTATATATTTAGTAAAGATCTATGCATCGTCCAAAGTGAAAAAAATGCGAAAAATCAAAAAAAACGTCCAAACTGACGCATTTTTTTTCGCAGAAATCGCATTTTTTCGAGCACTTTTTTTCGCGTTTTCTGGTGTTTTTCGAGCCAAAATGGACAGAAATTGAAAGAATTTGTCTGAAATTGTGTTTTTATTGATACTGGAGGAAAAATCAGCGGTGAAACATGAAAAATGAGTTTTTCGAAAAAATTTCGAAAATTTTGAAAAAGTCGAAAAAATTTGAAATTTTCAAAATCGTTTTTTTTCATGTTTCACCGCTGATTTTTCCTCCAGTATCAATAAAAACACCATTTCAGACAAATTCTTTCAATTTCTGTCCATTTTGGCTCGAAAAACACCAGAAAACGCGAAAAAAGTGCTCGAAAAATGCGATTTCTGCGAAAAAAAATGCGTCAGTTTGGACGTTTTTTTTTTGATTTTTCGCATTTTTTCACTTTGGACGATGCACTAACTTTTCACATGAAAATTCATCAGAAAATTTGAAAATTTAGGCTCAAAATTTTATATGAAAAATTTTAAAATCTACTGAAAAATCTGTTTTTTGCTCTGAAAATTCACCAATTTTACCCAAAAAATTGCCATTTTCCTTCTAGGAAGCAGTTCGAAAAGAAGAAGAAGCTCTTCGAATTCATCAACGTCGAGCCCACGCAACTCGATCAACATTCAAACCCAGAAATCGAGCAAATTATTCGGGAAATTTGGGAGGATATTCAGATGATGAAGAAGGTGGAAGTTATCGAAAATCGAAAGGAAAAAATAAAAGAGAAGCTCCGATTATTGGAGCAAGTTCAGATGAATCAGATAATGAATTGGATAAAAATAAGAGAAAAGGTGGAAAAAGTGATGAAAGTGAAGATTCTGATGAAGAATATCGAAAGAGAAAACAACAACAGAAGAAAACAATTGTGACTAGTGATGAGGAATCGAATTAATGAGTTATCATAAGTTGTTTGGTTTTTGATCTGGTTTGTTTCTGATTTTTATATAAATATTCGAGGAAAATCTGATTTTTTGAACTAGAAATCATGAGAAATGTTCAATTTTGAGCTGAAATACTACAGAAACTGAGAAATTTGACATGAAATTAAAAATCTTTTTTTTCCAAAAAGCAGACTCTCATCAAAAAACATGGAAAATCAATTTTCTAATCTAAAAATTTTGAAACAGTGATATTTTTGGAGTGAAATTTCCGGATTACAGAAAATTGCAGACAAAAAATACTGAAATTCTGATGACGTGGAAAAAACTCTAGCCGAAGACCTTTTTAGCATAAATAAAACAGAATTTTGAAAATTTTCATACCTGAAAATTCACCGTTTCAAAATTTCTATATAGAAATATTTTGTTTTTTGAAAATTTTGTTATCACGGTCCATAATGTTTCAATAATGATTTAGAGATAAATTCTTGACTAAAAATGATTAGAAAATTTCAGATTTTCAGACAAAAATTCAGAAATTTCAATGACGCGGCAGAAATTCTAGCCAGATCCCTGTTTTCAAGCAAAAAAAGCTGGGTTTTTTCAAAATGTTTACTGTTTCAAAAACAATAAAAATTCACTGTTTCAAAATATTTGTATAGAAAATTTTCGATGCTAAATTTCATTCATATAGCTTTTTTAGATGAAAAAAAATTGTATTTCGAAAATTTTGATGTCATTGAAAACTTACTGTTTCAAAATTGTTATATAGAAAATTAGGGGTTGCTATTGTATTTTTGCACAGCGAATTGAATTACTGATGGTTTTTGACTGATAAATTAAGACTTCCAGTCAAAAAATTCTGAAAGTCCTATGGCGTGGCAAAAATTCTAGCCAATGACCTTTTTAGCATAAATCAAACAGAATTTTGAAAATTTTCATGTTTCACAAATTTCACTGTTTCAAAATTTTTATATTGAAATATTTTGTTTTTTGAAATTTAGTAATGCCGGTCCATATATTTTCAATAATGATTTAGAGTTAAATTTTTGACTAAAAATGATTGGAAAATTTCAGATTTTCAGACAAAAATTCTGAAATTTCAATGACGTGAAATTCTAGCCAGATCCCTGTCTTCAGGCACAAAAAGCAGGGTTTTTTCGAAATGTTTACTGTTTCAAAAACAAAAAAAAATTACTGTTTCAAAATATTTGTATAAAATATTTTCAATGCTAAATTTTATTGCTTTTTCAAAACTTTCATATTCTAAGACAATTTCGGGCGGAATTTTTTGTTACAGAATTCTGATTGAAAATCTCAGAATTTCAGACAAAAAATACTGGAATTCTGATGACGTGGCAAAAATTATAGCTAGGGGCATTTTTAGCATAAATAAAACAGAATTTTGAAAATTTTAATTTTCCTGAAAATTCACTGTTTCAAAATTTTCATATAGAAAATTTGTTGTACTTATTTTTATTTTTATTGCATAGTGGATAATATAAATAATTCGATGGAAAATGACTAGAAAAATCCTAATTTTCAGCCAAAAATTCTTAAATTCCTATGACGTGGCAAAAATTCTAAGCAGAACCTTGTTTTGTCAAAAAATCTAGGATTTTGAGCATTTTCTTGTTCTTGAAAATTCACTGTTTCAAAATTTTTATATAGAAAATGTGATATTTTTATTTTCATTGCATAGTTGATAATATAGATATCGTAAAAATTCAGAATAAAATAAAATCATTTTTTTCGCTAAATAGTCAGAATTTCAAAAATTTACTGTTTCAAAGAAAATGTGAGGTCTTGAATTGTATTTTGGGATAAAAATTTGACTAAAAAATTTTGTGTTTTTTAGTAATTTACTGTTTCATAATTTTTATATACAAGTTTTGGATTAAAAATTTTTTATAGATGATTTTTTTAGGTCAGAATGTGTGGAAAATTTCAGAAAAATCTGAACAAAGATCCACTTGGATTTCTGTACAAATCAATCATATTTATTAAAAATATCATTTGCAAAATTTGCAAAATAGGGTTGAAATAATTCGAGTCCCGGTTTTGTTAAATGAATTGAATTATCAATATAGGATAACATTGTTGTTCTGTTAAATAATAGATATTTTTCTTCCGAAGAAATCATTGGTGACAAATCGATTATCTGAAACAAATAATATTTTGTTATAGAAACAGTTTATTATTTACCTGACAAGATTTGCATTTAATATTTCTCAATCGTTTTCTGATATATTTCATTTCAATATCTCCATCATATTTTTTCAAATTCATATTTTCCCAATATTCTGGTTTATGAATCAAATTCTGAATAAATGCATTCATCGAATTTGGAGCATAAAAAGGAAATGCTCCTAATATAAATATATGTTTTGTGAATTTCTCATAAATTTCAATATTTTTATTGAATTCTTCAATCCATTTGTCATTTTCTGATGAATAAAATGGTTTTTTGATAGATTCAGAATATCTGCTCATTATCATCAAAATATCGAGTTTTTCTTTGGCGATTAATTTATGAGCAATTGATAAAGATAAATTTGAAATTGCATCATCACTATATATTCCATAACATGCTGAAAACCAAAAATATATTCGAAATGAGTGCTGCAACAAAAACCAAGCGGTTTTTTTCACGAAAAATTCAATTTTCTGAAAATTTACTCGCAAAATTGACAAAAAATCTAAATTTTCGAAAAAGTTTTCAAAATTTCTTGATTTTCAACCCTATTCAAAAAAAAACTTACAAGGAAATGAAGCGTATTGAAAAACCGAATAATTTCCAGCTTCATCAATCGCATCTTTAATTGTATTAACAAAATTCGCAGTATAACTATTCCCAATAACCATAATATTTTTAGTACCATTTCCAAAATATTTACAATATCCAACGGGATAATTTTTGATTTTATAAGAATCTTCAAAATCAGAGATATCACATTCTTGCAATGGTTTCCATTTTCGAACAATATTATCGAGATTTGTTGTTATTATTTCTTGCAATTCTTCTGGATATTCATTTTTCCAAAATTTGTGAGATTTGACACTTTTGTAAAGATATGCATTTGATAGAATTAATAAACCAAGAAAACCAATCAAAATAAGCTTTGATTTGATTTTTGTCATATAAGTTTTCTCGAATCCATAATGCAAAAATGAAGAAATAATTATAATTAACATTATTGTTGAAATTGAATATTTGATTGTAGAAGATCCAATTATTATTATTAATGGCCAATGAATAAGATAGATTATATAGGATAAATCACCAATATGACATAATATTCGATTATTCAGAATCTGAAATTCACATAAATTTATTTATATTGATAAACTTTTGAAAAACTTACAATATTATCATTCGAATTGTCAAATGTTAATAGAATTCCAGTAGAAAAAGTGAGTAATATTCTTAAAATTGGGATATTCATTTTAATCGGTAGAAACATCAAAAATAAACAAGTCAATATTATATTTCTGAAATTCCCGGAATCGATTGGATATTTCAGGATTTTTGCGGATATTTCAGTTCGAATATAGAAAAAGGCAATGAATCCCATTGAAAATTGCCATAATCGAAGTGGCATAAAATTGAAAGCAAATTGTGGATTGATAAAATGAAAAAGAATCATAGAGATAAAAGTCATAGTTATAGATGCAATGAATTTCAAAAAATCAGTTTTGAGAATAGAAAATCCGATAAAAATAAAAGGAACAATAAGATAAAATTGCATTTCAACACCCAAACTCCAACAATGAATAAATGCATTCAAAGAAGATCCATCAGCTTGAAATTCAAGAAAATAATCAGCACTGTCATGAATAATTAATTGATTTGTGATTAGAAATAATGATGATAAATAATATCGATGATTATTATACCACCAAACTTCAATCAAAAATATTTGAACAGCGAGAGTTGTTAGGAATAAAATAAGGTAATAAAGTGGTAGAATTCTTCGAACTCTTCGATAATAGAAATCGAGAATATTGATTGGTTTTGAAGTTGACATCAAATATCCAGACAAAACAAAAAAACTGAAGATAATTAATTTTAATTTTATTAATTAATATAATTATTATGATGTGAAACTTACACATCAACACCTAGAAATCCATTTTCAAAAATGGTTGGAAATAAATGAAAAAATAAAACAGCTAAAATTGCAATTGCTCTAATACATTGAATATCTATTCGTTTCATCTTTTGAATGTTTTTCTGATTTTTTTAACTTTTATAGTTTCTTCGATAAGAATGTCACCGCCCTCCAATTTAATATGCGAAGAATACATTTTCCGGGAAAATGAAAGTATTTCCCATTGTTTTCTTCTTTCTCGGTCACTTTTAAAGTTCGTGTGTAGTTTGATGATTGACCTTCATGCAGGAACGGATAATGTGTTTGAACTTTTGGTCGGTGAGTATTTTCCGAAAAGCTAATTTTATCACAAAATAATTTTGGTATTTCTGAAAGTTGTTAGAAATTTGCCAAATTATCATGAAACCTTGAAAAATGCTCAAAAAATCAACCGAGCTTTTCAAATCATATGAATTTTTTTCTCTGCGAGGTTTTCGAATTGAACTTCGGTAAAATCAGGAAATTACTGTGAAAAAACCTCAAAACTCATTTTCCTGGTTAGCTGCCTTTAAAGAGTTTTCCGAAATTTTTCGGAAATTCTGGTTTCCGTATAAGCCTGGAGATGAATCATCAAACTACACACGAACTACATAAAATGACCGAGAAAGAAGAAAACAATGAGAAACACTTTTATTCGGGATTCTTTTCAACTTAGCATATTTAATTGGATACGGTGACCTTTTTATCGAACAACTATAGAAGGGTAAATAGATTCAAATTTGAATTCAAAAGATCAAACATGAAAAAACGAATAGATATTCAATTGTATTGTGAAAAATTGAATTACAGATGCATTTATGGCTTGAAAAATTCACATTTTCAGACAAAAAATTTTGGAATTCTGATGACGTGGCAAAAATTCTAACCAAAGACGTTTTTATCATAAATAAAACAGAATTTTGAAAATTTTTGTTTTCCTGAAAATTCACTGTTTCAAAATTTTCATATAGAAAATTTGATGTTTTTAATTTGATTCTATGATAGTGACCACGAACAAAAATTCAGAATTTCAAATAAAAACCTCTGAAATTCCAAAAATTGTAGGCAGAGCCTTTTTAGGCTAAAAATTGTATTTCGAACATTTTTATGTCATTAAAAATTTACTGTTTCACAATTTTTATTTAAAAAATTTCGACTCTTCCATTTTGATTACAAAAGTGGGATACAGAATTAGATACAAAGGCAATAACTTCTGAAACTCCTATGACGTGGCAGAAAAAAAAAACATTTTGTTTTTCTGAAAATTTACTGTTTCAAAATTGTTGTATAGAATAATTCGCATTTTCACTTTTATTGAACGGTACAATTGAACCATAAATGATTATTTGGCTGGAAATTTAACACATGGATTTTCTGTAACAATTTTTTTCCTTTTTAAAAAATTAATTTATTCAAACAAAAAAAACATAAGAATACTTGCAAATAAAAAATATAGTTGGCTCAAAAAAATAAATTAAACCGAAATGGATCCCTCTCTAAAATCAGTTTTTCCAATCAAAACATTGATCAATGCACTTTTTCGTTCTTTTTTCTCCGATTTTCTCGAAAAATTCAATGCTTCATCCAAAATGCCACGTGTTTTTTCAACATTTTCCGCGTCAATTGTTTCTCCCCATCCACCTAATGAGATTGCCACGTTGTCGTATCGGGTACGCTGCAAAAAACACGTGGATTTTGAGGTACTCAAATTTTGATGTAAAAAATTGAAGAATTCAAAAAAAAAAAGATATCGAATATTATAACATTTTTGAAACGTAAAAAAATCCAGTTTTTTTCTCTCTGATTTTTTTGTCATTTTTCAACCGAAAATCCCCAAAATTCTTACCGCCAAATCAACAGCCACCGAACTTTGGAACATTGGAATTTGTTCTCGTGCAATTTGTGTCCAACAAGCATCATTTCCAACAATTCCAATTACTGGAAGTCTGAAAATCAACAAAAATTCATATTTTTTGATGTCCTCGAGTTGTGCATATAAATCAAAAAATTTTAAATTCTCAATTTTTATACGAAAATTTTGAAACAGTGAAATTTTTTTTTTTTGGTGAACAATTTTGTAACCAAGAATCTCAAATTACAGAATTTTCAGCATTTTAATTCTGGGTTGCTGAAAAAATTTTACAAAGAGTACTGTAGATTTTGGGGGCAGAAAGATATTTCCAAGAAATCAGAACGTTTCAAGAATAAAATTCGAAAAATCAAATTTTTATACGAAAATTTTGAAACAGTGAGATTTTTTGGTGAACAATTTTGTAACTTTAAAAAATTCAAGAATCTCAAATTACAGAATTTTCAGCATTATTATTCTGGGTCAGTGAAAAAACTTGACTAAGAGTACTGTAGATTTTGGGACCTGAAAGACATTTCCAAGAAATCAAAACGAATTAAGAATAAAATTCGAAAAATCAAATTTTTGATATGAAAAATTTGAAACAGTGAGATTTTTTGGTGAACAATTTTGTAACTAAAAACATTCATGAATTTTAAATTACAGAATTTTCAGCACTTTAATTCTAGGTTACTGAAAATTTTTTTACAAAGAGTACTGTAGAATTTTGGGCCAGAAAGATATTTCCAACAAATCAGAACGTTTCAAGAATAAAATTCGAAAAATCATATTTTTGATATGAAAATTTTGAAACAGTGAAAATATTTTGGTTAAAATTTTGAGTAAAAATATATTTTATGTTCTAAAAAATCTCGCTGTTTCAAAATTCTGATATTAAAAAATGTGCTCTCCAAGATTTGTTTGTTCTCGCCGAATTTCCAAAAAGCCTACCTATGCCTAGCAAAACTATCAAATTCCATCAACGAATATCCACAAGAACCATCTCCCCAAATAATATAAACTGGTTTTTCTGGATGCACAACTTTTGCACCAAGTGCAAATCCTCCACCAACTCCAAGTGTTCCAAATGCTCCAGGATCTAACCATTGAAGTGGTCCACGTGGTCGAATAATATAAGCGGCCGAACCAACAAAATCTCCACCATCGGCCACCAAAATTGCATTTTCTGGCAAACTTTCATCCAAAGTTTTCAGGAAACTCAGAGGGTTGAGGAATCCGTTGGTGAGTTTTGGTGCAATTTTTTTGGCATTTGCCTCTTCTTTTTCATTGTCTTTTTGGCGAAGAGTTGAAATCCAGGATTGTGGTTTGGTGTATGTTGACTAGAAGCAAATTTAAGTTTTTTCCGCAAGGAATTTCTACGCGAAATTTCTTCACAAAATATTGAAACAGTGATATTCTGTATATTTTACTAATAATAATTTTTTTATTTTTCAAAATATGTATACAACATTTTTGAAACAGTGAAATTTTCTTTTGAACAACATTCAGTTATTTTTTCTAAAAATAATTATTTGTATGAATAAAAATCTACTGTTTCGAAATTTCTTCACAAAATTTTTGAAACAGTAAATTTTTCTGGGTTTTTTCTAGATACATGTAAATCACGACAACTGTATTGTTTCAGAAAAATTAACAAATTTTCATATAAAATTTTTGAAACAGTGAGATTTTTGTGTCGTGAAAAGAATTTTTGTTACAGAGATATCAGGATTGTAGCGACGCTCTTTCAAATTTTAAATGAAAATAAAATTTTCGACAAGTTGCTCGCGTCCAGCAAAAATGATTGTTTCGAAATTTTAAAATCAAATATTTGAAACATATATTTACACGTATTTTTTTCAAAACAATCAAAATCGATTTTCGCAGAAACAAATTATGGAATTTTTGAAACAGTGGATTTTTCAGGTTGAAAAATAGCATAGTGAAATAATTTTGAATCTAATTTTTGGCAAAATTATCACAATTAAACAGTTGATCAAAATTCTCAAATTTGATAAATTGTTATACAAATTTTGAAACAGTCAATTTTTTAAAAACGGTTTTTTTCATAAATACCCGATTTTCTTCAGATTTTCGCTCAAAACTCCCATTTCCCCGCCCAAAAACCCCTACCGTACCCCAAGAAGTGCAGCAACTTGTACAAGTGTCGATGCAACATCAGCCTGAACCGAAACATCAGCATTCCAGAAAGCCTTCTCGTTTTTGGTCAATTGCGAATAATTTCGATTGATTGCCACAATTTTCGATTTTTTCGACAAAGTTCGACCATAAGAAAGACGGAAATCGGTGACGGTTCCTGGAAAAAATATTTTTTTTTGGTATAGAAACTTTGGTTGGCGCAAGCTTGCGGTTTTTATCTAATATTAGACCATAAAATATCAGCTGTTTGTTGTGAGCACAGAACATTTTCTTGGAACAACAGCTGAAATGTTTAATTTATTATTCTTCTCCAAAAAATAAGTTAAATTATATCCAATATATTTGTCTCGAAATGGATCTAGATAAAATAACATATGAAAATCCATCTTGGGTTCTAATATCCTATCATATTATTTCAATTATCTCATTAATTATCAATAGTTTTGGAATTTATTTGATAATTTATAAAAGTTCAAAAATTGGCAATTATAAATATTATTTATTGGCTTTTGTGATCTTCTCGATTTTTGTTGATATTAGTTTTACTCTTGGTTGTCAATTTGTGTTAACTCTACCAGTTTGGATACTTATTACAACTGATGGTTATTTTTGGAGACTTTTTGGTATCACATCTTTTCAATCAACGGTGAGTATTAAAATTGATGATACCATAATAATCACAGTCAGAATCAAAAATTTTAAACGCATTTGCAACGCGACCAGAAGTTTGTAGTTTGAACATGGAAAACTAGAAAAAATAAATTTTTCTAGCCGCGTTGCAAACCGCACGCGCTCAAAGATATTTCAAATAAAAAATTTCCAGACAATATTGGCAATTTTCGTTCTATTCCAAATCAATATAATATTCTATCAATTTGTTGAAAAACATCAAACTATAATGGATCTTGCAAGTCACACTAAATTCATCTTAAAACCCGCCTATAAACTCGCTGTCAAATCACTTGGTCTCATATTTGGTGCAAGTGTGATGCTCATCATTTTTTCCAGCGAAATTCCTCGACAAAAATCGCTAGAACTTATCCAACAAAAATATCCGAATTTATATTTGAGATTTGAGAAAACCGAAACTTTTTCATTTCTTGAAGATAATCAAACAATGATCGGATCATTATTTTATTTGGCTTTTGCTGCTGCTTTGGGTGTATTATTAGTTTCAGCAATAAGTTATCATATGTTGTCAACTTTTTGGAGAGTTATTGGAACTTTATCTGATTCATATAAACAATCACATCAAAATGCGATATTTAGTTTGTTTGCGCAGGTATGTTCAACTTCGAAAACCCTTTAAAGAAAAAAAAGATTAAAGGCTTCAACATGTTGTATTATGGCTATCCCAGTTTTTGGATTTTTGACCGAAGCTTTTGCTTTTTTTGGTTCTCAAAATCAGACAGTTCTATTTTTTCATCAATTATTATTCAGTTGTCATTCGAGTATTAATTGCATTGTTATGATTATGACAGTTAAAGAATATCGACAATTTGTGAAAAGTTTGCAAACGAGACCTTTGCATCTATTTTTTACTCGAACTTCGCCAGTTCATTGAATTTCGAGATTGGAGGATTGAACATAATTTTGAATTTGTAGTTTTGATCATTAATAATTTTTCTTTTTTAAATTTTTTTTAAGAATCGCTAAAATTTCAACAAAAAATAAAATTTAATCATTAATAAATTTCAGACAATAATTAATTTTATGGATAAAAATTAAAAATCGCGGATTCGTAGTCACTACGGATTTCCGATTTTTATATTAACGTAAATTTCATCGGTACCACGCGCTCCACCGAAATAAACACGCAACGCAGACCGCGCCGCGCCACAACAAACACAAAAAAGGAGGGAATTTGAATCGTTCCCTTATTTGTGTGTGTTGTGGCGCGACGCGGTCTGCGTTGCGTGTTTATTTTGGTGGAGCGCGTGGTACCGATGAGATTTTCGATAATATCTAGCCTAATGTTGTGGATAACATTACTTCGTCAGTCGCGTGCGGCTGTGCGTCGCGGAAAATTATTGATTGTTTCCCGACCGCAACGCACAGCCGCACGCGACTGACGAAGTAATGTTTTTTTGAATTTTTACGGCTTCCACATTTTTCAACAATAAAATCGACTGTTTCAAAATAACAATACCCCTCCAAATCTTCCACTTACCTGCCAAAATCGTCAAATCCGCCTCTTTCAACGCATCTCTTCTAACTTGTCTCATCTGCAATTCATTATCTTTTCCCAATAATCCACGTGCCATTCCTCCCAAAAAACAAGGCACTCCAATTTTCTCAACAGCTCGAACCAAATCGTCTGGTTTCACAGGTGGCAGTGTTGCCTGCGATCCAATTAATAACACTGGTTTCTTAGCGCCTTTCAATAATTCCACAATTTTCGATATATCTTCGCCTTTTGGCATTGGTGTCGATATTTCCAATGGTGTGATATCTTGTTTTTGCCATGCTCCACTGAATTGACGTGACACGTGGCAACGCAAATAATAATTCAAGGCTTTTTGGATGAAACCTTTGGCATTTGGATTGAAACCGATTTCTTTGACGACAAGTTCGTAGGGATATAAAACATCGACGGGAAATTCGACGAAAACTGGACCTGGGCAGCCGGATTTAGCGACCTGAAAAGAAGGTTTTGGAGGGGAAAAACACTGTGTTTGCGGAGCATCGTTTGAAAAAACGTTGTTTTGGGTAGTAAAAATCCGATCGTGAAATCTAACCAAGAATTGAAATTTGAAAAAGTGAGAAAATTTTGAAACAGTGAAAAAATCTCTCATATTTTCTAGAAAAACCAGCATTTTCGGTATCAAAAATCCGAGACTTCACGATTTTTTCGCAAAATTCTCGAAATTTTTTTGTTAAATTGAATAAACTTCGACAGAATTCAAAAAATATACATTATTTTTTGAAAAAGAAAGTTTTGAAACAGTAGATTTTATTAGGCATTTTCTATTCTTAAATTTTAAGGTTAATAGGATTCAATAATCAAAATTTCAAAAACTGCCAAAATTCATACAGAAATTTTGAAACAGTGATTTTTTTGTAGGTGGAACAGTGATTGAGAAAGAAAATTATTTTCAAACTTATAATTTTAGGGTTTATATTGAAATGAGCATTGCAATTATTTGAAAATCCATATTTTGAAACAGTAGATTTTTTTTTCGAAATTTTCCTTTTGTCTGGAGGTTCGAATCGACATCAAAATTTTGAAAACTAAGAAAGTTCATATGAAAATTTTGAAACAGTGAAAAAATACTTTTTTTCCAGACCAAAATTATTCGCCGAAATTCATAGAAAACCATATTTCCTGAAATTTTCAGGTTTTTCAGCTAGAACTCTATTTTTTAATCAACAGATATAATATATTAATATTTTTTAGTAATAAATAAGATAGTTTTGAAACAGTATATTTTTTCTAAATTTTTTTTCAGTCTGGGGGTTCGTTAATAATAACAATTTCACTGAGAAAATTGATACAGAAAATTTGAAACAGTGAAAAAACCAGTTTTTTCGAAGCCCCAGTCATATTTTATATGAGATATTAGCAAAAATCGTTTTGAAAATGTTGATTTTTAAATGTAGACATTTTGAAACAGTAGATTTTTGAAATTTTATTTTTCTCAAAAACTAAGAAAATTCATATGAAAATTTAGAAACAGTGAAAAAATACTTTTTGCCAGCTCGAAATTAATCGCTGAAAATTATAGAAAACCGTATTTCTTGAAATTTTCAGGAATTTCAGCTAAAACCCTATTTTTCAATCAATAAATCTGGATTAATATTTTTTTAGTAATAAATGAGGTAGTTTTGAAACAGTATATTATTTCAAATTTTTTTTCAGTCAGGGGGTTCGTTAATAATCAAAATTTCACTGAGAAAATTATTACAGAACTTTTGAAACAGTGGGAAAACCATTTTTTTTCGAATTCCTATTCATATTTCATATCACAAATCTATTATTAGAAGAATCGTTTTGAAAATCCTGATTAGATTTTTCAAATTTTCCTTTGTTCAGAAGGTTCCAATCAACATCAAAATTTTGAAAAATGAGAAAATTCATATAAAAATTTTGAAACAGTAAAAAAATACTTTTTTCCAGCTTGAAATTATTCGCCGAACTTCATAGAAAACCATATTTTCTGAAATTTTCATAAATTTCAGCTAGAACCCTACTTTTTAATCAACAGATATATAGTATATTAATATTTTTTAGTAATAAATAAGGTGGTTTTGAAGCAGTATATTTTTTTCAAAATTTTTTTCAGGCTGGGGGTTCGTCAATAATAACTGAGAAAATTGATCGAGAAATTCTGAAACAGTGAAAAAACCATTTTTTTTTTCGAAGCCCCAGTCATATTTTATATGAGATATCAGCAAAAATCGTTTTGAAAATGCTGATTTTTAAATGTTGAAATTTTGAAACAGTAGAAAAAACCATATTTTTTCGAAGCCCCTCATATTTTATATCAAAAGTTAATTAATGCAAAAATCGTTTTGAAAATGCTGATTTTTAAATGTAGACATTTTGAAACAGTAGATTTAAAAATGTTTTTTTCAAAAACTGAGAAAATTAATACAGAAATTTTGAAACAGATGGAAAATCAAATTTTTCTCGAAAAAAATGGAGTGTCTGAGATCTTGCCATATTTTGACTCAAAATTTTCCGAGTTTTTTTTCACAATCCCCCCCCCCCCCTTCGCTCCCCAAAACCCTTACCTGAATAGCTTTTCTAACAGTCGGAACAATATCTCTCAATCTCTCAACTCTCGCCACATATTTACAAATTGGTCTAAACAACACCATCTGATCAATATCCTGTAGTGCACCACGTCCTTTCAACAAAGTCGGCGCAGCTCCACCAATCAATAATAATGGACTCTCAGCCATTTGTGCATTCTTGACAGCTGTAATTGTATTCGTCAAACCGGGTCCTGCGGTAACAGCGGCGACTCCAATTGATTGCCGCAAGCGAGCGACTGCGTCAGCTGCGAACACTGCGTTGACTTCGTGGCGAGTGTCAATGATGTTGATGCCCAGTTTTTCGGCGGCGACGAGGATCGGAGAGATGTGACCACCGCAGAGCACGAAGATTTCTTGAACTTCGTGGGCTTTGAGAACCGAGGCGACGAGTTCTCCACCGTGTCGTTTCGAATTTTCATCGACCTGGAATAATTGACCATTTTTCCGCTGAGTTTTGAATTTTCCCCAAACTTGATTTAAAAAAAAACATTTTTAAGGAATTTTTCAAAAAAAAAATTTACTGTTTCAAAATTTTTATAATAAAATTTCTGGATTTTGTTGAATTTAATAATAATTTCAATGAAATCTTTTCAAAAAAAAAATTTAAATTTAAATTTGTAATTTTTAGCGCCAAAAATATATCATATTTAGTCTCAAAAAATCGCAAATTCCCCCGCCACTCTTCAAATTTCAAATTCCCGCCCAAAAACCCCTCACTAACCTGGAAAACATTCGACATAACATGTTGTCCATTTCCACTTGTCACCAACTTCAAAATATTCGACAACTCATCAACAGATCGAATATCCAACCATTTCCAGAGCAGCAAACCAATCACAACTGCAATCAGGATGAGAAATATCATCTGAAAATTGAAAAATTGCAATTTTTAAGCGAAAAATGAGGTTTTTCATGAAAAAATCACAAATTTCTGACCGAAAAATGATAAGAAAAGTGACATGTTTTATACAAATATATACAAATAAAAAGAAGAAATGAAAAAAAAAAGTTTTGGCGGGGAGAAAGGTCGAAAAAAGAACGAAGAAAATGTGAGAGATATGGCCTCATTTTACCACTTTGACCATTGGCTAAAATATAGGCAAAAATGAGAGGGTGTAAATGCGGAGTGTTGTTAGAGAAATAACTTGCAAGAAATTTAAATTTTTGTCAGAAAACACTTGGAACTAGGGGGAAACTAGAGAAGTTTTGAATTTCCTGTAACTTTTGGCGCTAGAAAGTTAGAGAGGTGTAAATGCGGAGTGTTGTAAAACAAAAGGTTAGAAATTTGAGTAATGTCCAAAAAACACTCCATCACATTTATAATCTAGACTAGACTATACTCGATAAATCATCAAAAATCACTGGGTTCAAAATAATTTTTGATAACAAATTTCCAAAAAAAAATTAATCATTTCTTTGGAAAAAAAAATGATTCACATGTTTGTTTCACTAATGAAAAAAATGCAATGTTTTTTATTTTCACAAAAATTCAATTTTCCGCCAAGAACAAACAAGAAAAAAACCACGTTTTTCTTATCAAAGCTGAATTTTGTTTCACAAATCAAGAACAAAAAAGATAAGATAATTTGAAATTTACGATCAATGTTCTTTGTTTTCTGGACAAAAATGAATGGAAAATGGGGAATTCTCAGCCACGTGTAAATCTCACGTTTTTTCGAAAAAAAATCCAAATTTATTTTCAATTTTTTTTCCCAATTGCCACGTCATCAAATTTATTATTCCAGTTTGATTCATATAAGATTTTTTGCAAAAAAAATGTTTTTATCACTCAAAAATCCCCCTGGAAAATAATTTTCAAGGAAAAACATGTGATAGGGAAGTAATAATACAAATTCAGAGTATTCAAGAACATTTTTGGCTGGATGGCTAGAATCTACAGGGTGACAACAAATTATAGCGACAAATTCAACTTACTCTGGTGACTGTCGTACTTAACCTCTATGAAAATTTTTTGAGACTTTTCTGACTATCCAGGAGGCTAAACTTGATTTATAGAACCAATTTAGGGTGGGCCTAGGCTTAGACGTGGCGGCTTTGCGGTCTACACTCGGGCTTTAAGCTTACAATTAGGCTTGGGGTCAAGCACGAACCATTAGAGCCTAAAGCCCGAGCGCTCTGCGCGAGTGTAGACCGCAAACTTCCGCGTAGCGGCCACGTGGATAACTATGACAGCGAGAGACCACGTGGATGTGGTCAATACTCGAACCCCTACCCCTCCCCCCTCCCAAAAAAATCCACGTGTCAAAAAAAAACAGCCTTTGCCCTTTCTTTTTCAAATCCAATCACAGCCTAGATTAGTCTAATCCCATTTCTATTCATTTTATCATAAAGCACTCTTTTTTTCCACACAAAAATAAATGACAAATCATCAGCAAACAATAGAAGAGAAACTTCGGATTGAATGTCAAGAAAAAAAGGGGGATTTGCTAATCATCCAACTAATCAGCTAATCCCTTTTTGCTCCAAAAAAGCACATTTTTCTTCTCTCGATACGTTTTCGAATTCTTCGAATAGATATGTACCACGCAAACAACACAGTCTCTGGTGGCAGAGAAAAGTACAAAAACACAACCTAAAATAGATTGTTTTGTGTAGGCTGAAAAATAGGACTTTTTGTCAAAGATTGCTCATCTTAGGTGTCGTAATAAGAGGTTTATCCAATTTTTTGAAGAAAATCGGGGTTTTGAGGGGATTTTAGTGAAAAGTAGCAATTATGAGGATTGACTTGTCATAAGTATCTTTTATTTTTGAAAAATCAGAAGAAAGAGGATTTGGGAATGACTCAAAAAATACGACGAAGACTAGAAGATTGTCCAGGAATGGTTGAGTTAGGATAACATGGAAGAGAAACGATATGGCCTAGAAAACCAAGCCCGAGCGCTTAGCGCGAGTGTAAACCGCAATCTTCCGCAAAGAGGCCAAGCCTAGGCCTGAGTTAAGACTCATGCCTAGATTCGATAGTCTCTCCCCCTTGTTCCATAGCTAAGTTATGACGTGGAAACCCCTCGAACAACTTCAACGCGAAAGTTTATCTACATATCCAAATGATGTTTACAAGGCCTATCACCGTCATAACCAAAATCCAATAAACATATTTTTTCTTATTTATTTGTACATACATTACCACGTGTTTCTTTTCTAATCCCCACTTTCGCCTGCGTCAGAGCTTTTTACTTTTTTTTGAATTGTTGTTTTCTTGAATGAAAATTTTTGAAGATCCTGATCTTCCTTGATTGTTTGATTTCAAAATAAAAAGAACAAAAAAAATGAATTCGAGACTTTTCGGCTGCAAAAATGATTAGTTGGTTTTTGAGCTGATTAGATGGAGAAAATTGGGGGTTTTGAGGGGTTTCTGCTAATTTTTTTTGAACGGATTGTACGTATTCAGTTTACAGAGAACGATCAGGCAAAAATTGGATCAGGCTCGAAATTTGGGAAGCTCAACACAGGCTTAGGCTGGGCCGCTGTGCGGAAGATTACGGTTTCGCGCAGAGCGCTGGGGAACCCTCATACTGGAACCAAATAAAAACCTAATCAAAATGAGAGCTACATAAGTCTGATTAGCTTATTCCACGTCACAAAACTCGATAGTTTAGTTTGACTTATCAAAACGCTATGAAGACTGGATGGAATCCATTTTAACATGAGCAAAGCCACTAGATTCAAAAGCAAGGTTATGAAACTGAAATATCTGAATAAAAGTAACTTGAAAAAAATATATCCGATTTAAGGTGAGTAAACTGCCTTAACATCCCAGAAATCATGAGTCATAACCCATCTTAAGGTGAGTAAACTGCCTCAACATCCCAGAAATCATGAGTTCATAACCCATCTCTTATTGAAGGTAGGTTAACTCTGATGTTCAACATATCAGAATTCATATTTTTGATATTCATCCTGTTAACCAAGTCCTTTTTTGCACACCTCCTTTCGTTAAATGTATGCGTAATAACAATCTTTGCTTTTCATCTCATCTTGTCAATCCAAATCCAATTCATTTAACACACACAACATAACAACATTCTTATGTCTGATCATGCACCTCCTCCTACTTTTTCCCCCCCCCCCCGTTTCCCTTTCCTAACATCATCATAATCCTGTTATCAGCTTCTCGCTCTCTCTTTTTTCTGGCTCCGCCCATTGGCTCAAGATAAAAAGCTCAGAGCTCTTCATTTTATTTTATTCGTGAATTTTTTGCGACTTATCAAAAAAATGTGCGCTATGCTTTCACAAACCGAAGTGTTGCTTTCGTCTCCATTTATGGTTGTTTCGGGAAATGGATGTGAGGTGAAGAAGAAGTCAAGTGAGTTTGGGGGGCTTCAGACGGGGCCTACTTGGGCTTGAGTTGTATAGGCTTGGTGGTTAGGTAGATGACCTAACTAGGATTCGGGATTATCATTAGCTAGAGGTTTGGGGAACCTTGAGTATCCGGTTAAGCTAGCTTCTCAGTAGGATCTATGATAGGTCTAGAAGCCTTGGTTTTTCGGGATTCAGAGAATCCTATAAAGAAGCTAGAGGTTAAAATCACTTAGCCTCTAGGTATTGGTATTAGCCTAAGTCTCCCTAGGTTCTTAATACCTAGAGGTCCTTATGACCTCTAGTCTAAAGGTACCAAGACCATCCTTAGAGTATCTTGACTTCGGAAAACCCAAAAACCTTGATTCCTTTTTCAGTGAAACGTCTAACATGTCGTAAATGCGAAGGCCATGGTCTCATGTCAATTCTCAAAGGCCACGCCTCTTCCTGTCCCTTCAACGACTGCAAATGTGGAACCTGCACTTCAGTTATGTCAATGCGTGCCAACGCGCTGATCCGTCGATTCCGCCATCGTCAACCCGATCAAAATCTGGCTGTTTTGAAGACAATCCGCTCAAAGAATGGCAACATGCGTTTGCGAATCGTGCCAAAAGGTCAAGGACCACAAGAAGAGCGCGGAGGGACCACTGTGAATTACACCACCGATGATTCAAGCTCATATAGTTCACGCCGTGGCTCGGCTTGCTCAACAATCTCAAGCAGCACAACAACAAATCAATCGAGTCCATCAACAAGTCCGCCAGCACCCAGTGTTGACTTCGAGCAACTCATGGCCACCACAAATCTCTTCCAACAACTTCTAGCCGCCTACACCAATAACTTCGCCTCACCACAATCCGCGTTCACACCAATCATTCCACCTCAACTATTTCTGTCGTCAATGCCCAGATTGCTCTAATTAATATGCCTTTCTGGGTGACAACAACAAGTTTCACTATCTTTTACGAGAAGATATCCACGTGTATCCCCAATGGGGATTATTGATGATTTCGTACTTAACATATCGCTATTAACCCGAGTTATCCTAATTTATTTAATTATTTCTGAATTTTGAGTTTTCTTGTCGTATTTTCTTCGAGTAACCGAAGATTTTCGTTTTTTTTTGAATTTTTTTTGATAATAAAGTTATTATCACTGTTTGAAATGTAGAAAACTGTGCCAGACATGCAAAAAACAAGCTCCGCCCCTTTCCGTTACAAATTTTATATAAGAAGGCTCAGAAACCCAATCGGCAAGATTTTCCTAGCTGAAAAAAACTGTGTCTTAAAATATCAATGTCTTAAAATAACAGAAAACTGTGCCAGAGTTGCAAATTAGCCTCCGCCCCTTTCTATAGAATTCTCAGATAAATCAGTGGTAGTGATGACCGCTATCGATCTCAAGGTCACGGGTTCGACCCCCGGTGCCTGCCTGACCAGAAAATCGTGGGGAAAAACATCCCACCAATTTTTTCTAGAAAGCCCCGCCCATTTTCCAAACATATTTGATCTCGGAAAAAAGCTCAAAAGAAACAAATTTTCCACCTGCTTCAACTTTTCAACACAAAACCAATAATATACAATCAGAGTCTAATTGAACTCTCTTTCACTATGAAAAATGTTGCAAAAAAAGAGTAAAAAGCATTCATTATGGCAAAACATGTGGGCAAACTAAATATATATATACATTATCTCTAGACTAGACTATAGTTATTGTATCAATATGGCATGGATTTTTGAGCAATTTGAAAAAGGGGGTGTAGGTGGGAAGGAGAAGAGGAGGAAGAAGCCTGAAATAACCTTGATAATGATAATAATAATTAGGGGTAATTCATTTGGGAAAGGAAATTAGGAAACAATAAGTACACTTTTCAATTTTTGTTATAGAATATATTTATAGAAATGAAATAAACTTGGGGGAGGAGAAGTGGATAAAAATTGCGTTTAGGGTAGTTAGGTGATTTAGTTTAAAATTAAGGGAGGCACTAAAAGGTCTTAAGACAGAGAGGCTTTAAGGTTCTCAGAAGTTACCTTAAGTCAAGTATTAGATAAATGAAAGGAGTACTGTAAGAGCTCGATTTTTGATAGAAACCCCGCAAGAGCTTAGTTAAGTTACTTGAACTAAATTTAAAAGCCTTAAGGCCTTTTTAAAGTTTTTCCCAGAACTCTAACCCAAATTTTGAATGAATATTTCCTAATCTCCATATTTTTTCCAGATTTTCTCTAGTTTCGATGCACAAAAAATTGTTGCTTTGATATCATATTGTAGTAGGAGGTCCAAAATATTTGAGCCAAAAATAAAGAAAAAATAGGTGATTTCCGATTTTCTCTCGTACTCTTTTGGGAGAAGGGAAATTGTAGAGTTATTTTTATTTATTTTTTGGGGCGAAAATAGATAGATGAACTTTGAGGGGATACTAATTAGGGTATAACGAGTGGGATGGTTTTAAGGTACTTAACAAGGAATCCTTTAGGGCTCGCTTATAAGCCCTCCAGAATTTTTAAACGATCTCAATATTTCTTGAAAGCCCTCCAGATTCCTTAAAAGCCCTCTAGACTTCCTAAAAGTCTTCCAAAATCTTCAAAACCCTCCAAAAAACCAACCTATTGCATTCGACAATTCACATCCTTCGAACTTGCCGACGGCGGTGGACTTCGATCTTTCGTCGGCACATTCAAACTTCTCTGATGATGGTGATGATGATGTCTTCGTTGCTTTTCTGTTCCACGCGGTGTTCTCAACTGCTCATTCTTCTCCTCACTATTCGTTCCCTCGCCAAAAATGTTGATGACTTGCGAGAAATGACGTCCGCCCAAAATGAATTCGACGACGGCCTGCAAAATCATGATGTGAGATTATCTTTGGCAGGCAGATCAATAGTACTTGACTTGATCTGATCCGGATTTTTGGCTTGTTTTTCACTGATGTCAGAATAAAACCCCGTTTTTTGTATTCAAGTAAAATTACCTACAAAATGACCAGAAATCTAAGCTTTTCAGAAAAAACAACTTACATTAGAATTAGTGGGATTACTCATGTTAGCGATCAGATTGAAAGAAAGAGAGAGACGCAGAGGAAAACAGACAGTATGAAGATTAGAGACCACGATAATGTGAGAGACGCAGAGATCTCATTTCCCGAACATAAAGTTCCGGGTTCCCTATTTTTTGGCGTCAAACATCTCGACAGCTGCAAATTCGCTCAAAAAAAGTGATTTGATCTTACAATGTTCGTAAATGCACCCCTAAAAATATCACTTTTCAACACCAAAAAATCACCTGGATTTCCTGATTTTTCTTGAGAACATGAAGATTTTCAGACATTTTTAAGAGTTGAGATCAAACTACATATAAACAAGAATCCGAGTTTTAAGAACTCGAAACCTTTAATATGAGCAATTGTCTGGTTTTCACAATCTCAAGAGACGTAGAGAAATATTAACATCTAGAGATCACACTCTCTTCAGAGACGCAGAGAAGCTCGACATCTAGAGTGTACATTTTCTCGAGAGACGCAGAAATTGACATTTCGGCGCGATTTTTGGCGTCAAAACTACTAGAGACCAGGTGAAAAAGTTAGTTGATCTTATAATGTTCGTAAATGCACCCACCCTCCAAAAATGTCTTTTAACATGAAAAAATCAGCTGCTACAGGGGGAGACTATACTGTAGTTTCGCGCAAAAATAAGAGATTTTGGCGCGTCAAAAACCACTCTGACTCACAAAATTTCAAAGAAACTACTATAATTATTGGGTATAATCGGTGACATTTTGTATATTGTCTCGCCTACATAAATACTTTTAATTTTAGATGTTTTTGGTGACGAAATAGATGGAAATCTAAAAAAAAAGATAATTTTAAGATATTTCGCGTAGCTGAAACTACACGAGGGATTAGCGAGATAATCTTCCTAATAAAAGTATTAGTCGAAAAAAAAAATGTTAGGCTATTTTCAGATTGGATTTATGATGATGATGATTCAGAATTTGGAGATTTCGAGGGACTTTCTCAAGTGCCTTCAAGGATGGGAGCCTTGAGAGACTAGTCGTCAAGTAGCCGCGCCTAGAGATCCACTCTGACAAGGAGCTGAGCCTTGAGAACTTCGATTTCAAGTAGCTGGGCCAAGTAGCCTGAAGTTTTTCCACGTGGATTTTTGTATCCAAAAATAACTCTTCAACTTTGGAAGTACAAAAGAATTTCCAATTTTCAGCTGTTCTCAAGAATTTTTGAGCAATCTCAAGGCTGTTCCGGGTTCAACACATAACTTTTTAGCGCAAAATATTTGCCACGTGTCCTTCCTTAGAGTTTGGCACCCGAAAATCCAGCGATCCGGCGATTTTTGGCGTGAAAACAGGTGAATTTTTTCGGCTTTTGCGCAGTTGGTTGAAAAAACATGATGTTATAGTATTTTTGGAATTTAAAATGCGCAAAAACTTTGAAAATTCAGGTGTTTTTTGCAGCTGTCGGTGACCTTTTTGGAGTGGAAAAAATTGAAAAAAAAATCAGGCAGACAGAAGTGAGGGAGGTTAAATTTTCGAATTTAAAAATTTTGGCGATAATTTTAAGATGTTTCAGCTACGCGAAATATCTTAAAATTATCTTTTTAGATTTCCATCTATTTCGTCACCAAAAACATCTAAAATTAAAAGTATTTATGTAGGCGAGACAATATACAAAATGTCACCGATTATACCCAATAATTATAGTAGTTTCTTTGAAATTTTGTGAGTCAGAGTGGTTTTTGACGCGCCAAAATCTCTTATTTTTGCGCGAAACTACAGTATAGTCTCCCCCTGTAGCAGCTGATTTTTTCATGTTAAAAGACATTTTTGGAGGGTGGGTGCATTTACGAACATTATAAGATCAACTAACTTTTTTCACCTGGTCTCTAGTAGTTTTGACGCCAAAAATCGCGCCGAAATGTCAATTTCTGCGTCTCTCGAGAAAATGTACACTCTAGATGTCGAGCTTCTCTGCGTCTCTGAAGAGAGTGTGATCTCTAGATGTTAATATTTCTCTACGTCTCTTGAGATTGTGAAAACCAGACAATTGCTCATATTAAAGGTTTCGAGTTCTTAAAACTCGGATTCTTGTTTATATGTAGTTTGATCTCAACTCTTAAAAATGTCTGAAAATCTTCATGTTCTCAAGAAAAATCAGGAAATCCAGGTGATTTTTTGGTGTTGAAAAGTGATATTTTTAGGGTGCATTTACGAACATTGTAAGATCAAATCACTTTTTTTGAGCGAATTTGCAGCTGTCGAGATGTTTGACGCCAAAAAATAGGGAACCCGGAACTTTATGTTCGGGAAATGAGATCTCTGCGTCTCTCACATTATCGTGGTCTCTAATCTTCATACTGTCTGTTTTCCTCTGCGTCTCTCTCTTTCTTTCAATCTGATCGCTAACATGAGTAATCCCACTAATTCTAATGTAAGTTGTTTTTTCTGAAAAGCTTAGATTTCTGGTCATTTTGTAGGTAATTTTACTTGAATACAAAAAACGGGGTTTTATTCTGACATCAGTGAAAAACAAGCCAAAAATCCGGATCAGATCAAGTCAAGTACTATTGATCTGCCTGCCAAAGATAATCTCACATCATGATTTTGCAGGCCGTCGTCGAATTCATTTTGGGCGGACGTCATTTCTCGCAAGTCATCAACATTTTTGGCGAGGAACGAATAGTGAGGAGAAGAATGAGCAGACAAAAATTCACAAAAAAACCTAGTTTTTTATGAAAAAAAAACGACAAAAATTACAAAAATCATGCAAAGAAATTTCACACAAAAATCCAATATTACCCTCAATCATTTTGTCACGTCGATATTTGGTTTTGACAAGTTTTCGAATAAATTCGAGTTCTAAAAAACAACAAAAATAGTGTGTGTATTTTTGAAACAGTGAATTTTTTTGTCGAGAAAAGTGCAATTTTTGGCTCATGCAAGTGTGCTTAGAGTGCTGAAAATTGTGAGTTTCTAAGGTACTTTTAGGCCTAGTTTTAGTGCGGCTGGGCTTATTTTCAGGCTTGGTTTAGGCTGTCTAATAAATTTTGAATCATTCCAAAATTATTCATAAAAATTTTGAAACAGTTAATTTTTTCCAGAATTTTGCACTAATTGAAAAATATATTTTTGAGTGAGTTGTTTTCTTTTTTGAAATTTATGATCAATGAAAATCACAATCACAATAGTTTTTGAAAAATTCCAAAATTATTCATAACAATTTTGAAACAGTTGATTTTTTGAAAATGAAAACTGATGAAAATTGAAGATTTTTGTAGAAAAAATGTGAAAAATTAATAATTTTCAAGATTTGAAAATCCCCCCCCCCCTCAAGGGATGTCCCCTACCTTTCGGAATGCCAGTAGTCCCAGGTGTCGGCGGTGTTCCTCCAACCAATCCCGGAATCTTCAATGCTCCAGTCGCTCTAACATATTGCAATAACATATTAATCGCATCACTCAACCATCCCAATCGAATCGTCAAAACTCCATCAAAAGCTTCTGAATTATGTGACATCAAATCGGAGCAAGCAATAATTAATTCCTGATGGAAAACTGCAATTTGTGGCTCATCCGGTGGACAACATTCAAAAAGAAGAGCATTCAAATCATTTGGTGCAATTGGTCGAGTTATAATCTCTTCTCTTGTTCCTTTGCTTCGAATTCCAATTGTGATTTGTTTTCCGCGAACTAACATATTTGTGATTGCGGGAGCCAGGGAATTCATTGATTTATGCAATCTTCCAGCACAATATCTGACAAGCCACCAAAGACGAAGTTGACATGCTCGGCGATAGACTTTTTCGAGGCGTTCGCGAAGAGTTACTGCAAAGAAAGAAATTTTTGCGTGAAAACTTTGCTGAAAATTTCAATTTTTCTGAAAACCATAATCTTTGGGTAAATCTACTACGCTGATCATTTCGTGACTCTCAATTTTTCACAAAAATCATCGTGAATTGAGTTATGATACATTTTATAAGCCAATTTTTGAATTTTCAAAAGCCCAGAATATGGTAAGTTCGCGTAACTTCTGAGAAAATTAAATTTCATAATTTTTTTCTGATTTTGAATTTTGAGCCCAGGCTTGACAATTTTTCTCTCTAGACGCAGCTCCTTTAAAATTTCATTTTCTAGGCTCGGCTACTTGTCAGAGTGTATCTCTAGTCAAGGGTCCTAGACAATTAGGCTCTCTAGATACAGCTACTTGAGATCTGAACTCTATAGGCGCTGATCCTTGACAGTTGAAATTTCTCAAAACTACGAAAACCACAAAATTCCAAATTTTCAGCTGTTTTCAAAAAATCCCAAAAATGTCATCATTTTTCAACATTTAAAAAATTGCAGCTGTTTTCGAGTGAAAGCGGGCTCAAACTTCCAGACTAGAGCAAAAACCATCTGAAAATTTTGGGGAATGGAAATTTTCGGTATGAGTCAAAAATCGTATTTTTGATGAATCTTGAGCTAAAACTTATCAATTTTCACAATTTCCAAATAAATAATTTTTTAATTCAATATTTCACCCAAAAAACTCACAATTATGAACCAATAAATCCGGATTCGTTCTTGCCCACAAAATCCAAATCGAAAATGCTAATAATCTGGGTCGTTCCATATCATCTCTCTCAATTATTTGATACAATTCATGATCTGTTTTATCTAATACATCTTTTTCATTGCTCATATCATCATCAATTCCTTCTTTTAAGCTTAATCTCGAAAAAAGTTGCGAATTTTCGTGTGATTCTTCCAGAATATCAATATCGAATTCTAAATCGTCGGAATTCGCAAAATCGATATGTTCGATGCAGGAAGAATTCAAAAGTTGCTGAAAAAAATACACAAAAAGTGAGAGATCTGATCTTTTTTGGCCCAAAAAGTCCAATTTTTCAGGTGTTTTCTTCCAAAAAATCTACCGTAACCTATTCATAAATTAAACTTACATGAACTCTTCCAAGCCTCACTCTAACACCATTAACATGTCCATTTTTGAGCTGAACCAACAGGTCTAAAATATGATCGAAATATTCGCCAGCCACATTTTCCTCGCGCAAAACAACACACATTGTGGGACGACCGGCCAATTTCCAGCGACGGGAGACGAATTCGATGTCACGCTGAAAAATCGGGTAATAATGAAGCGAAATTTAAAAATTTCGGTCAAAAACCACAAATTTTTAGGGAATGGATATTTTGTTGATAATATTATTAGAAAATTGAAAAAAATAACTAAAACATGAGAATTTTGAAACAGTAAAATTTGGTGCGAATTTTTTTGAAATAAAACTTTTGATCTGTTCACTTCAACTGTACAGAATACTCTTGCTTTTTGAAATTTTTACTTAAAATATTTTTGAAACAGTGAATTTTTTTTTAAATTAAAATTGCCATTACGAGTGAGCTATTTTTTAACAATTTTTTATTAAAATGAATTTGAAACAGTGAAAATTTTTAAAATTTTTTTTTTGGAAATTCTCAATTCAATTTTTTGTACCAAAATTGAATGTTCGAAAAAAATTCTTTGCTGACTAGTTTAACGAAATATTTTTGATATTTTCTAATTTATTGTCCGAAAAATATTGTTTTTATCATAAATTAACACTGAATTTCTAAAAAAAAAATAATAATAAAAGAATTATGAAACAGTGCAAAAAAATGAAGGAATTTTGAAAATGATAAATTCAGAGCTTTTTGGAAATTGATAACCCAAAACTATCGTAAAATTTTCCGTGAATTTTAGGATATAATAATTCTGAAACAGTGAAATTTGGTGCGATTTTTTTTGAATAAAATTTTTGACCCGTTTACCTCAACTGTACAGAATACTCTTGTGTTTTGGAAATTTTTACTTAAAATATTTTTGAAACAGTGAATTATTTTTTTATATTGAAATTGATTATTAAAAAGGTAGACATTAGGAGTCAGTAATTGATTTTTAACCATGGAATTTTTTTATTGAAATGATTTTGAAACAGTGAAAATTTTTCGAATTTTTTTTTGGAAATTCTCACTGAAAAATTAAATTTTTGTACCAAAATTAAATTTTTCAAAAAATTCCACATTTTCTGATTATGGGGCTATTCATGTTATTTTTCAACGCTGAGAAAACGGGAGAAAAGCGGAGAAAACCTATTCAGGTAGGCTGAGAAAATACGAAAAAAGCGGAGAAAATGTATTTCCTCCGCATTTCTCCTGTTTTCTCAACATGCTGAGAAAATACATGAATAGCCCCATTAGTTCAACGAAATATTTTTGAGATTCAGAGCTTTTTTGAAAATTGGTAACCCAAACCTATCATAAAATTTTTCGTGAATTTTAGGATATAATAATTATGAAACAGTTAAAAAATGTAGGAATTTTGAAAATGTTGAATTCAGAGATTTTTGAAAATGGATGAACCACAACTAAACTTTCATAAAATTATCCGTAAATTTTAGGATAAAATAATATTTTGAAACAGTGAAATTTTGCCGAAATTTTTTCTAGAGAAAAAATAAAATTATTGATGAATTGGCTAAAAATAGGATAATTGAGCGCGCTAATAATTTTCTGATAATCAGTTCTCATGTCAAGTTTCCGTTACTTTTGAGAAAATAAATTGAGTTTTTTTTTGAAAAGAGCTAAATTATCTCAATAATTCCAGAACAATTTGAAAACTTTGATGAAATATTTTTGAAACAGTGAAAAATTTTTGGAATTTTTTTTGAGAAAAAATTAAAAAAAAACATTGCTCACCTTAATATCGTCAATCAAAACCGCCGGATCCGAGCTCACATAAAAATCCTTAACCTCAAAAAGCAGCGGATAACAAAGTACAGTATCACCAAAAACTCGAAACACTTTGCTTGTGCTCAATGGCCCAAATGGTCTCGGCGGTCTTCCACTCAATTCCATTTTCTTATCTCTTCCAAGACATTCAAATACTTTGACCATTCTCCAACTTGGCCAAATTTGAACCGGTTCAACTTCATGTGGTGTTTGTGTTGTTATACCATAAGTGGATAACATCATTTGAAGTCGAGATGATTCGGAAATTAGAGCAACTTGAACAACTGGATCACCTTCCATACTTCCTTGAAATGCGGAATGTCGATTGAACATTTTGGGACGTTGAGAAGCTGGCAAATGACGATTTATTGGATCGATATCGCCACTGTGAATAAGACCTTCTCCTGAAAAAATTGGGGGATTTTAGAGCTCAAAACGACATGGAATCAAATTTTCAAAAAAAAAATTTCTACCAAAAAATAAATTTTCTGATTTCACAGTTTACAAAAAATGTATCGAATCAAATTTTCCAATTTTTTTAATCAAAAAATATTGAAACCTATTTTTTTCGGGGTAACGACAGTTTTTAGCTAAATAAAAACTATAGAATATTTTTGAAACAGTGAATTTTTTAATGATTATTTTTTTTTATTAAAAAAAAAACTCAGATTTGCACACGGATATCCTGCTCCAAAAATCAGAACTTTAGACAGCACTTTTAAAATTTAATTTTTATTCCTAGTTCCTAGCGCCAAAGTTCAAATTCTCTCTGTTAAGTGAATTTTTTGTCGTCAAAATTCCAAAAATTTCAAAGCAATTCCGATGTCCAAATCAATTTTTAATTAAAAAAATTTTGAAACAGTGAATTTTTTGAGATTTTCAGAAAATTCATTAAAACATTCGAACTTTGCCACGTGGATATTGAGCTTCAAAATCATGTAAAAATTCAGAACTCGCAGCATCTACTTATCTACTTTCTACTCACAGTGCTCCACAAAATGATACGGTCAACATGAAAAATTCCAAAAAATCGAAAAATCCGGAAAGCATTAAATTTTCATGTTCATGGGGCTAAAATGGGCTCAAAAAGTTCAATTATTGGTCCAAAAACAAAATTGAAATTCCTGGTGAAAAAATGAGAAAATAGAAAAATCTCATTTTTGAGTTTTATCCAATCCACAAAATGAAACGGTCAACCATCATTTCTCTTAAATTTCCCAGTTTTTCGGTTAGATTTCAATGTGATTATGGCTGAAATGGTGAATTTCGGTGATTTTAGAAGTTCAGCGTGAAAATTAGCATACCTGGCTAGGTCGCGGGGTCCAAAACAAACCAAATCAGGGAAACGTATTTCAGAGTGCCAAAATCTAGCAAAGTTTGAAACATTTCCAGGTTCTGTCGACTAATTCGCCAGAAAAAGGTTAAATGTAGCCTTTCTGAACTTCATTGACAATTTTCCTTCCAGAAGTCAGTGAAAATTGTGAAAAAATCGATAATTTTATTACCTCGACTTAATGAAAAAAGCAAATTTTCGAACTTTCCCAAGGAAATGAAGATCCCATGGCACGAGATTTTGAAGTTTATCCATTGGACACTTCGGAACATCCATCAGGTATGTCCACTGACACATGATTAGCCAAAAAATTGAAGAAACAGCATCATGAAAACGGCGTACTTGAATTTCAAAATTTTTAAATTTTAAAAAAAAGTGGTTGGTCAACGGAACAAGTGGTAGCAGTCAGTTTTGTTGATTAAAACACAATTTCAAAAAACCACAAGCCTTAAAACTTTTTTTCAAAAGCATAAATTGATTTTTGACTTCATTACTCGCCTTATCTCGTCATCGAAGATGAGTTAATTGATCAGCGTGTTCAAAAAGTTCATTATGGTAGGTTCCAAAGTGGATTTTGTACAATTTTTTGGCTAATCATGTGTCAGTGGACATACCTGATGGATGTTCCGAAGTGTCCAATGGATAAACTTCAAAATCCCGTGCCATGGGAAATTCATTTCCTTGGGAAAGTTCGAAAATTTGCTTTTTTCATTAAGTCGAGGTAATAAAATTATCGATTTTTCACAATTTCCACTGATTTCTGAAAGGAAAATTGTCAATGAAGTTCAGGAAGGCTACATTTAACCTTTTTCTGGCGAATTAGTCGACAGAACCTGGAAATGTTTCAAACTTTGCTAGATTTTGGCACTCTGAAATACGTTTCCCTGATTTGGTTTGTTTTGGACCCCGCGACCTAGCCAGGTATGCTAATTTTCACGCTGAACTTCTAAAATCACCGAAATTCACCATTTCAGCCATAATCACATTGAAATCTAACCGAAAAACTGGGAAATTTAAGAGAAATGATGGTTGACCGTTTCATTTTGTGGATTGGATAAAACTCAAAAATGAGATTTTTCTATTTTCTCATTTTTTCACCAGGAATTTCAATTTTGTTTTTGGACCAATAATTGAACTTTTTTGAGCCCATTTTAGCCCCATGAACATGAAAATTTAATGCTTTCCGGATTTTCGATTTTTTGGAATTTTTCATGTTGACCGTATAATTTTGTGGAGCACTGTATTAATTCCCGAGGTGTCTTTTCGCATTTTAATGTCACGTTTTGGATTGTGGAAAGTATTGCGCAAAGATTTTAGAAATTATCGATAAAATAATTCTGAAACAGTGAAATTTTTGGCTTTTGAAAATTATCCCTTAATTCAACCGAAAACACAAATCAAATTCAATCTTGAAATGTTTTTTTAAATATACAATTATTGAAACAGTGATTTTTTGAGATTTTCAGAAAATTAATTGAAACATTCGAATTTTGCCACGGAGCTTCAGAAATCGGAATATTAGGTGTTATTCTAGATTTTTCGAGTAATTTTTTTGTAATTTTAGCTTATGGAAAACTGAAGGAATCAATTCAATTTTTCCAAATTTTTTTAATCAAACAATTTTGAAACATATTTTTCCGGGGGTCAAAATTTAACGAATTTTGAAGGTTAAAATTCATCAAAAACTCACTTTTCAACAACAAAATGATATAAATCGCATTGCTCCACAAATGATGTCCAAATTCTTGATGATTTTGAGCATAGAGTTCAGTGCTGTTCGGATTCAATTTTTCGCGATCCATCAAAAACTCATCAACACAATAGCATTCGGGGACAACAAAACCACCAGGAACTGAAAAAGAATAATTGATTTTTTTTTCAACGGAATATTGAATTCTCAAAACAATACCCACCCATTTCATCAGCCACCAATGTTTTTTGCAATTTCTTGAAATAAATCTCTCCATATTCCTGATTTCCGCGGATATAAGCAGTGAGTGAAATGCAGGCGAGAAAAATGGGGAATTGCGATTCAATTCCATCAAATTTCGCAGTTTCATGTTCTTCATACAAACTTCGGCTATTGTCTTCTAATTCAGTCCGATATCCATCTCTGGAAAATAATTTTTTTGATTTCAAAAAATAATTTTATTTGGGCTCATTTTAAAGCTTCTGAACTTTTAACAATGAGCCCAAACATGATTTTTGAAGTTTCCATATTTCGGCTGAAAATCCAGAAGTTCAGGCTGGATTTTCAGCCTAATTCTGAAATTTTCAAAAATACCTCATTTCAGGTTAAATTTCTTTACAAAATGAGATCAAATACGATTTTTGGAAAATCAAGGATCTGCCTGAAAATTCACATTTTCAACCAAAATTTGTTATAATTTTGTGGAAGCTTATAAAAATAAACTAAACTTGATATTTTAATTTCAGATTTCAGGTGGATTTTCAGCCAAAACCTGCGATTTTTCAAAAACATGTTCAGGCTCATTTCGTAGACAAACTCTAAGGCTTTGAAATAAACCCAACCATGATTTTGAAAATTTGAAAATTTAGACTGAAAATCGGGTTGAAACATGACACCTGAGAATTTTGAAAAATCTTGTTCTGGCTCATTTTGAAGCCCTTAAAATTCTCTACAAAATGAGATCTGATAAAAAGGTCCCAACCCCAAAATCCCTACCTCAAAAACCTTCTCAACCCAAATCTTCCCTCCAATCTTCTCACACATTTCCTCAAAGTCTTCTCAAAAAGCACTTCATCATGCGTGGCAAAAGCAGGCCATCCAACAGTTAAAAGCAGTGACGCATCCGTATTTTTCGAATTACTTTCTCTCGGAAGAATTGTCTCAAAAGTGGTTCGATTTCTATTGTGTCCATCAATATCGACATAAATCACAGATGCTGATGTTCCAGTTGATCCATATAAATTGAATCCATTAATCGCTTCAAGTGCAGCTTTAACCATTCCCAAACTGCTTGCATGCAATTCCGGTTTCCCATTATTATATCTCGTTCCTCTTTCCCACATTCCAAAATCGGGAGTTCGATAAGTTCTTTCAATATAAAACACCAAATTTTGAATAAAATTCACTTCGTGATGTGTATAAATCACTTTTACACCAGCTGATATCATTTGAACCAAAGTGAGTAGATATAAAGCAGCCAGATCCATTTGTAAATGTCCATAATGAATATCATTTGGAGTTGTTAGACACATTCCAGATGAAAGATCGAATCGAGCATGGAGGGCGAATTCGGACGAATTTTGAGATTTGAATGAGTCGAGCTGGAAAATCGCAATTTTTGGTATAAATTTTCAGATTTTTGCTGAAACCTGGAATTTTTAAAAATCATGTTTAGCCTCATTTTGAAGCTTTTAAATTTGTCTACAAACTGATATAAAATTTCATTTTTACAAATTTCGAATTTTTACTGAAAATCCGGACTGATTTTCGACCGGAATCGGAAATTTTTGAAACTGGAAGTTAGGCTAATTTTCTAGAAAAATTTGAAAGCTTCATAATTAGCCTGAACACAATTTTCATTTTCTGGACTCAAGCCGATTTTCAGCCGAAATCTGAATTTATTGAGAATCATTTTTGTACAGAATTTCGAAGGCTTCAAAATGAAATCAAATTTCATTTTTGAAATTTTCAGATTTTCGCTGAAAATCGTTCTGGAGTAAAAGGAGTGTGGCTAAATTTTCCCATAGAAAAAAAATATGACAAAAAAATAAAAAATGTTAGAAAAAAACGTGAACGTGACAATTGTTCGACGTGTCATTTCTACATTTTAATTATTTTTTCATAAATTTTGTTTGCCAATTTTCGAAATGCTGAATATCATAATTGCAATAGTCATTGCCCATATTGTGGCTATTATAATTTCGATCGTGTTTCACACAATTTTCAGAATTCCCGACTTTTCCGATAGTAAGTGAATATTTTTCGACTTTCAATCAATAAAGTTATCTTAATTTCAGATCAAGAAGAAGTGGCAGATGAGACACAACAAGAAAATATTCCTGGTGTTTGAAATGAATTTGTTTTTTTTCCTCAAAAACCGTGCCAGAATTGCAAAACAAAAAATCCTGCAACCCTGGCACAGTTTTTGGTATCAAAATGCTCGCAAAACCATGTCCTAGTCATATTTGATATCAAAATAGTCAGAATTTCAAGCCTCATCCAAAAAAAACACATACATGTTGACTTTGTTGCATCCAACAAAACAATATTCCTCTCATTGTTTTGACAGCTGTTTGTCTCAACTCAGTTTGTCTTCCTCGATCATCATCCAATCTTTTATAAGCAACAGAACATGCCCAACAAGCCATTGCACAATAAATACTGTCTTTTACATATCCCACATCTTGATCTTTCGAATAACGCGGAAAGAGGCCACTTGTCACACTTTGACATTGAACTATTAGTTCTTGGGCTGCAAAAATATGACTTTAGTTGGAAATTCATGGTTTTCCCACACTTCAATATGAAAATTCGATGTAAAAATAAATTGGAACAGTGAAAAATATTTATATTTGTATGAAAAAGAAAACGTCATATCATTATTTGAGAATCTCAAATGTTTCAAATGAAAATTAATTGAAACAGTGAAATTTTCTCAATAAAATGTTTTCCTATTTTTTGATTTTTTTTAGTATGTATGAAAGTTAAATGGAATAAATTTTAGAATCAATTTTTCACATAAGAAATTTTTGAAACAGTAAAAAAATGTCAGCAAATTTTTGAATTTTCGGTGCAAATAAAATCTTTGTTAGCAATATCTCAAAATGTCATTATTCAACTAAAAAAATTCTTGAAACAGCGAATTTTTTAGCTTTTCAAAATAGAGGAAAATTTTATGGTGAAAATTGAGGTTTTTATTTTTGCAATAAACTTTGGAGAAATACCTAAAAATTTCAGTTTTTCTACTAAAAAATACTTGAAACAGTGAATTTTGTTTCTGTGACATTTTTCCAATTTTAAAGCAGGATATTTTTTTTTATAAAATAAGGCTTTGAATCTGTAATCAATTTCAAATTTAATTTTTTCATATTTAAAAATTTTTGAAACAGTAAAAATTCTATGCTCAAATTTTTCGAATTAAAATTATTTGAAACAGTGCAAAATTTTGTTTCTAATTTTCGGATTTTTTGTGGTAACATCGTCAAAAAAACAATTTTCAGATACACATTTTTGAAACAGTGAAAATTCTGAAAATTTCAGATATCTTATTCCACTGTCAATCTACTTGAAAATTCCCATTTTTCACATAAAAATCACTTGAAACGGTGACATTTTCCAATTGTTAAGAATGATATTTTTTGATAGAAAAAGATATGCGGTTGTATCACTGTTGAACTTTTTTTTCTCATATTTTTTAATAATTTTTTGAAACAGTAAAAAATTCTGTGCTCAAACTTTCCGAATTAAAATTATTTGAAACAGTGCAATTTTGTTTCTAATTTTCGGATTTTTTGTGGTAACATCGTCAAAAAAACAATTTTCAGATACACATTTTTGAAACAGTGAAAATTCTGAAAATTTCAGATATCTTTTCCTTTGTCTTACTACCCGAAAATTCTATTTTTTCACATGAAAATCACTTAAAACAGTGACATTTTCTAATTGTTAACCATGATATTTTTGATACAAAATGATATGCAGCTGTTATCACTTTTAAATTTAATTTTTTGCAAATTTGAAAATTTTTTGAAACAGTAAAAAATCTATGCTCAAATTTTTCGAATTAAAATTATTTGAAACAGTGAAATTCTTGGATTTTCATATTAACAAAATTACGAGGGTGTGGTAACATCGTGAAAATAAAACAATTTTCGAATGAACATTTTTTGAAACAGTGAAAAATTTTGAAAATTTCGGATTTATTATTCCACTGACTTACTACTTAAAATTTCCAATTTTTCACATAAAAATCACTTGAAACAGTGACATTTTCCAATTTGTTATACATTATATTTTTTGATGATAAAGGATGTGCAGTTGTATCACTTTTAAACTTCATTTATACACATTTGAAAATTTTTTGAAACAGTAAAAAATTATACTTATGCTCAAATTTTTCGAACTAAAATTATTTGAAACATTGAAATAATTATTGGATTTTTCATATTAATAAAATATCGAGGGTGTGGTAACATCGTAAAAAAAACAATTTTCAGATGAACATTTTTTGAAACAGTGAAACATCCATATATTTTCATTGTCTTACTACTTGAAAATTCCAATTTTTCACATGAAAATCACTTGAAACAGTACCATTTTTCCGATTTCCCCCCAATAAAACTCACTCAAATCATAAATCAAATCAATTCTCGACAGTGTTTTCGACGGTTTGTTATCGACTTCTTCCACCGGTTGTAAATAGGCTTGCGTCAGTCGACGGAGACGCAGATTGCTGGTCAGCGGTTTTGCGGAGCGTCGTTTCAGCAACGCCGGCCCAGACATTCTGGAAATTGGTGAAAAATTAATAAAAATCTGTGAATTTTGAGCCAAACTAGATATTTGGATGCCAAAAATTTCAAACTCACCATTTTGAAATATTCTAATTTTTTTAATGAGCAAAATTTTCGTGGAGTTTTTTTCGAGAAAAAAATAGGTCACGTTTTTATTTCGAAAAAAAAACATTTTTTGATTACCCTAAAAATATGAAAACAGTTCCAGAAACTGATGAATTTGAAGAGAAAAAATATTGAAAAGTTTAAAATTTTTTTTCAAAACAAAAACAATATTTACAAAATTAATTAGATTAATTCGAGTAAATTAATTGGGATAAAATAGAGTTGATTAATAAAAAATTAAAATTAAGATCAAGTTTAGGGGCTTTCGGGGGCCAAAATTAAGGGGAAAAATGGGATTTTTAGCCCTGAGATCAAAAAAAAATTATAATCCTGATCGAGTCAAAACTTCTTCAAGTGTTTAATTTCAAAAAATTCCGGATTTTCCTCTTCACAACTGTCACACATCCGTACATCCGCAAACGCTTCAAGTTTTCCCGTATCGTTCCAAATCTCGCAACGATATTTGCGATTTTCGGAGATTTTGGCCGAAAATTGAAGTTGAGCTTCGTATTGATTCCAACGCATTCGGTATACTGTACAGCGATAATTTTCCGCGAGGAAATTGTCGTTTCCGAAATGCGAGCGATCAATTGTCCAGCGAATCTGAAAAAATCCATGTTTTGGTTCAAAATTATCTACTTTTCATGATTTTCGTGGGAAAATTCAAATTAAAAAAAAAGCTCACCTCATTTTCCGGAAAATGCGATACAAATGGAACAGTTATTGTAATTCCATTACAATTATCACTTTCAGCAATTTTGACTTCATCGTATAAATATGGCGGTCTGGGGTCTGGAAAAAAATCAACTGAAATTTGAGCTTCGAAATTTTAGAACTTGGTATTTCAGCCAGATCTTTAGTTCAAAATAAGGCTGTAAATTTGAATTTTCAATCAACTTTTGAGCAGAAAATCAGTAGAAAATGAAAATTTCAGGAATTTTTCAACAAAACTTTATTTTAGATGGATTTTCAGGCTGAAAATCTGCTGAAAAACGGATTTTCAATCATTTTCTGAGCTCTTGAGCTAAAAAAAAACGTACAAATTTTCACCCCAAAATCCCCGTCGTCTCACCATGTTCCAATTCATATTGACAACATATTGTTCCACTCGAATTCTTCACCACACATTCAAAACTTGCCATCATCAAAAAATCATCGAAAATTTTGAGGCTAAAAATGCGCTCATGAATCGCTCCGGATTTTTCCGAAATCTTGAAATCCTCCTCATTTTCCTCTCGAATTTCCTCTCCATTTTTCATCCATTTCACTTCATAATCTCCATCCAAATTTCGAATTCCAACCGTCAAAACTCGATGATAATCCAAATCGACATTTTGTCGAAGTTCTTGTGATATTTCAGGTCGTGAAAATCCTCTTAATTTCACGTTAATCTGAGTCATCGATGTTCCACACGCATTTTTGGCCACTAATTCGAACAGACCTTTTTGTGTGTTTTTCGAGTTTTTGCTTTTTAGAATTGCTTTCCATTTTCCGGGTGATTCGTGTTTTAGAACTGTTTTATATGGTGGTTCACATGCGATTTGTTTCTGCAATAAATTTGTGTTTTTTTTTTAATTTCCGGAAAATTTTGAAACAGTGATTTTTTTGGGGCCAACAATTTTAATACCAAAATTTTACATATGAAAGTTCTTTCAAATTTTACGTTAAAAAATTGATAATCAAAAACTCAAAAATCCATGCAGATTTATAAAACATTAAATTTTTCGTGAGAGAATGTATTGAAAAAAATTTCCACGTAGCGAATCTGCATAGATTTTTTTTACTCAGAAAAACAATTTTTCTTACAAGGATTCGAGCTTTTAACAATTTTTAATTTTCGAGAAAAATTGATAATAAAATTTTGAAACAGCAAATTTTTTGCAATGAAAAATCTGATTTTTATTTTTTTTGGCATAGAAAATCCTGGAAAAAATTAGGATTTTTGCTTATTTTTAGCGGGAAACACTTTATCCCTAATTCTTTTGGATTCATGAAAATAACGGAGTTTTGGATTTTATGGAACAATAAGTTTCTTGTTTCCAAGAAAAAATCAAAATTTTGAAACAGTGAATTTTTGAGGATTTTTTTCAATTAGAAAATTGTTTTGAAACTTTATTCTAACAGTATTTTCCAACACGAGTATTTTCTTCAAAAGATGCTATATACCATAATTATTATTCATCATTTTCAAGGAAAAATTCTTATAAAAAATTCGAAAAAGTGAATTTCTGGGAATTTTTTTAATGAAAAAAGTGATTCGATTGTTCAATTTCTAATGCAAAAATCACAAAAGAATTATGGTCTTATTTAAAAGAAAACAATCTTTGAAGCAGTAAAATTTTGAAACAATTTATTTTATCTTTTTTTTTCTCAACTTGTAAAAAGTGAGTAATCAATTTTTACTCCATTAAAAATTATTATAATATTTTTTAAACAGTGATTTTTTTTTCCATGAAAAATTAAATTCTAGGGAATTTTCGTAATTGAAACAGTATAATGTTCACTTAAAAAACGTAGTTGATAATAAAATTTTTGAAACAGTGAATAATCACCAATGTAAAATTCATTTTTTCCGCTCCAAACCAAAATTTCCTCCCCAAAATCCCCACCTTATTCCTTATCCAAAAAATCTCGGGTTTTTCCTCGCTCAAAACATCAGCTTTGATTTTAAAAATCCTCTGCTCTACGTCAACCCAATTTCGGAGATTCTCAATTTTTGGCCGACTTTTCATCCTGAAAATGAAATTTGGGTCAAATTTTTCCGAAAATTCGAAAAAAATACAATTAAACCGATGAAAACGGTGTTTTTCTATAGAAAAAAATGGGAGGAAAATTGAAACAAGAATATTTTTTAAACTTGAAAACAATAAAACATTGGGGACCTTGGGATAAATGCAATAAAATAATACTCACAGAAGAAAAATAATCGATAAAACCGGATTTTCCAACAAAAAAAATCGATAAATAGAGCAAAAAACAATAAATAAAACGAGAGAGATCAATTTTTGTGAATAAAAAATGTGTGGTGGGGGGAAAAGTGAATTTATAAACTTTTAATTTAATTTTCAGCACAAAAAATATGGAGAGATTCAGGTGAGAAAAAACTATTTTAAATTGATTTTTCCACCTGAAAACCACCTAAAAATAAACCCTTATTTCGATTTTTCATCCTCTTTTTTGTCGTTTTCCAATGATTTTGGCACTTTGCCAAAAAATCGATTATTGATTGGCACAAAAATCGATAGAAATATGGCGATAATTGGTGCGATTGAGAAGAGCAATGACTGAAAAATTAAAAAATGAACAATGGAATTTCAATTTATTAGGTATTAAAGAATATATTACCAGAAATAGAAATTACCAGAAATAGAAATATCGAAATGTTATGAATATTTTGAAACAGTATATTTTTTTTTTAATTTTTATGTAGAAAAATGCAACGTGGATTTTATGGAACATATATGTAAAACTCAAACAGAACAATCGGAATTCCAAAACAAATAAAATATTTTGAAATAATTTTGAAACAGTGGATTTTTTTTCGTAATGGGGCTATTCATGTATTTTCTCAGCATGTTGAGAAAACAGGAGAAATGCGGAGGAAATACATTTTCTCCGCTTTTTTCGTATTTTCTCAGCCTACCTGAATAGGTTTTCTCCGCTTTTTCTCCCGTTTTCTCAGCGTTGAAAAATAACATGAATAGCCCCATAAAAAAATAATTTTTTTCGGTACACACAATGTTTCCATTAGAATTTCAAAATCATGAAAATTTTCAAATGAAAATTTTGAAACAGTGAAATTTTGTAGAGGAAATTTTTTTTGATTTTGATTTTAATTGAAACACGAATGGAATTGTTTTGTTGAGAAACCAAAATGTTTTATAAAAAATTTTGAAACAGTGAATTTTTTATGGAAAAATTCTAAAGTTTTGACGTCAAACAACCGAAAAAAAATATTGAAATCTTAAAATTGAGAGAAACTTAATGAAAATTTTGAAACAGTCAATTTTTCTCACTTTTCATGATTTCTAGCTCAAATATTGTGCATTTTCCCCCAATTTTCCCTCAAAAATTCACTCACAAACTGTGCCAATCCATCATTAATTTTCATCGAATTTTTCCCGCTTTTTCCAAATTCCAAAATCGAATTTCCCGAATTATCACTCGATTCTTCTTCGCCCTCAATTTCCATATCAACTTCTGTTGTGATATCCAAAAGCACACGTTTTTCAGTCGAATGATTTTCAGACAAATTCTGAGCTGCTGCCACGTGGCAATTTTCTGCATTTTCTTCGGCGATTTGAATTTGTAGAATTGTGTTGAGTTGCGAGATTCGACTCAAATCATTTTCCAATTTTCGATTTTTAGCCTGCAAAAAAACACGATTTGAAAATTGAAATTATATTCAAAAGCTCAGATTCCACTTTTTGGCGCCAAAACCTGCGGCTTCAAAAATCCCCTCACCTGTAATTCCAAAATCTCTTTCAAATAATCCTCCTTCTTTTTCATCTTCGCTCAAATTCTCCGAATTTTCAGCCAAATTTTCCACGTTTTCATCCACATTTTCAGGAGCCTCATTATTTTCAGCAGAGTACAATTCCAGATGTTGATTTTCAGCCAATTTCAGAGCATCAATTGGAGTTGGTAAATAATTGGCATTTGAAAGTGAATCGATTAAAAGTGTCAATTCTTGTTGTGCAATTATACTTCCGCCATTCAATGCATTTGCCAATAATCGAGATAATGAAGTTGCAGTTTCATTTTCGACTGAAAATTTCAGAATTTTCAGATTTTTTGTAAGTCTAGAAGTTATTCTCAAATGTAAATATCAATTTTTCAAGTCATTTTTTGAAACGTATTTTTTGGGGATTTTTTAAGCTGCATTTTCAGCCATTTCTAAGCTCAAAAAAAGGCTGAAAATTTCAGATAAAAAACCCACCAGATGTTTTCGACAACGCCAAAAATTTTTGTTGAATATCTTGCAACTTTTTCTTTGTATTGGCCAATTCGCTGAAAAAAAATTTGAATTTTTCACTTGAAAAATGCTGAAAATTCGATATTTTCAGCCGGAAAAAAACACAAACTCTTCAATTTGAATTCGATAAGTCTCCTCATTCATCAATTCATATTGTTGTTCTTTGTTCATTTCGGTTGTTTCAGCCAACATATTTTCGAGATCAGCGGTCTGAAAATTGGGAAAAATTGGGATTTTTAGTAAATTTTAGAGCTGAAAACTAGAAATGTTAACCTAAAATTTAATTTTCTAACAAAAAATTGTTTATTGATAATATTTTAGTTATTTTCAGACAAAAAACTAGGAGTTTTGAGCCTGAAGTTTAATTTTATAAAAGAAAAAAAATTCACTGTTTCAAAATTTTCATTTATAAAACTCTGTTTTTAATTTTTAATTAACTATTTGTTCATTTTCCGAAAAATAATCAAGAATTCTGGCTCGAAATTGATTTTTCTGATATTGAAAAATTTACTGTTTCAAAACTTTGATAACAAAAACAAACTATTTTTTAATTATTAATTTAGGAATAATTATGTTTTCAGACAAATACATATATGCTTGAAGTTTTAGAGTAATTTTCAGAGAAAAAAATCAGAGACGGGTTTCTAAGGTCAGAATTTGACCATTTATTGATTTCAAACATTTCTAGACCAATTTTTGGTCAAAAATACGATTTTTAAAGTCCCAGAGTCATTTTCAGCTCAACAAACCCAATTTTTCATCAAAAATTGGAAATTTCTATGTTTCTAAGCTCAAATTTTGGCTTAGGAGATATCTAGTGGAATCTTAGTTGAAATATTGGTTTTTTAAAGGTTTAATTTTGGATTGAAAATTCCCATTTTCCATAATTCCCAGTCAAAATGTTCTTACCGTAGATCTCAATTGATTACACGTCGTCTCCGTATTATCCAAACTCCTTTCCAAATCCTTCAATCTCGATATCATTTCTCCATTTTCCTCTTGTAATCTTCTAATTGTATCCTTAGTCATCGCCTCAAATTTCGTTTTTTCATCAATCATTGTTAATGTGTCTTCTTTCAATTTATCCACTTCATTATTATTTGTTGAAACAGTTAATTGTGCTTCTAATGCTTCAATTTTTGCTAATAATCGATCTTCGTTTACAAGTGATTTCCACGCTGTTTCAGCTGCTTGTTCATTTGCTTCGATTATTGACATTAGTTCGGTGATTTTGTCTTCGCGCAGTTTTTCGCTGCAAAAACATATGCTTAATTTTTGATGTGAAAAAGTCACTGTTTCAAGTTTTATAAATATAATTTTGTGAAAATTGTAATAAATTCTATTCGAATTTCACAACAAATCGTAATTTTGATCATGAACACTTGGAAAATTCTAACTTTTCAAGATTTTCAACCCTAAAATATCAAAAATATCATATTTTCTAGCACGGGATGCACTTTTGATAAAACGCAGTGAAACATACTAAATCAGCCACGCTGATCATGATCCTGAAGTAAAAAAAGTGCTCACAGGGGTTTGTGGCAATTTTTGACTTCAGGATCATGATCAGCGTGGTTGATTTAGTATATTTCACTGTGTTTTATCAAATGTTCATCCCGTGCTAGAAAATATGATAATTCTGAAATTTTAGGGTAGAAAATCATGAAAAGTTAGAATTTTCCAGATGTTTTTGATGAAAATCACAATTTGTTGTGAAATTTAAATTGAATAATTATAATTTTCACAAAAATATATTGATATAACTTGAAATAGACATTTTTGGGCAGAAATTTGTACATTTTAGTTAAAAAAATCCATTATTTTTTGTGCAATTTTGTTTCCACCACAAAACCCTCCAATATAAATTCTCCTACCGATAAATAGCTTCCGACAAATATTGTTGCATTTGAAACAGCTTTCTATCACTCAACAATGTTCCACCATTTTTAAATCCACCAATTTCTTCCAAATTTCCACCCGAAACCAACTTTCCTTCTTCATTATAACATTGAATTACAGCATAAATACATCCATAGGCGACTTTATTCGTATTTTCCACAATTTCGACGCCTAATTGAATTATGTCACCGGAGAAGATTTTTCGAGCATCCGAGTCTTTTCCTGGAAGAAAAATGGGGGGTTTTTGAGTTAGAATAGCAAATTTTGGGGATAATTGTAGATTTTCAGCTTCGAAATCCTTTTTGGAAGCTTTCAGAGCATTTTTAAGTCTAAAATTGAGGATTTTCTAGCTCCAGAATCCACAATTTCAGAACTTCTGGGGCCAAAAATCAGGTTCAAAAAGCTTAAGGTTTCTCGCTCCAAGACTTGAAAATCGAATATTTCTAGTCTAGAAAGGTGCAAAAGCTGGAAATGCATATTTTTCACGCATATCTACTTCTAGAGGCCAAAAATCGACGTTTCTAAGCTCCAGGAGCACAATTTGAGGTTTAATGGCTGAGAAACACGTTTTCCTAACTCCAAACCCAAAAATTGGCAAATTTACAGCTTCTGGAGCAAAAATACACCATTTTTGAAGTTTTTTGAGTCCCAGAAGCTTAAAAATCGCATTTTCTAGTCTAGAAGCCGGGAATCAACATTTCCAAGCTCTTGGAGCATATTTTCACATTTCAAAGATTCCATGAGCTAAAATTTCCAAATTTTTCATAGATAGAACCAAACAATCATAGTTTCCCCTCCCCAAAACCGTTTACCTTGTGCCAACAATTTCTCATTATTCACAAAAGTTCCATTGCTCGATTTGGTATCACGAATCCAAAAAACGCCCTTATTATACCAAACGATAGCATGATTTCGCGACAAAACTTTGCAATCAAAAACGCCATTTTCATCAGTGGGTTGAGTTCGTGCAACTGCTCTTCCAATCTTAACTGGATCCGATTCCGGTCCAACTTTTATTCGACGCTCTTCGAATGGGTGCGATTTTGGTGTCGCCACCATACACATCACAGCTTCTTGCATCGTTTTTTCGACTAGAAAAACAAAAAACAGAAATATTTACACTACGTTTTGATTGAAATGAATGAAATTGTCAATAAACCGGCGAATTGAACACAAACACACAGAGAAAATAGAGTGCGGTGGGGCGCGTTTACACGATTCAAAACAAAATTGCGGCTTGGGGTTGTCCTTTAGCAGTTTAAAAAAGAAAAAAGAGAGAAGATTTTTTTGCACTATATAGTTTTCTGCAAAAGATATGAAACCCCGTGACCGTAATCTAAAGGCGCATATTGAACAATTGGATAGAGAAACGTTTTTCTAAGTTTATAAGCGTGGGTTATCGCAGGAAAATAGAGTTTCAGGCAACCAACAAGGAAAAAACTTAAAATTTTCGAAAAAAAAATGAAAAAAAGAATACCGTATAGACGTTGAAGGTGCACAGAAAAACCAAAATGGGTCTCGTAGCGATGTTGCCCCGCGCACTGATATTTTCAAAAAAAAAATTTTATTTTTTCGCAAAAATTTTGTTTTTTCACTTTTCAAAGGTTTTATGATAAAAAAGGTTAATTTATTATAAATATACCGGTCTATAATATAAATATTGGAAATATACAGATAAATTAGAAGAGCAACGGGCCATTCAAAGTTTGTCGAACTGCACCGCGCACCAAATTTCCCGCATATTCTTCGTCCAATTTGAAATAGGTCGCCACTTTCAAATATCGATCATGGAAGGATAATCTGAAAAAAAAAAGAAAAATTGGAGGAATTTTCGCTGGAAAAGGAAAAAGTACTTTGGACTTTTCAATATAATTCCTTGCATTGTTGGTAGTTGAATTCCTAGCTGCAAAATTTCGGTCAAAAGTTTTTCGAGGAATTCGGCGCCGAATAATCCGAGATCACTGAAGGAGTCTTGATCCACATCGTTGATTTTGGTCTCGATGAGCTGAAATTAAGAAAATTACATGAAAAAAACACCCATTTCTGGTCCAAAAATCCCATTTCCCACCTTAAAATCCAAATTCTCAATCGTCGAATTTCCCACAATCAAACTTCCATTAATCCATAAATTAACATTAGCAGTCATAGTTGTGTCAGCTCTCAAAATCTGCTCTTTAACCTGTGTCGAATTCGCCGGCCTCACAAACATATTCAAACCACCGTGTAAACGGAAACGCGCGCGATTTTCGATGAAAACGATGAGCGGCGATTTTTTGGCGCGAAATTCGATTTCGACTTGTCGATTTGGATATTGTTCACCGAGTGTTCCGAGGAATTCACCGAGACAAAAACCGGCTGGACCACATGTTGTCACTAATAAACTCTGCGGAAAAAAATATTTGGGAAATTTCGGCGTCAAGAGTAAAGATTTGAATTGAAAATTCAAAATATTTTGAAACAGTGTTTTTTTTTAATTAAAAAGGCGGATACAACCAATTTCCCATTGATCTTGCAATGTTTTTGTAAAACTTCAAAATATTTTGAAACAGTGAATTTTTCCTAAAATTTTTATAGCCCTAACAATGAAATTTCGAAAATAAATCTTATAAGAATCAAAATTCACCAAAAAGTTTTTTGCCCAAAAATTGATCTACAGTGATCCTGATCGATAATTTGAAGTCAGGAATTAGCTACAGTACTTTAAAGCTTTGAAGGGTTTTCGGAGGAAAAACTAGATTTTTGAATTTTGTGCCTAATTTTTTCCTACAGTAACCCAACTTTCCAATTTTCTTCTGAATTTTTAGAGTCAAAAAATCCCAAATTTCCATCCCTCTCCCCTCAACCAACCTGTAATTGCACACTACTTTCCGGTCCAATCGTCACATCCAAAAACTTCTGCCTATAACTATGATACAACATCGAATTGGCCAAATAATCACTCGCATAAAACTCAACCATATGTACACCGTGCGGCGCGGGAATTCGAATATTCGGCGGATAAAACGGCGTGCCACCATGACCTCTCCATGAAATCTCACCTTTCGCCAACATACTAATAGCACCATTTTGAACAAAAGGTTGGGAGAGCAACTGGTAATCAAGGACTAATTCCTTTTCTCGGAGTCGCTGGACAAAGTTAGTTAGACTAATTTGTTTAGCAGATTTGGATAAGGAATTGGGGCCTTGAGATCTAAGAGGAGTTAAAGGTTTAGGTTTGCGAGCAAGTCCGAAGGTTTCTCCAATAATATCGAGATTATTCTCATTAATTCTGATTTTTAATGGCATTCCTCCTAATAATATATTCATATCTCGATCAATTATACTTTCAATCATTTTACACATTCGAACTTCCACTTGAGGCTTGAAATGTCCAATGAGGAACGCTTTGAAAGCATTTATGAAGAAATCAGTGATAACTCCAGTGTTTCGCACATTCAAATCAACATATCCAATTGTGGCCTGGCAGCCGGTTGATCGCACTTGTGGTGCACCGTTTGCACTTCGCTCCATTCCAACGGAAATGTAGAGAGCGATGTGACCGAGAAGAGCTTCGAAATGACCGCCGATTGGAACAGTGGGGAGGAGGAGAGGATTGTTGAGAGAGGCTTGGAATTCACCGGCGGCTCTGCAAATGTTTTGGGGAATATTGCTCATTTTTTCAAATATCTAACATTGCTCAGTTTATATCTCGCATTAGATGTTTGATTCAAATTTTTTTTAAATTCAAAATTGCCATTTTTCAAGTAGAATCGCTCATATTAAGAACTCTTCAAATTTTCCAGATCAATTTTTGCGCTGAAACTCATGAAACTACAGATTTTCAGAGAATTCTGATGATTTCAGCGTTTTCAGCACAAAATTTCAGCCTAAAAACATTTTTCAAAAATCACGAAACCAGACCATTGCTCAGGTTAATCTCTAACAACAAGAAAACTGAAATTTATTTGAACATGAAAAAATTTTTCTGAAAATTTCAGATTTTCTGAAGACTTCTTGAAAAAAAAAATGATAATTTGCTCAAATTAAAATCTAGATTCTTTTAGTCTAGAAGTTTTTTTTACAAAAATAAATTCTCAAAAAAAGTTCCGGGCTCAAATTTCGCGCTCACCTCAAATGCATTTTGCTCATACTCCACATAAATTTATTTGGCTCTGTCAAATCCAACGAATATTCTTGTGGTGCCCAATATTTCGACATATACGCATTATTTATCGAAACTTCGCCATTCTCGATTTTTTCATGAATTGCCGGAAGTTGCAATTTGAGAATTTGCTCATTTATCACTTTCATTCCGACTTCGCGTAAATAGGCCAAACCATTTGGCATAATTCGAAGATAGATTCCGGGATTTGAGATTGATGTGTTTTTCTGGAAAATTTTGGGGATTTTTGGAGGGTTTCAGCCGTTTCAGAATGAAGTTTTGGAAAAAAATTTGGAAGATTTTTTTCTGAATAATTAATTTTATAGCATTGCTCAGGTTATAATTTTGGTTTTTGGTTTTAATTTTTGGGATTGCTCAAGCTTTTCAGATCTCTGTATGTTTTTAATTTACATTTTTACTGTCTGGAAGTTAAATTATAACGTTGCTCATAATTAAAAGTTTTGAAAAATTCTTGAATTTTAAGATTGCTCATGTTAACTATTTCAGGTTCTTCCCGATATTTTTTTTTTGAAAAAAGTTTCTTTACTGAAATTTTGTGCTGAATTTCTTGAAATAATCAAATACGAGGGAATTCCCTGAGTTTCAGCACAAAATTTCAATCAAGAAATGCTTTTCTGAAATTAAGAAAACTTACATCTAACAATGGCGAATAGTCCTTGGTGATTTCCTGACATCGAAAAGTCGAGAAAAATCCAAAAAATATTAGAAGATTGGCAAATTCCAGGCGCATCTCTGAAAAAATTCAAATTTTTTCAAAAAACAATTTTCCCACGAAAAAAAACAATAAAAAAGAGAAGAAGCAAATAAAGTTGTTGTAAATAATACAACAAATAAATACTTTCATTTCTTTTCTATTCAAAAAAAAAGAAAAAAAAACTTTTTGAGATTAATCGAAATAATACAAATGTATATGTACAAACAAGTGATTCATCAAGGAGAAAATTGAAAGTTTCTGGATTTTTTCAAGGTTTTCTATGTAGAGATATGTATACTAGAAGAGTACTGTAGAATGTAGAGATTCACCTGAGCAATGGTTTGATTTTGAGATTTCTGAAAAGCTCTAATATGAGCAATTGTTCTAATATGAGCAATCCAGAAACTCCAATAAAACCCTATAACCTGAGCGATATATCCAAATGTTCCGCGCTCAAAAAAGGGCCCAAAACCCTCTCGCGTTTCCCAAAAAAAAAACAAAAAAGTGAAAATAAACGATAAATTGATTGAATAAAAAAAGAAATCGAGAAGAAAAAATACAGGTTTTCCGCTTTTTTTTCTTGTTGTTCGGATTTATCTCTCAAAAATCCCCTATCACTTTTATTTATTGTATAAATTTCTTGATCATCAAAATCATGTCTATTCGAGACCAAAAAATCGATTATCGCGTGAAAAATGCGATCTACAGTAAGAATATCGCGTTGTGACCCAAAAAATCCAATTTTCAATGAAAAAGTTCATAAAATCGAACGGGATCAAGTAAAATTAAATATAATCTTTTCACAACCAAAAAATGCATCAAAAATAAAATTATATATTTTTACATTAAAAAATCTGTGAAAAATGTTGGTTTCTAGTGGAAATTCTTAACAGCTTCAACAATATGACGAGCTGAGATACCGTATAAATCAACAAGTGCATCTGGTGGTCCGGAACGTGGAACTTCTTTGACATTCAATGAACGAACACGAACATTTGGAATATCGGCCAAAGCAGCGGAAACCTGGAAAATAAGGGGTTTTGGGGAATGGACCCATTTATTTCATGAATTTTTTCAATAGAAATTATCTTGAGAAATATTCTAGAACAATAATCTGAGCAATTTTAGTTATTTTCAGTCAATTTCAAGCTGAAAAACCGGAAATTTCGAATTTTCAACTCCACCCCCTCCCAAAAACAATGTCTCACCGCTTCTCCAATTCCTCCAGCAGCATAATGATCCTCAGTTACAACAACTCTTCCACCAACTCTTTGCGCATGTTCAGCAATCAATTTTCCGTCCAACGGTTTAATGGTGAATGGATCAATAACAGCCGCATGAATTCCTTCCTTTTCCAAAATTTCGGCCGCCTTCAATGATTCATACAAAGTAACACATGAGCCAATCAATAAAATCGAATCCTTCTCCGATTTTTTGACAACTTTTCCGTGTCCAATTTCGAATTTCTCATCATTTGCATAAATGACTGGAAGAGCTGGACGAGAAGTTCGGATGAATACGATTCCACGTGTGTTTGCAGCCAATTCGGTGGCTCTTTCGGCTGAAACTGCATCTGATGGATAGAAGACGGTTCCGTTTGGAATTGATCGGAAAATTGCGATATCCTGCAAGAAAAATGGGATTTTTGTGAGGAAAAAATAATAATCTTCGGCATTTAGTGATTCTTGGTCAGAGTTTTCAAGAACTTGACCATTTTTTTAAATCTGGCACACTTTTTCTTCCTTTTTTTAGAAATACAAAATTTGAAATTAAATTAGAACGTGAACTGATGACGTGGCAAATCTCATTTCAGATATTATTTTTCAAATTTTATTTTCGAAAAACTGTGCGAGCTTTGCAAAAAAAGGCGTGGCCTGGAAAATACATAACTTTGACTAGGTTTAGAAAAGTGTGCCAGGATTGCAAAAAACGGGGCGGAGCTTCAAAATTTCAGCAATTTTGATTTAGGAATGCTCCAAACCACCCGAAATACCCCAAATTTAATGCTTCAAAAACCATGCCGCTACTTGCAAAGTGGGCGGAGCTTCAAATATTCAGCAAAATTGATATCTGAAGGATCAAAATGCTCTCACCTCCAAGGCCATTTGCGATGGTCCATCCTCACCAATCGATACACCAACATGTGATCCAACACACTTCAAATTGGCAAAAGACACAGCAGCCATACGAATTTGATCAGTAGCTCTGGTGAAAAAAGCGGCAAAAGTGGAAGTGAATGGAATAACTCGATCACGGCATTGTGCACCAACAGCAACACCAACCAAATTCTGTTCAGCAATGAAACATTCAATGAATTGATTTGGGTGTTTTTTCAACAATTTTTCAGAGAATGTTGAGTTTTTCGTGTCTCCATCGAGGCCGACGACACGGGGATTTGCGTCACCAAGTTTAGCCAAAGCGGTACCGTATGCAGCACGTGTCGCAACTTTGTCACCAATTTTATATTCTGGTGCAGCCATGACTGTCGATCCAATATGCAAATCAACAACTGGAGCATCGTTGATTGGTTTTTGAGCAACCAATTTTCCTTTTGATGATCCATGGAATCTCGCTTGAATTGCGGCGATCAAATCAGCCGATACTGGTTTTCCATGCCAATTATCCTCATTTTCGATACCGACCAATCCTTTACCCTTCAATGTTTTGGCGATGATTGCGGTTGGTTGATTTTTGGTGTTACGGGCGACTTCGTAGGCGGCGAGAAGTTCGTCAATGTTGTGGCCGTCGACGACGATTGAGTTGAAACCGAAGGCGGCGAAACGAGCCTGGAAGATATCGAATTTGGGAGAATTTTTAAACGAAATTCTCATTTTTCACGGCTCACAGCTCAATTTTAATTTACCTAGTCCGACATTTTTGTTATTCTTTTCATTTTTGACCTATCAACCAATTTTAATTGATAAGAACTCATGGCCTAGAAAACCAAATCCTCATTTTTCACGGCTTACAAGGGAGCTGTTTCAGCTTTCACTCAAGATTTTTGAAAAAATATTTTTTCTAGTAGTGTTTGACCTGATTCTGTCAACAAAAACTTTAGAACTTAACTCATGGTAAATGTTTGAAAATTTCAGAAAAAAAATCGTGGCTTCGTTGAAATTAATTTTAGCCTCTGAAAGTCCCGCATTCAGATATTTTCAAACGTTGCCACGTCATAAGAATCAGTGGGTCGAAAACTATTAGAAAACATGTATAAATTTTCACTTTGAAGTCGGAGACAATAAGAATTTGGTTTTCTAGGCCACCAAAATGTCTAGGCCATGTTTTCTTATCAATTCAAATTTGTTGATAGGTCAAAATGATAGCAAAAATGTCAAAGTAGGTAAACAAACATTGAAACTGGATTCTTGGTTTCAAATACGAAAAAAATCCAATTTCCTAACCAAACGTTATCCTTACTCTATAAACATCAACATTATGTCCAAGTGATGTTTCTTGTGATTGTCCCAATCGATTAACATCAACAATGGCAACCAAATTGTCCAACTTGTAAATCGAAGCAAAAGCGGCGGCTTCCCAAACCGATCCTTCAGCTGATTCTCCATCACCAAGAAGGCAGAAAACACGATAGCTGGCTTTGTCGATGTATTTTCCGACGTATGCCATACCGGCAGCTGCACCAAGACCTTGTCCGAGGGAACCGGTGGCGACATCGATGAAGTTGAGGCGCTGGAAATTGATTAGTTTTGGATGGGGAATTCAGCACTTGCGAAGCATTGTCACAATTTGATGAAAACATCAATATACTTACAGGTGTTGGATGTCCTTCAATATCCGAATCGATTTTTCTCAACGACAAAACTTGTTCATGGCTCAACAAACCAGCTTCTTCCCAAGCGGCATAAAGGATTGGACAAGCGTGTCCTTTGGAAAGAATGAATCGATCAGCCGACGCCGATTTTGGCTCAGCAATATCATATCGGAGCTCGTTGAAGAAAAGAGTTGCCATAATTTCAGCGGCCGATGTTGAAGATGTTGGATGTCCAGATTTGCTGGCACAGGTCATTTCAACGGATGAAATACGGAGACGATTTGCGACATCTTCTAAATCGTTGCGAAGTTGCTCACTGACTGGCATTTTCTCTAGTCTTTTTGGTGATTAGAATACCTGGAACAGGTAGGCTTTTTAGGAGAAAATCAAATAAAATAAACAGAAAAAACAAGTAAAAAATAAAATAATCGAATGACAATCTTATCAATGGCACCACAGTTTCTTCTCAATAAATGTGATGATAAATAGGAAATTTGCAGACTGGCGAAAAATACACTCACATACACACACAAATAAAAATATGTGTTAGGGAAAAAAGAACGCTGACCGGGCGGCGCGGCTCCCCTCTTTTTCTCTGTGTCTCGATTTTTCGAAGGACAACACAACTTTTTTACGAAAAAAAATGAAATGAATAAACAACGCAACCAAAAAACGAATCAGGTTTTGAAAAAATTGAAACGAAAGTGATTTTTGAAAGTTTTATAAATAGGCAGAGACAATGTGATTTGCGATAAGGACACAATTTTCCAAGCAAACTGCGTTTCCGCAAACGTAATGTCTATGATCAAAATAACAAGGTTTTGATGCAGAATCATGTGAATTTCAAAAATATATACATTTTCCTAGTCGAAAATGTATTGTACAATCTCAGAGAAACAGGCTGGAGAACCGGCGGAGAAAACGACATGTCGGCGAACTCTCGGACAACCGGTGGACAAAAGTTTCGGCGAAATAGTGTAGGTGAGACACTCCGCCGGTTGTCCGAGAGTTCGCCGATATGTCGTTTTCTCCGCCGGTTCTCCAGCCTGTTTCTCTGAGAATGATTTTCCTCCCTCAAAAACGCAGAAAAACTCAGAAAACCCACGGGCGCCGCGCAAAAACCAAAAATTTCCGGGGAAAAAGAAAGTAAAGATGGAAGTTCGCTCTAACGCACCCGCGAATGATTTGAATTTGAAAAATACGGGCGAATTGCACACACACCGCAACGCACAATTGCACACTTTCAGAAAATACAGTAAGAAAAATGAGGTTTTCGCGTCATTTTTGTGCTTTGAACACGCTATTTTAAAACAATAGAAAGAGGGACAAATCGAGAGTTTGAGAGAGGGAAAAGAAGCTAGAAACACAGCTGAAATAGTGCTACAGTACGCTATTTTACCATTAGCTGGCGCACAGCCAAGTGTGGTCTTGGTGCGATTTCTCTGCGCTCTCTCTTTTTAGTGGATTCTCGATTTGTCCCTTCAAAAATAGCGTGTGAAATGATGAATCCGAAGATTTCTACCAAAAAGCTGTATTGCCACGTGGAATAAAATAGAAAAAAAATGCGTGGAAACGAAAACGTGACACGAAAAAATGCAAGGAGCCTCATTTTTCAATAATTGTTTCATAAAAAATGGTGAGTATTTCAGACCGCGAATAATATAAAGCACAAATTTAATTTTTCCAGATAAACGAATTCTTAGGCACAAGAAAATTAGAAAGAAAAGAAGATTTAACCGAAACCGAGATATTCAAAAAGAAAGAAATCGCATTAGATATAAGTTTCGGATATGACAGAAAGAAAAATGGCGAAGATTCAACGGAATCAACTGATCATTCATCAACAATCAATAATAAATATCATATAGATGAAGAAAATTATGAAAATGATTTTGAAGAGGCAATCAGTCCAGTGCTAAATAAAGAACCCGATCCTCTTCGAATGCAATTAGAAGATCTCGAACAACAACTCACCGCTCAAAACACCCAACGTATCCCATATCGTCGCCAACTTTGTCTAATGATATCAAGTGCCTCTCTGATTGCTGGAACTATCGATTTTGCTGTCTGCTTCTTCCATCATGGCGGTGTATACTTTCTCATTCCATATTTCATTTGCCTGATTTTCCTTGCTATTCCCGCAGCGATTTTCGAAATATCAATGGGACAATTCGTGTCAACACCGATTTTTGGGATTTTTCACAAAATGGCACCGATTTTGGGAGGCATACCGTATTTGATTTTGTTCCAGCGGTTCATTACATTATTGAGTGTTGCCATTCAACCCAAATTCTATCTTTATACAGTCAGATTATTGTTAACACTGATTACGGATGTTGATCAATGGTCCTCGTGTAAAGATTATCCACAAATTTGTGAGTTTTTTGAGGAATTGAGGATTTTCCAGTGAATTCCGATGAAAATTTGCATTTTTGCGTAAAATTCACTGTTTTTTCTCATTAAAAATACCTGAAAATCAAAAAAAAATTCAATTTTTATCCAATTTTCAGTGTGCTACGAGGTTTTGAATGATTGCAAATTGAACGAATTTTTTGATGGAAGTAAATGTGTGAAAGATGATGATAGTGATAAAGTTATTCGATTGTGAGTTTTTGGGATTTTTGGTCGGGGATTTGGGGAAAAATCTGAAAAATTCACTATTTCAAAATTTGAACATAGAATTTTGAAAAATTGGATTTTTTGATAAAAAGCGTGACATTCAGTTTTAAAATTATGATTTATTTTCAATTTAAAAAAATTCACTGTTTCACTAATTTTCTATAAAAATTCGCAGAAAAATTGATTTCGGTAAACACAAGGTTCCTTTCAGAAAATAAAAAAATTGAGTTATGCAAAAATTAACTGTTTCACAATTGTTTTTATAAAAAATGGCAGAAAGTTGTTTTTGACAGAATGGTCTTGCTAGAAAATAGAACAATTGAGTTATGAAATATTATGAAAAAAATTCACTGTTTCAAAATTTGACCATAAAATTTTCGGAAAATTGTACTTTTTGATGGAAACATAAATAAGAAGGGTTTAAAATTATGAAAATTATGAAAAATTCGATTTTTTCATGAAAACGTGACATTCATTTTAAAAATTATTATTTTTCAATTGAAAAAAAATCACTGTTTCACTAATTTTCTATAAAAATTCGCAACAAATTTTTTGTGTTATTGTAATTTTTTTAGAAAAAACTACTTATAAAAAACCAAAACAAAAATAACTTCTAGAAAATTATGAAAAAAACTTCACTGTTTCAAAATTCTGTGATAACATTTTGAAAGATTCGATTTTTTTGATAGAAAGCGTGACTTAAAAATTATGATTTATTTCCAATTGAAAAATTTTACTGTTTCACTAATTTTTATTAAAATTAGCAGAAAGTTAATTTCAGGAAATAGAAGGTTCCTTTCAGCAAATAAAAAAAATTGAGTTATGAAAAAAAATTAACGTTTCACAATTGTTTTTATAAAAATTGGCAGAAAGTTGTTTCTGGCAGAATGTTCTTGCTAGCAAATAGAACAATTGAGTTATGAAATATTATGAAAAAAAATTCACTGTTTCACAAATTTAGACATACAATTACAGAAAATTCTATTTTTTTCATGAAAACATGACATTCATTTTAAAAATTATTATTTTTTTCAATTGAAAAAAATTCACTGTTTCACTAATTTTCTATAAAATTTCCGAAAAAAATTTTCTGTGTTATGTAAAAAATAATCAACAACTTATAAAAAACCCCTATGGATCAATTCATCTGAAGAAAAAATGAATTTCGCGACATATTTTGTCGCGAAATTGCAATTCGTGAAACGACACGAAATAAACACAAAAATAAAGGAGAAATATTAAAGGGACACGTAATCGCTGCGAGACCCAACACACGAAAAAAGTTTTTCCTCTTTTATTTTATTAATTTCGTGTCGTTTCGCGAATTGCAATTTCGCGACAAAGAATGTCGCGAAATTCATTTTTTCTTCAGATGAATTGATCCACTAGAAAATTATGAAAAAATGCACTGTTTCAAAATTTAAACATAGAATTTCGAACAATTCAATTTTTTGATATATGTAAGCACATTCAGTTTGAAAATTATGATTTTTGTCAATTTAAAAAATTCACTGTTTCACTAATTTTCTATTAAAATTCGCAGGAAGTTAATTTTGGGAAACAGAAGGTTCCTTTCAGAAAATAAAAAAATTGAGTTATGCAGAAAAAAAAATAAAATTCTGTGATAAAATTTCCGAAAATTCAATTTTCATAAAAAGCATGACATTCATTTTGAAAATTATGATTTTTTCAATTGAAAAAGTTCACCTTTTCACTAATTTTGTATAAAAATTCGCAGAAAAATTTATTTCGGTAAACAGAAGAATTTCTAAAATTTTTTTCAATCTAAAAACTGAAAATTTTCAGTTTTTGGCTCTCTGAAATTCTCAAATTCAGATATTTTCAAAAATTGTATTCTGGCCCACAATGAATTGGCCGATATTCCTTTCATAAAATTAAAAAATTGAAAACATTAAGTTATGAAAAAAATCCACTGTTTCACAAATTTGTTATAAAAATTGGCCGAAAATTGTTTTTTGATAGTATCAATCAATATCATTAGAAAATTTTTTGAATTCTGCGAAACAACTTATTTTTAATCAAAAATCTCCGGATTTTTTTACAGCCTCTCCCCGTATGCATTAATGGACTTAGCCAAAGTCCGTTATCTCCAACACACTGGTTTCACCGCTTCAACTCTCTTCAATATCGCAAAAAGTCTAGATATTTCGGATAATTTGACAGCTCTAATTGTTTTTTATTCAATAACTGGATATTTATTTTATTTGGGTTATAGAAGTTATGCGAAATTCTCAATGTTTCTGGTTTTACTCCCATTTTTTGGCCTAATTCCAGTCGTTTTTATATGTTTGAAAGATGTTTCCGATTATCCCGTGCAAATTATTATGAACATTTTGTATGATGCAAATAATTTTGGGAAAATGATTGAGTCAATGACGTGGTTGCATGCTTTTAGAGTTGTGAGTTTTCAAATTGCCACGTGGCATCTTTTTTCATTAATTTTCCTGCAGGCTTGCACTTCAATGGAACTATCAACAGGTCATTTGGCGACACTTGGCAGCAAACTACAATTTCGTCACAATTTTTTCAAAGATGTCTGTTTTATGGCGGTTTTTGCATCGTTTTATCGAATTCTGTTCACAATGTGCATTATTCCCATCTTCCTTTTCATTAGATTTTTCATTTTTCCAGCTTCTGATATGAGATATGGTAAGTTGAGCTTTTTTTTTTGGTGAAAAAATCAAAAAAAATTTGAATATTTTCAGCTGCAAATGAAGAAGAAATGAAATACAACATGTTGGAAGCATTATTCAAAGGACTTCCTGTTATCACAAAACCAGGAATGCGCGGAAAAGTTTTGAATTCACTTTTTGCTTTGTTTTTCTTGACTATCAATCTCGGATCAATAACTTATCAGGTTGGCGCAAAAAATCATGATTTTTTTCAAGCAAAAAATCTTGCAGCTCATCACATTTGAAGTCATAATGTCATATGCTTATCGAATTTTCCCGCGACTTTTGTATGTAACTGAAAAATATGCGAGACTTGCGATATTTGGAGCAATTACTGCTCTTTCACTTGTTATTATGAGCGAACAATTTCATGTAAGTTGTACATTATTTTTGGGAAGGTTTTGGGATCCTGGGAGCTGAAAATTTGGAATCATTGTGAAATTTTGGTTCGGGTATAAATATATCAAATTTGAAAATCCTCTCAAAAAAATTATAAAAATTTTGAAACAGTGAATTTTTTTGAGAAATTTTTTTCAACTGTTTCAAATTTTTAAATTATTTTTTGAATCTTGAAAAATAAAATAACAGATTTTAGTACTTGCAAAAAATATTGCCACGTGTAATTCTGAATTTTATGACTGAAAATCTGGAATTTTCAATAGTGTCAATTCATAAATCGAAAGTCCAGAAATCATGAAAAATTTGGAGAAAATTTGAAACAGTGAATTTTTTCGCATTCAGTTTTTTTTAATAAAAAAAATGATATGAATTTCTGGAAATTTTTTTAGTTAACTAATTAATTTTTTAAGCCACGTAGATTTTCAGCCAAATTTTGGTGCCAAAAACACCACGTGAAATTTATATTTTAAATTTTTCAGAAATATTATTCAAAAAAATTCACTGTTTCAAAATGTTGACATAACATTTTTCCAAAATTCAATTTTTGGTTATCCTTGAAAATTTATTCTGAAAATTATTAAAAAATAAAATTGTGGCTCTAAAAAACCACGTGGAATTTTTATTGGACCTACTGATTTTTCTCGAACTCCGTATCACAACTTAGCTCAACTTCGCTGAGCAGCACCTTATTTTCAGAGAAAAATAGTCTTACTTATTTGATCAAGAAATCATGAAAAATTTCTAGAAAGTTTGAAACAGTGGATTTTTTTGCATCTAAATTTTCTAAAATAAAGAAAAATGAATTAAATTCCTAGAAATATAATAAATAAAAAAATTTGTTCATTCATTAATTAATTATCTATTTAAAGCCACGTGGATTTTCAGCCAAGTTTTGGTGCCAAAACACCACGTGGAATTTATATTTTGATTTTTTCAGAAATATTATTCAAAAAATCCACTGTTTCAAAATTTTGACATAATTTTTTTTCAAAATTCAATTTTTGGTAACACTTGATAATTTTCTTCTAGAATTATTTCAAAATGAAATTGTGGAGCCAAAAACCACTGGTTCTCAAACATTCGTATCACAGTTTTGCTGAAATTCGCTGAGGAGCAACTCATTTTCAAAGAAAAATAGGCTTATTTGATCTCATTCAACTCTAAATTTCACCCCAAATCGAATTTTTCAGGAAGCTCTTCACGCAAAAGTCGAATTTCGCCGTGAAACCACTGCAAGCTGGTTTTTCGCCGGTTATTTCATTGTACTTTTCGCCGAATTTGTCGGTGTTCAAGCGATTTATGGAAATCGTCGCATTTTTGTGAATTGTATGGTAGGTTTTCCTTGCCACGTGGCTGGCATAAATTATTGACATTTTTGCAGACAATGCTTCATTCTCATCGGAGCAGTTTTGCAATATTTATGTGGATGAAAAAACCGATTATTTATGCGTGGGGAGCTTTGCCTTTTATATCTGCTGTGAGTTTTTTAGGGGAAAAATTGGGAAAATTCTGAATTTTTTGAAAATTTTTAATAAAAATGTTTTTTTTTTGAGTTTTTCGAAGAATTTTGTGCTGAAAAATCGTCAAAAATTAGTTTGAGAATATTTAGAAAAAATTCACTGTTTCAAAGTTTTTATTCATTTTTTCAGAACTTTTAAAATTCGTTTGTTGGAAGTTTCTGGGGATTAAAAAGTGAAAATTTCATATTTTCTCAGTTTTTCGATTTAATTTTGAGGTAGAAAATTCATGCTGAAAATTAGTTGGAAAAATGCACTGTTTCAGAATATTCATGAACTTTCAAGATAATTTCAGAATTTCGCTACATTTGTTCTTTTTTTCCGAGAATATTTGAAGACTAATTCTGAATTCCCAATTTTTACTTCAAAATAATTCACTGTTTCAAAATTTCTATACATTTTTGGAATTTTTTTGAAGTTTGATTACATCCTTTGAATTTTGATTGTTAGCATTTATTTTTTCCACAAAAAACTGTACTGTTTCAAAATTTAATTTATTTTTGGAGAGGATTTTGAATATTCGTCATTTGTCAAATTTTATTGAAAATTCAAAAAATTGTAAATTATAATCAAAAAATTTGAAACAGTAAATTTTTCGGAAAGTTCTTTAAAAGTTTTCTGTCGACCTTCTTTAAAAATTTAGAAATTTCTTGTCAGAAAAATTTACTGTTTCAAAATTTTCTCAAAATTTTATTCTGAAATTTTCGATGATGTTGTTGTTTTTTTGAGGTTTAAGATATATTTGAAACGAAAAAATGTCCCAAAAAACTTGAACTGGAAAAATCCACGTGGATTTTCACAGCTCAAAGTTGACCAAGTTTTTTCAGTGAAATAATTACAAAAGCCACAGAAATGTTCAAAATTTCAGCCAAAAATGAACATTTTTTACTCAATTTTTAGCGAATTTTCAGCTAAAAAATATTCAAAACGTGGCTCAAAAATAACCAAAAATCCCCCATTTTTCTTACAGATTCTCATAATTCATTACACCACTTCCTTATTTACAAATATATCAGCCGAATCTCTTCTCAATGTTCTAATTGTTGGTTTTCCGCTTCTTTATGTTATTCGAATTTCGCTAACTACAGTATTTTATGGCAAAAAATTCGCGTTGATTGGAATGAGTTATAGATATGGACCAAGAAATGCAAATAATGCAAGAGAAGCTGCAGCTGATGAAAAAGCTTTTATTTTACAGGATTAATTAATTGGGATAATTATGATAATTAATAAATTATTTTAATTAAAAATTGTGGAGAAAAAATGGGGGAAATGGGAAATTTTGAATGTTTTCTGGTGAAAAATCGGAATTTTGCAGTGAAAAATTCAAATTTCATTTTTTGACACCAAATTTGCTGTTGCTAAAATTTTGAATTTTCGCGCAAAAAAGAGCACGTGGCAAACATCTGAAAAACATTAATTTTGGGACAATTAACGAAAGCTTACCATTTTTTTTCAAAAATACTAGAAATATCAAAATTTTTTGAAACAGTGAATTTTTCACTTTATATAGTCAACCTTAAAAATGGCATATTTTTCCTCAAAAATTCTAAAAATTTCTCAACAGAATATTTATTTTCTATCAGATTCTCTTATTAAAAATCAAAACATAAAAAATCTGCATAAATAGGAAAAAGAGCTCAATAAATGAAACAATCGAAACTCCAATTAAAATGCTCAAAATGCCTCCCAAATACGATAAAAACTTATTAAAATCCATCAGCGGTTTCTCTTGATAAATCAAAAATTCCAATTTTGGCAGACAAATTTCCAATTGTGCCATATCCTCGTATTTCGCATAGCAAGTCGTGTTTTTCTGTCCATTTTTTTCGCATTCCGTGATTTTTTGAGTTATTGGAGCACGTGATAATTGAGAAGAATAGACGATTTGTGAACAGGGATTTGGGCAAATACATGTTGACCAATCTGACGGATCACCTTTTTCTTCCACCAAATTATCGATGCAATTTTCTGAAAGGAATAATGTGGTTTTGGATGAATTTTTGGTACAAAAACGATATAAAATTTTTTTTCCAAAAAAAAAAATATTTTTTTACTGTTTCAAAATTTTTATAAATTATTGGGAGACTTTCAATGCTTCGTTGAATCCCAAAAACGGACAGCTCAAAAATTAAAAATTTTAATTTTCAAACGCCACGTGACAAATTTCAACACAAAATAATTATTTTTATTGAAAAATCTAGTTTTCAAAGCAGAAAAATTCACTTTTTTACCATTTCTGGAAATTTGTTTATTCTGAAATAATCTTATTGAATATCCCAAAAAACCCCCTCAAAAAAAATTAAAAATTTTGAAACAGTGCATTTTTTTGGAAAATTGAAAAATTAACCCGAGAAAAGTTTTCGCAAAAAAAATCAAATAATTTTTTTACTGTTTCAAAATTTTCATAAACTTTCGGGAGACATTCAATGTTTCGTTGATTTCCAAAAACAGTCAGCTCAAATGTTTTTAAAAAATTTGAAGCAGTAAGATTTGAAATAATAAAATTTAAAAATTCTAGTTTTCAAACGCCACACGGCGAATTTTAGAAATTATTTATTTTTGTTTAAAAAATCTAGAAATTTTTTCATATTTCAAAGCAGAAAAATTCACTGTTTCACCATTTCTGGAAATTTGTTTATGCTGCATTAAGCTTATTGAATATCCGGAAAAACCCCTCAAAAATAACTAAAAATTTTGAAACAGTAAATTTTTTGGAAAATTCGTTGAAACTTTTTTGTGGAAAAACAGACCTTCTTAAAATATTTACAAATTTCTGGTCAGAAAAATTGACTGTTTCAACATTTTTATAATTTTCTGAATAATTTATTATCTTTGATCATTCCTTTCCAATCATATCAAACATTTTTGAAGCACGTGGAAAATTCTAAATTCCCAAAATAATTTCCCCACAAAAATTCAATGTTTCAAAATTTATACAATTTTTTTCCAACAATCAATTCAATTTGATTATTGTCCATTGAACATTATATTTTAAAAAACGTGGCAAATTTCTGACACCAAAAAAACTAACTCTGTGTAATATTACAAGAGGTGGCATCAGTTGGCATTGGATATCTTGGATCCATACAAGAACATGTTTGATTGACAACAAATTGATAACAAGAACGAATACAACCCTGCAGCAAATATCGATTATTTGGGTGAAAAATTCAGAAATTTGTGATTTTTTGATACAAAAAACATGAAAATCCATAAATTTTCAAGAATTTTACATTAAAAATTCCAAAATTTCGCCTGATCGTGAGTTAAAAATCCAGAAAAACTCACATCAGTAGTATAATCTCCATCATAATAATATGCAGCAACTTGTTTGATCGAAGTCACACAAGTTCCATATTTTCCGCTAAGTCTGCAATAAAATCAGGATTGATTGAAACAGTAAAAAAATCTGAATTTTTTAGACTAAACATATCATAAATCTTCTTTTTTTTGGCTAAAACATCAGCCTCAAATAAAAAAAATCCTACTCGAAAAAAATTTTAGAATTTTTTCACTGTTTCTAAATTTTTTATGAATAATTTTGAAATCTTTTGAATTTAATAGAATTTTCTGAATATGTTTGATTCAAAATCTGAAATTAAAAAATTTTCAAACAACTTTTTCAGTCAAATTAGATTATTTTTCGAAATATTCAGCTCAAAAAATCTTGTTACCTATAATAATCAGCTCTCTCAATTTGAATTCTCGATCCAAAACCAGGTTCACAATTAATTCGAACACTTTCCGATGTGATAACTTCTTTCGAAGTTGACGTAAATACCATAACCGATGCAGTTTCAGTCCATGGTAAATATTCAGATTGTTGTAGATTCATTTCCATTGCCAAACCACCGTGAAATCCGGAATTTCGAGCCAAATATTCGTAGGATGAGTTCATATGATTGAATGTGAAACAATTTCCCAATACTTTATCATTCCAGAGATAGAAATTCGCGCTGAAAATTTGGATTTTTAGAGCTGAACTCTGTATGGATTTTGGAAAATTATTTGAAATCTATGATGGATTCCTATAAAATTTCGAAATTTTGCACTTTTTAATCAAGATTTTTTGAAACAGTGAACTTTTTCAAACAAAATTTTTTTTATTCTTCTTATTTTGTATTTTGATGGATGTTGGTGTCAAATTTTTCAAACTAAAATTTTCAAAAAAAAATCGCCGCGTAGATTTCCGGTAAATTCAATAATTTTCTATTATGGGGTGATTCAGGTCGAAAAAAAACAAAAAAAAAACGTTTTTTTACAAAAAAATTCGATTCAGCAAATGTCAAAAAACCCTATTTTTTCCACACAAAAATGAAAGATATCTCGCAGCGAAAACGTTTCAATGAAAAAATTGTCGAAAAATGTCAAAAAATAGGATTAAAAAAAAAGTTTTTTGACATTTGCTGAATCGAATTTTTTGTAAAAAATCGTTCATTTTTAGTTTTTTTCGACCTGAATCACCCATTAATAATCAATGCACCATCAAATTCAAAATTTTGCAATTTTTATTCAAGTTTTTTTTAATTTCAACCGTATTCGCCCAAAGGAATAAAATTGAAATTTTCTGAATTGTTATAATTTTTTTTGAAACAGTGACTTTTTTAGCTGAACAAATTGAATGTTCCTTGATTTTTTGGCGCCAAAGCACATTTTTCTAACTTAAAAAATGGCCACGTGGAATGTTCTTGGCGCAAAAATAATTTGATCAAAAGTGCAATTTTCTGAATTTCTTAGAAACAGTGAATTTTATTTTTACTGAAAAAAATTTATATAAAAGATATCGTGAAATCAAAATTAAAACTTTGAAATTTTTATTTTGAAAATTTTGAAACAGTCAATTTTTTTATTGAAAAATTTGGATTTTCGTTGCATTTTTGGCGGCAAAAGGTGGAATCAAAAAATTTTATATTACCGGAGTATCAAACCTCACCCAAGAACCTGGAGGAGTGGGTAAAAAATTGCCCACCTGGGTTTATTTTAAAAAATTGCCCACCTACTAAAAAAATTTGCCCGCCTAAGGCTCGCCTTAAAGACCCTAAAAAAAATTTGCCCGCCTAAGGCTCGCCTTAAAGACCCTAAAAAAAATTTGCCCGCCTAAGGCTCGCCTTAAAGACCCTTAAAACATTTTGCCCATCTAAGGCTCGCCTCGAAGACCCTAAAAAAAAATTTGCCCACTTAAGGCTCGCCTTGAAGACCCTAAAAAATTTGCCCACCTAAGGCTCGCCTTGAAGACCCTAAAAAAATTTGCCCGCCTAAGGCTCGCCTTAAAGACCCTTAAAACATTTTGCCCATCTAAGGCTCGCCTCGAAGACCCTAAAAAAAATTTGCCCACTTAAGGCTCGCCTTGAAGACCCTAAAAAATTTGCCCACCTAAGGCTCGCCTTGAAGACCCTAAAAAAATTTGCCCACCTAAGGCTCGCCTTGAAGACCCTAAAAAAATTTGCCCACCTAAGGCTCGCCTTGAAGACCCTAAAAAAATTTGCCCACCTAAGGCTCGCCTTGAAGACCCTAAAAAAATTTGCCCACCTAAGGCTCGCCTTAAAGACCCTAAAAAAAATTTGCCCGCCTAAGGCTCGCCTTAAAGACCCTAAAAAAAATTTGCCCATCTAAGGCTCGCCTTGAAGACCCTAAAAAAATTTGCCCACCTAAGGCTCGCCTTAAAGACCCTAAAAAAATTTGCCCGCCTAAGGCTCGCCTTAAAGACCCTAAAAAAAATTTGCCCATCTAAGGCTCGCCTTGAAGACCCTAAAAAAAAAAATTTGCCCACTTAAGGCTCGCCTTGAAGACCCTAAAAAAATTTGCCCACCTAAGGCTCGCCTTGAAGACCCTAAAAAAATTTGCCCACCTAGATTTTTCGAAAAAAAATTGCCCACCTGGAATTCCAGGTATTGGGTGAGGTTTGCCGGAGTATAAACAAATTTGAAAATTCTCCAATTTTTATTAAATTATTTTTGAAACAGTGACCTTTTTTTCACTGATAAATTCAGACTTTTGCTAAATCTTTTTTTGGCGCCAATTTTCAAGTACGTCTGGATTTTTTTGTTAAAAATTATTAACTCAAATTTGAAAAATTTGTGCATTTGTAGATATAGGCTTTTTCGAAACAGTGAATTTTTTCGCTAAAACTTCGTCGACATTATTTTGACTAGAAATCGTCAAAAAATCTCGATTTTAGGCAAAATTTTCTCTCAAATTTCCCTCAAAAAACCCACTCCAAATCAATCAATTGATCTTCATAAGCAACCCATAAAAACATATCAGCTGCTGTATATGATAGACTTTTCCTAACTTCTTCCGAATATCCTCCAATTAAAAATGGAACAATATCTCGAACCAAAGTCGGATCATTTGTCAATTCTTCAACCATTTTTTCCAAATCATCTTCTGACATTGAACCGTATGTCGCATTTATTATTTCATATATCATTTTGTCTGAAAACATTTTGAGATTTTTGGTTTTTCATTATTAAAATTTGGAATGTTTTGTTTTTAAAGCCAAATTCAGTCAATATTCAGATTTTCATCCAAAACAAGCTCAATTTTTGACCAATTCTTAGGCGAGAAACGTGACCTATCCGAAATGTGACCTATGTCAACCCAAAAATCCAAATGCGTGCTCCAATTAAATTCGCATATAAAATCAGCGGTCCAAGAGGATTTTTTGCAATTCATCTGGTGCAACGAAACAAATGAATACGATTAGATCGAATTCTATTTTGATCATTATGATCTTTTTGATCAATATAACTCATTCTGCTGCTGCTGCTGATTCAAAACAATGCACACCAAAAAATGCTGACGAACAATATGAAGATGTGACTTTTGTATTTGTTATTAATCATTACATTGATAGCGATGGGGTAAAAATCGAGAAAAATATTGGCAAAAACCACTGTAATTTCAGAAAGACCAAATATTCCACGTTTTGTCTCAAATCACTTGTGAAATACCGATTGCTGACAACATCAAAGGATATGTGATGTATTATGGTGCGAAAAAATTGCCAGTTGTTGAAGATGAGGATTTCGTCAGCTCCAAAGGTTTATTGAAAAAACTTCAGTCGGTTCATGATATCAGTGAGTTGTTAGATATAAAAAGAATCGGAATATATTCGAAAGAAAATTTTAGAGGAGCAAAATAGAATTTTATTTTTTGGTTTCATTACCATCCCTGTATGGTAATGGTAACGTATTTGATATACATGTTTTCAGCTGATGGTAATGGAGTGGGTTGCAATGATTTCAAATCCAAATTCCGTCATTTTGCCGATTCGGAAAAATTTAAAAATCGCAAGAATATATATTACATTGCTGTATATACAGGAAATTGTGCGGAAGTTGGGTATCCTCTTGAGAGATTGCATATACTTTATAGGTCTTATACCAATTCGGTTCTCACAATAAAAAGCAGTTTTGGTCAGTTTAATGTGAAATCCAATTTGAATATTGATCTAGTTGATGTTCGTACGATTTATAAAAGAATGTAAGATCGAAAAAACCAAAGATTTTGTTTCCATAGCTAATCATTTTTCCAGTGTACAAGAAGGTCTACGTGTTGTTCCAAAAGACACTAGTTGGCTCGGATATTTGATTGGTGGCATCATTGGACTTTTAGTTGGCGGAGCACTTGGTGTAGGAGCTTGTTTTTTGCATAAGAGAATACAGAAAAAGAAAGCCGCGAAGAATACATTATCCTTTTGATTGAAATAAAATTATTTGAGAGAATTTTGACAGAACCCCTTTGGCATATTTTTTGAGAATTCGATAATACAGTCCTCCACATAATCTTAGCCTCACCCCCAAAATTTTCGAAAAATCGAAAATTTGATTTTTTCAGAAAAAGTTGGCATAGTCAAAATATGTCAAAAGGTGATACATAAATGTATCCTACTTCAAATTTCAGATAAAAATGAGGCTGAAATAAAAAGTTGACTTTTTTGAAAAATAGGTCTTTTCACTTTCCACATAATCTTAGCCTCACCCTAAAAAATTGCTGGAATTTCAGGTTTTTGGCTTGAAATGAGTTTGGAATGAGGCTGAAAATGATAGTTAAATCAATTTCAGATTGAATTGAGCTGTAATCAACCATTATTGATTGATTAACAGTGACTGAGAACGCTGATAGCGTGAAGACTTCCATCAAAACAAGTTTTGAACCAAAGTTGGTTCAAAATTCGATTATTTCGAGCTTAATTTTTAGAAAATTGGTAGAAAACACTTTTTTCAACACAATCTGTCAAATTCTGACCCGAATTGCAAAAAATTTTGAATTTTAGCTGATTTTTCAAAAATTTTAAAATTTTTTTGAACCAAAATTTTTGAGTTTCAGTCAAATTTACGACATTTTTCGAAGTTTTCCAGTTGGATATTCTTGATTTTTTGAAAACACGTTAATTCTGATAATTTTTCGAATTCTGACACTCGGAAATTCAAAATTGGAGTAAGAATCAGGGGAAAGACTGAAACCTGACTTTGATGAATCTTCGAAAATTTTTTAACCCAACATTGAAGAGCTTTCCTGGTTGAACATTTGGAAATGAGATGTTTAAGTGAAGTCAGTTATTAGTTTTTGTCAGTTTTTGAACCATTATCACACATTTATACTGAAATTTTCAGAAATTACAAGGGTAAACTGTTTTTCTCAAAATTGATCTGAAGTTTTGGATTAGAGATGACCATTATCTCACAATTTCAGAACGTCGAATTGAAGGATAAGTTTATTTCGGATGTAAGAGATCAGTATCTTGCTTGAACAAGAATATCCAACTGGAAAACTTCGAAAAATGTCGTAAATTTGACTGAAACTCAAAAATTTTGGTTCAAAAAAATTTTAAAATTTTTGAAAAATCAGCTAAAATTCAAAATTTTTTGCAATTCGGGTCAGAATTTGACAGATTGTGTTGAAAAAAGTGTTTTCTACCAATTTTCTAAAAAATTAAGCTCGAAATAATCGAATTTTGAACCAACTTTGGTTCAAAACTTGTTTTGATGGAAGTCTTCACGCTATCAGCGTTCTCAGTCACTGTTAATCAATCAATAATGGTTGATTACAGCTCAATTCAATCTGAAATTGATTTAACTATCATTTTCAGCCTCATTCCAAACTCATTTCAAGCCAAAAACCTGAAATTCCAGCAATTTTTTAGGGTGAGGCTAAGATTATGTGGAAAGTGAAAAGACCTATTTTTCAAAAAAGTCAACTTTTTATTTCAGCCTCATTTTTATCTGAAATTTGAAGTAGGATACATTTATGTATCACCTTTTGACATATTTTGACTATGCCAACTTTTTCTGAAAAAATCAAATTTTCGATTTTTCGAAAATTTTGGGGGTGAGGCTAAGATTATGTGGAGGACTGTATTTTTCTTCGGAACAGCGCAAAATTATAAACAAGAAAGGTTTTGAAAATCAATTTTTCATAAATTCAAAAAAATACACATAATTTTTGAAACAGTAAATTTTTTCAGACAACATTTTTTCCAGCCCACAATTTCGTGCTGAAAATCACAAAATTCTCCATGTACTCAAATTTTCAGTAGTTTCATGAGTTTCAGCGCAAAATTCCAGGTTGGGGAAAAACTATATCGCATTTTCAAGCTATTTGGGAAAATATATAAAAATTTTGAAACGTAGATTTTTCTAGATCTAAATTTCATCATTTTTGAAACAGTGAAATTTTTCTTGAACTTTTTTAGATCAGAATTTTGCGCTGATAATTGTGGAATTATTCATTTTCAGCAATGCATCATTTTCGCCCAATTTCATCGAGATCTCAAGTTATTTTGGAAAATTTACAAAATTTTTGAAACAGTAAATTTTTCACATTTTTAAAGACTGTATACTGGGGGATTTTGTTAGATAAAAACTACATTTTTGTCCAGAATTTCACGAATTTTAATGTTAAAATTTCGGAAAACCGTTATTTCTAGCTCAAAACCTCCCTCAAAAACTCACTATACAAACACTGTGTTCCAAACATATCCGCACTACATTCACAATAATAACTTCCATTTGTATTCACACAAATTGCTCCCGAATCTTTCGTTTTACACAATGTCGAATCATTTTCACATTCATTCACATCTTCCGTACAATTTTGTCCCTGCCATTGTGGAGTACAAGTACAATTATATGAATTTGGTGGTCCGATAATATCTTCACAAGTCGCATTATTTTTACACGGTGTTTCGTCGCAATAGAATCGTTCTTCTTCACAATATTCACCTTTCCAGCTACTGTCACATTCGCATGTAAATGTTGAATCCAATAAATTATAAGTTGGTGAACAAGTTCCACCATTTACACATTTATTGATATAACATGGATTGAAGGCTGCAAAAATATTTGGTTGCGGCTGGGTTTTAGGGGCGTGGTCTATTTTATTTGAAAAGAATTGTCCAGCAGCTGGATTTAATTGAGTAAATTCAACATGGCTTGTCAGGAAAAAAATCAAAGTAATTCAAAAATTCAAAGATTTTCATAAATTTTTGAAACAGTAAAAAAATTTTCCACTGTTTCAAAATTTCAAGAAATTTGCAACATTTTTCAATTTCTCTACTCAGGAAGAAGGATGTTATAATGTGAATGGGTTCTTAGCAAACCAACATTTTGCACATGAACTATTCCGTGGCAAAATTTGAAAATTTCAAAAAAAAAGAACTCATGTTCGAAATTTAATTGACTAAATTCAGCTAATAAAATAATAAAAAAAACTCCAAAATATTGAAATTTAAATAATTTTTTGAAACAGTGAAGATTTTTTGTTCAAAAATTTTCTACTGTTTCAAAATTTCGTGAAATTCTAAAATCTTTTGAATTTCTTCAATTCGATAGAATTTTTTTCCGACAAAATTGATTTTGTGATAAGTTTTGAATAAGAGTTATGACGTGGCAAAGTTTGAAAATTTCAAAAAAAGGTTCTCGAGCTTTGCCACGTCATAACTAATTTTCAAAATGAAATTAATAAACATAGGAATTCATAATCTATATGATTAATCATCAATTCAAAAATGTTATAAAATTTCCCAACATTTTGAAACAGTGAATTTTTTGCTCAAAAATTTTCCACTGTTTCAAAATTTCGAGAAATTCTCTAAATTTTTGAATTTATCCGATTTTTTTTCGAACCAAATTTTTTATTAAATTTTTGTGATCATGAGCTATTCGTGAAAATTCAAAAAAATCTCAAGCTTTGCCACGTCATAACTCATTTTCAAAATTTAATTAATAAAATTAGGTTCAGCTAGTAAAATAGAAAAATTCCAAAATGTAGAAAATTTCATAAATTTTTGAAACAGTGAATAATTTTTATAAAAAATATTTTTTGCTCAAAAATTATTCACTGTTTCAAAATTTCAATGAATTCTCAACATTTTTGAATTTCGCTAATGAGATCTCTAATTCCATTGCACTCTGTATCTCAGTACTGATTTTGAATATTTGAAACAGTGAGGTTTTTGAATGAAATTTGCTTTCAAAATTTTTTCCAAAAAATTTCCACTGTTTCAAAATTTTCATTTGAAAAAATCAAATTTTTGAAAATCGATATGTAATTGTAACTTAACAAATTGAAAATTCTAATTTTTAATCAGACAACGCCCACAGAAGTTTCTGGGGTGATTTTAGGCCAATTTTCATGATTTTTAGCTCAAAAAACCCCCAAAATTCTCACTCGAACAATTAGTCTGACAATACAAATTCAAACAATCACAAGAATACGATCCATTTCCCAAATCTCGACAAGTTCCACCATACAAACACGGATTATCGATTAAACAAGGATCCGAAACACATTCGGTTGTTTGATTCGTATTTGCACATTTACAATAATATCCAATCTGATCATCTGTTATTTCACAAGTTCCTGTAACTCCGCAATCAATTCCATTGCACGGTGTGAGAGTCGCGTCGCTTGAACAAGTTGTGCCAGTTTTCAGCGGGCTGCAAACAATTGGGGGCCGAATTGGACTGGAAAATCAGAGATTCTCACCTGCAGAGACATGAATATGCGGAAGCGGAAGTTTGATAACATTCTCCGGTTTCCGCATCGCCGCAAGGTTCACTTGCGCATAAATCATTTAGCGAATAAACTGATGCGGAACCGGAGCTGAGACTTGCGTATGAACACGTGGCAAGGAGAGCGCTGAGAAGACCGCCGAGAACTGCAAAAAAGAATTGACACGTGGATTTTTAGCGCCAAAATTAAAATTTTTCTTCAAAAAAAAAACTTACGTCCTTGAGATGGAGCAGTTGTAAGTGTATTTGTTGTGGAAAACATGCATTGTCCAGTTGTCCCGCTCATCGCTGCAAAAATATCGATTTTCCATGATTTCCCGCTGAAAACCGGGTTAACCCACTAGAAATCACATAATCCGACGTCGGATTCGCTTTTCGATACGTCACCAATGCGTCAGCACAATCATCTCCAGTTGTTATTCCACTTGTCGAATAAACATGATAATCGGAAAATGTTGCGGAGGAATCGTCATAACATCCAACGTAGGTGGTTTGGACTGGAAAAATCGATAGTTTTGGTGGTTTTTGGGGTGAAAATCATAAAACTGATGAATTTTGGAGGTATTCGCGGAATCCCTTCCTTCAAAGAAAAAAATACAATTTTTTTCATTTGAAATTCCAAAAAGTTTTCGAAATGAAAAAGACAACGTGTTTTGCGGAGTGTGCCAGAGAAAACCGTTCGCATTAGAGCGAACATGCATGGTTACTTTTATTTAATTGTTTGCCAAATTTTTTCGTTTTTCAAAGTTTTCCTAGTTTTCGAGCAATCGAATTTGCGCCAAAAACTCACTGCTTCTCGAAGTTTGACAAGTTTTTCCATAATATTCAAAAGGACATTCACAATACGGTGTTGTTTCAGAGAAAACCAGCACACAAGTTCCACCATTTGAACAATAATCAGAACATGGATCACCGGAATCTGGAAAAACTTGGATAGGTGGGTTTGTTTTGAGAAAGGAATTTGTAAGCTATTTTGAATTTCAGATTTTATCCTTACATTGGCATTGTTCTCCATAATATCCTGAATCACAAGTGCATGTATATCCATTTGAATCTGAAGTACAATCTCCATTTTGAAGGCAAGGCTCAGTTGAACAAGGATCCGATGTCACTGAAAATAATATAATTTTTGGACAACATCAACTTCAAATCCAACTCACACATATCACAATCAGTTCCAGTATAACCATCAGCACAACTACAAACCGCTTCACCTTCTACCAAATTACATTGCTCATTATTTCCTGTGCAAGGAGTTGGTGAGCAAGAAGTTGCTGTGGCACATTCGGTGTCTGATACTTGAGTTGTACCATCGGGACAAGTGCAAGAGGAACATGTTGTGGAGGAGGAGCGATTTGATGGGTAGCAATAACCGTGTGAACCACAATCGTATGGTGTATCCTGGAATGGTGGATTTTGGTGGGTTTTTGGAGGGTTTTCTGAGAGGTTTTTTTTAAATAATTTTGCTCATTATTCCTGGATTCTGTAAATCCAAAATCCTCATTTCAAATGCGCTTTATATGTAACAAACCGGGTAATCTCAAAAAACATTCCTTGTTCTGAACGAGAGACAACATAGAAACTTTAGAGACTCCAGACAACTAGAGAAATTTTCCGTCCCTGTGATGAATTTTTTGAATAACTCAGATGGTCCTGAAGTTATCCCAAATTTGATATCAAAATTTTCCCGGTGACTCCTAGATTCCAAAAATCCACATTTCTCTTGTAAATTTTGATTTTGAAATGTAGAAATCAACAATTTTCCGGATTCTATTATGAAATGAGATAGCATTATATTCCTGGAGACATCAAATAATTGGTCTCACAAGGAATCCCTTTCATTCCTTTTTTATGCAAAAAAACACATCTGGCGAATGAGAGGGTATAGAATTTGAGGAGAGGGCAGACAACTAGAGAAAGTTTGGTCCCTGTGAGTTTTTTGTTCCTGTGAAGATTCGGAAAAACAAGGAACCTGAATTTATGCACAAGTTTTATATGGAAATGTTCCCCATCACACAAGGATTCTGAAAATCCAAGCAATTCTTGAAAATTTTGAGTTTGAAAAGTAGAAAGCCAAAATTTTAATGCGTTCTCAGTAGGTTAAAGTACAAATTGTTTTTCTGGAAATAATCAATGCTTCAAAAAAAGTCATATTTCCGAATTATTCACAAATTTTATATCAAAACCTTCCCCAGTTTCTTCTGATTCTAGAAATCCAAATTCTCTTTCAAAATTTTTAGTTTGAAAACTTTAACATCCTACTTTTCCCAAAAAGCGAAAGAAAACAACTGGGTGGTCTTAAAAATTTGTTCCTTGTTTCAATCAAAAGATAGCAAATAAATTTGAGAGATTCCAGACAACTAGACACATTTTCCGTCCCTGTGATGAATTTTTTGAATATCTCAGGTGCTCATAAAATTATCCCAAATTTGATATCAAAATTTTTCCGGTGACTCCTAGATTCCAAAAATCCACATTTCCCTGAGAAATTTTGATTTTGAAATGTAGAAATCATCAATTTTCTGGATTCCGTTGTGAAATGAGATAGCATTATTTTCCTGGAGACAAAACATAAATTGGTCTCACAAGGAATCCCTTTCATTCATTTTTTATTATGCAAAAAACCTTCTGGCGAATGAGAGAGTATAGAATTTGAGGAGAGGGCAGATAACTAGAGAAACTTTGGTCCCTGTCAGTTTTTTGTTCCTGTGAAGATTCGGAAAATCCTGAGATCTGAAACTGGGAACAAGTTCTATATGAAAGTATTCCCCATGACAAGGATTCTGAAAATCCAAAAAAATCTTGAAAATTTCGAGTTTGAAAGGTAGAAAGCCACAATTTTCATGTGTTCTAACTTTGATAGTAAAACTTGTGTTCCTCTTTTTTTGTCTGGAAATAGTCAATTCTTCGAAAAAAAATAATTTTCTGGAATTTTATATCAAAACATTCCCCAAGATCTTCTGATTCCAGAAATCCAAATTCTCTTTCAAAATTTTTAGTTTGAAAACTTTAACATCCTACTTTTCCCAAAAAGCGAAAGAAAACAACTGGGTGGTCTTAAAAAATGTGTTCCTTGTTTCTACCAAGAGATAGCAGATAAACTTGAGAGACTCCAGACAACTAGAGAAATTTTCCGTCCCTGTGATGAACTTTTTGAATATATTTGAAGCTCCTGAAGTTACACCAAATTTGATATCAAAATTTTTCTGGTGACGCTTAGATCCCAAAAATCCACATCTCCCCTGAAAATTTTGATTTTGAAATGTAGAAATCAACAATTTTCTGGATTCCATTGTGAAATGAGATAGCATTATATTCCTGGAGACAACACATTAATTGGTCTCACAACGAATCCCTTTCATTCATTTTTTATTATGCAAAAAACCTTCTGGCGGGTGAGAGAGTATAGAATTTGAAGAGAGGGCAGACAACTAGAGAAACTTTGGTCCCTGTCAGTTTTTTTGTTCCTGAGAAAATTCGGAAAATAAAGGAATCTGAATTCATGCACAAGTTCTATATGAAAATATTCCCCATCACAGAAGGATTCTGAAAATCCACAGAAATTATGAACATTTTTAGTTTGAAAAGTTGAACATCCTGATTTTCCCTAGATGCAAAATAAAAAACTGGGTGGTCTTAAAAATATGTTCCTTGTTTCGAATAAGAGAATCCAGACAACTAGAGAATTTTACTGTCCCTGTGAGGAATATTTTGGATAACTCAGGTGCTCCTGAAGTTAACCCATATTTGATTTTAAAATATTCCCCAAGTCTTACTGATTTCAAAAATCTACATTTCCCCGTGAAATTTTGATTTTGAAATGTAGAAATCATCAATTTTCCGGATTCTATTGTGAAATGAGATAGTATTATATTCCTGGAGACAACACATTAATTGGTCTCACAAGGAATCCCTTTCATTCATTTTTTATTATGCAAAAAACCTTCTGGCGAGTGAGAAAGTATAGAATTTGAGGAGAGAGCAGACAACTAGAGAAACTTTGGTCCCTGTCAGTTTTTTATTCCTATGAAGATTCGGAAAATCCAGGAATCTGAAACTGGGAACAAGTTCTATATGAAAATGTTCCCCATGACATAAGGATTCGGAAAATCCAAGAAATTCTCGAAAATTTCTAGTTTGAAAGGTAGAAAGCCACGATTTTCACGTGTTCTAAATTGGATTAAGTAAAAGTTGTGTTCCTCTCTCTTTTCTGTCTGGAATTAGTCAATTCTTCAAAAAAAAATCATTTTTTGGAATTTTATATCAAAACATTCCCCAAGATCTTCTGATTCCGGAAATCCAACTTCTCTTCAAAAATTTTGAGGTTGAAAACTTGAACATCCTAAGTTTCCCAGAAAGAAAAAACAGGGTGGTCTTAAAAAATGTGTTCCTTGTTTTAACCAAGAGATAACATAGAAACTTGAGATAGTCCAGACAACTAGAGAAATTTTCCCTCCCTGTGATGAACTTTTTGAATAACTCAGGTGCTCCTGAAGTTATCCCAAATTCCTCATCAAAATTTTCCCGGTGACTCCTAGATTCCAAAAATCTACATTTACCCGAGAAATGTTGATTTTGAAATGTAGAAATCATCAATTTTCTGGATTCCATTGTGAAATGAGATAGCATTATTTTCCTGGAGACAAGACATTAATTGGTCTCACAAGGAAACCCTTTCATTTCATTTTTTAATTCCGAGTTTGAAATTGTGAACTTCGTTTTTTCTTCCGCGAACACAAGACCCAATGTAAAAAAAAACTGGGTGGTCTAAAAAATGTGTTCCTTGTTTCAAACGAGAGATAACATAGAAACTTGAGAAACTCCAGACAACTAGAGAAATTTTCCGTCCCTGTGATGAACTTTTTGAATATATTTGGAGCTCCTGAATTTATCCCAAATTTGATATCAGAATATTCCCCAAGTCCTTCTGATTCCGAAAAATCCACATTTCCCCGAGAAATTTTGGTTTTGAAATGTAGAAATCATCAATTTTCTGGATTCCGTTGTGAAATGAGATAGCATTATTTTCCTGGAGACAAAACATTATTTGGTCTCGCAAAGAATCCCTTTCATTCCTTTTTTATGCAAAAAAAACACATCTGGCGGATGAGAGAGTATAGAATTTGAGGTGAGAGCAGACAACTAGAGAAACTTTGGTCCCTGCGAGTTTTCCATGAATGTTTTTCGAAGAAAAAGGAGAATTTCGACGTTTCAAAATCAGAATTTTCAGAGAATATGTGAATTTTGAAAATCAGCAGAACCTGGGGAATATTTTCATGTAAATTGTGATCATTTTTCGTATATTTTTTGGACTACTGTACTTACTTCACCATTTCAATGTTGAATTTCAGCAGGAAATGTGACAAATATTTACGACGTTCAAGAAAAATAAAAGGGCACGTTTCGAAAAAAAAATTAAATTTGTAGGTGTAGATTTTATTAAAAAGGTAGATTAAAGAAAACAGGAAAATAAATAAAACGTGACATTTGAAATTCCAAAAAAAAAGGCCACAAATTTTTGCGCGGCTCCCGGGTATTTCAAAAATTCCTAAACATAGAAAATCATGCGTTGTTCACCACTTATAACGCTTTTCGTTGTGATGACGGCGATTTCTATGAGTTTTGTGAACTGCGATGATGGAAATGGAGGAAGTGGTGAACCTTCTACTACTACACTACAATCGGAAGTAAACGGTGCTCCTCCTCCTGAAGCGACGACAGATGCACCTACACAACCATCTAATACCAATGAAGGAAATGGGGAGCCACCATCTGATCAACAACAACAACAAAACACAGAAGGAGAGAATAATAATAATAATGGAGAAGGAGATTTGGAAGAGCCGACTATCGAATCAGCTATGAATTTGGGTATTGCTCATATTATTGGATTTACCGCTTTTTTGTTCGCCGTGCAATTTTAGAATAAAGTATTTTGCTCAAGATGCTTTGTTGAAATAAAAAATATGAGAGTCTTGAAGAGTAAATCTGAAGTATTATCGAAAATCTCATCGGTACCACGCGCGCCACCGAAATAAACACGCAACGCAGACCGCGCCGCACCGCGCCACAACACACACAAAAAATGGAGGGAATTTGAATCGTTCCTGTTTTTGTGTATGTTGTGGCGCGACGCGGTCTGCGTTGCGTGTTTATTTTGGTGGAGCGCGTGGTACCGATGAGATTTTCGATAATAGTGTTCTGTGTAAACCGGAGTCTTCCCGTAGCAGCAGTTTTTTAGGTATTGCTCATATTATTCCCTACCTGTAAGCTTTGTTGAACTATGATAGATGTTAGGAAAAATAGGAAAAGCATTGGGTTTTTTGTTTGAAAAGAGAGAACAACTATTTTGTTTGAAAGAAGCATTGTTAAGGGGTCAAATTACAGTATCCTGGCGACCGGGGAGCATTGTTTTTGTGAGCGAAAATCGAGAAAAGCCGGCCCACGTTGCAAATTTCAAAAAACAAAAAACTTTATGACAACAAAAAATAATTCATTGCTTAACCTTCCTCAAAACTTGATCAATATCCTCTCGACTCATCCGCCTCTCACCAATAATCGATTTCTTTTCCGCGCGCGGTACTCCATCAGCAGTCTGTGTCTCATTTTCAGCCCTCTGAAAATCTGCCTGCACAGCTCTCTCGCTGAAAATCTTGCGCTTATCGGGCTCATTTTGGCTCATATGGAGAATATTTCTGGTGGATGTTGAGCTCTCCAAAGGCAATAGTTTCATCCATTCAACAGGAATTTGTGGGAATGTTTTTGGTGGGATTTTTGGTGTCAAAGAAGGTTCGAAAAGTGGATTTTCCTCAAATAGTGTTTTTGCAGTGTCCAGGGGAGTGTCTCTTCCAGAAAGTAGACTGAAATTCAGCTTCTCTACGGGAGTCACATCCTGAGAAACATCTTGATGTTCAATATGATCAGTATAAACAAGATCTAGAGGTGCTAGAGATTCCACGTCATCATATTCTCGAATATATCCGCCTACGGGCTCATTTTGTTCTCTCATATTCATATTTATATTTCTGACAACGTTGTCCAATTTTTCAGTGAGGATTTGAATTTGTTTCGAGAGTTCTGATGTGATTTCTGGATTTCGATTTGCAGCTGGCTTATCTATTTGAGAGATAGTTGAACTCATTGCGCTTGTCAAGAAATCTCGTTCCTCTTCCAATTCTTTCAACAAATCATCCTGTTGTTTTGCAAATTCTCGAATCTTTTCATCAATCGGCTTCAAAACTGGTCTTCGACTCGTTTTCGATCTCGATTTTTCGATAAATGTTTCGACAGCTCTTGGGCTAAACATCCGATCATTTTTCAATTCGGACAGTGAAATTTCAGAGATCGGAGTGTATAGAACATCTCTGGCAGATAAACTGAAATCCGGTAGATTTGCTGATGTTCCAAGGCAAAGATCGTGGGGGTGGATGGAGAGACGAAGAGCGTGGCAGCCGGGTGAAATGAAGGTGAAACCTGGTGGGGACCATTGAGAATTCACGAAGAGCATTTGGGAGAGAGTCATGTCGTTGACCTGAAAAAGGGAGTTAGTTTAGTGCCCAAAGCGAGGGGCCAGAATCTTCAGCCGTTCAAGTTTTCAGTAAAACCTAACCCTATGTGTTGGATGACAAATTGTCCGAAACCAATCAATATTCCTCTCCTCCCTTTGATCTCGATAATCATCGGAATTATTAAAAATAATTCGTCTCAACCAAATCTCCCTCGTAGTAAATGACAAAGCCGGAAGATTTGAAGATTGTTTGAAATTCGCATTTATAAAATCGAAAAACGTTTCAATCAATTCCATATCTGATTCCGATGCAGATTTCGACCAATTTCGAATAATTTGATTTTCCGTAACTTCATCATTGAGCAATATTTTATATTGTTTTGCAAGCGATGCGATTCGATCTTTCTCATTTTTCCGTAAAGCATCACTAAACTTCTGACGAAATGCTAATCTTAACATGAGCAACATGACACGTGGCAGAGCAAAACCAGGGGAGACTTCTTGATTCTCATCATCCGCGACTAATTTGAAAGTATAGGTTAGTTGTTGAATGAGCCGATTTGTTTTGGTCAGCGAGCTCAAAACCATATAAATATTGCACCAAATTTGTGAGAATATTCGACCTTCCTCGCTAAACATTTCGGATTTTTCAGGAAATCCGAAAACCGGATTGGATAATGTTAAATAAGAAGTTTCTAGAGGCAATTGACTAAAAAAATATTCTGCAGAATTCAAAAGCGAAGCTTCGAGGAATCCTAGAATATCTCGATTTAGTCCAACATCCAATTCTAGAATCGATTCAGTGAGTTTTGCAGTGAATTTTGGGAGTTCTTCAGGTTTCTCGATAATTCGTTCGATTTCCATCGCAATATTTTCCACAATCATTGCTCGAATATATTCCGTTGTTAGATCTTTTTTATAAATCGAATCAGCGAGAAGTCGTAAAATCAGGGCAGATCTTTTATCATCGAAATGATCTAAGTATGAGATTGCTTCGATTATATTGTTACATTTCACTAAAAGCAAAGCTGGAAGAGCTGGAGAATATTCAACTGGAAGTTTTTGACTTATAACACTTCGATCCGCAATTTTCACATCTTTCCGGTCTGAAAAAATGAGTTTTAGAAGTTCGAACGAAAAAAAAAAAGAAAATATCTAAAACTCTTTCTCACCTTTTTCCGTCAAACTTTCCCAAATATACAACGATGGAAGATTTTCACCATCTTTGGGCTCAAAAAGTGTGAAATCCAAATAATATGCCGCGCAGAATCTCGCAAAATTAATACAATCTTGTTTAGCACCATTGGGATTTAGTAGAAGTGTTCGAATATAGTTTGGATTCAGATATTTTTCTAGCATTTTTCTAAGTATTTGTGAATTGTATGATGAAAGAAAATTGGGGATATATCTCCATGGCAACCGATTTTTTCATTGAAAATTGCAAAAAATTCGATTTTTCCTGGATTTTCTATAGTTTTCAGAGATTTCAATGTGTTTTCTTTGAATTTCCTAATTATTCTCTTGATTTTCACTCGAAATTCCATAATTCCTTTTGATTTGAAACATTTGGAGTACTGTACTTGACAAAAGAAAACAAACAAACAACACCAGATGTGTGCAAACACGGCGACGCACAACTACACACACGAAAATTATTTTCTTTTTCTCTCTTTTCTCTCGCTTTTCTTCAGGTTTTCTTCAAGTTTTCGATATCAAAATGAACCTACAATTCTCCATTTTTTGCAGATCTATTATATAAAAATGCCATCATCTTCGCAGAAAAACGTGTCAACAGTGTTAGTCAGGAATGGAACGGGAAATTCGTGTGAAACACAACAAATTCTATTTTTGAATCAGTGTCGGAAGGTGAGTAATTATCGATTTTTTGGGGTGTTGTGGGGGGAAAATTTGTTGAATTTTATAGCGAAAAACTTCATATTTCAGCTGAAAATCGTGAAAAACAGAGTTTCCTTGAAAAATATCGATTTTTCATGTGAAAATGGGATAGGGTTGTTTTTTTGAGCAAAACTTGATTTTTTGATGGAAAATTCACCAATTTTTTATGTAAAAAAGATTTGTTTTCAATTATTATTAAGAAATCAATAAAAATACCAAATCTGATAATATTTTTGGTCAAAGCTTCCTTAAATTATCAAATTACAGTCAAACAATCGATATTTTGCAGGTTTTCATTCAACGCGATTATTCACAAGGACTCGATGTTCGTTTCGAAACCGATTTTCCATCTCGTTTAACCGAAATGATAAGTCGCGAAGTTTGGGAAAACACAATTCATCGAATCAATAAAATATTCGAAGAAGCCGAATCAATAAATGCCACAACAATTTTCGAGACAATTTTGGGATGTTTCTCGTGTTATTGTTCTCGTTTAGTCACAAAATCATTATATGAAAAGAAATTGATTGAATTGAAAGAGTTTTTGAGGCGAGAAAATGAGGAGATTTATCATCGAGCTGGATTGCATATTATGAATCCGATGGAACGAGGATTGAGAGTTGTGAGTTGACCGATTTTGTTATATATTTGACGCAAAATCACCTGAATTTGGCGGTAAAAATTCAAAAATTTTGGTGCCAGAAGTTTCACGTTTTTTAATTTAAAAAAAATCTCACTGTTTCAAATTTTTTAAATAAGATATTTCTCATATTTTTGGCAATAATTGTTCATTTTTTACGCATTCAACAATATTGTTCATAAAAGAAAATTTTGCAAGCTAAATAGATTCCAATTTATTGAAAATAAACAGTAATTCTGAATGTTTTATTTTAGCTTTAAAAATCCGTTAAATTTCGAAAAAAAATTCTGAAAAATTTCACTGTTTCAAACATTTTTTATACGAATTTTCTCAAATTTTCTTCGATAACTGGTCTTTAATATCCCTATTCAAAAATGTTGTTCAAAAGTTTTTGTGAACTTAATAGTTCCCAAAGATAAAGTAATCCTGAGTTTATCATTTTTAGCTTCAAAAAATCCGTGAAAATTCGAAAAGTAATTCTTTTAAAAATTCACTGTTTCAAAATTTTCTTGAAATATTTTTCTCACAGTTTTGGTGTTTATATTGTTGTTGTTCAGAGAAAAATTTTTGAAAAAATTTGCAAGCTACAGATATAAAAATCACCTTGTTTCAAAAAGGAAATATTCCTGAATTTTTAGCCCTGAAATTTGGAACTTTAAAAAAGTATGAAAAAATTTCACAGTCCTATATGTTAAAATTTCTGCTGATTGTTTATTGTTAAACTTTTCTTCCAGAATTCAGAAAAATTTAGAGTACAGTAATCCTGAATTTTTAAACATATAAATAATCCCCGTTAAAATTCGAAAAAAATTCTGAGAAATCTCACTGTTTCAAAAATTTCTCATAAGATTTTTGTCATATTTTTGGCGATACGCCTTTTTCTTCTCCATTTTAAAGAATTTCAAATTTCAAGCAAAAAATTGGAGTTTTACCAAAATTCTGAAAACATTTCACTGTTTCAAAATGTTTATATTTCTATTGATTTTCTGTTGTTTTATTGCATCTATAAATTTAAAGTAATTCCAGAATTTTTTGCGCCAAAAAAATTATTTGAAAAATTCACTGTTTCAAAGTGTTCATATAATTATTTTAGATAATACAATATTAATACACTCAGATCAATTATGTTTCTGAACTTTGTGACCAAAAAATCCCAAAACAAATTCTGATAAAAATTAACTGTTTCAACAATTTTTATATCCCAGCTTTCCAGCCAAAAAAATCAATGTTTTTTCTATTTGCAGATTGAAATCTCATTGCTCAACACAATTGAAGAACCCCTAAATCGAAATGATGGAAATAGTTTAGCCGTTAATAATATTCAAGGACCAGCCGGATCAATTCGAACAATGTAATTGTATATTTTTGTTGCAACATTTTATTTTCTTATTTTTCCTGAATTTCTCCACTCTAATCACCATATTTTTGAATGAAAAATCGAGCTTTTCCTCAATTTTTTTTTCAATTTGAAACGGGATGAGAGACCCCGAGAAATCAGAGATATTTTTGTGTAATATTTTCAGGATCCAGGCGAACTTTTCGACTGATTTTTTTAATCGAAATATATGTTGGCAAGACAAAGATCGCTTTCGTTTTGTGGCGCGAAAAATGTGAAATTTGAATTGGAAATTGAAGAAAATGAGGATGAAGAAGGTAGGATTTTAAAGGGACATTTGAAGCTAAATTTGGGATTTTTTTGGATATAAACTTGGCGCGAAATTGTCAGATTTGAAAATTCAAGTTTGACAACAAAAAATTCTCCCCGGAAAATTGTTGAAAATCTATAAGTTTCTCGAAAATTGGAAAATTCTCTCGTGTCATAAATAAATGCATAAACATAATTTTTATTGTTTTTTCTCGGAAAAAAATTCTCAATAATTTTTCTTGTGATTTTTTTGGGCCGCAAGAAAAAATTCAGAAAAGTTTTTAGACCTCGCCCCTTTTTTCCTGAAAATTTGATTCGAATCTAGTCTCATTTTATAGTCCTTGCAAAATTTTCTACAAACTAGACTATAGTTTGACCCGAAATTAATTTCAGAAATTTGACAATTTCAGGGAAAGTCTGGTCTCGTTTTCTAAATAGCTTTTGAAATTCTCTATATAAACTAGACTATAGTTTCGTCTGAAATACATTTTTCAAAAAATTCACAAAATTTTCAATTTCACAATTGAATTTCTAGTCTCATTTTGTGAATAGCCCTTGGAATTTTCTACAAACTAGACTATAGTTTGACCTGAAATGATTTTTTTCAAACAAATTTTCTCCCAAAAAAGGCCCATCCTCTCCGTCTTTTCCTCCTTCTTTTTTTCCTTTTTTGCCTCAATGCTCCACTTAATTGTTGTTATAAAAAAGAACATGCGCGAAATAGAAAAAAATATTGATTTTTTGTTTTGTTTTTCATGCCCTTTTTCTCCTCCAAAAATGGGGAAAAAATAAATAAAATTATGCTTTTTTCCACGAAGAATCATTGATTTTTTTCGACTTTTGACACCAAAAAACCCATATTTTCAGGACTTATGACAACTCTCCATAACAAATTCGGTGCAATAATTCAAGATGGAATTGTCGAAGGCCAGAGATTTGCGCTAAGTTCCGATTTATGGAGATATGCCTCAACTTCGACAAATTGCGATTTATTAATTACAATGCAATTTTCGAATGATGATTTTGAGATGAAAAATGCAGTGATGTGGTTGGTTCAACAAATTCGAGAAGCTGAACCGAATTTAGGATTAGGATTGGGTTTAGAAGTCAGGTTTCATCGATTGAATTCGTGTTATGCCATTTATTTGACCGCTGATTACAAGAGGTATGCATTTGGGGAGGGGGAAATGAGGGGAATCAAACCTGTGATATGTTCAACTCAATATTACCATAATTTTCAGCTTGCTCAAAGGTGCCGAACTCTGCCACATCAAAAAAACGATCAAACCTCAATTTGGCGGTGGAATGCGTGATTTCAGTTTCGAAGAAGCTCAATGTTTTCAAGGCGTTGAAAACAAACAGAATTTTCTGAGTCCAATGGAGCGCACTTTGATAGTCAAAGCGATGATTGATATGATTCGAGCGACGAAAAAAGAAGGACTAGTTTTGAAATTATCGAGCAGATCGATTATTTTTCAAGAAGGAAGTGCGATTGTTCCGAGATTGATTAGTACAAATGTAGGTTGCGGAAAGGTGCCGGAAGCTTCCGGATTGCCAAAAATCATTATTGTATATAGCCCGAACCCAAAAAAAAAATTGATTCGGATTTCTCAAAATTTCCTGATTAAAATACAGGGTGACCCATAATTATTGTCGCGTGAGTTGAACTCGTTAACCCGAGTTCTACATTTTCAAAACGAAATTAGATAAAGTTTGGTTTTGATAAATTCAATCTTAAAGGTTATATAATGAAACTTTTGTATTCTATTTTGATCGTATCAGCTGTGCTGGATTATAGTAACAGCGGTAAAGTAGAGATAGATTTCCAAAAATAATTTTTCAGAAGAAAATTCGTTTTTTGGACTTTAGGTGTAAATTTTATGAGAATGGTGAATACTGACTATGCCCAAAAGTGTTTATATCCTAAATTCTGTCCCTGAAATGGGTTTTTGCACAATACGAAAGCTGGAAATTATCAGAAAAAAATAGGGACCTTCATTGTAGAAAACGCTCAAAATTCATGGTTTTGGGAGTTTTGCTAACTCCAAGTCAGATTCGAGCTAGGTTTCAGATCTTAAAATACTTTGTTTTAGTGCATAGAATAGGCATGTTCACAAAAAGTTCCACTAAAAAACTCATACTCGATCTCAGAATGGATTTTGTTGTTTTTCTTGATTTTTCTCGATTTTTTTTTGAAATTTCGGAAAAGACGCTTGACTTTGGAGCCCTGAAACAAGTGAGAAGCGGTAAACTCTTGCAAGATATGCTATTATATCTTGTTCAGGACATCAAAAAATGTATTAAAACATAATTTCCAAATACATATGTTCAGTCTGATACATTTCTGGAATTTACAAAGAGAAAAAAGAGGCTTAAAATCGCAAAATTCAAAGTTTTTGGGGTTGGTGAAGGTGGTGGGTGGGAAAAAAATTGTGTTGTCAGTATAGTTTTGAAAATCTGTCAGTAATCATGTTTTCTAAAATTTCCGACCTTAACATTGTTAAAATTCGAAATCTTGTTCTACCTGCAGAGGTTCAAAGTGGCGACAATAATTATGTGTCACCCTGTATTTTGAAACCTATTTTATTCGGGAGATGAAATTCCAGAATTCGCGTCAGAAAAATTTCAAATGTTTTTTTTAGGTAATCCAAAACGTGTCAGCATTGCATAATTTGGAATATTTGAAAAAGTTGCAAGAAAAATGGGTATATTCAATAACCACTGAACAACCGATCGATGAAATCAAAGATTATTTTGGCACTGAAATCGCAATGTATTTTGCATGGCTCGGACATATGACAACTGCTTTATGGTTTCCAGCGCTCCTAGGGATTCTTATGTTTTTCGTTGGGTTCAAATATAAAAATGAGCCGGGAGAAAAACAAGACTTATACCAACTTATAAGTGACATTTGCTTCGTATTTTTCGCATTTTTCAATTGTATTTGGAGCACAATTTATTTGGAATCGTGGAAAAGAATACAAGCCGAATTAGCATTCAAATGGGGAACTTATGATGCTACACAAGACTCGTATCTACAAGATCCGCGGCCGGCATTTCAGGGAGATTATTTGGCACCAAATCCGGTTTCTGGTGAGATTTTAGAGCATTTTGATATAGAATTTTCTCAATTTTCTCTAATTTTTCTCCCAAGAATCTGATATTTTCAGGTCGCCTCGAACCATTTTACCCAGCCTGGAAACATTTATTCGTCCGATATATCATAACTTATCCAATAACTTGTCTGTGTGTAATTGGAATGTTTCTAGCAATGTTAGCCATTTTCACAATTCAAGATTTCTGCGATTTCTATTTCGCTCACATTTTTGCTCTAAAATGGATTTGTTATCTACCAATGATTGTTTATGCGCTTATGATTGTAATAAGTGACAAAGTGTATCGAAAACTCGCCATTTTCCTCAATGATTTGGAGAATTATCGAACAGACGATGAATATGAGGATTTTTTGATCACTAAAATTGTGCTCTTTCAATTTGTCACCGCATTTGGATCGTTGTTTTATATCGCGTTTATTTTGAGAGATATGAAAAGATTGCAAGAAACACTGGCGACATTGTTGATTACACGACAAGTTACACAAAATATTATGGAAACTGTTGTGCCGTTTATGTTGGAAAAGCTGAAATTGAGCAATTTGACATATAAGTGAGTGATTTTTGGCTGGGAAATTGGTAAAAACTGAATGATAAATAGTGGTTCATATTGGGAAAAATTCACTGTTTCAGAATTTTCATAATTTTCCAATTTATAATCGAATCCTTCCTAAATTTCAATTGTTCAAATTTCAGAAAAAATTGATTTCCAGAACACTTTTTCAAATAAAATTTCACTGTTTCAGAATTGTTTAATGTTTTAGATTTCTATATTGCGAGTGCAACATTTTAAAAACCCACAGAAAATAATACGATTTTTTTGAAACAGTGAAATTTTTCAAAATTTACCCTTACATAATTTCTTAATCAATCCCCTGAATCCAAAAAAATGGATATAAAAATTTCAAAACAGTGGATTTTTTCAGATTTGAAAATTTTGGGACTGAAAATTGATTTTTTTCAACTGGAATTTTATGATGTTCAACTACGAAAGAACATTTTTGAAAACCTACGGGAAATTATATGAATTTTTTGAAACAGTGAATATTTTTGTTCCTATTTGGGAAAAATTCACTGTTGCAGAATTTTCATAATTTTTCCATTATTTTCCAATTTCTAATCGAATCCTTTCTAAATTTCAATTGTTCAAATTTCAGGAAAATTGAAGTCCACAACACTTTTTCAAGTAAAATTTCACTGTTTCAGAATCTTTTAATGTTTTAGATTTATCTTGCCAGTGTAACATTTCAAAAACCCACAGAAAATTATATGATTTTTTTGAAACAGTGAAATTTTTCAAAATTTACTTTTCCATCACATAATTTCTTGATCAACCCCAGAATCCAGAAAATTGGATATAAAATTTTTTAAAACAGTGGATTTTTTCAGATTTGAAAATTTAGGGAAAAATTTTTTTTCAACTGGAATTTTATGAAGTTGAACTACGAAAAAACATTTTGACAATTTGAATTTTAAAAATATTCACTGTTTCAAAAAATTCATATAATAAATTCATATAACTACGGAAAATTATATGAATTTTTTGAAACAGTGAATAATTTTAAAATTCAAATTGTTCCATCAATTTCTAAAATTCACTAAAAAAACATTTCAAACATTTTAAAAGTGTGAATTCTGGACGAAAAAGATGGAAAATTCACGTGGAATTTTAACACAAAAATGATTTTTTTTTCTTTGAAATCTAATCCCTTAATATTTTTAAAAACCCACAGAAAATTATACGATTTTTTTGAAACAGTGAAATTTTTCAAAATTTACTTTAACCTTAAAAAATGTTGTAATCAAACCCCTGAATCCAGAAAATTGGATATAAAAATTTTAAAACAGTGGATTTTTTCAGATTTGAAAATTTCGGGAAAATTTATTTTTTAACTGGAATTTTACGATGTACAACTACAAAAAAACATTTTTGAATACCTACGGAAAATTATATGAATTTTTTGAAACAGTGAATATTTTTGAAATTCAAATTGTCCTATCAATTTCTAAAATTCACTAAAAATTGATGTTAGTTTCAAACATTTTATAAATGTGAATTCTGGACCAAAAAGCTGAAAATTTCAGAAAAATCATGCCACGTGGAATATTAAAACAAAAATGATTTTTTTTCTGAAATAGTTGATCTCTTAATATTTTTAAAAACCCACAGAAAATTAAATGATTTTTATGAAACAGTAAAATGTTCAAAATTTACTTTAACCTTAAAAAATGTTGTAATCAAACCCTTGAATCCAGAAAATTGGATATAAAAATTTTAAAACAGTGGATTTTTTCAGATTTGAAAATTTCGGGAAAATGTATTTTTTTAACTGGAATTTTACGATGTACAACTACAAAAAAACATTTTTGAAAACCTACGGAAAATTATATGAATTTTTTTGAAACAGTGAATATTTTTGAAATTCAAATTGTTCTCTTAATTTCTAAAATTCACTAAAAATTGATATAATATTTTCAAACATGTTATAAATGTGAATTCTGGACCAAAAAGCTGAAAATTTCAGAAAAATCATGCCACGTGGAATTTCAGCACAAAAGTGATTTTATTTATGAAAATAGTTCGTCTCTTACATTAATATTTTTAAAACCCCACAGAAAATTATATGATTTTTTCGAAACAGTGAAATTTTATGTATGCTTCTGAACTTCTCCTCAAAAAAAATCAATATTTCCAGAATGACACGTAGCATGAGCGATGGAACATTGCGGCGCCACGTGGAAAATGTGCGGAAGAAGCGGAAAAATAGCGATGAGGATTTGTATTCGAAAGATCAATTAGGAGGAGCCGATCAAGATATCAGAAATCGAAAATCAAAACGAACTTTGTCCTCAATTTTCAAAGAAGATTTATCGAAATCCGAAAGACTACCAATGCCAGAATTCATTCCGGAAAAGGTTGCGGAAAACAATCCGGAATTGACGCAAGCGGAACTCGAAAGTGTTATGAGTGTCTATGCACGACCTTTGGATGATTTTTTGGAAATGTTCATACAATTTGGATATGTTTTATTGTTTTCGCCAGCTTTTCCGTTGGCCGCATTTTGTGCGTTGGTTAATAATTTGATCGAAATTCGAGTTGATGCGTTCAAATTGTGTAACACTGTGCAAAGACCGTTTGGAAGACGGGTTAAAGGTCAGCGATTTTTGGGAGGTTCCGAATTGACGCCAAAAATTCCACGTCATAGTTTTTTTTCTGGATTTTGAGGTTTGATTGTGCCATTATTCATTTTCAAAATAATTTGTGCTCGAAGTGGCATGATTTTCCAACTTTTTTTTATCAGAAAAATTTCACTGTTTCAAAAATTTGATTTTGGCGTTTGTTCTTTGTTTCTGACGCTAACTATGTGACAATTTTTTTGGTGCAAAGTTCAAAAAAATTTTGTGATTTTTTGTTTACTTTTAAATTTTTTTTCAGTAATTTTCACAAATTATCAAAAAGGGTATTTTTTGAGTTTCACAAATTTTCACTGTTTCAAAAAATTATTATCATTTTCTGTAAATATTCGAAACTGATGAACGTCTTTATTGCATAAGATTTCACATTTACTCATTTTCAAATAACGAAATTCCACGTGGCATGATTTCCCACTATTTTTGCCACCGAATTCGAATTTTTGATATTAGAAAAATCCACTGTTTCAAACATTGAATTTAAATTTTTCTGCATTTTTGAGTATGATCTTCTGGGTTTTTTATCTTGGAAAAAAACAAGTGACAATTTCATCTCAATTTCAAATTATTTAGCACGAATCTATTTCTAAAATGAATTTTCTGCCACCAGTTTCGAAAATATCAATTTTCAAGTGTTTTTCAAATCACAAATTTTCACTGTTTCAAAAAAGTCCCATAATTTTCTGCAGGTTTTTTGAAACTGATCAGAAATTTTCCAAAACTTTTGGTGTCAAAATTCCACATTTTATTGATTTTCTGAAATTTCTAGCTTCTTGGCACAGAATGCAAATTTTTCAAATAAAAAAAAATCACTGTTTCAAAAAATTCGTATTATTTGCTGTAGGTTTTCAACATGTTTACAATTTTTATTTATACGTCAATATTTTGAAAATTCACATTCTGACATGAAATAAGCCATATTTGTCTTTAAAAGTTGGACCTGAAAAGTCTTCGCTGAATTATCATTGGAAAAATCACTGTTTCAATATAATCTCATAATTTTGAGGTTTTTTTAAAAATAATCTCACTATTCTTCCAACAAGAAATTTCACTGTTTCAAAGAATTCTTGTAATTTTCTGTAGGGTTTTTGAAACTGATGAAATCTACGGAATTTTTCCAAATCTCATAGTTTTTATATTCAAAAAATGTTTGATGTCAAAAATGCCACGTAGCATAATTTTTCTCAATTTTCTTTCTCTCTCTTTGCTCCGGAATCAAAATTGTTTGATCAGAAAAATGTCACTGTTTCTAAAATTTTATATTATTTTTCCTGGATTTTGTGGTTCGCTCTATTCCTTTATTGTTTGCAGAAGCAAAAACTTATGTAATATTTTTTTGGTACCAAGTTCAAAAAAATGTTAGCTCAAAAATGAATTTCATCATGATTTTTCACTTTTCAAATTTTTAAGTAATTTTCACAAATTATCAAAAAGGGTTTATTTTCAAATTTTTTATTTTTTTTTGTGGTTAAAATGCCACGTGGCATGATTTTCCACTAGTTTCTAGCCTTTTGTCCCGGTATTCAGATTTTTCAAATCAGAAAAATTTCACTGTTTCAAAAATGTCATATTGTTTTTTCTGGATTTTGCGATTTGATTTCGTCATCTCAATGCGCGCATTAATGCAATCAATATTTGACGTAGTTTTGGTGCCGAATTCAAAAAAAAGTCAATTTTTCTCGATTTTGAATTTTTCAAGTTTCATGAACTGATCAAAAATAGAGAATTTCTGATTTTTTTGAGTTTCACAAATTTTCACTGTTTCAAAAAATTCGTATAATTTTCTGTTGATTTTTTGTAAAAAGTATTCGCTCTAAAAAAAAGATCAGACATTATTTTTTATACTGAAAACCTTGAATTTCCAGATATTGGAGCGTGGCAAAAAGCAATGGAAATCTTGGGAATCCTGGGAGTTCTTGTAAATTGTGTCTTAATTGGTCAAAGCGGCCTCGTTCATCGAATTTGGCCCGATTTATCATGGGGTGGACAAATCCTGATTATAGTTGTATTAGAACACGTCATTCTAGCTTCCAAAATGATAATCGATATTTTGGTGCCAGATGTTCCGCATTGGGTGAGAATTGAGACAGCAAAACAGGAACATTTTCGACGAGAAGCATTCAAAAGGGAATCCAAACTGTTGACACTTCAAACACCGCCTGGAATTGGAGCTGGAAATGTGGCTGCTGCTGAAAATCGAGCTGAAACACGATATGTGAAGCCGAAAAGGCGAAGTATTACACCGATGGTTCGATTGCAGAGTTTTAGCCGGAAAACTGTTGATAATAATTGTATTGATTGATTTTTTTAATGGGAAAATAGGGGTTTTGGCGGGAACATTGATTTTTTTTTTTGAAATTTCGAGCCAATTTTTGACGCGAAATTTAGAAAATTTCAGATTTTCTTGATTTTGAGCCAAAAATTCCTGCTACAAAAAAAATCCCCGCATTTTTACACGGGTTTTTATTCAAAATTTGTCGGTATATTCACAAAATTTTTGTATTGTTTTTCAAATTTTGCATAACTCAAGCGTGTCATGTTTGTTATTGTTGTTATAATAAACTGCTTTTCTTTACACCTTTTTGTATTCCCCCCAAAATTTACAAAATAAATAAACATTGTTTATTTGCTCACACTTTCAGGGCTCACATTCATTTTGCACCGCATTTCCAAAAAATGCTCTCTGCGCTGCTATTCTTGGCGTTCTTTTTGAACCCGATGATTTTGGCACTGCCTACTGTAGTCCAGACATCTACAGTACCTCAAAATTCGACAACTGCAAGGAGTACGGTACCGGGAAAAGTGAATGAGGTGCGAGATTTGAACATTGAACAGAAATTGCCGTTTTTGAGAGGTGAGTTGGATTTTGGGCGGAAAAATTAGGAGCAACTAATAAAAAATTTAAAAGTCAACATTTTGGCTCCAACTATATTCACTCAGGAGCCAACATCGATCAACGTGCCGAATTCTTCTCAATAATTCAAGACGAAAAGCTGTCAAAATCCGAAATTTGGCAAAAAATCGAACATTGGTCTCAAAATCAATCGGAATCGATTCAAAACGACATTCTCGAATTCCATCAAAAACTCGCTGAACACGTGGAAACATCGAAAAATCGAGTGGAAAAAATCACAAAGCATTTGCCAGAAGCTCTGCTGAAATTATCTGAAATCATTCAAAATGTTGAAATAACACGAATTCAGGAGAAGAATCGAATTGCGAATTTGTATAGTAGTTTGGATGAGGATATTTCGAAGACTTTGCAATTTATTATACAATTAGTTAGTTATCAACAAAATGAGGGAAAACAATTGGAAAGACGATTGAAATTGAGAAAATTGAAAAAAGGTGGAATTTGGACTGGAAGTGTACAAGCTACTAATATTATTTGATTCACTGATTATCGATTTATTTATTGATTTTTTATAAATTATTCAATTTTCGATATATCCCTTGAAAAACCTGAAAAACTTGAAAAACCAAAAAAAAAAGAAAATACGTGCGCGTCAAATAAAATGCACTGCTCAGCGATTTGGGATGAGAAACCGGCGACGAAAATGGTCTTTTGAGAAACAAACGATAAACCGGCGACGAACACGCGATAAACTGATTCGTCGCTGATTCATCGCGAATTGTTCAGAAAAGAAAATAGCGAGCGCTTGATTGTTTTCATCGCTAATTCGTCGCCGATTTCTCGCGAGTTCATCACGTAAAAGTTTGACAACACTCCGACAACTATGCTTATTGTTTAGCATTGCTTTCGCGCTCGAAAAAACATGTTTTTTTCAAAAATGAGCGATGTTTTTTGAAGTTTCTTTTTGTTTTCGCCTGTTTTTCGTATCAACCTTCAGTTGTAGCCTATTTACGAAGTATTTTCAGTATGTTGTGAATGAAGTTCTGCTTGTTGGCGCATACAAAATCAACTAGAATGTAGGGAATAACTATTTTGCAATAAAAAGTAAGGTGAGATGAATTGTTCACATTTCGAAATGATTGTAAAAATCTGGATTAATTTAGATAGATATCAATGAACCTGTCTTGTGACACGGAAGCTATTCTCAATCACCAACGGTCCAGCATGCAACCTACTTTGAACACTCAGACATGTCACTTGAAAATTAGGAGATTTGGCTAAATAACGCGAAACCTTGCGATTGGAGCGGCACAGTGTTGATATAATGGTGAGTTATTTATTCATTTATCTCATGAAGTGTTGTGAAACCGTCATGACAGAGGCTAGAGTTTATGATTTCCTGTCAGATATAAATAACAATGGATTAAGAAAATTTGCGAAACGTGAACTTCACTGGGAGTATTATCTCATTTCTTAGAATGTCTGTCAAAAGTTGATCATTCACTAAGTATTGTTTCTGAATATCTTTTGTCACTATATACAGGAACAGTATACTCAGAAAACTTCTCGTCAGCCGTCCGCGAGGTTGCGAGCTGTCGAAAGCTAGCAGAGGCTTTTCGACTGCTCGCGGTTGCTAGCTGGCAGAACCTAGCAGTCTGCGAGCTAGAAAACTGACAAATTAGTATCAGAATTCGACGGCCGTCTGCTGGCTCGCGGACGGTTGACGAGACGTTTTCTGAGCACAGAGTGAAACCTAGATATAAACTTTCAATGAAATCTTAACTTATTCTAAGAACACGGCCTCAATATGAATAAGTACATCCAAATACAATATGATAATAGATACTTCCATACTCAAATTTTACAGACTACGACGCCGAAACATGTTCGATTGTATCTTCAAGAATGTTCAATGAAATATCACTGCGAAGGTATGTTGATAATACGGCGTCCAAGTGAAAAGAAACGTAGAATCGCTTAGACCTACGCTTTTTGTCCAAACACACGTTGTTTTGCAAAAGTTACGCGATTCTATGCGTTTTCGCGTACGCGTCTTTTTCACTTGGACGCCGTAAAATAATATTTATCAAGTTTATAATGAATACAATTTACAGAAATTGGTTGTGCCTAGATGTTATGGAAACTGTTCAACAACTTCATCATCACATTATTCTCTACAAAACTGATGCACATTCTGATGACACAACAAAGAGAACATATCAATCGAAATTTTCACCAGAAAACACTGAACAAGGACTTATAAAATGTAATTTTCACTAATTAATCCTGTATAAGGTGACTTTTAAACATTACATGTACTCTTATTTTTGAACATTTGCTATTCACTATGTTTTATGATAATAAAAGCATTTTATGAACTGATTCCTACCTATAAATTCGCAGAAAGCAAAAAACCGCGATGAAAAAGTGAAACTGCAAGCTCGCTCTAGCGCACACACATGCGAGAAACCGGCGACGAACTGGCGATGAACAACTGAGAAACCGACGGTTGCCAAGCGACTTTCCAGTTGTTCGTCGGCGATTCATCGCCAATTCGTCGCCGGTTTCTCATCCCAAATCGCTGAGTGTGTGTAGGATAGCGAGAGTTTGCACACTTTTCGTGTATGCTACAGTAATCTTGCATTAAAATTTACTTGGATTTTCAGCTTAACACAACGTTTTAACCCTGAATAAAAATGACATAGGTGAGAGTGAGACAGTTAATGGAGACGCAGGCAAAAACCTGCAAGAGAGTGTGTCACGTGAAGAGTCGCAGACATTGAAAATAAATAAAAACGTGAACCCCCAGTGTCGTTTTAAAATGTTGTGTTAAATAACTCGCATAAATCGATCTAATGGAAGCCACGTGGAATATGTAAAGGCACGCCCACTATAAACCTGAAAATGTGTTTTTTGTTTCGTCAAAACTCTGAAAAACAAACAAATATGTTTTTTTTTTTGGAATTTTTCAACAAAAAACTTTTCTTTCCCTCACGCTTTTATTATTTTTTTATTATATACCTCTCCTCAAAAATTGCGGCGCTCTCCCAATAAACACGCCTAGTACACATACACATACAACAGTCCCAGTCCCCCAAAAAAACTGATAAGATAAAATGGCACTTTTGTGTCGATGTTGCTGCCCGGCTTCTAAAATTTTTAAATTTTTTTTGGCAATTTTTTTGAAGCACAGGGTTTTGTTTTACAATTAGTGATATACTTAGTTTTTGCTCGCTTTTTTGGATTTTATCAAAATTATTCCTCTCATTAAAAATTCACTGTTTCAAAAATTTAACAAATATTTTAAGAAATTCCATTATTTTAATACTTGGTCAATGTTAATTTGAAAATTGACTCAAAAAATCCCACGTAGAATTTTTTCTATTGTTTTTGAACTCCGAAAAAATACGTTTCACGAATTTAATAATGAAAGTTTTCAGTTTGAAATTTTTTATTTTAATAAGAAAATTTCACTGTTTCAAAAATTCGACAAAAAAATTGGGAAACTCCAAAATTCCATTCGACAGACTCTTTAAAAATCTAGATTAGCCCAATTTTTTCAAAAAAAAATCCACTGTTTCAAAATTTTCAGAATAATTTTTTTGAAATTCAAAATATCGATAAAAGGACATTTTGTAGGAGATTTTGAATACACTGTTTTTCGGCGCCAAAAACTGCCGCTCGAGCTAAAAAAGCTTTTTTTTCCAGATGGGAACCTTACAAACCGATTTGAATTCCGCATTATACGCGGTCAAACAAAAATGTGTGGATTTAGACGAACGCATTCAAATTGAGGATACGGTAATTATTGATTTTTTCTCTAATTTTCCATTTCAATTCAAAAAAAAATCAATATATTACTTACAGAAGCCAATAAATCGTGGACGTGGATTTTTGGGTGTCAAAAGATACATTTACGCTCTAACGACACAGGTATTTTTCTGGTGGGAATATTTTGGAAGTTGGAATTTTCTTTTGTTGATAAAAGAATTCCAAAATTTTTGGGCGAAGAGTCATAAAATTGTTTGTTATCAGGAAAAAATTTGTGGTATTAAACATTTAGACAAAAGAATTAATTAGTCATCAAAAATTATAAAGTGGAATGTTTGGGGAACCTTAAAATTACCTTAACTTGATCTTTAAATATATCATCTCTGAAGTTACCTTATTTTTGAGGGACCTTAAAATTTGCCTTACACCGGAAATTATCCTTAAAAGTTACCCTGAATCCCTTTTTTTCCAGAACAAAAATGAGAGACGTGGAAGAAGTTTGACACGTGTCTACATGGAGCAAAAATATTTTCGAAGCAAATCGGCTCCGACATCGGACCAAGTTCAAAGACAGGAAGATTATTCACAGGATTATGGGTGAGTAGATTCAGAGTTTTGGTCTCAAATTGTAGCGCAAAAAATTTCAAAACTAAAAAAATATTCAAAAATGTTAAAATTCACTGTTTCAAAAATTAGATACAAACTTTGTCCATTATTTTTCATCAGTTTTAAATAATATCTTGTTCCACCGTTAAAATAAATTCACTGTTTCAAAAATGGTACTAAAAATTTTCAACTTTATTTTTTTATTTATCAGTTTCAAATTTGGAAAAAAATGTATTTCGAGAATTTTTTCTCCAGCTATCAGTTTGCAAAATTTTTTATGAAAAAAATTCACTGTTTCAAAAATTTGATAGGAATTTATCATTTTTTTTGTTTTCAATGGACTAGTGCAGTTGATGAAAAAATTGAAACAAAAATTCAAATATTTAATCTTATAAATTTTCGATAAATCGAAATTTACTGATTTTCTTTTAAAAAATCTACTGTTTCAAATAGTTTATGTCAGATTATCGATTATTTCAATTTTCAATACATTCAAAAAAATGAAAGAAAAAACTCAGTTTTTAATTTAGAGCAAATAGAACCTTTTTCGAAATTTTTTCAAACCAACGCTTTTCAAATTCCCGAAAAATTCCCCAAATCCCTCCTCCATTTATCTAACCTGAGCAATCCCCTAAATCTTTCAGACCAAACGGCGATCTCCGTCTCGAATTCACCGAAACCATCAGTGCTCCCCTTTCCGAACTCATCAAAGAAGACGAATCACACGCAAATCTCGTCGCAAATCGTCTCCCCGAAGGTCACACTGATTGGAATCATGAACTTCTAGTCTTCGAAGAAGATGGAACATCAGGCCGTCTTGAAGATCGCAAATTAATCTTGCGAGCCGGTGACAACATTCAAGGAGACAACGAGTTAACCGAAGTGGCCGATTATATTTCTCAAAAATTCTCAACATTTTTCGGCGAGCAAATTGAAGAGATCAAAGTGAACATCTCAAAAGATCTCTCAAAAAGTTTGACGCATTTGAACAGTGTTGAAGTTCGCAATTTGGAAGCCTCCAAGAACGTTCAAAACACAACAACATCACTCGGTGATTTATTCACAATTGAATCCAAACATGAATATGAATCACAATACGGTAGATATACAAGTGGATACGGTAGATATGGAGGAGGACCGAAATATGTTGAACATATTTATACAACTCCAACAAAGATTTATGATCGAAATAAGAAAATTGAGAAGAGATCGAGTTTTGTGCCAAAAACTGAAGTGGAAATGCCGGTGGGATATCATAGTTATTATAATCCGGCACAATTTGTGTATTCGAATCCTTATTCGTATTATAGTGGAAATCTCACAAGGCCTCTGCATTATACATACTCGCAGGTTAGTTAGTTGGGCTGGGCTTAGGCTTAGGCTAAGTCTTGCTCATAATCCCAGAGCACTCGGGCTTTCGGCTGAGATCCTTAAGGCTCTGTATAGCTCTGCAAGGCTCTGCAAGACTGTGCAAGAATATGAAAAGCCCTGCAATTTAGGCTTAGGGTTTTTTACACTCGCGCAGAGCGCTCGAGCTTTTGGCTAGGGTTGCCTGAGGTCCCTAAGGCTCTGTATAGCTCTGCTAGGCTCTGCAAGAGTTTGCAAGGCTCTGCTAGGCTTTACCAGGCTTTACTAGGCTCTACAAGGCTCTGCAGGGCTATGAAAGGCTGTGCAAGGATATGCAAAGCTCTGCAAGGCCCTGCAACTTAGGTTTGGGATTTTTTTTAAATTTAGGCTTAGGCCAATTTACACTCCCGCAGAGCGCTCACTAGGGTTGCTTAAAGTCCTTAAGGTTCTGTATAGCTCTGCAAGGCTCTTTACACTCCTTTTTACTCCCTAAGGCCCCCGAAGCCTTCTAAATGCAATTTTTCCAGGATCGCTTCGAAAAATATTCGGACTATGGTGGTAGCGGACGTCAAAGTCGAGTTCAAGAAGAACCTCCAGCTCCAGAGCCAGAGCCAATTATCATTGAGCCCGTCGCAAAACCACCAACTCCTGAACCAGAACCCGAGCCAGAACCAATTGTTATCCCAGAGCCCGAGCCTCTCCCCCTTCATCGCTCGAACTTCGAAATCGTCTCCGAGCCATTCATCACTCGAACCTATCCTGATTACTACGATAAATCCACGCAACTTATTCTAACTCGTGCTCAAGAACATGAACATCAAATTTTGGAGCTTCAACCGGTTTATGATGAGCCTTATGAAGTGCAAGAAGTTATTGAAACTTTTGACGAGGAACCGATTTATGATGAGATTCCGGTGCAAAAAGAGCCCGAGCCAGAGCCCGAACCACCTAGAGCTCTTTTCCGCTCTCAAGACATCGAGCACATCGAGTATCTTCCCGAATTCCCAGCTCTGCCACCTCCCGCTCCACCCAGATCACCAACGCCACCACCAACCTACGACGAGTTGCCACCCTCTCCCCCACCTTCACCCGCTCCCGCTCCCCGTCATCTCAATGATATCTACGTTGGCCAAGATGCCATCTCTGTCTCGTTATCGCCGAGTTTCGGCGTTTCGGAAGATCAAAAACATCTCGGGTTGGAGAAGAGTGTGTTGGTGAGAGTCAGAGAGATGGAGGAGGCGGCGAGAGACGCAGAGGCGGCTAGAGAACGAGAGTATGCCGAGAAACGAGCGAGATATGAGGAATTGCAATTGGAGATCAGACAGAATCGACCGGTTTATGAGGAAGAGATAGAGAGTGAGTTAGAGATGCAGAGGACATTGCTCAGATCAGAGAAGAATTAGAAAACTAGAGTGGTTAGGGACGCAGAGAAATATAGCATTTCTCATGTTAAACGAGGATTGCTCATGTTAGCGGACTAGTTTCCCAAATACCTTGAAAACCTAGTCCCCTAATCTCAAAAAAATCTAACATTGCTCATATTATAAATATTCAGAACCTCAAAAATATCAATCGGTGTCCACCGTAAAAGCGCGGTGCGACAAACGAAAATCGCCCAAGCGTAAGTTTCTCGCTTCAAACTACAGTAGTTTAGCTACAGTAACCTGATGTCCGAAGTACTGTAATCTTGTCTGCAAGATTATGAGATTACGGTCATTTTGAGACCAAATAAGGGTGGGTTACTGTAGGTAATCGGCTTTCAATTTTTAGTTATGCTTCCCGGGTCTTACAGCGACTACAGTAACCTTAGTGACCGTAATCATTTGATAGAGAAGATTACCGTAATTTTAAAACTAAATGATGCTGGGTTACTGTAAGTGGTGTACTGTAGGTACAGTAGACAAGCTTGTTTTCTTTAGTTATGCCTAGAAACTAAAAATGCTTTTTGGGTCTCCCGGCGAATACAGTAACCCTTGGTCAAAATTACGGTAGTCAGGGTTACTGTATTTTCTTTGTCCGACCGTAATCCAATCAATATTTCCAGGCAAAAACACACCAGCTCCACCTGCACCTGAAAAACCGAGAAGAACCTGGGTTCCACCGCCAAAACTCGATGAATTCCCAGAAGAACATAAAGATGACAGTGAGTTAGGGAAACTCCCACAAAAGCTGATCAAACTACAAACTTTTTTTGCAGAACCTTTGGGCCCAATAATATTCCACGAATTGATGTATAATGATAGTTATTTGGCGAAAATCTATCATGAAGAGCACAATTTGCAAAGACCAATTAGTCGACCTGTGAGTCGAGCAATCAGTCGGCCATCTACACCTGGTTTCGAGATTCAGCACATCGATTTTCCGCGACAAGATCCATCTAGTGTTGCTCAAGATGAAAATGTGCGATTTGATGATATTCATAGTCGAATTGAGAAATATAATGCATATGGAGATCAAGATTCTCATAATTATCACATTGAGAAGGTTTCTGATGTGATTTATGATATTCCTCACCATGAAATCATCGAAGTGCAGGTTTGTAGAAAAAAAAATGAAAAAAGAAAAAGAATTGCATCGACCGGGAATCGAACCCGGGCCGCCCGCGTGGCAGGCGAGCATTCTACCACTGAACCACCGATGCTTGAGAGTCTCGCCGTTGATTTTCATTTTTATAGCCGCCTCTCGCGCCGTCTATTCCTCCTCCTCAAGCAGTGGCGAGAAATAGTGAGTTGAATAAGAGAGACGCAGAGAAAAAAGAGAGAAATTTGTTCAGATTCGTTAAAAAGAGACAATGCACCGCCACCGTTGGTTTTCCACCACGAAGAACACGAAGAAGAAACACACCGTGTAGTTGTTGAAGAGTCAAGAGTTTCAGCGGTTGAAGTGGGACACGTGAAGAATTTGAGCAAATTGTTTAGGTGAGGTTGGGGGACGAGGTTTTGCAGATAAAAAACTAGTCCAGGGGGGGGATGAAATTTCGACAGGGGTAAAAAATTATATTACTGTAGCTCATCGCGCGAAAAAAAAATTATTTAAGTTTCGAAATGTTAGCGCCAGATGAGAAGATTACTGTAGCCTGGTGTTTTTCCGCGAAATTTTCCGAATTCGAATTTTTCAGCCACCCAGACGCCAAGCCAATCACCACAGAACAAGTGATATATCGTGTGAGAACAGTTCCACACGGACATGTTCTCCAATCACAATCTCAATCTCATCCAAAAACCAAAACACTTCGCCGAATTCCATTGGATGAAGTTGAGCTAACTCATCAACATCTACACCACGAAATCCACCATCATCATAACAATGATCAACATATTTCGGCAGCGAATTCACCTCAAGCACATATAAAAACAACAAGAATTCATGAAGAAATTAATGGAAATGTTGTGAAAGATGTCGTTTTTCGAGATGATGAACCAGTTGTGAAAGTTAGAAAAGTTTATCGAGCTGTTCTTGATGGGTTTGTCTGAAATTCTAGCTAAAAAAAATATAAAAGTGAATTTTCCAGTGACCATGAATCCTCAATCCTCTCTCCTCCATTATCACACCCAGGCGAAGATTTCGAGCCTCTCTACGATGTTCCAAATGACGCCACCTGAATAGATTTTCTAACAAACATTCAAATCATTTTTCGGTGAAATTTCCCTTTTTCTCTACGCCTCTCTTTCTTTCTTTATGTGCCTTTAATAAATAATAAATCATTTTTTTCAGTCAGGAATGGGACATTATTTGACACCCGAATAGACGAAAAAAAATTTTTTTTTGAAAAAATCAGGAATTGTAAAAATAAAACATTATTCAAACTCATCTTTATTTTTTTAACACTGTTAAAAATTATTTGAACTCATATTTATTTTTTTTTAACAGTGTTAAAAATTATTTGAACTCTTCTTTATTTTTTTAATTTTCCAGATTTACAAATTTTTGAATTTTTTGAGGTTTTCGAGATTTAAAAAAAAATGAGTTTTTTTTTCTAAATAAGCTTTTCATTAAAAAAAATTTCCAACGTGCCCTAATTATTAAATGACGTGTCGCGGGGTATTTAAAATACAAAATCGTCAGTTTTCTTCAGTTTTTTAAAATTCCTGAATAGGAAAAAGTGTAAATGAGCACACCAGTCAGTGAGAAAAAAGGTGCACCGCCAAAACTAAATAAATTCCATCTAATATCAATTTTTGCTGCTTCAATATTTCTAATTATTATTACGGATACTGTACTTGGACTTATATTATCACAATCACATTCTGATGACAGTGAGTTCCAAAATTCAAAAAAAAATGAAAGTGTTTATTTCAGAAACTGTTGATTCTATGACTGAGGCTATTCAAAAATTGCCAGATTTTGCGAAAGACGAGGCATTTTCTGAATTACCGACGGACTTGTGCCTTTAATAAATAATAAATCATTTTTCTCCGTGTTTTCAGCCAGCCAGGTCGCTTTCATTTTCTCATGGGACATTTTTTGACACCCGATATATTTTTGTTTTTTTTCTGGCTGGAAAAAGGCCAACCACCAGCTGTGTTTTTTTTGAAAACTGAAAAAAAATAAGAAAAAATGATGGAAGGCTTGATATAAGCTTAAAAGCTTCGTGGGAGTTTTTTAGAACTTCGAAGAAAAATTTTTAAGGGGGAAAATAGAGGGCTAAAGGTAGCTCATAAACTGTGAAACTCAACACCCAATATGAGTTAAGACGTGGCAAAATTGAAAATTTCAAAAAAAAAATTGTGAATTTTCATTCAACCATTCTGGAATCTAGTCATAACCTCCTAAATTCCCGATTTTTCGAAATTTGCCACGTCATAACTCATATTAGGAGTTGAGTTTTGCAGTTTTTGATTACAGAATCCTAATCTGCAGGTCGAAATCTACTAGAAAACATATTTCATTAAAAATCTGGCTGAAACTTGTAACGAAAACCCCAAATTTACCCCTACATTCCGAAGCTAAGCTAGAAATCCATTGAATTTCCGCCGCTCCAAATTGAGCCAAAACCACCATGTTTCAGTCGACTCGACAAAAAACGTCTGCAAAAAGTGACAAAACTCATAAATCAGTGTTTTCAACCCTATTTGTTGTGTCGTTGGTCTTTCTTTTTTGTGTTGTTTCCTCCAACTCTCGCGCATTCAAATCTTTCGCTCTCAATCTTTTCCACCTCTCACTATCTCTTTCCTATTTTCAAAACTAAACAACGTTCTTCTTCTTCTCCATCTCCATCTCTTCTTTCTTTTTTCATTCTCGCCAGATCGACCAAAGTGAGTGTATGTGAGTGTGTATGTTTATTTATTTGTAGATATGTCTGCGTTTCGCGCAACATCACAGACTTTTTGCCTCGCGGTTTTCTGGACGCAGAAATTGAGAGCTGAAGAAAAGAGCATTCGGATAGCAGAAGAAGAAGAAGAAGCTTCTTTTACATTTTTCGATTAATTTCGTCTTCTTCTCTTTGCTGCTCGCTACACAAAATGATAGAGAAACAGAGTTTTGCACTTTTTATTCCGATATACTGGTTTTCACTTGTTTTTTCTGAGTTGTTTATTTGTTTTCGTCAACTATTTTATTTTCCCTCTGTGAAATTGGAATTTCCAATTGAAAATTTGGGCATAGCTTCCGCGTCCTTGCCAAAAATCTGAAATTCAACCTGAATAATAAGCTCGTGGCTAATTTTCAGATGGAATTTCAGATTTTCAGCAAATAATTGAAAATAAGTTCTCGGTCCCCAAAAAAATCTGAAATTCCATCAGAAGCTGATTTTCAGATGAAATTTCAGATTTTCAGCAAAAAATTTATGAAGAAAAAATTGGGCATAGCTTCCGCGCCCTTGCCAAAAATCTGAAACTCCATCTGAAAATTAAGCTACTTCTCAATTTTCAGATATAATTTCAGATTTTCAGCAAAAAGTTTGCAGAGGAACTTCGGAAGCGACATTGCAATTAATCTTTTTTGAGACAGGTCCCACGGGGATTTCAAGTTTATAAATAGCCCAAAATGTTGTCTGGAACTCGAGGATTTCTATTTTAGGAATGAAATTTTAGCAATTTTTAAAAAGTTCACGTCCTGAAATTAAGTTGAAAAATTTTCATTTCGAAAAAAAGAAGGTTTTTGGTGTCTGAAGCCTCGTCACGAAATTTTCTCACATTCATAACTCTCTAGAAACTTTTCTGTTTTCGAACCGAAGCCAGCTGTTTCGTTTTCAATTTTCAAAAAAGCTCACGCCTCTCTGCTGATTTTCAGCAATATTTTTCCGAGCTGAAAATCTTAGGCAACTCCCAATGGAGTGATTTTCAGCCACAACAAAAAAACACACCAAAGATGTGTCCCCAAAGAAAAAAAACATAAACAGATTTGTGATCTGGCCTATTTCCTGTCTGTCACTCACTCCAAATCCAAATTACTCTCTCTCTCCCTCCCAAACTACCTCCATAATTTTATTATTATAAAACATTTGTCATTTTCCATTTTTCAAGGTCAACAAACCGTAAAAAGTTTGGAAATTGAAGAAATTGACCCCAAAAAATGAACATTTCCATATTTATTCATAAAATATGAAAATATTGATAAGAACGATGCATTGTTGTGTATTATTTGTATGATTAATATTATGATTATTGAAAAAAGCGTCTTCTTCTTATTATTTTCTATATTTTATGTATGTATGTATACCACAAAAATGTATATTTTTTATTCCGGCTTTTTTCAAAAAAGCCCCTTCGATTTTCATTATTTATTCAATGCTCCCACTTTTTTCTCTATTCTGCTCTTCTTTTTCGCTTTTTTTCGTTGTTGTTTTTGTTTTCCGAAAAAAAGAAGAGTTTTCAAAACAAAAATATTTTGGTTTGCGCGAGAGACGTTGTTAGGTCCGACGGGTTTTTGATCCTTATTTCTTTTGAAAATTCAATTTTGACTGATTTTTGAAAAAAAAATGGGCATAGCTTCCGCGCTTCTGCCAAAAATCTGAAATTCCATCTGAAAATTGAACTGCTCAATTTTCGGATAGAATTTCAGATTTTCAGCAAATAAATCATATTTATACCCCCAATTTTCAGAGCTCGGAATTCAAAATTTTCCGCCATTTTTCGCCCACTCACTTGACTTCTAACTTATTCAATCGCTCCAAAATCGGTCAAAAATAATCTCGAAAATCTCCCCAAACTTTCTCCTCTCACCTCAAAAGCTTTTCTGTTTCGTTCATTCAAAAACGTTTTTTTTTTCGCATGACGAAAAGCCGTTCTTGGTGAAGTGTGAACATTTTTGTTTACTTTTTGTCTTTTACATGAAACAAAAAATTATTGAGCCTTCTGGTTGCTCAATAATCTTATTACATTCTTCTTTCTTTTTTCGGTTTCCTGAATGTATTCAATTTCTTTTTGGATTTTTACGAGGATCGCAAATATTTAGGAAAAGTCGTAAATTTATTTTTTTTGTATGTGTTTGTTGTGTTGAAAACTTTTTCTTGAGAATAAATTTACATTTTTCTCTCTCTCAAAATCATTTCTAACAATAATTTTCTAAAATCAATATATTTCTAGCCCAAAAATGAATGGGACAGCGGTGAGTGAATCAACAAATGGAAGCGAATTGAGTCGATCTGATAGTTTAAAGGCGGAAGAATCGAATGTGTTGAAGGATTGGGATCCAAAAGTACTCTTGAAATCTCTTTATGAGATTTCGTATGAGCCGAGAGTCGAGACAAAACGAAACAGATTTATTCCGATGGAAGGACACATTGAAGTGCCAGCTGATGAAGTAACAAAAGCTGATGGTTTGGATAATGAGGGATGGATGAAACAATATATTAGGAATAAGGAGGGAAGATTGCAAATTTTTGCGGTTAGTTTTGGGCAAAACATTTTAGTTATGGTGGAAAATGTTGATGAAAACTCAGTTTTTAAATTTTGTTTACAATAACTTTGAAGATTCTTGTTACAAAAATCAAAAAAATTCACAAACGTATTCGAAAATTGAACAAAACTAGAATACAACAAAAAGTGATTTAAATTTCAAATTCAAACGTGAACTATGACGTGGCAAAACCTCAAACATCATTTCATAACTATTTTTTACGGGAAAAATTGAATCTTCCCCATTTTGCATTCCCGAATTCCATATGCCTCCTTTTTGAGAAATATGAAAAAAATTCCTCTCAAATTTTTCCGTAAGTCTTCTTTTCCACGTCCTAGGTACGACTTTTTTACCTTCCTAAAAATCTTCAATTTTCAAGTGACAGCATCAATTTTTCATGAAATTTGACCTTCAACCGATTTTGCAACAAAAAAGCGGAAGTGCAAAGTTCGTTGAACCAAAAAATCGGCTGAAAGTCGATTTCCAGAAACGTATTTTGCTGATCAAAAAACATTTAAAAAAATCCGGAAGTGCGACAAACACGAGTGGAATTTCTCAGAAATTCACTTCAATTTTTGATCTTCGGAAACGAAACATTCATGAATTTTCTATTTTCAGACGCACTACGCCGGTGAAGCCCCTGCACAAGAATTAATCCTATCCGGTGCTGACGTGGATGCCAACAAAGATGAGAGAACTTTGACAATTCATGGAGGCCGCGAACATGTCAAATATTATTGCAGGTAAGGATTTCAATGTTTCGGAAGTATTTGATTTACAAAAAAATCAATAACTTCTAGAGTTCCCTCCGCATTATTCGACAAATGGCGACAATCTTTCTTATCACATTGTGCTTCATCACAAATCGACGCCTATGTCAAACCAATTCCTCGAGCATTTCAACATTTGACAGAAAGAGTATTGATTTTGGAACTTGGTTCGAGTTCGATTCGCGCAGGAGTTTTGACAACTGAACCATCTTTACCACAAAGCTTTTTCCCTTCAATCGCAGTTCGAACTGACGATGGAAAAATTATTGTTGGAGAAGACGCCTATAAACCAGAAATCAGACATAATGGACATTTTGTTCGACCAATTCAAGCAATTGATCCATCAGTTGAAAGATATTCAATCGACAAAGAAGTGTTAGAAGCTGTTATTTTGAAAGTTATCAAAGATTTACGAATCGAACCATTCAAATATAAAGTTCTTCTATCAATCCCGCAAAATATACCAAGTGTTTTGATCGGTGAATTATTATCAATTTGTTTGAATGATATCAAATTCCAAGGTGCCGCAATTACAAGACAACCATCTTTAATTTTATACGCTTATGATGTTACAACTGGTGTAGTTGTGGATATTGGTGAAAGATTGAATATTGTACCAGTTATTGATGGATATGTTGTTGAATCAGCTATTGCTTCAATTCCTTATGGATCACAACAAATGGGAGATTCATTAAGAAACTCGTTGAGTGCTAGTAATAAGGGATTATATTCATTCCAAAGTCCCGTAGAAAAATTGATTTTACGTTACGTTATGGAGCAAACTACATAGATTCCGGAAGATTACCAAAAAGAAGAGAAGGGAGAGAATCGTGAGACAAGGATTTCATTGGATTCGTTTGATACAACACCAGGAATGACTACTAGATTTGATGTAAGTTTAGCCCTCACAACCAACAAAATGAGAAAAAAATTATAAAATGTTGTAGATCGATAACTCGCGATTTTTGTGCACCGAAGGATTATTTAAGCCGAAAAAATGGGGATTGGATACTAAAGGACTTCACCAACTCATTCATGAAGCAATCTTACAAAGTCCAATTGATAGTCGACGAGTTTTATATAGGAATATTTATCTAGCTGGAGGTGCTTCACTTATGCCAGGACTCGCTGAAAAATTAGAGCAAGAACTCTCGACAGTTGTTCCTAACACAATTCATACACAAGTGAATATTTCGCCATGGAGGTATAATGCGGCATATTTGGGAGCCCAAATCGTTGCATCTGCTTCGACATTTGAAGACTCTTGCATTTCGGCTGACAAACTTCCCAAATTTATTGCACAACTTCAAGCATCCTCTTTCTAACTAATTTTTGACCAATTCACATTTTTCTCTTTACGCGAATAGTTTTATCGCTTCTGTACATTTTAATGTTTCTTTTCTTCTTGTGATAAATTCATCGCTAGCAGTTGTTTCTAGCTGTTAGGTTGACTTTTTAATAAAATAATAATAATGAAATAAATATTTATGAAACTAACTTGTTTTTCCTGACTTTTTCGAAACTTCAGAGAAATTTTACAGTGCCCAATAGTTCTTAAAATGTATTCCAAAGCTTATGACATGAAAACTTTCGAGATGAAACGTAAAACACGGAGAAAAACGGAGAAAAAACGAAAAAAAAATAAATAAAAATACGTTTTCAAGGCGCATCGATTTTCTCTTCTCTTGGGTCTTGTCGCGATGTGTGTTTAACGAAGAATGTGCGCTCCATTGAGATGCACAGAAAATTTAGGCCGTCTTTTCTTTTTGGAGTTTTTTTGTGTGTTTCCCTCTTTTTTTCAGGTTTTGGTGACAATCGAGTGTATTTTTATGTTTTAAAATTCAGGAAAAATACCTCAAAATTATATTATATAAGTTCTCTCCGTCGAATTGCCGTTAAATCCTCGAAATTCGTGATTTTCAAAAATTTATGAATTTTTTTCAGCATGGGTATCTCGCGCGATTCATGGCATAAGCGCTACAAGACTGGAGCTACTCGCCCAGTCCCACACAAGAAGAGGAAGTTCGAACTCGGTCGTCCAGCCGCCAACACCAAGGTGAGAATTTTTTTAAATTAAAAATTATATTTTTTGTCCTAAAAATTTGAATATTTTTCCTCTTTGTTCAGATTTTCACAGCTTCCATGGGTTTTACCTAGAGCTAAGGAAAATAAAATTGTATCCTCCAAGTTTTGCCGTGAAGCAAAAATAATTTCTTATTTTTTCAGATTGGATCCCACCGTGTTCGTCTCATCCGCACTCGTGGAGGAAACCAAAAATACAGAGCTCTTCGTCTTGACAACGGAAACTTCTCGTGGGCTTCGGAACGTAAGTTCCGAAAATAATTGGATTTTCTTTTCAAATTGTTTTTTTTTTCAGAAACCACCCGCAAAACCCGTATTGTTGACACCATGTACAATGCCACCAATAACGAGTTGGTCCGTACCAAGACCCTTGTGAAAGGAGCCATCATCACCGTCGATGCTGCTCCATTCCGTCAATGGTATGAGGCTCACTACGCCCTCCCATTGGCCAGAAAGAAGAACGCCAAGATCTCCGAGGAAGACGCCGCTGTTTTGAACAAGAAGAGGTTGGTTTTTTATCAGAAGCAAAGAGCCTTATACTAATTATTAATTTTCAGATCCCACAAGACCCAAAAGAAATACACCGAGAGACAAAAGACCGCCGCCGTTGATGCCTTGTTGCTCGAACAATTCAACACTGGACGTCTCCTCGGTAAGTCCTCAAAAATACAGACTATTTCTTGTTTCGAAAAGAAAAAAGGGTCTGGTTTTCACCAATGACTCATGTTATTCTAGTTCGCATAATTGGTTAGTGTAATGTAAAACTTCCGCGTTTTATTGGTTTTCTAGATAGTCTGATTCTAATCTAGGTCGTTTATGTTTGCAAGCGCTGAAACATACAATGCGAGAATTTAAATGCAAGGCCTATGCAAGCTACCATCGTTTTATATCATGTTTTAAAGCATAATGATTCATCAATTTGATAAATGACATTTTCAAGGCAAAGTGTCGAACAGCTAATTTGACCTTTTATGATGCGTAGATACATTTGACCTCCGTAACCCGAAACAAAGAAGCATACGAATTTCTGATTCGTCAACATGAATTGCGTCACACATGATATCAAAAACAATCTTTTTTTCAGCCCGTATCTCTTCATCACCAGGACAAGTCGGACAAGCCAACGGTTACATTCTTGAAGGAAAAGAACTCGACTTCTACCTTCGCAAGATTCGCGCCAAGAAAGCCAAGTAAATGTCTTCTGTCGTTTGTTTCTTGTTTTTGTTACATACAAAATGAAAAGTTTTGTTTAAAAATACTGTCTAGTTGTTATTTTTCTCGAGATTTTCCTCAACATATAATGCTTCTTCGAAAATGACCTTGAAACCGAAATAGCGGTTCGGTTACACTCTGTCGCTTATTGTTCTAATTATTTTACTTATTTATGCAGTGTGAAGATCAGAACCGAAATACGATTACTCATCTGCTGCTGAAATTGAAGACGAGGTAAAGAAGCAACAACAGAAGAACCTGTCAAGACAATGGAGGCGGAGAAAAGCAGGGTCAAATGGCAAGAAATGGTTTCGTGTATATAAAAGTAAAAGGTAAGCCATTTTCTATCATACTTTCTCGACCTTGGCGAAAAACTTTACACTCAAAGTTATTTACTTCTTTCTTTCTTTTTCGCTAACCACACCTTTTTCGAAACAAAAAAAAAACGCGTTTTCTTAATCCTTTAATTTATCTGCCTATTTAGCCTAAGTTCAGAAGCTATTGCCCTCATTTTTTTGTGTTTCGAAGACATCAAAAAACCTTTCAAATTTCTAGATGTTAAATCTTCTGATCTTCTTCGCAATTCTGCACCAAGCCTCAGCAACATTTGGTGGTTGCTGTTCAATGGGTCCACCGCCATGCCCACCTCCTCCAATGTGTGCCCCACCTCCTTTACCTTGTCCACCTCCACCAATTTGTCCTCCTCAATTCTGTCCCCCACCTCCCCTTTGTCCACCTCCTCCACCACCACCTCCACCACCAATGTGTCCCCCACCTCCGCCACCTCCAATGTCACCTTGTCAATCGTATGCTCCAGCTCCGGTTTTCGCTCAATATGCTATGCAACCAGCCAATGATTGTTGTTGTCGATGTGGAACACCGTGTAGATATCGAGCCAGACATCGTACACATGGATCCAAGGTTTGTGTGTTTTGTTGGCCAACAAAAATCGAGAAATGAAAATTCCACGTGGAAAATCTGAGTCCACGTGAGACCATTATCAAAAATTTGCTAATTGCCACGTGGCTTTTAAAAATTTAAATTTTTTTTTTCTTAGGCTTATTCAGGGTCCAAAATTCCAAAATTTTGAGCTTCTACTTTAGAATCCACGTGGAAAACCATCCAAGTTTTTCTAAAAATTCTGCTTTACAGAATCCACGTGGTAAAATCTTCAAAAAACATTTGTGTTTTGTTGCCACGTGGATTCCAAACTCAAGTTTTTCTGAAAAGGATAGAATTTCAAAAATCAAAATTTTCCAGCTTTTCCACGCCGAATCCATGGAACAAGAAGATCCAACTTGCAACAGCAAAAAATTGAAGAGAGTTATGGAACGTGTAAGTTTTTAATTGTTTTTTAGCCTAATTAATTAATTAATTCTTATTAATTTGCAGAACATGAATCACGATCCAACAATTTCCAAGCGAGCAATTCAAACCGCCGCCGAAGAAAAGCTCTTCGGAAAATTCAATGTTATTTGTGCAAAAGGCGATTTCTCATATGTCGCTTATACCGAAACTTATTGCCAAGTTGCTAATGATGACGTCACATGTTACGCTTTCAGACCAATGTAAACACAAGAATTAGTCTGAAAATTGAATTTCTTGTTTTTTTTGTATATTCTGATGATCTCCCAGAGGTCTCCAATATTATTATTAATTTTTATTGATTTTTGAATAAGTTCCTTTTTTGCTTCTTCCAGAAAGTTTTTGAACAATTTTTATATCAAAATTCAGAACAACAAGAACTTTACACGAACAAAAAAAAAACAAATGCAAAAAAACAAACTATAACAAAATTATCTCAAAATTCTCAAACCTTAATTTTTTCTTCCTCTTCCTCAATTTTTGATGCCGAATTTTTACAATACGAATGTTCGCTCAAAACATCTCTCCAAGAGTCGTCGAATTCGAAAAATTCCGGTTCATTCTCTTTTTCAGTTTCATCTTCAGCGTCAGGTTTTTCGAAAACTGGCGGAGCATTTTGAATTCGCAAATGTTTCGGACAATACAATAAAATCTCGTGCTCTCCAATATTTTCCATCAAATCATTGCGCGATTTCTTGATTTTTTCAGGAAAAATCTCGAAAATTCGACGAAAATCTTCGCGTTTTGATCGCGCGAATCGATCATCGATTCGTGCCACGTTGCAAATATGACAACGTTGAATGACGATGAAATTGTGCGAATTTTTATCGAATTGTGGTTCGCGTGAGATTGGAGAACTTTGATATTTGGCGGCGAAGTGTTGATAGCATTTCCAGGCGGATTTTATCGAAAAACCATCGAATTTATTAATTGATTGAATGTACATGTAGGTGTTGAAACAATCAGTGTGAGACACTTTTTCTTGCTGGAAAAATAGAGGTTTTGAAAGAAAAATTGCGAATTTGTCAATTTTTGGTAAAATTAATTGTTTTGAAACCAAAATTTTATACGTTTCATAATTTGAATATTTAAAAAAATGTTTGAGATCATGTTCCAATGAGTGTTTTCCTGGTCAAATTTTCCCCCTAAAAACCCGCTCACTTACAGCTTTGTCAACATGCTCCTGACATGCAAAAAATTGTGAATCGATCGAAAATTGATTTCTCGCCTCATCTTCTTCAATTTGCTCTTCTAAAACCATTCCAATAAGCAGCATCAATTTATCATTTCCAAGTGCGATTTTTCGTAAATCCGATATATTTTTCGATGCACAAATTCCACATTTCAATTGATTCACTTTCTCCTGGCGTTTTCTAAAGAAAATCTAGAGTTTTTGAACGTTTTCTCAATATTGAATAAGGAGTAATTTAAAAAATTTACATATAATCTGGTTGTTCTTTTCCTGCAGATCGATGTGAATTCCTTGTCAAAACTTTTCGTTTTCTCGATTCTTCAAAAAGCTCCGCCCGATTTTCCATTTTTCCAAAAACACTTTTGACACCTTTTCGATATGATGCAATAGAAATTGGGCTTCTTCGAATTTCCACTGCAATTTCGTAGAGAAGCGTATTCTTCTTGATGAAATAATCACTATATCCGTTCAATATTTTCGACAAAACTTGCTCCTAAAACACACAATTTTTCATCAATTTTCCCAGAATTTAGGCTAACTTACAGATAATTTGAGATGTTCCAAACATGTGAACATCTCGCACGGTGTATTATACAATCTGGTCGATTCTTGAAGTCCCAAACTCGAACACATCACCCAACCAGTCAGAATTGTCAATTTTTCCGGATTTTCCTTTATTGAAATGAGTTTTTCTTCGGGTTTTCGTGTTTTACAAGCATCACAATAGACAGCTTCATTTTCTTTTTCTTGATCTGGCTCCATTTTATGGATTTTTATTTGACAAATCGAGGTTTTAGGATTTTTGTTCAGAAAAAAACGGAAAAAAATAGAAAAAATAGAAATCGTCGCACGACCCATGCAGTGTTTGGTGTGTTCCTTTGAAAAAAGCATACAGTAAGTAAATGGTTTCGCAACGAACATCGCCCGCTAAATGTCTTTTTTTGTTTTTTTGTAAATAAATCTGGATTTTCGGGGAGAAAAGATAGCTGAAATGGGGCTTTCGAGTGGATATAACAAAATTGCAATGCAGTGGGAGTGCTATTCTGCTGAATTGATCAGCGACGAATGAAGAGATCCAAAACCTAAATCCAAATCCAATCCAATCCAAAACGTAAAGAAAGAACGAAAAAATAAGAGTGTGTGTCAACACCGAATGCCCGCAAACACAAAATCCTACGCGCAATTTTGTAAAAATTAAATAACGACACTCCGCTCAAACAGTGTGAGAAAATTAAACAACAGGCAAGCCGAGTGTCGCTGTTTTACTTTTATTTTTTTCCTTTTTTGTTTTGGGAGCAACTAGTAATAATTGAAATAATTGTTTTTTTTCGAAAAATCAATTGGACAGAGAGATTCTGCGCTCCAATATTAAAAATATTATCACTAGAGCGCACAATCTCTCTGACCTTCGATGACCGCCAGCTTTCGAAAATTAATTTTTCTCCTCATTCGTATAATTTTGTTCAAATTTTTCCTCAAAATATTCGAATTTTCGGCAGTTTCTAGTTATAATTCTAATTATTAATCGGATTCTTCACAATAAATTGACCCCGATTTCTATTGAGCCGTTTGTTTGTTTTTTGTTTGTGCTCCCGATTTTTTTCTTGGAGGAGCGGGAGCTTTTCATCGACTGTTTTTGACACGTTCTCATTTTGTGCTGTTTTCTTATCATTTTCTATTGAGATTTCGGTTGAAAATTTTGGTTTTATAGAGATTTTTCAGCTTTTAGTTTTAGTTAGTACTAAAAAAACTGACGAGGTTTGAGAATTCCAAAACCTTTTTTTGTAATTTTTTGATGGTACGTTGAGGCTAGAGTTTGCAGTTTGGTATACTGTAGATAGAAAATAATTTATTTCAGAAAAAAATTTTATTCTACATAAACAGCAACCTTCCAAGTCTACAGTAGTTAAATTGTTTCTTGACAAACTACAGTAATCAAACTGCAAAAAAATTTGTTGTTTTTTGTGATCTGCCCAAAACTAAAATTTGCAGTTTGGTGTACAGTAGATTGTTTCAGGACTTACAGTAACTTTTTCAAATTTAGGTTTTTCGCTTAGGAGATCTACAGTAACCGACTAGACCTACAGTAACCGACTAGAACCGACTAGACCTACTGTAGCTCATTTTTAGACCCCAAAACTACTAAAAAGTAGTTTAAGAACTACAGTAACCAAACTGCATTTTGTTCTAAAAGTAGATCAACGTTTTTTATTATTCTTAATTTTTTTTGAAATCCGATATTCTTTTCAAAAACAAACAGTTCCAATTCAAACAATAGCCTGAATCTGTCAAAAAAAAAAACAGAAAAACAAATAAGTTTTTGTGTTCGCTTTTTTCAGCAGATTTTTTTGAGCTAAGATTTCAATTTTTGAAATTCAAGTTTCACCTTGAAAAAATAACGCGAAACTTGAATTTTTGAACTTCGCGCCTTGAAAAATCAAGGGCGAAATTTGAATTTTTCGCCTTGAAAAATTGGGAGGGACTCTTGAAATTTCAAATTTTTAACCTTAGCTTCTGATTTAACCTGCTCCAGTTTTTTCCGCGTGTATTTTCCGGGTGTCCAAACACTTTTTTTGCCGCGCACGATCTTGAGATGAAGAGCCTTAGCCGCGCGGAAAAACAGACAAGAAAGTGTCCCCGCAAAACCACTCGAATCTCATTGATTTTTCCCCTTCTTTTTTTTTCTTCCCGACACTTTTATGTACTAATTTTATTCACTTTTTTTTGAATTTATAAAGTTTTTGAAAAAATTAAAATTTCTCAAAAATTACAGAAAATGTCTGAAAACAATTCAAAAAACAAAAGACGCCGGTATTTTGCAAATGGGCGGAGTCGAACTATCGAATTGTCGACGTTGGCTGAAATTGATGAGGAGGAATATACAAAAGGAGGTGAGGAATGAAACTGAAAAAAATGAAATAAAAATGAGTGGGAAATTTGAATTGGGCGCGGGATTTGGAGCTGAAAGTCACCAAATAAGCCTAGGTTGAAAAAAAACTGGGATTTTAATGTGGAAATTTATTGATTTTCAAAACGAGCGTGAAATTTGGAGTCTACAGATACCAAATAGATTTATGGCTGAAAATTAGAGTTATTGCAAATTGCGAAAGTCTGAAAGTATCCTAATTTAGCCTCACACACTTTTTGATCTACAGAAATCCGAAAAAAAACATCAGATTACTGTAATAGCTAGTATTCATTTTATTTATTTTTTAATTTGTGTTAAACAAAAATATTTCGATTCAAAAAATATCTAGTTTTTCCCCGAATTAGCCTCCTTCTCATTTGAAAACCGCTAAATTTTTTCCAGTAATCGAAGGTAGCAGTCTAACATCAATAATCCCTGATCCTCCACCTCCACCTTCTTTACAAACTCAAGATGATATGTGCATCGGAACAATGGGCTCATTCAAATCTCTAAAACGTGGAAGTGTAAAAGCACAAGCGCTGAAATTAAGTGAGAGATTGGCACAAAAAGTGGCGGCTGAAAACGCGGCGAAAAATGAGGAGAAACCAGATCAACATGCAAATATGAATACAAATTTTAGTCAGAGTTTTGTGGGTGCACAGAATTTGAATTTGAATTTGAACTCGAGCCAGCAGAATGTTAAGTTGAGAAGAAGTCGAACCTTTGATGTGAGTTTTTTGCTTCGAGCTGCAAAAATATTCCAGGAACTTTTGAATAATTCAGAAATTAGTGTGTTGCTCAGATAAATGATTGCTCATATTAGTCACCAATTAAATTCTGAAATTACATAACTATTTTCTTGAAGTCCCAGGTTTCAGAATGACAATATTTATATTGAAAAACTAATTTTGGCTGAAACTCATGAAATTATTGAGTTTTGTCATTTTTTGGGGTGTCATTGAAGTTCAATTTTCATGTAGAGTTCAAATTTTAATCTGAAAAATTTGTGAATTTTTTTATTCAGCAGGAAATTTGACGTCGAAAGACATCTGACAAGTTGAGGTTGAAAAATAATAAAAAAAAAATTAAGCATAAAAAATTCATAGTAAGCTTTCAAAGTTACAGTAACCCAAACTACAAATGCTGTAAATTAAAAGCTACTGTACCCAAACTGCTCACCCATGGCCTTTATGCCTTGAGAATTAACCGGACTACAACCTCGTGAAATTTTGTAGATCAAAAATAGTAATTGAAGCATCAATCAATAGTTACAGTAATCCAGACTGCAAATTGAAAATATAATTTAAAAACATTGTGAATCACACACCTACAGTACTCAAAAAAAGATCCCTGAAAACTTGGAATACTGTACCCTTTGGAACTTTTTGATCTACAAATTTTTGGACCTATTCAATCATAATAGTATTATAATCTTCTCCCCCCACCCCGCTATTCATTATTATTATTATTATTATTTATTTAATTTTGCTCACCCGCTCTCCCTCGCCGTTCTTTTCTTTTTTGCTTGCCCTCTGACAGTTTTGGTGGCTGAGCTTATGATGGTCAAGGCAAAACGCCGCAAAAAGTCACATTTTTGTGTATGCTTAGCGCTTCTTCTTCTTCTATCTTAGTCTGGTCTGCTCATTTCTTTTATTTACATGTTTTTATCCGCCGTTTTTATCTTTTTCGGATAAAATAATAATCATAAATGGCCACTTATTCGTATAGTGAATTTAATCGAATATTTTGCGATGCTGCCAAAAATGAACTACAGCAAAAAACGGTGAGAGTCTAGATGGGTACTGTAGTGTTTTTGGGATGCGGAGAATTTTGATATCAAATAGTAATTCAGAATTCTTGAAAATTACAGTACTCCAGTACTTTTTATTAAGAATTTGTTAGTTTTCCTTATTTTTGTGATCTTTTTTTTGGATTACTGTACCTATGATTCATATTTTTTGCTGTTCTAAAATATTCAATTTGCAGTTCAGGTTACTGTAGTTGTTAATTTATAGGGTTCCCAGATTCTTGAATTTCTGTAGGGGCGTTTTTTCATAGGGATTTTGTGCCCTACAGTAATTCAAGAATCTTTATGGGATCTGTAGAGCTAAAAGTTCCAATTATGAAAAGCTACAGTACTCCAGTGTTTTTTTTCAAATGAAGTTTGGGTTACTGTACTTGTTGATCAGTAAGGTTTAGCTTGAATTGTTGTTTTTGATCTACAAAAATTCACAAACTTGTAGCCAGGCTACTGTAGTTTTTGATCTGAGTTTCTGAATGTTTAGATTAGAATACTGTAGCTTTCTTAATGCTAACTCAGCGTTTGCGTACGTAGCTTAAACGTAGACGAACCGATGTCAGCCGCTGACATCGGTTTAGCTAGACAAATAGGTACGGTTTAGCTACGCAATGTGTGTTTGTGCGCCGGAAATGGATTTTGTTTTCTTTTTTCAGTCGCCCTAGGAACTTTTCTGTTTTTAACACATAAAATATAAAAAAAGAAGAATTTATTATACAATTTATATACAGAAGTAATAAATAACATAATTTCAACAAAGATATTTACATAGAAAAAAATTATATCAGTTTTTCCGGGTTTTGATGTAAATGGCGATGCTGATGAACATTTTGAGGCTGGCAATGTGATTTTCTTTGTCTGATGGAAGATTGAATGGGGTACGAGCTGAAAAACTGATTTATTGAACTAAAGATAGACTGAGAAGTGCAACTATTCTTCAAGAATTAGGAATTCAACAAAATATCCTTCATTACACAAGTTTAGACAGAAATTCCAACAATCTTCATTTTCTAGATTCTGCTTATCAGGATAATTAAAAATAACTCACTTTTTGTTTCCGAAATTCGTTTTCTGACAGCATAATCACATTCTTTCGATAAAAATCCATTTTTTTGTCAAAAAATCGATTTCCGAGCCTTTCAAACGGTTTCTCTGCAAATTTATTCATCATATATGGTGGAAATTAGTCTGTCAATGTAACTTACCTTCTTAAAACCGGTTTGAGTTGATGTAACTTGAATTTTAGGGCAATTTAGGCCTTGAAAAAACAAAAATGAAAAGCAAAATGAGAAACCGCAGCGCACTCGAGAGTATTCGCTTTGCAACGCGGTCAGCTTGTAAAAATGCGTAGCTAAACCGTAGCTACGCATTAGCTAAATGCACCCTCTGTCTACGTTTAAGCTACGCCCGCAAATGCTGAGTAATTTTTGCCGTATTACTGTGGGTCTTAAATTTACAGTAATTGTTGAATCGAATGGAGGGTACTGTAGCTCTTATTCTACAGTAACCTCCAATTTGATTTAAAAATTCTTGAAAAACTATAGCAAAAATTGAAAAATGGCTTATTTGGTATAGAAAAATCAGGAATTTGTCAGATTTCCAATTCGCAAAAATACAAAATTTTCAAAATTTTTTTTGCAGAACACCGAATTCAATGTACACGAATGGCAAGCTGCTCAAAATCAAGCTCAAGCTTTGCCAACTCAAAATCTGTCAACTCAACCTCAGCCAATCGATTTCGCCCCTCCACCATCCCGTGCACACCATCCAATTTCTCGCTCCGCTTCTTTCGTCGCCACTCCAACACCAATGTTCGTCTACAGTATGCCACCATCTACAGTACCCCCACCAGATCGTTGCGAGAGTCGTTGCGACTACAGTATGGCTCCAATGTATTTCGCCGCTGCTCCACAACCCCAAAATCATCCGATTTTTGTGCCATTCCTAGCGCCACACCATATGGGTTTCGAAAAATCGGCCAGCCTCCAACCACAAATGTATTGTCTACCGTATGATATGATGGGTCCCGCAACGAATGGCCCTGCGACAGCTGGCACTACAGTAATCCCAATGCCACGTAGGCAGAAGATGAAATCGGGAAAATTTCGAGAAGAGGAATCGTGGTGTTCGCGAATTTGTTGCGCTGGATTGGCACAACTCTTGTGGACCGTAGTCTGTATTATATCATTCGGAATTATTGCCTCATTGATTTTGGCACTTTGTTATATGTGAAATTAAATGAGATGAGAAGAGTACTGTAGGATTACTGTAACTGAAAAATCGAAAAGAATTATCCAAATTTTGAGCTACCAAAGTTGGAACAATTTCTAGATACCGTAAGATTTTTGAGCTACAGTACCCCATTTCAATTTCCAAAATGCTAAGCTTTTTCCCAATTTACCGTACACTCTACAGTACTCATTTTTTTTTCTGCCAATTGTGCCATATTTTCCAATTTTTTGTACAACTTCATCCCTCCTTCAAAACTATATACTTAATAATTTTTCTTTTTTTTTACTGTGATTTTTTTGTTTTCGAAACCATTCCTGCGACGAATAAAATATTGAAAATGGGCACGACAGTAATTCGAACTGCAAAATATTCAATCAAATAGAGCTACAGTAACCCAAACTGCAAAAACACTTAAAATTAAGAGCTACAGTAACCTGAACTGCAAAGGAAATCCACTACAGTACCTTCCAAACTGCAAAAAAATCAATAAATTGCCCCCGATTTGAATTTTTCAATGTCATTTCTCAAAAACAGGTTAGATTAATTCCCTCGAAAAAATTTATTTCAATTTTTTTTCGCCGAAAAAATTTGTCATTTTCATTTTTCTTCCTTTTTTTTCTTCTTTTCTCAACACGCAAATTAAAATTATTATTTTTTTTTGTTGAGAAAACGAAACCGAAAACGAAACTAATTAACATTTTGCTCACATTTCTCATTTTTACTTAAAAATAGAAAATTGAGAAGAAGAAAAAGAAGAAGTGTGTGGATATACTTACTTACTAATTGGAAATAACAAGAAAAAGAATTGAGATGATTACTGTAGCTAAGCCTGAGCCTAAACCTAGGTTAACTCTAGGCCGCTTCGTGGAAGCTTGCGGTTCAAAAAACCAGATCTACAGTAATCCAAGCATTTCAGATTTTGGTAGATCAAAAGTAGTACTGTAGACTTTCAAAATCTTCAACTTTTGGAAGTACAGTATTCTCAAATTCAACGGGAAAACTAGACTTACAGTAACCTTTATCTTTTTAGTCCAAATATTGTAGATCAGTTTTATCGGCGCGAAAATTGATCTACAGTAATCCAGAGTTTTTTGGATCAAAAGTTTCTTACGTAAGTACTTTTGGCGAACAATTGTTTAGTCTACAGTAATCAAAATCACCTGTCCCTATTATATTTTTGTTATGATGTTTTCTGATCATCTGAATTTTGTGTGTACTTCTCTAGGACAAGACAATTTTTGCTAAAAATTGACACTTTTCCCGAATTAATAGGCTTAAATTTTGTGATTTTATCATTTTTTTGCATTTTTTATCAAAAAGTTTCGTATTTCTTTAAGAAAAAACTGAAAATAAAGAATAGAAATAAAAATATAAATATTTATGTGAGAAACAACATTTTTTTTCTGCAAAAATAAAAAATTCGGTTCCACTCCATTAGTTTTCCCATTTCCCATTTCCATTTCTCATTTATTTGATAAGAAAACTTTTTAATTTGAACTTTCGCCCCCAAAAATTGCATAAAATCAAAAAATCACCATCAACCTTGTCTTAACCATCACACTCGCTGTTTCTCGTGTCCTCGGTAGTATAGTGGTGAGTATCCGCGTCTGTCACATGCGAGACCCGGGTTCAATTCCCGGCCGGGGAGAAATTTTTTATTTTTTTCTGTTTTTTTATTAATAATTGTGTATAGTCGAGCTTTTTTTGTCTTCGCAGCTCGTTTTTTCTTCTACTACTGCTCATTACTACTAGTCGAGGCGCGCGGAGCAGAAGAGAAGAAGCCGCGCACCTCCTTATCGATTCTTCTTCGTGCTCTTCTGCTCTTTTTTTCGCTATTTCGCTATGTTTGTTGGCTTGACTTGGCCTATTTTTTTGCATTTTTTTATTTTTCCGCAGCGCATTAAGTACTTTTTGCACTTATTCATGAATTTTCGAAATTGCTTGAGAAATTATTTTGAGTTTGCAGAAAAAAAATGAAAATTAAATTCAAAAACTTGAAAAAATCTGCCCGGTCCCCCATATTTGTTCATTTTTGTGACTAATGTTTGTGTTTGATTCCATTTTTTGTGTATTTTATATTGAATCGTTTTTTTTATTTGCAAAAAAAAATAGAAATGAAATTGGAAAAAAAGAAGACACGGAATTGATTTTTGAATACGATTTTTGGTTCCGAAAATTGAGATACTGTAGCTACAGTAATCTGAATTTGAGGACCAGGAGCTACTATTTTCAATCAGGGGGTACTGTAGATTTTAAAATTCTCCACAAAAATTCCTTGACCTCACAGATTTTGTATAGGGTACTGTAGCTTGTATTTTCGTCACACACTTTTGATATACAATCTACAGTATTTCTAAATTCACATCGGATTACTGTAGGTTTCAATTTTAGTATGAAACAGTAAACCCTAGAGAAGATAGAAGAGGTCAAGGAGCCCTTGCTTGACCCAAAATTCAATTGTCAAGCACTCATTCCTTGAGCTAGAATTTGTGTGTGTGACAAGAAGTGAACACTAGAGCTAGGTTTATTTCAAGTAATGAATCCCAGAGGTGCTATAAGGGGTCAATAAGAGCTGCTTGACTCAAAATCCAAGATTTTCCAAATCTACAGTATCTAAAAATCATTCTAATTTAAAAAATCACGTTTAATTAATTGATTTATTGAAAAATTCTCTGCTCCAAAATTTTTTTTCAAAAAATAATTTTTGATCTACCAAAATTTTCTCCCGCTAAAGTGTTATTTTTCGCATGTTCCAAGCCAAAAATTGTCATTTTCCGTAGATTTTCTTCAGAAATCTCATCAATATCATGTGATGATGATGATTAAAAAAAAGGAAAGAGAAGGATAGCAGGCGTTCCTTCTCGCTTCTTTTCTTTTTTTCTCTCTTATTTTTGTCGAATTTTCTGTCTTCTGATTGATTTCTTACATCTTTTTTCATTTCATTTTGTTTTTCAATTTTCACTTTTGATTTGATAAAATTTCATTTCAAACCCGAGAAAAATCGATTTTCTAAAAAAGTAGTGGTTTCCTGGGATACGACACGCCGTGCAATTTGAGCACACCCCACTTTTTTTTGCTGCTCATTTTCATTTTTAATTTCACAAAAAGCTTTGGGCGGAGCTTTTTTTGTTGGAAAAAACTCAAGGAGCCAACCCTAGAGATACCTAGAGAGATCAAGGAGTGAGATCTAGAGATAATTTTGGAGGCCAAGGAACCACTGCTAGACACAAGTTTGATAGCCTAGTAGCAAACCCTTGAGATGCCTTTGGGCAAGCAGTGAACACTAGATAGCTCATAAAACCTCTAGGAACCACCCCTTCGCAAACATTGGGCCTAGAATCCAACCCTTGAGCTAGATTGTGCCAAGCATTAACCCAGAAAGTGAAGGAGCTGCTGCTTGACAAACAAATTCAAATTCCAAGCATCTGTCTCTTGAGGTGCCTTTTGTTAAGCAGCCAACTCTAGAGCAAGGTTTAGACAAGCAGTGATTCCTAGAGATGCTTCAATAGCTCAAGGCAGCATAGCTTGACACAAGTTTGATTGCCAAGCAACCAACACTAGACATTGACATTTTCAAGTAGTGGCCCTTAGAGTTACACCAAGTGGTCAAGGAGGTAAGCCCTATAGGTCCCTCAAAATTTCCACGTGTCTTTCCAAAAAATCCCGCTACGAAAAATCTTCCTCTCTCGATAATTTGACATCATTTATCATTGCTCTGCTTCTCTCACCTCTCTCCATTTCCTACACACTATCTCTTGTTTTCTCTGTTTCTCTAAACTCTCTCACCATCTTATCACACAATCAATTCTTTCGTTATTTCCACAACCCGCAGCTCTGTGCCAAAATGCGATTTTTCTGCTGCTGCCACCCGTCTTCTCTGCCTGTCTGCCACCACTCTCTCATTTCTAATTGATCTCTCGTCGCTCTTTTCTCTGCTTCTCTCGCGCTCTCCCTCATTTCTCTTCTGTCTCTCTTTTTTTCTCGTTTTCGGCCATTTTTCCACTTCTTCCTTTATAATATCTCTGAGGGGCTTATAGTTTTTTTTTCTTCGCCGCTGAATTTTTGAAAAATGAATATGTGAAAATTGTGTGGACAGGTGAAATTTTGGGGGGCTCCGAGAGCAGCTGAAATTTTGATTTTGATTTTGAGGGGAGAACTAGGTTTACTATGACAGGTTGTAGATTTAGCCTAAGTCATTTAGGATTTTTGGGATAAGAATTAGGCTTACCAGAATTTTAAGGTAATTTCAGGCCTTGCTCTAGGCTTGGCAGGATTTTAGGCTTAGAAGCTTTTTAGGTACTTTCAGGCTCTTCTTTAGGTTTGGTAGGATTTTAGGCTCAGGCTTTAGGCTTGTTAGGCTCAACTTTTCCAATTCAAGGTCTGTTTCAGGCTGGTTTTAGGCTTTCAACCAAACATTCAAAAATCTACATTTAGGTCCATCTCGAACTAGGCTAAACTCTAGGCTTTTCAGAATTATTTAGGCCCTGTTCAGGCTGGTTTTTAGGCTCGTTTAATTTATTTAAAGTCTTATCTTTTCCCAAAAAAATAAAATTACGAAATTCTTTTTTTACGTCAATTGACGTGAATATTTTTGCAAAATTCGTCATTTTCGATTTTTTTGCGGATTAAAAACGGTGAGCTCATTTTGAAAATCTAGGGATTTAGGCTATCTTCTAGATTCTAGGCAAGCAGCGTCTCCTTGTCTTCAAAACTTAACTCTAGGGCTCTCTGCTTGACAGCACATATGTGGGTTAAGGATTGGCTGCTTGACATTCGGGATCTTGTCAAGGGCTGGTTGCTTCAGATACCACCTCTAGTGTTCGCTCCTTGAACTCACTATTTTCAAGAGCCCGCCTCTAGACACCACCTAATCTCCAGTGCTCACGCCTAGACCCATCATTTTGCTCATTTCTCCTCATTTTTCGCCGCCATTTTTATTCTCTTCCGAATGTCAATGAACTCATGCATACAATATAATATATCTCCTCTCCACTCCTTTTTTCTCCTTTTTTTTCGCTCCCATTTTTTTGTGTCCGTCTGTTGTCTTCTTCTTCTTCTTCTTCGCTCTCATATATATTTTTTTTTAATTAAAAAGTGGCGAAAAATTTATGAATTTATTTTTTTTTGCTTTGCAGCTTCTTCTTCTCGACGACAACGAATCACTTACCGCGTTCAGACATTTCGAAGCGCAAGTGGGCTTCCGAGGAATGCTATATAGGTGAGTCATCTTCAAGGGGCAGCCCCTAGACACCAGCTCACTTCTAGTGCTCGCTCCTTGAACTGACTGGTTTAAAGAGCTCCCTCTTAGGTGTTTAGGGTGGCCAATTTTTGTGCCAAAAAATAGAGTATTTACAAAATTCTGGAAATTTGATCTACCTCCCGTTGACGAACATAAAAGTGTCGGGTTACATTTTATTTTTTAGTTGATTATGGTCCCTAGAATTTTTCAATGTTTTTTGCTCTAAAAGGCTTGCTGCTTCAGACAATACTGCATGTCTAGTGCTCGCCCCTTCAAATTACTAGTTTCAAGGAGCGAGCACTAGAGCAGCCGTTCCTTGAGATATTTTGAGTCAAGCAGCGAACCCTTGACAACCTTATTTTCTTAAACCTGCTTAGGTAGACCCTGAAAACTTTGAAAAATTCCAACACAAAAAATTCTTATCATTTTTTTTCGAAAATTCTTGTTCCTAAGCTTCTTTACGAAAAGTAAAGTAGAAGCTTTATCATGAATTTTTTCTTCGTTTTTTTTGCCCCAACAAAAAAGGGGAAAACCATGGAAACGCTAATCCATTTTTTGGATTTGATAAAAATGAGGAGGATTTTTGTATTTATTAGTTTTCTTAGGATTTTCTGGAATATTTCATTTCAGTTTTTAGGCAGAAATTTCTGAAAATAAATATTTTCAGCATCCCAAAATATTCTCAAAATTTCAGGTGATAAGCGACAACGAACCGATCAATCGTCGAACTTTGAACCTCCCCAGCTACCTTCATCTTCAAATTTTTTACCGCCAACGTCGGACTTCAACAATCAAATCTACAATTCAAACATGCTCAACGCGTGCACAAAATTCAGTGACAATTATGATGTGAAAGAGGAACTCGGAAAAGGCGCATTCTCTGTGGTTCGCCGATGTGTTCACAAATCATCGGGCCTCGAATTCGCCGCCAAAATTATCAACACCAAAAAGTTGTCGCAAAGAGATTTCCAGAAACTTGAGAGAGAAGCCAGAATTTGCCGAAAATTACAGCACACTAATATTGGTGAGTTGATTTTGCAAAATGAAAAGTTTCGCGGGCACCCGGAATCGAACTTGAAATTGCAAAACCGTGTCGATTCTCAGGCGCGCACCTAACCAGCTGAGCTACGCTGGCAACTGAAAACTTCAAATCGCAGGCTTGAGATATCATTCATCTTTTAAAAATGTTTTTTTTCCAGTTCGACTTCATGACAGTATTCAAGAGGAATCTTTTTCATTATTTGGTCTTTGATTTGTGAGTTTCAAATTTTCCATCCTATTTTTCTAACAAAATAACAATAAAAATAAATTGCAGAGTTACTGGTGGAGAATTGTTCGAAGATATTGTGGCACGTGAATTTTATTCAGAAGCCGATGCCAGGTTAGTCTTTTCTTCTTTAAAAAATTAAGAGATTTTTCAAAATTCCTAATTCATTGATTTTTTAAAGTCTTTGTATTTGGCAAATTCTCGAAGGCGTAAACTATTGTCATCAGCGCGGAATTGTTCATAGAGATATGAAGGTTTAAATTTAAATGTTTGAAATGTGTGCGCTGTAAATTTTCACTGTTTGCTGTTGTTTTTCAACAAAAATTCGAAAAAACGAAAAAAAAAACGATTTTTCGCGTGGCCGTGGCCGAGTCGGTTGCTAGGCCATCCCTCCAAATTTTTAGTTTTTTTTCGCGACCGCCCAAAAAAAAATCAATAAAACAAGAATGTCGTGTTGTTTTGAGTATTAATGTGTGATTTGCAGTCATTGTATTCAACAAATTCTCGAATCCATCGCCTATTGTCATGCGAATTCGATTGTTCATCGAGATTTGAAGGTAAACACTAACTTTTTTCGTGATTTTTTGAGTTTTAACCCAATTTTTTATCGATTTTTCAATAGCAAACCAATTGATTTTCAGCCAGAAAACTTGCTGCTTGCATCGAAGGCGAAAGGCGCTGCAGTGAAATTGGCCGATTTTGGATTGGCTATCGAAACATCGCAAGACACAGAAGCTTGGTTCGGATTTGCCGGAACTCCGGGATATTTGTCACCAGAGGTGCTCAAAAAAGATCCCTATGGAAAACCGGTTGATATTTGGGCGTGTGGTGTGATTTTGTACATCTTGTTGGTCGGTTATCCGCCATTCTGGGATGAGGATCAACACAGATTGTATGCGCAAATTAAAGCGGGTGCTTATGATGTGAGTTTACGACGGGGTGTTGCTCATGTTAGACGAGCTCAAGGGAACATTGTTCTAGACATTGCTCATGTTTCAATCGAAATATTAAAAAAAAATTTCAAAGGTATTGCTCATATTAAACCAATTCGTTTTTTCTTACAGTACCCAAGTCCTGAATGGGACACAGTGACTCCCGAAGCGAAAAGTCTCATCGACAGTATGCTTACGGTGAATCCGAAGAAGCGTATCACAGCCGATCAGGCTCTCAAAGTCCCATGGATTTGCGTGAGTTTTTTCGTCGCGGTCGCGAAAATTGCAATTTTTTCATCAAATAATTTTAGAATCGCGAACGTGTCGCGTCTGCGATTCACAGACAGGATACTGTCGATTGTTTGAAGAAGTTCAATGCTCGCCGAAAATTGAAGGTTGGTCCCCATTTTTATTTTTTGTCTCATCTTTTTTATTTCATTGTCAACATTGCTCTGAACATTTTTTTTTTCGTTTTAGGCTGTGAAAATTGTTTTTTTTTGGTAGTTTTTGAGATTTTGTGCAAAATGGACACTTCTTTTTTAATGGATGGGCTGGGGAAAATTAACTGTGTACCGGGTTTTAGGGGTCCGAAATCTGAAAATTTTCAGAAAAATAAGATTTTAGAGTATTGCTCAGTTTAAGCAAGAAAATCATCAAGTGTTGATCATGTTAATCAATATGGCTCATTTTATAAATTTGTTATTATCAAATTTTTGGAAAATTTTCAGAAATTTTAAGGAATTGCTCATATTAGACTTTATTTTTCAAATGGTTTATAAAATTCTAGTTTTCTAGTAAATCACTTATCCCATGACAAGGGTTGCTCATATTAGACTTTTTAAAGTAGTGAATAACCTTCAGAATTCATATTATTCAAAAATATATCCATGAATTTTAGGTTTTTTATTTTTTAGATACTACTTTTAGCTAAAAAATTAAATAAAAATTTATAAAAACATCGATTTCCGGACCTCCTAAACCTGTCCACAGTTCCAATAAAATTCTCCCAACCAATCCATCAAAAAAGCCTAGTTATTGATTTATTGATTGATTTGAATTGAATTGATTTGATTTTTTTTTGAAAAAAACCTAATTGTTGTTTCCTAACTTCTTTCTCCTTCTCTTCCTCTTCTTTATTTTCTTCTTCTCCTTTGTCAAAAAAAAGCGCGAAATGCCCAAAAATCTTATCTAGAAAGTGTTGTTGTGAAACTTTTGTGCTTTTTATTTTATTTTTGAATTTTATATTTGATTCCCCCTTTGGAAAAGACAAAGTTCCTGCATGAAAGGAAAACGTATGTTTGAAAATTATTAGGTAAAATCTTCTCTCTTCTTCTCTACTTCTCTCTCTGTTTTCCACTCTCTCTCTTTCTCTCTCTCTCTCGCCCTCCAAGCATTGCTCATATTAGGCAGCAATTTCGGCGGTGAAAATGGTGACGAGAATGTCGGGTGTTTTGCGAACATCGGATTCAACGGGTTCGGTGGCATCGAATGGTTCGATGAGCCAAGAGCCACAAGTTATGACGCCGACATCGATGATCAACACAACATCAACAATTCCTGGATGTTCGACATCGCAACCGACGAGTCCGGCGGCTGAGGTGATTTGATTTTTCGATATTTGATTTTTGAACTCACCTACTTTGCTTACCTCTTTTTTTTCTTTTTTTGGGTGGTTGATTTTGGTTTGATATAACAAGAGTTGTGCCTTTTTTCGCACCTACACAAACACACGCTAACCAGATTTTTTTTGATTTTTAACACTAAATTAACCAACTTTTTCTCTGAAATTTTTCCCGCATTTTTTGAGTTAGGATAAGTCCAAAATTGAAGGCATTAAGTTGAATCGAACTGAAATTATTCAGATAATGATAAAAATGACTTAGCCTAATTTCTCTATTATTGCTCAGGTTAGATCAAAATCATAGAAATATTACATTCAATCGAAAAGTTATGTAAAATCCGAATTTTTAAAGAATTGCTCATGTTAAACATGAATTTCTCATAATAAACTTTGAAACCCAATATTTTAAGCATTGCTCATATTAAACTAAATTTTTCGAATTTTATACCAAAATTTTTCAAATCTTTAAAGCATTGCTCATGTTAGAATAATTCAACCACCCAAATTAAACATCAAAAGGTAGTGTAGTAATAATCGAGACCTATCCTTTTTTGTCTCTATATTTCTCTCTGTATTTTTCTCTCTCTCTCGCTCTCTTCCAAAAATCCCTCCCCTTGTCCAGAAAAAAAAATCAAACAAAAGTCAAAACCATGTGTGTTGGGCCTAATCCAAAAAAAAAGAACAGTTATCTAAATTTTACCAAAAAACCAGAATGAATCTACATATTTTTTCCTAAGTTTTCTTATATACAACTATATTTTTTCTTGGTTAGAAATTGCCTAATGCATGTGTGTTTTTTCTTCTGATTGATTTTTTCAGCTCTGATTTTGGTGCCATTTTTGGTCCCTTGTCTCGTCCGTCCTGTCCAGCTTGATTTTGCATGTTTTTTTTGAGTTTTTGTCCAGAAAAGCGCGCTTTCGAGAATTAATTAATTAAATATTTTATTTTTTGTTAATTTTCTTTTCATTTTTCCGACTTCTCTCATCTCTATCATTTTTATTTCATTTTTAAGTTTTTTTCTTTTTTTTTCCACACACACACACTTTTTTTTATTTCCTTTAAGTTTCACGCTCTCAGAAAATTCATTTCATTTTTTTTGGTAAAATTTAGATAACGCTTTTTTAACTCTTGTCATTTAATTCAACACAAGTTTTTTTGGTTTTTGCTTGGGGAGGATTTTGGGAGGGGCTGAAAGAGGGGATTTAAGATTTGTCCCCCTGTAAAATGCTGAAATTTTGCAGGGCGCCATTCTCACCACAATGATTGCGACGAGAAATATGTCGAGTAAGTTATTTTTGGGATTTTTTAGTGGTGGTTTTTGTGAGCAAATGGGGGAGGGTCCTGAAGCGAAAACATTGTTTGATTTTGGTGCCAAGAAATCCACGTGACAAATTTTTAAATAGAAATTTTGAATTTCAAGATTTTACTCAGAGATTCGCTGGCCAGCTCGCCACCAGGTGGGTAGGCTGGCTGACCTGGGAACCACATGGAAACCATGTCGCCCGGTTTTTTTCGCTGGCAAGGTGGCCAGGCTCTGGCTAGGTCACGGCCACATGGCTACCATGTGGTGGCCACTTCGCCGCGTCAAAATGAATTTTCATAAAAATGTCTGAAAAACTTGTGAATTGAGGCATTTTCGAAAAATTTGGCTCATTTTCTGTTTTTTCGCAGCACTTGAAACCTTAGGAAGTGAAAAAAACAGTAGAAAATTCAGTGTTTTGAGTACAAACCACTGTCTTGCCAGCTTTCCAGAATTTCAAACACACAGGCCACGTCGCCGGAAAACTCGAGGCGACCTGGCGGCCATGCGGTTTCCAGGTGGCCGCAGCGATCTGGTGGCGAGCTGGCCAGCGAATCTCTGAGTAGCGCGAAAATGTGATATTCAAAATTAAAAAGCCTTGCCATGTGGGAAATTTTTAAAAATCTGGCTTAAGAAATTCCAAAATTTTGAAAAAAAATTTAAAAATGTCGAAAAGCCACGTGTAACTTCAACATCTACCAAAACCCTGGTTTTGACTCAAGCCCAAGTCTATTCCTTGGCCTAAAACTTAAAAAATCAGAAAACCGCGACGCGAACGCTTTGCGCACCATAAATCTTACCATTTTTCCACTATAAAATGACGTGTTTTAAGTATCGCATTAAAATCGTTTTTTTCTTCTTCGAATATTTGCCCTTTGAGAAAAAAAGGTGTGATAAAATATTGTTGAAAGAAGCCATTTTTTGTCACCGGCCAACCATAAGATTATTGATTTTCCTCTTGACAAATTGTTTTATTTTTATCAAGCTTTTCCTTGAGCCACACACAAACACAGATATAAAACATATCTCTTTTCCTCATTTTTTCATTCATTCATTCATTCATTCACACACGATTTATTCTTTTTTGTTTTTTTACACTAAAAAATTGTGGACCTTGGAAATTTATTGATTGAATGAACTACGACTCGACTTCGCGAAAAATCGCGGCGGCGATTAGCGATTTGGTGTCGCGACGTCGCAAGACTGAGCATGACCTGAAGCTGCCGCACAATGCGGAAAATCAGCGGAAGATATCGGCACCAATGTTGGGAAACGCGCTAGCGCCAATGATTGATGTGGTTGTGGCGACGACTAGTATTCAGAATAATGAAAAGGAGCAGAGTGGTGGGTTTTTTGAGGGAAATTGGTACGAAACGAGCCTAGAAATTTGAATTTTCCGATTTCCCGCCAATGTTTTTGCGATGGAGCGCATTTGGACTTTTCTATGTTGATGTTTGAGTTTCTCTACAACTTTCGTGATGATTTTTCATCCAAAGTTAGCCTGGATATTTGAATTTTTCAATTCCCCGCCAAGTTTTTGCGATGGAGCATTTGAATTTTCTATCAGCTTGTAAATTTTTAACCTTAAATTCGAGTTCTTCGAGAATTTTTAAGCCAGGTTTTTTTATCCAGATAGACCTGACAATTTGAATTTTCCAATTTCCCGCCACATATTTGCCATAGAGCGCATTTGACTCTTCCAGTGAATTTAAAATGTTTCATCTAAAAATTGTACGGTAGGGCACATTTTCTCTCTTGTGGTTTTTCATCTAAAGAATTTCATTTGAAATTTGAATTTCTAATTTTCGGTTCAAATTGTGCGATAGAGCGCATTTTTGAGATTTGAGTCCCTTCCTTTGCGATGGAGCACATTTAGTTCTACCGTGATTTTCTATTAAAAAATATGTCACGAATTTTGATCTACTCACGAAATTTAGCACATATTATTGCCAAAGTTCTCCTCTCACAAGTTCGTCAATTTTTTCTTCATTTTCCAAAAAAAAAACAACGATGTTCTGTAAAAACATGTGGAACTAATTTGAATCACTTGATTACAACAAAATGCAACAAAAGTTGTTTTTTTTTCATTTCAATTGAGCGCCTTTTCTCTCTTTCATATTTTTTTCAATAAAAAACAATGTTTAGATCAATTTCCGTTATCAGATGAAAAATGAAATGACACTTTTGTTGTTATTGATTTTTGTTGGTGTAGTTCTCTTGGAAAAATCATTTTGTTATCAACCGGAAATTGATGGTTTTTGATATTTTGGGAGAGAATGTTTGTGTGTATTTCTCTCGGACTAGAAGCTAGGCATATTTTGAGCTGAAATTCTGAGAGTCTAGACAGCCTAGTTCTCTAGTTCCACTCAAAAACTTGTGTACTTCTTTTGGAGGAGAAGTTTCATATATTTTGGTTCACAACACTCTAACTTGCATCGTTTGCTTCGATGTTTTGAATTTCCCGCTCAAACAGTTGTGTACTTCTCGTGGACAAAAATTCTTACGATTTTCGTACACTAAAGCTGTTCAAACATTCCATACCCAAATATTCGGCTCCCCAAAATATCAAATTTACGTCAAAGTTTGGTTTTGGCGCGTCATTCTTTAATCAGAATTTGAAAGATAGATAAGGATTTTTTTCTCGTGCTGCTGCAAAAAAACACTGAGACGAGAAGGAGAAGCCTAAGCAATCAGAAATGCATTGGTCACCCAGGAAACTGGGCAGCAATTCATTTTTGCCGCTCTGCTTCTCTGAACTCTCTTACTTTCTCTCCACATCTTCTTTCATATGATACATACATTTTTTTATTCTGATTCTTATTATATTTTTTGAAAAGAGCTGTGTGTTTTTGATAGGTTTCCCATAAATGGATAGCCTTTTGGCGAAATTGCGAATTGGTAGCGCGCGGAAAAAGAAATCCGCGTCGAATAATCCGCGCGCTAGATCAAAGACTGAGATTGTGACGCGACGCGATGCGTCGGACGCTTGTTCGCTCAGCTCGGTTTTTACGGTGACGAGTTGCTCGACGGTGGATGCGGTTAAGGATGAGGAATTGCATGAGGAGAGAATTGGTGGGTTTCTTGGCTAGGATACTAGGCCTGATCCTAAGCCCGATCTAGACCTGAACTCAGGTCTTTTTCTGATTAGAAATTTGAATTTTTCAAATTCCCGCCAAGTATTAGCAATAGAGCGCATTTTAATTTTCTACTAATTTTTGAAATTTTGTGGTTTTCTGAAACCTTGAGGATTCTTTCCTTTTTTTAAAGTTTTTGTGTTGCGCAAAATAAGATTATATAATTTTTTCTCCGAAAACTAACTCTATTTTGTGTGCTGAAAATCTCGAATTTCAGCAGCCAAAAAATCGAACCACTTGATCTAAATAGTTTGCCAAAATCTTCTCGATGATATCTATTTATTTGAGCCAAGTCAACATTGACTCAGAGAGCTCGAGCTCATTTTTTTGCTCCATTTTCTCTAGTTTCCACATTGCTAACATAGTATTATTATTTTGATATATAGATAAAATTTTCTATTGTATGACAACACTGTGTTTTCTTGACACAATATTCAATATTTTGGCAATTTTAGCCAGTATTTTTATCATTTTCTGGATTACGAATGATGACAATCCGCTTGGTATGAAAAATAAGAGTATTTGTAGTTTTTTTTGTGGCCGGGGGATTATATAGAAAATATGGATTTATATTTGGCTTCATACAAATACAAATTCAAATTTTGTTAGGGATTTTTTTCTTGACTAATGAAAATCAGATTAAAATTTCGAAATTTGGTAGAAATATTCACATGCGCTCTATCGTTGATTTTGGCGGGAAATTTGAAATTTTATAAGTTCAATAGGAGTGTTGAGCAAAACACATTTTCTTTTTTTTCTGAAAAAATTCGAAGTTTTTGACCCCTGAAAATACCGGTTTTTGTGGCGCCCCGCGAAAAAAAAGTGAAAGTGATTGTTTTTGCAATATATTAATTTCCAAACTAAATCGAGAAGGAGAATATAATCTGTCCTAACAAATCCTATGAACTTTTTGAGATGTGGCGGGAAATGTGAGTTACTGTGGATTTTTTGGCACCAAAAAATTTGGTTAGGGCGAAAATTTAGAGAAGAAAGATCAATTTTTGGTCTTTATTGGGTTGAAGGGTTTTGTGAAACGTGGATTTTGTGGTGGGAAAATTTGAATTTCAAAAATTTTTGGAATTTGGGAATTCGAAAAAATTAAAATCTTCAGCGTTTTCGCTTCAAGACCCTAGAAAATTGTCAAAAATTCGAAGAAAATCTGAATTCTTCGTTTCAAGACCCAAAAATAAATTCTCAAAATTTGAAAATTCAAAATCAAAAAGTCCCATGTACCCCTGTTGTGAATGATCGTCTAATGAAAGGAATTGAAGATTTAGGTCGAAATCTTCTCAACAAAAAAGAGCAAGGTCCAGTTTCAACAATCAAAGAATCGTCAGAATCATCGCAAACAATTGATGATAATGATTCGGAAAAAGGTAATTGATTTATTTACCATTTTGTTCACGGCATTTCATTCACCCATTGGGGAAATTATGCCCGCCGTTTTTTTGGTTTTTGTTACCCCCCGTAATTCCTAATTTTGATAGAAGTTTTCATATTTTATAATACATTCCTAATTGAGTTTCTTTTTTGCCGTAGTCTTTTTTTTCTTACCTGCACTTTTCTCTTCAATAGTTTGCTAATTTTAATTTTGAGGGGGAGAAGGGTGAGGATTTTCTGGGGGGGAAATGGGAATTTTGAACTCTCTAGGCGCGGCTCCTTGCCAAGATATATTTCTAGATACAGTTCCTATACAATTAGGTTTCCTAGGCGCGGCTACTTGAAGACTAGAATCTCTAGGCGCTAACCCTTGACAATTGGATTTTCTAGGCTCAGCTACTTGACATAGATGCCCTCAAGGCCTTGGTCCTTGCCGAAGCATATCTCCTGATGCGGGTCCTATACAGTTAGGTTCTTTAGGCGCGACTACTTAACATAGATGCTCTCAAGGCGCGGCTTCTTGCCAGACTAATTTTCTAGATGTGGGTCCTATCCAATTATGTTCTCTAGGCGCTGATCCTTAACATTTCCCAGTCAATAATCTTTTCCCTTCACAAAATCCCCCTCTCTTTCTCTCTAACTACAAAAATCACACAATTTTTCCAACAAAAAAACTTCAAAGAAATATTGCTTGTCTTGTCCTTTTTTGTCCTTTTTTGTTTCATGTCCCTTTAACCAACAACCATTTTTGTGTTCAATTTTTCCCCCCAAAACCCCAATTAATAAATTTGTTTCGTGTCCTTTCGCATCTCGCAGGAAAAAATTCGAAAAATAATTGAATTATCATAAATTGGGATGGTGTGTTCTAGTAACTTTTGTTGGCGCGGAAAAAAGAGGAAAGTAGTGAGTCACTGAAAATTTTAAAACAAAATATTTTGCACCAAAAAAATTTCGCACACTACTTCTCTCTCTTTCTCTCTGTGTCTATGTGTTCTACCTGTTCCCTTCCACACACACACCACCTCCATTTTATTTTCATTTTATTTTTCGAATTTTTATCCGCGTGAAACATGTGAAAGCGGAAACAGAGTTTTATTTTTTGGTGTCGCATGAGCATGTTTTTTTTGTTCTTTTTGTACTTTTTTTTGCGAAATCTCTGCGTCTCTCTCTCTCTAATGTCTGGTTTCTCTGACTCTCTAACTTCATCTTGCTACGTTTTCTCTAGCCTATCTGTTTCTCTAATTATCCCTAGCTATATGACATCTCTGCGCCTCTTCAAATAGCGTAGTCTCTCGTCGTTCTGTTTTTTCTTTTTGTCTCTTTAGGTATCACACTATCTAATTATCTCGCCACCTGACTTCTCTGTGTCTCTTCGGCTCTTTTATTCTCTAGCTGTCTAGTGTCTCTTCGTTCACAACACTATCTCATCTTATAGATTTGTCTGCGCATCTGTAAATTACATACTATCTCGTAGGTATATATTCTCTGCGTCTCTAGGTCTCCTCGAATAGCATGCTCTCTCGCTTCTCTAGCTGTATGACTTCTCTGCGTCTCTTCATAGTTAGTTCTATCTCTTTCTCTAGCTTCTCTGCGTCTCTCTCTCTCTCTCTCTCTTTCTTGTCCCTTTAAAGGAACATGTGCACGTCATTTTGCATGAGTTTTGTTTGGTTTTTCTCGTGTCATCCCTGAAAACAAAAACCCATTCCCAATTAAAAACTAATAATCAATAAAATCTCACTCCCACCCTGTCAAAATCGAGATCTCTCTCTCTCTATAGGCGGAGGTCAACTGAAACACGAGAATACGGTAGTCCGCGCGGATGGTGTGGCTGTTGGTGGCGGCGGTGGCGGTGGCCAGGTCTCTTCAAATTCATCCACAGCCAGCAAATCATCATCGACCAATTTATCAGGTAATTAATGATGAGGCTAATTAATTAGGCCTAATTAGGCCGGGCACACATACGAAGCTTTAAATGTTTTTGTTTGCCTCTCTTTGCTTTGGCTCTGGCTCAAAAAAAAGTGCACCAAAAAAAACCAAAACAAAAAAAAAAGAAATTCTGGCATGTCTCTGCGTCTCTCTGATTTTCCAACACTATTTCGCCTTATCGATATTTTTACATCTTTTTTTTTTGAGCACACACATACACATACATTTTTTATACACAAACTCTCTTTTTCTTTCCTCTCCTTGTTTTTTTGTGTCTCGGCTGGAATGTGGAAATGAGCGGTAAGAGCACACAAGACTAGAGTGTAGTTTATTTAGCCTGTATCTGGGAAAATCTGCATTTTTTTTTGAAAATTCAAGTTTTTTCAGCACAAAAATCGGAGATTGTACGAGTCACACAGCAATTGTTGGATGCGATATCGTGCAAGGATTTTGAGAGCTATGCGTGAGTTATTTTTCCCGCTTCCGCGAACGCGGAAAGGGTTTTGAGGGAACCTGATTGTCTAGGCCACACATCGAAAGGTCTACTCTCGTAAGAAGCTGCGCCTTAAGAGCCTAGTTCTGAAGGAGCCGTGCCTTAAGCGACTATGTCAAGTAGCGGACCCTTGAGATCGGTTATATCAAGCAACCGCGCCTTGAGAACCTATTTCTGGAGGAGCCGAGCCTTGAGAGCCAAACAGCTGCTCCTACAGAGCCTAAATATTCAGGACTAGCGCCTAGAGGTCAGCTATGACAAGAAGCCGCGACTTGAGAGCTTCTACAACAAGCAGAAAATCCTAGAGAGCCTAGTTTTCTAGGAATCGCGTCTTGAGAGCTTCTTATCCAAAGAGCCGTGTCTTGAGAGCGGCTATGTCAAGTAGGGGACCCTTAAGGTCGGTTAGATCAAGCAATCGCGCCTTGAGAGATTTTTAAACAAAAATCTGATCAAATTTCATGAAAAATTCCCACTTTCCACCCCAAAATTCATCTAAAAATATTGCAGTCGATTATGCGATCAAACAATGACAAGTTTCGAGCCGGAAGCACTGGGAAATCTCATCGAAGGCATCGAATTCCATCGCTTCTATTTCGACGGAAATCAATCGGCTGGCCGAAAAAACACCCTACACACAACAATGTTGAACCCAAATGTGCATATTGTTGGCGATGATGGAGCTTGTATTGCATATGTTAAATTGACACAGTATTTAGATAAGTGAGTGCATTTTTTGGGAGGGGAATTTGGGATTTTCTGTGAAAATTATATTGAATTTCAATCTAGAATTCACAAATTTTCGAGCTTTTGCTGTTAAAAATCATTATTTTTGAAGAATTTTCCACCAAAAATTTATGATTTCTAGTCGAAGTTCTCTCGATTTTTTACACAACAAAATTGAACTTTGGACCGCATCAGCAAAAGCTATATCATTTTCATTTTTTGTGATTTATTGCACTTTTGACTTTTCCTCTTCTCTCAATTTCTTTCCCCAAGAAAAAGTATAAGTTATGAGAATATATATATATACATATAATAATAAATGACTTCCTTCTATGACGAAAAAAATGACGAGTTTTGTGTAGTTCTTTTGGTCAAGTTGAGAAAAAATTGGCGGAAATTTTGAAATGTAATTATGCAAATTTTGTAGTTTTTTTTGAGGGAAGTGTGCAGGTATGATCATTTCGCCGGCAATGCTGGCCGTTCGCCGTTTCAAAAACGGCAACGGCAGCCGCTGCCGTTTTGAAAAAACAACACTAAACAGCTTGCCGCGGCTGCCGTGCCAAAATGCCGGCTTTGCCGTTTTGCTAATTCAGTAATTTCTATGGAAATTATATGTTTTCTCACTTTCTTTTCAGTTTTCAGACTACTGTGTTCAATCAAATACGCAACAAACACCAGAAATGACGAACAAACGCAGAGATGATGATAATTATTTTTTCCTTTTGTTTTTGTTTTTTTGAAAAGTCGATAAAAACCATTTTCCTTGTTTTTCCAGTAAAATAATTCATTTTCTGATAAAACTTGATCGATTGGTAGTTCGGTGTCATACATCATATCGATTTTCAACTATTATTCTCATATTTTCCCGTGTATTTCACTATGATATATAGTCTAAATTGTTTTCTAGAAATGTCAAACTGCCCGAGTCCGTCAACCAATGAATTGTTCGATGCGCCAAGTGTTTCAGATTCCGGAATTTGGGTGGAATGCGAAATTGGTGATTTGCAAAAACATCACATGATTATGATGTTAGGAAATGATGAGACTCCTGGACAACCTGTTAATGGATATCGTGTGGTCAGTGACTTTATGACATTTTTCCCTCTATTTTCAAATTTAGGCGCGAAATCCTGCCAACTTTGACTCCATGCCGGACTTATGTTTAACTGATGGAAAAAGTTTAATCACTACAAAATATGTGTTTTGTCGATTTTGCTATAAAATTTATTCGAAAAATGGAGGACAAGCATCGTGAGTTATATTCCAGTTTTTCGTTACAATTAGATTATTTTTTGTTTTCAGAGTTCACAGAAGAGAGTGTGAAATAAAAGAAATGGATAAGAAGAAAAATAATACTGATTCGATGGGCGAAACTTTGATTGGTGAATGTTCGAAAGGAAAATTAGAAAAATCTACCATTCAGCATATTATAACAAAATATATTTTGAAAAGTGGAGTTGCGCTCAATGTTGTGGAAAATGATGCATTCCAAGATTTAGTGTTTGATTTGTTAAATATCAATTATAATTTATCGGAAGACTGCTTCGAGAAGATAATGCCTAAACGAAAGTCAATTCGAGATCTTGTGGAGAAGGAGGCGACTGCGGCTATAAAGGCAGTTAGAGATGTTTTGAAGCCTGAGATCCTGTCAAAGATGGCGTCATTTTCTTGTGATTTCGGTAGAAATCACACAGATTTTTTCTGTTTGAAGTCTAGCTTCGTGCAAATTGTGACCGATCAAAACACAAATAGAAAGAGTTGGGAAATGAAAATTTATCCCATGTGTATGCAAGTGGTGAATGAGTCGTCAAAAACATCTGTTTTTGTAAGTATACTTTTCACTTTTTAAACATTGCATGAACATTTTCCAGGTAGCAAAACTTATTCAAGAACAGTTGAAGAACATGGAAATCACAAATGTGAATTTGAATGATTATTTTTTGATAGCTGATGCAGCTGCTTATAATCGGAAGGCTGGAGAAGATCATTTTATCACATGTAAGAGAAAACCATTGAAAAAAAATTTCAACTCTTGTTTTCAGTCATACGCTGTGCCGCACATATGATGAATATAATTGCAGATCGTACAACAGTTCCATATTCAAAATCAAAACTTAGCAGTGAGGATAAAAGTAAATTATGTGATGTTCGATCAACATTGAAAGATTGTAATGAATTGATGAAGAATATCAAGAAAAAGTTTTATGTAAGTTCTTGATTGCAGTTGTTTAAAGAAGAAAAAACGAGTACAGATCCGCTCCCAACTTCCAAAGCAAGTTCAAACACATGTCGAAACACGTTTTCTATCTTATAAAAAAGTTGTTGATAGTGTAATTGAAAATGCAGATGTTTTGTTGAAATTCAAATATATGATGGAACCCGATTTGGCGGATGATGTAACTAAAGTTTCGCAAAATATGAAAACTTTACGGTCAATAACTAGCACATTGAAAATTTTCGACGAACTTTGTGTATTTTTCCAAGTAAGACCTCAAAAATATCTAAATATTGATTATTTATGCATTTTTCAGAGCGATTCAATACAAATCCATGTTGTTGTGCCATGTGTTATAGGAATGCTGAAACATTTTGAAGCGCAAAAGTTGTCGAATGATGAAACACTCCGAAGTTTAGCCAGCGCTGCTGTCGAAGCACTGCGCTTCAACATGCACGATTTAACCGACTTTCATTGTCTAGGATATATGCTAGATCCACGGAGGCCGCAAACTTTACAGGCTGATATTGATGCACTCAAGGTGATTTTCCGAAAATTTCTGAATTTTTGACAGTTAATCAAATTTTTTACTTAGGTTGATCTTGATTTGAAAAGTCGTGCACAAAATGCTCTCGAAAAACTCGCCAACATTTTAAACATTTCGATGAATGGCAATCCACCATCAAGACCTCGCTATGATTCGCCTGACTCGTTTTTGGCCAAATGTTTGCGACGGGAATCTCCCAAAATGTCGTTACAAATTGAATACAATCACTTCTTGACTGTACAAAGTCATCTGGAAGTCGAAGAATTTTGGCCAACTAATGAACATAATTTCCCACAATTATATAATATAGCTCGAAAAGTGATGGGAATAGTAGCCTCCGAAAGCTCAACAGAAAGAAGTTTCAGTTTACTTCGAAATATATATAGAGAAAATCGTAGAAAATTAGAGTGCAATTTGTTGGAGAAGCTGTTTATCTGTTACGAACTTTCCAGAACTAATTAGAGATTTTATTGTTCACACTTTTATATATTCACTTCTGTTTTTTCATGAACTCTAGAATGTGTTTTATTTTCATATTATATTGAATTCTTGTTTGCTATAAATCATGTTTAAATTGAAAAAAATAAGTTATTTTATAAATGAAAATGTCATTTCATAAAATTGTTCGAAATAATGCCGAAATGCCTGCCGGCATCCGCGGCTGCCGTTTTTTGCTGTTTTGTTCCTCGGCTAAACGGCCGGAAACAGCAAGGCCACGCCCCCAACGGCAGCCGTGCCGTCCGGTCAGCAGGCGAAACGAACATACCTGGAAGTGTGGAATTTTTTTTCAAATTACAAATTTTCACTGTTTCAAAAAATTCATATAATTTTGCTGTATGTTTTCAAAATTGGTATATCAAAACAAAACAATAGTTTTGTAATAAAATTCAACAAAAAGTAATATTTTTACTGAATTTTCCCACAAATATTAAAAAAATCTCACTGGAGAATCCCAATTCCCAATTTTTGCAGAAATGGTGAATCGCATACACGACAGTCTCAAGAATCTCGAGTTTGGTCGAAAAAACAAGGCAGATGGGTGTGTATTCATGTTCATCGATCAACTCAACCCAATTCCAGCTCGACAATTTCAGAATTTTAAATTTTCATCCCACCCCAAAAAATATTACCTAGGCAAAATATTTTCTTGTCTTGTCTAACCCATTTTCTATATTTTATTATGACCAAAGCTTTTTTTTTTCGACTAATTTTCAATTTTTCTTTCATTTTTTTCTATCTATTTTCAAAAAAGAACAAAATTTTAGCATTTTTCGATGGTTTTTTAGTGTGGACAAAAGGCGCACAAGTGGTTTCTTTTCTATTATTTTATATATTTTGTGTTTGTGTACAGATTTATGAATATGAGACATAAATTTATTTAATTCCAAGATTGTTGTAAGTTTTTAAGTAATACAGGAAAATTGCAGAAAAACGTGAAAATTTGAAATTTCCCCGAGAAATACGCCAGCGATTCGCAAGAAACGCGTCAGTCTTCAGTCCCTATGACGCCTTTTCGGTTTTTTCTTTTCTTCACACCCGCCCAAGCCACACAAAAATTAGCAAAATGCTGTTTAAAACGGTGCGCCATGTAGCTCAAAATCTAGATAAGGTTCATGAAAAACTAAATATAGCATGAAAATCAGCGCCTCGAGTTCTACCTGACTTGCTACTTTTCTTATTTTTTGAGGTCCTGCGAAGAAAGTTAGCAATCGCGACAAGACCCAACGCATGAAATTCATCATGTTCCTTTAATACTGTAATGCCAAATATAACTGCGAACAGAGAGAATTAGACAAAAGTGTTTGCACAGTTTTTTGTTTTGTTTTACAGTAGAAAAACACTCATTGCGCGGCTTGAACGGGTGTGTCTTTTTCGCATTTTTTGTTTTTGCGTTTTTTTCGTGTTTCTTCACTCATTTTTTATGTTGAAAAGTGTTTTGTATCTCAAAAAATGCGCGATTGTTTTCTGCATTAAGAGATATCACATCTCCCCAAAGAAACTTTGATTTTTCAGTGAAAAACCATGAAAAGAGCACATTCTGAACTATTCTCTCCATATCGTTTTGTTGGAGTTGTCACAGGTGATGTTGCCCCGTCAGTCAGAACCACATTTGTTGGCAAGAAATCCATGTTATCCGTGCTTTGTCCAATCGATAATGTAATTGTGCAATATAATGGGCAAAAGTTGCGAGCGGTTGGAATGTCAGAGCCACTTCCACATAAGATTGATGCGATTACATCGTCTTCTTCGTGAGTTTGGCATTGAAATTGTTTTGTTTGAAATGAATATTTGAGAAAAATCTACATTTTAACACGTGTTCTATTTAAAAGTGATAAAAACGTGTAGATTTTTGGAAATCTTTCATTTTTCGATTTCAAGAAATTGGTGAATGGAATATTTTTAGGTGAGAAAGCTCAAGCAATCCTCAAAATCTGTGTATTTATCCGGGAAAATCCACAAATATTCAAAATCAATCATTTTCAGATGTGTCTACGCCTCCGCCTCCAAAGAAATCGCAATTCTCCCATTTTGTCGTGATATCACCGCAAAAATCGCAATTCCCATCAAAACCAAATTCATGGAACTTATCGGAACTCAACTAATCGTCATTGACATCGAAAATGGCGTCAGAATCATTGATGTTGAGAAACAAGAAACAGTTTTGTATTTGGAAGGAAGCCCAGACTTTGAAATCACTTCAATTTGTCATCCAAGCACGTATTTGAATAAAATTGTGTTGGGTTCGGCTCAGGGGAAATTGAGAATTTTGAATTTTCGAACTGGAAAAGTGATTCATGAATTTGAGAGGGAATTTGGAGCGGGAATTTGTGTTTTGAGACAATCGACGGCTTTGGATATTATTGCGATTGGATTAGAGAATGGACAGGTTATTCTGCATAATTTGAAGAGCGATAAGATTCTACACAAGTTCAGACATGATGCTAAAATTACCGAGATTTCGTTTAGGTAAGGTTTTTTGGGAAAGGGAGGGGGTTCTGAAAATTGATTTTTATCATAAAATTACACTGTTTCAACATGTTTTTATGTAAAAAACATGAATTTCGTGACTCGATTTGATTTTCGATTGGCATCAAAAAATTAGAAGTATATAATTTCCGAAATTCCATAAAATTTACAAGCAAAATTCCGAAAATCTACTGTTTCAAGCGGAATTGATTTTTCCATTGAAAATTGAATTTATTAAAATAAGAAAGTTGGAAAAATGTACTGTTTCAACATATTTTTATGTGAAAAACATGGATTTTTGAGTTGATTCATAGTGCTTGATTATAATGGTCGCTCTTAAAAAATAAAAAAAAATACAATTCCAAAATTCCCCTGATTTTACTAGCAGAAATTCGATAATCGCAAAATTTGCCTTGGAAATTTGAATTTCCTTGATTTTTCTTCCTAAAAATTACTGTTTCAAGCAAAATTTTACTAAAAGATTTTCCTCTGGAAGTTGAATTTTTGCAAAAAAACTTTTCACTGTTTCAACCAATGTTTATACAGAAAACAAATTCCTCATATTTTACTATCAACAACATACATAAAAGGGTCCCCTGAATCGGGGTGAGGGGCTTAACATTTTTCAAAAATCTGAAGGGAAGGGTGCCTAACTTGGCCAATTTTCTGCTGATAATTTACCAAAATTCGCTCAAAAATGTGAGGCAGGTGTCTAACTTTGAAGAATTTTCAAGGAGGGACCCTAACTTTAAAAACTTAATCGGGGGACCTATTTTATGTATGATCAACAATTTGATATTTACAAATTTGTCTTCGAAATTTGATATTGCTTGATTTTTCTTTTGAATATTCATATTTAAAAAACGTTTTTTGAGTAGCTTATAACATTTTGAAAAGGGGAAAATATCAGAATCTAGAAATAATGAAAATTTATGACAAAAATTTAAAAAAAATTCACTGTTTCAAAAATGTTTTGAACTTGAATCATTTATTATTGGAATGGTAGTTTATATTGTCGGAAACCTATTAAAGGGTTGGTGCTCCGCCAGGGAATCTTGTTTGGTATTGATAGGAATAAGGTGCTCCTGGAAGGTTCCAGTTTTAGAAAAAATTCTAGTATCAATTAAGCCCATGTTTTTCCTCAAAAACACAAACGAATTAAAACCTACGAAATAAAACAAGTAAATGCGCTCTAGCGCACAACTCGTTTTTGAATTTTCGTGCGTGTGTTTGCACACAACTTTGAAAATAACACGGTGACGCCTTTTTGCAGACGATTTTTTCACCAGGAGAACACCAACCCTTTAAATAAAAATGACAAATAGCATGAAGATATTTGATATATATCAGACAGAAAGTCTAGAAAAATCTTCAACAAAATCCTAACACTGGAATTTTGGAAAGTTTTCAGAGATTTCATGAACTTTTGGAATAAAAATAAATTCAGGGAAAATTAATTTTCCCACTTTTTGCAGAGATGATGGTGAATCAAGTATGGTGACAGCAGATTCAAATGGTGTTTTAGCAGTCTGGAATTTGGAAAAACAAGAATTGATTGGAAAAGTTATGAATATCCATACCGCAAATGTAAATCTTCTTCATTTCATTCCCGGTGAACCTATCCTAATTAGCGCAAGTACCGATAACTCACTTCGAACTTGGATTTTTGACGGTGCTGATGGAATGCCACGAGAATTGGTGCAATTAGAAGGACATGCGAAACCAGTTACAAGTGTGCAATTTGCTAATAAACATCATATTTTGAGCTCTGGAATGGATGGATCGGTGAGAAAATATGATGTGCAATCATTGACTATGAGACATAAATTGGGAACTGCTGCAACTATGTCAAAGTGAGGTTTTTTGGGGAGGGGAGGGGTTTGAAAATTCAAGGAAAGGATGCATTTCTGATCGAGAAATTGAGAAAATTGATTTTTTCACTGAAAAATCCTCAATTTCTTCATTTTTGACTTTGAAATTAATAAAATTCAACAAAAAATTTCCACAAAAAGTTCACTGTTTCAACAATTCTATGTATTTTTTTTCGGGAATTTTGACAAAATGTTATAATAAACAAACAGTAGCCATTTTTCTAATTATTTTCTGTCTTATTTCATTTCTCTGTAATTTTTCTCCAAATCTTAATCAAAATTCATGGAAAATTTAAAAATTTTCCGGGAAAAAATCACCCTGAAATCTAAAATTTATGCTCATTAAAATTTCACAAAAATTCACTGTTTCAACATTTCTATGTATTTTTTTCGGGAATTTTGACAAAATGTTATAAGAAACGCACAAACGCACATTTTTCTAATTGTTTTCTTTTTTTTTCTGTAATTTTTCTCCAAATGTTAATCAAAATTCATGGAAAATTTGAAAATTTTCCGGGAAAAAGGCATTCTGAAATCTAAAATTTATGCTCATTAAGATCAAAAAAATTCACTGTTTCAAAATGTTTATAAGATTATCCATCAATTTTTTCAAATTGATCACATTACTTAAAATTTTGTGTTTTAAAAACATTTCAAAAAATACTATCCTATACATCCAAAAATCCAAATTATTCACATTTGTTTGCAGAACTCAAGCCAAGAAAAAAGGAGTGAATTTCGAAAATGTGAGACTGGAAAATGTTGTCGAAATGGCGGTTGGATGGCAAAGAGAAGCGGCATGGGATAATGTGGTTTGTAGACATAAGTGAGTTGCGATTTTGGGGCTATTTTTGACTGGAAATTGGGGATTTTTTTGGCTGAAATTAGTCTGAAACAGAATATTGGGCTGAAAATTGCGAAAAGCTGAATTTTCATCCAAAAGATGCAGTTTTTCTGCTATGTTTTACTGAAAATTTGGAATTCATTTTTAAAGTTTTATTTTTTTTTGGAATTTTTCGAGAATCCAGAGAAATTTTTTTTTCGAAATTTTTAATATCGGCAAAAAGTGAGTTTTCATAATGATTACCAATTGCAAAAAATGCCAAAAATGATATTCAGAAACTTTTTTCAAAATAAGAATTCACTGTTTCAAATTTTTATTTTACAATTTTTTAAAGTTTTATTTGGGATGTTAAAATTCTATTTTCGATTGAAAACAATTAGTAACAAAAATTTCAATTTTTGCCACGTCAGAATTCAAATTCAGAGTTTATCAACGGGCTCAAATCTACTAGAAAACATTAATTTTGTCGTAAAATGTTGAGTACACTTTCCAAAAAATAACCAATATTTTCAGAGACTCGCTGGAAATCACAACATGGACAACTCGAAACAATTGTGCCGGATCGGTGAAAATTGAACATGAGCGATTCAAAAATGACGCGTCGCTGATTGGAACAATTGCCACGTCGATTTGTTTGTCGCCGTGTGGAAATTTTGTTTTTGTTGGATATTCGAGTGGTAAAATTTTTTTTTTGCACAAAAAAATTCACTGTTTCAAAAATGTTTTGAATTTTTATTATTTTAGAGTATGGTTGATTGATAGTTGTTAAACTAAGTTGTTAAAAAATTCCGGAAAATTAGAAAAACATTGAATTATATTCAGTCTGAAACTGTTTGCTTCAAAATAATTTGCCGAGTTTTCAAACTAGAAAATGTAACGATTTTTTTCGTGAAAAAATGTTTTTGAAACAGTGAAAAATTGGGGTTTTCTAATTAAGATTTTTTTGTTTAAAATTTCAGTTTTTGTGCAAACTCTCCTAATTTTGCAGGACATCTCGATAAATTCAACATTCAAAGTGGTCGTTTCATCAATTCGTTCACCGAAAAACCCGCCAAAAAGTCCACTCAAAAAGGAGGAAAAAAGAAGGCAGAAATTGAAAAACGAACAGCCCATGGTTCCCCAATAACATCTCTAACAATTGACCAACGAGGAATCGAATTAGCAAGTGGATGTAGAAATGGTGTGATCAGATTTTGGAATTTGGCCAACAATCAATGTATTATTCGATTGAGAACTCCATCCAATTTGAGAATTGAGAAAAGTGTTGCGAGTCCGGCTAATAATTTGATTGCTGTTGCGTGTCAGGATGAGAATGGTGAGATTGGAGATTTCGGATGAAAATTTTTATATTTCTGAAAATTATTGATTTTTGAGTGGTAAACCCTGTATTTTTCTCTATTTGAAATATTGGAAAATACGAGGTTTTCACTCAAAAAAGTAATTAACCGATATTTTTTTAATGAAAAACATTTTTTGTGTTTTTGACGAGAAATTTAAACAAATTTCATTGCAAAAATCAACAAATCCCGATTTGCTGATCCTGAAAAGTCCCCTTATTTTTTGTGTTTTTCAGGAAAATCATCGGTCACCATTATCGATTCAATTTGTCATCAAATCGTCCGATCTTTCACCCAAATCGGCTCAAAAACAACATCGATCGAATTCTCGCCAGATGGAAAATGGCTTCTAATCGCAGATTCCGATTGTCATATTCGAATTTTCGAACTGACCACTTCAAATCTGATCGATGTTCTATTATTCGCCAAACCATGTGTTGGTATTTCATTCAACTCGACTGGCGAATTTCTGGCAACTGCACATGAAAATGAACAAGCAATTTATATCTGGGCAAATAAGACAATGTTCTTGGCACATGTTAATATTCGAGCATTGGAGTTGGATTATTTGCCAAGTTGGAAAGATCAGGAAGAAGATCAAGTGGAGAAAAGTGATGAAGAAATTATGGAAAATGAAATAATTGATTGTGATGATGATGATATTTTGGAAGAAGAAGAGAATAGATTGAGGAATTTGCAATTGGATGAAACACTTGTCACTTATTCTGGATTGGCACCTTCGAGATGGGCGAATTTGCCGGATTTGGCGATGATTAAGGAGCGGAATAAGCCGACGGATGCGCCCAGAAAAATTAAACAGGTTAGCTAACTATAGTCTAGTCTGACTTGAAAACAAAATTATGGACGCTGGAAACCACAAAACCACGTGGCATTTTTTCTAAAATTGTCATTCTACAAAATTCAAAACAAAATGGGGAATCTTGAAATTGGCTTGGAAAAATGTTTTTTTTTCTAATCTGAGCAATACCGAGTTTTTTTGTCAAGAACTCTCTCTCTCTTTCAAAAAGTATAAAATGTGTTTCTCAGCTTTTTCCTTATGAATCACCCCATAATTTTACGACGTGGCTTTCTGGGAAGAAAATCAAATTTAAACAAATTTTGAAACTGTTATATTTTTTTGAAAATTAGGAAATGTAAGTCTGAATATTACTAACAAGTAAATTGCTGTTACCTATATCGAATATTTTTAATGATAAAATGTATCAGAACTTTTTGAAACAGTGAAAATAAGTAGACAAAAATTAGTTGGAAAAATCTCAAAAAACATTTTTTTTTTTTGGATTGATTTAATGATCCGATTTCGATTGAGAAATTATTAGATTTTTTTTGAAACAGTGAATAATTGAGATTTTCAAAATTTAAATTTGGTGTTAAATATCCACCGCAAATTTTTTGAATCACGTTCTCAAAAAACAACCCACATTTCGAACGCTCAACCCTTATTTTTCTAGGCTCCATTCTTCCTGACAGCTGCTCCAACTTTGGAAGGTTTCGAATTCGAATCACAGGATTTTGGAGACGAACCCGATTCCGAATCTCGAATTCTTCAAAATAAAAGAAATTTATTGGAACTCGAAAGTTCGTTCACAAAATTGTTGAGAAATGCGAAAAACGAAGCGGATTTGATTGATGCTTTTGAGAGTTTGAAAGCAATGTCACTTACGGCTATCGATTTTCAAATTCGATCATTGGCTACGACGGTTTTGGCCACGTTTTTTAGAATGCTTTTGGAGGTGAGAGAAATTTGAAGATTTGGGTGGGGAAAATTTGCGAAATTTTGAAGTTTTCAGCTCAAAATATAGAATTTTCATAACATTTTAAGAAACTGAATCGCACTTTCTATTTTTTGAAAAGGAAAATTATTTGTTTATTCTTTTCTGTTAATTTTTGGGTAATCTATTGCAAATGAATACCGCATCAATTCTCAAATAAAAATTGTTGTTTCCCGAAATTTTTGAAACAGTAAATTTTTTAACCAAATATATTTCTCTATTTTTTTGCAGGTGTTGAAAACGAAACGGGATTTCGAATTGGCTCAAGCTTATTTGACAACTGCTATCAAAATTCATAGGTAAGTTTTGTTTGAATTTTGAAAATTGAAATTAGGCGCCCCAAAAAAATTATAGAAAAGTATGCCATGCTCAAAAATTCCTAGAATTTTTCAAATCAAAAATTTTTACTGTTTCAAGAATTTATTAATAATTTTCTGTGGTTTTTTGAAACTGATCCAATATGTGAATTGTTTTCGCCAAAAATCTAAAATTTAAAATTTGAATTTTTCGATTCACCTTTTTATTCGCCAGTTTCAAAAACCATCAGGAAATTATATGAAGTTTTGAAACAGTGAAAAATTGTAATTATTTAAAACTGAATTTCTTGTTGCATTTCTTGTAATTTTTTTAAAATTATTTTTCTCAGAACCGAAATTTGGAAAAAATCGGATGAGACAAATGATGATGAGTTGGACGAAGTCTTGCAACTATTATCAGAAGCTCAAAATCAAAGTTGGAATCAATATGAAGAATTGATGATTGAGGATATGGCTGTTGTTCAATGGATTAAGAATGCTTTGTTATAGGTTCGTTTTTTATGGGAAAAATGCGGGGAATTTGGGCTAGAAAAATTGGAATTTTTGGCGAATTTCAAGCTTTGTTCACCAAAAAATTCGAAAAAAATCTTTATTTTTTATCCCGGAAAAATTAGGTTTTAAAATAAATTTAAAGAAAAATCATGTTCGAAGAATTTCAATTATGATTTTATTCAAAAAAAAATAATAAAAATTATTGCCACGTGGATTTGGGCACCAAAATTTTTTCAATTAATTTTTTTTAATTTTTCGTCAGAAATTTAAAATTTGAAACTGTTTTAACAATAAAATTTTTTTTTTAATTTTTGAGCAATATTTACAAAAAAACATTTTCCCCAAATTTCCCGCCAAAAAAAAAATCAATTTTCTCCGAATTTTCTAATAAAATGATTCATTTTTCCAGATTCTCGTTGTTCTTCCCCTTCCAATCGCCTTTATTTGTTATTTTTCCCCCGAATAGTTGTTGTTTTTCTTGTTTTTTTTGTTCTCGTTGTTCCTTTTTACCTTGTTGATTTTACCAACATTTTTTGTTGTTTTTCATTGATTTAAGACGAAATAAATGAAAAGTGTCGGATTTTTTGAATGAACAAAAGAGCAAATTTGATTTTGTAGTTTTCTTTGGTTGTTTATTTACTTACACTGCATTTCGTCTTCGTTGTTCTCCGGATGTTCTTTTTCTTCTCCTTTTTTCTGACTTCTTCGCCATAACAGATACGACTTGATTGCACCAAAAAAAAAGGCGGAGAAGCGCCAGATGCACAAGAAAATATATTTGGATTTAGTTTTTATTTGGTTTATTTTTTGTTATTTTTCGGATAGTGGATTTTTGAGTTACTTGGGGGGTTTTAGAATTTTTTGAATACCAGAAAAACTAAAAATTTGATTTTTTGAACATCTGAAACACTTGGAATCATTTTTCACAAAAAGAGCATTCTGGAAATTTTAAATTTCCTAGTGCCACAAAAAATACATTGAAAAATTTAAAAACGCTTCTTTGGCTCAAATTTTTTTCATCTCTGAAAACTCTGAAAATCTTTTCGAAACCAAATGTTCCCACGTGGTTTTTATCAGATTTCTAGAAAGAAAATAAATTGCGATTTTCTGTTTTTCAACAAATCTCAGAGCGACTAAAAACATTTTTAAATCCAAATTGACTTTCTTAGTTTTTTCTCCCAAATTTTGTCCTATTTTTCAAGTGGGAAAAGGATCTTTGTCAAAGTTTGTTTAAGTCAAGTGTTAAACAAGTACTTTGTTTTTTTGTGTTGAAATATTGAAAAAATTTGATTTTCAAGGTTACATTTGAATTCAGTTTGTTTTTATTTGGTACCAGAAATTTTAAAAAAATTTCCACGTTTCAGTCCTGATATTTTTTGAAAAAAAAACAAAAAAAAATCACATTTGAGTTTCTCTCTAGAAATCTGATAAAAACCAAAACCACATGGGCTATAAACAAAAATTTGAGTTAGCCTATTTTGTAGGGCTCAAAATTCCCAACAACAATTGCTCCAAATTTTTCCTTGGTGGTGACATTTTTCATTTCAAAAAAAAGAAATTAGTGTAATAATTTACATATATCTTTTTGCTTCTTATTTTATTCTTTCTTTTTTCTTTTTCTATCTAACCAACAATCACATTTTCCTCCTCTTTTTCTTCGTTTCTCTTTCTCTAATTCTCTCCATCTCTCATTATCTCTCATTCCGATCATTTTGTGTTTTACAAAAACAGAATAACACCTTTTCTACATTTTTTTGGGTGGTTTCTGGATGTTTTGGGAGGCGTTTTTGGGGATTTCCTAAGTTTTCTAGGAATTTTGAGTTAGCCTATCTTGTAGAACTTGAAATTCTGAGCAAAATGAGTATAGATTTGATTTTTTGGAATGTATTGAAGATTCTGAAAATTTGGCTCGAGATTGTCATTTTTTGGATTTTTCAAAAATTTTTGAGCATGATTTTCTGAATTTTTTGATTTTGTTGGAATTTTTGAGTTAGACTATCTTGTAGAGCTTGAAGATCTGAGAAAAATGAGCCGAAACTTGATTTTTCGAAAAATTTGGGTCAAAAATTCGTGTTTTTTTTTTTGAAAACGAAGGTTTCGAGGTTTTTTAGAGAAAATTCCACAACTTTGAAATTTTTTTACGCCAAAAAATAATTATTTTCAAACTAAAGTGGGTCAAAAAGTCGAATTTTGACAAGAAAATTGGCAAAACTAAGTAATTTCTTTTCCCAAAAATTTTCATTTTCAAAAAAAAATAACTAAAAAAGAAACAACCTTGGGGCTACTCATCCGACTGATGACTAATTGACACACATTTTTTTGTGTTAAAAAAAACTTGGCAAAAGTGCCTTTTTATGGTTATTAGAAACACGGAGAGGTGTTAGAGAGAGAGAGAGAGTGTGTGAAAATTGGAGAGACACAGATAGAGAGAATGGCGACAGTTTCGAAATTTTGAAGAAAAAACAATTTCCACACAAAAATTTTGATGTGGAAAATTAAAGAAGTGACTTCAAACCGCAAGCTTCCGCGTCGGCGGCCACGCGGAAGCTTGCGGAAAATTTTGAATTTCGAAATATTTCATTTCTAATAATTTTCACATTCAATTATCATCCCTTTTCTTCACATTTTTCTTATCCATTATTAATAACTGGATTCTTCTTTCTTATTCTTTTTTTCCACTTTTTTTGATGATGTGAGAAATTTTGTTATTATTATTAATATATCCCTAATGTTTATGTATGTTTTTCGCACTTTCTTTTTGTCTTATCTTTTTTTTGTTTTGAAGAAAAAGCTATAAAATAAAAAATCTGGTTTCAGATTGATTCTCATCTTAAATTTTGAATCTGAAAGAAATAATTTTTTGAAACTTTAGTCTAGTCTAAAGCTTGAATATTGTGCAAAACTTCGAAACTAATTTTGATATCTAGAAGGAAATGACAGATTGTTTTTCTTGAAAATATTTTTTTTATAAGGAAATTTTGAAACAGTAAATTTTTATTTTTAAAAACATTATTTTTTCACGGTTTCAGAATGTTTCCAAAAATCGAGCTAGACCTCATTGTGCTCAGAATTTCAAGCTCTACAAAATAAGTCCAAGAAAAATCTGAAAATTTTGATTTAACTATTTTTTTAACCCTATTTCATAGCCAAATTTTCAGACATTTCCAGATTTCTCCAAAATTTTGAGCTCCTTAAGATTTTCCAGGAAAAAAAACATCGTAAAACAATTTGCTGGTGTCAATTTATATCATCAAGCTCATAAAACCTATCCGATTCTGAACACACACTTTTTTTTTCGCTTTTATCTTTCATCTCTTCCGGAAAACAGCAAAAAAGCTAATATATATCTTTTTTCTCCTCAAATTTTCCGATTTTCTGACAAAAATCTGTCAATTTTTCCCCATCTTTCGAACAACAAATGATTTTTTTTGCCTGCTGGTTGATTTATTTTTGATTGATTTTTCTGCGTGATTACGATTTTCGAAAATTTTTGAAGCTAAAACTTCTTTGAAACAGTGATTTTTTTAAGTTGAAAATTTAGTTTTGCACCAGTTTTTCCAATTTTCGGGTTCATAAAACCACGTGGCAAAATACAGAATAAAATTTCATTTTTATTGGAGAAAAAACAATTCAATGATTAAATTTTTGAAGCTAACATTTTTTCATGAAATTTTGAAACAGTGATTTTTTTCGATAAAAAATATTTTTTTTGCATTTTTTTTGTGAAATTGAAATCCGGAGAAACTTGGATCCACGTGGCAATTCAAAAAAATTTCGAAAACATTTTTCGAATTTTTCTGGCGCCAAAAAACCTCCCATTCTTCTTATCAGTAAAATCAATTTACGACTATATAATTCGCGAATTTTTCTTTTTTCAAGAATATTTTTTAAAATTCAAGTTTAGCGCCAAAACTCCCGCCAGCAAAACTCGTTTTGCTCTTTTCTTTCCCCAAATTTTTATCGTGTGGTGGTCTCAAATCTAACTTACATTGTTTGAATTTCGAATTAATTGTGTTTTCTTTTTCCTTTTTTTCTTTCAAAAAAAAAGAGAAAGAGAAGGAAAATGTTGACTTTTTCCTTTTTTTTTTCCTTTTCCATTTTTAAGCTGGATGGGAAAAATGCAGATTTTCTCTTTTTTTGGCCAGAAATACTTATTTAGTATTTATCTTAGTTGGTTCTGAAAATTTTTACTCAACTTTTAATATGAGTTATGACGTGGAAAAGTTGAAAAATTTTCGACATTTCCATACTTTGCCACGTCATAACTTATATTTAGAGTCGAGTTCTGCAATATTTGACTATGCGATGATAATCAGCGGGTCGAAAAACTACCTAATTTTTTATATGACCTCAAAAAATAATAATTGAAATTTTAATTAATTTTGGTGAACGTGTACGTGAAAAATCCAACAAAAATGAATTATTTCAAAATTTATCAATACGAAAAAATGGTTGAATTTCGAGTGAAGTAAGTTTCATAGAAAAAACTCGGTATTTGACATTAATAAATTTCGAAAAAGTCAAAAATGCTTACCTCTTTATCGATTTATTTCAAAAATTCCATAAGCTTATCACTTTTTCTCCAAATATCTTTCTCACTTCAAAACCTCCAGAATCCCTCATTCTTACTTTCAGATCATGAAAAAATGATGCAAAACATTTCGAATTTGAAATGTGTCAATATTTGTGTGGTTGGCGTCAGTGGTCCGGAACAAGTTAAAGGCGCATGCGGTGTTGGCAAATCATTGTTTTGTAATCGATTTGTTCGTGGCGCTGCGGACGATTTTCATATTGATCATTGCTCAGTTTTGTCGCAGGTTGGTTTTTCTTGAGCTTCTTTTGTAGAGCTCAAAATTCTGCATAGCGTGAGGTAGATAGTGCGGCTGGCGCGGTTTACACTTGAAAAAAACAAAAAAAATATCAGAGGGACTAAGTTTTTCCTAGTCCCCGTGTGTTTGAATCCTAGTCCCTTGGATTTTTTGTTTTTTTTTCGGCTCGCGCGCGGACCAGTTTTTGTGCCTTTTCTAAGTCAAAACGAATATATAGGTGTCTCAAATTTTTTAAAACTCAATGCTCTTTGAATTAAGCTTTAACTGGATTTTCAGAAATTTCTTCAAAGCACTGAAAATCGCCCCTCAAAAAACTTTTTCGATTTTCAGACCGATTTTGGTGGCAGCCCGGTAATCAACAATGATCATTGGCTATACTGGGGTGACCGGATTCTTCAAAACCCTGAAGATTCTTCACAAATCCTCATAAAACTTGTGGAACAAACCGAATTCTTGGACGATGAAACTTATGAGCCAATTGCGAGCAGTTCGAAAAATGAAGATTATTCGAAAAGATGCGCAAGAATTGTATTAAATAGTCGTGATAAGTTAATGTATATACAAAAAGAACAATTGGGTCTGGAAGCCGATTTTCCGCAGCATATTTTGAGCGATGGAAAATTTGCCGTAGATGGTTTTATTGTGATATTTGATGTTTCCCGGAATATTCCTCAACATTTATTAAAAATCTCGCAAATTCTAACAAACCTGGTGAAAACAAAAAAGCCCCTAATTATCGCTTTAACTAAATGCGATGAAATTGATGAGGAGTCAAAGCGGAGTGTTGTTGCAAATCTGAATTCGAGAAAGGATTTGAAGAATTTGCAAATTGTTGAAGTTTCATCGATTCATGATGTTAATATTGAAGAGGTTTTTCATTGTTTGGTCTCACAGATTTCGAAAAATTATAAACATAAAAGAAAACCGATGAGTTATTATGAAGCAGCACATTATGTTGAGCAAAGGAATATTCAGATAAAGTAAGGATTTTTGGGGAAGGGGGAATTTGAAAATTATGAAAAATTGGTACGTTTTGCACTTGAAATTTGAATTTTCGAGAACTAAACTTCAAAAATTATCGAAAAATTCACGTGGCGTAGCGAAAATTGTAATTTAATTTTTGTTACTTTCTGAAAAAGTTCAAAATTTCCCTGAACCTTTTTTTGGCTCAACACATTTTGTTTTAATTTTGAATATCAAAATTGGTAGAAGAGTTATCAGAAATAAAATTCATATTATTTTTTATAGAAATTTTGAAACAGTGATTTTTTTTTGACAAAATATTTAAAAATCACCATTTTTGGAGGGTAAAAAGATCGTGAAAAATCCCAAATTTCAGCCAAATCAATAAATTTTAATTTCAGAAATGCCTACGCCAACCTTCTCTCACAAATGATGCCAATGACATCTTGGTCTTCAATGACCGGCTCATTTGGCTCAAGTCATTTGCCAAAAACTTGGAAACGACTTTTAGCAGATTTGGATCGACACAAGGATTATTTGAATTTTGTGCAGATTTATGGAAGTCGCGCGGCTTTTAGAATGTATGAAAAATATATGTGCGATGCTAGAGAATTTTGGATCACTTCCAGGTAATTTTGGCTGGAAAATTCTGAAAATCTGGCTGAAATTCAGCAACTAAAGTTTTTGAGGCGGGTTTTTCATAAATTTCCAAGTTTTTCTGAAAATTGAACTAAATTTGTGCTGATTTTTTAATAAATAAAATAAATGAATTTGTAGAGCTTGAAATTTTGTGCAAAATGATGTCAGACTAGATTTTCAAATTTCTAAAAAGCCCCTGAAAATAAACCTATTTTCAGTGCATGTTTAGAGTCATTTTGAAGCCCGCTTCTCCCCTCAACTTCCCCTAACTCTCAAAAATTCCAGACTCCGCGCATTGGTTCCCCAACTCTCACGAATCTACGCCTCAATTTTTGAAAAAATCGAAGATATTTCATCAATCGAATGGGTAAAAGCAAGAGAAATGATCAAAACTCATGCACTTTTCGACGAATTTTTTCGACCAATCGGAAGTTTGGGAAGACAATTGGAAACATTGCAAGATGATTTAGTAGAAATGAACAAAGATATGCGAATTCCAGCTGAGATTCTGATTTTACCCGATGCTCAACAAGTTTATGAGAATTTTCGAGAAGAGATTCGAACTCTTAGGAAGCGGGAGAAATTGGAAGATGAGTTCTTGCAACTTTTATCGGAGACTCCTGAAGTTACACCGGGAAAAAGTCTGCAAGATGCATCGTTGTTTTTGCATGGGGCAAGCTCTTTTGAAAATCTTGAGATGACTCAAATTGTGGAGATTTATGATAAGTATCAACGCGGTTTGGTTTATCGCGCCGAAGTCGAATTTGTGGAAGCGCTTCTGGAGAATGTGGAATTACTATTGAATATTATTAATTCAACGATTTCGATTGATACAATATCGATTGATGAATTAGGATATATAAAGGATTATTTAGAAGGAGATCGAAGATATCGATGGATGTCAAAGATATTTGATCTTAGAGATCATCTAATCTACTCGATTACCAATTTCTATAGAAATCCAAATATTTCACGATGTCCAGCGGGTTCTCGATGTGTCGAAAATTCTCTGGGACACTTTTTGGATAAGTTTTTCCATCGGCGGAATGATCAGGCCTATACTCATCTCATTGATATTTTGGTCGAGGGTTCTGAAGATGATCAATTGGTTTCGCAGTTTATTGGAGAGATTTCGGGGTTTTTGAGAGGTGATCCGTTTCCTTGTTCAAGTGGAAGCGCTTTTATTCGATGTTATAAATGTTCGGATTTCGAAAGTTTGGAAGAAGAGAGAGAAGTTACGGAGATTTATTTGATTGATAGTTTGGAATCTTTGGAAAGATTGAAGGAGTTTGCACCGAGATGTCCTGGAATTCCACCGATTTTTATAGGTGAGTCAGATTCTGATTGTGAGCAAAATGAGCTCAAACTTGATTTTCAGACTTCAGAATTTTATGCTCTTCAAAATGAGCCTAAACTTGATTTTTAAATTCCTGAAAGTCTAGCTCAAAAGTTCTGAAAAACTGACAAAAAATGTGTTTTTCCAGTGCTCTGCGAGCCTTCAAATTATCATATAATCCCAATGCTCCATCAACACGGCGCAAGTTTGGCTGCGAAATTCGGCGCGAATTTTTTCGGAGCCAAACAAGGTGATTCAATATATCCCTCGGATGATCATGCTTCAACAAATATTTCATCGGAAAATAGTTTTTTATTGGCAAATGATCAATTAATGGCAATTTGTGAAGCAATTTGTGCTAGTCAATTAACAATGAAAAAACGAGATTTGCGAACACAAATATCAATAATGTGTGGTGATCCGATATCGATTGATTTGTTGATTCAATCGATTTTTGGTGATTTTGAAATGATCTCCTATTTTCGACCTGTTATTCATCCGAATTTGACTGCTGGTAAGAGATTTTTGGGGATTTTGCCCTAAAAAGAAATCGGATTTTGTTTCCACAATGTCTTTTCTATGCATTCTGGATTCAAATTTTTTAAAGCTTTATTAATTTTTGCGGTCAAAATTAACTCAATATTGGTGCAAAAAAAATTCACTGTTCCAAAATATTTTCATAAATTTCAGCTAATATTAAATTTTGATAAACATTTAAATAGCATTAAAAAATTTCTAGATTCAAATTTTTAGCCAAAAAACCCACGTGGGAATGTTTATAATTTCTGGAGCCAAAATTTTCAAAAATGAAACTTTTCAGTTGAAAAAAAATCACTGTTTCAAAATATTTTTGAACAATAATTTTTTAAAAAATTTTTAATAACATTTTTTTTTCTTCTTCGAAAAATCTTGAATTGTGGCGTCAAATACTAATGTTTTTTCAAATAGAAAATTCACTGTTTCAAAATATTTTCAAACAATTTTCGAGAAATGGAGTCTTGTTTCCACAATACTTTTTCTAAACATTTTATGTAGTTGAAAAATTCACATTAAACATTCTAGAAATCTTGGCACCAGAATTTTTATTAGAATTTATCAACATTCAACTTTTTTTAATCGGAAAAATTCACTGTTTCAGAATTTTCATATGAAATTTTGCAAGAAAATTAAATTTTGATTCGAGTAGTTTTGGATTCGATGAAAATCTAGGTTCATTTTTTAAGCTAGGAAAAACCGCGTGTAAAATCCTTTAATTTTTTACGCGTTTAAAATTAAGATTCAAGTTTTGAGTCTGAAAGTGCCAAGTGAAAATCCTGAATTTTCGGCGACACCAAATATGCTAGAAATTTCACTGTTTCGAAATATCTCCAAATAATTTTTGGGAAAATTAAATTTTTTTGGAGCGTTAGCCGATCTACGTTGAAAATTTCGATTAAAATTTTTAGCCAAAAAACTACGTGGGAATGTTTATAATTTCTGGAGCCAGAATTTTCAAAAATGAAACTTTTCAGTTTAAAAAAATTCACTGTTTCGAAATATATTTGAAAAATAATTTAAAAAAATAATTGTTTTTCCAAATAGAAAATGAACTGTTTCAAGATATATTTTCATAAAATTTTCGAGAATTGGAATATTGTTTCCGCAGTGAACACACCTGACGAGAGAGTGTCCCAAATTTTTTGTGCAGTGTGAAAATTTTTTTCAAAAAAATGTGCAGCGTGAAATTTTTAAGTTTTTCGAAAAAAAAACTCCGCCGGCAGGAGGATTCGAACCCTGGTCTCATGCTCGCTAGTCTAAAATGCTAACCTCTCGGCCACATCTCTCTTTTCTCCCAATGGGAAAATGTTGGTGGAAAGGAAACTGTTTTTAAACGAATGCGTTGCAACGTTGCTCAAATTTTGTAGTTAGGATAACTAAGCTTAGGCTTAACGGATATGGTTGAATTTTTTATGATAGATTGCTATGGTCATAGACAGTGTGGAACACCATGAGTGCAGTGTGGAAATGCCCTATTTCGCTGTTATTTTGGAGTGTCCATTTCAATGGTAAATATGGACATTACAAAAAATCGGACGGCATTTTTTTCCGAGCACATATCAAGGGTTGGTATATTCAGAAAGTTGGTGTATTTTTAAGCGTAGTTTTCGAATTTACCCATGTGCAGTGTGGAATTTGAAGTTTTTCCATAGAAAGTCAATTTTTTCGAAATTTCAGTGACACTATGGTTTGCTAAGCAGTCACGTAAATTCCACACTGCACATTATGTTACCACACTAAAACAAAGTCTGCTGAGTTGATTTTCACCGAGAAACTTCGAAAAATTCGCAAGCTGAAGTTGTTTTTGAAGTTGAGCAAAAATAAAAAAAAGCTTTGGTTCGAATGAAGATTCGAACCTGGGCCTTCTGAACACTAGCAAAATGGCCTACCACTGAACTAAATGCGCATTTATTTCCTCAGGTTAAATGTTGGTGAAAAGGAAACAAAGTTATTTTTTGAAAAAAATGCAGTGTGATTTTTGAAAAATGTACAGTGTCCATTTTGGACACGTCTCGTCAGGTGTGGCAGTGAACTAAAAATTCTATGTAGTTGAAAAATTGACGTGGAAAATTCTAGAACTGCTGGAACCAGAATTTTCTTAGAATTAGAATTTTCAAACAACTTTTTCAATTGGAAAAATTCACTGTTTCAGAATTTTCATATTGAATTTTGCAAGAAAATTAAATTTTGATTCGAGTAGTTTTAGAGTCGATGAAAATCTAGATTCATTTTTTAAGCTAGGAAAAACCGCGTGTAAAATTCTTTACTTTTTGACGCGTTAAAAATTAAGATTCAAGTTTTGAGACCGAAATTGCCACGTGAAAAATCCTGAATTTTTGGCGACCTATTGTCCGTTTGGAAATGAGATTCACCCCGCAAAAAAATAAATTTGAATTTGAGAAAATCTCTAATTTCCCCCTACCCCCGCGATGCGTGTGCGTTGCGGTCGCTCTCCCATACAAAACCCCCGTTGGCTGTTTGCCAGCGGGCTCTCTCGCTGTCTGCGTCTCCTGCAGCAAATTCAAATTTATTTTTTCGCGGGGTGAGTCTCATTTCCAAACGGACAATAATATGTTAGAAAACTCACTGTTTCAAAATATTTTCAAACAATTTTTGAAAAATTTTGATTTCGATCCGTCTATGCCGGACTCCAACCAAAAAATATATATTCAAGTTTCTTAGCTGAAAAAATTCAACGTGGCAAACTTTTTAAATTTTTGACGGCAGAATGTTCATAGAATTTGGAAAAATTCACTGTTTCAAACTATTTTTTGAAAAATAATTTTTAAAAAAATAATTGTTTTTCCAGATAGAAAATTAACTGTTTCAAAATATTTTCAAACAATTTTGGAGAAATGGAATCTTGTTCCCACAGTGAATATTTTTTCTAAAAATTCTATGTAGTTGAAAAATTCACGTTGAAAATTCTAGAACTTTTGACACCAGAATTGTCTTAAAATTAGAATTTTCAACAACTTTTTTAATTGGAAAAATTCACTGTTTCAGAATTTTCATATTGAATTTTGCAAGAAAATTAAATTTTGATTTAAGAAGGTGCATTCGATAAAAATCTAGGTTCACATTTTTTAAGCTAGGAAAAACCGCGTGTAAAATTCTTTAATTTTTGACGCGTTTAAAATTAAGATTCAAGTTTTGAGTCTGAAATTTCCACGTGAAAAATCCTGAATTTTCGGCGACACCAAATATATATGTTAGAAAATTCACTGTTTCAAAATATTTTCAAACAATTTTTGAAAATTTTTGATTTTGATATATCTTCTACTCCCATTAAAAATATATATTCAAGTTTCTTTGCTGAAAAAATTCAACGTGGCAAACTTTTCAAATTTTTGACGGCAGAATGTTCTTAGAATTTGGAAAAAATTAATTTTTCAAAAAAAAATTCACTGTTTCATAATACTTTTATAAAATTTTTTCGAAAATTGATATTTGATACACAATCTTCAACTGTCATGAAAATCCACGTAAAAAATCGAATTCGCTAAAACTTTTAGCTCCAAAACCTCATACTTCTATTTTTACAGCTGGTCTCGTCCCAATCGACATTCAATCACCCCAAAAATCATCTCGAAAATCGCGTGTCGAACTATTTTTCACATCCTTCCACTCGTGGTTTTCGCCCAATTTGTCATATCGAATTAATTCAACTCAGGCACATATTCTAGTATACTATTCAGGGTAAGCCTCCCGCCTCCCTCTTTTTTTTTCATTATTTTTTGTTGTCTCTGGCTCTTTTCTGGCTCTTTTCAACCCATATTCGCTTCATTAAATTGACCTCTTCTTTTTGTTGTTTTGGGAGGAGAAGAAGAAGAAGAAATTTTATTTTATTTTATTCTTCTTCTTTCTATTCCCCCATTTTTTCTCCATTTTTTGGAATTTTAATGAAGCAGAGCTCTTTTTCTACCCCCAATATATATATATATAGTTTTTCGGCTCCCAAAAAATCCCATTTTTTGCAGAAGACCCGCCAGTTTTTGCCACGTCAAAACTGCGATTTGTCGAATTTTGGCGCTGAAAAACCCTGTTGAAATTGGTATTTTTGTAGTGGCGATTTGTGAGAGACAATTTGAGAATGTAGGTTTTCTTGGGGCCAAAACAAATGTGGGTTGCTCAAAAAAGGTCCCTAAATTCCATGTTTCATGTCAATTTTCGACGAAAAATTCTAAACAGAATAAAACTTTTGAAACAGTGAATTTTTGGGATTATTTTTTGCAAATATTTTTATTACGATAATGAAAGAAACTATGAGATCAAGAATTTTACACAGAAAAAATAATTATAAATTTTTTGAAACAGTCAATTTTTTGAGAATTTTTTTCTTGAGTTCTAAGTTTTTAGCTGAAGATTCTTGAAAAATTGTGCTCAAAATCCATTTTTTTTATCCAAATTTCATTGTCAGCCACATCCGAACACCAATGTTAAAGACATTTAATTGTTATAAAATTTTGAAACAGTGAAATTTTGGGATTATTTTTTGCAAATATTTTTTTTAATATGAAAATGATATCAAGTATGAAATCAAGAATAACGTATTATTATTATTAATTTTACACAGAAAAAATAATTATAAAGTTTTTGAAACAGTCAATTTTTTGACAATTTTTTTTGAATTCTAAGTTTTTAGCTGAAGGTTCTTGAAAATCCAATTTTTATATTAATTTTAAAGCGACCACATAACACGAGTTCTAAACAAAATTGATTATTATAAAAATTTTGAAACAGTGGACTTTTTTTGGATAAATTTTCGCAAAAATTCAAATTCTGATGAAATATCAAACAGGTTAACAATAATTTTTAACAGAAAAATACATTATTAACATTTTTTGAAACAGCCAATTTTTTTTACAATTTTCTTCTCGAATTCTAAGTTTTTAGTTGAAGGTTCTTGAAAAATTGTGCTCAAAATCCAATTTTTAGCGACACAACACGAATTCTAAACAAAATTAATTGTTATTAAATTTTTGAAACAGTGGACTTTTTTTGGATAAATTTTCGCAAAAAAATTAAATTCTGATGTAATATCAAATAAATTAACAAGAATTTCAAAGAGAAAAATACATTATTAACATTTTGAAACAGTCAATTTTTGGACAATTTTTTTTTCGATTTTTAAGGTTTAAGCTGAAGGTTCTTGAAAAATTGATTAAAATTCATTTTTTTTAATCGAATTATCAGTCGCATAATAACACGATTATAAAATTTTTGAAACAGTGGAGTATTTTTGGATAAATTTTCGCTATAGCAATCCTAGGATGACTGAAAATATCCAAAACTTGATTTTCTTACGAAAATTTTGAAACAGTAAATTTTTAAAAGGTCTTTTTTTTTAAATCCTAGTTTTTTGCGCAAAATTTTTAGGATAATCTAGAAAGTTAGGGTAACGTTGGACATGCGCGGAAGATCAAGCGAATCGGCTCAATATTCCGAACAGCGACAAAGTTATCCTAATTTTCTAGATTTGAGAAAAGTTAGGGTATCTCATTGTTTCTTGTGTCTTCGCTACATATTCCCTATTTTGTCTAGCATTTTTTCTTTTCTAAAATAAGTTGTCACAAAATGTGTGTATTTATGTGTATGTTTTCGCTTCTCTTTCGAGAACAAATACTCTGCTGTTTTTAGTGTTGAAAAAATTTGAAGAACGAGAAGAAAAAAGATAAAAAGCTGTGTTTTTTGGGGTGATGCACTTGAGAAACAAAAAGACTGCTCTTTGTATTATATATATCTCAATCTAGTTAGAAAACCCTTTTTTCAGTGGATTTTTGAGATTTTCTGCCATATCGCTATTTTTTGGTGCTGGAGCTGATTTTTGTTCCTAAAAAATTCACTGTTTCAAAAATGTTTTGAATTAAATATTGTTTTCTCAAAATTCTGAATTGAAAAAAATCACTGTTTCAGGATTTTGCAAAGAAAAAATGTTTTCTTCAATTTTTTGCTTCTTCCGATATCTTTATTGAAAATCGAAAATAAAAAAATCGTATTTTGGCCACGTGGCAAATTTTTATATGAAAAAAAAACCTTTTGAATAATTTTTTTCTTCGAGTTTTTGCTAACATTTTTTGTTATCTGTTCAAAATTTGAAATAATTGCAGATTTTTTGCCACGTAGCAAATTTTCTCTATGTATCCGAAAATTAGTCAATTTTAAACAAAAATACAAATTTCCGCCACGTGGAATTTTTTCGCGCGAAAAAATTCTGAGTTTTTCAGAAAGAATGTTTTTTTTTAATTCACTGTTTCAAAATTTGTTGATAAAAATTTTTTTCTTCAAATTTTTAATGAATGTTCTATTTGAATAAGTCAAAAAAAAATTTTGTCACATGGCAATTTTTCACATCTACCTACAATTTCTTCATTTCAGGATCCACTAGCCATTGAAGGCCGCGAAATTTGCGAATCGATTGGCGCAAAATTTTTGGCGATCGATGCAAAAACTCAGACGTGTTTGACTGACGATTTTGTCGAATTTTTCGAACAACAAATGTTGGGCGGAAGACAGAGGTTTGTTGGAGGAACAAAAATTTGAAATTTTCTAAATTCAATTTCACAAGGCTCAAAAGTTCATTGGAATGATAATTTTAAATCGAAAATTTTCGCGAAATTTCTACGTGCATTTATAAAATTTTCGAATAGGTTTTATTTTTTAAAAATTCACTGTTTCAACATTTTTATGAAAAAAAATTCGGTGTTTGAGAATTTCGATTTCAAACGGAGTGACGTTAAAAAATAAATTTCTGAACAAATTACTGTTTCAAAATTTCAAATTTTAGCTGAGTAACCCTTGAAAAGCTCCTGAAAAAAATCACCACAAAAACCACGTCATTTTATTATTGCAAACCAGTTTTCATCGATTAATCATCATTTTTTTCTTCACGGGCTCAAATCGGTAGCTCCCCATTTTTCTCTGTGCTCAAATTGTGTTTACTCCCTGCCTCGCCCCCACGACATACTGTGCTGCTCTTGATTTTTGTGCGCACAAAACCTTTTTTTCTATTTTTGAGCAAGCAAATATTGCGCGAGTTATAATAACTTATAACTTTGTGTGTGTGACCAATTTTGGATTGTTTCCAGAGAAATGGCGAAAAATGAGCCGGAATATGCGGAAATTTCGAATTTTTCATCGCGGACTTCGCCCAACTCGACTACCTCTAATAATAATGTGCAAAAAGAGTTTGAGGAACTTGGAGAAGAGCATATTCGACCGAAAAGTTTGAATTTGATTGGAGCAGGAAATTCGAGTGGAAATGGCAATTGTGAGTTGTTTTTTTGCGCGGCAAATTTGAATTTGACGCTGAAGGATACCCAATTTGAAATTTTTTTTAGCTAATCTAAAAAGGTTGAAAAAATTCAGGATTTTTTACGTTTTAAAATTTTTATGTCTAAAATTTTCAACTATTTGTTTGATGATATCCCGCTGCCGAATCATTCATAAAAAAATTGACTAAAAAATGCTGGGCTCGAAAATTTGGGCTCGAAATTCTGAAATTTTTTATTCAAAATTTTACTGTTTCAAAATTGTATGAAACATATTTTTATTTAATTTCAGTTTGATTTTGCCCCAGCAAATTCTGGATTTTTTTTACTGTTTCAAAGTTATTTTATAGAAAATTTTCAATTCACTTTTTGCTGAGAAATAAAAAGGGATCACAAAAAATAATTCAACTACGAAATTTGAGCTCGAAAATTCTGAAAATTGTATTCCAGTCAATTTTGGCGTAAAAATTAGGATATTAGGATTTTTTACGTTTTAAAATTTTCATACAAAAAATTTTGAATTCAGTTTTTGTTGCATTATTGGAACCAGAATCATTTAAAAAATTGACTTCTAAATTTGAGTTCAAAATTCTGAAATTTTTTTATTAAAAAAAACTTTTTTCGCAAGTTTCCGCGAAGTTACCATAACTATTATTTACAGTAATCTTGGACCATCGAAACATCAAAAAACTGCCGCTTAAAATGCGCGAAGCCCGGATTAGCCGGAGTGGCCCAATTCTAATGCCATCCCGAAAAAAGCCCGAAATTCAAGTTGCACCATTAGCAACACCAGAAGCCATTGAAATTGCACCCGAATATTCACAAGTCAAAGATGCGCTAAGTTCTTCCGATTATGAAACATTGGAATTTTTGGCTGAAAATGAGAATCGGAAAAATAATAAATCGCTGTTGGATTTGCCGAGTAATAGTGGTGAGTTGTTTTTGGCAGACCTGTCGTTTTTGGGCGGCCGGGCCGGGCCAGTCCTTCAAAATTCAAAAAATGCGGGCTATTTCGGCCCTCCGGCCCTTCTTTTTTTATGAGAGGCTGTTTCAGCCCTTTTTTCGGCCCTTCATAAATTTTTGATGACAATTCGGGATTTTTACAAATGAATGATTTTGCTCAAATTTTCTGCATTTGGGCGAATTTCGTAAATCAGAATAACTTAAATTGGTGTTAGTGCACCAATATTTCTTCGAAGTACTGTTTTGGTGCAGGATCGTAATGGTGTAACACATGAATTTCAATAAATTTTACTTTTATTATCAATCCACTATCAGAAACACGAAATACGGCAATTTTCTTCCGCCAAAATGCAAAAATTCGAAAGAAACACCATTGAAAAATAGTGGATTTACACAATAAAATTTGTTTGAAAGGCCGGGCTGAGCCAGCCCATTTTCCCTATTTGGGCTGGCTAGGCCGGCCCTTCAAATGGCTGGCCCGAGGGCCGCAAATAGCCGCAAAACGACAGGTCTGGTTTTTGGGTGGGAAAAAATTCTGAAAAGTTTCACTGTTTCAAAATTGTATGAAAATTATTTGAGTTTTTTTGAAAATTTGATTGAACAATAGGGTCAATATCCAAAAAAATCTGGAAATTTTTCACTGTTTCAGGATTTTCAAATATTATGTGTGCAAAAAAAAATGAGAACGCAAAAAAAAAATTATTTTGAAAAAATATCTACCGTAGTTCTTCCCCCCCCCCTCTCGTTTATTTTCGTCGTGACGAGACCGTGTGTGTTTCGCGTGCTGCGCCTTTCAAAAACTACGGTGTTTTTTGTTTTTTTTTTCCGGATTTTCGAGGTTTTCGATGTTTCTACATGAAATAAAGGCAGAAATCAACCAAATTGATAACAAAATGAAGAATAAAGAAGGTTCAACTCTGTTGGAAGCAGAAAATATTATGAAAGGAGATTTTTAAGTACTTTATAGAAGAAAAACCCGTTTTCCTCTTCAAAATTGCGAAAATGAAGCAAATTCATCTTTGAATTTGTTCTAAATCCCTTCCTCCTTGTTTCTCAAGTTTGAAATTCCTCCTTTTGACCGGTAATAGCCCCAAAACATCCTAAAAACGGCCTTTTTTCGATGCAAATTAAAGGCGCATCGATTTTTTGAAGGTGTGTGTCTCGTCGCGACAAAAATGAAGGGGGAGGACAGAACTACGGTCACTTATTTTTTTTTGAATTTTTGTTTTTTTGCGTTCTCATTTTTTTTTGCACACATAATAATAATTTTTGAATTCAGAAATTTTGATTCACCAATAGCCCACTCTAGAACATATTCCTTGAAAACTACGTTTCAAAATTATGCTATTAAAAATTCTTAAATGAAAATTTTCGATCAGTATTCAAAAATTGGTGTTCAAACAAAAATTCTGAAAAATTTTACTTTCACAGGATTTTCGAGTAATAATTTTTGAATAAATATTTTTAAAAAAATTTTACTGTTTCAGAGATTTCATATAAAATTTAAAATGTTTTATTTTTAATTGATACATCGTTCCTAATATAGAAACCCGAAAAATCTTTCTGTAAAAATATTCCAAAAAATACGTTTCGCAATTTTCATTTCAAAATTTCTTGAATTAAAATTTTTAATGCACTTGTATTAATTTTTTCAAAAATGAATTTTCAAATAAAAAACCCTGAAAATATTTACTGTTTCAACAATTTCCAAATGAAATGTTTGTTTTCTGATAATTTGATAGTTCATCTTTATATCCTGGAAAAATTGACTTTCAAAATAAATCCTGAAAAAATTACTGTTTCAAAATTTTCATTTGGAAATTTCTCAAATTAAAATTTTTGATTTTTTTTTTCTTATACGGAATATTTTTTTATAATTTTGAAAAAAAAATTTCGCAAAACTTTAATAAAATCAATATTTCGGTGACAATTTTCACATTAAAAATCCCATTTGACTCTCTTTGTATATCAAATTTTTAATCGCTAAAAACATTTTCCAAAAAAAAAATCATTGTAAATCTATCGTGATGTGTTTCGCATTTTTGTTCTCAAATTCAGCTCAAGATCAACAACATCGTCGACCATATCGAAATGCTTCTCGAATTTCGGGATTTTCTCGAACAACTTGTCTCTCAACTTCACCAGATCCATCAAATCGACTACACAGAACTGAACCTATTCGAACTCCGATTCCAACAACATCGAGACAATCAATGAGTGCGGAAAGCCTTGCGGAACTACTCAAAAATGAGCAGAAGATGAGCAAAAAGGTGCGAAATAATCGATTTGTGCGGAAGGTTGCGACAAGTTTCCGATTCCGCAAGGATAAATTGGAAGAGGCGCGGAATGAGCAGAATTTGAAGATTGAAAGTTCGAGGAGTTTGCCACAGTCGCCACATTTGGAGAGGAAAAAATGTATGTTGTGATTGTGTTTTTTTTTAATTTTGGCACGAAAATTTCAGTCATTTTGAGACCAAATATGCCTATCGTACTGTTGAAAATTTCAAGGAACATGATAAGAAAATCTACAGTAATCTGATCATTTTGAGACCAAAAAAGATTATCTACCTTTTTAATTATTCCTTTAAAATTTAGGTCTCAAAACGATTGGGTTACTGTAGGTTATAAATTTTTGATCCTTTTGAGACCAATTACTCTGAGGTTCTGTGTAAAGGAACATGGTTTTTGGTTTCAAAATTATCAGAATTTGAAAATCTACAGTAACCCCACGAATTTTTAAAGGAACATACTCCAAATTTGACCTGAAATCTGATCAAATATATTACTGTAGGATGTTTAAAGGGACATATCTCTAAAGCTAAAAAAGAGCATGTCTCTTTAAACTTTCTACAGTAAGATAGGCTTATTTGGTCTCAAAATTACCGGGATTTCAAAATATACAGTAATCATATTATTTTTTAAAGGAACATAATATTGTTTGATTTCAAAATTAGCAGAATTTCAAACTCTTCAGTATCCCCCACTAATTTTCAAAGGAACATACCGTTTTTTCCAGACAATCCACCTGAAAAGATCTCGAGTGCCTTTTCTTGGCTTCCCAGTCGCTCTCCAAAACACTCAAAATCACAAAAAAGTTCAACATGCGAACTAAATTCGAGCTCAATTTCGAGCAGTTCCACCTCGAATTCATCTGCTGCCGCCACAATTCAAGGAGTTATTGGAATTGATGAGAATATTGAAACACTGTGTAAATCGGCCGAAAATGGAATACCAGTTTATGTGCAGAAATGTGTACAGTTTATTGAGATGGTGAGTGATTATAAACTTTTTTGCCACGTGGCTTTTTGGTGGGAAAATTTGAATGTCAAATTTTTAACGCATTAAAAAAATAGAAAGGCGTGAAATTCAAATTTTAAAGGAACATAGTCGTGTTTAGTGTCAAAAAATCGCAATTTTTTTCTTTTTCAGAACGGCGGATTTGAACAAGAAGGTCTCTACCGAGTTCCCGGAAATCAAGCGCATTTATCCGAAGTCGAAAAACGTTTCCTGGCAACCGGCGAATTCAACGTGTCCTCCGTGGATTGTCCAGTCCACGTGGCAGCGACAGCTCTCAAAAACTTCTTCAGTTGTCTGCCAGAACCAATAATTCCTCAAGAATTCCACCAGAAGCTCAAACTTCTCACAATCATATCTGAAAATGCTGAAAAATCGCGAAAATTGGCTGAAATTTTGGACGAATTTCCGATTGCCAATCGAAAAACTCTCGGATTTCTGATTAAACATTTGGAAAAAGTGGCGAATTCACCGAAAACTGTGATGGATTTGAAGAATTTGTCAAAAGTCTGGTTTCCCACACTTTTCCGCCCTTCATTTGACACGTATGAAGCGTTGTCGTCCGGAATGACCGCCTTCCAATTGGCCATGGAAGTTTGTTTTGAACATGGATCTCTTTTTTGATTTGTTAGTCACCTTTTTTGCCACGTGGATTTTGGGTGGAATTTTGAAATTGCGAAATTTTAACACCAAACACGATCATGATCATTTAAAAATTCGAATTTTTTGAAAATAAAATTCAAATATCTGATTTTTCCCGCCAAATTTCCACCCAAAATCCACCACCTCATTTATATTTTCCCTTTGAATTTTTAATTTTTGTCAATTTTCAAACGATACGAGGTTTTCTTCTTGTCTTTAATAATTTTTTCTTCTTTATTTTTCCATAATAAATTATACAATATTGCCACGTCATAGTTCTCTCATTTTACAAAAAACAGCACCAATTTGATGCATTCTTGCTCGAATTCCTATACCATTCTTCTTGATCCTCATTTGATCTTCTCAAAATTCGAATATAATTCAATTGCGAAACACATTCATCGAAAACATCGAAAATGTTCAGATTTTCGAGAGAACTCGTTTCAGCGAAAGAGCATTGGAGTTGAGCGGATAATGAGTTGGCTTCGGAAGCGGAGACTTCGCGGAATGCGGAAGCATCGCATTTACAACCGACGAGCACTCGAGCTATCTGAAAAATTCGAGGATTTGTGAACTGGAATTTTTTTTTGAATTTAATAAAATAAATAAATCCAAAATTGCCACGTCACAAATCACTTCTAACCTGCGAAACATTTCTTCGTTGACCAACAAGTTGAAAAAGTTCAAATGCTCTCTCAAATGATTTTCTCGAAGAAATTGAATAACAAATCACAAAAGCGTCGGCGAATGAAATATATCGATTCAACATATCAGGAAGGAGTTCCTGCAAATAATTGAAAATAAAATTTTTGAAACCTAGTTTCGCTAAATTCCAGGTCTACTTTTAAGTAGTTATTGATTGTTTTTGAGAAAAATATATATTTTCCGAAGTTTTATGTGATGTCTCGTCACCATCAAAATCTGAGAATTCAAGTTTTCGAACAATAGAAAATCATTGAAAATGTTTTCGATACTTCTATCAATTGGTTTGATATTCTATGGTTTTCCAGTGTCTGAGAGTTTAGGTGAAATCTATGCTCCTTCAATTGGAATTTATTAAAAATTCAATGTTAACGAAGATGTTATCGCATTAAAAAAAGCAATTGAAACTAAAAATGAAAATGGAGTTAGTTTAACTTGAATCAACTTTGTATTCCATATTTTGCAGATTATCAATATTCTGTGTTATCGTCCAAATTTTCAACGTAAATTTATAATGAGCACATACTTCTACAAATATCGTAAAGATCTGCATACTGAATTAGAAAATATTTTGAGCAGCCATTTTGCAAATCTTATTTTGAATCTAATCAAAGACCCAGCTGAATATGATGCGATGGAAATTGAGAGAATTTCGGATTATCATTTTACAATGGATCCGGAAAAATGGGGAGCTGCTGAAATTTTAGTACTGAGGACACATCAGGAAATTGAAGAGATGAAGAAAATATACAATGCGGGAAAATTTATGAATGTTATTAAAAATGTTGATAGAACATATGGATTATTAACAGATCTGGTTAGAAATAAACAGAAAAGTGAGAGTTCCAAAGATCTAAATAAGACTTCTGCTCAAATTGATGCCGAGAAGTTATGTGAAGCTGGATACAATTTTTTTGACGAAGATGTTTTCGTTGAAGTTTTCACTACAAATAATTTAGAACAACTGAAATTAATATTTGAAAAGTTCCCGGATACAAAATGTAAAACAACTATTGAAGAACTCATCGAAAAAAAATTTTCAAATACAGCGTTAGCAAGTTTCAAAACTGTTGCTCAGATTTCAAATGATCGAATCGGATATTTTGCAGATCGCCTTAAACATGTGATAACAGGTGATAGATTTTTTTTAGAAGATGTTAAAGGAACACCAAAAGCTAAAAGGACAACATCGCTAGAGCGACTATTAGCTTTTGGTGTTCCTTTAAAAAACGAAACAAAAGTTGACAGGTTGTTGGATTGTGAATTCATTTTATGAAGATTTGACAAGAATTATTATAACAAGATCTGAAATTGATTTGCGTGCAATTCAAAAGGAATTTGATCGACGAGATGGGGATGATGCTTTAGTTAAATTGATTCAGAAAAAAACATCGGGATCGTATCGGGATGCACTTTTAGCATTGATTAAGGGAAATCAATCGAAAAAAATTATTTCTTAATTTTTTATTTTTTCAAATTAATAATTATAAACTTGTTTCATTTCACTCAAAATTGAATCATTTTTCAGCAAAAACAAGACATTTTTTTTTAATTTGTTAGTGATTCTTAGCTCGAAATTCTCCAATAATTCCCATTTTTCTTCAAATTCCCCAGTCCAAAACCCCTAAATCTACATACCTTTCCCGAAGTGTCAACAATCTCCAATTCCACCAAATTTCCTCGAAATTCCATTTTTTTCACATATTTATCTTCAATCGTCGGATCATATGTTCGGACAATCTCATTTCGCACAAATCTCTTCACCAGTGCACTTTTTCCACATCCAACATCTCCCAAAACCACGATTTTGTATTTGGATTTTTCTGGCATATTATGAATAGAATTGCCAAAAAATGAATGTAGAAAAACAATAGTGGAATCAAGTTTTGTGACCAAATGGGATAAGAACAAGTTGAGAAAAGAAAAAGGGGATAAATAATGTATAATTAGGTTAGTGATAAGTGAAAAGAGAATGTTGCATTCGCAAAATTATCGATTGATTCAAAAAATGAAATTTATTATCGAAAGTTTCCATATATATTGAATTTTGAAAAAAGAAAAGAAGAAAACCAGGAATAATACGTTTAAAGGAATAGAGGTGACAGGGAAGGCAAAAAAGGAACAAGTGAACAAAAAAAGATATTTGATATCAGATGTGTGATTGAAAAACAAATATGGTGTTCTAACCATTTCGATGATCATCGGAAGATTTCAGAAAAAAGTGGGAATTATGGGACAGATATAGGAATGGGTCTAACAAAAAAAGGAATATTCCTCTAACAGGAAATGCCATAAAACTTTGAGAAAAGAAAAAGAGCAATAATAAATTAATTAATGAGCGATTCCAATATCGTCATTTTTACGTGGTCCTTGAGCTTTGGCGAGGAGTTCGGGAGAGATTTTCAATGGGCGAGCTTGTTCCCATGGGAATTCGTTGTGTCCAAAGTGACCGTTTTCGGCGGTTGGCTCGTAGATTGGTCTCTTCAAGTCGAGTTCCCTGCAAAATTATATGAATTATTGAGGATTTTGAGATTTCACGATTTTAAACCAATCCCATGAAAAAGCTTAGTTTTCGAGTTACAATTTTTGAAACTCATAGAAAATTAACAAAATAGTTTTGAAAATCGGGAATAGTACAATTTTTTGCGATCTAATCACTCACTTGATGATCTTTCCTGGTCTCAAATCGAAGTTATCGTTGACAACTTGCAAAAGTTCAGCCTCGTTCAATCCAGATGTTCCGAATGAGAAGACCATCACCGACAATGGCTTGGCAACTCCGATGGCGTATGAAACTTGAACCAAACATCTGCGAGCGAGTCCAGCTTTGACGAGCGATTTGGCGACCCAGCGAGCAGCGTAGGCGGCAGATCTGTCGACCTTGGTTGGGTCTTTTCCAGAGAAAGCACCACCTCCGTGAGCTCCCCATCCTCCGTAGGTATCGACGATGATTTTACGTCCGGTGAGTCCGGCATCTCCCATTGGTCCTCCAACAATGAATGAACCGCATGGATTGATGTGGTAGACAGTTTCTTCGTTCAACAAATTCGATGGAATGACAACCTTGATAACCTGAAAATTTCCAAGTTATTTTCAAATTCCCAATGTTTTTGTTAAAAAGAATCGAACCTTCTCGATGATTTCGGTTCTCAAATCTTCCAAAGAGATATCTGGGCTATGTTGAGTGGAAATGACAACAGTGTGAACACGAACTGGAACACAGGCTCCTCCTTCCGATGAATATTCGATGGTGACTTGAGATTTGGAGTCTGGACGAACCCAGGCGAGTTCTCCATTTCTTCTGAGCTCATGGAGTTTGTAGTTCAATTTGTGCGACAAAAGAAGGGTGAGTGGCATAGCCTCTTCAGTTTCATCAGTAGCGTATCCGAACATGATTCCTTGATCTCCAGCTCCAACATCATCGGAATCTTTGTCAACGTGGACTCCAGCGGCGATTTCTGGGGATTGTTGCTCAAGAGCAACGAGGACATTGCAAGTTTTGTAATCGAATCCTTAAAAAGAGGAGAAATCAGAAGAAGTTCCACAACACGCACGTGCAGACTCAAATCACGAACACTTTTGGTTTTTTTGTTTCAATTCAAAAGATTAAAACCCAGATAACATATCATCTCATCACTAAAAACATGATATTTTTTTTTGCTGTCAAGGTTGGTCAATGCGCGACACATAGTGAAAGATAAAACGTCTGATAACAACGGGTTGACCTTTTATCACGCCATTTCAGCGAAGATTTAATGGGCTAATAAAATTTGTTGCAACATTCAAAAGTTCAAATATTGATGTATGTATGATAACTGCTTTTTTTGTGATAAAAATATTGACATAAAAAGTGGTTTTTGGGAGGAAAGTGCATTTTTTGAAAAACAAACAAACAATTTTTTTATTTGATGCAATTTTTGTCATGAAAATTTACTTTGTTGGAATTTTATTTAAACAGCCTGCCGCACAGAAATAATAATGAAATTAGTTAGCTCAAAGGCTTTAGATTTTTGTAGAGGTTAAAAAATCAAATGAGGTGGAACTAGAAAAATAATAAAATTTTAAAATCGAAGTTTGTTATCTGAATATAAATACAAGTTTTTACTTTCAAAAGTCACGAAAATACTCCGTGAGCCCAAGAAAATTCGCAAAGTCAAAACTCGTATGTTCAGATAACAAACTTTCATTTTAGAATTTGATTATTCACCGAGTAATTTGGAAAAAACCTTGAGTGTTCGTAACTTTCGTGCACTAGCCATGCAAAATAAGGAAAAAGCAAAAATTTACCTTTTGACGAATCGTCATATCCGATTTTCTTGACAACATTTCTAACAAGAACTTGATAGTCGACGACGGCTTTTGATGTAATCTCGCCGCACAACATGATCATACCCGTTTTGGTTACCGTTTCTGTAATCAAAGTAAACCGATTAACGGGTCTTGTCACACGCGTGCGACAATTTCCATCTCATCTCATCTCCTCAGCTCAAAACTTCAACCAATGTCGATAGGAAGAAGTCCTGTAACCTATTTTTGGCAAACAAATGCGTTTACCAAACGGACAACAGAAAGAGAGAAACAAAACTTGGAAAACCGACAGAAGACATGCGAAACTTACCACATGCAACCTTAGCGTTTGGATCTTGGGCCAAGTGAGCATCCAAAACGGCGTCAGAAACCTGATCGCACATTTTGTCTGGATGTCCTTCCGAGACGGATTCGGATGTGAAGAGGAAAGTGTGGTTGGACATATCTGTAATAAACTTCTATTGAAAAATATTAAAAAGTTCGAAAAAATAAAATTGAATCGCATTGGGACTGTCGGATCGAATGCTCACTCAAATAATGAGACGAATAAGGGGCGGACAAGTTTTGGGGAGAAAAAAGGGCGGAGCTAGATGATATGGCGCCACTGTCTATGATATTTCTACGCTATTTCAATCGAACCATATTTTCTCTATTTTTTCTTCTCGAAGACGACACAATTCTAGATGTATTTTTGCAACCCACGTGCGCGAAATAAAATCATATATTGAACGATAAAAAGGAGAAAGTACAACGATTGATAAGAAAAAAGCTCGTTAACTTGAGCAGTTTTAGAAAAAAAACTTTTCGAAATAAAATGTGGCCTAAAAAACGCGAGGGCACATGTGCAACAGCCGCACAACAGATTCTACGCGCAAAGAGAAATACTACGATAACCTGGAGCCTCCAATGTTTACAATGACAATGGAAGAGAGAAAGAGGAGACATTTTTCATCGCAAATGAGGAAAATATGAGAATTGGACATTATAAATAGAATAGAAAGGTTCCTACGATCTGTATCTTATCTGATTTTAATCAATCGTACTTTTTTTCTCGATGAAAAATAAACGGAGATAGATTTCAATCTTTTTAATCTTTTTCAAAAAGAAAATTCGATAGTTTTTTCTTCAAAGAAAAGTCCATTTTCTTATCGTTTCGTTATTTTGGCACACGGCCTACTGCACGGAGGCGAAAAACAATAAAATGTCAAAATCGGCCCACTGATAATGAAGTTCTCGAAAATTTTCAACTTCCCTACACCGTCTAGCGTTGTTCTTTCTTTTCTCTCGGGGTATTTTCGTATCATCCCATTTCGGCTCGTTTTTTGTTCGTTACAAAGAATGAACATGGCTACCGATATGTGATAAGAAAGTATATGGTTTGTTCTTCGTGTAAAATTGATAAAGTTTTATTTCAATTTTTCGCTACAAGACGAACTGACCTTTTGTGTAAAAAAAGGGATTTAACTGTTTTTTTTCTCGACGTTTTCGACTCACTGATCACGATCTCGTGGTCAAAAATTGCGGAATAGAACTCCTATGACGTGGCAAAGTTTGACAAAAGTAGGAACTTCACAAGGTTTCAACTAACTTCGAAAATTATTCTCATGAGAATCTGATAGCACAACAACCTGTGCTATCAGAATCAAATGAATATCATTGTTGAAGTTAGTTGAAGCCTTATCCGATTTTTGTCAAGCTTTTCCACGTCATAAGGAGTTCTATTCTGAAATTTTTGACCATGGGATCGTGATCAGCGGGTCGAAAACTACTAGAAAACACAGATTGAGTGAAAGTTGACAGTTCCCTGATTCTATAAGAGAGAAACTTGAAATTATCCGCCTGGATTCAGGTTCCTCGAAAAACTTACATCTAGATCTCTTTAATTGATAATTTTCGTGAGAAATACAAGGATACTCACCTGACCGACGAATTCCGGATCGCGACATTTTTGTATGCTAGCACTGAAATGAAATGAAAAATATAATTTTTTGGGATTTCGAAAAAAAAACGAGAGCAAATAAAAAGAATGTTAGCTGCCAGCCTTTTTAAAGCGATTCTTTGTGCCAGCCAACGCTAAACATCAAAAGGATTTGTTTAATATCAAAAAGCGAAATTGTTTTCACAGCCACGTTTCATTTTTTGGCAGCAAAAACACAAAAATGCACATTTTGACGCGTGGTTTTTTTTTCGAAAACAAAAAAAAAAGAAATGAAGCTGGCTCCGTGCGAGACCCTGCACACAAAACAGCTGCGCCTTTAACCAAGCACGCGCCATATTCAAATTTGTTTTTTTCTCGGAATTTTTATTTTTTCTTTTCTTTTTGACGATTGTTCTCTGATGTGTGCGATGATGACTATTTTTCCCTTCTACAAATATATCATCAGAAAGATGATATATATCACTTTTTGCGCTTGGCCATTGCATCAGCCAGGAAATGTTTAAATTGAAATAAAACATAAATGTTCCAGCATTTTGCTTGTACTTTGAGGGAAAATAATTTGCTGATAAGAAAAATTTTTATTGAAAAAAAGAGATCAAATGCTAACAGTTTCTATTCAAAAAAAAATTACAAGGAATAAAAAACTTGAAATTTTGTAAAGTGAAAGTGAAAATAGTGTGCCGCCACTTTTAACAGCATCCGATTCAATGATAGTCTCATTGTCGGCCAAATATCTACGCGTCAGATTTGCGTCTCGAGACAATTCATTCAAATCTGTCGATAATTCACGAGCTATTTCAGAGTCTTCCTCTGAATTTTCAAAAGTTTCAGCTTCAGATTCTGAGTCAGTCGCGGTTTCAAATCGAAAAAACGATTCGGAAGGTGAATAGGCAACCGATGATGTTTTTTCGATTGATTCAGGTGTAGCTGTAGATGTAGTAATCCTAATATTAGCAATAGTTTTTGGAGTCTGAGCCTGACTTTTCGGTTTCTTGGTAGTTTTACTGTGCAGTCGAATTTTAGTGCCAAATAATGGAAGAGGATTCGATTTTAGATAATCGAGAGATGATTGGCGGATTATTCCAACATCGAATGCGAAGTTTGTTGATAGAAGGCAATAAACATCTTCAGGTTGATCCAGGTTTAGAATTTTCAGACGGGATTGCGAGGTGCTCTGGAAGAAGCTTGCTGACTACATTTTTAGGTGATCTAGATTTTTGAAAAAGATTTAAAAAAAAAATTTTTTCATGACAAATAAAACAGGTTTTTTGTCATGATTTCATCAAAATCAACAAACAAGAATTGAAAAATCATATTTTTTCGTCATTGGAATTTATGGGGTTTTTAAATTAAAAATTCAAAACATTTTTTTTCTGAAGTTCGAGTGAAAAAGTTCAATTTTAGTTTCGAAAATCGGTAAAGTTAAACTAACTTTTTTTTGAGAACAAAGAAAATTCAAAAAATTCTCTCACCGTCCGATCAGTCTCCGTATAAATCATAATATCTTCCTCAACACTTTGTCCATTCACCAAATTCCCATAACTTTTTGGTGTCTTGAACTTCTTAACTTTCGCCAAATCCGGTCTAAACAACAATTCAAAACCACATTGATAATCAACATAATCTCCATATTTATTCCTTCGAAACAATTTATCGCGTCGATTATCGATAGTTAGAACAAATTCCGAAGATTCAACTTCATCACTCAAATGCACATTTCTCATCGTCAGATTATTCATCATACTCAAAGTTCCGGTATCTTTCAGGACAAATTGAAGAGTTTTCCATTTTGAACCTTTTGATAAAGCATCTACGAAATAAATGACATCTTGATATATAGGATCCATGAATGATAGATCGGGTTCGAGGGAAAATGAGCGATCCAAAGAATGTGAACAGGCTGCATAAGGAAGGGTGTTTCGCAAGGAATATCTGGAAATTATAATAATTTTCAATTTAATAATTAGAAAGCTTCAGGTTGGAACTCTTGATTCAAAAAAAAAATCATCCCAAGAACTCACAAAAACAAGTGATCTCCAATAATCATGTCGACTGTCGGAATATGCACATCAATTGTGCAAATTCGATTATGAGCCTGTTTGAAAGTTAGCAAAAGTGTGTCGTGTGATTTCAGATGGAATTGAATAAGGTTCGAAGCGCAGAACATTAATTGACGGTTGATTGAAATTTGGGAGACAAGGTGGAGTTGAGAGGGACGAGCGAAGAACATTTGACAGTCCTGGAGGAAAATTGGAGGGTTCGGGAGTTCCCTAGGATGGGAGGGGGGTTGCGGGATTTTTTAAAGAGAGTTACCCTAACTTTCTAGGTTAAAGTAACTTCGCCGCTGCGCGGAAGCGTTTCACAAACCTGCGTCAACCCATAAATCAAATAATCCTCATCGCCAGTCACCACAATATTCCCAAAATTCTCTTTCCTACATTGCTCGGCACCTTCAACCTGGATCAAAAATATAGCAGAATATAGTAGTAATATCAGAAGTTTTTTCATTTTTCCAACTAAGATGGATCCAACAACTCACTCATTCTCTGTCAATCTGAAAAAAATAGAGAATTTTTGGTTAAAAATTTTTCCGAAGAGGAAAACTGAGCAAAAAATACATGAAAATAATCCCAGTCATCTTTCTTTCACCGCCAAAAAAATCAGGCAATTTTTTCCCGTTTTTTGAAAAATTGTGGGAGCTGATGGATTAGACCTTTCTATATTTGTTGTATACACATATATTTTCTCATTTTTCATTTTTTTTTCATTCACAAATTTTTCAAAGGCGAAGAAATTTCATTTTTCATTTTTTTTTTTGCTCCAAGATGTTGTGAGCAAAAACCGGAAAAAACAACTGAACTGAACGAAAAAAAAGCACAGCAAAAAATATGAGAAAAAAAAGAAAATAAGTATGGGACAGATATTGGTGGGAAACACCAATGGAAGATGAATTGGTCCCAAGGGCGAGGAACTTACGATTTTTTTGGGTGGACCGGTAAAAATATGGGAATTTGAAAATCTGAAATCCACCCCCAAAAGGTCAAGCGTCTTGAGAAGCCCTTGAGAACGATTTTTTGAGCTTTGAAACTTTCAGGTCACATTTTTTCCAAAATGCAGAAAAATTGCAATTTTTCCAAAAAAAGGGCTCGGCCAAAAAACGACATAGCTCGGGGCGAGTCGCTACACTTTTTGTCGAGACTCGTTTTGCGGCGAGTCGCCCCAAGCTTGCCTCAAAATCGGCGAGTTCCGGGCAACTTGCCGCGAATGTAGCGTGTTCCGGGCGAGTTGCTGAATAGCGGGGCGAAAACGGGGCAAGTCGCTACACGCTCGGGCGAGTCGCCCGAGGCTCGCCCGAAGTGCCTCGGGCCAGTCGCCCCAAACGTGTAGCGACTCCGCCCAGATCGGTAGCGACCTCGCCGTTTTCTGACCGAGGGAAACATTTCAAAAAAGTGTTCGCTTTTGAGAAACAAAAGGATTTATTGTTTCCTTTGAAAAAAAATTTTTTAAAGCGAACACTTTAAAAACTCGAGGGCTGGAAAATTTTGTTGAAGACAACTTCAAGAGGCTTAGATAACATGAGCAATAGAAAACAATTTTTCAAAATGAAATCTGAAAATTTCGAAAAATATTTTTCTAGAAATAACATGAGCAATAGGAACATTTTTACAGAAAATAAAACTCAAATGTTTTTCTCCAAAAAATTTCAAATCCTTGAAAACCTCACAAAAATAAAAAAGTACACCTACAAAAAAAATTCCAAAAAAGAGTTCCGCCAACTCCCCCCAAAAAATCCTTTTCCAAAACAATCTTCCTATTTTCTCCCCCTTCCCCGACAAAAAAACACTATAGAGTGATGATGAAAGATTGATGAGCTTCTGCTAGAAACACCACAAGTTTTGCTTTGTTTTGTCTTGTTTATGTTCAACTGTTTTCAGAGGGGCTCTGGGGAGCAATGAGTGAAGAAAATGTTGCCAAAAAACTCATAAACCTAATGGAAGTTAGCCTAACTTATGTTAGATTGTTGACTAACAACAAAAAAATCTGGGAAAAATCAAGAGATATCTATCGAATTTCCTGACTAGATTTACTGCGAGTCAAGTCAAGAAAAAATACATTTTATTCAAATTTTTTTGTTGTGAAAAAAAAAAATAGTTGTAGTAAAAGTGAAAACAACAACAATAACCAGAGTTTTTTTTTCCAAAAAAAGGAAAAAATTCTGTTTCCGAAAAAAAGTGCGCTCATCATCACATCAAGTGCATAATAATCGAAAAGTGACGGATCGAGTCAAAACATATGTACATCAATCATTTGCCAGTTCACCAGAGACACCAACACAAAATGAGTGACTTTTTCGGGAATCCTGTCCGAATCCAAATCCCGATGGGATTTTTATGGATAGATAGATAATTTGAGATGTTAAAATTTGGATTTAGAAAATGTAGGCGATTTAGAAGCGGAAATGGATAACCCGGGTTGATTAGAGATGTATGCTTCAAGCCCGGACCCTAGACAAAGGCTCCATGGAAAAATTTGGAATCAGAGAAAAAAGAAAAAAAAAAGAAAACAAAAATAGAAACAGAGAAAACACACACATTTTTTTGAAAGAGTTCCGGACATCCAATTTTTATCAATGGGGCGCACTTCCATTTCTACTTTTATTTTCTCGTTTTTGTTTTTCGAAAATTTTTGATTCACATATTTTTTGTTGTTTTTCCATGAATTTGAATGAAACTTGTTGTAAAATTCATATTTATCTATTTTCCTAAAAATAAAAACAAAAAAGCGCATGTTCGCTCCATTGACAGGAAAAACATGTAAATAGAAAATAATGAAAGGGTGACAAAAAATCCACATGTTTTTTGAAAAAAAAAAGTTCCTGAAATTTTCCGGCTGAACGCTTTGAGCTTTGAGATTTTTCGAGGACTTTTTGGAATGTTGTTGGAATTTGTTAAAGCTTGGAGCGAAAATTTTATCTACATAAATTTGGAATGCGAAGCATAAAAGTGAAAGAACTTTGGCCCAATTTTTTTGTAGATTTAGGAAAATTTGAAATTTCAAAAAAAAATCGTAAAATTCATGTCAAACGAAAATAAAAAGATGACACCTTCAGTGCGCGACAAAACATTTCATTCAAAATGAATGAAAACTTTTTGCTCGAAAGAAACACCAAATCTTTTTCGAAATTTCTTCTCACTTCACCAAATAACACTAACACCAAAGCCTATTTTCGGCTTTCAACTGAATGAACATGAATAGAAAAAAAAAAAGAGAATAGGAGAGGATGAGTGAGAAAAGGGTGTGACACAATATTATTATTATATTTTTTTGGTGCCACCGGGATTTCTGGCTACTTTCGATAAGTAGTCAGAAAAAAAGAGGATAAGTATAGGTTCTCTCGTTTTTTTTGGTGGATAATTGGGCGTGAAAAATTCGGCTATGTTCTAGAGGGGAAACCAGAAGAGAAGAAGAATCTAATTTTGCAAATCTCGTGTGAAGACATTTTTTTTCACTTACTGGATGCCGCAAATACTTGAATGAAATTTGAATTTTGAAGAGGTGCAACAACGTTTTTTTTCTTCGCCTTTTTTTGCCAAAGTTTTTCGAGCGGAAATGCACTTTTCTGACAAGTGAGCATTTTTCTTGAGGATGTTCGCAAAAAATAGCTAAAAGAGAAGTAACAATTTTATTATTCACCGAAATAATTATTAAAGAAAATTTTGTAAAATTAAAAAAAAAACTACTAAAAGGGAATTTGATGGAACAGGGTTTCCCGAAATTCAAAAATAAGAAAAATAAACTTTGGTAATTAGTAACAAGAGTATAAATAATTTAGATTAGATTTCATTCTGATATTTACTCGTAAAATACATTGAGCACTTCGATGTCACCCGTTGAAAATGTTTGGGTGCAAGCATCGCTCATAATTGGACGAGGTGCGGCTGCGTATGGTGGAGGTGTGAATGATTGGATGATTGGTGTTCGAGTTGGATCCGAAAGATTGTTGTGGGGGCCACGGCGAGTTGATGCACGGTATGGGGATGAGGAGAAGGGTTGGGGAGGTGGGCGATTGGGAGAAGCCAGAAGGACCTGTAAATAATTGAAAGGTTTAGAGAATAGACATGGGGGTCTGTTCTATAATTGTGGAAGGTCTTGTTCTGAATTGGAATTCTGAAATTCTGAAATTCTGGAGATTTTCTTTTTTTGTTTTGAATTATTCAAAACGTTTGAAAAATTTTGCAATTTGAAAATTTCGAATTCTGGAAAAGTTATGATGTGGAATTTTTGCTTTTGTTTCATGCTATAGTTTAAAAAACGATCTCACGTCATAACTCGAAAATTTCCAGTCCTGAATATTTCATGCTTTCCCCCGAACCAAAAAAGTTTAGCGATAGATTTACAACATTCAACTGAACCGAAACATAACTGATAAATAGAAAAATTAAAAAGTGCATTTTTTCTGAAAATTTCAGTTCCCTTTCTTCGAAAAAAAATCTAAATATATTTTGATAATGAAAATAACAACACCTGGTTGCACTTTTCTCAAAATAATTTAATTTCAGAATTTGTTGCTGAAAAATTCCCCGTGCAAATAAAAAGAACAAAACCACAAGATAGAACAGAACAGAAAAAACTGAAGAAAAACACAAAAAGCGAACCTCTGGATGGTTTACCTCAATACATTTGTCTTCAAAAAGACCGCGTAAATGTACTGGAATCAGATTGGAAAGTGTTTGATAAAGAGCGAATAAAAGGCAGTGAGCTTCTTCGACGATTGTTAGTTGGAATTCTTCGGTGATTGGTCGAACTCCCCAGCTGGAAAATTTTGGAAAATTTTTATTCACGTTTTGTAAATCAGAATTTCCACGTGACATCGTACATTTCTCATTTTAAAAATAAACGAAAAATTTTGATCTACAGTAATCTAGAATTTTTGGCACCAATATCTACAGTAACTTTGCAACTTCATAGCTGATTTTCTGAAAACGATGAGAATACAACTTGGATTCAGAATCCAGACCCTCCTCTCTCCCGCATCTCCCAAACTCACTTCGGACATTGGCTCATTTTCCTCGGTGTCACATCGCTCAACATAAAAGACTGTGGATAATAAACCCTTTGCAAATTCATAAATGAAATTGGTCGCATCTCATGCAAAGGTTTCCCGAATTTATCATGTTGCAATAATGAATGTGCCACTTGAGTATCGAAAACATTTCTCATATGAACCGCATATTTGTGAGCCATAAGTGATGCAACTCTTCTCGCATCATGAATAACTTTCACAACTTTTTCACTTTCCAAAATATTCTTAAAACCACTCTCAAGAATAATGACATCACTAGAAGCCAAGTCGAAAATCCCGATTTGGCTTGTAGTTGCGATAACTCCAAGTGACAAAAAGATCTCTCCATCAACCCCAACCATAACAGTTTTCAAATCAAGTCCCACAACTTTCTTCTCTTGACTGTTGATATCTTGCCAAAGTTTTTGAATGAGATCTTGAGCTGGTTTCAAGGCTTTTACGAAATGAATTCGTGAAAGAGCATTTTGATCGAGGGGAAACATTCCATTGTTATTACTTTCATCTCCTTCATCAGAACCATTTTCAGAACCTTCTTCATTTGGTCGATTTTTTACGAGAGACACCTGGAGAATTAGAAAATCTAAAAATCAATTTTCCAAAAAAAATTCTAAACACTCACCTTATTACTGCGAATAAAAAACAATCCGCGATTCAATTTCAAAAATTGCAAAAGTTCCTTCGGATTCGTCGCCACATCCTGTCGAATTGTATGCGAAAACCGCTGACAAAAATTCTGATAAAACGAATCCAGAGGAATTGGCTGATCTTCATTTTGCTCTAGAACACTTTTCAAATATTCAACAGCCGCCTGTTTCGCTTTCACTCCAGCCAATGGTTTTCCCTCGTCATCCATTTCAATCGAATTCTCATCCGGTTCAGGCATATTTTTCAGACGAACTCGATCCGCTTCAACAACAAAATAATCGACTTGAGATGACAGGAATTCACAAAACTCTTTTAAATGTCGACCAGAAACGAGACGAACTTCTGGCGCAGCTTGGGAACGATGTCCCAATAAAGATTTGATTTGGAGTTCGGGACCGAATTTGGTGAGTTTGGTCACGAAAAAATCGACAGCCTCTTTTTCATAGTTTCGAGTTCGGACGCCGGATTGCAGGAGTGGATTGTTTTTGGCGTTCAAATCATTGTGACCATTTAGGATAACTTGATCACCTTCGACTGTGAATAAAGAGGGATGTCCTTGAAGGAATTCGGTTAGACCTTCTTGTGTTGTTCCGACTGCATTTCTCATTTCTTCCGAAAATCTGAGAAGAGAAATTTAGGATTGGATGAAGCTTGACAATATTTTTGGAACTTATTTTTTTATCTAACAGGTTCCACGTGGCAAAAATTTGATACATTCTTTTGGAAATTGTTTCTAGCTACAGCATTTTGGTCTTTGAAAATCCACGTGGCAAAATTTAATGTACCATTTCGGAACATAATTTTGAGCTACAGTATTTTTTCCTAGAAAATCCACGTGGCAAATCTGGACCCAAAGTTTTGATCTCCCATTTTGAACTAAATTTTGAGCTACAGTATTTTGGTCCACGAAAATCCACGTGGCGAATTCAGAGCGAAAATTTTGATCTACCATTTTTTAGGAATGAGTTCTTGAGCTACAGTAATCGAAAGCTTTAAAAAATTTTCACGTGAAAAATTGGAACCCAAATTTTGATCTATCATTTTCCTCACAAATTATGAGATACAGTGATCGAGAGCTCAAGAATGCCACGTGGCAAAATTTTCAAAAACACCTACCCTCTTGCTCCAAATTGACAACTCAAATCATGAATAGTCCTTCTGCCATTCTTCTGCATCAAATGATCCATAAAAAAGAGCAGCGCCATATTTTTAGCCTCCTCCATTTTTTGAGCAACTTTTTTTTTGGTTGGAAACTTATGTTAAATCACTGCTTGGCTTACCTGCAAAAAAGTACGAAATTTCTCGGGTTTCGCAAAAAGAAGATGAAAAAAGATGGAGGAGAGAACATTTACAAACATTGTTAAATCAAACATTTTTGGTCACTTTTGGGGGGTTTTGAAAGACTTTTTTGTTGATTTTTTGATAAAGAATTGTTTTTTTCAAACAGCAAAATTAAAAACTGATATTAAAAAGCAAAAAAAATACCAAAATAAAAAAGATCTGTTCAAAAAATGTTCGAAAAAAATGAGTCAGTAGTCAGTCAGTAGTCACTTCAACATTTGGTTCTATCTACATTTTGAACAAACACTACTAAATTGACAAATACACCTTTTTTCGTTTCATTTTGAGTTGTTTCGCAAGAGAGAGACGCAGAGATAATAATACATAAATGCCAGATGAATTTTGTTTTTTTTTTTTTTTGAAAAAGCGACGACAAAGAGCTGGGCTAGGAGAGGGATAACACAAAAAAAATGGACACAAGTTGAGGGGAGGAAGAAGGTGTTCGCTGAGAGCTCGGAGCAAAATATTTCCGGCAGTGTACTTTTAGTTTAAAGGAGAATGATGGGAACCTGGATTTAGAAACAGTGAATTTTTTTTAAAAATCAAGAAAATTTTGTAACCTTTGAGTTAGGAGAACTCAAAACCCGAGAAATTAAAAAAAATCTTCGAGAACATTTTGATCTCATCAAAAAATCTTTCAAGATTTGATTTCGAAACATATTTCATCTGATAAGATTTTGCAAGAAAAAAAATACAGAAAAAATGAGAAAAAACAAATGACGTGGCAAATTTTCTAGAATTTTCAAATGGCTTCAGGATTTCAGATAAAAATTATGCTTTTCAGTCTGAAAAATTTTGCAATAAAATTCGTTTCGGAACTTTTTCCAAGGTTAACTAAGGTTGATGAAGAAAAGAAAATTTCGGGAATTTTTCTGACTCAAAATTAATTTTTTTCTAAAAAAAATATAAATTGACACATCAAAAATTCACAGCCTAAAAATAAAAATAATAAAACATGTCTGCAAAATATAATTCACCATCCAGACAACACAATTTTTTGTTTTGTTGTTTTTTTTTCAAAAAAAAAATATAAAAAGGACAAAACTCTTATCTAATAGCACTTAATTAGGTTAATTCTGATCAAATCTTCCAAAAAAAACATTTTTCTAGAAAATTCGAAGAAAATGAGGGAAAAGGTGTTGAAATGATGGTTGCCAAGGAGAAAAATAGGGAAAATCTCTTCAAAAATGTTTTTAACGCTTGACCTGTTGGAAAACATTAGTTTTTAAACTAAAAAAAAGACAAAAAACTTTTTTCCAAGGCCCAGCCAAAAACAATATCGAATGACTCACAAAGAAAAAAGTGTTCGGTTACTCAAAGAAATTTTTTCTTTCGGCGACAAAACTGAGTTTCACGAATCGAATCGATTTATATGTAAATTTTCTGTACTATTTTATTTTATTTTATGAAAATGAAAATAAAAATGGGTGGAATTTCGAATTTAAAATTCAAAACAAAAAAATTTGAAACGAGAAGAAAAAGAACTCTCATAAAAGTAGTATGTGTAATCAATTCCAGGCGAGAAATAAGAGAAGATAGAGATTTTTCGAAGAGATTTAGACAAGTAGAGAAAGGTCAGCTGTGATAAGAGAAGATATTTTATTACTTATATATTATAACTAAAAAATATTTTAGGAGGAGGGAAAAAAACAAAAAAAAAAAGAAAAGTCTCATTTCACTTCAAGGCCAATTTCAAAAAAAAACCATTTATCGATTTTCTTGTTGGCAGAAAAAATAAACAAAACAGTTTTTGTTTGTAAAACAACAAAAAAACTAGTTTTTTCAACCGCAAAAAACATTTTTTCTGAAAAGTAATGGGAAAAATGAGAAAATAGTACAATTTTGAGTTAGGTTCTGGCGTGTGTGTGTGGGAAAAGCAAGCAAAAATGGACAGGTAACGCAAATAAATATGGGTAAAATATTTATTTATTTATTTAAATAATAATAGAGGGATGAGAAGATATTATGCATAAGTATAATAACAATAGTTTCTTCACTGTGGGCAAGGTCGAAAGGGGATTTGAACCGGAAAAATGGAGGATTCTGGAAAAAACACAAAAAAGTTAAATGAATTTCAAATTGCCACCCGTGTGGTTGCAGCAAGTGCGCGCTAGCGTGAACCCGCGTAAATTATTTTTTGAAAATGCAAAAAAAAATTTCTTTTTTCTCCCTTTTCCCCAAGAAGTTTTTCGAGAGATAGTCGAGTAGACCCCAAATTTTTTTTGTTACTTTGCTCAGTCTTTGGTAGATCAAAGATAGAATTTTGAAAAAGGACGCTATGACGCCAATATTTCGCGCATTCACCCAATAATATTCTTATTTTTATAGTTTTTCTGCTGTGAAAAAGAGATGGAAAAGAACGGTGTCTTTTCGCGAGTCCGTTCTCGCTTCCGGAGTATCTTCTCAAAGAAGAGCAGCACTGTCAAACTACGCGATTATAATAGCGGATTATTGGAAATTGAGCGAATTATGTCGAGTCCAGATGGCGAGGTGGCTGGAACTATTATGGCTGTTTCGACTGTCGAAGTGAATGAGTTGCCAAATGGCGCCGGAATTGCGTTGACACAAGAAACATCGTGTTTTGATCATGGAGATTTTGGCGCGAAACAATTGAGTTTGACCGCCCTTTCGAAAACACCAATTGTCATTTCAACAAAAAGCAAACGATTTCGACGACTTTCTTCGGGCGATTTGAATTTGGTGAGAAGAATGACTGAAGAAATACATTTCGATTTAACGGTTAGTATTTTTTTAGCAAATCTAGTTGACAAGGGAAATTTTTCAACTTCAGCGCGAAAAAATCATCAAAAATCTTGAGATCCCTTTTTCATTTTTTGCAGAACGTGATCTTTGATGGCAACGAAATCACATCTGAAACAAGCATCGATGGAAGTGAGCAAACCTTCTTCAAACCTGGTCCAACAAATCCAACCGACCAGCAAATGCTATTTCTGAAACATTGTTTGAAGAATGTCGAAACACGCCCACCTAATATGAATTATATTGCACAACGATGGACAACCAATAATTTCGAAGGTCTTTTCAAATATATGATGAAGGGAACTGATTGTGTTACACCCACTTTTTTGCGGATTGAATTGGCTGATTGTATTCCATCGTTGAAATATATCAGGGAGTGCGTTTTTTGGGAGAAATTTATTCTAAAAAGTTTTGTGAATTTTCACGCGAGGGAGTGAAAGTTGAAACAGTTCTTTTGTGATCTGTGAATTAAAATTGACACGTCATAGCTCACTTTTGTTTCTCTCCAAACCATAACCAGTGTAATTATTGATGTTTGAACAATATAATCCGTGTTCAACAAAAAACTACAAATTATGCAATTATTTTTCGTCACACTAGAATTGATCATTGAACTTTTAACTGTTCTTCTTTTTTCCAGCTTCCTCTCACAATACTCGAATTTCAAAAATTTCAACATTGAATACGAATATGTTTATGCGACGATTCATTCGAAAAATGTAAGAATCTAGGCGCGAAAAAATTTCAGCAAAAATCTCATGATTTTCAGATCAGCCGTGAGCAAAAGCTTCGTGGAGACATCAAACCATTTCTGGAAATTGAGAACAAGTGTCGGAAAGCGAGAATTTCGTATTTGACACATTTTGTGTTGACAAGCCAATCGACGCCGAATATCACGGTTATTTTGAGATTTTATTGCTTGAAACCGTGTACGAAGAAGATTTCGCCGATGAGAAATGGAATTGTTGGTTTTTTAAAGGAAAATTTGATTTAAAAAACATTTTGCTGGAATTTTTTATTTGAATTTTTCACATAAAAAGTTTGAAATTCCAGTAAAAATGAAAAATAATCACAAAGATCACAAAGATTAATTGTACTATTTCCAGATCATTCAACTCGAGCAATTAACCGGTCACATCCACAATCCAGCTCATAATGAGACAAACATCAAACTCGATATGATTGATTGCTCATGTGAAGAAAACGTGGAAGCCTCAGATGATCTCATCGATTTATCCGAAACTTTCGATGAAGTTGATAATGATCAATCATATATGACTGCAGATCAAACTGATTTCAACTCGACAGCTCGTCTTGAAATCAACGAAGCTCGCGAATATTTGGAAATGTTTCCACTTTTGCACGATTTATTTGATCGAGCCGGTGTTTGTGATTTGGTTGATGATGATACTGTTGCTGATGAATCATCTGATGAGGAAGAAGATTCGGAAAATGAATGTGATTATGGAGAAGATGAGGACGATTCATCTGAACCTTATGCTGATTCGGAATCGGAAGGATCAGATTCAGATTCTTCAGAGGAAATTCAATCATCAGAAACATCTTCGGAGTCTGAAAAAGATGAAGAAAATGATAAAGAATCGCCGAAAAAAGTGTGTTGCTTCTAGAATACATAGCTGTGCCATAATTTCCAATTTTCCCTCTCAAAAATTGCCAATATATTGTTTCTACACTAATCCTCTCAACTAATATATACATTTATAGCTTGATAGATGGTATATTTATCTCATTGCATATTAATCTCATGAATTACTATGATCTCCATTTCCCCCCATTTTTTGTCTGTGAAGTAAAAAAATTTTAAAAATTGTCTTGTTTTTTTTGTTGTTGAAATTAAATATAGGCGTGACCTTGTTTTTTCTTGACACTATAAAAACTGGAAATTTCAGGATTTGCTCATTTTTTTGTGAGATTTGGAATAATTGGAATAACAACACTTAATTCGTTATGAAGAAAAATTCGTCACGTGGATCGAAGGAGAATAAAAAATCGGATTCGAATGAACCTGCAGATAAGGAAAAGGATAAAAGTTCGAAAAATAATAAATCGGAAACAAGACGAAAAAGATCGGATTCGTCATTTGGAGAAAGAAAACATCGAACAATGTTTGCGACGAAAATTGGGAATTTGTTGAATAAAATGAGAAGAGAGAAATCGAAGAATGCGGAGAAGAAAGAGGTGAAAAATGAGCCGGTGCAGCCACAGATTGTGAAATGTGAAGCGGAGATTCCGCCCGTGCCAAAGGTTTGATTTTTTTTGTTTTGAAAAATATATGATTTTCACTACGGTACGCATTTTTGTGCATTTGTGCGTCGCGGTGTTTACACACTCGCTTGTTATTTTATTTTCAGCTTGTAACTTTTGCGCTCCAGAAACAATGAGTTCTCCTGATTCCTCTTGACTAGGAAGTACGCTCAAAACACTTAATATCTAATGTGTGAACACCGCGACGCACAAATGCACAAATAGCGTACTGTAGTAAAATTTTTAGCGCGAAGAAAAATAATTCTAAATCACAGGGGTTTTATTACTACCGAGAATTAATCACGTACAAAACATTTTATCTGACGACAAAAAACCTCCGCAAACAGCGAGCTACGTGGCCGACAAAAAAAAACAATAGCGTGTGGCCGGCCTCGCGAGATGTCGGTCGCTGCAAACACACATATAGCCCGACTTTTTTCTTTTTATTTGTGTGTCTTTGAGCCAAAGGGTTTTCAATTTTCTTTTTGAAAATCTGAAAACCTAAGCTCCGCCCACATGTCTGTGCGGAAAAATATGGGCGGAGCCTATTTGCTCGATTACAATTTTGCATTGACTCGGTAGTGAAAAAACCCCTGTGTAAATGATTTTCAGAATACTCCGAGTATTTCGCGACGAAAACCAACTCGAAAATCCTCCGATCGGAAACCGAAAAATTCATCAAGCGGCGAAAAAACAAGTCCACCACCGCCACCTCCACCAAAACCAGGAAAATCATCAAAAACCTCGAAAACCACGAAACCCTCGAGAAAAACATCAAGAACTTCGGAAACGACAAATTCCAGCAAAGCCCCAAAACCGATTGATCCTTCAAAAGTCGAAAAATCGATCGAAAATCTGATTCAACAATTGGAACCAAAATGCACAGCAGTTTTTGAAGAACAATGGGAATATATTGATAATGTTGAAGTTTATGATAATGATTGTTTAGCATTTCTTGAACATCAAGATTGGAATCAAGCTGAAGAAGTTGAATGTTTGGATTCGAATCGTGTGAAATTGGATAAAATCGATACTCGAAACTATGATTATATTCATGCGAGTCATGTTGAAATCAAAGGTGTTGCTCGAAAATTTATCCTCGCTCAACTCCCAATTATTTCACCAAAAAGACTTGGCGATTTTTTCGCAATGATTTATCAAGAAAAATTGCACAATCTCTATTTCCTATGCTCACCAGAAGAGTCGAATCGAACCGATAAATTGTTCAGCGAATATTTTCCAATGCGTGTTGGAGATCATGAAAATTATGAGCAAATTTGGGTGCATAATCGGAAATTTGAAGCTGGCACCGAGATATCGAATGATATTCATACTATTGAAGTTTTACCGAATGGTTGCGCGGAATCTGTGATGATTTGTTTACAAATGTTGGATTATTGGGCAGATCGAGATATTGGAGCGAAAATTAAACGAGTTTTGGGAAGTGCAGAAAGTGTTTTTGGAAATGCTGATGCTTATGAGGAAGATCCAATTGGGATTTTGAGTAAACAAGGATCTGGAAGAGCTGGAACTTATTTAGCGATTATTTGCGCGATTTATTTGGTAAAAAATGGCGAGAATATTAATGTAAGAACAATTTTAGATATCTTTCAAAACCCATCGTGAAATCTTCCAGCTCAAAGAAATGTGTCGATCAATTCGTGAGCAACGTCCTGGCGCAATCGACAATTATTTCCAATTTGTCTTCATTTATCAATGTGTTCTCAAATTCGCTGAAAAACATGTGAACAAGAAAATTCGGATGAAAATCGAGAAAATTCTCCATCAAATCGATTTTATATTGGCACACAAAGCAGCGACTGCCAAAAAGGTTCCTCTTCCCACTGGTGAATAAATGTTTACTTGGTTTTTTTCTGTAGCAAGGTTCGGAACAGCGCTATTGGTCATGAAAAAGGTTAGTTTTTTGAAAAACTTTTTTCTGCAAAAAAATTTATTCACTACTACAAATCTAATTATATTTCTGATTTATTTCTGAACTTGTGCACGTCCCAAATTAGTCGATCTCAATTCTTTGGTAAATTCGAGAGTTCTTTTGGTTTCCGCAACATCATTAGGATTCAAATGAGCAATAAACATAGTTTTCGAGGATCCTTTTCCAAGATAAGTTCTCAACAAAAGTGTCAATTTGCTTTCTCGAAATGGAATATGCGATGAATTGTTCATTTGAGCGCGAATGCATCTTTTCAATGTTGACAAACTTTGATTGATATTTGTCAATTCGGCAAATCGTTCACCTTGGGCACCAGATTCTTTGACACGTTCTGAACCAGCCAAATCAACAAGATTCAACGAGCATTTGGCAATTTGACCAGTTTTTGAATGAATTGCATCCACGTGGATTTGAAATATTGCGTGAGATCTTGAAGATTGTGAATTGCAACCTGTGGAAGCTGTTGATCTATAAGAATCGGCCAAATTCATCAAGGTTTCGGTATCAAAAATTGATTTGATTTGGACTTTTTTCAAGCCAATTACATTTGTTGAGCTTGTGGAACCGTTCAATTTCAAATCGCATTTTTTCCGCTGATCCAGCAAATCAAATACTTCCTCGTTGTAAACTTCCAAATACGAAGCAGAGAAGTTGAACTAAAAGTTTCAAGATTTATCCGTTTAGAAGAAAGTACCTAGAGGAACCTACTTTCCAACCAATCGCAGCTAATTGTTGTTCTGAATGTTCGAGAAGAAATTGAATAGATCTTGGGATAACTCCCGCCAAATTCTCGTTATTTTCTCCTCGCATCGTGAAAGTTTTACCACTTCCTGTTGGACCATAAGCGATCAGACAAACATTGTAGCCATGGAGAACTGACTGAAAATTAGTTCATAGAAATCTTCTTAAAAACCTCCTTACCAAAATAAGTTCTTTGACTTGTCCAAATACCATTTCTTGATCATTCCTTGCATTGAAAATATGCTCAAAATGATATTCAGCCTTATTATCAAATTTGATATCATTCTCTCCAACCACACAAATATCCTCATTTTTCTCATCCTCATATTTTCGAACTCTTACCGCAACTCGAATCTGCCCCTTCAAATCAACCATCTCATTATGAACTTTTCGCAACTCCTCATCTCTTTCCATCAATTCTTTTCTATATCTTTCCGTCAATTTGTGAAGTAGAACTTCTTGTTTTCGAAATTTCTCTTCAACCATTGAATAGTCGTTTTTTAGATTCAGATGTTGTTCACGAAGTTGGCGAACTTCATTTTCGAGTTGAATGATTCTCATTGAATCGGCACCCGGATGAAGTGTCATTCTGCTTTTCAAAGACATTGCGTGCAGTTTGTTGTTCAATAGGTCGACGTCATTTGAACTTGGCCGAGGAACAGGATTTTCGATCTCAAAGTTTCCTCCGAATTTTCCGATATCAGCTGAAAATTATTTTGTTGAGGTGTTATAACGTGGAAACTCCAATGCTTCGTCACTACCCAAGCGTTGGCAAAACGAAAAAGATATCGACAACTTATTCCTATCGATTTAGCCCAAGTTCCCCTTTCAAAACTCACATAAATCATCACTTCCCTGCATTCTTCTTATAATTTTTTACTTGATCTGATTTTCTTTGTTTAATCAATGCTTATAAATCTAACAATGACTGATTGACGAAGATTTTGAGACACGTGGGACACGTCACGTGGATTTATTAATAAAAAAAAATAAAATTTTATTTATTTTTTTTGCAACTTCAAAAAAATTGTGTTCAATAAGTGTCATAGCTAACAATTGGTGCCCGTTTTCCGCAAGCATATAACGCGTATCTAATTTGATGCCAACCCTCTTGATTTACATCACAACTAATATCATCGAGAAGAGAAATTCGACCATATAAAGTGACCACATCGCTAGTTGTTGGAAATAATGAAACAGACATCTGAAGACATTGTTGACCATTTGCTTGATTTTCCGGTTGACCAGCATCAAAAATAATCTGATCATTACCGACTACATTGCCGTCAGACCAACTGAAAGCATATCTTACCTGAAACATAATTTTAACGAAGATAAATTTTTCTTGACTTACATCCGAGCATTTTTGCACAGGATTTGGTTTAAAACAATTAACATTCCTCACACCACCAATCCAAATTCTCGTCTCTGTCAAACTCAAATTCCTCATAATCGTCACAGCACTTCGTTCAATATAATTTCTCTCTGCCGGTGTCTCAATGCCCGTCAATCTTGCCCCCATCTCATTACACATTGCTTGTGCTTGTGGTTGAGTATACCAATATGGTGGCGGATAGAACACTTTGATACAATACAATCCCTTTTGTCTTTGAAACGATGCCCAGCCATCGGGACATTTTCGTTCGACATTCGAGTTTAGAGTTCCGTCGAGAATTACCGGAGTGTCGAAATTGATTGCACTATCAAGAAAATCGAGAAAGGTTAAAGTTAGCAGGATTTTGTACATTTTTGTAGACATTTTTTGATTCTAGTTTGTGACATTTTATACCTTTTGGTTTCAAATATGAGATGAATTTGCATTTTTTCGTGGGAATTTTATTACTTTTTGTGGTCAGAATATCATTTCTGCAAGATGGAATGATCAAAAATCTTGTCTGAACCAGAAGCTTCCGCTGTGATAAAGAGAGTTAGGGCAACTATGCCGGAAGCTTGTGGTCTACACAAAAATTATTTTTAAAATATTTGGGAATGACACCATCTTCCAATTTTTATTCAAAAAAAATCTATAGTTATGCCAAATCCGAAAAAGTACTATTATCATAATTCATCGAAATTCCCTGCACACGATTTCCAATAACTCTAACTTGCGGTTTCGGTGGAAGTGGCACAATATCATCATCCTGTGTTGATTCAGTAGATACTTTCTCATTTGCCAACTTCTTTTTTTTATTCTTGAACAAGAAACTTGGCTTAATTGGTTTATTTGGAGTCTGTGTAGTCATTTCTGGATATGCATCAGTTGACATTTTCGCAGTTTCACTTGATTTTCTAAATCTTGATTTTTCTCTTCCTTCTTCTGGAGCACCAACAAATTCTGTGATTTCTTGTGTCTTCTTTTCCGTTTCCAACTTCATTTCACTACCCTTTTCAGCTTTTTCTTCTTCTGATAATTCTCCATCTTGAGTTTGTTCAAGTGAAAATATAAAATTGCCATTATATTCATTTCTTTCATGCATTTCGAATTCCTCAATCGATTGGGCTTTCTTTCTACTGCAAAAAATACATTTTTAAGAAGCGGCAAAGTTATCCTAACTTTCGTTCTTAATTAACCAAAGAAATTATTGTAACTCACAAGCATGGAAGATTTTTCAATATTTTCGTAATTTCAACTTCGACCACAGTAAAAATGATCATACCAAAACACAAAAAAATCAAACAAAACCAAAATCTTGCAAATGAAATAGTCATTGGTGTATACAAATTTCGGATATGTGCATAATATTCGGGATTACGGTAATTGCATTGATCAGAAGAACAACAGCAGAGAAAGCCGTTTTTCTTGACGGGTGATCGAGAAAATGGAACATCGTCGACGCATTGCATACTTTCTGAAAATTTGGGAATTGGTTTTGAAGTTGGTAAAAGTGAGGTTCTCAATGAACCTAAATTTAAATCTGAAATTTTCAGATTCTGCTGAAAATCCGGACCGAAACTTATAATTTTTGTTGAGATTCTCAATTTTAGCCCGAATTTTCAGCCATAATCTGAAAATTTCAAAATTCGTGTTTGGTCTCCTTTTGTAGAGAATTTCTAGAGATTTAAAATTAAATTTTGACATTTTCATATTCAAGCTGAAAATCTGGACTGAAACCGGATTTTTCTCCAGAATCTGAAATCTTTCCCACTCACTTGTTTGATTGCATTCAAATGGCAATAAACTCTGAGATACAGCTCCAAACCAAACGAAAACTTCAGGATTATCGATAGCTGTGTAGATCACACATGCCTATAATTTTTGCATTATTTTTTTTCAAATCAGATTTCTTTACCGGTGCTCCAAACTTCCTAGCTTGCTCATATGTATAAACAGTTTGATTCATAACCAGCCCAACTTTTTCAATATCCACAGTTCGATTTCGCATCACATTTTTGTCGAATTGTATAAAAGGATATGGCTCGATTATTGAATTATCGATTGAATGCAAACATTCGAGAGATTGATTTGAAGTGATTTGAATTGGAAGAAGAAGAAATATTATTATGATATTATTTGAAAAGAAAGTCATTTTTGAATTGCAGAACTTATGAAAAATGAGTGGATATTTTTGAATGTTTTCGTAATATTTAAAAAGGTCACGTATAACATTTTTAAAATTTCGGGCTTTTTTGTGGAGTTCCAAAATGAACCTTGTGAGTTTAATTTTTGAAATTTTCAAATTTTGGCTGGAAGCTCGAGCTGAAAACAATCTTCTGAATTTGTTTTGAGCCTCAGAGGCCCAGATTTTCAGTCAGAATCTGAAATTTTCATAATTCGTCTTTGGGCTCATTTTGTAAAGAATTAATATAGCTCCAAAATTAACCTAATTGGAAATTTAATTTTTGAAATTTTCAGATTTTGGCTAGAAATTCAGGCTGGAAAGGTTAGAAATTTTTCAACGCTTCTCAGTTTCAACCCGGCTTTTCAGGCAAAATATTCAGAAATCAGGTCGCAAAAAATAAATATCCTAAAAAAACGTGACGTGTAAATCCACCGAGAATTCCCTCATTTTTCTAAATTTATCAATTCACAAATGGCTGCAATAAATATCACATCAACAATAATAATCATCTTACAATTTCTACTTCTATCAACAAATTCTTCAATTCCTCCTCCATTTACAATTCTAAAATGTTTCGAATCAATCGATGCAACTCATCTCGAACAATATCCAATTATTCAATTCAATGATAAAAAATATCGAAATCGATCAGGTGAAATTACACAAAATGGATTGTTGATAACAACTCAGAATATTAGTAGAAATGATATTTTGAAGTTTGGATATCCGGTAAGATTTCGTGTTTGTGGAAGATTTCTAATTTTCACATTTTTCCAGTCCTGCGTAATTTACACGGCATTTGATGAGACAACGGTTTATACTTGGTTTGGAGCAGTTTCTCAAAATGTGTTGCCATTTGAGTGTTATACCAATAATACTCAACCTTATCCGCCAAAATCATGTAAGTTGTCGGCAAGTTTCCGTGTATCCAAAATGAATCTAAATTTAAAATTTCGATATTCCAATTGTCAAACTTCTTCAGCCTGAATCTGAAATTTTCAATATTCAAATTTAGGTTCATTTTGAAGCCATAGAAATTTTCTACAGAATTTTGTTCAGTTTTTTCAACCAAGTTTTTTTCCAGCAAGTATGACATGCATCGACAATGTTCCTTTCCCATATTCTCCAATCAAACAAAACGGTTTACTTTGCTGTTGCACTCATAATAAATGCAACTTCAGACATCCAACATATTATGCAAAACTTCGAAACAAACAAACATCTATGTTGATGTCATTTGCAAGATTTTGGTTCGCATTGATCATTGTCATTTATTTTATGATGATTTTCACATATATTTTAGTGACAATCAAAAGATTGGTCAAGAAATTGAATTGTCGAAAAAGATCAAATCGGTTTGACGATTTGGATAGTTACGAACCTCGTGAGATCACGAAAATGCATTTATTATCATTGGAAAATACACAAGATGTTGAAGAGGTTCCAGAGATGGAGAAAGCTAGAAATGAGCCGACTAAAGTTGATGAGAATGAGCCACCAATGAGGACAGCTGAAGTCACACAAGTTCCAGACAATAAAACGATGAGAATTCAAAGTGTTATGGATAAAACGAAGACGAAAACCAAGAGCAGCTTGTATAAAAGTATCAACAAAAAATTGAAGCCAAGTTTCTTGTTTAGAAATCGAAAAAGAAAATCGGAAAATGAGCCGGTTTCGACGGATCGAACTCAAGAGGATGATATTGTGCCACTTCCACCGAAACCGCAAGTTCGAGTTATTGGAAATCGTGTGCAGGGAATTTCGATGAATTATGATAATAGTACTTTTTCGGATTTGGAATGAGGATGAAGTTTTTTGGGTTTTAGAAAGTTGTTTTCAGGCTTCAAAATGAACCTGAATTTAATTTTTGAAATTTCAGATTTTAGCTGAAAATCAATCAATTTAAAACATTTCCAATTGTAAATTCTAAATTCCCAAAAAATAAATCATAAACAATTTCAAAAGGCGGTGGCACATATGGTATTTATGCTAATTTCGAGCAGATTTCGACTCAATTTCTTTTCAATGTTTCCCGACGCGTTTTCAATTTCATTTCATTTTATTTTCCTTCTGCTCAGCTTTTATTTTGTGACATGCTGCCAAGGCAGTCAGTTTAATAGGACTATGAATAATTAGATTTTGGGGATCAGGTATTTTGGGTGGAAAAAGAGAGGAGAAGAAGGATGTGATTGATGAGGTGGTGACATTTGACACGAGTTATTTTGGATGAAAATGAGAAAGGGAAGACAATTGCGCGAAATATTTGAGAAACGAAAAGGAACACTTGTTTTGTTGTGATTATTATTGAAATGATTGATGGATTTTCGAAATTTGGAAGGATTTTTCGAGCCACAAACTTCCACGTAAGCTTTTTTTTGGAAATATTTTTACATCAAGATTTTTCGGGATTGAAGGAAGCAAAATACTGAAAAAGTGAAAATTTTCAGAACATTTTTTTGAAAAGATTCAAAAATAGCTCATTTTATTTTCAATTTTTTTGTGCTAAATACCACCACGGATAAGAATTTTCATTTGAGAAGTATTCATATAAAAATTTTGAAACGTATTTTTTAAGGAAATTTTTCCAAATTTCTATTTTCAAATGAAATGAACTGTTCACCTGAATATTTTTGAAAACTTTCTAGAAACTCATGTCCCCAAGTTTTCCAGTTCCCTTTCCAGAATTTCATTTTCCCCCAAACACTCCCATTCCTCTTCTCATTTTTTCCCAGTTTCCAAATTTATTTTGCATAAACCCATTATTCGTTCACACCTTGTTACCTAACAAAAAACTATTTATTCATTCTTTCCCCAAACATTTTCATTCGTCATTCTGAATAATTCAATAATAATAATAATTCTACAAAGTAAACACAACAACTCGGCTCTTTTATTTGTTAACCTGCCAAAAATCGAATGTCAAAAACCGCAAAAAAGTGTATATTTTTGGGAACAAATTTTATTTACATGGACATGTTGAATTGAAAAAGGGTGTCATTAGTGGGGATTAAAAAATGAAACTGGGAGAATCACATTTTATAGGCGAAAATAAAATTGAAAAGAAACGGACATTGGTTTTTGCTAATCCTAAAAACTATTCATCAATCAAACTTACCTTTTCTTCCTCTAATATGAGGAATAATTAGCAGAAAAATGGAGATATTTGACATTGAGAAACCGAACAAAAAATAAATAAATCGGATTTTGTTTGGGGTAAAAAATAGGATGAATAGGAGGAGGAAGGAACAAAAAAAGAGGATGAGTACTTAAATACCTCACATAAATTTGAAATATGCGAAAATTGCACGCGATTTGCCGAAAGATTTGAAGGAAACACGCAACGCAGACCGCAGCGCGTCAGAAAACATACACAAATTAGGGGGGATTTGAATAGTATTCCTTTTTCTAGGCTTTTTCGCTACGTCATAGTATTTTTGGACGCTTACAAAATTTTTTTTACAAAAAATCTTAGCTCACTTCTAGAGTTGCGCCTACCATAACTTCTTTAGAAGTGTAGTGTAAGTTTTCCCAGCTGCGCGGAAGCTTGCAGCCTTGAAAATTAGCCAAATTTACCCCTAAAAACCCTGTCCCCGCATTTTTTCTCGCAAAAAAGTAGCCAGAAAAACAGCGAGAGGCGATGTTGTGTGTATACATTTTTCTCTGCTTCTCTCGCCCCTCTCTCTCTCTCTCCTTTTTTTTCGGCGATTGGACAGAAGCCAAAAAGTGGGCGGTGCTTGTGACTCAGGGCCCCCACAACACACTTCTTTCTATATTTTTTGTCTCTCGATTCGGTTTTGTTATATTTGAAGTTCGTATTAATTGTAAAATGTTTGGTCAGTTTTTTTTCGATACGTTTTTTTAGTTAGGTTGTGGATTGTGGGTGTGTGAAAGTCTAATTTCAAATTTCAAAAGTCCTAAATGTCTAGGTCTAAAACTCCTTATTTTTGGGCCTTAAAAACCCTATTTTTTGAGCTAATATAAGCTCTATTTTCAGCCCAAGAATCCTAATCACGCCTTACCTTAAAAGCCCTAAATTTTAAGCCCAAAAATCTAGCTTAAAACCATAGTTTTTAAGCATTAAGGTCCCTATTTTTAGGCCTGACCTATCATAATTTTAAAGCCTATAGTTTAGGCCAAAAAAGTCCTTAAATTTAAAGGTGAATACTTTCATTAGAAAGCTTTACTTTAGTCCTAAAATTTAGCTTCCAAATGTTTTTTCCCAAAAATTCTCACGATCATAAATTTTTCACTTTTTTCTATTTTCTAGAATTTTTCATCGATTTTTTCCATTTGCCACGTGGATTTCAAGAGCTCTAGAAAATTTCGGTCCCAAAATTTCACAGCATACCAAATAAAATTGGATCAATAATTTTTCGCGCCACTTTTTTTTCGCAAACAATCTGGTTCGGATCGGCTCATAAATTTTTGCCCGCTGGCCAAAAAAATCGATTTTATTTTCGAAAAAGATTTTTCGCGCCAAGTTTTTGGCAGGCGGGAAAACTTGCGATTTGAAATTTGAAATTTCAGTCTCCGAAAATATCGTCATGTCGACTTTTAGGTCTAAAAATTTAAAAATTTTGAAATGGCGTCATTCAATTTTTGGGTAAATATGTTTAGCATTTCTTATGTACCTTTAAAATTATAGTGTCATGGTCAAATTATTTTTTTCCTCTTTTTATTTCTGTGTATTTTCTTCCCTAATCCGGTCAACCAACAAAAGAAGCCCGAAGGGAAGTTATTATAACTACATATAGAAAAAAAGAAGAAAATATATAATACTTAATAATTTTGGGAAATAATTGCAGGTTAGAAATGAAATTTTCTCACAAAACATCGATTTTCTTTTCTTTTCGCAACAAAATTCACACGCTTTTTAAATATGAAAATTTACGTTTCTGAAAAAGACAGCCGCGTGGCCTAGTGGTCTACACGCCGGCCGATCTTTTGCAAAACCAGGGTTCGATCCCACCCGCTGCCGAATTTTATTTTAAATTTTTCGCAACATTTGTATTTACGAAAATGTTTCTCTCATAGGACTACGGTAGGAGAGAGAGAGTGTGGGAAAGCGAGAGAAGGAGAGAGGTAGAGAGGTACACATGGCGCCGCGTTTGTTGTATTGATTGAGCTCTGAAGAGAAATTGAGAGACGCAGAGAAGCGGAGGACATTTTTTGACTACGGTATCTCTCTTCTCTTAGAAAAAACATTTTATTTTTAGTTTTCGAAAAAATCATAGTTATGTTAAGTAGACGAGAAAAACGAAGATTTTTTGGGCTTCGCAAAGGTTTGAAAATAATTTTTTGTTTCAAAAAATTTTTTTGATAATTTGAAATGCTGTGAAGTCTAACATTTTATTGATTTTTCTGTTTGCCATTTTTTTTTGAAATGTTCAAAAATTAATTTCAGGTTGTTGCTCACCTCAAAAAGTGCCAGCATTCAGTGCGGAGCAGGAAAAAATGCTGGGAAAATCGAATGAACCGCAGAGTTTTGTCAACAAGGGGAACAAGGTTGGTGGGATTTTTGGAAGAATATGACGTGGCTATAGTCCGTCACCTGCGGAAAATTTTAATTTTTAAATATTGATTTTTAGTGCCGAGCCCGAGTCTAGATCGCAAGCTTTTGTGCCGAAAATATCAACAAAAAATTGAATTTAGAAAAAAATCTAAACGTGACCCGATAATTCGTTTTCACGTGACTTTAAAATTTAAAATTTCATTTCTCAAAAATTTTCAATGAAGCCATCACTCGCTGAAATCTTATTCACCTTCCACCAAAATTCCAAAAAACCATTCCAGGACGCCAAATCGGATTTGATCGATCTCGAAGATGTCGTAACTCATTGGGCAAAAGTCATTTTCGACACAACAAAAAGCAAATCCGAGGCAAAGATCAAAAAGAAGTACTTGCAGGTTAGTAGGCTAAGTCTAAAGAGGGGTTTGCAAGCTTCCTGGCAATTTTGATTTGAAATTTAATTTTTCAGTTCCTAAAAATTTAAATTTCAAAAAAATCTTTTCGAATCAAAAAATTGTGGTTCATATACATAGTTAGGTTAACTCTCCAGGGATACTAAAATAATTGTTTGTCATCTCTTCGCTCAATTTCCCCTCTGATTAATCCTTTCCGAGTTGAGCTCCTAAATCTAATTATAGCTTTTATGGGGAAAAGGGGGAAATTGGCACCTTTTAAAAATAAAAATAAAATAAATAAATATATGGTGTCTCCTAAGGGAGAGGAAATTAAACATTTATTTTCTATTTAGAAAGCATGTCACGCAGAAATTTGATATAAGGACATTTTTATTTATGAGCCGAGCCGAGCCACAAGAGCACACAATATTTTGATTAAAGTCACTCAAGGGACCATTCGGGAGAGAGTTATTTAAAGTTGTAAATTTTTATTATTGACACCGGGGTGTTAAACAGCAGTTGGTGGCGGCAACACCTTTTGGTGATGATTATTTACAACACTTGACTTAGGCTGGGGAGCTAGAATATTTTTTATGATCCCGAAAATCTGAGGGCCAAAAGACAGCTCATTTTTTAGCGATGACAAAATTGAGTTTGAAATTTTAATTTGCCACGTGGATGCAAATTTTTCTGTTTTTTTTCAGTACAACATCAATTGGACAAAATTGTTCCAAGAATGCTCGGAGCCAATCTACACTGTACTTGGAGCAAAACCAAATGTTATTGATAGTGTGAGTTGAATTTTTTGAAGAAGGCAAAAAACATTTCAAAAAATTTTTTGCAGAAACAAGACGAAAAAGTGCTGTTCAAAACCACATTTGCCAATACAACGCAAAGAGAACAAGAATATTCATTCAAAACCGAGCGAGCAACTCGTAGCTCATCTACAGTAATCATCGAAAAAGGTGTTTGCCGTGGAGCAGAAGTCTCTCTAAAACTCAAAACACCGTGCGAAATTGTTGAGGCGAATGCCGGTTTCACAACTGAAGTTATGCTAAATCACATTGGTGAGAATACAAACGAAGAGGAATTGTCATGGGGTGTTGATAGTTGTGTAAGAGTTCCACCAAATTCTGAAACTGTGGCTGAACTTGTGATTATTGAGGACATTTTGACGAGAGATTTTCGAATTGAGAATCGATTGAGTGGCAAAGTTTTGGTGACAAGTAAGTGTTTTCGGAGGGAAATAGAAATTTTGTATGGAAATTGGGTTTGAAGAGGTGTCAAGAGTCCTTAAGTGTGAATAAAATATGACTAATTTGCAGTCACCAACTTGAAGGAGAACAATAGTTTGGTGACGGTTATTGAGGGAAATATTACGGATATTATTCGAGGAATGCCGGATTATACAGCTAAGGGATTCAGATTTGATGGACCCGTGAGTTTTTTCAAACATTTTTATTTTGAAATTCAAAGCTCGCAAAGTTTTTGGCTAATCTAGAAAAAAAAATCAAAATTTAAATTTCGCTCTAAAATATTGAGTTTCGAATTTGAACTTGTCACCTGGATTTTTCGTTGAGATTTTGTAAAAAACTTAGTTTTTATTCCATTCTGTGAACAGTTAATCAGAAAAATTACATCAATGTGAGAAATTTGAAACGTAAAAAATTAGGATTTCAATTTTTTTGGAAGATCAGATTTTTTGATAGGAAACTTGAGAATTACACAATCCTCTTGGAATTTCAGTCAGAATTTTCTGAAATTTTGAATAACTATTCGCAGAATAGATTTAAAAACCAAACAATATTATATAAAAATTTTGAAACGTATTTTTTTTCACAAGGGAACCTTTTTTACTCAACACTTCAAATCATGATGAAATTTGGTCCATGGACAGATTTTGGGACCATAAGAACACCCTAAAAATTTTAGTCTCCCAATGGACCTCTGAGCCAAGTTCTGGGCTCTCAAAAACTCAAAAAAGGCCTAAAAATGGTCATAAAAGTCATCATAGCTCCATTTCAAAATTTTTTTTGGTGGAAATGAAGTTTCAGATATTGATCAGCATAGTCGATTAGCTAAAAGTCAATCAATAAAAAACTTTATTTCGAAAAATTTTGAAGTTGTTTATTTTTGGGCTGAAAATTCACGAAAATTCATATGTGCCCCTGCTCATTCTTTTTTTCAAAATCAAAATTTTTTCTGAAAATTCGATTTATTGATGGTTTTTGAGTAAATCGACCACGCTGATCATCATCCGCTACTCAGTTTTTCATAAAATTGATCGAGAATTGAGTTATGATGTGTTTTATGAGCCATTTTTGGCAATTTTCGAACTTTTGAGAGCCCAGAACTTGGCTCAGAGGTCCATTGGGAGACTAAAATTTTTAGGGTGTTCTTATGACCCCAAAAGCTGTCTCTGGACAAAATTTCATCAAGGTTTGAAGTGTTGAGTAAAAAAGGTTTCCTTGTCAGATAAATTTGAAATTTTTCTAAATTTGTATGTCCAAAGTTTTGTGAAAAAAATTGATCCAAACTTTTTTTTCCCAGACAAAACTTGCGAAGAATCAGAATAATATATCAAATTCTCAAAAATGCAACACATTTTTGACTAAGAAGAGAATGAAATGTCAATCTTTTGGGGCGCGCTTTTCAAATTTATGATCGCGCGCGAAGAAACAATAACTTTGGTTGAACAACAGATGTGTGATGATTTATTATAAGTATGAGAGCCTTTGAGAAAATGTAGTTGGGGGAATTTTTTTTGAATAAGAAAATAAGGGGATTCTGAAAACTTGAAATCGGTCTTCCCCCAAAAAATCCCAAATTTTCCAGGCTGTAATTTACGAGACTCGCGGTCAATGTGTTTTCCGATACGGAGTTGAGCAAAAAGTTCGAATCAACGAATATCCGCTGACCGGATCGGCTAGAAGATATTAAGAAAACCACTGCTCATTTGTTTTGTTCATCCGCTAATATCCATGCTTTAATTAATTAATTATGTATTAATTATTATGTTTTTGTTATTTTCAAGTGATATACTTATATTATCCCCGGTAATAATGCGCGCATTATAATAAAGTTTTTTTGAAGAAAGTGTGTGAGGTTTTGATTCCAGAAAAGTTTTTAGAAGTTTTCGAAATGCTTTCAGTTTCCCTAACCAATTTTTATTATTTTCCGCCAGTTTTCGCCCACATTTCTTTTGTTTTTCTTAAATATAAACGTTTTACCATAATCCAACATCAAAATGCGAATTTATATTTTCCTAACTCTCCTTTTTTCAATTCCACCCATCAAATGTTATTCTTCCAATTACACCCTTGGCTTAAAAGTTTTTGAAAACTTTATGAAATCATTGAACATGACAAATTATGATGAACTTCAAACGATTTATGACAACAATATTGAATATATCTCGAAAATTCCAGTAACAGGAATTGAAATATGGATTCGAGAAGAATGGCATGATATTAAGAAGTATTGGGCAAGTTATTATGGTGGACTTGACCCCCGAGAATGTTTGCATATTCCAACCAAAATTGATGAAAAATGGAGTTTGAAAGATTTTGCAAGTGTTGATAAATGGTATACATTTGAGATGAATAATGCGGAACTTATGGATATTTGTCATAAGCGAAAAGATGTTAATCGAATTGCACAAGATGCTGGTTGGATAACAGTTCAGCATAACATCTCACATATGATTATTGGATCAGAAAGAGTTGAAACAAAAATCCATTTTAAAATTTATACTGATAATGAAACGGCAGATTATCGAATCACAAGAATTGAGAGATTATGTTTGGTTCATTCTGGATATCCACCATGCACAAAATCTGCGAGTTGTGTGATTGGTGTAATTGAGGATGATCCACCAAGAGATGCATTTGAGGAAAAAAATCAGGATAATGCGGGTGCTATTAAACATCCATTTTGTTTTAGAAAATGAATGATTCGAGTTTCGTGAATTTCAGAATCACATTCAGCTTTTTTAAATATTCTCAAAACATTTACGACTAATTTTTAAATAAAAAAAAACGAGAATTCTGGAAAAAAACGTGCCCTGAATAACGTGTTCTAGATGACGTGTTCGAGAATGCCAAAAATGTTTTCTTCATATCGCTCATTTATTTTTCCAATCAAAATAGAAAACGGTCTAAATCTAGTCTATTATGTCCAAAAAGAAGAAACTTGAATGAAGCGGTCAGAAAGGTGTGGTTTTATCAATGGGTACTAGTAGAAGTGCTAGAAGTTCTGATCTTACTGGTGGATGAGGGACTTGATCTACATTGGTAAAATACTGATCTACTGGTCTTGGTGGGGTTGCGAATAGCGTCACGCTAACGGGGGCCGGGGGATTCAAATACACGTTTGCCTGCAAAACGTGGAATTAGCCCACACTCCGTTACACCTCTTTTGCCGTCGTTGTTTTTTTTTTCCAGTTTTCAAAAATTTGAGCACGAACTTTTGAAAAAAAATTGTGTACATGTTTTTTGTGTGTGTCTTATCTTAGCCCAGTCTTATCCGAAACGAAAAACACGGTGATCTATGAGAGAAAAAGTGTAATATGTTTTTTTCTTCCTCATCTATTTTTTTTGTGAATGATTACTCACTTATATCATATGTCTATCTATTTTCCAGCTTCAAAAAACTTGTATCATTTTTTTTCAGTAGTTAGAGTTAGCCTAAGTTCCTTCTATTTGCAAAAGAAGTTATGGTAACATTTTTGGATAACTTTATCTTCCGCGCAGCCCTAACTTTCTAGATAATCCAACTCAACCCAACTTAGCTCATCTCATCTTGCTTGGTCCATCCAGAAATTGTCTGTGTGTGTTGTTTTAAATTTCCCAAAGGTACCATTTTTCTTCAACATTTTTTCCTCTTCTTCCGTTTTTTCTCCTCTCCTCTCAATAATTGAAGTCTATTATTGTTGCCGTTTTTTTCTCCCGTTTTTCCAATTTTTTTTCTTTTGTTGTGTCTGTGTGTGTGACGTTGAAAAATTGTTGTTATCAGTCGGGGGAAAATTCGGGAGAAAAACGATTATTATGAATTTTTTCGGGCGAAGATAATTTTATTAGTGCTTCTATTTTTAGTTTGATTTTTGCAATGAGGCCAGGCTAAATTCAGATTCAAAAAATTGAAAAACTGAAAAGAAACACGGAATATCTTGAAATTCAAAAAATCATTTTTCCCTGAAGCTCTTTGGCATAGGAGCTCTCAAGGTGCGGCTCCTTGACGATTAGAATCTCTAGGAGCGGCTACTTGAGAATAAGGTTCTCTAGGCGCGACTGCTTGACAACCAAAATTCCAAGGATTCGCTACTTGCCATATAACCTTTCAAGACGCGGGTTCTAGACAATCAGAAGTAGATCCACGTCATAACTTTAAAACCCCTTAGAATTTGATCCCCGAAAAAATCTAGCGAAAAAAAAAAAAAGATTTTTCAATATGTTAATGGCTGACTGACTGATGCCAGAATTATAAATAAATGTAAAGCCATATCTTCTTCACATTTTCTAATATCCAAAATGTACATATATATATTTAATGAAGAAAAAATATATTATTATGAATAAAATGTGAAAATGTCCTAAGCTTCATCTCGAGCACGGCTTATCTTCTTCTCATCATAAATCCAGGATCCGTTGTCATGGCAGAAAATACTCTGCTATTTAGATATTTAGTTTCTTTCTGTTTTCCCCAAAAATCTATAAATATTACTATTCGTGTTTTGCGGAGATCAAAAGTGAACAAAATGTTATCACAGACCACGTCATCACATTGTACTTTTTGACATTTGCATTTTCATCTTTTTATTTATTTGTGATGATCAAATTTTTGAGTCTGAAAAATGTTGATGACGTGGCATCATAACTTTTTTGAATAATCTAGAAAGTTAGGGTAACTATGGATTCGAATTCTAGTCGAGCTTTGATTTTGTAGTCATGACGTGGCGACTATATTTTTGGATGTTGTGAAAAAAAGTTGGAAAATTTTCCCAGGTTTTTTTGGGATCTTTCAAAAGCTCAAAATGAGCTCAATTCTTTTAACTACATCAGTTTTTAAAATTAAAAAAAGTACCCTAACTTACTAGATTCCGAAAATCAAATTTTAAAAGTTTCAACATTTTTTCAAGAAATTTGAAATCTCTGAAACTTTGTTAATCAGAAATTTTTGTTATTCTGAAAATTTTATCACTCAAAAATCTGACCTTCATTAAAATTTTTTGGAAAAAGTTCAGGATCCAAATTAAAATTCCCAATATGATAAATATTCGTAGAAATTCTAGTTTTTGAAAATCCAGTTTCTCAACCAAAAAATCCAAGCTCCAAAACCAAAACATGCCGTGCTGGTGCTCAATTTTTCATTTTTCACCCCATCTCATTTTCTTTCCCTACAGTACTCCTCTTCCCCTCAAAAAACTCATTCTCTCCTCATTTTTCCCCTTTTTTTGTGCCATCAATTAGTATTCATTTCGTCGTCGGCCGTTTTGGCTCATTTCGTTTTTTCGCTCCAAAATGAAACGACACACAAAGAGAAGAGCTGAGCTCATTGTGAGGGTGGATGTGGGTGCTCTGCGAGCTGTGAGCTGAAAAAGGAAAGAGAGAGAAAGGGGAGAGAGTGGAGAGGTGTTCAAAGTTAATTTAGTATTCTGCGCAGAGCTCTCCGCGCACCCGAGAGCCCTTTTCTCCTCTTTCAGTCAGTCAGTCAGTCATTTTTTCCTTTCCTCTCACTTTTTTTTCGTCGTCGATTTTATGATGCCTTCTCTCCGCGCCGCGCACTTTTTCCATTTTATTTCATTTTTTTTTGTTGCTCCTGGAGCAAGCTCCAAATTGGAGCTTTAGAGAGCGAAGAGACAGAGTTAATTGGGTGATCTTTGCAGAAAACATTGAGTTATTGTAAGTATAGGGAAGGATCTAGGAAATTTTGGAGAGGAATCTAAATCTGAAGCTCAAAAAACACTGGTCCCCAATTTTCATTTTTATTTTTTTTCTGAATTCGGAGCTTTTGGAAACACCTTCAAAATTTATTTAAAAATTTTGATTTATTGTAAATCCCTGGGAAATTTTGAGACTTATAATCCTTACTTAATGAAATTTTGATTCTGAAATTCAACTTTTCTGAAAATGGCTGGAGTGCCAGGCCGCCTCCGAAACCTCCCACGAAAATTTTTTCGACATCTGAAAATTTTTCAGAAGACGTCAGAAGTTTTTGGGCATCATGGAAGACGTCAGGTGTTTTTCAGAACTTTTCACGAAAAAAATAATTTCAGAAAAATCCCAGATGTAAAAATTATAGATTCCGAAAGAAATGGATCAAATTTTTAGAGAGCCTCAATAAGTCTAGTAGACACATCTAGAGATTCAGTTTGGCAAGGAGCGGCGCCTTCAGAGCTTCTAGGTTAAGAAGCTGAGCCTAGAAACTCTAATTGTCAAGGACCAGCGCCTAGTCATCATATGTTTCAAGTAGCCGTTCCTTAGGAACCTTTTTCAAATTTTCCAAATATTTATCTATCATCTCTCTGTTTCTCTGCACCCTCTCTCTCTCTCTCTCTCTCTCGCTTGCCATTTTATTTCATTCCGTTCCGTTCCGCATATTTTGTCAGTACAATTTATTTTGCAATTAATTGTTCATACATTTTGGTCATTTCTCTTTCTCTCTATCTCTAAATCTCTCACTCTCTCGCCTTTTATTTTTGTTTTGTTTTGTTTCTTTCATTTTTCTTGATGGGAAACAAATAATTTTGTTATCACAATCGATTTTCGGCCGCTTTTTTATTTGTTTATCGAATCTTCCTTCTTCGCAAAAAAAAATATTTTGTTTATTTTTCCAAGAAATTTTTATTTTCAGAGCGACTTTTTTATAGTTTTCATTTTCTTTGAGAAAAGAATAGAACAAAACGCATCAAAATTCATAGAGAAAAGCGGTGTGAAAATTTATTTCTTTTTCATACATATTAAATCATTTCCACAATCCATTCTTCATTTTTTATTGTTTTTTCTTGTTGGGCGAGGGGAACGCGATCTAGGCTTCAAAATTCTCGAAAAACTTGAAGATGAGCTAGTTTAGACATCTGAGCTTCTAGGTTTTGGAGCAGAGAATTTAGGAGAAATTGAGAAAGTCTGAGTTGGACAGATCGAAATTCAACTGGACTTTCTGTTTTTCGAAAAACATTTCGAAAAAAATAAATCGGACCAATTGTGATCCACCAACAAGATTCAGAATTTCTTCCAGAAAACTGAAAGTGGTTAATCTAGGAGTTAGGATAACTTTGCCACTGCGCAACTTGGTTTCATAGTGTAGACCGCAAGCTAGCGGCAGTTACCCTAACTTTTCAGAATCTCCAGATTTCCCAGATCTCACCCAGAAACTTCCAGTCGTCTCTCAAAAAAAGAGAAGCCTTTCTCAAAAATTTGTTAATCATATTAATATGCACATTGAGCCAGAGTCTCATTGCTTCTTCTTCTTTTTCTGCTCTTTTTTTTGTTGTTGTGTTGCTTCTCCGCTTCTGCTCCTCTGCCAAGTCCTTCTTTTTTTCCTTCCAACTACTACTACACATATCTTCTTCTTCTTCTTCCTTCATCGATTTTGAGAGAGCCGCTTCTCCTTCTTCTTTCTTGCTCCTCTCCATCTCTAACTTTGAAATAGAAATAGCACGTGAAACGTGGAGAGTGCTAGAGATTGATAAAATGATGAGGAAAGAGTGTGGGAATTGAGGAGAGTGGTTAGACAGCTGGGGTTTATTAATTTACGATGATTCGAGCTCCGCTTCTTCAGGAATTGTTTGGGATGAGATGGATGGATCTTTTTTTTTCATTTTTTATCCGTCACAGGATTAGAGTCCTCTGCTTCTTTTATATAATTCTTTTTCTTTTTTTGAAAATAATGAATCTTGCACTTTTTCTTTTCTTTCTTGCGCTCTTCCAATTTGTCACGTATTTGAAACATATGTTTTTTGTGTTCAACTTGAAACATATTTATTTTCTAGCTTCTATCTAGTTTCAAGATTAGTTTTTTTTTGCACGAGGGAATTTTTATCAGTGAAAAAGTAATATGATTATAATATTTTTTGTTGGTCAAATGATTTTTTCTTTTTTTAGGAGATCAAACGTGTTTTCTTCTTTTTTTTTGGAAAAAGGTTTCAATTTGAATTTGTGAGTCATAAAAGGCTTATCCTATGGCAACCTAGAAATAAATTTGAAAATACAATTTTGTAAAATTTTGTATTGATCAACTACAATCTAACTCAACAAATTTCGGAAGAAAAACCTAGGACCTACTTCTAGCGAGGATAGTTTTAAAGTAGCGGCGCCTAGAGAACCTAATTTTCAAGGATCAGCGTCTAGATTTCAAGAAAAATCTTGGAAAATCACATTCTCCAGATGAGTTCAATCAGATTTTGTAGATAATTTTTCTACAGTGTTCCGAACATTGTTGACGCAACCTAAGTCTAATTGACAAGTCTCAGACACATTACCGTACCAAAAAAGACTTTCTTGAAGATCAAAAATGTTCCAACTTCCGCTAACTCCAAATTCCAACCTTCGGAAAAAATCTACCGAGTTTCCAAAATCTTTGGAAACCTTCCAGAGCCCTCTGATCTACTGTAGATCAAGAATCCCCTCAAAAAGTTCACATCAGCCTCTCTGAAACTTGAAGCTTTTTGTTCATCTCATTTTTTTTGCATCTCATCTCATCTCATTTTTTTCCGGCTGTGTTCAAGTACCCGTTTTTTTCCAATTAGAAGACACACAAAAAAAAGAACTCATCTAGAGAGACTCGAAAAAAGGATGGAACTAACTAACTAACAAGCCAATTATTCATTTTCGGTTGGCTCGAAAGCCAGTTTTTTGGGCTCTCGGCTAGTACTTTCAGATGTTTTTAATTGTGTTCCACTTTTCTCTCTCTCTTCAGCTTCTTCCACTAAAAAATCCCCGCACACATACATACACACACAATATATATAATGTCGATTAGTTGCAGACCCCAATTTCCCGCCGTCGCCGTTTTTGTCGCGGCTTTCGTCGCCATGTTGACGACCGACGTTGAGAAGAAGCTGAAGAAGAAGAAGAAGCAGTGAGGGAAAAGCTAGAGCTGGCTGAAAAGGGGAGAGAGACACGCGTAATTTGAACCGATTTCTCTCTCGAATCTCTCTTGTCTTTTCGAGCTATTTCCAGCCACAGAGCAGCCCTTCTCCCCGTTTTACACACATGTGAAAGAGAGAGAATATATGTAGGGGAAGAGAATCAGAGAGACATATGAGGTCACTCTCATTTATCTATGCAGTTTTCGAACTTTTTTTTGAGGATTAGCTTTTTTGTTGTTGTTCCTTTGTAGTTGAAAGCTAAAGCTAGAATAGGTAGTGAGTTCTATGAAGCTGAGACAATGTTCCCGGAAACTTTGATAATTCCTGATGATCGCTCTCTGGTTTTCAAATTTCGTGAAAAAATTGAATCGTGTAGTAAGAAAATTCTAATCCGCCTAATCCAATTGACTTTTGACTGTTGATTCCCAAAAATTTTGACTTCATCAGATTTCACGAAGATTTAAGTATTTCTAAGTTCATCTTTTTGAAGTTCTGAAAAGCTTCACAATTTTCATTCAAATTGGAAGTTCAGATTTTTTTCGTAACTCTTTTTTGTTTAAAATATTTTCACCCAGAAGGGCAACTTGTAGATTTCCAAATTCTGAATAGAATGGTATGTTTTTCTCGAAGATTATGACTTTAAAGGGACATCGTGATCAGACCCTTGAAGGGAGGTACCTTTTTCACGAAAATTTAATTTGTTATAAGACCTTGTTCATATTGTAGAGTTCCAAATTCTTTATCGAATGGTATATTTTTCTCTGAGAAAATATTAGGTTCAAAGGTAGATCGTGGTGAGACCCATCTATGCGCCTTTAAAATTTTCTAGAGAGAAAACAAAATGTTGTGAGTCTTGAGATGCAAAAATCAGAGCACTCTGTAGATTTCTAGTTAAATTCCAGATCTCAAAACTCATTCTGACTTTTCAAATGCTCTGTCTAGCTTATTTTTCGCATTTTTCTAAAATAATATTCGTCAAATCCATCCCAATCCAGACAAAATCGTCTTTCTTTTTCCTTTTTCATTTTTTTATGCTGCCTTCAAAATATGACGTGCCCGTTTTTTGCTCATTTTTCTAGCTTTTTTTGTTCTATGCTTTTTTCCTCTTCCGATTTTCTCTAATTTTTTTGACAGTTTTGTTTTTGTTGACAACAACAACAACAACAAAATGTTTTCAAAAAATGAAAAAAAAATCCTGTCAGCAAAAAAAAACGGAATTTGATTTGATTTGATGATTCTCGTTTCGTTTTTTTCCCTAACCCTTTTTCTTATTTGCTCAAGTAGGTGAAATGATGTGCACGATTTTGTTTTTTTTTTCTTATGATTTTTTGTCTGGCTGAAATAGAATAACTTGGCAAAACTACAGAAAATTGGGCGCCGAGCGGGGATCGAACCCTGGTTTTGCAAATAGTAAGCAGCCGTGCAAACCACTCGGCCACGCGATTCTTTTTTCGAATCTTGAAAATCTTGATTTTTTGATCCACACAAATTTTCTGATGTCCAAAAAAAATCCACGTGGGAAAATTCTAGGGTAATTATGTACAAAAATCAGTTGATCAAAATTTTGAGCTGCTCAGATTTTCCTAGACTCAAGAAATTTCGGAGATAAACTTGCGAACTAATTGTAAACTAAAACCCACGGGTTTTTTTTTCAAAAAACAAAATTCGAATTTTCCAAATTCCAACAAAAATCCACGTGGGATCTCTAAAAATTCGAATTGTTGGCTACAAATCCTGATATCAACAAAATCCTTGCCAAAACATTTCTTCTTCATTTTTCCGTTGGTTCTGTTCATTTTTCCAACCAACCGATTAATTCGTCCTCTTCTCTCTCTCTCTCTCTCTCCCTCACTTTCTGCGTCTCTTCTCAATCCACACTCTCTCAACATCTGCGAGCCTCCTCCAAAAAAAAATTGAAATCGAGCTATCTCTATGTCTCACCGCTCTCCAACTCTCGCAACACACTCTCGCCAAATGTGCCGCCGCAAGAGCTTTTTTGCCGCTCTTTGTGCTCTCTCAATTTCACCCACTCTCTCGTCACACTCGTTTCTCCGATTTGACCCTTTGCTTATTGATGTTTTACACACTCTCTAGCTCGCCACAAGCTCAAAAACGAAGAAGTACACAAATTATTGACTTTTTTCCACACCGGCATAAATTCTTGTTTATTTGTTGTTCATCAATTTAAATTTGAATATATGAATATACCTCTCTCTCTCTCTCTCTCAAAAAATATCGATTTTTCTGTGCCATCCAATCTCTTTTCCTGTTATCAGTCAACTCACCGTGCATATATTTAATTTTATATGTATGTACAACATGTTTTATTGATTGATTTATACAATATTTATTTATTCTCCCAATTTTCTTTCTTCTTCTCTGAATCACTTGTGACTAACTAATAAACATTTAAAAAATGTTGTTTTTTTTAGGAAGAAAATTTTGAAGAAAGGCGCCGACAGCAAAAACATCTGAACAAGAAACAAATTTTAACCTGACGCCCCAAATTTTCTCCAAGTAGTAGCCAGGCGAAACGGGTCTTGCAGCAAGAAGTGTGAGTTTTTTTTGGGGATAGAGGGCTTCGGAGAGAATAGAGGGCTTTGGAAAATTGAACACAGGGCTTTAGATATGATATACAGGGCTTTTGAGAATACACAAAGTGTAATTTACTATTAGAAATTTTTGGTGAAAGAGGGCTTTAGAGAATTGAACACAGGACTTTTTAGAAATCACAGGGCTTTCCAGATGTCACACGGCCTAATTTACTACCTTAGAAATTTTTCTTGCATTTTTTGAGACCTGAGAGAATTCTGAGCAATACTGAGAAATATTTTTGATCTACCAGAGAAAGTTTGAGGTCTAATAATTCCCTCTGCGTCTCTCTAAATTCTATGCTCTCTAGCTGTCTAGTTTTCGAGCCTGAATTTTCTATGATCTACACTTAAAATCGAGAGTCTGAAACATAGATTTCCTAAAAAAAAATCTTGATATTTCTCAGCCCCTCTGAATTCTCCCAACCCCCCTCTACGATATATATTTTTTGACAGCTGATTTATCCTAACTTTTTTTGCAGGTGAAAAAGGAATTCTATATATATTTTTCAATATTATTATTTTGTTTTATCAAATTCAATAATAATGGCATCGACTTCAGCTGGACAAATTGTTGCAAAAACCGACTCAAATGCGAGTTCAACTCATCGGGATCGTGAACGTGATCTCAAACAATTCACCGAACGTTTTGTGAAAAGTGTTCAATTCCCAGTGTCGGAAAGGCTGACTGTCGATCAAGTTTATGATCGGCGGACAGGAAAACCGAGGCATAGTGTGCTTCGCGATCATTTCATCAAAGAAGGTCGGATAGAAGAGGAGGCGGCGATTCGAGTGATTCAAGAATGCACGTCGATTTTTCGATCAGAAAGAACAATGTTAGATATTGAGGCGCCTGTCACTGTTTGCGGTGATATTCACGGACAATTTTATGATCTCATGAAATTGTTTGAAGTCGGCGGTTCGCCGGCCACAACTAAATATTTATTTTTGGGTGATTATGTTGATCGAGGATATTTTTCCATTGAATGCGTCTTGTATTTATGGGCCCTCAAAATTTCCTATCCAAATACACTTTTCCTATTGCGCGGTAATCATGAATGTCGACATTTGACCGAATACTTCACTTTTAAACAAGAATGTGAGTCTTTTTTTGGGGGGGGGGTTAGAAAGTGTATGATACTGAAAATTAAGATTCTAGAATCATGTTTCAAAGCCGATTTCCCCCTGGGCCCAAAAAAGCTCCTTGATTGTTTCTCAAGGCTTGGCTACTCGAAAATTAGGTTTTCCAGGAGCAGCTACTAAACAAGTAGACTTTCTAGGCTCGGCTACTTGTCATAAATAATTTCAAGGCGCTGGTCCTAGACAACCAGGTTCTCTAGGCTCGGCTATTTGACACCTAACTTTTCGGAAGTTGAAAAAATATGACCAATTTTTTGAAATAAGAGCTGTTCATGTGACTAGAAACCTTCTTTCAACTAAAAAAAGTAAGAAACCCCTCCAAAACCTTTTCCGAATTTCCAGGTAAAATCAAATACTCTGAAAAAGTCTACGATGTATGTATGGAATCATTCGATGCCTTACCACTCGCCGCTCTTATGAATCAACAATTCCTCTGTGTTCACGGTGGTTTATCGCCGGAAATTCACACTTTAGATGATATCAAAAAATTGGATCGTTTCAAAGAGCCACCGGCATTCGGTCCAATGTGTGATCTATTATGGTCGGATCCATTGGAGGATTTCGGAAGTGAGAGGAATTCCGAGCAATTTAGTCACAATTCAGTTAGAGGATGCTCGTATTTCTATAGTTATGCGGCGTGTTGCGATTTTCTTCAACACAATAATTTATTGTCAATTATTCGTGCTCATGAAGCTCAGGACGCTGGGTAAGTTCGGAAAATGAAGGTTCCGCGTAAGCGAGGCGGGAAAGTCTAGAAAGTTAGGGTAACTTCGCGGCTGCGCGGATGCTTGCGGAAAAATACCAAATTCTAAAATGTAACCAAATAACTTTTTTACAGCTACCGAATGTATCGAAAATCGCAAGCCACCGGTTTCCCATCGCTGATCACAATTTTCAGCGCGCCAAACTATTTAGATGTGTATAATAATAAGGCGGCAATTCTAAAGTATGAGAATAATGTGATGAATATTCGACAGTTCAATTGTAGTCCGCATCCCTATTGGTTGCCCAATTTTATGGATGTTTTCACATGGTCACTGCCATTTGTTGGAGAAAAAGGTGAGATATTTTGAGAAAAAGGGAAAGGGAGATCTCTGATGAACTTTCGATACAGGAAATTGAATTTCAACAAATTCGATAAGCTGTGTTTTGCTGGAAAATGACATTTATGTATGTTAGATCGAATTATGAGGAAAAAATGAGCAAACTTTAGTTCGGAAGTTGATAGATAAAATATAGATTTTTGAATTTAGGGGACGAAAAGCAGAGTAATCATACCACTCAAATGAACTATAGTCTAGTTTTAGGCTCTCTAGGCTCGATCACTTGAGAAGTATGTTTCCTAGGCGCTGATCCTTGACAAAAAGGCACTCTAGGCTTGGTTACTTAGCATAGAAGTTTTCAAGGCTCGGATTCTTGGCTAGTTGGATCACTAGGTGCGACCACTTGACAGCTAGAATTTCTAGGCTCGACAACTTGACACATGTAGAAGCTCTCAAGGCGCGGCTACTTGTCGGAATTTTCTGGCCAAAAAAATGGGGAAACTTTGAAACATCGTAAAAAAATCGAATTTTTTTGACGAAAAAAAGAAGATCAGGGTTTTCAATCTAAATTTTGCAGTCACCGAAATGCTAGTCCACATTCTCAACATTTGCTCAGACGACGAATTGATGGCAGAATGCGACGACACTTTCGAAGGTAAGTATTGTGACTGACAACTAAATGTGATATTCCAATTCAAAAAAAAAAGTTCCATTTGATCGTTGTCGAAAAACAATATCTAACCCGCTTTCTTCCAAACCGAATCCAATATTCAATGTTGTTTCCGATTTTTGGCGCATGATCGAAATTCAAAAAAGTTCAGATTCAAATTCATTTCAAAAAGTTTCTAGTCAGACTTCTAAGCTCGCCACAAATTCAGTTCATTTTATGATTTGATGATTATGACTTGAAAAGTAGATCACGTTGTGTGTTGTATCTTTCTCTCGCCTCTCTCTCTCTCTCTCTTTTCTCTCTGTGTTTTCAATATATTTTTTTATCATTTTTGTGATCGATTTTTCGCACACACCAAGAAGAGCTAGAGGAGATACAACACCAAAGAAAAATAGGTTCAAAGAAAAAAAATGAGACAACTGAAAAAATATATATTTTTGCTGTGGGCGAGAGCAATATGTTTTAACAGCACGCGCTGGGGGTTTCAGATTCAGATTCAGAAAAAATTAAAGGCGGTCAGACAGTTATTGATTTTCACCGGGACTATCGAAGCCTCTAACTGACACAAATTTGGAATTCAGAAATTTTTGCCACGTGGATTTTTTACGCAAAAATCCTAAATAATTCAATTACACAAAGTTTAAATCCTACGGAATTTGTTGAGGCTCCGAGGGAACCCGGAATAAATGTCTAGCCGTCTTTAAATTTCAAAATATTCTCAAATTTTCAAAATCCAAAATTCAAATTTTAAGGAGCCGATGGTAAGTGGATCCCAATAATAAATGGTCACGTATGTTTGTTCCACCAGCAAAACGAAATTCTATCTTTTTATTTTAAAAAACAGGCTTTTTGTTTTTTTTTCTTCGGGCAAACTTTTTTTTGGTGTTGGCCTAGCTTTTATTATTATTTACTTTTTGACACACACAAATCTAACCTTTTTTGTTGGCTGTGCTCTGCAAATCGCTTATGTTCTAGCTAGCTTTTCATTTAATTTTTGAAAATCATTTTCATTTTTATTTTGCATGACTTTGGGTTCAACAAATCAATAATTCATCATACCAATTTTTCTCCACATCACCCACTTCAATTTGATTTACATTTTACTCATTTCACTTATCATTTCAGTTTGTCCCTTTTCATAGGACCCCTAGGAGAATCGGGTTATCCTAATTCGAAATTTCAAAAAATCGATAATTACAGGTGGTGTTCCATCGGCACGAAAAGAGGTTATTCGACACAAAATACGGGCAATTGGAAAAATGGCAAGAGCATTCTCCGTACTTCGGTGAGTTTTTGAAAAAGGGCATTTTTGAGTGCGGTGAAAATTTGGAACAGTGAAATTTTTTGGGGTCAAAATTTCGAGAATGAAATTTGAAAAAATCCGAAAGCCTGATGTCTCTATTTAAAAATTTCGAGAATATCTTGATTTTTAAAGATTGTTGGAATGTTAGAGATACATAGGAGCACAATTAGAATCAGACAACTAGAGTGTGAGAGAAAATAGGATAGAGACGCAGGAATCACACATAGGTTAACCAATTTTTCCTAAATTTCAAAAGCCAACAATTGGTGAGATTCTTCGAGACCCAGAGAAAAAACAGTGAGAATCAGACAACTAGAGTAGGAGACAACATAGGTTAGAGACGCAGAGTATTCTAGCTTAGACACCTCGAGTTCTATAAAAGCCTACGGATGAAGAAAATATTGTGAGATTATTCGAGAAAAAAGATCGTTAATAGACCAGAATTAGACGACGAGAGTATGAATATTGCTAGAGACGCAGAGTGGTTTCTAGTCGCTGATCTTTGACAATTGATATGTCTAGGCTTAGATGCTTGACATAGAAACCCTTAAGGCGCGACTGCTTGCGATAGTGAATCTCTAGGCGTGAGCCCTTGACAATTTAGGCACACAGCCTCTAAAGACGTTCATGAGTCAAAAACTCCCTTGAAATTAAAAATTTAAAGCTTGTCAGATTTCTAGAGACACTGAAAATTCACTGTTCCAGCGAAAAAACAGCACGGTGTTTTCCAAAAATCATTAATTCCACGGTTTTCAAAACTAACCCTTTATGTTTCTGTTATTTTTAGCGAGGAATCCGAATCGGTTTTGGCACTCAAAGGTCTCACACCAACTGGTGCACTTCCAGTTGGAACTCTTCAAGAAGGTGTGAAAGGAGTTCGCGAAGGTTTGTTCTTTTTTTCTGGAGAAGATAATAAAAAAACTTTGTGAAAAATCAACAAAACAAGCAACATTGTCCGGTCCTCTGAATCAACGAGTGTGGTTTTTTTCTTTTGCTCAACTTCTTAACCTAGTTTGACACTGAAACTGAAACTTTTTAAAAAGTTGAATTTAGACATGAAAGTGAGGCAGTTGTGCAGTTGAAAGGCCTGAATCCGGGCGGAAAATTACCGCAAGGAGTGCTGGCGGAAGGCAGGACCGGACTTGTTGCTTGTAAGTTTGTTGTTCGGAGCGGAACGCGGAAAAGGGGCTACGGGAAATTAGGTGATCATTGAACAATTTGTACTTCACTTCCTGATCTATTTAGATTTTCACCGGAAACACCCGAAATACTTTTCTGACGTAAAAAAACCTCGGTTTTTTTTCGACAGAAGAAATTCTGGACACCGCAAGAGACCTTAGACTCTTATAATAGTACAGATTTCTCAAACATCCAAAATTTCTCACCAATCAATTAATCTCCCCATATTTGCAGCCTTATCCGGCGTTCAACCTGGCCACCAAATCCAATCATTCGAAGAAGCAAAACGTTTGGATATGATGAACGAGCGAATGCCACCAACAATGGCCACTCCACCAGGCCAATCACCAAGTCAATCACCTCTTCCATCTCGCCAAACAACACCACAACCACCCAAAAATGGTCCGACATCATCCTAATCTCTCACAATTTTTCATTTTCGTCTCGATGTTTTGTGTTTTCTTTTTGTCACACCGCATATCAAAAGATGTTCTATATTTGTCTGTCTGTCTGTCACTCTCCTCTCTTTCTATAGTCTCTAGGCATATGCTTGAACAACACTCTAGTTTCAATTTTTAAAAGAAAGGTCTTTATGAATGCTTTTTTTCAATTATCCGTGTTCCCCCGGTTTTCTAGTAGTCTGTTTCTCCATGTTTTGTGATTTTTTTCAAAAAATTCGAAAAATATTCGTATTTATATATAATTGATCGAAAAACAAACTTTTCTTTCTGATAGAAAATTATATTTTATCGTATTCTAATCTATTTTATAAGTTAATTAATTAATATACATATATAGGCTTCTCACAATTATTGATTTTTCATTTTTTGCTCCCTCCCCAATCACATTTTGCCATGTCAAAACCCCCCGAAAATGTTTTTCCAAATCCCCATTTTTTCGAAGAATTTTTATTTTATTTACCCTAAATATTATATATTAATTTTTTATCACAACGTTTTCTTTCTTTCTTTTCGACCCCCAATCCCACATTTTTTCTCATTTCTTTGGTTATACATTTTATGTGTAAATGAAGCGCTAAAAAATTGAAAAAAAACTAACTTGAATCGTTTCCCTCCAGCCGTTTCGTCCAGAAATCAATATTCCAACATCGAAACTTGCAAAATCCTCGTTTTGATGCTTCCGTGCCTGATTATGCTCCTGAAAACAGAAAAACGTGGAAAAAACTTGAAAAAAAAAACAAAAATAAAACAACGATACTCCGACTGTACACACACAACATTTATTTTTTTTTGAAATTTCCATTTTCAATGAGTTTGACAACACTCTAAAAACTTCACTTTCTAGAGTTCATTTTTATAATATTTCTGAAAATTGCTAAATTTGAAATTTTCAAGAAAAATAAATGTTACCACGTTGATTCTCATAGTCAAAAACCCCAGAAAACACGTTTTTAAACTTATTTCTCGAAAAAAAAATTCACGTGATTTTTCACGTAAAATGCGTGTAATAACACGTTTCCTTCCAAAAAACTTTGTAATTTTCACATAAAAGTAACTCTAAGCCATAAAATAACATTTTTGACCAAAAATATCGAAAATTTAAGTGATTTTGAAAAAAAATGCTGTGGTGCACACCTTGGGTGACTAACTTTGCGTCAAAATTGCCAAAAAGGGGTAAGGTTTATTTTTCTCATATTTTCGTAGGGTATGTAAAAAATGACGAGGAATCCGATAAAAGCAGTGCGAAAGTGCGAAATTCAACCGCAACACCATAAAATTGGTGTTTTTCGCCAAAGTGGTGTATTTTCACCATTAGAAATGGTGCAATTTTCATGGAGAGAACATAATAATCATTTCTAAGCCAGAGAAGTATTTTGGCGTTGAGATCATCAAAAAATATCAACGGAGAGGAAAGTTCCAGTGACCGCTCATACAGCTTTCACCCATCACACCACAATGGTGAAGCTGATTTGAGCAATAATATTGTGCGCAAATTGATGCCCATCCATGGGGCTATCATTAAACAAGTTTTCAGCAAAACTTTTTTTTTTGCTTGCGCAGCTCTTTATTCTAAAATTTCCCATATTACAAAAAACGTCTCTTAATGCCTGGGTTGACGACGTTTTCAAAACGTTGAATAAAGCGAGCGTTCACTGTGTTTTTTTCTAATAGAAAAATGCAATTCCGAGGAGACGCAGACAGAGAGAGAAAGAGGCTGGTCTCGACACGATGTGTGTCTGCCACACACTATTTCTCTCCCTTTTTCGGCGAGAGATTTGTCTGCCCACGTTAAAGTCTGCGTCTCTCAGAACTGGCAAGAAAAAATACAGTGCGTTTCACAGTTTTTCTCTTTATTTTGATTTTTGAAAATTTTTATTGTTTTTTTTAATTTTGAATCACCTCTGCGTAGAGCTACGTATAACAGTAGTTTTAGAGAACACAATATTTTTTTGGTTGATGAAAACAAATTCACCCAATTGTGTAAACTTCCTTGTGAATATATAATTCAGGTCAATATGATTTTCTGATCTTCTCACATAAATTAAAGTTGTATATAAAAGCGGGTAAGACCATCCTTTTTTCATTCAAGATGGTTATTTTCATTTTCCTGCTTCTATGTCTTGCTCCAACTTTATTTTCGAATTCAATCAAACAAATTGTGACTGAAAAGGCTTACCCAATAAATGGAGTTTGCAAAGCGAAACATTTTAATGTATCAGATCCGAAAACTTGTCTGAATTTGCTGGAAACAAATTCATCTTTTGAAATATCTTACTATAATTCAACCAGTTCTGAATGTTGTCTATCAAACTATCAATATATTTTTGCAACAAAAAAATCAGAGAATTACGATTTCACAAGTTTTCGAATTGATATAAATGATACTTGTCCAGTTGTTGAAAAACCATGGGCATTAGAAACTATGAATCTAGCTGGAAATGAGAAATTTGTTATGGCTTATAATGAATCTACTCAAATTATGAATGTTACAGGTGAGAATTAGAGGTTATGCTCTCTGTAAGTTTTTTAAACAGATCCAAATTGCAATGGGACAGTAGCAATAATCAATGGAACTAGTTATTGTCAGATTTTTGTTATTGACCCTTGGAGCGGTTCTCATAAAACCTATATTTGGCAGTTTTCTGGTATCCACAACCGTCATAAAATTATCTAAAATATCTATTTCAGAAAAACCATTCATAGCAAGTAGTCCGTACGATATTCATTTCACAAGACTCCGTTTTCATAAGGTATTAGAGTTTAAAAATAAGACAAATGGAATGATAATTATGGATGGAAAAAGAAATGCAAATTGTCAACGGGCTGATAAAATAGGGCTTGCTGAATACAAATTTCCAAATGGTTTTGATTTTGTTGACAAGGAAAACCCGATGTTGAATTCATATACATTCGTGGATCAACCATCGATTGCAACAAATAAGCTATGCGTTTCAATGTTTTATAGTATGACGGACTCAAATATGAATATGAAAGTTGATTATGTTAGGTTAGTATGAGATTTTGTTTGACTTGCTGATTGTCTGAATCTAGCAAAATTGGTTCTGATTCCAGATGTGATTACTATTGGGAAGGCAATTATACTGGTGAAATGTCAATGGGTTTGCTACCAAAAGGTTCACAATGGGAATCCGCCCCAGGACCCCAATTTGATATACAACGTGATTTCTGATGAAAACTGCTTGAATTCTTCTTGAAAATTCACATTGTTTATGTTTTGCAGACGAATAAAACGATTTCTCTTCACCTTTCCCCTTTTGTTCTAGTTCATCGCTATTTCGTCTGATAATGCAACTTTTCCTCCTGATTTGTCTAAAATTTTCTGGAACAATTTCTTTTTTTCTCACAAAGGCCGATGTTCCCGAATGGATGTTACCAATTCTGGAGAAAAATTGGTATTGTGGTTCAGGAAGAACGGAATATTTCGCGAGAAAAGTTGCCAAGCTTTATCAAATGGCGCCATCTGCAATGTGTTAGTGTTTTGCAAACCTGGGTTCCTTTGAATTTTTTGACGGAAAGTAGGCCAGTCTTGCAAAAATACTATAGTTATTCTGAAGTCCTGTCTTCTTTACTTAGAAGGGCTCTAGGCGCTGTGCCTATCCACAGTCACACCTCGGCCAAGCCGTGGCTGGCCAGAGTACAATTTTTAGACAAATCAGAATTTCAGTTTTTAGAGGTCAAAAATTAAAAAATCTCAATTTTTAGAGGACAAAAACTGAGAAAATTCACAATTTTTGTAATGTAAAAAGTTAGAGTACAATTTTTTATTGTGGAAACCACGATTTTGGCCGAGGTGTGTCCACAGTTCCTTTCTAGGCGTGTCATCCTTGTTAGAGTGTACCTATAGGCGCTGTACCTATTCATGGTAATTTTCTAGGTTTGGCTGCTTGTACGACTTGATCTTAAGACGCGGTTCCAAGCTATAGTGGTTTTCTAGTCTCTGCTTCTTGTCATAATTTCTATCTAGGCTCTGCTTTTTTTTGCAATTCTGTCACACTTTTTCTATCTTTAGATTCCTACAATCATTGTTGTGCAGTCCATGATGATTGCTACGATCAACAATTGGGAAAAGAATGGTGTGATCAAACATTCGATGCGTGTAATTGGCTAATTTCAACACAATTAGCAGAAAAACATATTTATCCTACTTATGTTTGGAGTCTCGGAGCTGGTTTAGCTGTAAAACTATTCGGCGGTGGTCCTTATAAAGAAGCTGGAAGAACAAAAGTCATCCCATACAATCCATCTCAGAACAAAAAAATTAAAATGATTTATCCACTAATATTCAAACATTGTCCACTTCAAATTGCAACATTTTCAAGTTGTGCAATGCAATTCGATCTTTGTTCAAGTCGAAATCTATCACATTGTGAACATTTTTTGCAAAGTTGCTTGCATTTTTCGAGAGCTCAAAGGGACACAAAAAATCCTGATTATTCGTGTGATTGTGCTGTTCGTGCTGTTCAATTATCGATTGATATTCCATATTATAGTGAAAAACGAAATGATATTGGACTTTGGGAAGTTATAAAAGCAACTTTTCCTATTCAATTTTCCTTCAGTATTTTTGGCTATATTTGAAAATGAATGATAATTAAGAGACTGTGAGAGGCCGTTCTCATAAAAACAATATTCTCGTTTTGCAAGTGTGGCAAATTTTTTCCGAATATTTACATAGTTTTAATTTTACTTCAATTACTAGGAATTTCAGAGAGATGCTGAAAAAATTTCGAAATTTTTTAAAAATTCCAACTTTATTGAAACTAAATTTTCGAATTCCGTCTAATATTTTGATCATTACGTGTCTAAGTTTGATCAAGTTTACGCTTGAAATATTCAGAATTTCAACAGGATTCTAAAATCCAGATTTTTCGAGCTGAAATTCCTTGCACCAGAGGAAATTTTGTCACAATTTCTTATTCCTAATTGATTTTTGGCACCAAAATGCAGTAATTCGGGATTTTTATTTCAGAAAAAGAATATCTAGGAGTGAATGGTTGAAGTGAACTGGTTGCATACAATTTCAAAAATAAACCTTCATTGAACAATCTCAAAAATCACTTTGAATATCATATTCAGCCTTTGTAAAAGCAGGTATTTGAACATTGTTTGGAATATAACCAATTGCCATTTTACCCCAATAATCACCTTCCCAATAGTAATCACATCTGGAAGAATCAGAAAACATGTGGAAATTTGCAAGTGTTCCAACTAACCTAACATAATCCATCTTCATATCCATATCTGGATCATTCAAATTCAAAAACATTGCAACACACAATTTATTTGTTGCAATCGATGGTTGATCCACGAATGCATATGAATTCAACATCGGGTTTTCTTTGTGAACAAAATCAAAACCATTCGGAAATTTGCATTCCGGAAGGCCTATTTTATCAGCCCGTTGACAATTTTCATTTCTTTTGCCATCCATAATCAACATTCCTAATGTGTTGTTCTCTGATCTCAAGAGATTCTGGAATCGTAGTCTTGTGAGACGAAGATCGAATGGATTACTAGCAATGTATCCTTTTCCTGAAGAAAATTGTTTCTTTCTGCTCTAAATTCTCAATCGTACCTTGATAATGTGGATCAAAACCAACTTTAGATAAACCACATGGTAAGTACCCACAGTAAGCCCATAGGAAGAGATAACAATAACTAGTTCCATTTATTATTGCGACTGTCCCATTGCAATTTGGATCTGTTTGAAAAATTTAACGAGAACATAACCTCTATTTCTCACCTGTAACATTCATAATTTGAGTAGATTCATTATAAGTTATCACAAATTTCTCATTTCCAGCTCGATTCATAGTTTCTAATGCCCATGGTTTTTCAACAACTGGACAAGTATCATTTATATCAATTCGAAAACTTGTGAAATCACAATTGTCTGATTTTTTTGTTGCAAAAATATATTGATAATTTGATAGACAACATTCAGAACTGGTTGAATTATAGTAAGATATTTCAAAAGATGAATTTGTTTCCAGCAAATGCAGACAAGTCTTGGGATCTGATATATTATAATGTTTCGCTTTACAAACTCCATTTATTGGATACGCTTCTTCAGTCACAATTTGCTTTATTGAAAATGTTGGAGCAAAACATAGAAGCAGGAAAATAAAAAATGAACCCATTTTCAGAAAACTGATGTCTTACCTGTTTTTATATACATTTTTATTAAAAAAGTTTAATTTTATGTGAGAAGATCAGAAAATCGAATTTATTTAACCTGAATTATTCATAAAAAGCCAAAAAACCAAACTTCCTGGTTTTTAGATTTTCAGACATTGCTCACATTAATCATAAGTTCAGCTAATATATTCATACTGTATGCGTCTTAAAAATTATTTTTGAATAGGGATTTGCGAAAAAAAAATCTAAAAAAAAATACGTTTCAAAAATCTGTTAACCAAAAATTTAGATTTTTGAAATCATTCACTCTTTAATATATAATCTTGAATAAGAATCAAAATACACCTGAATTTTGGTTACGAGAAGAAATCGTGACACAATTTCTTCTCGAGCGCGAACTTTAAGCTTAAAATTCTGGAATTTCAGAATCCTCTTGAAATTGTGATGCCCAAACTTGATGACGTTTGCTCGAAATGATTCAAATTTTGTGAGGTTAAAAGTTCGAAAATCCGGACTTAAAAATCTGGAATTTTCAGAATCATTGCTCATATTAAATGAAATTTTACTCACAAAAAAAAGAATACATGATATTATGCAAAAAAAAACAGAAAACATTGATATTAAAATGAAAAAATACTGGTTAAATAAGTGACACAAAAAATCTTCAAAAAATGAAAATAAAACGAAAAAGAGCACATTTACAGATCACCAGTTGAAATGTTTAACCTGAAACTGAATCAAAATTTCGACAAAATGTGTTTGTCAAGTTTATCAGCCCATATTTTCCAAATTCCATTTCGCTTCGGCTCCTCTTCTTCTTCTTCCTCTTCTTCTTCCATTCTGGAAAGTGCGACTTTCCTGTGACGGATCAGCAATTTTGTTTGCTCTTTCAAATTCGAATAGTTGCTCGTGTTTTGGAAATCACGAATTTCTTCCACAGAATCAAATTTTTCCATGAGACGATTCTAAAAACTTTTCATTCTTCTTTGCCACGTCATGACTAACTTACAATAACTCCGTCAACCCCATAAAGATCAGTCAAAACCAGAGCTGTATCGAATTGAATTGTTTCCATTTTTTGAACAGCCTCTCTACATTGTTCCATCAGAATTTTAAAATCGTATTTGTCCGCTATTGTCATCAAAAATACCACATTTTCTTGGTTGATTTCAAGTGGAACACCGTGAATAATTTGAAGAGCCGGAAGGAATTCCTGAAATCAAAAATCTTACATTAGGATGAGCAATAGCTCAAGAATTCGGCATATTTTTGTTGGTTAACATGAGCAATACATAAAGAAATCGCGAATATATTCCTAGACTCACCTCGAATTCCTCGAAAAACTCAATTTCCCGCGCATCTCTCTCCATGAAATCCGAATTGAACATAACTTGAAAATATGTCGAATGAAACGACAAATAAGCCCGGTTTGCATACAATTTTCGATCATTTGGAAATTTGAGAACAACGTCCCAAAAATTCGAACCATTTTCATTTTCAAAATCGATCATTGGCACCGCGATTTCTTTTTTCTGATTCAAGATTTTCTTCAAACCTAATGACAGGTGGATATCAAATCGAGCATTTTTGCCTCCGAGGGTTTGTATTGTTGGCATGTTTTGCACACAAATGTTGTTCTCTTGGACCGTGAATTCGTTGTCGAAAATTCGAAAAACTTGTCTGCCACGAGCAAAATTGATTTTGAGGCAAACCAAAGCGTTGTAAGATTTCGAAAAATCATAATTTTCACAAATGATTATCAAGGCAAGGTTGTTTTCTGGACCGGTGTAGACCAATTCCATTTGCCTGCAAAAAAAAGCATTGCTCATGTTATATGATAAAATTCCTAATATCTAACTCACCAATTCGTATCCTCGAATCTGATTATTTCCGATCGCATTTTTGGCATCGAAAGATCAACTTCCATTTTCAGAACAACATCTGAACGAGTCTGAAAATTCAATTTTTTGAATTTAAAAAATTAAAAAATAACATACCACAGCTCTCATTCCATTGATTGATTTCAAAATTCCAGGATTCATTTTTGGTCCTGAAAAAAATCATTTGGAAATATTTCGGGGGATTAATTTAGATCCAATTTTAGGCTCGATTTAATTGAAAATTTTCTTGAATTGAGGAACAGAAACTAAAAATAAAAGAAAATAAAGAAAACATGATTTATCTAAAATTGCTCATATCAAAAGAAACACAGACAAAAATATAATTTTTTTTTCAAATAAAAAGAAACTATTATTTTTGTCATAGTTTTTGAGACAAAAAATCGATGATAGATAACGATTAGTCATGTTTTTGTTTCGAAAATCCAAAAAAATGAGAATAAAAACTGTGCATGACCACATGTTAGGGTCTTTATAAGAAAATGAAGTACGCCCCTATGCACAAGAAACACTTGTTTTGAACAATATTTTTGACTAACACCTGGACATCACGTACATATGTTTCATGTTTTTGGAACTGCGCCAACTTTTTTATTTTGAAGAAATAGAGAGTTTGTAAAAGGCAAGATGTTGTTGACCAGCATAGCTCATATTATAAGGGACGAAGACACAAACATTGACACAAACATAATTTGTAGATCACGATTTCACGCTGAAAATGCGACATGGTAAATTTTGAAATTGAAACTTTTCGTGTCTAAAAATCAAGCTACAGTAGCCTCTTGATTTGGCGAAAAAATGAAAATTAGAAAAATATTGAAAAATCAAACAAATTCATTCCATAAACAAAACATATCTCAACTTATGAATGTTTCTATTTAACATTATAACCACGGTTTCCTTTGTATCTTCATACTTGCTGAAACCATTCGTTTCGATTTCTCAGCTCTCTCATTTCGGCTAACTGTTTTCAATCGACTCGCAGATGTACTTCTCCAAAGTCTTCCGCCATAAACATGATTTCTTTTCTGATCATAAATCTCGCGAAGTTTCAAAAAATCAATCGATGGTTCGAAAAGACAAGGATATTGCTCTTTGAATTGCGCAGTGTCTGAAAACAGAAGAATGAAATTATATTTTTCTTTGTTTTTTTTTTGTAGATAAAATGAGCAAACACTAACTTCCTCTCAAATGAACTGTCTTGAAACCTCTTTGAAACAACACATTTGAAACCCGTTCACTTTCCCGTCCATAAATCACCAACATGTGATTTTCGACCCGAGCTCTCGCTAAAACTGGTGTCTCGTAGCATAGCCGAGCCAACATTATCCGATCATAGTGATAGGCTGCAAAAATTCATCGTTTGTCTTGTGGATTTTCAAATTCCTGGTGGAATTTTAGCCCGGAAAGGTATCGGAAAAAAAATCGGAAAAGTGTTCACTAGCGGGATCGAACACCTTTCAATCAATAAATTGTTCACCCTTCAATCAATAAATTGTTCTCTAACCGGCTGAGCCAGATTTTCTTCGAGTAAAGAGTCGCGGGTTCGGTTCCTCCCGCCGGCAATGGAATTTCAATAGGAAAATCCACGTGGCTAAGTGATTTTTTATATGTTTCTCGGTCGAAATTTTACGTAGATTTCAAAAATCCACGTGGCAATGCTCCTTACCATTCGTCATATGTTCTTGAAGAAAAACCTCATAATCATTAACATCGACAATGAAAAAACTATCTGGTGTACCCGTTGTCTCTTCAATTTGTGCCAAAAGCCAACCAACCTACAAACGAAAATATTACTGTAGATTTGGAAAGGCTACAAAATTTTTGTAGTCTTATTACGATACCGTAGTCTTATCACTGATATTTAGGTGGGAATTAAGAACTTATTTTTAAAAATAGAAAAAACCTACCAACTTGTCAATGTCTATTGACTCGTGTGGATCTGCTGCTAATAACATTTTTCTACTATATGTTTGAGCGAGAGAGCGTGAGAATCAGAGAGACTGAGACATTTTTGAATAGCCGCTAATAATAATAATATGAATATGAATATGAATTTCTCTTGAGATGAGAAGAAGCGGGGAGAACTTTTTGGAGGTTGCCAAGGAAACCAAATGGAGGACTTCTTGACATTTATACTTTTCATATTAGATATTCTTGGAGAAAAACATAACAGGAAAACGGATTTGAAGAAAAAAAAAAAGAAAAAGTTGTTTGGGAGGATTAGGAAAGTTTTCAGATTTGTTGAAAATAAAAAAAAAGTTGGGCGGAAGGTGGGGTCGAACTCTGGTTTTGCAAGCGGTGGGTAGGCACACTTACCACTCGACCACGCGGTTGTTTTTTACGCATAGAGAATTTCTAATTGAAGATGCCTTTTTCTGAATATTCCACCTCAAATAAAAATAAAAATTCTATCAAAAAAATTATTTATTCGAATTCCAAAAAGCCTATTTGCTAGACAATTTGCTTCTTGGTGGACATTTACAATAATTAGCATCCTCTCCCGGTGTTCCAGACGGTCCTTGTTGTCCGTCAAATCCTGGTGCTCCTGGTGGTCCCTCAATTCCCGGACCACCTGGTGTTCCTTGAGTTCCCGGAACTCCCGAATTTCCATCATTTCCAGCTTGTCCTGGGAATCCAGGTTGTCCTTGTGGTCCTTGTTGTCCTGGTGCTCCAGGTGCTCCCTTAGTTCCTCGTGTTCCATCTCTTCCTTTCTCTCCAGGTGCTCCGTTGTTTCCAGGTCCTCCTGGCTCACCTCCGTATCCTGGGTTTCCTGGATGTCCTGGATGTCCGTCTGGCCCGCGAAGTCCTGGAGTTCCGTCATTTCCTTTATCTCCTGGAGTTCCTGGTGGTCCAATTGGCCCTGGGAACCCTGGAGGTCCTGGTGGACACATTCTACATTGTTGATGAGCATCCATGTTAACTGATGGATAGTTTCCAGGAAGTCCACGAGCTCCTGGTTCTCCAGGTTGGCCTGGTGTTCCGTCTTGACCTGGAAGTCCTTGTGGACCTTTTTGACCTGCTGGGCAACCATTATTCGATGCGCATACTGCAAGAAGGTTATTTTATTTTCACATAAATAATTTTGGAGCTCAATTTCAGAAAAAAAAACTCACAGCATTCCCCAGCTCTTGTAGTCTGTCTCTTCTTTCTTGCAAATGGCACAACCGATTCGCCAAATGTTTCTCCTCGCATATTCGCCCAAACTTCATTGTGCAAATCGCGGAACTCGTTCATATCATAATGCAATTCACCAGTAATGTCATTGATCTTATTCCACAACGCTGGCACAAAAGTGATGACCAAAAATAGGGCGGAAACTGAGAATGCGACGGCTGCGTAACCCGCAACACGTGCCGACATTTTTGCTGTTGAGGAGAGGAGAAGATGTTGAAACAGTGGGTTTTATAGGGGAAATTTTGTGAAGCCCCGCCCACTTTTTTGATGATATTCGTTGGTGTATTAAAATGTAGAGATATTTAGATAAATAGAACTGGTTAATTAGATATGAAGATGAACAATATTTAATTATCAAAATATGTACAGTAACTAGTAACTAAAATAATATTAACGGTTTTAGAAAAAAAGATTTTTGATCTACAAGATATCTGAAAATTTTGAGGTCTATTGGTTTAGGATAGAAAATTACACTCTGCGAATTCGGGAGTTCCGGGAACAGTTTGTAAATAAATTTCTGAAAGTCCAGGAATTGAGGAACCAGGAAAATTGTTCATTTTCTTGCCATACGTACATTTTTTCATGAAATGGAAAATTCAGAAAAATGTACGTTTCAAAAATTATAAATAAAATATTCTCAATTTCATAAAAATTAATTTTCTATCCTCGTATTCTAGTCAGAAAACCTACAACAATCCACACCTATACAATTTTGCTTTGTCGCTGAAAATTATAGCCTTTTTTTTGTTTTTGACACGAAATGGTATATATTTTTCTAGTCTCCACAACCAAAAAAAACTAGAAACAAAAAACGGTTGCGCAGGTGGAACGATAAAGCGGGCAGATAAGAAACAATGACAGATATTTATATTTTTTTGAGAAAATCATATTTTTTTGAGGGAAATATTTACTTTTTTGCCACGTCATCAACCATAAATACACTACTACCGAAAAAAAATAGAAAACAAGGAATTTATTGTTTGAACCGGATAAAAAATAAAATTGAAAGTTGTTTTTGTTTTCCACCAAATAATTTTGCTAACGCCTTGTTCCGTCTTCGAAAAACACACCGCCATCAATCGCACAATATTTCGGACAGATTCCACGTTCTCCTGAATTCCCAGGTGGCCCAGGAGGACCGCGAGCTCCTGGAGGACCATCATTTCCAGGTATACCAGAAGCACCCGCGGGGCCTTTGAGGCCTGGAAGGCCTGGTGGACCTTCCTCTCCGATTTCTCCTAGCTCTCCAGGTGCTCCGGGTGGCCCAGCTTCTCCAGGAGGTCCAGGTTCGCCGGGAACAAATGGCACGGGGTCTGCAGGTCGGCCTGGTTGACCAGGTGCACCTTGCGATCCAGGAAGTCCAGGTTCTCCTGGAGGACCAGGTGATCCAAGATCACCTGGCTCGCCATCAAGGCCTCGCAAGCCTGCAGGACCTGGATTACCAGGATCGCCAGGTGGGCCCTGAGGGCCAGGCTTCCCGGGAGCTCCCACTGGACAAGGCGAGCAAGGTGGAGGGGTGATAGGTTCGCATGGTTGTTGTGGAGGTCGCCCGGGATTTCCCGGCATTCCAGGGATCCCAGGTTTTCCCGGTCTACCCGGACGTCCAGCTTGACCTTGAGGCCCTGGAGGACCTGGCAGACAACAACCATCACATTCATCAGGCTCGGCGTAGAATGGAGCATCGTATGGAGATGGAGGCGGTGGATCTTTTGAACTTCCCGAATTCGTATAGTATGCTTGACGTGTTGTACGGTTACGTGGAAGTTGTTTGAAATTTTGAACTTCTGACCAAATATCTTTGGCGGAATCCTGGAAACATATTTTTGAGAGAAGCTGTGAGCTATTCTAACTTACACGACAAAAATTAATTTCTCTTTGCATAGAAGTTTTCATCGTTCGAATATAATAAAATATCATTGGAAGTGAGAGGCATACCTACATTTTTTTTAATTATTGAATTTCTAATTTCCAAAAAAAAAGTTCTCACCGAAATTACTGAGATGAAGCTGAATGTGATAGCCGAATATGCGATAAAACGATATGCTCTAACTTTAGTCTGACATTCCATAACTTCTAAATGACTGCTGACAAAACGGATCTAGCCTAACTTAACTCGCTTTTTATACCTACTCATCCTCATCCCAACCCAACCCTAATTATAGAATAAATTCGACCTGAATCTCTGTGTTAGTCAACAAAAAGACCAGTTAGTATTAGCTGCTAATGCGATACAAAACGAACGGAAAGTGGATTATTATTATTACTTATAATTAACTTTACTCTTCTCTCTTCAACACTTTTTTGGGCTGTTTCACATTTTTTGAGAGAAGAGAAAAACGCGGGAAAAACACACACTAAATATCTCTGCGTCTCTCACCTGACCGCGAAAACAAAATTTTATCTTTGTCGCTTTTTTCCCTCATTTTTTTTGAAAAAAAAAAAGAATTGTTATTTTTCACCGAAAATTAAAATTAAATGTGATACTGTGTTTTCAAGGTACACATTAATATTCTATGTGGTCTTGCAGCGATTATAGCCCGACATTGTTTTTCAAATATTTTTTCATGCAAAATTTTTCGGTTTTTTTTTCGTTTTCTTCGTCAAACTTCACAAAAACTCGTTTTTCAGAGTTAAGGTGATGGCGACATCAACAAAGCACGATTTAGCGCCATGGGTGGAGAAATATCGACCACAAGTTTTGTCGGATATTGTTGGAAATTCGAATATTGTCGATAGATTGAAAGTGATTGGGAAAGATGGAAATGTGCCAAATATTATTTTATCGGTTAGTTTTTTGAACTCAAAACTTTGTTCAGAAATTCAAATTCTTGAGCGAATGTTAAAAATTTGAATATGAATGTGAAAATAAACTGAAATGAGAAAATTACGTGAACCTCTATTGAAAAGCCAAAATTTCTAATTTGCAGGGTCCTCCAGGTTGCGGCAAAACCACATCAGTCTGGGCTTTAGCTCGCGAACTTCTTGGAGCCAAAATCGATGACGCCGTTCTTGAACTCAACGCTTCGGATGAACGTGGAATCGAAGTTGTGAGAAATCGAATCAAAATTTTCGCCCAAACCAAAGTTTCACTTCCCCCTGGAAGACATAAAATCATCATTTTGGATGAAGCCGATTCGATGACCGAAGGAGCACAACAAGCATTAAGAAGAACTATGGAAATACACAGCAAGACAACTCGATTTGCATTGGCTTGTAATCAATCGGAGAAAATTATCGGTAAGTATTTAGAAGAAATTGCATCATCAAAAATATATTTTGTTCAGAACCTATTCAATCGCGTTGTGCTCTTCTCCGCTACACAAAACTAACCGACGCCGAATTGTTATGCCGTGTTAAAGAAGTTTGTCATGCTGAAAATGTGAACAGCGATGATCAGGGACTTCAGATGATTCTGTTCACAGCGCAAGGTGATATGAGACAAGCGTTGAATAATTTGCAAGCAACAGTTAGTGCGTATGGAATTGTGAATATGGAAAATGTATTGAAGGTTCGTTTTTATTTTAATTTTAATTGAACATTTTGATTTCGAAGTTATCAAAGTTTTTCAGGTTTGCGACGAACCGCATCCCGAATTGATGATTAAGATGATCACATTATGCATTGAGAAAAAGTTTTTCGAAGCCTCGCAAATCATCCACGAATTTTTCCGATTGGGATATTCGCCAGAGGATATTGTTTCGACACTTTTCCGCGTCGTGAAATATGTTGAATTGCCGAAAAATATTGGAGAACAAGTGAGAATGGATTTTATTGAGGTAAGGAATTGATTTAGGGGAGTTTTTTTTCTTACCGTAGATTTTGACCAGCTGATTATGATCCTGTCGTCAAAAATGCAGAGCTCAAATCCTAAAATAAGTTATGACGTTGAAAAGTTTGAAAATTTGAGATTTCACAAAGCTATAACTAACTTTAAAAAGGATTTTCAATGAAATCTGATAACACAGCCTCCTGGGCAAAGCTATGCTATCAGTTTTTTATAAAAATTATTATGAAGTTAGTTATAGCCTTCTGAAATCTTAAAATTTTAGACTTTGCCACGTCATAACTCATGTTAGGAGTTCAGTTTTGCAATTTTTGACGATGGGATCATACTCATTGTCAGCAGGTAAATTTCTACTAGACAAAAATGTTTTCATCAAAATTAGTTCCTTTTGAACTTTGCCACGTCATAACTCTTCTTTGGAGTTGAGATGAGTAGTTTTTGAGAAAGGGATCGTTATCAGCTACTCAAAGACAACTAAAATAATAATAATAACAATTTTTGTTCAAAAAATCACACAGTGACGTTATTCCCTTGTGGGAAGAGATCCTTCTTTTCTAAAAAAAAAAATCTCAACATTTTTCAGAAAATCGCCCTTTGTCATATGCGAATTGTTCAAGGATTATCAACAAAATTGCAATTATCAAGAATGGTCGCTGATTTATGTCGAATTGAAGTTTGAATAACTCAACTAATTTTATTTTGAATCGGACAAAAACAAAACAATGAAAATATTGATCTCTAGAGGAAATCTGGTGATTTTCAGACTAATTTATAGGTTTTTTGTCTGAAACCTATTCAAGCCTCGAAGATGAATATTGTGTTTCACCGCCGTCTTGATATCTTGTCTGCCATTTTGTGACTTGTGGAACGACTGGAAGTTTGTTGAAGAATATTCTTCGGAATGCCACGTTGTATGGTTTGATGTAGAAAATTGAGATGAGTGGAGAGACTAATGGCATGAAACTGGAATTGAAAGGTTGGAGAGTTTTGGGAAGTTCTTAAAATTATGATAAACCAAAGTTCTTCAAAAAACAAAATTCAAACCTGAAAATTGTGTAGACTGCATACTCTGCAATCGTAAAATCAATAACTTCCAAATGATATAATCCATATACAGTTATTGGTGGAAAAATGAATAAAAGTGGAAGAGATGCTTGAATTGTGAGAACTTCGATCAGTTTTCGATGACCTTTCATTGTTCCCGGGCTCATTTTCTAAAAAAACACATTGTGTTGTTAATTAGCCTAATTAGAATTACCGTAACATTCGCCATTAGATTCGAATGAACTTTTTTGTAAAAGTAGATGACTAGACAATAAATCGGGAACATTGGAAGAACAATTGTGGCCAATGTGATTGAAGTTAGTGGCGAATTTATCATATGATTTCCAGAGACGAAAAAATCGTCCAAATGATAGGCGGGTTTGTTGAGTTTCAAATAATCCCGGATTTCTTGCTCGGGAGATTCGGAGAAAATGAAGAGGATCTGAAAGACGATTTTTCAAGCTTTTCGGTTCAGAGAAAACATATATTTGAAAATCTGAAGATTAGGGGCTTCTTAGGAGCATCTAGAGACCAATACATTAGCTGGAAAATTTCCAGATTGATCAGGCAGATTAGGCACTAAATTTTGAAAGTTCCCTTAACTCACATGTTGCACCAAAGCAATCATCCACAATCCCAAACACAATTGAATACATTTAGCCATTGAAGGAAGTGGTCGAATTAGAATCCAATATCGAAAACCGAAAGAAATTGGAAAACATAGAAACATGTAGAATAATGAGTGAAGCATTACACAGTATGCAAAATAACCGCCCTGTAAAAAATTGAAATTTTGAATTCCTTGTTCGCAGCTCAAAATTCCAGCCACAGTAATCCGATTGTGTTCTATGAACAATTTATTGGATTATCGAGCACTTTCAATTGTTTTTTTGCTTCTGATTTATCACATTTCCTCGTTTTTTTGGTTAGAAATTGAATTAATCAGGAGGTGACTTAGCGGAAGTTTTGATATGTTCATGATTTATGAACTTTATAGTATTTGAACCAAACCTCACCTGAGCTCCTCCCAAAATCCCCGCAGGTCCCAAAGAAACATAAGCAAAAGCCCATTTATTGGGAATAATTCGAATTTGTGCCATCGTAGTCGAAATCGAAAAAACCAAATCACCCAGCGTAACATTGATCAGAAACACTGTGTATAATTTGAGAGAACTTGGTGATTTGAAAATGATTAGGTAAAGAAGCAAAATATTGATTGTGATTGCGATTGAGCCGGTGAACCAATAGATAGCTGAAGCTGAATAGTCATAGGTTGACCAGTTTTGAGCACGCCATTGAGAATAGTAGAACATTTTGATTTGGTTTCTTGATGTGCTGAAAAATCAAAATTTAAAAGTTCAGGTTCTATTTTACATGAAAAGAAAGAAAAATATTTTGAAGTTAACGAAAATCCAAATCCATGGAGAATTTGACTAATTAGGATGTGCTTTTTTATCAAACGAGCCTAATTTCGTCTGTACGATGCTTGTTTTTCTGGGGAAAAGTCCAGTTTTTATGAAAAGCAGGTATTTTTGGTTTTCAAGCGGAAAAAATTGTTTTTTTGAAGCCACCATAGTACAATTTTGGAAAAAAAACCAAATTTCAAAAAAGTGGTTTCTAGACGCGGCTACTTGCCAAAGTGAATCTCTAGGTATGGGTCCTAGACAGTTAGGTTCTCTAGGCGCTAATCCTTGACATAGAAGCCACGTGGATTTTCAGAAAAAAAAAACAAATTCAAAAATCATTTTTTTTTGTTTTGTTTTTGTCTACCTTCTTCAAAGAAAAGTGAAAAATAAATAAAAATTATTAAAAATTCATTGGATTCTCCTGAAAAAGCAGAAAGAAGAAGACTTTTGGTCCTTCTGAATTTTCAGAATTTGCAGATATTTATATAGGCAAAGAAAGATTAGCACCATTTTTCCAACAAAAAAAGTTTTTATGCAGAAAATATGACAAAATTGGGTGATAAATATGAACAATAAGGCGTTATTTTGTGTTTATAAGATTTCTGGATTATTTTCCTATTTTGCTGAAATAGATCAGAAAAACCAAGAAAACCAGTACTGTACCTTGATTTTTTTTTGCTCAACAAAAAGCTCATGAGGCGTGCAAATCACTAATTTTTGAGCTAAAAATAATTAAAGTTTCAAAAATCTTAACTTAAAGTTTTCCCAGGGGAAAAAGAGTGCCAGACTTGCTAAAGGCCACGCCCCTTTTTACATTCAGTATCAAAAATCATATGATCATCAAAACAGGTACTTGAATAAATAACAAAATGAAGTGACGAGACGAATTTGGGAGCTCCGCCTCCAATTTTCTGAATTTTTGAAGTTTCTGAAAAGGGGCGGAGTCAGAAATTGCAAAATTAAAAAACAAATTTTTTAAAATTTGAAATAGAAACTTTTTCGCACTTCTAAAAAAATCCCCGTGGCAATACATAAATTTCTGAATTTTAATTTTTTGAGAAAACCTCAAATTTTTTCTAGTTTGACGTTGATCGGAATATTTTCTGCGAGCACTGCTCAAAAATTCAATTATTTGTTGATCAACTAGAGAAAATGCCACTTTCTACGAAACTGAAAGTGGAATTAGAAATTAATTAAATTTCAAATCAACATCAAGAGGATTTTTTTCCAGCCACTCAAAAGTGCTGCAAAAATTTTTTGGAGCAAAAAAAAGAAAAAACAGAAAATAATCACAATCATAATCAAAAAAAGAGAGAATAAATTTGATTTTATTGGATTTTTATTTTTTCCGCGCACGCCTCAAACTTTTTGGTCTCTAACAAATTTCATAACACAAAAACTTGGCTGAAAGAAGTTAGCGTAACTTTGCAGCGCGGAAGCTTAAACCAAAAGGGCGGAGAAAAAATTTGGCCAATTTGTTTTGTTCGAAAAGTTCATAGCTTTGAATAATTAACTTCGTTTTGATTAATGAGTTATGAAAAAAAAAATGAAAAACTCGAAGATCAGAATTTTTTTTCAAAAAAAAATTTGAAATATTTTCTGACGCGGAAAGTAGAGAGCCACGTGGATTTGATTTTTGAGCAAAAAGTTCCTTCTTGCAAATCAGAGCAACAAAATATTGAGCGGAAATTAGAATAAGTGAGCAAAAAACCTATAGGTTTTGCCAATAAAAAAAGTAAATTTAATGAAAAAGTAAAACCTAATGAAAAATCCAATTTTACGGCCCTGAAAGGTTCAAAAATCAATTGAGAGGGTATATTTTTCATTAAAACTTTTGTCTCATTTTCATTTTCAGCTTCAGATTCATTTCGTGTGAAAAGTCACTTGTCTGGAAAAATAAAAATAGAATATCAGATTTCAATCTTGTTTTTGGCCCCAAGAAAACAAGATTCTTGAAATTATGGGAATCATTGAACATTTTTCAGAGATCAGCTAAAAAATTACTGACAATCAAGGTTTTTGAACTTTTTGAGTGATGACGTGGAAAATGTGGAAGTGGTGATTTTTCGAATCATTCATGATTTCAGAACTTTGAATTGTCTGAAAAAAATGGGAACTTGTTGTGGACTGTTTGGAAAATAGAAAATATTGGGGGGAAATTGAATTGGAGCTTTGAGGGTGGTTCAAAGGTTAATTCCAATTTTTTTTAATTTTTAGATTACCTTCTCATCGAAAAATAATTTCTTCAGCGTTTTTTGGCAGACAGAAACAACTAAATTCTGCTGAAAATGATTTTTCATTTCTAATTTTTGGTTCAAGAAAATTTCTGGGTTACGGGAAACTCATGAAAAAAATCAGACTTTTCATCAAAAATTTTTTAAAATTCAAAAAGTACAAATTTTTATTTCGAGGGGAATTTGGAGAATTATAAAATTTCTAAAAATTCAAAAAGCCCTGTATGATTTCCGAAGAAATTTTACCAATAAAATTCGGAAATGAATTCTTTGCCATGACGTCATAACTCAGGATGGATCTGAAAACTTTCACTTTCAAGCCAAGAATTCTTTGATGTATCAGTTTTCCTAAAATAAATGGCGTTAGATTTTTCATTTTTATATCGAGTTTCAAATCTTAAAAATGATTTTTTTTTTGAAATATCGAATTTCCATATTTTCGCTCATTTCAAAGTCATTCCTCTTCAAAAATAGAGCTCCTTTAACGAACTTACCAAAAAGATCATTAAATTTTCACACTTTTCTTCACAATTATCCGATCTTTGAGATTTTCCCAAGATTTTTTTCTTTTCGCCCGAAAAAAAGTTCGGCAAGAAAGACATTTTCCATCAAAAAATGGTCCAATTAATTTTTTTTGTTTTCAATTTTTTGTGTCTTTTTGAATATTTTATAAGTTTCGCTATTCTTAACCGCAAACTTTTATACTTCTTCCAAGTTTTTCCTTTTTAAGGAAAAAAAAAGAAAAAGCTTTAGTTTTGACAGAAAAAGGTTATACTTATTTTATTTGTCAAATCAACTTTTTTTTTTGAATTATAGGTTCAAAAACACTTTTCATCCATGTTTTTTTCGTGAAAAGTGACTAATTATTAGTGGTGTTTTTCATTTTTGCCCGGAAAAAATCTGGCCAAATATGGGGGGTTGTTTTTCGGTTTGGTCAGTCGCATTATTTCGATGAATGTATATTTTTCTCGTTTTTTTTGGTGTGCTCCTGAGGTTTTAAGATGAAAATTGGGTGCTTTGAGGTGTAAGAATTGGTCAAAAAATTGTTCGGAAAGTTTAGACTGAAAATTATCATTTTGATATGATTTTTGAATTTCAGAATTTAAATTGTTATTGAAATTTTGAATTTCCAAGCATCAAAATTTTTCAGCTAAAAAATTAATTCTCAACTTTTTTTTGGAATTTCAGATTTGGGAATACTTTTTATGAAAGTATATTTTCAAAATTTTCAAGAAAATTGTTTCAAATTTTCGAAAAAAAAATTCTTGTCTGAAATTTTCTGTTTTTGCTAGATAAACAAGATTCTTCTCTAAATCTCTCACTTTTTCGTTGAATTTTGTTTCTTTATTTTCTGCAAAATTACATCACCATGGCGCCAAAACGGATCAAATTCAAATTTCCAAAAAATTTTGTCCACCCCCAGAAACAATGTCAATATTCAATTTTTCTCCCCCGAAAAAACGTCAGCAAAAAATCTTTTTCCCATTCATTTTCCATCTTCAAAAAGATCTACCGTACTCCCCATTGAATACTTGATTAATATCGTGAAAAGACGCGTGTGAAACTTATTTTTTAAGAAAAAAGTTGACGTCTTCATTTTTTTCAAAAAAAAAATCCCCGCCCATTTTCATCGCCCTATAAAAGCCTTGGGCGCAATTTCAGACCTCTTCACTTTTTTGGGCCCACCAAAAACCCGCAGAAAAAACATGTTCAACTTTTCCGCACTCACCATTTTATTGTTGGTTATTGTTCAGTGAGTTTTTTGGATTTTGAAATTTTATCCTGAAATTATGTAAAGAGATTTTTTCCAGATTTCTAACTGCAACGTTGCAAACACCTCAAAGTGACATGGATTATGCGGCATATGTTTCGAAATAGTGAGTGGGGAAAAAAGTGTGCCAGGCTTGCATTTCACTTTTTTTTTCTAGAATATGATCTACATAGAATCTCAACAGAACCTCTTTATCCTCTTCTAGAAGTTCTTGAGGTTCCAGATCTTCTAGAATTATATCTAGAACTTCCAAACCCTCAATCATCATCTCATTTTCAGTGATCTTCTCCGCCCATCTCGTTACGTCAAACGCGCTCCACACAACATTGACACCCGCGCTTTGAATCAATTCAAAAACTGCTATTTTTCGCCAATTCAATGCGTTTTGATGGAAAAAAGAAGGAAATAGAATTTGTATGTGTGTGTGTCAAAAATACAATTTTGTTGTCTCAAAGGTCACTTTTTCGAAATATATTTATACACATTGTTTTATTTTTATTGAAATCACATGAATAAAACTTTTTCGAGTTTGTGTTTTGTTTTGGAATTTTCAGGAAACTTTTCAGGGAAATTGAAACAAAAAGCATTTTCATAACTCCGGAAAAATAGACCAACTTTTCTCCCCCAACATTTCAGGCGATCAAAAAAGTTCAATTTATTCTGTATCACCTAACTGTTTCCCAACAAACCTTCGACAAAATTTTTCTACAAATGAAAATTGAATTTTTTGCGTGTCTAAAGGTCAACGCGTTAAAAATTTGATTAAAATATTCGGTTTTGTTTATCTAAATTTTCATGAAAATAAACTCACAGGCATAAATTCTTGACTTTTTTAATTCAGAAATTCCTGTCGCAGAAAAAAAAATTTCTCGCGTGAATCGGGAGGCGGGATTTATTTGGCAAGGTGCGGCACGTTTTTTTTCAAGCAAAAATTATTTCTGATTCTTTGCATTTCGAAATTTAGTGAAGAAAAAAAGATGAAATCGAAAAAATTATTTAAAAAACGTGAAACGTGTAATCGTGGCAGGGGGCGGAGCCAGCAGGAAAAAAAGTCAGCAATTTATGCCTGTGAAACTTCGGCTAACTGAAAACAGGAAAATACTGTATTTGTCTAATAATAACCCTGATGTACTTTTTTTTAATTGCCAGAGGGAAATTAAGATTTGAGAAATCACAAAAACCATAAAACCAAAAATACAATGTCCTTGGAGATACAAAAAGGGCATGTCTAGATTGTTATTGTTCTAGTTCTCGTTCTCATTTTTTCTCAAATCAGAAAACATGATAATAACTCTTCTCTCATCAATCCTCACAAATTCCACACTTCTTCTCCTGATCATCTTCAAATCCGATCGATTATTCGGTGACTTTCGATATGTTTTATTTATCTATACAAGTTATTGTATATTCTACGCATCAGTTCAATTCATAGTTCAACCAATAATCCATACTTTTGGCCCAATTTTTGTGCTCATCGTGAATGGACCATTCACCTTTTCAAAACCAATTGGAGAGCTTATGCTTGGTATATATTGTGCCACATATGCACTTTGTATAACATTTCTTGTTGCTCAATTCAGATATCGATATATTGCAACAATCCAAATCCAGAGAGAACTTCTATCATATCTTCAGATCTTTAGGATCTTTATTCCCTGTCTCTTCATTTCTCTTATTTGGTTTTCAATTTGTTATTTCGGATTTCACGGAAATTATAATATGAAGAAAATGATGTTGCGAAATGATGTTATGCAAAAATATAAAATAAACCTGGAAAACACATCATTTATTGGGCCTTGTTATTATACAATTGATGAAAATGGATTGAGAGATTACAGATTGTTAGAAGTTATATTTGGTGAAGGTCTAGTTATGATTATCATCGGATGTTTTTCAATGATCTCATTTTTCTCAATAAGCATTAGAATACAGCAAAATGCGACGAAATATTCATTTAGTGAGCGGAAAGCGCAAATCAATAATCAAATATTTCTAACAATGAATCTACAGGTAACAAAAGATCACAAGAATTCTCTTCAAAAAAAATTCCAGGCAATTCTGCCATTTTTCTTGATGTATATCCCAGTTTTATTTGTTGTCACAGCTCCATTATTCGATATTGATTACAGTTATTTTTCGAATCTGACTGCTTTGAGTGCTTCAGTTTATCCCGCAATTGAGCCGGTTATTGCAATTGTTTTGATTCGGGAATATCGAGAGGTTTTTGTGTGTAAAACAAAGGTTCGGATAAATACTGTGCATTTGGATAATGCTACTTGATTGTGAAGAATTTAATAATTTTGTACATTTTACTTTTTTGGATCAATAAAAAATTCAATTCAACTCAGGCAAATCGTCCCACCGGCGCAACACCAAATAAAAAAACACCGGTGTTCCACTTACACTGATTGAACACCGTTTCTCTAGATTTCCAGGTTGAAAATCGAATAATCGTCAATTTTCAGCTAGAGATCCCATTTTTCATGGATTTTCCGCTAATTTTAGGACAAGATTCTCAATTTCACCCCAAAGCCCACCTACCTTCGAAGGAACCGGCGGCGTCGGTTCCACTCTGTCCGCCAACTCGTTTTCCCACATCGATTCGAAATCTGTTTTTCGGCTTATTCACAATCCGATAGTTCTCTCCGCTTGAATATGCTATAAAAAAGTTTTATTCAGCGAAAATGGGATTTATAGCACGAAACATCGTCACGAAAAATAATATAAATCAAAGAAACCAAAAAGAAGACGCTGTTTTACAGATAAAACGTCACTCTTTTTGAAATTTTGGTAATTTTGGAAAATCCCTTCCTTCAAAGAAAAAAATACACCTCGCGAGGCTCGAAAAAAATCCACACGTTGACAGCAAACTGCAAACACGGCGACGCACAATTGCACACAATAATTTTGAAAAAAATTTTCGTTTTTTCTCGTTTTGAAAGTTTTTAATGGTTTCCTTTGTAAAATTTATGTTTTTTCAGTGTTTATTTGGATGGAAATGATGCACCAACAAACGCCGACACGTGGATTTCATAAAAAGGTTGGTTTTTTTTTCGATGAAAATGAAATCCATTTATTTTTTTCAGAAAATCGATCAAAATGGGAGGAACCGATCGATTCGAGGATGTTCTGATGGGAAAAGTAAGTTTTTTATGTCTGGAAATTAGCCAAAAATGGAACATTTTTGAACAATCGCGACTTTGTAGCCTTCTAACTTATGTCGAGCAATATTGAAAGAAAATACTATTTTTTTGTTCAACCTTTTTTCAATCAAAATTTGAAATTCTAGAAGACCTTCCAAGTTAACTCATTGTTGAGCCAAATCTTATGATTTTGGTCTTAAATTGATTGGAATTCATTTGTTAAGCATCTGACAGACAATATTTAAAGAAAATACTATTTTCATACATGGCACTGCTCCCAAAACTGTCAAAAGGATGTGTGTGCGCCTTTCGTGTGCATTTCAAAATAATTTAGTTTTGCGTTTTTTTTTGTTTTAAATACTAGGTTTTTCGTTGTTTTCACAGTGATTCCTCTGAAATTAGTATTTTTTGAAAATTTGGAGCTTTTCAAAAAATTTCAAAATAAAAACCCGTGACCTATCATTTCTAAATCTAGAAAAATATTCCAACAAACCCATTCATTTTTAATTATTTTAAAATGCTGAACATAACAATATTTCTAGCAAATTTCAATTTCATTTTTTTCTTTTCATTCATCTATATTTTCCAAATATGTGCCAAAAAAACTGCTACTTCCGAAATATCAAACCTTGAGTCGAAATCAACATCTAGTCTGACATCGGTGACTTCGAAGCGACGTGTTGCTTCTACTGGAACTCTAGCTCCAGCTACACCAAAAGGTCAAGCCCCATCAAAATCTGGAGCTCGAGTTCCAGCTCCAAAACCACCGGATGAATACGATGGAAATGGGGATGACATCAAATTCGAAATCAATATCAAGAAGACGAAAACATTGGAGAAAGATGAATTCAATGATGATGAGATGAATCCGCTGTGTAATGTTGCTCCGAAAACTGCAAGAAGTGCTCCATTTTCAATCTCAACAAAAACAGAAATGAAAGAAAAAGGAGCAGAAAAAGAATTATCAGTTATGGCAACTGTGGTGACAACATCTTCAGTAATGCAACAACCATCGTTGAAACATCAGAAGACACAAGTGTCTTCGGAAAAATCGAAAATTGTGAAGGAATTATCAGCGAAAGGTGGTGGAGAAGAAGCTCTTTTTGGGAATAAAACTGCTCCAACGGCTAATAACAGTTGTTATATGGCTTTAACGTTATAAAGTTTTTTTTGGAATTTTTGTTACTTGCAAGCTTCCGCGCAGTAGCGAAATAAACATATTTTTTCCACGTCGTTCACTAAAAAATTCCAAGTTTTTTTGGAAATTAAATAAATATTCACGTGACGTCACTTTATTGAAATTCCCCCATTTCTTCATTTTTCAAAAAATTCCGAATCTAGAAATGATGATATTCCGATTCCTATTTATATTCATTCAATTCTCCCCAATTTGCACAGTTTTCGTATCAGAAATATTAAAATTAAAAGCAATTGTGAACCCAACAATGAAAGATAACACAACTACAAATAAATATTATGAAGCTGTATTCAAATCGTATGAAGGAAATCCGAATGCAACTTATAAACGATGTTTTGATAATGAAGAATGTGATGATAATAATTATTGTTTGAAAGGGACAATATTATCCATGAATGGCAAAACAATTGAGAGCAAAATATCGTATTGTTTTGATGTTCCGCATGAATATTATTTATATCGAGATTCGAAGCCGACGAAATGTAATAATGATGAAAATTGTGAGGGTGGTTATTGTAAGAGTTTTGCACAAGGTTCGAATTTGAAATTATGCGCTTCAATTCGTAAGTTTTCTTTGATTTTATTGGACAGGGAGCTTCTTAAACCTTCTGAACTTTATTTCTGATTGATAGAATGTTTGCAGCAGTGTGCCCGAACAATTTGGCAAGTCTGAACAAACAAGAATGTTCAAGTAACTATGAATGTCCTGCCAATTCAAAATGTATGAAATCAATGTTCGATGATCGAAAAACTTGTTGTCCCCAAGAATCACTGATCAATAAATGCAAATATGGTATTCCTGTATTTCCAATCAAAAATTGTCCGTGTCAATTTGCAAATCAGAATAACAAGATAAATCAAGTAACAGAATGGTGTGATGAAGAATCGAATATATGTTGTGAAGTTAATCAACTTCAAAGATATCTTCGATTTTATTGTTTGGATGCTAAAACACCGCTTTATTCACAACCTGATTGTAATGGAACATTTTGTGAGGAAAATGATGGGATTTGTATTCAAGGAAGATGTTGTCCAAAATGTAAGTTTTATATGGGGAACTTTTTTAAAGAAAATTTTTTTCTTTCTTTGATTTCAAATTTTCCAGTACTGTACAATGAAATCGATCATGTTTACAAAGGTCTTCCCTCAAAACCATACAAAACAGGAGTTGATTGCATTTTTGAGAATGACACAAATCCCAACTGGCCATATACATTTTGTGAAGAAAAAACCAAGAAAATCTGGATTATCGGGAAAAAGACGACATTTGGAGAATCAATCAAAATGGTTGCTCAAAAATGTGCAAAAGCAACAGACTGTGACAAATTGAATAATCGAAAAAATCAATATTGTGTTTTGGATTCAACTGGGAAGTCATACTGTATCGATTCACCGGTGAGTTTATACATCGAAGTAAATTTCAAATGTTTTGTTCAAATCGAGAGAATTTTAGATAGTTGCTCATGTTAAATCTGCTCAATTTTCGCTTTGGCATATAAATGATTTGGTCACAGCAATTCTGTTTTTGGGAATATTATGCGCTTGTAGCATAATGGTCATTGCTTCTGTTAGATGGTGTATTCAAAGGAAAAGAAGAATGGAACAGTTTTATTAGAAGGTAATATTGATTTTCTAGAAACTTCTTTTTTATCTTTTAATGAAACTTATTGGGCCTATCAAAAAATTGATGAGACAAGCTAATTTTTTACAAAAAAAATCAAAAATTTCTGATTTTTTGGTTTATTTTTCATGAAATTTGGGAATTTTTAGAATTCAAATTTCGAAAAAATGAAAAGTTCGGTGACATCTGAAAAATCACCTAATTTTCGAAAAAAAAAGAATTTATTAAGTGTCACAACCTGATCAAAAATATATTCAATACATACAAAACTTCTAATTTTTCTCAAACCGTTTGCGATGTTTGAAAAAGACAAACAGCTTTTCTCGATCGAATTTCACTTGTCACAACACTACATTCTGATTTCCAATCTGAAAATGCTCTATTCTTCACAAGTTCCACAAACTCTGTCAGTGGTATAAATCCATTCGAAATTCTGGTGATTTTTTGAAGATCTTTGGATAAAATTGAGGGATAAATAACATGTTGATCAATTGGATTTGGATCATGATTCAGAATTCGAATAGAAGCATTTGGAACTTTTTTGAATTCGATTACAAAACCAGCAGATGTTGTGAGTTCCTCTTTTTCGATTCCTAATAATTTCATGACAGATAATAGGGTTTGGGAGTGCTGGAAGAAAATTAATTTCAGAATAGAGATCGAAATCTATAATTTACCGAAGCGTATCCAACAATTTTCAGTGAATTTCCTGAATTTGCTGCCTCCAACCTTGTGATCAAATCATTCAACCAAAGTCCAGCCATCAAAGATCGACATGGTGCATAATAATTAGCGCAAGCAAATGAATGAACCTCGGCTGAAAAAAATGTTTTAAATTAAAAAAACATTAGAGTCCAGAAGACTTACAGAAGGAACGAATTTTGGCTTTGAGAGTGGCGCTGTTGTAACCGGAAAGTGTTGGATGTTCAATCCAGTTTGGATATGTGGCATTGTAGAGATCCTGAAAAACGATTTTTCAAAACCCCTAATGAAAGTCCAACATCCTTATCTAACCTGCAATCAGTTCAACTCACAATTTCAATCAAATTATCAGCCAAATCAGCAGCTTTTTCCAAATTCGACATATTCCACCCCGTATTCGCTTGGAAATACGCCAACTCTCTCGCACTATCTCGTTTTAATTCTTGCAATTGATCCAATTGATCATTTAGAATTAGTGCCCATACTTTATCACTATTTGTGCATTCTTTCACCGAGTACATTCGTAATAATGGATCATTAGTTGTGTATGGAACCGGGGACCAATTTGTTTTTGTGTCCCAATCTCCCCATGTTTCAGGGATATGAAGTGCGGCGGTGACTGTTTGAATGGTCATTTGACAACGATTCGCTGTGCTTGAGAAATATTGGGCTTCGGTTGTATTGAAGTTACGGGAAGTCTGCAAATATTTTCATCTTGAGCTGAGGCTTAGGCTTGAGTTTATTACCAAATTCCCAATAAATTTCCTCATCTCAACTCCTAATCCATATCCTTGCCTCTTCCCAAACGATGTCAATTCAGCAACTCCTTCAAATCCCCAACTTCTCGAATTTCCTGGCAAAAAATCCTCCGGATTTCGATTTCCGTGTCGAGTTCCGAACAAAACTAAGATTGTATTTGGATCGATTTTTGTGGAAGTTGATGGAAGTTCGGAAGAATTGATTAGTGATTTAGAAAATAATAAGAAAAAGGTGCCTAATATTAACATTCTGCAAAAAAAAATATGGGTGAAAATGGAGAAAAAATCAATTTCCAAGCAACACAAATTTTGATAGCCTTGAAAATCCACGTGGCAAAATTTTGATCAGAACTTTTCTGAATTTTTTTTTCACAAAATGAAATAAAATGACTTTTTCCCGAAATTTTTTTAAAGTTCAGAACCATGTATATTTATATTCTGACAAGTGCTCGAAAAAGTTGACATTTCAGATTAACAAGTTTTTCACAAACACTAGTACAGTAATCAGGTAGAAATGAATTTTGTTTTGAAAAAAATCTTTTCTCACAATTTTCTGAATAATAAAAATTGGAATCTTTTTTACATAATTTTTTCAAGAATCTAAAATTCGGAAACTTTTAGAATTGAAATCCAGAGCAAAATTTAGATCCAAATTTTTTGGAAAAAAATTTTCAGAATGGAAAACCCGTGGATTTTTAGGCAAATAAACATTTTTCAGAAAAAAACTTCATAAACAAGTTGCACAAAATACAAAATTATTTGCGTTGTTCAACCGCAATTTCAATATCACGCATAGCTCTCAACACAACTTCCTCTCGATATGGCGGCGCTGCAATTTGTACACCAATCGGCATTCCAATCGCTCCCTTCGTCGCTTTTTTCGCCAATTTATACCATTGATCAGTTTCTGGATAATCTTCAAGATCAGCATCGTCTTTTTTTGTAACATGAGTAATTGGCACAACTCCAGCAGCATAATCTAATAAATTGAAAAGACACGTATAACTGACACCCGAGACAAGTTTCGATGGAATATCGTGTTGAGGAGCTGGCATGATTTGTGGAGGGCAAAGAAGAACATCGAGATTGTCAGCGAACATAAGTTCGACGAATTGCTCTCGATATCCCTCAATTCCAGCATAAGCTTCGCGAAGTTCTGAAAAAAAACATTCAGTTGGAGAAGGGACAAGGAAGTACTCTGAGGAGAGGTGAACTACAAACTATATGGGTATGGGAATGTGAATCTTATCAAAGTGTAAACAAATATTTTTAATGATGTGATGAAGTTTCAAATGAACTTTGTGCTGGGAAATGGAGCACACGCGACCTACTCTGGGCTCGGCTACTTGATGTTGAAGCTCTCAAGAGGTGGCTCCTTGACAGAGTTGATTTCTAGACGCGGGTCCTTAACAATTACGCTATCAAGGCTTTGATCCTTGTCAACTGAACTTCATAAGCGCGGGAACTAAGCTCTCTAGGCTCTGCTACTTGTAACCGAACATTTCAAGGCGCGGCTGCTTGTCTGAGTTAATCTCTAGGTGCGGTTGCTTGAGAACTAAGCTCTCTAGTCTAGGACTCTTGGCATTGAAGCTCTCAAGGTACCGTGCCTAGTCATAGTGATTTTCTAGATGCGAGTCCTTGACAATTAGACGTGGCTACTTGACAACTATGCTCACAGCTATGTACCCCTTCAACCTCCCAAAATCCTCACCAAAAGTATCTCTCGTCAACGCCTTCATCAACACCGACAATCTCGGAAACACCAAACTCATTGGATAACTCAACAATCTTTGCAACCAAATCGGAACCATCCACAATGTGACTTGTGTTGTAATCGTCGGCTCAATCAAATCCTTCAATAATTTTCTCAAAATATATTGTCCACCATCCAAACAAACAGCTCGATAATACATTTGCATTGCTTCCTCAACTCGGGGTGGTTTGAATGGTATTAAAGTGTGACCTTTTTCCTCAAGAATCTGTTTCGCTTCCAAAACACCTCTTTGAATTGCGGGAGTCGGTGTAAACCATCCATCATCAATATAATATCCAATTCTCAATGGTTTTGCACTCGAATATAAATCTTCATTCCATAAAACTGGTGGACAATATGGATCAACTGAAGATTGATAAGCATCAGCCCAGACATTCCTCAAGAATTCAACATTTGTCTTAACATCTCTGGCCATCGGACCATCATTTGCATCAATCAATGGTTTTCCCGGAACAGAAGATCCACCGCCTCGATGTGCAAATCGCATTTTTGATGGTTTGATTGCGGCAGTCCCTGTGAAATGACACGGTATCCTAACTGACCCGCCAACATCTCCACCCATTCCTAAAATCGAACCGCCTGCGGCAAGAAGAGCACTTTCACCTCCAGAACTTCCACCAGGAGTTCGAGATTTGTCCAGAGGATGAGTTGTTGTACCATAAAGTGGGTTGCAGCAATTATAAGAGAGAAGAGATTGGGGAACATTTGTAGTGCAAAATGGGATGAGACCCAGATTTTTGAAGTGGGTTACTTGAAGTGAATCAGATGTTGCTGGATGGAATGCGTCTTGAACAAAACCACGTGTTTGATCGTATCCTTTGATCATAATACATTCTTTAAGTGATAAGGGAATTCCAAAAAGAGCAGGTTTCACAAATCCAGGCTCTTTCGCTTTCTTATCCCATTCTTCAGCCCATTCTTCAGATTCCTCTATAAACATACAAATTGCATTTGTCTTTTCATGAGCAATCACAGCTTTATAGAAATATGTTCGAAGTGTATCGATGCATGAGATTGTACCGGCTTGAAGTTCGAGACGAAGATGATCGAAATCGAGAGATCCAATGTGGTCGCGGGTGGCTGGGTCGACTTTTTCTCCGACTTTTCGAGCTCGTTCGATGTTTTGGCGAGATTCTTCGCGACGTTTCTCGACGAGGATGCTTAATTTTTGACGGATCTGAAAGCATTGCTCATTTTAACATGGGTTATGACCTTGAAAATTGTGAATTTTAAAAACTGGGTGAGTTTTCAGAATCTCATTTTTTCAAAAATTATGTCACGTGGATTTGCGGCGACAAAAATTCAAAATTTTCGAAACCCACCTCCTTTCTTCCATGCTCGAAATACAAATAATACGCCGCAGCTCCAGCCACAGCTAACAAAAATATTAAAATCATTCTGAAATTTTTTAGATTTCTCAAAAATCACTAAAAAATAAAATTCGAAATCACAAAAAATAATCACAAAAATCGGCAAACTTCAAAAATTGGACTTGGAACCGTTAAAAAAGTCGTTAAACTTTTTTGCTTTGCTATTTGAGATAACAAAAATCAAATCATTTTGGCACATTTTACGAGCCATTGGTAAATATTTGGGGAGGAAAAATATCAAAGAAATTTTTTGGCAGAAAAAAATGAGTCAGGTTTGGAAAAGTGCAAATATTAATAGTGAATCATTGAATTTTGGGTTTAAAATTTGAAAAAAAAAACAGATAAAATGTTGAACTTTTGTGCTATTTTTATTCTTATTTTTAGAGCACTTTTTTTTGAAAATTTGAAAAAACACTGAACTTTTTATCAACTAAAAATGTGCATATTTTTATTTTTGAAAATGAAAAATAAATCTAATTATGGGCGCTGCAATGAAAATTCAGAATTCTGGGTTGAAATTTTGAAATTTCAGTGAATTTTTTTTTCAGAATTTGTAAAGTATAAAATCACCCAAAATAACAAAAATTGAAAAAAAAAATGGATAAAAAAATCGCGCGAAAAAACCAAATATTGACTTTAAATCTTAGAAAATAAAACAAAAATAAATAACAACGGTTTTTTTGGCGCGGGAAAATTCCCAGGTTTAAATCTAAACCTTATCAGATTATGTTCTGAAAAAAAATGAAAGAAATATTTGGTTTCAGTCAAATAAATCGGAAAAAAATAGGTGTTGGGAAGAAAAAAAGGAAAACTGGTTTTTCAGGGGGAAACTTGGGGAGAATAGACAATTCTGGAATTTTTGGATTTTTTGTGGTCCAAGAATTATTCGAATGTTCACTTTTGTTATTTAATGCGAATTTAAAATTGAAAGAAATCGAATAAAAAATTTTCCAAACATTTTTTCAATTGAAAGTTCCCATTCAAAACTTCAAAAGAAAGAATGTTATTTTTTCTTATCATCTGAAAATAAATTCCAACCGAGCCCACGTGAGCCTGAAAATCAAATTTTATTTTTTTGTCAGAAAAAATTGGGGATATGAAACTTTTTGTTTGTGATTATATACAAAAAAGAGCAATTTCGCAATAAATTAGAGAGAAAACCCGAAAAAGGTTCAAAAAGTATTCAAAAAAAAAAAGAGATCAATAAAAAAAAATAAATTCTCATAATAATGAAACACCAAAAAAACAAATAAATATTTAGAAAAAATGGGGAGCGAGAGAGAGAGAAATCATGAGGAGAGATTTAGAGAAATATAGAGAACAACAAAGAGAATATGCCTTAATTATGAAAGTGATCGTTTTCTGGAGGAGGTAGATTGAAAGTTTGTAGAAGGTTTGAGACGCCAACGGAATTTCGGGTGGCGACGATAAGATTGGCCGTAGTGGAATCGAGCAAGACGATTACGACGACGCATTGCTTCTTTGAGAATTGGTTGTTCGACGAGAGTTGGCATTCGACGGGGAAATTCACGGTATATGTTGACACCAAGGCGGAAGAGCTGCAAAACATATTTTGTGTGGAAAAATTGTGAATTGAAACTGGATGAGACGAAAAATCTCATATTTTATTGTGTGAAAATAAAGATTTCCCCGAAGCTAATTTTCAGGTCTCCAAAAAAATCTTTCAATTTTGGATCAAATTCATCATAAAATGTTTTGCTCCAAATGTTTTTCAAAAAACCAAATTTTGTCATTTTATCATTTTTTTTTCAATTTGAAAAAAGTTCCAAACGATGTCTAGACATATTTTTCAGATTCCTTCTTTTCAACAAAAAATTCTGATAACATTTTTTCCAAAAAGAAGGCAATTAGGAACTTAACAATATTAAGTTCACACTATAAACTAAAAAAAACATGAAAATTTGTTTACATTTTGATAAGATTCCCATAGTTTCTCAACTCCTAATATGAGTTTTCAAACTTTGCCAAGTCATAACTCATATTAGAAGTTGAGCTTCGCAATTTTTGATAACAGGATCGTCGAAAACTACTAGAAAATATAAATTTCATTTCAAAAAACAAGATTTTCTCATCGACAATTCGAATATCTTATTCCAATAACACATTTTCTTATTGTAGGTTCTTGAGTTGTAGTAACTTGAGCAGAATTAAAAGAATATCCAGCGAAAAGTCCAGCAAAAATCGATTCAATGAAAATTGTCATAATGAAGAAAATTTTCATTTTTTTCCAAACTTCGAGAAAACTGAATCCCAAGTTCAAAAATTCATGCTTATATTAGACATTTTTCAATTTTTTCTGTTCTTCAATATACGAAGCTCGACATCTTTTATCGCTAATTCCCCTCGCACAAATTGGTTTTGGTGTTGTTGTTTTTGGAATTTCAGTTGTAGTTGGAATGATTTGAGGCCAATCTTCACTCGAACCATATGGATAATTTTCAAAGACAACGGAACAAATCAATGGCGAAATTAGGGAAAATAAGAGGAGTATTTTCATTATTTTTGAAAGATGTGAAAAGTTGAGATGATTTTTATGTAGAAAAATTATTTGTCTAGACATAATTTTAGCTCTAATTTTATTTTGAGTTTGGAGAATTTTTGAAAAAAGTGGTTGGAATTTCTTAACCGCTTTATTTTTGATTTTTTAGGATGGAAAACATTATCTCAATATATTTTTTATATTAAATTTAAAAAAAAAATCAACTATTACAACAATACCGTAATCCTAAAAGCATATAAATATTACACATTTTGCTCAACAAATAATGTGAACACGTGGAATTTGATGCATAGGTTCAGCTGCTTGAGAACTATGATTTCTAGGGTTGGCTACTTGGCTTAGAGGTTCTCTAGGCTCCGCTACTTGAGAAGTAGGATCAATAGACTTAGCTGCTTGGAAACTAGGCTCTCTAGGCGTGGATTCTTGCTAATTAGGATTTCAAGACTTGGCTGGTGGAAAGTTTTCCTGATAATGTTCAGTTGAAAATTTAAAAGAAAAAATTTAGACAGAGTTTTTTATTCAAAATCAGAATGAGTTTCTAGGATTTTCAGTCGTGTTTATCTAAAATTTAGAATTTTTTAGTATTTCTACTGAATAAAGCATTATCGATAGAGAACATTAAGGGAATAATATCAAAAATGTTTAAAACGTATTTTTTCGGGCACAAATTTTTTGGTTTCAGTTTTTTTCTAGCAATTTCGGTCAAAGTTTCTTTATTTTCAGCTGTTCGGGTTGAAAAGGCCTGGATAAATCATTTCTAGCTTATGTATTTTCAGCAAAACAAAAAACTCATTCAGCGAAATAAAAAAGCTGAATGAGCTTATGAAAATAATTTTGAGAATACTTTTTTTCGAATAAATTTTTAAACCCCCCCCTCCTCTCCTGCTCCCACCCAAAAAACCCTTACATCATAATCAGCAGCTCTCATGGCCTCATAAGTCTTCCAATACGAATACTGTGCTTTGGCAGTTCTCCAAGCCAAAGCCATCACCGCATTCAATCTCGGCTGCAAATTCTGCAATCTAATCTGACATTTCTCCAATTCCTCTGATAATTCATCCATATCCGAATCATCCGCTTCATCTCTTCCTTCTTCATCAACAAAAGGTCCAGATGTTTCAGCCAAATCCGTGTCAGTTTTAGTGATTTGTGTGAAGACATGAGCACAAGATGAATGCACAATTCCAGCGGCGATTAATTTATTGACTAATGTTGAACCCATTGTTAAAGCATCAAAACTATCCAATGTTTCGGATTCTTTTGCTTCGAAATTTAGATTTTGTGCTGTTCCAGAGCTCTTTTTTTCACCGTTTCTCAAAAGTTTTTTCTTCGAGGAGCCATTTGTTATTCGATTTCCATTAACTGGTGATAAACCATTGAATTCATCATCTTCTTTTTTCATTATTCTTGGTGAATGTACTGAAAATAGAGGTTTTTGGATGAATTTCTGATATTTTGGAACTAAAATTTGAAGTTTGTCCTAAATTTTCAGACAATTTCAGAGAAAAACTTACATCTCGGACTTGTTCTCTGCTGTTTTTCACATCCATTTTCGAATGGTCTTTCATCGTCTTCATCTTCGGAATTTTCTTCGTCGGTTTGCACTTCAATTGGATCATATTTATAAGAAGAGGAAGCTGAAAGAACAATATCTCGAAATGATTCAAAAATCGAAATTGAGAGAAAAAAAGAAGAAAATGGGTCACGCTTGGAAAAGTAATTTTCGGCTCTAATGGGGCTTTTCAAGTAATTTCTCAACACGCTGAGAAAACAGGAGAAATGCGGAGAAAATGTATTTTCTCCACTTTTTTCGTATTTTCTCAGCTTACCTGAATAGGTTTTCTTCGCTTTTCTCAGCGTTGAGAAAATAACTTGAATAGTCCCATAAGAATTTTCATTTTGAAATTTTTTAATTTCTCAAAATTCAGTTCATTTTGCCACGTGGATTGTTGGCGACAAGAATTTTAATTACGAAAAATTTTCTCTATAGCACACACCTCGGCCAAGCCGTGGCTGGCCAGAGTTCAATTTTTTAAAAAATCTGAATTTTAGTTTTTAGAGGTCAAAAATTGAAAAATAACAATTTTTAGAGGACAAAAACTGAAAAATTCACAATTTTTGTACTGTAAAAATTTAGCGTAAAATTTTTTATTATGGCAACCACGATTTTGGCCGAGGTGTGATATAGTAAAAATCCACTGTTTCAAAAATTTCATATCAAATTTTGAGGAATTTTTGAAATCGATGTTAGTGTCAACAAATCTTCTGGTGCTAAAAATGTTATTTTATAAATTGTTCGAACATTTTTCGGCTTCAAACATTTCAATTTTTAAATATTTTTTAGAAAAAATGTTTCTATAAAAAAATCACTGTTTCAAAAAACCGTACATCAAACTTCTTCTGAAATCCAAAAAATCCATTCCTCCAATTTCAGTTTATTTAGCCACGTGGAAAAATTTATTTTTTTCATTTTTTTTCCGAAAAAAAAATCTTAATTATGAAAAAATTTTCTATATTACAAAAATCCACCGTTTCAAAAATTTTATAACAAAAAAGTTTTTATTTTTTTTATTCACAGATTTGAAGTTTTATTGACTGTAGAACTTTTGAAACAGTGGATTTTCTTTAATTTTGAAATTGAGCTTTTTAATGAAAGGTGTTTTGAATCAATTTTCAGAAAAATTTTAAAAAAAAACCAAAAATACTCACATTTCCGATCATTTCCCCGTGTTCTTCTCAAACTTGCAGGTGTTTCAGGTGCTGATCTACACGCCGATGCAACCATACTTCCAATAATCGGTATAATTTTGCTATTATTATTAGTCCCTCCATCTTTTTCTTTTTCCACTGAACTCTTTCGTTTCCTTCGATTATTATCCTTCTTTCCATTCGATGTTGATGTCGAAGCTTTTCCATTTTTCGTATTTGTCCCATTCCTAATCTTTTTCCGATGTTTCCAAGGTTCATTCACAAAATATTGCTGCATTTCTTCATTACTATACTTATCTACAAATTGTTCTTTGAACTTTTGCAAATATTCAGCATCAACATTTTTCAAAAAATCCGCTCTACACCACGTCCAAAACGTTGTTGGCAAATGATAAAGTGTATTTTTATCATCTAAATCATCCAAATCCTCTTCAGGCAACCCACAGATCCCCTCTTTTTCCAAAATTGCAGTCGGTGATGGACTTTCAGGTGTCTCATCTCTTCTCAATTCATAAGTTGGCATTAATCGCTTCCTTAGATTCTCTTTCGGATATTCTCCATCGATTAAATATTGCACTTCACCTCTTGCCTTTCTCAAATACATTGATGTTTTGGCAAGCATTTCTTCTAGTTCATGCTGAAGTTCTATTAATTCGCTGGCTTTCATATCTTCTTCATCGACCACTAGTTTTTTGAAAATCGGACATTTTTGTTCGTAATCAAATATTGGATATTCTGTGTGTGGAATGGGTGATTCTTCGTGTGGTGGAGAGGATTCTGAAAGAGAAAATGAGTTAGGATTTGGGATTCTAGACCAAGCTGTAGATTTTCATTAGTCTATGCAGAAAAACATTGAAAAACAAAATATACAGAAAATTGTTTTGATTAGAGACAATGGGAAAATGAGAGTGTCTAGACAGAAAATCAGTTTTTGTTTTTTTTTCACGTTTTTTTTTCAAATTTTTCCCCCAAAATTATATGTTTCTTATCTCATTTCCAATTTTTTTTCAAATACCAAAAAACTCACCCATTCTTCTCCTTTTGCTCAAACCATTACACGAACTACTACTGCTACTCGGATTTTCAGCCAAACTCGTCTTCTTCTTCCTCAACATCTCTTTCTCCTCTGAAAATTATTATATAAAAAAAATATTAATCAATATCGTCAAAAAAAAAGAAAGAAAAGGAACGCGGTCGCGTCGAGGCGATGAGTGTTTTTTTTTTCTGTTGAGTGAGTGAGTGAGTGTGTGTTTTGTGAGTTTTTTTTAGTTTTGCAGGGGAAAAAGGGATGTGGATAGAAAAAGGGGGAATTATATATATATATATATACAAGAAAGGACCATCTGCTGGATTATTGATTGATTTTTTGGTGACAGAAAAAAATGTGGAAGGGGGAATTTCAGCTGGAAGGGAAATTCTATCAATTAAATATTTGTAATTAGAATTTGAGGGAAAACTGGAATTTGTTGATCAAACTGGTCTTGTTATTGTTATAGAGTAATTGTTTTCAATAACAACTAATATTTGTATGAATGTTCCTTTAAAATTAATAATTTATCAGTGATTACTGTAGATGTTCAATTTTCAAGAGATTTTCAGCTTAAAAAATTTCAGAAAAAAAAATAATAATTTTGCTGAAAATTTTTAGAGCATTTTTTGCATTTTTGAATCAAGAATCAAATCTAACCATTGGCTGAAAACTTTGTGAAAAAAAATTATTTTCAAGAAAAATCTTCGCTCTCTTTTTTTCACCAAAAAACCGCAGAACCTCAGAAATTCTCACTTACATAATTTCACACCCTTTTTCACCCTCAATTCCCGCAAAAATCTCACCAATAATTTCCAGCCAATTTTCAGCTTTTGCTCCAAAACCAAACAACAAAAAAAATTCTGCAAAAATAAAAGTGTGCAATTGCGCGTCGCCGTGTTTGCATACAGAACGCGTGGCGAAAAAAATTCATTTTATTTTTTCACTTTTTCCCGTTCCAACCGCCGTTTTCTAGCCGAAAATGGGATCAAGTGAGAGTGTTCCGATTCCAGGTGGAGGAACTGAAGGATATCATGTTCTTAGGGTAAGTTAGATTCCGAAATTTTACTCAGAAAATGGGGTTTTTCAGGTGCAAGAAAATTCGCCAGGATCTGAAGCTGGTCTCGAGCCATTTTTCGATTTCATTGTATCAATTGGTAATACAAGATTGGATAAAGATAATGATACGATGAAGGAGATTCTTAAGCAGCATATCGAAAAACCATTGGAAATCACAGTTTATAACAGTAAAACCCAAGCAGTTCGACAAACTAGTGTCACACCATCTCAAAATTGGGGAGGACAAGGTCTTCTTGGAATATCCATCCGATTCTGTTCCTTTGATGGTGCTAGTCAACATGTCTGGCATATCATCTCAGTTCAACCAAACTCTCCAGCATCAATTGCGGGACTTATCACAAATACCGACTACATCTTGGGTGCCGAAAGTGTTCTTCATCAAGCAGATGATCTTATCGCTCTAGTGCAAGCAAATGAGGGAAAACCATTGAAGCTTTATGTGTATAATGTGGATACCGATTTGGTTCGTGAAGTTTCTCTCACCCCAAATTCTGCGTGGGGTGGAGAAGGTTGTCTGGGTTGCGATATCGGTTACGGATATCTTCATCGTATTCCAGTTTCCGTTGATCGCTCAAAACCAATTCAACAACAAGTTCCACAAGTTCCAATCGGTAATCCATTAGTAGACAAAGTCTCGTCAGCCAAACCACCAGCAGTTGCAAGTTTCCCAGATCCTTCGCAATTCTCTCAAACGGTTCCCGCACCTCCAGCTCCACTCCCACAAGCTGTTTTCCAACCTCCACCACCGCAACCAACTTATCTCCCACAACCGCCGGTACAAAGCCACGGACATAGTCACGAAAATGGAAACCATGGGCATAGTCACGAAAATGGACATGATCATGGGCATAGTCACGACGGAGATAATCACGGACATAGTCATAGTCACGAGCCAAGTCCAGCTCCATATACTCCACCGGTTCAAACTCCGACGGCCCCGGCTTATCAACAAGAGGCTCAGCAATATCAACAACAACAACAATATTATCCACCTGCACAACAGCAACAACAGTATTATCAACCACCAACTACTTCAACATATCAAGGTAATTAGTCTAAATTCGATACGTTTCTAAGTATTGAACCTTGTAGAGGAAGATCTCTTGAAAATGCAAAAAATTTTCCAGCCCCATATTATCCATCTGCACCGCCTTCTCTTCCACCAGTCGTTGCACCAATCGCCTCATATGCTACACCACAACAACAACAACAATACCCACCACCTCCAACTTCTCAAACATATTCTCCGCCACCTGTTGCCACGTTCAAATCGGATATTCCATCTGGAGTACCGCCAATGTTCTCGAATTCGTCAATTCCACAACCAGGAGCGACTTCCTATGCGAATCGTGAGTTTTTTTTCGACTTGAATTACCCCATATGAAATATATCCTAACACAAATCCAGATTTTTTTGTTCAAAAAAATATTTTCAGCACTTCCACCACCAGCTCCAATCAATTTCCCAATGCCTTCATTGAGTTCAATTGGAATCACCCAACTTGCCGCTCCACCATCTTCCGCTTCCGCTTCCATTCCACCCTCCCAATTTCCCGCACCCCCACCAATTTATCCACCACAACAACCACAATATTATCACCAAAATTAGAATAGTCTTTGATTTTCAAATATTTTTATTTATTTTCTTCTCTACGAACGGGAAAATCTACAGAGAAATGTGTGTTTTTAATGTAAAAATAGGGATTTTCATATATATATATTTATTTTATTATAATTTATTGATTTTTTGGGATCGGATTAATTTTTTTTGTTTTTTTTCATGTGTAATATTGATTTTTTCTACTGCTTTGTTTTTTTCGAGATTTTTTGAAGAGAATTTTTTTGCTGAAAAGAAGAGGATTTTTTGATTTTTACACTTTTTTTCGCGAAAAAAAGCTATAGAACAATTTTTCCACGTGGATTTTCAGAACTCGGAAAACTTGAATCAACATTTTTGGGCGAGACCAAAAACACTTTTTTCATTCAATTTTGTATGTAAACAAACAAATAGACCATTCTATGTTTATGTCATGCCAGGTCAGGTTTTTTTTTTCTCGACAATTTTTTACCCAAATTTTTTCTAGGTCTCCCAGGTTACTGTAGTGTTTGTTAATCTGAAATGTCAACTTTTTTGAGCACTTGTAATACAGAATAGTTCTGAACTATTTGAAAATTCATTTTTTTTTTTCGAAAAAAAAAATTTCATTTTAAAAGAAATTTCTTATCTCTTCCAATTCTTATCAAAATCAATTTTCAGCCATTTTTTCGAAACATTTTTTTTGAAATTGTTTTTGTCTAGACCGCAGACCTCCCAGATTTGCATATATGAAAAGTTTTTTTTTTGAAAAAATTATAATTTTCCGCGATTTTTTGTGTTTTGAAAGTAGAAAACATCAAAAATCGAATCATTTTTATTTTTGAAAATATATTTGGTTCCGTTTTCTGAATTGATATGATATGAAATTGATTTTGAAAAAATGTAGTTTCGACCTTGGAAATCGAAAAAATTGGATATTTTTCATATAATTCTCACTGTACTCCACCCACTTCTTTTTCTTTTTAAACAAAGATCGGAAATTGTGTTTTGGTAAATCAGAAGATTTTTCGAATTGATTTTAGCTCCTTTTGCCACGCGGATTTTCAGCATTCTTCCAATTTTGCTAAATTTTTGAAAAAAAATATTAAAGTTCCATTTTCACCCATATTTTTTTGCAGAATGTTAATATTAGGCACCATATTTTTCTTTTCTATATCACTAATCAATTCTTCTGAACTTCCATCAACTTCCACTCAAATTGATCCAAATACAATCTTCGTTTTATTCGGAACACGACATGGAAATCGAAATCCCGAAAAGTTTTTGCAAGAAAATCCGAGAAGTTGGGGATATGAAGGAACTACTGAATTGACATCATTTGGAAAAAGACAAGGTTATGGATTAGGAGTTGAGATGAGGAAGTTTATTGGAAATTTGGTAAGAAATCTAAGAAGCTTAATCATATTCCAATCTGATTTTTAGACTTCCCGTAACTTCAACTCCACCGAAGCCAAATACATCTCAAGTTCAGCGAATCGTTGTCAAATGACCCTTCAAACAGTCACCGCCGCTCTTCACATCCCTGAAAAATGGGGAGATTGGGACACAAAAACAAATGATCATTGGTCCCCAGTTCCTTATACAATTGATGATCCATTATTACGAATGTATTCGGTGAAAGAATGCACAAACAGTGATAAAGTATGGGCACCAATTGATAATGATGAGTTGGATCATTTGAAAGAGTTGAAACGAGATAATGCGAAAGAGTTGGAGTATTTTCAAGCGAATACGGGATGGAATATGTCGAATTTGGGAAAAGCTGCTGATTTGGCTGATAACTTGATTGAAATTGTGAGTTTGTTAAAAGGTTGGGGCTAGGATGTGATTCTTAGGCTTCTCAGGATTAGGATTGTCAAATTTCACGAGTTCAGAATTTTCTTAGCTGAGATTTGTACAACAGTTATTTTTCAAAAAATTATGCCACGTTGCAAAAAATTTGAATTTTCAATTTTCATTCCGAAAATCTGAATATTTTTAATGATTCAAAACATTTTTGATCGGAATTTTTTTCGAAAGCCTGAGTTTCCAAACTTCAAACACCTAAAAAACATTTAATCAGAAAAATAACTCCATAACAGACCTCCTACAGTTCAAAAAGGTGTATATTTTGCAGGATCTCTACAATGCCACATACCCAGACTGGATCGAACATCCATCACTTTCCGGTTACACCAGCGCCACTCTCAAAGCCAAAATTCTCTCTTTCGGTAAGTTTCAGAGGTTGATTTTCATTGATTCCAAGATTTTTCAGCCGAGGTCCATCAAATCGCTTGCGCTGATTATTCGCCATGTCGATCTTTGATGGCTGGATTTTGGTTGAATGATTTGATCACAAGATTGGAGGCGGCAAATTCAGGAAATCCGCTGAAAATTGTTGGATACGCTTCGGTAAGTCAACACTTTGAAATTATTTTTGTGATCTATTAAAAAAAAATGTTCCAGCACACTGAAGTCACATTAGCTGTCATGAAATTATTAGGAATCGAAAAAGAGGAACTCACAACATCTGCTGGTTTTGTAATAGAATTCAAAAAAGTTCCAAATGCTTCTATCAGAATTCTGAATCATGATCCAAATCCAATCGATCAACATGTTATTTATCCCTCAATTTTGACTGAAGATCTCCAAAAAATCACCAGAAAATCAGATGGATTTATACCATTGACAGAATTCGTGGAATTTGCAAAGAAGAGAGCATTTTCAGATTGGAGATCAGAATGTAGTGTTGTGACAAGTGAAATTCGAGCGAGAAAAGCTGTTTGTCTTTTTCAAACATCGCAAACAGTTTGAGAAAAATTAGAAGTTTTGTATGTATTGAATATATTTTTGATCAGGTTGTGACACTTAATAAATTCACTTTTTTTCGAAAATTGTAAATTCTTTATCATTAAAAATCACGAAGATAAAGAAGAATTTTCAGAAGAAAGACAAGAATTTCAATTACTTCACATACAAATACAAAAATCATTTTTCCAAAAACATCAGTGGAATTGTTCCAAACGTCTTCTTCTCTCACATATCCATTTAACCATAATAACACTCATCATTATAAAAATAATGGTTAAACCAACGAAAAATACAATTGTTACAGCAATATTATAATGCCAAATAGAAGCTTGGCCAGGTTGTGGCTCAGGGATATACTGGAACAATTCCAAAAATATAAGTACTTCTAGTTTCATGAACTCACCGGTGATCCAACACAAAATGTTTTTCCAACTGAATCCATAACACAATATTGATCTTGTCGATTGTTAATTCGATCACAATCTTCAATTGTTTGGCATTCAGTTGGCACCAAAACATTTTCATGTCCAAAATTGTTATATTTTCCAAGAATCCAAAGTTTGTTGGTAATAACATCACAAAATGTATATGCCCATCGTAAACTTGTTGGCTTTTCGATTGAACAACTTACTTCAGTTTTGAATGTTTTTTCTGGAAGTCCTTTGTATTTTCTATCAATTTCATTGAACAATACTGGAAAAAATAGATTTTTAAATTTCTTTTCCAAAAATATCTTACATTTGGGACAACATCTTTCTTCAACACAAATTCCTCCCATATTTTCACACGATTTATTTGTTGCATTACATGTTGGTTGTAAATAAAGTGGTGTTCTTGCATCCGGACAATACATTTTGAAATATTGTTCAAATTTATTGATTTCACAACATACTTTCGATTTCTCATCACACCATTGTGTAATTATTTCTTGTTCATTTGCCACTTGACATGGACATTGTTTTTCAGGAACAACAAGAACACCGTATTTACATTTATTTCGAGTATCAGCAACTTGACCCAATCTCACTGTAAAATATAATTAGTAACTTATTCAGTGGACACAGGCGATTACAGATCAGTTTATTATTAGTCTATTATTGACTTATTTTCAATTTTGGCTTATTATAGGCTAATACGGTACATATTATTGGTCAAAAATCGATGCAATTTTCGAAATCTAGCCCAAAATTAGCAAAAGCTGTTTTAGGATCAATTTGAAAGTGAGAAATAGGAAATTACATTCATCTAACAATTCTAGAGTTCAATCACAGGTCCAGAGATCCCTAAACTTCACACTCATTTTTGACTAATAACAAGCTTATTAGTAATTATTAGTAACTTATTAGTCAAAAATAAATCTGAATTTTAGGGATCTCTGGACGTCTAGAATTGTTAGATGGATGTAATTTCCTATTTCTCACTTTCAAATTGATCATAAAGCAGCTTTTGCTCACTTTGGGCTAGATTTAGAAAATTCCATCGATTTTGACTAATAATAGGTACCGTATTAGCCTATATTCGACCTATTTTCAAAATAAGTCAATAATAGACTAATAATAAACTGATCTGTAATTGCCTGTGGAGTACTATCTCACCTCCAGAATTCGGGCAACATTTCCCATTCAAATTATGAGATTTGCTTTTATCACAACTTGGATCATTAAATGCTGGCTGCTTGTATAAAGTTGTTATTCCGTCGTTGCAATAGAGTCGAGGGCAACAAGCTTTACGGTCATCGTGCAATGCTTTTTCACATTGTCCTCCTAATTCTGAACAAAGAGTAACGTTTTTACATTCATTTCCTTCATCTAAAGATGCCAAATCATGTGGACAAATTGCTGAAATTCAAAATTGTGAAGGTTATTTCTTAGGTTTGCTCAACTCACGAAATGATACACATAATCCATATGTTCCACTGAAATATTTACAATAACCTTGACCACATTCAGTTGTGTTCTTACATAATTCCGGAGCCGCATTTTCATACAAATATTCTTCACCGGGACTTTTGAAACAATATTTCAATCCAAGTGTTTTATTTCCATTTGTATTTCCATCTTCTTCTCCAATATCACAATATTCACCAGTTCCACATTCTTCATTATCATAACAATATTTATATTTTCCCAGGTTATCTTCGAGAGCATCACTGAATTCAGTGAGTGAGAGTTTTTTCATTGTTGGATTTATTATTTTCGCTGAAGACGAAATATAAAACAGAAGGAAGGAGAGGGAAAATAGAGCTGTTTTGAAGGAAAACATTTTTGAGAACTGATTGTTTGTTGAGCTGGCAGACTCGATCTCACGTGACAAAAAACTGGGTCACGCATGGACAGGAAAAAACTATGAAACATTTATTGATCTCAAATTTTAAATTCAATCATTTATTTTCCAGTCACAGCCAATTCCTCATAATTTCCATCATCAACCGTCACTTCATTCTGAACACTTTTCACATTCTTTCCAGCCTGTCCTGCTCCCTTTCCACCCACTTCTCCATTTTTCGATTCTGAATTCGGATTTGGATCAATAGTTCCTCCAGCCGCTGCACCTTTATTTCCCTTTTTCTTTCCGCCACAAAATACTAGAAAAATCGAGAAGAATAGTGATAATAAAATCTGGGAAAACAATCTGTGTTATGGGAACTGTTGTGAGTTATGCGAACTCTTACCATAAGCATATTTTTTCTTTTAATTCCAAAAAAAAGAAAACCAGTTGCTTGTTTTGAAAAATTGATAAATAACGAAATGAAATTTTTATTTTAAAAACGTGAGAAAAAAAATGAAAAAATTGGGCCACGTTAAAATATTCAATATTTTTGGGCCTGCCTCTAGCTTTCAAAATTATGCATTTTCTAAAAACACAATTTTTTATTTACAAAATCTTAAAGTACAGTAGTTGTAGTTTCAATTCTAGTTTTCATATCAACAAATGTCACATCACTCAATTGATTTTTCTTAACAATCAAATGAAAACCCAAATATCTTTTTAATGCTATTCGATAACTTTTAATAATCAATAAATTTGGAAGTGGATCAATAGTTGGATATAAAGCAATTGTAATTGTAACAATACCGGTTAGATATCCAATATCTTTGTTAAGAATTGCAGAAAGAATCATTAAAAAACATGGAATATGCATAAGAATACAAGGAATTAGAGTTTGAATAACTAATGCGAAAAATAATTGAGTTTGCATGTTTTGATAATTTGCTGATTTTGATGAGGAACTAACAAGTTTTTTAATTTCTTTGTAACATTTCAAACCGAAATATAAAAGTATTGCAAATGAAATATACAAAGTTGTAATTGCTATAACGGCACTCAAAACAGATATTGGATCTGTATATTGTTTTCCTGTCTCAGGATCAATTGGATAGAAAAATACTGAAAGATAGACTATATCCCCAGGCTTGAAATCGGATATTTCCAAGAGACGATTATTTATAAGTTCCTTTTTCAAATCACTTGGTGGTGCTAATAAAAGAGATATCATTGACCAAATAAATGCGAAGAAAATCGGAACTGGGAGCCAGAAAATAATTCTCCAACTTTCGAAACTTTGAAGAAGTTTATGTTGACAAGCAGCTAAATATCGATAAATAAAATGAATACAGAAAAGACCTAGAGATGCTCCAAAAACTGCGCAATATACCGAAATGAAAACTCGCATAAGTCCAGGATCAATTGTCGATCCTCGAACATCTACAAAAATGCAATAAAAACTCCTCGCGGATATGAAGATTGGTTGAAGGGTAAAATTGATCATTGAATAACTCATTTCAAAAATTGAAATGTAGATCAATAAATATTTGTATGCTCCAATAGAAATTGGTGAGTTATGATAAATTATCCAGATTAGTAAAGCATTGATCAAAAATGAACATGGTGAACTAAATTGTTCGAATTGATGTTGGATATTTATCCAAGTTTTCACCTCGACTTGTGATCCAAACAAAACTGAAGAATTAAATACTATTTTCCCTGGAGTTCTTTGAAACAAATAAAACTTACAGAAATAAGAAGGCATTTTTGAAATGTGGTGATCAAATTATATATTTTTTATGGCAGCAAAGCAATCAAATGAATATTGTATTTGAAAAAATAAAATTTTGTATTTATATTATTTTTTGATATTTAATGAATATTTCTAGAAAATAAATTCACCAGATCATTAAAAAAACAGTGTCTCATATTAAAGGAGTTGATAGATCTTATTTATATGTGAAAAACATCGTCTGTCCGCTCATTAGAAACTCTAATTAAATCTATCTATAGACATTCATTAATTTTTTAGCCTAATTCAATTTCCGCCGTGTTTTTTGGTTGGGTTCAAAATTCAATATTTAGAGTTGTTCTTTTGATAAATCAAACCTTGTGAATTTCGAGTAGTTTTCTTCAAAAATAGTTTCACTATTATTTTTCCTCGCCGTGATTTTTGGTGATAAAGAATTTACAGCCATACATTTATTTTCTAAGCTATAGTTGCAGTCCTGGCTACTGTTACATCAACAAATTCCACATCGATCAGTCGATTTTTCTTGAAAATCAAATAATATCCAAGATATCTTTTTAATGCTTTTCGATAACTTTTAATAATCAATAAATTTGGAAGTGGATCAATAGTTGGATATAAAGCAATTGTTATTGTAACAAAACCAGTTAAATGTCCAATATCTTTGTTGAGAAGTGCAGAAAGAATCATAAGAAAACATGGAATATGCATAAGAATACAAGGAATTAGAGTTTGAACAACTAATGCGAAAAATAATTGAGTTTGCATATTTTGATAATTTGCAGATTTTGATGAGGAACTAACAAGTTTTTTAATTTCTTTGTAACATTTCAAACCGAAATATAAAAGTATTCCAAATGATACGAATAATGATGTAATAGCTATAACAGCACTCAAAACAGATATTGGATCTGTATATTGTTTCCCTGTTTCAGGATCGATTGGATAGAAAAACACTGCGAGGTATACAATGTCTTTAGATTCTAGATCAAAAATCTCAAAAATCCGATTTTTTATATGTTTTATTTTCAGATCACTTGGCGGTGCTAATAAAAATGATATCATCGACCAAATAAATGCGAGAATCATTGGAATCATTAGCCAGAAAACTATTTTCCAATTATTGAATGTTTGGAGAAGTTTATGTTGACAAGCTGCCAAATATCGATAGATAAAATGAATACAGAAAAGACCTAGAGATGCTCCAAAAACTGCGCAATATACCGAGATGAAAACTCGCATAAGTCCAGGATCAATTGTTGATCCTCGAACATCTACAAAAATACAATAAAGACTCCTCGCGGATATGAAGATTGGTTGAAGTGTGAAATTTATGATAGCATAAAGAATTTCAAAAATCGAAATATACATCAATAAATATTTGTATGCTCCAATAGAAACAGGTGAGTTGTGATAAATTATCCAAATGAGAAGAGCATTGATCAAAAATGAACACGGCGAACTAAATTGTTCAAATTGATGTTGGAGATTTACCCAAGTATTCAACTTCATTTTAGGTGGAAAGCAGACTGGAGATAGATATAAAATAAAAATATAGCGAAATGTTTTCTCTCGGGATTTACTAGGAAAATGAAAAACAAAAGTTCATATTACAGAAAGTCTTTGGGAACTTGCGAAATTTGGGATATTTCGGGATCAAAATATGATGCCCTGTGATTGTTTTGTCAAATCAGTTTCTTCAACTGGATCATTAATGTACAGCGTTTAAATTTCAACCCGAAAATTTTCTGATTACGTCAAAACCTTTTCGCACCGAAACCAATCCAGTTCTGTCACAAAACATTTCGTGTTTGTCCGAGAACAAACACACACAAACCCACTAATTATTTATAAGAACACATAGATTTATCGATTTTTTGTGTGTCTTATTTTTTTCCTATTTTAATTTTTGCTTCCTTCCTTCTTTTTCTCCGAAAATTTTTATTGTGAATTTTAATTGTTTTTCCTTTCCGTTCGCTAAAATTTTTCATCTAAAGTTTTTTTATTTTCCAGAGAAATGCGAAATCTCCTAACTATATCCATATTTTTGGCAAATTCCAAGGGAAGCTGGGGATATATGGGTGCAGTTATGGGAAAATTAACGACTTGTGATGATGCGAAAACAAATTTGGATATTGATTGGGATCCCAAAGATTTTTCCACGTTCACTTGTATGGAAGATAAAAAATATCAAGTTGATAAGGTGGGAAAATGTTTGTATCGAAAAATTATATTGAGAAAAAAATTGTAGACAGTTTCTCCTGTGATTTTTGATATGGTTCAACAAAATTCATCATATAATCCAAGATCTGACGAAGTTATGCATAAATGTATGGATGAGAAGTTAGAATATGAGGACAGAATTCCAGTTAGGTAAGTGGAACAAAAATGAGCAGACCTAAAAGCAGCCCCATATATTTTCAGAGGCGATCATCGTCCAAATTGGGCTCGTTTCGGAGAATATCTTTATTGTCCAGTTCAAAGATGGCTTCATAATTTGGAACATGGCTCAATTATTCTTCTCTATCATCCATGTGCAGATTTGGATGAATTAAATATTTTGAGAAATTTGGTGACATCGTGTATTTATCGCCACGTCATAACACCTTATTTGAAGTTGGAGAAAGATAAAGTGAGTTTTGCAGCGGTCATGTGGATGACGTAGAGGTCTACTGTTAATCCACGTGCCGAAGCTTGCGGTAAATCTCCCCAGTCAAAATATTTTCTAGCCATTTGCTCTTGTTGGTTGGGGTTCTCGAATAGAAATGAGCCACGTGGAAGAGGAAAAAGTTGTGGAATTTTTGAAAAAATATGCGAGAAGAGCACCTGAAGAAATCACTCGAGATGGATTATATGATCAATATTTGGTGAAAGCTGCCAGTTTTGTTAGTGGTCCAAAGGATGATCAGATTTGTCCAAATCATTGATTTTCTTTTGTTTTGTAGAAAAATGGGTATTTTTAATTAATAAATTATTTTTCACGTGAACTTTTTTTGAATCGATTTTTCGGATATCAAATTATTTCTACAAAATTCGAAAAATGAAATGGTTTTCAATATTATTATCGATAATAATAATAATTGCTCCGATTTTAGCGGTAACTAGAAATGCAGAATTAGCTCAGGAATATAAAAAATATCGAGAATGTTTGGAAAGATTGGAAAAAGAGGTTGGAGATTCGAAAAAGATTCAAGTTGTTCAAGTTGTCAAAGGAGCTGATGTTGTTTTGCCGTGTTTTTCGTGGTGAGAGGAGGAAGGGGTTATGACGTGGCAAAAAATATTTTGAAAATTCTCGCAGACCGCTTATTTATGTGTTTTTTTTTTCGAATATTTCAAAAAAAATCACAAAGTTCTTCATTCCAGTGTTTCCCCGGAAGATGGAATCGAAATTGATTCAACCTACAAACCATCCTCTGGAATTGTTGGTCGAAATCTCAACGCTGCTATCGATTTCTTCAAAAAAGTTCTAATGAAATCCAGTCACATCATAATCGATGATAAAGATCAATGGAAATACGATTGGGAATTCGCCAAAACCTCTCAAGAAACTGGATTTCGCACACTTTCAAGTATGCATTTCTCAATTTCCGCTGCAATTTCAGATCGAATTAAAAGGTTTCAATCAAAAGATGAGAGTGAATTCAAATTGGGAGATCGATATGAATTGGTATTGAAAAATGTGAATGGTGGAAGTAATGGCTTTTATCGATGTAAGAATTCGCATCGAAGAAATATTATATCAAATATGTATTATCTTGAAGTTATCAACAAAAAGACTATTGATATTTTAAGTTCGAACTCGAGTTCTAATTCCATTTCAATGAAATCTGGAAAAATTGAAAATGAAATTGAATATGAAATTGGCAAATCATTGTGGAATGAATGCTCAATGTGCTCTTCAATTCATGGCGAAAAGCTTAGAATTCATCAATGCTTCATTAAAATTCCCTCAAAACCAGCTGATATCCAAAACAAGTATCCAATTTTCGAACTTTTTGATAAGATTCCATGCACATCAACACTTGTCCCTTTAAATCTTCGAAAACAATTGAGAAATCTTGGATTGAACAAAATATACATCGAAGTTGAAAAATGTTTGAAAACTTGTCCAAATCTTGAATCCGAGTTAGCGCAAGTCACTCAAAAATCTCAATTAGGTGGAGAATTTCGAGTATTAGATTATGTTCCAGCTGGAGAATTTGTTTTTGGTGACATTCTACCACGATTATTACCACCCGTTATTCGAAGAGTTCAAATTGTATTGGAAAATGATCCACTTGTGATAAGTTGTCAAAATGAAGAACATAGTGGAATATATTGGATAAGTATGAAAAAAGGATTATTGAAGATTGCAAATGTTTCGAAAATTTATGAGGGAAGAGCGTATTTTGATGAGAAAGTTAATTTGATTTTCGATCAATTTTCGATGGATGATGAAGATGAGTTTTTGTGAGTTATTCTAACTTTCGAGATTTTCTTAACAAAAATGTATTTCTAGCTGTTATTCCTCTACAAATATTCTACTTGGAACATTTCATATGCGAGTTATTGAAAACGACAAAAATCAACAAATTATTGAAATTGTCCAGATATTTGTCAAATTTGCCGCATTTATCCTGGTTTTTTCATTGATCGCAAGTCAACTTTTTGAATAAATCTTCAGAGTTTCGGGGAAAACTAGACTATTATTTTAAAAAAAACTAACACTGAATTTCCTGCTTGATTTCCTTGAAATTCGGTGGCTCAACTTCTTCGAAATCGTTCTCGATTGAAATTTCTTCTCTATCATCTCAGTTCCATTTTCCTCTTCTTTTTTTCTGGAAAATAACAACATTGTATAACATATTTGGTCATTTTTAGGATAAAACTAGGAAAAGGTATGAAACTCACTTTAAATACTTGCTTGAAAACATCCATTTCTTTCGGTCTTGGCGCAAAAGTTTTGCGAACGCGAACAAACAAAAAAATTGGCCGAGTCGGTTTCTAGGCCTTTTTTCTTCTTCGACAAGAATTTTCGAAATTTGTTTGTTGCGCGCAAAAATTGCCAATCCGAAATTTCACAGAATTTTTTCAGACGCACGTGACATTTGAAATGGAAGCCGACATTTCGAAAATATGGATTTTGTGGAAATCAACGAAGAAATCCCGAATCAACCAGAAGAAGATGATCAACATTTCGATATGGAGAATACTATGTTTTTGAGGCCGATTTGTGTTGATGCTACTGATGTTAATTGTAGGTAAGTTGGAAGTTTTTTATCTAAAATTATTGGGAGATAAATCTATGGGAATTTTTCAAAGAGGTTCGAAAAATCTCTTCCAATCGATCAGAATTTATTAAAATCCAAAACAAAAAGAAAACAATTCATTTTTTGTTAATACTTATAACTTTTGTGATTTTAAAAAGACCAAATATAGTTTTCCGATAATTTTGAATTATAAACATTGATGGAAGTGGATCCAACGCTGGAAATAATGCAATTGTAATTGATGATATTCCACTTAAAGTTCCTAAATCCTTGTCAATATATGAAAATAAAATTACAATTGAAAGTGGAATATGCATTAATATAACTGGAATTGCAGTTTGAGTAACTAATGCGTTAAATAATTGGGCTTGCAGATTTTTGAAATTTTTTGAAACATTTTTGTCATTTGTTTTAATATTCATCACTTGAGTCAAGTTCAAATAACATCGGATTCCACAATAGAAAATTGCGATGAGAGATGAAAATAGAAATAGCCATGCAATTCCAACACCTAAAACTGAAGATATATCAATAATATATGATCCATCGGGTTGGATTTGATAAAAATATGGGCCGAGATACGCAACATCTTCAATTTCCCAACCAAAAGTTAGCATAACTTTTTTGCTTAATCTTTGATTCATAGCATCCGACGGAGCTAACATAAAATAACAGATTGATCCCCAAATACTTCCTGACGCGACTGGAAATAACATCCAGAATATAATTCGATAATCATCAAATGTTTTAAGATAGTTCGAACCATTTGAGACCAAATATCTATAGATAAAATGAATACCAAACATTCCCATTGATGTTCCAAAACATGCACAATAAATAGCAACTAGAATAAGGGAAATCCAATATGATTTCCTATTCAAGAAAGCGGTTTTGTGTATCATAACAACTACAAGAGAACTGTCGGAAAACATGATTGGAGAAATAACAACATCAATAATTGAATATAAAATTTCGAACCATGAAATATAAATCATCAAATATTTATATGATCCAAGTTGTTTTGGCGATTTTTTAATGATTAGAAAAGTTAGAACGAGATTCAGGAAAATCGATGTTCCAGCAGAGATTTTTTGAATCACATCAACAAAACTATCCCACTTCATGATTTGAGATAAATAATAGCAATACGTTTTCGATGTAAGTTGATAGTACATATTCTATGAAACCCCGTGAGACTTGGTAAAACAAGAGATCAAGTTTATTATTGACGTGATTTTCGAAATCTTGATACTTTTGTGACGTTGAAGATGCCTGTAAGATTATATGTTCATTTTTTCTCGGAAAGTTGATTACCGAAAATTGTGGTTCGATAATTCTTCACAATAAACATTGATGGCAAAGGATCTAACGCTGGGAATAAAGCAATTGTTACTGATGTTATACCACTTAAAATCCCCAAATCTTTATCGAAAAACGAAAACAACATAACAATTGCAATTGGAATATGCAATAAAATAATTGGAATAATTGTTGATGTGACTAGAGCATAGAATAGCTGAGAACTCAAATGATTAGACTTGCGAGAAGTTAGACGCATTGTTTTGCTAAGGTTTAGATAACATTTAATACCGAAAAATAGAATTGCGAAGAAGGATGCAGATACCATTAGCCATGATATTGTGGCACCAATAACGGACATTAGGTCGATTTTGTATGATCCATCGGGTTGAATTTGGTAGAAATAAGGGCCGAGATATGTGTCATCTTGAATTTCCCAACCAAAAGTCAATAACAAAATGTTTTCCAATTGTTTGTCTTTTTCGTAACTAGGAGCTAACAAAAAATAACATGATGATCCCCAAATAATTCCATAAATTGCCGGAACCATCATCCAATATATAATTCGATGATCATTGAAAGTTTGTAAATGTTTGGAATCAACCGCGAAAAGATATCGATAAATGAATTGAACGGCAAACATGCCCATTGATATACCAAAACAAGTACAATACAAACCATCCAAACACAATAAAATAGAACTAGGAATTATGTTATCTTTTGTATGAACTATAATCAAAATCAAAGATTTGAAAGAAAACATGATTGGAGAAACTATAACATCTAGAATCGAATAAGACATTTCAAGCCAAGATAAATAGACTCGGGAAAAATCCCGCAAGTGTCGGCAAGAATTGCAGTAGAGCCGCAATGGCTGCGGGTGAAGCCGCCGTTGTTGCGGGGGAAAGACAAGGGAAGTGTGAGAGAGCACAGGCAGAAAGACAAAAAGTAGCGAGCGTCTGCGCTCTCTCACATTCCCCTTGTCTTTCCCCCGCAACAACGGCGGCTTCACCCGCAGCCATTGCGGCTCTACTGCAATTCTTGCCGGCACTTGCGGGATTTTTCCCGAGAGAGCATCAGATATTTATATCGTCCAAGTTGTTTGGGAGATTTCCAAAGAATTAGATAAGTCAGGAAAGAGTTCAGGAACAAAGATGTTACTGCCGATATTTTTTGTGTTGAATTCACGAAAAAGGTCCAATTCATGGTGGAAGAAATATGTGAAATAGATGGAAAATGGCGTGGTATTTTATAGGACATAACCATAACCGGATACAAACGGGAAATTGAGAAAAGTTCAAATGACGGTTTCCAATATTCTGTGATGGATATTTTCAAAGATCTCTTTTTAGATTTAATGTAGAAATGGGAGTTCATTTTTTCTGGAGAAAATCACGAGTTCAGATGTTTGTTTAGATCTCTGATTCTAGGACATCAATATGATCCAATATTGTCTGATCATTTTCTGATTTAATATTCGTGAGGTAGATGTTCTTCGCAAAACTAAATTCCCTACGGGCAAAAGTTTAATGAACGTAACAAAATTTAAATATAGGTATATTTAGCTTCCCCAGATTTTTTATTTAATTTTATTCTCTAACAAAAATGAACTGGAATTCCTTTGTTGATTTTATTCAGAAAATCGCCGCTGGAACATCAATTTTTATGAATTGTATTCTCACAATTCTAATCCTTTTCAAATCTCCAAAACAACTTGGATCTTATAAATATTTGATGATTTACATTGTTTGGTTCGAAATCTTATATTCAATTCTAGATGTTATCATAACTCCAATCATGTTTTCCCACGAATCTATTGTAATGGTTATCGTATTCAAGAAATATTCCCCGATTCCTCATCAAGTATTGCTCATCTTAATCGCTGCTTATGGTGCTTGTTTTGGAATATCAATGGGAATTTTTGGGTTGCATTTCATTTATCGATATTTTGTCTCGACTGGTTCGAATTATATGAGCACATTTAAAAAAGGCCGAATTTTTTATTGGATGTTGATTCCAATAATTTATGGGTTGATTTGGGGATCTGTTTGTTTTTTCTTGCTTGGACCTTCTGAAGAAATCAATCATATAGTTGCTAATAAACTTATGTTAACTTTTGGCTGGGAAATTCATGATATTTCCTATCTTGGCCCATATTTTTATCAAATTCAACCTGATGGCTCATATAAAATTGGCTGGAATTCGGTTGTCGGTGTTGTTATAGCATGGACAATCTTATTCTCCTCTTTGGTTGCAATAATTTATTGTGGAATCAAATGTTATCTATATATAAATTCTATGATCAATATCACAAATAGTAGTGTCTCGAAAAATTTGAGGAATCTTCAAGCGCAGTTATTTTATGCTTTAGTTACACAAACTGCAATTCCAGTTATTCTGATGCATATTCCACTTTCAATTGTTATTCTTTTCTCATTTCTTGATAAGGATTTAGGAACATTGAGTGGTATAACATCAATTACAATTTCCCTGTTTCCAGCATTGGACCCACTTCCAACAATGTTTATTATCAAAAATTATCGAACCACTATTTTTGGTAAGATTATTTGAGATTGTTAGAGGTTATGATATGATTTCAGGAGTTTTCAAAATCACAAAGGTTAAAAGTTTTCGATCATCGAAGGCTGAGCCTTGAAAGTCGGTTCCACAGTCTTCAAATAAAATTCATTTATTAATTATTCAATGTGAAACAAATCACTGATAAACATTTAAAACCCATATCAACAATTCTCAAAAAAAAAACAGACAATAATAATTTAAACACAAGGGAAAATCTCAAACTTCTTTTTTCAATAAAAAATGTCATGTTTCGATTCCTAATCTATACATTTTCCGGTGCAACCAAAGGTGTTTTATCGGCTAAAAGTGGATGTGTCAATCCATTCGCCCGAATTCCATTATTCGCAATTGTTTTTTGACTTCCAGTCGGTGATCTTTTTATACTCGACGTACTGCTCTTCGGATTTTCCGGTGACGGTGTGAGCAATTTTGCATTTCGTTTTTCCTCTTTTTTGAGAAGCCGCAGGCGGAGACGTTTTTCGACCCAACTGCAAGCAAAAACATTGAATTAAAAGAATTTCCTTGAATTCCCCTAACTCTCAAGAAAAAATATGTAATTTTCAGTTTTAGTCATGTGATTTTAATATATACCTAGAATGCCTATACCTAATACGAAATAATAACTAGGTACAGATTTCGGGAAATGCCAAAATATCAAAGTTCTTATGGGCATGTTAAGGTTCTTGGAAATCATATGCTATGACGTGGCAAATGAAGAGTTATTCGAAATATTAACATTCGAGAGAAACCAGACAAATAGAGTTAGAGACGCAGAGAATCTGACCTCTGAATTTTCTAAGCGTCTCAAACTTTCCGGTATCTTTGCCACGTCATAACTCTTTCAATGAGTTGTGGGAGAGTTCTTGAACCTTCCGAAAAAATCTAAGTTTTTCCAACTCACCGTCGTTTCCCAAAATAAGCCAAAGAATTTGTGGCAGTATTCAAAACGATACCAAAATCCGACACCCGTACCAAAATACTCAACGTAACACCCCAATTCTCCACAGCCACAATATTCTCATAAACATCGAAAAATATGGGCATCGTGCGGAAGATCAGAAATTTGACAGCGATGAAAATTGCAAGTGTTCGCGATACACGCTCTTTCAACTCTTCGCTCAGAACAACTGATCGATTGCGATTTTGACTTTCGAAAAGTTTTCGGCGAGCTCGCAGGGAGACATGTACACGATATTCTGTGAGAACTGAGAGAACCAGAATAATTGCAACTGGTCCGATGGTTTGTGTGAGAGTCATTAGAACAGCCTTGTAGCTGGTGAACTGTAAAAATGGGACTTTTGAATATCAGAGACATGTTTCAAAACTCACAGATAATCTAAAAGTGGTTGGCTCCGGATGTGATGATTCCACATTATGTTCAACATCAAAACATTTCGTAACTTCAAATTCAAAAAATATCGGAATATTCAAGCAAAAGCTCATAATAATCAATAAAAACGGAGTGCAAAACGGCTTGATGAATTGTTTCAGCTGAAATTCTCGCCGTTTGATACTGACTTTTGAGAAATTCGCGCGGTTTTGTTGATTTAGTGTGGTGACTTGTGAGTCTTGTTCAATTGTGATCGATGTTTTTCGAGCGAGTTTTGATTCTGTTCGACGGAAACCTTGAGAATTGTTTGTGGCGAATCGGAGAGGTTGCATTACGACCATAAAACGGAGAAATGTTATGTAGATCACAAGCATTGTCTGAAAATAGTTTGTGTAACTTGGGATGATTGAGGGCTAGGGGCAGGTCCTGTTCTCAAAACTGTGCTCCCAAAATTATTTTTCTAGTGTCAGACGAGAAAAAACACTCTAAAACTCACCGACGCCGTTGTCAATGAGCTGGCAATTCCATGCAAATTATAAGTATACGGTTGATTATCATACATAATATTTGTATGCAAAAACAACATTGACATCGCCTCAATTCCGTAGAAAAAGAAGACTGTGATCAATAATAACGAGTCGATTGCACAAAGAGCAAAAAGAGCTGGAAAATACAGTATGGGATTGTTTGCTCCAAGGGGGACTGTAGATTTCTTACCAGCGGTTAAGGATCTGTTGAGCCCAGCTTTGCACAAAAATTTGATTGCATAATGAGCTCCGATTAGAGAAAGAATTGCGGCCAGGCAAGTGAATGGACCCTGTGGAATTAGATTTTGGATTTGTTTGGTAACATGGAAGAATTATTGAAAATTTAGAGCAAAATCAATTCAAATAAATTTGAAACGTATAACATTTTCGGAAGACTTGATTTCCAAAAATGTAGCGCTGAGGGATATACGTGGATTCCTATGTCGTAGAAATCGTACTGATATTCCACCTCATAGCAATCCACGTGGCAGCGGTAGACACGCGGAAGTTCGCGGAAACTTACATCAATCCAAAGTGCATACGGCGAAACGGGATCATGTTCATTGTATCGATAACTGCAATTCAGTAACACTGATTGATCTTGCATGACTGTTCTGAAAATAAATCAATTCAAATTAGTATATAGTAGATGAGTAAAATATGAGGGTGTTAGAATCTGAAGCTGAACTGGACCTTTAGGTGTCAAATTTTGAACTCAAAAGTGGTCTAAATCTTATTATCAAAAAATATTCAATGAAAAGTAATTATTTGAACACAGAAGTTCTTTGCATGACAAAAATAAAGTGAGGAAATTGAAAAAAAAACTTGATCGGAAATTCGAAGAAACTTCTCGAATGAATTAACGAAACGAGAAAAGCTCAAGTTCCGGTGTCAAACATCGATTTGAAAAAGACTACGGTAGTTTTCTGATGTTCTAATTGATAATGTGGAAATTTTTTGAAGAGGTCAAAATTTGTTCATTTTCATTTTTTTTTCCGAAAAAAACAATCTGTCAAGAAAAAAATTAGTGCAAAACATGCATTTCAAAAATTTTCCGACACATTTTCAGGCAAAAAATTCATGGCGCTAAAAACAAAAAAAAATAAATTTTTGTTTTTCTCTTAAGTTGTTTTTTTTTTTGTTTAACCAACAAATCACAAAAAAAACGTGTCAATCAAACTTTTTCTGTTTTTTTTCCATTTTCAGAAAAAAAAAGTATACCAAGAAAATAAGAAGAAAAAAAGAAAAATCTTAAAATTATAGGCTAGACTTTGAGCACACATACGAAAAAGGGGCGTGGCTTGAGTGAGCCCAGAACATTGTGTAAACACTTCATTTTTGCTGCTCTTGCTGTTTTTTGCTTGTTTTTTTGGGCTCAAGAAATTATTTAGAAATGCAAAAAATAAATATTTTTGACGTGAAAAACACGTGGAATTAATTGATTTCATTTTCAATTTTTTCTTGAAGAACGAAAAACAAAGGAATAAAAAATTGGAAGAAAAAAGGACATTTTGGTATTTTTAATGAGAACTGGAAAAAAAGGGAATAAAATGAAAGAAAAAACGGAATTATTTTTTCTTTAATTATTATTGGCGACTGAGGAAAAGGTGCACTTTTTGAAGACGAAAATGACGGAGGCGAGAGGATTCTGGTGCCTTATTTCGTATTCATTTTTCACAATTTTCATTTATGAAAATAAAATTTATTCAGTGGAAAATGACGTGTTTTTTGGAATGTGTGGGAATTTATAGATTGTTGGAAAAGTTGTACTTCCAAATAAACTTCAGAACTCGAGCACGCTTGATGTTGATTTAAAGGGCCCCAAAAGAATAGTTTTATAAATTCTACTTCGACTTCTAATAACATATAACAAATAATAAGGTCAAAAAATCAGCAAATGAACACAAAAAATTAAAATTCGAAAAAAAATTGGATAAAGTTTTGAACATTTTTTTCGACAGGATTATTGAAAAATTTTGGCTGAAAAAGTTATTGTTTTCTGAAAACGGAATTTCACAGAACAATATTTTTGGCATTGTGATTTTGTGATTTTCTACAAATACGAATCTAATACTCTGATTATTTTTTGATCCGAGGATCAGAAAAAAATAATATTCTTGATCCAACATAGATTTGCAAGCCAGATGGGTAGGAACCGCAAGGATCTCTAAAAACCTTGAGAGATTTCTAGGAATATTTGAAAGAATTCAAAGAATCTCTTGGAAAGCTTAAAAAAACCTCGGGAAATTTTAAGAAGCTTTGAAAATTTCAAAAACCCACAGAGAACCTCCAGAAGCCCTGGATAATTTCATTTTCAGAAAACATTAAAACTCCGAAATTAATTTTTTCGAGCAACATAAAATCACATGTTCCAAAAGGCAGGAAATCCTGAATTTTTTTCTTAGCTGAAATATTTCAGCAAATAATATGAGCCTAGGAAAACAAGACGACGACATGTGAAAAATTAGTGCAATCATATATGTATTCTCATAATAACTTTTCCCAAAAAGTGCACAAAAACAAAACGAGCCGAAAAGAAAAACTTGAGTTTTGGCGTCAAAAAAAGGAAGCGAAAACTTTGTTCTCAAAAATTGCCGAAACTTGTAATTAGGACATAAGAAGAAGGCAAAGTTTGGTCACGCGTCAAAAAAAAGAAAAAGAAAAATAAACCGAGAGGAGCCCTTGATTAAATGACTCATTTAGGGCGTCTTCAAATTTTTGCAGAAAAATAAAAGTCGAAAAAGTCATGTGGGCGGTGAAAAAAACTGAATTCAGCAAATATTGTTTGCAGTGCGGGTTACTGTAGGCAGTTGAAGACAACTACAGTAATCGCCCTGCTCGATCTGATCCACAAAAAGCCAACAGTAACCCAAACTGCAAACTTTCGAAATTTTGCAGTTCGGGCTACCGTACTCTCTGACTACGGTAATTAGACTGCAAATTTTTATCAAAAATAAGAGCTACAGTATTCGAACTGCAAGTTTAGAAAGAGTATAATATTTTTAGGCCAGTATTACTGTAATTCATCATTGGACTACAGTAGTTGAACTGCAAATTCTGAACAAAAAAAGAACTACAGTATCTAGACTGCGAACGCTGGATACTGTGGAAAATTAACTGATAACTGTAGCCCTTCGAACTGCAAACACTGATTGTTAGACTGAAAGCTACAGTACCCAGACTGCAAACTGAGCAAAATAACAACTCTTCAAGACTGCAAAACTAAGAGCAAAATAACTACAGTAACCGGACTGCAAAATTCTCAACAAATTTTACAGTAGCCACACTGCAATCTCTGATCATAACAACTACAGTACTCTGCAAAATTCTTTAAAAACTCTTATGAAAAATGAGAAAAAGAAGGGAAGACAACTCAAAAAACATCTAAAATTCATAGAAAAATTATAATTCTGTTATTTTTTTTTGCTTTTTGCTGTGTTTTTTGTTGCTCCGACTTTTTTTTTGCCTGAAAATAAAGACAGGAAAAAATAGTAGGAAGTCTCATAAAAACATCCGGAGAAAAATCCGCGCGAGGTCAAAAACCTTTTTTTTCGGAAAGGGGTAATTGAAAAATAATCTGATTTTAAAATTTGAAAAAAAAGTTGTGCGTCGGTTGGGGGTCAAACCAGGATTTTGCGAATTCTAGGCACGCGTGAATACCACTCGACCACGCTCCTCTTTTTTCACACTATTTAAAATGTCGCAAAGGGAGGCAAAATGCTTTTTGATATGAAATCATAAATCAGAAAATTCCGGAAGGAAGTATTATGTATTTATGTAAGAATTCTATGAATTAGTTAAAGATTTTCTGAAAACTGAAAATTGCAACTTTTTAAGAAGATGAAAAACTAGAAAACCTCTGGAAAAAAACAAGTTGAAAGGGAGAAGATGAAAAATCCGGATAGCCTCAATTTTCTTCTTTTTTTTTGTTTGTTAGTCAAAAGTGCACGGTAATTTGAGAGATCTCTTGAGAGACAACAATTTCATGATTTATGAGATGGGCTTTTTTGAACCTCAAAACGAACATTTGGAACATCAAACTCCAAGAAAACAAGGAAAAAATATTAAAAAATGAAGAACAAAGAGGAAGGAAGAACTGAAAAACAACCGAGACTGCACAAAAGAATATGAAAAAGTTTTCTGGGAATATGAAAATATAAATAACGATTCATAGATTCAAAAGTTGAAGGTGAAACTTGCACAACTAGAGAACATGAAGAATTGAGAGACGCAGAGAAATCAGAGAGCTAGAAAATGAAAGACGCAGAGAAACTAGACAGCTAGGAGGTTAGTGATGCAGATGAAAATTTTAAAAATCAAAATGTTTGGAAACAGGAACTTTTTTTTGTTTATTTTCAGTTTCTCAAAATAACGGGTGATGTGAGAAAAATAATTACTATTTGGAAGAAAAAAAATCAGAGAAAACATGGCAAAACAAAATTTTCAGGTGTGATTTTTGTGCTGCTGAAAACCTATGTTTATTTCAGACATATTCTGATTTTGAGAAATTGCAGATGATTTATTAACTATTCCACGAAGACTTTTGGCCGATTTTTGGCACATTTTTGCTGATGTCACGTGGACTTTTGAGGCCGCATCGCTCCGCGTACGCGTGAATCAATGTTAATAAATACTTGCAAAAATCAACATTTTTATGAAAATTCACTCATAAACCTTGAAAACTTGTGTAAAAACGCGCTCTCTTCATTAAGCCCCGCCCTTTTCGCACACAAACAATGTCAGCGCGCACAACCCGTTAACCGTCGGCCACACCAGAAATTTATATATTCGCGTGTTCTGTGTGTTGTATCGCTTTCAAGCGGTAGCGAAGCTATTGCCAAAAATATTTTTGAATGGAAAATATTTCAAAAATGGCTTTTCATTGATTTACAAAACATCCATGTGGAAAAAATCCCCAAAATTTCAAAACTAACCTGAAAATACAACTACGCGTCAAACATCCAGCTTTGATATGTGCGAACTGCAAAAAGTGGAAAAACTTTAGTCGTCTTGAAAAAGTAAATATTTTTTCGAGGAAACTTTTTTAGTCAAGTTTGAGGGGAAGCAAAGAAGAAAAAATTAGTTTGATTAGACTTCTCAAGTGGTCAAAAAAAAGGAACTAAATTTTTTTTGGAAAATTTTACATGAGACTTGAAAGGGATTAGACTAATGAGTGGAATCAATATTTGTAAGAAAAAAAGTTCAAAAAGTGTTTTCGTGGAATTCTTGATGTCACAAAAAGTTGTTTGAACTTGGAGATTTTCGGAGAAAAACTTTTCTGGGAAATTTTGATCTGCTTACTCTTAAGCTGCAGAATTTTTTTTCAGATTTTGCGGCCAAAGATTTCACAGTACTCCGGGTTACTGTACATCATTTCGAGCAGTATTTCAAGGGGCTCAAAAAGATTTTATAAACAATCGATCCACAGTAACCTGGGTTACTGTAGCTCATTATGTATTCAAAAATAGAAAAAATGCCACCTCGGTGAGCAAAACATTATAATTTCAGATAAAGAAAAAAAACATTTTCAGACAATTTTCGCTGCTATTCATCGTCTGATGAATGTTGCAATCAATTATGTAAAAGAAAAATTATGATGTTTTTCTTAATCTATGAATCTTCAAAACACGATCAAATATTTCATGCGAATGTAGACCACAGTCTTCCGCGCATCTTCCGCGCGGAAAAAAAATTACCCTAAGATTCTACAGATGAGCCAAAGAAGTTATGGTAATTCGAATTTTTAGGAATGTTTTCTTGAGGTGTTCAAAATAAATGGATCAAAAATCGAAAAAAATGAAAATTTTCTTTTTTTATCTCCGTGTTTTTGAGAAAACAGAAGAATAAAAATTGAAAAAATTAGAATAAGCATCAAATTTCTAAAAAAAAAGCCTTTTTATTCGAGCAGAGAAAGTGTGAACCACAAGCCTCCGGGTATCGGTAAAGTTAGCCTAACTTCTCTGGCTAATCTAGAAATTTCAAAAATAATATTATTTCAGAATCATTTCCTGACTTTTGAAATTAGTCTAAATCTATCTATAGATATGAGAAGATGAAAGGAAATGTGCTTATGTATTTTTTATTTTTGAAATAAAAAATAATGTCTGGAGGGAATGATGTAGGTGTCCAACTAAATAAATAGAAGGGAAATGAGAAAAAATATTGAAAATGAGTTTTCGGAATTTCAAAGATTAAATTTGCAAATTTGAAAAACTGGGGAGTTTTGAGTTAGACAGCTCAAATATATTTTCGAAAAATTCTGAACTTCACAAAGTTACGGTATCTTTGCCTCTCGCTTTGCTCGAACTGCAAGATATACCGTAACCAAAGAGATCTTTGCTCAAAACTTCCCAGACTTCTGAGGATAACTAAAAAAGACTGCAAGAGGTACTGTAATCCGAAAATTTTCAAAATTTGCCCTTAAAGTTACCATAACTTCTTTGGCTAACCTATAGAATATCAAGGTAACTTTGCTGCTGACCGGAAGCTTGCGGCTTGCGGAAAACCCACCCCAGACTTACCTCAACTTCGGTCAATTTCCTAATATGTTCATAAAATTGTCGATTCAACATTTCAGTATTCCACATTCTCGAATTCATCTTGCCAAACAAAAATATTATTTTTTCTATATTTTTGGTTGGTCCTTCTTTCTTTCCTCCTGAAAAACACAAGTTTGTTCCTTATTATTTTGTGTTCCAAAAAATGTGTGGATAAAAAATAAACACACAAGAAGAAAAAGAGAACTCGAAGCAAAAAAAAAAAAAAACACTTTTTTCATAGGAGCTCGAGGAAAATCGAATATTTTTCGGATGAAAAAATATCATCGGTAATTAGGTTCTTTTTTATTTGACAAAATCCAGAATGACATTCAGTTTTCACAGGAAATTATTTATTTTTGAACAAAAAAATGAAAATGAAAATGGCAAGTTTGAAGTGCAGAGGGCGGATATGAGAAGAGGTTGAAGTTAGCCTAACTTCTAGATTTGCAGCTTACGCGGAAACTCGAAAATTCTCGGTCTACTGTAGCTGAGGATTACTGTAGCTGACAAACTGCAAGAGGTACTGTAATTTGGAAATTTTTCAGAGCCTGGCTATCAGGACAAACATTTGAACCTCTAGCTTTAATAATTAAAATTTCTATGAAAAATAGGTCATAGGGAGATTTTTTGGGTTCGGAACCTAGTAGCTAAAACCCTGTCCAATCTGGCAGGTTAGGCAACATTGAGCCCGGTTAGTCATGTGTTCGAATCCTTATTATTCAAAACAAAAACCAAAACTATTTTTTGAGAAGAGAAGAAATCTGATTCTTCTTGTTCATTGTTCTTCATTTTGGTGTTTGGCGTTAAAATTTGATTTTTGCCAACAAAAATTGCAAAAGAAAACAAGAATTCCAAAAAACACAAGAAAAAAGGATGTGAAAATTAATTCAATGAAAAATTTAAATAGAGAGTGTTTGGTTTTGTGAAAAAGAAAAGGAAGAAGAAAGAAAATAAATTTTTTTGCGATGAAAAATTGCTTTTTGTGTGAAAATTTTGGCGAGCGAAATATAATTTTTGAATTAATTTTGGGTGGAGTACTGTAGATTTATGTTGTCGGAAATTTGGGGTTTCTGTGGGAGTACGGTAGTTATTTATTTCTAAATTTTTATTAGAAGTTTGCCACGTCATAGACAATGTCATTGCACAATTTTTTAAAAGTACTTTTCAAAACAAAATTCTGGCGCAAAACCATCATAAAACAATAAAAACCCAATTTTCCGATAGAATAAATCCAAACTGGACCCCATAATTTCCCAAAACTTTTTTTTCAACTTAAAAAATAAAGTTTTTTCAAAAAAAAACCACAAAAAAATGAAAAATGTCGGTTGAAAAATGTTGCGAAAATAGCAGTTGTTCCCTCAAAAAAAATGAAAATGAAAAAATAAAAATAGATATTTTTCATCTTGAAAATCTTACTCATTTTGATGAGCAGATTCAATTATTTTTCTGGTTTGCACCAGAAGAACAAGAAGATGTCTGAACTGAAACGGGAAAACATGTGGAAGAGGAAGTTTTTCTTTTGCATCAAAAATTGAGTTGAAGAAAACAATCTCAGAGGATTTCAAAAGTTTCAAGTTGGGATAACTTTGGAAGGGAAAATCTGGGGTATTGTACTTTGAAAATTGGCGGGAAAAATTGAGCTCGAAAATTTGGTCAGGAAGCAATTAGAAATTGATTCGAGGAAAATTGATTTTCTAAAATTGGGCCGAATCTTGGCCTTAGTAGGCCTAGCTTTATCTAGCTTTAGGCTAAGGGGCTAGAGAGCTTTTTGAGAATTCAAAATTTTCAACTCAAATATCTTGGTTCAAATTTCTCCGAAAAAAAGTTCAAAAACTCCACGCTCCGGGCAAATTTTCTACTTTTCAATGAGAAAACTTTGGTTTTTCCAAGTTCCTCCAAAATGAAACAAAAAAAGAACTAATAAAAAAAATTTTAGCCAAAAAAATGATGATTTTTTTGATGCCTCAACCAAAAAAAGCCAAAAAAAAACAGCGAAAATGTCATTTTCCGAATGCTCTTTTTTTGGTTGCTCCAAATGACAATAAATTTGCATAATTTTATCCACTCAAGGGAAAAATGTGTAACATCAAAGCAACAGAAAAAAAAACACTGGGAAAATTATTTTTGTAAAAAAGAAATTTCATACCGGAAAATCACAATCTTCTAGCAAAAATTCGAGAGGATTTCGAAAATTTTGTTCGCAGAAAACTAGAAAAAAGAGAAGAAATAGAAGATACATATAACTAAAAAGAGAAGCGAAGCTCTGAAATTATCGCTGAAAAAAATCCGCGAAAAAATCTTTGGGATTTTATTGAGCTAAACAAAAAATGTTTGAAGTGTTCATGCACTGAGTCAAGTGTGAGGCAGAAAAAAATTTTAAAAATCGAAAAAAAAATGTTTTCAGACAAACGTTTTATGAGTTTTTGAATCGACAAAAAAGTCGAAATAAAATTTAAAAAAAAGAAAAATGAATTTTACGCGCACAAAATTTTAAGATAGATCAAATAATAATCTGGGAAGTCTAGGGAGTATTTTCATGATTTTCTGTACCGAAAAAATAATTTGATAAACCTGAAATTAAGTGGAACCGTTTTTGATTGATGACAGAAATCAAAACTTTTTTTTCAAATCTCATGTCACAATAAATTCTGAAGTTCCACCCGAAGAATTAAAAAGAAATGAAAAATTTACACAGTGGAAACAAATGCTACCGTACTTTTGTGTGGTCTCGCAGCGCTACGCGGAAGATAGTGTCGCTCACGTGGGGGCTTGCGGTATACATACACTCGCTATTCTCGAAAATTCCAGGAAAAAATTACACAAAAACAATTGGCTCATTTTTTCTGCGAGGAACTCGCAACACGCCTATTTTTTACGACTTTTTTTCGGGGCCAAATTGGGTTCATTTTGAAATTTAATGACACCTGAGACAAAGTTTTTTTCTCTAGTTGCTAAATATTTTCGAAATGAAATTGGAAAGTTCAAATATTTCGGGCGGAAATTTGTTTTCAAATTTCGAATTTTCGTCAAATTAAAATTCTAGTCAGCTAGATAATTTAGCAAAAAATAGATAGACACAGAAAACAAGTGAATAAAAAAGGAAAAAAAAGAAAAATTCTCGAAGAAGGAAATTTTTTGCGCATAAAATTAATATTTATCAGTCTTTCAGTCTCAATTTTTTCATAGAATAAATATCTGAATAAATGTTGCCAATTTCTGAAAATGATGTATAAATTTCATGAATAAATTTTACATACATTTTTAGGTTTTGGCGCCAAAAATCGACGAGGAATTCAATAAAAAAATTCGTTCAAAAATTCAAAAACCACCTGCTTTTCTCCCACTCTTATCATCCAAAAAAATCTATTATAAGAAGAAAAAGAGGCTCGAACAAAATTCCCTAAAGAATTCACTGGTCACAAAAACAAAAAGTTCAAGTTTTTGTCTAAAAATATCCAAATTTTCGTTGAAAAATGCACGGAAAAAAATTTTTGAAAAAAAAACAGTAATTCTAAAGGCACACCATAAATATTTGTTGCGTGTGTCTCGCCACGCTACCGTATGGATAGATATCTTATTTTTGTTTTTTTTTAAATTTCGCGCGAAAATTTCGAACCCAAAACGTGACTATGTCGGATCCCCCGTTGATAATTGAGAGTTTAGAAGGTTGCGAGGATTATATTGCAAAGTATATGCAAGGAAGTGAGTTAAAAATCCATGAGAAACATCTAAATTTATCGATTTTTAGGAGATTTACGATTTACCGATAAGCGGCAAGTTCGACAAACGGAGAAACATAAAAAACGATTGGAAAGAGCTGAGAAAACTCCTGAAAATGTTAATAATCGATTGCGTTGGCGAATTAGCGAAGAAAATATTTGTAAATCGTCGAAATGCAATAATCATTATGTCAACAATACACATTTTTTCTATGGAAATGGAAGTCATTTGGGACATCTTCATCGAAGCCCATTATATGCTCTTGATTTTCCGGAAAATGTAAGTTAATTTTAGTTAATCAATTAATCAATATTTGGTGATTGTTTCAGACACAATTGAATCGAACGGATTTCACTAAACATCTCCAAACGCTTGAAACAAGGCAATCAAATATTGATAAAAATTGGTTGAGAACAGCGAAAAATCAATTGGTACCTCGAAAAACGGCGAGAAGTCATTCAGCACCTCCAAATATGAAATTCACAAGTCCTGAAGTTCCGGCTGCAAATGATCGATATGAAATGGGTTGGGACACTTGGAGAAACCAGGTATTTATAGTATTATTTGGAGGAAATCAATTAATATTTTTTCAGAATCTCATAATTCAAAATTTCGATGAAAGTTTGGAGAGGCCAAAAAATATGGGAAGTTCTATGGACTATACATTCGAAAAAAGTTTGACATTATCAATGTCATCATTGATTGATAATATCGATTCACGAGTAAGTTTTTATAAATTAACTTTTTTTTTCTATAATAACAGATATAAAATGTCAATATTTCAGAAACTTCCACCCGGTCACCATTCAATTAAGTCGATTTTATTTTCAACATTCGACGATTATTTCTATGTACTTCTTCCGCCCAAATCACAAGACAATATTAAAAAATTCAGCCAGTATTGGTTTAGAGGAATGAAGAATTGGTCATATCGACCAAATGAACAGCGAGATAAATGGTATAGAAAAAATGTGATTTTGTTTTTGGAGCAATTTGAAGGAGATCAAACGGAATTCAGAAGAGCTCGACATATTTTATCTTTAGAGAGTGAGAAAGAAGATTGGTTTATTGAAATGGACACTGGAGAGGTTTGTATTTTATTTTACGTGGGAAAAATTACTAGTGACGTATTTAATTTCCAGCTGAGAAGTATCAAAAATGCCGGACCGAATACTGTAATGTCAATGCCAGCTAAACAATGTCGATATCCGTGTAATATTATGGAATGTAGATTCAGTGATAAGAAAATGGTAATTTATATTCTATTTATTTTTTTGTTCAGTTATGGGCCTATGCAGAATAATATTTTGTAATAAAAAAACATTTTTTTCCCATGCAGAAAAACGTCGAAAAAACAAAATATACAGTTTATTATTTTGAGTAGAGACAACGTGAAGTTGAGAGAGTGCAGAAAAAAAACCCATTTTATGTCTGCGCTCTCTCAATTTCACGTTGTCTTTATTTTGTTTTTTCGACGTTTTTCTGCATAGGAAAAAAAAAGTTTTTTTATTACAAAATATTATTCTGCATAGACCCATTATGAAATCAAGATTTTTTTCAGTCAGGATTCAAATTTGCGCGCGAAATCGATAAAATTCGCAAAGATCAAATGATAAATATAATTGGATTTGACAAGATGGATAGGCGAAATGTGCCATCATATAATACTGGAAGATCCGATATTCGAACGGCTATTATTGAACCAATCAAATCACCGCCAGTTCCTCTGATGACTACTGTATTTTGTGATAATTTGAGTTGTATGGGATGTAACACTTGGAGCGCATTTCAAACATAAACAACTATGGGATGAAATCTGGTAAGTTTTCTTTTTATTTTTTTTTTGTTGTATTTGTACCGTGAATAGTTGATTTTTTATATGAATTTTTATAAAAAAGAACACATTTCAAATTAATTCAATGGGATTTTAATACTTTTAACTTTTGTGATTTTGAAAAATCCAAAAATAAATTTCCGATAATTTTGAATTATAAACATAGATGGAAGTGGATCCAAAGCTGGAAATAATGCAATTGTAATTGATGAAACACCACTCAATGTTCCCAAATCCTTATCGAGAAATGTAAAAAGAATTACTGTAGAAAGTGGAAAATGCATCAAAATAACTGGAATTGTAGTTTGGGTGACTAAAGCATTGAATAATTGTGATTGAAGGTTTTTGAAATTTCTTGAAGAATTATTTTGCTGTTGTTTTATGCGCATTACTTGACGGAGATTCAAATAACATTTGATACCAAAATAAAAAATCACACAAAGCGATGACAATATAATAATCCATGCTATTGTAACACCAATAACTGAATTCCACCCAATTTTATATGATCCATCAGGTTGTAATTGATAAAAATAAGCACCGACATACGTAATTTCTTGAATTTCCCACCCAAAAGTTAACATTAATTGATTATTTATTCTTTGATTAATTTCATCTGAAGGAGACAGGATAAAATAACAAATTGATCCCCAGATACTTCCAACAAAAATAGGAATCAAAATCCAAAAAAATATTCGAAACCCATTGAAAGTCTTCAAATGTTTTGAACCAGTCGAAACAAAATATCGATATATAAATTGTATCCCAAACATTCCCATTGATGCTCCGAAAAATGCACAATAAACACCATTCAGGATCAATAAAACCCAATCAGAAAAAAATATAGAATTGTTCTTGTAGATCATAACAACCATTATAGATTCATAAGAAAACATGATCGGAGAAACAATAAAATCAATAATTGAATAGATACTTTCAAAACATGACATATAAATCATCAAATATTTGTATGATCCAAGTTGTTTTGGAGATTTTCGGATTATTAGAAACATGAGAACAGAATTCAAAAAGAGAGATATGATTGTTGATATTTTCTGAATTAAATCAACGAAACAATTCCACTGCATTTAAGTTGTTTTTGATATCAGCTAAACTTGATCACATATTTTTTACTTCTCTCATACAGTAAGAATTACACATCCTGTTTTTCTCAAAAAGTGCACTATTTTTCGTAATTTCCTCTTTTTTGCCCTCTTTATTTCTCGGTATTGCCATAAATATCATTTTTTGTTGCAAAAATCATGACATTGAACACAGTTATTGATTTGACTCAAAAAATATCGGCAGTTTTATCGATATTCCTGAACTGTTTCTTGACATTTCTTATTATTTGCAAATCTCCAAAACAACTTGGATCATACAAATATTTGATGTTATATATTTCTTGGTTCGAAATAATTTATTCAATTTTGGATGTTATAACTTCTCCAGTCATGTTTTCTCATGGATCTATTCTAGTTTCTATTGTTTATATTAAAAATTCGAAAATTGCGGATTGGGTTGCATTAATTTTGAATAGTGTTTATTGTTCGTTTTGTGGAATATCAATGGGAATGTTTGGAATTAATTTTATATATCGATATTTTGTATCAACTGGTTCGAAATATCTCAAAACATTCAATGGGTTCAAAATAATTTTTTGGATGATGATTCCTGTTGTTTATGGATTGATATGGGGATTTATTGCTTATGTAATATTAGGACCTTCAAAAGAAATCGATGAACAATTGAGTGAACCATTGATGTTAACTTTTGGTTGGGAGATTCAAGATATTTCCTACGTGGGTGCTTATTTTTATCAAATCCAATCTGATGGATCATTAATCATTGATTACAAATCTGTTGTTAGTGTTTCGATAACTTTCGCAATCGTATTTTCATCATTTCTTGTGATGTGTTTTTGTGGAATTAGATGTTATATTAAAATCAATACATTGCTGAATATTACGAACAAACACAATTTTTCGACACAATCGAAGAATCTTCAATCACAGTTGTTTTACGCGTTGGTCACCCAAACAATTATTCCAGTTATTTTGATGCATTTTCCAGTTTCTACAGTATTTGTTTTCACATTTCTTGATAAGGATTTGGGATTTTTGAGTGGTATAACATCAATAACAATTGCATTATTCCCAGCATTGGATCCAATCCCGGCTATGTTCATTATTAAAAGTTATCGAAAATCTATTTTTGGATTCTTCAAAATCACAAAAGTTAAAAGTATCCAAATTCCAAGAAATTAATAAATGTTTTGTTAAATACATTAAAAATATATTTTGCTCCTCTCATACCGTAAGAATTACCGTATATATCCTGTTTTTCTCGAAAAAGTCCACTGGTATTCTTTCAATTTCCCATTCCATTTTTAGATTTTCTCCTACACAGAACACTAATTTATATACTTCGTTCAATAATAATGAGTTGGAACATTACCGTTAATTTTATTCAGAAAATATCAGCAATTATATCAATTCTACTGAACCTTTTTCTTACTTTTCTGATCTTCCGAAAATCTCCAAAACAGCTTGGATCTTACAAATACTTAATGATCTACATTTCATGGTTTGAGATTGTATATTCGATTTTAGATGTAATTGTTTCTCCGATTATGTTTTCTCATGAATCAATTCTCGTTTCAATGGTTTATGTGAAGAATTCCATCTTTTTCACCTCAAATTTTACGAATTCTCAATGCAATTTATTGCTCATGTTTTGGAGCATCAATGGGAATGTTTGGATTGCATTTCATCTATCGATATTTTGTTGCTGCACATTCACAATATCAAAAAACTTTCAATAATTATCGAATTGTATATTGGATGATGATTCCAGTAATCTGTGGATGTATTTGGGGATTCACAACCTATTTCATACTTGCTCCTTCGGAAGCAATTAATAACTCATTGAAATACAAATTAATTTCAACATTTGGTTGGGATATCGAAAATATTGTTTACGCCGGTTTAAATTTCAATGAACTCCAACCAGATGGGTCACATTCTATTGATTTATATTCATTGTTTGCAGTAATTGCAGGATGGACAATCATAGTTTCTTCTCTTATTGTGATATTCTATTGTGGTGTTCAATGTTATTTGAAACTAACTTATCCAATGAAAGAAAAAAACAATGTTGTTTCGAAACAATTCAAAGCTCTTCAATCTCAATTGTTTAAAGCATTGGTGATCCAAACTGCAATTCCAGTTATTCTTATGCATTTTCCGGTTTCGACTGTTTTCCTTTATTCGTTTCTGGGGAAACAATTAGGAACTTTGAGTGGTATTTCATCAATTACAATTGCATTATTTCCAGCGTTAGATCCACTTCCATCAATGTTTATTATCAAAAATTATCGAGAAACTATTTTTGGTGAGAGTGTCGGGTGTTTATCGAATTAAAAATGTAAATATAAGAAATTTCAGGGTTACTAAAAATCACCAAAGTGGCTCAGGCACCGAGTAGATATTAGCAGATTTTTTTACTGTTGTGAAATGAATGTTTGGCACATTTCTCTCTAAACTTGAAAAATTGTTTGTAATTTGGTAAATCAACCTGAAATTCTAGTTAGTCTCACGCATCTTCCGGTTCACTTCTCCACATTCATTCGTTTCTTGGAAATGATTAGGGATTTTTAGAACATTTTTCAAGATGTTTTAGAAAAAACCTGGTTATTTCAAAAGTACTTTGAGATATCAAAACAGCATCAAAACATCAAATTTTTTTTGCAAAAATTCATTTTTTGGATTTCTAGCATATTTTAAATTGATCCCAATTAATGATTCAATTCTCTTTAATAGATCTTTGTCAATAACTCAACTACAAAAATATTCTCCTACAATTTTCTCCTATTTTTGCTAACATTTTCATGACTCATTCGATGTTGTTCTGATCTTAGTTATGCAAAAATTTTAATGCGTCAACAGAATTCAAATTAACAAAACACGTTGCTTATAAGCTTACTTGAGCTCAAAAAAAAAGATGTTTGTTTCAAAATTGAACTGAAAGAACTTTTGCTAACTCCGTGGGAATACTATGCTCCTGGAAGTTCAACAGGAAATTAAATTTGCTCTATCGCGACACTCACATTATTTGTGTGCCCTTCTCACGAGAACTTCACAAAGAACATCCCTTTTTAAACTCGTTCTGATTTAATTCATGAACAATGTTCAGTTTAAATGAGTCAGAAACGAAGAACATTTGAGCACAAAGAGAGATTTTTGTTATAAATTCAAAATTGAACTTCTAATTAAAATGGTCTGATGATCAAAAAAACCAAGATTTCTTAGAAGATAACAAGTTTTATTTTTTCTATTCAAGTTCTTTATTCAAGGAATATTTTTTTGTTTTTCTTAATAATATTTCTATTCTATGATAACTTCCCTGGATTAGAATATTTCCTTCGAATATTCATTGTTCTCCTTCGTTCAAATATTTCTGCCTGAGCGACTTATCTATCATTCTGTTCTCACTTCCAACCAAGAACATTCTTGTTTTTCTGATTCACATCATATTATTTTTTGTCTGCTGAGTGCATTGCAAAAGGTATTGTATCTTTGTCTATACAATTTTCGGAATATTTATTCTCTTTTTCCTTCTTAATTAGTATTTTCATTCATTCATAATTCGTGAGAATTACATTACATTTTTCTTCAAAACAAGTAAATTCTAGTTCTTACTAGAATTCTGATCGTGAACAGACACAAAATGCAGTGGAACACTTTTGTTGATGTGTTTCAAAAAATCACCGCAATTATCTCAATATTCCTCAATTGTATCTTAACATATCTGATCCTTAAAAAGTCTCCAAAACAACTTGGATCGTATAAATTTTTGATGATCTACATCTCATGGTTCGAAATAATCTACTCAATTATTGATATTATAACAACTCCAATTTTCTTTTCTCACGATTTCATATTTGTTGCTATGGTATACACTAAAGATTCTCTATTTTCTCATCAAATATTATTGATATTAAATGGTATTTATTGCTCATGTTTCGGAGCATCAATGGGAATGTTTGGCCTGCATTTCATTTATCGCTATTTTGTCTCGTATGGTTCACAATTTCTGAAAACATTTGAAGATGCCCGGATTCTTATGTGGATGATGATTCCTGTAATCTATGGATGTATTTGGGGATTCACATGTTATTTTATAATCTCGCCTACCGAAGAAATAAATAATAAATTGGCAGAGAAACTTTTGGCAAATTTCAGTTGGGAACTTCAAGATATTGCCTATCTTGGTTTACATTTTTTCGATCTTCAAGCTGATGGAACATATAAAGTGTATTGGTATTCAATGGTTGCTGTTCTGGCTGGAATTATTATCATAGTCTCTTCACTCGTTGCGATGTTTTATTGTGGTGTTCGATGTTATTTGAGACTCAATAAACTGATGAAAATGGGAACCGATACTTCACAGAATACGAAAAATATTTCGAAGAGATCTAGAAAATTGCAAGCTCAATTATTTTACGCGTTAGTTACTCAAACAGCGATTCCAATTTTTCTAATGCATATTCCATTTTCAATTGTGATTCTTTTCTCATTCCTTGGGAAAGATTTGGGAATATTCAGTGGTATTGCATCAATTACAATTGCCTTGTTCCCAGCATTAGACCCTCTCCCAACAATGCTCATAATTCAAAGTTATCGGGCCACTATTTTAAGTAAGTTGTTCACGGTCAAAGTGAGAATAGCCGATAATTTCAAAATTTTAAGGTTTCTTGACTTGTTCAAAGAAAGTTCGTGCACAAGTTACTTATCTTACAAGTGCTTCAACAATCGAAGTGAAAACCTGATATTTTTCTTTTTTTTTCTTATATAAATTGTTTTTCCCAAGTGATGTTACATGTTTTTTTTTCAAGTGTAATTCAGAGCTTCATCTAATCATTTCAACATAGTAATTTATAAACAACTTTCCTTTAACATCAATAGTAATTATGAATTGAAAACTTTACCCAATATTTTTCAATGAAGCTCTAATCTCACCTGTTAGTTTTGCTCCCCCCAAACCTCAAAATAAACTAACTTGACTGGCCCGTTCCGAAAAGTTGTTGAATCCTTTGAATATCCTGTCGAAACGAAACATCTTCTTGTTCGGAAGCCTGAAACTTTGACATTCTTTTTCTCAAAATTTTCGTCTATTCTTAAACTTACATCAGAAAATGACAATTGTTGATTTTATGGGACGGCTGCATTCTGTGACTGTTGTCTCTGAAAAAATAAGAAAATAAAAAAAATGTACCAAATCACTCCATTAATAACATTTTCTGCTCTGAAAAAACCAGAAAAATGATTCAGTTCAAAAAAAAACGTTCAATAAATAATTTCTTTTCAAATAAAAAACATATATATATATATATATCTCTCTCTCTCTCTAACTCTCTCTCCATTTCCCACACTCTCTCATCTACCCTGCAAAAAAACAAAAAAAATAAACTAAACAACGTGCACGCGGAGTATCGTTGGTTTTCTTTTTATTTTGTTGCACGACATTTTTATTTTTTGTAGAAAAAGTTATTAATGGAGTGATTTGGTACATTTTTTAATTTTCTTATTTTTTTAGAGACAACAGTCACAGAATGCAGCGGTCCCATGAAATCAACAATTTTCATTTTCTGATGTAAGTTTAAGAATAGGCAAAAATTTTGAGAAAAAGAATGTAGAAGTTTCAGACTTCCGAACAAGAAGATATTTCGTTTGGACAGGACATTCGAAGAGATCAACAAATTTTCACGGAACGGGCCAGTCAAGTTAGTTTATTTTGAGGTTAGGGGAGGGAGGGGGGGCAAACCTAACAGGTGAAATTTGAGCTTCATTGAAAAAAATTTTCAACAGAAACAGATATTTTGTTTTTCGTTGAATTTTTTCAACAAAAACCGATATTTTGTTTTTCGTTGAATTTTTTCAACGAAGTTCTAGAACTGTTTGAGATAATTGTGGAGAACAAGATTTTCAAATATAATTTTCATTAATAAATAAAATTCATAACAAAACAAAAATCATTTTCACCAAGCAAGTTCAACTAACTCATTAATATCATCAATATTCGGATTATCTTCAACAAGTTTCACCGCTTTTTCCGCTCCAAAAATCGCAGTCAATGCTTCAATCAATGGTCCTTTCAATGATATTTCCTGATTCTCAATTTTTATTTCTCCACCAACTCGATAAATCGAATTCTTGTGTCCAATTCGACTCTTCTTTTTTAAATCTAGTATTTTCGGCGGTGGCGGTGCAACATATTCGGGTAAATATGGATCATTGTGATTATAGATATTTGATTGAATTGTACTTTTATGCATTAATTTTGATGGTAATGATTTTTTGGTTTTTAGAACTTTGGTGGATTCTGAACAGATTTGTTCAAGATTTATTCGTAGCGATGAGCAGTGTTTCAGCATTTTTTCTGGAAAAATAAGAATTTTGCACCTAGATTATCCACGCCTAAAGAAGCTGTTTAGGCCGGCGTCTAAAGATGCATTCTATCAAGCAGCTGTACCTAGAGAACCTAAGTGTCAAGTAGCCGAGCCTAGAAAATTCACAGGTCAGAAGTTCTAGAGAGCCCAGTTCACTTTCACTTTGACAAGTATCCTCTCCTAGAGCATCAAATTGTCAAAATTCTCACCATCTCCAATCAATTTCGATATTTTATTCATCACAAATAATTGATCAATAGCTGGCAATTGAAAAGCGATCGAATCATTTCCGGGAATCTCATCCAATTCTAAAATCATTCGAATATTAGTCGATTTCGATTTTTTGAATTCTTTCACATTTTTCGAAAATGAGGCGCGGAAAAATGAATTTGTGAGCAGATTGATCAAGATCGGAAATTTTTTAGTTAGAGACGCGTATTTTTTGCGACTTCCAACAATTATTCCATTACTTGTTTCAGCACAACTTGCGATTGATTTTGAAAATTCTATTGGAGTTATCGAAACTTCTGAAAATAGATGTTTTGAAATTTGATTACTATGACGTGGAAAACTGTCTCACTATTCTCAAAAGTGATCAAATCCATCTTTGCTAACAAAAATAATTCATGTGGATCAGTACACTTGACAGCATATTCTCGAAGTGTTGAAGGCAAAAATGCGAGAGCTGTATGTCCACGAGATATAAAATACCAAAGAGTTATCGTAATTGCACGAACATTCAATAGATTCTGATCGCTTGGAAGAACATCGAGATTTTTTCGAACTCGCCGATTAAACCTTTAATTTAAGAGTTTAATAAATTGATTGATTAATTAAAAAATTAATCAAGATTCCTACCTACAACTAACATCAATAGCATCAATACAAATCGGTCTCAAAAACACTGAATTCTCATTTCGTTTTTCCATTTGATCCGGAAATTCAGAGGATAATAAGAATGAGAGATTTTCTCGAAAACTTTTGGAAATATCAAAATTCTGTTCATCTTCTTCTGGTTGATTTGAAATTTCATCGTTTATTTCGACGAAATCCATAATTTCGAAATGATCACTTTCATTTCAAATGTCACGTCAAAAAATTCTGAAAATTAGTTTTCCGGTTCACGTCTAAAAATGTTGTATTTACATATTTGTGCAATTTTTCAATTTTTATCAAACTTCTAATTGGGTCCAAATTTTTATTTTACAACTGATTTTTAAGTATGAAAAATATATATTTATAAATTATGCATCAGACTGTACATCCCGTGAGTTTTTTCTGCGGAAAAGTGAAATTTTGTCATAAGGAATGATGATGAGAAGAAATGAAATGATTATTAAAACTGTGCCAATTAAGAATAATGTTGTCATTGGAACATGTCGGAAAACAATGTCGATTACTGCAAAAAATTAATGTGGAACCAAATTTTTCAAAAACAAAAATAATATAAATTACCTGTATTCAGTGGAATTCCACACAACATTCCAACCGAAATCACCAACGGATTCAACAAAGCAATCCCAAAATTAATAGTAAAATTAAAAGCGATTGATAAAAGTGCAGCACCCAACATCGGCCACCAAGGAGCATATGAAAAATCGAGAATCTCGACTCCAGTTTGCCAAAGAATCAAACTTGGAATCCAATTCAGTGTCAGGTTCAGAAAACCGAGACATGACATAAAAAGAGAAACATCGCCGAGGGATGCATTTCCAATAACTTTTTTGAATGAAACTTTATAAACCGCAGCCATAAAAGCGGAGAGAAAGGCTAGAAATATTCCGATCCATTCAATGTGCATTTCATGATCGAGGGAAATTACAACAACTCCAGCAATTGCGAATAATACAGAGAAAATCTAGAGGAAAATTAGATTAGATTGATGTTCTAGATGATTGCAAGCTTCCGTGCAACTTTTTCTAGATTATTCGCAGAAGTTATGGTAACTTTACCGAAAGCTTCTCACCTTCATAATATGAATAGTCTCTTTCAAAATGATGACAGCAAGAACATATACAAATGCAGCATTACAAGCACTAATTGATGTGGCAACACTAGGTGTAATCAATAAAAGTGCTCGAACATATGGATAATTGGCACCGATCCAGAAAATCAAAAATGGAAATACATATTTGATCAATGTCCATGGAGTTAGTTTTTGATTTTCTCCGAATTTTCGTTGAGATTCTGCGAATATTTGTGAAATTGATTTTTTGGTCCGAATTTGTTCATAGGCTAAGAAAACTGGGAAACATGACATCATCAAATTTGTGTTGAACCACATCATAAAATAAGGGGCATTGAAGTGGGTCTGCAAAAAAAGCTTGATGTTTCATTTTTTCACATGGCCTAGAAATCGGGGGAAAAACTCGGTCATAACTTACAGTATCATAATTCAGCGCAGTCTTGCTAAATTGTGTTGATAAACACCAAGTCAGTGCCACTAATCCAATAATCACCGCATTCAGAAGCACCATAAATTTGGTGGATTTTTGTTGTGACGTGGCAGGCGGTGGAGGATCAGACATTCTGAAAATCAAAGAGATTCAAATTGTTTGGAACCAAAAATGTGGAAGAACTACAGTAGTTCAAAGGGACAGTATCACCAGTTTCGGTGGAAAAAGTTGGAATTTGAAATTGTTCAAATTTGCCGGTGAAAAATTAGATTTTGAAAAATTGAAATTCAAATTTTTCCCGCGCCAAAAACATGGAAGAGAAAAACATATGTTCAAAAAACCACACAAATAAATATAATCGATAAAAATGACCAGTATCTAACCGTCTGCGTCTCTTCGCAAAAAGTTTCTCTCGCAAAAAAAAAGATTTTTGTTTTTGTTTTCTTTTTTCTCAATGAGTTGGCTTGCTGCCCGTGATTTTTTTTCAATTTTTAAACGTAACTTTGGCGTGAAAAATTAGAATTGAAAGAAACTTACATTTTTTGAAAAAGTGGTCTGTTGGGCTCCATGAAACACACACAAAATGAATGAAGTGATAAAAAAATGTGTCTCATTTTTTTTTTGAAAAAGAGATAACAGGGTAAACATGTGAGATTAATGGTCAGATTTTTTTAGTTTTGGAGTCAAACCGGATACTGTACTTTAAAGGGAACTTTTTTTAAAACTTATCTATTTACCTGACGAAACCCTATGAATGAAAATTTCCAGGTATGAATGAATGAATAAAGTTCTAAAAGTTCTAAAGTTCTCTACAGTACCCCTTCTCTTTTTGAGAATTTAATAAAAACCAGAAAACACACACATTTTGTCGGTGAAAAATGAAATGAAATTCCAAAAAGATGACAATATTTTTCCATTTTTCCATTGAAAAAACCATCAAAACAAAAAAACAGATTGCAAAATTGAAAAAAAGATGATTCAATCTCGGAAAATGTTTAGTGAGCTATTGATAACAGACAGAGACAGACTAGACTGTAGTTTTGAGCAGAGATCAAATTATATGCAAATTTTTACAGTACTCTGACCAGAAAAGCAAAGCAGTTAGAGATCACTATAGAGGTAGAGAGACAGGGAAGAAAGACAATCAGAGCTAGACAGTTACGCTTCACGGAAGCTACACTTACGCAGCAGAGCGCTCGTAGACTAAACTAGACTCTAGTTTCCAGAACAACCAGCACAATCAAACAATATATTTATAATAAAATATATACAAAAAAACATTCCGATTTTTTTCAGAATTTTGATTTTCCAATAATTGTCAGCGGAGTAATTGGCTCATGATTTTTCAAATTTTCTTCAGCAATCGGCAAATTTTGAAGTGTCGTTTTGAAAAGCATAAATGCAATTGTCCCGATACGAAAATATATGAAACTGAAATAACAACTTGAAATTGGAAATTTTGAGAAAATATATGAGCGCTGAACTTACTTTTGTGGCTCAAAAGTGACAAAAGATCCAAAATGTTTTCCACAAATACAATGCCAATCTGGTCCGTGTTGTTTATCGAAAGTGGTTTTTAGATGACGAGCAATGTCATGCTCCAAATGATATGTCTGCAATATTTTGGAATCATTTTTGGAAAAAAACATAATCTGGTTTAAGTTAGGTACATAATATTTGAATAAAAAAACTAATTGAATGAACGAAAATTTTTGATTCTCAGATTTGTCTGGAACCTACCGTAATTGCTTTTGCTGCTAAAGAACAAGCTTCTTGTTCCATATGCAAAGGCATACTCGAATGTTGAACATCAGCCACAACTTCTCGACATTTTCCAGTCCTTCGACATTCTAATTCAAATCTGAAAAATAATCATGAAATCGTAGCTTGTCCAAAAACATTTCAAAAAAACTTCACAAAGTATAAATGAGAAGTTAGTTCAAGACACACCTTTTTTGACTTACTCACCTGTGTGCTTTTTCATTATTCATCGCTTTTACACGGTGTTTTGTAGTTGTAGCCAAACTAAATGACTTGGCTCGAGTGATTTTTTGTTTCGCCACAAATTGTTTTCTCTGCATCTCTTCACTCTCTTGGCTCATTGTTGTGATAGTAGTACAACTCATATTTGTTTTGATCTCCTGAAAAAATCACTTTTTTTTCGAAATTTTATCAAAAAAATTGATGATAGAAAAGATGAGTTACCGGAAGTCCCCGGGACTTTTTTCTTTTCTTTTTTTTGTGTGTGAAAAAATACAGTATTCCAGGAGTACTGTAGATCAGAGGGTTTCGTCATTATAAGTACAAAGATCGAGATCAGATGTGTTAACACGGCGTTTTGTTTATTTGCCTAGGGAGTAATAATTGTGGAGTGGGATGGAAAGGCTGTGAGGTCAGAGAATAATCATAAGGAATTGACGCGAAACATCTGGATAGGGGGCGAGGGAGTACGGTAGGAATTTATGAAATTTTTAAAATGGTACGGTATTTATATTCGGTATTTGGAATTGAAATTATTTTGATGGGCAGTCAAAGAGATACTGTAGTTTCGGAATACGATATAGGAAATGTTAACTGTGAAAACACAATTAAAACTGTATATTTGAGAAACAGTAACCCGAACTACAATTTTTCGAGCTACAGTACTCCAAACTACAAATTTTCGAGCTACAGTACTCCAAACTACAAATCATATTACAATTTCAATTTTAGAAATGCACAAAAATAAGTGATTTACGCGGGAGAAATTCTTGGCTCAAATTCAAACGAAAAATAAAAAATTTTTGTCGAAAGTTTGAGGTGAGTTCAACTATCGAAAATAACAAAGAAAGTGAGAAGAATAGTGTGTCATCCCCAATTATCCGCCCTCTTTTCCTTCCAACAATAAACCACTTCTGCTCCCAAATCCAATAAGAAACAATGATGATGTTATCGATATATTTGTTTTGTTCTTGGTTATTGAGACATGATGTTTGGAGTTTCGAAATACATAGATGTGTATTTGCGAACTAGACAAGAGAAAAACTGTCTAGATTTTTTGATCTAGATATTAAAATACCAATTTTTGATCTGGGAATCAACATGTTAAGCTTCTGGAAAATTGGAATCCGGATAAAATGATGAAAAAACCTTGAGTTCTGAAATTATCAAATCGTACATTTTTTATGCAAACCGTTCAAATTTTCAAAAATATTCCATTTTTTCCAGGCTCTTTTCACAATTTCAAATAATAAAAAGAAAACATTTTCATGTGTTCTCCAAATTATTTCCAACATATTTTTCACCACCAAAAAACTCAAGCATTCTCCAGTCTCTCTCTGAAAAAAAGATAAAAAATTTTATATATTTTTCGAGATTTTTATGACGTTTCGCGTTTCGCTGCGTTTCGTAGTAAGAAATGAGAATGAATGAAGAAATTAAAAGCCAGATGGCTCATTCACAGATTTTTTTCCTGAAATTTATTGATTTTTCTCCAAGTTACCCGAACTCTTTGTGTACTTTTTCATTTTTTCCTGATTCATCAAAAAAGTGCCCATAATCTCCCCTTTTAAATCATTTTGTTCACATTTTTTGACATATGTTTTGCCTTTTTGTTTTTGAAACACAAAAAGTAATCCCCTAACTTTTCCTAAGTCATAAATATAACTCTCATTTTCCCGCAAAAAAATATTTTTTTTCTCGCGTAAGAAAAAACTAATTAGACACCCCGCCCGAAAAGTGTCATGTTTTTTGCCTCCTATGAAGATGATTATGAGTTGCGTGTGTCGGGCACTTGAAAATAGGCAAAATATGTGAGAAAATGTTGTAGAGTGCTCCAAAAAAAAATAAAAAAAAGTTTCGGTGCCTCATGCTGGAATCGAACCAGCGACCTTCTGTTTACTAGACAGACGCTCTGCCACTGAGCCAATGAGGCGCACGAGAATTCGCTTTTTTATTTCCAATACTTGATCGCGTGTATTTTTTGTTTTGAAACAAAAAAACAGAAAATGTGTAGTAAATACAAATAATCCCTTCCATATAATTAGACATCCTTTTTTTCATTTTTGGTGAAAAAAAAGAAATATTTTTTGTCATTTTTTCCTCAAAAAATTTGTATTACAATACAAAAAACCTCGGTTGCCATAACAATTTTTCTATAATTAATCCCGAGGGTGATAAATTTTATTTTTCAGTTTTTCAAAAAAATATTTTTGTCTAGATTTTTCGGGGCCCTACAGTAACCCCTTTTTAGCTTCAGAATTCTTCTTCTTGAGAAAAAGAGGAGAAGGAGAAGAGATAATTTTCGGAGCACAAAAAGAGGCTCCGCCCATTTTTTGGGAGCTCTTTTTTCATTTGTGCTTTGCTAGTAGCGAGATCTGAATTTTTGGGATTTTTTTTGACACGTGGCATTTAACGCGCGAATTTTTTTTGATCTACCGAATCTGAAAAATTTATAAATTTTGTTATGACGTGGCAAAGTTTCTCTAAGCTCAGCTACTTGAAAAATAGGTTTTCCAGGCGCTGCTCCTATAAATCATATTCTATAGCCGCGGCTACTTGACAACTAGGTGTTTTCTCTCAAGGCGCTGCTCCTAGACCTATTTTTTCTAAAATTTTCATATTTTCCCACCAAAAATGATCTAATTTCAAATTTCCGCTCTTTTTTTTATATTTCAAGTCAAAACAAACAAAAGGTGTGCTAGTCTTCTTCTTCTTCTTTTTTCCCAACTTCTGAATTATTCAAACTTCTTAGGTTTCGCCTTTCTTTTCTTTTTTTCTAACCAAAAAAAGCAAGTTATGTGAGAGAATTTGTCAAAAACGTGGGAAAAATACTTTTTTTTGTTGGGGCGCAAAAAAATAGGAAAAAGCAAGAATAGAAAAAAAAAGTAATTAGAAAACAGATTATTACTTTTCATTAATATTTAATTCCCCTTTTCGAGCCTCGCGAATTTTTGATTATTTTTGATATTTTCTGGGATCATGTTGTTGTTTTTTTTTTCACGCATTTTTTTCATATGCGATATTTCGAACAGTTGAAAAAAAGGGCCGCGTGGTCAAGTGGTTTACACGCGTGCCTACCGTTTGCAAAACCTGGGTTCGATTCACAGAGCCGCCAAACTTTTTTATTTTTTTCATTCGTCAAATAGCCGAACTCGAGAAAAAACAAAAATGATTTATTATATCATAACTCTACTCACATCAAGGCTAATAAAAAATATGCCATTTTGCATGTAGGTTGTTTGTGTTAAACATTATTAATCCCCTATTCAAAAAAAGCGCCGCGCGCGCAAAAAATTTAAAATTCTAGGCAAAAAAAAGAAAATTCTGTTTTTGTTTTGATATTTCTTTCTGTGTGTTCCCAATGTTCGGAAAAATGAATATAAGAAAATATATATGTGTCATTTTCAGCAATTCCAGTTCCAATAAGTAACTATTTTTGGCACCAAAATATAGCAATGATATGAAGAATTTGATATTTTTGATGCTCTCATTTTTTCTACATCCACCAACTGCGACGTGTTATTCATCTATGAGTTATGAGCGAGATCCTCGTGAGTTTTGTAAGCGCGCTCCATTGATAAATCAAGCGGTAATCGAAGAAATTCAAATTTTTTGCAGCATCTAGTAGGCAGCACCAACATCAACAGAAGAATAAATGCTATAGTTGTATGTCGAGATATTATGGTGTGACGTGGGATTATTTGGGATATTCGAGGATTTATGAAACACCTAAAATATTTACTGATCATTGCAGGTTAGACTAAGTTTTGATATTCAGGCCAGAATTCGGGCTCACAAAGTTCAGGCTTGAATTTTCTGAATCTGATAAAAATAGATTTCCGGGATCAAAATTTTGAATATATGATTTTTTAATCCTATTTTCTTTTGTCATATGTCTGGATTTTTATCATGAGGTGAGGTGATTTTATGACGTGGAAAATGATGTCTTTTTTCGAGATTTCAGATTTTTATGAGAATATTCGATCCCAAAAAAAAGACCTCAAAACTTTGCCACGTCATAAACCATATTCAGAACCTGGAACTCTTGGCCTCCAATCTTAAAGATCTGCTAACTACCTATTCTGAAATTTGTTTTTCAGAGATCCAACATCTCGCGGAGCCGATGTTCCTTTCATTGAATGCAAAGATCAATCAAATTGTGTGACAATGGTTGAAGATATAAAAGCTGGTTCGTACTTTTCTCATCAATTTCATTGGGCCAATTTTCAGCCGAACTTTTTTTTCAATTTCAAAACGCCTTTCCTTTGTTCTGTTCTCATCTAATTTAAAAACCGCAAATGTCAAAAATCGTCTTGAAATGTGTCAATCATCCAACACCTGTGTTACAATTTATCTTTGGAGCAACAAAAAAAGTTTTTGTTTTTTTTTGAGCTCACGAAAAAAATCTGAGGGACATGGAAAATTGGCTGTATCTTGTGGCTGGCTGATAGAATTTCCTGAGAAATAAGGAAAAAGGCGTTTGTGAAGAAGAGTTTCAGGGGAAAGAAAGGGATACAGTAGAAAATAAATATTGGGGGGATTTGGAATTTGAAATTCAAAATTGATGATTTCAGGCGTTGGCAACAAGGGATTTATACGTGGATGTTTTAGCAACATTTTTTTGTACGGTTTCAACAGAACAGGTGAGTTAGAAATTTGAGCTACAGTACTACAGGTTACTGTAGACAAATCAGGATTTGAAATTAAGACTCTAAAAATTCTGAGATCAAAATTTCTCGGAGATTTTGAATATTCAGATTGTGTTGTCACTCGCAGAATATTGATCTATTTTTTTGCAGGTACTGTAGGCGCACTGGGCGCTCATTCCTTTTGCCATACTTTCAACTTAACACAACTTGTTAGCGCTGGAGAACCTATAGATTCTACAATAAAGTGGGTTTTTGTTTTTTTGTGGGAAAAAAAAAACATTTGGAAAATTAGTATGCTCTCCCAGTTTTTCTTGACCATTCGAATTTTTTTTTGGAAAGTTGAAAAACAAATTTTCCGAGAAGGGAACCATTTTCAAATAAAAAATATCGGACTTAAAATACGTTTCAAAAAATGTGTATTATTTTCAAATGGAATGTTTATACGTTTACATATCTTTCATTGATTTATGTTGAAAAATAATTTCAAACTTTCGAAAATCAAAAATTTTCGCGCCAAAATATTAAGATTACTGTTGATTAACAGATTTGTAGTTTGAATGGAATGCTTTTTAAATAGCATCTATGTCAAGTAGCCGAGCCTAGGAAGTGCAATTGTCGAGGATCAGCGTCTAAAGAGCTTAGTTCTCAAGTAGCCGCCCCTTAAGAATCTAAATGTCTAGGACCCAAGTGTAGAAATCCACTTTGGCAAGGAGTCAAGCTTAGAAAGCCTTGTTTACAAGTAGCCGCGTCTAGAGATCGTAAAATTCAATGTGAGCAATGCTTCAAATCATATTTACTATCAAAAATCTAGATAGTAATTTAAATATTTTCAATAATTAGCATAACATGAGCAACGTCTAATTCTTCTAGAAGTTCACAGATCTCAAAAATCCTCCGAACATCCAATTATCTTGAAAAAGAGCACCTAGAACACTTTGCCCCGAAGGAAAAGTGCAATTTAATGCAATTTATAAAAAGTCTTCTCTTTTTGTCGAAAGTGACATCAAACACATGTTTCTTCTATTAGAAATATGTAGAAATCAAAAATTAGATAGATGAATGAAGTATCATTAATTATGAAAAGATTAGGAGAAAAAGGGAAGGAATTTTGATATTGAGAAAAATGAAGAGGACATCATTAGGGAAACAACTACTTATGTTATGTTAGGATGAGATTGATGAGTAGAGGGGGAAAGGAAAAAGAGTTCGTGGAAGTATTTGGGGAATCCGGAGAGAAAAGGGCTTTGGGGTCAGGCCTATTAAAAAGACTAGGCTTATCAAAAACCTAGGGCCTTTGATTAGGCCAAATTTATAATTCTGAAGATCTAAAATTAAATTCCAAATCTACAGTACCCCCCCCCCATCCCGCCATTTCCTACCGTACGATTTTCCAGTGTGTGCTCTTGTCACGGACCTCTTTGCAATGGTGCCACAATCAAATCCTCTGCTCTGCGTCTCCACAATTCTCCTACATTCTCTCAACTTCTCCTCATTTTTACCGTGATACTGATTTTTAATTGAAAATATATTGTACTTATGATAAGTTCCCATAAATATGTCTTTCCTCTTTTTTTCGTACAGTATCTAAACCTGAAAGATTTTTAGGCGCGAAATAATCTTTTGGTTTCTTCCCAGCGTCTCTCTGCGTCTCTCACTCTCGCATACTCTCTTCTCTGCAGACATGCCTATCTATGCACACTCTCCACAATTTGCACACTATCTCGCTGGTTTTTAGGCACGTCGCAATCAATATAGGCCTGTCCTTTTCATTTTCTTCTTCTCATTTTCGTTTTCTGGTTTGGTTTTATCTATCGCAGAGTTTTTTTCGGAGAAATGTGGCCACCGCAAGCAAATTGCAATTATGGGTGAGTTTTTGACCTTACAATTAGCGGTTTTTTGTTCAAAATTTGAAATTTTCAGATTCGCGGAAAATCTGCACGAGCATTTCCATCATAATCATCACCACGATTTTGCTCATTCTTCCAACAATCATTTGGAATGTTTTCAAACTTTCTCACATCCTTCTGATCTTCCAATTGAATCTGGACATTTTCCAGAATATCAGGGTTAGTTCTTATAAATATCCACACTTTTAGGTTTTTTTAATTTTAAAATTCAATTTTGAAAACGCGAAATTTTTGAAAAATCTAGCGTTTGAATTTCTGCAGATATTTCCTGGTGTTCAGTGGAGCGCAATTGCAATCACGAAGGTGCTTGCAAACAAAACACCATTCCAGAAGAGCAATCAAAAATCTTCGAGGAAATCACCAAAGAATGCCAGCATTTTTTGAAGGAAGGAGAATGCGATAAATGTTTAGTCAGGTAAAAAATTTCCCGCCACCCAAGATTTGTTCATTTTTAAGAATTTGAAATTTCAGAAATGATGATGGTGGTTCTGAAACAATTCCAATCAATGATTTGGTTGATATAGTTATACAAACTGTGGAAAATGTTGGGCCGAAAGTTGAAGAATCAAAAATGTTGAGCAGGAAAAGACAACAGAATAAGGTTGCGGCGGCCAGATATAGGGATAAGCAAAAAATGAAGTGAGTTAGCTTAAATAATATGATTTTTCTATAAATTATGTGAATTTTGCAGGTGGAAAGAGTTGAATGATGAGAAAAGTATTGAGGAAACTCGCAACAAAAAATTGAAAATTGAAGTCGAAAAATTGGAAAAAGAAGTGGCCGAATTGCGAAAACAGTTCATGGAGACAATCAGCAAATAATCAAAGTTCAAAAATTTCAATCATTTTTATTCAGTTTTGATATGATACTTGTATATGAGCCGATGAAAAATTATCACAATTTTGTTTTATTTTAGAAAATAAACCCGTTTACATCACATTTCTATCAATTCTCACACCTTCTGCTTCTAAAAGTCGCATTTTTAATTCGGTTCCCCAAACATATCCAGAAATTGATCGAGGAGTTGCGATAACTCGATGACATGGAATGAGATAGGCGATATGGTTTGAGAGACAAGTTAGACGAACTGATGCACGTTGAGCGATGTCACCAAGCTCGATGGCAAGCTGAATTGAAAATGATTTTTAAAATATTTGGAACGTGAAATTTTTAGGACGTGGCAATTTTTAACAATTTCTAAAAATACTCATTTTTAAATATTTCTTCATTTCAAAATTGCCTCCTAAATACCTGCTCATAAGTCCTCGTTTCCCCTTTCGGTATTCTCCTTATTGCATCATGAACCCGTTGCACAAAATTCGTCTCAATATTTATTTGATTATCCGAAACAATCATATATCGAAACTGGGCCATTGAATCCAGATTATCGATCGCATTTTTGACAATTTCGGAATGTTTTGGGACTCCTTCAGTAAATTCTACATTTGGCAAATATGATTTTAGTTCGATTAATTTTTCATCAAAGGTGAAATCGGCTAGAAAATGAACAAATAGTAGTTTTTGGCTTGTAGAACATTCGACTATTATAACCTGAAATTTTTATTATTTTTCTTTTAAAATTTCCTCTCCGAAACTAATCCCATGGTCCATGGAGAATACTTTTTTTTATCGTAAAAATTTTAATTAATATTTTTTTTTAATCGTTTATATGTAGGCGCACACATTTTCTATCATAAGATATCTCACCGCGACACAGTGATTTGTGTACTTCTCCCGGACTTCTTTTTGTTTTTTTTCGCAAAAAATGACTGAACCGAAAAAACGACGATTAGAGGAGGAAAATGTGAGTTTTCTTTTGAAATTTTTGAAGCAAATGGAAGTTTTCAGGTTTCTCTCGAAGAAATTTATTCAGAAACAACTGGTTGGTTTGATATTCCATACGAAATGCGGAAAATTGTGATCGATGATATGGATGTTGAAACTAGATGCAGATTCACAATTTGTTCAACAAAATGTGAAAATGAAGCGAAAATGTCGAAAAAACTTTTCACAAGCATGGCAATTGGTCGAGGAATCTTTCCAGAATTGTATATTGGTCATGATGAATACGGTTATCGTTATTGTCTCGAATTCATGGAAGTCAGTAATTTGAGCAATAAAACAACTTTCGTAGTTTACAAAACGTAAGTTGTTCAAAACTGTTTAAAAAACGTTGAATATCTATTGTAATTTTCAGAACAGCAAACAGAACAAATCCAGAGAAAGAAACAAGAGTTATGAAATGGATGAAAATCGTTGAAAACGAATCTGCTGAACAAGTTAGAAATCGATATTTGATCGAAATAATGGAAAAATATCAGAATAATATTGTTTCTCTCAAATTTGATGACAACAAATTGGTTTTCAATGATGAAATCAATTTCAAAATTTTGAAAAATCTCAAAAAAATTATTGATAGAACTGGAATAGATCTCGTAAAAAATGGATTATTAGATGCATCTCAAATTATTGGAGCAGAAACCGTGGTAGCTGAACAAACGCGTTTGACGCTCAAAAAATTGATGCAACTTGAAGCATCAGAGTGTAAAGTTCGATGCAATAATCTACACGGATTAAATATGGCGGAGTTCTTGAAAATGTTCCAGACTGGAAAATGTCTAAGAAATATGAAACATCTCAAGATCTATACAGAAGGCACTATTTTGATCGATGATTTTTCAGATGAATTGGGTATTAATTTTGTCGAAGATGAAGATGATTATGATGAAATGTAAGAAATATTTATGTGAATTTAGAATCAAATAGAAAATATATTTCCAGATACTCATATTTTGATTTCGATGTTGCTTACGATGATAAACATTTCAAAGCAACCTTCACTTCTTATTTTGATCATATCAAAATCGATGTTAGAGGCAAATAATTGTTCTATGCTAGTTTACTTTTGAAGTTTTAAAAAAGCAAATAAATCTGTCACATGTTATTATACCTTTTTTTGCGACTCTTCTTGTAGTCTTGGTTCCTCTAATTTGGAGGAGGACGGAATTGCTGTCCTACTTGTCCTACTCGCTGAAGAAAAACTGAAATGACTGTTTTTCTATTTTGCTCATTTTTTCAGTTTTTCTACTTTTTCTTTGTTTTCGGGTATCACATTATTGATTTTTAAGAGGGAATCAAGTTAAATGAACTCATCAAACTTCCGTTTAAAAACATCGGGTAGGACAAGTAGGACAGCAATTCCGTCCTCCTCTAATTTGGCATAACTCAGGCAAACGAGCCGACTAATCGGTGACTAACTTTACGTGGAGCGACTAATCGTTGACCAACTTCTCCTGGGGCGACTAATCGCCGACTAACTTTTTGTGGGCCGACTAATCGACGACCAACTTTTTTTGTCGGCCGACCAACTTTTCTGCTAATTTATATGTAGGCCGATTAATCGCCGACTAATGTGCGACCAACTACTAGTTGACAGGCGATTTATCGCCAGTTGGTCGCCGATTAGTCGGCCCGTTTGCCTGAGAATCCTCTAAATAGTGCCCAAAAAAGGCTCCTCCCCTTTCTGTGCAATTGCGCGTCACATCAAACGCATTGTGTGCAAACACCGAAAAGCGGCTTTTCAAAAAAACGCGTTTTTCTTTTGTTTTTTCCTCATTTTCTACTCGTTTTCCGCGCGGAATGGATTCACAAAAAGCTCAAAATATATTTGCATCAACCAGTTCGACAGTTATACTAAAAAGATCATCATCGTCAAGCAATGCAAATCCGAATTTGAAAGGTGAAAATTGAATTTTCAATTAGGAATTATTGGCGAAAAAATAAGTACATTTGATTTCAGAATCTATGAATTATAAAGTGTTAAATGAGACACTTCTTCGCAAAATTCAACAATTGAAAAAGCAGCTGAATGACGCTGAAAAAGGAATGGATAGATTGAGAGCAGAAAATATGGAATTGAGAGAAGTGTAAGTTTTTTGGGTTGGGAAATGGTTTTGGAGGTAATATTTGAAACAAAATTAATACAAACAATTTCGATTCATTGTGAGCAAATGTAAAAAAAACTTTTCTTGCAATTAATAAAATATCTCGCCACGAAAATGCTTCAATGAAAAAATAAGGAAAAACTAGTTTTTTTTGACATTTGGTTCTCTGAAACGTTCTCTTGTGATTCGAGTTCTGGAAATTTCCTGAAAAAATTCAATACCGGATTCATGAATTCGGCTGATTAGAATTACTCAAATGTTTTTCAGAAACCAAAAATTGATATCGGAAGGTGAAGAAGAAAGAATAAATGTAATAGTGAATCAAAGAGTTCAGAAAAAGTTGGCACACTTTGCGTCAATTGGACAGAGAACAATTCAATTTTTGCAAAACGCTGGAAATGATATGACAGAAGCGATTAAAGATATACAGTAAGAGCGACGAATTTCAAATTCCAAACATTTATTTCTTTTCTCTTTTTCAGAGTTCAAGCGGATGTCAATGATCCTCCTACTAAAAGAATTCGCAAAAAATTATCTGCTGACCCTAATCTTGAAAAAGTTGAAGAATCGCCAATTCGGATAGCTTCTACTTCGGAAAACAACACCATCACAATTTCTGATTCTGGAGAAGAGGAAACCACTCCGAAAATGGAAAATATTTCAACAATTGATAGAAAAAACAAAGGAAGAAGGAGCGCTTTGTTAGATTTTAATTCGCGTAAGTTAGGCATCTCTGAAATTTTATTAAAATTAATTTCGTTTCAGAAATTGCTGCGGAGACGCCTAAAGTTGCACCGGTTGTCGGATCAAAACGTCAGCCGCTTTTTATCAAACCGGAAACTCCGAAGAATAACAAAAAGGATAGGAAGAATTACCAGACCCCGGTTGTTGAAAAGAAAGACGAGCCTAGTTGTTCGACGGCTAGACCTATGAGAAGTGCAAGACCAAAAAGTTTGAAGGAACCCTCGTTGGGCTCGAAAATGAGGAATCCGGGAAAGTTTGATGAACCGTGTCCTTTCATTTCCACGTCTTACTAATTTTTTAAATTCATTTTGAGAAAATACTTACTGGTCCTTGATTTGTTTCGATTTGAGCATAGTAACATTCTCGAATAAGCATGTCGTTTACCTAATACTTGTCAGATAAAAATATTGTCTCGATATGATATGGTTTTTTTAAAATTGATTTTTTGTCAAATAATTATGCATTATGACTAATTTTTACATATATAAATTGTTTACTTGTTTTGAAACAATAACAATTTATTCGAAAAATGGAAAACAAACTTAGTCGAAGAGACCGAATCCCATGTCGTCGTCGGATTCTTCCTTGGCTTCTTCCTTCTTGGCAGCTGGGGCGGCGGCGGCTGGGGCAGCTCCTCCAGCAGCTGGAGCAGCAGCGGCGGCTGGTGCGGCACCTCCTCCGGAGACCTGAAAATGTTTTTTGATATATCAACAGATGAAATATAAAATACCCACATTGTCAGGTAGAATCTTAGAAGTAATATAAATTTTTGAAATTCCGGAAAGTAATTTCACTGTCATTGAAAAAACCAAAAAAGAAACTTAGAAACTTATCGTCAGCAAAATCTCAACTTTTTTTTTGAAAATGATGGAGTAGGAATTTAAAATTTTAACGTGAACTTTTCGTTATAACTAGGAATTAATTTCTTCTAAGAATATCATTTCGAAAACTTTTCTAGTCAGCACTAAAAATCACAACCTTATTTTTTCATTTGAAAAAAAACTTACAGAGACAAGTCCTGAGGCTCCTTCGGCGATGAGTTGCTCGACGGTCTTTCCGTGGAGTCTTTCAACGACGAGTTTGGCGGTGGTGGCATCTGAGTCAACTCCAACAGCGCTGAGGATGTTCTTGAGGTCGTCAACCTAAAAAACTTTTTTTAATGAAAAAGTTATATAAATTATTGAAATAATTATTTTCAAGGTTTCATCGAGGTGAAACTATTGTTAGTCAAAGAACTCACGCTTGGGTTGGCGTTTCCTCCGAGAACGGCGAGCAAGTAAGCCGAAACGTAACGCATTTTACCTGAAAAAATCAAAAATTTGAGAAAAAATGAATTTTTCATGTTTTACAAAATTTTGCGAAAAATCGAACACACCGCGGGAATCCAAATTTTCCCCAGATTCTTTTACACTGTCTAAAAGTCAAAAACTATGCGATACGAACGATTTACAGCGTAGGAAAAGCGAAAAAAGAAAAAAAGAAAATTTTTTCATTGAGAAAAGGGAGAGTACGGTGGGTAAGGTCGTCGCGACGAGACCCACACAACGAGAAAATACGCCTCCCTTTACTTTTTCTTTTTATTTTTTTCGTCTCCACGTTTTAGTTTTGCATAATTTCAAAGCTTTCGCTTTGATAATCCTTCCGCCAAACTGTCTGCTATATTCAATTTTCAAAGTCTTATATCTGTAATCCTTCTATTAATCTGCACCTGTGCATATCTCCGCGCTTTCGCCCCAAAGATCATTGACAGAAATAAGGAGGGGTAATCGTTTTTATAACTAAATAAAGTCAAGGAATTTGTTCTTTTCAGACTTCTCGGCGTCTTTTGGAAGTGCGCAAGAATCGGAGAAAGGCTTAGTCCTTGGGTTTCATTGAGTTGTTTCTGTATGGCATTCGTTGTTCTGTTTCTATAAGAAAACATGTCAAAAACCAGCAGAATCGATGAAACAAATTTCGAAATCAATCGCCGTCGCAATGTAAAACCCCACTTCGAACCCAATCATATTTATATCACACGAAAAACGAATATCGAACAACAATCCAAAAAAGCCGCCGAAATGCTCAACAACTCCTTCGACGAGATTTTCATTCATGGAATGGGCGCTAGTTTGAATAAAGCAATGGTTTTTGCATTAGAAGTTGAACGAAAATTCGCGGGAAGTGTCAAATCCGATGTTCTTACTTCAACAGTTCAAGTCACCGATGAAATCTTCTCATTTTCCGACGAACATGAGAATAATCTTCGAAACCGCCCAATTTCCGCCGTTCATATTCATCTTTATCGTGTTATTGTTTGATTATGGGTTAATATATTTATTCTTTCCATTTTTCACTGGTTATTTTATTTTTATATTATAAAACGGATTGGCAAACAAAAGTACCATAACTTCTGAATATTTATATTATTTATCATTATCTTATTAAAAAGTTTATCTTACTTAAAAATTTTAAGGACTTATGTTGAAGAGGAGACATGCAGTGTACATAATTAGCAGATGTTTTGCGAGTCGTTTGGCGATTGTTGGAAGCGGACCAGCCGGTATTTTTTCTCATTTTAATTCAGGGAGGGGTGGTCTCCCCCTTTCTTGAGCAAGAATTATTGATTTTTGCAATTTATTAGGCATGTTTGCTTGCAATGGTGTTTTGAGGAGGAAACAAGACGTTTTTGTTGATGTTTTTGAGCATTCACCAGTGCCTTTTGGATTGGTTAGATATGGAGTTGCGCCAGATCATCAGGAGGTTGGATTTTTTTAATTTTGAAAATATAATTTTTTTCGATCAGCTGAGCTCGATAAAATTGCAGTACTGAATTCCTATCATAAATTATGAGGTGACATTTCGGAAATTACGGATTTTACAAGTCTATTACCATTTTAAAAAATTATTTTCATGAAAATCTGATTTATAAGTAAGTTCTTTCAAATATTCGTCTTATAAAATCCGAAATCTTCAAACTTTGCCACGTCATAACTCATATTAGAAATAGAGTTTTGCAATTTTTGACAGCAGGAACTTGATCTGTGCTAAATTTTGAAATGAGAACTCTGATAAATTTTTAGAAAATTCCACGTCATAGTTCACGTCTATATCAAAATAAAATTCATTTTCAATTTTTTTCCAGGTGAAAAATGTGATCAACACATTCGATACAATGTTCGAGAAGAATCGCGATCGTCTTCGTCTTTTCTGCAATGTCAGTATAGGTCGAGATATCAAATTCGAAGAATTATTAGACAATTATGATGCAATTCTTCTAGCCTATGGCTCTTATAAAACGCGAACACTTCAAATTCCTGGCTCGAAAAACACGAAAAACGTAATTTCCGGCTCGGAATTCGTTGGTTGGTATAACGGAATGCCGAATATTTCGGCACCAAATAATTTGGAAAATGTGAAGAATGTGATAATTGTTGGAAATGGAAATGTTGCATTGGATTGTGCGAGAATTTTGTCGAGTTCGAAGTCTGGCGATGGAAAATTGAGGATTTCGGATATTCCGAATGATCGGCTCGATTTGCTGGAGAAATCGGGAATTGAGAATATCAAGATTCTAGGGAGAAGAGGACCCGAAAATGTGAGCTTCACTGAATTATTTTTTTTAATCTAAAAAAATTATATTTCAGGTCTCATTTACCATCAAAGAACTCAAAGAACAATTCAAAGTCGAAAAATGGTCAAGTAAAATTGAAATTTCGCCAGAAGACCAACAAAAACTTCAGAATCTTCTTCCAACTTTGGAAAGGAAGAAGAAGCGACTAACCGAAGTGATTTTGAAGAATTCGGGAAAATCGCAAGGCGAAAGGAAATGTCAATTTTTGTTTCATTGGGTTCCTAAGGAAGTAATTGCGAATAAGGATGGGTTTATTGAAAAAATACGAGTGGAAAATGTTGAGAAAAATGGACAGGAGATTGAGGAATTACCGTGTGATTTATTGATTTATTCGATTGGTTATGAAACTATTGTTTTGGATGGTGTACCGAAAAATGAAAAGGTGAGGGAATTTATGGACGGAGAGGGGGGTCCTAGAGGTTTCATACAGTTTTCATAAGGATCCGCTCTTAGAAATTTTTTTCAAGTAGCCGCGGTTTTTGACAACTGAAATCTCTGAGCTCAGCTACTTGGACAATCTTCAAAAATTTAAAATATAAAGTACAACTTTCAATCACGACAATCCTAACCGAAACATATTTTATTCCAAATTTTTTTCTCCAAACCTCAATTATTTCAGAAAATGATTGATATGAAAGACCATTGCCGCGTAAATCTTCCAAATTCCTCAGTTTATGCAACTGGTTGGTGTGCACATGGACCAAAAGGAGTTATTGTTGACACGCAACAACAAAGTATATTTGTTGCCGAGGAAATTGTCAGCGATTTCGAGAATGCTGAAAATGCAAATGCGCCACCAAAAACACTGGAAATCCTGAAGTCTCGAAAAATCCCGTTTTTGAGTTGGGACGCTTGGAAGAAAATCGACAATGAGGAACGAGATTTGGGAAAAAAGACGGGAAAAGTTCGGGAGAAATTGACGCAATTTGACCGGTTTTTTTGAAATTTCATAGAAAATGTGCCATTTTTTTCTTGAGAAAATATAGATTTTTACAATTTTTCTGGTTGTTTTGATCAAAAATTTAATGGTTTTCAAGCCATTTTCATTATTTTTTCATCATTTTGATGTAATTTTCCCGCCTCAGCCCCGAGGTTTATTTTAAGATGGAATCGAAGATTTTGGATGGTCCAAATGTTGGTTACTGTAGTTCATCTGAAGGAGAAGAAGAAGATTTCAAAGTTGTGAAAGATGAGGATGAACATCAGGCAAATGTGATGAAAAAGTTTGGGCCGAGTTCGAATACTGGAGCAAAAGGAGTGCTGTCGGATTTCAAAGCATTTAGAGAGCAGACTAAATTGTGAGTTTTTTTTGGAGGAGTTGCGGAAAAATATTTATAAAAATTTCAAATAATCAAAATGTTAATTGTGATACATTTTTCACAAATTTTTTTTAAAACTATACTCAGGCAAATCGTCCCACCGGTGTAACACCAAATCTCCACTCACTCAACACCTTCTCTTCAATAATCCCACCGGTGGGCCCACCGGTGGGAAACCGGTGGTCACAAATTTGATAATAGCACCGGTGTACCACCACCTTAACACTCGCTTAACACCGTTTGAACACCGTCTGAACACCAAAAAGAGGTGTTCCACCAGTGTTTTTGTTTATTTTTCCCACCGGTTTCCCACCGGTGGGCCCACCGGTGGGACGATTTGCCTGAGTAGTTTTTGTGGTTCACAACCAGAGATTTTTGATAAAATGTATTTTTTCTGGTAGTTTTCGACTTCCTTATCACATTCCCGATGTCCAAAATTGCAAGACTCAATTCCTAATAAATATTCCAGAGCAATGGAGCAAAAAAATCAATATTTTCTGGAACAAGCAAAACGTGGAATGATGATGGGAAGCAAAGAAGAACGAGAAAAAGCACAAAAAGAAGAAGATGAATTCGAATTGGAAGAATCGGAATTGGATGAGATTCGACGAAAACGAATGTTGGAGATGAAAAAAATGGCACAGAATAAGATTATTGAGATTGTTAACAAGGTATTTTTTGTTGAAAAAATATAAATATAACAAATCCGAATTTTCCCTTTTAGAATCAATATTCTGATGCCATCGATGGTTCCAACAAATATCTCCTGGCTGTTTTGATCTATGAACCTGAAAATGAGGAATGTGCGAAGCTGACTTATCTCTGCAAGGTTTTGGCGGCTGATTATGGAAATGTAAAGTTTATTCGAGCAACGAGTAGATTATTGGGAATGAGTGATGCATTTGTGAGTTATTTTTTTTTGGAAATCTGAGCTGGGTTTTGAGAGGTTGAGCTAATAAAAACCCTATTGCTCATGTTATTTTTTCCAGAGAGCCAACGGTGTTCCATGTCTTCAATTCTACAAAGATGGAAATCTCATCGGAAATTTTGTGCGAATCTCTGCAATGCTGGGACAAGATGGAGATGTTGCAAAATTGCGCAAATTTTTGAGAAAACAACACATTGATTTGATAAATGGAGGATATGCTTCAGATTCTGATGATGGAGATGATGAAGATTGAGAAATTCCAATTTTTTAAAAATTTATTTTGATCTCGATTGATATATTTAATGCATGCTTTAACAATGAAACTAACTATTTTGATTTGAAAAAAATACATTTTTTGGGTTTTCGCGATCCATTTTTGATATTTATTTGGTGTGAAATTTTAGAATATTTTTTTGGAAATTTGAAAAATATAGATGCCGGGGACGAATCGGATGAACGCAGAATGTTTGGCAACGTGAGTTGGGTTTTGAGGATTTTGGGAAAAATTGAAAAAGTTAGGGGAAAAAAGATAATTAAAAAATCTCACGACACTTATGTTAGCTTTAAAAATTTTCCGAACTACGCTAGGATTTCAGCAAAATCCTAAAAACACGTCTTTCAAAAACCTTTTTTCCAATTGAAAAAGCCCAAGATATACACTAATCTGTACGGCGTAAAAATTTTTTATTTACAAAAGCTCAAAAATTTTTTGAAGTTCAAAAAACTATTTTACCTCGCCTAGGAACCTGGCATTTTTTTCCGAAGCTCAAAATTGTTAAGAAATCGAATAAAGTTCGCAGAATATCTTTGATTAGGAGAAAACTATCTAAAAAATCGCAAAAGGAATAGTCGAGTTGATGCCAATGGGAGGGTTTTGTTCAGATAACCCACTGACTCCGGACCAATTCCATGATAACTTCTCTTCTCATTTTCAAATATATACCCCTATCAATTCAAGTAACCGACATTTCACTGGTTATTGCGAAATTAATTGTTTGTTCATTCACAATAACTTTCCAGATTTCGCAATACTTTATTTTCAATTTAACTAGTGAAATGTCGGTTGCTTGAATTGATAGGGGTATATATTTGAAATTGAAAATGGAAGTTATCATGGAATTGGTCCGGAGTCAGTGGGTTATCTGAACAAAACCCTCCCATTGGCATCAACTCGACTGTTCCTTTTTGGATTTGTTTTTTTTGAAATTTTTTGAGATACGGCTTTTCTTAATATTAGATTCTCTGAAGTTATGAAATGAAAAAAAAATTACACCATGTGGTACGGTAATTTTTAATGAAATCCCTCAAAATCTCCCATTTTTCTTCAGACATGTAATATTAGTATCAAGTGGGATTTATGGTGACAAACTGCTATTTGTTTATCCATTCACACGAATTCGTGAAGAAGATAATAATTCACGAATGTGTTCAACTCCACAACAAACATCAACAACAACATCAACCAACATTGAAATACCACATCACGAATCCGAACCCTATAAGAAACAACGACAAAAACCAACACTAACCAAAGTTACTGAGAAATTACCTCTTCTACCAATGACTGAATTCACGTAAGTTTTGAATTTTCAGAAAACTTTGGAATCTTGAACCCTGAAAAAATAAAATTCCAAATATTTTATTTTCCAGATTTCGTACAGATATTCTCGGGTATATACTTCTAGTCCAAAAAGATGCCATCGATAAACCATTCGAATTGAAAGTCGACAATTTCCGCTTCGTCGCTTGGCCAAAATCTTGGTCAACACGTGAACAAACTTCCTCCGGCAAATTCATGTTCTCCATAGTTTTCGCTCTCAAAACCTCAGCTGAAACACATACAGTTGAAGCATATCAGCGACTATCCAAAAAATTGGCAATCTCTTTTGTTACTTTACAACATTGTGAAGGATATTTGGAAGAGGAATTGAGGATTATGGAAGACGTTGATCATGATTGCAAAGATCCGTTTGAGAAGTTGTATGAGCAGAGCAAAATGGCGAGAACTATTCGAGAGGTTTTTGATAAAATTACCAAATATGGAAGTGTACATGTAAGAATTTTTTGAAAATATAAAAAAAAATGAAAAAAATCACGTTTTGAAAAAATTTCAAAAATTCACGTTTTAGTTCATTTCTAGATTTCAAATATCCAAAAGTGAGTCAGCGCTCGACCAACATTGCTCACGTTAAACCAAAACCAAAACATTTTCATTTTTCAGAAATACATAAATGATTTCGTCGAAATTGGTTTTTGCGACGAAGCCTATTCATTAGCCCGAAATAATGTGATGCCAAAAGGTCGAAAAGAGATCAAAAATATTGTGAAATCGATTCGACCCTATCACGGTATTCTACTATTAGAAGATGTTCTACCAACACCCGATGCAAATCCATCAGTCGCACTTCTACTTCGACATTGCAGTCCGGATCGATCGATTTTGGATATGTCAACTGCTTCGGGCATTCCGATTTTTGAAGTTTTTATGATTGTGCGGCATTTGTTGTTGTGGACACGGGCTATCTTGATTTATCCACTTTGTAATACAAATGTTTATACATCTGCAACAAGTCCACAACCTTTAGAAAAGTAAGCGAATTTTGGAAGGGGGGAATTAGAGTAAATTTTCTCAAGAAGATTTTAAGGTTTTCAAATTTGGTTTTTTTTTTCCAAGAAATTTGAAGTCAAAATTCTCAAGTAGGAATATTTTTCAAGGACTAGTCTCTAGAAATTCACTGTGGCAAGGAGGCACGCCTTGAAAGCTTAGTTCTCAAGCCGCGTCTAGAAAGTCCAATTGTCGGAGCGGTTCCTACAGAATCAATTTTTCAAGTAGCAGCGCCTAGAGAGTGGTTTTTGTTTAAAAAATTCAAATTCCTGTGTATCAGAATCGGGCCATTCAAAAACTGATCATGGGTCAAATCCCTTTTGATGATTCCAAAACCTTCTTCCCTGTCTTTGAAAAAAAAATCCCATTTCCAGAATGATCGAAAAATTCGCCGAAACATTTGGTGCCAATATTCACCTTGCTGCTGGTTTAGCACACTTCAATCCACCCGCCAGATTAGATACATTTATTCGACCGAATCTAGCATTGTCTGAACAACAAGTTCGAGCAAAATTGGTGGTTGCATTGCTAAGACATCAAATGCTCATGCAAGTGGGTTTTTTTTTTGAAAGGGGGAAGTTTGAGGCCTGTGAAAAAGTAGAAATATTCCTGATATTCAAAATATTTATTAGTCTGAATTCCAAAATAAATTCCAAATTCAACTAACAATAAATATCAAAATTAGAGCTCCATTTTATTTTTATCAATTCAAAAAAAAGTTTGATATCAAATTGAAACAGTAGAAATATTCCTAATAGTTATTAATTAAAATTCAAAAAATGTCCAAATCAGAGCTCCTTTCTTTTGGAATTATATTCAAAATCCATCGAAAGACTAGTTTTTGCTTGTGCACATCGATTTAGCTCATCTCGATGAGTCAATTCAAAATCAATATATCTATAAATCATATAGAAAAATGAGGCGAGATTGACAAGTTGAAGAAGAATTATAAATGTATAACGAAGCCAAGTATGAAATAATTGATAAAGTCGATCAGATTTGGTTGGAGCAGAAGGAACAAGCGGCTCTTTTTGATGATTACTGGAAATCGTACTTGATCTAGGATCTTTGAGTTACGTTAACTTACTCTGCCGCATTATCATTATCACTTTTAATATTCCTCAAATAACCCGCTATCAAACTTCTGTAGGTTGATAGGAAAATTGCGACAATCATTGAACATAAACTGAAAATAATGTAGAGGCCAAGAAGGGGAACTTTAGCAGTGTGCGGGATTTTTTCGCCCATCATTCCTAGGATAAATGTCATTGTCATAATGTGGGTTAGACCGACTGTTACCTGAAAATACGTAAAGCCAAAGAGACTTTTTCAATTTCTCACTCACCCTTTCTATTTTTGTATTTTTCTTCAAAAATATTCCCAAAAACGCGATTCCATTAATAATAACAATTGGCAAAATAATCATATAAATATAAAAACTCGAATTCCTTTTCAAATGAAATCGAATAACACCCTGAAGTGCCTTATAATCACTTTCATCGTGTCCATCGACAGTTATCACACCAGTTGTCATATTTATAACATCCCAACCCGAATTTCCCTGAAATTTCTTTTTGTTGAGTGTTTTTTGGGGTTGAGAGTACCATTAGACATGGATTTTCTCTCAGTCTTTCTGCGACAGATATTCCCATTGTATAAACGGCGGCTGGAAATAAAGCAGTTCCAGTTTTGATTTCACAAATCTGAAAATCGAATGGGAAGTCGTCCATAACTAGATTACACGTGGCAGTGATTTCCATTGGAACATGAGCCATCAAAGAACCATTTGATTGGATTCCAACACTCCGGAACATTTGATCACGATGATCTTTGATCTCACTTCTGTAAATGAACAATTTATTGTTGTTAAAATACTCTTGAAACTCACGTTGAAAATGCTGAAAACGGCGGACTCCAAACAGCATCTTGCCTTGTGAAAATATAGGAAATATTACCGTATTCAGCCGGGTCCCAAGTCAATCGATAATCTGTCCAAACTTGATAAATATCCACAACAACACTAATCAACTCATTAGCTTCATCAATATCTGTAACTGTCAAATCATCGAAGAATTGTGAATAACTCCACGTGTCATTTGACAATTCGCCCAAATCTTGAAATATTGGCGATGCATTTTTATCGTATTGATTGAAAATATCTCGATGAAGAGCTTGATGAGCTTCTTGAATATACGCTGAAATACGATTTTGACAATATTGTTTTAGAATCTAAATATCAAAGAACGCACATCTTTCCCGATTTTCTATTTCTGATTGTGAATAGTTTATCTGTAGAAAAATTAGAAGAAAAATAAGGAAGTCTTTTGACATTTTGGGAATGATAAAATTATGAATGACTTGGAAGGTGTTTAAAAGGATCACAAAACTGGAATTTGGTTTTTTTTTAGAAAAAAAACCAAAAAAAAAATGATGAATAGTTGATAAAATGACCTTTGACGGGTTTTTTGTAGTTAGTTTTAACCGGAAATTTTTAGAAGAAAGAAAAGTTCAGAATATCAAATTTTTGTAACCAAAACACAATTTTGGATTACAACAATGACGTGGAAATTGTACTGATGTTCCACGTCATAGTAAATAGTATTGAAATCAGATTCAGAAGCTACATCACACAAATCACCCAAAAATCCTCTTTTTTGCAGCTCCACCAATTCTGTTATATAATAAAACCATATTCAATTGCTGATTGTCCACAAGACGACGAATCTCGAGAATTTCCATCAGATCTTCAAGAAATGATCGAAACCAGTTGTATTGATAAATCTGTGCAGCCGATTGTTCGAAATATATGTGGAAAACTGTTGGCTGATGGACAAGGTGTTGCACAAGTCGAGACGAAATTATCGATTTTTATTTCGATGGCACCATTAATGGATGGTAATCATCATATGGAAGATATTAAATATCAAACAAATTTGGTGGGTGTTTATTTTGGGAGGAATGATTTTTATGGATTGCTCATGTTATAAAAATTCAACTTTCAAATCAAAATTCTTATTTAAATTTTTTTCATAAAATTTGGAGCATTTTGAGTTAAAAATCGAGCAATTCATGTTCAAAAAAACCTATTGCTCATTTTTAGAAAAATTCGAAGATTACTGTATCTAGAACTGCAAGAATTATTGTAGTCTATGGTTATTCCGAGCTATAAGGATTACTGTAGCCTGAATGTTCTCTGGACTGCAAGGGTTACTGTATCTCAAGTCAACGAGCTAAAAATGAAAAGCATTACTGTAACCAGAGGGAAACGGTAGCTTCAGGGTTACGGTAGGCATCGAACTGCAAAGGATGAAGTGTCTAGAAAATTTTCAACAAGCCTAATCTGAGCAATGCAAGATTCTTTTAAATTATCCATAGTCTGAGCAATATTATCTCTAGAAAATTTATATATGTTTATAAATTTTATAAATTATTTTATTTTACAGAAACGGAGTCTAATCGAGGAGGTTCTCGAAACATTTCAACTAGTCATTGCCAAATTTTTGCGTCCCGATTTTGTTGCCGAATAAACCTCATTTCTCACTATTTTCCTTCAATTTAAAATTTTTAAAAACGCGGTTTTTCAACCCCGAGTACCTTAAAGTTCAGCTAAATCCCCCGAAATTTTTACCAGAAATTTTTTTTTAGAAAAATGTTCAATTTATCGAAAAATTTGGATCAAAGAATTGAGTGGGTTCGATTTTTTTATTTCGAAAAAAAAACATTTTTTAACTTCAGAGAAGTTTATCGACCAAGTCTTCTGGAAAATTATAGAATTTTGGAGAGAAAACAGCAAATTTGCGAGGAATATTCGAAATTGATTTTTAGTTGTGAGAAATTGATGGCTGGCACGGAAAATGGCGAAAAAATCGAGGCGAAAACCGAAGTTGGTATGAAGATTTATGTCAATGTTGAAGTGTGAGTGGAGAATTTTCCCGCCTGATTCAATTTTTTTTGCCTTTTTCCAGTCGAGACCCTCGCCACGTCATAGTCAATCTTGGCGATGATATTTATGCCAAACTGCCACTCGAAAAAGCTGTCGAATTTTCAAAATCCAAAATTGAGCGACTGAAAAATGAGATGTCTGAAATTCAGACGAGGATAAATGGATTGAACTCGCAAATTAATATTATGTTGTCTCAAATTACGGTGGAATAAATTTTGCTCATTTTTTTCTGGTTTTGTTATAATAATAAGTTTATTTACATGAAATCAAAATCAAACTCGTAATGTGGACCGGTAAATATTTGTTTTAAAAAAAAGTTCTTGAACCTTTGAATTATTTGAGATTTGGCTGGAAATTTGAATTTTCACAATCAGCCAAAAAGAAAATTCCAGAATGTACATAAAGCAAAATTCGGTGAAATCAATGATAATTGTCGCGCGACGCGGAAAAAAACGGGCAAATTTGACACCGGAAGCAATGACTGCATTTACAGCACTCATCAATTTGCTAGTTAAGGTAAGTTTTTTTTGAAAATCGAATTTAGACAAAATCAAGATTTTTGCAGGAAACTTTGACGAGATGCGCTCAAACAGCTGCAAATACAAATGATAAAACAGTGACAAAAGAGCATTTTCAACGAGTGATTGCTCAGATTATGATGGATTTTAATGTTTGAGAATGAATGAAGAAATATTTTATGAATGAATACCCGTGTTTTCGAAACAGAATAACTATAAATTAATTTGTGCACTTGGAGTGGATGTTGAATGATTTAGCATATCTTGATGATGTATTGATTTTGAAGCATATACATTTTTCCAAATTTCGGCGAAACAAACAGAGCTGTGAAATCGATAGAAGATTGTGAGAGGTGAGAAACTTCGCACCAAAAATACCCAAGATCGCTTGCCATAGAAATCTGGAAGAGTTGTGATTTTGATTGAGCCAGGGAAAATATACGTTTCAAAAAACTCACTGATAATAATTTCCGAAACTCCAGCTTTTTCCGACTCGAAAAGATTCATGAAGAAAATTGCGAGATTTGCGGTGAGCAAGAATGTGATTGCTTGTTTTCCGGGTTGTGATTCTTTGTCTTCGCAACCCATTCGAACACTTCGAGCAACGTGCAAAAGAAAGGTTTGGGAGCCGACCTGCAGAAAGAAATTACGATTTTTCAGGTAATTTTTTAAGGGCCTTTTTTCTGAATTTTTGAAAATGTTCTTCAAATGCCTTCAATGAATTTCAATTTAAAAAATTTTCAAAATTTATATCCGAGTTACCGTACTGAAAATATTGTTTGATAACCAGTGTTTTTTTCAAATGTTCTTCTGGTGAATTCGCCCCGCCCTCCCGCTTTTACAAACCTGTAACAATCTAAAAACATGTACAAACAGCAAAATAAAAGTGAAATGTGTCCAACTCGTTTCTCCAGTCAAACCAACCAATCCAGCCACAGAATATATCAATTCCCCTACCAATCCAATCGATAACAATATTTGATCTAACAATTCCTGATCTCTATTTTGCATATGAACCTTCTTATTAAAATATTTCAACGCTCTCATCTGATAAATTGCCGTAAAAACTCCAATTGTTGACATGACATATTGAAACATATCAGTAAATGCATAAACTAATGCAGCATTTCGAGATTTATTCAACATTGTAAATCCATAATAAACAACCATTGAAGTGAAAGTAATTGCTAGAAATGCGAGACCAAGGAATAATCCTGTTGTTGTTTTTGAACAATCAACACGAATTTGATGTTTCCTTTTAACATAAGTCGCATTATCCCCATCATATTTTCCAATATTTCTCCAAACAATATACATAACAGCTGCTGCAATCAATGAATATTCAACAATTGATGTGAACATAACTTCGGATAGACTTCCTAGAATACATTCAGCTGCTTGACAATGTCCACCTTCTTTTGATAGATGTTCTCGTAATTCTTCTGATGAATGATGATTTGATTCTTCGGAAGAATCTGAAGAGAATCTTGAGCGATTTGATTCAGCGAAAACATCTCGAATCTCTCTTTCCATGACACCTTCTTCCATCAAAACATATCTTATCCAGGTCCAAAGATTTGCAGCGACCAAATGCATTGTTCCAATTCGAGCAACCATGTGAGAACCGGTTATTGAAAGCTAAAAGAGGAGAATTTTTCCAACACAATTAGGGCCTAATCTGAGCAATGTTACAAAAATTATTATTCAATTTTTTGTTCTCGAACACCATTCATTTTTTCCCATTTCCGCTTCCGCTTCCACTTTCAAACTCACTTTCCAATTGCAAAAAATGAAGTGCATTTGAATAAAAATAAATAAAATTGCACAAACATCAAGAGCTGTTGAAAGACCATTGTTTTTCTGCTCGTAATGACTCAAAAACACCAAAAATGCATAGTAGACCACTCCGATTACACCAAATACTGTGGAAAAAACTTGTTAGTCAAGACATTTTTGAAATTGGAAAAGAAAAACAACTTACTAACAGATCCAAGTCTTAAAAACAAACTTCCAGCTGATGGACTCGAATGCGTCACTTTTCTTACTGTAGCTGCTGCAGAGCTCAAAGAATCGGAAGACGGACTGACGACTGGATACTTGAAGATTTTCTGAAAAGAAAACTGGATGTTCAGTGAAGTCTGTCCAGAGTTGGTCTAACTTACCGAAAAATATCGCATAGTTGTATACCATCTGGGATTTAGCAAAAGCACAATATACATGTAGAAAAAGAATAAAATTGAACCGCCATACATGTATAATCCGAAGATCTGAAATTATCAAATTTTCAGTTTCGCGCAAGCTTCAACTCACAATATCCTTATTATTCAATTTTCTCGATTCCTCATCATTCAAAAGATGCGCGAGTTCCAAAACCAGCGAGAAAATCGTCAAAAATAGTGCATAAAATACAGTGCACGCGGTGAGCAAAGAAGTTCTGCAAAAAACTTTTTTTTGTTAAGAAAACTGGACACTTCGAGAACCTGCTACATTGGAGTTTCATAGTTGAAAGAAAAAATAGGAAATTCAGGGAAGGGAAGAAATTTAAATCTCGAATGTTTTTTAATTGTTCTGATTCTGACAAAAATCGGAATAAATGGGGAGGCAACCGGTTTTCTGTCTGATCAAAATAACAAAAAGTCGAACAAAATAGTTTCTGTGATGTGATTTTTGAAGAAGAAAAACTGGGTTATTTTTATTGCAGGAAAGGATCATCAAAACATAACAGAAGGCGATGAATCATAGAATTTCTGAACAATTTTTCGGCAAACCACTTTTTAAAAGTTGGGAATTGGAACCAATTTGCAAGTTTTTTAGAATACATTTCGTTCAAAAAACTTTCAATAAATTCTGTGAACTTCTTGTGAATCCACGTGAACTCCGCGGAAATTCAGATTGTATGTGTATTTCAAAAAATGTTACAGTAATTCGAGACTGTAAATTCTAAAAGCAAAGTAATTTATGTTAAAAAAATCTTTGAGGGAAATGAACTCTAATTTAATTCAAATTTAAAATTCAAAACAGTTTCCATTATTATTTTTCATTAAATCACATTTAAAAATCAGCTCACCTAGCTCGTTGAAAACTTTCTTCATCACCAAAAGTCATTCTCAGGAATTCTAGCATCTTCAAAAATGTTCTCAGAGAATACAAGTAGAACACTATGCAAATAGCAAATAAAAATCGTAATAAAAATGTGTTTTTTTTACTTTCTTTCTTGTTTTCTCAATCTGAACAACACCAACAAACCAACAATTAACAATGTTCTTTTCTATTCCAATTCAGATTAAAAAGTTTGAAAACCACACATAAATAAGCGTTCTTTGGTTACCAAAGTCTTTAATTATTCCACATTGGGAGGAAATTTTGACTTACTTTGCATCTTTATCCCGCATCCAAGCAGTTTCTGCGCAATCTGGCACGATTTTATCGATTGAACCGGTTTCGCTGGATAGTGAGAAGTTGGAATTCATTCGAGCAAGCTGGAATATTTATTTAGAGGGATTTAAACGATACTCCGCAATTACGGACTACTAACCTGATCGGGTCTCCGCTCATCGCTGAAATTATTCGGTTGACATCCCATTTCAGCTTCTCCTTCTCCTTCTCCTTCCTCAATTTCTTCTTCTCGAAGGCTACAATTTTTTTTTGAATTTTCTACAAAACCTTTAATTCAACCCCCATAACTTACTCAAAATTCGAATTCCTCAACCAAGCCGATGTTTGATCTTTATGAGTTTGAGTTTTGTGTCTCGCCGAAGTTTCCGCCGATTTCGAATTTCTCAGATTCCTCGCCGAAAAAAGCGAGAATCGTTTCGAGAAATTGCGACGAACTTTGAAATCGTCGCGAATTTGTTGAACTGATAAACAGCGGAAAAGTTGGGGAGCGGAAGAGGCTGCAAGTTGCGGCATTTTTGGAGCGAAGAAAGGATCAGGGAGAGGGGGGATTCACAAGAGAACGGATTTTTGTTTGTTTTTGTTAGAAAGTTTGAGGACTGACGCAAAAATAATAAGGAACTAACTGGTTTGGGTTTATTTTGGGACCTAAAATTTAGAGAATATTTTTTGATGAATTTCAATTTTTGAACTATCCATAATAAATTCATAAATTTTGTGAACAAAAAAATTGAAAATTAAAAAATTTGAAAATTAAACTGAAGTTTACAGTAACCTTTCTACAGAACAACAATTCCAAAACCCAACTCAAAAAACAAAAAAAAAGAGAACACACTTCTCATTTCTTCCCAAAAAATAGGGTTGCGCGCAAAAAGAAGCAGAAGCGTGAAACGGGAATTAACAAATCAACAAACAAAACAAAAAGGCGAACGTTTTGGAAAATGTCCAAAATTTTCTTGCTCTTTTCATTTTTTTTGATTGAAACTGATGTGAGTGGAGAAATGAGTAGACATGAAATAAAAACTGGACATGGTCAACAAAAGAGCAACATAGAATATGAGAAGAAGCCGGCGAAAAAGCTGGTTTTTTGTATGTATGTGATATATATCACAAAAAATTGTTAGATAGAGCGAAAATCAAATTAGCATTTTCTTTGTGGTGCTAGAAAATAGCTTAGGCTGGAATTTCAATTACTGAAATTTCAGAGAATGGAGCTACTTTCTGAAAGTGTATATACTTTTTATTGTTTTCGAAACTTTTCATTGCAAAAATTTGCATCAATGAATAGATTTTTTTGTTTCAAATTTTTTAACAAAAAAATTATAATTCTGAAGAAACCGGAACAATTTTATTTAAAATCTTGAACTTCTGGATTTTTCAGGAATTCAAAATTTACAAAGCTTATCTGAAGTTAGAGACCCAGAGAAGATAGGCAGTTAGAGATCAGATTCAGTTAGAGACGAAGAGAAATCAGACAACTAGAGATCCTTATAAAGTTAGAGACGCAGAGTAACTGAGAGCTGAAGCGGTTGCGCTGAAGACTAACCATTCTGGCAATATTCCTCTGAAATTGTCTGAAAATCAAAATTCGAACATCTGGCAAGCGTTGGTTTCACAGTATTTGGTGTCGACACCCTTGAAGACGAATATGTGGTTGGTGAAGTGTGCGCCAGAATTTCCTGTGAACAAAATTTCTGCCACGTGGATTTTTATAAATAAAAACTCACCCTCAAATCACTAAGTTCAATGAATTCAGGACGATCTGGCAAATCTGACATTTTTTACAGAATGCTGAAGTTAGGCTAAGTTAAGTTGAGTTAAAATAAAATAATATTTGTTTGATTTGAGGCAACTCATTTATTTGCACAATTATTATTTTTTTCGAAGTGTCAATTATTTTTGAGATATTTTTGGAATTTGGGAACATCAGAGAACTTCAAGTTCTAACCCAATTTCTTGCAAATTTCCCTCCAATGCGGTCGTATTTTCTCAATTCCATATGGTGATAAATGATTGATGGCGGTGAAATAGGAAAAGCCTTTTTCGTCGAAATATCGAAAATCTTTTCGCTTTTTATCGTAGAAATCGTCAAAATAATCGATTCGAACACATTTTTCGCCGCATTCTTTGAAAAGTCGCTGCATTCGAGAACGGGCCAATTCCCAATAACGATATTCGATCAGGATTTTCTGAAAAAAAAACATTGGGGTTTCGGGAAACTGTGAATTGTAACATTGAAAATGCAAATAAAACTTTGAAAATACCTTCCCAAAAACTCACATTAACATCATCAACACTTGTTCCATTTTTCAAAAGCGGAACAATTTGTGCCACATAATCATGTTTGATTCGTGGAATCGCATCCAAAATATACAATTTATATTTGATATATTTCAAATAAATATCCAATTGTTTTTTCATTGTTTCATAGATTTTATCCTCTTTTTCTTTTTCATTTTCATCACCAATACTCATAAATCGTGCAATATGAAATGCATAATCAGGCCGAAGTTTTTCCAAATTTTCTTCGATTTTTTTAAAATTCGGTGCACAATTTAGTCCTTTTGATAGATATAATGGTTCGCATCCTGAAAGAAAGTCTAGTTTGCTCGAACTTTGCCGTTTAAAATAATTTTTGTCATAATCTATAAATTTTGTTCATCAAAACGTGATAAAAATTATAGGTTTCCAGGGAAATCTCAAAAATTATATACTTAGTTAGTCAGAAACTTTATCTAAACTTTGAGCGTTTTAGATCTCAAAAAGCTATGTTCACCTTCCGAATTCTCACAACAGTTTTATATGGAGGAACGACTTTCGTAGTTTATACTGGCTTGATTTTTGTGATTATCAAAGATTGGAAAGATTTTCGATCAACGTATTTCAAAATGTTTATTGCTGATTATTTTTTTGTGAGTTTCAGTTCTGGTTTGGATAAACAGGAAAGAAAATAAACTTAACATTTAGCCTAATTTAAGTAAAATATTCCAGAACATGGTTGTATTTTTCAATTCTTTCCCAATTCTTCGTATTCCCCAAAACACCTGCTTTGATTGTTTTCCCTCTTCATTTTTCAAATCTCACAATCAAACATCGGAAAACATTTATCTCCTTAATCTGAGTTATGACCTACAGTATACAATGGCATATGTACAGTATGCAATGATTTTAATAACTTCGATAAATCGATTTACCGCTGTTTTCTTTATAACTCAAAGTGAAAAATATTGGTCAAAAATTTGGGGTTTTCTTCTGATTTTTGTTGTTTTTGCTTCATTTTATCAAACTTGGCCGTTTATTTTGAGCAAAACTTATTATCAATATTCAGAAAGTTTGGATTATTTTTCACCAAAAAGTCAAGCGGTAAGAAAGAAAACTTTCGTGTTTCTTTGAACTTTCAATTGTTTTAGAGCATAATAACTGGTTTACGGCCCCTTCTAATATATATGATGATAAATACAACAATTACAGCTTGTCTGAATATTGCGACTTTTTGCAGATTATCAAGTATCACAAATCGAATTTCGACATCGGAGCGAAATTTGATTTTTGTTACTTTTTGGGCTTTCGTTATACAACTTTTTGCATATATTATAACAGTAAGGAAATTTCAGAAGGAAAAAAAGTGACTAAAAATTATTTCAGCTCCTTCAAGCGATTGGAATAAATTCAGAAAATCAAACTGCACAATGGGCTCAAATCACAATTCTCATTTTACCTTATGTTTGCGATGCTTTGACTTTAAGTCAACCATGGCTTCTATTATACTTTAGCACCAAGGTTATTGATTTTTTTGGGTCAATTTTTATCTCAAGTTATTTTCGTAAAGCTTTATCAGAATCTCACAATTATTTTCCAGATTTCTAGCCCCCAAAATTTCTAAAAAGTTTGAAGAAAAATAGAAACTTCTATTTTCCAGAGTCGTCAAAAATTCCTGGAGCATTTTTGGCCATCAAAACAAACTGAGAATCAAGTGAGCTGCCTGATGACCGTCTAGCAATATTTCTCCCCTTCTCATCCTCCCCCAAAACTCGACTAACCGTATGCCCCATTTTGCACAATTCGACTGGCCAAATGTCCACATTCTGAATAAAACATTGTTGCATGATTTGCTGTCCAACTATTTCCAAAAATCATGAATTTGAATTTCGCATCGGATTTTAAACCAGCGTGTTCACACCAACCAAACGGTTTCGATTTTGATTCGTATTTACAAGTTATTGAAAGTAGATTTGAGGTGTCTTTGTAGGTCCATTCTTTGTTCAGCTTTTCAGCGTCATCTGGAACAATAGTGATTTACTATAACTTCTTCGGTTTATCTTGAAATTCAAGCCGCTTACGAGGAAGCTTGCGATTTAAGCTAGCTCCGCTCGGACTTTAAACTCAAACATCCACCAACCTATAGTCATATTTTTCCAAACAATCGATGAATCCAAATTCCTTTGTCCCCCAATCAAAATCGCATCTTTGTTCACAAAAACCACATTGCTCAAAAACAGTATTCCAATCAAAATCGCAACTTTTTCACTTTCCAAATCTAAATACCATCGTTCATAACTCTCATAAACAATCATTGCCAAAACGAAAGAAATCAATAGGCAAATGAAAAGACCTGCAAAAAATATTTTAACATTTTTAGATATATTATATCCTGAAGAAAATACCATAAGAGTTTCCCGAGATCGATAATTTGGCGCATGCATAAATTGGCCAATGAATAAGGTAGAGAGAATATGAAACATCACCAATGTAGGTGAGAATTGGATTCGAGAGAATTGGATTTTCAGTGCAACTGATGAGAATTAGAATTCCAGTTTGAAATGTGAGCAGAGGTCTGAAATATGGATTTTTGAAAAAAGCAAAAAAGGTACAATTAGAAGGAACTTTAGTCTGATAATAAAACAGCAACGACGAAACACACAAAATTTTGAAAGAGTGCGAGACTTGCAATTTTTATCAATGGGGCGCACTTCCATTTTTACTTTTATTTTCTTGTTTTTGTTTTTCGGAAACTAGTATACTCTTCGTGAAGTGTAGTTGGAGAGACATCTCAGGGTTCCCAACTGTTATACTTTTGATGTGATCTATTCTCAAAGTCAGAGTTAGAGGGGGGTTCCCGTTTTAAGAAAAAAATCCCCTGAAGTTACAATAAGCGTGTTAGATGTTCCAAAAATTGCAGCGCTCAAACCCTCAAAAAAAGAAAAAAATAAATAAAAATTCACGAATACTTCTACCGTACCCCGCATCAAAGGCGCACACAATTTTTCTCCCGTGTCTCGCAACGCGCGTTGATTTTTCAAAAAACGAAGCGGTGTTTGCACATTATTGATGGAAACATTTAATGTGACGCCAAATTTTCAGTGATTTCGTTTTTTATAAGGGGAGGATATTTCACAAACACTTTTACGAACAAATAGAGAGAACGCGACGCAGACATAAAAAACCCCGAAAATTTTTTGAAAATGAAAATTCATGGACCATCGCTTCGGGACCCAACAGTTGGCTGGTTGCCAGCCTTATTAAATTTCGCGGTATTTTCAGTTTCGCGGGTTTTTCTTTCGCACTCTACACGCTCTCTCTGTCTCTATTTGTTCGCCCTGAAACGAAGTGAATTTTTCATTCGCGTATTTTTTTTTTTGATTTTCCATGAATTTGAATGAAACTTGTTGTAAAATTCATATTTATCTGTTTTCCTAGTACAAGTAACACAAGTTTCGTTGATTTTTGATAGTTTTATACTAAAACTGGTGCTCAAAAAGTAATTTTATGAAAAAATGTGCTTTCTTGAAGTTTTATTTCGTTTAAAGTACTTATTTAAATTTGACGCATTTCTATTTTAGAGGAAAAACGTCAGCGAAATGATGGAAATCTCGAAACAATTTATGAAGTGAGTTTAATCGAATGATTTTCAATCACGAGGAAAACTGGAGGAAAGGTGAGTTTTTTATTTCAATTGAAATTTGGTTTTAATTTTGAGTTTCGCCGAATGTCCTTATTTTTCTTGTATCGCCTTTGCAAAATTACGGGCCCTTTGAAACTCACTTCAAAAATTTTGAAATTCAAAATCCCAAGTGGCAAAAAATTAGAAATGACACTCCAATTTGTTTTCGAAACACGTTCACGTTTATTATTGATTTTCTTTTCTTTTTTAATTTACCTAACAAATCCGGCTGGCAATTCGGTTGGCCAAAATTGAATAGCCAACATCCAAATAAACGTAGTCCAAAAAATCGGTGAAAATCTGGCTAGCTTTTTGACTTCTAACCACAATTAACTCTTCTTTCTGTTTCTGCATTATCAACAAATAAACAATCATTCCACACATAAATTGCCAAATTCTCGAAAAAACACTATTGAAAGCGATTGTAGGCGTAGACATTGTGTAGAAGATGAAAGAGTTGATTCCGAAAAATAGGAGGTAGAACATTTGATGTTTTGTTGAGAAATTTTTGGCGAAGATGAATAGGATTGGGATGATAAGGTAGAATTGGACCTAAAATATAATTTTTTTCTGTTTTAAATATGTACTTCGTGCTCTTACCTCAACAGAAAGTGACCAAGTGTGTGTAAAAACATCGACAGCCAACGATAACATTTCAAAATAATCTTGCTCCGCACTTTTTGGCTCATTTGAAACAAAAAACAATGCTCTCCAAGCCGACGAAATATTCAGTTCCACAGCAGTTTCCGGAAACAATTTTGTGTGTAGAAAAAATAATGAGATCAGAATTATCAGAAAATACAAGGGTAGAATACGTTTCAACCTTCTCCAATAGAAATTCGCAATGAATTTGGTGTTTGAAGTTTCTTTTGAAGATGATTTGGTGAGCAACATGCACATAAGAAATCCGGAGAGCACAAAAAATTGATCAACTCCGAGATAACCATTTGGAAAGTATTTGGGATAAAAATGAAAGAGGAGAACTGAAATTATGGCGATTCCTCGGATTCCTTGAAGATCTTGACGCTTTGACATTTCTTAGAAATCTATCTACCCGCTTAGTTGATCTATAACAAAAAATTTTCATTAAAAAATTAATGGGGTGATTCAGGTAGAAAAAAACATGTTACAAAACGTTTTTTTTTATAAAAAATTTCGATTCAGCAATTGTCAGAAAACTATATTTTTTTCCTTTTTTTTTTGATATTTTTTTCATTGAAACATTTTCGCTGCGAGATATTTTCATTTTTTTTGTGTCGAAAAATACAGTTTTCTGAAATTTGCTGAATCGAATTTTTTTTGTACAAAAAAAACATTAACATATTTTTTTTCTATCTGAATCACCCCATAACGAAAAATACTATACAAAAAACATATCGAAACGTTTTTTCTTTATATTGTCAATCCGAAAAAATAAGAACCTTGGAAGAGAATCGAAATGGCCTAGAAAATCAAAACTACAGTAGACTTCGCAAAATTTTGAAGTCTATTTGAAAAATAAAATGCGAAATTTACACATTGGCTATTTGCCAACCAGTTTAATGTACATGTGTCACGTCATTTTTAGTCTACTGTACGTGAGCGCCAATTCAAACTGGGGTTCTTTTATTTTCGGATTGACAATACAAAAAGGTATTGAAACCAATTTTTGTTAGAAAAAATATTGCTAGTTTATATTCGAAAATTTTGAGAAAAATTATAATTTTTTGATTTTTTGCGCTTTTCAGATTTCCCAAGAAACTGTCGCCGTGGTTTCAAACAGGAATTTTTTTATTGTTTTTTTTTCGTTGCTCTTATGAGCTTATGAGAAATTCAAAATTCTGGAACGCTAAAAAGCGGACTCAAAAACTTAGAACTGTAGGTTTTGAAGACTTCGATATGAAAAACAGCATAACGGATTTTTATAAGCAAGAAATACTACTATTACTGTGGGTAAAGTTAAAGATTTCAAATATTTCAAAGAGAACAGAACGAAAAAAATGTATCAAAGGAAATACTGATAACAAAACCACAAAATAAAGTTCTAACACGTTTTTCAAGTGCACAAAATCATTTTGCTGATAAGAAAGGAGAAATGTGTAATCTGGGCGAGGCTCAAAATTTTATTTTTATAACAAAATGACTTTAATACTTTTTTGAAGGTTTTAGGTTCCGCGTAATCGGAATTATCTAAATACTGTCTAGTTATCCGCGTGGCGCGGAAGCTTGCAAAAAAAACTTTATTCAATAAATCGATGCGATTTCAGTCCGACTTTTCTTTGCAAAAATAAATCGAAATCTGAAAATTGAAAAAACAGCCTTCCGATAAGGAGAATGCAAAAAAATAATTGATAGTGTAGATAGGGTTCCGTGAAGTGATAAGAAGATGAACACCAAGTTGTTGAGAGCTGCAAAAATGTTTATCCGGTGCAAAACTTCGAGCTCACTTGCTCACTTTGACTATGAAAACCAATCGAGCAACTATAAACGATATAAGCCACCGGAAGAGCCAATAAAGTAAATGGAATTGCGATTTGTACACAGATCAATGTGAAAAATCGATTTTGTAATGTTCGAGTTCTGACAGATATCGATTTGTTCGCATATAATTCTCGTAATGTAGAGATGAAGAAAAATAGACATTGAGCAATTATAAGTATTCCTCCGGAGGATAAAAATATGCCAACAAAGAAGTTGTTTAGAGAAAGTATGAAGAAATTTGGAAGATCTAGATATATTTTTGGAATAAGTTGAATCTCATGTTTTGCTAATTCTTGATCTGGAACATTTATAGCAAGTATAACTAGAACTGTAGTGGCTATTAGAAAATTAATTATATAAATGAAGATTTGCAGGTTTTCGTGTGTTTTCGATTTTGTGATGATTTTTGTATATTGATTCTCTAAGATTCCAACCAATGAACAACAAACACCAACCAGCAAATAAACAACAATTATGATCTGAGGAATTGGTTGAATTTCAAAAGATCGTGATAAAATACCCATCGGAATTCCTGCGAGAATTGGAAAGAATACAAAAGGTACGGTAGCCCAACTTATTGATATATCTAAAAGGGCACTCCATAAACAGAATCGCAACATGGCATATTTCAAACTTTTCATTTTTTTGGAAGTGTGAAATATGATGCAATAGAAGCCGAGAAAATGAATGGGAATTTCGAAAAATGTTAGAATTCGGAGGGATGAGATTAGAAAGTCTGGCGAATCCATTTTGTGAAAAAATAGCTGATGAAAAAATTATACGAAAAATAGAAAACGGAAATAAATTATATACTTCGGTTGGTTGGTAATTTGATTTTTCTTGGAAAACAACACGACGTTTTAAAGAGAAATTATACTAATTCTGAAAATAAGTGCGTGGTTTGATTTTGGAAATTGATCTTAGATATTAGATTTAGCTTAGTTGTTTCGCTGAAAATTCAGAAAACTTCAATTTCGCCGGAATTTGAAAATTTGAGAAAATTGGAAAAAATAAAAAAACCACACCACGCGCGTTGTCGTCAACGCGGATTCTCGTTGTTTTCTTTCTCTTTTTTCATTTTTTTTCCTCCTCTAGAGAGCATGTAAAATTAGAGACGAAGAGAACATGTCTTGATAAAAGATAATTTAGAATTGAGAGATACCGCGGAATCAGACAACTAGAAAGTTAGAGACGCAGAGTAACGTTTTCGCCGCGAAAATTTGAAACTTCAAAATTTCATTTTTTGCGCCAAATATTTCACGTTATTTGATTCCGACCAAAAAATCTAGTTTTCACATAGAAAAAAATAAAACATATTTTGCTGCTGTGCAGTGTTTGCAGATTCAAATACGCAGGCGGAAAAGGGGTGAGAGACGCAGAAGAATGTTCTAGAATTCGAACATTTTTCAAAGGAAAATAAAAAGTGCGCCGCAAAATTGCAGTTTTGAGAGAGAAAAAGAGGGCGGAGTCGAGGGTCAGCGTGCGGTCAGAGGGTTTTGGTCGTAATTTCGCGTCAAAAGCAAATTTTTCTCATTTTTTTCTATGTGGTTTTCAACAATTGCTCATTTTATGCTTATCACAAAAAACATCTTCATTATGTTCAAAAAGATCTATTATCATCAATATTCTCTTCTCAATCATAATCTTCTCGAACGAATCGAGTGAATCGATCCAAAGTGCTTTCGGAGACATGTGGATCAATGGTTCGAAAAGCCGACAAAAATCGTTGTTTGAAGTAGTTGGCCTCGTGATTTCGGCCAATTTGATGGGCTGGAAGGAGGGCCGAGCCTGCAAGAAGAGTTTTGAAATTCGAATTTTGCCGCATACTGTTCCACCCCTCAGAAAATTTTCTCACGCACTCGAAGGTGAGAAAATGGATGGTCAAATCCAAATATAAATGTCAACAGTTCGACTTCAAACTTCATTTTTTCAAAACTTTTTTTCCCCGACACCTCTCAAAAAATGCCAACCGCGGAAGATTTGATATTTTCGGATGTCGACAAATGTTATCGTGTTCGATTTTCATCGAATCATAATAATAACAACATGCCAAAAAGTCAACAAACAAATTTTTTATCAACGGGAAACTCATCAGCATCGAATGTTATTTTCAATGTGATACCACATTTTTCGAAAATCCCGCAAAATTTCTTGTTTTCGCTGGACACCGGAATGTCGAGAAATTCGGTGAGTTTGGGCTCTTGGGTACGGTACTTCATCATTTTTTTTCTATATGGGACCACAATGTGTGTTCTAGACTCTTTAACCTCATTTAACGTCCAAATTTCTAGGTACGCAGTAAATTTTCTAATGTCTCCCATCAAAATGAGAGCTTTGACTGCGTACCTTCTCTACCTGAGTATCTAATGCTAATCTTGATTTGGCTGCGTACTTACCATCGATGGTCCAAGCATAAGAAACGGCAAAAAGCAAACAGATGGCGAGCAAAATCTGGTGGATCATTTTGGATTTTTTGTTGGGTCTAGAAAAAATAATATGACTTGAGAAATAGAAATCTGAAATTGGAAAACCTGAAAATAAAAGTGCGTGCGTCAAAAAAGTGTCCCAAAAGAGTTCGGCTAATTGTCATATGATCATGAGATGATGACAAAAAGGGAGGGGAGGAAAATTAGAAATGTCAATCGCAGATTTTTTGAACTTTCAGAGATTATTGAGATGCAGAAAGTGTACGATGCAAGCTTCCGGAAAACTTCACAGGGGTACTGTACCCATTGAATTATTGTAGAAATGTTTGTGATTATAGTGATTTTCAAAAATCTTCAAAATATAGAAACATTTCAAATTTTTCGAGACTCATATCTAATGTCCCTTTAAACATCTACAGTACCCTTCCAACACATGACCCACTTAAAATAACTTTTTCCAATATTTGATCTAAACGAACCGCTATGTGAGAAAATAGCACGGTGTTTTGAAGAGACGCAGAGAAATTGAACCCACTTGAAAAGTTATTGAGAAATAAGAAATGTATCTCATCATTTTTTGGGTATCAATTTTGTTGTTAGAAATTTTCGGTGTTAGAGAGTTAATATCAGATTTTTGTAGCGCGTCATTATGTCAGTTCTACGAACTCGAACTCTTCAAGAAGTATTCGAGGAATCAAAATTGGTCATTTCACAATTGACTGAAGAAGAGATTACCGAATTCAAAGAGGCGTTTTTGCTTTTTGACAAAGTAAGTTTGAAGAAATGAAAAGTTCAAAGAAAAAATAAAGGTTTTGGAAAAAAACTAGTGAAGATCATTTTACAAGAGATCGTGGGAAATGTTTTATTTGTTGTAAATAAATAATTTTTCTGCAAAATTTTTCTTGGGAATTTCTGAAATTCGATTAAGATAAGATCTGATTTGAAAACTGCCAGGAATTTTTTCAAAAAATTAATTTCAGGATGGAAACGGAACAATTTCAATCAAAGAATTGGGTGTGGCAATGCGTGCTTTGGGACAAAATCCAACCGAACAGGTAGATAAAAAAAAATAGTTCAAAGGTGGCTGCAGAGGCGCGGCTACTAGGGATATAAGATCTCAAGGCTCGGCTCCTTGGCAGAGTGAATTTCAAGCTGTGGCTCCTTGACAATTGAGCTTTTTAAGCGTGGCAACAAGGTTATCACCCAAAAAAAAATTTTTTTTTGAATTCCAGCAAATGCTGGAAATCATTCACGACGTCGATTTGGATGGAAATGGTCAAGTGGAATTTCCCGAATTTTGTGTAATGATGAAAAGGTGGGCGGAGCTTATTTCCAGCAGAAAAAATGACTGAATGAGTTACTGGAAATATAAAAATAATTATTCGAAAAAAAAAATAAAATGAAAAATACTATAATTAAAAATGGCTTAACTTAACGTTATAGTTTTCAAATAAAAACTCCTAAAGATTACTGTAGGGAAATAGTACAGTAACCAGAAGTTATCATACAGTAACTCAACCCTAAAGATTTCAGAATTATGAAGGAGACGGATTCTGAGATGATTCGAGAGGCTTTCAAAGTTTTCGATCGAGATGGAAATGGAGTTATCACGGCGAATGAGTTTAAAGTTTTTATGGTGAGTTTTTTTGCACAAAAAACGGCCAACCAGGAAATAGTTAGACTTTTTCCTAGAAAAAATGAGTCACAGTATTTTTTTTGAGCAGAAAAAGAGCAGAAGCAAAAAATGAATTTGATCTAGGTTAATTATGCGCATTTTTTATTAAAACTCTTTTTGTATTTATAGACACACTCTGAAACTTTTTCCACGAGATTTCTGGGAGACGCAGAGAAACCGCAAGCTTCCGTGTTAGTTACCCTTCTTTAGCTGATCAGGTTCACATCTATCTATCATAAAAAACATGAACAGAAATAGAAAACTCGAATCTGTTTTGAGAAAAACAAAAATTTAATTTGAGGTGTCCTGGGATGCGCGAAAATGGAAAATAACGGGTTAAAAAAAGTGCACTGATTTTTGACGCCAAAAAGTTTGTTCCTGATAGAAAACACTAGATTCAGAAGTTACGGTAACTCAAAAACTTCTCTTTTTTTTCTAGCCAAGGTTAATGTGTGTGTGAAAAATAGAAATGTTATATTTTTTGGGTCCAACAAAAAAGTGACGCCAAAAGTCTTTAATCCACGCGGCGGAAGTCGTTAATCTATTGTTCTTTTTGAGGAATTTCTGAGTTTCCGAGAAAAAAATTATTTCAAAAATATATGTTTTGAAGCTACAAAAATAAAGTCTCAAGGTTTATTTGAAAAATAGTAGATCCAAAGATAATTTATCTCGCTGTTACAGTAGTTTTTAGCATGTGATTTCTTCAAAAAATCCAAAAATTCTATTCTTCCGATTAAATAAATTAACATCAAAAACCATCCAAATCAGCCTAATTCATTTTTTTTCTGCAGATTAATATGGGAATGTGTTTTGACGAAGATGAAGTCGAAGAAATGATGGCGGAAGTGGATTGTGATGGTAAGAAAATAAAAAAAACACATTTTCTCAGATGCTCCAAAAAAAAATCTATAATTTTGGCTCCCAAAATTTCAAATCCCTTGTTGTTTTTCAGGAAACGGCGAAATTGATTACGAGGAATTTGTTAAAATTTTTAGCTGCTGAATAATTCGGAATCAGAAAAATAATATTTTTGATTTTTCTGATGTAAATTGATAAATAAATATTTTTCTGGTTTTTTTGAGAAAAAAAATAAAAAAAAACTTCGTGGGCAGCAGGATTCGAACCAGCGACTAATCTACGCCAGCAAAACACTCTACCACTGAGACACGCGTTTCTTTAACAAAACGAAAATTTTGGCGAAAATGAAACAATTGTTAACGTTTTTTCTCGAATAAAAAAGTTTACAGTGTAATTTTTGGACACGTGAAAGTATCCAAGACTTTGAGAAAAAATGGGGGTAAAAGTTTATTTCTCAATTTCTTATTTAATTAAAAGTTCGAGACGATTGACAGGTTTTTTGACATCATTTCGAGAAAAAAGTACGAAAAAATACATAATGATTTTTGGTCTTGATGAAGTTTGAGGATGGATTACTGTAGGTCAGAACTTGGAGGGAACGATTTGAGATTTAAAAAAGATAATTTTTTCACCCTGGAATTCTAGCTCATTTCCAACCTGAAATATAACTGCACGTGGCTTCCGGCTTACTGTAACTTCTTGACCCAAGATTTGATCTACAAAATTCCAAAAAACTACGGTAATCCCGAACGCCTTTTTTCCACGTAGCATTTTCATGACTGGAAATTTCCAGATAAAATCTTGATGATTTTCCACATCACATCATTTGCGCCTAATTTTTGAACCCTAGCCTAGCCTTGAAAATAGCAACAAAAAATCCAGATTTCCTGTCTCGTCAAATATGATAATTGTCCTGTTTACGTCACCCTTTTTCCTTTTTTTCTTCTATCTTCCCAATTTTATTTATTTCTATATATTTTCCACACCTGATTAATTTCATAAGAATAAATAGATATTCCGGCAGAAGAAAAAAAGATATCGAATTACTTTTCGTCATGAAATTTGCACCCCACACAAAAATATCAAATAACAATTTTCACGCGGCCTCGAACCCTCAACCTTATGTGCCATAGGCAAAACTCTTGCCACTGAACCACGCGGCCTTCTAGAAAAAACGCATTGATAAACATCAACCCTTTTTTCTCTCTTTCTCACCGTCTGCGTCTCTCTCATCTCTCTCTCACACCTGTTTCTGTCTGCGTCTCTTCAGAATTATCGATCTTTTTTAGGGGGGAAAGAAAAGGGCTCTTGCGCACCCCTGCTCTTTTTTCTTTTGGTCAGTTTTTTTCTTGACACGAGAAGAAAAAAAAAACAATTTTGAGATTATCCCTTGATTTCTTCTTTTGAAAAGTTCTTCTTTCTTGAAGAAAAATGTTTGTTTATTTTAGCCCCCCATTTTTTTCTGGAGAAAAGAAAGTACAGAAAACTAGTAGTTTTTGTTTGTTTGCACATTTTCTAGTTTACTCTGCTCATTTTTCTTACTGCAAAAAAGAACGCCACTCAATTTTTCGCCTTCTTGTTAATGAATTTATGCAACCCTTGGGGAAATCCACGAAACATCTGTTCATTTTTCTTCCATGAATCTAATTGCCCTATTCCTTTTCTCATTTGAAGCGCATCAAAAATAAAGCCAACGAATAACGCTGCGTTTAAAAACGTGTGCTTGGTTCAGTGGCAAAGCGTTGACTTTCTGAAATTTTATCGTGGGTTCGATTCCTCCTCGAAGTTTCACATTTTATTTTTTTTTCAAAACATTTTTTTACACTATATTTTTCATGTCATGTCACTTTTCATACATATTTGATATGCGTTGGACATGACACTTTTATATATATATATAATATTGCATTCATGAAAAGTTTTCCCTTTATATTTATATTTTTATGCAACAACATTGGAAAAATCTATATTTTTTCCAATTTTTAATCGAATTATCTCTGAAACCTGATTTTTTCGGACATTTTTCATTTTCATCAAAAAGAAAAGAATAATAATACGATTATATCTTTTTTTGATGCCATTCCTACTTTTACTACACCTAGACCAGCTAGTCGTGGGAAAAAAGTGTGAACACGAAAAAAATAATAAAATTTATTGATTTTTTGAGTGGAACCGATTTTTCAGTTGTTTTGATTGATTGGGTTTTTATCGGCAGCAAATTTTTTTTCGTTTTTTCGCATAGAAAAATTTTCCGCTTTGGCAGAAGCTTGCGATTTGGACTCGCGACTTTTTTGCTCTTGTTATTTCTTGCAAACAGCCCCCCCCCCCCCCAAAATGAAAAAAAAAATTCAAAAAATAAAAAGAAAACAACGAAACTCCGCATTGACGATGCCTTGTTTGCGCGCGTTGTTTGAATATATTTTTTTCACGGGCTTCCATATTTCGGCGAATATTTATCGAAATTGAGCGTTTTTAAAGCCCCCTAGAAGAATTAATTTCAAAATTTTCTGCTTCACCCAAAAAATATCAACAAAAAATCCCCTCCCCTCTGCTCTGAAAAATATTGAATTTCCTTTTCGAATTTTTTTCAATGCCGCAGGCCACAAAAATTCAATTTCATCTTCATTTCGTTCACAAAAAATGTATAGTTTTTTCCATTTTCCCCAATTTTTTTTAAAAACAAGCTTCATTTGGCGCCATTGTTGTTGTTCTTCTTCTTCTCATCATTTCATACATATTTTGTAGTTCAAATTTTTTTATTTATTTCTTTTTTGAAACCTGATTTTTTCCATGGCAATGATGACTAACCTATGATTATAATTCGCCCTGCCCTTCTGATAACAACATTTTTTTTGACTCTTCGAAAAAAGTTTCCCCAAAAATCAATAATATTTTCCAGAAAAATGCGAAATTCGAAAGAATGGCGCGGAACAACTTCGACAAGTCGAGTTTTTGTGCAACGTGGATATCAATTATCTGATGAGTTGGCGCTGCGACAAATTCAGGTACGGTATTTTTCCTCTTATTTTTGGGTCCCTTAAATTATTTACACCAAAAACCACAACTTTTTCCCCAGGTCCTCAAAAACTATTATTAAAATTTCAAGTGCTTTTTTTTCTCGCCCCTTTATTATACTTTTCTGTTTTGTCAAAACAAAACAACCAAAAAAAAAAAGAAAACTTTTTTCCTTTTCCAAATATTTTTCAAGTACCTTCTTTGCCTAGCAAAATCTTTTTCAGGTTCTCGAACGACGTTACGGTGGCTGTGATCGCGCACATCGAGCCGCCACAATAATTCAACGAGCTTTTCGCGATTATTGTCTGCGAAAACAATTTCAGACGATTATGAACAAGAATTTGGGGACGCTGAAATACCGTGAAGATCAGAAATGTAGCACTTCTTCAGCGCCGACAAATTCACAGAGAAATGAATTATCTTTAACGAGGTTGGTCTGGGGAAAATTGGAGTACTGTAGAGATTTGCTCTAAGGGTTACAGTAAATTATTTCTGAAATCTACATAGTTTGAGATCTCTATATCTCACAACTTTTCTGGAAGATCAAAAATATTTTCTCGGAATCTCTCATTTTTGCTTTGAATTGATTTCTGGGTCTCTAGGTGTGGCTACTTGACGTAGAATATCTCAAGGCGCGGGTCGTAGACGTACCGGTTTTCTCGAGTCAGGCCTGCATTTTTCGAAAATCAAATCTATTTTTAGCCCCAAGTCTCATCCTATTAACTGTACATTTTAAGAATCAAACATCAACCACCAAAAAGTTTGTTTTTTCTTTTTTTTTCGAAAAAAAATCAGTGTTTGTTTTCTAAGGTATAAAAGTATCTTGTTTCGAAATTTCGTTTTGGTATTTTATTTTCGAAAAAAAACCATTTCAAATTTTTATTAGAAAATCAATTTTTGTTTCGAGAAAAATCTCTATTTATAAATGTATATGTATAATATCAATATTTGCCTGTTTTGTTTTTTCAACAGAACAGGCAAAAATTCGGCGCCTGTCAAAAACCCTCCTCGCTTTTGTCTTTGCTTCCTTCCTTCGCCGAACACAAATCTGACTCATTTTCGCCCTCTTTTTCCTTCTTAAATGCATCTTTCTTCGCTGAACTTCTAGATATTTTTCTAAAAATTCAACAAAAAAAAAAAATTTTTTTGCCGAGTGGGGACCGAACCCATGTCCTCTAAAACAGTAAGCTAGCGCGCTAACCACTCGGCCACCCGGCTGTTTTTTTCAGCCATAAAAAATTTCCTTTTCAAAATACGTTCGCTCTTTCCTTGTGAGAAAAATCCTGATCCTCTTTTTTTTTCATAAAAATTTTTTATACCCAGATTTTATGACGAAATTCTCGCGCAGTCACCAATTCGATAAAACCATAAAAATTCACTTTTTTGTGGCTGCTGCTTGCGATGAGAAAAAACCCGAACATTCGGATTTTAATGGTATTTGTTTTGCGAGAAAATCACTTTGGCAGCAAGAATATTGCATTTTTTGCGGCTTTGATGTTTTTTTTTGAAAATAAAAATTGGCGCGCATAAAAATACAGCGAAGCTCTGTAAAAATTCATATTCATTTTTCCATCAATTTTTTTTAGCCGCCAAAGAAAAACCACGTGCGCCATAAATCCTACTCCCCCTTCAATTTTCTTCTCCTCTGAATACTTTATTCTTCTTTTTTCCCGCAAGAAAATTGCTCCACTCAATTATTTTCGTTACACCTCTTTTTATGTAAATTTTACACCATGATTTTCTATCGGCACTTTTTTTTATGTTTTCCTCTGAGATTTTTCCCTCGAAAAAATTTGAAAAAATAACTTTTTCAAAAAAAAAGAAAAGAAAAAATTCAAACACGCGCGCTGTCGAGATGATGTGTGAAGTGCGCTCCAGCGAACACCCAAAATTTATTTTTATTTTTGAACATTTTTCAACAAGAAACCAGAAAAATATGATTTTGGAGCTAGTTCTAGTGTTCCCTGTTGTGATCTTCACAATCATCTCGATCCTAAAGTAAGCGCCAACCAATTTTCCCCCAAAAATTCTTCACTTTCAGCCGATACGCGACAAGTTTAAGCACACAATTACGAATCGAAAAAGGAAAACACGATCATCGAAGTCCTCCTTCACCAGCACCATCATCAATCTCAAATCTTCAAAATTCCCATATGATTGGTAAGTATCTTCTTCTTTTCTCGTTCTTTGCTGACCACAAAAAATAAAGTTTAATATTAAATCTATGGGAGTGTTGGCCCAACAGATATTTTCATTCTTCTCATTTTCTTTCTCTTTCTTTTTTATTGACAAATTGTTTATCACCTCTTCCCCAAGTTTTATATCAATTAAATGAGTAGAAAAAACTCATGACTTTCTATTTTCAGAGAGTCTGATGTCACCTCGAATGGGAAATCGAAGATTCGCCTCAGCGATTCGATGTGGTCTACCAAATGATTCATCACCATCTTCCACTGAAGTCTGGTTACCTCGACCGACTCTAGTCAATCACAATCCAGCACATTCGAGTTCGCTGCCAAGATTGGATCGAAAATTGCAGGAAAGGAAATCGGAAGAATCTTCACATAACAATCACAAACAAAATGGAATGACACCGTCGATGAAGAATTTGACAGAACAAGAGAGAAAAAGACAGTATCGAATTGCGTTGAATTTTTTCAACAAGTGAGCATTTTTTAGAAGAAGAAAAAATATTTATGATTTGAAACTTTGCCTAAAAATAGTTTTTGGAATATTTTCTGAAAACAAAATTTCAAAAAAAAAAAATAGTTTCGAAATTATAACCAATATTCAATTTTTTTTTCCAGAAAACCAGAACGTGGTGTTCAACTTCTGACAGCTTGGGGTTTTGTCAAAAGTTCTCCAGACAGTCTTGCGAGTTTATTATTCGGAAGACGTGGATTATCGAAATCAATGGTTGGCGAATATATCGGAACTCTTCATTCAGCCTATCATAATCTTGTTCTCAAATATTTCATTGCAATGATAGATGTCCGAGGATTAGAAATCGATGTTGCACTTCGAAAATCAATGCAATTTTTCATTCTTCCAAAAGAAGCCGAAAAAATCGACAAAATCATTCAAGCCTTTGCAATTCATTATGCAAAATCGAATCCCAAACGAACATCACATTTTCGCGGCGGCTGGGATACAATTCATCTATTATCATTTGCAATTATTATGCTCAATACGGATTTGCATTCACCGAATGTGAAAACGAGAATGACAATGAATGATTTTGTAAAGAATTTGAGAGGACAGGATAAAATTGGAGGCGAAAAAGAGGGAAAAGATATTGAACGACATATTTTGGAAGGAATTTATGAGCGAATGAAAAGGGATGAATTGAAGGCTGGAGATGATCATGTTGCACAAGTTCAAAGAGTTGATCGAGCTATTGTTGGAAAAGATAAACCTGTAGGTTTTCTGGGGAATTAAAGAAATTTTAAAAATTCAAAAAAGGGAAACATATTTCAAATTTTTTAGCGTCTCACCGAAACTCCTCGCCGTCTTGTTTGTTACTGCCGCCTTCAACAAATCGCCGATCCCTCCAAACGACAATCCACATCATCTCGCGAACGCGACGTCTTCCTCTTCAATGATATGATCGTTGTCGCAAAAGGAATTCGACGAAACTCATCAGCAATCTCCGGATGTACATACACATTAAAACAATGGTCATTTTTATTGGGTGCAAGTGTTCAAGAATTCCAACGAGGTCAATACGAATTCGGAATCACGATAACAACGCCAAGCAACGAGAAGATACATTTCAACGCGCGAAATTTCGATGATCGATGTCATTTTGTGGCTGATATTTCGGAGTCAATTCGAGAAGCGACAGAAATGGAACAAGTTCGATTGGAATTGGAAATGGAACAACACACATTAAGGAATGAAAGTCAACGAGATAGTGGATTACCAGAAATGGATGACTCACTTAAAAATGGATCATCTTCTTCATCAGCAAATAGTAGTGGAGGAGGAGGAGCAAGAAGACTTTCATTCAATTCATTGGATAGTGGTGTTGTTGAAGAACATTGTATACTTGACAATATGCTTCCCCCTTGAAAATACCTAGGAAATCTAGAACATTTCAAAATCTTCAGTATTTCCAACCCCATTTTATGCACTGTATTCATCACTCTCATTCTAATCTTCACGAGGTACACAATTTCCCCCAACATATATTTTTCTTGTATTTTTTTTATTGGACCAAGTATTATTATCTACGATATGATTGCTCATAATTCACTTCCTACCCCTTCCTTTAAAAAAGTATCCCTTGTTTTTTCGATGAAACTGGTCAATTTTTTCTATGTCTATTGCACATATTTATCAAATAAATATTGAATTTGAATTTGAGAACAAAATTGGAGTAATTTTCATTGACCCGAAACATAAACATGTCTCATGTCATTTTTCTCTCTCTTTCTCTTTATTTATTATTGACCGATGCATTCGTCGTCTGCGTCTCCACTATCTTGTATACTCTCTCGCATCGCACTCACATGTTTTGCTTTTTGTCACTTTTCTTTTTGCAGACTTTAGTACGTTTCATTTCGATTTTTGAAATTTCAAATTTTCACGCGAGAAAAAAAAGTAAAAAAGTTGTCTGCAATTTTACGTGAACGTGTTTTGAAAAAGTATGTCTGGGCATTTTATTTGACGCGCATTCATTTTTATTTTTTTTCTTGAAAACTTTCTGGCCAAGTTTGAGGTATTTCTGGAGATTTTGAATGTGACATTCCATTTTGTAGAGTTTTCCACGCTGAGAAAGATTCCGCTTTCAGTTTTTTTTCTGAATGACTCGGAAGAGCACAATAATGAGTGGAAAACTCTACAAAAATAAATTTCTTCTTGAAAATTTTCGAGGGCACCTCACACACTTTTAAATCGATTATTTTCAACCTTATTAAACCTCCACCCTTTGAAAATATATATTTCAGGCATGGGAAACCAATTTGGATCAAATTATACAGATTCAGAAGAGTCTAGTTCGCCTGATCGAATTGTTGATGATATTCTAACTCCCTCAACAAGTAAGGAATGTGGTAGTAGAAAAAGGAAGGCAAATGAATCGCCAACAAATTCGGCAGAAGGAGGAACACAGAAAAAGATAAGTAAATTGGACACGGCAAAATATGTTTATGAGAGGTTGTTTCAACAAGGAGAAGGTTCGGATATCACAATTCATGCAGTTGGAAGAGTTTGGAATCTACATAAATTATATCTTCAACAATGCACTTATTTTGAAGCATTGTTAAATGGAAATTGGAAAGAATCAAATGATAATGCAATTCATATTGAAATAAATGATGAAAATGTTACCGAAGAAGGTTTGGAAGCTGTTCTCGCATCTTTATATCATAATGAAATTGAGATTGATTTGGAGAAAATTGAGGGAACTTTAGCGGCAGCGATTTTATTAGGATTGGATAGTGTTGTAAATCGATGTGAAGAGGCAATGATTGAAAATTTGGCACATAATAATGTTTTGAGGTTTCATGATATTTCGGAGAGATATGGATTGATTCAAGTGCAGAAAATGGCACTTTTCAGTTTGAAAATGTTATTCTGGAAGTTTATGAAAAGTCGCGAAATGTTGAGAGATCTTAGTGAAAGTCTTTTTAATCGATTATTAAGTTCGTCGGAACTTTTTGTTGTTGAAGGAGAAATGGATTTATATCGCATGGTTAGAGCTGTAAGTTTCTTTTTTTTTTTGAGCTGAGACACGCTCCAGCTAAGTTTAGGTCAAATTTCCAAATGTTTTACCCTAACCTTTCTAACCTTAAAATCCAAATAAAAATCTAGGCTATTTTTGCGACCTCAGCCCATTTTTTTCTCAAAAAAAATGCAATATTTCAGTGGATCTTCATACACGAAAACCCATCAAGAATCGATTTATTCGACATGGAAGAAACCGAATTCGACAAAAAAGCTTCAGAATTCTCAAGAAGTGTAGCAGAACATGATCTATTTCTGAAATATGCCTCACTTTTTAGCCCTCTTCGAATCCATCATTTTCTAACATCAATCGCAAGTATTCGACTGATTGAAAATGATAATTTGATACCGAAAGAAGTCATCTCAGCAGTTTCAGTCGATCAATGGAGAGCACTTTTAAGAAATGAGGAAAATCCCGCGCTGATCAATGATTTGACAGAGGATAATTTTAATTTGAATGCGTTGAGACTTGGAAGAGTTATTGATTCATTTCCGAAATGTTGGAGATGGACTGGCTTCAATTTTGGAGTTGATATTTTATTGCATATGACAAGCTAGTGAGTTTTAAGGGCAAAGAGAGATAATGGAAAATCTGGAAAATTTCAGTTCGCTTACAATGAAAAGGAACTGCTTGAACCAATCTACACCGTATTCAATAAATTTGAAATCTGAAAGGAAAATTCATTATAGGTGAGTGTTTTTAGAGAGAAACCCCAAAAAAAAAAACTTTTTAAAACATTTTTAAGGGTTCTTCGAAAAATGTCTCATGCAGACCAATATTTCATTATTATTTCAATCAATAAAAAAGATTAGGTTCCCATCTTCCAGTCTTCTTATAATGAGCATAAACTTGAGCATTTTTTCTATCACTCGCTTCTCGAATCGGACATTTTCTAGCCGAAACTCCAGATATTAAAAGAAAACTGACCAAAATATAGAACAATTTCATTTTTGTTTGATTTTTTGATATTTACCGGGGTTCTTTTATACAAACGTTGTGAGAAAAACTGAATTCCAGAAATTTTTGAGTGGGAAAATGTCTAGGATTTTGTACGTTTCAAATCTCATCGACCAAAATTCAAAGTCAAACTCTTTTGTTTTTCAGAATGATGATAGCCGACGGAAATGGCAAATGTTTCTATGATAGTCAGAAAAAAGATGTATCCCTCCGACCAGATCAAGCAATTGTTATTACTCGAATTCCAGACAATGTTACCCTCCCAATTTCAGTTCATTTTCAATATTTGGCTGCTGATCCACCACAACCTTCGTTGATTTTTGTAAATGATTTTGTAAAAAGACACCAGACACAATAATAGGGTATGTAAATATGAAAAAAAAGAACTTGTAAATATGATGTACTGTATTGATTTTGGCGCTAATAAAATTTGATTTTTTATTACTAGGCTTTTTCAGAATTTTTCTCGGAAATTCTTGAATTACTAGTTTTGCATATCTTTTTGGCCAGTACTGTAGTACCTAGAACTTGGTATTTAAGTTTGTTCAACTCAGGCTCGTCTCAAAAATCAAGGGGTACTGTATTTAGGCCACGTTGAATAACAATTTTAGACTTTTTATGATGTCTCGTCAATTTTTTCTCATAAATTCCAGTTTCTCACAAGACATTTTCATTTTCAAACAAAAAATGAAACTTATTGTTTCCATCTCTCTTCTCCTTATTATTTTCAACCAAGCTCAATCTTCTGATTCCAAAGATTTCGAATTTGCTCGGGAATATTTCCTGGATACAATCAGATTAGCAAATGCTGGAGAATTGGATAAAGTTAGAGCAAGATTTTTCGATCATTTTGTTGTCCATCATCCACGTGGAAAATATTCTTTGGAAAAGTTTATCGAATATCTTCGAGGTGCAAATGCTACTTTGATTCCGGTGCCAACTCATGTGGATACAAATGACCATGAATATGTGACAGACCCAAATGTTGTTGTTTTGTCATTCAGTATGCCGGATTTGGGAGAAGAATATGATTTCGAATTGGAAGGTGTCATTGATCGCGAGAAAAATGAGATGAAGTTCAGCTCAGCAACTGTTTACCTGTAATTGGGAAATAAAATATTATTTTTTCTAATGGAAAAGATGAAAGTTTGAGTTTTAAGATACATTTCACAATTTTTTGAAAACCTAAACTTTTCATCATCTGAAATGTAAAAAAAATGTTCAATCAGACCAAAGATTTTACAAAAAATGTCTGGAATGTCTCACATTTTCCCACGGTCTTTCCCTATTTTTTTTGTATAAAAGTTGTCCGGTAAATTTTCAAAACTCATACAAAAAATGAAATTGTTCTACATTTTGGTCGTATTTCTTTTGGCCACTAGAGTTTCAGCAATCAAAAAATGTGCACAAATGATAGCGAGTGAATTGAAACAAGAAAGAACTTGGATGCATTATAGAAAAACTGGAAGATGGGAACCCAATCTTTTCTAATTATTTTGAAAATTGAAAAATTAATGAAGTTTTTTGAATGCAATGTAATTTTTCGAGCGCCTTTGGCGCGAGTGTGAGAAAACTTGAAACAAAAGTATTTTTGGCACTAAAAATTCCTATATTTAAGAAAATGGAACAATGTACATGAATCAACTCAAATTTTTTATTGAACTCTAAATTTGGCATTGATTTTTCCAGTCAAACCAATCTCGATAACATCGCCAGGAACTATCTAAAAAATAATAACTTTTTTTCCAAAACCCAAAAACTATGACAAACCTTTGTAACTCCCGCCGGTGTTCCCGTCAAAATCAAATCTCCCGGCTGAAGAGTGACAAATTGTGTGGTATATTCGATAAGAGTTGGAATATCAAAAATCATCAGATCTGTTCGAGATCTTTGCTGATCTTTTCCATTAATAATACAATAAAGTTCTTCATTGTGTGGATCGCTGATTTCTGATTTTGGAATAAAATTTGCAATCGGGCAAGATCCATCGAATGATTTTGCGAGGAACCACGGAGCTCCTGATTTTTTCGCTTCATCTTGAAAGTCTCGAGCTGTCATATCAAGGGCTACAGTATATCCTCCAACGTATGACATTGCATCACTTTTTGAGACATTCTTAAAAATAAAAACTTCTGAGAACTTCAAATTTTAAGTTAGATATGTACCTTAGCAGTTTTCGAAATAACAACAGCCAATTCAACTTCTTGATGAAGATTTTGACATCCAGGAGGTGCAACAATTGGTTCTCCTTCAGCCAAAAATGCATTTGGAGACTTCAAAAACAACATTGGTTTTTTCGGAATCGCATTTCCCAATTCCAATGCGTGTTCTTTATAATTTCTACCAACACATACGATTTTTGTTGCCAATTGTCGGAATGCGCTTAAAGACATGTTGTCAGCTGAAAATGAACTATCAAAATAAATAAATAAACCTACATACCTGCCATAATTTCAATGAGAATGAATAGTGTAGAAAAATGTTTGTTTATCAAGGTTTTTCTTATCACAAAGTGAACTTTGGTGTGAATTTTGATGATCAAATTAAAACGGGAGACGGTTTTCTGACTTTCTAATCGTCTGGTTTCTCTGCGTCTCTAACTTTCTAGCTGTCTGCCTTCTCTGTGTCTCTAACTCTATGGTGAGCTCGAATTTTCTGGCTTCTCTCTGTCTCTAACCTTCTAGTTATCCGGCTGCGTCTAGAAATTTTGAAAATTAGATTATTTCCCCAATTTTTAATTCGTAATAATCTCACGCAATTCCAAAAAAATACATTTTCAAAAAAAACACCCGCAAAACCTGATTTGCCACAAAACGAAAGATGATGTGAAAATCCAACCAGCTAGGTATAGAAAGATAAGAAGAATAGAAACATTTGGCAAAAAATGTGGAAAAATACAATTTTTCTCATATTTTTTGCCATTTTTCATGTTACTATTTCTCAACCTCTTCTATTTCCTCATGGCTGGTTTGAGAGTAAGAATTTGCGGCCGAGAGATGCGATTATGTTGAATATGATGGCTCAGTCAAGTATAGAGTATGGCGGGAATACGTTGAAGGTTGGTGAGTTGGCAAGCCAGCGGAAAAGTTACCATAACTTTCTAAATTAGCTTTGCCACTCATATTAATCTCAGGATTTCGACACACTGGATGCAATTCGAAAACTAGTTCCTCGACCCTCAAATTTACCAAGAGATCGACTGGAAGACGATGAAGAATTGGATCGAGAACCGATTGTTGAAGCTGATTCACTTGAAGGTAGCTTTCAGGCTAGAAATTCTGGAAATTTTGAAAATTTATAATATTTTAGGGCAAGTTAAGGCAAAAGATGGAGAAGCTAAGGGAAAAGCGATTGAAAAACAAGAGCCGAGTGAGGTGAAACCGAAACCGAAACGAGATACGAAAAGTCCGTTTAGACGAGTTGAGCTGAAGCCGAATAGAAGTGAGTTGGAAAAAAGGAATTTTTGAAAATGAAAAAAAAATCACTTGATGTTTATGTTTTTTGTGATTAACTTTTTTTTGTTAGAAAAAAACATGGTATTTTTTCATTTTCATTGTTTTCCAAAACTGAAATTTTTCAGAACGCGCAGTCAAAAATGAAGAAGCCCAAGAACAAGAGCAAGAATCTTCAAGCGAAACTGATGTTCCACCAAAAACATCAGCTGCAAATCCATTCGAAGAAATCGCAACTCGCGGACCACCACGTGACTATCTCTACATGAAACAATTACGTAATCGACATCGAAAAAATCGGAAAAGAAATCGGCGAAGATACAGAAAACATGGATTTTTATCACGAGATGATATTTTGAAGGCCAAACCGTGAGTAGTGATAGGAAAAGGGTTCAAAAACTAAAGAAAGATCAGCGAAAATTTGGGCTGGTTTTTTCTCAATTTATCAATATTTTTCCAAAAAAAAACCGAAATTTTTTTTTTAGAAATCCTGAAGAAGCTCCTTCTGTAAAAATGCCTGAAGAAAACACCAAAGCGAAAGCCGAATTCGAACAAATCGATATTCGCCAAAAAACTTGGGAACGTGAAATGAAAGCAACCGAAGAAAAAAGAAAAGAAATGGAAGAAAAGGCAAAACTACCACCTAGAAAACCAGAAGATGAAGAATTAGAGGAAGAGATTCTGAAAGATCCATTAGAACTTCGATTGGAAGCTGAGGAAAAGAAAAAACGAGGTGGAATTGGAAAAGATGGATTGACAATTAAAAGACTGCCAAATAATCCATATCGAGATGTTGATATTCGAAAACCAACTGTTATTGAATTACCAATTCCACCAGGAGATGATGAAGAGGAAAATTTGAAGAAAAATTGAGATGAAACATTTGAAAATAGAAAATGGATAAATTTGCAATATGTATATTATAATGAAAATAAAAATGAATTTCTGTGATGTGAAATTATTCGAAAAAATATTTTTTGGGAACTTTTCAAGACTAATTCTGAAAGAAAATAAATGTTGAATGTCATTTTGAGAACTCTTCATATTTAATCTAAATGATTAATTTTTCTATTTTTTAGTCCTAAATTTTTCAACAACGAAAAATTTTGGAGCTTATCTCAAAATCTGTACTAATAAATTTATGGATTATTCAACATGAAACTATAAATATTAGAAAAACGTGCAATATAAAAAATTAATACCCAAATCTCAAAAAAAAATTACCACGAAACAACTGGTCGTCTTCTTTTCACCAACAAATGTATCGGTTCAGCCGGTCTCATAATAATTTCCATTTTCGGATTACATTCGTGCATTTTCTCCACCGAATGCACATCAAATTGTCTCAAAATATGTGTCATTATCACTTTCTCCTCCAAAATCGCAAATCTTTGTCCAATACAATTTCGACTTCCGGCAGAAAATGGAATGAATGCGAATGATTTGCGGCCAACCGAATTTTCGGGCAAAAATCGATCGGGATCGAAAATCTCGGGATTTTTCCATTGTGTTGGATCGCGATGAACCAAATATTGATTGATGAGAATTGTGACACCGTGTGGAATGTTTATTCCACCAATTTGTTGATCTGATGCAAGTTCACGCATTATTATTGGAACTGATGGACGCAAACGGAGCGATTCCTGGAAAAACTATCTGATAAATTTTTTTATGTAACTTTGGCACTGCCCCCAAAGTTTGGCAGTTGAATGTACACCTCAAGATATATTTATTCCAAAAACCCCATGGTGCAAAACTTGCCCAAAATATACATAGTTATGACGTGACAAAGTTTTCCCACTGTAAAAAATCAGAATCAACTGTTAAAGTTACAGAAAAAAATTATTCGGTGACCCCTCATGTAATATTCTCCCTCCTCCCCAAAATTTTGATTCGAGCGGGAATTTTCATTAGCTACCCGCCCAAATCGAAATTTTGATTTGAGCGTGAATTCAAAATTTCTAAAATGATCCCCTCCCCTCAAAAATTTTTCCAAATGTCATATTCCCCCTCACAGTTTTGGGAGCCATGTATGTTACTTACCTTCAACACGCATTCCATATATTTCAATCTAGCCAAATGTTCAGTTGTCACATCAATATCATCCCCCATAACCTCATCAATTTCCTCTTGCATTTTTCTCATAACTTCCGGATGATTTCCAATCAAATGCAATGCCCACATCAATCCAGTTGATGTTGTATCGTGTCCCTCAAACATAAATGTATCAACTTCAGCTTGAATATCTTCCATTGCAATTTGTCCACTTTGCGCCATATCTAAAAGCAGGTCCAAAAATGCCAATCGTTTTCCACTCTCGATTTTATAATCTGATTCTTCTAGTGATTCTTTTCTTTCATCGATGACTTTTTTGGTGAAACTATGGAGGATTTGCAAACATTTTTCGTGCGTTTTGCCATTTTCGGTGCTGAAAAACATTAAAATATAATTCAGACATAACTTTAGTATCTTACAGTTTATAAACCCAACTATTCCAAACAAGTGGATTCTTAGTTCTCGTCTGTATCAAATCATTAATCGTATGAACCGCCCAAACATATTCATTATCTTTTGATAATTGCGCATTCACAGATTTTCCCATCGAAGTTTCACAAATAATATCTAATGTGCATAATGTGACCATTGATAAAATATCAACTGGATCTGTTGGACCATATAAACACATCTTTTGAATCATTATTTTGGCTTGTTCGTTGAAAATTGGAAGAAAATCTTTGAGAATATCATAATGGAAAGTTGGTGTCAATAATTTTCGTTTTGGTCGCCATTGTTCTCGTTGACTTGTTAAAATACTCAATCCTAGCCATGGTTCCAATAATTTATAGGCAAATCCTTTGTTCAAATGTTTGCTGGATGCCAAAATTGGCTCGACTAATTCAGCGGAATATAACATGAGACATGGAAATGGTCCAATCCATAATAAACACATTCTTGGGTCTGGAAATAGATATCCCATACCAATTACTTGATTCATAAATCCCTCTGGATCTGGTCGAGTTATCAAACCATGACCGACAACTGGATATGAGCGAGGTTGACAAATATCCTGAAAATTTTTGAATTTTGCAAAAATCTCTTAAATAATTTCTCTTACCTTTAAGATATGTCGCATCCTCATATGCTTTAGAAGAAACCATGTTAATGCTACCGTTGAAACCAACACAAAAATTGGGATGATTATCCCCATTTTGCTGCTTGATTTGCCGTCAAAATTTTTCGAGAGCAAAAAAAAAGAAAAGAAAAAAATTAAATTTAAAATTTCGCGCGCATCGTTTCAAAAACCCACGTGCAAAGCACAATGTCCCTTTAGCCATTTTGTTTGTTTCAATACGGTGTCACTTGTTTCAACTGTGACAAAATATTTATTTTTTTTCATTTTTTCTTTGTTTTTTTTCGTCGACGTCCGCGTGTCCATGAAGCAACAGATGTCACACTTTGTTTTTTCTCCACTTCATTTCGAAAAAATCACTTCGAAATGAGATTCCTTATTCTTTTGATCATGTAAGTTCATCGAAAAAACTAGATTAGGTTTTTCTAACTAAATATAAAAAATATGGGGAGACCTTGGTATCTGTCAATGAAACAAAAACTTATAAAAGATAGGTTTTTTGGAAAAAATTGTTCCTGTTAGAAAGTAGAAAAAAGAAAGAAGATGTTGAACTCTAGTATTTTACACCTGGTTGTTTTGTAAGTTTTGAAAAGTCTGACCTCATTAGAGCATTTTTGTTGTGATTTCAAATCTGAAAATGGCATACGATTTTTAAATAAGCTTAAAAAAGCTTCGAAGATAAGTGGAGCACGTGAGAAAACACCTGTTATTTCTCTATTTTTTTGAGAAAAATCAAAAACAAATATTTTTGAGACCAAATTATCAAAAGAGCATATTTGTTCTCGGCGAACAAAAGGAACATGTTTTTTGTTTGATTTTTGACTTTCAAAGAAATCTTATCATTTCCGAACGGAGATTTTTGATACCTTGTTTTGAAAAAAATTAATTATCTATAGGTTTTCCTTTTGCCTGAACCCCTCAAAAAATCTTCCAAGTCACTTTTTGATAGCAAAATCACAATCACAAAGCAAAATTCTTGATAATTATGCGAAAAGTCACGTAATCACACAAATCAACTGTGTATTTTTGTTCAATCGTTTTTTTTTCTTTGATTTGATTCGATTTGATAAGAACAAGTTCCTCTCATCAGTACACAGTCAGTCATTCAGTTCTATGCTTTTTTGTTTAAAGGCACACGTGGAATTCGTGTGATTTTTGAGGTGTGAAATGTTGTCTATGAGTAGAGTAAAACAAAAAACACTGTGTACTTCCGCCGTTTTTGGAATTGAGAAAGGAAGGAAGGAAGTAGGGTCGAGGCGTTTCTAAGAAGATTTTTTTGCCTTTTGTCAACCATGTGAAGTTTTCACATTGCAATTTAGAATTTTAAAAAAATGCCCTTAAAATATTTTAAAATTCAAAGTACACGTTCACGTCTAATTTTCATTTTCCCTCATTTCTTGAAATATTTTGTTTTCTGAATAGTAGGACAGAAAAATTGATGTTTCTTAAATGGAAACCACTACGTGAGTTTTGTCTAGTTTTTAAAAACTTTATTTTACTAAACGTTTGCCACGTCATAACTATATTTTGGGCAAGTTGTGCACCCAAGGAATATTTTCGGGGTGCACTTTTAACTGTGACCACCCATGAAAAAATTCTTATCAGTTTTTCCTGATATTTCATCAGATTTTGCAAAAAACCCCTTCCTCGTCACACTTCCTTCCTATTCTAAACCGTTCTTTGTTTTCGAATCATACCACCATTTTCTTTCATTTTTTCACTGGTTCCATTCACATGTTATTCACATGTCTCTGCTCGTCTGCGTCTCTCTCGGGGCATCCCTCTCTAATTTTCTGCTGCTTTTCCCTCACTCCTTTTTCTTTGTCTGTTTATTTTTTTCCTCGAAATTTTCATTTCGCACGGCGAGTTTTTCGTGTTTGTTGTTGTTGTTTTTGTTTTCGGCTCTTTCATTATCAAAAAAAAAAATGAATAAAACAAGACAAGACGAGACAGGTTGTCTATTTGATTTGATTTGTTTTCTTTTCTCTTGATACGGTCAAACAGAGTCAAAGTTCTAGTTTCCTTGTAATCACGGTAGACAGTAAGCCAATATGGACCGAGGCTGAATTTGGAAAAAATCTGAGCCCTTGTTTTTCTGAAACGAATTAGGCTTTTGCACATTCGGCATAGATTTCGGACGAAAAATTCGAATTTTAATTAACTGATCCCTGTATAGAAATTTTAATCAAACTTAACCTTCTCTGAAAACTTCAGAGTTCAAATTTCCTGGCTTGAAATATGATGTAGAAGTTTAGATTCGCATTTTCAAAAGATAACGGTGAAACATAAGCTCTATAACTTTTCTGATTGTTCTCTGAATCTTGTCCAATTTCCGCCCGGGTTCTCTCTTCAATTTTCAATTTCAACATAAAAAAATGACGCGAAACGCAAAATTTCTTTATCAAGTTCAATTTGTTTGCAAAATCAAATATTGTTTTATCTTTTGATCGCTGAAGTACAAAATAGTTCCTCCTCCTCCTCCAAATATTTCCTCGTTTTTCTTATTCAATACAATGACTTTCACTTGATCATCATTTTTTTTGTTCCACTGTTAGAAGAAATAAGAAAAATGCAAAAAAGAGAAGAAGACGTTATTGATAAGCTTCTTTTATGTCTAATGTTATTATAGATTTTTGCAATTATTTTGTGAGGATAGTCTAGGCTTAGGCTTGAGAAGTTGCATTTTTCGGGCTCTAATTTGGCTCCGCCTCGAACTCACCAAATAAACAATTTCTGTAACTTTAGCAGTCAAAAGAACATCTCAAGGGATAATTATTCCAAAAATTCCAGGCTGCAGAACTTGTCCTAAATGACGTGACAAAGTTGCCAACACTGTCCGAATAATTATCACTTGGAGGTTTCTTTCAACCGCTGAAGTTATAGAAAATGTTATTTTTTTCGCAACCTTCCATTACGACGATTTTCCCCAATTTTTCATTGAAAACTTGATAATCCAAAAATCACCCCATATTTTTCAAATGCGCCCTATTGATAAGCTTTATTACTATAATAGTATGTTGTACCAGGTGTATACAAATATATAAATACGCATATTTTCTTTTCCAAGTACACATGTTCGATCATCATTATTTGATAACACAGTATTATTAGTGGTTTTATGACCCCCCGCTCAAATAATTAGAAATATACGTCATTGGTCAAAGAGCGTGCATTTTTATCCAATTTTTTGGGAAAAAATGGGATTTCATTCAATATTGACTTTTTCGACCGTTTGTGTGTTCTTTGTTGATTTTTTAAGGAAAAAAATCAAATATTTTTTCGGGAAAAAATAAGAGGCTTATCTACATATTTCATCGCTGAAATTTTGGTTTTTCAGCTTGTAGCTTTGTGCGTCGCCTGATTTTTCTAGCCTACAATTTTGGAAAGGTATTTTGTAGCTCGATGGGAATAAGTTGCTCCTGGAAGGTTCCGTTTTTCCCGAAAATCATGATGGTATGCATTCCGAGAGAAGTACGCAGAAATAAATTACATGTGCGATAGAGCAAACTTAATTGTCTGTGTGTTATTTTTCTATTTTTCAACGGAAAAAACGGTACCTTTCAGGAACACACTATCCCCATTGATTTAGCACAAGTCCCCCTGATGAAACACAAACCATTTAACTAGATCAAAATCATTTTTCATCATCACCACCCCAATCTTTTCATACTTTGTCCCCCTACTAAAAAAGATAAGCCGATCAACAAACGAAAGGCATTTCAATACAAAAAAAGAACAGTTTTCTTCGCCCCAGTCTTCCCCCAAACTTTGAAAATCACGTGATCAATCTTTCCATCCTTAGCTCCGCCCCTTTTCCAAGAAACCTTATCTTTTTCTAATTCTGAATCATTTCATTTATATTCAGAATGATGCGCGTTGCGATTCCAACAACTGCGGCCGCAGTTCCACGTTCAATAATGACGTCATCGGCAGCAGCAACATCGGAAAATGGAAGTGGTGGAACGAAGATAGCGACGGCGCAAGAAGAAGTGAAAAGGATTTGGAGACGAGCAAATGCTGTTTGTTTTGATATTGATTCGACTGTTTGTCAGGTTAGTAAAGGAGTTTTTGATAAACTAATTTCATGCTAAAAATTTTGAATTTCATATAAATTCTGAAACAGTAAATTTTTCTTCATTGAAAAATTATAAAAATTGAGTCACCATTTTTTTTCGAAATTTTTTGAATTTCACAAAAAAATTTTTTTGCTGAAACACTGGTCGGGAAAAAATTAGAAAAATATTTCTCACTACAGAGATTTTCTAACGAAACATCAACAAAAAAATTCAGTTAGAAATTGGCATCGGCTCATTTGCTCAGGATTTAACTATAAAAATAATAGGCATTGCTCATATTATATAAATTTCGGTATAATTTTGCTGAAACATTTTGTTTTCGAGAGCTACTATAAATTAAGATTGCTCATCTTAAACTCTAATTATTTCAGGACGAAGGAATCGATGAATTAGCCGCATATTTGGGAGTTGGTGAAGCTGTTGCAAATGTAACTAGAAATGCAATGAGTGGAAATGGACGTTTTAGGTATTATAGGTTAGAAAAAAGAGAAAGCATGGTGTGTGTGGAACTTTTTTTTAAAGCTTTTCTTCAAAATTTTAACCCTAACGCCTTTTTTCTCTTTTTTTCCCCAGAATTTTCAAGCTGAAATAAATAATTTGTTTTTTCAGAGAAGCTTTGGCGGCTCGTCTTCAAGTTATGAAACCGAGTGCTGATCAATTAGAACAATTTATTAATATTACTAAACCAAAAGTGAGTTTTTGTTCTGGTGAAATTTTCAGGAAATAAAAATAATGCGGATTTTTTACGTTTCAAAATTTATATTTTTAAACCGAAAATTATTGCAAATTTAATAGATGTGTGATAAAAAAATTTATAATGATTTTTTCAGCTAACCCCTGGAATCAAAGAACTAGTCGCACGTCTACATTCTCGTGGAACTAAAGTATTTTTTAGTTTCTGGTGGATTTCGACGATTAATTGTGCCAGTCGCCGAATTGTTGGGCGTCGAAAAGTCGCACATTTTTGCAAATGAGATTCTTTTTGATAAAAATGGAAAATATGCGGGTTTTGATACAACTGAATTAACTAGCGATTCGGGAAGCAAAGATGTGAGTTTGGAATTGTTTTTTTTTTGAGAAAATTGGGATCTTTTTTGCAGACGGGTAAACCAGCAGTCATCTCATTGTTGAAGAAAAAATTCGGTTATAAAACAATTGTCATGGTTGGAGATGGTGCGACTGATGCTGAAGCATCACCACCGGCTGATGCTTTTATTGGTTTTGGTGGAAATGTGGTAGGTTTTTATGATCGGAAGCTTTGGCGCCGCGACAAAATTACCCTAAACTGGCCAAAGAAGTTAAAACTTTACATTTTCAGATTCGTGAAGCTGTCAAACAACGTTCCAATTGGTATGTAACTGATTTCGATGTTCTTCGTAAAGAATTGGATCATATTGATTCATCGGATTCCGAATAATTAATTAATTAATTTCCCTAATAGGGAAGAAAACATGAGCTTTAATTTTAAAAAGCAGCACACTTTTTTCATGTGCCATCTAATTTTTTTGTATGAAAAATTTGTGAGTTCATTTCATTTCTGTTTCAAAATTTACATGAATTGATTTATGAGGCTCGAACTGGTGGTGAGACAAGAATCACTGAATCTCCTCGAACAAATAACATTGGAACTGTTCGTTTGGTTTGGCGATAGATTTCTTCGAATGTGTCTTCGTCGGTTTCGCGTGTTGTTACGATTTCTTCGACCTGGAAAATTTAGGAAATTATTCTCAGAAAACGTCTCGTCAGCCGTCGGCGAGAAAATCTCGCACGCGAGCCGGCCGTCCATTTCTCGCATTTTTCTGGCGGAACCTCGCCAGAATTTAGGCTAAATTTAACCTAAATTTAGGTCACCATTTCTTTTATTGTCAAGTTTTATGGGTTTATTTTGGATCATATTACGTATCACACCTGACGAGACGTGTCCAAAAAGGACACTGTACAAAAATGTTCAAATAAAAATTCCCGCCCAATCCAAAATTTCGATTCGGGCGGGAAGCTAATAACATTTTTTAAAATTTCACCGCACATTTTTTTTCACGAAAAAGTGAAGCTTTCATTGATTTTCAGCGGATTTTGATGAGAATATTCAAAAAAATTCAAAACTTTTCACACCGCACAAAAATTTTGGGACACTCTCGCCAAGTGTGTTCCGTATCTTTCAAGCTAGTTTTTCTAGTAGATTATGATTAGCTAAACACGATCCTGGTCTCAAAAATAAGCTAGTTATAGCCTTGTGAAGTCAGAGCTAAGACATATCCGGGGTAAAAATGCGCTCTGGAAGCCTGGGTTTTCTAGGAAATTTGATTGGAGAAAAGTTCTCTCAAGAAATTAGACCAGCGAAAGAACACATTTTTGAACAAAATTTCTACATATAAATATTATTTTCAAAAATCGCTCACCTCTGACAAAACCATATTCAAATGTTGATCGAATGCTCGTAGTTTTCCACGAAGCTGCAAAAATATCACTCAATCAAGGCTTTTTCTACTTGAAAACAAAACCAACCTCTCTATCGGTTCTCATTTTAACATGTACTCTCTCCTCCAAACTTAATCGCAATAAATCGAGCGGCTCTTCGATGGTCGCATTTAGCACAACTTCTTTTTTTGGTTGCTCTGCCATGATTTGTGAATTCTGTGAAATTATTAGAAGGTACAAAGTAAAAATTTAAAAAACAAGTATGTGAGCGTTGAGGACGCAGTTTCAATGAAAATTTTTCAAAAAATCAATAAATAAATAATTTATAATTCAAGGTTTTTGCAAAATTCGACTTGGAGCAATCAAATTAAATTTAGTATCTTTGTCAACAAAACCAATTGGTCCAAAATCACAATCAGCACATGTCAAATATTTCATTCCATCCACTGAATTCGTAAAACCCGCATTCTCAAAAGTGAACATATCCTTAACGATCCAAAACCCTTTTACACTCTCTTTTTGAGTTTCGAGACCTTTTTGTTGTCTTGGAAGTGGTAGATCTTGCTCAATATCCGAAAATCCATCAGCTTTTCCTTCCAATAATATTTTACTTGTGCAAAATGGACAATTCAAAGGCTCATTCTTCTCCGTTTGTTGTTTTTGGACTATTGTTTCCTGACTGATTTGCGGGCTCGTCGAATTTGAAACTGGCGAGAGATTTGATGAGCTCATCTTTCAAATGAATTTGTCTATAGAGTGAAGTGATTTGTTGTCTTTCGCGAGATTCGTCTACGTTGATGTTTGGAATTGATTTCACTTGATCTTTGAAGGTTGTTAGCTCGCTTTCTACGTTTCGGAGACGAGCAGTCAATTCGGAACCGCTTCCTTTTTCGACACTGAAACATTTTTGAATTGGAACAGAAATAGAAGTTTCGTGACTTTTTCACATTCAAAAAATTCTAACAATAACTCACGATGTCACCAAATGCAGCAAATCCGTGTACAACTTATCCAACGTATTCAAGCAAGCGTCCGGTGTAGTTTTGGGCGCTGCGCTCATCTATTGAGCACGAATACTATGCTGAAATAAATTTTTTATATTACCTCGCCAAGTTCTGTAGTTTTCAGCCGTTGAAAACCGCCACGAAACAAAAAAAAAAGAAAAAATCGAAATTATTTTGAAATTTGCAGCGTGCGGCACACTATTTCGCAAACCTGGCGCGTTATTATTTACGATAAACAACAGGCGGGCGGTGTGTCGTACGACACGTCTTTTTATTTTTAACACAAAACTTTGCTAAAAATCGACCAAAACTGATGTTTCGCACAACTCTACGATGTTTCTCAAATGCAGCAATCGCAAGCACATCCACGAAAACCGCTGTATTTGAATATCCCCTCGTAACTGTGCCATCGTTCGATGTAACACGAAAATTTGGGAATATTTTTGCGCAGACGATTTATTCAACATTTTTCGAGAAGGAATTTAGTGTGGAGAGTTTGGTGCATGGAGCGAATCGGGGAATTCATAGTTTATCGCATTTTATAGCAGAAGAGCGATGGGATCAAATGGAAAACTTGGTGGCTAAGGAGACTGTTGAGAATTTGAAATTTTCGCGAGGGAATTTGGATAAGCGGCTGGAAAATGCGCTGAAATTCAAGGAGGACGACATTGTTTTATCATTTTTGCATTCTTCAATTATTTCAGGAAGAGATGTGTTCAAATGTGAGTTTTTTTTAGAATTTTGGAAGAAAGATGTTGAAAAATGGAAAAATTTTCAGTGAGCAAAAATCGGAATATTGGAATCTACTTTACTGTTGTTAGCTACGTCAGACTATCTGAAAATGTTCCAGAAGATGCGAAAATCTCACAACTTACTGGAAAATACAGAAACGATGTTTTAGTTTGCAATGCCACGTAAGTAAACCCCCCAGAAAAAAACTTGAAAAAAAACATATTTTTTTCAGATTTTCACGGGTTCTGAATCCCCTTGGTGTTTGGAAAATCACCAATGCCAATTTCTTCCTTCTTCAATAATGCGAAGAGACGCAGAGAAAATCCCCTCTTTCTCTGCACTCTCTCTTCTCTGCTGCTTTGGTGCATTTCTCTCTTTCTCTCTCAGTCTTGCTTTATTTTTAATTATATGCAGCAGCAGCAGAATTTCTAGTCTCTCGTAAAAAATCAATATTTCGTTTTGTTTTATTTATTTATTCTGGAAAAGTATATAGATAGCGGAGATAAATGGATACAGATGATGGTTTTGATTATTTGTTCAAAATTGTGCTCATTGGAGATATGGGAGTTGGCAAAACTTGTGTAGTTCAACGTTTTCGAAATGGAACATTTGTTGATAGACAAGGAACGACAATTGGTGTGGATTTCACTATGAAAACGTTGGTTGTTGGTGAGTTTTTTTCTTTTTTTTTTGTGAGAAAATAACTATTTTGATTGGGAATTTGCAAAAATCCACATTTTTCTAATGAAAAATGCTTGGTTTTGGTGTGAAATTTGATCTACGTCGAATTTCAATTTTTATTTCATTTCAAAATATTTTTTGATAAAAATTGTTCCTACAAAAAAGAAGGAGAAGAAGAAGAAAATCGATGAGAATTTTTCAGCTGCTTTTGATGAAAAAGTTCTTTTGAAGCTTCTGAGTTATATCTTTAAATTTTGAAAAATTGATGAATTCGGATAATTTTCAAAAATTTGAAAATAATAAAGAAAACCCGCGTGTCCTCAATTACGTGGCGTTTTTCTCCATTTCCATTTTTATTTACAGACGGAAAACGTGTAAAACTCCAAATCTGGGACACCGGCGGCCAAGAACGTTTCCGAACAATAACCCAATCATATTATCGATCTGCAAATGGAATTGTCTTATGTTATGATATGACGTGTAAACAATCATTCTCAAGTTTACAACGATGGATTGATGATGTTTCGAAATTTGCCGCCCCAAATGTTGTCAAATTATTGATTGGTAAGAGAGGGTTTTATCTAAAATTTTCATCGGAACTCATAAATTTCGTACAAAATGATGATGGGTTTTTGAGAGCAAAAAAATGGGATGTGGAAAATTGTGGGTTTCCAAAAAAAACGGGGAAAATTAATTGTATATTTGGAATTTTTGATTTGAAAATTATATTGTTGAAAATTTTCTTCTGTGCCAAAAAACTAGAGTGTCATTTTTCTGAAAGACATCTCAAAAATTCATAGAGTTTTCAAAAAGCACAAATGTTTTGTACCCTAAATTTTTTAGGCACAAAATGTGATTTGGAAGATCAACGAGCCGTCGATCGAGATGAAGCTGAAATGCTCCAAAGAGCCAATGGAATGTTTGAAATGCTCGAAACATCAGCAAAAGGAAATGTGAATGTTGACAACGCATTTTTGGAGCTGGCCACAATTCTCAAACGCCAATACGATCAAGGTGTATTAGAACAAGGTGCAAATGGAACATTTCAACTGGGCGCAGGTGGAACAACAAGTATTGGATCATGGAATAAATGTTGCCAATTTTCGTGATCTTTTTTGTGTATAATATGAGCAATGCATACTTAAACTATCTACTTAACCTATATCTCTCTGTCTATTTCTGTACTTTTTCTTTTTTTCCAGTAAAAAAAATTTATTTTAAATTGTTTTTTCTTTAATTTTAATTACTGGTGTTTTTGATCACCTTGTTTATCTGAAATTTCGTGCTGAAACTGAAGCTCATCTTTATTTTCAGATGACTGATCTGTTATTGGATCCAGCGATTCGAACGTGGGTTTTCCTGCCAATTGTCGTCATCACATTTTTGATTGGCGTCTTGCGGCATTATATATCGCTTTTATGGATGAATAAGAAAAAGGTGAGCGGTGCTTTTGGATGAAATTTGAAATTGAATGAAATTTGGACAGTGGTGTTCGAAATATTCACTTCACTAAATTTTTCAGAAGCCAAACTGTATATTTTTCACCAAAAATATAGTTTTGATTGATCTTTTTGACGAAAAATGTTCGGACCGAAATCTAGCCCTTTTGAAAACTATATTCAAATACCCTATTATTTTTTTAAAATTAACCCCTTTCCTCTGAAAACCTCGTATAATAATTCTTCTATCTTCAATTTTCACAGATTGATCTCGAAAATATAGCCGATGGACAATATCTTCTTCGAGCTCGACTACTTCGAGAAAATGGTCGATTCCTTCCAAAGTCATCATTCAACTCAAGACGACAATATTTGGTGGCTGAAGAAACTGGTTATTTATCAAAAGCTATGAATCGACCAGCAAAAGCGGCAAATCCAATGGCAGATCCAACACAAATGACTGAAATGTTGAAGGGAAATATGATGAATATGGTGAGATTTTAGCATTTTTTTGAAAATTTGAATTAATTGATGGGAAAATTCATTTTTTTTTTCTAAATTTTTCAAATAAATTAATCGGGATTCAAATTTAACCTGAAAATCTTCAAATTTCAACTCAATAATCATTTTTTTTGCAGATTCCAATGATTGTTGTTGGAGGTTGGATTAATTGGACATTCAGTGGTTTCGTCACAACTCGTGTTCCATTTCCGCTAACTTTGAAATTCAAAGCAATGCTTCAAAGAGGTGTTGATTTAGTATCATTGGATTCGGCTTGGGTTGGTTTTTTTTCAAATGGGAATTTTTTGGGACCTGACAAAACGTGGAATTTTTATTCAAAATAATTTTTAGAGTTTAAAAAAATTTCAAAAAAACCAAGAAGCCGCAGTCTAAATTTCAACAAAAATAATTTTCCGGTTCCAGGTTTCATCAGCTTCTTGGTATTTCCTTTGTATGTTCGGTCTTCGCTCAATTTACACTCTAGTTCTTGGATCTGAAAATGCAGCTGATCAATCAAAAGGAATGGAAGATCAAATGACTGGAGTTGCCACAAATCCACAAGCCGATCCAAAAGCCGCTTTCAAAGCTGAATGGGAAGCTCTACAGGTTCAACAACATCAATTTGCATTATAGAAAAGTGTTTTTTCAGAGTTTTCTGAAAGTTTTTATTGCCTGATTTTTTCTTTATTTATTTGAATTGCTCGAAAACTTGTTATCAAACTTGTTTTTTGTTTTAATAAACAGAATTTTTAGATCAATCTTTGAACTTATGAAAATTTTAAGAACGGTAATAAATTTTTAAGGCTAAAAAATAAAAATTGAATAAATATTTACATTTCGGCCTAAAGTATAAAAGTTTGTTGGGTTGGAAAATTAGAGGAAGAAATATGAGTTATCAAATGATTTTTTGCGTTTTCTTGGTGATTTTTGGATTGGCGATGGCGACAACTTCGGCGCCAGTTCCAGGTGAGGTTTCTTTTGTGGCTGGGGATTGAATTTACAGTAGCTTAAAAATTATCATTTTTCAGTTGCTCACGGCTTAGCCGGCCATTTCTCAATGCAAGTTCTCGAAAGTCCAACCGATGGCGTTTTTGACTTGGCTTGCCGAAGTCTTCTCGAATCTTCCATGGAATGTTCAATACAATTTGAATGAAATGTGGACAAATGCACAATATTTGATCAAAAGTTTGAATTTTTGAGTTGAAAGTTTTTTTTTCTAAAAACAAAAAGGAAAATTGATATATTTCTGGTTTTCTTTGTTTGTACTTTGATGAGTTTGAATAAATATTAAGATTATGTACATTATTCATGCTATTTTATGATTTTCAAACAAAAAGGAAGAAATTATGAAACTTTTGATGAAGTTTGAATACACGTCACTTTTTGAGCCTCAAAACCATAGAAGAGAGCATGTGGGATTGAGAGTCACAGAGAAATTAGGAAGCTAGAGAGATTGAGACGCAGAGAAACTTCCCGCTAAAGTCCTACGATATGGCATAGTTTCCAGAACTGTCACAAATCTACCTTTTTAATAATCGGACTGTAATTAGTTCCAGAAGCAATATTTTTGGTTAATTTTTCAAATTTCTAGACACAAAATAACACAAAGTTTGACCTGAAATTGATTAATTCTAGGTCCTATTTCCGGGCTCAAAATGGGTCATATTGCACTCCAAAAATGATCATCTTAATCTCATGCATATCCGTTTTCAATTTAGCAAAATTATAAATTGGAAATTGGAATAATTTTTTTTAATATTAATCAATCCATTTATCCAAAGATAGATGTTTTCCAAAAATAAGAAATTGTGAATCTCATTTAAATTATTAATTAGTACTAAGTGAAGCTCAGAAGATGTTTTTGTCGAAATTCAAAAACTCCCAATTCCTTTTATTTGTTCAAAATTTTCTGAGTTTTAGACTTTTTTCATTTCATATTACTCACAAAGTTTTATGATTTTCAAATAACATAAAATATATAACAAAACTGTCTATTTGTCATTTTCATTGTAGATATTTCACTTCACTCGAAAAAAATGCTTAAAACTTTTCTATTTTTTCTATATTTTTGTGGCTCAGTTCAATCAACTGTGGTGACTTTGAAGAGTTTGGCAACAACTTCTTTAAATATATCCACTTCTCAATGGATTTATTTGATCAAGAATTCGGATAGTGTAGATGATTATAAAAAAGTGAGCGGCACAAGTGGAACTGATGCGTGAGTTTTTTGAATTTGACAATTTTTAAAATTTATTAAATATTCAGCATCACTCTTGATAATTTAATCGAATCCTATCCAATTACATTTGATGGCGAGATAAATGTCAAAACATTCAGTGCCAAATTAACAACAACTACTCCTTGTACAACTTGCGAAACACTAACTGGTTTGGTTTATTACACAGATCCACCAAATGAAGGTGAACCTGTTGTGAAAAAATATATCATTGCACCAACTTGGACAGAAAATCAATATAATTCAAATGCCGATGCGATGTTCGCATTTTTCCCTTATGCGAATACAAGCCAATTTTTTGTGAAGTTTGAGGATTTCAAATATCCGCTCTATTCAACCATTCAATTTTATTTAGATGATAAATTTACTCAATTGGCATTTGATGTCACCGAGAAGAGGTTTGTTCTGAATTCCGAAATTGATTTCTCTGCGTATCTAACTCTATTATGATCTCTAATTGTCTAGTTTCTCTGCGTCTCTAACTTATCAGATTTCTCTTCAACTAATATTTTACATTTCAGCACCAACATTTCTTCTCCAAATCCAACTCTAATTTTTCCACTTTCACAAATCTTCATCAAAACTACTGGACCTGGAGTGTACTTCAATGCTTCTTTAATCTCTGAAATTCCTGTTAACCTAACTGCTTCTGCTGGATCGTTTATTATGACTAATATGTATCCAAATGAAATTGAGACTTCCCAAAATTTCACTGTTCCAATTTTAAGTGGAGATTATTTGGATATTGAGGTAAGACGAAACATATTCCCGTTTCAAACTAAAATATCAATTTCAGCTAACTTTGCAACGTGATGACGACACAGAAAATGCTAATAATACTGTGATAATCAATACAAAGCGAACAGATCTGAGTTTTGATCAAAATTCAAAAATTCGAATTTCTCTGGATCCCCTTGAAACCCAATTCTATGTTCAAACTCCAAGACCAATGTATATGAAATATACGATAGGGAATTTTACACAAGAGGAGGGAAGCACAACAACTACAACTACAGTAGCCCCAAATAATGGTTCATCGACCACAACAACTACAGTACTTCCAACAACAAGTACTGTAGAAGTTACAACGAAAATTGCTGGAAAAATTGAAGGAATTATTTCAAGTTTTATGATTATTTTGATTATGATTTTATAAATTCTTTAATTCTTAATATAAAACCAAAAAGTTGTCAAAATATGATTTATCATAAGAATATTGGCTCAAATAGATAGATCTCTCATTTATTTAGCATAACTCTTCGAATATGTCGACGATTTTTTATATTGGAATTTGGGCGCAGCCGCAGCTGGAGACGCAGCAGGTTTCGGCGCAGCTGGAGGTGGCGGTGGTGGAGGTGCTGGAGCAGAAGCAGATGCTGATTTTGCCGGTGGCTTTTTGCCAAATAATTCATCATCAATGTCGACGTCAAGATCCGTGTTTTTATGATTTCCAATTGCGTCAACTGGCACAAATGCTGATTTATCTGCCATCTTGCTCTCTTTCCTGAAAAATAGAACTTTGATGAGCTCTAAAATGTATGTGAACTAACCTGTATCTGTTCAGTGAGCCACTCGAAAATTTAGAGTTTTCGGGAAAGCTCTGAAGGTAGCAATAAAATGACGAAGAAACCCAGGCATTTTATGCGAGAATTTTCAGATACGTGGATTGATTTTTATCTATGATAAGGGTCACGTCGAAATTGAATCTTTATTTTAAAGATTGAAACCTCTTAATAAATTCTGGTGAAATTTCGATACTAAAATTTTCTTCAAGGATTTCGATTATTAAAAAAATATATAAATCATCAAAATTCTTGATCTCGATTCTGAATTAAACATTGACGCTGAAAATTTCAAGAAAGAACTCAATTTCTGGACCATCAATTTTTTTCAAAAGTTTTTTTCAAACACTGACTACAAAAATTTTTTTTGTTAAAAAAATCATCATTTTTTGTTGACTAATTTGAAGCGCTAGATGTTTGTTTTCTCATTTTTCCGTTTCGTTTCGAAAACATTCAAAAATTTGTATAAAATGACGGGTGGATAGTTCTTCATCAGAAAAATTATGAATTCTAAAATTGTTGTATTCTTCATTATTGCTGGAGCTGTCGCTGCTCTCTTGGACATCGAAACTGATCCATTATTTCCACAAAAGGAAGTTGCTGCATACAATGATCAATTTAATATTGAATCCCTAAGTGAGTTCTAGAACTGTTCTACGTAAAAGAAACAATACAAAACTTCTCTAATTTCCAGCCCTCGATGAAATTTTCGTGCCAGAAGTCGCTGAATATCTCAAAGTTGTTCTTCCACCAACTCTTCATCTAATCTCTTCAACTGCTGATTATATTTCATTCAAGTCACAAAGTTTGAACAGTACTTATGATATTATTGAAGATATCGTATATAGAGCACAATTATTAGCAAGATTATTGCAATAACTAATTTGATTCTATTTGGTTGTTTTGTAAAATATAAGAAAATGAAAAAGTTGTGAATGATTTCTTAAAAAAAACAACAAAATGTTATCACACGTGAAAAACGTGAAACGTGGAATTTTCTCATTTTTCGGAAATCGTTGTCATTTCTTCATTTAATTTTTCTGAACAAAAATGAGATCTCTAATTTTTCTGCTCGGAGTTATTCTAACTCAAGTTTTTTGTGCACTTTCGGATCACGGCACAAATATTCAAGTGCCCTTTAATAGCCTTGAGGTAAGCTTTCAAATTTATTAAAATCTAAACACAGTATTTCTCAGACTCAATGTTATTGGTTTCAAGTCGAAAAATATAGTTCTCAAATCGATTTGGAAGTTGAAGACGATAATCCGAATGGCAATTTGGATGTTGAACTTCGAAATGTGGATGGTGAGATTTTGGTGGAGGAAAAACGGACGTGGTCACAACATATTCAATGGCCGGTGAAGAATGCCGAATATTTGAGTCAGATTGGGTTTTATCAAGTTTGTATCAAAAATTTGGAATCGCAGCAAACACAGGTTTGTTGAAATTTGAAAAGAAATTTTCTAAATTTATCGCTCCTCCGGATACCCCGGTGAAGCTGTTATCCAAAAATTCAAGTTGTCAACGCATTCCTAAGAATGGTCGGAACTCCAAATTACCTTGAGTAACTGGGTGTAAACCAAATTGGTTAGCCTCCTTTTCTGTTTTCAATGAATACACTAACCGACATTCAAACGGGTCCGCGGAGAATGGCTGGGCCCAGCTGGGTGTGTGGAGACGCAGAGAAAGAGAGAGAGACAGTTTTTTTTTCTTTTTTCGGAATTTTGTTTTTTTTTTCTGGAAAAAGGGGAAAACTAGGGAATTTCTAGAAAATTTATATGCTAAAAATTAACTTTTAATTTTCCCTGTCATTCCAGATTCAATTAATCATCAACACGCACGATAAATCGCTGAAAACCAATCTGCCTCACAGTCTTATTCGAAAAATCAACCGCGATAAAAAATGGAATACTCTCGAAACTCTAATCAGTTTTGAAAGATTCGATGAAATCACAATTCGAATGCTGAATTTACTTGAAGAATCACAAGCAACACTTGCAAAATATTCATTTCGTCTTCATTCGCAAATGGGAAAAGTTGATGAGATCGCAAAACTTGTCACAATTTGTGGAAGTTTCATATCAGCTTGTGTTGTTTTGGTGGGATTTTTGCAAGCTTGGTCGATTCGTCAACTTTTTAATGATTCTTCAAAATATGGACATTTGTTGAGAAATGGAAGAAGAGGTTTTAATCATCATATTTATTGATTTTTTAAAATTTTATTTATTTATTCATTTTATTTTTGATACAATTAGTTAGTTACCCGGATAAATTTAATATTAAATTTCAAAAATACCCTAGAAAGACCTTGATAATTGAGGAACTGAACTGAAAAGCGCAATCGTTGAGCCAATTAAAAATGTGCTGAAAATGACCATACAAATTCGATCGACCACCATTGCTGAAAATTTCCAGTCATCTTCCACTTTTTTGGCCATTTCACGATCACGAATAGTTTTGTTGATTTCCTGAAAGATTTAAATAGAGAATTCCAAGCTTCTCCCTCGGAGGCCTCCTTAGCTCAGTTGGTAGAGCGTGAGACTTTTAATCTTAAGGTCAGGGGTTCGAGTCCCCTAGGTGGCTTGATTTTTTCTTCTTTTTTTTTCTCCCAAGATCTCACCGTCAAATGACCGTGAACTTGTTGTAGAACCAATAATTGAGCAATTTGTTCCACAGGAACACGAGAATTCCACCATAAATGTTTGGGTTTTGCCATTATTTTTTGATGATAATTTTGTGCAAACTCCCCATTCTCTTCTTCATCAATTATTGTAACTCGTCGATTTGTTAATGGTGTTGTTCTTGATTCCATTGTCAATTCGTTGATCAAATCAGATATTCTTTGTTGATTCAGGCGTTCTTGGCGCTCTTCAAATTCATCATCCATTTCTTCTTCGAGTTTGAGCATTGTTCCGGAGCGGGCTTCGTAGCCTGGCCGGCGCATTAAAAGAAGCCATGGAATCCAGTCGAGCATCAGAAGGCGGAACTGTAAGAATATCAAATTATCATCAAAAAAATTTCTGAAACGCAATATCCTCGTGACCTTTTTTTTCGAATTCCGAACGAAACAAAAAAAACCATCATTTTTAATTTTCTAATAATGGTTCATCAAACGGTCAGTTTTCTCCTCCAAATTTCCCACCAAAAACCAAGTCCCTTTTTCAGTTATCTTGTGTTTTTGCTTCATTTGTTATCATTTTTGCTTTGATAATTCTAATCATAAATATTCGATTAGCACGAGCTTTGCGAAAATTCAAACACTCGGAAAAAACGCTAAAAATCCGAAAAGTCATCTCGAAAGCGAAACATGCGATCAAAAATGGACTATTGACACCAACCGAATTGATTGTTTTGGCTGATGAAGCAATGATGAGTTTGGAGCAAGTTAGACAAACTTATGTGCGAGAACATGTGGAGCCCGCGAAAACTTTGGAGAATATTTTTGGAGGCGTGAAAAATGAGTTTTTCACAAAGTTTGCAATTTTTAGCAGGTTTTTGGAAGTGGTCAGTTTTGTTTCAAATTTTTGTGAATAAAAAATTCACTCGAAATTTTTCAGGGAATGGCTTACGAATCAATATTTCTGAAAATGTCACCAATTATCGATCCATCGCTGAAACTTTGCCCAACTCAAAGTTATTCTGTAGAAAGATCTGATAGAGACGCAAAATAAAAATTTAAAAATAATTGTATTGCACAGATGTTGCATTGGAGCGCGCTTGCTGTCTAGAACATTTTTTCAAAACTTCTGCACATTGCTCGATAAGAGTTAGAGACGCAGAGAAACTTGCCAGTGCCGCTACGCGGAAGCTTGCGGTTTACATACGCTTCGCTCGAACTCACCGTGGGATTCATTTGATGCGAACGGCCATTTCGATGATGAAAATTCAAGGCAAGAGTTGTTGCGGTAACACAACACGCGCAAGTGAAAAGACAAACTGCGAAAAATGCACTGAGAAATGGAACAGCTTCTGAAGTTGGCGGTGATAGTTCAGCCACATAATTTTGAAAAATACAAATTGAAAGCATGATTGTGATTTCTGAAAAATGGGAATTATGGTGATTTAAATGGGAATTTGAAAGACTTACGAAGTGACATTTTTTCACCAGCATCTGGAGGAAATGTAAAGCCAACGAGGGTTAACATTGTGATCAGAATACAGGGAAGAATTAGATTGAAAGCTGGAAGAATCATAAAGGTTTGGAGAAAAAATTGCTCTAAAAAATTATATGAATTGTGCTTACCATAATAAAGTGCCCTTCTGCGAATTACAAAAACAAAAACAATATCATAATACGGTTCAACACAACACTGATATTGTTGAATATTTCTCTTGAAATCAGTCGATTCCAAAGTCCATTCACCATTTTGCATATAACTTGAAGTGTCGAATCCATTTTCATCAATGTCTAAATCAAGTTTTGTTCCATCAAAAGTCCAAGATCCAAATTTCATCCAACATTCTTGAACATCAAATGGGAACCAGACTACTTGAATTTTACAGGACAAACGATAAAGGCCTGGAAATATTTTGAAAATATTTTTTTCAAAATTTCAATAAAAACCTGGTGGCATCCAATTGACTAATCCATTCGGATAAACCAATAAATTTGATGGATATCTGCTATCAAATTGTGGATCAGCAGAATTATACATCAAAACATCAGGCGTCCATAATTGACCACTTCGAAATCGCAAATCCTGAACTCCACCGTAGTCTTCAGGTTTCCATTTTAGCGAATAATCGATCCATGAGAATTTGAGCCAAGCATTCACATCGACCACTTGATTTTTTTCGTCCTAAAATTATATTTGTTATGTTATTCAACGTTTTTTGAAGCAGCTTCAGAATTTTTTGAAATATGCGTAAATAACATTTGCAAAAAAAATATTTTTTGCAGATGAATAGGTCCGTAATTGAAAAAAAAATGGAAAACACAACACATGTTCAATATTTCTTGTATCGAACATTTTTAATAATTTGTTTTTTTCTGAATCTCAAAAATTAATTTTTTTAGCTGCACTTTTGTTTATGATACAATTTTGCAATAATGACGTGAAAAACTCACAACATCAACAATTTGCTGCAAAACCAGACCCATTTTTACTTTTACAGCATCCGAACTATTTTCAACTGGTCTCTCCAAAGGTTCATAATCTTCTAGTAACAAATTATAGAGATCACCTGGAACAATTCAATGTTGCGTATGTACATGAAACATCAGCTTACCTTCAGTTTTCTTAGAAAACCCCAATTGTATTAGATTTAGAATAAGGAACAATAATCTATTTTTTGAAAATTTCATTAGTTTTTTGATTTGTCACAACTTTTGAGGTGCAAATTGACAACCCTACGAAAAACACAAGACACTAAAAATTATTTCATTTTTTTTGTTGAGGAAGAAAAGTGGATGTGATCTCTCGAATTATTGTTTGCATACAGCTAACATGAGGCCTTTGTTTGCTTATCAGGGATTTTTGAAGAAAATGTTTCGCGCCAAGACCAGGAATTTTTGGCGGGAAGCAGATAGCTAGACAGTCAGAGACGTAGAGAAACCAGACAGTTAGAGAGCATTATTACGTTAGAGATACACAGAGATGCTGAGAAGCCAGGAAGTTTTTTCGTTTGAAAAAATATTTTTTGGAAATTTGATCCTATACAGTTATTTTTGGAAAGTATCGAATTCATGAATCTTTTATATGATTTTTGCTGATCTTTGAAATTCACATGATTTTTTTATAGTTTTCAAAAGTTTTCTGAACAGGATTTTAAAATTTAGAATTAGCAAAATTTATGTTCTGAAAATCTACAGTTTCTAAAAAATTATCAAATTTTCCAAAAAGCCACGTCAGTTAGCTTTTTTAAAAATTGAAGATCAGGAATTATAGATTTTTCACACAGTCTTTTGATTGTTTGATCTATTTTTTTAAATGTTCCACGAGGATTTGCAAAAAAGAAAAACAATTCTGATCGTGAGAAAAGTCTGGATCTCTTGTGAAGAATCGAATTCAAACTTGGATGAAAATTTGAGGGCCCAAAAATCTCTGCGTCTCTAACTTTCTAGCTGTCTAATTTCTCTGTGTGTCTACCTTCATTGTGATCTCTAATTTTCTGACTTCTTTGTGTCTCTAACTCGTATCCAAAACCTTATTATATTTGAAATATTAGTTCAAAATTGGTTGTTTTTCAGAGAATTTCTCCACTATTATCAACACCCATTATTACCTTATTATTCGTACTTGGAAAATATTCGCTAACACAAAAAAGGACACTTAAAATTACGTGGTGCTTAGTCAAAGTTCCTACGTTGTTTGATCAGATTTCCATCAAAAATTGCATTAAATTCGCCCGATTGTTTTGTGTTTTCAACCCCATTTTTCTTGAGATCATGGAAAATTAGATTCTGTTTTTTCTTTTTTGTTGTTGTCCCGCCTTTTTATTCCTTTCTCTTTTGTTTTTAATTTTAGTTATTTTTTTGGCTGAAATTTTTTGGAGCTGAAAATTGAAAATGCTATACCAAGTGTTTTTGGGACAACCGATGTATGAGTGAGTTTCAATTTTTTTTGAAATACAACTTCGCGAAAATCGGATACAAAGAAATCCGACAGCTAGAGAGTTAGAGACGTAGAGAGGCCAGACAATCAGAGATCACTATTTTTATTTTCCAGTGAATACTTGTACAACTGCTCTGGAACTTCACCCTACACCACTCGAAAATTTGCAGTTGGTGCAATTTATTTCGGAATTGGTGTGATATCGCAATTCGTGTATATTCTAGTTCTTGCAACTTTGTACAGAATCAAATCACTTTTCAATTTACCGTGCTATAAAATCATGTTTTTTCTCGGAATCGCCGATATTTTATGCTTGACTTTTTGTGCCGATTTTGCTGGGATTTACTCGATTTTTTGGTTTACATCCGTGTTATGCCATAAATTTTACGTTTGTGACAGGTTGTGTTGTTTTTGGTGAGTAGTTAGTTGATTGGGTTTTTGTGGATCTAGGATTACTGTAGAATTTTCACATTGAAAGTTCTTGAATTTTCTAAAAATTTTATCAAGAAGTACTGTAGAATTGGGACCACCGACAAAGCCTCTGGTCTAAACTTGAAAAAAAAATTTCCAAAAATTCTGAATCTGAAATTCCAAATCTCCAATTTCAGGTCTCTGGCATATGAGCTGCTTATATGTTCTTCTCCTTGCATTCGACCGTGTTTGCGAATTAATTGCTCCAATAAAATGTGCATTTCTCTTCAAAGGATCCTACCTTAAAATGCTCCTCTCACTTCCCTATTTCTACTTCATTTATTTCACATTTTTCACCAAACCAACCTTCTTCCAACCTTCAATCTCCGCATTTCTTCTAAATCCAAACAGCGAAATCACAAAAAACTATCCAGCTAGTTATTATACAGTCGAAGCCTATGTTTTCAACAATTTTTTCGTGATGATTTTCATTGGTTTTTCATATTGTATTATTTGTGGCAAATTATTTAGTCAAAGTTGGAAGAGTACTGTAAAACAGACTTCTGCTTTGGTTAAACGAGTAACTTATCAATGTTTAACTGTTTGCACTTGTCATTTTATCGGATGTTTTTTATATGTTTATATTCAATATTTTCCAATGCCTGATTTTTTAAATTATGTTTGTCATTTTGCCTGGATTGGCAATCATAGCCTTCCACCTTTTGTCTATTTATTATTCAATCCATCTCTCCGATCTGAAGTGTTATCATTGTTTTTTCCGAAAAAATTCCGTGAAATCTCAGATCTCGGGACTGTTAATAGTCTTGTAGTTCGACCTATAACTGTTAGCGCTTATTGATTTTTCTAATATGAATAAAGATTTTTCTGAAAATGATTTACTTTTTGTTGTATGAGTTATGACGTGGCAAAGCTCGGAGAATTTGAAACACCACAACTTTGCGAGCCAAAATTCAATTTTACAAAACATATAAAAATCCACGTGGAATTTTTTCCACCTTGTTAAAAATATATGTATTTTTGTTATTGTCTTTCTCTTCAATTTTCCCCGAAAAATTTATCCAAAATTCAATTTTCCCCTATGAAAAATAATGACAATCAAAAAACCATTCACTATCCCGTTGTTCCAACTTTTCTGACTTTGAAGGAAAAATGATGAACAATCATTCAAATCGAATAATCATTTATTCGATTGTTTTTATTTTTCAAATTTTTGGACTTTTCGGAAATTTGAATTTAATTATTTTGACTTATCGAAAGAAGAATTTGCAAACTAAATATGGTAAGATTTTTCTTGCTAGGTAGAAAACTGGAAGAATTTTATTGTTTTTTGTCAGGTTTGATTTTGATGATTCTGGCAGTTGTTCATAGTTTTTGTTTGGTTTTTGAATATATTTGTATGGGTTTTGCAATTGCAAGTAAGTTTTCGAATTTAAATTTTATAAGATTTCCAAAATAAAAGACTCCTCTACCTTGATATGATTTTGCAGCAACATTTTTTGGCTATGAAGTTCATCGAAATATTTGTTTCTATACAATGTTTCCATATATATTTTCACATTCTCTTCAAACAGTTATTATTTGTATTTTATCATTTGATCTATTTCTCACAATTTATGTCCCTTTAAAACATCTCAAATTCCACATTCCAACATATTTTCCCATTTTATTTTTTCCTGCTTTTCTTTATGCAATTATCATCGTGTTTTTTGGATGGATATATTTAGATCAATGTATTATTCCAATATGTAATCCACCATCTGCTCTTTCACATAAAACAAATCAGATTTGGTATTTCACTACCTTTACATTCTCAATTCTCACTTTGGTTTTGTATATTTTATCATTTGGAATTCTATGGCTCAAGAAAAGTTAGATTATCTCACCTTTTCTCTCAAATATAAATAATTTGCAGATTCATCAGATTCTCAAAAATGTCTTGAGAAAAAGGCAATGCTAACTTTGAAATTTTTGATCATCATTTTTTTATTTGCCAGATTTTTTTCTACATTTTCCATGAATATTTTGAGTTTTCTCGGATTTGATGAGGAGTTTGTGGATTGGGCGAAAAATTATAATGTAAAATATATTATTTTTCAATGTTTCATTAGAACCATTTTCAGGTTATATGCGCACTCGTTGCTTTTTCTCAAAATGCCTATGTTTGTTATTTTCGATCTTCTGAATATCGTTTACTTTTCAATGATCAACTCTCTTTTTTATTGCCTCGTCACAAATATTTTGCGCCTCCAACTGTGAAATTTGTGCATAGCGTTTCGAAAAATCAAATTTCAAATTGATATGAAAAAATGAAGTGAATAAAAAAACTTTATTTTTGAAAAAATTAGTTTTGAAAAGTTTTGAATTTTATGCTCTTTTTTCTTAAAAATAAAACTTTTCGAAATTTCAAAAACAATAATTCATTGTCCCAAGAAAATATTTTGAGCCCAGAAAATTGATTATTTTTTCAGCAACAAAAATTAACAATTCATTTCTCAACATGTGGAATATGCATACTAGAAACTTGTGAATGTTGCCATTTCGTTGTTACCCGCATCGATGTTTCCTTTTTTGATAAATGTTTCCCAACTGCTGGTGATAATTTTGTGATTTGTTCTATGAATAGACTACGGTATTCTGTTGAGCGAAAATAACAAACATAAGCATTTTGAGAATATCCAATCAATCCACCAACAATCTGAAATGAATTTCGATTTTGAATACTAATTTTCCAAATAATTTCAACTCACATTATAACTTTGTGCCAAGGTAATAACTTCTTTATCGATTCCAATATAACTCAAAATATTGAGCAAAAAAGTTGTGATAAGTCGAGTTAGCACAAATATAACAATGAGGACTTTTAAGGTTTTCATAGCTTTTCTTTCGATCAGTCGAATATCACTGCTATTTCGATTTACTAAAAATATAAAAGATAAATTTTGAAACAGCTAGAAAAATGTTACCTTTATAAAATAAAAGTCCGAACGCGAAAGCATAAAAAACCACAGTTAATAAAGTAAAAGTCATCATTAAAATATACCACTGACCATTGATTTTGGCAACCAAAGCATACGGTGGATTGCATAGCTGAAACTTTTTTTCTGAAAAGTTACAGCTCCTTCTCAAAATTGTTCAAATACCTGAATAACATCATCATCTAGAAAAATGAAACCAGCAATAATTGAATATAAAGCATAGAAAAGTGGAGGTGAAAAAATAACAGGAAAATAATATCGAATTTGATAAGTTCGATATTTGATAGGTTTCGCAATTGTTAAAAATAAATCAAAGGCCAAAACACAAATTGTTCCGGTTTGAAGAGAATGTGCAAAAATATAGGGAAATATTGTGTAGAAACAGATATTTCGGCGAATTGTATAATCAAAATACATTGCTGAAAAAGTTTGAAATTTCATTTAAAAATTTTGGTGTTTGTAAGCTAATGTTAACTTTTTCGAATGCATTTCTTTTATTTTCAAATTTAGAAAAAAAACCAAAACTCCACTGTAAAATGTACATCAAAAGACAGTTTTTGTGCCCGATACTTACAAGCAATTCCAAAACCAACATTGAAATACTCAAAAAACAAACAAAAACAATGCATAACTGCCAAAATCACCATTATTAGGCCTGGAAATCGAATTTTTTTTTTCAGTTGAAATATAATGAATTCTAAAAATTTCTAGTTCAAAACCCACCATATTTCGTCTGTAAACTCTTCTTTCGATATGTCAAAACAATCAAATTCACATTTCCAAAAAGTCCAAAAAATTGAAAAACAAAAACAATCGAACAAATGATCAATCTGTTAATTTTATAAGTCTCTTCGTCAATCATTTCGAATTCTGAAAATAAATTCCTTTTGAAAAAAAAATTTATTTAAATTTATGATTTTTTTCTTGGAACTTTGTTATTTTTAACAACATCAAAAAAACAAAAACAAGGAAAACTAGAGAAAAAAAATAATTGAAAAACTTCGGAAAAAAATCTCGGGTTTTTTCTTCTGTGAATTAATTAATATCAACAACAAAAGGATACATGGGAAAATTATGTTTTGTCATGATTTTCTAGACTTTTGGGTTCAAGTTAGGCTAAATGCTTGACTTGAAATCAGAAAGTTTGTTTACAGTTGAACAACTTTTATTACTTACTTTTCATAATGTTGAATTGTTCTTCAATCGAGATATTAAAAATCAACATTTTTCTGATTTTTTTTTCGGAGATTGGGGAATCTAGACAGATTTGCCAATAATCAAGTGGGTTTTTGATTTTTAAAAAGCATACGTGGCTCAAATTACATGTTTTTCTTTCTACATGTGGAATCATAAGAATACCGAAAAATATATAATTTTGACAATGATCAAAAAATTCTCCAAAAAATGTTGTTTTTTTCTTGTTTTCAAATTGAGGAACAGAAAAAACTGGAAAATAAACATGCTTTTCAGAAGACAAATTAATGAAATTCCAGAGAAATAATTATTTTCAGTAGTCTTTCAAAAAACATTTGGAGCAAAGAGTAAAAACCAAAAACAGGACTCACATCTTTGTTAGTTTGACATTTGAAGTTTTTGAGATCTAGATGTTACAACTCTTGTAGAGCTTGAAACTTTTAGGAAAACTTTGCCACGTGGGAAAACAATCAAAAGTTGCTCGTTGAAAAGTTGACGATATTCAGAAGATCGAAAATAACAGACATAAGCATTTTGTGAATAAGCAACCAGTGAACAAATTATCTGAACAAAAAATGATTTAGGGCTGCGCAAAAATTTATTTTTGTAATTCTGGAAATTTCTTCCGAAGACCAAAATTTTTTTAACACTCATTTTTTACAGCTTATGAAAAATTAGCCAACTCACATTATAATTTTTTGCCATCGCCACGATTTCCTCATCATATCCGAGAAAACTCAAAATATTCATTGAAAAAGTTGATAAAAATCTGACGAATAAAAATATTATGATCAAAAATTTCAGAGTTAGCATTGCCTTTTTCTCAAGACATTTTGGAGAATCTGATTGATCTGCAAAATAATTAGAATTATTCATCGTCAAAAAAATTCGAAAATGTTATTTTGCTCACATTTTTTGCATCGCAAAATCCCAAACGAGAGAACATAGAAAATCAAAGTGAAAATCGAGAAAGTGAACATTAGGATATACCAAATTGAATTCACATCATTTGTAAGAGCAGATGGTGGATTACAAAATGGAATAATATCTTGATCTAAATAAATCCATCCAAAACATACTATAATTATTGCATGTAGAAAAGCAGGAGAAAATAAAGTAGGAAAATATGTTGGAATGTGGAATTTGAGATGTTTTAAAGGGACATAAATTGTGAGAAATAGATCAAATGATAAAATACAAATAATAACTGTTTGAAGAGAATGTGAAAATATATATGGAAACATTGTATAGAAACAAATATTTCGATGAACTTCATAACCAAAAAATGTTGCTGCAAATATATTCTAATTTTGAGTTTGGAAATCAGGTTTTGTAAAAAATCAAAATTGAGAACACATTCTTCACGTGAAAGTTCATGTTTCCTATATAAAAACTCACTTGCAATTCCAAAACCCATACTAATATATTCAAAACCCAAGCAAAAACTATGAACAACTGCCAAAATCATCAAAATCAAACCTGAAACTCAAAATTATATTGAAATAACGTTTTCCAGTTTTTCCCTCCACATCATAAAAATCTTACCATATTTAGTTTGCAAATTCTTCTTTCGATAAGTCAAAATAATCAAATTCAAATTTCCGAAAAGTCCGAAAATTTGAAAAATAAAAACAATCGAATAAATAATTATTCGATTCAAATGATAATTTATCATTGTTCTAGAATATTTTGAATAGAAAGTATGAGAAATGAGTGTTTTCTGGCTCAAGACTTGTCTGGAATCAAGAAATTTGTTAGATTGATCAATTTATTCAATTTTGTCTGAAAATTGGATTTTCCAAAAAAAAAATCCAATTGTTCTTTAAAAAGTGATAATAAGAGAGAGAAATAGACAATTTTCGTCATCGGAAATTGAACAAAGAATGAATCCAAAAAATAATCCAGAATTCCCCTTGGAATATTTTTTCACAGAAAATGGGTTTGTCAACAAAAATGTTTGTCGAATTTTGAGTTTATATGCGACATTTTCGAGTTCAAGACAAAATGGCGACGTGGTCGAGTGGTTTACATTTTTGCCTACTATTCACAGAACCACGGTTCGATCCTCACTCACGTCCCATGTTTTTTCTTCGCCAGCATTTTCATATTTTGGTTCAGAAATTTTGATGTTTATTTGGTTTTCCAAATAAATTTGTATCACATTCCATTTTTACATACACGCATAAAACCTTTTCTTATCATTGTGTTGTAGATTGAATTGAAAATATTTGTTGTGTTATCAAAAAAATTTTCATATTATTACCTTTTTCTGCATTTTGCATTTTACACTACACCTACACTTTTATTGAAAACTTGTAAAAAGTACAGAATTTGAAAAATTTCAGCCAAAAATGTCGAATCAAAATCAGGTGCCAACTATAAAAATTCCAAGAATTGGAGTGCAATCCAATCGATTTTTGAATGGTCAAAATTATACTGGAAGTAAGTTTTTCCTGATTTTTAGTTGGGAATTTTGAATGATTCATAGATTTTTTGATGAGTCATCTTTTTTCTAGAAAAAATCGTTGCGACAAAAAATTCCTCAAAAATATACGCTTCAAAAATGAAATATATTTTGGATAAATTTTCAAATGTTGATTTTTGAATATATCAACATGACAATGTGTTCTTGTTATGCACTTTTTAAACCGTAGAATTCTAACCGAAATTTGGGGTATATTCAGAAATGTTTTTTATATCTGAGATTTGGATGAATTTCTTAACCTCCCCATATTTTATAGCTCACTTTGCATCTTCAACAATTCCTCGAAATGCCCCCATCGACATCTATAATTCTCCAACTTATGTCGTCGATCATTTGCAAACCCGCCGATTGTCTGAAATTGACAAGCCATATTATATGCCAACACTTTTATCAACATCTGAAACTGAACGATTCTCAACTGCTCCAATTCGACTTCGCCAACAATTTCAAGAGACAGAATTTTCTCATGCTTCTCCTCAAAACCTCGATCAAAATATAAGAATTTCGCGATTTCCCGCAACTTCTCAAGCAATCGGGCTAAACACCGATAAAATTGTGCACATAACTCCCCTTGAAATTGCTCCAGTGGAACCCGAAAAAAATCCGGCAGCAGAAAGTATGCAAGATGTCAACTTATTAGCCCTCTATAATAATTCATCATTAGCCTATCAACGTGTTTGTTATTTATTGTCTCGTTATCCAGCTGTTGCATTATGTCTAATTGCCACGTGGATGTTATGGGGACGTGGATTGGGTTTGAATACGGTGCAACAAAATGAGAATATTGCATATATTGTTAGTTTGGCGGCTGGAATTTTTATATTGAGCAGTCAGATTTTGTTGTCGTTTTCACATCATGGATCCTATAGCACAGCTAAAGTTTTGGTGAGTTTAGGGAACAGTGAGCTCTGAAATTTCAGAATTCTCAAATTCCAGGCAAACTTCTATCATTTCTCAAACTTGATCGGACTTCTCCTATCTGCTGCCATCATTGTTTTCAGTGCTATTTCTTTCCAAAATGTCAAAAATGTCGAGTAAGAACTACTTATATTTATATTCCTAATCTAATAAAACTTCTTTAGCACAACACTTCAATATTGTAAACAGTTGGATCCAACTTATATGAACAACAATATAGGTTCATGTATTTCACCATCTGATCGTTTGATTTTCCTCTCAATTCTTATTGGAAGTTCAGCCTCAATTATTCTATTATATGTTTTCAGTGGGATTTATGGATGTATTGGACAGGTTCAGATGAAGGAAAAGAGACAAATTGAATATAAACGATACTCCGCTGCGCAAGATAATTTGGCTTTCAAATATTGATTGAGAAAAACTGAATGAACTTATTTTTGATTAAAATAATCGCGGGAAAAAATGTTTGCAAGTAATTCTGCAATTTTAAAACCAGAGCCAAAAATTGCAGCTTCTTTTCAGATTTTCTTGACCAATATTTCGAAATGTTCATTTCGAGACAAAATTAATAGTAGTCTCAATTTTTTACAACACATTAGTTTTATTGGCAGATTTTTTCTCTCGTAAAAACAAAAAGAGAACAAAAATCAATCGATTTCTGTTGATGAAAATGAAAACCTGTTCATTTTTCAAGAAAACCACTTTATTTTCTTCTTCAAATACTCTCTAGAATTTCAGTTTTCCATTGATTTTCCAAAAATGTCAGCGGACAATGTTCTTTTAGAACGTATATATAACCTTATTATTGCTGAATTGGGTGTGAAAAAAGAGGATCTTCAATTAAGTTCAAGATTTGTTGAAGATTTGGGAGCTGATTCATTGGATGCTGTTGAATTGTCTATGAGAATTGAAGAAGAGTTTGAGTAAGTCCCAATGGTATAATCAAGTTGAAATAAATATTTTCAGAATTGAGATTCCTGATGAAGATGCAGAACAAATAAAAACTGTTCAAGATATCTACAATTACGTTTCAACCCATCGAAAATAATCAATATTTTTGGAATTCCATATTTTCATTTTCGATGTTCATGTCTTGAAAATAAATTTTATTAGTCAATATTTTCGCTGATTTCACAGAAAATGTTTCTAAAAATAATCCGATGAAATTTGTGAAGGACAAATCTGAAAAAGGTGACTTGCCAAAGCCAAGATGCCACTACAAGCTCAAACAAGGTTTCCCTGGTAAACTATTTTTTTCAAATTTCCCATTAATTTTCATTTTCCCAACATTTTATATACTTTCATTTTGTCATCCAAAAAAGTGGGCCTTTTTTCGTCCTAATTAACATCTTGCTTCTTTTCCTCTCCATATGTTCATTTTCATGTTCTTCATTGAAAATGTTTGGGTGCGGAAATTGTTCATCTATGGTGTGGAGTATTTTTGGAATTGGAAGGGGACCTCATTTTCCTCCCATTTCCCCCCTTTTTCATATATGCACATTTTTGATGTCACATGTACATATGTACATACTACTTCTTGCTTTTTTTCCCCCAAGGGAGCGACTAGGGAATTTTTTGATTTATGGGTTGGGTGACAAAAAAGTTTTCGGCTCCCACTGCACTTTGCATATGTGTTGTCACGAAACATTTTTTTTTAAATCCAAAAAGTTTTTTTTTTCAATATTTTTTTGGCGCTAAAGAATAAGGCATCTGTGTAAATAAACAAACATGTTCGTTTTGGCGAATGTACATAATTTCCGGCGGCATTTCCTGGAGTTATTGAATTTTTGCGCGGCAGGTTTCGAGAGTGGGATTTTAGCACCAAAGTTTATAGATGTTCAATTTTTTTTCAACCTAACTCCATTCAAGTCGTTCGATAAATTTTGTTATCAAAACTGTCGTTTAATAAAAGAATGAACTCAAACTGGCTTTTCAGAACCTAATCACTGAGAAAGCAATTCTGGTGTCGTTCATTCGGTTAGTTTTCAAACTTTGGAAACCGCAAAAAGATTTTGCGTTATTTGCATAAACCTCAGAACCTCAATTTTTTTCAAAATCTCAAAAGACTCACTTTTCCTCCTGTTCTCCTCGAAATTCAAATTCAAATTGTTTGACCAAACCTTGTCTCATCAATTGTTTCGTTATTTTTTCACCATTTTGCTGACAATTTTCCTGTAAAGTAGAATTGAGTAAGATATAAGTACACCAAAAGTAAGAAATATTCAAGAAAGTACATTTCTCCATAAAATAGCTTTTTAGCACCAGTTTCAGTATTTAAATATCGAAAATCAACTAAAATCATGTTACTTGTACTAGGAAAATAGATAGTTATTAACTTAACAACAAGTTCCATTCAAATTCATGGAAAAACAACAAAAAAACGTGAATTGAAATTTTTCGAAAAAAAAACAAGAAAATAAAAGTAAAAATGGAAGTGCGCCCCATTGATAAAAATTGCATGTCTCGCACTCTTTCAAAAAATTTGTGTGTTTGGTCGTTGTTGTTTTATTATTAGACTAAAGGGTGTGATTTTTTTTTTGCTTGACAGGTTTTGAGAGTGGGATTTTAGCACCAAAGTTTATAGATGTTCAAATTTAAGATCGGAGTTTCAGCATGAAGCGAAAAAACCACGTTTCAAAATTCATTTTAATACACTGAACTTTACGTATTTCTCATTTCAACTCCTTTTCAAAGATATTTTCTTTAAAAGCTTTATTTCTTAAAGGCTCTGTTTTGAAATTCAAAAGTTCAGAGATTCCTCAAAGTCTAGATTTTTAGCTTGAAAAGTTCAAAACAAATTTTTGAGACTCAAACAAAAGGTTATTTTTTATTGCTGTAACCCACCCCACAATTATTGTCAAACCGTAATTTTAGGGAACCAGGCTGTAAGAGAAATTCAGAAGATCACCCCCCTGGAAAATACGTTTCAAAAATTCTTCATTGCCGGAAAATTTGTTTGCCAATTGTTATGTATGTTTCATTTCTAATTTTCAAACTGTCATTTCTAATTTTTCTAATTCCAAAAATTCCCAAATCAAACTAAATGAGAAATAAGTGCAAAATAAAACATTTCGGGAATGTCAAGACTAACTTCCTAACTTTCTATTCTTTTTCTCATAGAAGGCATTTTCGAAGAAGAAGAGCTTTTTCTACTTTTTTCGGCCTCTTTCTTCTTTTTTTTCCTTTTCTTCTCCAGGAGAGTAACCCTCAGCTTATCGATTTTTGTTCACTTGGACATATAAGGGCTTATAACTATGTAGTGTGGAATTTTTCCCCCCTCCTCCCATTTTTGCGTTTATTTATTTAATTTTGAATTTATTATTATTTTTCTATATGATGAGAGATGAGAGAATGCAGAGATTTAGAGAAATAGAGAAGGAATATTCATTTGGCAGATTGCCAATTTTCTATTTTATGAAAAAAAACGTTTTTTTTTTCACCAAAATTTTACGGAGTTAAAAAATGTCCGCGTAGCTCAGTGGTAGATCGTTTTGATGTTGTCGATAAGGTGCAGGTTTGAATCCTCCTGTCCGCGAACTTTTTTTAAAATTTTGTGTGGATCTTCCTCATTATTTTTTTTTTCAAAAAAATGTTTCATTTTCCAAGCTGTCAGAATATATTATGTGAAAGTGCATCTGCCACCAACAATAATCTGTCATTATTTATATTTACCACTACTTTTTATTTATTTATTTCATTTTTGCTATTTTTGCTTGTTTTGTTTATTCGAAATATTTTCAAAGTTTTTCGAAAGAAACCAAAAGTTTCAAGTAGCTTGGCCCTTGCCGAAAAGTGTCTCGAAAATGTTTGTTTAATTAAAATTTGTGTGTTGGCAGAGCGAAAGAAAACATGTAAGCACAAACAAAAAAAAAGAAGAGCATGGATACTTGAACATTTTTTTTGAAACAAAAATTTTTGAGGAGATTTTTCGAAATTTTGAATTCGCGTTTTTTGAAAGCTTGAGAATTTTGTGGAAAAAAAATCAGATCTAGAATTTTCGCTCCCACAAAATTTCCTATTTTCTATCAAAAATTCTCATTTCCTCAAGATTGTTTCCCTTTTCTTTTGTTATTTTTTGTTATTCTCAGTTTTTCTCATTTTCCCAAACTTTTATTTTTTCTATTCATTTTTTCCCATTTTCCTTATTTCGCTCTAGAAAAGATAGAAAAAGTTTCAAATTTCAATTTCAAAAAATTTATTTGCCATAAAATTTCAATTCTCAATTTTGTATATTTTTTATGAAAGAAAGAAAAAATTCAAGGCTAAGTATTTCTATTCAAAAATTCACTTTACTAATGAGAACAGAAACTGACCAGTCTCGGGAACTTTTCCTTTTCAATCAATATTTTTTTGGTGCGAAATTTTTTTGCCTTTTTTTATATTCGAATTGTCAGCTGTCAATGATGATTTTCATCCATCCAGATGCATTTTTTCTTTCCGGAAAACTTTTTTTGGGAAAAAATTCTTCCTCAAAAAAGTCCATTTTTCATAAAAAGTAGTCTATTACACTTTCGTTTTTTTCAAAAAAAAAAAAAGATTTCTCGCTTTTCGTTTTGCTCGCGTTCTTTTTTTTTGAAAAAAGTTTCGTTAAGTTCTTTGGTGCCAAAAAAGTTGAGTTTTGCATTGCAAGAAATGTTTCTGGAATAACTTTCAATCAATTTTTTTGAAGAAACTTTTTTGGCACTCCATTAAAAAAATCCGAATTTCAAAATCAGAGTTGAACATCTGAATCTTTCATTCAACTTTCCGGAAATTTTGATCCCCGAACTCTGAAATTCAATTTTATACAAATTTTGCCACGTGGATTTTCTGAATCTCTACTTGTTCTTTGTGAAAAATTGTTCCCCTGATTTCTAAATTTGAAAAATTTTCTCTTTTTTTTTTCACACGTGACCTCTAAATTTTCACCCAGATAATACATAAATATTTTTTGAACACCTGGCATTTCTTATTTTATTTTATTCAAATTCCAAATGTTCAACACGTGGTCCCAATTGGTATTTTTTCTCTTCATTCATTTTTCCCCTTCTTATTTCTTCCTTATCCCAAATTCCAAAATCTAAAACAAATTCTTGCAGAATGATGTCATCTGGTGGTTGGATGCAAGAACCAATGGAACCAATTCCAGAAGAGGGTACAGAAGCCGATGGATCAGAATGGGGTGGAACAATTCAATCAGATTCGAATAGCAAGAAAACAACGAGGAAAAAAGAAGTTTATACGTCGGAACAAATTAACACACTTGTTAGGTTGGTTATTTTTGTTTTTCTCCAAAAAAAATGCTTCTGAATTTTTCTCACCATTTTCCGAAAACATGTAGATCAAGCTTTTCTAAACTTTAGCCTCAGAATTCCACGTGTCATACAGTTTTTCATCTCTGCGTATCCTTTTTCTCACACTCTCTCGCTTCCTTTTTTGTTTTGTTTTTGTACCGAAACGAAACTATTTGCCTATATGATTAAGTGTACTTTTTGACCTAAAAACTAAGTATTCCTCAAATCATTTAAGGACATACCTAGAAATTAGCCGAAATTTCCTTCCTTTTTCGCGCCCCAACAAAATCTGGTTATTTTTTCGAAATACAAAAAAAACGAAGGATAAAAGGAGATTTTCGGCCAGTCGTTTTTTGTTTTGTTTTACAAAGTGGTATTGTTTTTTGGTTGTATTCATAGATATTATTCACAAGTATGATAGATAGTGAAGAGGTTCTTTTTGTTCCGAAAAAACTGGATGATGCACCTTTTTGACGTATTCGGAAAATGTTAGGAAAATGAACACACCCTTTCCGGGTTTTATGGGGCATAAAGTTTTGAGGCGCAAAAATTCATTTTGTTTGTGGGTGTTGGGAAAAAACTCATTTTCCAGAATAAGTTTAGAACTTTTTAGAAATGAGAAAATGAGTGAAGTTTTGTTTTTCACAGTAGTTTTGGTGGCATTTTTCTGTTGAAATTTTAAATTTTCGAGAGGGAAGAGTTTTCGGTAGGAAAATTTACACGCTGTGAATTCTGCTCCAATTTTTTCCCGCCAAAATTCCCCGATTCAAAAATTCGTTCATGATGTCATTGATAAAATCTGACCCAGTGCAATGTAATAAAAAATGACTCATTTTCTCAAAAACCCATATTTTCTCCTTTTTTTATTCATTTATTTATTGTCTCTTCTTCTTCTTTTTTTGGTCTCATTGTTATACAAATAAAACAAAAAGTATGCATTATCATTCGAAAATGACACCTTTTTTCTCTTCTTTTACTATAACGGAATGGCCAAAAGAATAAAACCATTTGGCTATTTGCCAGACCTGTCTTTTTTCTCTGCGCTCTCCTATTTTCCCACACTCTCTCCTCTCGTTTTTCTTATTTTTTCTCTGCGCCTCTCTGTGTTTTTTTCTAATAGTTTTTTATTCGGAGGTGTTTTTTGCTTGTGAATTTTGGATTTTATTGATTTTTTCGGTGTTTGCTCAATGTTTTTTCTTTGACACGTCGGTTAAATTTTGGGTGAGGGAATTTTAGGATTTGTTGTGTGGGAATTTCTGTAGAGTTTTGACCCGAAATTAATTATTTTTTAAAAGGTTCTTCGGAACTCCCACAGAAATTCGGAATATCAGCAGATATTGGTGATAGTATTCAAAATTTCAGAATTTTTCTGGAACTTTTGGGATTTTTTGAAACTTGTAATATATGAGATCAACTTTTTCTTTCATTTCATCTATAAATTTTGATTTTCCCGAAGATTTCAAGTTTCAAAAATTCCCAATAGTTCTAGAAAAACTCTGAAATTTTCAATTTTAGTGCCAATTTATTTCGACATTCCAAATTTTTCTGAGATTATCTGGGACTTTTTTCATGTTTTAAAATTTCGAACAATTCTTTCCAAAACTTTTAAAAGCTTCTCTTTCTCTTGTTTTCTAATCCACGAAAACTCTCTCTTCTCATTTTTTCGCGCCAAAAAAACTCCGAAAATTTTCTCACACTCTTCTTTTTTTTCCCGGCCAAAAAAATTAAATTAAACATGTGTTTTATCTCCAAGTTTTTTTGTTACACACAACAAATTCTTGTCAAAAACATTTTTTCTTCTCCCCAAAAAAAACTTTTTTTGCAGCACCGTCCCAAAAGAAAGTGTGCCGCCCGAGTGGTTGGTGGAGAATCAAGTCGTTGATCCCGAGTAAGTTTGGAGTTAGGCTATCTCGAAATAATCCCAAATTTTCTAGCATGGCCACGTCATATCTAACGGAATCATTGGCTGGCCCAACAAGTGCTCGAGGTTCTTCATTTTCGTATTCTTATGAGAGTCATTATGATAATCCGCCCGAAGAAGAATACCAGCAAATTGTGAATGAGGATGGTGTACATCAAATGCAAAAGGTGAGTATTTTTGGGGCGGACAAAATTTTTTCACGGGGGTATTCATTTATTTTTAGAATTCGATTTTGAATATCAAATTTATGAGCCAAAAGCAACCTCAGGATTTTTTCATATTTAAAATTTGGGCTGTCCTATTTTGAGAATATCTGAAATCGAATCAGGGTGGCCATGTTCTTAATAGGAATCGGACCAGGTTCGATTTTTTGTGAATTCTGAGCAAATATAGAAAATGCTGAGGTTGGCTCATTAATTTGATATTCAACATTGAATTCTAAAAATAAATGAATAACCCCATCGAGTTCGATTAATCGGGCCTCGCTCAATTTCTTGGTTCCGATTCAAAATTTCAATTATTCTGAACATTTTGTCCCAAAAAATAATTATTTATCGAACTATTTTCTGCAAACCTATATCAATTTCCTGCAAACCCTAAAAAAACAAAACAAAATCATTTTTTCCAGTGATAAAAACCCGTTCTATCCTATCACTTTCTCCCATTCTACCCAATTTTGCATCCCATCCATTCCCACTCATTTTTTGTCTCATCTCGCGCGCAATTTTATAGGTTACCCGTGTGACAAAAGTGACGACAACTCGATCGGTTCGCCAAATTCCCGTGCATTCACCCTACTCGAATATCGATTTCGATTCATCCGGTTTGCCGACACCAATGGATGGTGCTGCACAAATCGGCTCCGATCATGAAGATCGACACGCTCCACCACCGGCGCCGAGTTCATTTCGATATTCGGGCGAAGGCGATGTTCCAGGTGCACCCGGTGTTCCGGATATTGTTGATGTTGGTGTTGGTGAAGTGACAGTGGTTTGGAGTGCGCCACATCATAGGAATGGTGATGCGATTTGTAGAGGATATCAATTACAAATGAAAGAAATGCCTGATGGAGAATGGGAAGATATGGGAGTCGATCAATTGATTAAGGATACATCGTGTAGAGGTGAGCTCATTTTTGAAGGGGCTAGGGGCGATAAGTTTCTTGTCATCTAGAAGTTTGTGATCAGCGTGGTCGATTTATTATATTTCACTATCTTTTATCAGAAATTTATTTGGTGACCTTGTTACTCAGACAAATTAAAACATCTGGAACGATTGACCGACGTTTTTTTTTAGTTTTTAGGGTTTTTTTTGACACGCGTCTTACAATGAAAAATTATTTAGATTTATCTAAAACAAAATTCTGATCATTCCCTTTTTGACTCATGATTTTTCCTCACCCCATCCTCAGCATTCAAATACATATTTTGGTGCCAAAGTCACCGGCCCATGAGAAAGTGCAAAAAGTAATATGATTCACTTAAGAATGTTTTTTATGAGTCACATTTGCATCGGGCGCCTTTGTACAACATTAAAATCATAATAATTTTATTTGTTTTGTATATTCTTTAGTATTCTTTTTTTCTGGCTGGCTACTAGTTTTTTGGCGTCTCGTTTCCTATCTGACCTTTTCCCACCATTGGCGCCATTTTCTTTCAAGTGCATATTTTCATTAATCAACTTGTCAAAAAAGTCAAGTACAACAAATTGTTCGCGTATTGTTGTTCTCATCTTGGTAAATCTGACCTTGTATTTTCTCGGACGCAAAAAAGTCCCCCCGCTGGTCTTTTTTCTTTTATTCATTTATTTATTTATTCCATCCATCCATTTTTATTTTTGATATTATTTTATTTTACCCATCTCCGTCGAACATCTTTTTGAAAAACACACAAAGTGTGTCAAAATTGTCTCGAAGATTAGAATCTCTAACACATCTTTCCACTCCCGGTGTAGCAAAATTTCATTATTTTCTACATAACCCTAAAATTCTTATATTAAAATGATCATTAAGTTTTCTCGAATTTCTACTGAATCTGATGTTTATTCTGAAACTTATTCTTGTGACGAAGAAGAAGGTCCCTATACTTTTTGGTGTTCAAAGGGAGCTTGAAATCGGGATTTTTTAGAAAATATTTTTTCTGGTAGTTTTTAACCAACTGATTTTGAGCCCGTTGTCAAAAATTTCAAAACTCAACTCCGAATATGAGTTATGACGTGGCAAAGTTGAAATTTTCAAAATTTACCACATAACTCATATTAGCAGTTGAGCAAGTCGAAAACTACCAGAAAACATTATATCGAAATTCTAGTTGAAACAGTCCCCTTTTTTAAAATTTTCAAAAAAAAATCAATATTTTTTTAGTTACCAACCTGACGTCGAACGAAGTACAATTTCGAGTTTCGGCGTATGGTCGAACTGGTTTCGGACCGCCGTCGAATCCATCATCCACTGTCAAAATTCCAATAAGTGAAGCCGATATTGCAACCTGTAAGTTTTTTTCTATTTTTGTGGCGAGCCTATACGTGAGAAAAGTTTGCCACGTGGATTTTTTGCGCCCGCCGAAAACCGGAAAACTCGTAAAAATCACCCAACCTGACACCTTTTTTTCTGATAAGATCTCTTTTGGTCATAAAATTATTACTGTTTAGATATTTTCATTAATAAAAAGGTTAATGGGTTTTTCTGAAGGTCAATAACAAATTTATAACCTTTTTGAATTTGGCGGCGGCGAAATCCACGTGGCAAACAAAATTGTGAATTCAAAAATTTATCTGAAAATCGCACTAAACAACGGGCAACGCGCGGAGTGTCGTTGTTTTATTTTTATTTTTTTCGTTTCGCTTCAGAATTGTTTTTTTTTTCAGCCGCTGGTGCTCCGTTGGCTCCTGGTCGACCTGTTGTAATTGCTGTTGATGGTCAAGGTGCACTTATTGAATGGACTGCACCAGTTGCAGATGTGAATGCTTCTCCGCCACAAGGTTATCAAATAGAATATCGAGTTTATGGAAGTCGCGATTGGATTGTGGCAAATGATGATTCGCTAATCAACGATACAATGTATACAGTGGAAAATCTTCGACCAAATGGCGTCTACGAATTTCGGGTACGCGGAAAGAATGCGGATGGTTTGGGACAGCCTAGTATTTCGTCGGGAGCTGTTGCAATTCGACCGGCTGCACCACAACGATCAACACCTGCAAGACCAGTATCATCGAGTATTCCACCACCCGGACAACCACAAATGGTTGAAGCTGGAGACGATTGGGTTAAACTAGAATGGTCGCCTGCTGGAGATGATTGCGGATATGTTGTGGAATATCGAGAAGTTGGAGATCCTTCGTGGCATACCGCGAATTATGATCCGATTATTCAAAATGGAATTCAAGTGGAAGGTCTTCGCCGAAACTCAACTTACGAATTCTGTGTTACCTCAATAATCAATGATCAGTCTTCAATCCCATCGGAAACTTCAGATGTCATCCAACTTCGTCCAATGGGTCGAGCATCGAGTCTCCGAGTGGCCCCCGAAATGACCCAAGCTCCCGAATTTTTCGACATCGATGGCGACAAAATCACAATTTGCTGGCTACCAGCTCATAGCACATTACCAGTTATGGGTTATGACGTGGAATTTCGCGATCTACAACAAGATGATCGATGGTATAAAGTGAATGATCAACCGGTTTTCGCGTGCAAAATGACTGTTGGTGATTTGATTTTCGATCACAATTATCAATTTCGAGTTTTGGCTCATAACGCGGCTGGATGTTCTGCGCCTTCCCCACCTACTACTTTCGTGCATATTCAACCAAATACATCAAATGGATATGCGACTGCAAATACTGTGAAATATGTAGAAGCGGAAAGATTTGGAGCTGTTCCGTTGTTACAAGAAGAAATAGTTAGAGAAAGTCCACCGTTGCCAGATCGAGATGATTCACCGCCGCCGCTTAGAAGAGCTAATAATAATGGTGAGTGAAAGATTGAAATTAATTTTATTCATAAAAATAGTTTTCAGTACAATGGCGAGATCCATCGTTGAAAGAAGTCATTGAATATTTGTCATCAACTGACAAGGATAAACAATTAAATGCTAGCGGATATTTACAACATCTTACGTATAGTGATAATTTGATCAAAGAGGAGACCAGGTATGTATTTTTTAAGAATTCACATTTTTCTGTATATTTCCCTGTGTTTTTTACAGGTTTTCAAAATCCCTCAAAAAATACGTTTCAATAATATTTCTTCTCAATTTTTAGTGCATTGAAAATATAAGAGGCTTTAATTTTCATTATTCGGATAACTTCATCAAATTTTTTGAAAATAGTTTAATCCTTGTACAATTGTCATCGAGCATTTAAAATCTACAAAATAAACGTACATTCTAAAATTATGTACAAAAATTCGAACAAATATAAAAAAAATCTTTAAAAAATTTCAAATCCAATTTTTTCACTTGCTTCAATGTTTTTATTTTGTATTAAGTTCAAATGTTTTTAATAAGGAGGATTTATAAACTTGATGTTGGGGAACAAAGAGATTTAACAACAAAATAAAATGTAAACTTTCCAGGAAACCCCGAAAAATGTACATTTTTAAAATAAATGTTTCATGAAAACATCTAGAAAAAATGTACATTTTTAGGAAATCCCCGAAAAATTGACATTTTGCGTGAAAAATTTTTCCAAAAAAATGTGCATTTTTCAGGGTTCTCTTAAAAATTTACTTTTTTATTTTCACGTCAAATTGCAGACATGGAAAAAATCTTCTTTTTATTGGTATTTTGAGAAGCAGAAATGAAATAATCGAGAGAGTCCGAACTGATTCGCGTGTAGATAAAAATGTAGGGCATCACGCTCAATGAAAACATTCATTTCCCAGAAACAGTTTCATAAGAAACGGAAAGGGAATATTCGTTTTCTCGTGACCCCTCATCTTTTTTTTTGTCGAAAAATGTACATTTTTAGGAAATCCTCAAAAAATTTACATTTTCACGTTGATTATTTCTTCCAAAATGTGCATTTTTTGGGATTTCCTGAAAAATTTACATTTTTTCTACCCTCTTTTTAATTAATTTAAATCATAGTCTTTTATTTGAATCATAGTCTTTTATTTGGAAGCTTTTGACTGGAATTTTTTTGATGTGGAAGCTTTTGAGAAAGAGAAAAAACTATTTTTGCAAAAATAATATACATTTGAAAAATTTGTATTTTTTTTTTGGTTATTATCAAAATTTGATTATTTTTTGAACATGTACAGTTTTCGGGAAGAATTTGAAAATATTTGTTTCTAAATAAAAATAATGAAAATGAAAGCCTCTTATATTAAATACGTTCTTGTCGGCAATTGATTAAAAATCTCAAAACAGTAGGTCCCCTGTTGACAAAACTAACCAATTCGACCGTTCTGAAAACGATTCTGAAGTCGAAAAGTATTACTTCGGTCATTTTGAGCACATACGAAGCTCCAAACTTGAGAAAACAACTGAAAACACTTTAATTTCAGAGAATATGGTGGAATTCCGAAACTCATCGCTCTTCTCAAAAGCGACAATCCAAGAATTCAGAAAAACGCTTGTGCTTGCCTCAAAAATTTGAGTTATGGAAAAGAAAATGATGCGAATAAAATGGCTGTTCTCGAATCGGATGGTGTAAAAGGACTTGCTGAAGTTCTTCGAAAAACTCACGATTCTTCTGTGAAAGATGAAGCGACTGCAGCATTATGGAATTTGAGTTCGGCTGATATGTTGAAACCGGTGATTTTGGATGCAGCAACTGATATTTTATCGCAACAAGTTCTCAATGTTCCTGTGGCTCATTTAAATGGTGGAGCAACGAATGGACATGGAAATGGGAATGGGAATCCAGCAACACGTGAAAACTTCCATACTTTATATAAAAATTCGACGGGAGTTTTGAGAAATATCTCGGCGGCTTCGCAACAAGCAAGAAGACGATTGAGAGATGTTCCGAATCTAATTGAAGCGCTTGTTGATTATTTGACAACTGCAATTCAAAAAGGACAAGTTGATTCGCCGACGGTGGAAAATGTTGTGTGTCTTTTGAGAAATTTGAGTTATCGGATACAAGAAGTTGTTGATCCGAATTATGATCCCGCAACTGCACATTCATCGTCATCGAAGAAAATCGCTGCTTCACCAAAACCATCGAAAAAAGAAAAGGAATCGAAGAAAAAGGATAAATCGAAAGGACCGAAAAATATAATAACTGGACCGGCTGTTCTTTGGCAACCGCATATTGTCAAATTATATTTGAAACTCCTCCAAGATAGTTCGAATATTGATACTTTGGAAGCATCAGCTGGAGCCATTCAGAATCTAGCAGCTTGTCAATTTCCACCATCGGCTGAAGTTCGAGCTGCAGTTCGAGTTGAAAAAGGTCTACCTGTTCTAGTGGAATTGATTCGATTGCCAGAAGATTTTGTTGTTTGTGCGGTTGCAACTGCTTTGAGGAATTTATCGATTGATCCGAGAAATCGAGAATTGATTGGAAAATATGCACTTCGTGATTTGTTGGAGAAATTACCTGAACCTGGATCGAGAAGAATTCCGGTTTCTGATCAAACAATTGGAGCGATTCTTGGAATTCTTTTTGAAATTGTGAGATCGAGTTCGGCTTATACGAAAGATGTTCATGAATTGAAAGGTTAGAATTTTGAAATTGAAAATACGTGTCAAAATTCAGTATTTTTATAAACATTTTTGCCACGTGGCCTAAATTTTTCATGAAATTTTTTGAATCTAAATTTGCAATAATTTATACCAAAAAATTATGAAGTTTTAATTTTTTTTCATAATTTCAAAATTAAAAAAATATTTTTAACGTGCCCTGTGACGTGGAAGCACGAAATTCATTTCAAAAATTTCAAAATTTCAATTTGTTCCAGGAACCGACAAACTTCGTTCACTTTCTCGTTCATATCCAACCTATTCTCACCGAGTTTGCAAATATGCTTCACAAGTTCTTTATATGATGTGGCAACACAAAGATCTACACGATGGTTTCAAACGAAGTGGCCTCAAAGAAGCTGATTTCTATTCTGGAACTGCAAGACGTGGCGATTCTTCGACACTTGCTCGACCAATTTCATCACAAGGTCGCGAAAGACCTGCGCCTCCAATTGCGGCCGCGAATTTGGATGAAACTTTGAGCAGTGGAAATGGTTATGGAACTTATATGGATACTAGTTCTACGAATATGAGAAATCGACCCCCATCTGCAACATCACAAACTATTCAACGACGATATGACAATAATCATCAACAACCACTTTATGCGTCGGTGCGGAAGAATTCCGCGAATAATTCGCCACGTGGCGTCGATGATAGTTGGGTTTAAATATATGAAACCCATCGAATTTATGTTATTGATTCATACTTATTTTACCGGTATATTTTTTCTTATTTTCTATTTTTGCTATGCACTGATGTGAATATTTATTGATATGAATATGAAATTTTTGAATTATTCATTTCGATATGAAATTTTGAACCGGTAAGAAATCTCGATGAGATCGTTTGAAAAATCAGAACACGTAATCTAATAGTATCTTGGGCGCATTGGACCGAAAAATCCATATAGATAGGGATTTACGACGGAGTTTAGGATGATGAGTTGTTGCGCGAAGTGGAACTGAAACACATTATTTTTTTCTTATAAATTTGTGAGAGTTGGGCGAACTTACATAAGCGAATTGGGTTTTGAAAAGTTGAGGATCGAGGATTTGAATCAGGCTGAATAGATTGTAGGGAAACCAGCAGATGATATAAGCGACTACGAGAAGAAGACTGACACGAAGAGCACGGGATCTGGAATGATTCAATTTGGCTCTCTAGGCGCGTCTACTTGTGAACTAGAATTTCTAGGCTCGACTGCTTGAGATAAAAGCTCGCAAGGCGTGATTCCTTGCCAGATTGGATCTCTAGATGCAGGTCCTAGACAATTAGATTTCCTCAAAAAAAAATTACAAGAAACCTATGAAAAACCACATGTTTTTGAAATTTTTTTAAAAAATTTGGAGTTCCTAAATATTTTCAGGGGAAATATATTCTTAATCTTGGACACTTCCAACTCACCGATTCAAATTAGCATTATAAGAAGTGCTTGTATGCACACCATTCCTCATAACAGCACTCGCTTCACTCGGCGACAACGAAGGTCTTTGCGGAACCTGCGTCAATGGTTGCGACGTCTCGTCGCTCACAATAATTCGCGGTGTCGCCGAAGAAGCGACACCACTGAATTGCACTTTTCGCGGCGACGATTCATCGTAACCACCACCAAACTCTTTATTGTTGTTGTTGTTGGGACGAGTCGACACGAAATTCTTCAAAGGATTCCATTCAGATGCGCGAGAAAGTACTGTATCTACCGTATCGCATCCTGTGTGGAAGGAGATTGAGCCGTGAGAAGTGCGGATTGATGGACGAGAATTGATCCAGACCCATGAGAGAACAATGATGTAGCTGAGCTGGAAATAAATTGGAATTTGAGATCAGGATCAGAAAAAAACAGATTTATTAGCCCTATTCCGAATTGAGTTGTGATTACGCACTTTCGGTAAGTTAATTAAGTACGGTCATTTTTTATGAACTTTTAAGAATCCTATTGGGAAATCTTTAAAGCTGTTCTTCTGAACTGCTCCGAAAAAATCTATTTTCAAAAAACCCACAATAATAATCATGGCGGGTATCCAAAAAACCAAGGCGATATGCAAAAAACTGTACAAAAACTCGGAATTGAAATCGTCGGCCGACAATGAAGTCGAATTCGAACTTGGATTCGGATTTGTTGAATGCTCATATCTTGCAATATCCCAAATCGACAGACATTGACTCCAATTATATTCGGGAAGTGCCAAATAATCTTGCCAGAAATATAATTGCGGACAACTGATGATGAATGCCACTACCCACGCTGGAATTGATGAGATTTTGAGTTTTTTTTTGAGACCTGACCTGGAATTTCCCACAGAACCCCTTTGTTTTTCCTCAAAATCCACAAATTTCCAATGAATGTCCTTTCCTAACCTCCTACACATATTTTTTCTCCAATTCAAAACAATATTAACAAACTACTAATCTCTGCACTCAAGGGTTTCATATTCTGTTTTCCCCCCTTCTTTTTCAATTTCCTGATTATGTTAATTTTGTTGTGACGTACCAACAATCAACATCATTTTTGTTCTTCGAAGTGCTCGAGTTGGGCTATGATGGGATGAGCTCAGAACTGATAAGAGTCGATCCACCGCAATGCAAACAATCACATTTGAGGAACTCTGAATAAGGAATATGAACTTTGTGCTACATATTTAATTAAAAATTCTCACCTGGAATGCAAAAGTGTGCATCATCTTCACAAATTTACAAAGAGAATCTCCTCCCCTCCAATCATACGTCAATAACCAACATGCTCTTGATGGCACAAAAATGAATAAAATCAATAGATCTGAATAATTCAGAGATCTTTTCAAAAGATCTAGCCTTGTTGAAGTTGGTCTTTCGCTGAGTTGTGTATAAGCTGCGAGATTTATAGGAGCTCCAACTATGAAATGAATAACTAGAGTTATCATTTCAACATAATCTGATGCTATTGGTTCGGGTGGAATTGAAACATCTGATTGATTTGAGGACATCTGGAAATTTTAGGTGGAATTTGATTAGGCAATTTCTGAAAATAACTTTTCAGAGTGTTTGAATTTTAGCATGATTAATAAAAATCCCAGAACAACGCAAAAATTCAAGAGGGCTTTTGAAAATTAGAGCAAAATAAGTGCTGGGAAAAATTATTTTCCGTGTGAAACGTATTTTTTCAAGGTTTAATGAGAGAGAGATTCAAAATTGCAATAATAGAATTTTCAGATTGTCTGAAATCCAGAAAAAATCTGGAAAATCTCAGGATGAACTATTTTTTTCTGAAAATTTAATTTCAAATTTTCTTTTCACAAAAAAGGCAGCTGAATCTGAGTAAAACCCCCAACAAAAACAAAAAAAGACAGCTGAAAATATTTTTTCAGAACTACAAAAAAAATCGCGCGCTCGCGAATTCGTGTGCGCGTCAAAAAGCAGAAAAGTGTGGAGAAACGCGAAAAAATGGAAAAACAAGGCAAGGCAGCTGAAAAAAAAGAGTTAGTAGACGAAAAAAACGAAAAAAAAGCAATTTAAGGCGGAGGGATGATATCAGCTCTTCTTTTTTGAAATTATATGAGCTGCCGTGTTGAAATGCTGAAAGAACGAGAGGCTGAAAACATTTTCAGAGAAAAAATATGTATTTTTAGAGATAGAGCAAGTGCAAAAGAAAAAGATAATAAGGTATCGAAAACTTGAAAAGAAAATTATTTTGTTTTCGTTTTTCTTTCATTTTTTTTGAATATCCTTTTCCTATCCTATCCACTTCTAAGTTCAAATGCACTTTTTCACTTGTCATAATCTCCCTCTCCAGAGGGGTACTGTACTTGGAAAGTCTGAGGAAGCTTTGAAAAGCCTGTAGAAGCCCATGGTACTTTGCAAATCACTAAGGTGGTCTGGAGAAACCTTGCCAAACCGGGTGATCCTGGGAAAGCCTCGGGAAGTCTGGGGATCCTGCGAAATTGTACTTCTAGTCAGAAAATAAAGAACATTCGGAGAAAAATTCGTGACTTTTCTCAGGAATCAAAATCATATTAAGCACCGATTATAAGAGCTTTTCCTTTTCCTATTTCTGCTAACTAAAAGATTTTTGAACTTTTCAACAGAAAAAGGAAAAATCGCGTGCCTCTGGGGATTTTTCTGTGTTTTTTTTCAGTAAAAATATTTATTTACGATGAAAAACAACAACTTTTTGTTAAAATAAAATATATTTGCAAAAAAAAATCTAGAAAGAAAAAAAATAATTGTAGGCTAGTCTGGATACAAAATGATTTACTTGATGTATGAGAAAAATGAGCGATAATTGAAATAATTATAAGGTCAGAGAACAAGCTCAAAGGGAAAAAGAACTTATTTTTAGAACAGCAAAATGTTCAATGTTCTCATACAAATAATCCCCTTATGAATCTTAGTCAAGTCATCGTCGGGAAAAAAAGTTATGACGTGGCAAAAGTTAGAACTTTTAGGGGTTTGAGCTGAAATGTTCATTTCCCTGATCCAAAATTTTCATCAAATTTCATTAAAATCATCTCTAACCTTTTCAACTTCCCAAATCAAAAAACCAAAAATTGTCGAAACATGAAAGCATGTCTCATCACTAATAAAATATTTGCACGAAACTTTCTCATCACAAATTCAGTGCTCATTTTTAATAAACTCCATATATTTCTTCTAGTTTTCCTATTTTCTTTTGAGCTCCAAAACCAAAGAACTTTGATCAGTGAATAGAAGATGAATTGAATTGAATAAAAGAATATATATACATATACATAGCTAGATTTGGATTTATTTTCATTAATTAGTAACCTAACTAATTGCTGGAAGAAAAATTTTATTCAAAAAAAAAGTGCACAATTTTCTACTTGTTTCAACTCAAGCAACTAAAACTAAAGGTCAGCGCAAATTATCTTCGAAAAAAAAAATGCGAGGAAAATTGTCATCTTTAGCCACGAGAAAAAGAAAAGGATTATCCCCATGGAGAATGAATATGAATGCCACGTGGATTTTTGAAAATCAAAAAACAAAAAAAAATAGAAAGTGGCTCAAAATGTTGTTATTTTTGGAAATGAGCTGCGAAATTATATGAAAAATTGCACGGAAATAAATTCAGAGATCACACAGTTTTTCGCGTAATTTATAAGCTTAAATTAGACCATGAAAATCTACGTGGAAAATTTCAAGGTTTTACTAGTTTTTAAGAACAGCTACAGTATCCCATAGTTTATCCACGTGAGAAATTCAAAGCCAAAAATTTGATCTACTATTTGTTGAACTTGATTTCACAAAGAGCTACATAGCTCAAAAATTTATGTTGAAAAAATTCAAAGAGAACATTTTGATCTACCATTTTTGGAAATAATTCTTGAGCTAGCTACAGTATCTCATAGCTAAGAAATCTACGTGGTAAAATTCTGGGTGAGGCTTACAACATCAGATAGTATCCAAAATTGGTGCAATTTTGTTGGCTCCAAAAATCAAACACCAAACAAAAATCTAATTATCTCACCCCGTCCTCACAAATTTCCTGCCTGGAAGATCATGAAATTGGCTCCACAAGAGCCCCAGGAATGTTTGACCGACTAATAATAATCTTTCTCATGAATATTTATTTATTCAACAACTGACATTAATAAGTAGGCAAAAATGTGAATGAATGTGCTCTATTTTTTTGCGCGCGCAAGAGCAAATGCTCAAAAATTTATACGTGAATGTACTTTTTGTGCGCCATAAAAAACAACAAAACAAACCAAACCAAAAAAAGTTTTGCTAAAAAAAGTTTGTGGGACAATTTTTGATTATTATACATAAATAGAAGAAATATGAGATGAGAGAAAATTGAATTAGTGCGCTATGAACTCATATAAAATTCTAAGAATGAACCAAAAATAGAACAGAGGGTGGAAAGGACAAAATGAACAACTATTTGGAATTTCCGAGAAATATGGATTAGAGGATCAGAGCACCGTAATTAATACATTTTTTTCGGATTCTGAGAAATTGAAATTCAAAAATTAGGAAGACCTGATTAAAGGAATTTGAGTTTAAGAATTTTTGAAAGTAAAATATTTTGTGATTGATTCAATTCAGAAGAAAATATCAGTTTTGGATAAAATTTAGTACTGGATCTGGCCTAGATTGTTTTCCAAAATTATTTCTTTAACACAAATCCTCACACGGTTCAGAAACACATCCGCTTTCAGTTTCTAAACATTCAAGTTCACTTGAGTTTTAAACTTTTTGTTCAAATTGCAAATTAGCTTTTGCTCAACAGAAGTTTCATTTGGAATTTTGATGAGCAAATTTGTGATGAACTAAAGGTTGAAAATGCGCGCCTGAAATTTTTTTTGACAAAACTAGGCCTGATCTGGGTCTAGTCGCTCCGCAGAAACTTGCAGTCTAGATTCGCGCTAACACACTCAGAATCCTGAAAACCACACCAAAAATAGCTCAAAAACTTTCGATTCTGCTAACGAAATAAAAAGTGAGAAAGAAACATCTGGTCTTTTGCGGGGCCGGGGACAAATTCGATTACCTCGTTTGCTCCAATAAGATCACAAAATAATTCTCGCGCTCGCTTTTTTGCTCTCAATTTCCTCACTTGTCAAAAAGCAGCTAATTAAAAAAATTCAATTAAATTTGATCCATCCGGAATTAAAGTAAATCTTGTTTTAATTTCATTTTTTTACATTCCGATTTCAATCAAAAAATAAATGAACAAAATAAAATCTAATGTTTTTATGAATAAAAGCGAATATATTTGGCTCCCCGTTGAGCTGAGCCCAAAAAAGAAACAATCTAATAACCCTTTTCCTTTTCACCCGAAAATGTCGGCGTCTCTCAAAGTCATTTGCTATTTCTATGCGAACATATTCATCTTCATCAACCGGTTTTGACGAGTTGTTTTTCGAGAGATCTGTTGCATGTTTTTTGGGTGGATAATGTTTTGGGTTTTTCTAGGAACGGCGTCATGATAAATATAGAACAAGGCCCAGTTTCTTGACAAAATAGATTTCTAGGCTCGACTACTTTACAAGCGATGTCCGTAGGTGTCGCTGCTTGACAAGTAAATTTCTCGAGAAGCCACTGCTTGACAAAAACTCCAGAAATTAGTCTAGGCATCTCTACTTGACACATCAAATTGTAAATGTCACTGCTTAACAAGTTTCTCTCAAGGCGCCTATGCTTGAGAATATATTTCTCTAGGAGCATGTGCTTTACAAAAAAAATGCCTCAAGGCGTGAGTACTTCAAAATACTTCCTCACGCAAATACATAAAATTCCAAAAGTACGACATAAACCAAAGTAACTCAATTGTCTTTTTTCTCCGCAAAAAAGTGTTCCAAACTTTTGGAGAACAAAACACAACAAATTGTGCAATTTTTTTCTAACAATTTTTTTTTCGAAAATATTCGAAACACAAAAACCAAAAAGAAATTGGAGATCACAGAAAGACAAAAGAAGAAAAATCGACTGAAAATTCTTGAACCAAAAAGACAGACCGAAAGAGAAATCAGTGGAGCACGAACAAAAAAGTTGCTCTTCTTTTTTTTTTGTTGATTTTTACAACACGCCAAAAGATTTGTGATCACTCATTTTTTTTGACAAGAATAAGTGACCACACCAAGGTTCATCCTTTAAAAACAGGATTTCTAGGCTCGACTACTTTTCAGGAGATGTGAGCCCTTATCAAACAGGTTCTGTAGGGGTGTCTACTTCACAACTAGAATTTCTAGGCGCGGATAAATTTTTGAGAATGTAATAAAAACTCTAATCATATTTATGTTTATTAGAAAAAGCTGATTGGTAATTGCAGAAAAAGTAAACTGGAAGTTAGAAAGGGATGCTATTTTTTCCAGGAAAAAAGAAAAGTCAAATAATTTATGTGCATTTTAGATGTAACATTTACGGAACTCACTCAAGTCACAACCACGATTTAATGACATAATTTCTAAAAATACTGATAAAAAAGTTGAGTATCTCAGGATTTCTTAATTTTTTAACAGTGTTAAAAAATCGACAAGGCCTCATATAAAAATTTGACGTGGCCCATTTTTGAAATTTCTAAAAAATCACGAAAAAATGCGCAATTCAAATTATTCTGTCATTTTTAAGAATAAAAATGTTGAAAAATGCTATGCAAGCGGTTAAAAATACGGTATGTCAGGTTCGGGGAGTTAGACTAACCTTTTCCACCGATTTTCCAAAACTTCAGCGCAAAATTCACCATATTCATCTAACTTGCAGGCATCTCGTGCTCGTTCACGTAGTACCAGTCGCGACACCAAAACCCTCAAAGACATCATCGTTCAATCGACTCCATCTGCTCGAGAAACTGCAAAAACTGTCAAGAATACGGTAGATACAGTAGCGCAAACACTTGAAAATGAAACGGCAATCAAAAATCAATAAATAAATAAATACATGTTTCAAAATTGTTTGTGGAAAGGTTGAAGAGTTGTAGGATATTCCTGACACCCTTTTAGTCTGCTAATAAAACAGCAACAACGCGAAAAACACAAATTTTTGAAAGAGTGCGAGACTTGCAGTTTTTATCAATAGGGCGCACTTCCATTTTTACTTTTGTTTTCTTCTTTTTTTTTCGAAAATTTTTCACTCACGTATTTTTTGTTGTTTTTTCATGAATTTGAATGAATATTGTTGTAAAATTAATATTTGTCTATTTTCCTAGTATGAGTAACACAAGTTTAGTTGATTTTTCATAGTTTTATACTAAATCTGGTGCTCAAAAAACAATTTTATAAAAAAATGTACTTTCTTGAAGTTTTGTTTCGTTTAAAGTACTTATTTAAATTTAACGCATTTCTACTTTACAGGAAAACCGTCAACGAAATGATGGAAAAATCGAAACAATTTATGAAGCGGGTTTTAATCGAATGATTTCAAATCACGAGGAAGGAAAGGTGAGTTTTTTAAAATTTGAAAGAAATGAATTTGAAAGCTGAACTTGAAGGTATTTTTTGCCTCGTAGTTGATTACTAACTTGTTAAATATTCATAAAATGAAAATATTTATGATTTATAAAATTAAAGTTAAAGCTAAAGAAAACCAAATCGAAGAATATAACAATTTCGATTCACTTGTTGTTGTTTGAATTGTGCTTGTTGTTATTATTTTTGTAGAACTTGATGTTGTTGTTGACTTAACTGAAGAAGTCACTGGATTAGTTACATTTGAAACACTTTGCTGAGTTGAAGCTGAAGTTGATATAACTGTTGTTGATTGACTTGAACTTGTCGATTGTGTTGAAGAGACAGGAGTAGATGTTGGAGGAATCGAAGTGCTTGTCACAATTCTGACACCTGTGTCAATTATAAAATATTGAACAGAAAATGATCCAGGAATTATGAATGAAGAATTAACTAATAGACTAGTTCCATCATTATCACTCCATTCCAATGTTCCCATAGTTGTTTCAGTTTTATTGAAATATGCTTCCAAAACCGCGTTGACTCCAGAAAGTGTGAATTCAACTGGATAATCAGGTTGACATTTCAAAAACATTCCAGTTGTTCGAGTGTTATTTGGATTGTATAGGAAATTGATGTTGGCATTGGCGAAAAAGGATTCTGCTGAGATGGCAAGTAAACCAGTTGTTGTTAGAGAAGTTGTGTTGGTTTGAACGTAGTTTACTAGAAATTAATTGATTACGAATTTGTTCCTTGGAAATGAGAATTCAAAATTACCCCACAACTTTGAAATTGTCATACTGATATTTCCAGATGATGAAAAATACCAAGCATCATATGAAAGTTGAAGAGGTTCTACATTTTCAAATAATTGTTCAGTCTCATAAACACTTCCATTTGGTGCAATATTTTCAAAAACCATTGGATTATAGAAAATTGTTCTCCAACGTGAATGACTTGTATAATTATTATATGGAATACTTGGATAAATATAGAATTTGGATGAAGGATCCTGCACAATATTACTGACTAAACTTGTTTTGAATGGGGAATACCAGAAGGGAGTCACACCGAAATTTGTATTCAGAATCACTGTTGTTGAAAAGCCTGAATATGTTTTTGTGATATTTACTTCACTAGCAATCACATAAACAGAGAAATTTGGATCTGCTGCTTGTTGAGCTGTTGAAACATAAAGATATCCTGAGAAATGTGTAGTGTTCACTGAATTTGTGCTGATTGTGAAATAACTTCCAAGTTTCATTGAATATTGAGATCCATCATCAGATGCGACATCGCGAAGTGTGTCAAGTGAATAATTTTGACCATCTATTGTGAGTGTGATATTTTGAAGATCAGTTAGTAAATCTCGAGAAGCTAGATATAGGTTTGATCCATTCTAAAAATGTTCCTTTCAAAAATGTTTAGTTGAGATATGATTTACCTCGGTTGTAATATTGGTTGTACTTCCCAATGGAAACGTTTTTAAATATAGAATTTGTGGGTCGGCGAGTGCAAAAGCAAATAGAAAAATGACTGCAAGAAAGATTTGCATGTTAACCTGATTTGATTATGATTTTTCTTTGCACTCCCTATTTATACACACTTTGATAAAAAACTGTTATCAATAGATGATTTCATTTTTTCAAGAAGTAATAAAAATGTGTAAAAATGAAATTAGGCACATCAAAGAAGAGCATTTCGAAACTGATTCACTTGTAGTTGTTTGGACATCGGGAGTGGTTGTGGGAACATATGGAGATGTATATTTTGAGCTTGCTTCAGTTTTAGATGTGTTTGGATTCAGAGCTGTAACAGATGCTGATGTTTGAAGTGATTTTGTTACAGTTGTGGTTGGAATTACGGTTGGTTGAGTAGTTAGAGATCCAATAACCCCATCTATAACAAAATATTGAACCGAATACGCTCCAGGTAACATTTGAGATGACAAAATCTGAAACTTTGTTGCATCTTTTCCTACTTTCCACTCCAAAATTCCAGTTTCAGGAAAAGTTGTATTGAAATGAGCATGAAGGACATCTTGCCCATTATTGGAGAATATAAAATCTATATTATCAGTTGGTTGACATTTCACAAACATTCCGAGAGTTTGTGGATTTGGATTGTTCAGAAAATCCACCGTGATGTTGATTGATGAAGCATCTGCTGCATTCACAATCAATCCAGTTGTATTCAGACTGGTTGTTGTTGTTTCAATATTGTTCACTGGAATCAGAAAAACTTTGGAATAAAATGAAAATCTATCAACTCACTCCACAATTTCTCAATAATCACGTTAATATTTCCAGAAGACAAAATATACCAAGATACATAGGACATTTGAATGTGTTCGATATTATTGAAAAACATTTCTGTATCTTCCATAATCCCATTTTCATTAAGACTTTCAAAAACAATTGGATTATAAAATAAACTTTTCCAAGGTGTATCATCATAAGTATAGTTATCATAAGGAATATCAGAATATATTCGAAGTTTTGCAGAATGATCTTGTTCGATTTTCTTCACTAAACTTGTTCGAAATGGGGTATTTGAATGTTGAGTTACTCCATAAGCAGTGTTAAGAATGACCGATGTGGATTGACCTGATGTTTTCATGATCTTGATATTGTTTTGTATCACATAAACAGAAAAATTTTCATCATTTGCTTGTTTCGCAGTCGAAACATAGATAAACCCAGTTAGTTTACTTGTGATGTCATTTGAATTTGTAGTGCTGATAGTTAGCGAATCTCCGAGTTTTAGAGGAAGTTGGGAACCATCATCGCGCGTGACGTCACGAAGTGTATCAAGAGGAATAATTTGACCATCAATGGTTAGAATAATATTTTTGAGAACATCTGTAGAGTCACTTGAAGATAGATATAAATTTGATCCTTTCTAAAATTCAGATTGATTTTTGAATAGTTTTGGGTGCTACCTACCTCATATGCAAATGTGCTTTGCCCATTAGCAATTGTGAATTGGGTCAGATAGAGAATTTGTGGATCAGCTGAACAAAAAACAAAAAGGCAGAAAAATATTGGAATACATTTCATTTGTGAGGAAACTACAAACTGATAAGATTTTGAAAAATGATGATTTTGGAAAAAGAAAAAAATTGCATTGAAAAATTATGACTCAAAAGTTCAGACTACATAAGTATTTATTTATTTATTGACATTGATAAAAACATACATTTGATAAAAAAGACAAAGTTAAAATTTAAATTTAAATCAAATCTGAGGCTTAACTGGAGTCTCATCTAATACAACAACAACATCCACAGAAGCCGCTCTCCATCTCATTGTTTTTCTCATTGTTTTATAGTTCAATAGAAAATACATAATTGGCACGATGTTCTCAAGACTCAAGAAATCATAAAAATAAATCATTGATACAGTATCCTTGAATTTGTCGGAACTTGTAAGATTTACCGGGTAAACAAAAAGCATTTGAAAAATTGGTATAATCACAACAGGAACATATTGATAGATTATTTTTCGATTCAAATGACTTCGAAGAATTGTGATAACTTGAAGAGTAAATGTTAGAGCATAGATTATATATGTGTGTAAAGTGTAGATTTGTAGATAAATGTTATGATTTGTTGGACCCTTTATGTTGGTTATAAATGAAAATGTATCACATTCAGTTGAAGATATGAATTTGAAATGAAAGGCTGTTATGGCAAGATAGTTTAGACATCCCAAAATATCAAAGACGTATTTTTTCTTTCCCTCAACGTTTAAAAATGTTTCTATAGTGGTAAGAAGAATGAGAGATGCTCCAACAGGTTTAACAATATTTGAGAGTAACAGAAATTTATCACTGAAAAGTTCAAATTCAATAAAAAGAGCATTTCTATCTATTGTCATTCCGAAAATAAAAGAACCCCCGTTTGAATTGGCGCTCACGTACAGTAGACTAAAAATGACGTGACACATGCACATCAAACTGGTTGGCAAATAGCCAATGTGTAAATTTCGCATTTTATTTTTCAAATAGACTCCAAAATTTTGCGAAGTCTACTGTAGTCTTGGTTTCCTAGGCCACTTGGGTTCTCTTCCAAGTTCTTATTTTTTCGGAATGACAATATCTACTTACACAATTAAATTTCTTTCCGATTCTTCTAATATTTTATTGATAGTTTGCAGAATTATGAAAAAATGAATCTGTCGACAACTCGAATTTTGATGTTTTCCCCAAGATAAAACTAGATATGGAAATCGTGAAAGTATCAGGAATAAATTCAGAAATCTAGCAAAGTTTTTGAACATTTTTTGCAAAACAAAATTGTTGTTCTTCAAGTTGTTTATGAAAGAGATTGAAATGGATAATTAGGAGTTAGATTATAAAAATTTAATATAGGGTTGGTTATTGATTCTGCTCTTGTTGAACTGTTTTTTGTTTCCTAATTGTGAGCAAAGTGCAAGTTAAAAAGATGATGTGAGGGTTTCCAATTTTGAACAAATTCCGATGGATTGTTTTAGGATCAAAATTTCCTAAATTCTAAAATTAGCTCGAAGTCCAATTTTTTCATACTGTATTTATGATACCTTCTTAACATGAAAAACATTCATTTTCAAGAAATCACATGGTCACCTGATTTGGCAACATTGGTGTCACAAAAATTTTAACCTCTCCTCCTGGATGAATTGGATTGTGATGCCCAAAATGAATCACATTATGATGTTGTTCAGGTTTCGATTCTTCAATAGGTGTTGGTTCAGTCACTGAAGGTTCTACCGATTTCTGAGATTTCGATTTCCTTCTCATCTGCATTTGATGAATCTTATTGCGCTTTTTCTTCTCCATAGCAACCAAAATGTTCTTGTAACCAGCAAAACAACCAAAGACAGCTGATCTGAAAAAATACATTAGAGAACTGGAACTGGAGATTCTGAAATTATTTCACCTGTATGTTGGTAATATCAAGAACACTAACAGAGACAGAATCAAAGAATTGAGTTGAGCTAAAGCGAGAATAATATAATGATATCGAGCCCATTTTGAAGTTTGTGGAATATAGTAATCGATAACTTGTGGGCATACATGGCATCTTTGCCCAACAGACCCTCCATGTAATGATCCCCCCTCCCCAAAATTTTGAAATGTCATGATCCCCCCCTCAATTTTTTTTGTCAAAAATTTGAAAAAATAAATGGTGAAAAAAATGAAAAATATCCAGGAGAGGGGGGTTTCATTTTTGACATATTCTTTCAGGTTCGATAATTTGGAAACTAGCGCTTTTAATATCGGATGTAGAGAAAGGGCGAAGAATTCGACGGATATCATCCATTGTTTCTTATTTTTTTCTTATTTCTTATTTTATTTCTAAAATTCTCAATTATATTTTTCTATATCCTTCTAAAATAAAAAATGCGTTTATTGTAGTAAGTTCATCTCAGAAATTTTTACAAATTTTTCTGAACAATTACATAATAATAATAATCATATCCAATGCGTTATTTATTTGATAATCAAATTGAAATCCAAAAATATTGAATTACAAAACAAAAGAAAAAAATGAATTCCACCGAGAATTCGATCCAAAAACCCTCTGATTATTAGGCGCGATCTCTACCGACTTGACCACGAGGCTACTTATTTTCACACGTTTATTTTTAAGTGATAAATAAGGGATAGAAGGGGAGAGAAAATGAAAAAGAGAAGGAGAAGCGGAAAAAAATCATAAAATTTTTGAAAAATTCCCATTTTTTATCGAATTTCGCCGATTTTGTTATATATTTCGACTGTATAAGTAACTTAAGGATGGTAGAAAGGAATGTCTGTCGAAATTATCTTAAAAGATGGTTTATTTCTTGAGATATGATCCCCCCAAAATGACATAGCAAAACGGCTTCGATTTTGGGGGGATCATATCTCAAGAAATAAACCATCTTTTAAGATAATTTCGACAGACATTCCTTTCTACCATCCTTAAGTTACTTATACAGTCGAAACATATAACAAAATCGGCGAAATTCGATAAAAAATGGGAATTTTTCAAAAATTTTATGATTTTTTTCCGCTTCTCCTTCTCTTTTCATTTTCTCTCCCCTTCTATCCCTTATTTATCACTTAAAAATAAACGTGTGAAAATAAGTAGCCTCGTGGTCAAGTCGGTAGAGATCGCGCCTAATAATCAAAGGGTTTTTGGATCGAATTCTCGGTGGAATTCATTTTTTCTTTTGTTTTGTAATTCAATATTTTTGGATTTCAATTTGATTATCAAATAAATAACGCATTGGATATGATTATTATTATTATGTAATTGTTCAGAAAAATTTGTAAAAATTTCTGAGATGAACTTACTACAATAAACGCATTTTTTATTTTAGAAGGATATAGAAAAATATAATTGAGAATTTTAGAAATAAAATAAGAATAATTAGCCGATGAAAGATATCCGTCGCTCGTTCTCTACATTCGATATTCCTAAAGAACTAGTTTCCAAATTACCGAACCTGAAAAAATAAGTCAAAAATGACCACATGCAAAAACCCAATTTTTTCTAGCGTACCGATTTCACTTTGAAAAAATTTAGGTTTTTGTATGTAATGTCATGATCCCCCTCGAAAATTTTTTCCAAATGTCATGATCTCCCCCTCACAGATTTGAGAGCAGTGCCATGTATGCTTGTGGGAGAGCGAGAAGAATCAGGAAAAAGCTGAACACGTTTGCCCAAATCATTCGATTGTTTGCATTGATTATGACATCATTTGCAGCACTCACTGGATCATCATCAGCCATTTCTTCTTCTTCAGCGATTTTGTCGACTTTTCGGAAGACCAACATGTAGATGTTCTGAAATTCGGTTTATTTTTCGGACTGAAAAATATTTAAAAATTGTTTTTTTCAAAAAAATTCCGAAATGTTGCCCTCATTTCTCATTTAGTTTTTTGATTTGGAAATGGTGGGAGTTCAGAATTTAACAATGAGAATTGAAGATGCAATTTGGAAATAGAACATTTTGACAAATTTTGAAAAATGTAAATTGGAATCAGATAGTTCAAACGGAATTTTGAGGAATTTTTGAAACGTATTATTTTCTGAGAATTTTTGAGGATTGAAAATTTGTAATAAAGTTAAGCATGAGCAAATACATGTTCACTTCTTTTTCCCCAAAATATGTCAAAAGAAAACTCACCGTTGAAATTTGAAAAAACAAAAACGCGGATCCAAAAAACTGTGTGGCAAACTGGAAAAATCGATCAACTGTGTTATCCAAAATCAATTTCGGTGTGATCACAAGAAATGCACAAAATAATGAAATTGGCAGATAAACCGATCGCGCAACAGTCAATGGAACATTTTTCCGATATTTTGCGACAAAAGTGCACATTATATTATAAGCCAAGCAACTCAATATAATTGTCATATTGAAAAGTTGGGTGATTGTTTCAGAGATTGTATCAATGCTGGAAATTATTCATAATTAAGAGACTTTTTTCAATTAAATTCAGAAAAAAACTTACATTGGTGCATCCCAAAAGCATTCAATGATATAAACCAATTTCATAACACATCCTGGAAAATATACAATTCCCATAAAAGTTGTCGTAAAATCCAGAAGTATATAACTTGACACGAAAAAGTGTAGACCAGTTAGTGAACAATCGAAAAGATAGACAAAAAGTGATGGAATTGATCCTGGTTTCAACGCCAAATACAAGGCTTCAGCAACAGTATCTCTAATTGCATCTAATGATTCGTCCGAAAACCAAACATTGTTCGAATTTGTTGAATTCGATGTTGAATTCAAAAAATTCGATAATATTGCAGTTGTCGGGCTTGATGTTGTGGTATGTTTCATGCGAATGAAATATCGGGGCAGGTGTTATTCATTTTTTCTCTGAAAATATTATTTTATTTTGGTTGTTGAAGTATTCAAAGTAACACCTTATTAGGCAGAAACTTCGAGATCCAATCAATTTATACGGAAAAAAATTAAGAAACATTTTTTTGGAACTAAAACGAAAAAAAAATTCGAAAACGAAAAAATGCGATAAAAAATAGGTGAACTTCAATTAAACGTGAAAAATAAGATCTTAGTGAGCATTTTACAATTTGGGGAAGCATAAAAATTGTGAGTTTCATTATTTTTATCTCGATATAGCAGGAAATTTCTTAAAAATAATCCAATCGATGACATTTTTTAGAATTAGCTTAGTATCAGTCTTTTCTAGTTCGGAGAGAAAATTCAGAACATTTCGATAAGTATTCGCCAAAATATGGAAGACTATTGAAAAAAAATGAAAAACAAATAAATTCAAACAGCCCGCGCACACATGACAGACGGTCGGCATCGCGGAGTCTCGTTGTTTTCTTTTTCTTTTTTTTGGCGCGCGCGTATTTTCTTTTCTGCATGCAGTCTGTTTTAGCGTCACTGCGCACGCCTTTTTAGATTTTGAATATTTTGTGAATCGAGAGGGACACAGAGAAACAGAAAATGTTCAGTTTGTTAAATCGCGTGGATTTAGCTGGGTTCGAGCATTGACTCCCATTTAGATATAATAGAGAAAAGGGACTGAGATCCCTTAATCTCTTAAAGAGAATAAAAATGAGAGAACACAAGAACAAAAAACTACTAGTTTATTAAAAATATATAAAAGGAAAAACAAATTAGGATTAAAATGCGTGGATGTTGTGGTAGAATGCGTTTTGATAGATAAATAAGTGATTTGCGCGATTTAGGCCAAATGGTTGGCTCTAAATGTGATTGAATTCCTAGGGGTGTGAGAAAACCCAAATATACATGAAAACCCATCGCACACGCGAAAAACGCGCAACCCGAAGACCAAAAAACTTGAGCAGTCTCAAAAAAACGATGACAATTCTTCAACGGCGAATGTTTTCCCGGAGAAATTCGAATATTTGAATGGCGGCCTTGCCGCCTCAACCCAACGAGACCCGAGCGAATAAATATGTGTGCCTTGAATTGGTTTTGCGCTCTCGTCGTCTGCGCGCTCTCGCAAATACACACTATTTTCTCGTCAACGGGTTTTTCTCTTCTTTTTCCTCGATTTTCAGCGCGTTTTCGCTGGTTGTTTCGGCTTTTGGTTGCCGATTGAATTGAGCTCGAATTATTCGAGACAAACGAATTGGGTTGAGGTTTTTAGCATTGGTTTTCATGTTAAAAACGTTGTATTTGGGTGAGAAATCTCTCAATTTCTCACATTCCCCCTCTACATAAGATTGCGAAGGTTACTGTAGTTTTCCTTGTTGAAGACGAAGTTAGTGTTGAATTTCTTGTGGAGTGTTTCGGCGATTTCGAAGACGGCATCACTGCTATTGCGACGGAGAGTAGGGAGGTCTTGTTGAACGAATTTGAGTTCCAGATTGAGTAGTGTCACATTCCATAAAATCGCTCGACATTTCCGTGTGTGAACAGCAGTCCTTCGATTCAATGTTCCGATATTGTTGTTCCAATCGTTGAAGTCGACCCAAAGATGCACAAATTTTTGCTACCCCTTCTCCTGATGTTCGGGATACTGTAGCAATTGAGGTGATCTCTTCTGGATCGCGAATTTTAAGTTGTTATGCCATGATGGCTCAAATTTTAAGTAGTGATGGTGAATGAATTTTTGACTAACAACAAGAATTGATAATTGTTCGATTTTGCAATCGACTTGGGTTATCAAGTTTATCCAAATAAATTGTTTTTTCTCGTGGCAGTATTATCGCCAGTGTAGATGAGAATTTCCTTGAAATTTGTCGAAAATTTTGAATTTTCCTGTTTTCGATGGTTTTATCGAAATTCGTATGGGGGGGGGTATCCCTGAGTGAATTGAAAAAAGGTGAGGTTATCCGTGGGTAAATCAAAATTTGAGGTTCGATAGAACCCTTCCCCCTCTACATAAGTTGGAAAAGTGCTGAGCGATTTTGATTCATGGTTAGTAGGTGCAGTAAGTGCTAATTACATGAATTGTGGCAATTTTGATTGGGTTGATTTAGGGGATAAAGCAGCCGCGTACAAGGTTGCGGAGTTTCAGATTTCTTCATCTATCGTTCATCAATGTGAACGAAAATTATGTTTCATCCGAGCAGCAATGAAAGGTGATTGGCTCTGCCACAACTTCACATCTTCCACCGCACATCTCCGGTGATTCTTCTCTTGTTCGTTTTTTCGCCCGTTCCCATTCAGTATCCGATTTGGACTTGAAGTCCTTTTGAATTTGTGCGATTTTCCGCCTCTTTTGAATCGTGGCCATATTGTGAAAATTCGATTACATGCCAAATAGTTTCAGAATTTCGTCCAGATCCGCCGATGACCTCTAGGCCTTTGAAGCCTCGACATCTCTTTCTAAAGTTTCTTCTAATTGGACTTCTTGTAACAATTCTCATTGTCGATTTCGATATTTGAGTTCCGGTGACCGCAAACATCTCTTCGATTTGTTGGTTTGTAGGCTCGTTCAAGTCGAGATTTTTTCGCTTGGAATTTTGGCTGTTTTTGTAGCCGTTAGTAATAATTCTGGTATATGATGAATTATTTTGAAGTGCTGTGCACTGATGGTTGTTTGATTTCAAAATTGTTAGCTTTTTGAAAACTTTCACTGGTTAGTTGATAACCATGGGTATTTGAATTTGATTTGGCCCTTGTTGAAATCTTCCAGAAAATATACATTTCGCTCTAAGAGTTCTGAAAGTATTTTTGGTTGACTTTTTGGCGTTTAGGCTGTCATTCGTGCCAGTTGTTCTCCTGCTCTCTCTTATCTACCCTGCTATCCCCGGCAGCTCTCCATTTTAACTGGGGGCTGAAGCGAGTGATTAACTTCGCAACAGTGGAATAGGAAGCATCAGTTCCTATCCCCATAGTCTTACGGTCCGGCCTTGTTCACGCTCCGGATGTAGATGTTGGTTGAAACGGCGCGAGGAGGAAGATGTTTCATTATGGTGTTTTGAAATCACCAGTGTGTTTTGAAATCACAAGGGTGTTTTGAAATCACGCTTGAATTTTGATTAAACAACACTATTTTATTTGGCTCGCTGACATTCTTGACTTGTTCAACTTCTTTTTTGTTTCTATCAATGACCTGATTTTCGGTTTTGCCGATTTTCAGTTATTGACGTTTTTATAGTGGGTTTCAGATTTTTGATGACTGGAATTCCACTGGAACCCTCCCAAAAAAATTTACCTTAACTTGCACAAAATCCAAATCGATTCGAACTCTTCGGCCACCAATCACCCTCTCTCAATAATCGCAGACGTCTCCTTGATTTCTTGAGCGGTTCTCTTCCGTGGTCCAATTGGTTTTCAGCGAATTTGGAAAGCCTGTAAATTTTTTCGGGTTGACTCCCTCTGAGTTCATGCGCTAATTTCCTGCTGCTTCCCTATCTCACCGCTATCCCGGCAAATTCTGGCGAATCGGGGCTGGCCCAGTTGATCAGACCGAACTCAGTAGATCGATGAGACCGACGCTCTATCGTCCAATAGACTTACGCTCCGAAATCATGTTGATTTCGGAAGTAGGGAAAGGCGAGCGAGGAAAAAGCTTGATGATGCAGCTGTGCTGCGAGTTAGTACATGAATCCTTTTTACGACAGGTTAATTGAAGCTTTGCTTCATGATTTCGCGGAATTTGGATGATTTTTGACAGAAAGGTTCAAGACTTTTGAAAATTTTGGTAGAAAGTTTGAAGCGCTTTCGATACCTTTAAAGGAAGTTCAAGGAACTTTTGATGAATCTCGGCAGGAAGCTTAAAGAGCTTTCGATGCTTTTTGGCTGAAAAGTGTGATGAACTTTTTCGCCTCCTGGCTGAAAAGTTAGAAGACCTTTCAGCGCCACTTGGTTGAAAGGCTTGGAGCATTTTCGACACTTTTGGCAGCAAGTTTAGAAAGCTTTTGACAACTTTGACAGAAGATTTGCAAAAACTCTCGATCCAGCTTACAAAAAGTCTGAAGGAGTTTTGGTAGCTTTGGTAGACAGTCTGCAAAACTCGAGACAGTTGACAGCACGTTGATCTTTCGATAACATTGGCAGAAAGTTCAAAGAACTTTGGTGCTTCTTGGCTGTGGAGTTCTGGGAACTCTTTGTGCCTTTGGTGCGAAGTTTAAGCTTGTAGGTCCTCTTGACCTTTTTCTTCTGTGATCCAGACATCAATTCATGAATGAGAAAAGAGATGTTGGAAACTCTTTTGATTTTTGGGAGAATTCTTATAAATCTCTCGAAGGTTTGAAAGTCTTTTGAGACTATTTGAAATTCGCCAGTTCGTTTCAAAGAACGAAGCTTGTATTCGAAATGTTTGACAATTTCCAAACTTCCTGTCCTCCAAGGGTCGCCAATTTTTCGAATTTCTCAAGATTTTGGAAATATTTGCAAACTGCCAGAAGTTTTTGAAATTTGAGATTTCCAAATCCTTGAAGGGAGAAAACATTGGTTTTCTTTGAATGTGAATTTGCAAAATCGGCCTTGGTTTCTTCGGAAATTGCGTGCTTGGACGATTCCTGGAAGAGTCAAACGAACAGCAGTTTGAACTTCGCTGGATGAGATGGTTGAGCACTTGTTGTAGCGAGCCAATTTGGAAGCTTTGACGGCGAATCTTTTGAAAACCTTATTGACGAATGAGTTCATGATTGACATGACCTTGATGAAGCTCCAGTATTTGGGTGAACTTGTTTGAGAACACTGTCGATGTAGGCGTTGTGAGATCCTTTCTCTTGGTGTATCTCTTTCTCACTCCTGGCTTCTGGCAAATGTTTTCCGAAGACCTGCGACATTTTGTCTCAATTCGATGATATTGAGGTCGTTTTGGCTCAATTTTTGACTTGGCGCTGATGTTGTGGCCATTTTTTGAGACTTTTGTTAGTCTTTTTGGTTAGTTTGGCGAACTTCTGCCCGCGATTTGAGTCGTCTGCCGTTTTTCTTTGGGATTCAGAGGTTTGAATCCTCCATACCATTCCCCATGCAAGACCGTGACTAAAACTTTGGTTTGCGTCTTGCGCGGGGATTTTTAAGGTTTGGAGGCTTCTTGCCTCTTCAGAATCTGGGATTCTGTTCCTTCTATTCACGGCTTCTGACTCTCAAACGGGTCTTTTTTCGTCGGCACAACTCCGAGATCTATTTGCCGTTGGCTTCCAGAGCCTTTGGCTTTCTTTAAAACTTTATTGGCCTCTTGTGCCTCTAGTTTTTGTCAACACTTGGTCTTTTAGACCTCTGGTTGTTTTTTGAACTCCTGGTCTTCTGTGACCTCTGGTTCAGTTTGAACACCTGGTCTTCTTGTGACCTCTGGTTCAGTTTGAACTCCTGGTCTTCTTGTGACCTCTGGTTCAGTTTGAACTCCTGGTCTTCTTGTGACCTCTGGTTCAGTTTGAACACCTGGTCTTCTTGTGACCTCTGGTTCAGTTGTGCCGATGTTCTCTTGGTTTAGGTCGTAATGCACCATGTTAAATCGCGTGGATTTAGCTGGGTTCGAGCATTGACTCCCATTTAGATATAATAGAGAAAAGGGACTGAGATCCCTTAATCTCTTAAAGAGAATAAAAATGAGAGAACACAAGAACAAAAAACTACTAGTTTATTAAAAATATATAAAAGGAAAAACAAATTAGGATTAAAATGCGTGGATGTTGTGGTAGAATGCGTTTTGATAGATAAATAAGTGATTTGCGCGATTTAGGCCAAATGGTTGGCTCTAAATGTGATTGAATTCCTAGGGGGTGTGAGAAAACCCAAATATACATGAAAACCCATCGCACACGCGAAAAACGCGCAACCCGAAGACCAAAAAACTTGAGCAGTCTCAAAAAAACGATGACAATTCTTCAACGGCGAATGTTTTCCCGGAGAAATTCGAATATTTGAATGGCGGCCTTGCCGCCTCAACCCAACGAGACCCGAGCGAATAAATATGTGTGCCTTGAATTGGTTTTGCGCTCTCGTCGTCTGCGCGCTCTCGCAAATACACACTATTTTCTCGTCAACGGGTTTTTCTCTTCTTTTTCCTCGATTTTCAGCGCGTTTTCGCTGGTTGTTTCGGCTTTTGGTTGCCGATTGAATTGAGCTCGAATTATTCGAGACAAACGAATTGGGTTGAGGTTTTTAGCATTGGTTTTCATGTTAAAAACGTTGTATTTGGGTGAGAAATCTCTCAATTTCTCACACAGTTTTATCGAGGTCACGTCAAAAATTTGCATGTTTTTCTTCTTTTTACTTGATAATGTTTATTTCAAAATTATTTTTTTGAAATTAGAAATGACAGTTTTGCAAAAATGAAAGATGTTGATTCAAAATGTATAGAAAATCAATTTTTGCGTGACATTTTTTCACGTTAGACAGCAAATTCTGTCTTTTTCTCTGTGTCTCTCTCGATTTGCATTATAAAAGGCCAGCCAACACTGCGCGCTTAGGGTTTTTAGTTCGGTGACATCCAGTGTTAGCATAAACTCTTGTTTTAACCATGCATTCTTCAGATTTGGGACGGATCGTCGATGTAGCAGTTTGCAATTGGAAGAAACTTCGAAAAAAGGTTGGTTCACACGTCATTTGTGATTTTATAAATTGAAGTTATTCTTTTAGATGATTGATCGGATTTTGGAATGGAACACCTGAATTGATGGATTATTGAACAAAACAAATATTTTACTGGTTATAAATTGCTGGTGGACAATTTCGATATATGGATGAGTATTTTAGGGCAGGGTTTGGGGAAAAAATTGGGAAAAAATCAAATATTTTATACAAAGCCTAATGGCAACCTAAACAATTACAAATATCACTTATCAAAATCATAATAATCATGATAATCCACGTGTTCGCCAAAATGATTGAACGATTTTGAGCGACCCAAACTTATAACACTTTCTCTTTTATTCGAGATTTGAACATGTTTTTTTGGTTTTTGTAGCGGTGGATTTGTGGAGGGGGAAGGAGCTGTGAGAGTGTGTGGACAGGTTTCGGTTTCTAGAAAAAAATCTAATGTTCATTTTCTATTAAAATGTGAAAACTGACCTTCTTCTAATATACATTCCGGATTATTATAACAAATTTTCGGAGGACCTCCATTAATATAAGGACTCTCAACATCTGTAGAACTTCGTGGTTTTTCATCGGGAAAACATGAAAAACTTCTCGATTGTCGTTTTTGGAAAAACTTTGATCCTCTTTGTCGATTATCCCATGTTGGTTTCCGAGTTCCTGTCGAATTCCGCTGATCTCTTCTAATCTCAACAAAACTTTCAAATGGTGTCCGACTCGGCTTAATTCCATAAATTTGATCCATTTTCTCGTTGAATGGATGGGGAACCATTGTAATTTCACGTCGATCATCCGGAATTTTTCGACGTTTATCATCGTCAGCATTCGTAGCACTTCCGAAGTAGAAATTGACATCTCGTTGCGCGGCTTCTTTTGAATACAATGGTGAAACTGTGTCATTCCAGAACATATCTTTTTCAAGATCTGGATGTGCACGGTATGTATCATCAACTATTCCCATTGCAACTGTTAGGTTCCGATCAATCAAAAAATTACAATCAAAATCATCTTCATCTTCACCAAATGGATTTAATAAATCCATGGCAACTTTCAACCATCCCATATAAAATGTGAATTCAATAATTGTCATAAAAGGAACTGCCAAATCAATTTCAGTTGTATTAGGAGCATCCGAATTTATCACAAATTGTCGTGAAACTAAACAAACCAAATAATAACAATGAACAGCCATAAATACCAATTGAGGATACATCAATGGAAGTGGAACCCAATCATAAGTCCAAATTAGAGAAAGACCACTTCGAAATGTTCGAATTTCTTCCGCGATTGCATTTTGAGTATAAGCACTTTCTAGACGATTTTCGGCTCGTGCTTCGTTTAAAAGTGAAAATGACCAATTGAAACCGAGCCAATATTTTGCATAGCGAGATTCACAATCATTGAATTTTTCAAGATCTTGTTCAGTCATTATTCCTGCGGCAACCATAGTTTCAAGTGTTGGAAATCGTTTTCTGACTCCAATATGAATATCACGGAATACCATAGTTTGAGCCATAACACAATAACGGACGATACTTCGGCGAAGCATTCGACCTCGATCATCATTTCCATTTAGATACATTGAAGTGAAAAGGGCAATGCTAGAAATATGAATGTTTTAAAGTTAGATCACACCTCGACTACTTTTTGCAATTGATCAAAAATATGTTTCTCTAAATTTCTTGAATTTTTGTCTAGTAATTTTCAATAATCTGCCACAGTTTTTTTAAAATAGTTATGCTAGAAAAACCAACTTATCAATCATTCCTAAATTCGCGAATTGTGTCATCCATCGATTGATTACAGTAGTCACAAAAAATCCGAGCATGAAATTAATTGGAATATAATCTAGTCGACGATTGCAAAATTGCATAAATCTTTCGAATGTGCTGGAACATTTATATTAGTTGTTTTTTCGTTAAAAAACAAAGTAACCAACTCTTGCTGACTCCTATCTAATGCAAATCTGTATATACAAGAAATAACTGCGTAACAAAAACACCATAATAACAAATCCTGATAAATCGCCTTCCAAATCGAGCCTTTCCATTTGAAAATTAGTTTCAGAATAACTTTTCGCTGTGAAGTTGCCAAGTCATAATGATAATTGTAGGCCATTTTTGAGAAGACGATCAAAAATGTCTCTTTTTCTAAAAATAGTAGTCAATCATAAATAAGTGGTCATTAAATTACATGTTTTATATGCGAGAGACGATAACACCGACAAAAACTATTTTATGACTTTTTTCATAAATTGTCGTGTGATTTTTGGAAAAAGAAGAAGTTTGAATGAGATGGACAGTTTGTCAGGAATTTTTGGTAGAAACTTGAACAATTTTTGGTCAAAGTACTGTAGATTTAAAAAGTTTTGGTTTCCGGCAAAATTTTCGGAAAATGAAAAAACTGTATACAAATTTTCCTTCGAAATTACTGTAGTTAAATTTTCTGTTACATGTTTCTGTTACAGCTCCCTGATTTTGCAAAGCCTATTTTCAAGATCCAGACTTTTAAGCCCTGGTTTCTAGCTGCGGTCTCTTTTCGAACTCCAAGCCTAAAAATGTCTTATTTTCAAGCTTTATCTCTCAAAATATGATATCTTGAGGCCCAGATTTTGTTTTCAAAATTATCCTTTCTCAAAAAATCCACTTGGCATGAAAAAAAGCCTTTTTCTCTTCTCAACATTCCCCGGATGAGTTCAGATGAACTTGAAAATAAATAAATTTATTGCAAAATAATTTTGCAATTTCCAAGAATCCCTCTAGTCGCCCTCACATGAATTTCATGCAAAAAAGTCCAACTCGATCATTAAATATTCAAAAAATTGTTTTATGAACTGAATTTGCTCCCAATTGAATTTTACAACTACCTGTTTTAAAAATCACTTGCTCTTTCATTATCAACTCTCCTGAATTCGTAAATGATAAAATTAGGAAAGCAATAAAATTCCGGTTAACCATAAAAAAGAAATAATTTATGCCCGTATCAAAAAATAAATAAACTCGAAGAAAAGTGAATTTTTGCTTGTAAAAAAGTTGAGAAAAATAACATTATAAGGGAAATCTGGCTTCTCTCGGGCAAATTGATGGAATTGGCGGAGGTGGTGGATTTAGACTATCTGACGGTGTTATTCGAGATTCGAAATCGGCTGTAGTTGCATCAAGTCGAGATGTTTCGATACAGTAACCCTCTTCCAGTTTACGGTATTCGTCTTCATAATATTCGAGACATCTGAAATATTATTAAGTCAGAAGAGTTACATATTTTTTCCAGTTGAGAGCTCAATTCACATGGGAATCATATGACATAATTTCTATGTAAAATGATGTAAATATCTAATTTAATAATGATAATCAAGTTGTTTTTTTGAACTCAACTAGATTGTAGTTTAAAGCTAATACGAGCTGAGATAATCTTGCGTTTTACTCAAGAATTTTAAATTGGACTCGACACATTTTTGCGATTTAGTCAATTTTGAGCTGGGCTTTCCGGGTGGTCCCGATGAAACAAAAAAAACTAGATGAAAATTTTATAGGAGCTATAAAATGTAGATGAGAAATTTATGAGCTCCAAATATCGACCATTAAATTTTCTAGAAGAATTGAACCAAATTAGTCAATTTTTGAAAAGATCCAGAACTTCGTTCAGAATAGTTTTCAAGTTTCTCCCATTATCTCCCATTATCTCCCATTTCCCAATAACTCACGTATAAATAATAATCGCTTGCCAAACATGTAAAAACGACAATAAAATACAAGCGGAAACAGTTCCACAAATCACAAAATACATAAAAGTATCAGTTGGAGTATCAGACAAACTCAAAGTATGCGCAACAATTTGTCGCATTATATCAAAACTGAACACGGCGAACAATGTGATAATTGTAGCCATCAACATACAAACCAATTGTTGAACCACTGTTATTATTAAAAATGGATACAGAAATTTGTGACGTTTTGTGTAAAATGCGTATGCTCCAAGACCAACTACGCAAAGCGGAACTATTAGCCTTCAAAAATATTGTTTTGTTATTGGAAAAGAAATTGAAATTAGTTACCATGTGCATGTACTTTTAAGACCGAAAAATAGAGAGAAGGCGGAAGATGCAATATACCAAATAAGGCAGAGTTGAGTTCCGGTCTGCAAGAAGAGAAATGGGATTGGACTTTTTTTCGACTTTTGATTGATTTTTTCGGAAGGCTAGTAACATCTGTTCAATTTAGAAGTTGACGTTTTGTTGTCAGCAAATGTTTATTTTGAACTTTCGATTTTCGGAGCATTGCTCAAATTAATCTAGAAATTTTCCAACTTACCACAACATGACAAACTCCACAAAAACATCGAAATCGTTTTTCAGTGAGCTCATTCCCATCCGGCATCTGCAAAGAAAAAAAAATAATTAAAAATAACTCAAAATAACTCAAAAAAATGTTGCCAAAACACGAGTTTCCTTGTTTTTGGCCAAAAAACGTGTGAAAATAGGGGATTTTTCATGCCTTGGGCTATTTTTTTCATCATCATGAAATTTATTTTGTCAACTCATCTGAAAGAAAAAAATAGTAGGCGTTTTTTATGTGAGCTGAAAATTTGGAAATGTGAAATTGAAAACTGAAATGAAATGTGATTAGTAGTCAAGTGGAAAAATGGCAATTTTGTTGTTTTTTGGTTTGGTTGGTTAACTATTTAGGAATAAGAAAAAGAAGGAGAAGAAGCCTAGAAGAATCAAAAATGAAAAGACAAAAAATATATAGGAGGCAAGAAAAAAATAAGAAAATAGATATGACGAGGGTGAAGACAAGACAAGTACAAATTGAATTTTTTCACTTGAATAGTTTTGAACTAGAACTAGAACTTGAATTTTGAACGGACTGAAAAACGTATTTTTCGCGTTTGAAGAACTTTCGAAAAATTCAAAAGTTCTTATAAATTTTTGAACAATTTGTGATTTTGAAAAATTTCATAAATCTCGGAATTGTTCTGATTTTTCATGATTTGCCAGGCAACTTTTGATATTGATTTTTGCAACAAAAATGGTTCAATTCAGAATTTCTCTCAAAAATAACAAATCTACAATTATTAAATGATCAAAATGATTTATTTAATTTTTCGAAATTTTTCTGAAAATTATAGATTTCAAAAGTTCATAAGAGTGATGTTATGATGTCTAAAGCATAAAAAATATCATGAAAATGTGCTTTCGAGAGGGTATTGAACCGATCAAAAAAGAATAGATTCAAACGCAAACATCTTTCCGACTAGGCCTTCAGTGTAGGTAAGAAGCTAGGGAATTTTTGATGAATAAATATATTTATGATGAAAAAAGTCATATAACTAGAATAAAAAACAGGAAAAGATTAATAATTTTTCCTCCCAAAAAATTGTCATTTTCCTGTCGTTTAACAATGTCAACAAACGGAAATTGAACATTACATTTTTCATATTATCAACCAACCAAAAAATTGTTTTTTTGTTCATTTTTAATTTGAAAGGACAGCTTCAGCTTCCGCTTCATTTTTTGCGTGGTTCAAACAATAATTTCATTTCGGAAGAAAAAAATATCGAAAAATCAAAAATTCTTCTTTGTGCTTCTACTGCACAATTGAATGAACAAACTAAACAGACTTCACATTTTTTTTTTCGAAAAAATGGAAAAAGTCATGTTTCTTTTATTTTTTTGGCTGATTCAATTTTGAGCAAAAATAAGAAGAAAATTGGAGAGGAGAAAGAAAGAAAGTTTTTTGTTTTAATTGTGTTAGACTGGCTTTTGATGAGTTTTTTTGGCGGAGAGGAAAGTTTTTGGGTGAACTTTGAGAGTTGGAAATTTTTGAAATTTTTGAGCTTACAGGGGATTTTTGGAGTGTGGATGGAAAAAAGAGAAAACTTTCGAAAATTAAGCTTTTACCATTTTTAAAAATTTCAAAGAGATTAGAGATTTATTTAAAAAAAAATAGGATTCGAAAAAGTTTCAAAAAACAATTTTTGAAACTTTTTCGAAATATTTGACGCCAAAAATACACCAAACATCATTTTTCTCCTTCTTTTTCTTTCAGCCACCAAAAATAGAAAAATAAAAAAAAGTGGGATTAGTTTCTGTTTTCCTTTAGTTTTGGGTTTCAAATCTCAAAGGAAACAAAATTTATTCAATTTTTTATGAAATTTGAGATTTTTTTGGATTTTCACCGAAAAATTTCATTTCAAAGATTATAAGAACTTGTAAAATGACAAAGTTCAAGAAGGGGACACTTAAAATAAATTGAATTTTGTTTACCTCAGAAGATGAGAACTTACCACAACTACAAGTTGAATTCCAGATGTTGTAGGTCGCGCGAAAGTTCGCAATGAGGAAAGCATTTTGTATGACTGAAATTTGATTCTAAATTAAAATTGAGAAAGCTTTTTGTGCAAAATACAAAATAAGATGAATAACAATAAAGATTAGTGATATTTGGTCGGAAAAATTGAGTTTTGATGCCAAAAAATTCGAAGAATCTCTAAAAATAGACAGTTCAGGGATATTTTGTTTTGAAATCCGATCCGGAAATAACAAAGTAGTACTGTAGAAGAAAAAACAAAATTTTAATTCTAAAAATTTGGTTCATAAGTTTTAAAATTTGGTTCATAAGTTTTAATAAAATTTTTTTTGAAATTCAAGATTTTAGTACCCAGACCATTAATTTTTAACTCAAATATATTTTAGAGATCACTGTAGAGTATAAGACGCAGAGAAGTTTTTCGCTGAAGCGGTAAAGGCAAACAGCTTCTCTAAAAAAACCCTCCGAAAATCGGCGTCAAAAATCTAGAACACCAAAAATAGGAATAATGAAATTTTTCCTAACAAAAAAACAATTTTTTTCATTCTTTGACTGTTTCAGACAAAGTACACGGCTCATCTGGAGGAAATTGTATTGCACAATTTTTTCCCGAGAAATAATCTAATTTTCTGAATTTTTTCATTAGAAGTGTCCACTTGACACGCATTTTTCTTTATTTTTAGCATAGCTAGAAAAATAAAATTAAAATAGCCACTACGGAACTTTTTCTAGGGTCAAAAATAAGTTTTTCTCGACGAAAAAAGTAACGCGGCTTTTCGCCCATTTTCTTTAGAAATCAAAAAAAGTACAAGTACACACATTTTTTCATTATCCAAATTAAATTCAGAAAAATAGAAAAACATAACCTTTTTCTTGGCTTGTTTACACCAAAATTGAAAACAAATACTGAATTTTTCATTGAAATTGAACTAAGAAGCTCTAGTCGAATAAATTTGAATCAAATCAAGTCAAGAAAACATTTGCAAAAAAAAGTCATTTTGTTCGGGAATTTGGTGCAGGATGACATGAAATTTATGGGAGCTTGGGGAATTTTGAGAAATCGCGTAATTTTTTTGTAGGGAGTAGAAAAGGGGGAGGAGTAGGAGACAAATTCAAGTTTTGAAGAGGATTTGCCACGTGGATATCATAAAAATGATTTCACCGTTTTCAGCATGAAAAACTGATATAGAAAATTCTAAAAAAAATCCAATAGAGGTTGAACATTTGATCTTTTGACCTCAATTTTGTAAGAATACATTTTCTAGATCAATTTTCCCGGTTGATAAACTCAATATTTTGAACAATAACTTTTGAAAAATAAATCTAACTCCTGCTAGAAAACAATTTTGGATAGATAACAAATTGAGAAATGGCACAGACTAGACAAGACCTGAAATTAGATACAGATTGAAATGTTTTTCAGAAGCCAATTTTCAGCGCTTCCTTATTGTTAATGAGATATGAGAAATTGTTCAACTTTTTTTCTAGATTCTGAGCATTTCAGACTTTTTTCTGAATAAAGTTTAGAGTTTGTATGCGCAGCTCGGACTAGGGCTCAGTAGCTAATTTTTGCGGTATGATTTTCAGCGCGCTGAGTTTGCTTAAGACTGCACTTACTGTTTTTCAAAACCCCGGTATCACAGACAGAACAACAATCTCACGTGGCATGAAAATAGATCAAAACTCAAATAGAATTTAGAACAGAACACTTTCTACTAATTATTTTCTTTTGAAAAAATTGAATCAAAACACATCAAAATAAAAACAAGAAAAGACATAGCCTTTCTATTTCTATTTCTCAATAGCAAACCAGGAAAAAAAGAAGAATTCAACAAATTATGCGCATAATGACAGGAAACAGAAAAAACACAAAAAGGTTCGAATTTCCTTTACTTTTTACAAAAATAGATTTTTGTTGGAGAAAGAAAAACAAAACAATTTGCAAAGGAACTCTTATTTGCAATTTCAATTTGGATTCATTCCAATTTTAAATTGAGTTGAGTTGAGCTAAGTTGAATTTGAATTTAAGTTAGAGTTTAGAACTAAATCTATTTTGAGGCAAAATAAATAAACAAGAAAAATCTTATTAAAAATTGTTTTCTTGAAAAAAGTTCTTGGAAAAAAAAAATGAAAATGAGAAAAAACATATGATCAGAGAGAGCTACTATGTACCAGAAAATATTTCTGCAAAAAATATATTTTCGAAAATCCCATGAGCCCCGCCGTAAGCATAAAAACCTTCCGGGTCTTTTTGCTGTGAAATATTTTTTGCTTCGAGTGTTTTTCTGTTTTGTGCCACCAGACTAGAAAAAGATTGATTGCAAATTATCAATCATTTTTTGGAGGAGCACGAGGTGTCAGTAATATGAATTTTTCAGCAGCTTTCTTTTGGGATCAGATAGTTCAGGTGACGTGGCATTTTTCAGAGGAGAATTTAGTACATATAAAATATTGATTCAAAAATTAGTATTTCTCAGATTTTTAGACATTTTATCTCAAGAATTCTAGAATTAGGAATTCTAGTCTTATCAAAGTTTTATATTCAAAATTTTGAAAAATCAAAGTTTCACTTCAAAAATCAAGAGATTGGTTGAGATTTCTAATTTTACTAACAAAATTTAATTTTGTAAAAAAAAGATTTAAAAATTCAACACCCAAAGAGTTTTCCATGTAATTTTTGAATAAAAGATTATTTAAAATATTTTCAGTCATAATCTGAAAATTTCAAAAATATGGGATTAGAGAAGAAAAACGCACAAACAAAGGTTCAAACTATAGTCTATCAAATAATTCACGAAAATTCCTATAGTTTAAATATTCATAGATATTGGCCAGCGCCAAAAATAACCCTTACGAAAAATTGAAATAAAAATTGGCTCGAATTTTATTTCGCAGACAGGCATTTTTCATTGTCAGCCAAAAAGGTCAAACTGTGAGTGAGTGAGATTTTTGCTCGCTCTCACATCAAACCCCAAAAAATATAACCAAAAAACATAAGTTTTGTCATAAAAACAGGCTCCCAAGGGTCGTTTGGAGTGTTCTCATTTTTGTCTCAAAACACTTGGGTTTTTGAAAAAAAAAAAGATTAAAAATCACAAAGAATTGATGAATGAAATGAAAGGAAACAACTATGTAGGCAAAACAGAAAAAAAAACAGCGAGGAGCTGAAAAAAACGGGAAAATTGAGTTGATTGAGGATAATCTGGTTTTTTTCGGGGGGAATTTTCGTGGAATTTCTCTTTGATCTGTTCTTGTTGGCCACATGTGAGAAATGAGGAAATGAATGAAAAATCTGTTTATGAAAAATACAAATATAAATTGTTTTCATGTGCGCGGGTGAAATGAGAAATAAATTATGATTATGGTTATCAGGTGAAAAATAGCAATATATACTCAGGGAATCACGGGCGAGATCTCCGCGATTCGCGGGACCCAGAAATCCGCGAAATCGCCGCGAACACGCCGCGATTTCGCGGTTTTCTGTCTGCGAATCGCGGAAATCTCGCGGTGCTCTCTCAAAAATCAAAAAGTAGAGGCGACGGACGACACAACTAATATCTTTTAATCATACTCACTCGGCCGGCCTCGATCCGACACTCTCTGGCTCACACACATCCCTTTTACCCACTTGACCATCCACGCGCACGACTCATATCGCTGGAACGTGTTTCATATATCTGCACTCTCGTCGAGACAGCCCGCGAAATTCACGCGAAACGCGAACTTTTCTGCGTTTTGCGGAAATCTCGCGACAAAATATGTTCGACCGAGTCACTTCGCTAAATTTGCGCAATTCGCAAATGTCCACAGCGAAGTTTCCGCAAAACGCTGGATGCACGCGAATCGCGTAGATCTCGCCCGTGAATCCCTGAGTAAGTTGAAAATTATGTGGTTTCTCTGATTTGTCTTGAAAATAAGGCTAAAACGCAGATCACGATAAGTTTACAAGGCACGGCTCCTTATCATGGTGTATACAAGGCGTGCTTTCTTGTGAGAATGCACTCAAGCCGCTACTCCTTCACAAATAGTTTTTCAAGGCATGGCTCCTTTAGGGTCCCCAACTCCTCACTGCATTCTAACTTTGTTATCTCAAAACACTTGAATCTACAGATTTTCAGGATGAAAAAAGAAAAGAAAACTATAATCGAATCTCGAAATAACTTCTTGCAACATGAAATTTTCTTGAAAATATTTTTTCTTGAAAAATATTCCTAAAGTTTATGGAATTGTTTGTTTATAAGAAATTGTTTTTTTCTGTAAATAAATGGAAGAAGTTTGAAAGGAAAATATATTTTTTTAAAAACGAGGTTTTTCAGAAATAGTTTAGGAATTATATACTTTTTAGAGTAGAGAATTATGCAAATCAAGGCGTACCAATTAATATTTATTTATATAAAGTTTTCCCAGTTTCAAAAAAAAACGGAACTTTCTATTGTTATCTCGATTTACTTATCACCCCATGGATAGACCTCCACAAATTTGTACAAACTATATCCACCTTTGATACTTGCATTTCGTTTTCCAATAATTGCATTTGATCGTTTTCCTTTACTTCGAACAAGCAACAATCCTTTTGAATCGAATTTGCCAGTAATAGTATTGAATTTTAATCCCAAGGGCTCATTTAAGAAAAACTTCACGAAGGCTTTTCTTTTGATTGTTGTACCATTCGCAAACAGCTCAACGAATTCTGGATCGATGATTGTGGTGTTTTTGGCTTTTTGATGTTCCGCAATACTTTTGGTGAATTTTTTGGCTTCGGCAGTTGCATCTGGGTGTTTTGGTCCAGCGAAAATTGTTGCGATGAAAGTTGAGAGAAGAGCGAGAACTATGAATCGCATGATGAATGGATCTATGATTTTTGGATGATAGAGTATAGTTTTATACTAGAATGTGTTGATTCGATTAATACATATTTACAAAATCTGTAGAAATTGTAAATTTGCAGAATTATGCAAAACATTTTTGCAAAAGCTATCTGAATATTGGTTTTCTTGTAAGATACTCGTAATAAAGTTATTTTGAACAATAAAATGTTTCAGAATAACATCTTCCTGTCGGTTTAATAAAAGTTGTTCTCTATCAGAAATTTAAAAAAATCACGAAGTTTATCATCTTTATTACAAACACGGTCTCAAAAACTAATTCATCTAAGTATTTACAATAGTGTTCTCTCTTTCTTTTTTGTCACACATGCAGTCGAGGTTGCTTCACAATAATGATTTCTTCTACTTCTATTTTTGTTTTTTCATTTTCATCGAGTTCGTTCCGAACATGTGTAATTAAATTGTAAGCTGGTGGAGGTTCAATGTGACGTTGAGTTTGCTGCAGAATTTTATTTTTATTTTGAATTTTTTCACAACTCACCGTTAGAGCTTGGAATTTCACTTTTGGACGTCGTCTGTTTAAAACACAGACTGCTACACAAATCAGGAAAATTATTAAAATTTTCGAAATATTTTTGATCATTGCGAATATGAAGATTGCGATTAATTGTGAAATTTTGATAATTAATTCAATATTGCTTTTATCTTCTGATGGAAATTCTTCAGATTTTTGAAAAACATCGAGTGATGTTTGCTGTACTTGTAGCCATGTTTCCAAATTATCTTTCACGATAACTTCGCAAGTTTCTCCAGTAAAACCATCTGGACAATTACATTGTTTCACGTGGCTTCTTCGCAATCTTATACATCTATCCAAACCAATATTTTGTTGTTCTTCGAAATTTGAAAGAATAAACAAGCAGTCAATATCTAAAAGTTCAGCTCCAGCTAAACATTTATTGATTTCAGAACATCTGAATCCATAATATCCGAATTTGCAAACACATGTATTTATTCCTCGAATTGTTTTATTTGCTTGAGTTCCTGGTTCATAACATTCTAAAGAATATTCGAATTGTAAACAGTTTTAAATCCAGACTCACCAAATGATACAACTGTTGTGATGCATAAAAATAAAATGAAAATAATTTCATTTAACATTTATGTATAGATTTTTTTTTTGATTTTTTAATAAAAAAAAGGAAAAAATGTTGAGAAACTTAGTTCGACCAAATGATAAGACTCAAATTCAGAACTGATAAATGTGTACAGAATAATAAAATTATTTTCAAAGTCTTAATTTTTTCCACCCATGAACATGACTGTTATCACTTTCATTTCATAAAAAAAAGAGGCATTTTTTAATTGATTCGGAGTTTAGCTCCAGCTAAAATCTGTTGATTTTGGAACATCTGAATTGAACCTGACAATGAAAGTGATTTTCAAAAATTTTATTTAAAAAACAAGGATGAAAAAAACACATTTAGAAAATATGTACAGAATTAAAAATAAAAATAAAGTTCACAATCAATATTATTTGTTCACTCATAATCAGACACATTATCATTCTCTCCAAAAAACGAGCCATCGTCGGGTTGAATTGGAGTAACTGGAATTGGAGTAGGACTGTCTGCATAAAAATCATCGGTTTCGATGTCGTCGGCAACTGTTGAATAAAGAGCATGGCGACGGGGAGCACGGGAAGTTGTTACTTGATTTGATTGATTTTGGAGAACTTCGTGATTGGCTAAGTCATCATCCGATAATGAAACATCACTCACTGTTTCTGTGATTTGACGAGTTCGGATTTGAGGAATTTTTATTGTTATTTCATCATTGTCCGAATCATCATCTGAAAATTGTCATATTGTGAGGAAAAAATTGCGAAATAGGAAACCGGGACATTTAAATATGAAACAGTAAATAATGACGTGAAAAAATAGTCTTATCTGTTAATTATGAGTTTCAAAAAATGTTGAACTTTTTTTTAAATTTCAAGTTTGGTTTATCTTTATATTGAAAAACATTTACAAGTGTTCTAACATATTCCTCATTTACGTGGCAGTTTTTTGAAAATTATATCAGTTTATGCTACAGTAAACGAAGATAACGTTGTTCACCTAGACATTTTCATGATCAAAACTTTTTGACAACAAAAATTATATAGGAACATGTGATATTCCAAGCACTACTGTACGTTTCAGCATCAGACTGAAACATTTAATAAATTTTTTACGATCATCAACTTACTATCATCCAACATTAATCTAGGTGGTTTCGCTGGTTTTTTCGATTGTTGATTTTGCAACGAATCCCGTTTGATATATTGTCCTGATGTTCTTCTTGATCCGGCTGGACTTGGTCCGTCGATTGTAATCATAGGGATATCTGGAACTTCTTGAGTGTCTTCTTCAAGATTTATACTAATCGAGGGTATCGTTTCAGTATGTTGATTTCCTCCATCGGATCCACCTCCAGTTCCTCCGCCTAATGTGATTCCTCCTCCACCAATAATTTGAGTCAATTTGTGATTCATATCGAGAAGTATAGAAACTTGATCTTTATGACCCTTTTCCATTGTTTTCAACCGATGTTCTAGCTCTCTGATCTCATCTTTCAAAGTGACTTCCATTGTGGTCAGATTCGAAACACGATTTAGAATTATATCAGTCCTCTCGGCTGTTCGATATATCCGTTCTTCATTAGATCGCATATTTTTCTGTTCTCTTTCTCGTTTCATATCTTCGACACTTTCCTCTTCGAAAGCATGAACTCTTTCCATTTCATCCGGTGTCAGGAAAAGTTCTGAAATTTAATTTTTTTGTTGGAAATGTGGAGTTTACTCACTGAGCGACGCATCAAACAAATTCTTCTTCTCAAAAATCCTCGTGCTATTTTTGATCAATTTGAAAACCCACATAATATGATAAATAATGGTGAATGGTGGTGGAATCCATGGTGTTGAATCGTATTCAATTACTTGACGATAACGATCAAACAAGAAAATCTCTCTGGTGTTATTGATGTGTTTTTCAAAAATATAGGTGCAACTAGCAACCATCACATTCATAAGAAGAACATTAGTGGCAAGCATAAAAACAGTTAGACCAACTGGCGCTATCCAGTAACCGGGTACACAAGTTTCATCTAAAAGTAGAAATATATAAGATTCATAGGGATTGGTTGAACTTACGTGTGACATTGAGCATACTGATTGGAATGTTTTCATCCTCATGAGTATCCCAGACTGAAATATTTTGAATTTGACATAAACTCTTCACTAGTGGGATATATATTCCCCTTTTCACTCACTTTCATCTCCGCATGTATCAATTTGAGCTGCATAAACTTCTCCGTAAAGCATAAAATATGGTTGCAAGAAAATATTACGCACCAATATCCAATGCCAATCTTCGTACGGATAAGTAATACCTTGACGAAGTAATCCGAAAGCGAAAAGAGTTATGAAGACCAAAACACAAAGGGGAATCATTGATGGAATCATTTCAGCAACCATCGAAATATAAGGACCAAGAGTTGGTTGAACACTAAAATAGTCAACCAACTTCAAAGACCAAATAACCGAGTTACAAATAATTAGAATTCTTCCGAGTGTTCGAGTTTGTGGACTGAGTCGAATGAAATATGCTATTAGAAAAGTGACTAATCCAAAAGCCAGGGTTCCATTCCGATATTGGAAAAAGTAAACTTTAAGCTGTTTCAGAACAGGTTTACTTGTATCCATCATTACCATTGACACCACTTTCCGACATATTTCAATACACCAAACTAAACAATAAGCGAACACATACCATTCCGACCAACTTGCTATTCTAAAAAAAATACTTGTTTGCTTGAAATTCTCCAGAAAAATTTACCTCTGTGTTTTCACTAAAATATTATACGCTAATAAAACTAGAAAAACAATAAAAGCGAAAAACCATAACCAATAAGTTGTGATTGGTGCTCGATAAAATTCCGATATTTTTCGTTGCCATGATAAAGGTCTTTGAGTTAGAACTTGAATTGTCTCCTGTCTTGAACTATCGAAATCTTCAGTCATTTTCTTGTGTTCGAATTCTTCACTTGGATCAACATACATATCATCTTGCACAATTTGCACAGCCATTGATCCTCGTTTTGCAGTTCGATTGAGATCTTAGTTAAGCTGCGAAGTTAGTTGTCTGAAATTATTGGACTTACATTTAGCAGCGGCATTTTTCTGCTCTTCTTCATCATCATCTTCAGAATTTTCAATTTTCAAACATGGCGGTGCGACTATTTTCTTTTTCGATTTTTTGATTGACATAGTTCTTGCTCGACTTCTTCCTTCTACAATTGGTGGAGCAACAACTATCCGACTTAGCCCAAATTCGTTATGTTTTTTCTTTTCACTGAAGTTTAGTTTATCCCGAACTAGCTTTTGAATACTCAAAGGTTGGTCGGAAATACTTTGCCCTCGCTTTTTTGTTTCTTCCTCATCTGATGAAGAAGTTGTCGAATCATCAGAATCTCCATCAATCGAAGAAACATCTGAATCCGCTTCTTCCTCTCTTTCCAGTGCAGTTTTTGGCTGGAGCATAAGTTGCTCTTTGGTTTTGAAACCCAAGAGAAATATTAATGGTGGGAAGGTTAGGCAAGTCAACACTTTTGCATTTTGATTGCTTTTCATTGAAAGTCCACCTTGCCAAAGATCAGAAAGAAGCATTTGACAACAAGGATGGGCTAGGAATTGACGATGTCCATTGTTGGCAGCAAGCGACAGACAAGTCTCGCCTCCCCAGTTAGTCAATTCGCACGTGAGAAGTTGAAGAGTCATTTCCCGACTATGTTTTGTGCAATATTCAAGAACTTCAACAGCCAACTCAGAGAATTCACTGAAAGAATTTTACATTTGGTGTTATTTCAGAGTTCAATAACTCACTCGCTATATTGCGTAAAATCCTGACTCATTCCAATTTCTCCAGTTGTCAGCGATGCTGTTTTCGCCAAACTCATATACAATCTACTGGCCACCAATGCTTTTGCCATTCCTTCTTCTCCATGTTTCCACAGAAGTTTCGCCATTTTTTGTCGTTTTGTTAACACTGCCCAAATCATCAATTCACTGTAAGGATATCGAAATGTGAAATCAATACTATCTTCTTCTTCAAGATTTGAGAAATCTTCATCATCTGAGTCGTGCTTTTTTACACCACCGAAGAGCGAGATAATTGAGTTACGAGCATTGTTGAGAAGGTTTACTTGCATCGAGCTCATTCGTTCACGACCCTCACCACCAGCTGGTCCGACAACTTCGTTACGACCATTGTCAGTTTTGACGCGATTACCAAACTAAAAAGTTTTCGGAACTTCTCTTTAATCTAGGTATTCCAACTTACATGTCGCCTGTTACTGAACAAATAATATTGATTCTTGAATTCTTCCTTGGTATAATTCGACTTGAATAAGTTTCCCATTAAATGTTCCATCAATCTTCCAACTTCACCCAATCTAACGTGATGTTTACTATCAACCAACAAATTCGTTCTCAATGTGTTTTGTGGTCCTTTATCACTATTATATAAATATTCTAATCTTCCATATGTCAAGAACTTCTGCATTGATACACCATTTTCCAGAAGAAGTTGAACAAAATCGAATCGATCGTTCGATAAAGCTTCAATCATCGCATTGTGTAGATCTTGTGTTGTCCATTCAGTTCCATTCGCGAATATTTCAGTTCTCGCAATATCCGCGCGATTCCAAGCCAAAGCGAGTTGCAATTGTTCGGGTGGCGATAAATTCTGTCCACGCAACAAACAACTCATTATTGCATGATCCAGATCTTCTCGTTGCGATTCGCCGAGTCGGAAAATTGTCATAAGTGATTTATTTGAAGTGCAATCAATTACTTGTTTCAGAAGCTTTTGAGCAGTTTTACTGTCATAGCCGAAGATTTTACGAATCACATTTATGAGTTGATTTCGAACATTATCCGAAAGGTAGCCGGATTGACTGACTGTTTGGTGAGCGAATGCGAGAATATCTGCAGCTCGACCACTTCCATCACAAACAATCACAGGGATTCGGGGAATTCTAGAAAAAACAATCAGATTGGAAATAAAAATTACGATCAGTAAAATGTTTAATTTCCAAAAACTAACGTCATAACATAATCGTGTACCATCTTAATCGTAAAAGCTCCACCTTCCAATACAACACAAATCAACGGAATTGCTCCTCTTTTCCGATCTCCTTGTGCCAGATGTGTTTCTAACCGTTTTCTCAAAATGATCTCTGCACCATATCGATTGATTGTTCCATTATCCGCAAACAAAAAATACGAATGTTTATCATTCAATTCTTTCAATCTCGAATTGTTATAAATATTCGGCGAATATGTTAAACTATGATCTTTTCCAACAAATCGATTTTTTTGTTTCAACATTCCCCAAGAAGAGATTCCAATTGCAACCACGTGGTTTTTTGTGTGATGGGAACTGTTGTGATCTTGAAGGGCTGATGCGAGATGTTTGACAACACCTTCATCAAGACCTGATGTTATAATCCAGGCATCGGTAGATTTTGCAATTTTCATGATGCCTTTTCGAAAAGTTCGAGCAAGTTTTGGTTGAAGGCTGGAAAACGATTATTTTCGAAAAACAAAAAGGTTTCCAAGTTCAAGTTTTGGTCATTTTTTTTTATCCAAAAACTTACTCAAACTTAGTCAATCCTCCATTAATCGTAATAATCAATTTTGGCGGTCTTAACTTCCAAACTTTCATCATCAAATGCACAATATCTTTCGGCTCCGTATCAAAACTAACTCTCGCATATTGCACATGATGTGTTGTTCCCTCGAAAATCAAGTTACCATAAGTATCAGTCGGTTGTAATTCTGTGTGATCTTTGATTGACCAACGACCCGGGGCACAAGAGATCTGCAAACAAAAAAAGTTGTTTCGTTATCAGGAGTTCGGAAAAAAGTTTTTTATTTCTTGTATCAGGAAAAATGTGGAATTTCTGTTTTTTATCAGGAGGGTGTGACGTTTAAATTATTGGGGAAACATTGAAGTGGAATTATTTTTAGAGTTGTTCAATTTTGTGCAAAAATAGAACGTTGATATTAATTTTCCTATTTTTTTTTGTTATCAAGATAATTTTTGATTAACCGAAAAAAGTCTCAAATAACAAGACTAGAAAATTGTTAATTTATTAGAAATTAAATAGGAATTGTAATAAAATACAAATTATATTACAATTTCAGAAATTGATGTATGGAACTGGATGTCTGAATTAAATTTTGAAAATCCGTTTTTAATCGAAAACTGTGAACCCTTTGAACTCACTGGGAATCATAAAAATTTAATCCGCAAAAAAAACTTATAACTTATTTTGAAATTCGTACCAAAAAATTTTAATTGTGGTATTAATAAACCTAAATTCTATCCAACCTGATGATCACTATGATCTCCATCTCCATCTGTCGAAGTATCAACTTCAGCAATCCCAGGCAATGTCAAATGATTCGGCCTCGAAATCGATCTTGCCAACACTTCATCCGAATGTCTCGATTTTTCTTTTCCACATCCACATCGATCCGAAAATCTTTGAGAAGGCACAAAATATGAGCATTGTCTAATCTTCAGATGTGTTTCAATCCAATTCTTCCCTTTCATTGATCCCATTCTTGTTACGTGTCCAGAATGACTCGATGTCGAATTTCCACGTTTTCTTGCATTTATATCAGCAAGATGTAACATATCTTTCCAATCGAATTTTTGAACATGTCTTGGAGCTGTTGTCAACGTAGCTGCTCCATCACTACTACTATCTGATCGCATTTTCTTCTTCCGCTTCTTTCGATTATTCTCATTTTCTTTGTGTTGATGTTTGTGATCATGATCATGATTTTCTTCGATCGTAACACTATTCGCTCTCAAACTTTCTTCAACTGCTTTATGAATACTTGGCACTAAACTGCCTCTTCGTCTATCCATCTAATAAAAATCAACCTGTAACAAATCAAAATCAACAAAGCTACATAAAAAATGGTCAATAATGGAAAAAAAAACTTTTTTGTGATGCGAGCAAGAAGATAAGAGTACACGCAATAATTATTGAAGAAGAGAAAATGAATGAAAAAATGATAAGAAGCCGAAGACTAAAAAGAATCAAGTTAACCGGGTTTACAATTAGAAGGGGGAAAACTCTCACATCAGGTCTTGATGAAAAAAAATTGAAATTCAAACAACGTGAATCTTTTAACTAACTACTCTCAAAACTTCTGTGTTTCAGACAGTTTTGAAAAAATTCATTCAAAGTAATAGATAAAATACACAAATCAAAAGGTTCAACTTGATGAGTTACTTGCAAATGTTCCATGTAATTCTAATATTAATATAATTGTGTGATTCAAAATAGTTTCATTTGATTGAAACAATTTTCACAGTATAGTTTTGGATCTCTTTTCCCAGTCAAAGAATTTCCATTTTTCAGAAGTTTATTGACAGTTTCCTATGTTTCTCACGATTTCTCCGCGTCGTAAATAAATATTCTACAAGTTTTCTAGTATGATCTTTTGAACAAAGCATAAAAAATAACATTTGATTATCTCTTTGAAAAAATATCTAAAATTTGGCTTGTCTCGAAAATTTCTGTTTGTTTTTTTGTAACATCACTTGTGTGATTCTGAAATTCTGAGAAATCTACGTATGTAATTCTAAATTCAGACATTTAATCGGTATTAAAATCTAATTTTCGAAAATAACACCTGTTTTCAGAAAACCAAAGTTGAAACTCTTATTATTGGCTAAGCGATCATATCTCAATGATCTTCGCCAATCCAAAAATTCTTGCGAAAATTGTATTTTTTTCTCATCATTATTCTCCAAAAACAAAAAAAAACCAATTCTCGTAATCTATTTTTCAGACATGTATTTATGTATTTTTGTTTTCGGAAAACTCTAAAGAAAAAATCAAATTTCCCACTATTCACAATCGTTTACGACCGATAAATATTTTTGAGAAGTCCTTTTTGAGTTCACAATTTTTCCGCCGAGTAAAATCCAGGAGCTTTAAGCACAAAACATATTTTTAAAGATATGCTTTTCGTCAGTTTTTTTGTGGTTGCTCATGGAATGGTTGCTGTGACCGGAATGGTTTTCAATCTATTTCTGGTTTATCTTGCGATTTTTCACACTCCCAGAGTTATAAAATCCTATACAACTTTAATTATCAATTTTGCGATGACTGATTTTTTCGCTTGTTTGGCGGATCTCGTAGTTCAGCAAAGAATTATTCCCGCAGGATGGACATTGGGATATATTTCAAATGGATTGTGTAAATATCATTCACCAACAGCATGTTATGTGGGGTTAGTTAATTGTAAAAAAAATTGACTTGATTTTTGAATAATCGATTTGAATTGTACCCTGAAGTCTATACTTCCAATGTTTCAGATACAGTTTGATGCTTCATTTCTTTTCTCATTCTTTGTGGTCCCTCCTCCTTTCATTTTCATATCGATATTATATTCTATTCCATTCTGCACCTACTCGATTAAAATTATTCGGCGTTGTTCTTTTGATTTACATTCCTTCATTATTTCAATTGATTTCATTTCTTTGGGCTCAAGATGAACCTTCAGAAATCGTAGAGATTTTACATAATAAATTTCCTGATTACACTTTGGATGGATATACTGTAACAGGTACAAAGAATATATTATGCTTCAGTGCTTTGTTCACAATTTTGCATATGACACTTCCTGTAACTCCAGTTTATACAGGCATTTTGATATTTCGCAAAAAGATTATTCAACAACTCGCCGAGAAAACTGCAAATCTCACAAAAACTACTAAAAAACTTCATAGCCAACTTCTAATGGCTTTAACCTTCCAAGCTATGCTTCCCGGTTTCTACGCAATCAGTGTAGGATCTTATGGAATCGGTCAACTCGGAATATATAATCATCCAGTGCTTGAGTACACTACATTTACTTCTGTTATATTTATTCCCTTACTTTCTCCAGTTGCATCATTTGTCTTTGTCACTCCGTATCGTCGTTTCATCACAAGATTCTTCATTCGTGGAAAAATTGTGGATCCTACTTACGAGACATCGTACAATCATAGTTTAACCACGCGATATTGACGGGGGTTTTGTTGTTAATAAATGATGGTCTTTTGTATTGTGTACTTAACAGCAAAAATAACTACAGACATAGATTGGTTCTCTTCAATTTTGAATCAGACAAATACGAATTCAGCTAAAGGTGGAGTCTGGAGTAACCAATTAATTAGAATATTTTTATTCTGAAAATTTTTCATACGTGAGAAATTTCATTCGAAAAGTTCAAAAAAGCAGTGAAAGCCAGTGTATCACATAATTGAATAGAAATTGATTACACTCTAGTCTATTTCCTTATTCATTCAAGAAATAGTTGCTAGATACATTTTCAGATTTGCAACGCTGAAAAATGATCGAATTCACCGCGATTTTCTCCTATGCTCATACAATAATTGCGTTTTTCGGAATGTCTTTTAATTTGTTCCTAATTTATTTGGCAATTTTCCAAACTCCAAAAGTTATTAAATCGTATTCAACTTTGATTGTCAATTTTGCAACAACCGACTTTTTTGCGTGCTTTTTTGATTTTTTTGTTCAACAAAGAATTATTCCCGCCGGTAAGACTTTGGGATATATTTCAAATGGAGTTTGCAAATTTATTTCACCAGAAGCTTGCTATGTTGGGTAAGTTATAACAACTTGTTCGCAAGACCCCCGATGTTTTTCAGATACAGTTTGATGCTTCATTTTCTCTCGCATTCTCTTTGGTCCCTTCTTCTCTCATTTTCATATCGATATTATATTTTATTTCATCCATCTCCACAAAGAATCACAATTGTTTTGATACTTTTTCTAGTTTATTCCCCGTCTCTTCTTCAATGGATCTCATTTCTTTGGGCTCAAGATGAACCTGCTGAAATTGTAGAAATTCTTCATGCGAAGTTCCCTAATTATACTTTGGAAGGACAAGTTGTAACTGGGACCAAAAACATCTTCTGTTTCAGTGCGTTGTATACTATTTTACATATGACATTACCAATTACTCCAGTTTATATCTGTATTCTGATTTTGAGAAATCGAATTATTGCTAGATTATCTTTCCAAGGAGTGAATATGACAAAAAACACGAAGAATCTACATACACAATTGCTCATGGTAAATAACAATATGCAAAATTAGGTGAAATTGAGTTTTTGAAACTTTCAGGCTCTAACATATCAAGCGATAATCCCAGGTTTCTATTTGTTCAGTGTTGGTTCTTATGCTCTCGGTCAATTTGGAATCTACAATCATCCAGCTCTTGAATATTTCACATTTTCTTCATTTCTTTTCATTCCATTTTTATCTCCACTTGCTTCTTTTATTTTTGTAACCCCTTACCGTAATTTCATTCTTCGCAAAGTTCATAAGAATTCGATCATGGATTTTTCTTCCACGCCACAAAACCCAACTAGTCTCGCCTACATTGGATAACTACTCCTCAGTTTTAAAGGAAATTCATAAATAAAAGATGTCAATTTCTATTGTGTTTTTTTTTAGAATAACCGTAGGAGTTTTTCGATTCTCGTAAAACTTTTAATTTTTGATCTTCTCACCTTTTGAATTACCTCATCATCATCTCATACTTTTTTTCAAATAAAAGATTTTGATGTTTCATTTTTTCGTTGAATACCCGTTAATCAAAGTCTAGTCTCACTTCCTCACAGAAATACATTTTATTTTTTTCAAAAAATGACAGAGTTTAGTGATATATTTTCCTATGCCCATACAATAATTGCGTTTTTCGGAATGTCTTTTAATTTGTTCCTAATTTATTTGGCAATTTTCCAAACTCCAAAAGTCATCAAATCGTATTCAACTTTAATCATAAATTTTGCGTTGACCGATTTCTTTGCTTGTTTTTTCGATTTTTTTGTTCAACAAAGAATTATTCCCGCCGGTAAGACTTTGGGATATATTTCGAATGGAGTTTGTAAACATTTTTCACCAGATGTTTGCTATGTGGGGTGAGTTCTAACAACTTGTTCGCAAGACCCTCGATGTTTTTCAGATACAGTTTGATGCTTCATTTTCTATCGCATTCCCTTTGGTCCCTTCTTCTCTCATTTTCCTATAGATATTATATTTTATTCCGCCCAGCACCGGATAGAATCACAATAATTTCTTTACTTCTACTCATCTATTTCCCTTCCTTTTTTCAATGGATCTCATTACTTTGGGCACAAGATGAACCATCAGAAATTGTGAAGATTCTTCATGTGAGATTTCCAAATTACAATCTAGATGGTTATACTGTAACTGGAACAAAGAACATCTTCTGTTTCAGTGCTTTGTATACTATTTTACATATGACACTACCAATTACTCCTGTTTATATTTGTATTTTGATTTTGAGAAATCGAATTGTGGCTAGATTATCTTTCCAAGGAGTGAGTATGACGAAAAACACGAAGAATTTACATAAACAATTGCTCATGGTGAGTAAAACATACAATATAGTCATAGCGAAGCTCTATTTTTTCAGGCACTAACTTTCCAAGCAATAATTCCAGGTTTCTATTTGTTCAGTGTTGGTTCTTACGCTCTTGGTCAATTTGGAATCTACAATCATCCAGCTCTTGAATATTTCACATTTTCTTCATTTCTTTTCATTCCATTTTTATCTCCACTTGCCTCTTTTATTTTTGTCACTCCTTACCGTAATTTCATTCTTCGTAGAGGTCATAAGAGTTCTAGAATTGATATGTCATCAACACAACCACAAAATACAACAACAAGTCTAGCATATATCGGATAACTTCTTTGATTTGAATAAAGAACATGGACTACTAAATACATAAGATGACTTAGAAGATTACCGTATTACGGATTAGCTTTCCTTATTATTGTTGCTCTAAATGTGGCTATTGTGTTGAATATAAAATGTAGCTTGCCAAAATGTATAAAAGGAGGGCTTGAATGTGCTTATTCAACACATTTATTGTGAGCAATGGTTGAATTCCCTGATATTTTTTCCTATGCACATTCAATTATTGCATTCATGGGAATGTCATTCAATATTCTGTTGATTTATTTGGCATTATTCAAAACTCCGCGAGTTATCCGATCTTATACAACTTTGATTATCAATTTTGCGTTGACCGATTTTTTTGCGTGCTTTTTCGATTTTTTTGTTCAACAAAGAATTATTCCCGCCGGTAAGACATTGGGATATATTTCAAATGGTTTCTGCAAATATCTTTCACCTGAAGCCTGTTATGTTGGGTAGGTTAATTTGTAGGCTGTAAATCACCCAAATGTGTTTTTCAGATACAGTTTGATGCTTCATTTTCTCTCTCATTCCCTTTGGTCCCTCCTTCTCTCATTTTCATATCGATATTATATTTTATTCCGTCCAGCACCAGAGAGAATAACAATTGTTCTTGTACTTCTCCTAGTTTATTCACCCTCCCTTCTTCAATGGATCTCATTTCTCTGGGCTCAAGATGAACCTTCTGAAATTGCTGAAATCCTTCATGTCAGATTCCCAAATTACACTTTAGAAGGGCATGTTGTAACTGGTACCAAGAATATTCTTTCATTCAGTGCTTTGTATACAATTCTTCATATGACTGTGCCAATTACTCCGGTCTATATTTGTATTCTGATTTTGCGTCGAAAAATTATCAATCGATTGTCGTTTCAAGGAGTGAATGTTACAAAAGATACCAAGAACTTGCATGCACAATTATTAATGGTTAGTAATTTTTGAGCTTTTTGCTCTTGATTTTTCTGAATAAGTTAAACAGAGAAGCCATAGAACTGGGGAAATTGAATTACATTCGTGTAATTGTTTCAGGCGCTGACATATCAAGCAATAATCCCAGGTTTCTATTTGTTCAGTGTTGGTTCTTATGCTCTCGGTCAATTTGGAATCTACAATCATCCAGCTCTTGAATATTTCACATTTTCTTCATTTCTTTTCATTCCATTTTTATCTCCTCTTGCTTCTTTTATTTTTGTAACCCCTTACCGTAATTTCATTCTTCGCAAAGTTCATAAGAGTTCATCAAAAACTGATGTTTCATCAACACAACCACATAATGATCAAACTATTGCGTATATTGGATAAGAATGAATTGTTTATTTTTGAATCGGTGTGAAATAAAACTTTAAAAGTGCATAAATTCCGGCGGATTAACTTATGTACTCGTTTGTGTACTTCTTACGATCAAGACTAATGAATTAAAATATAAGGGATTTAGGATGAAACAGAGTTCGCTCAAAGAATATTTTTAGGAACATTCACAAATTATTAACAAAAAATAATAGTTACGACGGAACAATTTTATAAAATTTGTCTAGAACAAACTTGAACACCTCAGGAGATTGAAACTTTTTGGATCATGTTCTGGGCGCCGAATAAAAAGTGTTCGCACACACCTGGACTCAGCGGCAATATAAAATTGAATAAGTGTCTAACCGCCTTCAACGTCACAAGTCATTTGATCATCTGAATGGTTTATTTTTTTGATCTCCTGAATAATTTTTGTTGGCCGAATAATTCATTTATCTATTCACTTTTCATTTATTTACCTCCAGACGAAAAATTATATATTTTTCTTCTAAAGCACACAAGTATTTTCGGCCAACTCGTTCATTTTCCATAATAACATATCGCATTTTCTCGTACTTTTTGTATGCCTCAATTTGATTTTCAAAAAAAAAACAAAATAACTTCATTTTTTGAGAAAATCATGTTCGATGTCTTGTTGGTTTTTTCAATTGTTCACTCAACAATCGCAATCATTGGCATGATTTTCAATTCGGTTCTGATTTATTTGGCCTTATTCAAAACTCCCCAAGTTATTCGATCTTATACAACGCTGATTGTTAATTTTGCGTTGACTGATTTTTTCGCGTGTTTTTTCGATTATTTTGTGCAACAAAGAATCATTCCGGTGGGATGGAGTTTAAGTTATGTTTCAAGTGGACCTTGCAAATTTATTTCTTCTAACGCGTGTTATGTTGGGTATGTTTTTGGGAGAAATTCAATTATCGCTGATCAAAATTTCTAGGAGCGTTTTACTAATCTAATTGGCCAAAAAAAAAACTTCTAGCGATTTCTGAAAAGATTTTATAAAAGTTGAACTTTGATATATGTTCCCAAATAGATAAATAAGTAGAATCTAGTCTTAATCAAAGACTAAAAATTGAGCTTGCTCCTAAGCGATTTCTGAGAACGGATTAGTGAAGAATAAATACCTAAAATCAAATATTAATCCTTATTATATTATAGATACAGTCTAATGCTTCACTTTTTTGCTCATTCTTTGTGGTCTCTTCTTCTATCTTTCTCATATCGTTATTATATTCTTTTTTATCCAGCTCCTCGAAAATTAACCCTCATTGTAATAGTTATCCTAATTTATCAACCCTCACTTCTTCAATGGATTAGCTTTCTTTGGGCTCAAGATGACACCAAAGATGTTCGAGCTGGTTTACATAAACAATTTCCGAATTATACATTTCATGAAGATCAAATTGTCACTGGAACTCTTGATATTCGAAGTTTCAGTGCAATGTACACAATTTTACATATGACATTACCAGTGTCTCCAGTTTATGCGTGTATTTTAATTTTGAGAAATCGAATTATTAAAAGATTATCCGAACAAACGAGTAGTCTATCACAAAAAACAAAGAAATTACACAAACAATTATTGATGGTAAGAAATTCCGAGAGAGGATACACACAATTTCTGAAATTGTTTCAGGCTTTATCCTACCAAGCTCTTCTTCCCGGATTTTTTGTAATCGCCGTATCTTCTTATGCTTTAGGCCAATTGGATATTTATCATCATCCCTTCTTCGAATACCTCACATTTTCCTCAATTGTATTCATTCCATTTTTATCTCCAGTTTCCTCATTCATTTTCGTCACTCCTTATCGTCAATTCCTAGCTGGTCTCTTTTTCAAAGTCACCAAAGTGAAGCCTTCTTATACTCAAAATAATTCGACATCTTTTCATACGGCAAGTGCAGTCACATATCGAAGAAGTACTGTGGATTTTGGATGAAAATGTTTCTCTTTATTTTTTTTGTGCAATAAAAAATTTTCAATAGAAATAGATGTTTTTGAACAAAAATACACAGTTAATTTTTGATAATTCAGCTGATTGTTAGAGCTTGAGTCTGAACTAAAAGTTATTTTCGAGCGACGCGGGAAACTTATTGGCTCAGAATGTTGCTTCAAGGGAAACCAAAATAATTGCCTAACCGTCTTCAACGTCAGGCGTCAGTTGATCATTCGAATGGTTTATTTTTGATCTCCTGGATGATTTTTGATGGCCGATTAATTCATTCGCCTATTCACTGTGTATTTGTTAAGATACCTCCAGACAAAAAGTTATATATTATCTAAACAATAAAGCACATATATTTGCGGCCAATTCGTCCATCTTTCATAATGTTAAAACCGGCTATCAGCTTGTAGAAACCGATAGACCGATTTTAGGGGTTGAAACCTTAGAGGTTTCGGTCTTTTCCACTAAAAGTTCCCAAAGAGGAACTTTCGGCGGGTTGTTGCATTGTTAGTAAAGCTTTTTAGGCTTCCAATGACTTTTTCCCTCTTTGGAAGGATCCTAGAGGTTGTCTCTCTCCAGAAACGAGAATTAATTCTCATTTCAAAGGCTCTTTGTTGCGAAACCGAGATAATGATCTCGATTATCGCCACCAAACCTCGAAGCGCAGTTGCCTACGCTTCAGAGAGTGAACTCATGAAGATAAACACGCTTCACAACCACTTTTTGACGAGAAACGGTTGCCCGAATCTCCCCACAATGGCCGCGAACCGCGGATATTTCCACGACTTCATGACAATTCTCTAAAGAGTCGCGGTGTGCCGCAACCAGAGAATTTTCCAGAAAACGGGATATTTCCACGTTTTCCGGTGTATTTCCAAGCAGATCCTCTAGAGGATCGTTTTGGTGAAAAGTGTGAGAGAGAGAGAAGAAGCGAGTCAAGTGAAACGAGAAATACAAGGGAATTATTAGTATAATTTTTATGTGCTTTTCTAAAAAGCGCAAAAAGAAAACAAAAAATAATAAAATTACATAAAAATGGGGGAAAGATGGTATTTTGGGGGCGATCTGGGTCAGAAGGGTTAGCAGACGCCTAAGATAGGCCACGCTGGTCCTTCTGGTGCAAACCCGCAGCGATTCCCCGAACCCAAGCCCCAAAAACAAAACCGACGTTTCGGTAAGGCCTAAAAACTAACACTGAATTGTCAGCGTCTGCAAGACGCCATCCTTGCAGCGTGTTTTTCCTTCCCGCTCGCGCCGCCCGCCAATTCAAACGAACAATTTTATACCGTAGTTGTCGCGGCGAGACACACAAAAAGTTTGTGTGTGTGTGTTCCTTTGAAGAGAAGAGAAGTACGGTTGGTATTTTTGTTCGTTTTTCATCGGGGTTTTGCGGACAAAAGAAAGCGAGATAACGGTAGGATGGAGGCAAATGGTGTTGGAAGAAGTATTGTGGATTTCCACGCATTCCTAATAGAAGTTTTGGGTTTAAATGAATAGAATTCATTTTGCAAAAATTGCAAGAATTGCAAGATTTTTGACATTCCCACCAAACACATAGATTTCCGAAGCGGTTTGAAATTGGTATGGGTAGCTGTTCCATCTTTTGAGTAAGTACTGGGGGGTAGGGGAAAAACATATACAAGAAATGAAAAAGAATCGTGGGGAAAAGATCTCAAGGAGAAAAATAAGATGGTGAAAATATGGGGGAAAAAGAGGGGAAAAAATGAAGGGAAAAGATTTGTAAAAAATTTAGAAAAACTTGAATTGTGCCAACGTGGTTTTGATGTTTTTGGTGAATGATGTTTTGACTGAATTTTGATATTGAGTAGATCTTTTGGTGTCGAAGTCGAATTTTGATGGGGTAGGGGTGCCCCATTTTTTCCACATGACGATCTTCTGGATCCATTCTCAAAATATTTGTATCTTCTGGTTTACTGAAGGTTTCCAGTGAAGTTTCCACATGTTTTGGTTTTTAAAATCGGCTCCAAACTGTTTGCATTGAATGGAATGCATTGATTTGTGTTGCCAGTTTCCAAGGGTACAATTTCGGCTTTTTCCGAAAATTGAGATTTGACTTTCAGCTGATGTTTCGAGGAAAAGGAGAACTTTTGGTTTCCAAATGTTTCCGATTTTGCAAAAAGTGCAACTTTTTGACCCTCCCACCACACGGAGAATTCCAACGACGATTGAAAATCGAAGATTTTCCTGGTTTTTGATCTTCCAGGTTTGCAAAGAATCCAGTGAGAGTTGTGTGTATTTGTGGGGAGAAGTCACTTCTTTTGGTCCAAAATTTTCCAAGATTTGTGTTTATTCCAGCGAAATTCCTTTTCGCAGTTTCCACTACTTTGGAGTTGGTTCATTTTCCAACCAGTAGCTTTTCCACGTCTAGGTTTTCAAAGAATTGATTAGCTGGGCCGAGGCTTGGCATTGGAGAGTTCCATTGATGTGTGGCAAATCCAAAAGTAGGAATAATATCCGAGTTTTTCCGATTTTTCGTGAAGTCCGATGGTGTTGTTTTTTCCATAATAAGAATCTGGTAGAGTTCCAGACTTCCATCATTTTCCAGGTTCACAGTGAACTGGTAATTGTTTGTTCAAGATTTGTGTCAAGATTCCAATAAATTTTCCAATAAATTTTGATTTTCCTGCCATTTGAGAAAACGTGCAAAAATTTCCTTTGAGATTTCTGGAGCGGCAATGAGTCGAAATACCAGTTCCTTCAGGTAATTTGCTTCCGAGTTTGTTGTCTGGCCAATTTTGTTTGGATAATCCAATGAAATTGATACTGATGCAGTTAGTTTTTGGCTGAGCCAAGCGTTGTGAGTTTTTGACATTTTGATTTAGGATTAAGATCCACCGCCATTTCGAAGATGTCAGCGGGAAAGTTTTGAATTTCTTCCCAATTCCGGTGAGTATCAATTTGTTGTAATGATTTCCGGTGGGGTTTTATGATTGTTCCGGGATTTGTGATCCGGTAATCCATGAGGTGAGAAATAGCAGAGATGTGGTGTCTTTTTGCTCCCTGTTGAGAACAAAAAGGGTGTTCATTGTTGCTCAGGTTTATGGATTCTACCACAACCACATATTTTTCCCGTGCAATCCTCCATCCTATGTATTTCCATGCAGATTTTACAGAACCATTTCTGCTTCTTCCTTTTGTTCAGATTTTGCGATTGATTCTCCACCACTGATTCAACTGACTACTTATTGATCCAATAATCAATTTTGGCGTTCCAAAAGTGTTTTTCAGAGAAAAATTCTCAATTTCCAATCCGGTGAAGAAGAATCTTGCAGCGAGAGCATTACTGCTTCACTGCATTCAATCAATTATCCAGCTGGATCTCGAATCTTCCAAGAATTATGGATTGAGCGGTAAATTCCGCTAGTAGTGGGTTTTTGAACTTCTTTGATCACGATGGTGATTTCCATTTCCACTTGAAGTTCTTGTTCATACAATCTGCTCCAAAATAAGTGCTTCATGAACTTTCCATTTGCCACAAATAGTTGCGGCTAGTTGGGATGTCTGTGGATTTGGGGTGATTTGAAGTGGCGATGAGTTCCAATTCCGAGAATACGGTGATGTCCAAATGGGTTGGAGAATCTCTCTGAATTCCTGATTTTCCAGAGTCATTTGAGGTTCCGGCTTGATTTGCGACTTCTGTGGCATTGACCATTTGTAGTATCCCAATCAATGAGTCTTCCGATGAAGCCTTGTTTGATGTTCTTTAGGATCTTTGAGATCCACCGCGATTTGTTGGATATCAGCGGTCAATTTTTTCGGATTTGTTTCCAATTCCGGTTAGTATCCGGTTTTGGTGAGTTTAGCTTCGAGCTAATGATTGGTGAGCGAGTTTTGAGCTCAATTTGAGCAAGCATGAGTTGGCTGTTGATTTGAGCCGATAAAACTGGATGAGTGAAGTTGCGGGTTCCGCCGTGGAGTTGATGTTGAATCAGAAATAATTGTGATGGGTTGAGAAGTAGATTTATTATCAGGTTTGGCAGGAGGTGAATTGATTGCAAGCCAGATGGTATATTAATCACACAAAGAAGGTTGACGTGTTCTACCACAACACTTACTTTCCAGGTGCAATTCCTTCCATCTTGTGCAAATGTTACAGAGCCCCTTTTCCTTGATAATTTCCAGCTCCTGACCATTTTCCAATATTCAATCGATGTATGGGTGTTCCAACGGATTCTCAATATCCAAAAAATGTTGTTTTGGTTTTTGTGATCCATAACACGACTATGTCCTCCATTTTCAGCTGCTTTTTGCTAATACTGGTTTGACTTCCAGTTTCCAGATCGTTGATTTCGGATTTTCCGAAGATTTTGGCTTTTGTTCGTTGCGAACTTGTTCCAATTCCGAGATTCAAGCTAGCTAGGCCACCGAATCTGGAAAATTCTTGTATTTGATGACCCCAGTGGTCCAAGAATTTGCGATTCATCCATGGAGATCCAAGTATCATTCCAATTCTTTTTTGAACGGTTTAGGTTCCGTTTTTTGAATTTTGCGACCACCTTCGGTGCATTCCATTTTAGATGAGTAGATGCCAGGCATCTTTAACGACTTGGTCGTTGTTTCCATTGGGTTTGCTGTGAGTGGACGTCTCCAACACGCATTTCCCATGGTTGCCCGATTGTCAGACTTCCAAATGTCCCGGAGATCCGGAAATTGTCGCGATTTCCGGTTGCCAGAACATTCGCGCTTGCCTGGTTGCCGAGCAAGTTAGTAGAATAGTACAAGAAGAATTGAATTTGTTGAACTGGTGTATTCTTCCAGTTCAACCCAAAGACGAAGAAGTCGTGTCCTTGAAATTTTAGACTGGTATGTTTTCCAGCTTTTGTTAGTGTCTTGAAGGAATTCCTCCAAGTTTTGATGGTGAAATGTCCAAATTCTACGGCGATGTGTGATTTTTCCAGTATTCTCGGTAAATCAAGACTTTTTGGTTGTAGAATTGGCCATTTTGGGTGGTTGTTGTGGTTCAGTGGCATTTTGATGGTTTCTCAATCCATTTTCCTCAAATTTCCCATCAATTTCGGTCTTTGTTGTCGATAAACTTGGCCGAGTTCACCTCCATTTTGTGATGGTTTCCAACTCAATTATACGTTTTGAGTGGTCTTTTGAAGAAAGCTGGGAGTTTGAATCCATTTCCGATTGCGTTCCAATACTCCTCATTTTGAATTTCCTTAGCCTTTCTGGCACCTCTCCTCATATCGGCTCAAAAAACTCGCCGCGAAGGCAAATTTTTCCATTCCAAACATGGTAAGCGATGCAAAAGCTGGTTCTTGAATTTTCCAAACTTTCATGTATCATGCGGGATATTGGACTGCTAATCCACCTCAAGTTCTGGCAATTCCAAAACTAAACTGGTGAAAAGTCCCCCACTGACACCTGGAGATCCGGTTTTCCAGAGTTTTTCCTCAACGAGTTGATTTATGCCAACTCCTAATACCCCCAAAGAGAGTATGCGAGTTGGAATCGCATCATCGAGGTTATGGAACGCAAACCGACATAGTTTGGTCAGATGCACCATGTTAAAACCGGCTATCAGCTTGTAGAAACCGATAGACCGATTTTAGGGGTTGAAACCTTAGAGGTTTCGGTCTTTTCCACTAAAAGTTCCCAAAGAGGAACTTTCGGCGGGTTGTTGCATTGTTAGTAAAGCTTTTTAGGCTTCCAATGACTTTTTCCCTCTTTGGAAGGATCCTAGAGGTTGTCTCTCTCCAGAAACGAGAATTAATTCTCATTTCAAAGGCTCTTTGTTGCGAAACCGAGATAATGATCTCGATTATCGCCACCAAACCTCGAAGCGCAGTTGCCTACGCTTCAGAGAGTGAACTCATGAAGATAAACACGCTTCACAACCACTTTTTGACGAGAAACGGTTGCCCGAATCTCCCCACAATGGCCGCGAACCGCGGATATTTCCACGACTTCATGACAATTCTCTAAAGAGTCGCGGTGTGCCGCAACCAGAGAATTTTCCAGAAAACGGGATATTTCCACGTTTTCCGGTGTATTTCCAAGCAGATCCTCTAGAGGATCGTTTTGGTGAAAAGTGTGAGAGAGAGAGAAGAAGCGAGTCAAGTGAAACGAGAAATACAAGGGAATTATTAGTATAATTTTTATGTGCTTTTCTAAAAAGCGCAAAAAGAAAACAAAAAATAATAAAATTACATAAAAATGGGGGAAAGATGGTATTTTGGGGGCGATCTGGGTCAGAAGGGTTAGCAGACGCCTAAGATAGGCCACGCTGGTCCTTCTGGTGCAAACCCGCAGCGATTCCCCGAACCCAAGCCCCAAAAACAAAACCGACGTTTCGGTAAGGCCTAAAAACTAACACTGAATTGTCAGCGTCTGCAAGACGCCATCCTTGCAGCGTGTTTTTCCTTCCCGCTCGCGCCGCCCGCCAATTCAAACGAACAATTTTATACCGTAGTTGTCGCGGCGAGACACACAAAAAGTTTGTGTGTGTGTGTTCCTTTGAAGAGAAGAGAAGTACGGTTGGTATTTTTGTTCGTTTTTCATCGGGGTTTTGCGGACAAAAGAAAGCGAGATAACGGTAGGATGGAGGCAAATGGTGTTGGAAGAAGTATTGTGGATTTCCACGCATTCCTAATAGAAGTTTTGGGTTTAAATGAATAGAATTCATTTTGCAAAAATTGCAAGAATTGCAAGATTTTTGACACATAATAACATATCGCATTCCTTGTTGTTTGCCTCAATTTGATTATTGACAACAGAAAACTCCATTTCTAGAGAGAATCATGTTCGATTTCTTATTCGCCTTTGCAATTGTTCATTCAACAATCGCAATCATTGGAATGCTTTTCAATACAATTTTGATCTACTTGGCAATGTTCAAAACTCCTCAAATCATTCGATCTTATGCAACTTTGATTATCAATTTTGCGTTGACCGACTTTTTTGCATGTTTTTTCGATTTTTTTGTTCAACAAAGAATTATTCCGGCAGGCAAGACATTGGGATATGTTTCAAATGGATTTTGCAAATATATATCTCCGAAAGCTTGTTATGTTGGGTATGCTTTTGGGTGAACATTTTCTTTTATTTCACCGTTTAGTGATCAAAATAACAAATATTAATCATTGAAATATTATAGATACAGTCTAATGCTTCATTTCTTTTCTCATTCTTTGTGGTCCCTTCTTCTTTCTTTCTCATATCGTTATTATATTCTATTTTATCCAGCTCCTCGAAGAATAACTCTTCTCATTATAGTTTTCCTAATTTATCAACCCTCACTTTTTCAATGGATCGTACTTCTTTGGTCTCAAGATGATACCAAAGATATTCTCGCTGTTTTAAAAGTTAAATTTCCGAATTACACATTTCATGAAGATCAGATGGTTACTGGAACTCTAGATATTCTTCGGTTTGGTACGATGTTTCCAATTTTGCATATGACACTTCCTGTCACTCCAGTTTATGCATGTATTTTGATTTTAAGAAATCGAATTATCAAAAGATTATCCGAACAAACGAGTAGTTTATCACAAAAAACAAAGAAATTGCACAAACAATTATTGATGGTAAGAAATTTCGAGAGGGGTAAAAACAAGTTTTTTTGGTTCTTTTGAAATTAACCTCACATATTTGAAAAAAAATCTGAAATTGTTTTAGGCTCTCTCATTTCAAGCCCTTCTCCCTGGTTTTTTCCTGATCGCCGTATCTTCTTATGCTGTGGGTCAATTAAATATTTATCATCATCCCTTTTTCGAATACCTCACATATTCCTCAAGTGTCTTTATTCCATTTCTAACACCAGTTTCCTCTTTCATATTTGTCACACCCTATCGCCAATTTCTAACAAGTATCTTCTCAAAAGATACCAAAGTCAAAGACACCAAACCTCAACAAAATAATTCGACATCTTTTCATACTGCAAGTGCTGTCTCATCAAAAAAGTAATGTAGATTTTGAATAATTTTTTTTTTCTGTTAGATAAAATAAATACAAAATAATATGAATTTTCACGTGACCTTCCACGTATTGCCACTTTGTCTTCCAACAAAAAAAAACAACATTTTCTCGGTCATTTTTGTCTTCCACGCATTCAAAAAACAATTTTTTAAATAAATTTTTTGCTGAAAAAAGAAACAAGCTAAATGAGACCTCTGTTCAAGTAAGTTTTACTCCCTTCTTGAGTGAAAATATATATTTTTTGATTAGAATTGCGTTAACCATGTTAATCGGTGCATCCATCGTGATTGCTTACAAAGTGTATGCGAAGAAATCGAGAAAACGAGGAGCAGCACGGAAAATCAGTCGAGCAAAACGAGCAGAATCTGCCGATGAGATTATGTCGCCAAGTTCGGAGATCTCGCAGGTTAGTTTACTCATAGAACAATGTTGGGTTAAAAATTTTCACATGGTCTGCACTCCTATTTTTCCTGCTACAAATCAATTTTTCTTTAATTTCAGAACCCTCTGCACATCTCTGGCTCGGAAAAAGTTCGCCTCGACAACAAGCTGGGCAAATTGCGCGGTCGAAAATCGGACAGCGAAATCCGCGAAATCGAACAACAAAATGTGGATTTCCAAAATCATCAACTCATTGTAGCATCAAAAAATGACAAGGCTACTTCTTCAACTTTAGCCTCAGAAACAGGATCAACAACAACATCAGGATTGACAGTTTCATCAATCTCCAACTCGTCGATGGCTTCTTCTTCAGCTCCATCTTCAGCCTCAGCTTCGGCTTCAGGATCTTCAGATTTCCAACTTCCGTCACAAGATTCGGGTGTCAGAATTGCGGAGACATTCAATGTTGTTGATCCAGAATCAAATAAAACTGAACCAAGCACAATTATCACTACAAGCACAAGTTCAAATTTGGGAACATCAAAAAGTGAATGAAAAATTGAAGAAGAATTATTATGGGTTTTATACAGATATTTTTTTTAGATAAATAAAGTTTTGTATTTTTATTGAAAATCAATTTGAAAGTTCAACCGTAAAAATGAACATTTTAATTCGCGGGAAGCGCAACACACTTCGTTGCGAGACCTCATCAAAAAAACATGTGCTCCTTGATTTTGAAATTCACAAATTTCTAAGTATCAACACAATTTTCTTCGGGAGCCACACGTTTTTCATCTCGACAAAAACAAAAATCAAGCACGGCATTTCGATAATTTGAAATAAAAATGATAGTTGGAATTGGATCAATTGCTGGATAAATTGAATAAACTGACATTGAGATCTCGCTGAATGTATTTATATCAATATCAAGAATCGGGAGAAAATATGCGGCGCCCATTGGGATGAAAACACAAACCACCGGAAGGCAGGTCTGGAAATATGTTTGTTTGTTTGTTTGTTTTTGGATTGGACCATCTTTTTCGTTTTGAGACACATTTTGAGTCGGCCAAGTTTTTTCCTAGACATTCTTCCCAACTTTTGTTTTCTAAAAATGTATGGAATGTCTCACATTTTCCCACAATCTTTTCCCTATTTTTTTGTATAAAAGTTGTCCGGTAAATTTTCAAAAATTAAACAAAAAATGAATTTGTTCTACATTTTGGTTGTATTTCTTTTGGTCGCTAGAGTTTCAGCAATCAAAAAATGTGCACAAATGATAGCGAGTGAATTGAAACAGGAAAGAACTTGGATGCATTATAGAAAAACTGGAAGATGGGAACCTAATCTTTTCTAATTATTTTGAAATGTGGAAAAAATAATGAAGATTTTTGAATGGAATATTTATTTTGTAGGAAATTTTTTTGGGATAAGATCAGAAGAAGAGTCCAAATTTTTGTTAAAACCGGACCATATTCGTTTTTTTCCCACCTGAACCATCAACGCTTTATAGAATTGTTTCTGCAAATTCCTGGTATAATCCGATTCTCCGGCCAAAATCAATTCACCGATTGCAAAATAAATTTTGATTCCATAAAATACGACAATTATTCCAGAAGTTACCATAATAACAGCAATAAAAGAAGAAGCTAATAAATATTTGAGATTTTCAAAATTATCAGAAGAATCAAGACTAGTTACATGAACTGCGATATATTCGATGGATTCCATTGAAATCCCAAATTTTGATTCAATTGGGCCTCTGAAATATTTTGTTCAAAAGTTCCAGCTGTTCATTTTTTAATACCTTATAAACTCTGTTGTTATGTCATTTGGCCCAAAGAGAAAACCAACAATTATTCCCCAAACTGCACCAACTAAAATAGGAACAAAGAGCCAGAAAATCAAATGAAATCCTTTAAAATATTCCAATTTTCGACTTTTTCTAATACTCCAATATCGAAAAACAAAATGAATTGGGAAAATGGGCAATATTGCTGCACAACTTCCAGCAGCAAAACTAAGAGCTCCGATTCCGAAAAACACATTTTCATCCGATAAAAGTACAGTACACATTTCAATTGATATTGTATACGGTTGAAGTGTTATTTCAGTAATTGATAAAATAATCGATAAAATTGAGAAATATATCATAAGTATTTTATAGGTTCCCATTGATTGAAGAAATCAAATTTAAATTTTAAAAAATTCGGATTTTTAATTGAACTCTAAAAAAAAGACTGATCAATGCAACTCTTGAAAATTCGATAAATTAAGAGATTTGGTCTCTTAATTTATAACTTTCAAGAATTCAAATCAATCTCGTTTTTGAATCCAAAAAAAACCCCAATTTTTTAAAAATAACTAATATCAAACTAAAAATCTCACTAATTTCAACCCAATCCTACATGAACACAAGAAGTCAAATTTATACTATTGAAAAATTGGATTTTTAATTGAACTCTAAAAAAAAGACTGATTAATGCAACTCTTGAAAATTCGATAAATTAAGAGATTTGGTCTCTTAATTTATAACTTTCAAGAATTCAAATCAATCTCGTTTTTGAATCCAAAAAAACCCCAATTTTTTAAAAATAACTAATATCAAACTAAAAATCTCACTAATTTCTACCCAATCCTACATGAAAACAAGAAGTCAAATTTATACTATTGAAAAATTGGATTTTTAATTGAACTCTAAAAAAAAGACTGATTAATGCAACTCTTGAAAATTCGATAAATTAAGAGATTTGGTCTCTTAATTTATAACTTTCAAGAATTCAAATCAATCTCGTTTTTGAATCCAAAAAAACCCCAATTTTTTAAAAATAACTAATATCAAACTAAAAATCTCACTGATTTCTATCCAATCCTACAAACAAGAATTCAAATTTATACTATTGAAAAATTGGATTTTTAATTGAACTCTAAAAAAAGACTGATTAATGCAACTCTTGAAAATTCGATAAATTAAGAGATTTGGTCTCTTAATTTATAACTTTCAAGAATTCAAATCAATCTCGTTTTTGAATCCAAAAAACCCCCAATTTTTTAAAAACAACTAATATCAAACTAAAAATCTCACTAATTTCAACCCAATCCTACATGAACACAAGAAGTCAAATTTATACTATTGAAAAATTGGATTTTTAATTGAACTCTAAAAAAAAGACTGATTAATGCAACTCTTGAAAATTCGATAAATTAAGAGATTTGGTCTCTTAATTTATAACTTTCAAGAATTCAAATCAATCTCGTTTTTGAATCCAAAAAAAACCCCAATTTTTTAAAAATAACTAATATCAAACTAAAAATCTCACTAATTTCAACCCAATCCTACATGAACACAAGAAGTCAAATTTATACTATTGAAAAATTGGATTTTTAATTGAACTCTAAAAAAAAGACTGATTAATGCAACTCTTGAAAATTCGATAAATTAAGAGATTTGGTCTCTTAATTTATAACTTTCAAGAATTCAAATCAATCTCGTTTTTGAATCCAAAAAAAACCCCAATTTTTTAAAAATAACTAATATCAAACTAAAAATCTCACTAATTTCAACCCAATCCTACATGAACACAAGAAGTCAAATTTATACTATTGAAAAATTGGATTTTTAATTGAACTCTAAAAAAAAGACTGATCAATGCAACTCTTGAAAATTCGATAAATTAAGAGATTTGGTCTCTTAATTTATAACTTTCAAGAATTCAAATCAATCTCGTTTTTGAATCCAAAAAAAACCCCAATTTTTTAAAAATAACTAATATCAAACTAAAAATCTCACTAATTTCAACCCAATCCTACATGAACACAAGAAGTCAAATTTATACTATTGAAAAATTGGATTTTTAATTGAACTCTAAAAAAAAGACTGATTAATGCAACTCTTGAAAATTCGATAAATTAAGAGATTTGGTCTCTTAATTTATAACTTTCAAGAATTCAAATCAATCTCGTTTTTGAATCCAAAAAAAACCCCAATTTTTTAAAAATAACTAATATCAAACTAAAAATCTCACTAATTTCAACCCAATCCTACATGAACACAAGAAGTCAAATTTATACTATTGAAAAATTGGATTTTTAATTGAACTCTAAAAAAAAGACTGATTAATGCAACTCTTGAAAATTCGATAAATTAAGAGATTTGGTCTCTTAATTTATAACTTTCAAGAATTCAAATCAATCTCGTTTTTGAATCCAAAAAAACCCCAATTTTTTAAAAATAACTAATATCAAACTAAAAATCTCACTAATTTCAACCCAATCCTACATGAACACAAGAAGTCAAATTTATACTATTGAAAAATTGGATTTTTAATTGAACTCTAAAAAAAGACTGATTAATGCAACTCTTGAAAATTCGATAAATTAAGAGATTTGGTCTCTTAATTTATAACTTTCAAGAATTCAAATCAATCTCGTTTTTGAATCCAAAAAAAACCCCAATTTTTTAAAAATAACTAATATCAAACTAAAAATCTCACTAATTTCAACCCAATCCTACATGAACACAAGAAGTCAAATTTATACTATTGAAAAATTGGATTTTTAATTGAACTCTAAAAAAAAGACTGATTAATGCAACTCTTGAAAATTCGATAAATTAAGAGATTTGGTCTCTTAATTTATAACTTTCAAGAATTCAAATCAATCTCGTTTTTGAATCCAAAAAAAACCCCAATTTTTTAAAAATAACTAATATCAAACTAAAAATCTCACTGATTTCTATCCAATCCTACAAACAAGAATTCAAATTTATACTATTGAAAAATTGGATTTTTAATTGAACTCTAAAAAAAAGACTGATTAATGCAACTCTTGAAAATTCGATAAATTAAGAGATTTGGTCTCTTAATTTATAACTTTCAAGAATTCAAATCAATCTCGTTTTTGAATCCAAAAAAAACCCCAATTTTTTAAAAATAACTAATATCAAACTAAAAATCTCACTAATTTCAACCCAATCCTACATGAACACAAGAAGTCAAATTTATACTATTGAAAAATTGGATTTTTAATTGAACTCTAAAAAAAAGACTGATTAATGCAACTCTTGAAAATTCGATAAATTAAGAGATTTGGTCTCTTAATTTATAACTTTCAAGAATTCAAATCAATCTCGTTTTTGAATCCAAAAAAAACCCCAATTTTTTAAAAATAACTAATATCAAACTAAAAATCTCACTAATTTCAACCCAATCCTACATGAACACAAGAAGTCAAATTTATACTATTGAAAAATTGGATTTTTAATTGAACTCTAAAAAAAAGACTGATTAATGCAACTCTTGAAAATTCGATAAATTAAGAGATTTGGTCTCTTAATTTATAACTTTCAAGAATTCAAATCAATCTCGTTTTTGAATCCAAAAAAAACCCCAATTTTTTAAAAATAACTAATATCAAACTAAAAATCTCACTAATTTCAACCCAATCCTACATGAACACAAGAAGTCAAATTTATACTATTGAAAAATTGGATTTTTAATTGAACTCTAAAAAAAAGACTGATTAATGCAACTCTTGAAAATTCGATAAATTAAGAAATTTGGTCTCTTAATTTATAACTTTCAAGATTTCAAATCAATCTCGTTTTTGAATCCAAAAAAAACCCCAATTTTTTAAAAATAACTAATATCAAACTAAAAATCTCACTGATTTCTATCCAATCCTACAAACAAGAATTCAAATTTATACTATTGAAAAATTGGATTTTTAATTGAACTCTAAAAAAAAGACTGATTAATGCAACTCTTGAAAATTCGATAAATTAAGAGATTTGGTCTCTTAATTTATAACTTTCAAGAATTCAAATCAATCTCGTTTTTGAATCCAAAAAAAACCCCAATTTTTTAAAAATAACTAATATCAAACTAAAAATCTCACTAATTTCAACCCAATCCTACATGAACACAAGAATTCAAATTTATACTATTGAAAAATTGGATTTTTAATTGAACTCTAAAAAAAAGACTGATTAATGCAACTCTTGAAAATTCGATAAATTAAGAGATTTGGTCTCTTAATTTATAACTTTCAAGAATTCAAATCAATCTCGTTTTTGAATCCAAAAAAAACCCCAATTTTTTAAAAATAACTAATATCAAACTAAAAATCTCACTAATTTCAACCCAATCCTACATGAACACAAGAAGTCAAATTTATACTATTGAAAAATTGGATTTTTAATTGAACTCTAAAAAAAGACTGATTAATGCAACTCTTGAAAATTCGATAAATTAAGAGATTTGGTCTCTTAATTTATAACTTTCAAGAATTCAAATCAATCTCGTTTTTGAATCCAAAAAAAACCCCAATTTTTTAAAAATAACTAATATCAAACTAAAAATCTCACTGATTTCTATCCAATCCTACAAACAAGAATTCAAATTTATACTATTGAAAAATTGGATTTTTAATTGAACTCTAAAAAAAAGACTGATTAATGCAACTCTTGAAAATTCGATAAATTAAGAGATTTGGTCTCTTAATTTATAACTTTCAAGAATTCAAATCAATCTCGTTTTTGAATCCAAAAAAAACCCCAATTTTTTAAAAATAACTAATATCAAACTAAAAATCTCACTGATTTCTATCCAATCCTACAAACAAGAATTCAAATTTATACTATTGAAAAATTGGATTTTTAATTGAACTCTAAAAAAAAGACTGATTAATGCAACTCTTGAAAATTCGATAAATTAAGAGATTTGGTCTCTTAATTTATAACTTTCAAGAATTCAAATCAATCTCGTTTTTGAATCCAAAAAAACCCCAATTTTTTAAAAATAACTAATATCAAACTAAAAATCTCACTGATTTCTATCCAATCCTACAAACAAGAATTCAAATTTATACTATTGAAAAATTGGATTTTTAATTGAACTCTAAAAAAAAGACTGATTAATGCAACTCTTGAAAATTCGATAAATTAAGAGATTTGGTCTCTTAATTTATAACTTTCAAGAATTCAAATCAATCTCGTTTTTGAATCCAAAAAAAACCCCAATTTTTTAAAAATAACTAATATCAAACTAAAAATCTCACTAATTTCAACCCAATCCTACATGAACACAAGAAGTCAAATTTATACTATTGAAAAATTGGATTTTTAATTGAACTCTAAAAAAAAGACTGATTAATGCAACTCTTGAAAATTCGATAAATTAAGAGATTTGGTCTCTTAATTTATAACTTTCAAGAATTCAAATCAATCTCGTTTTTGAATCCAAAAAAAACCCCAATTTTTTAAAAATAACTAATATCAAACTAAAAATCTCACTGATTTCTATCCAATCCTACAAACAAGAATTCAAATTTATACTATTGAAAAATTGGATTTTTAATTGAACTCTAAAAAAAAGACTGATTAATGCAACTCTTGAAAATTCGATAAATTAAGAGATTTGGTCTCTTAATTTATAACTTTCAAGAATTCAAATCAATCTCGTTTTTGAATCCAAAAAAAACCCCAATTTTTTAAAAATAACTAATATCAAACTAAAAATCTCACTAATTTCAACCCAATCCTACATGAACACAAGAAGTCAAATTTATACTATTGAAAAATTGGATTTTTAATTGAACTCTAAAAAAAAGACTGATTAATGCAACTCTTGAAAATTCGATAAATTAAGAGATTTGGTCTCTTAATTTATAACTTTCAAGAATTCAAATCAATCTCGTTTTTGAATCCAAAAAAAACCCCAATTTTTTAAAAATAACTAATATCAAACTAAAAATCTCACTGATTTCTATCCAATCCTACAAACAAGAATTCAAATTTATACTATTGAAAAATTGGATTTTTAATTGAACTCTAAAAAAAAGACTGATTAATGCAACTCTTGAAAATTCGATAAATTAAGAAATTTGGTCTCTTAATTTATAACTTTCAAGATTTCAAATCAATCTCGTTTTTGAATCCAAAAAAAACCCCAATTTTTTAAAAATAACTAATATCAAACTAAAAATCTCACTGATTTCTATCCAATCCTACAAACAAGAATTCAAATTTATACTATTGAAAAATTGGATTTTTAATTGAACTCTAAAAAAAAGACTGATTAATGCAACTCTTGAAAATTCGATAAATTAAGAGATTTGGTCTCTTAATTTATAACTTTCAAGATTTCAAATCAATCTTGTTATTGAATCCAAAAAAAAACCCAATTTTTTTAAAACAACTAATATCAAACTAAAAATTTCACTAATGTTTACCCAATCCTACATAAAAACAAGAAATCAAATTTAAATTTAAAAAAATTCGGATTTTTAATTGAACTCTAAAAAAAAGACTGATTAATGCAACTCTTGAAAATTCGATAAATTAAGAGATTTGGTCTCTTAATTTATAACTTTCAAGAATTCAAATCAATCTTGTTATTGAATCCAAAAAAAACCCAATTTTTTAAAAATAACTAATATCAAACTAAAAATCTCACTGATTTCTATCCAATCCTACAAACAAGAAGTCTTAGTTAATTGATGAAAATTTGAAAAAGATACTAAAAAGTTATTAATTTCTAAATTTTTTCGTTTTACGGGGTCCAACCCTAAAAAATAAACTAACTACAATGCATTTGTCCTCGTCCTCCGTTCTTGTTGTTGAACTTCGTGGCCATACTGGGCTGGTTGTCATCTTTCGAGTCACCGATCCATCACTGGCTACACTCGGAGGCTGCTCGACTTCATCCGGATGCGACTCGCGATCAGCAGCTTGGCATTGCACTGACAATTCTGAAAAAAGAACTTTGCTACCAATACATGGATAAATCTGTTGATTATGGGGAAACAAAAAAACTCACTCAAAAAACATTCATTATACAGTCCTACAAGTTGCTTAGCTGTCTCCCTGCGTAGAGAAGACTCCTTGTGGTCACGACTCGCGGCTGCAGCTTACGGAGGTGCAACAGCCGTTTACGATGTATTGGAGTGGAGCGGTCAGCTTGGCAGAGGCGATTGCGAAATTTGCAGGGGACGATTCAAGCAGACTGAGATGTGGCAACTCGGCAAACACTTGACATTTCTGCTCACGTGGTGGAGCAACATCAGCTTTCGGAGTCGGAACCGTTTCGGCAAGTGCTGTCGTTGTAGAGATTGTAGAAGATGTTGTTGAAGTCGACGCTGCCAACTTGAAACATCACAATGATTCGATCTTGAAAATGAGAAAATGTGGGAAAAACGTACTCTAACAAATAAATACATAACTCTAAAGCATTAATGTTTTTTCTAAGCCAAAAATCTTCAATCATCGCCTAATAATCTTCGATATCAGAGTAAATCTTATGCTCAAAGGTTTTCAGCCAAATTGCACATTTTTATTTGACTATCGGAGTAAATCCTACACGCCAAAAATGTTGCTGATAATGATTGAAAATTAATTAGCTTAAAATCCTACATTTCTTTAAATTTACAATTAAAGCCTAAATCATCTAGAAGTTTTAAAATATCTAGAAAACGTATCCTAATTTTAAATAAAAATTAAAAAAAAACGACCTGATAAATCGAATTCCGATTGAACGGCGGCTTCTGAAGACGACGATGGATTTGCGGCAGCTCGACATTCCAGGTTTTGAACAGCGGCTGAAGACTACGACGAATTGATGGCGTTGTATTGGAGTGGAGCAGTCAGCTTGGCAGAGGCGATTGCGAAATTTGCAGGGTACGATTCAAGCAGACTGAGACGTGGCAACTCGGCAAAAGCTTGACATCTCAGCTCACGTGGTGGAACAACAGCAACTTTCGGAGTCGGAACCGCTTTGGCAATCGCTGTCGTTGTGGAGATTGTGGAAGATGTTGTTGAAGTCGACGCTGCCAACTTGAAACATCACATTGATTCGATCTTGAAAATGAGAAAATGTGGGAAAAACGTATACTCTAACAAATAAATACATAACTCTAAAGCATTAATGTTTTTTCTAAGCCAAAAATCTTCAATCATCGCCTAATAATCTTCGATATCAGAGTAAATCTTATGCTCAAAGATCTTCAGCCAAATTGCACATTTTTATTTGACTATCGGAGTAAATCCTACACGCCAAAAATGTTGCTGATAATGATTGAAAATTATCTAGCTTAAAAACCAACATCAGATTTAAGCTAACTAACTAATAAAAATTGAAAAAACTACCTGGTAACTCGAATTGCGATTGAAATCCTATAGGCGGTGCAAAAATCTTCCATTTCCAGCTCGACTTGGCGGCTTCTGAAGACGACGATGATTTGCGGCTGCTCGGCATTGAAGGTGTTGAACAGCGACTGAAGATGAGGCGACGAATTGATAGCAATGATGTGTGTTGAAGTCAGCTTGACAGCGGCGATCTTGTGAAGATTGCAGGAGACGGTTGAAGAAGACTGAGAAGTAGAAAATCAGCAATGACAATTCTGGAAAAAAAAATGATTAGTATCGGAATTTTCAAGAAACCAGTCGATTGGGAGGAATCAAAAACGCATTACAAAAAAAACTTTATTATTTTAATGATGAGCGCGTGATGCGCTAGTGGCAAAACCTAGAAACAGTCCGATATGAGCCAGAAAAATGGAAAATTTCCAGCGTGCTGGAAATGTTTCCAAATTTTTGGCGAGCCAGACTTGTTTCCAAATTTGCCACTTGATGGTGATTATCCTGGCGATTCGAGCTTGAAAACGGAAAATTCTCAGTCAAAAGACCGAGAATCCCTTCAATACGAAATCACCAGGATCAGCGACTGAAGATGAAGCAATTTGAGGAGGCGATTTGACAGCAAATGCAGAACTGAAGCAGATGGACACGGTTGTCGTAGTTCCTGAAACAAAACAAACGAAAAAGCACAAAAATGGAGATAAATGAAAAAAACTCATCTGAATAATATCGATCCAATTCTTCGTGCAAAACAGCTTGACGTGGCAGATAGTGAAGACGTTGGCGGCTGAAGACGAGAGGTGGCTGAATGCAGAAGACGGCGACGGAAGACGGTGGCAGGCAGGCAGCAGGCAGGCAGCAAGAAGGCAGCAAGAAGACAGCAGGAATAGGTCTCCCGTAAGAAGAGAGAATGCCAACCAACGGCGAACGCTCGTCTTTTATACCCCAAACTAGACTATAGTCTAGCGAATTCAAAACTTCCCGCCGCCGCCCACAAAAAAATTAGATCAAAAAAATATTTTTGCACAACTTGCAACAAAATTTTTTTTAGGCTGGCGTATTTTCCGTCGTCGCTTAAAAAAAAAATTCTGTGTACCCAGGCGCCTGCAGGGCGCAATTATTTGAACAAAAAATTAAAGAGAATTTCACACCCGCGTTGCGGGAGACGAGATAAAAATTGTGTGCTCCTTTGATGAAGAGTACGGTAGGAGGATTTTTGGAGAGAAACAAAAAACTGAAAATTTTTTTCAAAAAAAAATTTCTCGAAATTAAAAAGATGACGTGTGTGACACTTCTATTCGTCTCGAGACTCAAACAAAAAACAATATTTGCGCCTTTAATCTCTCGTCAGTCTACAAAATTGGACAGGCGTGAAATCTTCTTTTTTTTTGATTTTTGGACGCCCCAAAAGAACTATTGTGAAAGAAGCAGAAGAAGCAGAGAGATCGCAAGAATACCTCCCAGGCGTAACAGTCTCCTTTTTTAAAACAAATATTTTTTCTCACGTCAAAAATTTTTCTTCGAGCATTTCTAAGCGAATTAATGGTCATTTAAAATTTCTTGTGTCAGAAATGGTCAAGTGGTTAGATCACGTGTTTTTTGTTCAGAAGGTCCAGGATCGGATCCTTTTGGACGTTCGCGAAGGTACGATTTTCGGAAAAAATGGGAAATGTCCAAAATTGCGACATTTGAAAATCCTGCTTCCATCGAGACACCACCCAACCGGGATTTTATTAAAAAGGTAGATTTGGGAGATTTTGTGATAATTAGATAAATTGCCAAGGAATTGGAGATAAATGAAAAAATTGAAGAAATTATTTGAATTCGAGATTTTAGCTCGTAGACCATTTGAACTTTTATAAACCAAAGTAAAAAAGAAAATGAAAATGAAAATGAAAAAACAATCAGAATAAGCATAATAAGGCGGTTATAAATTAATAATAAAATATTTCAGGAAAAGAAAAGTTCGGGTAAACAAAAGAACTTTTTTATTTTGAAGTAAATCACGTTGGATATTTTTGGGATAAAAATTAAATTTGTAAGGAGAGCAGGGGATAAAAATAATAATTTTATAAATTCCTCAACACTACCCTCAACTTTAAAAATTACAATTTGGTTTTTTCCAGATTCAAAACTTGGATTAGCCACTTCCAGAAGTTCAAAATTGAATATTGCAGTTTTCCCTCTCTCTCTCTCCCAATAAATCTCCCAAACTTCAAATTCTAGATCTTTCAAAAATCGAGTGTTTCAATGATACTCTCTTTTTTTAGAATCTCTCATTAATCAAAATCGACCTAATCCTGCCAATTGTTCCTTTTCGCTTAAGAAGTTTCAATAAAAAAGTGACAGGCGAGAAGTTTTTCGAGATAGATCAAAAACCCGATAAAATCCCGCCATCCGTGAAAAGCTTACAGTGTTTTTTGTTTTTTTTAAATAAACGTTTTGAAACTTTTTTTTCAGAATTACCCCTATTAACCTAAATACATTTCATTTCTTTTGAAGATTTTAGGGTTAATCCTTTTAAAAGTAGGCAGGCAGGCAGGCAATAGACCAAACCAGATACACATAATTGGATAAACGATTATACAAAATGAGATGGTGAGAAAGCCATCTTTTGAACTAATATCTCTCTATTTTCATTTCAATGTGATGCAAAAACCCGAATTTCATTCGGATAAACTGTAGTTTCATGATTTCAGAGGCAAAAACCTGCTTACATCAAGTCTTCCGTTCTGATCTTATCATTTATTATTTCGGGGTGTCACCTTTCCTCAATTGAATTATTGCCAAGAACTCAACAAAATACAAATATGCGTGAAGATATTCAATGTCTCCGTGGTTTGGCTATAATTTCAGTTGTATTATATCATTTATTTCCAAATATTTTACCAAATGGTTATCTTGGAGTTGATATATTTTTTGTGATTTCTGGATTTTTGATGTCACAAATATTATCAAAACAACAAGAAAATGGCCAGAATAAATTGATGAAAATAGTTGATTTTTATTATCGGCGAATGAAAAGAATATTACCAATCTATTATTTTGTTATATTTTTATCGACATTTTTGAAAATCTTTTATCAAGCTGATATTTGGTGGCCACAAAATGATGAATATTCAAAATATTCTTTGGAATTTCTAACAAATCATAAAATACTTCAAGATCAAACAAATTATTTCAATCAATATAATATTGATGTTGTTACTTCTCGTAATTTATTTCTTCATTGTTGGTCACTTTGTGTTGAAATACAATTTTATATTATTATTCCTTTTATTTTTATTGCAATTAATTTATTCGAAAATGTTGATTTCAAAAAAATCATAGTTATTGGAATATTTTTCGGATCTTATTCGATTACTTTTATTTCTGTCGATCCAAATTTCACATTCAATTTTATGCCGGCTCGAATTTGGCAGTTTTCAATTGGAATTTTGGCACAAATGTGGTTAAATGAATTGAGAAGCAGGGAGAAATGTGCAGAAGGTTAGTTTGAAAAAAGTGTAGATAGTACTATTTGCCAGTCCTCAGTTCAAACTACTTTATAAAGACCATGTTTTTTTTCAGAAAAATCGAGCATTGCTAATTCAAACACAGTAATTCAACTAAAAATAGTAATGCAATCTTCAATAATCCTAGTTTTTCTTCCAATTCATATCAATGAAAATATAATTCGATTAATTATTACATTAATTACTGGATTCATAATATTTGAAAACAACGAAAATATCAAATATCCATATTGGTTAATTTATATTGGAAATGCTTCTTATGTTATTTATCTTGTACATTGGCCAATTATTACTATGTTTTCATCAAATTTATCAACATTCACTGTTATTTGTAAGTGATATATGTTTTCCAACTTTAAAAAATTCCCTTTTTTCAGATCTCATCATAATAACTTCTATAATCTTACATCATATTTTCGAGAAAATTCTCTTACAAAACGGGAAAATCACAATAGTCCTAGTGACCGCTTTCATCCTAGCTTTAAATATTGGACTTCATTTAACTCTTAAATACAATCCACCTCAAAAATCATATCCAATTGAATACAATTCAACGATTATTGAAAACTTTGACAATTTACAAAAACGTATAAATTGGATGTCACCAGATTGTCAAAGTGTAAAGATTCCCGAATTTCCAAAAGGATTTTGGTTCAAATTTGGAAGATGTAAATTTGCAAATGGAAATGGAAAAAAGAAAATTATGGTTATTGGAAATAGTTATACAGTTAATTTAATTCAACCAATTAAAGAAGCTTTTGAGGGAAATTATTCAACATTTGAAATGGTTGGAATTACTTGTAAGTTATTTTTATTTGAATGAAGTTTCAAAATTAATTTTTCAGCCAATTTCGGAATTTTTTACAACGACGAAGATGATTCGGAGTTAAAGCTGACACTAACACGAAAATATGTGAAAGAAGTTAAACCAGATATTCTATTTATAATAACTCGTGTTTCGAAACAAGAAAAATCTCGAATTTTCGACCACAAAACTGATGACGTCATTTTGCAATACAACGACAATATTAAATTCTACGAGAATCTCGTTGACAAAATCTATATTCTTGGTGCATTTCCAGTCGTCACCCACAATTTTATCTATCAATTCATTGATAAATTAGAACTCGATGTTAGTCGAGACAAATTACATGATTTTCGAATTTCTGAAAATGATATGGAAGAAAGTATTAGATTCTCCAAAGATCGTTTCAATTCTATTCAATGTCGTAAATGTGAAATTATGGATATGACAAAAGTTTTTATGAGAAATAGCTATTTTTATGGATATGACGATGTAACTTTATTATCCTATTTCGATAATGATTTACATTTTACAAAGACCGGTTTGGATAAAATTCGACCATTTTTTGAAGAAATTGTGCAAAATATTACTTTAATTTAATTGATATGATTTTTGAAAGATATTTTAGTGTATGTACATATTGAAAGAATAAATGAATTTGTTTAATTAAAAGGGTGTATGTTTTTTCTGGTAGCTATTTCAGGTATCTTCCATCATGTTCAAGCTCATCTATAATTAACCACCACCCGTTCAATAGAACTGTTTTACACCGAAGATTATGAGCTACACTTTGCTTTGGGAATAAATGAACTTTTCTCGAAATATAACAGCCAGCTGCGATAATAATTGAATCTAATATAATTTTTTTGATTATAATTCAAAGTTAAAAAAAACTCGTAACTTTTATTTTATCCCAAAAAAATGTTGAAAGAATTGTTAGATTTTCTATCAACAGTATCCATTTTCATAAATATTTATTTTCTAATTTTAATTATTTTTTATTCTCCGAAGAAACTTGGAACTTATAAATATCTTATGATGTATTTCTCAATAAATTCAATAATTTTCTCGACTCTTGAAATAATTGTCAGACCAGTTTTAATATCACACGATGCTGGTTTTATAGTATTTTCAAATCGGAAAGACAGTAGTTTCAATAGAACTTTTGATTATTTTTTATTGAGTACTGTTTGTGGAATTTGTGGAACAACAATTACAATTACAGCAATCCAGTTTATTTTCAGATATTTCGCTATTGAAAGGTTTTCTCAGAAAAATTTGATAGATAATTAGATAATTTTATAGGAAAGGTAGACTTGATTATTTCAAAAAGCAATATTTATGGTTTTGGTTTTTGATTCCTCTGATGTCAGGAGTCGGTTGGATTGGACTTTGTCATTTTTTAGGAGAAGATGAGAGAACTACAGAATTATTCAGGTAGAACATTTAAACTGTTCAAATTTTCTTGAGAGTTTCAAACCTTGTTTCAGAGCCGACGTTTTCAAATATTACAACTTTGAAATGGAAGACGTTATTTATGTCGGTGCCTATTATTTCTACAATAATCGTCCAAATTGGTCAAACATAACTACAATGTTAATCCTCCAAACTATCTTAATCATATCCCTTCTAACAATAATTATTCTCTGCCTCAAAATCCACAGTAAAATCAAACAATTACGCGAAAATGAAGGCGAATCGGAATATTCCAAAAAACTTCAAAAACAATTCTACAAAGCATTGGTTTTTCAAACAATTCTTCCAATTTTTCTAATGCTCGTTCCTCTTAATTTATTCTTTTTTCTACCGATTACAGGAATTGATGTTACTTATTATAGTCAAATTGCTAATTTCACATGTGTTATTTATCCAGCACTTGATCCTCTTCCAAATATTCTAATAATTGATGAATATCGAAAAGCTTTTCTATCACATTTTTTGTTTTGGCGGAAAAATCGAATCGAACCAGCAAATCTGACAAATTTAGACACCAATAATAAATAATTAATTGTAAAATGTTCAATTCACTTTTTTTAAATAATGAAGGTTTACTGACTGGGTTGTTGATTCCACTACTATTCTAACATTTTCCAAATATGTCAGATATCTCTCATCGATCTCAGATTTATTTCTAGTCAACTTGGAAAATAGTGATGCAAATTGTGTACTCGAATTTATAAAAGCAAAAACCCACCCCTTCAATAACACTGTTTTACACCAAAGATTACAAGCTACAACTTACTTTTATGTTAGTACAAATAAACTTTTTGTCATCCACGACAATGATTGAATATAACGTAATTTTATTGGATTATTATTCAAAATGGAAAAAATCCAAAACTCTTATTTTTCTCCCAAAATAATGCTGAGAGAATCGTTGAACTTTCTATCAACGGCATCTATTTTTATAAATATTTATTTTCTAATTTTAATTATTTTCTATTCCCCAAAAAAACTTGGAACTTATAAATATCTTATGATGTATTTTTCAATAAATTCAATAATTTTCTCGACTCTTGAAATAATGGTCAGACCCATTTTAATATCACATGGCGCTGGTTTTATAGTATTTTCAAATCGGAAAAACAGTAAATTTAGTGAATTGGTCGATTTTTTGTTATTGAGCATTAATTGTGGAATTTGTGGAACAACAATCACAATTACAGAAATACAATTCATTTTCAGATATTTCGCTATTGAAAGGTTTCTAGGCCAAGAATTGATGAGATACTAAAACATGAGGGTTTTCAGGAAAGGCAAACTAGATTATTTCAAAAAACAGTATTTATGGGCTTGGTTTAGTATACCACTGTCAGCAGGAATTGGTTGGATTGGACTTTGTCAAATTTTGAGAGAAGATGAGAGGACTACAGAATTGTTCAGGTACTTTTAAAATTTCTTCTTAAACATAACTTCGAGACTTTTCTTGAAAAACCCAAAACAATGGCCTGATCTGAAAATCTTTTCAGAAACGATGTGTTCGAATATTACAACTTGGAAATGTCTCAAATAATTTATGTCGGAGCATATTATTTTTACGATAATAATCCAAATTGGTCAGATATAATATTAATGTTAATCCTCCAAACTATCTTAATCATATCCCTTCTAACAATAATTATTCTCTGCCTCAAAATCCACGAAAAAATCCAACAATTATGCGAAAATGAAGGCGAATCAGAATATTCCAAAAAACTTCAAAAACAATTTTACAAAGCATTAGTTTTTCAAACAATTCTTCCAATTTTTCTAATGATTGGTCCACTAAACTTATTCTTTTTTCTACCAATTACAGGAATTGATATAACTTATTATAGTCAAGTTGTGAATTTCACATGTGTTATTTATCCAGCTTTAGACCCTCTTCCAAATATTCTAATTATTGATGAATATCGAAAAACTTTTCTATCACATTTTTTGTTTTGGCGCAAAAATCGAATCGAGCCAGCTAATCTGACAAATCTAGACACCAATAATAAAGTATAACCATTCATTTTTGTAAAGTAATTGTTTTGAATAATAAATATTTTGTTTGTTTTTCTGGATAATTGTTGTCCAAGAAAATTCCTTTAGAGCTAATTTGACCAACAAAAAAACTTGATTCATCGGAAAAATAAGTAGTTTGGTCTCATTTAAATCCGGTGGTTGATGATTTTTTTCGTGATTTTGAAAGATGTTTCTAACAAAAACCACTAGAGCGAATAAATATATGTTTCCCCTGTACACATATCTGGTTTTATCTTGTTCCTCTTATTTTTCAGTCTTTTCATAATTAGATTATCACAATATACCATTGTTATTTGTAGAAATATGCGTGAAGATATTCAATGTCTCCGTGGTTTGGCTATAATTTCAGTTGTATTATATCATTTATTTCCAAATATTTTACCAAATGGTTATCTTGGAGTTGATATATTTTTTGTGATTTCTGGATTTTTGATGTCACAAATATTATCAAAACAACAAGAAAATGGCCAGAATAAATTGATGAAAATAGTTGATTTTTATTATCGGCGAATGAAAAGAATATTACCAATCTATTATTTTGTTATATTTTTATCGACATTTTTGAAAATCTTTTATCAAGCTGATATTTGGTGGCCACAAAATGATGAATATTCAAAATATTCTTTGGAATTTCTAACAAATCATAAAATACTTCAAGATCAAACAAATTATTTCAATCAATATAATGTTGATGTTGTTACTTCTCGTAATTTATTTCTTCATTGTTGGTCACTTTGTGTTGAAATACAATTTTATATTATTATTCCTTTTATTTTTATTGCAATTAATTTATTCGAAAATGTTGATTTCAAAAAAATCATAGTTATTGGAATATTTCTCGGATCATATTCGATTACTTTTATTTCTGTTGATCCAAATTTCACATTCAATTTTATGCCGGCTCGAATTTGGCAGTTTTCAGTTGGAATTTTGGCACAAATGCTTTTGGATGATTTTCAAAACAAGACAAACATGGGTGAGTTTGGAGAACCAATGCTACTAAAATAGTAATTTTCAGAAAAATCGAGCATTGCTAATTCAAACACAGTAATTCAACTAAAAATAGTAATGCAATCTTCAATAATCCTAGTTTTTCTTCCAATTCATATCAATGAAAATATAATTCGATTAATTATCACACTAATTACTGGATTCATAATATTTGAAAACAACGAAAATATAAAATATCCATATTGGTTAATTTATATTGGAAATGCTTCCTATGTTATTTATCTTGTACATTGGCCAATTATTACTATGTTTTCATCAAATTTATCAACATTCACTGTTATTTGTGAGTGATAAAACTAGAGACAAAATTAATCGAATTAATTTTTAGATCTTATTGCATTTTCTTCTATCATTATTCATCATATATTTGAGAAAATTGTGTTGCGCAATGGAAAACTAACAATCCTTTGTGTAACAAGTTTTTTGCTTATGGCAAATCTTGTTCTTCTCAAGGGATTAGAACATTTTCCGCCGACAAAGAATTATCCAATCGGTAAGAACTCCATTCGAATTTTATTTAAAAATATTCCGAATTTCAGAATACGTCTCAAAAATCCAGGAAAATTTCGATTACAAGAAAAGTCTTTGGAGAACACCAAATTGCAAACTCATTCCAATTCCTGAATATCCACACGGTCTACCGTATAAATTTGGTCGGTGTCAATTTGAAACTGGAAATGGGACACAGAAAGTACTAGTGATAGGAAATAGTTATGCATTGAATCAAATTGAACCCATTCGGGAAGCTTTCAAAGGCAACTTTTCAAGTTTCGAATATATGGCAATTACTTGTAAGTACATCAAAATTTCAGAAAAATATCTAATATTTTTGACCTAGCTTGCTATGGAATTTATCAAAACGGGAAAGATGAATCGGAAATGAAACTCGAAATTGCGAGAAGAACAGTGAAACAAGTCAAACCAGATATACTATTTATAATAACTCGAATATCTGAAGAACAACAAATTATGCCAGTATTAGATTATGAATCAGATGATATTTTATCACAATATCACGATAATCTGAAATTCTATGAAAAATATTCAAAGAAAATCTTTATTCTTGGTGCATTTCCCTTGATTTCTATGAATTTAATCAATAATTATATTGAGAAGCTTCAATTAGATGTTTTAAATCCGGACGATTTTCGGTTATCAAAAAAGAACATTGAGAAGAACATGAAAAATTCGAAAAATCGTTTCAATCATATTCGATGCCAGAAATGCGAAGTTTTAGATCTCACAAAGCCGTTCATGTTCAATGATTATTTCTACGAATCGGATAATCAGAAACTACTTTCTTATTTTGATAATGATGTTCATTTAACAAATGCAGGAATCGAGAAAATACGACCATTTTATCGAGAAATTGTGCAAAATATTAGATAGTTGTGTATGAAAAATTGTTATTTATGTTTTATCATGAAATGTTGTGTTTGATTGATGTTTGAACTGATAATGAAAATGAAAGAAGACTTGATGTTTTAGGAAAATTCGGAGAAAACTATCTTAATAACTCGGTCAACAGGAGAATGTTTTTACCGTGAACTTCTTTAGATATTTGGAACTTCATTGTGTAGGACCTAGTTCTCAATTTCCACTATGGCAAGGAACCGCGAATTGTAATTTTCCATGGCAAGAAGCCGCGCCTAGAGAGGCTAGTTGTCAAGTAGGTGCGCTTAGAAAGCCTTCCAAAAATCAAAATTTGGTTGTTTTTTGAAATGGAACTACAGAAAACATCCCCATCAAACAAAATCTATTCCGGAACTTCTGTTCTCAAAAACTGGTCAAGAAATCTCCCCATAACTCACATCAGTTTTTCCTTGAAAAAATACGTTTTTCACATTCACCTAAGCTCACATCAGAAAAACAACCAATGAAAACCCTCAATAAATCCTATCGAAAACTAATTTAGCCCTCGAAAACCTGATATTTTCAACGAAACTTCTTATCTAACCAACAAACTAAACTCAATTATGTTTTGTTCTGTCAGCTCAAAAATCGAAAATGTGCGCTTTTCCAATTTATCTATAGAAAAACCTCGTGGCGAGCATTCTTATCATAATTTTTCTTTTATTTTATTTTTATTGTAATCAAAAAATTGGTAAAAAATGAAGATACTGTTGATATTTTTTGTTCTATTTTGTGTCACAAGTAAGTTCAAAGTCAAAAAAAAATCGTAGATTGGCAAAAACAGCTTTAGCCAAATTGTTTCAGACGCTCAAAAAGACTGTACCGAATGTAAAGCTCTTGTCGACTTATTGCAACTCGAATGGGGAGAAGAGAAAACTGAGGATTGTTTTGTTGATATCGCATTGTTTATTTGTGACACTTTCAAAATTGAGGATAATGCAGTTTGCGATTATATTGTCTCCGATTTTTCCGATGAATTTATGTATGTTTTGAAGGAGATTTTGGTGACACCACATCAGATTTGCGGACTTTTGATGAAAAATAGTGAGTTGAGAAAAGAGTAGAGAACGGGACTTGAGACCTTCTATGTCAATCAGCAGAGCCTAGATATCCTAGTTGCACGACTAGACAGTTCAATGGTCAAGGATCAACGTCGAGAAAGCTCAATTGTTAAGGCTGTGCGTCTAGAGAACCCATTTTGAACTATAGAAATGAGAACTAGGTTGTTTCTCGAGAAGAGAAACTTGGAAGACATTAGAAGTTTCGAACCGAATTTTTTAATCCAAAATTCTAACCACAGTTCTGATCCAAAAAACCCTTCTAGATTGCGGTGAATTCGACGATCCATTCCTCAAAACCTGGAATATGTCGATCCCACAAAACGCTCCCGCTTTCATCGAACAACAAATCGTCACATCCACTACAAATCCAACTCATCGAGTACTTCACTTAACCGATCTTCACGTCGATATGCATTACACAATTGGTCTCGAAGCTCAATGCGGTTCTCCACAATGTTGTCGACCACAAGATATGAATGTAGAAATAGTGTTAAATGACACAGAAAGTGTGAAAGAGCCAGCTGGGCCATGGGGAAATTTGGGAAGTTGTGATACTCCATATTGGCTTCTCACTAATATGTTGGATAATATCGCAAAGACCAGTGGAAAATTGGATTATGTTATGGTTTCTGGTGATTTAGTATCACATACTGTTTGGGCCTATACACCAGAATCACATTCTTTCATGGTCAAAAATTTGTCAGATACAATTCGCAGTTATTTCCCTAATACTCCAGTGTATTTCGCAGTTGGAAACCACGAAGGTGTACCAGTTGATAACTTGGCACCACATTATACACCAAAGAAATATCACATGGATTGGTTGTACAAGGCAATGTCAGATTCATGGAACGGTTGGATTCCAGAAGATCAAGAAAAGACAATCCATTAGTAAGTACACATGATGAACCTTATAACACCCATTATTTTCAGCAATGGTTGTTATATGAAAAAGATCTACCCTGGACGTCGTTTGATTTCTCTCAACAATGTTTATGGTGATAGAATGAACTTTTGGCTTTATATCAATCAAACTGATCCAGATGGAACTTTGGGATGGCTTGTTGAACAACTTTTAGATGCTGAGAAAACTGGGGATAAGGTTCATATTGTTGCTCATATTCCGGGATCAGATGGAGAAGCTTTAGAGGGTTATGCTTTCAATTATTATAAGATTATTAACAGGTCGGTAATACGGCTAATCTGCCCTGATTTAAATTCCCAAAAACTCACAACATCATCTCTCCAATTCCAGATTTGCCAACACAGTTCGCGGTCAATTCTTCGGTCATACCCACTCCGAAAAATTCTATATGATGTATGCCGATCCATTCGATGCCACCTCAACACCAACCAAGTGAGCTTTCATGAGCAATCCTTCCAAAACCCGCTAATTTTCAGCGTTGTTTATTCCGCGCCATCCGTCACACCATATTCGAACTTCTTCCCAGCTTATCGAATTTATACAATTGATGGAGATTATTCGGGATCCACACATGTAAGAGATTCTGGAAGTTTTCAGAATTATTATTTATGTGATTTCAGCAAGTTATTGATTTCGAGGAATGGTTTTTCAATTTGACTTCGAATAATGCTAATCCGACAAATGTGAAATGGGAAATTTTATATTCGAGTGCTAACTTGGAATACGGTTTGAAGGGACAGATTCCAAGAGAATATAATCAATTGATTGAAAGAATGAAGACTGATCAAGATCTATTCAACAAATTTTTTGAGTAAGTTAGGCGAAGACTTCAGAAGTACTAAAAACGGGAGCTTCCTAAACTGGTCGTACAAACTTCGAAGACAAACTCTGAGAATATCTATAGATATCATTCATTTTCTAGAAATCACTACCGTCGTTCAATTTACGATGGTCTTCAACCTTGCGGAGATCAAAAATGTCGAAATGGATTCTTATGTGATTCTCGACAATTTCATCAAACTGATAAACTTTGCACAGATTTGATGTCAAGTGGTGGAATTACAATGCCAAATGATAATAAGAAGAAGAATACGAGATATTCAGCTAGATTCCGAAAATCGAGTAGGAAAGGAAAGGACGAATGTAAAATTTGAATCGGGTTATTTGACTAGTTTGTAAATAAAAAGTTCTTTCTTCAAAAAATCAAACTTTTGATCTTTCAAAAAATGATCTCACTTTTTCGTTTAATTGATATTTTCTATCACACAAAGTCACAAAAAAAGATAAGAGAGATATTTATTGAAAACGTTCGTCTGATCTTTTATTTCACTTTTTCCTTGGACAAAAACTCTTCTTCTCAAAATGCATATTTTGGTGACTGGAGCAGCTGGTTTTATCGGAAGTCATACAGTTTTGGAGTTGATCGAGGCCAACAAAGGTTACACGGTGTTTTGTGTGGATAATTGTTCAAATGCCGTAGCAGGTGAGTCTTTTTATAAACTAAATATTTTTAAATCGAAAAATCTATTTTCTTACAGATTCCAATGGTAATGCTATTTGTCTAAATCGAGTGAGCCAAATAGTCAATAAACCGATTCCTTTCAAAAATCTCGATTTATGCGATGGATCAGCACTCGAACCTATTTTCAAGGAGGTTGGTCACTCTTCCTATCCTTCCCCATAACAAAAACATTTTCAGCAAAAATTCGATGCAGTGATTCATTTATCGGCTTTGAAATCCGTGGCCGAATCAATTGCAGAGCCTCTCGAATATTATTCGAATAATATTTTGGGATGCTTGAATTTAGTCAAAATGTGTCTCAAATACAATGTGACTAATTTCGTATTCTCATCGAGTGCAACAGTTTATGGACCACCGGAAGAGCTTCCGATTACTGAAAAGAGTCAGACTGGAAAGGGAATAACAAATCCATATGGTCAAACTAAATATATGAGTGAACAGATTATGATGGATGTTGCGAAAGCAAATCCCAATTGGAACTTGATTATTCTCCGATATTTCAACCCGGTTGGAGCTCATAAATCAGGATTAATTGGAGAAGATCCAAAAGGAACTCCAAATAATTTGATGCCTTATGTTAGCCAAGTAGCTGTGGGTAAATTAGAAGTTCTCACTATTCATGGAGACACTTTTGATACGATAGATGGAACTGGAGTCAGAGATTTTATACATGTTGTGGATCTAGCAAAGGGGCATGTTCAGGCATTAGAGAGATTCAAAAACCCTATTGAAACGGAAATTTACAACTTGGGTACTGGTGTTGGATATTCGGTGAAACAAATGGTTGAGGCTTTTGAGAAAGTGACCGGCCGGAAAATTCCTACAAAAATCGGAGAAGCGAGAAAAGGTGATGTTGCCTCGGTGTTTTGTGATCCGAAATTAGCCGAAGAACAACTTGGATGGAAGGCTGAACTTGGGTTAGAAGATATGTGCAGAGATTTGTGGAATTGGCAAACTAAAAATCCAAAGGGATTTATGTAATTTCCATTGATTTTTTTTGAAACATAAAGCCGGATTGTGTGCGCCTATATCAAAACTATTCTTCAGAAATACTAGATAAACCCATGAAAAATCATACATACCTTTGAAATCTCCCTTTTTTTCCAAAAATCAGAGTCAACTTACAAAACAGTAAAAACCAAAAAATGCAAGAAACAGAACGGAAACGTGGAATGGAATTGCTTTTTCCTACAATTAGGTCACGATATAAAATATTAATTCCCATCAGATTTTTTATTCATTCCTAACTTCTACATGGATTCTCAAACGGAGGTAGATTCTCAAGAATTTGGTGAGTTCAAAAAATAAGTTTGCAAAAAAAAACAAAAAAAAATGAACAATTTGAATGTTTGTTCGGTCAAACGCGCCCCAATGCAAATGCGCCAACAGAAAATGATTTGAAAATGAACGCTCTTCACGTATTTTCAATCGAGGAAATTGCTGAAAAAACTACGGTGCGAACCCCTACGTGTGTGGTGCATTTGTGCGTCAGCGTGTTTGCACAAAAAATCTCTCTGCGCAACAGCGTCTCTCTTTTTCGCACGCTCTCTCTTAAAGGAAATTTTTTCGAAAAAGCAATTGGGTCCCGTAACGAATACCGCGAGAAAAAAGTTACACTAAATCCATCACTCGAACCTTATTTCGATGCAGTTTCTTACGTAGATTCGAATGGTGTATGTAACTTTTTATATGGTTCAGCCATTCTGAGTTTTTCCATTACAAACGGTTCATGTCCCTTTAAACTGGCGTTGCCGTTTTTTCTTCAGAAAAAAAATGCGTGTCTTTTTTTTTTTTTTACTTTTCTTCCCGCGTTCTTCCCCTAAAAACAATAAAAATGAATAATTTCAGGGTACGAGAAATATGAGCAGTAGCGGTGGAGGAGGAAAATATGAAGTGTTGCAAGGATACTACGCAGTGCACGACGAGTTAGGCTCGGGAGGTTTTGGAAAAGTCCGACTTGCCACACATCTCCTGACAAATCAGAAGGTCGCCATAAAAATCATCGATAAAAAACAAATCGGACATGATTTGCCAAGAGTGAAAACCGAGATGGATGCATTGCGCAATCTTTCGCATCAAAATATATGTCGGCTTTATCATTATATTGAGACAGAAGAGAAATTCTATATTGTTATGGAATATTGTAGTGGTGGAGAGATGTTTGATTATATTGTGAGAAAAGAGAGACTGGAAGAATCTGAAGCTCGACATTTCTTTCGACAATTAGTCTCCGCAATCGCTTATGTTCATTCACAAGGTTATGCTCATCGAGACCTCAAACCCGAAAACCTTTTGCTCACCGAAGATTTGCATTTGAAACTCATTGATTTCGGATTATGCGCAAAAACCGAGAAAGGAAATATCGATAAACATCATTTAGACACTTGTTGCGGTTCTCCAGCATATGCAGCCCCTGAATTAATCCAAGGTTTACCTTACAAGGGAAATGAAGCTGATGTTTGGTCAATGGGAATACTTTTATACACTTTATTAGTTGGAGCATTACCATTTGAAGATGATAATATGCAAGCAATGTATCGGAAGATACAACATGGATCATATTATGAACCAGAATGGTTGACACCAATGAGTAGACAGTTATTGAGATCAATGTTGCAAGTTGCACCAGAAAGAAGAATAACTGTGAAAAGATTGTTGGAACATGAATGGTTGACTCATAAATATATGCAACCCATCAAATGGACCACTATTTATGACGTAAGTTTGAAATTTCATTGGAAATCCTAGCTTTGAATAAGAAAAGAATGTAATAAATTAATTCTGCAGAAAAACTTCATTGACCGTGATGTTGCTCGTGTTATGTCTCGATATTATGGCGTCGAAACAACTGACAAAATGATTGAAAAGATCAAAGAATGGCCATTTGATTATATGACTGCCACGTATTATTCTCTTTTATCGCGCAAACGAAGAAATGAGGAAATTGTATTGCCGTTGAATCGACATGCCAAAGTCGCCAATCAAAATATGAAACAGATTCTGTGTTCGCCAACAATTCACGCGTCTTTGGATCAGAATTTGGATAAATCTGGATTGGAAGATGAAGAAGAGGAAGTTAGCACATCTTCGAGTGGTGGAGGAGCTGGAAGTAGTGAGGAGAATTTGAAGAATACTAATGTTAATGTTGTGATGCGGAAGAAGAAACAGGCGCAGGTTATTAAGCCATTGTCACCGGAAAGAGATAAGGTAACTTTTTTCTAGAGTTATTCTGAAATTCTAGGATCTACACGATGATATTGTATTCTTTCTTATTCTATTCATAATTTTCACTAACTTTCCTTATCAGAATTTTTCCTAATTTTCAATTTTGCAGAAGCTCTCCTACGCCAACGCAATGCTCACAATGCAATCTCAATTCACCGGCCTTTCTCCAATTTCTCTCAAAAACTTTGGCTCACCAATATCTGCTCACAAAGATCCAATAACTCCAACACGTGGATATTCATTGAATCGAGATGGTCAACTTGGAGGAACTTCAGATAACAAAGAAAACACTGGATATAGTTATCGAGTTGGTGCGGCAAGTTGTAAAGTTCGAGGACCGTTGAAAATCGAAGATGATGGAACTAGAAGAAGTGTTTATACAACACCGAATCGACCAGCATTACGTGGATTGTTTAGTCCGGCTGGAGATGAAAGAAGACAACGATCGAAATCGACTGAAAGAAGTAGTAGTGGATTAACTGGAGGATCTCCGATTTCAATTGGAAGTTCAACAAGTGGAGGAGCCAATGGTAAGAGATTTGGAGAAAATTTTGAAAATTTCAAAAAATAATAGTTCATAAGGCCTGACAAGGGAGCTAAATAACTGAAAATAAAACAAAATTTATATTTTTTGAAAAAAATTCACGTGACCTTTTCAATGAGCATTTTTTCATTTTCATTTTAAATTCATTTCGAAAACTGTTCCGAACCCTTTAAAAATTTTCTATTTTTCTAATAACCTTCTTGTTTTCTCTAGTGTTTTTTGAACACAAAATAATTTTAGACAATTCAAAGTGTAAACTTGATTCAATTACCCAATCAAATTCTCTCACTCTCTTTGCTAATTTGACAAAAAATGATGATCTTTGTGTAGACAGAAAATTATAGAAAAATTCCCTGAGAAATCCCAATTTTTGATGTTGATGTCGACAAAAATAACAATTAGTACAGAAAAAATGCACTTTTGTTATTTGGGAAATTTTTTGAATAAACAAGATTTGTTTGCAGAATCTGGAGATATTCGAACTCCTCGAGGTCGCACCAAAACTCCTCACACTCGTTTCACCAAACGCGTTTTCACATCATTGGAACGAAAAAAGGAGAAATTGATAACATTGTTGACTCCGCGAAAATTGCAAAGAGATTCGCCGCAAGTTTTGAAAAATGTCAAAAATATGGTGAATGTTTCAATGACTGCTTATACATCGCCAGAAGATGTTCGAGATGAATTGGTCAAAGTTTTTGAGCAAGAAAAAATGAAGTTTGAAACGAATGGATGGAAATTGGTGGCACATAAAGAGAGTAAACATGGATGGATGAGTGTTGAATTGGAAGTTGTTAAAGTTCAGATTTGTGATACGGTGAGTGTTTTATTGACTCTGTTGCCTCTAAATCCCATTAGGTAGTTTTTTCTCAATTTTCTAAGAAAATTCAATCCAAATTTTTCGAATATTTTTCTCAACAAATTCAATTGTTCCAAGAAATTTAGAATAAATTTATAAAGGTCTTCAAAATTACCAAATTTTTTTTGCATTGCTCATATCAAATTCTTTCTGCTCTTCTTTGCTTCTAATCTGATAACATGCATGAGCAATGCTATTTTATCAATTTTTGTTTCGAGAATTTTCGAAAACAAATGATGTTGCGAAATAATTTTCGGATACTTTTTCCCTGAAAATCATCAGCGTGACTCAGTTTTTATTCACGTGAGCAATGCCGGAAAAAATGATTGGAAAAATAATGGAAATGGGATTGAGAAATGCAATTTTTCGAAAACTTTGCATTTTGAAAACAAAAAATTGTTTATCAAAAAAAGTTTCAGGTTGGAATACGTCGAAAACGTCTGAAAGGGGACGCATTTTTGTACAAAAAAGTGTGCGAACGAATTTTGCAACTTGGAAGATTCTAATATAAATCGCACTTCTCTTCACCTTCACTTCTACATTCTCCCCCTCAAAAATTGCGCCTTTTTTGTTTTTCTTAAAATCAGCAGCATAATTTTGTATTTCAATCAATCAATAGTAATTAGCTCGGTTTTTCTAAATTCTTGCCTTATTTTTTTATGTGTAAAGTATTTGCTCACTATTTTTTCTTAACTTTTTTCATTTTTCCTGTTTCTTATGAATGTTTCTTCCTTTTTTGTGATTTTTGGGGCCAAAAATTGAAAGTTTCAATTCTCTTTCATACTTATTCCGTTTCTCTATGTAGACATTTTGAAAAACTGGCCAAAAACATTGTTTTTCGAAAATGCGAGGCTTGAATTTTTCCTTTGGGTCTCCAATTTCTTAAGTTTTTCCTTCAAAGATCAGTTCCAATCAAATATTCGAAAAACAAGCCAAAAAGTTGGTAAAGAAGTATTGCGAAATGTGTTTATTAGCTCTGACCAGCCATAGACTCCGCCCATTTTGCCGTTGATCTATTGCAAAACACATATGTGAGTATAAAAACCCTTCATTTCTCTCATATGATTACCAAAAAATGACTAGAAATAATCATATTTCTAATACCTATTTCAAACTGCAACAATCTTGTGGAACTCACAAGATCTTTAGTATTCGATCTGCTAAAACTTCGGAACTTTTCGAGAAATTGAGCAAAAAAGTTGGAGGAAAGAAGGTTTATTGGATCGATGAAGATGGCGATCGAATTGCGATTGATTGTGTTGATGATTTGAGAGAAGCTGTTCGAATTGCTGGAAGAGAATTGAAGATTTATCAAGATCAAGAAGTTGAGAAGAAGAAAACAGGAGAGCTCAAGAAAATCGCTGAAAATGAAGAAGAGGATGATGAGAAGAAGAGTGTTTCATCTTTCGAAACTTTGAGTGATGAAAGTGATTCAGAAGAATCGGAAGGATCGGAATCAGAGTCGGAATCGGAGTCAGAATCGGAATCGAGCGAATCAGATGGTAAGTAATAGTTTTTGAGTTTTTAATTCAAAGTTTAGAATTTAGAAACTAGAAATTTCAGCCTAACCTATTTTCTTTAGTATAACTAAAATACCTTATTTTTCAGATGACGATCAAGAAGATCAACTCGAAACCGCTAAAAAATCATCGAAGAAAGACGACAAGAAAAAAGAGAAGAAGGCCCTTTTGAAGAACCCTGCTGAAGACGAAGATCAAGGTGGAGCTTCGCCAGTTCGTCGACACGGTAGAGGAAGACATGGATCTCATTCACCAAGACGACATGGGCATCGGGGTGGCCCAAGACCACCTTTCGGACCACCAGATGAGGGAAGAAGAGGACACGGACACGGACCATCGGATGGGGAAGAAGGCCATGGGCGTAGAGGAGGGTGTCGACCACCTTTCGGCCCACCTGGAAGACATCATCATCATCATAGAAGAGGCCACAGACATCCTTTCGGTCCTTCTGACGATGAAGGGCGCCGCGGAGGATCGCCACGTCATTTCGGACCACCTGGACGTAGAGGAGGACCATCGGATGATGAAGGACGTAGAGGAGGTTGTCGTCCACCTTTTGGACCACCAGATGAGGGTAGAAGAGGGCACGGTAGACGGCACGGACATCGCGGGGGTTCCCCACCTCCATTTGGCCCACCTGGAAGACGCCACGGGCATCGAGGAGACTCCCCACCTCCTTTCGGACCACCAGATGAGGGAAGAAGAGGACACGGACATCGCGGAGGCTCCCCACCGCCATTTGGCCCACCTGGAAGACGCCACGGGCATCGAGGAGGCTCCCCACCGCCTTTCGGACCACCGGACGGTCGTAGAGGACACCACGGAAGACACGGAGGACCATCAGATGATGAGGGACGTAGAGGAGGATGTCCACGTCGATTCGGGCCCCCACATGGTCGCAGAGGAGGCTCACCAAATCCATTCGGACCTTCGGATGAGGGAAGACGAGGTCGCGGACATCGAGGAGGTTCCCCACCTCCTTTTGGACCACCAGATTGTCGTAGAGGACATCGGGATGAATCCCCACGTGATTTTGAACTCTCACCATTCCATCGTAATCAATGTTTTGGTGGCTCAATGCGCGTTCCACAACGCTCTTGTGTTCACGAAAACTTGAGACGACGTGGCGGCTCACCACCTCCACATCATAACCACGGGCCACATCATCATCACGGAAGATATCCTCCCCCACCTCCGCCTCCTCCATTTTGGCCACCTCCACCTTTCTGGCCCCCACCTCCACATCATCATCACCACAGACACCATTTCGACGAAGAGGAATTTTAATTTTCTGTTTTTGTTTAACCATTATCCCCAAAAAATTGTATAATTTGTTAAAACCCCAAAAAATTTGATCTTTGATTCGATAATCTTAATATTTTTGTATAGAAAACAAAAAACCCAAAAAAAAGTTGTGTACATACTTATATAACCAAATAATAAATAATGTGTAAATATTTATGACTTGATTTCTATTTTTATTTGTGTTCAAGTTTGGACAATTGAGACGGAACTTTGAACAGAAAATAAAACGCTGCGCAGTTTTGATCAACAAAACATGTTTGAGTTTTTGTCAAGGAAAATTGATAGCTTATGTTTCCGGAATGTTTCATATTTATTAATTATGACGTGGCAAGATTCATTTTTGGAAACTTGCCAGTTCACACTTGAGAGTTTACTGTAACCAGTTGACTTTTCAACTCAAGTTTTCGAGATTCCAAAATGCCACAGTGTCTAATTTACCATCGGTAGATCTCAAACTTTTTCGGTGGATCAAAAATAAGTTGCTGTCAAGTCTTTACCAGAGTTATTTTTTCCAAACTCTAAATTTTCGAATCAAAATCAACAATGCAAAAAATCTCTCCTCTCCGTCTCTCTTTCCTTTTTTTTTCTATCCAAAAACTTTTCACTGACCAAGCATCGATCAACAAAACACACAAACAAATGATTTTTAAAAATGCTCTAGATGTTCGAAAACTAAACGAGATGTTTGCAAAAATGGGCGGAGTCAGGAAACATATTGCAAATTTGCTTTGATTTCGCTTCGAATTTTAAAAAATGCTTTCAGTGGTCACATAAGATCACTGAAAGCGTTTTCCCGAGTGATCTCCATAAATGAAAGCAAACAACATCAATGATTCGCATGATTTTGGTGTTTGAAAGCAAAATGAAAACGATTTGTGATGTTGTAGAGCGATGAAAGCAAAAAAGGAAAAGTTTGAGATGAGATTGGATTATTTTTTATGTTAGAATTAGATGTGCTGAAAATTGGATTTTTGGTCTGAAGAATACTCTAGTTCAGAAAAAAGACAGAATTTTCACAAAAAAATATTGACAATGAGATGTTCAGAAAACTGTTCTGAATTGGAAAATCATCTGTGAGACTCAGACAGTTATTGTTAGAGCAATTTCTCGCTGTTCATTTCCCCTTTTGACCTACGAAACATCATTCCGTTTTCTTTCTGTTCCTCTCGTGTGTTGGAGTGATTTCTAATCAAAAAATGTTCATCCGTGTTCTGCACAAGGGTAAAAACAGAACCTTTTCCAATGAAAAAGCGCTGCTGCAGAAAAAATTCAACCCTCGCTCAAAGCTGGAGGGTTGGGCCTAAATGGCAAGGTTCCGCACGCTTTTTATGAGTAGATCAAAAAATATTGTAAGTCTGAAACTCACAAAAAGTTTAAAAATTTCGAGATTTTCATACAAATTTGGTTTTCAAAAATCATTTTGTTGTTATTAAGTTACTATAAAATAAAAATTTTTGAGTTTCAGACACAATTTTAGAATATTTCTGAAAAGTTGTGATTTCTAAACACGCAAAATTTTTTGATCTACAAGCTGTTGCCGGTAGGAAAACGCGTACTCTTTTTACCCTTGTGTTCTGCAGAAACCTTGTTCTATTTAAACATGTTTTCCGAATAACAATCGACGATAAGCATTACTCATAACTCAGTCATTGCTCATGTTAACCTCTCCTAAGTCCCGCCCATTTGCCCCTTCAAAACATCTCGTTCATTTTCCAAACATCGCGCTCAAAAAATTATGTTTTTATTTTTTTTCTCAACCCAATTCAATTTTACTCACAAGACATCACACTACAAACACTCACATAGAAAAAAACAAAATTTTTTTCTTCTTCTCTCAAAATTTTTGATGCTGATCATTTTATTATTGTTCTGGATCGCCATATTTTTGGTCTAGATGTCTGCAGATGGTAAAGATGTCTAGGAAATTGGGAGGAGTCTGATCAAACTAACTACACATGGTATATGTGTGTGTTTTGTGTGTATGTTCGGTGAGAGAGAATAGTAGACGCAGAGATAGACAAATCGCATTAATTGTAGTCACAATTGAGGTTTCAAATGTGCATGATTTGTGTCTAGAAAATAGGATTGTGTGTAGTCTGGTGTCAGAAAGAGAATTTTTGAGCAAGATGTTTCAAAAGTGTACTGGATGTTTGAAAATGGGCGGCGCTTTTTTTCAGATCATGGAACACTTTCTATAGCATGAGTGACTTTCGAAAGGAAAGAACTTGTTTTTTATAAATTCATGCAAAACTAAGATTTCTAGGATCGACCACTAGGTATTGAAGCTCCAAAGGCGCGGAGACTTGCCATCTCTAGATGTGAGTCCTATACAATAAGATTTTATAGGCGCGGCTACTTGAGGACTAGAATTTCAAGGCGCTGGCTCTAGACCAATAGATTCTCTAGGCGCGGCTACTTGACAACTAGAATTTATTTCAGCTGCTTGATCTGCTAGAAACTCTAAAGGCTGTGGATTTTAGACAATTAAGTTCTTTAGGTTCCGCTACTTACCGTAGCTTCTATGTCTCTAAATTTGAATCTTAATTTCCCAAAGTCTTAAAACTTTGTCACTTTGTTTTCCTTAAAACCAGAAATAATCTACTTATTTCTCCACATATCAACAACATTTCCAAACATCTTATCCAATCAAAAAAATTGAACGTGATCATCTCCAAAACATCTCGTCCAAAAATAACAAACAATAACAACTTCTTAATGTTGTTGGTTTTGATAGAGATAAATGATCAGGTTCATTTTCAAAACATCTGGTTCATTTTCGAAATGCATTTTAGGGGGCGGAGCTTGAAAATAGAGAGAAAGAAAGAAAAATATATTTTTCTCATTTTGCATCTTTTTTCGATGTTTTAAAGTTGTTTTTTTTTGGAATACAACCTTTTAATTTTAGACCAACTTGTTTAAAAACTTTTATTTCTCAATTTTTTCTCACCCTAACTTTATAAATAATAAATTGCAGCAATCCCAACGATGCCAATCCTGTAATTTTAATTTTTTCCCCAATTTTTTTAAAATAAATGTTTCACCTAAAAATCCACAAATTCCTGCTGATATCCAAACATCAATCGATGCTTGATTTGATCTAAAATTCTCCAATTTCAATTCGGAATTTCAGAAGAAAAAAACTTACAATTCCTTATCAATTGCACTGACCAAATCACATTGTAAAACCATTTCAACATTTCGAAAACTAACATTTGCCAAAACTATTGGATTGTTTGAAAGTTGTTCTGAAGTTAGTCGAAGTATCAAATCGCCACTTTGTGGATGTTGAAACTGAAAAATGATGGTTTTTGAAACTGAAAAATGATGGTTTTTTTTTTGAAAATTTGAGAAAAATTACTGTACCATTCTTTTGTTTTGTCCTTCACAATGTTGAATATTTTGAATTGGTTTAATGACTTCTCCGTTTACCGAGAAATTTACCTGGAAAAAAATTGTGAGTTTGATTTTCAGAATTTCTGAAAAAAAAACAATACAATTTTTCTCCCCAAATACTAACCCCGTTCAAATTGCCTTCCCCAATCGATACATCAATCTGAATCCGATAAATTTTCTCGGGAACAAGTCGAATAATCGAATATGAGTCTCGAAGCACAAAAATCGTCGAATTCTCACAAACATCAACTTCAATCACACCTTTGTCCTTTTTGTCGGGAAGCCACTGAAAAGCTTTCGATTGGTGAAAGTGTTCAAATTTTCAAATGAAAATACTTACATCAGTATTACCAAATGCACATTCAGACCATTTCCAACAATCCAATTTCTGCTCATTTTTCGCGCAATCTTCGAGTTGGAATATATTCTCATCAGTCGGATTTTTTATTCCATAATATTCTGTGAAATTCGCAATTGTTTTCTTGATTTTCAACCAATCATTATTATAATTTTTTAGTTCGGATAACTTCATATTTGCACCATCTTTCAATTTTTCATTCAAATCAGAATTAGCTAATGGGGAATCATTTTTATGCTTTTTCAGTAACGGTAAACCAGTTCTAAATTTATATGAGGGAACTTTATCACAACTTGATTCAGTGGCATAAATTCCACAAACATATTTTGGACAACAACAAGCCGAGCAACAACTCCACTCATTCCACATCATGAAAATCTGCAAAAAAATTCGAATTGAATTTTAAAAATGAATTTTTAAATTTTAAAAAAACCTCAAGATTCTGCGCTGTGTCTATAAAACTAATGTCGTTCATCCCAGTTTTGGCGGCAGTGAGATCCGCAAACTTCAAATCTGAAAAAAATGTGAAAAGTCTGGAAACATATGTGATTTATACCTTCAGCAATGATTTCTTCTACAAAAAACCACAGAATTATTAGCAATTTCATTGTGTTATTATTTTTAGAAATGAGAATGGGATTTTCTAATTTAAATTTTTTTAAACAGGTCACGTGAAAATGGGAAAAAATATTTTGAATTAATTTTTTCATTTTCGAGCCAAAATTTATGATTTCTTCAAAAGAAACTATTTCATGGGTCAAAATATGTAAATCTGAAAATGTTTACAGTTTTACAAATTCTCATTTTTCGAGGGGTACTGTATCACACACTTGCGAGGGCTGAAAAGTAGTCAAAATTAAAGATTTTTCAGTTTTTTCATCGTGAGTGAGAAAATTTTTTAAACAATTTAATGAAAAAAAATCTCCAAAAACGTGACGTGTGAAAATTTCGTGGAATTTCTCATTTTCTATTATTTTCAATTCAAAAATGGTGCAAATCTTATCGAAAAAGTAAGCGAACTGATTCAATTTCTGATAATGAAACCAAATTTTTTTTCCAGATTTTCAAAAATTAGTGTTTTCCCAATTTTTTGTCTTATCATTTATTTGTTCATATATTTGGTGGTTAAAAAAGAAAATGAAAAATGTCTGAAATTAGAAAATATTGGAGACGAATATTTTGGATTTCCAGTTCTACTTTTGGATAAAAATATTTTGTTGGGAAAATGTGTAGAAAAAGTTGATGTGAGTGTTTCATATTGTTCAATTCAAAAAAAAAATAATAAGCAAACGTTTAGGTTGGAGTTGATATAAAATATCGAAAATTTGTCAGTTTCAATTCAAATTCAAAATTCAATTTCATTTTCTATATCAATAAAACGAAACATGATTATTTAACCTTGTTAACTGAAGAAAATCAGAGAATTATTCCGAAGAAATTTGAAACAAGAAACATTGAGGATTTCCAAGTTCCGGTAAATATTCCACTGTTTTTTGGATTCCTAGAAAGATCAACATATATCGATTGTTTGGGATTGAAGAGAAATAGTCCAAAAAATGCAACAAAAATTCGAGATTTTATAAATTCGATGGTAGAACTTCGAGATTTATTCATCAATGATTTTGGAATATTTTTCTATTTGTCTGGAGGAACACTTTTAGGATGGTATAGAGAATGTTCAATTATTCCACACACCGAAGATGTTGATTTATTTGTCAAAATTGAAGATCTCAACTTTGATATGACATTGTTTTTCAAATCTGGAAAAACGAGATTCGATTTCGTTCGAAAATTAGGCCGAGTTAATGATTCGTTAACTCTCACAATTTTTGATATCAAAACAAAAACCCCAATTGATATTTGGTTTTTATATGAAAGTTTTCATGAAAATGGCGAAAAATATAGTTGGTGTGGAATAAACAATAAACAAGGACAAAAGCATCGATTTTTCTATCCATTGCAGAAATCTTGGTGTGCCACTGATCTTTATGGCAAAATATTTTGGGTACCGTGTTCACCCAAAGATATTTTAATTGCTGATTATGGTGAAATGTGGTATAAAGATATTCCGGAAAAAAATTATGTTTGGTTTGAAAATGCGAAGAATTCAAAAGTTGTTGGATTTTTTCGAGAAGATGAAATGAAGGATGTTTATGAATGGAATCCAAAGTATATTTCGAAAGGTTCTATAAATAAATAATTATTCTAAGCGTGTGAAAATCGAAAAATCCCAAAATATTTATCTAAAAAATAGAATATTTCGACTTCGCGCTACTCTTCTTTTTCGACTTCTTTTTCCTTTCCGCAGCTCGAAGTTTAGCTCGAATACTTTTCTCATCAAAAGTATAATCCTTGGTCACATCATCCTTTTCCTTTTCCTTTTTCGCTCCACAACTAACTGCTTCTCCACTTCCTCCTTTTTTCGCTACTTTTATCGGTCTTTCCAAATTCTCCCAAACATTTACTTTGAAAAAATCCTTCGGATCCTCCCAAATATAAACCACATTCTTTCTTAATTTCTCCAATTTCCATAAAACAAATCCAGGCGAATCTTTCATTTCCCAATCATATGGATCATTCCAACCTATTCCATTTTTATCCATAATTGATTTGAGAGTATTATAAGCGAGATCATAATCAGGAAATGTATAATAATCACAGCTTCTTAGATTCTCCTCAACTTTTGCAAATGATTCATCTTTGAGCATTTCCGAAAGTTTAGCTGATTTCTTGACATTTGCCAAATCATTATCAGGTACTGTTGCCCATGGCAATTCTTTGATAAATCCAGCCAACATAAACATCAAAGACCAAACATCGTCAGCTCTTCCCAATTCTTTGAAATCGTGTGCATTTGGTGAAGCATACATTTGAGTTCCACGGAAATCCGATCTTGGTCGAGCAATTCGCCAACGATAATCTGATACTTTGATTTTGCCCACATCTTTTTGATTTTCACTTGATAATCCAGATGATTTTATCGGTGAATTTGCGCGAGATGGGCTGTTTCTGTTGACAAATCGACGAGCCAAACCGAAATCGAAAAGATATATCAATCTTTTTTTGAGATAATCGTCGACTGGTCCGAGGCCGAAGTTCTGGGGTTTGAGGTCGCGATGGAGAAATCCATTGTCGTGCAACAATTTGACACTAAAAATAAGAATTATCAAATTGGTATTTAGTTTATTTTTTGTTCTAGAAAGGCTCCCCTAAAAAGTGATCCTAAAAACTCACACGTATAAACATTGTATCCCAATTCTGGTCCAAGTTCCAACCGAAAAAGAGTCTTGATTCGGTGATCGATATTTGATGTGATGCAAATTGTCTCCCAATAATTCCATGACTATAAAATGGAACCGCCTTTTCCTGCCAGCTCGAACAACTTGAGGAAAATTCGGAACCTTTCGCATCTGCAAATCTTTCAGCACATCGATTTCGAGTTTGATGGCTGAACCGCCTTCCAATTTGTTTGATTCGATCTTCATCGCATAAACTTTTCCTTCTTCCAAAACACGAAACACTTGTCCAAATCCTCCTTCATCAATCTTGGCTTCAATTTTGTATCCGGTTACTCTGCAATAATACTTTGAAATCTGAAATCCTCTGGAATAACTTACATATCGCCAACGTTAAATACGAGTTTTTCACCACATTGATTATTATTATACTTATTTACATCTTCGCCCATTTTGTCGTGCCAAATTTGATAGAAAATAAACTGATTTTTGGTTTTCCAGGTTCCTTTTTATACAGGAAAATGCCACGTTTCACGCGAGATCTTTATCATTTTTTTGAAAATTTAAATTTTTTTGGAATTTATGCTTTTTGAAAACATTTTCAGCTTTTTTCAATTGGAAACGGCGTGAAATTCAAAAAATTTTGCAAAAAAAAATAAAAATAAAACGACGACACTCCGCGTTGACGAGAGGTTGGTTTGGCGCGTTGTTTGAATTTCTGTATTTTTTCCTCCAATATTTCAGCAAATCTCCGAACTAGAACAAGTTTTATTCAAATTTCTTCATAAAAGTTTAGTAATTATCACAAAATATATGGAGTTAATAATATAGGGAATGATTAGTGTTTTTGTTTTTGTACATAAAAATTAGTTAAAGTTTTTCCATGATAAAAATTGCACAAATTATGATGATTTCTTCTATTTTGCGATTGATTTATAATATTCAGCTAATACATTCCATGCAGTTGGTGCCATAAATCCACTTGGTGGTTGTTCACCATTTCTCGCCAATCCTCTCATTTTCGTTCCACTAATATTTTCAAAATCATCTTTTCGACTTGGATCGAAAAACGTCATTTGATTAGCCGTTTTATCATAAGCAGCTACACGGAATGGTAATATTTTGAGTGATTGTAAACCAGGCGCCATTGATAAGACTTTTGCGCCATGCGATGCTTCATACAAATTCTCCGATGTATTTGATGGTTTTGCAATTCCAGCTGGATCTCTGCCAACAATATATTGTTGAATTCCGGCAGCAATTCGAGAACGAGCATGCCATTGAACCTCGGTTGGACCAGCATATAACATTGGTGATGGAAAGATTGATAAAACAGTCCAGGATTTGTCGAGAATATTTTCGTTCATAACAGCTTCGTGTTGTTTGATTCGAATATTTAAAGGAACATCGTCGTCTTTTGTCCAACCACCCAATGGGTGTAAAAGGAGAATTGGATTGCGATGATCCTAGAAAATATAATTTTTTAGGGCTTTTCGGGTGACTTTTGAAAAATATCCAAACATTTTTTTCAAAATTAATTTTTAGAATCTTTGGAATTTTCGTAAAAATAAAATCTTGGAAAAACATCTCAAAATTCAAATTTTTCCAGAATTATGATAAGAAAATGTTCTCCTTTTATCCCCAAATCACTCACCTTCAACAATTTTTCCCTAGTATCTTTCATCAATAATGCATGTCCATTATGAATTGGATTTCTCAATTGAAACGCAAAAATAGCATCCGCATTTTTCTCCTCAAAAATCTTCCTCAATTCTTTCGGCGTCTTTCGATATTTATCCAATCCATCATTCCATTCAATTTTCTTCAAAACTTTCAAATCTCCGCCAATCAAATAATCGCCACTTTCCATAATCTGAGCAATTGTTGGGTGTTTGATATCATTTGTTCCAAATTGTCGACAAATTCGCTCTTCTTTTCGATGCTCGAAGATTTCAATTTCCGATAAAATCGCATAAATTTCATTTTGATAGGTGAGAGTGATTGAAGTGGATGACGTGGAATTCAGATGGTTTTTCGTGTCAAGAGAAATTGGAAGAACAATTGGAATCGATTGATTTATCTGAAAAATAAAAAATGGAAATGGAAATATTGGAAAATTTAAACGTGCAGAGCAGTTCACGTTTCAAAATTGGATGAAAAAAACATATATTTTTTTCAGAGCCAAATTTTGATCTACAGTAACCGTGATTTTCGACTAAAAATGGACCAAGAAATTGGATTTTTTTTTAATGATCTTCGGACCATCAAACACTCTTTAAAAAAAACCACGTGGATTCTGAAGCCCTAAACTCCTCTCACCTCTTCTTCAATTTTCCATTCTCCCACTTTTCCATCCTCTTCCTCCTCAATTTTCTCTCCAACAAACGCCACTTTTTTCTTCAAATCCAACAATTGTCCAAAATGCAAACTCTGCAAATACTGTCGTTCTCTCATAAATCCTGTCAATGGTGTCGCCCATCCTTCAGCCAAAACTTGCAACCATTGCAAATCCACTTTGGTCATCTCAACTTTTTCCAATTTTTCAGCTTCCACCAAAATTTCAGCTCGATGTTCTTCGTCAACAAACAATTCGCGAACAACTTCTTTTTCTTTTTCTTCTTCTTCTTGCAAAATGCTACGTGGCACAATTTTTTGTTGAGCAAGATATTGCAGCACTAGTTCCAGACATTCGTCGACTTTTTCATTTCCAGCGTCGAGAATAATTTCAGCGTTTTGCGGAGCTTCGTAGGCACTATCGATTCCAGTAAACCCACGGATTTGTCCAGCTCGCGCTTTTTTGTAGAGCTCTGAAAAGTGGTTGCTGGAAATCTAAGGGTGACGGGTTCATGCCTGCCTAGTTTAAAAGTCCAAAATAAAGGAAGGAAAAATGGACGTGGCTTAAGAGGTCTCATTTTGTAAAGAAAAACAAAATGATTCTCATGAATAAAAAGGAAAACTAACGTTTAGGATCTCGTTTCTCGCAAACTTCCAGAGTTGTGCTAACATGAACCTCGATGAATTTCACATTTTCCTATAAAAAATAAATATGAAAATTCTGTTGATGTACAAATTTCCTTACACTTTCATGAATCTTCCTCGCTTCCAATCGATCTTCTTGAAATGGCGAAATAAACGAAGCCAAACAAATCATTCCAGAATCGGCAAAAAGTTTCGCGACTTCCGCGACTCGTCGAATATTTTCCTTGCGATCTTCTTTCGAAAATCCCAAATTCTTACATAATCCATGTCTAACATTATCTCCGTCTAAACCATAACATGGAATTCCGAACTCGTTTAATGTTCGCTCCAATGCAAATGAGATCGTAGTTTTTCCGGCGCCGGATAATCCGGTGAACCAGATTGTGCAACCTCGGAATCCTTGATGTTTTCCAATTGCAGCCGCACGTTCTTCTCGACTTATTGTATGTTGTTGAAATGTTACATTTGTTGATTCAGATGACATGCTCTGAAATTAGATTTTTTGAAATGCGGCACGGTACACAGAAAAAAAATGAAGGTGACCTAGTTTCCATTTTTTCAAAAGAAAACTCAAAGTTTCACTACAGTACTCAAATTTTTGCATTTGTGCTTCACGGTGTTTACACACTGTTAGAGGCATTTTAAGGTTTTTTGTCGAAAATATTCATCTCTTAAAATTTTTAATTTAATTTTTGAGCATAACAATGAGCTTAGCAATTTTTAATTAAAAAAAAACTCACATTAAATCTGGGCTTCTTCAAAATCGGCATATTTTGCGATTCTTCTTCGTTGCCAAAATCGTTATTCTGATCGCGAGCCGACAACATTTTTATACTTATACTTACAGCAGCTCCTCGCAAATGTGGGCGTGGCCTAACCTATAATTAACTTTTGTTTTTCTTATGATTTTTGTGTGGGTTTTAATGATAAGTTTTGAAGGCAGAACATCAAAAATCTGAGCGGTGAGAACATTTTTTTGTATATCAACGGTGAATGAATGAAAATTTACATTGAAATGTAAAAAATAGACAGCATGAGCGAAGCGAAATTAAAAATATTGATTTTTCAGAACAAAAATTATACATCTCTATGAAAAATGAAATTTTTAACGAGTTTTTGAAAATAAGAGGATTTCAAGGGGATTTATTAGAATAGACTGTTCTCGATCTGTTGATATTTGTTTCCGCCCGAAAAAATTTAGCCTGTGAACCGAAAGCTTACCGCTTCAAAGGTAAATTGCTATGACGTGGAAACTTACACGCGTTCACTGGGAATTATGAAGATGCGCGGAAGCTAGCGGTTCATTTAGTTCTACGCAAAACCAAATGACCAAAAGCCTAATAAATAACAAATAGGAAAACAAAAAATTTTAATAATACAGACCAAAAACTGGATATTTCTCCTCCTATTATTTTTGTATGGGAGAAAAACAGAGAAGGAATGACAACGTTTTTGATCGTGATCTATACAATATTTATCAGTCGGCTTGAATATCCAGAAGGATTTGAAAATGGAATGAAAATTTTCGTTGGCGCACTTTTATAAATCCAGAAAAAACTTGTTTGATTCGTTCGTTATATTTCGTAGCAGATTTTACAGATAACTACAGAATATTGATGTGTGTCTTTTGGAAAAAATGTTAGATAGTTCAAAAAATATCTGGACAATAGAAAGCAAGAAAGAATTTTCGGACTGGATGTTTGCTTACGTGAAATTTGTAAATATTGAGATGTCACATCAGATCAATTCTTTATTGTTTGGCCCCAAAAAACCAATGGTGAGTTATGACGTGGCAAACCTGGGATATATATCATTTTGTAGATTTTTTCACGCTGAGAAAAATCTCGCTTCCAGTTTTTTCCGAACGACTCACCGAAAGGCAGAAATTAAAGAAATTGAAAGCGAGATCTCGTTCAGCTTGAAAACTCTACAAAATGGTCACAAATTTCTGACACAAAAGTTACAAACATTATTTCAATTGCCACGTCATAACTCATCTGAAAAAATCCAAATTCAATATTAAATGGACTTCAAAAACCATTTAAATTCAAAAAATCCAACAAAATTCTCTTTTTTTTTCTTTTCGCAATTTATATATTCAAACTGTACAAACAGGCATAATTTAGCATTTTTTAGATCGGAAATGAGGCAGAAAAAAAAACATAAATCAATATAAAAAATTTATTCATCCTCAATTTTTGTTGTCGTTTTTGTTCCACGTGTTTCTTTGTCCAAAATAACAGTTCCAATATCATAAGTTGAAGGGACAAATGTGGAAAATTCGGGAAGTTGGAAGGTTTCACCTTTGTCGTTGTTACAGTAGTGACGAATCTGGAAAAAAACATTACTATAATTTTTTACAGTAGCCCTAGGAATTAAAAAATAAATATTAAAACTCTTTAGACCTACAGTACCTCAATATATGGTTCTGGCGAATTTTTGACTCCAGGAATCCAATCAAAATCATCTCCACATCCATCCAATTGGAATCGACCATCTTCGTTGGAAAATGTGACACTGAAAAAATTTGAAATTTCGACGCAAAAAGATTAGGAAGTTTTTGGGATCTGAAGGATCTCAGATTTTGAGAAAAGTTCTGAATCTGATCACCTTCAAAACCTTTCTCAATTTTTTTGCTCAGAACTTACCCCATCAAATCATCTGGATCAATAAGTTGAATTGGCCCAGGTCCATCGCGATCCCAAACTCGAATCTGAACGAAAAATTGGATTCTAGATCAAACCAATTTGTGGAAAATTTTCTACAGTAATCGTGAACAAGAAGTTTCTGAGATTTCAAAGAAGAATATAATTTTTGATCTATAATAATTTAACTTGTCTACAGTAACCCTGAGACCCCAAATTTCTAGGGATAATTTTTAAGTACAAAACTACCCTATGTGAATATCACAGTGCCCGCCTGCCCAGAAACACCAACCTCAACATTCAAATTTTTCGTCGCATCTTTCTGACATTCAACCTTTCCCAACACCCAAACACACTCTCTTCCCGCCAAAACCAAATTCAAATTCACACCCAAAATGACGAAAAATATCGCCAATTTTTCAGTCATTTTCTTCTGAAAATGCTGAAAATCAATGAATTTTTGAACACAAAAAGAGAGGGGATTAATATTATTAAAAAAGGATAGAATAAAAATGAAAGTATGACTAAATAAACATGGGAAAATAACATAAAATGAAATGAAATTTTTTGTAGATATTCAGAAAAGAAGAAAAATAGGAGAAAATCTAGAAATTCTGGAATTTCTCAAGGTTTTTGGTTTTCTTGTGAAAACAAATATAAATAAAACAAATTCAAAAAATCTCATAAAATGTTTTTTGTTTGAAAAAAGTTGAGTCATACTTTTTTAATTCGATAGATGACCTAGAAGATATTTAGATCAAATTATCGATTTTTTCTAACAGAAAAATGCCACGTGGCGAAAAAATGGCGTCAAAAATCAAATCGATATCACTATCAAAGAAAAAAAGCGAAAAAAATCAAGAAAAGAAAAAACTGGCTAACAACCAATCATCAAAATGTCAATCAAAGAAAAAATTGCGCAAAACCCAAAATTATTTTTCTTTTTTTTTTGAAAAAGAAAATGAAAAAGTTGAGATTTTTCAAAATTTATTATCAGATAATTTACAAAAAAGGATTTAAGGAGGGGGAATTTAGTCCAAATCGATTGGATTATTTTCGAAATAGTCATTTGTATCGGGCACAAAAATCGCCGCATTCGGTGGTGTGACTATTTTCGTTTCCGAGCTGAAAATATCAGATTTTTTCTATTTTTATCTTGAATGGTGCTATGCAGATTAAGAATTTGTCAATTTTTCATTATCTCTAATCAGGAAAAAAAAATAGAATTTCAGTTTTTGACATTTTTCTATCGGAAAAATATTAATTATCTGGTAAAAAAATCCAGATTTAAAAACTTTCGAGCGACTTTCAATTTTCAACAAATTAACTACATAGAAAATAAAAAAAGAGCAACACAAAAATAATATGACGCATCTCAAGAAAATCCATATGTTTGACCATATGTCACATTTTTCATGATCTGATCAAAGGGCAATTTTTGGTTAGTGGGTTCGTCATTTTTTGCCCACGACTAAAAAAATTGATGATTCATTTATGAAAACAAATCATTTTTTGTGTAATAGTATAGTGAAAACTGTACAAAAAGCCCCTTGCATGGGAAAGAAAATTGTATTTTTGTCCATTTTCCATTTCTACCTTTTTAATAATCAATAAAAGAAAAAAACTCACAATCCTTTACAAGAATGATGAATTCGAAGATAAAATTCGGGATGATTTTTGAAAACCACCAATAAATTTGGATCATCTGCACAACCATCGACTTTGAAATGTCCAGCGTCTTCTTCTGTTACAATTGTTCGACCAGCCAAATCATCTTTGTTGAAGAAATTCTGGAAAAATGGGGTTTAGGTGAACATTTTGGAACTCTGTGAATGGAAAATTGGACCCAAACGCAAATGTTCAGGGATCAAATTTTTCAGGATTTTCTGTCTACGAAAAATCTGTTCCGATTTTCAAAACCGGCTAGATAAGGTCCGAAACAGGAAAATACTTTGAAAAATCGCTTCAGGACCACACAATCCACTGAAACTCCAATCAATCTGATTTCAGAAAAAAATTTGAATGTTGGAATATTTAATAAATCTTTTATTGAACTTTAAGCTCAAAATTTAAATAATTTTTGAAAAATGTTGATTTCAGGTCAATTTTTATCGAATTTTGATGAACAATTTTGAAATTTCAAATATCTATTTTGTTTTATGCCAAATGTTCATCGAAAGTAGGCAAAATTCAGTTGAAATGAAGAAAAATACGGTCTTTTCATAAATCTCAAATTTTCAGCTCCGAAGCTCCCTTAGTTTTTCCCCTTTCCCTACTTACCTTATATCCAATATCACTATCATACAATTCAACCACCGTATTCACCAAATTCTCCATTTTCGAGCATCTCAATCTGCCAACAAACCATGCACAATCTGAGCTACCAAGTGATATTTTGAACAAAATCGCACAACACAACACAAATCTCATCTGGGATGGAAAAAATATTCTTTTTGAGAAAAATTGATTTGAAACAATGAAGGGAAAAACGAGAAAAAAAGCGAATATCAATACCAAAACTTTATAAATAAATATGTAGAATAAAAATAATTTATCACATTGATTCATGCAAAAAAAAAATAATAAAATAATCGATTTTTCTTCAGTCTTGGGGGTTAGACAACAGCCGAAATGACAAGATCGGAAACAAGTGGCTCGGTTGACCTGAATAAAGATATGACTAATAAAAAATGACCAAAACAAACAAATTCACACTCTTTTCTTAGAAAATGGCTACTGAATTGAGGCGGGAACACATTTGCACAAAAAAAACATCATTAAGTGAGAGGGGCGATGAGAGATTATGAGCAAAGAGAGACGCAGAGAAATGATATTAGATGAAAAAATAGGGATGGATAAAGGACACCTGCTGATCAAATCGATTGTTAGACAAGACAAAAAGTAGCATTTCCGGTGGAAAGAAATGAGAACGGAAGTTTTGAAACAGGAAAAAAAGATGAAAAATATAAGAGATTTTGTTTGACTTTTGACTTGACTCGAGATAAATGTCATGAGGATTTTTTTCTGATTTTCAGATCGAGAGAAAATAAAATAATATGAACATTGTTCAAAGATTGTGATCAAAATTACGAAAATTTTAGATGGGAAGACTTCTTTAATTATTGAAAACGTGTAGTTATTTCAAAATTAATAATCAATAAAACCATTTCAAAACTTTTTAAAATTTGAAGAATTATGGAAACTTGCTTTTCAAAGTGTTTCTTCCTGAGTTCAATCATTATTTGGATTTATAAACTCAGCAAAATTTTGAAATTTTCATTTTTCAACAACAGTTCATTTTTTTTCCAATGATTTTGGAGAGAAATCATTCTCAATTCAGTAGCCAGTTCTCTTCAGAGTATAAAATTATTCGAAAAAATAACTCACCTAATAATAATATTCATATTAATTGAATTATCACTTGGATCAATAGCAACAGTCGCTTTCGACAAAACATCATATCCACCTCTAAAAATACCAGACAACAATACAGTATGTTGTGTTTTTCCCTCTCCAACACGATCCGATCTTTCACATGGTGATAATCCAAGAATTTCAGCAATTTTCTTAACAGCTTCTGGAATTGTATCAACAGTTGATAATTGGAATGTTTCCTCTCTTGCTGAATCTTCTCCCAATGCTTCCCAAGCACTTGCAAATGAACTTTTTGAGACAGCTTGAATTGAATCGGATACAGCAATTTCGACTTCTTCCAATACATATGTTTGATCATAAGTATCTTCCGAATCTGGTTCTCCTGAAGTTGGATCAACATCCATTACTTTGAACTTCAAAATTGCTCCAAGACTTCCAGAAATTGCACCAGATTCTGGGAATTCAAGAATTGTGTAAGCTGATTGAGCTTCACCGTAAGGTAATTTTGGAATTTCAATTGATCCAGATGGTTGCCATTCACTTTCTGGATCTTCGAGTTCAACAGAAACATCCAAAAGTAATTGATCATTCATTGTATTTTTACATTCAAACTGAAATAAAATATTAATTGTAGAATAATTCTTTAGTCTTTAATTCAGAAATCTTACCTGCAAAACAATAGCATTTGCAAAAGTATGCTTGATAAGATGAACAGTATATTCAGCAATTGATTCAGTCAACGCAATTCTTGTTCCAGATTTGAAAACTGGTCCAAGTTTTGCAATTTCTGGAATTGCAGCAAGTTGTGCAGCATAAGGTTCCACTTTAACAGTTTTTGGTTTTTTCTTCAATTTCAACAAGTGCTGGAACACGTTTTTCTGGTTGTGATAATGCTTGAGTTGAAACTGGAACAATTCTCAAATCAAATGGTGCACTATAATTTCCAGATTTCAAATAATCCAAAACAGCTCTTTCCAAACCGGATGGCGAAATTTGAAGACCATCCAAAATGAAATTATGAATAACTGATTCTCCGGCTTCAGTCAACATTTTCAAATAGAAAGTTGCTCGATCACGAACTTCATCATCGCTATCCAATAAACATCTTCTCAACAAAACTTGAATCGATTTTCTCAAATCAACACATTGTGCTCCGAATTTAGCCAAAGCAGTAACTGCAGCAGCTCGAACTTTAGTGCTTTCAAGAATAACTCGATTATAAATAAATCGAATATAACTACTTGGATTTGGTGTTTTTGGTGCTTCTCTTCCCAACAAATGTAGAACTCTTGTTGACAAATTATCGTGTTCACAATCTTCGATAAATTCACACAAATGAGCCAAACCAGCAGTTTTTGCGTCTGGATTCTCTTCGATGATTGCAATAATTGTTTCAACAATAGCTTTTTTATATTCAAAACTTCCATCATTTCGAAGCATTTTTGCCAAAAATGGCATCATAACAGCATGTTTTCGTGGATATCTTGAGCATAATGAGCGAATTGCATCGACGACAACAATTTTGAATTCATCCGAGATTTCATTGACAAATCCACTGATTTGTTGCATAAGTCGTTCGACACTGCTTTCAGCTCCAGTTTTGAGAAGAGTTGTGATTGCCAAAGTTGCAATTGATCTGGAAAATATTGAAATATTCTTTATGTTTAAAAGGGGAATTCTAGGCGCAACATCTTAACAATTATATTCATTAGGCTCTGCTACTGGAAAATCAGCTTTTCTAGGCGCTGATCCTTGACAACTTCAAACTAACCTATTTGAATCAGTGATCAATTTCTCCAAATCAACATTACAACTCATAACCGCAGTTGGATGAGCCATTGCAACTTTGTTCAAAGTTCTAACAGCAGCAAAACGAAGAGCAGCTTTTGGAGAAGAGCAGAATAATTGAAGAACAGCAATTGCTGGTTGAAGTTCAGCAGAAGTTGTGTGTGGAAGACTGACAATTGCACTGGCAGCTTCGTAGACAACCATTTCACTCTTATGGCGAAGGCTTGATTCGATGAAAGTGAACATTGAGGAATCTGGTCTGAAAATTGAAAATTACGCTATTATTATTCATAAAATATGAAAACTTACTGATCATCTTCGACGAGACAACGAGCAGCAATTCGAATCAAATAACAGACAGCATATGGTGAACGCAATGAGTTTTTGCTGAATTTTTGGACGAGTTTATTAACAGCCAAGCGATCATTACAACGAATGTGATAAAGAAGACCAAGAGCGTGATATTGAACCATATGATTGTCAGAAGATACAGCTTCTTGAACTTCATTTGCCCAACGACGAACAACTTCTGACGACTTTTTCATAAGATGAGTTGATGAAACAATTGCGGCTGATGAAACTGAACCATTTCTATCAACAATTGCTTGTTTCATATATCTTTCAATTGTTTGCAACATTCCAGTATCAGTAATTCGACAAAGTGCTCTTATAGAAGCTGGTCGATAAACATCTTCTCTTCCAGTCATATCTTTTGTCAAACTACTTGTTACAATAATAACATCATCCGAGATATTTGATAATTCTTTGACAACGAGATAAACCAATCTACGAAGATTTGCATCTTTACTTTGCCACAATTTGGTGACAGCAAAGAATGCTTCAGTTGCTTCGGTTCTTCCGATTGACTCGCCTTGTTGGATGATGTAGAGCAATTTTGTGAGGATCAAACTACATTTTCTCGCGTTGATTGGAGTTTCGTTGAACGCACGGGCTTCTTGGAGGACAGATGTTTTGTCCAAATGCGCGTAGAGATTTCCGCTAGATTCCTCGTCTTTCTTGTCGCGCTTCATTCTTGATTGTGCTGCAAAAACATGGGTTTTAGATAGATAGAGATTGGAAATTAGAAGTACAACATAATTATAAAATTTCATGGGATCCTTCAAAAATCTAATTATTGTGGCAGAAATGAATTGAAACTACAGCACTATTATTAAATGTGATTTTTAGGGTTTCGAATAGCAACTTCAAAAAATAGACTTTTTAGAGGTTTTCGGAAACCAGAAAAAATTTCACAAAACTATACAACATCAAATATCACAAAACAACATCAATTATCACCTTTCGGTTTACCAGACATGACGTGTTTCAATCAAAAACAGAGGGATTTCCCCGATAAAAATCCTGCAACGTGTAAATAAATGTTGCGCGTCAGGTGCGGTGTTCTCACACACACATGTTCTGCAAACACGAACGCACACCGTACCACCAGTCAATAATGCGTCATTTATTTATTTTTCTTTGTTTTGAGGCAAAACCTACAATTTTTCATGTTTATATTCGATAAAATCATTTCATAAGTACAAATAAATAAGAAATACCGAATTCTGAATACTATTCAAGTTCACGTTCTCACTTTTTTGTATTTTTTGAGGCCAAAAAAATTTTTAAATGAAAATTTTATTTTTCAGGGGGGAAATGGCGCAAAGAAGACCGCCGCCAGCCACAGCAATACGAACAAATGCTGGACAACAAAGAGTTTATAGACAATCGGTAAGACTAACCTGCCATCAAAACATATTTCATTTTCAAACAAATTGAAATGAATTTTCCGCCGAAAATTTTCACGTATTACGTGACAAAAATTCAAAAATAAATTTATTTCCAGCAAATTCGATATGCTCCTGGCGCTGGTGGTGAATCAGAAATCTCATGTTGTGTAAAATATTCAGTATTTGGTTTCAATGTTCTATTTTTCCTTCTTGGTTTCTTCCTTTTATTAATCGGAGTTTGGGCACAAATCGAGAAAAACAATATATATAGTCATTTGAATAAAGCATCGAAATTATATTTGGATCCAACTTGGAGTGTTCTAATTGTTGGATTTTTGACATTTTCGATTGGTTTTAGCGGATGTGTTGGATCGCTTCGAGAAAACACAACGTTTTTGACATTTTATTCAACGCTATTAGGATTGTTGTTATTAGCCGAGTTTTCTGCTGCTGTTTTTGCATATTCTTGTCGAGATCAATTGGATACCTATATTAGGAATCTATTGAATGATGTGGTTAGTTTTTTTTTTGAGCGTTCAATTGCCAAGAAGGAGAAAGCCTCTTTTGAATTTAAAAAATTCTAAATCTTAATTTTTCAGGTAATCGGTTATCGAGATGATCCAGATCTTCAAGTTCTCATCGATACAATGCAAGAAAATTGGAAATGTTGTGGAATAAACGGAGCCGATGATTGGGATAGAAATACATATTTCTCAATAGCAGCACGAGAAGTTGCCTCACCAGAAGCTGGCGGTGTTCCATTTTCTTGTTGTATAAACAGCAGTGAATTGGATTTCAAAAATTTCTACTGTGGACACGGTGTTCGACTGAAGTTGGAGAATCAAATCAGTTCTCGATTATCAGCTGCACAACGTGTTTTAGCCCAAACTGCCGCGATTTATACAGAAGGATGTCTACCGAAACTTCAATTATGGCTAAATAATAATGTTTTACTTGTTGGTGTTGCAATGATTGTTATTGCAATTATACAAGTTTTAGGCATTTGTTTTGCACAAAATTTGAAAAGTGATATTTTAGCACAACGAGCCAAATGGTATTATACTCATTGATGTTTCTTTCATTTTCAACGAAATTTTTCTTGCCCAAAAATCTCCCAATTTTTACTGGTTTACTTTTGACACACAAAACTTTGTATTTCCTTCATTCATAATAAACTCACTTTTGTCTTGAAAATCTGAGATATGTTATTTGAAAAACAAAATTGTAATTCCGATTTTTAATCATATTTTTTGGTTGTTTTGAAGAAAGATACTAACAAGTTGAAATTTTAGTAAAAATGCGGAAGAAAATTTTGGATTTTTTGCTGGGAAGGAGCGACGAGGCAGAAATAAGGGAAGAGGAGAATTTTGAAATTAGTGTGAGTTTTTTGTTTTTGAAAATTTAGGCTGCGACAATTCTATGCCACAACCTGGTTGTTTGGCAAGGAGACGCGCCTTGAGAGACCCTAAACCAAGTAGCCGAGCCTAGAAATTATTTTCTAGGATCGGCTCCTTACCAGCGTGTATCTCTAGATGCGGGTCCTAGACAATTAGGTCCTCTAGACGCACCTACTTGAAAACTACGTCATCAAAATCCATTTTTTCAGGAAGAATTCAAAACGCATATTTACAACGAGCGTCCTTTCAAATTCGTCGCCGTGTTCTCATTTTTCATCCTAGTTTTCGGAATTGGTCTACCACTTTGGACATATACAACTTCAACATATCGTGCTAATTTTAAAATTCCTCCTGCTAATCGAACTTTTTCCATACCAATTCATGTTCGATTTTTGATTTCGGAAAATCAGAAATCTTTACAAAATGAGCTGAAATCGACGATTTTGGAAATAGAAACGAGTTTGGCTTTGAAAGAATCAACAGATCCTATGAATTTTGAATTTTCCACTGAAGTTTTGATTGTGAAAGCGGAAAATGAAGAAGATTTTGAGGTAAGTGTCGAAGATTCGATCTCAAATCATGGAATATGATATTTTTGCAGAAATTTGACGATGGTTTGAATATTGCTATAATTCCTGCTGAAAATTGGAAAGATTTTAGTGCCACAAAAATCAAACTAGGCAAAAAATACACCCATTTTGCACAATTTGACGGAGATTTATCGAAATTCTCATCACGAATAATTGAATTGATTTGGGATGTTTTAATTGATATTCCACATTTGAACTCAATTATCAAACGAGATCTTCGACAAAAAATGAAACCGTGGCAAATCGCTGCACTTCCGCTAAGTCATCAAAAACGATTAGTTTGGGATTCGACGCCGATTCAAATGGAATATCATGTACAAATTATACATTTGTATGATAATTTTGGAACTTCTCAAAATAAAAATACAAAGGAAAATAAGTTTGAAACTGCAAAAACATTGAGACAATTTGCAAAACACGCTGAAAGAATCACAAATATCGAAGTGACTTCGGAGAATTTATGGGATTTTGAGATAACTAAAGAGTTTTTGATGCGAGATGTTCAAGAAAGATGGGTTTTGACGCATGAAAAAATGGAGGAATTAATTCGAAAAATTGATGCGCAGACACAAACTACGTTGAAAAATGGAATGGTTTTGAGATTTGTGATTTTGGAAAGTGATATTGTTATACTTGATTCACAAGGAGAAGATGTTGAAGGAATTGCGGTTGCTGCATGGGGAGCTGTATTAACAAGAAATGAAAAGACTGAGAAGAAAGCGATTGCTGCATTAAGGTGAGCAGATTTGAAAGGGAGGAGACGGGGAATCGTGAAACATGCATCTCCACGGGCGAAAAAACAAAACAAAAAAAGCACACTTTTCTCACTGCGGACTTGGCAGAAAAAAAGGGGCGTGTCATGTACCTTTTAGCTACGTGTAATTACGTGATTGGCTGGGATGGGTGAAATCGGTCTTTTTTTTCGAAATGAGTGACACGTTTCACTGACGTGTCAACGGTCCGCAATCACAAAATGTGTTTCTTTTTTTCGCCCGTGCATCTCGGCCAGATTTGTGGCTCTCAAAATTGTGCGCTAAATTTTTTTTCAAAATTCTTTTAAAATTTTTTGGACAGTCGTAGTCCAAATATGTTTTTACGACTTGAAATCAATTCTTAAATTGTTGTTTCCAGAATCCACCTTGGCCTCGATGCCGAATTATCATCCTCCTGGTCTCGTCCACCAATTCCACTTTGTAAATGGGAAATCGAAAGAGCTCGCCTTCGAGTTTCAATCGATAATGCAATGAGAACATCAAGTTCAATTCGAGCATTATATGAAATGACACAAAAAATCACAAATATTGTTATAAATGAAGAAGTTGCTAGAAAAGCAACAAAAGCTGTTGAATTATTGGAAAATGGATTGAAAAATGGAACTATTGATTATGATAAGGTAACGAATTTGGGGTTTTTGTCCTGTTAATGCTGAAATTTGATTTCAATGATCAAAGGAAAATAATTTCCCAATAAAATATTATCGTATTTTTATCGGAAAAACTATAAAGATAAAACTACAGACTGCACGATGGGCAAAAAAATTTGAATTTGGACATTTTGGCGCCAGGAAAAATCACATGTAGACTACACGTGATTTTTTACACCAAAGTGGAAAATATCAAAAAAAAAATCTGAAACATCGATTTTTGAAATACAAAATTTTTTTTCATTTTTTTTACAAAAAAATTTTTTTCCATTGATTTTCATAGGATTTTCATAGGATTTTGATAATAAAGATAATAAGAACGATTTGTCTAGAGGTCATTCCTCAATTTCCAGCTCCTTCTGGCTCGTAAATTATCCGATGATGCAAATTCGAATCATTCATTGTTAGCTCTTTTATATTTTCCAATGGATCAACGAACTGCTGTTTTAATTCCAATTGCAATTCCAATCCTCTTTCCAATTGCAAAGATTGTACTTGTCATTTTCAAAAAATGTATTCTACGTGATTTTGTTTGATTTCCGGGTTATAAACTATTTGTACTTATCTAACTCAACTTTATGAACGTGGAAGAACCAGAATAATTGTGAAAGAACCAGAAGCTTCCGAGTGAGCTTGTCACTTCATAGCAGCTCGCGTTCGCGTAAGCTGGTGGTTCTCACGCGCTCGAAAAAAGTCCGAGTTTTGAAACCGGATTCACCAAACGATAGAAAATTTTAATCCAAACCTTTTTTTTTGGTTTTTTGATTTTTTTGTTCGGTCCGGTTCAAAACATAATTTTTCCCGTTACAGACCACATTGTGCACTGTTTTTCGACACAAAAATCGAAAATAAAACCTCGTGATAAGAAATTCATAAATAGTCGAAAATTCAAAACTTTTCTTATCAAAATATTGTTTGAGTCAACTAAAAAAATAAGTAATGCCAACTTTACTTGAAAAAGGCGAAGGACTGGCTGAAACTCATGTGTTTCTCGAAGATATTCAACAGGTTTTATCACGAAAATTTGGTGCGAATGCGAAATTGGATGGCAGCACAAAATATACGGTGATTGGTGATGGAAATGGATTTTTGAGCAAAGTTTTGTTGATTGAGCCAAATTGGAATGAAGAGGGATTGCCGAAAAAGTGAGTTGGGGCCAGAATAGATGTGTGAGGTCTCGCAGCGAATTCTTTTTTTTAAATCTACAGTACTTTCATAAAGTTTCAAAATTTGATCTACTATAATACAGTAATATTCCCTGAAAAAACTCTAAAAACTTCCAAATTTTCACCTAGAGTATTACTGTAGGTTCTGTAGTTACTGTAAATTTTTTGGAACAATCTTCTCTGGAAAAAACTTGGGGAGTTGTAGCTTCTGAAGTTTTTCTGAAATTGTAGTTTATTTTTTTCACAATTTTTCTCTTCCAGATTTGTTCTCAAAATTGCCTCAGCTGTTCACATCGCCTCAATCAGTGAAAAAATGAAAGAAACTGGAATGGTTTTCCCGCCAGAAATCGAGAAAAAAATGTGGGAAAAATTCGAAAATGAATCAAAACATTTCCACAATCGAGAAGTTCATGTTTATCAAATATTCGAAAAATGGAACATCCCAAATATTTTACTGAATCCAAAAGTGTATTTCAGTCAAGAATTTGATGAAGAAAATACATTGAAAGGTTTTATTGGAATGGAATTTGCTGAAAATGCTGAAATTCGTCATATTTATTGCAATGTTGAGCCAGAAAGTTTGTATCCGGTAAGAAAATTTGATGATTTGGGGAGAGGGAGGGAAGGGTGATGAAATTGTTAAAGGCCTGACTGATAACGAAATTCTTGAGAGTATCAAACAACACTCATTTTGAAGGCAAAATTAGACATCTCTTCGGAATTTTGAATAATAGTTTCAATAGATCAAAACACGATTTCTGGGTGACGTAGATCATCGATCTTAGCTGGAAATTCACTGTGAGACCTCGACAGATCAAAAAGTATTCATAAAGTTTCAAAAATAATTTCAAAATTCAACAAATTCTTTACAGGTTCTCAAATCAATCGCAAATTTCCAAGTGAAATCTCTTACAATTTCGGAATCTGATCGAGAATCAATTTCGGGTTTCAATTATAAAGAAATGATGAAAGAAACTCAAAATGATGAGACTTTGAAAGGAATGTTTTTGGGTGTCAAAAATATCGATGAAAAAAGATTGGCTGAAAAATGCGAGAAATTGGCGGAAATTGGAAGTGCGTTGCTTGATCTCGAATTGCCAGAACATTTGAATGAGATTGAAGGTAAGGTTCGAGTGGAGCAAGGACAAACTTCATGATTCACTATGACGTAGAGTTCTGAAAGGAGAATTCAAAAAAAGAATTCTACTTTCCTACAGTAACCCTAATCATTTAATCTTCAGGAATCAAACAAGATGTAATGGTACACGGTGATTTATGGGCTGCAAATATAATTTGGCGAAAAACTGGGGAAAATGAATATGAAGTGAATAAATTGCTCGATTATCAATTGGTTCATTTCGGAAATCCAGCTGAAGATCTTGTTCGACTATTTCTTTCAACACTTTCTGGAAAAGATTTCAATGAAAATTGGGAAAAATTGGTGGAGAAGTTCTATGAGTATTTCTTGGAAGCTTTCAATTCTGAAAATCATGGCACTTCTGAAATCCCGTTTAGCTTGAAACAATTGAAATCCTCATTTGATCGATTTTTCTTGCTGGCTGCATTTTTCATGTTACCAATGTTTGGACCAATTGCTCAGACTAAACTAGCAAAAGTAGGAAATGATGATATAAATGAAGATGAGAGATTGAAGATTAAAGAAATTTTGGCGGAAAAATCGGATGTTTTGTTGGATAATATGATTAAACATTATGAAATGTATAAAACTATCTAATAAATTTTTTAAAACTACATTTCTTAGGAACTAGAGTCTACGATTTCAGGACATATTTTTGAGGCGCGCCTTTGGAGCTCAGGGGTACTGTAAGTAATAAAATTCAGAAGGTGCTCCAACAAAATGTTTCAAATTTCAAATAAATCAATTCCACGTTTTATAGAACACGTGACCCTTTTTTTCAATAAATTCCGAAAAATGTATCATTTTGATCAATTGACAATATAAAAAATGACAGTGAGTTTTCCCCATTCCGTCAAAATATGTACAAACCCAACAAATATTTTGTCAGACCCCTTCAAAACTCAATTCTGAAAATTACTCGCCAATTCGTCGTCTCTCAAAAACGCTGCCAATTTTGAAAAAAGTCGGAGAAAAAGTGAATATTCCGCAGGGCGGACAATTAGTTTGTTGTTCTTCGCGAGAAAATGGAGAATTATTCTTGAAAATCGAATATAATCGCGAATTTTTGATGAATATTTCAACAAATTCTTTCATCGCCAAACAAAGACCAACGAATTTTGCTGAAATTATTGAAGAATTTCCAGAATTATTGGGAGATTGGATGGGAACATTTGAAGAGAAAAAAGAAAAAGAAAAAGAAAATGGAAGTGCAATGAAAGATGAAAAAATAAATGAAAATATGAAGAAAATAATTGGAAATGCAATTCGTGGTCCAATCACACCTGTTTCAAAAAATATTATTGATTCGCATTTTGAACATATTTGGACACCAAAACAATTGTTTAATGAAAATATTGAGATGAGTCCATCGGGTTGTCCAATTATTCGACAAAATAACAATATTATTAGAAATCCAGACTTCTCGTAACTTGTTTCACAAATAAATATTTTTGAATTGAACCAGTTTTATCGTCGCCCTCTCATTAAAATCCCGTAAGATGAAATTTATTTATTTTTTGAAAAATTCATCGATGACTTCATCCATGGTAAAATTAGGAAGCCTTCCTGATTTTGCCACAAGTCATTTTTTGAACAAAAAACTTGAAATTTTTCATGAATTTGATGAGAATTTTGGTGTAGCCGGGTAGTGCAGCGCTTTCTGATTTTACACTCTGGCCACAACATGTCAGCTCAATGAAAATTGGAAATCGGCGAGAGTGAGCAGGAGACGCAGACATTTTCACGTGAAAATCTATTTTTTTGCATTGAAAAAATAGATGATAATTATTTTTAATAAAAACGTGAACTACGTGGCAGTCGGTTTCTTTTTTTCTGCGTCTCCTTGACTCTCACCGATTGCTCTTTGACATGATGTGGCTATGGTACGAAACCCTGTCGGAACTTTTTTTTAATTTTTTAAAAATATTTTTTCAACATCAGAATTTTTTGCAATTGTCCAAAATTCTGAAAAAGATATAGGTTATGTCAATTCCAAAATTATTGCTCACAATTAAAAAAAAATTCACTACCTCAAACCGCTAGACCTCCAATTTTTTAAAGAAATTTCTGGTAGATCAAAAATATTTTTCTCTAAATCTCTCACTTTTGCGTTGATTTTTTGGGTGGTAAAATACACGCTGTGTATTGTTGACAATAAAATATTGCTCACTATAAAAAGATATCCGCGTGGCCTCCTATTTTTTCTTCTTTTTTTTTCTTCGTGTGGAACCAAAATTTTTTTTGATCAGTTCTCAGATTTTCAATCATGGAAAACGACTTCAAAATTCACTTTGACTATGTGGAAAACACATCGAACGACAAGGAAGATTGGAAATGGAACAACTTGATTGAAATTATTGGAAACGATTTGGAAAAATTTGAAGATAATATACATCGTGAGTTTATTCTTCATTTTTTAGAATTATAAAATCTTATCCATAATTTTCAGATAAAATATTAGTCTTCACAAATTCTGATAGAACAACTAACAAAATTGCTTGTGATCTATACGCCAAGCTCAAGACTAAACCTCTTGTATTTCCATTGCAACAGTTTGAATCACCAGAAGAAGAAGAACACGCAAAAAATAAGGAATTGATGGAAAAGTTCAGAAAACAAGCTAAAATGATTGGAATAACACATTTTGATGTTTTCAACAAAACGAATTTCCCGTTCGCAACACATTTCATATTTTATGATTTTCCGATTCACTGGCAGGAATTTTTGGATGTCTTCGAAAAAATTGGAATGGAGTCGACAAAATGTAATATGGCTGCTAGAATCACTGTATTTGCAAATGGATCACCAGTTCAAAAAATTAGTTACATCCACGCACTTCAAAATGTCGGAGAACCGCTTCCGAAATCATTGCAAAAGTTTGTAATGTAAGTTGAGTTCATGTATTCCTCTATCACAAGGGACTTCCATAAGTGTGATAACGTTTTGAAAAACAGTAAAGGCAATCTTATAGAGCTCAACTTGCTGAAAACGATGGCACAAAGAGTAGCTGCTTAGGTCCAGTCGAAGCGCGAGAAAAAGAGACCCGTACCTAATTTTAATATACAATTTTTAAATGAATCCCGCCACGTTATATTTTTTTTTTTCATATTCTTGAGATGAAGATTTTTTGCGCCAAATTCTTTTTTTTTCAAAACTCGTTAGCAATGAAAGTCCGTTGTGAGACCATTGTTGAATTCCTACAGTAATACTCGGAATTTCAGTGAAAATGCATTGGTTTCGTTGAAAAAATTGAAGCTTTCGGATGTTTCAAAGGATAAAAAAGTGTGTACAACTTTGCAACCAGCTCCTCAAACCCAAATTCCGATGAAGATTTCAAACGCTGATTCATATGAACATAAATTAATCACCATCGCAAAGGACTTGAGTTTTGGAAATTTTAAATCGAAATTGACAGAAACTGATTTCAATTATTTTCATGCAATGACACCCGAAGAAAAACGCACTTTTCAAAATTCGGTCACCGAAGAAATATGGGATCATATTCTGAAAACCAATATGGAAACAAATCCTTTCAGACATGAATCGAAAAACATTGCAGTTATGATTCGAAAAATTATAAAAGATGTGAAAAAACAAATCGAGGTGCAAGAAAGATTTTGGGAAAAAGGACATACACAATTTGTGATGATCATTTTATTCAAAAAAGTTCATATTTTATCAATGAACACATACAATAATATCAAAAAACCATGCAAATTCTGCAGTTCAAAAACACACTTGAGCAATCAATGCGTGTATTATCCGACAATTGAAATGCGACAGTTCAGATGCAAAGATATTGGTATTTGTAATTATTGTGGAATATTTATGAAATATAACAATGAACATCAATGCGCAGATAATATTCAATGTTATTTATGTGGAGAAAAAGGTCATGTAAAAGCAATTGGACATGGACATCAAGATTGGTGAACTAATTAAAGGTTTTTTGGAATGTACTATTTAAATGAATTGAATAAACTCGTTTTATCTTCAGATTATTTTTTGTTCAACTTTTTCGGCTCAAAATTTGAAATTCATTGATTCATGAATAAATTATATTTCATAAAACTTGTTCTATAAATAAAAAAAAGAAAACTTTATATCCAAGAAAAAAGAAAAAGCGAAAAACTATGCCACAAAGAAAAATAAAAAATACAAAAAAAGAAAAAGTGTGTTTTGTTCCCGACTAAATGGCAAATGCACATGGAATGAAACAGTAAAAAAAAACAAGAGAAGCCTAAAAATATACTTTTTTTTTGAAATCCGTGAGTTTGTAACGTGTTTTTTGTTGTGTATAAAATAGAATAAAATAAAATATCACCGGTTTTTGGGGAAAAACGAAACAATGAAAAATATTTGAATCCGGGGTTTTTTTTGGCATCACGAATTATGTTTTTTTGTTGCAAAAATACTTGTAATCACTTGTGGGTTTGGAGGGGACAAAATAGAGAGGAAAATAGATAGAGGACTATGAAATGAAATCTAATAGATTCGACTAAATTAAGGCCTAAGTGACCTAAAAACAAAAAAAAGAAGGCACCGACACAAAAAAGCTAAACGATAGATTTTTTTACGAAAAAAAAAGAAGAAAAAAGAGGATTTTACTCATAATCAAGTCGAAGAAGAAGATGGTTTCCAATTTCCAATTCGATTTTTCAAAACAGCCAATTTTGATCGTAAATCAGTGTGTTTTTGACGAACCTGGAAAAAGAGAGAATGAAAATAGGGATCACGAAGCATTGCTCATATTATATTGATTTTTGACATTAAATTTGAAGATTTATGAGACCAAATAATCCTAGGAGAAAATAAATCAGGTTTGCCAAAAATAGAAAAAATTTAATTGTCACGTTGAGATGGTTTTACTGTGATTTTTTACGTGACAAAATGACGTGGCACTTTAAAATTTAATTTTTACTTTTTTTTCAAATTTTTGACCATACAAAATTTTTTTTCTCGTCAAGAATTGATCAAATTTTTCCCCGCTCCCAAATCTAACTTACTCTCATAAATTCAGGATCCTTTTCATAATCACCATATCTCGTTTGAATCGCCTTCTCAATTTCCACATTCTTATCACCTCTTCTCAATTTAGTTTCCAAATCTCGAAATTCTTTCGAAACATATGTCAATTTCTTATAGCATTCCATATAAATTGGATAATCTTTTTGAAATATTCCAAAATATTGTTCAGCTTGATGCGTCGTCTTGATTTCTCCATATTCTTTTTCCCAATCACAAGATGGTTGACTTGGCGATGAAAGTGAAGAAGCTGGTGAGGAAACACGTGAAGATGCTGTCGAACCACCGCCATTTTGTTGATGTTGATGATTATGATGATTTTGCACCAAATTTGGTGGCAAAATATGACTATTATTATGATTTTGATGATGATTATGTTGATGTTGTTGAGGTGGCAGTGGTTTATTGTTGACAACAATTTCAGTTCTCGCTCGTTTTTCTTGCGAACCTTGCGATGCTTGCGGAACATGCGCTTTTCTTTTAATTCCTTGCGGTGCCGGAATATCCATTTCTTCGTCTTTCTCTTCAATTTTAACAGGAGGTGGTGCTGGTTTTTCAGGCGTTTTTTCGGCAGGCTTTGGTGGAGCGGCGGATGATGAGGAATCAGTTGGATTCCGGCGGGATGAGGCTGTCATTTTCTCCATTCCCTGAAAAAATCAGATTTTTAAATGAGACGGTGAAAATATGAGAAAAAATCTCAGTCAAAATTCGGCCATTTTTTATCAAAATTTAGTCGAAAAACTGGGCAGAAATGAAATTTGGCACAATTTTGAGAGCAAAAAAAGGAAGAAATAAACAAATGAAAATAATTATAGGGCTCAGAGAAAAATCAATTTTTTCAAGAAGTTTTCTTCGAAATTTGGCCAATTAAGGTTAGGGCAAAAAATTTATTAAAAATTTCGAAAGATCTACAGATTTTTCTTCTTATCTAAAAAATTTTGAAAAACTTCTTACAACTCGTTTTTTCGGACAAGAAAGGAAAATATTTTGAATTTTAAAAAATCGAACCAAATTCTACCTAACGAAGAATTGCTCATATTATATTGATTCTTGAAATCAAAATAGGAACTTTATGAGACCAAATAAGCCTAGGAACCAAAAATCAGGATTGCTCAGATTAGCTCAAAATTTGGATAACAATTGCGCATGTAAAAAATTCAAAAAAAAATGAATTTCTGTGAATTTTTCTGTGAAAAAAATGAATTTCTGTGAAATTGCTCAGATTATACAAAATTCCGAATCCTAGAAAATACCAACCTTTCTCCGTGTTGGTGCAAACGACGAATCCTGTGGTTGAACCGTAACATTCGCCGCTTTCTGTTGAATTTTTCTAACCAATTCCTTTTCTTCAGTTGTATAAAACGGCCATCGAAAATTGACTTCCGGCATAAAATTAGGTAATAAATACAAATATGGTGAACTTGTTGAGAAATCACCCAACTTCTTAACCAATGATTTGACAACATTTCCATCACAATCAGCCGATAATCCATCACTTGACAATTTCGCATAAATCTCTTCCCAACTTTTATATTTTTGTGTGACAATAAGATGAGCAATGCGTTTACGTAGAGGTTGGGACAATAAATTGGATTTCATCATATTATCTGGGGTTGGTGTTTTTTGCGAACTTGTTGATGCTGAATTCGATGTTGGTGAAACTTTGGATAATGTTGAGGATTTTGGTGTTGAATTTGAGGAATGCGATGATAAATATCGAGATGAGTTCGAGCTAGCAGTGGTTGCTTTTGGCAAATCTTTTGTTCCCCGTGATTTTTCAACTTCTGCTCGTTTTTCGGCCCGTTTTCTAGTTTCTTCGAATGATTTGTCAGTTGCTTGAATTTGATATTTTGTTTTGTATGTTCCAACATTCCGAATTTTATTACCCGTTTGAACAATTGCATCCGTTGGATACTAAAAACATTATATTTTGAGAAAAAATCTGTGGAAGAAATTCTGGAAGAAATCAAAGACCAACCGGTAACACTTGTTTCTGAAATCGAAACGTATTGTTGGTCATCGAAGAAGCGGCGCCGTCACCAATTTCAATAGTTCCGCCTTGTTCTTCGATTCGGATTCGCATTGGTTTTCCCGATTTTTGGCAATTTTCCAATGCGGCAAACATTTCATCGGTTAATTTCACCATAACAACACCATCCGATGGAGAAAGGGAACAAGAGGCGATTCTGAATCAGCGGAATTTTTTTGTGTAGGAAAAATAGGCACTTTTTCAATCAAAACTATCAGATTTTCTAACAATGAGATCTACCACGAAACATATTCATCTTCTAAATTTCCTTCTCTCCAAAAACCCTTTTTCTTCTTACCTTTGTACATTAAGAGGTTGATTCGATGATAGCGGCGAGGATCCATTCAAATGAAGATTTCCATTCGAGACAAATGAATGATGATGATTATGATATTGAGGATTTAGTTGATTCAAAAGTGGATCACGTGGCGAGTTACCATAACTTCCATGTCCATTGTTTGATTTCATCATCATCATTGTGTTTCAATTTGTTCTTGTTCCGACCCGTATAAATATTTGAATGTAGATTTTTAGAAATAAAATGAAGACACAGTTGGAATTTCTGAAAAACCCGACTATTTGACAAGATTTGAAGAATAAAGAATGGTAAAGGGTTTGGGGAAAATTTGGTATTTTTTACTAGAAAAAAACATCTTGGGGTTCACGTTTTTATGGAAATTAGATCGAAATGCCACGTTAAAATTTGGAAATCACTGTTTTTTTAAATAATTTCGTGGTTTCACAAAATTCAAATAGTGATGAGAAATAAATTCACAAAATTCTTATCTGTAAATTGGGTTTGAGAATTTTCTAGAAAATTCTTGGATCTTCCGAAATATTCTTTTCAATTCAAATGTTTATATTTTTTTTGAAATTGAAAAAGGTGTATTTTCGAGCAAAATGTCAACATTCCAAGGGAAGTGTATAATGTCACCAAATGAACTTTTTAGCTCCAAAAGGGGTGCTCCGGCTAATTTTTGACTTCAGAATCATTATTATATTTCATCAAAATTTCCATCAGGGATCTTTTTTCTCGAAAAATTCCTCACCTTCTAAATGTTCCAACCAAAAAATAAGCAGTTTCTGATAAATATTAGTCGAATAAAAATAGGAAGAAGTTGTTGTTGTGTTGACCCCGAAAACAAATACAAAACAAAACAATAATAATTGACACAAGTCCAAAATCAACAGCCGTTTTTTGTCCCTCTTTTGGCGGCGATCTGCAAAAGTAACATTTTGATTTTTAAAATATTGAAGAAAATTGAATTTATTTGTTGAGAAAAACAGATCAAATGTATACAAAAAAAAAATCAATTTTTCAACAAAAAAAAACGTTTTTTTGTTAGGGGGTAGAAAAAGGGGTTTGTTTGATCTGTCGGGAGTGCAAAAAACTTGTTTCTCTCATTTTTTGGGGGGCGAAAAACGAAAAAAAAAAATCAATTATCAAACAGATCAAAAGAAAGAAAAAAATTCAGGCGTCCCCAGACATTTCAATTCAGAAATAATATAAAATACACTTTTCGCCCCGTAATTATACAACATACACCTCCTCAAAAACCCTATAATTATAAGACTGCTAAATAGACAAAACAAAAAGTTCGAGAAGTATTTTGGGAGATGGAAAAACCTATGTAGCAAGAGAATAAATATGATGAAATATTACATCAAAATGTTTTTAGGAAGAATGAAAAAAAGGAGGAAAGTTTACTGATTATTGACAAAAAATGACTCAAAATAAAAAACCATTTGATTCCTAAAATTGAAAAACATAAATTTTCAGGAAAAATTAGATTGGAGCCAATTATGGTTTAGCATAGACTAAATGGCGTTTCCATTTTTTTTTCGAAATTTTTTTCGGGCTTCAAAGCTCAAAATTAAGGCCTAACACTCCTATCTAATAAGGGCTTCGAACAATTTTGGACCTAGATCAAGAAACTAAATAGACAGGTTAGGAGCTAAAATTACGAGGAAGGAAGCTCTTCAGAAGTCAAGGCACTAAATTAAGATCGTAAATCCAGAATCTTAAGGTTGACATTTAACCGCCAGTTATTAGACTTTTAGAAATAAAAATCCTGAATGCGAAATTTCGATTTTTCGAAAAAAAATGAAAAAAAAAATGAAATTTTTAGATTTAAAAAGAAAAAACCCAGAAGCTAGCCAAAAATTCCCAAATTCCAAAGAATCCCAAAAGTCCTAGACACTCTTCCAAACCAAAACATCAAACAAAATGAATATATTATAATAATATAAAACGAGCGAAAATCAGTGTTTTTTTCTTCTCCCCCCATTTTTTCCTTCGTTTTCCCTTCTTTCGCCGATTTGTCGCATGACTTATCGATTTGTTCAATCACAAGAAAAAAATGACAACACAGAAAAAAAGGAAGGAGAAAAAAAGAAGAAGAATTTGGCAAACTGGATAAATGATTGAGAAAAATTAATGACTAAAAATAACCAAAAAAAAAAGAAATGAAAAAAAAAACAGTCAGGGGGGTGGAAAAACATTGAAATTTGAGATTTTTCCATGAAAAATTTCAAATTGTAGGGATTTTTGGTCAATTGCCACTAGGCAAATGAGATATATCACAGAATTCTTGAAATTTCTCTCTAAGCACGACTACTTGAGAACTAGAATTTCTACGTCAAAAAATCAATTAATTGCAACGTGGAAATTTTCAAGAGAAAATTTGTGAAAATGCAGAAAAACATACCTGCGAGCCTAGTTTTTGAGCTCCGAAGTTCGAAAGAAATAAAATGTTTCACCTCAAAGAATGTTCAAAAATGAAGAGCATATCCAAAAACTGCGCATGTGAACTGATGCAAAAATATGCTCTTTAGAAATTCAAAGAAAAATTATTTTCTAGTTAATTAGGTAAGTGTTCCAAAATCACATCGTTTTCAAAAATTAAATTCTCTAAAAAGCGTATTTTCTAGTTGATTAGCGATGATTCTGGTCTATTTTCTAGTCTAGTCTGAAATTCTGAAAATTTTGTAGATCAAAATTCCCAGAACTCTCAAAAAAATCGATTTTTTCCACGTAGATTTAATTCCCGCCCGAAAAATGATTTGAAAAAAACCAATAAATTTCTATCAATAACAATGAAAAAAGGCTTGTTTGCAGCCGAAAAAAACGGAAGCGAGAAAAATATTATAAACATTCAATTCTGTTGTCCAAAATCAAATCAAAATGACGCAAAAAAATAAATTGAAAAAAAAAGAAGGCGAAAAAGGTACCAGTTACCATTTGCGTTAAACTTTTCTGCAAACAATTCGAACCGAACTAAAATGAGAAAAAACGGCGTTTTCTCGATTTTTACACATTTTATTGTATTAATTTATGAATTGATTCTTATTATTATCGGTTTTTTTTGCTTTTCGCTTTAGATAGATAGATTACTGTAGAATTACGGTAGGTGAAAGTGAATGGCGAAACAAAAACTGATAAGTTTTTTCGATGATCAGAATCAAACGGTTCCGGGTAGTCTGTCAATTTTTGGAGGGAACATTTTTGAGATTTCAGAAAAAGAATCCACGTGGAAAATGTTGGGAAACAAGCTCAAAACCTTATAGAAAACACAAGTTATGACGTGGCAAACTTTGGCTAAAAACTCGAAAATTCCGAATTTTTTTATCGGTCGTGGTTTTCAAAAAATCCAGAAAAACGATATAAGCTCAAACTTCTTCTATCATAAAAATCGCAAATTTTCTACGTCATAACAACTTCCTATAAGGTCTTTGTCCATTCTAAAAGATTCATGTGATCTACACGCTATTTCGGGTTCAAACTATAAATATTTTCTATATCAAATTCTCAATCCGCTAGAATCTTGAGATAAGACAAAAAACGGCGAAAACTTTGATAGGCATATGACTTTTTCAACCAAAAAATCAACTTTCGCGCCAAAAACCGTCAAACAAACAAAAATATCGGCAGGAGAAAATAGAAAAAAAGAAGCGAATTGAATTGATAAGGAATGACTGTGAAGAAAGAAAAAGATAGAGAAAAATCGGAAAAAAAATGATATATTTTTTGTGTGTGGACAACAAAAAAAACATCAAAAGCCATGTGATAAAAAAGAGAAAAACAAGGAAAAATTTTGGTGAAGAAAGAAAAAATGGCACCAAAATCATAAAAAAGAAGAGAAAAATGGGGGATGACATCATCATTTTCATTTTATTTTTGGTGACAAACAGAAATAGCACAACTATATATTTTTCATGGAAAAATTGGAAAACATTCGCTTTTTTTGGTCAAAATAAAATTGAATTTCTAATCTTTCCGGAAGCACAAAATTATGGTTTCGAGAAAAATTTTGAAGACATTATGCAAAAAAATAAAAAAATGTAATTGCACAAATTTGTGTCGAGAGACAGACAAAAGTGCAAAATAATACATTTTTGTGGCACACAAGAGACAATTTTTTGGAAAAAAACATGTTTTCGAAAAAAATGTGATGTCTGGCGATGAAAAATTTGAAAAAAAAACAAAGGAAGAGATCAAATTTGCAGAGAGGGAAGTTCATAAAGTGAACTTTTGATTTAAAAAAAATAGTGAATTCTGATGTCAAAATGTGCCTGGAAGCCGTTCGAGCACTTTCCTGGAGCCCCAAAATTGAAATTGAGCTTTTTTTAAACACATTATTATCCCGGGTGAAAAACCAAAATTCAATTCCAACTTTGGAGCTCCAAAAGTGCTCACATATGTTTTTCTAGCAATTTTCGACTTCTAAATCGTCATCGTCAAACGAAAAGCAAAAAGGGCACAGTTTTATCAAATTTTTCCTTCCGGGAAATTTTGAACTTCCCCTTATTACTAATAAGTTATTAGCTTTTTTTCGCTTTATTAATCCTCCTCCAAAGAATCCGGATAAAAATTAGATAAAAAGTCCAAAATCTTAAAACGAACGTTGTTATCTTATTCATTTTCTCATGAAAAATTCAAAAATAGCAGCGAAAAGCTTAAGTTTTAGAAAGAGAAAATCCTCTTATTTTTCAAAAATGATCAGGAATAGATTATATTCATATTTTATTAATCCTGGGCTAAAATACCGTGAATCCTCGAAAAAAAGTCAATCTTATCCAATAATTATAAAAAAAGAAGGAAAAAGAAGAAAAGCCAAAAAAGAGGCAAAAATATCAAATTTCTGGAAAATTCTGTTCAAAACATCAGGTTCAAATCAAAAATCAAGGATATGTTGAACTTAGCTTAAGTTAAGTCAAAAGAGAAACTGAAAATCAAGATTTCAGAAAGGGACAAAATTCAAAATTCTCAGAAATTCGAAGGATCTTAAGGGAACAAGGAATCCTAATCCTAAGGTTATCGCTTAAGCCTAAGCCCAAAAGCTTCTAAAATCGCAAGGAAAAGATAACAGTTCCATCCATAAATGTCTCTTTTCAAACAGAAAACCCAAAAAAAAATAACACAACACAAAACTGGCCGTCCAGTTCTTCTCCTTCTCCATTTTCCATTCCATTCCATTCCACAACCAACCAAAAAAAAACCGAACCGAGAGAGAAAACTACGAAATAGTATATGAAAACGAGAGAGTGTTAGAGACTCTTCTCTCAACACACACAAATATAATATATGAAGAAGAAATTTGTTCGTTGCCTTCTTTTGTTCACTGACCCGTCTATCAATATGTCTGTCTCTAACTAACAAATTTTTGAGACACTCTAACACATTTCATTCATTCATTTACAAACACATAACCAAAATACTTCAATTTTGGGAAGACAACAGGCCACGCCCACAAAACTGTGCCGCTTAACAGAACAAAAAACAATATGGGGAGAAATATCATCATCATGAGGAAAAAATAATAGAATGAACGTCATAATGTGGGTAATTGATAACGAAATGTGAAAAAAATTGATGGAGACAAACATTTTCATGGAAAATATTTTGAGAGGGGTTGAAAAGAGGCATTTTTGAGGGGAGCAGAAAATAAGAGATGTGAAATTTTGTGAGGGAAAAATCCACGCGGATTCCAGATAGATTTCAATTTGAAAGGTCGCGGTTACTTGAGACTCTGATCCTTGACAATTGAAAGTTCTAGGCTCAGCTCCTTGTCAGAGTCGATCTCTAGGCGCAAGTCCTAGACAATTAGGTTCTTAAGGGCTACTTGATTTTAGATAGAAAACGATTTCTAAGTTATCAGACTATAAATACTATCAACTTGAAATTTATCTGAAAATCCACGTGGTTTTTTTTTTAAATAAAGTTATTCAGTGTGACATTCAACTTGAGTTAGGGATTTCGGTCGAAAAATCATTAAACAAAAATTTTCTGAATGAAAAAATCCACGTAAATTTTTGAAATAAATTTTTTAACCTAACGACTTTTCAAATAAAAATCTTAACCCAACTTTTGGCGCCAAAATCTAAGCAAAAAAAAGAGCACACGACAAGAAGAAAAAAAAACCATTTCTCATTCCTCTCATTTCCTCCCTCTTTCCCGCGCGTTTTCTCTCATTCTCTCATACTCTCTCATTTCTCCACACTATTTCATTCAATTCGATCAGCGGCTGGCTGGCTGTTTAAATAAAAATCGAGAAAAACGGATTTTCCCCAGGAGAAAAATCAGTGAAAAAAAATCATAATAATTGGAAAATTGCAAAAATATTGGAGGAAGGAAGGAAGGTGTGTAATTTTCAGAACAAAAAAAAGTGAAAAAAAAACGAAGAAAAAAATCATTTTTTTTTTGGTTGGCGAAAGAAAGAAAGAAAGACAAAACTGGTTTTGTCAAACATTTGTCATACAACACAGAAAAATGTACTACTACAAATATATACTACTTCTACTTGTGTTTTGTACGTGTTGAAATGAACAAATTTTAGAAAAAAAGGAGAAAATATATGAGACTAGAAGGGCTTCGCTGGCTAACGCCATCTACAGTAGTTTGACTTACTTTTTCTGATTAATTTTCCGGTTAGGGAAAGAGAAACATTGAGAAATGGCTAAAAATTGTTGACTTTTTCAGAGAATAGAACGATCAGATAAGAAACGTGTCCTTTAATTTTTTTTTGGAATAAAAACGTGATCATTCTTTTTTACATGAAAAAAGTTTTGATTTTTCACGTTAAAACTCGCGCATTTTTTGAAAAATTGAATATTAGCGCATCGATGGGAAAGAATTTTGGATCGAATGGTGAAGGTCCCATCAAAAATGGTCTTCTGGAAATTGAGAAAAGTCGAGCGACACATTTTAAAATCGAAAAATACATTGGAGTTTTCAAACTTTTCACTCTCCGCGCACCCACAGACATTTTGAGGGAGAATTTTTGAAACGCGCATAATTGTGCCACCATTTAGAAACTTTTTCTTTTTTTGATCATCAATTTTTATGCGCACAGTTTTGAGAACGGACCGCGGACAGACTCTTGCCAAAAAAATTTTCCCAATTAGTATATAGTAGATAGGAAGGAAAAAAGGAAGGAACAATAACGGTTGATGTATTTACAATAGACATTGATTTTTAGGCCCGAAATTTGCGAGGGGGTGGAAAATTTAGTCTAGAAATCTTGAATCGCCCGAAATACTTATGACGTGGCAAAACTGAAATTTTGAACACTGGATTTTTACAAAATCTGAAATTTAATTTCTCAAATTTTGAAGTTTCAGTTTACAAAATAGTTCAGGAGGGTTGAGATTTCATTGAAATTTTAAATATAAAATTTCAAAAATGTGACGTCACAAAATTCATGAATTTTTCAATGATTTTTTTGAGTCTCCCAACGTTTTTGATAATTTTTAATGTTAATGCTTGGTGACCAAAATCCACGTGAAAAATTTTTTATTCAAAAATTAAAAATTCAAATTTAAATTTAATTTATTCAAAAAGGTTCTTTCATGAGCCCTGCCTGAACAGGCCAAAAGTCAAATTTCAATTTTTGATCGATCAAAACTCAACCTGTGGTTGCACGCACAAAAAAAAATTATGATCGGAGCTCAAATAAAAACGATTGCGCAAAAATCCGGTTCTTTTCTTTTTGCTTTTTCTTCTCACTTAAAAAATGAAAGAGCACAGACAAAAATCAATCGATAATTGTGGAATATTAAATGGGAAATCTAGCTATATTTCACAGAAATTCATAATTTTCCTTGAAAAAAAAACAATTTCTTCTAAAAAAGTTTTTTTTCGGTTTCAAGAAAAGATCAGCAGCAAATATTTGTAAGAAAATCCAGTTTTCACAAAAGCGATCAAAAATCTTCCCAAAAAATACAATGTCATTTTTCAAAGAGAAAAAATGGCGGAGAGAGGCGAAAAAATTATGTGTTCAGTTTATTTTGACAGCCGGTATTGTGCTATTGGGGGACAAAAAATGAAATCACGTTTTTTCGAAATGGAAAAAAATGAGACTTGGGGGGAAATTGGAGAGGAAGGCATCGGGAATCGAACCCGTGACATTGTGATCCACAAGTGCAACCACTACCACTGAACTATCCTTCTTCGAGAATAATTTAAATTTCCAAAATGAAATCTCAAATTCTCAATAGAGCATGTTTTCCCATTTTGTGAAAATGAGGCTCTGAAGACCATTTGAAATTCTCAAGAACTTCTAAAATGACTTATGACGTGGCAAATCTAGGACATTTCGAAAAATCATATCTTTGCGAGATTCTGACTAGCTTCCGAAATGAATTTCATCAAAATCTGAAAGCATCGATGGATCTATCACATAGTTACGATTTTTCAAAACGTTCCTACTTTGCCACGTCATAGCGCATATTAGGAGTTGAGATTAGCAGTTTTGGACAACGGAATCGTGATCAGTGGTTCAAAATTACCAGAAGACATACACTTATCATGTTAGAAGCTTCCTAGCTTGAACTAGAATCCCCGAAGAAATAGTAAACTTGCAAATATAGAAAATAATTTTCCGAGAAACGTTCCAGCCCAAAACGGGCGAAACAAAACGAACGAAATTGCAATAAACGGTTTCGTCTGTTTGCACAATTGGGAAGGGAAACGAGAACGAGAAGCGAACGATGAATTTGCATGAAAAGAAGAAAAAGATTGCGAATAGGGAAGGAAAAGAAGAAGAAGAAGAAGGAAGGAAAAAACGACGACGAAAACGCGATGCAAAAATGATGAGAACCAGTCTCTTTTCTCATTTCATTCCTGCCCGCCGCATACAACACATACATACAGTGTTATATGTGTTGCGCAGCCAGTGCGCGCGGGCGCCCCGCAAACGACAACGCTTTTTCATTGAAATACACACACATGTATGTACGCACAGAAATACAATAATAATAATAATATTTTTTGTCATATACAACAAGAATAATGAAAGGCGAAAAAGAAGAAGAAGCGATAAGAGAAGAAATAGGCAAAATTATTATTAATGTTGTGACAAAAAATATTTTTATTTATTTTTCATTGTTTTCACAAGGAAATATATCCGTAGAAAGTTAACTGTGAAAAGAAAAGAGAAAAAGCTTATCCACAAGAAGTAGAGAGATTCTTTTTGTATCTTCGAAAAAAGTACAAAAACATATGGATTAGGAGTTTTTGAGAAAAGTATAAATATTTCACAAGGATGCCTGCGACGAACTTTTGATAAAATACAACCAGAAAACCTTTGAACTCTTTTCTAGGGCTCCAAAGTTTGACAGGGGTGAAAACAAAAACTCATTTCCAAATTTGAAGCTCTGAAAAGTTCTCACAAGGAGTTCTGACAGTTTTTCACATCAGGATCGTAATTCACTATGTTTTTCAAAAGTTCATTACTAGAATATTAAGATCCCAAACTAGTTTAGTTTCTAAATACAAATTTTTATGTGAGAAAGATATCTCAATAAAAAAAGATGATAATGTGTTTTTTGCCTTTAATTTGCCGAAAAACATGCGAAAAATTCCCAATCAATTTCCTTCTCCCAAATCCTCCCCCAAGAAAAAACTGACCGTCTGTCCCACCAGTCGAATTATCCACCAAACGATAAAATCACCCGAGTTTTTCTGGAATACGTTAGGTTTGATGAATGAATAAAAAAAGAAATGACGAGGAGAATAAACTCGGGCGACTGAAAGTAGGGTTACGTGTCACGTTAGATATTTTTCAATGAATTTTTAATTTATTTTTTTGGAAAAAAATCATTTTTCACAATATTTCACCGTGGAAGTGAGTTTCTTTGGGTTTTCAATATCGAAATTTAACAAATTTTCATCAATTTCACATTATTTTCTCTCAAACCCCTTCGAAATCCTCGAAAAACAAGTTTTTTGGTCAAAAAAAATAAAAAAATAAAAAATGGAGTGAAGCAAACGCGCGCCGTTGCTAATTGTTCGTCAAGTTTTGGGTGGTGTACGCAATTCGTTTGATACTCAGGCAACGAATTTTTTTTAGGCCAGCGCATTTTTAGTGTTTTCTTCACTTTTTGGGCCCACAGTCCAGACAAGATGGTGAGTTTTGCTGAATTTTTCGAGGTTTTGAGAGGTAATTTGTTGTTTTCAGCCAAGCAAGAAGGTTATCAAGAAGAAAGTCGCCTCAGTGCCAGCGCACATCCGCGCCCAAACTCAAGTCCAAAAGGAGGTGAAAAACCCACTTTTCGAGAAGAGATCGCGCAACTTCAACATCGGTAAGTACTGTCAATATCTAGAGAAAGAGGCGAAAAAAAATAATATTTTCGAGTTAATTTATGGCGAAATCCCAAAATTTCGTATATTTTCGAAAATACTGCTCTTGACATGTGATTAGCGATCCTCTTCGGGGTTGATTGCTTCTCTACGTAGAGCATCGGGAGCTTTCTGTTAGGTTCAAACCCGGTCTACCTTGTCATATATCAACAATCTGTGCGGCCCTCTACCGCCTCTTGAGATGCCCGGATTGAATTGCATATTCCTTATCTCTCCGTAGTTCCTATGGAACCGTGACGGTTGGGACAAACCATGCAAATTACAACTAAAATTTATCAATGTTTCTATTTTCCAGGACAAGATGTTCAACCAAAGAGAGACGTCACCCGATTCGTCAAATGGCCAAAATACATCCGCCTTCAACGTCAAAAGACCGTCCTCCAAAAGCGTCTGAAGATCCCACCAACCATCAACCAATTCAGACAAGCTCTTGACCGTCAAACCGGTTGGTAACCCTTTTTTAATCAGAGTAATGTAATAAGCGAGCCTTGTGCTTCGCCATGATGCATTTTACCTCTGAAAGGGCAAGTAAGCATTTATACATTCCTGATATATTTTCCTCGAGTAACTTGGGAAACCGAGTTACTTTTTGAGTTTCAAAAATAATGGTAATTTTTCAGCCACCCAAGCTTTCAAGCTTTTGGACAAATACCGTCCAGAATCTGCTGAAGCCAAGAAGGAGCGTCTCCGCGCCCGTGCCGAAGCTCGCGCTGCCGGAAAGAAGGAAGAGGTCACCAAGAGACCAAACACCGTCCGTCACGGAATCAACACCATCACCAGATTGGTCGAGACCCGTCGCGCTCAATTGGTCCTCATCGCCCACGACGTCGACCCAATCGAGATCGTTCTTTTCTTGCCAGCACTCTGCAGAAAATTCAACGTTCCATACGCCATCGTTAAAGGAAAGGCTGCTCTCGGAACCGTTGTCCGCAGAAAGACCACCGCCGCTTTGGCTCTCGTTGATGTTAACCCGTAAGTTTATTTACCAGTGATTTTTAAAATAATTACATTTTCTATATTTTCAGAGAAGACAAATCGGCTTTGTCCAAACTCGTCGAAACTGTCAACAACAACTTCAACGAGCGCAGTGAAGAAATCCGCAAACACTGGGGAGGTGGTATCATGTCCGCCAGATCTGACGCTCGCAAGCTCAAGCTCGAACGTGCTCGCGCCCGTGACCTCGGAAAACTTTAAATTGTTCTGTTACTACAATAAATTGTTATTGTTAAAAACTGTTGTTTGTGAATTGTATGATTAGATTTCCTTCCGAGTTGACGTTCTTTCTTGACCAGTATTTTTCTGAAAGATAGCTTCGTGGCAAAGCATAATTTGTCGAAATATTTCAGAAGCAAGCTTGAATTGGCTTTTCCAGTCCTGTGCTGGAAAGCTATTTTCAATCAAAATTGCCCAATAGTTCTGTCAATTTTGGGAAAAATCCGAAAAACACGGCTTTGTGTTGAAAAAAACTCAATTTTGAGTTGAAAAAATATATGAAAAACATTTTTTCACACAATTTGCATTCACAAAATTATAATAATCTGAATTTCTCTTTTTTGCAAACTTTCCATTGAAACATTTTCGTCGCGAGCTATTTTCAACTTTCCTGGGGAAAAAATATTTATTTCGAGTTAATGCAATGAAAATGCATCAAAAATACATAAATCACAACACTGTAAAAATTAGTTAAAGGTGGAGTACGAGGAAAAAACAAGTTTCAATCATTCCCGGGTTCTTACTACACTTTGGAAATGTCCGTTTACTAAAAAAATTGCGAAAAAAGAGCATCGGAGAAAAAAACAAAGAGAAACAGCAGTCGGCATTTTCGCATGTAGTGGGCAAACGCGCTCTAGCGAACAAGTGCGAAATTCAAATTTTTAGCAAATAATTTTTGTTTTTTTTTGTTTTTTTTCAGTTTGAAGTCATATTTACGAGTATTTTACAGCCAAAGAACGATGAACGATCATTTTTGCACATACTGTGGTCTGAAAGGAAAGTATTTCGAAATGAAAGCAGTAACAACGAGTAAGAAGCAATTGGAAAAATGGATTGAAAAATTGGGAGTTGATTTTGCGAAAAATGTAAGAATGTATGGTCGCCCTTACATTTGCCGATCTCATTTTGTTAGAGATAGTTTTGGACGTGTCCCAGCATTGGCATTACCAAAACCTCTGCCATTCTCCTCAAACTTTGCTGAAAACGTGGTTATGACAAATTCAACTTCGAAATCAGACAAAGAAATTGCGGTTGCTCCAACTTCGAAATCGGACAAAGAAGAAGCGGTTGCTCCAACTTCGACATCATACAAAGAAGAAGCGGATGTATCTGAAGTTGTAGAAATTCAAGAAAAAACCGATGATGATGAAGATTTATCAAATTTGTCAGATGAAAGCGGATATGATTTGATTCAGCAACAAGTCGAGGCGGTAAAAGATCCGAATTATCAACCCAGCACTTCTGAATATCGACAAATTTTGGATGATGAAAGTTTTGATAATGATTTTGACCAGACAGTCGACGAGAAGGAGTCAGATATCGATTTTGTGCTCGTCTCTTTTCAACTTTTATTGCCCTTGATTTTAAAATGCTACAGTTGCTTTTCAATTGCAAATTACAAACTGTCGAAATTCGGAGCTGTTTTGACATTTGATTGCACGTGTGAATGTAGCAGGACTTGGAGATGGTCTACCAGCCAGAAAGTGAAGAAAAACGACAATACAAGTTCGAAAAGATTTGAGCTGAATGTTTCTTTGACAACGGCCGCTGTTACAATCGGATTATCGTATTCGGTATGTTTTGAATCTTTATAACTAGAAAAAAAATGAAATTCGATTTTTTCAGAATATCATGTCAATCTTCAGCGTAGTCAAAGCACCATTTATTTCAAAAACCACTTTTTATGAAACCAGAAGGCTTGGAGTCGTACCAGCGATCAATAAGGTTTTCATGGAGCAGAGACAAAAAATTATCAAGATTTTAAAACAAATCGTAAGTTTTTTTTGTGAATTTTGCTTTTCTGAAATTTGTAAAAAAAAAAAACGCCAACACAAAAATTTCGGAAATTGTGATAAAACTTTGATAATGTTTGCCTCTAATTTCCCAGAAAAACTAACTCATCAAAAAACTGAAACAGTTTTTAAAAATTATTCAAATTGAGGAGAAAATATTGAAATTTTACTAAAATATAATCTTTAATCATAAAAATGACGTGAAATGAAAAAGTGTTATTTCTTACAATTTAGAATATTCCGATTGATGCGGCTGGTGATGGAATGTACGATTCTCGCGGTTATTGCGCATTCTGGTGCCGGTACATTATCATTTGCACGCTCACAAAGTTCGTTTTACATTACAAAAATGTGAGGAAAACAGCAGGAAGTGAGTTTCAAACCAGAAAAATCGAACAATTTTTCAAATTTTATAGAAGGATCAAAAGGACTGGAACCTATTGCTCAGTCACAGTGTTTGTCGGAATTGGTTGATATGTTGAAGGAAACTTTCGTTAATGTAGATCCAATTCGAAGTTTGACGACTGATCGCGATTTAGCTGTGGCTGCAAACATGAAAAATCAGTTTCCAAAAATCATTCATCGATTTGATCTATGGCATCTTATCAGGAATCTCACTATGGACATTTGGCCGAAGAAAGATCAGAAGCAGATGATTCCAATTAAACCATGGATTCAGGCAATTATTAATAATGTATATTCGTCCATTCAAAATTCCGGCGGAGATCCAATAATTGCGAGAGAATTGGTTATGTCAAGCTTCGCACATTGTCTCGATCAACATTCGAATTTCCAAAATATCACATGGTACAAATTCACCAAAGTGAATCAATGCCGGCATTCTCCAACTTCAACAAGTCACGTTGGATTTTTGAATCCTAATAATGTGAAGGATATGAAAGCTTGGGAAGCTTTGAGAAAAATTTTTGTGAAGGGAAATCGATTGAATGATATTGGTCAAATTTCGGCACATTTTATGACAAGTGAATGCGAGAGCTTCAACGCATTATCGAAAAAATATGCGCCCAAAGATAAATATTTGTGGGTTTTTCTTTTTGAGATTGCAAATTTTTAAAAATTCAGTAGCAAATTCTACAAAACTTGACATTCAAGAATTTCCCTACATTTTATCTCGAATGCTTGAAATCCATATGAATTTCAGCCCGAAAAATATGAAAATCTAAAGCCTGAAAAGTATGACACTAAAAAATGTAGGACAGTTTTAAAATTAAAAGTTTGACTGTAGCTAATTATCAATTTTTTACAGTAGCTCACATGAAACTACAACACGACTAGCAGTTCTTCACTGGAATCATTTAAAAATTGAAGAATTGGAGGGAAGAAGGACTGTGATCGGTGGGAAAAGCTCGATGAACAAAACAAAACAGCAAAAACGAGTCAAAAAGATGAAATCACCGTCTGACCACTCTTGGAGAATCGAAATCAAAAACGCAGCACTTTCAATTTTTGGTAAGTTTTTTTTACTTTTAACATTCAGTGAACATATTTTTCCAGGTGAAGAACTTTCAAAGAAGTCGAATAATTTGCAAGAAGAGGAAAAAGAAGAATCCAGTGACGAAGAATTTTCTTTAGAGAATTTGACCGACAAAGATTACTTTGAAAAAAGGGTGAGTTAATATCTTTTTTTCAAATTTCAATCGAAATGATCGTGATTTTTTAGCTTCAGCAAGTTTTCGACGAATTCGAATCAAGTTCAGAAAAAAGCGAAAGCGATAGTGATGCAGAAGAATCAGATGAACCAGATGAAGCTGATTAAATCTTTTTCTTTTATCTATCTAAAAACTGTTCAATGTTCTTTTTTTCTAAAAACTCGTCAATTTTCTTTTATTTTTCACTTTTCTTTTATTTATCTAAAAACGTTTCAATGTTCTTTTTTTTCTAAAAACTCGTCAATTTTCTTTTATTTTTCACATTTCTTTTATTTATCTGAAAACTGTTCAATGTTCTTTTGTTTTCTAAAAACTCTTCAATTTTCTTTTTTTTTTCTAAAAACTCTTCATTTTTATTACAATAATTTCATGATTAAATCCCATAAAAGAAATTATCAATCACAATCATTCTCATAATTAAAAGTGAAACCAGATAAAAAACCGGTGTAGCTGGAGGATGGCCATTTTTCTCGAACTCTTTTGATGATGCAAGCAGGCAATGGCAACCTTTTCTTTTTCAGTTTCAAGTTGAGATCCGCAACAAACATTGAATATGAGTAAAATCGGTAATTCCTATAATAAACTCTTATGAATTTTAGAAAAAAAACTAGATTGACTCACGTTGGTTTCCAAGAATTATCATCAATTCCCAATCCAAACTTATATCCAGTTTTGAACACTTTCAAAGTCTGAAATAATACATTAATTCATTGTTTTCCTGTACAGAACCCACTTCCTCGTCCAAATATTTTTCGAAATTATCACAATCAACAATACATCTGTTGTGTTCACCCTTCCAAAATTTCTCTTCGAGTTTTTCCGACACCAATTTTCCTATGTTCGCTTGAAATTTCACATTTGATGGGAATATACTCGCGCAGCAATATTCCATGTCATCCAAATTATTACATTTACCACATAAACATGTTGCCTCGTATTCTTTAAACAACTTTTTCAGGCATTTTTTAGAATCTTCAATCTCTCGTTCGTTCATCAATCTACGGTGCTTTTCCATCTCCTCCAGTGTTGGGTCAAATTCACATTCTCCGCGCGTGTTCTTCAATTTCGTTTCCATTTAAAAGAGCTGAAATTTTGAATTTTTTGAAAAAACAAATAAAAAATAAAAAAAACACGAGAGACGTTTTTTTCTGTTGAAACATTGAGAGGGGGAAAAGAAAAAAATTGTCGTCATGTTTGATGCCTTTGCGTACTTCCAAACATCACAAACCGCATATTTTTGCAGAGCGTTTTTTTGAGACTTGTCGAACCACACCTTTAAAGTAAACCATAATAAATATGAATAAAGCGGTTGTCTATTTATCTACAATCTTTGTTTGATCAATGTTTCCAAAGTTCTGGCATCTTTCGCAAAATTACGAATTCCTTCAGCCAATTTCTCAGTTGCCATCGCATCTTCATTCAATTGGAATCTAAACACTTTCTCATCCACGTGGATTTTGGCGAGTTCGGATTTTTGAGCAACTTCGGAAGTCAACACTGGCGAAATTGTTTCGGTTTCATTTGCAAGTTGTTTGAGAAGAGCAGGGCTGGAAATAGAAAGATTTTGAAAGGATGAAATCCGGAAAACGGAAAGACGGAAAATTTTCGGAATTTTTTTGAATGAGTCTTTGGAAAATTTCCGGAACTAAAAATATACCTGATAGTCAATAAATCGCATCCAACAAGTCCCTTAATTTCTTCAGTATTTCTAAAAGATGCAGCCATTACTTGAGTATTATATCCATATTTCTTGTAATAGTTGAAAATATTTTGAACGCTCTGAAAAACAAAACTTATTTTTATTCTATTTTTCTTTTTAAAAATCTCACCAAAACTCCTGGATCATCAGATCTTGTGAATGTCTTCTTCTCGGTATTTTTGACAAACCAATCCATAATTCTTCCAACAAATGGCGAAATTAGGGTAACTCCAGCTTCAGCGCAAGCAACGGCTTGTTCGAAATTGAATAAAAGTGTCATGTTGCAATGAATTCCGTGTTGAGATTCGAGAATTCTGAAATGAAATTGAAGGTTTAAAAAAGGCTTGAAGATTGTCTTCCTCACTTCGCAGCTTGAATTCCTTCCCAAGTCGAAGCCAATTTGATCAAAATTCGTTCCTTCGAAATTCCCTCTTTTTCATATTGTGCAATTATTCCAAGTGCTCTTTTGATCGAAGATTCAGTGTCGAATGAAAGTCTGCAAAAAATACATCAATAGTATTCTGATTTCCATTACTAAAAACTTCAATCAAACCTTGCATCAACTTCAGTCGAAACTCTTCCAGGAATAGTTTTCAAAATTTCTTTTCCAAAAACAACAAAAAGACGATCAATCGAGGACTCCAAAATTTGTTGTTCATTTCCATTTGGATGTTGTTCTTTTGCATATTTGACAGCTTCATCGATTAAATTCGAATATTCTGGCATTTTTGAGGCAGCCAAAATAAGCGATGGATTTGTTGTGGCATCACGTGGTTGGAATTCGCGGATTGCTGCAAAACAACTTGAGTTTTGATAGAAAATATAAGATGTTCAAAATTTTTCAAGAACATTACTTTTTTCGCAAAATTTCAGAAACTTTCGATTTTTTCAAGAATTTCTACTAAATAAACTTTTAAAAATTTCAAAAACCAATCTAAAATTTAATTCCTGAAAATCATACGTTTCAAAATTAAGCTGAATTCACGGCGAAATTTTTGAAATTTGATCTCGTCTATTTGAAGTAAATAATCCAACTTTGTAAAAACAACAAAAGCTCAATTTTTGTTGTCGCAAAACTAAAACTAACCATTAAAATCTCCAGTATCCGCAACAACAATCGACGCCTTTTTCAATTGTTCCAAAACAGACATTTTCAGCTGAAAATTATTCTTTGGAGATGAAATTTCAAATTCAACTTGAAATTGAATTAAGGTTGAGGTATTTAAGGTTATACGGGAACCTCAAGGAAATAAGAGAAATACGGTAAAAAGGTAAAAATGACTTTTTTCAACAAAAAAACGATATAACAACAATAAAATTCAACAAAAACAAAAAATATATATAGTAACAAGAACAACAACAAAAAATTTCTAATTAAAAAAATGGGAAATCTAAAAAGAGTTAGCCGAAATGGTCATTTCAAACCATTGTCGAATTGATTCCGAAATTATATTTGGAAGTTGTTGAATTGATTTTACAATTGCATAAAATGGGAAGGGGAAAAGTGATAAATATGGAGTCAAAACCTGGAAAAAAGGAAGTTTGGGTGGATTTAAAAATATTGAAATAGCTTTTTTCCCGGAAAAAATTGGCCCAAAAATCGCAACTTTTGATGGAAAATAGGCGGGTTTTATATTAACTAAAAACGGCGAGAAAAAAATGAAAAGATATTAGAAGAAAATCAGGAGAGAGACACAAAACATTTTTGTGTCTGGTGATTTGATAAGAAATTATATCATCAAAAATAGCCCCAAAGAAAAAACAAATAATGTTGGGGAAACAGCGAATGAGGACTGATTTTTAAAAGTTCCTTGAAACAAACTTCAAAAAAACATTGTCTGATCAATTTTTTTTTTTAATTAAAGGGGGACTTCTTCGATTAGTTTAGAGTTCATTAGTGAGCTCCGAATTCACTCGTGGTGCTAAAAATTCAGAAATTTTCTAGAGAATTGATTAATTTAATCACAAATTCCAACGTTAATCGAAAATTGCATTTTTTGATCTGATAATCCACGTGGCAATTCCAGACAAATTCAAGAAAAGGTCATGACTATAAATTTTCATCAAAAACTTGCAGACAAAAATCAGAACTTTGATGTTTTCATTTTTGCAGGAGAAAAAAAAATAAAGAAACCGGTTATCAATTTTCATTGAACAAAAAATAAAAACACATTTTTCGAACGCCATTAAAATTTTATGTGAAAAAAACGCGAACTCTGCTGATTTTTTTTTTGAAAATTTCATAAAGATATTCTGAACTTCTTCTCCAAAAATTCATGTGAAATAAAAGGTTTTTTCACCTTTTTTGAAAAAAATTTCTAATTTTTTGAAAACCTACAAGAATGTATCTCCGCACATTTTTCTTCTAGATAATAGTTTTAACTTTTGCTTCCCCAATTTCCCCTCAAAAACTCACAACTTTCCCATCTTTAAACGAAGCAACACTCAATTCTTCAATCGATTTTTTACCCGAATCTAAAATCACAAAAAGCACAGTAACTCCTTGAAGTGATGCATATAATTGTCGAACTTTATCAGCTCCTTGTGAAAGTGTTCCACGACCATCCGAAATGATAATCAACATTTGTTCAGATGTTGGAGTTCGGATTTCATCGAGTTGTGATTTTGCAGTTCGAAGGAGACATAGGAGATCAGTTTTTGTTTGATTGAAAGTTAACTGAAACAAGGAAAATGTTTGAAAATAACGAATCGAGATCAAATTTTGACTTCAATTTCATATATATTTTTATTTTTCCACAGAAAAAAATGAGAAAAAATTAGGTTTTTTGACTGTCTCGAAATTTTTTGTCAAAATGTTTTTCTCGGCTCGAAAAACCACATCAGAAAAAGTGAAAATGAGTAAAAGGGATTTTAAATTTTAATTTTGAAATAATTTATTAAATTCAAATTTCAAGTCTTTACAAGAATATGTTATGCGATGTCCAAAGTAAAAAATATAGCAAAAAATGCGAGAAGATATCATCCAAAGCTCGCCTTATATTCGAAATTGTTATAAACCCCTGTTAGACTCTGGACGATATATTTTCGCAGTTTTTGTTTTATTTTTCACTTTAAATCAGCGTTCGATGTATCGATTTTCAAATATTGCACCGTGAATTAGCCGAAATTTTGAAACGTATGGTTTTAAGGAAATTAAATGTTGAGGTTTTTTTTTGAAAAGTTTGAACATTGTCCTATTTTACGGTCCCAATATTCAGATTAGCTTTTTTTCTCAAAACTTCCTCACCTTTTTCAGCATTTCAACCGAACTTGCAGCTGTCGCTTCACCAAATGGAATAATTGTATTTACATCGGAACCAAATGAGCAAACTGAGACTCGACCAGCATCACATCTGAAAAACACAAAGACTATGAAAATTCCTGATTCTCTTAAATTCTCTCACCTTCTCAATGCATCTTCAACAATACAAACAGATTCACAAGTCACTTCATGAATACCATTTTCATTCATTGAACCCGAATCATCAACAGCAATCATAATCTGATATTCTCTTTGTGCTCTTTTTGTTCGTCTCATCCAAATTCGATCTTTTCGATATTCACTTGCAATATATGGAATCAATCGCCGCATATTTAATCGTTTTCCGCTTCGATAATCACCTCTGAACAAAAAAACATGGAAATGTGAAAGAAAATTTGAAATAGAGAGGAAATAAAAACTTGATGACCCAGCAAATGCTTAACAAGTTGTTTTGATTAATAAAATTTTGAAGAAAAAACTCTGAAGGTTTAAAAAATCAAACCAAGAAAAATTTTCTGAAACTTTTTTTTTTTATTTTCGAAAAAATCTAAGCCACGTGGCAAAAATATCCGAAAAATTTTGGAATTTTTTGAAAATTTGAATTTTGAGCAATAAAATAATGTTTAGCCTATAATTTTTTTATGATTTGAAAATGATCAGGATTTTTTGAGAAAAAGTGTTTTTATTCCTTCATAAAACTCACTGCATCTTATTGGCTCTCTGCGGTTCCAAAATCAATCTCAAATTCTCCGCCAATTCCGCAGCTAATAATCCAACAGTTCTCGACATCGCAGCCCATTGTTCATCAGCTTTTTCATTAATTTCCATTTGACTTGATGGGTTTTCTCGATTTTCATTATCTACTGGAATACCCTCATTTCCCATCGATGTTTCTCCATTCGAAGTCGATTGCTCCAACTGAATATTCTCAATAAATATCCGACTTTCTTGCACAATTTCCGAATTCTCATCATTTTCATCAATTCCATCATCTTCACCATCTCCAAATATATCACCAACATCTTCTCTGCGTCTCTTCTTTTCTTTTTCTTTATCAACATCTCTTTTCGTTTCTCTAGCTTCTTCCAATGTTCCTTTTCCAACTTTAGTTCTATCAGATACTTCTGCATTTTCCCGTTGTTGTCCATTTTCTTCATCTTCTTCTCCTTCTCCCATTTCAGCTTCATCATCTTCTTCAGTATTCTCTTCGTTCTCCGCCAATTTTCTCTGTTTCTCCTCTTTTTCCTCACTATTTCCTTCATCATCCTCTTCATCCTTTTCATTTTCTTCTTCTTTCTTTTTCTGTTTCTCTTGTCCTTTTCCATCTTTTCCTTTCGGATCACTCTTCGTTTTTCCTTCTCCTTTTTCATCCTCTTTTTCTTCCTCATCATGTTCCTCTTCTTTTTCATCTTCTGCATTTCCTCCATCTTCTTGATCATTCTTTTCATTTTCTGATTTTTCTCCTCCCGTTCCTTGTTCCATTTTCTCCGCTTCATCTTCATTTTCATTCTCAGCTTTTTCCTGATCAGCATTCTCATTTTCCAAATTATTCTCTTCCATTTCTTCATCTCCTTCTCCTTCAATATCACTTTTATCATCTCCATCATCTTTATCTTCTTCCATTTTTTCCTGATCATCTCCTTGTTTTTCTTCTTCATCATCAGAAGCATCTTCATCGCTAAAAAAAGGAAACGTTTTTTTAGGGAATTTTTGTTTAAAAAATGGCTAAAACATTCGGAACCTTTTTCACTATAATGTTCTAATAATATTTTGTAAATTTCAAAAACAAAAGTTGAGTAGCTCAATTATAAACACGAGGAATTTTATTCTAGAAATTAGGTCATAAAGATTTGGCCCGTGAATAATTTAAAAATATATCAAAATGTGCCATAAATTGATAAATTCAGAAATTTTGATATATTTTTATTATTCTTTCTTTAATTTTTGCGAATAAAATTGACAAAAGTGGCAATTCAGAAACTTAGATCATTTCTAATAAAAGTCTATAGTCCCCTTCCAATCCCAAAATCACTTACATTTCCTCATCATCCTTCAAAATCTTTTCCATTTCTTCATTTTTCTTCTCATCTTTTCCTCCATTATCATCCTCTAAATCTTCTTCATTTTCTCGATCTCTTTCATCAACATTTTCCTGATCATTCTCATTTTCCTCCGCTTCATTCTCGTCTTCTTTCTCTTCATTTTCTCCTTCTTTTTGAGCATTATCTTCTTTTGCAACCATTTCTTTCGATTTATCTTCAGCTCCTTCTTGTTCTTCATCCATATTTTTCTGCTGATTCTCTTCCTCTTTTTCCTCTTCATCTTCCCACATTTTCGGATCTAGCTGTTTTTCATCTTCTTCTTCAACATCTCCCATTTGATCTTCAACATCTGGTTCTTCATCGGATTCCTGACAAAAAATGGGGTTTGAGAAATTTCAGTGAAATTCAACAAAAAATTTATGAACTTAACAAGTTTCATTAAAATTTTAAATTTACGGCAATTTTTAGTGAATTTTGTTGTCTAACTATGATTTTTGTGGTTGAACGTATTTTCGGTGAAATTTAGCGGAACATTTTAATTTTTGGCAAGAAATTGCGCCTAGAAAGTCTAATTGTAAATAAAACTCACATCATTTCCTTCTTCATCATTTTTATCATCTCCTTTTTCATTTTTATCAATATCTTGTAAATCTTCAGCAAAATCATCTTCCATATCAATTGGTTTTTCATTATCATTTTTGGATTCATGTTCATTTGAATCAACTTGTTCATCATCTTCTAATCCTTCAATTTGTCCACTTTCTTCCATTTCATCCGTCACATCTTTTGCATCTTTTGCAGTTCCTCCTTCCCCAATTCCACCTCCTTCTCCTGAATTATCAGTTTCAGTATTTCCGGATTCTTGTTGTGAATTATCTGCTTTCGGAATCGGATTGATATATCCTTTTTCATATAATTGAATTGTCATTGATAAAATCGAATGATAAAGAGGAATTATTGAATTCTGCGCATTTTCTAAAATTTTCACCAAATTTCCAAGAAGCTTCCACGTAATCTTCAAAACTTCTGCGATTTCCGATAAATTCGTGCTGAATTTCGTGCCACAAATATGATTCTCCACAATTTCCTCAGTCCAATCAGCTAATTTTCCAATATTTGCCAACTTCAAAACATCACAAATCTTTATAATTGTTTCCAATATTTTTGCCTCATCATTTTCAGAATTTCCGAGACTTTCAAATCCTTTATAAATATCTTGAACAACGAGTAAAATTCGAGTATTATCCAATTCTTCTTGTACACTTTGGTGATCTTCAAGTGTATCGATTTGTTTTTCAGATATTTTCAAAATTTCTTGAGAGATTTTGGAAATTTCCAATTTTTCAACATCAAAGAATCCGGTGAAATTTTCGTTTTCGAGTTCAGTTTGGAAATCTTGAATATCGCCAGAGATTTGTGATTTCCATGTTTGATAGTTTTCACTGAAAAATAAACATTATTGGGTGTTTTCAGACACATGGGCTCTTTGGCACCAAAAATTTTAATTTGAAAGTTTCTGGAGAAAATTTGCCACGTTTAATTTTGCGACAAACCACCCCCTCTCCCAAATCCACCATACCTTCTCACAATTCTCTGCCTCTTTCCTCCAATAATTTGTTCATTCGTTCTCTTCATATTTCCCATCAAAATTCCAATTTTCTCTGACCATTTCATCAATTTTGCAGCCAAATCATCAGATTTCGACAACTTTGTCAATGGATGCCAATATTCTTTTTGTTCAACAATTCCATCTGAAATTCCAGCCAATTTCCGCAAAATCGATCCAATCAATATTTCAATTTTCTCAATATTTATTGCAATATTTTCGACGCGTCCAGATACTATTTCATGATCAATGATGAATCCAGATTGTTGATTTTCAGCCAAACTTTCAATTTCAGCACAATTTTTCGAAATTTTATCAGTCTGCGATTTCCAAGAAGTGAGATAATCATGAAGATTGAGCATGTAGTGCATACCGTATTCTGGAATGAGAGAAAATTGACATTTTCCAAAACATTTTATTTTTCAGATGAAAATTCGTGTTTTTAACCCGAAAAGCTTTTGAAACTTGAAGAGTATTTTTAATTATCTAGTTCGAAATTTCATAATTTTTTTCCAAAATTTCCCCAGATCTCTGAAAATCTCATACCAATCATTCCACTCAAATGTTTTCTTGTCGCAACTCCAACTTGTTGATCAATTTTCAACGCTTTTTTAATCACAATATTTCTTCCAGCTGCATTTTTTCGAATTCCAATTTCATTTCCATTTTCCGATTCTCCATTATTTCCAACTTCACAAATACATCTTCGATTAATCGATTCCTGATTCAAAATCACCGATTTTCTTGCATTCAATCCAATTGCTTGTGCTTCTTTAATAACCATTGCAATTTGTCTTTGTCTCGAATTTCTCGCATATCCTTGTTGTTTTTCTTTTTCCGAATCTTCTCCGATATAATTTATCAATGTTCGAATCGATTCATCAGCTTGTTTTGTTTGTTCTTCTAGTTCTTCCAAGTCTTGCAAATTTGCGAGAAGTTCAGCTTTTTCAACAATTGTTTTTGAGAATTTCAATGTTTTTTGGACGATTTTAGAAGTGGAAGAGGAAGATGTTTGGATTTCTTCAAGAATTCGTTTTTTGATTTCATCCAATTTTTGAAGTGTTTCGAAATCTTCATCAACTTCAGCACTGATCGCATCTGGAAAAAAGAGATTGATGTTTTTTTTAAAGAAAAATTGCCACGCGATGAAGACACAAATGTATATTTGAAATTTTTTTTTCATAAAAATTGAACTTTAAAATAAAAACTATCAGATTAAATTTCAGCAGAATTCTTTTTAAAAGAAAATAAATGTTTAAAAATATCAAACTGTAATTTCAGATTATTTAATAGATTTTCGGAGGGAAAGATCTAAATTTCCAATTGACTATTATTAGAAAGAAATTTAAAAAATTGAACTAAAAATTAACTGTGAAATCAAAAAGAAAAACGAAATTCTCAAAAATCCAAATTTCAGATTAGAAAGTAAACTTTTTTGAAAATCCATTTTTTTCCAAATTTTTTCATGATTTCTATTTAGGCGTTAACTAAAATCAAAGTTTTTTTTCAGAAAAAAATCTGCCAAATTTTTATGTCCCAAACTCTCAAAATTCTCTCACCTTTAAACCGTCTCACAATTTTATACAATTGTGCATGTGCTTTAGTCGATGATACTCGAATATTCCACAAATTCAAATCATTATACTTGACAACTTTCAAATAATCCTTCAATGATTGTTCAGCAGGTTCTCTTGCTCTTCTCAATCTTTCCTCAATTTTCGGAACAAAAATCGAAAAATGTCTCGAAGCAGAAGTAAGCCATTCAGATAAATGCAATTTTCCAGTCAATTTTGCCCATTTTCCCAAATTTTCAATTGATTTTACTCGAATTTCAAAATCAACAAGTGTCGAATTATGCATCCATTCAATTGACATTGCAACAATCTTTTCTTCTTCATTTTCGCTGATCGAAAATATCATTTCAAACAGTGGAAATACAACAAGTTGTGCTTTTTGTTTTGCCTCATTTTCACAATTTTCTAAAAGTGTCGCCCAACATCTCACTTCCATTTTCTTCCATTCAACCAACAATTTTCTCAAATCTCCCAATGGTTCTCGAAGCGAATTTTGTCGATCAGCCATCATTTCCCAATTCTCACATAATTCGATTAATTTCTCCAATTCTTGTGCCATTTTAATATGTGGCATTGAAATTGAAATCAAAAAGAAATCATGAATACTTTCCAATATTGTTTTTAATGATACAACTTCTGGCCATCTTTCTAATACTTCTCGTGTTCTTTTTTCAAGTCTTTCCAGAATTTCAGCAACTTTTCGACATTCTTGTAAAGACGAACTTCGATAAACATCGATTTTTGTTGATGTTTCATTTTCAGATGATACAACATTTTCGAGAACTTCGAATAGTTTTTGATCTCCATCAACACATTGTGAAAGAGTTAGAGCATCTTGGGGAATATTTCCAGTTTCACTCATCAAATATCTCATCCATGATTTTGCCATTAGAAAACGAGCATCCGAAGCAAAACGAGTATTTGGATCAACAAGAGAACTGCAAAAAATGAGATTTTTTTGAGGAAATGGGGAAAATGCTAGTTTCCAAGGAGATGTTCCAGTATTTCAAATCACGTGGCATTTTTGGTGCGAAAAAATAAATTCGAAAAAAAAGATGACGCGCCGAATTTTCAAAGTTCAAATTATGAAATCTAAAATTCCAAAATCCTTACATTTTTCTTTTTTCAATAGCTTCCAATAATAATGATACTTCATTATCATGCAAAACCTGCGAATCTTGTTCTTGTTTCGAGAAAAACTCCAAAATATCCAATTCATCTTTCTCTTCTTCCGTCTTTGTTCGATATACAAAATCCTTTTGTTCTCCTTTCGAAATATTCCTTTCATACCATTTTTTCCACTGATTTCTTGTCCATTGAATATCCAATATAATATTTCCATCAATTTCTTCATTCGAAAAATCAATCAATCTTTTTCTCACAATTGCTGCTTTTAATTGAAGTGGCATTGGAGAAGAATCACGAATTGACCAATTACTGACTTCGTTTGAATCCAAACCATTTTCAGATGCAAATGTCTGCAAAATCTTTCAGTTCTTGAGGTTCGGAAGTAGAAAAGGTTTGGAAGTTTCATATTGAAAATGAAAATATTTTCGAAGTGGCGTGAACAGTTGGTGACACGAAAAAACTAATTACAATAAATTTTAATTTTAAACATCAAAAACTTCAATTTTCACTCCCCCTCCCCAATCCCTATTTGCTCACCTTAACAATTCTTGGGAACATTGATTCCGTCCACGCATTTCTCCTTTTCGCTTCTTGCTGTAATTCCAGTATTTTCGCAGCCAATTCAACTTCAACCAATAATAAACCAGCAATAAATTGCATATGAATATCAACAAACGACACAAATTTTCGCAATAATCCAATTCGGAAACTTGCAGAACTCATTGAAAATGATTTCAATCTTGCTAACAAAATACTTGGATCTTGTTCATTTTTGCTCGATTCATTGTTGATTTGTTGAGTCAATTGGAAAAAGCTGCTCATTTCAGCACACAAATGATTGTATTGTGTTGCAGATTGTCGATAAACTTCAGAAGAAAAAGATGTTTCTAGTTCAGGAATATCATTCAACTCATTTTGAAGTTCTTGCAATTTCTTAAGCACTGGATGTGGCGAATTATCATCTTTTTCTTGTCTCGAATTCAAATATCTGAACTCTTCTAATAATTTCAATTGTTTTTCAACAATTCTTCTTTTCGCATTCAAGAAAAGTCTTCGTTCTTCTTCAAAAATCAAAGGATCCAAAGTTTCTTTTGGTGGCAATGCATTTCTCATCATTTCCAACCCAATTTCAGCTTTGTTATTTCCTAATTGATTCCCTAATTTAGTCCATCCTTCCAATCCATTTTCATCCAAACTTTTCCTTAATTCTTCTCTCAATTTCTCTCCATTCACTGACAATTTCCACATTTTTCTCCCAAGTTCTTTGATTGGAAATTTCTGAAGATGAGCAATGCTCAGATTAGCCAAATTCGGATTATATCGAAGACTTGAAAAGAATAATCGAGCAGCAATACAATGAGCACCACCACCAATTGAAGCCAAATGGGAAACACTAAAAAGAATGATCGAAGTTGAGGGGAAATATATCTGGGGGAAAGAAAGAAACTCACAGAATATCATCGGATTCCTGTTCATCTTCTTCATTTTTGTCTCCTCCAATTTTCGCACAAAGTAATGCAACAGTTCGAATCCATCTTGCTTTTTTCTCATCATTCCAATTCAAACCATTATAAACATTTGATCGTTTGAAAACAGAGTCACTCTGCAAAAATAGGCTATTCTTAGAGCACAAAGTTCAGGGAATGAAACTAATTCTGTAATTTTGGCACCACAAAAATATTAATTTTGAAAATTCTAGGATAAACATTTTTTCTAGAAAGTTTTGAGCTCTTTTTACATACGTCGCATAGCCTCGTTTCAAATCCACCAGTTCACAAATTTTGATTCAAAAATTCTAATTTTTCAAAAACAAAAAAATACGTTTCAAAATTTTGATATACTTTATTATCAATTATTTTTAAAATTTTTCATGGCTTTTTTGTATAATAAATCAAAACCAAAATTCTCGAAATTTGGATAAAAATTTTGAAATTATCGATTTTTCAACCACAATTCGTGGAAATTTTAATCATTCTCAATAAGTGATAGAGTACAAAGCTTAGAACATTTCTTCAAAATGTTTTCTCAAGTGACATCCCTTTCCAAAAACTGGCGTGAGTAACAACCCCTCCTCGGGTCGATTACGCTAGAAATGCGACGTATGTAGAAAATCTGAAAATGCATCCTCTCCTCCCCCTCAAAACTACGTACCTCATCAACAATTCCTTGTGCCAAGAACTCATGAACAGCTTCCACACTATCCACAATATTATTCACTAATTCAACCGGTGAAATTCCCAATTTCTTCTTTGGTTCCTCATTTTCATTCTCCTCATCAATCATTTCAACATCTTGATTTTCTTCTCGAATTTCAGCTTCCAATCGATTTCCATATCTCTCCACTTCTGATTTATTTTCAAATGGTCTACAAATTGCAAAATCTCTCCATCTCAATAAATATTCATTAACATATTCTTCATATGATTCAGCACTCCATCCTTCATTCATTTTTAATGTGATTTCTTCAACAAATTTCGACATTTTCTTATTTGGAATTTGTTGTCTCAAATCATTCCATGCTAAATAAATTGCAGCACATCCAGTTCGTAGACTCAATTTTCTTCGGGAAGCAGCGATTATTAATAAATATGACATTTCGACAGAAAAATCAGCCGAATTTTCTTTTCTCCACATTTCCAAAATATTCGCGACTAATTTCGAAATCAATCCCAAATTCTTAAAACCAACTTCACAAGTTGATAATTCATATTTGCTCATTGTTTTGCTCAAATTTTCAGCCGAACCTTCTTCGATCATTATTTTCTGAACAATTTGCAACATCCATTCAAAAATCACAAACGAATTGAATTGATCTTCAATTTTTCCTTTTTTCGATGAAAATCCAGAAAACCTCAAATCAATTGGAATTCTTCTCAGTTGTTGATTTTCAAGAATTGGCAAAACTCGATGAATCAAAGAATCGATAGCTTGTCTTCCAAATATTTGTCCCAATTCTTCGCGCATTTCAAAAATCAAAAATGGCGAAGCGGATAAAATTGTGAGAAGGAATGCTTCAACATTTGCACATTTCGATTTTCGAGCCGATTTCAGCCAATTTTTGAGAATCCAAGTTTCGTAGGATGTGTTGGAGAGAGTTCTGGAATATGGGAATTTATTGCGAAAATGAAAAAAAAAATGATGAAATTTTCCATGTAATCAAGTTCACGTGATGAATTCAAACTGAAATTTTTAAATTTCATTTTTATTCAGCTAAAAAAACCTTGAAATTTCAGAATGTTTTGGGGTGGAATTTCAAAAAATGCAATAATTTGAACAAAAATTAAATTATAGTCTCTAGGCGCGGCTCCTAGCCAAATTGAAAATTACAGATTTATCTTTTGTCTCGAATTCATAAATTTCAACAATATATTTTCTCAACTCACGAAATTTCATCAATTTCTGGTGCAACATCATCTTTTTCCACAATAATATCTTCATCATTTTCTTCTTCCATAATTTCCATATTTTCAACTAATCCAACCAATTTACAAGCCAAATGAGCCGAAAAATCCGAATTATCTTCTTTCAACAAAACAGCTAAATGTAATTGTTGTTCAGCTGTCAAAAATCGTCCAATTTTCTGTCGCATTTCAAATGGTAAATTTGGCGAAATAACTGAACTGATATCATTTTCACTTGTGGTCCATCTCGATTTTTCATCCAAATAAATCTCAACACTTCGATTTCTCATTGCTCTCGAAATTTCACCAATTCTCGAGTCCATTGATAGAAAAACTCGGAAATTTGGATGTGGTTCGAGGGGTTCGTATGAATTTTGTCTTTCGGCAACGACAAGTTTTCCACCACTTTCTAAACAGGAATTGAGACGATCCAAAACAGCAGCACTGTAAGAAAAAAGGTTGAATGAAGTATATCAAGTATTCAGTTGGAGAGGTTGGAAAATCAAAATGTGTTTGACGTATTTTTTGTGAAATGAGGTGAGATCTAAATTCAAAAATAATATGCGAAAAAAATTCCAAACAAAAAACAGAGAAACATTTTTTCAGCGACTACAATTTTAAAAAATGTGTTCAAAAGTGTTCCAAACGTGAAAAAAAAACATGAATTTTTTACGTTTCAATGTAAATCTAAATATTTTTTTGAAACGGATAAGCTATTATATAAACAATTCTTGAATAATTATCTTCTTCAAACCATAATTTTCTCTCAAAATTCACCCAATCAAATACAAACCTGCACAAATTGACATCTTCAATCAATAACCAATCTCCTTTCAAATATGCATCAACAAATACCGAATCAGTCCATTCAAACCGCATCGAACATTTATTCGCACTTCTCAAAATCTCTCGAATCTCCTCTTTTTTCGTCTCTTCAATATCTCGTTTTCTCGCCAAAATCAATTCCAAATTCGCTTCCAATTTCATCAAATTCTCCGAATTTTCCAACGATTCTCCAAGTATTTCCTCAATTTCTTTTTGCGCATATTGCAACACATTTTCATCAACAAATTGTTCATAAGATCCAATTAATTCCTGTGCATCTGTATCCGCATTCAATGCAATTACTCGCAAATTCTGACCAGTTAATGCAGCAAGATTCTCACAAATCGCACGTTTTCCCGAATTTCTTGGTCCAACCAAAAGAGCCAACCAATTCATTTGAATACAAGTTGCAATTTGATGCATTGGAACAATTTGAGATGATAGAATTCGATTATTGATTTTCGCTTCATTCTTTCTCCTAGCCAATTTCACTTTTCCAATTCTCAAAATGTTTTCATCTTCAAAACCCAATTGAATTCTAGGATAACTCAATTTCTCATCCATCAATTTTTCAAAAATCGATTTCAAAAGTAGTCGATCTTCTTCTCTTCTCATTCTAGTCATATAGCAAATTTCAAACGCTTCAGAAATACTTTGAATTTTTCGAGACAATTCAAACCATCTTAAAAGATCTCGAAGATTGAAAGAATGTGGACCACCAAGGAATGAATTACGTTCAGATTCAAACGAACATTGCTCATTGATCTGAAAAAAGGGAGAAATTGACAAGAAAATAAGAAAAACAAATAGAATTTATGATAAAACTTACCTCAACCATAGCTTTTCTCTTTTTGTCACTCAACCAACATTTCTCATCAACTCCGGCCAAAACAATTTCAATATCTTTTTTTGTCAAATCATTCGTGTAGATCTGGAAAACTGGAATTTTAGGGAGGGCGAGGAGTGGGTTAAAAATAAGAGTAAAAATATAATTTTTTAAATATTATAATCATAGCTCGAAAAAACATTTGCCTTGAAATCGTCTAAAATTATGATTGAAATTAATTTTTGATAAAGATATTTGTCTGTTTCAAAATATTAGGGAATTTTGAATTGAAAAATTTCCACGTGAATTCCTTAAACAATGAAGTTTTAAAATTTTTTCAAAGAACCCTTGTAAGAAAATTTGCAATTAAAAATTAAAAACCACGAAAAATATTCTTTCTTCCCAAAACTAACATTTGTAAATCGATTAACAAATGATTTTGGCAGCGCTCTTCGATTTCCTCCTTGAACTCTCGGATTTTGACACGCAAAAAATCGGCAATTCGAAGTGGACGGAATCTCAAATTCTCGATTCAATTCAGCAATATATAATATTCTTCGATGATCAAAACAAGCATTCAATCCTTCCAAAACACTTTGTGATGCCAAATTCATTTCATCCAAAAGTATCCATTCTCCATTTTTAATCGCTTTTAAAACCGGTCCATCTTCCCATCGAAAACTCATACTTTTTCCATCTTCCGAAATCATTGGAACATCACTTCCGAACAAATCCGATAAATCAGTTTGATCACTCAAATTCAATCGAGTTATTCGATTTCCAGTTAATTGAGCCAAAGCCATTACAGTCGATGATTTTCCACATCCAGGAGCACCTTCCAATAAAATCGGTTTATTAATTAATAATCCTCTTGCAATTCGATAGAAATTCTCAGCACAAGTTGGAGCATGAAGTGAAAATGTTTTCGGGAATTTTGGAGTTTCAGTTCCAAATGGAACTTTGAGATGAGAAATTTGGAGATTTTCAGCAGCAAGATTAATTTCGACTGATTTATTGGCAATCTCAAGGAATTGAGACGATGTGATTGTGAAGAATTGTTGAGCAACAAGTTCAGAATGAAGCTGAAAATAATGGAAGTTAAAATCATTTTAGGGAAAATTCAGAATTCCTGGGTGAAACTTCCTTACCATAACAAGTGCATCCTCAAAAATATCCTTCGGGTCCAAATTCAATCTAGCCGTCAAACCAGCCAAAGAATCCAGGAAAACTGCGCAAAGAGCATCTTTGATTGATGTGATTCTATCGATTCCACAAGAAATAGCAGATGCATATAATTCGGCACAAGCAACAACATCTCGAACTGATGCAGGATGTCTGGAAAAAAATACAAGAGTTTTTAGGGGGAGAAGAAGAAAAGCAGTTGTGTTGTTGACATTTAAAAGACGGAAAAACCATCAGCAAAACAAATATAGTAAGAAAAAAGTTGGATTTTTGAACTTTGTAGTTATCATTTATTTACAAAAAAATCTGATCGAAATCATTAGGGATTTAATTTTTTCAAAATGTTTTTTTAAATCCCCAAACCCCCAAAATCGCTCACCTCACAACATGCGAATATTTCTCAAAAAACACCAAAATCCATCTAACAATAGCTTTCGCTGTACTCGTCGGTGATATTTTCGCCTCATCTTTAGTTGCTTCAACTCTTCTCAATCTTTGATCAAAAATCATTTCCAATTCACTTTCTTCATAATCACTACTTGTCCAAACTTCAGTAAATCGATTTCTCAATGCTTTCGACAATTCTTTCTTTCCATAATCTCCTCCAGGATTCATTGTTGCAATCATTTGAAATCCATTTTTCGATTCAATTAATTCAGTTTCAGTTCCAGCATCAGATAATAAAAGACTCCGATCTTCTTCAAAAAGTGGATTCAATCTTTCTAAAACAGAATCTTCTGCTAATGAAATCTCATCAATTAATAATGGAACACCATCTCTCATTGAACTTATAACAACTCCATTCGACCATTCAAAACCACCATCTTGTTTCGGCCTCAATCTTCCTAATAAATCAGCAGTTTCAGTTCTTTCATGACAATTAATACTTCTTAATTTTCCTCTTCCAACAACTTCCGAAAGTGTTGTTTTTCCACCTCCAGTTTCTCCAACCATTAAAACAGCTTCATTTCGCAGCCAAGCTTGTTCAGTCAAAACTAACATTCTTCTCATTCCCAAAGTTAGAATAACTCCATCAACATTGATATCTTTTGGCATATAAACAGAATTCATCGAAAACAACAAATCTTTTTCAATTTTTCGTTTGATAACTTTTTCAAGTGTTTCCTCAACTGTTTTCTCATCTTTTTCATTTCTACATCTTCCGGCAAGCAAAAAATATCCATGATTTACGAGAATTTGTAGCCAATCATCGTGATTTCCATCAGTTGTCATTCTTTTTGCCCATCGAAAAACATCACGTAAAGTCATTAGGCCATCTCGTGCAGAAAATAAACCAGAAAGGGAACGACGATTTCGAAGTTCATTGAGGACTTCAATCATTTTATGAGCAGCTGTTGGAGGAACACCGCAACGAGCACAAACCTGGGAAAAATAAGATTGATTGTGAGAAGAGAGTTTTCGAAAAGTTTTTTGAGAATTTTATATTTTCATTTTTAGCACTCGCGGAATAATTTTCTTTAATTCAGTTATTTTTAGATTCTGAAACTGGCATATTCATCAGCCATTTTCTAGATTAAAATTAGAATTCAAGAAACTTCCATTTTGTATTTTTCCAAAAAAAAAACTCACCATTTCGGATAACTCATCAATTGGCAAATGATGAAAACGTAAAACAATGAATCGAGACATCAAAGCGCGAGACAACTTTTTTCTTCCAGCATAACTTCCAGCCGGATTTTGAGTTGCGAAAAGTCGAAAACGTGGATGAGCTTTGATGGTTTCGTTGATTTCGGGAACAAAAAGTTCGCGATTATCATCGAGAAGCTGAAATGATAAAGGATGAATCGTAGAAATTTTTGAATTTATTTTTTCGCGTTTTTTTACCCATGTTTTCCTTCTTCAAACTAACCCGATTCAATGCTTCAATAACATCAGTAGGAGCCAAATTCAATTCATCCAAAATAACCCATTCTCCATTTCTAACCGCTTTAACCAATGCTCCTTCTCTAAATACTAATCTTCCCAAATCATCAGCCACATAACTTCCCATATATTCTTGAATATCCGTATGTTCATGATTATTGATTCGAACAATTCGATTTCCAGTCACTTTTCCCAAATGACAAACAATCGATGTTTTACCAGCCGATGTTTCTCCTTCTAATAAAATCGGAAATCTGCCACTACAAACAATTCTCGAAATTTCCGCCATATTTTGTTTCACAGTTTTCGTTTGCACATATTTCGGATCAACTTCTGGTAACAAATCGCCTTTTTCAATGAAATATCCTCCAATTTTCACATAATTTTCCGGATTTTTCGGCATTGGCATCGGCGCAGCTGTATATTTAAAAGTCTTGTCAATTTTCGCTCGCATCACTGATTTCTCTTCAGTTTCCAAATTCGTCAAAAATGCCATTGATACAGCTTCATAAATTGATTGTTCCACACTTGCAAACATTGCATCAGCTGTGAATAAAAGAGCACGACAAAGTGTTCGAAGAGAATAACTCGATGGATATAATTGTTTGGAATTTTGATAGAAATTCACGAGATTTTCGACAAGAGATTGTTGAATTGTTGGAAGATAAGCAGAGATAATTAATGATAATTGATGAGGATCAGTGGTTTCAGAAACAAAGAATTCAGTGAATCTGGAAAAAAGATGGATTTTTCGTTTACATGAGAAGTCAACAAGGTCCCGAAATATGAGCACATTTCTGGAGTTCCAAATGCTCACATGGTTTTCTGACAACTTTTATATTTAGGGATCTTGATTAGCATGTCTGTTCGTATGAATTCAACTATATTTTATCAAAAGTTCACACTTTATAAACTTCCCTTCTCTTCAAAAATCAACCCCCCAACCAAACTTACTTTGTTCTAACCCCAGCTGGTAATCTTCTTTTTCCCGCATCTGTTGCTGGATTCATACAAGCAAAAAGTCGAAAATCTTTATGTGTTCCTTGTGCTGTCCATGCATGTATAATAGCATCCAAACATTCAGGCGGTGCCAAATTAATCTCATCAACAAGTAACCAATGCCCTTTTTCAGCCGCTTCCAAAACAGCTCCTTTTTGAAGTTGAAAAGGTGCCGCTCCTTTTTCCAATCCTTCTCGAATTTGTCGACTTCGAACCAATAATTCAGCCCATCTTTCATCGATTTTTCCACCTGTTTTCGATTTATTTTCCAATGATTTTCTGGCTGTCGTTTCAACCAAACTCAAATAATCCGAAAATCTTCCACTCGCCAAACATTTTTCCAAATTATCAATGAATTTCTGATTTTTTGTCTTGTCAAAGTTTTCAAGAAAAACATCCATATAGAATTTGGTGAATGGTTCCATCAATCTTCCAATTGTAGTTGGTTTATATCCTTGAATAAGTTCATCTGAATCCGAAGTTGGACTAACATTAACAACATCCAAGGTGACACCAATAAGATCAGCAACAGCTTGAACAACTGAAGTTTTTCCGACTCCAGTTTCACCGACAAGTAATAGTGGTTCATTGTGAGAGACGCAGACAACAATACGTTCCATCAATTGAACAACATCTCTGCAAAAAATAAAGGTGAAAAAACTATTCGAATTCAAATTTCACTTGGGAATTTGGTTTTCTAGAAGATTTTGACGCGGTGAAACAATTCATTTTAAAAAGTCTCGAGTGTTTAAAAACTACCTTCCCAAAAATCTCGCCGCCTCAAATCCCTACCTTGTATGTCCCAATCGATGTCTTCCCGTTTTAATCATCGAAATCTTTCGTGCCAAATTCGCTCTTCCAATCATAACATGTTTATCATCATATTTAACATCGGGTTGTCGAATTGATAAATGTGTATGAACTCGATCTGGTGTGACATTTAATTGAGAAGAAACTCGATTGCATAATTCGATAGCTCGATCTTTTGGATCTGCCAAACACCAAACATCAACTAATTCAGCAAAAGATTCAAGATTTGCAGAAATATCCGAGAGTTTTGAAAGACGATTGCAACCGCGAAGAAAATCGCTGGAAAAATCTTTTTTTCTAGAAATTTCAGATAAAAAACTTACGTTGAGGTCAAATGTCTTGAATTACTTGTTCCTGGAACACTTTCCAATTTTCTAAAAACCGAAATCAAAGTTCTTGTCAAATGTGAAATTCGTGGAAAAGATTTCGAAGCCAATCTTTTCAATTCATCATCGCTCAATTTATCCAATTTAATTCGAACTGGAACACCATCCAAAACTGCCGCCTTTTTGCCTTTTCCACTCATTGTTCCAATAATTCTAACATCTTCATGGAATTCTTCACCAAATTCACCGAGTTTTCGATTTTCAGCAATTTCGACAATTTTCGAAATCACATCGGAATTCGCCGCGTCGATATCTTCCAAAACAATAACACAGGAAGATTTCAACCATTTCGAGAATGTCGATTCTTTCCAAACAAATTGGCCAGCAACTTCAGTACAATGATAATTTCCAAAAAGAGTTTTGGAATCAATTTGATCACCCATTTGCATAATATTTATTGCAAGTGATAATTTTCGAGCAGCATATTGTGCAAGATACGTTTTTCCACAACCCAAAGGTCCTTCGACTATCGCAAAATTCCTATTTTTAACAGCAACTACTAATTGATTTCCTAAAATTTCACGAGTCGGCAAAATCTCCAATTTCTCCTCATCAATTTTCTCATCTTCTGAAAAATTAAAGTTTTTTTCCTGCTCAAATGTCATACTTAAGTACTTACTCATCAAATTTGCAGTGCTCGCTTGAATCTCCTCAACATCATCCTCTAATAATCGTTTTTTCTGCAAGGCGACTTCAATCACATCAACATCTTGATTTTGACGCTTTTTTGCTTTTCTTTTATTGCCCATTTTCGCAAAAATAACGCTTTTTGTACCCTGGAATAAGGATATCGTTGAAAAATACTTGAAATTAGGGGAAAACTCAAAAAACAGGTGAAAAAAACGAAAAAATAAAAAATAATTACGAATGCGCCAGCAAATTGAAAAGACGTCAGTGTTCCGAGTGTTGACGCAGGAAATGTAGAAATTTGAAAATTTTGGTTTAAAAAAATTTTTACTAGGAATCCGGAAATTTCCGAAACGATTAGGAATTTTCGTTCTCTTAGTACTAGCAAAGCAGATAATCATTTTTAATTTCAGCCGAATTTTCAGCCGAACGTCGTCCATCAACTTCTTCATCTTCAAATAATACATCAGCATTTTTAGAGGTTGTTGGTAGGAATTATATGGTCACACCAAAAAAACTTTTAACCAATAAAAATTGAAAATGAAAAGTTTAAAAAGAATTCATTTTCAACAATGCATAACATAAATAAAACAACAATAAAAATCAACAATACTATCTCAAATTCCAAAAATAAAAATTCATTTTTTTCGACTTCTTTTAAATCCAGTAGAATTTGTTGGAGCATTGAAAAGAGCATTGACAAGTTTTGAGGATTCCTTTCTTGAAGTTTCATTATTTCCATCAAGCGCATATGGAGATGGCTGAAAAATAACGATTTTGAAAAAAGAAAAACTAGAGAGTAGTTTTGATTTAAATCTCGCTCACTTTAGGTGCCATCATCATATGAGTTGGCAAATCGATTCGAACTCCTCTCACAAAAATCGGCGGCTCTTCAAAATTCTCCAAATCAACCGGAGATACCACATATAATTCACGTTTTTCGATGGAAATCGCTCGAATTATCGCTGAAAATAATATTCTAGGATGTCTTGAGGGAAAATTGAATTTTCAAACTAACCAAATCCAAAACACTTCAAAGCTGACGATTTTCCATCAATAATTGCAGCTTCTGGAAATTCTTCAGATCCACAAATTCGATGAAATTTCAAATCGGCTGAATCTTGGCAAATTGCCATCATTTGATTATTGATTGCAGCTAGAACATAATGATCTTCTACCAAAATATCGATTGGGAGAGCAATTTTGACATTTCTGAAAAAATATCAATTTTTTTGAAAGAAACTAGCAATTAGAGGTTATTTTTTACTAATCGTGAGCTACATTCTAGTTTAGTCCTGAATTTATCCCAAATTTGCTCACTTGAACGAAATTTTCAATGGAACAATATTGAAAATCGATGAAATGATTGGTCGAACCAATAATTTCGAAAAATATCCAATAGTCGTCAAATCTCGAATCATTGGAGCTGTCAATTTCTTCTCGATTTGTCCAATTTCTGATGGAATATCATTGGCGACTATTGAAATTGGCCGAGATGCAAGATTTGGCTGAAAAGAAACTGAAGATTGAGACATATTTTGAGGAGAAAATCGGTATTATTCTATCATTATTCTGTTTTGATATCAAAAAATTCATCCGAATATTTTCTAAAATCGATCAAACATTCCTTCGAAAAACCCCTGCCCTTACCGGAAATTCAAAACTCCTCTCTCCCATATTTCTACTCAATTCAATAATTAAATCAGTTTTTGTATTCGTCATAATATCCACTAAAATATCCCTTCCACTATCTTTGATCCATCCCATCGAATTAATAATACAAATATCACCAGGTGAACTGATTTCCAAAAAATGATTCCATAATCGCTCGAAAATATCTTTGAAAAGTGGAATGTTATGTGGAGATAGATCACCATAAAAATAGGAATTTTCGAATTTCGCAGATTTTTGGTGGCTGAACGGTTTGCCTGGAAAAAATTTAATATATTTTCATTCTGATTTTCACATGGAATTTCTCCCCACTCAGCTTCCAAACTTCGAAAAAAATTCCTTACCAAAAATCGGTGCTAAAACTTTAGTAAGCGTCAAACATCCAGATGGCGTAAATTCACTTTGACCAATATCAACATCCAAAATATAAACCGATTCAGCGCTGAGAAAACATTGCTCATATTATTTATATTGATTTGTGCTTCCTTACCTATTCAACAATCTATTGACTAAATTTCTCACAAAATGCGATTTTCCAGCCCCTTTATTTCCAATTGGCAAAACTGAAACTCGCTGACCATTTTCTGAAATGTTTTTAAGATAAAAAGATAGGGAAAAATGTAAACAGCATACTTCTTTTTGACAACAAATCATCAATTCGAAATCGTAGAATTTTTTCACATTCTTCCGGATAAATGTATAAATCTAGCCTTGAAGAATAATATCTCGATGGAATTGAATTCATATTTTGCTTCGATGAATGAACGTGGAAATTCTGAGAAATATATGCATTTTCATACAATTCTAATAAAAAGGGAACTTACAGGAACTAAGCTCGCCATGATTTCTTCAACAATATCCAAACTTTTTTTGACAACCAAAACTGCTGGACAATTTTTCTCGGCGACAAGTTGCATGATACTTTCGAATTGTGCTGTGATCTGCAATATGGATAGAATTTTTTTGAGAAAATGTTTTCTCAAAAACAAAAACCTCTTTCAGTCGAAACTTCAATCGATTAAGTTTGAAATCCTTTTCCGTTGATTTGAACACTTGAAGGATTGCCTGAAATGTGTTTATTTCATTGTAAAAAAATTAAGCTGACCGGGATATCCATTTTCTGAGGTGCTGAAATTTTCAGAAATTTCGAAGATTCAACAGAAACATTGGGAAGATGGAAATCGTTCAGTGTTGCATTTCCAGCTGAAAAAAAACAAATTTGAATTTGAAATTTTGACACTAAAAACTTTGCCACGTGGATTTCTTGGCACCCCAACTTCAAATGTAAAACTAGAAATTAAAGCGCTAACATTTTGAAATTTGAAACTCACCCAGACACAAAATCTGACAAGATCCATAAAAACAAAGTCTTTCATCGGCCGAAATCACAAAAATATCGTATTCTTTTCCACTCGATTCAAACTTCACCACCGGACAATTCATCCTTATTTTAATTTCTGGTTTTATTTTTTATTTTGAAATATTAATTCAGATACTTTTTTCAGACTCAAAACTTCAGAAATTTCAACAAAACTCTAATATTAATTTGAAAAACTTTATACATATTATTTATACATTTTCAGCAGGTCGAATTTCAGATTTTATCGATAATGTTTCAATTTTTGGTGTTGAACACGTGGCAGCTTGCAAAATTTCAACAATTTTATCCATGTTTGGTCTTTGAAGTCGATCTCGTTGTGCTGATTTTAGACCCAAATCGATGATTATAGCAAATGCATCTTTTTCGATGTCTGAAAAGAATTTAGATATTTTCAGACAACACAATCAAATCCTGAAATTCTTACCATTTATTGGAGCCGGTGTTTTTTTGTCAACAATCAATTCTCTCAAAATATTCAAATTCTCCACAATATCTCTTCTCATTTGACAAAAATCAATAAGTCCACGTGGATCTCGTGTATCCGAATAAGCCCGTAAACCCGTCGCAATTTCAGCTAAAACAATTCCAAAACTATAAACATCCAATTTCGTTGATAATATTTTCGAAGTAACAAATTCCGGTGGTAAATAAGCCAATGTTCCTTTAATATGTGATGCGATGAGCGGTGATTTTTCAGCAATTTCAGCTTCCATTTGTCCATCTCGAGATAATCCGAAATCTCCTAATTTTGGTTCCAAATGTTTATCCAAAAGAATATTTGCAGTTTTAACATCGCCGTGAATTATTGGAGTTTTTGTAAAAGTATGAAGATAATGTAGACCTTTTGCAGTTCCCAATGATATTTCGAGTTTTTGAGTCCAAGTTAGAGGATTGCTCATTTTACGGCAAAGAAGTCTGGAAAAAATAATTTTTGAGGAAAAAAATAGGGTTTTCTCTCACCTATCCTCTAATGATCCATTTGCCATATATTGATAAACTAAGCAAGGTTCGGGACCTTCTAAACAATATGCATAAATCGGCAAAATATTATCATGTCTGAATCTAGCCAATGTCTTCAATTCTTGCAAACTTTGCCGCATTCTTTCTTTTTCCATTTTCTTGACCTGCGAACTTTTTGTTCCCGTATTATTTGTATTACTTAATGTTGTAATTCTTTTAACAGCTACAGTACCACCAGATCGTAATTCACCTCTGTAGACAATACCGTATCCACCTTTTCCAATTATATTTTCTGTTGAAAACATATTTGTTGCAATTTCGATATCTGTATAGGAAACTGGAAGAGTTCCTTCGATTGCGATACGAATTGGAAATTCATCATTTCTGCAACGAACATTTGGGATGAAAATTGCATTTTCGATTTTAAAAAACTTACGATAAATTTGAAGCTGTTGTCGCTGTCAATTCTGATAAATTTATTGATTGTTGTTGAGAAATTGGGGGCATTTTTGGAACCAAAATTGATTGTGTTTGAGGTCGTTGATTTCGATAAGCCAATAATGAAGATTCAGTCGGTTTTGGGTGAATTACTTTTGAGGTTAAGCTCGAATTTCTAGAGGGATTTTCTGCAATTTTTGGTGGTTTTTCGCGTTTCTCAACGATTCGAGGCCTTGAAGGTCCAGGTTCGCAGCTATCCGCAGGTTTTGTTATAATTGGTTTGTGCCGTAGTCGAACCTTTCTTAGTTTCCTTTTCTTCGGTTTTGGTGTTTCTGGCTCTTTTGGAAGATCAATAGCTTTCTGTGGATTTAGCACAAGTTCTTCTAGATAATGCAATCTTTCATGAACAAATGGTTGAATAATTCGCATACATCTGACTAGTTTGGTTTTCGCAAAAAGTTGATATAAATGATCCGAAGTGTAACCTTTTGCAGACCATATTCGAAATAATAATTGAGTTGGTGAGCGATTTCTGGTCATTCTCCAACGTTTACAAGTTTCCACATCTTTTACCTCAATTCCTGGCATATAAGGGGCTATATTTAACCAAACATCATCCATATCGCAAACGTTATAAATTTCTTGCAAAACTGATGGTTCCATGTGTGAAATCATTGTGAATTCCGGCTCCATTTTGGCGAAAAAAACCCGAAAAAAAAAACAAAAAATAAATAAATTTTTTGCGTGGCCTAGAAACCCGACAAAATTCTAGTCCCTCGGCGCGCCCGCGAGAAAATCTTTTTCTTTTTTTCAACTTTTCCCCGCCAATTTCCCCCGCAAAATGGTCATTCTTCTTCGCAAAAATGGCATCGGAAAATCAAGAAAAGCCTCAACTTCCTGTCCAAGTTCAACAACAACCAGAATATTTATACGATGAAGAAGCAACAATGGCTGAAATCGCAAAAGGACAAGCTTTGTTGCGGCAAAGTAAGGCGATTTTCGAGAAGTTCTTGGCTCATGGTGTTGCAATTGATCAATTTGAACATGTGAATGGACGATTAACAATGACTGGATGTCAGGTTAAATATCCGGTGAGAATTTTTAGATTTAGAAAAGTATGTATTTATTTATTTATTCATATTTTTGCAGATCTCAACCGCCGAAGTTCGTCGTCGCACATCTGCTCCAGAATTTCTCAATAGTTCCTCAATCGCCGGACTTTTGCGTAGATGTAAAGTGAAAAATTGCGGAGAAGATATGCGAAACAAATTGAAACAACACGGAATTGAAATGACAATGTGTCGAAGAAAAGGAATTCCAGCAACTGCACTAACAGGAATGTCCGAAGGAGAATTGCTTGATTTTTCGAAAGATTTCGAAACTATCACAAGAGAAAGTTATCCAAATAAAGCAATTGCTAAATGTATCACAGATAAAGTAAAAACACATCGAGAACAACAAGAAATTGTTGATGATGCAAATGAGTTCATGTAAGTTCGAACGTTTTTGGAACCTGAAAATCAAAATCTTTCAGGGCAGTGATGGCGCATTTTATGGTTGCAGCCAATTCTTGTCAACCAGCATTAACAGGAATGGCTGAACGACGAGGCGAGAATGCTGAATTTGCCGAAGCTATGGATACATTTTCGAAAGTTACACATGGTTTCGGAACACAAAATCACAAAACATGGACTGAACAATTATTGAGAATTGGAACAGAATTGTGTGATTATGTACCAACTGCAAAACCTGATCAAATTGATGTCGAACATTGAGTTTTTAAAAGTCTTTTTTTTTTGAATTTCCAAACTGTATTATTAATTTTTATCTAATAAATTTATTAAACCTCTTCTCGAAGTGGACTTCTGACACAAGAAATGACCATCAATTTGCTTAGAAATGCTCGAAGAAAAATTTTGACGTGAGAAATAAAATAGTCTACCTTTTTTCAGAAAGAAATTTTCTCTGGAAGCTTTACAAATCCATCAGTTTCGATGTGGGTACTGTAGGTGAGTAACTAGACTCTAGTCAAACAACAAAAAACCTGGTTGGTTGCTTTTTTTTGATAAGACATTTTCCTGGCTGAAATTCCGAAAACGTTTCAAAAATGTTTAAATTTAATTTTTCAAACCCTAGTTTCTGCCTTTTTCGGAAAAAATGGGAAATGTCCAAAATTGCGACATTTGAAAAATGAGAACAGGGGGGACCCCATTGAAAAATCCTGCTTCCATCGAGACACCACCCAACCGGGATTTTATTAAAAAGGCAGACGCAATTTTGGACATTTCCCATTTTTTCCGAAAATCATACCTTCGCGAACGTCCAAAAGGATCCGATCCTGGACCTTCTGAACAAAAAACACGTGATCTAACCACTTGACCATTTCTGACACAAGAAATGACCATTAATTCGCTTAGAAATGCTCGAAGAAAAATTTTTGACGTGAGAAAAAATATTTGTTTTAAAAAAGGAGACTGTTACGCCTGGGAGCTGAAAGCTCCTAGTACACGTGATGATAAAATCTCACAGCGATGCTTTAAAAGAGGAGCATAGGAAGAGTTTTTTCACCTACATCTAACATTCCTAACTTATTTTGTAATGGATTGGCAGCAGGCTATTAGCTGCCAATCACTTATTCGCTCAATGTCAGCCGTTCGTCTGCAACTCGGAAAATACGTGAGTTGGGGCATTCTTGCGATCTCTCTGCTTCTTTCACAATAGTTCTTTTGAGCCGTCCAAAAATCAAAAAAAAAAAAAGAAGATTTCACACCTGTCCAATTTTGTAGACTGACGAGAGATTAAAGGCGCAAATATTGTTTTTTGTTTGAGTCTCGAGACGAATAGAAGTGTCACACACGTACACGTCACCTTTTTAATTTCGAGAAATTTTTTTTTGAAAAAAATTTTCAGTTTTTTTTTTCTCTCCAAGAATACTCCTACCGTACTCCTCATCAAAAGGCACACACAATTTTTATCCCGTCTCTCGCAACGCGGATGTGAAATTATCACTAATTTTTTGTTCAAAAAATTCCACACAATTTTTTTCAAAGCGACCGCAAAAAAGCGCCAGCAGCATTAAATATTTTTTTGCAAGTTGTGCAAAAATATTTTTTGACCTAGGTCACTTTATTTTTTGGTGGGCGGCGGCGGGAAGTTTTGAATTCGCTAGACTATAGTCTAGTTCGGGGTATAAAAGACGAGCGTTCGCCGTTCTCAGGCAGTAGAAAACTCCGGAGGGGAACCAGAAAACGCAAAAACTCTGGAGATAGGCCAAAGTGGGTACAGAAAATCGAGAGAGCGTCTGTTTTTTCTAGTTTGTCACGCCTTTCTAGTTTGATTTTGGCGATTCTCTGGAGCAAATCGCTGTCGATCGAACGCGCTCCATCGAATGATGACAATGACGAGTCATTTTTTCATTTCATTTATTTTTTCCGTTTTTCTAGTTTTTGCTATTTCCTTTCAAAATCACTCAATTTTCAGAGTTTCATAATCTGATTTGATAATTTTCAGACAGTTAAAATCGGCCAGAAACATTGTGCGCCCTACGACATCGTCATAGATAAAAGTCAACCTGGACTTGGGATGAAATTAGCGATTTTTGCTCCTGGTGAGTGAAGTTTCTTCAAAAAAGGTAAATACTGGTTTTATTTGTAGATTCAACTGGATCCCGTTGCGCCAGGAGAATGGAGAAAACAAAGGCTCGCTCGATTTTTATTCCTGGATGAAAGATTTGTAACATTCCGAAAACCGTGAATCACAAGATGTCTCCTATTTATAAGGTAAGTCATCAGAGAGAAAATTTATGTTACGTATATTTCTTAAGTGTTTGAGCTTTCAAATTTTCCAAATTCCGAACTTATAATCTATCTCATCCCAGCTCTCGAAAGAACCGTTCAAAATTAGAAATTACACTAAATCATTCACTGGGTGAACATATCCTCTCAAATCTATTATCATTTTCAATTTTTCAGCATGAAACGTGTTCATGATGCCTCTACACAATGCTGAATTTGTCAAAAAATTGCTCAAAATGACAACGAACAGAAGATTCCGTCAGAATAATTGCGAAATCAACACCAAATCTTCATCAAAATGCATGCCTAATCTTGTGATGCTCACATTCTACTCGTTTGGACAATGGATCAATCAGAAAATAATTAATTTCTCCTTTTTGATGTAAATGAATATTGATTTTTGAGAGTGAAAGACTAGAATGTATTCGAAAAAAGCAGGCGACAAAATCAAAAAACTCTAGAGAATCGACAAAAAAGTTCCGGAGAATCGCCAAAGCGTACCGAGAAAAGGTCTGGAACCGGGTTTGGAGCCTTTTTTAGCGACATTCTCGTTCCAATTTGGCGAAACTCCGGAGTTTTCTACTGCCTGAGTTGGTTGGCATTTTCTCTTCTTACGGGAGACCTATTCCTGCTGTCTTCTTGCTGCCTGCCTGCCACCGTCTTCCGTCGCCGTCTTCTGCATTCAGCTGCCTCACGTCTTCAGCCGCCAACGTCTTCACTATCTGCCACGTCAAGCTGTTTTGCACGAAGAATTGGATCGATATTATTCAGATAAGTTGTTTTTTTTATTTATCTCCATTTTTGTGCTTTTTCGTTTGTTTTGTTTCAGGAACTACAACAACCGTGTCCATCTGCTTCAGTCCTGGATTTGCTGTCAAATCGCCTCCTCAAATTGCTTCATCTTCAGTTGCTGATCCTGGTGATTTCGTATTGAAGGGATTCTCGGTCTTTTGACTGAGAATTTTTCGTTTTCAAGCTCGAGTCACCAGGATAATCACCACCAAGTGGCAAATTTGGAAACAAGTCTGGCTCGCCAAAAATTTGGAAACATTTCCAGCACGCTGGAAATTTTCCATTTTTCTGGCTCATATCGGACTGTTTCTAGGTTTTGCCACTAGCGCATCACGCGCTCATCATTGAAATAATAAAGTTTTTTTTATAATGCGTTTTTGATTCCTCCCAATCGACTGATTTCTTAAAAATTCCGATACTAATCATTTTTTTTCCAGAATTGTCATTGCTGATTTTCTACTTCTCAGTCTTCTTCAACCGTCTCCTGCAATCTTCACAAGATCGCCGCTGTCAAGCTGACCTCAACACATATCATTGCTATCAATTCGTCGCCTCATCTTCAGTCGCTGTTCAACACCTTCAATGCCGAGCAGCCGCCAAGTCGAGCTGGAAATGGAAGATTTTTGCACCGCCTACAGGATTTCAATCGGAATTCGAGTTACCAGGTAGTTTTTTTTTCAATTTTTATTAGTTAGTTGATGTTGGTTTTTAAGCTAGTTAATTTTCAATCATTATCAGCAACATTTTTTGGCGTTTAGGATTTACTCCGATAGTCAAATAAAAATGTGCAATTTGGCTGAAGATCTTTGAGCATAAGATTTACTCTGATATCGAAGATTATTAGGCGATGATTGAAGATTTTTGGCTTAGAAAAAACATTAATGCTTTAGAGTTATGTATTTATTTGTTAGATTATACGTTTTTCTCACATTTTCTCATTTTCAAGATCGAACCAATGTGATGTTTCAAGTGGGCAGCGTCGACTTCAACAACATCTTCCACAATCTCTACAACGACAGCACTTGCCGAAGCGGTTCCGACTCCGAAAGCTGACGTTGCTCCACCACGTGAGCAGAAATGTCAAGTGTTTGCCGAGTTGCCACATCTCAGTCTGCTTGAATCGTCCCCTGCAAATTTCGCAATCGCCTTTGCCAAGCTGACTGCTCCACTCCTATACAACGTCATCAGCTGTTCATCTTCTGCAACGCCGAGCAGCCGCCAATCCATCGTCGTCTTCAGAAGCCGCTTAGTCGAGCTGGAACTGGAGGATTTTTCGACCGGAATTCGATTTACCAGGTCGTTTTTTTCCAAGTTTTATTTACAATTAGGATACGTTTTCTAGATATTTTAAAACTTCTAGATTGTTTAGGCTTTGATTGTAAATCTAGGGTTTTTAAGCTAATTAATTTTCAATCATTATCAGCAACATTTATTGGCGTGTAGGATTTACTCCGATAGTCAAATAGAAATGTGCAATTTGGCTGAAGATCTTTGAGCATAAGATTTACTCTGATATCGAAGATTATTAGGCGATGATTGAAGATTTTTGGCTTAGAAAAAACATTAATGCTTTAGAGTTATGTATTTATTTGTTAGAGTATACGTTTTTCTCACTTTTTCTCATTTTCAAGATCGAATCAATGTGATGTTTCAAGTTGGCAGCGTCGACTTCAACAACAACTTCCACAACACAATCTCCACAACAACAGCACTTGCCGAAGCGGTTCCCACTCCGAAAGCTGATGTTGCTCCACCACATGAGCAGAAATGTCAAGTTTTTGCCGAGTTGCCACGTCTCAGTTTGATCGAATCGTCTCCTGCAAATTTCGCAATCGCCTCTGCCAAGCTGACTGCTCCACTCCAATACAACGCCATCAATTCGTCGTAGTCTTCAGCCGCTGTTCAAAACCTGGAATGTCGAGCTGCCGCAAATCCATCGTCGTCTTCAGAAGCCGCCGTTCAATCGGAATTCGATTTATCAGGTCGTTTTTTTTTATTTTTATTTAAAATTAGGATACTTTTTCTAGATATTTTAAAACTTCTAGATGATTTAGGCTTTAATTGTAAATTTAAAGAAATGTAGGATTTTAAGCTAATTAATTTTCAATCATTATCAGCAACATTTTTTGGCGTATAGGATTTACTCCGATAGTCAAATAAAAATGTGCAATTTGGCTGAAGATCTTTGAGCATAAGATTTACTCTGATATCGAAGATTATTAGGCGATGATTGAAGATTTTTGGCTTAGAAAAAACATTAATGCTTTAGAGTTATGTATTTATTTGTTAGATTATACGTTTTTCTCACATTTTCTCATTTTCAAGATCGAACCAATGTGATGTTTCAAGTTGGCAGCGTCGACTTCAACAACATCTTCTACAATCTCTACAACGACAGCACTTGCCGAAGCGGTTCCGACTCCAAAAGCTGATGTTGCTCCACCACGTGAGCAGAAATGTCAAGTGTTTGCCGAGTTGCCACATCTCAGTCTGCTTGAATCGTGCCCTGCAAATTTCGCAATCGCCTCTGGCAAGCTGACTGCTCCACTCCAATACATCGTCATCAGCGGTTTATCTCCTGCAACGCCGAGCAGCCGTAAATGCATTGACAACTTTAGAAGTCGCCTAGTCGAGCTGGTACTGGAGGATTTTGCAAGCTATCGCATCATCATCATCTCAAACTCCATGCCATCAACATCATCTTCCTCAATTGCCAAAGGTCTTGTATCTCCGAAAGCTGCTACTGTACCACCACAAGATGAACACAACGTCACTGTTGCACCTCCGTAAGCTGCTGCCGCGAGTCGTGACCACAAGGAGTCTTCTCTGCGCAGGGAGACAGCTAAACAACTTTTAGGGCTGTATAATGAATGTTTTTTGAGTGAGTTTTTTTGTTTCCCCATAATCAACAGATTTATCCAAGTATTGGTAGCAAAGTTCTTTTTTCAGAATTGTCAGTGCAATGCCAAACTGCTGATCGCGAACTTCATCCGGATGAAGTCAAGCAGCCTCCTAGTGCATCCAGTGATGGATCGGTGACTCGAAAGATGATGCCTCGCAAAGATGAAACGCTCGACAACCAGCCCAGTATGACTACCAAGTTCAACAACAAGAACGGAGGACGAGGACAAATGCGTTGTAGTTAGTTTATTTTTTAGGGTTGGACCTCGTAAAACGAGAAAATTTTCGAATAATTTAGAAATTATTAACTTTTTAGTATCTTTTTCAAATTTTCATCAATTTTAACTAAGACTTCTTGTTTGTAGGATTGGGTAGAAATCAGTGAAATTATTAGTTTGACATTAATTGTTTTAAAAAATTGGGGTTTTTTTTGGATTCAAAAACAAGATTGATTTGAATTCTTGAAAGTTATAAATTAAGAGACCAAATCTCTTAATTTATCGAATTTTCAAGAGTTGCATTGATCAGTCTTTTTTTTTAGAGTTCAATTAAAAATCCGATATTTTAATAGTATAAATTTGACTTCTTGTTTTTATGTAGGATTGGGTAGAAATCAGTGAAATTTTTAGTTTGATATTAGTTGTTTTAAAAAATTGGGTTTTTTTTGGATTCAAGAACAAGATTGATTTGAAATCTTGAAAGTTATAAATTAAGAGACCAAATCTCTTAATTTATCGAATTTTCAAGAGTTGCATTGATCAGTCTTTTTTTTTAGAGTTCAATTAAAAATCCGATTTTTTAAAACATTAAATTGACTTCTTGTTTTTATGTAGGATTGGGTAGAAATTAGTGAAATTTTTAGTTTGATATTAGTTGTTTTAAAAAATTGGGTTTTTTGGATTCAAGAACAAGATTGATTTGAAATCTTGAAAGTTATAAATTAAGAGACCAAATCTCTTAATTTATCGAATTTTCAAGAGTTGCATTGATCAGTCTTTTTTTTTAGAGTTCAATTAAAAATCCGATTTTTTAAAAATATAAATTTGATTTCTTGTTTGTAGGATTGGGTAGAAATTAGTGAAATTTTTAGTTTGATATTAGTTGTTTTAAAAAATTGGGTTTTTTTTGGATTCAAGAACAAGATTGATTTGAAATCTTGAAAGTTATAAATTAAGAGACCAAATCTCTTAATTTATCGAATTTTCAAGAGTTGCATTGATCAGTCTTTTTTTTAGAGTTCAATTAAAAATCCGATTTTTTAAAAATATAAATTTGATTTCTTGTTTGTAGGATTGGGTAGAAATTAGTGAAATTTTTAGTTTGATATTAGTTGTTTTAAAAAATTGGGTTTTTTTTTGGATTCAAAAACAAGATTAATTTGAAATCTTGAAAATTATAAACAGATTTTTTTTTCAAAGCGACGACAAAAATGCGCCAACAGCAATGCTAGCATTAAATATTTTTTTGCAAGTTGTGCAAAAATATTTTTTTGACCTTATTTTTTGGTGGGCGGCGGCGGGAAGTTTTGAATTCGCTAGACTATAGTCTAGTTTGGGGTATAAAAGACGAGCGTTCGCCGTTGGTTGGCATTTTCTCTTCTTACGGGAGACCTATTCCTGCTGTCTTCTTGCTGCCTGCCTGCCACCGTCTTCCGTCGCCGTCTTCTGCATTCAGCCGCCTTTCGTCTTCAGCCGCCTCTCGTCTTCAGCCGCCTTTCGTCTTCAGCCGCCTCTCGTCTTCAGCCGCCTCTCGTCTTCAGCCGCCTTTCGTCTTCAGCCGCCTCTCGTCTTCAGCCGCCAGCGTCTTCACTATCTGCCACGTCAAGCTGTTTTGCACGAAGAATTGGATCGATATTATTCAGATGAGTTTTTTTTTTTATTTATCTCCATTTTTGTGCTTTTTCGTTCGTTTTGTTTCAGGAACTACAACAACCGTGTCCATCTGCTTCAGTTCTGCATTTGCTGTCAAATCGCCTCCTCAAATTGCTTCATCTTCAGTTGCTGATCCTGGTGATTTCGTAATGAAGGAATTCTCGGTATTTTCACTGAGAATTTTTCGTTTTCAAGCTCGAGTCACCAGGATAATCACCACCAAGTGGCAAATTTGGAAACAAGTCTGGCTCGCCAAAAATTTGGAAATTTTCCATTTTTTCTGGCTCATATCGGACTGTTTCTAGGTTTTGCCACTAGCGCATCACGCGCTCATCATTGAAATAATAAAGTTTTTTTGTAATGCGTTTTTGATTCCTCCCAATCGACTGATTTCTTAAAAATTCCGATACTAATCATTTTTTTTCCAGGATTGTCATTGCTGATTTTCTACTTCTCAGTCTTCTTCAACCGTCTCCTGCAATCTTCACAAGATCGCCGCTGTCAAGCTGACCTCAACACACATCATTGCTATCAATTCGTCGCCTCATCTTCAGCCGCTGTTCAACACCTTCAATGCCAAGCCGCCGCAAATCATCGTCGTCTTCAGAAGCCGCCAAGTCGAGCTGGAAATGGAAGATTTTTGCACCGCCTACAGGATTTCAATCGGAATTCGAGTTACCAGGTAGTTTTTTTTCAATTTTTATTAGTTAGTTAGCCTGATGTTGGTTTTTAAGCTAGTTAATTTTCAATCATTATCAGCAACATTTTTTGGCGTGTAGGATTTACTCCGATAGTCAAATAAAAATGTGCAATTTGGCTGAAGATCTTTGAGCATAAGATTTACTCTGATATCGAAGATTATTAGGCGATGATTGAAGATTTTTGGCTTAGACAAAACATTAATTCTTTAGTGTTATGTATTTATTTGTTAGAGTATACGTTTTTCTCACTTTTTCTCATTTTCAAGATCGAATCAATGTGATGTTTCAAGTTGGCAGCGTCGACTTCAACAACAACTTCCACAACACAATCTCCACAACAACAGCACTTGCCGAAGCGGTTCCCACTCCGAAAGCTGATGTTGCTCCACCACATGAGCAGAAATGTCAAGTTTTTGCCGAGTTGCCACGTCTCAGTTTGATCGAATCGTCTCCTGCAAATTTCGCAATCGCCTCTGCCAAGCTGACTGCTCCACTCCAATACAACGCCATCAATTCGTCGTAGTCTTCAGCCGCTGTTCAAAACCTGGAATGTCGAGCTGCCGCAAATCCATCGTCGTCTTCAGAAGCCGCCGTTCAATCGGAATTCGATTTATCAGGTCGTTTTTTTTTATTTTTATTTAAAATTAGGATACTTTTTCTAGATATTTTAAAACTTCTAGATGATTTAGGCTTTAATTGTAAATTTAAAGAAATGTAGGATTTTAAGCTAATTAATTTTCAATCATTATCAGCAACATTTTTTGGCGTATAGGATTTACTCCGATAGTCAAATAAAAATGTGCAATTTGGCTGAAGATCTTTGAGCATAAGATTTACTCTGATATCGAAGATTATTAGGCGATGATTGAAGATTTTTGGCTTAGAAAAAACATTAATGCTTTAGAGTTATGTATTTATTTGTTAGATTATACGTTTTTCTCACATTTTCTCATTTTCAAGATCGAACCAATGTGATGTTTCAAGTTGGCAGCGTCGACTTCAACAACATCTTCTACAATCTCTACAACGACAGCACTTGCCGAAGCGGTTCCGACTCCAAAAGCTGATGTTGCTCCACCACGTGAGCAGAAATGTCAAGTGTTTGCCGAGTTGCCACATCTCAGTCTGCTTGAATCGTGCCCTGCAAATTTCGCAATCGCCTCTGCCAAGCTGACTGCTCCACTCCAATACATCGTCATCGGCTGTTGCACCTCCATAAGCTGCTGCCGCGAGTCGTGACCACAAGGAGTCTTCTCTACGCAGGGAGACAGCTAAACAACTTTTAGGGCTGTATAATGAATGTTTTTTGAGTGAGTTTTTTTGTTTCCCCATAATCAACAGATTTATCCATGTATTGGTAGCAAAGTTCTTTTTTCAGTATTGTCAGTGCAATGCCAAGCTGCTGCTGATCGCGAGTCGCATCCGGAAGAAGTCGAGCAGCCTCCGAAAAAAGTTGCAAGTGTAGCCAGTGATGGATCGGTGACTCGAAAGATGAAACGCTCGACAACCAGCCCAGTATGACTACCAAGTTCAACAACAAGAACGGAGGACGAGGACAAATGCGTTGTAGTTAGTTTATTTTTTAGGTTTGCACCCCGTAAAACGAGAAAATTTTGGAATAATTTAGAAATTATTAACTTTTTAGTATCTTTTTCAAATTTTCATCAATTTTATCTAATAAAAAAACTAATATTTTTTATTTATTCTGAACTCTAATTCCTAATTGTAAATTTTTTATTAGAAAAAAAATACTGAGATAAAAATTAGTGAAATTTTTAGTTTGATATTAGTTGTTTTAAAAAATTGGGTTTTTTTTTGGATTCAATAACAAGATTGATTTGAAATCTTGAAAGTTATAAATTAAGAGACCAAATCTCTTAATTTATCGAATTTTCAAGAGTTGCATTGATCAGTCTTTTTTTTAGAGTTCAATTAAAAATCCGATATTTTAATAGTATAAATTTGACTTCTTGTTTTTATGTAGGATTGGGTAGAAATTAGTGAAATTTTTAGTTTGATATTAGTTGTTTTAAAAAATTGGGTTTTTTTTTTGGATTCAGGAACAAGATTGATTTGAAATCTTGAAAGTTATAAATTAAGAGACCAAATCTCTTAATTTATCGAATTTTCAAGAGTTGCATTGATCAGTCTTTTTTTAGAGTTCAATTAAAAATCCGATTTTTTAAAAATATAAATTTGATTTCTTGTTTGTAGGATTGGGTAGAAATTAGTGAAATTTTTAGTTTGATATTAGTTGTTTTAAAAAATTGGGTTTTTTTGGATTCAAGAACAAGATTGATTTGAAATCTTGAAAGTTATAAATTAAGAGACCAAATCTCTTAATTTATCGAATTTTCAAGAGTTGCATTGATCAGTCTTTTTTTTTAGAGTTCAATTAAAAATCCGATATTTTAAAAATATAAATTTGATTTCTTGTTTGTAGGATTGGGTAGAAATTAGTGAAATTTTTAGTTTGATATTAGTTGTTTTAAAAAATTGGGTTTTTTTTGGATTCAAAAACGAGATTGATTTGAATTCTTGAAAGTTATAAATTAAGAGACCAAATCTCTTAATTTATCGAATTTTCAAGAGTTGCATTGATCAGTCTTTTTTTTTAGAGTTCAATTAAAAATCCGATATTTTAATAGTATAAATTTGACTTCTTGTTTTTATGTAGGATTGGGTAGAAATCAGTGAAATTTTTAGTTTGATATTAGTTGTTTTAAAAAATTGGGTTTTTTTTTGGATTCAATAACAAGATTGATTTGAATTCTTGAAAGTTATAAATTAAGAGACCAAATCACTTAATTTATCGAATTTTCAAGAGTTGCATTAATCAGTCTTTTTTTTAGAGTTCAATTAAAAATCCGATATTTTAATAGTATAAATTTGACTTCTTGTTTTTATGTAGGATTGGGTAGAAATCAGTGAAATTTTTAGTTTGATATTAGTTGTTTTAAAAAAAAAATTGGGGTTTTTTCTTGGATTCAAAAACAAGATTAATTTGAAATAGTCTAGGTCAGACACTCCGCCGGTTGTCCGAGAGTTCGCCGACATGTCGTTTTCTCCGCCGGTTCTCCAGCCTGTTTCTCTGAGGACGAGCGTTCGCCGTTGGTTGTCATTTTCTCTTCTTACGGGAGACCTATTCCTGCTGCCTTCGTGCTGCCTGCCTGCCACCGTCTTCCGTCGCCGTCTTCTGCATTCAGCCGCCTCACGTCTTCAGCCGCCAACGTCTTCACTATCTGCCACGTCAAGCTGTTTTGCACGAAGAATTGGATCGATATTATTCAGATGAGTTGTTTTTTTTTCATTTATCTCCATTTTTGTGCTTTTTCGTTTGTTTTGTTTCAGGAACTACGACAACCGTGTCCATCTGCTTCAGTTCTGCATTTGCTGTCAAATCGCCTCCTCAAATTGCTTCATCTTCAGTTGCTGATCCTGGTGATTTCGTAATGAAGGAATTCTCGGTATTTTCACTGAGAATTTTTCGTTTTCAAGCTCGAGTCACCAGGATAATCACCACCAAGTGGAAAATTTGGAAACAAGTCTGGCTCGCCAAAAATTTGGAAATTTTCCATTTTTCTGGCTCATATCGGACTGTTTCTAGGTTTTGCCACTAGCGCATCACGCGCTCATCATTGAAATAATAAAGTTTTTTTTGTAATGCGTTTTTGATTCCTCCCAATCGACTGATTTCTTAAAAATTCCGATACTAATCATTTTTTTCCAGAATTGTCATTGCTGATTTTCTACTTCTCAGTCTTCTTCAACCGTCTCCTGCAATCTTCACAAGATCGCCGCTGTCAAGCTGACCTCAACACACATCATTGCTATCAATTCGTCGCCTCATCTTCAGTCGCTGTTCAACGCCTGGAATGTCGAGCAGCCGCCAATCCATCGTCGTCTTCAGAAGCCGCCAAGTCGAGCTGGAAATGGAAGATTTTTGCACCGCCTACAGGATTTCAATCGGAATTCGCCTGGGAAATCTTGTAGAACTTCGGGGAAAATTTCATCACGGCACGCAGAACAACGAAAAAGTGACATCGCTATTTTTGAATGGAATTATTTTTATTGTGAAGGCTTTATTCGAGTTGTAGAATGTTTGAGGGGTTGTCAGAGTCCCAAGAAGCCAACAAAAAATATAACATTGTCCACCATGTCTCACACCAAGTTTGGGTGGAGATTTTTGGAACAGTCTGCTTCATTGGGAAAAATCATTGATCTCCATTGATTTTGTGGTCAAAATCGGGAGTAAGGTTGAAATAAATGTATTTCTGGACTAACATATGTAACTAAGAATAAAAATCAACCTCGATAAGAAACATCAAGTGCTCCAGCCAATCACTGTACACAATAAAAGATAAAATCTCCCAAAATCGCTGTTGAGAAACAATTTTTTCGATTTGAGCAACATTTTAAAATTGATATTATTTTTGTCAGAAACGAACCCATTGCATATTTCCTTTCAAATTAGTTATCAGAAAGGTTCTAGGTAAACCTGCAATCAACTATTTTGACTATACAGAACCTAGTTTTCAAGTATTGGGACAATATGTCCGACAAATGCCAGCGTGCCGAGATGAAATTTTCCCCGAAGTTCTACAAGATTTCCCAGGTCGCAGAATCAACCAAATCAAGAGATATTGGTTCCAATTCACTCGTTAGGGACCTAATTAAGTATTTTGAAAACGATATACAAAAAACTGTTCTAAATTTGAAAATAATATTGAATTATAGCTGTCCACGTATTTATGGCGCACCCTGTAGTTAATTTTTTGGCTTTTACATTTAGATTTACATTCAGTTTTTTCTAAAATGTTTCTTACTCAGGAAATTTTGGGCAACGATTTAGCAAGTTGCTGCCCTCTCGCAACTTGCTATCTCCTTGCTGCACTTTTAGCGACTCGCGCGATTCTTGCTGCATTTTTAGGTTGCAATTTGTGTCATGAATTTGGTCCAGCAAGTTGCGAAATTCTTGCTGGATCCATTTTTATTGAGATGGATAGAGGGCGGAACATTTTTTTTGAAAGCATGCCAATAGGCAAAACTCATTTTTTGTCGGGCAGAAAATAATTATAAATTGGTCCCGAGGACATCTCTACAAGTTATTGAGGGGTATTTTTTATTGCTATGGCATTACAATGCTACAGTACTACCAATAACTAAATTAATTTTGATCTCGACAAACTTTGTCTTTCATAATAAAAAAAGAATGAACCTCTAATTTTTTTTTTTCTCGAAATTTGTTCAGCAACTCGCGGTTTTCTTGCCGATTACGAAAAAAGAAAATCTCGCTTGCTACAATAGGCGATTCCGCGGCAAACTAGTGTCCGAACCGCATGTTTTAGCAAGCAGAAAAAAAAAATTGCGAAAAATCTCCTGAGTTTCACCATTTTCCAGCTCGAGTCGAGCTGTTTACTGCAAGCTATCGCATCATCATCTCAAACTCCATGCCATCAACATCATCTTCCACAATCTCCAATTCTTCTGACATCAATTGCCAAAGGTCTCGTATCTGAATTTTTTAAACCCTAATTTCATGTTTTTCGAATCAAAAGAGATAAATAAAAATTTCATGGTAAAAATACGTTATTGTACAAAGAAAATCTGTAGTGTTAGCTTGCAAATAAAAAATAAAAATAAATCGTGTAAGTAAACTTACAATGCAAAGCTAATAGTAAAAAATACAAGTTGCGAGATCAATGAATACTTGGATAAAATCACAAAAATTATTGTTGATCGCATCTTGATCTGTTCATTTTTGATGGAGTATTAGCAGCTTGGGTTTCATGTTTCGTATCATCTGGATGGAAAACTGCTGTTTGATTTGATGTTGATTGATCGCATCTTGATCTGTTCATTTTTGATGGAGTATTAGCAGCTTGGGTTTCATGTTTCGTATCATCTGGATGGAAAACTGCTGTTTGATTTGATGTTGATTGTGGGGCCTGGAAAAATATGATATTTCAATGAAGAATAAACAAGGAATAAGATAAGACAAACCTTGACATCCTCCGATTTATCTGCTGCAACAAACGAATCTCGAGCATCAACAAATGTTCCTTGTTCATTTTGCGCTTCATCAATATAAGTGGTTTCGCGACTCAATGGCTTGATTCTGAAATCAAAAGGAGATTTTTAAAAAGTTCAGAACAAATCCAAAGTTATATCTTTCGGACATTTTTTTCCGATAAATATTTTACAAAAAAAACATACCCAGCTCTTCCCATTTCAATTAATCCAGGTTGTCTTGGAGGTGTTTTGATTCCTTTCAAATCCTTGACTTCCTTCTGAAGTGTTCGAATGGTTTGCTTATAAACTCTTTCTTCATCATCAAATTTGTCGCAACAAGTCTCCAATCTTTCAACTTCTTTTTTCTCTCTTTCCAAACTCTTCTCAGCTTCCGCCAATCTCAATTTCAACTCCTCAATTTCTTTAATCAATTCTCCAACTTGAATATCTCGATCTTCGACTTCTTCCTTCATAATTGTTATATCATGGTTAGCTGTTTCTTCAATTTCTTCAACTCTTTTATTTGCATTCGCCAAATCCTTTCTCAATGATTCAATCATTTCAGCCAATCCAGATATTCCATTCGATTGCTCTTTGATGATTCTGAGTTCAGTTGCAAGTTCGAATGATTTCGTTTCCAATTCTCTCTTTTCTACCTCCCACACTTTTTGAACTTCATCAACTGCAGCTAATTTCTTCTCATATTGTGCATTGATCGATTCGATTTCACTTTCCAATTTGACAACACTATTTTCTTTTTGAGCAATCGATTCTTCCGCAACAGACAATTGACTATTCAACGTTTGAATCTGAAAATGATATATATCTTTATAAGTATTCTTCGAGTGATAAAAAACTAACTTGTTCTTGCAAATTGCTGATTTCCTTGTCCTTTTGCAATCGAATTTCGACAAATTGTTTATTCGCAGATTCGAATTCATTTGTGATCGAATTGACTCTGATATTCAATTGTTCAATACAATCTTCCAAATTCTTCTTCTCATCTTCAATCAAACTAATTTGTTCATTCACAACATCAGTCGATTGTCCATTTTTGACAAGTTCATCTTTTTCAATGAGCAATTGTTCAGCATTTTGTTGAGAAATGAATAATTTTTCCGATGTTTCTGTCAATTCATTCTCTTTTTGCTTCAAACATTCCAATGTTGCCAAATATTGTTCTTCGAAATGCTTGAATTGCGAAACTTGTTGTTCCAATTCAGACGAGGTTTTCAAGACTTGTTGAATTTCGTTCGTCAACTGCTCTTTCTCCAAACTCATTTCCACTGATTGTTGTGTCGCAACATTCAAATCCTCATTCAATTGAGCAATCTACAAAACATTAATTTATTCATAAAGTTTACTTTGGCAAAAAAACTCACGGTTTGGCTGAGCTCTTCGATTTTTTCGTTGCAAACTTTCATTTTCCGAATTCACAACCTCAATTTGCTCATTATGAGATTGTCGTTCTTCCAATAGATCTTCCAATTTTTTGACAATTTCAGCTTTCTCATTTTGAATTTGATCAATTTGTTGAAGCATTGTTCCATTTGAATTGGTGAGTGATTCGATTTTTTCCAATATTTCCTCGTTTCCTCCAACAATGGAATTCATCTTATTTGTCAATTCTTCATTTTCTTGTCGAATTGTATCAATTTCATCTCGCGTATCTCGCAATTCATTCTCCAATTTTTCCTTTTCTTCTTCGAGTTTTTGGATTTCTTGTTTGAAAGTAGAACTGGATGATTGAACTTCAGCGATTTCAGATTCTTTTTCATTCAATGATTGATATAATTCAGACAATTTGGCGTCGAATTCACTTTGTTTTGCATCATTGACTGAAGTTGCATCATTCAATTTCGAAATCAAACTGGCACATTCAATCTCCAATTGTGAAATCTGTAAGAATGACATTATGTTTGGCATACATTCTCTTTGTAAAAAATACCTTGCTATTCAATTGTTCCTCGATTTGGCGAAGCTCAAGATTCTCCACCATAATCTTTTCATTCTCTTCGCTTGATTCCAATTGCAATGTTTTCACAATCTCTTCCTTTTCGCTATTCAATTGTTCGATTTGTTGTTGAAGAGCTAGCAAATTTTCTTGACTTTGTGAAACCAAATGACTATTATCTGATGTCAATTTTTCGACAAGATTTTCGGATTCGGTGAGTTTTGCAGTCAAATTCGAATTGTCCAAATTTGTTTCAGCAATCTGCAATTTTAATTTTAATTTCAAGTTCCATCATAAAAGTCCTTACCGATTCATTCAATTCCTTGATCATCTGTTCGAGCTCTTGTTTCTCTTCTCTGAGTTGTGCAACTTGTTCAGAATCAGACTCGTTATTCTCCAATTTCCCAACCAACTCAATCTTCTCCTTTTCCAATACATCCACAGATCCAACAGCCTTCTCTAATTGTTCTTTCAAACTATCAGCTTCATTCTTCGAATCTGACAACAATTGTTGAACTTCTTCCAATTTTGCACGAAGTTGGTCGATCTCTTCATCTTTAGTTTCCGATTGAGTTTCTTTGAAGTTATTCAAATCAGCAACAATTTTCGAGTTTTCTTCTGAAAGTTCAACGATTTTTGATCGAGCTTCTTCCAATTCGATATTGTTTTCAGCAACTGCTTCATTTGCTTCCTTCAATAATTTCTCGAATTCTTGACATTCGGCTTGAAGACTTGTGATTTGTTCTGATTGGCCTAAACTGTTTTGGTTGTTTGATTCGACTTGTTCGAGATTCGCTTTTGTAGATGTCAATTCATTCGACAATTCGTCCATTTTCGCAGCAGAATCACTGATCTGAAAAAAAAACATAGTTTAAAAAAGCAACAACAAAAAGCAAATTACCATTTCTCGCAACTCTGCAATTGTTTTGAGCAGATCATCGTTTTCCTTCTGAACACTGCTAATTCTTTGTTCCGATTCGGTTGTCAGGGTTTGAAGATTGTCTTCCAATTGAACTTTTTGATTGAGAAGTACGGAAAGTTGAGAATTCAAAGCGTCGATTTCAACTTTCATTGATTCTTCAGCATTTTCCGATACTTTTCCAATTTCAGCATTTGATTGCAATTCAATTAATGATCTCTTGGTCATCTCCAACTCTTGGAACAAACCATCAACAGTCGAATTTCTCTCAGATAATTCAGTTTGCAATTTGTTGATCGTCGTTGTCAATGTTTCAATCTCAAGAAGTCGTTCTTGTTCCAATTTATCAGCTTCTGCATCCATTTCGCATTCTCTTTGCATCGCTTCTAAACGAATTTCTTCAGTACGAGTAATCAAATTGCTCTTGAGATCGTCGATTTCCAACTTCAACTCAACAATAATTCCGTCCTTGGATGATATTTCAGAGTTCAAATGATTAATTTTCGATTGACTTGAAGTGTTATCCGCATTCAAATGTTCCAATTGTTTTGACAAATTATCGATTTGATCATTCAAATTCTCACTGTTTTCGGATTCATTAATCGAATTTTTGAGTTCAGCTTCTCGTTTATTTGCTTCCTTCAGTTTTTTAGCCAAAGTATCGATTTGAGATGTCAACATATCGATTTCCATCTTTCTACCTTCTTCAATTTCCTTGATTTGTGACTCATACTTGTCACGAACTTGATGCAATTCTTCTCCAAGTGCTTGAATCTCTCCATCTTTTTCAGTCTCCTTTTCCAAAACCATAAATTCACATCTGAAAAAAAAGAATATGGAGTTAAAAATATACAGAAAAAAAGAAAAACATACAACGATTCATCCACCATATTCTTTTTTGTATGAACTGGTGTTCTGACAAAAGATCTTGCAATTTGTCTGGCAACTGTAGGCGGTGCAGTTGGTGTTGAATGCAAAGAAGATTCGAAATCCGATGTTGGTGCGACTGTTTCATCAGCATTTTCAGCTTTCGCGAACGTTTCCGACAATGTCACATCCATAGTCAAATTCTCTTCTTCTTCAGCAACCGCGCTCAAATCTGATGCTGATGCAGTATATGGACTTGATGGAGCAAGAGATACTTCTTCACCGCCATCAATTGTTGAATTTGCAGTAGATGCAGATGAATTTGGGCGCATGAAGGAGTTTTCGACAGTGGTTTCGTCCAAAAATGGATCGACAGCGGCTGGAGCTCCTGAAATTAATAAAAATATATATGTTTTTTTTATAAATTTGAAGTCATGAACTAACCATTGACTCTCGCAAGTGGCGAACTGTTTCCAAACAATCTTTTGGGCTCTTTTCCAACTCTTGAAATAGGCGACGCTGAACTGAATGGTGATTCGAGCTGTTGTCTTTTCAACTGAAAACCAAAATAATTAGATTTATGGTTCAACAAACAGATGAAGCTTACCTTGTTTTCGGTGTTATGATTTTCCATTTTTCCAAAATGAATACGCTGAAAATAAGTGTATAGTTAATACGACTAATATGGAAATTTGTGAAAGAAACCAAGCTTTTATACGGATTTCTAGAAATTAGGTCACACTTGAAAAAAATGGGTTACGTGTAAAATAGGAAAATCTTTGATACGTTGATAGTTTCGGGGCAAACTTATACAAATGGGGAACTTTGCTGCGTTTCAATATTGTAATTATAACACTTTCAAGAATTAAAATCAAATATACACCAGGTCAAAGTGAATTCTTGAGAGAAACTTGACTGAAAATTTTCTTTTTTTGTTTTAAAACAATCGAAAACGCGGAAAGAAAACATTTCCCGCCTCTTTATTTTGAAAAATTCAAACTGTTGAGACTAGTGCGGTAGAGCGCACTTCGCACTTCGCTCTTTTCTATTTTTATTTTCGGGCCCGACCGCGGGGTTTGCAAATTTTAAATAGAATTTATTTGTTTCTTTGAACTAAATAGTATTCTCCATGGGAAAAGTGATATTGGAGAGATTCTCAGGGTTCCCAGGGTTATAGATATTTTGTTAGTGAATATCAGGGTTTCCCGCGGGACCCGTTACACTTTTCCCTGGAGGTACTGTAGGGTTTGCACGTATTGCTTATTTTTTGGTGCATCAAGATTTTCTCAGCGTGTTTGTGGATTTTTTTCAAAGCTCATTTTTTTCGTTGAAGGAAGGGATTCTGCAAAATCAAATTTTATGTTTTTCTAAAATGTGACCAACGTATTATCTATAATCAGAATTATATTCTCACAGCAATAAACAAAACCAATTCTGGTCAAGGTAGTGTTGTTGGGGATTTTTTCGACGCCCAAACATTATGTTCTTCGAGATAACCCAATTACTTCGGACCAGATTGGATAGAACTTAAGAAGCTTTTGAAAGCTAAATAGTATGAGGAAAGAATGCTACCGACATTGGCCTGGTTTTTTGCTATGTTTTGAAAAAAAGGATATTTTTTTGAAAAGGAAAGAAAATGAAATAATTATGAAGTAGAAGAATGCAGTTTTCCTACACTAGAAACGGAAATTTTTAGTTTATAAATTAAGTTTTGAAAACAATTTGAACTTTTCCTTCACTTTTCCCAATTTTGTTTGTTTCACCGAAAAATTTGTAGTCTTAATTTTGAACTCTATTTTTCTTGTTGTAAATAAAAAAATTTCATCGAAATGTCAACTGACATATTTTCCTGATAACACTTATTTTTTCAATATAAATCAAAATTTATCAGCAAAATTTATTCCAAAAAAATGATCAAAAAAGTTATATTTTCCCTCATTTGTCTACAAGTTTTTGCTGCTCCAGACTTCGAAAATTTGGCGGAATTCAAAAAATTCGTCAAAGATTTTGATAGAAAATATCAAAATGAAGCGGAGTTTCAAAAAAGATTTGAGATTTTTTCTGCGAATTTGAACCTTATTCGACGATATAATCAAGAAGATTTCGAAAAAGGAATCAGTTATTCAATTAATGATTTTGCTGATTTAACAGAAGAAGAATATCAACAAAATTATTTGATGAATCCAACCAAAAAAGAAAATTCGAAAAAAAATATTGTAGACAGTTTTGGAGGAGTTATCCCAAATTCAATTGATTGGAGAAATGTGAATAATCAAAACCACGTTTCATCGGTAAAATATCAAGGAAAATGTGGATCTTGTTGGGCATTTGCTGTTGCACAATCAATTGAATCAGCAGTTAGTATTGCTTCAGGAACCACAAATCCAGAATCACTTTCTTCGCAACAAATTTTGGATTGTACTCCCAATTCTGGAAAATGTCAAGGTGGAGAACCATTGGATGCAATTGAATATGTTATTGAACATGGTGGTTTGACAACTGCAAAGAGTTATCCATATTTATTTTTTAGCACTAAATGTAGAGAGGATAATAAACAGATTGTGGTAGGCTTCAAAAATTTGGGCCAACTTTTTTTTTCGAAAAATTGTTCAGAAATTTCAAAAATTGTTGAAGTGTTTGATTTTTAGCCTCATTATTGAAAAGTTAAAAAAAAAATTCAAATTTTTGCCTCGCATTCAGATTTTTCCAGAAAATCCAAAGTTTCCCTCAATTTTTCAGGCCAATATTTCAACATATCTTCTTGGCTCAACCGAAGATCATATTGCTCAACTGGTTGGTTCAAAAGGTCCAGTTGTAGTTTGTGCCAATTTTGCCACCAACAAGAATCGCTTTTATCATGGTGGAATTGCTGAAGATCCGGAGTGCGGTGTAAGTTTTCTATTCTATGAATTCCAGCAAACCTCCAAATTTTTCAGACTGAACCAACTCATGCTTTAATTGTTGTTGGATATACACCAGATTATTGGATTTTGAAAAACACCTACAGTACGATTTGGGGTGAAAAAGGATATATGCGAGTGAAAAGAGGTGTTAATTGGTGTGGATTGACAACTGAAAATTCGATTTTGCCAATTGTTTAAACTATTTCAATAAAGTTTTTGAGATTCAAGATTTGAACGTATATCTTGTTTAGAAAATCTGAGCTAGATATCTCAAGAAAATATTTCAAAATTTTATGAGAAAAGTTATTTTACAAAGTGAAAAATGCCAAAAAATACATAAAATCAAAACTTATCAAGTTTCACCAAAAAGAAGACAATTCATTTGATGCATTGTTATTTTCTTTTTAACAGCACTACTGTCTCCATCTTGATGATTGAATATTACATCCGATAATTGCTGGTACTGAAAAGTATTTGATAATTTTTCGAAATCATTTTATTTCGTTCAAAAATCCTTACTCTTTGCCTTTTCATAGCTCCCGTCGATAATCTTTTCACATTTTTCGTTTTCATATTTTCCTCATCAACAATTTGTTTGATTTTCTCCGTATTTGTCATAATTTTTCCACTTTTTCCATTCGAATTCTCACTTGTTTCAGCTAAATTCACTCTCAACAATGTGATTTTATGTGCAATAATTTGTCGAACAGCATTTGCCAAACAATTACGTTTTTGTCCCAAAATTGGGAACATTGTTAGAATATCGATTGATGGAGAAAATAGCCAATTTATTTGATCTTTTACCATTGTTGCCGAATATGTTAAACCATAATCAACCATTGCAGATACTGTAGAATTAAGAAGAGATAAATCGCGTTGAGTGTAAAGTTGCTCATTCATCTGCAAAAAAACATGAATTCAAAATTTATTATTTTCAGTTCTAGGAGAATTATACTTTTTCAAACTTCAACATTTTTCTGAAAATTCAAATTATAGATTTTCAATTATGTTCAAGTTTTCAAAAAAATATCACGTCAATCAAAAATTTCAAAATTGTTTCCAATTTCTTGTTTCCCAATTTCCCAAACCCGTTCCCAAATCTCTTACCGGTTTAATGGGTGGTTGTACAATGGCAACCAAAAACGGCAAAATATCCAAAAGCAAATCCTTTTTCGCTGCTCCTTTTGACACATTTCCATTTGATCTCACACAATTCAATGTTTCTTCAGATTCCTTCAATTTTTGATGTGAATTTTGTTCAATTTGTGGATATATAATATTAACTCGAGCATGAGTTGCAATTGTTAAATGAAGTTTGACGAAAAACACAAAATTATAGCGTTGAACTGTCCAATTTTGAAGTGTGTGGGTCTGCAAAAAAATTGAGTTGAAGTAACTAGTTGAAAAACTAAAGAAATCAAGAAGATTATGAAACTAACAATTTTCTGCAGAGCATCATAAAATAAGAAGGTTCTCGAAGCTTTTCGAATTTGCCCAATTGGAAGTGATACCAAACAATTTGCATATAAACCAGAAACAAAACGATCTTCTCCACCGTGATCTGCAGCGATTTTTTGAATTGCCAAAACTCGATCGTGAACTGATTTTACAGCTCCTTTTCTGGAAAAATGGACATTTTTGTAGATTATTCAAAAGCAATGGTTAGGCACAAAAAACCAAATTTAGACCTGAAAACTAGGCTAATAAGGATCAGATAAAATTAATGTTTTTTCCTAGAAAAAATCGATCTGAAAATCTCTGAAGATTGGATTTTCTAGGAAACTTTCATGATTGTTTCAAAAATTATTAAGCTGAAGATTTGGCTGAAAATCTGAAATTTCATTTATCTAATTTTTTGAATTTTCAAGCTGAAAATCCGATGATTTCTAAAAAATTTAATGGGAATTGAGACATCTCTGGGAAAAATTGTGGAAATTATTTTCAACTTCCAAAATATTCTGTTTTTGAACCACACCTGACGAGAGAGTGTCCCAAAATTTTCGTGCAGCGTGAAAATTTGAATTTTTTTGAAAATTTTCACCAAAATCCGCTGAAAATCAATAAAAGCTTCACTTTTTCGTTAAAAAAAATGTGCAGCGTGGCTTTTGAAAATTTTTTTACAGTGTCCTTTGTGGACACGTCTCGTCAGGTGTGTTTTGAACAAACATTTTCAAAATTTCTTACCCATCCAAATGTTTCGAAACTTCCAAAACCGCCGCCCAATTTTCAAAAATCGAAGCAGCTCCGCTCTTTTCTTTCGCCATAACCTCTTGCACTAATTTCATTCCAATTTGTCTTTGTCGATTTTTCCTTGCTGCAATCGCAACCCATTGTAATGTATTAATTGAATGTCTCATATCATTTGCACACATTTCACAAAGTCGCCTCAAAGTTGTCGCGTCACATCGAAGATTTTCGCGATCACAAATTTGTTGAAGACGGCGAGAAAGACCGTCTTGTTTTGTGGCTGATAATTGAACACACCATGCAACACTTCGAAGTTCGCGAAGAGCTGGAGTGAATCTGAAATAATTATGGATTTTTTGGAGGTGAACGCCTCGTGGATTCACTGAACTAACGTTGACCATTTTTTTCGAAAACTTCAGATAAAATATTTCTAAATTAGGAGGTCATAACATTGTTCAGGGGGGTAGATTTGGTAAATCCACGGCATTTTATGTATTTCATGGAAAATTTTCATTTATCACTTTTGTTCTGTAAAATACCGAATTTTCTTAAAATAAAGTTGGAATTTACTTCAAGAAATAGAAATGACTATTTATTTCTAAAAATGAATCGAAACGTGACACCCTATTTCCACGTCTTATCTGATCAAAAATTTCAGCATAAAATGTGTGTATCTGGTCATTATTTTTCTCATACTACTATCTTATTTCAACCGATCCGGCTATATCAAAACCCCAAATTCAAACGAGAACATGGCTTCTGATAAGTTGATCGAAATCGTAATCGATATGGAAGAGGGTGAACCATTGGGTGCAACACCAAATGATAAATTGGTTATCACCAAAATTCAAAGTGGAACTATTGCCGAAGGAAAATTGAGAGTAAGTTAACTCTCATCTCTTGAAGATATAAATATCCAAGTTCATAATTTCAGATCGGAGATCAAGTCAAAAAGGTGAATGGTCAAGATTGCAAAGATGCCAACGATTTTTTCCGCGCTTTGCGTTTTGCCGCACCGGCCGCAAGAATTTTGGTGAATCGCGACGACAAAAAGGCGGAAGAATTGGAGGCTCGTGTGCATATTCCGGAGGATCGAGCCAAGATTATTCAACGTCGTGAAGGTTATATTTACGAGATGGCAACTTTGACATGGGTTCAGAATGGACCGAAATTGGGTTTGGGTATCAAACATTTCCAGGTGAGAGGGAAAAGGGGATGAGGAGATTTTTTGATATGAGTATTTGAAATATCGTGCGATTTCTTTAATTTTTGTTAGGAAAACTCACAGAAACTAAGGGTCGGCGCCTAGAGAATCTAATTTTCTAGTACCCACATCTAGAGATGCAGTCTGACAAGGAGACGTTCCTTGAGAGCAGATCTTCTATGCCAAATAGCCGTTCCTAGATAATTCAAGATCTTCTAGAACCGTGTATTGGTATCCCGTGTCGATCCCGGATCTCTCGCCGAAAAATGTCTTGTTGTCGGTGATCATTTATGCGATGTTGATGGTGTTCCAGTCACTGACAAAGATGTCGCCAGAGATCTTTTGGTTAGAAATATTCAAGAAAAGGGCAAGGTCACATTTGTCGTCGAACGTCCCGATTCAATCGAGGCGAAACAATGGGCGAAAAATGCGTTGGCGACAAATTTGATGCAACCACCATCGGTTCAAATGAATGATGATGTTCGTCAAATAGCGACAACATATCGTGCCGCATTGAAGAGTGCCAAACCACCAGCGAAATCTGCAATGTCGGCTGGAGCACCGAGTGGAAAACGTGTACAAATTGTTGATCAATTGCATGCACATGAAATTGGACACGATCATGAAGGAAAAGCTTTGCGTAAAGTCAAGTAGATTTCCTTTTTTCGTATAATGTGAGCAATGAAAATGTCAGCTTTACCTGCGTTTTTTTGGTTTGAGTAAAAAACTTACAAATTGTTGCAAATTCCAATAATTGGCCTTCTCACGGCTTTTTTGCCCGGTGCTTGTAAACATCGAATTAAATGTCGAATTGTGTCGATTGGCGAACCATCGATTTCATCCAAAATTAGGCAAGCGGGTCGTTGATCCTAGAAAAATATTACTATCATACTTCGGCTAGTATTGTATAGACTAGATTTTTCATATCAAAACTGCAAGTAATTAAGGTCTTTTTTTCAATTCAAAAGTTGTTGTTTTCTTTAAGCCAAAATTTTTCAAAAAAAAAAGTTTTTCATGAATTACATTAATCTGAAAACTAACTAGTTTTCTTGAAAAAAATATGTTTCAAAAATTTGGGAAAATCATTTTCTGACTTTCTTTGATTGGTGATCTCTTCTCTCTTTAAAAAAAACTCGGGCCGATTTTTTCAGAGCAATTTTTCCATTAAAAATTCGAATTACCCTCCCACCAAATCTCTACCTTATCCAAAGTCCTAGCCGTTTTCACAGCTCCTTCCAAAACTCGATTCAAATCTGCAACAGTTCTCGCATCACTTGCATTCACATCAATTGTCGAATATCCTGCTTGTCTTGCCACAATTTTAGCAAGTGTCGTTTTTCCCAATCCAGCCGGTCCCGAAATCAGAATCATTTTGAAATTGGGCCGCCGAATTTTTCCCGAATCCATTGTAAGAATTTCCTTTTCTTTGTCGTTTAAACTGGCCAACAAATTATCGACTTTTCGTTTGAAAACACATTCATCCCACATTTTCAACCAGGTTAGAATATTTCGATTGACAGTCTGCAGGAAAATAAGAATTTTATAAATATAAATGACATGAATGTTTTCTAGTAATTTTCAATTATGCTGATCACTAAAATTTCATTCCTGAACCCCATTTACTTCTCCCAACTTACATCATCCGATAATAATTCGGCAAAATTTTTGGCTTCATATTTATCAACCCAAAGTGCACTTTCTGTCTGATTTTCCTCTTCAATTTCCATACTTGAACTTTGAAATATTTCATCATCTAACTCTTTTTCTCTTTCATTTTTCAACACTTCTAATTTCTTCAATCTCAATTCTTCAGCTTCTTTTTGTATATTTTGAAATGTTCGATATCCCAAATGACTTTTTGTTATCTTTTTCGTCACACTTTCAATAAATGATTCATTATTTTGTTGTTGATTTTGTTCGTTCAAAATATTTCGAAATCTTCGAATATAAAATCGTTCTCCTAAACCAGAATCAGTGATTCCAATCCAATTTGATCCATCAGTTGGTGGTTGTCTCATTATTTCTCGTTTTCGTCGAAATCTTTGAGCCAATTCAATATCACACAATTCGCTGACTGTATTTCCCTCTTTTTCGAGTAGATTTTCAAGATTTTCTGGTTCAGCAGTCATTTCTTGATTATTGGCTGCTTGGTTGATTTGATTTTCGAGTTCTTCTAATGCACGTCGTTTTGCCGCTGTTTTTTGTTTATTGTCTTCGACTTCATCTCCGAAAATTGGCATTCGCATATGCCAGTCTGCAAAATTCAAAATATTGTTGAACCTATTTTTGCATTTTTTAGAGGCAGAACTTGGCTCAGAGGCTCAATTGGAAATTTTTTTTATTTTAATTATGAATAATACCATTTTCAACATTTTTTTCGAAAATATAGTAAAATAGATGCAGATTTGTTTCTCTAGTCAAACTAAAATTTCTCAAAAAAAAAAAAATCCAAAAAATAAACGTTTCAAAATTTTTTCAAATTCTAAAAATTTTGAATTGAAGCCAATCATGTTTTTTAAAATTATTACTAAATAAATAATTCAGCGAAATGTTCAGAATATCATTTTTAATTTATTTGGAGCAGAAAAGTTTTGACTTTTTCTACATTTTGAGAATTCTCAAAACAATTTTGGAATGAAGGAATCCTGAAAAAAAACTGTTTTAAAAATATCATAAAGTTTTTCATAAATTTGAAATTTTTGATGGAACCTGAGAAAACCATTCAACTTTTTCATGTTTTTCTCAAAAACCCAATATTTCTGACTCCAATTCGAATGTTCTTACCAACAGGATGTGATCGATTACCATATTCATCCCAAACTTCTTCAATTTCCTCAAATGTTCTCTTTTTCCTATTAAAACCCATCGAACTTTCATCCAAAGCTTGAACCACTTGATTTAGCCGAATTTCATTATTTTCTTCATTTTCTTCCGGATAATGTAAAATATCATCGTCTTGTTCGAAATTCGCACCATTTGATATCACATTATAATCATCGTCATCCATTTTCACTAAAAAACCACCAAGTTATTTTCAAATTTCACACACAACACCAAGTATATTAGAGCAAAGTTAGGGGAACTCAAAACAAATCAGGCAGAGAATCAGGAGAAAACCACAATAAAATTCCGAAAATTTATAACTTCTTCAAAATTTGCAAAAAAGAGAGAGAGAGAGAACAATAAATAAAAATGGGAAGGGGGAAGAGATCTACCAAAGATTTTTTTGAAAAAAAATGAACAAAAAAACATTTTCTACACGCCGAGTACCACAATTATTATCAAAAAAAAACAAGAAAAACCGGGAGGGAAAAGGAAAATGGAATTTGGTACAGAAAAAAGTGGGTAAATTGTGCTGTTTTTAAATTAAAATCAATTAAATAACATTAAATTAAAATTTGTGTATGTGTGGAAAAATATGGGTTTTTAATCGCGGCGAGTGCAAAATATACACAAAATCCAAATTTTTCCCCATCTTCTTTTTCTTTCTAATGTTGATTTGGTTGTGGTTGATGTTGATGATGGTTATTGTTGTGGAATCCGCCACGTGGACCTCCGCGTCCTCCGCGAGGTCCGCCACGTGGCACAAATCCGCCGCGTCCTTGGAAACCACCTCCACGGTTTCCGCCGCGGAAACCGCCTCCATTGAATCCTGGGCGGTCTTTTTGCTCGCTGATTGTGGCGAGACCATCGAAACCGAAGGCGTCGAGTTTGAGAGTGAGGCGATAGAGTCCTTGTTCCTGTAAAAATTTAAAATGTTTTCATTATAGCAAAACAAATAGGAAAAAGTTATTCTTTTTCCATAACCTAATTTTCAGTTTTTCTACATTATTGAACAAGGTGTAATTCGTGTCCATAAGTTCAACAGATTTCTAATTACATAATTATTCGCGATTTTGAGTTGGTCGTGAGCAAATTAGCGATAAGTCATCTTTTATAGATGTAAAATCATCAAATTTATATCATCAGGTGTCTGCTAAAGCTATTTATATCACATATACGATCAAAAAGCAAGATATAAATTGGCTTGTACTATGACGTGGAACTTCTCAAATGTATAACGTTTTGATCCCATCTTTTTCAAAAACACTTTCAATACAAAATTTTATATAATAAAAAACCCTTATCATTGAGCAGCCTCCTACACAGTGTTTGTTACAATACAGCTTTTTTTGTACTGTAACTTTATTTTTGATTTATCCTAACTCCATATTTTTTTCTAACTTTTTCTATTAAAAAAAACTTACATCTTTGTTAGCGGCATCGAAAACTTTTTGAGCATAAGCTGGCTTTCTCATTGTGATGAAAGCAAAAGCGGTTTTTGATGTATCATTTGGAAAATCGAGAACTTTTCGTGGAACGTGAACATCATCGACTTCTCCGTATTCTGAAATAAGTTTTTACTTTTTTTGTTGACGAAATAGGCGAAGCAACTTACGTTGGAAGATTTGTCTGATTTCAGTTTCAGCAGCTTCTGTTCGGTCTGGAACAAAGGTTCGTTGAATTCCACCAAGATAGATTTTTCTCTCGGTGATGGCTCCATTTTGAGCGGCTGGTTCTTGTGGTGTTGTTTCACGTTGTTTGTTACTTTGGGCGTGAGGAGCTGGAGCACTTTGAATTGGATCTTGTGGAGCTGGAGCTGATTTCACATTGTTATTGGTGGCAGTGGTAACTGGGGCACTCTTATTCAATCCATTTCCAACAAGGTTTGCCCATGACATTGGTTTTGGTGGTTCTTGTGGCGCAGCTGGCTTGGCTGGTGTTGAAACAACTGGTTTTGGAACTTCAACAGCTCTTGGAGTCTTCTCTTTTGGTGGAGCATCTTCAACTTTTTGTGGTGTTTTTTGTTGTGCTTTTTGTTGTTGTGGTGGTGGAGTTGCTTTAACTGGAGTGTTGTATGGTTTTTGTGGAGATTGGGTTGTGGTTTCTTGTGGTTTTCCATTTCCGTTCAATACTGGATGGTGGCCATTGATTTTTGGCTGAAAATTTGGAATTTATTTTTATCTCGAATTCAAGATTCTTCAATTTTTCCAAGTCAGGGAGAAATTTAAAAAGATAAAAAGACAACTCGGCCAAAATCGTGGTTTTCAAAATAAAAAATGTACGCTAACTTTTTACAGTAAGAAAACCGTGAATTTTTCATTTTTTGACCTCTGAAAACAGAAATTCAGCTTTTTCAAAATTGTACTCTGGTCAGCCACGGTTGGCCGAGGCGTGTCCCAGACTCTTCTCCGAGAAAAACTTACCTTTTGAACTTGAACTGCAGCTTGTTGTGGTGGTTGTTGTGGAACATCAAAAATGTTGGTCAAAAATTGCAAAAGATCACTTTCAACATAGTATTTCTTCAAACATTGTTGTCCAAGAATAAAAGTTTGCAAAAATGGATCAGCGTTGATCAATCCAACAACTTGAAGGAGAATTCCTTGATGAAGGGTTGGAACTCCGCTAATCGACAAAATTTTGATCTTAATATTGACTGGAAGATTGTCTTCATAAAATTTTGCGATATCTTGTTGTCCAACAACTGCAAGTTCTTTGAAATTGACAATTGATTCATGTCCATAGAACTTCTGCACATCATTTCTGGATTTCGACAAAGTTGTGTAGAATTGAAGAGCGAATGCTTGACCAATGGCTTAAATATGAAAAATTAGAACTTGAGATCTTGAAAGATTCACTTACTATCAGCCTCATGCTTAGAAATCAATCCCGGGTTTGGCGATCCGCCAGAAACATTTCCATTGACTACGTCGTTGATTGTCATATCTTTAATAAGAGGAGCAATCAGCTGCATTTACTAATTACCTGCAAGAAGAACAATGTTACTTAAAAATCTTTCTTCGGGTTAGGAAGAGAGAAAGAAAGGACAAAGATGGAGCAACCAAAAAAATCAATAACTTGATTGCACCTTGACAACCAAACGAAATGGTTGGTAATTTGGAAGGAAGAAAAGGATTATGCATTTTTAGACTAATAATCATAGGTATGGATTATTCAAAGAACAGATGGCGCAAGACATTGAGAATGTGAATGTGAATAGAAATGAGAATTTAGATTTGTCAAAAGGAACAGGAAAATAACAAGGTGTGAGATTTTTCGAAATGTCACATGGTGTCCATTTTCTAATACAATAACAACAAAAACAAAACGAGAAAAAAGTCACGTTGTTTTTGTGAGAATTTTGAAAAACAACAAAACTTTTGTCATCGCTGTTTTCTAGAGAAATTCGAAAACGCGCAATTAGAAAATCGATAAAACTACAACACAGACATTCTCACATTAGTCTTTTATGAGTAAACGTTCTTTAAATTGCATTTATCACCATTTCTCACGATAAAACTCTCAACACGAAAAAAACGCGGGAAAAGAAAAATTCGAAAGCAATTTTTTTGGCAAAGTTCCTGGGATACGCAGGTTCGTCCTGAAAATGGGTCTCGCAGCGAACAAAACAACGGCGGCTGTTTGAAAATTGTCTTTTTCCGCCTCGACTCTCTCCCATTTGTGCGCTCTCTCACTCTCTCCCACATTTTCGTGTTGGCGGCGCATTCGAAATCCACTCAGCATTTGCAGATGTAGCTAAATCATATTTTGAGGGTTTTCGTAGCTGAACCGTAGAAAGAACTTGAATCTCCAGCTAAATCGAAGCAAAAATTTAGCTCAGTGTTTCTGACCGATTTCTCAGCTAAAACACACATACGTAGCTACGGTTTTTTGGCGCGCAAACATGTTTTCTTCGTTTTGTTTTGTTTTTCGACGATTTTCGTGACTTAAAGCCTAGAAAAGTGCTGGTAACATATTATATCGTCTACGCGTCAGTGTTTTATCGATGGAGAATGAGTAAGTTCATCTAAAAGTTACGTTTTACGTTGAATCTTTGCAGGAAAACAGTCAGTTTGTTGCGTTTCTCGAAAAAGTGGAAAAAGATGGTGAAACCTTCAATAAATGAGGTAATTCCAACAAATTTTTCAATATTCCACAGTGTTTCTCAATTTACAGATGCCAATAACAAGAAAAAAGCCGGATGTCATGGATCTCGACCAATTTGGCTTCTAATAGGTTTTTGGGAAGTTAAACCGCCAAATGGAGTCGCAAAATGCACAAACACCTCATCGTCATGTTTTGCAAGCCTACCCTATTGGGAAATTTTAGTTGCTACTTTTCTATCCAATATTCGGCCGGTCCAGGATCCAGAAGCTATCAAACAACTGCGAGAAAATTAAGTGTTTCTGGTGAATAACTGACTATAATTTCATATTCTTATGTTATTGTATGTTTCAATACGAATAAATGTTTTATATTTGCAAGTTTTCTAACTACGCCAAATACAGAAAGAAACCCGCATAAGCAGTATTTCGCAATAAACAGGAAAACAGTTTTCGTAGCTAAAACATGCGTGTGTGTTTCGTAGCTAAAACAGACTTCGGTGTGTGTTTGTAGCTAAACCGCACACTGTTCGTAAATAAAACGCAAGTGTCAAGGGCTGCGATCGGTTGAGCTATGAATTAGCTACATCTGCAACTGCTGAGCACGTATTTTCACGTGGTTTTTTGGGATTTCAATTTCACAATCGTTGAAAATTACAGAAAATGTTGCGGTTCTTCGTTTTCGCTGCCCTTTTCCTCGCAGTTTCCGCTTCCGATGTGAGTTTTTGAGATTTTTCAGAGGAAAATAGGAACAAGAGTTTTTCAGTTTGTATTGGTTTCCAAGAGTTTCAACACTGTTTATGCAATTCAAAATTCTCCTTTCACTGTTGAATACGTCATTTACAACAAAAAATCTCAGGATATCACAAATGTAAGTGCCAATATGAATTTTATTTCCAAAACCCTCTTTTTTTCAGGTTGAACTCAATGATCAACAATCGTTCCCAACCAATAAATTCGACATCGGAAACGGAAACTTGAAAGTGGTTTACAATCGAATTCCTGCTGGAAGCAATGTCACTCACGCAATTGTTGTCGTTCCAAAAATCACCGGAGAACAACACAGCCTTCCAGCCAATTTGACATATTTCGATGCTTCTCGTGGTGAACACGTTAGAGGACAATCAAACTCGGGACATAAATGTGAGGATTTTATTGAAAAGTTAGCGTTGGAATTTTGAATCTAGGTTTTATACTTGAACTCACATTTTGAATGTTCTGTGAACATTTTAATTTGGAAGAAATTTTCAAAACAGTTCACGTAATTTTGCAAAAAAGTGCATTTTTTCCAGTCTACATCTACCATCCATCATCTTATCAACGTCTTTTCGCATCGCGTTTGGAAACTTTCGCCGTATTTGCAATGATTTGCGGACCAATCACAATTCTTTCTCTATTCTTTTACACAATCAGTGCAACTCGTTACGAAATCGCTCCGAAGAAACAAGTCAAAAATTGAATTCGAATTGCTGATGTTTATCCTGTAGCCAGATTTTATTTATTTATATATCATGTTTTCTGTTTTCAGAATTGCCCCTAAAGAGTTTTATTTGAAATTTTTTGAATTATATTCGACGACAAGATAGATAGAAAATAGTACAACTTGCGTCATTCACAGATGCAAATTTGGGAAGATTTGCATTTTTAAGGGTTGATTATTTTATTTTATTTCAATTTTATTTTTATTTTCATTTTCACCATTTTATACGATTTTTGTTCAACTTTGCTATTTATTTATTTTTTCAGTTTCAGAATGACGATGAAGCAGGATTTACTGCTTGTTCTCACCATTGAGGCTGTGGTGGCTGGTGTCGTTTTGGGATTTGTTATCAGAACTTTTGAACCAACGTAACTTTGTTTATTCAAAAATTCTATTGGAAATGTTTGATTTTGCAGGGAAGATGTATTGAGTTTGATCGGATTTCCTGGCGAGATTTTCATGCAAATTGTCGAAATGATGATTTTGCCATTGATTATTTCGTCTGTAATTTCAGCATTGGCACAAGTTCGAGCAAGAGATGCTCGCAAAATTGGAATTGTTACTGTTATTTATTATATGATTACCACTTTCCTGTCGACGTTTGTGAGTTTTTTGAAGGATTGGCATTATCTTTGAAAACTGTAAATGGGGAAATTTGATTATTTCGTGATTTTTTATTCAAGGAAGCGTCCAAAAATCAAAAAAAAATATTTTAGTTTGAACAAAAATTGGAAAGGTCTGATTTTTTTTTGATTTTTGGACGCTCCTTAAGCTATGCACCAATCAAAAAATTATTCCAAAAACAATTTTATATCAAAATTTCGAAACGTATTTTTTGGTGGGCAGAATGAGAGTTTAAAATTTTTGAACAATCTTGAAGTTTGGAGATTTCGAGCTGAAAACAGAAAATCTATCAATCAAAGTTTGGAACTCAAACTTTTTCATCTAAAAAATTTCAAGTTTTTAAAATTGAAAATAATTTCAAACTCTTCTCGAAAAATAATCGATAATTGGACATTTTAAAAACCGAATGTTTTTCATTATAATTTGAATCTCCGGAATAATCTGGAATTTTGAAAAAAATATTAAACTTAAATGAAACTATTCAAAAAAATGTTATTTGTAAAAAAATCGACTACGGCGATCATAAACATAAAGAAATAAATTATCATGAATTTCTTTATTTTTAGACAGGAATAGTATTAGTATCAATGATTCATCCGGGAGATCCAACAATCAAAAAAGAAATTGGCGACGCATATTTAGAAGACACAGCACTTTCAACAATGGACACATTCTTGGATCAAATTCGAAATATGTTTCCCGAAAATATAATTCAAGCAACATTTCAACAAGTTCAAACTGTTTATAAAAATGCAACAAATGGAACTGATGTAATTGCACAAAGAAGAGATTTAACATATACAAATGAAATGAATGTTTTGGGTTTGATTGTATTTTGCAGTGGTTTCGGAATTATTTTAAATTTATTGGGAGATCAGGCAAGACTTATGATCAACTTTTTCATTGTTTTGGATGCTATCATTATGAAATGGATTAGTGCTTTGATGTGGTGTTATCCAATTGGTATTTTATCATTGGTTTGTAGAAATATTGCGGCTATTCGGAACTTGACAGAAACTGCACAATGTAAGATTTTTCTGATAGTTTTTTTCCACACAAAAATGATCCCTGAAAATTATTTTTATTCGTCTCAACATTCAAAATTTTGAAAAAAAACAATGAATCCAAAATTCCTGTGGATCAAAATATGAATGAATTTTCGAGTTTCAGAAAAAATTATGTTTCTTCTTTATCCAAGAAAATATCTGATTGACTCAAAAAAGCGGACAATTTTTTTGGATTTGAATTTCTGAGTCAAAAACTGACCGCTTCAGATTCAGAAACCCAGAAAAAGATTTGTTAGAGACCTGTTTTAAAAAATTAATTGGAATTTTCTAGTTCAAAACTTTTTTTAAAAAATTTCCTCAAAAATTGTACCTGTTCCTTTGGTAGTCCGATTCCTACAATAACAAATGTGTGTTTTTCAGCACTTGCAATGTATGTTGTAACAGTATCTTGTGGTCTAATGATTCATTCACTTTTCACTCTTCCAACTCTTTATTTCATTGTCACCAAAAAAAGTCCATTCGCATTTATGACTGGAATCCTTCAAGCTTTAGCAACCGCATTTGGAACAGCTTCAAGTGGAGCAACACTTCCAGCAACATTTCGGGCACTTGAAGAAAATCTAAAAATCGATCGACGTGTTACTCGATTTGTATTACCACTTGGTGCAACAATTACAATGGATGGAACTGCGCTTTATGAAGCTGTCGCTGTTATTTTCATTGCTCAGCTTAATCATGTCAAATTGAATATGTGGGATTTGATCACGATTAGTATTACAACAACTGTTGCATCAATCGGTTCGGGTTCTGTTCCAGCAGGATTAGGAACTATTAAAATTGTACTAGCGACTGTTGGATTACCAGCTAAAGATTTGAATCTTCTAACTACTGTAGATTGGTTACTGTAGGTTTTGAAAGGTGGTTTTGAGGGGAAAATTGAATACGGAAAATCGGAAAATTTTTCTCAAATTCTGAATAATTTTTGAAAATATGACTTCCTTGAATCCCGTTCCCATGTTTTCCCAATTTTTCAGTGATCGAATTCGTACATCAGTAAATGTTCTTGGTGACTCATTTGGTGCTGGAATAATTCATCATCTCACAAAAAGTTCACTTTTGGAAGCAGATACAGATGAATTAATTAGACAAATTAGAGAGGATATTGGTGAATTTTGAATGAAGAGAGATAATGGAAAATTGAGATATTTCAGACATTTTGAATAATCCGCAATCTGGTGGAACTTTGCCTCATTCAAATCACAGTCCATATTCGACAATTCATAAAGGTGCACAAATGCCATTGAATGTGAGTTTTTTGGGGAAATTTTTAGAACCTGGATGAAAATTCAAGGAATCCGAATGCTTCTGAAAAATGAGCGAAAATCGCGCATTTTTACGAAAAAAACAAAAATTGATTTCCAATTTTCCAAGTTTCGAAGAATTTACGAAAATATGTTTTCAGAATTTTTTGAAATCAATAATTTGTGAAAAGGAATAGCTTTGATATTGCTCATATTACAATTTTCAAAATTTCACCATTACTCATAGTAAACTCCCACATTTCAAAAGAACCTAAAAATTTCATCGTTAGTAAAAGCATTGCTCATATTAAAATCTTATAACATTTTTTTCTAGAAAAAAAATATTTTAAAATTTTATTTCCAGTTTTTTTTCCGAAATTTTGATTGAAAATTGGCATCCAAAGTTTTTTTCGTATATCTAAAGTTACAAAAATTCCCAATTTCTCAAAAACAATCCCTAACTCCACATATGTTTTTCAGACCGCGCCTCAAGGTTTCTCAAAATCCGCTCGAGCCTCTTTCGCAAATGCAGCTCAAACCGAAAAAGAAGGCCTTTTATCAGCAACAGAAATCGTGTGACCCATCAAATATCTGAATTTTTTTTTGAAAATTTAATTTCACAAATTGTTTGTGATGAATTTTATACACAAAAAAATATAATAACTTTATACAAAATGCAAAAAAAGGAAAATTGTCATGTTACACGAAAATATGCTTAAAATTTGAGCAAAAAAAATTGGTGGGGAGGGGGAAAATGGGAGAAAATGGTACACGTATAAGGTAAAATGACCCTTTTTGAGGTTAGGCACATATATTAAAATTGACGCCAAATTCTGGCGCCACAATGAGAAAAACCTAGTAAAACAATTAGCGCTTTTTCAAGCTAGCCTTTTGAAAAAGTCTCGAAGTATTTGGTAAAGAACTTGATAAATCTCTCAAACAAGTTTCAGATCTCAACATATTCAAAGTTAATCTTGTGCTGATTGAGAAAATGCCTTCGCCAATTTCAATTTTCGCATTTTGTGGATCGATTCCACAATAATTGCTGATTTTCAGACCTTTTGCATATGTCAAATCTTCAATTGTTGATTTTAATTCAGGCCACATCATATCCATAATCATTCCTCGAATTAAATCACTCATGAAGAAGCCCCAAGCTTTTGGAAATGCTCCATTTTCCATTTCGATTTTTGTATCAAGAAGTTCAACACCAGTTCTGAAAAAAACTTTTTGTGAAAAAAAAATGTTTTTGCTGATTTTTTTTGGGAACAAATTTATAGAAATTTTGAAATTCATCGACTTTTTTCCAACTTTTCAGAATATTTTTGAATGTTCAAAAATTTCACCTCAATCTTCCATTTTCAAACGAAGGCCTTAATTCAGCTTGAATCGTCAAAACGAGTGAAACAAATATCGAAGTCACATTTTTCTCCGGATTCGAAACTCGCAAATTAACTCGATCAGTTCTGAAAATCATTTTTTTAATCCTCTGAATTTCCGAAACCCAAACTCACTTTGTTAAAACCAAACTTTGGTTTGTAGCTGCAATAGTGGGCCTTCCTTTCGCATTTACATTCACTTGGAAAAAGCATTCTGTGCATAAAGTTGATAGAAATTCTCGGGAATCGGCTGGAATTATTGGACTGCTTACTGGAATTTGTTCATTCATCCATTCGAAATTCCAATCGATCTGAAAAAATCGAATTGAGAACCTTCTATTAAAAATTAATATGATTTCTTTTTTTATAAGAAATTTTTAAAAATTATTCTTCCAGCCTAATATGAGCAGCGCATTTTTTATTTAAAAAAATGAAATTAAATTTTTTCTGGGCAAATTTTGAACTTTTAAAAATTTCTGACAAACTATGTACGTATCTTCTGCAAAAAATGCTCACCTGATCCAAAATCTCATTTAAAATTGCATCTTCCAACCAAATAGTCATCAAATCTCCATTTCTCCATTCAACAGTTGCCACTTTATTCGTCGAATTCGAACCATCCGTTTCCGATCCGGATAACAATTTTTCCGCATCATCTTTTTCAGTCAATTTTTCCACATTTTGCCACTCAATCTGTGCATTCACCAATAATTGATGTCTTTGTGCAGAAATCGATGTTACTCGATAGAAAAGCGTCGTATTTCTGGCACTCATATGATCTTGAATTTTCTTGGGTAAATACGAGAAGATCGGCACTCTTTTTCTCGTATTTTTTCGTTGATTTTCAGACAATTCATTAGCTGATGAATGAATCATTTGACAAATTGCACCTTCAAAAATCGATGACATCATTGATCCCAATGCAGACATTCCTTTATTTATCAACCAACTATCTCGTAAATGAAATGATACATTTGGTTGATGTAATGAACATGTCTCAAGTTCAACTTTTTGATTTTGTTCATCAATTTGAAATCGAAGTTTGCCTTTTGGAACAATTACATGTGAATCGATAAAACTATCAGAAAATGCGATTGGCCATAAAACATCTGATATATTTGCATGAGAAATGACGTGTAGTTTTTCAAAGTGAATATGGACTAGATTTGGGAAGAATTGGACAGAAATATTACGATATGATACGGTATTGAAGAGTTTGAGATGAGCCAATGAGCCAAATTTTGGTTCTTCTTTGGTTTTCAGCAGAATCTGAAAAAATGAAGAATGAGGGGACTCACTTATCAATTCACTTATTTTTTTTAATGATTATCACAGCATTTTAGAATTCTCACAAGAATACATCCAAAAATTCAAAAGTTCGTGAAAATTTCAACAGAAATCTAGATTTTCTAGTTCAAAATAACTAGAAATGCCAAATTCACAAGAAAAATTTGAAATGAAAATTTAAAACAGTTCACGTTTTAATTTCAATAAGTTTTGAATTGCCACGTTGTTTCGTTTTTTTCCCAAAATTAGACATTTTTCTCCTTTCTATTGTAAAATATTTTCGTCTCATCCACTTGAAATATTTCAAAAACCCCACTTATTCAATCATTTTTTCCCTCGAAAAACTTGATGAGGTCATTAAATTTCAAAATTTCGGATAACCTTGCCTTTTTCGAAATAATACAACAATACCCCAAACTATTTCGAAACATTTGACCTACTTTCACTTTTTCCCCTTTTTCTTCCATAACAATAGTGGATTTGTTCGGTCGATTACTAAAAAAGAAGAAAAAGATGAGGAGAAGAAATCGGGTAATCCTTGAAAAAAAGAAGAAGATTTCGATACCTTATAATTTATATTTATGAGGTCAAAATCTCGAGATAATATTTAATTTAGTGTTTTTTTTTTCTGGTGTTGGAAGTTAACAATGAAATGCGAACAACTAATTAAATCACATCGAAAATTCGAAAATCTGGTGCCCTTTTTATCGTATTAACCGATCCGTCGATTGTTGATTTGTTATTTCAAAATGTATATTATTAATAATCGGAGAAGGAAAAAAAAGATGAGACGAGAAGATTTATACGATTAGACGAGAAAATATGTACACGGGAAAATATGGAGAAAAGATGGATTGGAATTGGAAAAGACATTTGGCGCCATAACAGTCCGTGTACTTTTTGGAAAACAGTTCAAAGGAACAAGATGAAATGTATAGCTTCATATCCATTTTCACAATTTTCAGATAACAATATTTTTTAAAAATTATTTTTCAGAGTTCTTTGAATATTTTTTTATTTTTAAAATTTCAATTTTTAATTCAAAATTTGGAGATAAACTCAAAAAATTCAGCTTTTTTTCAAAATCAAACCACTTCGATAAAGTAGGCACAATTTTTCTTTTCTCAATTTTCCAAATAAAAAAACCCATCTCCCTTTAAAAAACTCACATCAGCCACTCTAGTTTCCTCCAAAAACTTATTCGTCACATGTTCAAGCACTTGAGTCACCGCAAAATCACCCAACGACACTCCAAAATCACTGGCAAGCACTGGAATTGAGCAAAACGTGAGAAATTGTATTAAAAATCTGGAAGAAGGATTCTATGATTTTTGGTTGGTTGGTTTGTGGATACTTTATTTTGGGAATTTTTGAAACTGATCAAGATGACCACTTTTTAAATAGGAATAAAACTATCAAAAATAAATCGGACCAGACCGAACTCATGATTGATACATCAAAAAGTAATGAAGGAAAATTTGGAAGGTCTTACACCTATTAAAATTTGGTTCAATTTTAAAATCTTAATCAGGTCCAATTCAAAATTCTCGCATTTTCTCTTTGAAGAAAAACTCACAATAATGGCATGGTATAGTAAAGAATAAAAAGTGGCAAAGAAGACTAAATCATTCGTGAAAGTGGGTGGGGATGAAGATGGGCTCGGCTGTAAAAAACAAAATAAATATGATAAAACTTTTTTAATAAAATAGAACGGAAAGCGAAACAAAAAGCAATAATAAATCAATAGGAAGAAACAAGACGACAAAAATGAAGACATGAGTCACAAAGGGTCACAAATATGATTTACAATTGAGGGGCGCCGCGACACATTTTTTGCTAACCTTTTCCTCAAAAATTAAAAAAGAGGAAAAACAGAAAACAGGTTCCGACAACTAGGAAAAAATACGTAGGAGGATAATTAGATCATAATTAGACCATTTTTTGGCATGGCATGGAATGGAATGAATGACAAAACGTTATTTGAGTGAAAGTGAATTTGACTATTTTAATGGGTAAAAAGAGGGAAAAGAGGAAGGGTTGATTTTATCTATTTTTGTTTGAAATTTTCAAGAAAGATCGAACAATTGATTAATTGAAAATATAGAAAAGGAAGAACTTTCCGGTCAGAGGTAGGTAAAAATAACTAAAAAATGAATGAATGATTGATTGAAGAATGAATGGTTCCAGTAATGGAAGGTTATGGGATGAGACAAAAATGAGAAAAAAACTAGTATTTTTCCGGGCAAAAACATGGAACTACTAATTCTAGAAAACTATTTGAAAATTATAATTGTGACGAGATTGAGAAAATGTGCTCTACTGATAGAAAAATAGGCGGGAATTGAGATACAGGCATTTTTGAGATCTGAAGCCGCGTATGTATCTTTAAAAATGGATCAAACTAGAGTTTAGTTACTTCGTTATTTTCAGCTGGCTTTCAAAAAGTCTGATGAAAGTTCGCTAGATTGACCAAGTAAACTACACTGTAGGCTATAAAAAATAAAATGAGCAATAATTTTTAAAATAATTCGATGCAGAAAGACAACAATTCGAAAAAGGTCCGAATTGGCAGACCTCCTGATCCTATTTTTTTCAAACCAAAACACAACTTTATCAAAACGCGCTCTAATCATCATCCCCAATAGAGCGCATTTGACTTTTAATCAGTGAAAACAAGCGGTTCCACGAAAAATCCAAAACAGTTATGTAGTAATGATGGATAACATACATAACATAAATGAATAAATGAAAAGTGGTTTGTCGAACGAAAAAAAGAAAAGAAAAGTAGTGTATGTACGGGCAAAAGGGTCGGCTGGTCGAAATCATCAGACAAAATAATGGGCGGGGAGAAGAAGAAGAAATGGAGGCGAATGCATGGGAAACTAAGGAGAAGAAGGTGAGAGAAAAGAGATATTGAAAGACTGTTAGAAAAAACACAGTGTAGGAAAAGGGATTGGGCAAAAAAGAAGAAGAAGAAGAAGAACTTATCATTAGCCAAAAAGGGGCAGAAGAATAAAAAGAAGAAGCTTGCCATCTTCTCTTATTTTATATTTATTTATATTCCATCTTCTTCTTTCGATATTGATTTTTGTTCTTTTATCTATACAGAAATGGTTCGATGGATCTTTATATTTTGTGCCACTTTTATGTGGCTGAAAGTTGAAGGAATACAGAATCCTGTAGAGCGATTTCATCCATTGTTAAGTGCGCCAAGAAATCAACCCGGGGTTCGAGTGAGAATTTTACCGAGAGGATTGGCTTATTTGAATCATGTGAGTTATTCAGTGTCATAGAACTCTTTTTATAAATTTTCAAATTAACCACAAAAAATTTTAACTGAATTTTTCAAGTAATTCAATTGAAAAACGCCTTTGAAATACATGAATCGCGGTTTTGTGAACTTTTCATGAATTTTTAAGATAGTGATCAAAATTTTGTTTGCAGGAAAAAAATGTCAATGGTTTAAATAGTGATTAACCCAGAAGAAGTATTGAATAATATAAAGATCATTAAAAAATTTCGAAACGTATAAAATTCAGAGACTTTTGATTTTTTTTGAACGAGGGCTTAATCTGAGCAATCTACATATTGTATAAATACTTTATGGATATAAAGTTTCCATGTGTAAACTATAGAAAGTATTATCCAGTTCACAAGGTAGTTTTATCTTTTATCTAGTGTGATCTCAAGTTCCACTATTTTTTATTGCTTTCCAATTAATTTATCCATAGTTTACACTAGATCAAAAAGATTCGATTTTTTGCATCATAAAAAACATATATCTAAACAGTTTCAAATAACAAACTTGAAAAAAATCGTGACTTTCCAAATTCAATGAAAATTTGTGTAATTTATTTACACTAATGACCAGTTTGGTGTGAAAAGAGAGAAGAATAATTATCGAAGTGATAACTTTTTGTTATGTAACGAGATAACAACAAGAAAACTTGATAAACCTTGAACGAGACCAGATCCGATGAAATAGATCATCTAAGCAAGTTAGACCAAAATAATTTGCAGCTGGCTGCAAATTTATTATCCGATCAACTTCCTCGACTAATAATTCCCGATGTCGAACACATTCTTCCAAATAATCAAGGAAATATCTACATTTCTCGGATAAGACTATCACGTTTTCGACGAGCCGAATTTCATCAATTGAATGCGACAGCTCCAAATAAAATATCATGGAGTATGAGTAATTTGGATATTGGATTAATTGGTGATTTGAGTGGAATGGTGAATATTGTTGTGCCATTGAATTTGACTGGACAAGTCGAGATTTTGGCACAAGGATTGACGTTTCATTTGGAATCTTCGGTAAGAGAAAGAGAGAAAGCAGACTTTGGCTAAGATCATCATGGACGCTTCTGGCTTTGATTGCAAGCAGCCAAGCCTAGGAACTTTGATCCCGATTTCGCAATTAACATGCCAAAACTATAGCCTTGATATTTCTAAACTATCTAGATTCTAATTTCAAAAGTTCCAACTAAATCCATCAAAATTTCAGATCGAGAAAGGGAACAACGGTTCAGCAAAAGTGACATCACTTTCCTGTCAAGCAACAATTCGCGATGTAACTGTCACAAATCACAACGGGGGACTTTTTGGGTTAGCAGTTTCAGTCTTCAAGGTAACCTACATCTTCCCCTTCTTGAAATCAATCAACAATAATCTATCTATTTAGCAAGGTGTATCCGACAATGTTCGTCATATGCTTCAAGGAATAATTTGCAAGAAAGTGCGAAAATATATTGATGAAGATGCAAATGAAAAATTGGCAGAGGCGCAAACGACAAGTCGTTTAGGAGATGCACTTGAAACGAATGCTTTGAAAATGATAAGTGTTGGTGGAGAAACTGACAAAATACATCCATTTGATGTTGCAAATATATTTGAACCATCTTTGGCTTCCAAGTTTTTTATTGATTTTAGGTGAGTGAACAAAAATGGGTTTACTCCAGGCGCCTCTGTGAAATCCTATAGGTTGAAACTAAACTTTAGTTAGTTACTAAAGTTCAAGGCTTTACAAGATAAAAACTATCTGGGGTTTTACTATTCCAAAGTAAGATGCTCGAACTTGTTCAAGTTATAAACAAAAAATAATTTATTAACCTGATTCCAGATTAAAAGAACATCCAATCTGCCAAGACAACAAAGTGGAGCTTGCCTCTTGGGGTGAGATTTCCTACTTGGGACAAGGCGACACACCATTTGGACCCGTCGATTCATCATGGCCAAGTAGATCACCATTTCATCCGAATATCGACCAAACTACTCAACAAAAAGAACCAATGATTGAATTAATTGTCTCCGATTTTCTACCAAATTCTCTTTTATATCACGCGTACAAGTGAGTGACCATGAGAGAAGATTAATTAGGAAAACCAAGAAAAAAGAGGCCTAGTTAATTTCAAAAAACATATTTGATTGAAGAAATGTCAAATTATTTTGCAGACAACGATTCATCAAAGCTTTGTTAACCCCAAAAACCAAAGGAGTTGCCTCATTTCTCCGAACAACTTGCGAAGGTGAATTCTGCATTTCCGATTTAGCTCCTCAACTCGCTGAACTCTATCCAAATTCAACCGTCGAACTTGCAATGACTGCAACTCGTGCACCAGCTGTTTTATTCAGTGAACGAAATGGTGGAACAATTTCAATATCAATGGGTGGATTAGTTGTTGTATTTGCCGTGAATCAAAATCAACGACGACAAGTAATTGCAGTAGATTTGGATGTGGTTGCAGATGCAAAATTATCATTATCTGGTCATAATGTTAGTGGAAGTGTTGAATTACGCAAATTCGATTTACATAAAAGAGCGGGAACTGTTGATATAAGTGATTCGGAAATTGATGATATTGCACTGCTTGTTAGTCAATTAGCCGAGAATTTATTGAATGGTTTATTGGTTAATGGATTACCTATTCCACTTCCACATGTTTTGAGAATCAAAGAAAGTCAAATTAGTGTTTTGAGCAGAAGAATGCACATCAAAGTGGATGTCGATGTAAGTTACAGATTAAAACACCCCAGAAAAACTAACTCTTAATTTTCCGGCATTTAGTATTTACAAAACAATCATATTCGTCCAGATTATTATTGATCATAGAAATAAATAGCTAGATTCATTATTTCAAATTTTCAAAAATGAATTTGTCATAGAAATGTCTCCATTTTTTTTCAAAAGGTCACGTTGTAGTTTTTTTCCCAGTTTTTTTTCAAAACCTAATTTATAGCCAATTTTCTGCCCCCACTTCAAACCTATTATTTACAGATTGATGAGCGGAGATTATCAAAACTCGCATCTCAAACGTTCTTCAAAACCCCACAATTCACAGACATTAATCAAAGTAAGTAAAAAACCAAAGAAAAAACTCACAACATATCCAATTGTTACAGATCCATTCCGTAGACAAGTTCGACCCGCTTCAAATGTTTCAATTCGTCAAAAAACTGCTTTCAGTAATCCAAATTGGTCGCCAGATACTGCATAACTCATGGAAAATGTTTCAAATCTAGTCGATAGTTGAGAAAAACGGGTATATACATAAAGTTTCCAATAAACACATTATATTTTGGGTTCGAAAATTCAAAAAATAAAATCCTCCCCTCTCCCAAAATCTCTCACCAACGATGCGCAGATGGTGAGAGACAAAAGGGAGGAGGAGGTGTTGTGTGCGCGGGTCTTGTCGCGCACCTCGTAAATCCACACAAAGGCCACGCCGGGAGATTTCAGGATTTTCAAAATTGTTGTTTACTTTTGCTTTTTTCTTCTTTTTTTTTGCGTGACCTACTTGAAATATTTGAAATCCACGTGAACACATGAATCAAAAAACCAGTTTTTAGAGACAATGTCATCAAGAAAACGCGGAATGACACCCCCAAGAGATGCTGTTCGCCGGAAAAGATCTTTGGAAGAAGCAGATGCGATTGAAGTTGTCTGTCGATTATGCCCGTATAATGGAAATACTCCAAGTTTAATTGCAATCGATGAAACAACAGTTCAAACTGTTTTGCCACCAGCAATTTATCGGAGAGACGGAGCACCAAATGTAGGTTTTATAGTGGTTTTTTGAAGTACACAGAAATAATTAATATATTTCAGGTCGAAAAAATCTTCAGTTTTGGTCGCGTTTTCTCTGAAAATGATGGTCAACCAACAGTTTTTGAGAGAACTTCCATAGATCTCATTTTGAATCTTCTTCGTGGTCAAAATTCACTTCTTTTCACATATGGAGTTACTGGGAGTGGAAAAACTTATACAATGACTGGAAAACCAACCGAGAATGATACTGGATTGCTGCCGAGAACATTGGATGTTATTTTTAATAGCATTGCAAATCAATTGGAAAAATGTGTATTTTATCCAGTTGCTTTGAATAGTTTCGAAATTCGAAGTACTTTAGATGCACATTTGAAAAGAAGACAATTGGAAAATGATAAATTTCATATGTCTCGAGAAATGATAAGTGATCGATTCCACGAAGGTATCAAAATTGGGGGATTCAATGAGGATTATGTTTGTGCTGTATTTGTTAGCTACGTCGAAATTTACAATAATTATTGTTATGATCTTTTGGAAGAAGCTAAAAATGGATCATTGACAAAACGAGAATTGAGACATGATAGAAATCAACAAGTTTATGTGGATGGAGCAAAAGATATTGAAGTATCATCAAGTGAAGAAGCTTTGGAAGTTTTTTGTTTGGGAGAAGAAAGAAGACGAGTTAGCTCAACTTTGTTAAACAAAGATTCATCTCGATCACATTCTGTATTCACAATTAAACTTGTTATGGCTCCAAGATCTTATGAATCACAAACAGTTGCTCCAGTTAAAGATTCTGCTCAAATTGTTGTTTCTCAATTATGTTTAGTTGATTTGGCTGGAAGTGAAAGAGCAAAAAGAACACAAAATGTTGGAGATCGATTGGCTGAAGCAAATAGTATTAATCAAAGTCTTATGGTTTTAAGACAATGTATTGATGTTTTGAGAAGAAATCAGAAAACAGTTCAAACATTTCCTGAACAAGTTCCATATCGACAATCAAAATTGACACATTTATTCAAAAATTATCTTGAAGGAAATGGTAAAATTCGAATGGTTATTTGTGTTAATCCAAAACCAGATGATTATGATGAAAATTTGAGCGCACTTGCATTTGCTGAAGAATCGCAAAAAGTCGAAGTCAAAATTCAAGCGGAACGTGTTCAAACTGATCGAATTCCACATGCATTTTATACACAATGGAATAGCGAATTGGAAAAAGTATCAATGGATAATTTGTGTCGAAGTGAAACACCGTGTGCACCACCATTATATTTAAGAGATTATAATGATACAAATGGAGTTGAAGCAATTCGAAGATATGTCACACAATTGTCGAATATGACGGATGGTGAAAATTGTGAGTGAAAATGAGAAGGGTTTTGAGGTTTGGAAATATAATTTTATTTTTTTCAGCAACTTCCAAATTGTTATCCACACTTCGCCAATATATGATGGAAGCTGATCATTTGAGAATTGAAGTTGGAAAATTCAAGGACACACTTGATGCTAAAGATCAGGAAATTACAAAACTTCGAGGATTTTGCTCAAAATACAAGGTATGTTTATGGTATTAATTCTGGGACCTATGAACTTGCTTTTGACTTTTTCGAAATAGTTTAATTTTTTGTGAATATGATCATTTCGAGAAATGTTTCCAAATCCTGCCCTGCTTTACACATATAAAACCTGTTCATTTTTCAGCGTGAAAAAGAATCGCTCAAAGAACGCATTTTGATGTATGAGAAAAACGATGAAGAAAATCAAATGGCGATGGAAAAACTTCGCGAGCAAAAATTGGAAGATCAAAAAGTGATAAAGTCGCAGAAAAAGGCGATGAAAATGGTTCAAGGAATTGTGGAGAATCCATCACCATCTGTTGCCACTTTGAGATCGAAATTCCAAGATCAAGAAAATTATCCAAGTGCGCCACTTCAAACTCCTCCACCGCCGTATCAAACACCTGGACGACAAGCTTTTAGATCCGCAAAGAGAAATGAGACCACGTCGAGCTCGGGGATCTCGAGTACTCCTGGAAACCAAGGATATTTGAATCCCAAATATCAACGAAGATCAAAATCCGCCTCCAGATTATTGGATCATCAACCGACTCATCGGGTTCCGATGGGAACAGTTTTTCAAACCAAAACTCCTACGAACGCCATAAAAACGACTCGACCGGAATTAAAGCAATTGAATAAATCTGGTGAATATCGTCTAACTCACCAGGAAGTCGATGAAGATGGAAACATTTCGACCAATGTCGTGAAGGTTGGTTGAATTTTGGGTGGTTTTTTTGGAATGGCATGTTTTATTTTGAAAATTTTGATATTTATGAGTTTGATTCGACGTGGCAAATTTTTCAATTTTTAAAGTTATTTTAAGTTATGACGTGGAAAATCTGGCGATCTACCTTTCAAATAAAATGCCGATCGAAGTAAAAATTTCAAAAGTCACAAAGTCTTGCAAGATTCTGAAAATTTTTTTTTAATTCCACAAATTCATTTTTTGGCAAATTCCCACGTCATAGCTTATTTTGATTGATTTGAATTTATGACACCGAATTCCCAAACTTGAATGTCAAAATTTTCCAATTTTTACTAACATTTTGCACGTTGCACGTTAATCAGTATTTTAGAAAGCACTTTTGTTAACTCAAAATTTGGATGGAGAAAAAGAAGAAAAAGGAGAAGAAGATGTCAGTTTATTAGTCGAAAGACTTATTGAGTAAAATAGGTTTGATTTTTTGTTCGTTTTCCATTTCTCACCTTGTCTGTTTCTGCATGTTTTTTGTGTCACAGTCACACCATTCTTTTTCCACCCTGAACTCTATTTTTAACTCAACAATCTTTATTTTTCAGGGTGATGTAATTCCAACTGCCGGCGGAGGAACTTCAGTGTTATTTAATGACATTGAAAAATTATCACACGAATCTCCTGCTCAAAAATAGCCCAAAAAATGTTCTTTTCTTCTTTTTTTGTCTACCATTTATTTATTTTTGTGAATAACTGTATTAACCGACCCGCCAGATATTTTCTTTCTTTCTTTCTTTTGATTTTTGATTTTCAAAATAAAACTTTTTATTAATTTTTTCCGTGGTTTTTTGTGTAACTAGACTGTAGTTATCAAATATGGGAATTATTTTTTCACAACTTGCAGATAAATTTTTTCAAATAGAGAAACTACAGTAGCCCGAAGATTTTAGCCTGGAGTACTGTAGTTTTGAGATCTTGATTATCGTTTGACGTTTTCAAATTGCCACGTGGCATATGGATTTTTCGAGCGAAAATTTTAAATTTCTGAAGAAAAATTTCAATGTTTTTTCTAAATGCCAAATTTAATTCAAATTTCAAAAAAATTGTCAAAATCTTCATTTTTCTCTCTTAAATTAAGATAAGTTGGGATAAATTGACGAATATGAAGGGGGTGTTTCTTGTTGCATTGGGGGAGCTGATGGTACTCTTTGTAACTGCTGTTGTTGAGGTTGAATTGGTGCAACTCCACTTCCACTATTGCTCAGATTAGTATGATAAACATTATTTGGATAAAATTGTAATGGCATTGTTAATTGTGAACTTATGCCTGTTCCAGTTCCATGATTATTTATAGCTGAAGAATGTCTTCGAATATGACAAGTTGGTTGAGTTGGTGGAATTGGTGTGTGAGTTATTAACATTGTTGAACGGGTTAAATATATTGGTTGATTTGAAGATGAAGAGATGAAAGAAGTTGAAGAAGTTGAGGAGACACCTGAACCCATTTTCTGAAAAAAAAAACAGTGGAGGGGTTTTTAGGAATGGGAAAATAAGGAGAAGTTAAAGAAATATTATTAGGTTAAAGTTCAAAATATTTGGAAACGGAAACAAATTTTCGAACACTTGGATTTCTCCCTAGAAAAAAATATAAAACGAAAACAGATTTTATTTTTTCTCGCTCGAGAAGTTTTTGGAAAACACTTTGAACTTTCCTTTCTTTCCCAGTGATTTTCTGGCAGGTAAGTTTTTTTTCCAACTTTAACTGACATAGAAAGTTCTGAAAAATTTATAAGTCTTGATTTTTTGTCATCGTCTCAAATTTCCGAAGCCTCGAACTTTCCAAAATTTTTATCATCATTTCAATTTTCTTTGCCGAAACAAAAAGTTTTCTCAAAACAATTCAAGCGAAAAATTCAGCAAAACATCAAGAAAATGTCTCGTTTTTTATTTTTCTTTTTTCTGAACGAAAAAGTTTCAATTTTTCAAACAAATAAAAATGATGTGATAAATCAAATATATATTTTTTCAACTTTCAATTTGAGATTTCAATAAAGAAAACCAAAAAAAGAAGAAAAATACGTCAGAGAAATGTATCGATAAAGTTATTTAGGGCTTCATATTTTCATTTTTGTTCCATATCATTGTCTCATAATTGCTTTTTTTGCTAGTTACTATGGAGATTGGCAAAAAACAAAAAAAAATGCTTGTTTAAAAACTTTGGTGAAAATTATTAACAAATATTTTTGGGTGGGACCCTGGTAAATACTGTAAAAGGAAGTTGGTATGGCTTTACTTTGAAAAATTGTTTTGGTAAAATGAAGTTACTGTAAGTGAGAATAATGAAAAACTAGAAAAAGATTTTTCAGTCATCTCATTTTTAATTCGTGTTCAGCTAATTAGAATTTGCAAAATTCTTGGCCAAATTTTTTCTGTCTACAGTACCCGCAACCTATTTTTTCGTACAATTTTTTTCTCAAAATGCAAGAGTTCTCATGCTGCTTTTTATTGATATCATAAATTATCACTATACAGTTTTTTATCAGGAAAAATATTTTTGGAATTCTGATTTTTTGCAATATGACACTAAAAATAAGCGGTTCGGTATTACGGATGGAAAAAAGTATAAAAACTAGGTGTCAAAATTTTACTATACAGTTTTTTGTCTAGGCTTTACTTTTTTGGGATTCTGAAGCTGAGTTTAGACACAGTGGCCGCCTTGCCTGAGACTAAGCCTAGGTATACCTTAGGTTGTACCATTTTCATTACCTAAAAAGTGCTTCTTCCTTTTTTCTCTCTCTATTTCTCTGCGTCTCTCTCCTCACCATTTCTCAATTCAATTTCAATAGTTTTATCTTTTTTGTAAACATCTCATTTCTCTCTATCGTTTTTATTTTCTCACCTTTTCATTCAAAAATCAACAAAAGAAAGACCGTGTGAGGAGGACGGGCTCTTTTCTCTACTTTTCTCATTTCTTTTTGGCGCGCGTTTTTTTCTGGTCGAAATCAATGAGAATTGATTTGTTTTTTTTAGAAGAAGAAGAAGAAGAAGAAGAAGAAGAAGAAGAAGAAGAAGAAGAAGAAGAAGAAGAAGAAGAAGGATGTGGATTTTTGGATTTTCGATCTCATTTTCAACTTTGATTATGATTTTTGGCTTCAAAAATAGTGTTAACGGGTTAAGGTGTTATGAAGGTTGGTTTATGGAAAACTTAGAAAAAACTGAAAAAAATTGAAAGATATTTTAGCTTGAAAAAAAAATCATCGAAAAATTCCACCTGTTCTGATGAAAGCGAAAAAAAAACTTGAAAAACAGGATATTTCAGAGTACTTTTTTCAAGATTGGAGATTACTGTATAATATATAATTCAAAAAAAAATTACAGAAATTCCTGAAGTTTTTATGATTGTGCCTACAGTAATTCCAAATAAACTTAAATTTTTTCAGCGAAGGTATAATAAAACAAAACTTCATCTAATTTTCAAAATTAGGATTACTGTAGGTTCTGAAAACTTGAAGAATTGAATCTTTCAAATTTTTTTTTCATAAATTAGAATCTTAGGTTACTGTAGGCAGCAAAACTATATAGAGAAAAACAAATTTTACACCTACAGTACTCCTCAAAGTTTCTCCGCTCTGAATCTGGTTTTTTTTTCAAATTTAAGGTTACTGTAGACATTGACTAGTCGTGAATTTTTGTTCCAATTCAGGTTCTTGATAATTTCAGAATTACTAGAACTTTTTTAAAAATAATTTTTATAAACTTCGAGTTACTGTAAATTCTAAGACTTTCGAAACTAGTGTTATCCCTATATTTTTCCAGGTTCCCGTGGAATTGTGAATGGGGAAGAAACGACAAATTTCGTCGAAAATCTATGCGATGATAATATGCAATTTTGCTTCGAATCCTATAATTCGAATTTAACCGAAGTTACGGCAAGTTGTCAAACAATGGGAACTGATCCAAAACTTATTGATGTTTGTAATGTAAGTTTATGACTGACAATTTTTAAAAAGATAATTTTTAATGACCGAAAAAAATCATAAAAATCAAAACAACACACACGTTGTGGGTTACTGTCTATGACGTCAATAGGGATGTTATTGAACAGAAAAATTTAAGTTAAAGGGGCACGTCGGTGAACATCAAAACAATGCCACGTGGTCTCGAAAAACATTCAAGTTTCAGTTTAATCTGTTGAGTTCTTTGGATTTTTATCATTTTTTCTATTTTTAAAATCATCAGAGCCAAGCCTAGAAATTGTAGTTGTCAAGTAGCCGCGCCTAGAATTTTCAATTTTCAAGGATGAGCGCCAAGAGAGCAAATTTCGGAGTGATTTTTTTTACTTCGGGTTATCAAAACTTCAAAATCCTCCCCTATTTTCCACATGTTTCCTTTTTTCTAGATGGATAATAAATGCCGTGAACGTACTGACATCGATGTCACAGTATGTTGTTGCACTTCCGATTTATGTAATCTTCAAGAAGATTTGAAACCCGATTCATTACAAACTTCCACCGAAAAACCACCAGAAAAAAGTTCGAAAGAACATTCGGAAGAAGACGAGGAAAATGTATTCGAATCTTTGATGACAAATGAGACACGTGTTTTTTTAAAGTAGCATGGAAACTTTCAAAGGAATGAGGTACTGTAGATTTCCTGAACACGTGGAAAATCGGAATTAATATTTTTTGCTTTCTAATGTATTATTTTATTATTTGCACTGCATCGGGTTATTTTTCACCCCTTCGGGTTTTTGTTAATGAAATTTTTAAAAATTCATTTTTTTGTTGTGTTGTATTTTTGAAAAATAATTTTTAAAATGGGAAAAATTGAATTCAAGTGAATCTAGAATATTGAAGCAATTACGAAACGTTTTTAAATATCTCAATTTTTTTAAAGAAAAATTGAAACGTATGAAATCTGGGATTTTTCTGCCCATATTTTTGGCGCTTGCAGTCTTCAAAATCAAACTTCCCCAAAACCATTAGTTCAAAAATCAAAATCCACGTGGATTTTTCAAAACCACTATATTTGATGCGAATTTCCTTCCGGTTATCTATCAAAAAATGATATAAAAAGTGGAAGGGATTAGTGTTAGGCTCATTTACTACGTTTTTTCTTTATCAAAAGAGAAATGGCTAAATCTACTTGTCGTAAGTTATTATAATTTTTACAATTAGAAATAAAAACTATAATGACCAATGTTTTCAGCGTTTTCAATTGGTTCAACAGAAATGCCACCAATTCAATCGCCGACTTTCGGTAAGTTCAACTTTTTTTGTGAATTAAAGAACTCCCAGACGATAATTATTCCAAAATCGTAAACCTCCCAAAAATATATTTATGACGTGGTAAAGTTGTCACACATTTCAAGCGTAATTCAGAAACCGTTTCTAAAATAATTTCAGTTTCAGATTTGGACAATCCAGCAGCAAAACAAAAAATGCGAAATGAAATGGCAAGAATCAGCGATGAGCAAAAGCAAATCTACAAAGAGACATTTCCAAAAATCTTTCAAAATGCCAAAAGACACGGACTTGTGCTTTTTGCACGATATTTCAGTGATCATCCGCATTATAAAAATATTTGGCCACAATTTCGAAGTCAACAAGATTCGGCGCTGATTGCTTCAAATGAATTGGCTAATCATGCATCAGTTTATATGTGTGGTTTGAAAGTTAGTGAATGAGGGGAGATTTTGATGCTGGTTTGATTTAGAAAAATCTGAATTAGTCCAACAGCTCAGCTACGGTCAAGGTTTCCAAAAATAGAAAAACTCTACATTTTTTATGCTAACCTTCAAAGTTCATTAGAACCTTGAGAGCTCCTATTCCAAGAAGCCAAGCCTAGAAATACAAGTTTTAAGTATCCGCGCCTATAGCACCTAATTGTCTAGAACCCGTATCTAGAGATTCGCTCTGACAAGGAGCCACGCCTTGAGATCTTCTTTACCAAGTAGACAAGCTTTTACAGGAAATCGTGGAAGTAATGGATGACGAGGAAAAATTGACATATTTTATGGCTCGAATTGCAAGAAGTCATGTCAAATGGAATATCAATAAATATCATATCACTGTAGGTTTCTCCCAATCTCCACTTCTCTTAAATCTTTTTATTCTTCCTACAGAACATGATTCCCGGTTTGGATGATGTATTAAAATGTTGTTGTGGTCCGGAAGTTGATCCGAAAATCACAGAAGCTTGGCATTTGATGTATGATGTTATTGGAAATTTGTTGGATATTCAGAAAAAGCTCGTCGTTCGCAGAATTTTTTAATGGGAAAATAACGAATTGATTTTTTAAAAACAATTTAAAATGAATTTTTTGCAGAAATTTGATAACAATACCGCTTTATTATTTTCAAATTTGTGGATATGGGAATTTTGAAACGTATTTTTATCGACCTTTTTACACTTCTGAATTTCTTCAATTTTTGAATCGAAGTTTCTAAGATAATCGCCATATAAAATTTTCGAAAATTTACAGAAAATCAACGTTTCAGCTCAACGTTTAAAGAAAGGTTCAAATTTTCTATTTTTCTAATTAATAAAAAATAATTTCACGTGTCTTCAATATCTTTTAAATTTCACTAAAAAACTATTTTTCGAAATTTTGGTATCTGTGAGTTTTCTGTAATATTCCAATATTCAAAAAATCATACCTTTATGAACATAATTAATTACCAATTAATTAATATTTACATTCACTAAACAAATCAATAAATACACCAGTTTCATACTGTAATAGTCCAATCACTTTTCTGCATTTCTCCCGTCAAAAATCCATCTTCACAAGCCATTCGAATCCTTTCTGCAGTCGCCGGCGAATTCATCACAAAATATTCATGTTTTCCCAATTCTTCAATTCGATATGCTCGACAAGCTTCTCGAATTGCGAAAAATACACAACTTCCCAAAAATAGCGGTGGTTCTCCAACGGCTTTTGATGAAAATATCGCCATTTTATTCGAACTTCCAGATAAAAGTGATACATTAAAATGCCGTGGTGCATCATCAGCAGATGGTATTTTATATGTTCCAGGTCCTCGAGTTAGCCGAATTCCATCTGGTCGAATCTTAATCTCTTCCATTGTAAATAATCCATATCCTTGAATAAAAGCTCCTTCAATTTGTCCAATATCAATTGCTGGATTTAATGATTCTCCAATATCCATTACAATATCAGTTCGAAGAAGATGATGATCTCCAGTTAGACAATCTATTTCTACTTCACAACATGCTGTTCCATAAACACAATAACCAAAAAGTTCGGCGCCTTTTCCATTGAAGAAATCAACAGGTTCATGGTGGATTCTGAAAAATTTCATGAATAGGGAGAAATATCATCATTTCCGATTTTTCAAAGATTTAATTTCCTAACTTTTGACACCACACTTCACATAGAGATCGAAAAAAATCTAACAGATTGAGTCAGACCAAAGATTCTCCAACTTTTTCCCAAAAAATGTCTGGAATGTCTCAGATTCCCACATTATTTCCATATTTTTTGTATAAAAGGATCGCGGTAAAACTGAAAAATCATACAAAAATGCAATTGTTCTACATTTTGGTCGTATTTCTTTTCGTCGCCAGAGTTTCAGCAATCAAAAAATGTGCACAAATGATAGCGAGTGAATTGAAACAAGAAAGAACTTGGATGCATTATAGAAAAACTGGAAGATGGGAACCTAATCTTTTCTAATTATTGAAATTTTGAATAATTAATGAAGTATTTTGAATGCAGTGTTATTTTTTTAAATTAAAATTTGTTATTTCGAAGAAGAAGAAAAAGATTCAGTATTTTTTAAATAATTTTCTTCCGGTTTCGCCACGCGGAATTCAAATTTGGAATTTCTAATTATTTTGTGCCACGTGGATGTTTGGCGGAAAACCTTGAAATTTAAAATTATTGCCACGTGGATGTTTGAACCCAACATTTTAGGGATCAAAATTCGAAAAAATTCCTGCCACGTGTTTTCTAAAACCTCAGATACCTGCGTTGTTATTTTTCTAAACGCCTCAAATCTTCATTTCCGACTCCAAAGAGCGAATTTTCTTGTTACTATCAATTTCCTTTCGCAAATTCCAATATTTTCTAGTCCTAGAATTGACTTGTGTTTTTTTGGTCGAGTTCAATGATACTTTTTCGCACATAATCTCATAAAAAAGTCTCGAGTCAAAATCTAATCGTCACTCTACGTTTTTCCGGTTTTTTCGCAGTTTGGAAAATGAAAAATAACACCGGAAGTCATCCACTTATATTTGAAAATAATCAAAAACTTGTGATTTTTGAAGATAGGGAAACTGATGAAATTGGAAACAAACTTACATTCCAAATCCAGTAGCCGATAAAGATACTCGATCAACATATGCTTGTCTAACCCAATCTTCCCATTTTCCTTCTGGATTTGCTTTTTTGAACTGTTCCAATCTTTGATTTAATTGTTCACAAGCATTTTGAACAGCCAAACCATTCATATCACTTCCAACTGAAGCAGCAGTGGCAGAAGCATTTGGAACCTAGAAAAAAAACTAAAAAATTGAATTTTTCAAAAAATATTCACCTTGTCTGTCGCAGAATTGTTGATATGAACTTTTTCAATCGGAATTTGAAGACAACGAGCAGCAACCTAGAAAAATCGGTAATCTCTGAATGGGGCCCCTGAATGGGGCCATTTTCTGAGAAAATGGGGCCACCTGAATGGGGCCACTTGTGTGGCAAATTCCCTCAATGGGGCCAGCAAGAAAAAAAAAGAATTTCTCACTTTTTCCTTAATGGGGCCACCTAAAAAGACAAAACACACAATTTTGGTATATTTCCTCAATGGGGCCAGGTATTTTTTGTGCATTTCCTGAATGGGGCCCATCTTTTAATTGTTTACATCTTGTGACGTCATATTGATAGTGAATTGAAATTTCATAAAAGTTTTCAAATTTTTTAATAGCGTATGTGAGTTATAACTCATATGTTTACCACGTATGCAAATTTTGGGTTCTCAAGGCATGGAGCCTCTCTTACATGAAAATTCCCAAGTTTCAACAATTTTTGAAACAGTAAATTTAAATGAAATATTTCTTTCTGGAATTCAAGTCTTGTTTTTTTCAAACACTCGAAAAGTATCAAAAATCACAGAGAAAATTCAGAATTTTCACAAATTGGAGAAAAAATATCAAATGTTTTTCTCAAATTTTCGGGTCATGACTCATGAGAAACTTATACTACGCACTAAACGATTCGAAAAATTTTCCCGGAAGCATGTTTTGAAAATTGAACGAAAATCTGGAAGTAGTTCTTTAGATAATTCTCACAGAAATTCTATATAGAATTTGATATCTATTGAAGAACATGTCATATAAGTTTTCACACCTTGATATTTTGGCACCTTGCCCATAAACAAGACACGGACATCGCGCAAAAAAGTGCGTTTTTTTTGGAGACCCAGATGAGTTTTTTGGGAAGTTATCCAAAAAACTTGTTGTCAACTAGCTAAGAATACGATAATAACCAAAACTTAATGAAACGAACAACTTATTTTAGAAGAAAACATCAATTTGATTAGAGAAAATAATTGGGCAAGAAATGTAAAAGTTTACCCAGAAAAATTATTCGAGGAAAATTTCAATATTTTCATCGTCAGAGCCTGAAAATTTGAAAAAAAAGTTCCATTCGAAATTTTTTTTCAATACTGAGAATAAAAACCACATCATAATAACGTTATTAAAAATTTGAAAACTTTCATGAAATTTCAATTCACGATCACTATGACGTCACAAGATGTATAAAAATTAAAAGATGGGCCCCATTCAGGAAATGCACAAAAAATACCTGGCCCCATTGAGGAAATATACCAAAATTGTGTGTTTTGTCTTTTTAGGTGGCCCCATTAAGGAAAAAGTGAGAAATTCTTACTTTTTTCTTGCTGGCCCCATTGAGAGAATTTGCCACACAAGTGGCCCCATTCAGGTGGCCCCATTTTCTCAGAAAATGGCCCCATTCAGGGGCCCCATTCAGAGATTGCCGAAAAATCGTATAAAAATTTTAATTCAAAAACTTTTGGAATTTTTCTGGTCAACAATCTGGAAGGTTAAGAAAGTATAAAATAAATCAGAAAGGTGAAAAACTCAAATTGTAAGACTTGATTGAAAAAATGTTTTAAAAATTCGGAAAATTTTTCAAAATGAGAGATTTTCATTTTTCTTTTGAATAATTTCAAAAGTTTGGTTCTAAAAAATTATGGAATTTTTCCTCTTTTTCTCCATACCTGCAACATTTTGGTATGTAATCCTTGTCCCATTTCCATTCCAGCATGTGATACTAAAACACTTCCATCTGTATAAATCATAACTAATGCACCAGCTTGATTCAATTGTTTCAATCCAAAACCAATTCCAAATTTCGTGGGTGTCAAATAAATTCCTCTTTTCCTATATTTATTTTCTTTATTATATTTTTCCACATCTTTTTTCCTTTTATCATATTCCGAATTAACTCGACATTCTTCCCAAGTTCTTCGAACATTACATTGTCTCAAATGCATTCCAAATGGTGTGCATTCTCCTTCATCATAAAAATTGATTTCTCTCAAATGATCGATATCTAAATCGAATTGTTCAGCAATATGTTTGACCATTGTTTCAGTTCCAAACATTCCTTGAGGTCCTCCAAATCCACGGAATGCCGTGTTTGAGGAAAGATTTGTGCGGCACATTCTACCATAAATATCTGCATTTCCAAATTTATAGACGTTATCAGCATGAACCATTGCACGTTCTGAAAAATATGGAAAGGATTTCATAAAATGATTTTTACTAAATAATTTTCGAATTTTCGGTTAATAATTAACAAATAGAGGATTTTTTCAAGAAAGTGCCTATTATACGAGGGTGTTGCTTTAATGTTTTAGTTCCCAAAATCACTCACGCATAACTCCCATCGATAAATCCACCGTATGACCACAATTTGCATTACACGTAAATTCCATATCCAAAAATTTTCCATTTTCATCAATCGCAACTTTATAATCTAATCTAAATGGATGTCTTGTTCCAGTTATTGCCATATCATCAAATCGCTCCAATTTGATTTTTGCCGGTTTTCCAGTTTTTCGTGCAACAATTGCAGCTGGAACAGCGAGAATTGCACCAGTACTTTCTTTTCCACCAAATCCACCACCAATTCTTTTGACTTTTACTACGATTTTGTGTTGTGGAATTGACAGACATTTTGCGAGTTCAATCTGGAATTAAAAATTTAGGTGGTCTTGGCATACATAAAATAGGCACCCCGAGTCAGTTTTCAAAGTTAGGGTCCCTTCTTGAAAATTTTCCAAAGTTAAACACCTTCCTCACATTTTTGAGCGAATTTTGGACAAATCTGGGAATTTTGGTAATTATCAGCAGAAAATTGGCCAAGTTAGGGACCCTTCCTTTCAGATTTTTGAAAAAAGTTAAGCCCCTCACCCCGATTCTGGGGACCCATTTTATGTATGGGTCTTGGAATCTTTAACATTTTGCATATAAAATTTTTATTCCCATTCCCAAACAAAAAACTCACATGGACATCATTAATTCCCTGATTTGAAATAATAACTTCTAATTCATCATTTTCATTCGGATAAACCAAACATTGTTGTGTTTCCAAATAGAAATGTTCCTGTCCTCCCATTTCAATCGATCCTTCCGTAATTCTATTATATATCTTCCAATCCACAATTTTCCTCTCCCCATTTCCATTTTCATTTTCCAACAAACTCGAATGTATTTTAAAATGCGGTGCAACAAAAGTGTCAGCCTTCAAAGCATCTTCAATTGTCACAATCGGTGTTTCTCTTGATATATCCAATTTCACCAAACTAGCAGCTTTTCTCGCAATTTCATGATCTGTTGCATAAATTGCAGCAATTGGTTGTCCATGATATGTTATTTTGTCAGCAACAAAAATCGGAGTATCACTATGATGTCCAAGTTTAACACCTTTTGCCACGTCATTTGCATCAATATATCCAATTACACCATCAATTTCAAGAGCTTTTGAATAATCAATACTATTTAAAGTACCACAAGAAATGGGAGACATAACATAAGCAAGATGAAGGCAATCTGAAATATTTTTAATTATATATCTAAATTTCTTTTTCAATAGTAATACTACCTGGTACTTGAATATCATCTAAATAAAGTGCTTCACCAGTTGTATGTCTATCTCCACTAACATGTTTAATTGGTCTTCCAACAGGATCTTCTATTTTTTGCCCTTCTTTCACTTCCTGATAAACTTGTGTAGCAATAAGTCCTTCTGGAATATCTAATCCAATTCGAGTTTGATGAGAATCGATTCCAACAATTCCAAGATCATTTGATACTTTTAGGAAGAATTTATAGAAGAATGATTTGGCAAGAGTTAGTCTATATTGAGCCATTCCACCGGGAACATTTGATGGAAGTTTCATCTCATCATTCAGCGAATTTAAAGCGACTTCAAGAATACGTTTATCCCATTTCTTTCCTTTCAATTGTTCCATAGTTTTTAATGCCAATTTGGTGACTGGTGCCATTCCACCATATGAAATTCGACAAACATCCACAATATTTTCCTTGTCTAACTCCAAATAAAATGCTCCAGTCACAATTGCAATATCATCTTCTCTTCTTTGTGCTTGTTTATATGCTTCGAAATATGAATTGGGTTTTGTGAATGGAACAATTATTGCTTTGAGAATTTGATCGGCTTCGATGACTGTTTTACGGTAGCCGAGGAAGAAGTTTTGATCGATTGGAAGAATTTGTTCACCACGAGCATCAGAATCAAGGACAATCTGCAAATAAATTTTAAGTTTGGGAATTTTCGAAGTTTTTGTAATCATACAGCACTTAACCATTAGATATTTTTGAAACGTACAATTTCCGGCTATTTATTTTGGAATTTTGGTTACAACTTTCTAGGCTTTTTGGAATCCACGACCTTGGTGTGTTATTTCTGCCAGAACTAACCTTAGCATTGGCAGCCATCCAAATTGGATTCAAATCCGAAATCGGTGAAGCTGTTGCAATATTTCCTGCAATACTTGCAACATTTCTAACATGAATTCCAGCAAACCAATGTAACATTTCGTGCACTTTTTCAAATATTCCACATTTTTCTTTTCCTTGATTTTCAATAACTTCTAACATATATCGATCGATATCACTTAAACTCATTCCAGTTCCCATGTAAACTCCAACATTTTCTAAAATTCGTTTTTCGTGAAGTTCCGCAATTTGACGAGGATTTATAACTGCTGGAAGATCGATAAATCTGAATTTCAATTCGATAGCAAGTTCCGAATTTCCAGAAATAAGTCTTGCATGTGGCAAAACTCTTTTGAGAGTTAGCAAATCTTCATATTTTGTTGGTTGATACCATTTTGTATGACAATGTTCATAAGCGAATGATTGTTTTTCAAAATTATGCAATTTCAACTCAGCCGGAAATATCAATTCTTGTGCTTGAAGTTCTTTTGTATAATCCGCACAACTCGAAAGATCCGATAATTTCAATTTCTGTTTTCTATTTCCCTCATTTTTACAACAATTTTCACCCATTCCACAAGCTCCTTCTTCTGCATTTCCATTAATTTCCGGTGTTGCATTTACCATTCCTGATTCTTGATCAATTGCAAAACTATAAAATGCTTCTAAAATAGGTCGATATCCAGTACATCTGCAAAGATTTCCTTGGAGTGATTCGTTGATTTGTTTGATTGTTGGATTTGGGGTATTCCGGAGCAAGGAATACATTGCCATTACGAATCCAGGTGTACAAAATCCACATTGTGAACCGTGAGCGCTGAAAAACTGAAGTTTTTGAGTATAATTTTTCGAAAAATCTGTGCGAACATTTTTTCATGAGAAAAATATTTTTGCTCGGCGGCTACTGTATTTATGTGCAAACACGGTGACGAACAAATGCAGAAATTTTTTTTCTTATTTTTTTTGTCGGAAAATTTTTGAATTTTTTGTTGTTTGAGCCCGTTTTAAGCTTAATTGCAACACGCAATTCACAAACTGAATTCCACGGAATTTTGAGACTCTTAGAATTAATTCAGTTAATAAACAAACTCTATTCTTTCCATCTTTTCTAGTTTTATCAGAAAATATTTTTTCGCTGATCGCTGCAAAATTTTTAAGCTTTTTATCAGCAAAATTGTTTTCTTCGTGAGCGGCAATTTTTTTGCCAGCCCGAAGAAGTGATAATGTTTCTGATTGAGATAAAAAATCTAAGAATCAATGTTTCTCCAAACCAAACCATGTTCATAGTTCAAAAACATTCACGAACTTAGCTAATCTCTCTTGAATTGGATGAAGTCGTCCTTTTGCAACACTTCCAATTCCTTCCACAGTAGTCACAGCTTTTCCATAAACTCCGCAAATTGGCATAAGACACGCGTTGGCAGAGAAATGTTGAATTTTGCCAGTTTCGACAGCGATTTGTGAAATCATAACTGTGCACGCACCACAGCCACCCTCATTGCAGCCGATTTTTGTGCCAGTTAGTTTTACTAAAATTATGAAGTTTTTTGCAAGCAGATCGATTGAGTTCGGGGTTTTTCGAATTTAGACTCACACTATATGATTTTCGACCAATTATTAAAAAGAAAAATCAAGAAATAATTATGTCAATAACAAGTATGACGTGATTCTCAAAAATTATTTTTTTTATAAAAACCTGATTGTTATTTTTTGATAATAAAATGTGGTTTCAAAGGTCACGTGGTTTTTTTGAAAACTCAGGCCTTTGTGGGAAAATTTCCGAATGGGTTTGTAACTTGTGTTTTTTTTTGAAAAATTATTTGTAAAATTTTCTGCATAAGTTGGAACCTTTCCGGAATAACTTACAAAAACTTTTTTTTTCAAAAAGATTCGATGTTAAAAAACTTACATTTGTCTCTCAAATAAGTCGCAAGTGTCATTTTTGGATCCACATCTTTTTCCTCAACACGTTTTCCATTCACATAAAAAACAAGAATTTTTGAATCATACGATTCCAATTCCAAAACATCGTGCATCTTTCTGAAAAAAACAGCAGAAAAATGTTGCGAACAAAAAAAAATGATGACATGATAAAAAATTATCTTATCATTTACGAAACCAAAAACAAAGAAAAACGTGACCCGGGAGGGACCGTCGAAAATTGGTTTTGAAAATAGGTTTTTGAATGAAACTTTGATGAATTATTGTAAGAGTCTCTCGGAAGTTTTATTGAACCGAAAGGTCAGAATTTCTGACTTTATCAGTACAACATTTTTTCGGGGCAAAAAATAATCCCAACGTGACTTTGCAACTCGTTATCAAATGCAAATTTAGAGAGAGATCAAATATTCAAATTTTTGTTTGTGTGGCAAAAACGATAATTTTATGTTGAGGGGGAAAATTGATAAATTGCGATTTTTTCGAGCAAAAAACCAGGAACAATTATTTTTGCAAGGAAAAGGGAATTGTTAGAGAAAAGGGGATAATAGGTAAAAGAAATGATAATTGGAGAAAAAACTGATAAGAAAGTTTGGTTTTTATGGGAAAATAGTGGGGAATGTATCTAGTTTAGCCAATAAAGGAACTGCCATCTATAGAATTCAGTAATATTGGTTTGAAAGAAACCCGCAAAACCTACCCAGGTAAATCCTTCATCGATTCATCTCCCAAAATCTTGTTTCTCATCCGGATTTTATACTGTATCAAGTTCATTTTCTAATTCAATATCGTCCGAATTTCGAAAACTTATTAGAAATCAGAAATAACTTAAAATGATCTTTGGGTCGCAGAAAATTGGAAGAACACGTTTTCACGTGTCCCAAATGACGTGTCAGCAGGAAGGAAAAACAGGCGGTGGAATGGGAAACGGATTCAGTTTGATTTTCAGCGGTTATACAAATGAGTGAGTTTAAAATCTACTGCTTCACAATCAGATTCTATCTACCCTTTAATTTTTACAGAACCGCCAATCTTCCTGTTGATTTTTCTACTCAATTTCTTATGTGTGAATGTGAATGGAGATTTGAGTGATTATGAATTTGAAGTTTCGATTGCGAAACCCATATTATCAAGCACAGCTTCAAAACCAAAAGCACCAGAAATTGAGAAAACTGCACCTTCGCCGACTTCAGTTGCCACAACCACAACTCCAAAACCTACTACACCATCAACTACTGTAGTTCCCACAACTCCTGTTGCCACAACTACAACCATACCTTCGACTGCAAAAACTACATCAGTAACTCCTTCAACAACCACAACTCCAAAACCAACCACACCATCAACTACTAAAGTGCCCACAACTCCTGTTCCCACAACTTCAACCAAACCAACGACACTATCAACAACGCCTGTTCCCACCACTCCTGTTGCCACAACTACAACCAAGTTAACCACACTATCAACAACTCCTGTTGTCACAACTACAACCAAACCTTCAACAACCACAACTCCAAAATCAACCACGCCTGCAACTTCTGAAGTTCCCACAACTCCTGTTCCCACAACTACAACCATACCTTCGACTGCAAAAACTACACCAGTAACTCCTTCAACAACTCCAAAACCAACTACACCATCAACAACTCCTGTTCCCACAACTACAACCAAACCTTCAACAACACCTTCGACTGTAAAAACTACACCAGCAAAACCTTTAACAACCACAACTTCAAAACCAACTACACCATCAACAACTCCTGTTGCTACAACTACAACCAAATTAACGACACTATCAACAACTCCTGTTCCCACAACTACAACCAAACCTTCAACAACCACAACTCTAAAACCAACTACACCATCAACAACTCCTGTTCCCACAACTACAACCAAGTTAACCACACTATCAACAACTCCTGTTGCCACAACTACAACCAAAGTTTCAACAACCACAACTCCAAAACCAACTACACCATCAACAACTCCTGTTGCTACAACTACAACCAAATTAACGACACTATCAACAACTCATGTTGTCACAACTACAACTCTAAAACCAACTACACCTCCAAAACCTACTACACCATCAACAACTCCTGTTCCCACAACTACAACTCCAAAACCAACTACACCATCAACAACTCCTGTTCCCACAACTACAACCAGACCTTCAACAACACCTTCGACTGCAAAAACAACACCAGCAAAACCTTCAACAACCACAACTCCGAAACCAACCACGCCATCAACTACTGAAGTTCCAACAACTCCAACCAAACCAACGGATCCACCAATAATTCCTGTTGCCACAACATCAACTCGTTCTCCAATACTTCCACCAGTCTCACCAGTCGCCCAACCACTTGTCACCAATTTGAAATGCTCATCCGAAGATCAAACTTGTCCGATGTATTGTGAGGAATTGAAAAAAAAGCCGAAGTCCACGAAAGAAATGTAAGCTTCTTTAAAAAAATCTTCTTGAGATCACCCCGAAAATATTGATTTTTTGCAGGACAACTTCTCAATTGCTTTTCTATGTCTTCCTGGGTTTGCTCATTATTTTGTTCATTATTCTTGTTGTGTTGGTCATTTATTTTGCGATTTTGAAGAGTAAGTTTGATTGGGAATCAAAAGAAGATATTCTCTCCATTCGGCTGAATAATTCAAAAATCACCTATGAATCGGAGAGGCTAGATTCCCAAAAAAGTTCCAATTTTCAAAACCATAAACGTTTTTTCCAGGAAAACTCAACAAAAAACGTGAAAAACAACAAAAAGAGTCAGCAATTCGAACACCTTTAGCGGGAACTCCGAAATCACAAGAAGAAACACCAAAAGATGCTGCAATGGAAGGAGATCATGGAGTAGTTGGAACTGGAGGAGAAGCGGCAAAGAAAAATAAGAAAAGTAAACGGAATGATGTGAAAAATAAGAAGAAGAAGAGTAGTCAGAACAAGAAGAATTCGTTGAATAAAAATGTGCAATTTGATCGAAATAATCCAGAAACTCGCGCAAGACATCGAAAATATATTCAACAATGTAAACAACAAGAAAAGGAGGACGGAGATTTGAAGAACTTCAAGAAAAGTGGAACTATATTCATACCGCATGCTGTTTTTGATGATGCATTTTTGAAGAAATGTGAGGCTCCTGATAATATTCAACTTGAGAGGGTGTTTTACGATCCCAGTGGGAATGAGGTTAGTTTTTTTGGACGATAGGATACGATAATTTGAAAATTGAAACGAACTTTTTAATTTTCATTCGAAACACTGATTTTCATGAGATTCAAAAAAATCAGAATTTATTTTACAAAAATTCGAAAATTCTAATTTTTGTCTGAAAATTGAATGAATTTCATTTTATATGCCGAATATAATTAAAAATTTCCCAGCTTCTATGATTTTTCAACAAAAAACTAATGCTGCTTTTTTCAGGTGTTCGACATTGGGTCAGACGTCGACAACATAGAATTGAACCCAAGCACAATGATAACTTCGGATGCGGACACAACAAGAAAATCAGTGATGACAAAAACCGAAGAGAAGAGTTCGACAAATCCACCACAAAATCTTTAATCGAATTCGATTCATTTCTTCTTTTTTCTTTATTTTTGAATTCAAGATTTGTAACTGGATGTCTATTTTATTGTATTTATTCTTGATTTATGAAAAATTTCGAAAAAATTGAAATGGAAGTTCATGGGGGAAAGGGGGATAAATACAGGAACTTTACAAAATTGAAAAATATTGAAAATATTTGAGTTTTTTTCGTTTGAATCGATCGGCGAAGATTTATTCTGAAAAATAATTTTTATGAAAAAATATAAAAATTTCACAAGCTCTTGTTTTCACTCCTCGAATTAATTTTCACCGCATTTTCACCGTAATTAATATAACTTTTTTTTGTATAAAATAAAATATTGTGTCCAATTTTTTCTTTGTATGTTTTTGGGGAGTAAAATGGGGAGGAAGACATAAATAATCCGCGCAATTTGTAATACAAAAATTAAACACAAAAAGTTTTTGCCTTTCGAAACATAAATAAGAAGGAGAAAAGAGCAACATTGTGCACTTTTTCTTGAATTTTTTTCGGTGAATTTTTATTTTTTTCCTTAAAAGAGAGAGATTTTGGGATTCAGAAGGCAATTCAATTAGACTTCTTCATCTTATTTTTGTTTTGACTACTTGCTCATAATAAGGAAAAAGCAAAAAATAGAAGAAGCTTTTAGAGATTTTATGACTTTTTTCTTATGAGCTAAAAAATTTGAGCTGATTCATTTTTTTGGGTGCAATCTCATTATTTCGTTCTGTAGCTTTATGGCAAAAATCATCTTCAAATTTAGAAAAAAAATGGTTCATTTTTCGAAAAATCCAGATTTAATTACAGTGTACCAGGTTTTCTACGTTTCAAATTTTTTATATGAAAACTTGATGATTTTTCATTTTGTTTCTAAATTTACTGAAATTAGCAAACATTGAACTTCTACAAAAAGTTCCACGTGGAAAGCAAAAATAGAATAAAAACAATACAGAATTACAGTATTATATTCAGAATTCCTAAGGTCTGAATCATCTACCGTAATCTAGATGTTTATATTATTTTAGGTGGACTACAGTACTCTCTCACCCTCACCCACAATACAGCTTAACCATATTTTCGTTTCCAAATTCTGCTCATTCATTGCGGGTCAAACAATACAAAACCCATCTCAAATTACCGAAACTTTCTTTATTTTCCATTTTTCTCGTAAAACTCTTCTTTCTCGGATTGTTTTGTTTATTGTATTAGATAGACAAGTGTCTTCCCCCTTTTTTCTGTATGCACTTGTACAATTAGATAGTTTTGTGTTTGTGTGCGCGAGAAATGCTCCGGGAGCAAGCAACAGCAAAATTGGAGGGAGAACGAGAAGAAGCTTCACAAAATCATTTTTCAACGAGACAAACATTGTGTTGTTCTCGCTCCCGCGCACTTCATCATCATCGTTTTTTTTTGGGAAACTCGGATTTTTAACTGGGGTTTTGGCACGAATTTGAATTTCTCTCTTGATCTATTTCCGGTGTTCAAAACTGTTGCCACGTCAAAAATTTCAGGGTAGCCAAAAGAGAGCGAACGAAAAATGGCAAGTCAGGTGGGGGCCATCAATTCGGTCAACGCACTGATTTCAAAAGTTTTTGTGCAACCAAAAGGAGATTTGGTGAGTTGGCGAAAATAAAATTTTCAAAAACTTCTAGAAATAAATTTCAGAGTTTCTGAAAACTCAAAAAATTTGAAACTTCCTTCTGAAGAAATATTTTTTGAAATAATTTAATGTTACAAATTATTTCTAGTGACGAAAAAACCCATTCGCGAATATTCTAATTTTGTTTTGAAAAATTCTGGACCTGAGAATTCTCCGAAGGTTTAGAGAAAGTACAAAATCAACAATCCAAAGTTTTTAAAATCAGAGTTTCCCGAAACTTTGTTTTTTCAGGCGGATCGTCTCAATTCCCGAATCACAGTATGCATTCTAGCTGTTTCTAGTGGCCTTTTAATGTCAACTCATTTTATCGGAGATCCAATAACTTGTTGGACACCGGCACAATTCACTAAACAATGGGTTGATTTTGTCAATCAATATTGTTTTGTTCATGGCACTTATTTTGTGCCTTTAAATGAACAATTGGCTTTTGATGATGAAGAAAGGTACGGTGATTTTTTTAGTGGGAACTACAGTAATCTATGGTACTTGACTTGGATATGAGAAGGGTAAATAAATAAATAAAGAAGATCAGGGGTTTGAAATAAAAATACTTGTTACGTGATTTTTGAATTTACGTGAAAAAAATCATTTCTAAGTTTGTTTTCAATGAGAAACCAGGTACATCAAATTCAGAATACAAATCCAAGTTCAATTTTTTTTGCAGAAAGAAAGTAACAATTCAATATTATCAATGGGTTCCATATGTTCTTGCACTTCAAGCTTTTCTATTCTATATTCCTCGATTTGTTTGGAAATCGCTGATTGCTCATAGTGGATATGATTTGGCTGCTGCTGTTCGATATGTTGATGGATTTTGGACATCAATCAAAAATCAGGATGCTACGTTTAAATGTGAGTTTTTGATGATATGTTAGGAGGGAAGGTTTCAAAGTAGTGAGACAAAACATTGCTCAGATTTTGGTTTAAAAAGTTATCCTAACTTTGAGAACTGACAACTATTCAATGACGAATGAACCTCAAAAAAATCTTCCCTAAAAACGCAAAAAAAATAAATGACTTTAAAATGTGTGCAAACACCATATTTAGGTGGCCGAGTAATGTCGGGAATTCAGCCAAAGCAACTAAATTGCCCCAATGATAATGATTTTTGAATCATTTGAGCGCGTTCGTTGTATTGGCCGAATACCCGACATTTCTCGGCCATATTGGTTTTATATTATTATCGATTTATTTTTTTTCCGAAAAGTAACTTTTGGATTACATTTTGAATAATAAATATTTTTGAGAAGTTCTTTCCAGTTTCAGTTCCACAACATATTATTTTTTCCAGGCCGACTCGCTGCTTTCGAAGGTCGTCCTTCAGTCTACATTTGGGATGGACTTCGCCTTGCTCGAAAAAAGCGAAGCAAAGATATGGCTCTATTTTACACTTTGGCTACCGTCCTTCAATTTATCAATGCTTGGGCACAATGGTATATTTTGAATTCACTTCTCGATTCTCCACTTTATTCATTCTGGGGACCATCTTTATTAACTGATTTGGCGAAAGGCGATGATTGGCAAGTTACTGGACATTTTCCAAGAGTTGTGCATTGTGATTTCAATCGGAGAAGACCAGCTAGTGTTCAGGTTAGGAATGGGAACATGGGGTGGGCAGGGGGGGGGGGGCTAGAAAAATTTAAAAGATTTTTGATCTTTCCAATTTCGTAAACCCACATATTTTTATAAATTGTCATGCGGAAAGATTATCTATGCTTTTCTGAATTTCCTACTTGGTTTCAAAAATTTTTGAAAAAAAATCACCATCTGATTTCGATGATTTTTTCTAGAAAAAAAAATGAATTCAAAACAACATTTATTGATACAACTTAAGTACTTGTCATCCATGCAATTGAAGCTTGTCGAAGTCTTGTATTCTCGTTATTTTTATTCCAAATATTGCCAGATTTTTGTCTAAATACAAATTTTCGAAATGGTCTATGAATTAGAACCATTGTAGATACACTAACAATTCCATGTAAACTGAACAAAATGAGCATAACATTATTAAGCCCTTGATTATAATAATCAGCAAATCCATCGACTGCAAAAAATATGAATGGTATACAAATACATAATATTGGAATGACACTTTGAATTGTGACATCAATAAATAATAATCTTTGAAATTTTCTAGTTGATGCACTCATTGCGATATTTGTTATCATAAATAATTCATAATACGTGAATGCGAAAAACATGAAAAATTGACCGATTATGTAGAAAACAAGAACTACAAATTGAATTAGTGTGAATAATTTATCGATTGATAAAATAAACACTTCAAGAGAATATAATTCTGGATCTAATGTTGGAAGTTTTTCAAAAACAATTCTCTTCGCATTTTGTTGTTCAGGAATATAATAATATACAGAAATCAATAAAAGTATTGTGAGCGACAGATTTTTGGAATATAAAAATACTTGAACAGTGAAAGGAGTATATCGGATATTTTTAATATGATGGTATCGGTTTTCGATGATACAAACACAAGATACTCCAACTCCAGCCATTGCGAAAATTGTTGAAAAACATTGGAGTTCTTTTGGAAAATTTATATAGTTCAATACACCTAATGTGCTCACACAAAATTCGGGAAACATAAGCAACGGTTTCACAAAAATAGTCATATTTATATCTAGAATAACACTCCAAAAACACGTCATCAACATGCAACGTTGTAAAGTTTTGCTACTTTTCGGACATTTTTTGATGACACAATAAAATCCAAGAATATAGACTGGAATGCTCAAAAAACCAATAATTTCATAGATTATGACTAGAATATCTGGTGATGCAAATATTTCAAAAACCATATATATTCTCTAGTCGGAAGTATTATTAGAACAATTTTTGCTTTTTTGTTTTGTTTTTGTTTGAAACACGTCATTAATGAGGCATACTTTTTTGGGTTTTTCGTAATGATTTTTTGAAGCAAAATTTTTCTTCGAAAAATAAAAATAGTTATGAGGAAATAATAGAATAAGTTTATTTGAACAAATGAAATCAAGTGAATTATAATATCGAAAAGTCAAGAGTTAACTAGACAATTTGATTTTTTTAACTCCAGTAATTATGTATAGAATTATGTATAGAAATTAGTTAAAGGTGGAGTCCGACATAAACATTTATTTATTTGAATCAGTTTCAAATAAAACGGTTTTTTCGAACTTTGAAATCTTCAAACTGATGTTTGAAAAGCTTCCAGATAGAGAATTTTTTCTAGGATTGTACTAATTAGAACATGATATTTCAAATAATCAAAACGTATTTTTGTTTCAGACCACCTTTAACAGAAAAATATTTTCAACTTTCATAAAAAATTTGAAAACTAATTACATAGTGCTTCTTCTATCTATCCATGCCAAAGATATAAATGCAGCTTCACTTTTTCGACGTTTTTCCAATATTTTCGAATTTTGACAAAATATAAATTGTCGAAATGGTTTGTGAATTAGCAACATCGTTATAATACTTATCATCCCGTGTAAACTGATTATAAGAAAAACAATATTAGTAGCTCCTTGATTAAAATAATTACAAACTCCTGCAACGAAAAAATAAATGAACGGTGTAATCATGCAGAGAATAGGAATAAGACTTTGTATTGATACATCGATGAATAATGTTTTTTGAAATTTTCTTGTTGCGTGGCTCATTGAGTTATTTTTAATCATATATAACTCATAGAATGTACCAGCAAAGAATATAAAGAATTGCGCAATTAATGTGAAACCAACAATCCCAAACTTTAAAAGTGTGGAAATTTTATTGAGTGATAAAACAAATGGTGGTTTTATATTATAGAATATATAAGGAAGATTGGGAAGATTTTCGAATACCTTTATGAGAGCAGTTTTCTGCTCGGGAATATCGATGTGAAGAAAAAAATAGGAATAAAAATGCTATGGATAAATCAATAGTATAAATCAGTATTTGAGCAATCATTGGACGCATTCGAATATTTTTAATATGATGATAACGGTTTTCGATAATACAAACACATGATATACTAGCTCCACCAATACAGAACAAGTACAGGAAAATTTGGAACTCTTGCGATATATTATCAAGAAAACCCAAAGTATAAATACAGAATTCAGGAAATAAAATCAATGGCTTGACCATTGTATTTGAAACCAAATCCATAATTAGACACCAGAAACAAGACATCAACATACAATATTTCAACGTTTTTCCACTTTTTGGACATTTTGTGAGAACACAATAAAACCCAAAAATATATATTGGTATACTTGAGAAACTTATAATTTCATATGACTTGACAAGAAATTCAGGTGATTCAGAAAGATTCATTTTTATCTCATTAATCAAATGACAAATAACACCTACTTCAAAGTCTTGATGTGTTGTTTTTCTAATATGACATGCAGTTATGTTCTGCATGGCTGATCAAATCTTAATTTTTTTATATTGATTCATTCGAATATATTTCAGACTTCCTAATTTCTCGATGTTTTTCAGAAGAAATATTGTGATCTTAGCCAACATAAAAAGTGTTTATTTACAAAAAATTAGAAAAACCAAATTACATAGTGCTTCTTCTTTCCATCCAAGCTAACGATACGATTCCACCTTCACTTTTTCGACGCTTTTCGGATTTTTTTGAATTTTGACAAAATATAAATTGTCGAAATGGTTTGTGAATTAACAACATTGTTATAACACTTATCATCCCATGTGAACTGATCAGCAAAAATGCAATATTATTGATTCCTTGATTGAAATAATTATAAATTCCTGCAATTTCAAAATAGAAAAATGGAACAATCATACAAAGAATTGGAACAAGACTTTGTATTGAAACATCGAGAAACAATGCTCTCTGAAACTTTTTTGTAGCATTACTCATTGAACTATTTGTGATCATGAATAGCTCATAAAATGTGACGGCGAAGAATATGAAAAATTGTGCGATCAGAATAATTCCGACAGTCGCAAGTTTTAAAGTTGTAGCTACTTTATTGATGGATAAAACAAATGGTGATTTTAACTGATAGAATATATCAGGTAGATTTGGAAGATTCTTGAAGACTTTGACAAGAGCACTTTGTTGCTCAGGAATATCAAAGTGTAGAATAACAATCAAAATAATGGCCAACAATAAATTCCCAGTATAAATTAGAAGTTGTGCAATCATTGGACTCATTCGAATATTTTTAATATGATGATAACGGTTCTGAATAATACAGATACACGAAATTCCAGTTTCACCAACAGAAAATAAAACAAGGAATACTTGAAATTCTTGAGAAAAATTATCAAGTATACCCAATGTATAAATACAAAATTCAGGAAAGAGAATCAAGGGCTTGACCAATATATTCAAAGAAATATCCATGAACACACACCAAAAAGATGACATCAACTCAGAGGCTAAATAGCAGCTGAACGGCAGGGCTGCTCTAAAATTGCAGGCAGCGCTGCGGCGTGGACGCCGCAGCGCTGCCGATTTGAACAGCAGCAGTGGGCAACAGTTGCCATGTGTGTGGCAGCAATGAGCAACAGTTGCCTTGTATATGGCAGCTGTAGCCGAGTGCTGCCGAAGAAGCCAGCTGCGAAACGGCAGCGCTGCTCGATCAGAAAATTTTCCGAATATCAGCAGCGCTGCGGCGTCCACGGGGCTGCGCTGCCGATTAGTTGCTGAATTGAGCTGCGCTGCCTTTCAGCAGCGAAATTACTCCTGAGTAAATCCAACGAAAAATAATACGTGTCACACGTTTTCTGGTTGGATTTCGCCATTTTTCTTTTTTTGAACTGATCCATCTTATCCGTTTCGAGACGAGATGCGTTAAAATGACTTATGGAGTTGTTTTGGGCAATACAGACAATTATAAAAGTTTGTAGAACATGCTATGGTGCCCATGAATTGTAAAACAAATATAAACAATGACTTTTTTCGGATTTTCAAAATCTAACGAATTGAGCCAGGATCAAATCGTTAAATTTTAAAAATAGAAGGTCACGTTTTTAGTCACAAATAATTTTTTTTTTGTTTTCAAAATATAACGATTTGGGTTGGGATCAAATCGTTAGATTCTGAAAATAAATACAACGTTTCTAATTCAAATAAAATAAACTGAAATATTTGCCTATTTTTAATCAAAAGTACAGTAACATTTATCGATTGAATATTTTCATTGATTTTCAAATTTAAAGCTAATGATTTGGACAGATATTTGATTTTTTCGTCAAAACCGGCAACTTTTCAAATTTAACCTATCTTATATGAAATTTGATTAAGCATGTGGCCAAAAATAACTGAAATCAAATTAGAAGAGTCAAACATCAAAATGTTGAAATGTGTGTGGGTTTGTTAGTTTATTAACTAAAACAAAATGAATCTTACTGAATCACCAGATTTTCTCGTCACAGCCTATGAAATTATAAGTTTTGCAAGTGTTCCAATCTATTTTCTTGGTTTTTATTGTGTTCTGACAAAATGTCCGAAAAGTGAAAAAACGTTGAAATGGTGTATGTTTATGTCTTGTTTTTGGTGTCTAATAATGGACATATGTTTGAATATATTGGTTAAGCCATTGGTTATATTCCCTGAATTTTGTATTTATACATTGGGTATACTTGATAATTTATTTCAAGAACTTCAAATATTTCTTTATATATTTTCTGTTGGGGAAACTGGAGTATCTTGTATTTGTATAATGGAAAATCGTTATCATCATATTAAAAATATTCGCATGCGCCCAGTGATTGCACAACTTCTAATTTATTTTGGAAACTTATCAGTGGCAATTGTTTTGATTTATTCTCTTCATATTGACATTCCTGAGCAGCAGAGTGCTCTTGTTAAAGTCTTCAAGAATCTTCCAAATCTACCTATTATATTTTATGAGTTAAAACCACCATTTGTTTTATCACTCAATCAAATTTCCGCACTTTTGAAATTCACTTTTGTTGGAATCACCCTGATTGGACAGTTCTTTATATTATTTGCTGGCACATTCTATGAATTATATATGATTACAAATTTTTCAATGAGCCACGCAACAAGAAAGTTGCAAAAAGCATTGTTCATAGATGTATCAATACAAAGTCTTGTTCCAATTCTTTGCATGATTTTTCCATTTTTCTATTTTGTTATGGCAGGAATTAATAATTATTTCAACCAAGGAAGAACTAATATTGTTCTGTTGCTAATCAATTTACACGGAATTATAAGTGTTATAACAATGTTATTAATTCACAAACCATTTCGACAATTCATATTCTGTCAAAATTCTAAAATGTCGGAAAAACGTCGAAAAAGTGAAGCTGGAATTGTATCATTAGCTTGGATGGACAGAAGAAGTACTATCTAATTTTTTTTCTGATCTTTTAATGAACACATTTTTCTGATGATTAATTTGACGTATATGTTTTGTAACACATTTATAAACTATTCCGACAACTTGTTTCTAGAAAAAATATTTAAAAGTTTAGTTCCCTGCGTAGATTAATAAATACATTTTATGCAATTTGATTAAGAGTATGGCAAAAACAAACTACGATAGAATTAGAAAAGTCAAGAATCGAAACTTTGAATCAAGTTTGTGTGTTTTTCATTTTATTATTATTCAGAAAAATATGTGTTTCGCTGAATCGCCAGATTTTCTTGCCACAGCCTATGAAATTATAAGTTTCTCAAGTATTCCAATTTACATCCTCGGCTTTTATTGTGTTCTCACAAAATGCCCAAAAAGTGGGAAATCTTTGAAATATTGTATGTTCTCAGGAGTAATTTCGCTGCTGAAAGGCAGCGCAGCTCAATTCAGCAACTAATCGGCAGCGCAGCCCCGTGGACGCCGCAGCGCTGCTGATATTCGGAAAATTTTCTGATCGAGCAGCGCTGCCGTTTCGCAGCTGGCTTCTTCGGCAGCACTCGGCTACAGCTGCCATATACAAGGCAACTGTTGCTCATTGCTGCCACACACATGGCAACTGTTGCCCACTGCTGCTGTTCAAATCGGCAGCGCTGCGGCGTCCACGCCGCAGCGCTGCCTGCAATTTTAGAGCAGCCCTGCCGTTCAGCTGCTATTTAGCCTCTGAGTAGTCATTTCTCTTTTTGAAATTGTTTCATCTCGACGTAATTTTTGAGGCAATATGTCTAAAAAATTTCTTGGTGTGGTTCTGCAAAATGACACCAACAGTTTTTGGAAACTTATCATATGTGAATGAAATGCAAAAAAACATATGAAGAATGATTTCGGTTGGATTTTCAAAATCTAACGATTTGAGCTCGGATCAAATCGTCAGATTTAGAAAATAAAAGGTCACGTTAGAAAATAAATTTTCACCACGCACAGCCAAAATTAAAATATAAGGCGGTGGGGCAGATTAGTTTCTCCCCCGGGAGAAATGGGGAGAAAGAGGAGAAAAGTGGTGCAGAAACGCGGGAAGAAAGAGGAGTTTCTGCCTTTTCTCCCAAACCGTATCGTGCTGAGACCCTTCCTGGAAAATCTCTGAGCCTTTAATCGAGTCGAAATACGGAACTATATCGGTCTTATCGATAAATGGTCTCGACACGATGAGCCGGATACTGTAGGAGGAGAAAAGGCAGGAACTCCTCTTCCTCCCCGCGTTGCTGCACCACTTTTCTCCTCTTTCTCCCCATTTCTCCCGGGGGAGAAACTAATCTGCCCCACCGCCTAACGATTTGTGCTCGGCGCAAATCGTTATTTTTCGAAAATCAGAATTTGTTCTTTTAAAAATATATGGTTTTTACGAAAACATATTCGGCCATAAAAATTCATTATATTTTTGTTGGATTTATAACAAAAAATATAAATTTATGTATCTTGGATAAAAGTATTATTTTTAATTTTTTTGCGATGATTTTTTCTTTTTTTATAATTATTGTCCAAAACCGGCAACTTTTCAATTTTAACCTATCTTATATTTTATAGAGTTTTTCTATCTACCCATGCAGATATAATAGGCACTTCTGTTTTTCGAATTTTATCCGAATAACAAAACATGAATTGTCGAAATGGTTTGTGGATAAGTAACATTGTTATACCATTAATAATACCGTGTAAACCAAATGAAATGAAAGATATATTATTCAAAGCTGGAAATAGTTTTGATACAATTAAAAATAACTCTTCCCTCATTTTATGCAGAATACCTTGATTGTGATAATTGTATATCCCTGCTCCGATGAAATAGGAAAATGGAATGGTCATTGATACAATTGGAACTAGACTTTGTATTGTGACATCAATGAACAACGATTTTTGTAATTTTCTTGTGGCAATACTCATTGAACTATTTGTAATCAGGAATAGTTCATAATAAACAAAACCGAAGAACGTTAAATATTGTCCAATTATTAAAAGTCCGATCACAGTTATTTTGAGAAGTGTGGAAGATTTATTTAGAGATAAAACAAATGGAGGTGTCATGAGATGAAATATTGGAGGGAGATTTGGAAGGGAAGAAAAGACTACTTGAAGAGCAGATTGTTGATCAGGAACATTGATAAAAAGTGCAATCATGAATAGAATCTGGAAACATAGATTCAGCAAACAAATAGAAGCATGAAAAATGATTGGACGGATTCGAATATTTTTGATATGATGATATCTATTTCCGATGTTACAAATACAAGATGTGCTAACACCAGAAAATGTAAAGAAAAACATAAACACTTGAAATTCTTGAGAAACATCAAAATACATTGTAAATGGTCCCAAAGTATAAATACAATATTGTGGAAATAATATCATTGGATGAATTAAAATATTCACAAAACAATCCATTAGACAACACCAGAAACAGGAAATTAATAAACACCATTTCAAAATAATCCCAGATTTTGGACATTTTGTGAGAACACAATAAAATCCAAGGATGTAAATTGGAATACTTGATATACTGATTATATTATAAGAAATGTTGAGAAAATCTGGCGATGAGGCAGAATTCATCAAGGAAAAATGAATAGAAAAATGGTTAATTTTATTTTTTTGATATTCGGTATATTCTGGGAATAATCAAAAAAATATTTGGTTTAAAATTCACACAGTCATTCTATCGGTCCATGCTCAAGATTGTACAATAACTTCGCTTTTTGTTTCTGTATTCACTTTGGTACAAAATAAGAATCGACGAAATGGTTTGTGAATTAGTAACATTGTTATAACACTAACAATTCCATGTAAACTGAATAAGATGAATACGATGTTATTGAGAGCTGAAATTGAAAAGAAAACAAATATTAATTTCCGTAGTCAGTATTATTGTTATTACCTTGATTGTAATACGTGAAAATTCCTGCAAATACGAAATATGAAGCCGGTATAGCCATAAGGAGAATAGGAACCATACTTTGAATTGCTACATCAATGTATAATTCTTTTTGTAACTTTTTGGTGGCATGACTCATTGAATGATTTGTTATCATAAATAATTCATAAAATGTGACTCCGAAAAGAAAAACGAATTCTCCGGTGATAAAGGTCCCAATAAGCGAGAGTTTCAATATTGTTAAAAGTGGGTTTATTGAGATAACAAATGGAGTTCTCATTTGGTGAAAAATTGGAGGAAGATCAGGAAGTGATTTGAAAACATGTTCGAGAGCTGATTCCTGTTCAGGGATGAACAAATAGAGTGCAAGTATGAATAGGAATGTTGCAAATAAGTTCAAACAAGTGAGAATGCTCTGGAAGATAAATGAACTCAGCTTGATTTGTTTAATATGCTGATAACGATTGCCAATTATTGAAACACAAGATGTGCTAACTCCTGCCACCGAAAATACAAACATGAATATTTGAAACTCTTGAGATACATAAAGATATTCCGTGAGCGGACCTAACGTATAAAAACAAAATGCTGGTGATAACGTTAGAGGTTGAACTAATGTATTCATAATCAAATCCATAATTACACACCAAACACAAGAGATTAACAAACACCATTTGAACGATTTGCTACTTTTTGGACATTTTGTGAGAACACAATAGAATCCAAGAATGTAAATTGGAATACTTGATATACTTATGAAATCATAAGATTTTGTGAAAAAATCTGGGGATCCTACTGTATCCATTTAGAAAAACAAATAAAAAATAATTATGTTTTATTTCTTTGTTATTACATTTGAGAACTCGTATAAGACAAAACATCCTGTATTATGATTAATTTTTATTGAAAAAAAATCGAGTTATTTTCAAGGTTTTCTGTCTCTCCGTGGCCGAGAAGTGATTGGGGTATTATTTTGTTTTTGATAAAATATAAAACGACGAAACGGTTTATGAATTAGTAGCATTGTAGAAACACTTATTATACCGTGTAGACTGAATGAAATAAATACGATGTTGTTCAGAGCTGAGAAATTAAGTAGTTAGAAAAAGTTAACGTTCATCAAAAAATGTTACCTTGATTGTAATAGTCGTATATTCCTGCTCCGATGAAATATGAAAGTGGAATAGCCATGGATAAAATTGGAACTGAACTTTGAATTGTTACATCGATGAATAATGATTTTTGAAATTTTCTCGTAGCATTGCTCATTAGATTGTTTGTTATCATAAAAAGTTGGTAATATGTGACACCGAAAAATATGAAAAATTCAACAATTTGGAAACTTCCGATAACTGAGAATTTCGTGAGTGTAAATGGTTTGCTTATCGAAACTACGAATGGTAGTTTCAATTGAAGAAAATTTGAAGGAATGCTGGGAAGATTTTGAAAAACTATTTTCAAAGCAGTTTCCTGATCAGGAATAAAAATATAAAGTGAAACCATGAATAAGAGTTGTATCGAAAAGTTACACGAATATAGGAATAATTGAAAAGTAATTGGACGCATTTTGATATTTTTAATATGGTGATAACGGTTACCAATTATACAAACACAAGATGTGCTAACTCCTGCCAACCCAAATACAAACATGAATACTTGGATCTTTTGTGAGAAATCAAAATATTTTGTAAGTGGACCTAGAGTATATAAACAGAATTCGGGAAACAAAACCATTGGCTTGACAAGTGTGTTTGTAACCAAATCCATAATTGAACACCAAACACAAGACATCAACATACACCATTTCAAATTCTTACTATTTTTTGGGCATTTTTTGAGAACACAATAGAATCCAAGAATATAAATTGGAACACTCGATAAACTTATAATATCATAAGTTATCAGAAGGAAATATGGGTTTTCAACTTTCATGATTGTTAATATGAAAGTTTGGTTATTCATTCGAACAGAAACAGATTGCCTAGCAATTTTGATGATATTTTCACTTGACTAGTAATCACGTATTAATTTTCTATCTCCCATGTAAAAAGTAATTATGAAACTTTTTTATTTTTTTAAATTTGTTATGATCAATGTGCAAACCAAAATTATGAGGTATTTATGAAACATTTATATATATATTGCAAGAATCTTCAAATAACTGACGTCAATCTTCTTTTCGGAATCATGGACTGATTTTTGATAGCACTAACAACACTTTTATGATCCATTGACATTCCAGTTTTTTGTCGAAAAAGAAAACGGCGAAATGGTCTGTGAATGAGAATCATCGTTGAAACACTGATAATTCCGTGTAAGCTGACAAGTAGAAACATGAAATTATTGAGACCTGAAAGGTGTCGATGTTTTGAATCTTTGAAATTTGACGGAATGCGATCAGAAAATTGAAACTACTGAAGCATGAATTAGTTCCGATTTAAAATTGAAAAAAAAAGCTAACAAACATTTACCTTGATCATAATAGCCAGTAATTCCAATCCCAAATAATAAAATAAAAGGAGCACCAATACAAACTGTTGGAACAACACTTTGAATTGTGACATCAATAAATAATAATCTTTGAAATTTTCTAGTTGACGCACTCATTGCAATATTTGTTATCATAAATAATTCATAATAAGTTACACTAAAATATATTATAAATTGTCCAACAATGAAAAATATAAAAATAGCAAGTTTGATAAGTGTGAAAACTTTATCAACAGAAATCACAAACATAGGTAATTTATAATATGCTTCTGGAAATAAAGACATTTTTTCGAACATCAATTTTTTGGAACTTTGTTGATCGGGAATATAGAAATGTAGAATTACTTCGAAAATGAAAGCAACTGATAAATCCATTGTATATATTGTTATTTGAACTGTGGAAGAACGAATGCGTATATCTTTTATGTGATGATATCGATTTTCCATTATACAAACACAAGATGTTCCAACTGCAGCAATCACAAAAATAACCAAATATGTTTGAAATTCTTGCGAAAAATCGAAATAATCAGTTAGCCAACCAAGAGTATAAATACAAAATTCGGGAAATAGCAAAGTTGGTTTCACTAAAACAGTTATAATAAAATCCATAACAACACACCAGAAACATGACATTAACATGCAAATTTTGAGAGTTTTATTGCCTTTCGGACTTTTTTTGATAACACAATAAAATCCGAGAAAATAGATTGGAATACTTAAAAATGTTATAACATCATAGGCGATTATCAAGATATCAGGAGAAGCGAGTTGAATCATTTTGAAAGTCTGGTTATAGAAAAATATATGACTGATTAGTTTTTAGTTAATTAGCAAGTCTGTTGAAAAAACATTATATATGAAATTTTTTGGGAGATGTTAATTAGAAGGCCACCCTGATGTTGTTTTTTGTTTCTTTCAGAATCCAAAAAAATCAAAAATTGCAGATAATATGAAATTATAGAAACGATGTTCAGCCGGACATAGAATTTAATTATTAGATCAAAATTCATTTTGGGTAAAAAAAAAGAAAAAATCCAATATTTTTTTCAGATGGACACGGTTCTCTGCGTCTTGACTCTCAACATTTACTATGAAAAATTATTCATTTTCCTCTGGTTTTGGCTATTATTTGTTGCGATTGTTTCAACAATCAATTCAATGAAATGGGTTTATTCGTTGTGCTCTTCGACAAAGGTGAGGGTTTATAAGAACGACTGAAAGTGAACACAACTTTCAGGCACAAAAAGTAATTCAAAACTATTTGTCAACCGCTCCTATGAAATCACAAATCACCGACGAACAATTTTTCCGAACTCTTGGACCTGATGGACTTTTTGTTATGGAACAAATGGCTTTGAATTTAGGAGATATTCCAGCAAGGTGAGCGAGGATTGAGATAAAATGATAGGGGAAGTGTTTCTTTGGATTTGAACAAATCAAATCCGAAAAAATAACTTCCAAACTCTCAAGATTACCAAATTCCCAAATTTTCGTTTTGTTGCGCAAAAATGACTCAAAGTTTCCAATCTCAATCCACAAAATTAATGAAGCGATTTTCAGTAGGTCAGGGTTCTCAATCAACCTTATCGCTTTCATTTGTACATATTTTTACTTTTTAGAAAAATAGGTTAAAAACTAAACTAAAGTTCATGTTCAAGTTTTCCCCTCACAATACTTATTAGAAATCTTTTCATTTTCCGAAAAAGTTCCACAATCTGCCGAACGAATAAAATAAAAGATGAAACAAGTTTTGCAAGCAACTTGTAAAATGATTGAAAATCGCGATAGAAAAGATGAAAATCTTGAGACTTTAGATATAATAGTATTAACAGCTGAAGCATATATAATTTTGTTTTTATTACTTTTTTTTTGTAAGAAAAAAACTTTCACTGGAATTCGGATTCTAGGAAATTTCCGGATTTTTCAAAAACTGAAATTGAAATTTGTTGTGATGAATTTGAAACAACGAAGGAAGAGAATGAAAATAAGAAAAGAAAGAAGTACACTTGAAATTTTCGAACAAAAACAAGAACTGGTCATTTTTGCGTCAGAATAATTGGATCGGCAAATTTTGAATAAGAGGAATTTGAAAATGATGAGCTGAAAAAAAGTTTAGAGAAGTCTAGAGCAAAGCTCAACCTTCGCCTGAGTTTCGAACTCCATTTTCAGAAACCCATTCCTCCAGCGCGAGGTTTCGGGACGTAGTCTTTATTTTTTCAAATCCGAGTCCGATTTCCTCATCTCCATAATAACTTAATTTACCAAGAATTTTCCTCAAAAATTAAACTACTTTTTTCCAGTTATTTGACAATTTCAATGCGAAACATTTGTCAAAATTGGGCTGATTCTGAAGACGAATACGACGACGATCGACAACCCTTAACAACCATCAAAAGTCATTAGGAACCGCATTATTTCTTTTAGGAAATTTTTCCCAGACTCTTTTTTTTTTCATTGTTTTCATTTCACTTAAAATCAAATAAATCCGGATTTCGTTCGTTTCGAACCTATAAAAAATGAAAGGTGTGAAATGAAATGAAAGGAGATAACCTCAATGTCACACACACACATAGACAAACTTTTTTTATTCGGACAAATTGAGGTCAAAAAGTGGGCGGAGCTTGATGGTTTTTCCGCGCTGCGCGGCAAAAGCTTGAGATATATCTCTCGCGCTTTTATTTCTCTATTATTTTTATTTTTATTGTTGTTGTTTTTTTCTGGATTCTGGAATTTTTTCTTAAAAGCAAAATACTGTAATTTTTTATAGAGAGAATGAGGTTTCGAATATTATTTTGGATGATTTTTAGTATTTTCTTGGTCAGAACTTCGAGATCACAATGTTTCAAAGGTTGGTCAATTAAAAAATAATTAGTTTTTGAACCGGAAAAAGGAAGGAAGAAGGAAGATACTACATAATTTTGTATATATAAATTTTGATTTTTGAACTGTAAAAACTGGTTTTTTGGTGGAGATTGGGTATTTTGGTGGGAAAAAGTAACGCGATGCGTTACTTTTTCTAGGGGTTTGGGTTTCAAATTTTCCTACTTCCCAATTTCAAACAAGCTTTTTTTTTCATTCGTTCACGATGTACTTTAATATCCAAATAAAATGGAATTTTTTATCAATCAACCCGAGAAAAAACCAGATTTTGTATTTTTCCCGAAAAAAATATCAAATTGCATAATTTTTCTCACTTTGTCAATTTTTTCCACAAAAAACAGGATCTCCCAAAATTTCTCCCAGCAAGCAAAAAAAAATGGAAAGGGATTATCCGAAAGGATTAACCTACAGAAATTGAGAAGACAAGTTTGGGATTCAGGAGAAATTGGAATTTATTGTTAGATTTATTGTTGTTTCTCGAGAAACATTTTCAGGAGGAAAAGGATAATATTACTTTACTTGAAGAAAAAATAGTTGAATATGAAAAGAATCAGTGAAATTTTGTTCGTTTAGAAATCGATGAAGATATATGCTCTCAACGAGAAGGTTTTGACACAAATTGTGATTCTCGTTGCACTCAAATCTATGGTTCAAAACTACGAAGTGAATGTCGAGCTCGTCAAACTGGCACACTTTTATCATTTTTCGGAATTCGAAGTTTCATTTGTCGTTGTGAACTGGCGTCAATTTTTTGCACAAATCCACAATTGGCACAACATCAACCATTTCATCATTTTGTGATACAACAACACTCCGTATTGACACCGATTAAAACTCCTGTAAAGAAAGAAAATCTATGTAAACGTGGCTCGAATTTTTTGACGTGCCGTGACAATTTTGCATCTCCTCGATGCTCTTGGCAACTTTCCAATAATTTTGAATGGTTTGGAGCAACGCCAAAAGATACAAATAGTGGCTCCAGTCCGTTTGGGGCGAATTTTTTGGCGGGAAAAGGTGGAGAGCTGGGTACTGTATCGACGTGTGATGGATTGTGCTCGAAGAGTTCGATGAATTTGACAGCGAGAGTTTGGAGATCGAAAAATGTTGTAGTCGAATTGTGTTTCAAGTTAGTTTGGGGGAAAGGATTGATTTGAAAAATGACTTCTAGAATTTTTTTCTGAACTTTTTCAAAATTTCAGTAGAAATCCCGATGTCAATAAAAATCTAGAACTTTCAGAAAAATTAATGAACATCTCACAGTTTTTTTTTACGGAAACCGAGAGTTAGCCAAACTCTTAGATCTTCCAATTTTCAGAGAAAATGAAGCAATTATGTGCGCTCCAGTGCATTCTTCAAATGGTGCTCTAATCAACGAAATTCTTCCGGAAACTGAACATTTTCAGGTATAATGTAACTCTTGTTCTCTCCCCTAACATAACTACTTTTTTCTAGATTTCGCTCAAATTTTCAAACATCACTTCACCTGATGAAATGGTTTTAATCGATGATTTATCGCTGAACTTCACAGCTTGCTCAAAAAATATTCCCGCACCAAAGCTCAAATCCAAACTTCATTCGGACTCTTCCATGATTTCGGGATCAATTATTTCGCGTCAGAAAACACAGCAAATTTTTCACTACGCATTTTCTCATTGCACAATTTCACGTGTCGCTACAGTATTTTCGCAAAAAATGTCTTTTTTTGTGTTTTTTTTCACAAAAAATGTGTTTTTGAAGCCGAAACCGCAGGAAACATGCTCAAACTACATTTTTAGAAGTAGTTGATAATTTTTCAAGTAGTAATAGTTTTTTGAATCAAAAGTTTATTGTCTTTCCTGGGAAAATCGAGAAAAATATGGAGAAACGTCATTTTGAGCGGAATTAGAAGATTAAAAGCAATTATCTGGCTTCCGGACCTCCCTCAACCCTTCTTTGCTCAATTCTGATAGTGAAAAATCAACTTTTCCCTGAAATTCGGGTTCAAATCCTCAAAAAACGAGTAAAAACAGGATTTTATTAGGCTCCGCCCAGATGTGTGTGCCGCGTGAAAAACACATTCTGCAATGATTTTTTTATTTGAGGTCACGTAGAAAAAAATTTGCTGTGGAAAATGTGTCAGGGACGCGCCGGTTTGTCATACTGTAGACAGAAATGCAAAGCTCTCGAAGGAGCTGAGAATTCAGCAAGATGTTTGCGACAAAAAGAGAATCCAGTTTTGAAAAAATGTGTGTGTCAAGTTAGAAGATCTCCGCAAATCAAGAAAATTGATGGACCTGAGAAAGAGCCAACTGAAGAAAAGCCTGAAGAAATTCCTGAAATCCTTGATAACAAAATACACGATGATGAGGTTACGGTATCCACTACTACAGTATCGACTACAGTACCTCAAGTATCTGCCACGTGTCAAGAGTCAAAGTGTTCATTTGAAAAAGATACAGATTGTGATTGGGCTGATTTGAGAATGTTGAGCAAACATTTCAATAATATAAGTGTGGCGATGAAAAAAGGAGACGGTTAGTTTTGGAATAGAAAACTAGACTGGAATTATGGATATTTTCATTATTTTTGGTTTCGAAATGTAGAGAAAAGAGTAGTAAAATCAAAATCTTTTTTTTTCTCCAGAAAATCGTTATGGAATATCTCGTCTTCGGCCCAAATCCTATTCTGGCCTTCTTCATAAAACAAGCCTAACTGGTCCAATTCAAATGTCTATTGATATTTTTCCATCTCATGTAATTGATGTTCGAATATGTGTGCAAAACTTGAGAAAATGTCAAACTCAAACAATTTCGGCGAGGTCTTGGAATCGTGTCAGTGCAAAAATCAAAGTTCAAACTACAGAAAAGGTGAGTGAAGTTTTAAAAGGAATTTTTAGGGAGAAGATTGTCCCAATCCTTAGTAATTTCCCGCAAATTGATTTTTTTCGTTTAATAATTGATTTCAAAAAATCAAATTCAAACCTAATTTTCTAACATAATCCAATATTTTTTAGGTTTTCGTTTTGTTCTACAATGGTTCTGCCGATGATACAAAATCAATAGCAATCGATAATATTTCGATTCGAGCTGGTCCCGAATGTTTTTCTTCTCCAACTTAATTTATTCTCGAAGTTTCTTTGTTTTGGTGCTTTTTACGTCTCTCTCTCTCCATCATATTCAACGGGTTGTTTTTTTTCTATGTAATTATTTGAAAATGAAACTGAAATCATGAAGCTCGAAAAATATGAATCTGTAAAATTGAAAACAGGACTTCATTTTTCAAATTTTCACAAAAAGTTTGTTGAAATTTTTTTTTGAAACTTCTAATGTTTTCCAACATTTTTCAAAAAATGAGTAATTTATTCCTGTTTCCCTTTCAAAAATATATCAATTTCCCGAAAAACTTCAAAATCATTACAAATCTCAAATATTTCCAAATCCTCATAATATTTTCCACTTTTCAAATCTTCACTGCAAATTGTAGCCAATACTAAAATCGCCGCTCTTTTTGGTCTTCTCAAAATCCACGGCAGCAAAATTTTGCTCAAAGTTTTCACAACAATATTCGCGTGTCGATATAATTTCCCAGGAACTGTTCCAGGATGACAAGAAACGATTTTAAGATTCGAGTTTTTGTGGGAAAGATGCTCGATGTATTTGGCCAGATAGAGTTTTGAAGTACTGTATGCTTGATAAGGTCCTAATTGGGATTTGAGATTAATTGGTTGAGAATATAGAGCAACTCGAGAAGTTGCAGAGGATAAAAATATACTTCGAGTGATTTTTGATGATAAGAGATTGAAGAGATAGGCTTGAGATATCACATTGATTTGAATATGCGTTTCGATTTTCTTGGGATCCTGAAAATATGCTATAATGTATGTGGAAATTTGGAAATTGTTGAAAACTCACCAAATTCTCCACCAACATAACACCAGCTGTAAAAATTGCCAAATCAAAATCCACGTTTTTATTCGCTATTTTTTCGGAAACTTTTCGAATATCTTCCCTCTTTGAAAAATCACATTCCAAAAATTTCAAATTCTGCGGATAATCTTCTGGATTTTTCGGAACTTTCTGGACCAATCCAATGATTTTGTATTCATTTTCGAGGAGAATTTTGACAATCTACATAGAAAATCAGGAAAATTACTTGAATTCAATTTGAAAATAAAAAAAAGATGAAAATATACCTCACTTCCAATAGTTCCATCAGCTCCAGTCACCAATGCAAATCCAGATTTTCGGGGAAAACTTTGAATTTTTTGGAGGAAGATTTCATCAGGAATTTGGAGATCGAAAATGAATTCACGAATTGCGAGCCAAGCAGCAAGAAAATAAACATGAATCATGACTAAGAATTCGAGAAAATACGGAGATATTCGAGAAATATTGAACATCTGGAAAAATATTTTGGTGAAAAATGTGTTCATCACAGATTACTGTAGATTTCAGCGCCGAAATTTTATTTTCCAAATTTCTGTCTAATTTTCCACGTATTTAGAATCCAAAATTTATTTCTATCTTCCTTTTTTTGAAAAAAATCGCGGCAATACCCAAATCTACAGTAATCCAATGCAATTTTGTGTGGATTACTGTATCCGCTTACCCTATAAAAATCCCACGAATTGCTTTGCGATTTCCATTCGACTTGCATTTTTCTGAAAAAAAAACACCCTAAACTTTTTATTTTTCTCAAAAATTCAAATATTCATGAAAAACTTCAACCATAATTTTCATTTATTCATGAAAACACAAAAAAAAAAACAACCAAATTTATTTCATTTTTTAACACAAAAAATCCGTAATGTACTCATGATGATAATAAGTTTCAAAAAAAAAATAGAGGAAGGAGAAAGAGAGGATAAAGCCTATTCACAGTATATTTTTAATAAAATAATAAAAAAGAAAGAGAGAAATAGTGTACAATTTGAGGAGAGCAGGTAGTGAAAAACGGGGGGAGAGATTGGGGTAAAAATGCACGATTTACTGTTAAAATAAGACGAATCATTTTTCATCATTTTTTGGCACATTTTTGAGAGGCGACGATCTTGTGATTGGTGCAACTCGGCTTGTGGCTGGTGAAAGAGCTTTTCCAGCGTTTAGAGATTCGCGAAGTCGACTGAGGCGATCGAGAACTGCTACTTGACGATCTGATGTTTTTTGCATTCGAACACGAAGAGATTGACATGCTGGTGAATTCTGCGAAAATTTGAAGATTATTTATTGTTTTGAAAAAAATGTATTTTAGATTTTGTTTTGTTGTCAACAGTTGTTGTTTTCAAAGTAAACAATGATCAAAACTTTGTTCAAAAAAAATCTGGAAACTTTGAACTCAAGCTAGAAACTAGAAAACCTATTTACTAGTCCGATTTTTTGAGAAAACTTTAAAACCTCTGTTCCCAAACCCTCACTCACCATGCTATTCAATTTGCTCAAATTCGGTGAATGTTCTCCATTTGACGATAAATTCAACATCGATCCTCTCAAATTCGACAAATTTTGAAATGATTGACTCAATGATGCAATCGATGGACTTCTTCTCAAATTTTCTTCAGCAACTCTTCGCGCACTTGGTGAAAGACAATCTTCGTCTCGTTTGATTGCTCCTTTTTCTTCCAATTTTTGTAGAAATCGACTACTTCCACCAGCTGGAGATGCACATCGAGAACTCATTAATGAAGAACCACCATTAAGGTATGATGAAGGTGAACCAAGAGCAGAACGAGTTCGGAACTGAAAAAATAAAGGTTAGAATAACGAAAAATTTATGATAGTTTACAGGGGAAAAGAATTTTATACGATTTTTCAGTGAAGCTTTTATGGTTAGCTATTATTCATCAATCTTCGCAAACGCCATTTACAAGCAAATTCGAAAATTCTAAAAATTTGAAAGAAACGACAGATGAAAATACTAAAGTTTTATCGAATATGTTCTACCAGGTGGCTTTGAAAAAAATTATATCTTCGAAATTTTTTAGATCTCATAAAAAGTTTGAATTATCCCTTCCAAAAATATCTCACCTTGAACTCCTTAATTTCACAATCTGGACTTGGATGTGTATTCTCACTGGTCAATCTCGAATCATTGTGATTTATCTCAAATTCCGGTGAAATACTTCCACCTTCTTCATCTGTCGATCTTTCTCCATTATTGAACGCATTTCTGCTGAAACCAGCTTTTGGTGATTGAATTTGCATTGGAGCGCGCATGCTTCTTCGAGTACTCAAACGTGTTGGAATTTGACCAAACAACGCACTTTGCTGCAAATAAAAATGATTATCGGATGATAATAAATAAATAGTAAAGTAAAGAAAAAAGAGTAGTGTGAAAAAAAGTAGAGAAAAACAAGTTTTCTTTGGGAAAAATGATAGAAAAAACACACACACAAAAGGGACGAAAATGATGAATCATTCCTGTTTGTGGGCAGGTTTCATACCAAAAAATTCCCATTTTCGCCCAAAATCTCATTTTCCAGATGGAATATAAACTGGAAATTCGTCGAAAAAAACGCCGTCAAAGAAAAACGGAACAGCTGTCATTTAGAAAAAAAACGTATTTATTACAAGATTAGTACTAGATACTAGAAAATTAGAGAAACGCCCAAAGGAAATATGAATTTATGGTTTTTTGCGGGAAGAAAAATATCAAGAACATAAATTCTGTAGAAAATCAATAGTTTTTCGAGAAAAGAATAAAACTGTGATTTTTGAGCAACGATCTTTGCCTCGAAGAAAATTGAATGAACGTGTGTGAAAAATAAATATTTTGTATTTCTCGGTAAAGATAACATTAATTGACGCTGAAAAAACTTATTTTTATCAGAAGCAATCACTAAAACATTAATTGAGACGAAAATTATGATTTTGACAGTTGACAACTCATGTACAGGTTCAAAATCAAAAATTGTCCAATCAGGTAAAAATCGAGTTTAACTGGAGAAAATTGCGAAAGAACCACTTTTAACCAGAAGCCAGAAGTTCTTCTTAAGTACTTAAAGACGATTTTCAACTCCAGAAGCCCAAAATTACACCACAAAACGAAGAAACGCCCTAGAGCCCGCCCAAAAACAAAAATTTTGAAAAATCTTCCCCGAGAACTACAAAACAATTGCTACAGTAACCCATCGTCACGAGACCCACACGCGGGAAAACAGTAATTTCAAACAAACTGAAGCAAAAATAATTATTTTTGCACAGTTTTTTATCGAAAAAATGCGTCTAAACGTCATAAAGTGTGGGGTTATCGGGCGGAAAAAAGGGACGATAATAAAACTAAAAAAATGTGTTGTGCTTTTTTCTATCTTCGTTTCGCAACACATTTTTTATTATTTTCTCTGGTATCAACACACATCTGGTGGTATCTAAGAACAGAAAAAAAAAATGAAATGAAATGAAGTATAAAAAAAGAAGAATCTTCCAGCTGTCAAAAGAGACGCAGAGAAATTTGTGATATTTTTTTGGCCGCTCCGCGACCTCCCTATAATAAATTATGATAATACTATTATCATCGAATCGGCCCAGAATTTCTCATTTTTTGTAGAAAAAAAAAGAAACGCCCTAAACCGGAAAATTTTTAGAGGCGAAAAAGAGAAAAAATGAGATTTTTTGTTTGCTCAAAGTATAAAACAAATAATAATAACAATAATAGTAACATATCAAATTACATCATTTTTTTGACATAAGTTAGCCTAACTCACATCGACTAACAAGGAATGGTTTTCAATGTTCCCCCAAGGAAAAAATCGAGAGTATGTGGAATGTTGAGGGTTCCCGTGGGTAAGAAAAACCCTAACGGGAATAAGGAGTAAAATGCCTTATTCTCGAGAAAAAATGTATTTTAGGTCGATTTTTACACCATTTTTTGATTTTTAGAGCATCTGTAACTCGATTTTGAATCTATTTCATGAACTTTTGAGTCGTGGAAATTGTTCAGAATGGTCGATTACGTGTTTGTGAAACTTTTTATCAAAAAATTAGACATTTTTTGAAATTTGGTTTTTTCAGTCGGGGTTTTTCTGATCAAATGGTCACCAAAAAACACAAAAAATAATTTTTTTCATTTTCAAATGAACGGAACTTGAAAAATTTATGACGGTCAACAGACGTAATTTGGTCCGTAGAATCCGAAAATCATAGTCTCGATTCACACAAACTTCTCCTTCACAACGAAAACGTTGATTTTCTATGAATTTTTCAAACTAGAAATTTGATTTAGTGGACTTTTGGGACCAAAATTATTTTATTCCTGATTTTAGTCGAAGTAATACTAATGTACGCCGTTTGCGCTACAAATGGATTTTTAGACTGACATTTTTCATCAATTTTGAAAAAAGTTTCGATTTTTCTAAAAAATTTCATCGCAAAAATCAATAACACCAAAATTTTCTAAAACAAGGCATTTTTCTCCTTATTCCCGTTAGGGGTTTTCTTACCCATGGGAACCCTCAACATTACACATACTTTCGATTTTTTCCTTGGGGGAACATTGAAAACCTTTCCTTGTAAGGTAATGTCCCTAACTCACCGTTAATTCATCGCTATTTTTCCGTCTCGCCGGTGAATTAAATGATGATGGTGTCTGAAAAAATACAATTTTCGATAAAAATAACCCTAAAACACTTAATCTTCTTAAGTTAAGGTTTAGCAATGTTTTTAGGTAATTTTCTCATTTTTTTCTTCGATAAAGAAATTTTGTAATATTTTATTTATTTACGCACTTGTGAATAAATTTCTGGGAAAATCAAATATTTAACTTTACTAAAATTGGTTCTGGTTTTCGTCTTGAATGAAAGTTGAGTAAATTTTAAGATTCTCAAAAAAAACGCACCAAGTTCGAAGTAGATCTCAAAAACATGCGACTTTTCAAGTCTTCCCCGATTTCCTCATTTTTCTGATGAAGCGAAGAAGGCAAAGCGGTTGGACGATAATAAACTGTTGATTTCATCATTGAATTATTATTATTAGAATTATAATTTGGATTTTCCGGATCGGATTTTGTTGGAGAAGAAAGGGGCGAAGTGGATTGATGATGATGCGGAGGAAGATGTCGATGATTTTCGTCTTGGATCCTAGAAAAAGGGGGATTTTTAAATATGAAATAGAGAAAAAAATAAAAACAAAATAATTCATAGAAGTTAAGTTTTAATTTATTTTCTGTAAAACAAAATGTCATACCACACAAAAAATAATATTTTTGGACAGCAATAGTCCAGGTGTGGTAAAGTCCAAAACATGTGACACCATCACAAAATAAGAATATTTCAAATCTGGACTACAACTGTCCAAAATGTGTACAGCATGGAATATTTTTGGAAAAAAAATTGGGAAAAATATTTTTCGTGAAGAAATTGTTCAGTGTACTTTTAGTACGGTGTGCGGAATATTTTTAAAGAGAAATTTAGTTTTAAAAACTCAGGAATCATTTTTTTTACTTCAAAAATTAAAAATATCTAACATAAATCTAAATAGAATTCTGTGAAACGTCAAAGGTTAAAATTTGAAATTTTCAAATTTTTGAAAATTCGAAAATAATGTTCTGGGTAAAATCTCTTGAAAAATTTTTGGATAAAAAAATATTCAAAAATTCTATCTCCTCTACTAAAAATGGGAGCTATTATTTATTTCATCTCATATGCATATGAATACATAAAAGTACATTTTATTTGTTTTCGAGGAGCGGGTTCGGGATTATGCAAAAACACACTCATTATACATTTTAAATCAAGTGTATTCTGTGTTTGGCACAAAAATACTGGAAGAATACATGGATTTTTTTCAAAATTTCCAATAGTAATACGAAAAACGACTACACCCTCCAAAAAATAAGGAGGAAAGAAATTTTGGCGGCGGCATTGGCTTAGGCTTAATTTATGCTAGTTGGGGTTGGTGAATGCGCGAGATGAAATGAGAGAGCATAAGAAATTGAGAAACGCAGACAAATTGGGTGCAAAAAGGTTTCGCCGCCAAAAATGTCTAGAAAGTGAAAAAGTAATTTTTCAAAAATGTGCATTTTATATTAGGCAAATGGGAAAAATTCACTTTTTTTGAAAAAAAAATATACGAAGAGCAAAAAAGGGATGTTTTTCAACATGAGCACTAAAAAATAAACTAAAAAAATATATACGAATTTCGTAACAACAAAAAATGTTTTGAAATTCTGCGAGCTGAATAAATTTGAAAAAGTTCAACACTACATCAAAAATAATGTTTTTTAGAAAACCAACCTTTTTCGTTCCTCTTGTTTTTCTCGACTTGTTGTTCTGACAGATCTTCGGCCAAAACCATTTCGAGATAATGGAGATGTTGGAATTGATGAAGCCTGAATAAATTGAAAAACACAATCACAGAAAGCGTGAAAAAAGAAGCAAAAAAAGAAGCTGGGAATTTTCAGGGAAAATTTTTATCTACCAGGATTCTCAAAAATAATATTGAAATATGTTCCAGGAATTTAAAAAAAAACCAAGTTTTGTTGGAAAAAATGCAGAATCCAGGATTTCGAAGATCTCAGAATATTTTTTAGATAAAAAAAAACGAATGAAAATTTCCCCACGAAATCCCGAAACCCTCCAAATTTTCAATCCAACTCACATTTGACATTGATCGACTTCTAACAACATGATTATCATCTTTAACCGGTCCATTTTTCCGAATTTCCTGTTCATCTTGTTTTTTATGTCTCTCAACTTCAGATACTTCTTTCAACAATCTTTTCCCCGTATCAATATCAACTCCAAGTAATTTCTTCTCAATTTCATCTAATTCTCCAGTTTCTTCAGCTCCTTTCAGCACATGTTTAAATAATTTCGCTTTTTTCAACAATTCCGCCTCTTTTTTTGCTTGTTCCATAGCTTCTTCAAATTGTTTTGATCTTCTTCTTTCTTCTAAAATCCTTTGATTTTCCAAATTCTTTCTTTTCATTTCTTCTGAATTCCTTCTTTCTTCCAATTCTCTTCTTTGTTCTTCTCTTATTTTTTCTTCTTCTTTTTCTTTTTCCAATTCTTCTTGTTCATACCGTAATCTTTCAGCAATTTGTTCTTCATAATTTGTTGGCAAATATCCTCCAGTGCTCATTTTTCGCTCATTTTGATTTTCATCTCTTTTTGTTGTTAATCCACTTATTCCAGATTCATTTGATGAAATTGAAGAAGTCATTGATTGATGAACAAATGACGAGGGAATAGGAATACCGTATCGAACTGCAAAAATTGGGCATAGTTTAAAGAAGACTGCAAAACACTTACTTCCATTTGGACCTTGCATTCCCCACATTGATTGAAGTTCGGCCGGACAAATTTGATTTGGATCAATATTCTGAAAAATTATTTTGAGGATTCTAAGTATTTTTAGTATAAAAACTGTGAATTTTCAGATTTCTGATAGTCATTTTCCAAAATTTATCAAATGTAAAAAAAGTTTTCTTAATGTTTCAAAAAAAAATTTTAAATGTTTCAAAAAATTTCTTGTAAAATACAAACTCACAATTGTGCTAACTGGGATTGCATGTGAAGGAACCGCGTGAAATTGTGGTGGCATCATAAAACTCTGTGCTCCGAATTCAAAATTAGGCGGAAAATAGGCGGGTATCAAAAATGGTGCCATTTGCGGATGATGAGTATGTTCTTCGTTGGGAAGTGTCATTTTCTGGAAAAAAAAGTATTTTTTATTTTGCATTTCAACAAAAAAAACTATATAAGATTTTATACAAATAAAAACAACAACTCCATGTGATTTATCATTTTTAGAGGAATAAAATCGATAAAAATTTTGTATGTGTGTGTGGTAGGCGAGAAAATGAATAGGAGTCAGAAAACTTTTAATAATCCGATTAATTTTCAGTTCTTCTCTTTCTCTCCGAAAAATCAAAATGCGATTAGGTTCAATTGAAAAAAGAAGAGGAAGAAGAAGAAATGATGTGTGTGGGAAATTGAAAAGCGAAAACTTATTGGATTATTATATAATTCGAGTAAGTTCGCTCTATTAATAAGATTACTGTAGACAAAAATTGGAAATGTAGAAAAAAGCAGAGGTTTGAATTATTTTTGACGAAAAATTTTTCAATACACTTTTTTGAAGTTTGGAAAAGCGACTTAGAAAAATTCAAAAAATACATTTTTTTTGGAAGATTTTTCTCCACAATTTTTATAATCAATTTTGTCAAAAATTTCTCTGTTTCAAAAATTGATTTAAAAAAAATCTAACATCCATTCTTCTAAATAAAACCATTCAAAATTTCGCGCCAAAACATCGAAAATTTTTCGAAATTCAAAAATTCTATACAATTTTCCGTTTGAGAATGAACAAATAGAACGATGAGCAATAAAAAACACCGGAAGTTTTTAATAATAAAAACTATAGTTTTTATCAAGAAGACACATTTATGTAAAATTATTTCTAAAAAAAACTATATAGAAATGTGTTCTCGAATCGAAAAAAGTGAACAGACATCTGTCAGACACATGTTCATCAGAAGAAAAACTGCTCTACCCCGAAAATTGCAATTTTTGTCGAAAAAATTATCAAATTTTCTTATCGCAACAATCGCGACCCCTCGAGGGCAAAGAGAAAAAAAATCGAAAATTACCTCATTTTCCAAAATCTCCGCTTCTTCCTCGTGATTTTGTGTGTTATCAGTTTCAGTTTCGGGGTCCGAATATTGTTGACTTTTTGGCACCAAATTCGGGGATTCTTTAGCGTGAAATTTACGGAGTGGAGAACCGCCTCCAGGACGAAGATTCGAACCAAATGGGAACCATTCGGTGGTATTTTCTTGCTCCGCTAAAAAAAATGATAGAGTAGTTTTGAGCTTTTATTTAAATTATATAATTTTTTTGAGAAAATACGATCTTTTCAGACAATACCTTTTAGAGATTACTGTATTTTTTGAGTCTGATAAAAAAAGCCTGAAGTATATTTTCACTTTTTAAAAGAACTCCAGAAATTTTCACCTTTAAAATTAGTTTAGATTACTGTAGGTTTAGCGTCAAAACTCACATTTTTTCAGCGAAAATCACAGTTTCAAAAAAATCAGAAATGCTCAGAGATTCGCTGGCCAGCTCGCCACCAGGTGGGGAGGCTGGCTGACCTGGGAACCACATGGAAACCATGTCGCCTGGTTTTTTTTTGCTGGCAAGGTGGCCAGGCTCTGGTTAGGTCACGGCCACATGGCTACCATGTGGTGGCCACTTCGCCACGTCAAAATTAATTTTCATGAAAATGTCTGGAAAACTTGTGAATTGAGGCTTTTTCGAAAAATTTGGCTCATTTTCTGTTTTTTCGCAGCACTTGAAAGCTTAGGAAGTGAAAAAAACAGTAGAAAATGCAGTGTTTTGAGTACAAACCACCGTTCCGCCAGCTTTCCAGGATTTCAAACACACAGGCCACGTCGCCGGAAAACTCAAGGCGACCTGGCGGCCATGCGGTTTCCAGGTGGCCGCAGCGATCTGGTGGCGAGCTGGCCAGCGAATCTCTGAGTGGTTCAAATTTTTTTTGAAACATTGAAAATTTTCCGAAATTTAAAGGTCACGTTTTTTTCTGTTTCCAAATTATTCAAATTTTTTTTATTTCTAAAGTTTTCATTCAGATTCCACAGTACTTTTTTATCAAACAATCTTTTTTTTTAGTACAAAAAGATCCTATCAGCTGATAAAAACAACAGAAAAAAACAATTAACCTTGACTCAAAAAGGTACTAATTTCTGTTCTCTAATTTATCTCAACTCACCACGCTCTCTTGCCCACTTTTCTTGTTTCAATTTCAGAAATTTGGAATCAGATCGGAGCATTTCATGAGCTGAAAAATAAAAACTCTATGTTTTTTGAAATTTGAAAAAAAAAAACAACAAAAAAGTGTATGCACTTCTTTATAAAAGATAAGAAATGTAAACAAAAAAAAAATGTTTGGAGGAAAATTTTTTGAAAAAAATGGGATGAAAAGACATAAAAAAAAGTATATTGACATGAAGAGTTGTAAAAAAAGATCGAGGTCAAAAAACTTATTTTGGGAGAGGGTGAAAACTTTGTGAAAAAATTATTCCAGAATTTTTGAACCACACCCTTCTGAAAATCCTTTCAGATTTCATCAGTCAATTTTTGTTTGAAGATAAAATCAGATCAAGGCGCGGCTACTTGAGAAATGGGCTCTCTAGGCTCTGATCCTTGACTATTTAAATTTCTAGACGCGGCAACTTCGCATAGAAATTCTAGCCGAAATAATGTTTTTCTGACACGAAAAAATATATGATTCAAAAAGTACAATTTTCTCGAAATAATCCTACCTCCCCATCAAGAAAAGTAAAACTTTTCACTTTTTTTCTTCAAAGAAAAAGTTTCTATTAGAAAACGAAACTATACAACCACACCTTTTTTTAGTTAGAAAACCCGAAGAAAAATCACATAAAATTATGCGAAATTTGTGAATAATTTTATGCGATTTCGAGTAATGGCAGCAGGTGTTTCGAACCCAAAAATAAAAAAAAAGAGGCAACACAACACAACAAAAAATCGATTTTGACTGCTATTATTTACCAAAAAATCTCTTATGTAAGTATTTAGTCTCAAGATGAGTTGTTGAGATAAAAGAAGTTCGTTTGTCACAAAAAAATTTATCAACATTTTTAAACAGGAACCGGAAGGGATTTTAATTAATTAAACAAAAAAATTCGAAATGTCAAAAAACAACGCGTGCGCACGGTGTTTTTGTGTTGTCTAATGGTTTGCATATGTAAATTAGAGGGGGAAGAGTGAGAGAAAAGAGACGGAGAGATTGGAAAAAAGAAATTAGCAGATGGCACTATTTTAGAGGGGTTTCGGAGAGATTTTATATAGGACCCTATTTACAATTTTCTACCATAAATCACTAATTTTCTCGAGAACGTTTTGATTTGACTTTTCGAACAACAAATGAGACTATTTAGCTGTTCTCTCAATGAATTTTAAATTAGTTTTCTTCCGGCCAGCATTCATTTTTTGCCGCCAAACATTCATGATTTACATTATTATTTAAACGGAACTTGATTGAAAATATAGACTTACCGCCTTTTTTCATCTCGAATTCGGCCAAACTGAAAAAAAAACGAAAAATTCGACAAAAAATGAAAAATGGAAGAGAAATTCGTGCAAAAGTTCGGCCGTTTTATTTTTTTCAAAAAATTTTTTTTTGTTTTTTTTGCGCTTCGCCTGAAAAAATGTCTTTCTGTTTTTTTTTGCGCTTCGCCTATAACTTTGAATTTTGCAGGTTGCATGTCGCAAGTTTTCAATGTTCAAAGAGCATTAGATAGTCTGGCGAACGGGAAATATGCTGAATCTCTGAAAAATTTTTTCGTGTCTTTGATTGGTCTCGAAAAAACGCGAAGACTTCAATATGAACCTCATTTTCGTAGTGCAATGGAATATTGGTTTGCTGAAGATCATATGAATGCTATGAAAATGTACGAAATGTTGGATAAAATAGAGCTATTGTTTGGCGAGGATTCCATCAAGATCAAAATTTCAATTCTCCGCGCAGTGATTGATTTCGAAATACCGGATATTTTACCAAGGCTTCTCTTTTTCTGTGAGAATATTTATAATGCACCAGGGGTCTCTAATTATCCAGAAGATATGTCCGAACTAAGAATTATCAGAATGAACCTGAAATCTCAAGCGTTTTCTCAATGGCATATGAAAATGATCAACGATTTGGATCGAAATCGAAAATTTCAAGAAGCGATCATGCGAAATCCAGAAAAGAGTATCGTTTTTGATATTGGAACTGGTACTGGCCTTCTTGCTGTAATTGCCGCTAATATTCCAGGAGTCAAAAAAGTGATAGCAATTGAGGAAAATAATCAACTTATAAAAATAGCTCAGGAAACTATTGTGAATAATAATTGCAAAAACATTGTGAAAATTGAATGGACAAATTCACTATCACCTTATTTTGAAGTGAAGAAAGAGAATGATAGACCAGATCTAATAGTCAGCGAAATTCTTGATTGTTGTATTTTTGGAGAAAATATTATTTCAACATTTCTCGATGCTCATCGAAGATTCACCAAAAAATCCACAATTTTCAGTCCAAGCAATGCTTCTCTTTATGGAAGACTTATCTATTCGCCGAAAATTAATAAACTTCATTGTCAAGGAAATTTCCGATCAACTTATATAAAAACTTTCGACATTTTTCAACAAGAAGATCCATATTGGTGCTGTAAAAAAGAAGATTTTGAAGATTTATCAGAACCAAAAAATATTATCGACGTGGATTTTCAGAATTTCGAGAAATTGGTGGAATTTGAGAGAAGAAAAGATGAGACTTTTGAGATAATTCCAAATAAAAATGGAGTATGTCATGGAGTTGCTGTACACTTTTTGTGAGTTTCTAGAAATTTTTCAACGCTTGGATCACAGAAAAAGTTTAAATAAAAAACATCTCAATATTTCTTTTAACTTTCCCAGAAAAACAAACATTTCCGAAACACAAATTCAATTTTCCAAACAATTTGAAAGTTTCCAAATATTTTACAGAGCTAATCTTCTTCCAAATAATGATATATCGTGCCAAATCAATTCATCTTCTCCAAATTCCTGCTGGGATATGGGTATTTTTCCATTTGCCGAACCTATTGAAGTTACTTGTGGAGTTCCCCTAACTCTGAACTATTCGATAAATAAAGATCGATTGGATATTTGGTGTTCTCGAGGGTTTTCGGAAGACAAAACTTATGAGATCAAGTCAGTTGAAGAAATTTATAATTTATCAAATCGTGAGAAAACAATCAACAACGAGACAACTTTGGATCTTTCGACAAGTTTTGATCTGAAAAATGAGAGTAATTTATCAAAATATACAACGGTTTTCACCAATCTTCGAAGACAGGATGGAAGTTTTGATTCGGAGGCATTTTTACGATTAGAAGGAGCGATTATAAGTTTGAAGAATATTGAAAATATCACGCCGAAATCTGTAAAAATTATCGGAAGATTATTCAAATCCGAAAAAATCCATCAAGAATCTCGACCTGATTCAAATATGCATTGCCACGTGGATTTATTGAAAAGTTTGAAAGGTTTTAATTTGATGGAATATCGAGATATTGATTTGAAATCGACGAATTTTGATGTTGAATTTTGTTCCGATGAATTTGAGATTTTTGAATTTGATTTTGGTGATGTTATGAGATTGGCGAAGAAAGAATATTCGAATCTTTCTAGAAGGTTTCAGGTAACTTACAGTGAGAAATCTAAAATACTCCGTGAATTTTCCCAGATCAAAACCATTTCTTCCTGTGGTCCAATTGATGGTGTAATTTACGAGTTCGAAATTGACGGGTCTCGCAACAATGGAAATCGTGCTGCTTTCCTTTTCGAAGAAAGAAGGTCGAATTTATCAAAAGCTGATTTAGTTTTCGATTTTCAAGAGGCACAAATGTTGATATCGGATATTGTATTATGAATATGTTTTGACTGTATATAAATCGTAGGTTTTTTTATCATTCAAATTTTTCAAACAAAAGGTAATATCACTTTATTTGGAATAATTTCAATAAGAACAATTTGGGCACGAGTAAATATGAGATCTAGTAAAAAAAAGTGAAAAATTAACAAAAAAATGAATTAAAAAGTGTGAGTTCCATTATTTCCATAAATATGATTTGTTTTATGTTCTGACCAATCATTATTTTGTGGAGGATTATCCATAAATGGATGAAATACTTGTTGTTGTTGGTATGTGATCATATCGCACACCTGGAATTTGAAAAGGATTTTTTTTTGGAAAGGAGCCGATTTTTAGAAGTTAAAAGGGTTTAAAGTTCGGCTGGAATTCTTGATTGAAAATATTTTTTTGAGGTCTAGAGATTTGAGATAGTAAATTCCAACTGTATTTTCCAATCCTAAAAATTCCTTCTCGGTCTATAAAATTGTTACTCCTACCATACCTCTCCCGGAGATTTTCCATACATCTTCATTAAAGATTCCAATTGAATTTCAAAAGATGGTTGTTGTGGCATCGCATTTGCTCTTCTCCCATTATTAAATACGTCAACAACATTTGCAGTGGTTGGTGTTGTTGGCGGCGGAGCACATTGTTCACGGCATGCAACGACTGCAACACGAAGCGGTGTGAATTTGATCTTTGATGTTTGTCGAACATCGCCGAAATGTGAAACATTTGTTGTGACTGCATGAACACGTTTCACATCTTCGCCAATTTTATATTTTGCAATTATTGTTGAAATTGCGATTAGGTTGAAATCAGCTGTCAGAACATAATCGATCTGAAAAAAGAAGAAAACAATTATGGCTCGGCTTGAATACGTTTCAAATTTTTGTTTTGAAAAATAGCTGTTTAAATTAAAATCCAAAATATGATTATTTCCAAACTTCTGGGGTACAAATGCTTAGATATCCAATTTACTAACCTTTGCTGATTCTGCAATATCCGCCATATATTCTAAAATACTTTTCGTCTGCAATTTTTTCAATTCAATCGGCTCCAAATGCACAATTTCATTAGCCATCGTTTGATACGAAATACAAATACTTCCACTAAATATCAAAGTTAGCCTAACTACCATACAACACGTATGCGGCAGAAGCATATTAACAACTTGTGACGTGTCCAAAAAGCCGTGCATCAGAAAATCGTCCCAAATTGTTTTCGTATTCGATTTTTGATCCTGAAATATTTGCAACATTTCCAATATTCCTCGCCACATTGAGAATCTGTTGGGTTGTTCGGCGTTTTCTGTTCCACAATTCAAATGAGGACAAAGAGTGTTTTTGAACGTTATCATTTTTTCCTCGTTATTCGATGTATATTCTTCGCACTCTTCACATGTCATTTTATTTTCGAGAAGATCGAAATCTGTGATTTGGAGACTTCGTTTAACTTCGGCGTTTGTTGTAAAATATTGAGAACATAGCTTTTTGAATTCTGACCAAGGAAGAGCTGCAACAGAAGCAATTTTGATTTAAAAAATTTCATTTAAAAAAGTTATGTCGTGGAAAATTTAATCTTTTCGAGGGTTTTGTCTGTGTGCCATGTAGCCGCACCTAGAAAACCTTATTGCTCAGATATGCGAATTGAACGTGGACGGTACAAAAAATCTTTTGCGGTTATTTTTTTCTCATTTTCCACGTCATAACCTATCTCCCTTTCTAACTTACGTGCATCATTCCAATGTAAAACCAATCCATCAACAGTTCCAGTTCCATACAGCCAAAAACACGTGGCAGTATACGAACTCATCATTCTTTGAACTTGACAATCCTGATTTCTTCTAGTCGCAATAGTAAATGGTAAACTCAAAGTTCTCACATAAAAATATCCGCCATTAGGTGAAAACGTCTTCGCCCGCGTGTAGAAATAAAATAGCGGTCGTTTTCCGATTTGTCCCGCGCGGGTGTCATTCACGGTGTCTCGTTGTCTCGTTGTACATAGTAAATGGGGATATTGTGCTTGATAAGCATGTGTTTTTTCGCTGTAACTCGGTGTCAAACACACGGATTCTTTACTGTTTACATCGGATTTCTTATGTGCTGTATTTCCACCGCCAGTCGCGTTTGCAGTTGCATTGTTTCGTTTGACACCGGATGTTGGTTTCATTGCGAGAAGTGCGGCGGATAGAAAAACACCGGGTTGATTCGGGGATTTTGTGCCAGCTCTCACTCTTTTTATTTCATCTTGAATTTGGATGGCAACATCATCACCGACGATTTGAACATCGAATTGTTTGAAAAATAAGGTCTGAAAGTTTTGAGCTATGACGTAGCAATAGGACCCTCAGGTGACCTTATAACCCAACCCTATCACTAGGGTTTGCGAACATCCCCAGTTCCTGACTCACCCTAGAAAGTGTTTGACAACTAAAACTGAACAAATTATTAGTGACTAATATACTACTAGTTGACGGATCCATTGTTAACATCGCATCATTCATTAATTGCTCATATGAAACCAAAATCTGATTCATCATACGTTTCAAAGTTTCTGAATAGATGTGAAAATAACCGGAAGCATTCATACATTCATATCGAAAACCCTGCAAATAATTCAATTTCTCAGACATTTTTATAAGTTCCTCTAACTTACCTGTAGTCTTGCAGCCAATGCTCCTAATATAAAAAGTGCACTGGTATAATGTTTAGTAACACTATGATAATCATCATCTTTCATTTTTTCCGAATCATTCATTCGATCAACTTGTACCATTCTTAATTGTGTATGCATTGCTGCTGCATGATGTAAACACATTTGTCGAAAATTATTGAGACACGGTTGAAGTTGATGATCACAAAATGATTGAAGTTTGGCTTCGTAATTCATTTGAGAAATATCGAGAAGGGAATAAAGGCCATGCATTACTTGAAGTGTTTCGTTGTATGATCTTTGAAATGGTGCCCACCATTTAGCGGCTTCGGGATGTAGAGATGGATCACGGATTGGGCGACCCTGCAACAAAGGATTAGGTTGAAAGGATTAGATTTTAAAAAATATCACCAGAGCCTTTTTAAGATTTCAATGTCTCTGCTAACAAATCAACAGAAAAAACCTCACCCGATTCACCAATTCCACCAAAGAATTATTCAAAAGTTGCACAGAATCGGCTTCAGTATCAAATGGAACTCTTGATAAAATATTCAAAATTGACCAACATAAAACAACCCATTCTTCTTCGAATTGATCCGGATCATTGTCATTTGTTAGAGCTGTAAATATTTTTAGATAATTTTTGTTTATTTTCTAGACAGACAGACAGATCATGAACATCATTATGATAACGAATATTTTTAATTTTGTTTGGAAAATGCACGTAATCTATATTTGAACTTTGATTTGAAGAATTTCAGAAAATATAAGTTGGAAGTTAATTATAATTTTAAAATTCTGAAACAGCAATTTTGTTATGTTTTGTTCAGGTAATTACTCCAGGACATCTTATTCTGATAGTTTTTTCAAAGTTTTTTCATCCCACGTGGTTTTCTCTCGATTTCTAATCATTTCCTCCCTGATTTCTCATAAATTTTTTCCTAATTTTTTCTTCCTGTCTGATCATCCAAAAACAAATCATGGTAATCTCTGTACCCGCCAAATGATTTATGATGCGTTTCAGAAAAAAAAAGACAAAAAATATTGAGAGAAAGAATCAGGGTCAACATTATATATTTTATGACCATTTCGCTCGCCCTAAAAAACTGATAGCGTGCGAGCGAGAAAAAATCGATGGGCAAGAAAAAAAGTATTTTTGGAAAAAAATTTGAATGAATCAAAAATCGAAATTGTAATTTTTAGAATTCAAAAATGGGTTTCTAGGCGCGGTTCCTTGCCAGAGTGCATTTCTAGATCCTAGATAATTTGGTTCTTTAGGATTGGCTACTTCAGAACTGAGATCTGTAGGCGCTGATCCTTGACAATCGAACTCTCTAGGCGCAGTTCCTATGTTCTTATAAATTTAAATTACAATTTTTAATTTTGGAAACCAACACCTTTGGATTTCCGGAAGTTTTACATTTTATTTCAAAAAAAACTTACAATCTACTCGTTTTTCCACAATTTGAGTCAATTGTTTGAGCAAAATTTGAGCATTATTATCGAGCAAAACCTCATTGTTCTGCGTTGAACAAGATGGTTCAGAAGTGAGGTTGGAAAGCTGCAAAATTTTGGAATATTTCTCGAAATCCTGGAAAAAAACTCACCAAATCATACACAGTTTTTTGGAGTAAATCTATTGACGAATTTGAACTTGTAGTTGTCATGGCATCGGGAAAAAATGAGGCTGGAAAATTCGGGAAAAAATCAAAATAAAATTGCAACTTTTCCGGGAGAAAATTTGTGATAAGATAAACAGATTATTGGGTTTAAAATTATTTTTTGGGAATATTTTTATTGGAAAAAAAGTTTGACACTTGGGAGTTATGTGGTTTTGGGTACTGTATTGTAGTTCAAATCTTGAATTCCAGCTCAAAGGGTCACGATTTTTATTCTGAAACAGTTTGGTTTTATAAAATTCAAGCAGCTTTTCTTTAAATTTTGGGAGTAGGTACAGTAGTTTAAAAGTTTTTATTCTCGACTTCAACATTTTCTGAAATTTTTAATTAGGTTACTGTAATATAAATGTTGAAAAAAAATTAATTAATTCTTTCAGCTTCAGAATCAAGACATTAGAATGTTCAAACAAATTTTTAAAAATAAAAGTTTACAATAAAAAAGTGAATTTTAAAGCCCAAGTAAATCCGCAATTCTTCAGGTTACTGTAAATATTTTGAAAATTCCCCAAGGCGTGGCTTTTTTGCATTTTTCTCGCCTTCAAAAAATTCGAAAACTTTTAAAAAATCATTCCAAAAAAAAAATGGTAAAACACATATAAAAATATGTTTTTTTTTGAGATACAATCCAGTTTTGCCACTTTTTTGCTGCTGTTTCTGTATGTAAAAGGAGAGAAAAATTGAAAAGAAGACAAGAAAAAAAGAAGAGAAGAAGAAGAAGATAAAAATTATTGATCAATTTTGTCACATATTTTTTATCAGAAAATCACCACAGACACTGACAAAAAAAGTTTTGAGTATTACTGTAGGTTAGAGTGATGGGAGAAAATTTGAGAGGAATCCAAGTCTTGAAACTCAGCCGCAGAAAATTGTACCGTAATCTTTTACAGCTGAAAGTTAGTTCAAGTGATGAGATGGGTACTGTATTTTTGAAACACTACAGTTTTCTGTTTGAAGTTTCAGACAAAATGTGTAAACTGGAAAAAACAGGATTACTGTAGTTCTTTGCGAAATTTTAAGATTACAAAAAATACAACTACAGTACTCAAAAAGCTACCGTACTTCTGAAATCAGCCAGGATTACTGTAGAGGTCGGAAAACTTCAAACTTAGAAAACCATCAGCAATTAAAGTAATTTTCACAACACAAAATCTACAGTTGTTATTAATATCAACTGGGATTACTGTAGCCTCACCCCACATGTTTCATTTAAAAACAGTACCTTCACCTCAAGATCTACAGTAACCTACAGTACACAATTTTGAAAATTTTCCAAACAAAAGACAAGAGGGTTTAGAGAAAATATAAAATTGAAAAATAAAACAATAAAAAACAGTGTCTAGTTACACGTGACATGTTTTTTGTTGTGGGTAACTGATAGATGGCGAGAGAGTATGTGGAATGAAGAGAGTGGCGAGAAAAAGAGAATTGAAACATTTTTGGAGAAACTGATGTAATCTGAGAGAATCGCGCAATAAAAATTGAAGCGGAAGTTGGGATCTACAGGCGCGGCTATTTAAGAACTTTCGAGAGTGGATACGTGTCGTAAACGCTCTCAAGGCTCAGTTCCTTGTCTTGGCATCAAAAAATCAGAAAACTTCACCGAATTTCTGACCAACTGAAAAATTATCAAAAATTTGAGAATTAATATTTTTGCTGATCAAAAAAAATCACCCCACGCAAAAAAGAGTGATAAAAAAGTTCATAACAAGAAAAAAAACGAAGTCAACAAGAAAATCAACAACAACAGACAAAAATAGAGATAATGAATTCTGACAAGAAAATTTTCGGGTGAAAAATAACAAAAAAAATAATAAAAGAAGTTTGGGAGGAATCTGAGAAATAAAATTAATCTTTTTCGTCGTCGGCGATTTGTAATTGTTGATGAAATTGTTCCATTTGAGTTTTGAGCTTCTTTTTGGCACCTTTTTCGCCGCTGGAAAAATTAGAGGTGAACGTTTTTCATAAGTAATAATGAACTTATTTTTGAAAATTGGGAAAATTTGCAGTTTTTTTCATTAATTTCACTGTTTCAGATTTAAAAAATAACGTTTGATCAATTAAAAAAAATACGCAAATATCAAATTCTAATGGGGTGATTCAGTCGAATTAATCGACGTGAATTTGTCAATTTATTGACAAAAAATCCGAGTCTTTTAGGGCGATTAATTTCACGTTTTTGTCAATTCTTCGCTTTCATTTCTTAGCAAAAAATGCGATTAATGGCATAAAAAATAGAATTTATTTGACCTATATTTTGAAACGTGACCTATATGAGTTGGAATTATCAACAAAAAACATCATTCTCCCTCAATAATCTTCCATTTCGAAATGAATTAAAAAAATAAGCAGTGAATTTAGAACACGTTTCGAAAAAAAGGTCAAATAAATTATAGTTCATGTTGCAATTCCTCATTTTTGCATGCAATTAATTGCAAAAAATATGGAATTAATCGACAAAAACGTGAAAAAATCGCACGAAAATGACTCGGATTTTCTGTCAATTAATCGTAAAAAAAACGAATTGAATCACCCCATAATCAGAAAATAATTTTTTTTTGAAAAAATCTGAATTTTTCAAAATTTCGATAAAATGTTTTCATTTTCATTTTCGTTTCAACGAGCTTCTATTTGAAGTTTTTTTTTCTTTAAACAAAATTCTTTACGAACTTTGTTTTTCGAAAAATTCACTGTTTCAGGTTTTCAAAAAGTGTTTTATCAATTTTTCGAAATTTGGTAATTTGAAGCTTCTGGAAAAACCCCCGAATCTAATTCCAAAAAAACATACACAAATTTGCCAGCGGTTTTTTCTCGAAGTTGTTCCACGGTTTCCTCTTCTTTCGCCCATTCCAAAACCAATCTTCTACCGTATCTAAAACAATTTTAATAATAGAAAAATAGCTGGTAAAGTAAAAAAAAACTAACAAATGTGTTGAATGAACAACTGCCTCAAATGCTCGTTTTGCCTCATCAACCGAAATAAAATCGACGAATCCGAAACCGCGATGTTGATTTTTCAAGCCAGCCTGAAATTTGGAGAATATTTCAGAGTTTTGGTGATAAATTACTTACCTTTCTTGGAATTCGAATCATTTTCACAGATCCAAAAGTTTGGAATAAACTCTCAATTTCTTTGACACTCGCTTCGAATGGAATATTTCGAATAATTAATTTTGTGCTTTCTCCTTGTTCTTTGTTTTGGATATCTTTTCGTTTAAGAGCATCTTTGTCGACTTGCTGGAATGAAATAAAAATATGGGTGAGAATTGTAATTTTTTGGATCTCGAGACGAATTTTTTATAGAAATTTTCAGTAGGTCTAGAAATTTCTTTGGAGTTTTTTTGGACATAAAATTCTGTTTTTCTCAAAACAAAGGAGGAACACTTTCTTATTTTCAGTCAGGAAAAAATAAAATCATATCATTTTCGTGAAAATTGGGGCGAAAAGTGTCGTTCACGAGGAGAACAAGAATTTATTTTCCGCGAAAATTTTCCACCCAACAAACCGACCTCTCTGTGCGATATTTTCAGTTCCAAACAATGTCCATCCAATAATTCTCCTTGCATTTCTTTCAATGCCAATTTCGCATCTTCGGCTCGATAAAATTGTACAAATCCGAAACCCATCGATAGATTTTTCGTTGGTTCAGCCGGATTCAATTTCTTCGAAATTTGCGCCGATTTTATTCGATCTCCATATCGTTTTTTGAACATTGTTTCCAATGAATAATCAGTTGTATCGAAAGCAAGATTTTTGACAAAAAGAGTGCTGCCAGATTCGATAACTCGGTCATTTTCTGATTTTTTAGATTGCGATTTAGAACTTGATTCAGGAATATCTTCTGGTTGATCCTGAAAATTTGATGTGTTTAGGTCAATTTTAATCCCAAAATTCTTACCTCTTGCTCATTTTCCTCTTCTTCATCCTCTTGTTCTTCCTTAACATCTTCTTGAATTTCACCTCTCTTTTTCCTCTTCAAATCTCGTTTTTCTTCATAAGTCATTTCACGTTTCGACTTCTTTGGTTCTTCTTCTTTCTTTTTCAGATTTTTCGATTTATTCTCATTTTCCTCTTTTTCCATCGCATCAAAAGGTGCCCATTCCAAATATAATGGTTGAGATCGGAAACGAGAATATGCGAGGGCTAAAACAAATTTATAAGTGTTAAAAAACTTGATTTTTGAGGAATAATTGGAAAGTTCATTTGCCAAAACGACCCAGGGAACTTTTTAAACGTTTTATTCATTTTTTTTAGATGTGTTCTAGAAGTTTTCGACCAACTAACCATGTTTCCGTTGTCAAAAATTGCAGAACCTAATATGAGTTATGAAAAAAGCTTCACCTAACATCAAAAAATATTTTCAAGCTAGTTATAGCCTCGATTTTTGAAAATTTCGAACTTTTTCACGTCATAACTCATAGTAGGTTACAATTTTTCACAACGGGATCGTGATCAATTTTTTAAATAAAAAATCTGACTCACCCTTAAATGCTTTTTTCGCATCAACACTATTTCCCATAATAATCAGTGCCGAAACTCCTCCTTCTTTTGGCATCAAAACTTTCTTCAAATCTCCATATTTCGCAAACATTCTTTCCAATTCTTCAACATTAACTCCAGCTGGCAAATTCTTTGCCAACATCACCAAATCACTTCGTTTTTCAGCCGGTTTTGAAAACGCGTCCAATTTTACACCATTTTCCAAGAAGAAATCCCGAGTTTCTTGCACCAATTTTGTTTCAGCCAAAGCCAATCGAACACCAGCACTTTCTCCAGTATCAGATGTTAATAAGTCGGCTTTTGATACATTTAATCGAGCTGCAAGTGTATCGGCAATCGCATTTGGTCCCAAAAATAAGGCATTCCATGAATGTGTTTTTCCAGCATTTGCTTTCATTTTCTCCTCTTTTTCTTCTTTATATGTCTTCTTTTTTGGTTTTTTGGGCGGTGCTTCAGAATCTTCTTGAGATGGATCGGTTTCAGATTTTTCTTGTTCTTTTTCTTTTTCAGACGATGGTTTTTCACGAGCTTCTTCACCAGGCAAAATATGCATCATACGACCCTGCAAAAAGGGATTTTAAAGAATGAAAATGATATACTGATCATAGTTATTCCGATACACTATTTTTTAGAAGTTACAGACTCGTTTCGGTTTAAAAATTGTTTCATTTAAAAGTTTACCTTGAAAACAAATCCATCTAATGCAGAATATGCAGCAACTGCGGCTTCAGGGAAGACGAATTCAACAATTGCAAAACCTTTACATGTACCATCTGATTTCTTTTGGATCACCTATAAAAACAGATATCTTTACTCATTCCTCATCTCTAATTTCTCACCTGAATTTCTGAAATCTCTCCATATTTCTTGAAAAGATATTGCAAATCATCCTCTTTTGTGACATACGGCAAATTTCTCAAGAACAATCTTCCAGTTTCTAAAATCTTCTCTCTAACAGTTTCCTCTTCCTTTTTCCGATCGACCAATTCTTGTCCATATTCTTCATTTCTTTGAATTTCTTTCTCTTTTTCAGGCTCTTCTACTTTTTCCACACCAATTTTATAACCACCAAGAAATTCATCATTTTTCGAAAGAGCTCTTCTAACATCTGGAGGTCTATTGAATGTCACAAAACCGAGAGCAGATTCTTCATTTCTCACAATTTTCATAGCTTTTACACGAATCGGATTCAACCATTCTTTGATATTTTTTCCTTTGATACTTGATGGAAGTCCTGAGAATACTAAACTGAGAGATGTATCACCTTCAATACCTTCTAAAAGTTCTTTCAAAAGTTTTGCGTGTTCTTCAGATTTTACTTTTATTTTCACATCAACTTCTTTTTCAACAGCAACTCCTTTTGCTTCTAAAAATTGCTCGAATTTCGCATCTTTCTTTTGTTTCTTATTTGAAGGTTCTTCTGTGTCGCCTTTTTCTTTTCCACTTTCAGATTTCTGTTCTTCTGGATGAGCTCTTTTATAAGCACTTGAATCTTTTGCATATTTACTCCATGCTCGCGGTTTATCCGCATCACCAAACGGACGACATTCCTCCACCTAAAATTAACATTAATTAAAGATAATTTTGAAAATATGAACATTACCGATAGCTTTCGAGATCCGAAAAACTTCTGATTCAAATTATCAATAGCTTTTTGTGCTGCAGATTCGTCAGAATAACCAACAAACGCAAAACCACGGAATTTTCCATCTTTTGTGTATTTCAACGAAGTATCAGAGAGTGGTCCGAACTTTTCAAAACATTTTCGAACTTCAGCTTCTGTGCAATTTGTCGGCAAATTTTTCACAATCAACCGCGTCGTCATACCTGCTTTTAAAACTTAAATTTAGGTGAAGAAAACTTTTTTTTCGAAAAAAAATAGAAAAAAAAACTAGAGATGCGTCTTGGAAAAGAGTGTGTGTACAAGAGAGCGCGCAGAGAAATGCAACAAACGCGTCAGCTTTCCTCACCTTGACGCACAAAGAAGAAAGAGAGGGAATTTGAATATTCATTTTTTTCCTCGCCAAGATCTTGATGCATCTTGATCGGTGATATCATGTCAGAACAACAAGGAAAAATCATAAAGATCACTCTCGATGAAAAAAACAGGTAGAATAATCACGTTTTCGTGAACTCACTGAACCTTCTTTTTCTTGTTCTTTTCTTCGAAAACAGGAAAATTGAGAAGAATGAGAAAAAAGAAGGTGATGATAAGCCGAGAAAAGATGAAACATTTCCATTTTCTTGGATGCTAACATGCTGTTTTTCTATTTTCTAATACTAGCCGATTTGATACCCGAAACTTTTCAAAAAGGTTCGTTGAAAAAATTCAAAATTTTGGATAAACACGGAGCATTTCAATAGAGCGCATTCAAATATTCCCATGAAAAAGATTTTCTGAAATTTTACTTTTTCAGCCGCTTACCTCCGTGATCGTCCTCGCGGTCTTGGCCTTCTTCAAATCCCCACAGGAATCTCCGATGAACGTTCCGGACCACTTTTCCCCGGAGTCTACATTGCCGGAAACAAAGTCGGTGAGAAACCGCAAACGGTGCCAGATGTTAGTTTGCCAGGACAACCATCGGTTTTCACGGGAAGGTTGGTTGAGAGAATGCCGATTCTGAATAAATGAAAAAAAGTCATTTGTAGATCTGCTTTCAATCCTTTCACTCACATGGTTTCTGCAGTATACGCTGAAGATTTGTCTGACGGTTGGGGAGCCGGTTTTGCAGTTAATGTAAGTTGAAAATTGAGAAATGAGGAATTAGAAATGAAAAATTGGATAGTTGGGTTTTTGACACGTCAGAGGTCACGTTTCATTAAATTTTTTTTGTTTTGTAGAACATTTTAGAAAAAAATATTTCAAGTTTGTTATTCAAAAAAAAACCAAGTTGTGATGAGAAGCCACGTCATAACTGACAATGAGTTGCAAATTACCTTCAATATATTTTTCTCCAGGGTGCCAATACTCTCGGTCTGAACGTCCGCAAAAACTTCGATGCCTACGCTGATCTTCCACTGAATCTTAACGATGGAATGTACCAACCTTTCATCACAACAGCAATGGTCGGAGGAGAATACGATTTATCGAAAATTTCTGAAGTTTCCGGAAGTTTGAATTTACCGTTGCCAGGAGTTAATGAGATTTTTGATTTGGATGGAAGATATTTGAACAAGAGTAAGTTCCGAAAAATAATTCACATGAAAAACTCAATACAATGTTTTGTTTTAGTCCAAGGTCGTGGTATTATCAACACTGCTCTCGAATTTCCACTCACACTATCTGATCCAAACGAAAGAGCTCCGTATACATTCAAATATGTTCTTTGGGCTCCTGATAGACATATGGCTTATGGACATGTTGTACCCAATGTCAACTTATTTGTTGTTGGAAAAGATAAGATTATGGAGAGATTGACACAAAATCGATTGAATCCAACTATGATTGGATAATTTGTGAATGCGAGGATAATAATTATGAAATCAATAATAAAACAAAATAATAGATTTATAGGCTTTAATAAATTTTTTCGAGAAAAACGTTTTTTTTTGTTCAAAAATTCAGGTTATTTTCAGCGGGACACGATTTACAAGTTTTCAGAAAATCATTTATTTTGAGATCTTTTCCAGCATTTCAAAAACATACAAATCATCCCAAAAGTGTCGGATTCAAATTATTCCTCATCAATCGATCCATAATTTTGTCTTTTCCGACCACAAATAAATTCACATTTGGCACAACATGTCCATAATGCGCGTGACGATCTGGTGAAAAATTGACATATTTGAAAGTATAAAGACCTCGCTCATTTGGATCAGTCAAAGTTAGAGGAAATTCGAGAGCAGTGTTGATTAGGCCTTGCACTGAAAATACGAGATTAGAATTGTTTCTCAACTCAAAGATCTATCTAACCCTTATTCATATATCTTCCATCCAAATCAAATATCTCATTTAATCCTGGAATTGGTAGATCCAAACTTCCAGATAATTCGACAACTTTCGATAAATCGTATTCGCCTCCAATCATTGAAGTAAGGATAAATGGTTGATATAATCCATCGTTGATGTTAAGTGGAAGATCAGCGTATGAATCAAAGTTTTTGCGAACATTTAGACCAAGAGTATTTGCACCCTGAAAAAGGTGGAATTCAGGGCAGAAAGGAAACTACGGTAACTGGCAAAAGATGTCATTTCAAAGGTTATTTTTTCACACAGTGTACTAGGTTCACAAAAAATCCTGGAACTTCATTGTTTCGAACAAGCTGGCAAATGATTACTGTAGTTCTATTAAAACCTCAAAGTATGGAAAGAATTTTTATTATTTCTAATCAATATTCTTCAGAACCTTTTCCCATCCCAGAGTAGATACTTACATTAACAGCAAATCCAGATCCCCAACTATCGGATAAATCTTCCGTATAAGTCGCCGACAAAATATGTGTAAACGGGTGAAAACTGGACAATCCGGTAAAGTTTGCAGTTTGACCGGGTAAACTGATATCAGGAACTGTTTGTGGTTTATTTCCGATCTTATTTCCAGCGATACTCAAATTCGGAAAAAATGGTTTCGAACGTTCGTCAGAGATTCCTGTTGGGATTTGAAGAAGACCAAGGCCACGTGGACGATCACGAAGATAAGCGGCTAGAAAATTGTTTTTTGTTTGGAACTCAATTTTTTCTGCGGAAAAATTAACTGAAACTTCATGAGATAAATTTCAAAATACTCACCTTTTTGTAAACTCTTTTTTATAAATATAAAATATAATAAAAATAAAAGTTGAAAACAAATTCGCATTTTATTTTTAACCTACCTCGGAAAACCTAGAAAAAACCAAGACAAAAGCGGGTGTCAAAAAAAACCAGTTTTTTTTCCATACAAGTCTGTCTGGCTGAGCGGTCAAAAAATCATCGAAAAAGGGGAAAGACGTTTAAAACCACGTGAAAATTGTTCATTTCGAGTTTTTTTTTTCGAAATGTCTGGTCATCATGAACATGAACATAGTCTCGAATCATTTGAACCACTTCATTTGAATGAGGATACAACCACATATTTGATACTTGCTGCTGTTATTTATTGTGAGATTTCTAATTTTTGTTTTTCAGTTATTTTGGAATTACACATTTTTAGTGTTTTTATCAAGTGTTGCAATTATTTACCATGCAATGATTAGAAATGATGATTTTGAAGTGGATTTTCGAGAAGAAAGTGTTCCAGATGTTGAATTCTATACTTATAGTGGTTTTGCATTTCCAGAAAGTTATTATACTGATAGAAAACGATCAAAAGAAAATTAATATAAAGAAAAAAAAATACAATTGTAATGAATAAATATTGAATATTTTTGTAATCTCTACTCTTCCCACTAGAAAAATTTCAGAAAAAAACAAAGTTTAAAATCTGAAGTAGTCATTCATTATGAATATTTCAAAACAAAAATTTAATTGTAAAAAACTGCAGAAAAAAAATAACTGTGAAAAGAAAGCTCCGCCCACTTTTCACACATTTTATGTCATGTCGCATATCTCGCGAGATGTCCGCAGGTGTCTTTATTCATAACTTTCCCAAACATAATTTCAATTATCTCTGGTTCCATTGCATTTAACCGTGAAAATCTTTCGCCTTTTACTAAAGATTTCCGTGCAAAGGGACACTTTATGAGTGTTTAGCAATTTTTGAAATCCCCTCGAAAGAGCGGGATAATTTGAATGAATCTTCCCTTTAAAAAAAAACGCAAAAAGTAAATTCTCTCCTAAAATCGCCAAACACCTCCACACCACGACGCAACCGTGCACATTGGCGTCACGACGCAACCGTGCACACTGGCGACTTGCCAATTGCAGCAATTGCGCTCTGTTGCACACTCATTTTAATTTTCTTTTTTTTCCTTGGGAACCCGGAAATCGGGATTTTGGGGACCCGGATTGCGTTTTACTAACCTAAACAGTCATTACTTGGCTAAGGAACCGCAGGCATTTGAAGTAAGTCGTTTTATCTGGGATTTTAGCTCGGGAACCCTTAAAATTTCTCACCATCAACGTAAATTTGTCAGATTCAAAGGGACACACTTAAAAACACTTTCTGCGCAGGCCCCCCTAGTTATAGAAACAAATACAAATAATTTATTGTCACAAATTCCAGAGCCATTTTTTGAGAGCAGCGAATCCGAAAAGTCCTTGAACCTTTTCTTGTTCAATTTCCTTTTCTTCGTATTTTTCTTCTTCTTCTTTCTCCGGTTCTTCAATATGTTCTTCTATACCCGCTTCAGTTCTCAAAGATTCCAAAGATGTGGTTGAGAGTGTCGACATTGTTATAGATGGCAATTCGGGTTCTTCAGGTTCTTCAGGTGAGATTATTATTCTATGAATATTTTCTTCTAAAGTCTCAGCTTCTCCTCGATGAATATCAGCATTCAGAAACATTTCCCAATCTGGATTTTTCTCATTAATAACATCTCGAATAAAATTGAAGATTGCTCGTCGGCTATAAACCTGGTTTGCTGGATTCAAACCACGAGCCAAATCCAAAACTGCTCCAATTGCTCGATATCCACAACTGAAAGTGTCATTTTGTTGTTCGAAGTTCAAATCAACTCCAATTTCAAATGATTGATCTTCGAACAAATGGGAAAAATAACATTGGATGTTTTCGAGAACTTCATCTAGAATATAAGGATTACGTTGATAACTATCATAGAACATGATTTGATCTGAAGATGGTTTGAAGCTGAAAAACATCCGATTTTTGTTGAAGTAATCATATTCAAGAGTTAACTCACTAAACCATAACATAGTGAACTCTTGCTCTATCATAAAATATCTGAATCGCCTCATTTTCCCCTTTCACATTTTTCGCAACACATTCTGGTTCACACATAACTGCTTGAATCGCCAATAATCCATCAATTTTCTTCGGACAAACCGCTTGTAATTTATCGCAAAATGTATTGATGACGTCATCGTGAAGAGGTTCTCCATAGATTAAATCATCATTCTCATTCTCATTCGTAAAGATTTCGGTTTGCATTTTTCAAATTTTACAAAATGACGTGATTCTTATCTGATGACGAAATGCCACATAATTAGTTGACCTAGTTTTTCACGTGAAAATGAGCACATAAAAGGAGAGGATTTGAGTGGATTGTCTCATTTATGTTGTATTCCTAGAATGGTATTCGGTTGCTTCAAGAAAAAAGGCAAAGCTGGTAGTAAATCTCTAGATGAACTTAAAAGAGATATAGTTATTGTGAGTTTTGGGGGTAGTACTGTATCCTGGGAACTTATTGTTAGAGAGTCGCATAATTTGTGTTTTTTTTCAGGACGATCATGAAGTTCCTTTGGAAACACTTCTAAATCGATATTCGACTTCAGTGACTGCGGGAATAACCGAATCAGATGCTGCTCAAAGATTGTCACGTGATGGTCCAAATGCTCTCACTCCACCCAAACAAACACCACAATGGGTCAAACTATGTGGAAGTGTTTTTGGCGGTTTCAATTTTCTACTTTGGTGTGCCTCAATTGCATCAGGTATTGGTTATTATATGGATGTAACAACTTCAGAAGATGATGTGCCCAAAGATAATTTGTATATGGCTGTAATTTTGGCGACTGTTGTATCAGTGACTGGATTGTTTGATTTCTATCAAGATCGAAAATCGGGAAGTTTGATGGATTCGTTTGCAAATATGATACCACCAAAAACATTGGTTGTGAGAGATGGACAAACTAAAGAAATTGAGGTTTGTTTTCGTTAGATCTTGAAAATCTTTCAACCAGATTTCTGTTTGTAGGTCAAAGAATTGGTTGTTGGTGATTTGGTTCGTTTTCGTGGTGGAGATCGTGTTCCAGCAGATTTGAGAGTTACATTGGCACGTGGTTTGAAAGTCGACAATTCATCGCTGACTGGAGAATCGGATCCACAAACTAGAAATACCAAATTTACTAGCAAAAATCCATTGGAAACCAAGAATTTGTGCCTTTTCAGGTAAATAGAATTACGGTAACCTAGAAGAACAATTGAGTTATAGTACTTTTTTGTATTCCGAAAACTCGAGATTTTGAGTTACAGTAACCCAGAAACGTTTATATTTTTTCAGTACAAGTGTTTTGGAAGGTTCTGGCGAAGGAATTGTAGTTCTAACCGGTGATCGAACAGTCGTTGGTCGAATTGCTGCATTGACAACTCAAGTTGATTCCGGACCAACACCACTTGCCAAAGAAATTTCACATTTCATCAAAATCATTTCGGTTGTCGCATTCACTGTTGGTATTGCATTTTTTGCATTGGCACTGGTTTATGAATATCCGATTATTAAGGCGATTGTGTTTTTCATGGGAATTGTTGTCGCAAATGTGCCAGAAGGAATTGTGCCAACTGTTACTGTAAGCTTCTGATTCAAAATTGAAATTTCGGTTTTCCAAAAAAAATGTTTCAGGTTGCTCTCACTTTAACGGCCGTCAAAATGCGTAAAAAGTTTTGCCTTGTCAAAAAATTGCAAGCAGTCGAAACACTTGGTTCAACTTCAACAATTTGCTCGGATAAAACTGGAACTTTGACACAAAATCGGATGACAGTAACCCATCTTTGGTTTGACGGAGAAATTCGCGATGCTGAGGTTTTGCCGCCAAATGATCATTTCCGAGGCGAGAAAAAATATGGGCAAAATGAATCGTATCAAAAGCTGATGAGATGTGCCACACTTTGCAGTCGATCACATTTTCGTGTTCCTGAATATGATGTTCCACTTGCAAAAAGAGTTGTGAATGGAGATGCTTCGGAAGTTGCGATTATGAGATATTGTGAAATGATTCGAGGTGATGGACAAGTTGATGAATATCGTAAACAATTTCCGAAATTATCTGAGATTCCATTCAATTCAACTAATAAGTATCAAGTTTCTTTGCATCCGATGCAAAATCAAAATCAGAATTTGCTTGTGATGAAAGGAGCACCGGAAAAGATTTTGAAAATTTGTTCGACTTATTATCAAAATGGGGAAACGAAGAATGTGTCGAAGAAGTTTGAAAAAGAATTTGTGAAGGCTTATGAAACTTTGGGATCTTATGGTGAAAGAGTTCTTGGTTTTTGTGATTTGGAATTGAATCCTAACAAATATCCATTAGGTTTTCAATTTGATACGGAAAATGTCAATTTTCCTATTAAAAATTTGAGATTCCTTGGACTTATTGCAATGATTGATCCACCTCGCCCAGGTGTTCCAGAAGCTGTTCGAGTTTGTCAAAATGCTGGAATTCGTGTAGTTATGGTAACTGGAGATCATCCAATCACAGCAAAAGCCATTGCAACACAAGTTCATATTATTGAAGAAGATGAAGATGTTACCCAAATAATTGATCATGATCCAAAATATAATACAGCAAATGATGAGATTTATGGAAAAGGAAGATTGAGAAAGACGAGTGCAATTGTTGTTCATGGTGAACAATTGGCAACAATGTCACCAAAAACATTGAAAACAATTGTGACAAATTATCAACAAATTGTATTCGCCAGAACTTCTCCCGCACAAAAATTGCAAATTGTTGAAGCTTTTCAAGAGGCTGGAAATGTTGTTGGTGTAACGGGGGATGGTGTCAACGATGCTCCGGCATTACGAAAAGCTGATATTGGAATTGCGATGGGTATTGCTGGAACAGATGTATCAAAACAGGCGGCTGATATGATTTTATTGAATGATAATTTTGCATCAATTGTGACTGGAGTTGAAGAAGGAAGATTGATTTTTGATAATTTGAAAAAATCGATTGCCTATACTTTGACTAGTAACATTCCTGAAATCACACCATTTATGTCATATGTTTTGTTGGGATTGCCATTACCAATGTCGATTGTTGCTATTTTGATGATTGATTTGGGAACTGATTTGGTAAGATTTTTGATTGATACAAATTTAATTTTCTATCTCTAGTGGCCTGCCATTTCATTTGCCTATGAAGTTCCGGAATCTGACATTATGCAACGTGCTCCAAGAAATCCGAAACACGATAATTTGGTAAACAAGAGACTTGTCATGTTTTCCTATATGCAAATTGGAGCAATTCAAGCTTGTGCAGGATTTACCACCTATTTTGGTGAGTTCTTATCATTTTTTAGAACCACCTTATAAATATGAACTTTTTTCAGTTCTTATGATGTCGAATGGTTGGTTCCCGAAGGATTTATTAGGAATAAGTGAACAATGGGAAAATAAATATATCGAAGATTTGGAAGATAGTTATGGACAACAATGGAGTTATGAGGCGAGAAAATCACTTGAGTCAAGTTGTTATGGAACATTTTTCTTTACAATTGTTGTCACTCAATGGGCTGATTTGTTGGCATCGAAAACTCGAAAGAATTCGCTTGTCATGCAAGGATTGGAAAATCAAAGTTTGAATGGCGCAATGATTTTCACTGTCTTCTTATCAACTTTTGTTCTCAATACTCCATACGTCAACACGGTTCTTGGTGTTCAAGCTTTTAGAATTGAAATTGCATTTTTGGCATTGCCCTATGCTTTGATTATTGTATTTTATGACGAGTGGAGAAAGTTTTGTGTGCGAAAATGGCCGAGTGGATACGTTTACAAAGAGACTTACTACTGATTAATTAGACTGATTAAATGAATGAATTTTCCCCGAATTTTTGTGTTGGAGCGCGTTTTCTACTTGATTACAACAAATGCGTCAGCCTTGTGTGACTGGCGTATTTTATTTTTTTTTTCGTTTTTTTTTTGTTCGAAAAAGTTTTCCCAAGCGTTTTCCTGCCTTTAGGAAGCAACATGAGGTGTGAAAACTTGATATTAGTTTGGAATTCATTTTGAAAGTTATCCTAGTTACTGCTTGGTCGCTCTCTGTATTTATACGCCTTTTTTTCCCGAAACTTTGTGGGAATTATTTTTTAAATAAAAAATATTAGTCGTTTTATTGTTTTAATATGTAGTACTTAGTTCATCATTTATGATTTTCTTCAGACAGAGAAAATGAGTTTATTCGGCTCTAACGCTGCTGCAAAGCCTGGAGCATTCACATTTGGAGCAAGCACACCAACAGCGCCCGCTACAACTACGTCATCACTTTTCGGAGCCACATCGTAAGTTTTCTCTATTTAATGTTTTTCCATGAATCTCATATTCAAATCCTTCAGAACCCCACAAAAGCCACTTTTCGGCTCAACGTCACAAGCTGCTAGTACTCCATCGCTTTTCGGAAACACAGCCACAACTACAACAACAGCTTCAACTGGCGGAGGTCTTTTTGGAGGTACAACTACTTCAACAACCGCATCGCCAACACCTAACTTGGGGCTTTTTCAAAAACGTAAACGCATGAAAATCAACTGACTAACCTAACAATAATAAATTGATACAGGTCCTGCAACGACAAATTTGTTCGGATCGACCACTCCAGCCACTGCGACTTCGACAACAACAACAACTGGAACAACTGCAGGAGGAGGGCTTTTTGGAGGATGTAAGTTGAGAAAATTTGAAATATGCATGGCTACAGATTGAAAGAGTTTTTAAAACAAAAAACAAACAAACAAGTGTTTTCGGTTTTTCAAAACCTGTATCCACGTATTTCTTCGTCATCATTTCCGAAAAAATAATCTGCTTTGCATTTCATCTGAATGCAAACTCGCAATTTTTTCTCTAGTTAGCTCCTGTTTTCTAGTTTTCATTTTGATCTACCCGCTAATTTCTTCTTGTTCCGAATGTTCTCGAAATTATTTTTCCAAAAAAAATCATTCACACCGTTTTCCTTTTCTCAACGCGGCCGGTTTAATAAACATCACCATTGACAACACAAACACCAAAAATGGGTGATCAACGTCGAAATCTTTTAATGAGACGCGATGCAATGGCATCAATCGACAGGGATCTTTTGGCGCAAGCACTACAACGCCCAACGGCTCAAATTGCACCATTATCCTCCCGAAACATCATCCCCACACCCATTCATGTCAATGAGCCGACACCGCCGCCAGTTGATCCAATACCAGGAACGCGTTTTCCGGTTCCTGAAGTTGTTGAACGACCAAAAACACCAAGACCATCACCAAGGGTATCGCCAAGACTTTCGCCAAGAACATCGCCAAGAAGAAAAGCTGAAGAATCGATTGATGAATTGAGAGGAGTTGCAAAAGTTCCAACGATTGTTGTTGCGAATGAAAAAGTGGAAGTTCAGCAGAAAATCGAAGAAATACCGCCGGTTTTCAGTAATCCACATAGTTCGCATGTTGCTGTTTCAAATCAGCAGCAAACTATTCAGAATCCCGTGAATATTTGGACAAATCCCAATGTTACACAGTTTCCAAGTTTCGCTGCTCCAATCGGTTTGATTTTTTGATATTAATCCAATTTTGCTCACAATTTTGTGCCTTAACTTGCATGAAACATTACATTATTAAAAATCTCCCCATTTCCGATCTTCTAAAAAATTCTCAATTCAATTTTTTTCAGCAACATTCGGCTCAACCACAACAACAACACCTGGAACTTCATTATTCTCAAGTGCAAAGCCAACCCTTGGAGGTGGAGGAGGTCTTTTTGGAAGTTCAACAACTACTTCAACCCAACAACAACAGCAACAAGCACAAGTAAATACACAACAACAAGTTATTCAAAGTTATCATCCATTTGTTCGAGCATGTGGAAATCCGCAACTTATGGGAACTGATGATGATAAAGTTATTGCTCATTTGAATCAAGTTGCTGCTGCTTTAGGAATTGGAAAAGCACCATATAAAGATGGAAATCAGGTGCAAACTCATAGTATGGAAGGAAACTTCTTTGAGAAATTTGTGGTTAGTTTATTTTATTTTTCTTTCTAGAGTTTTTTGGAAAAAACTCCAATTTTTCCAGGGAATCGGCTATAATAAAATTTCCGACCGAACAGATGATGAAGGAGTTGTTTCACTTGTTTTGAATGTTCCAATCCAAGAAATCGCCTCAGATGAGAGAAAATTGAAAGTTCTTGAAGCAATCACAAATATTCTTGGAAATCAACAAAATTTGAGAGTTGAATATGCTCCAGGAACCACTCAATTTAGACCAATCTCTGAAAACGCCACTGAAATTTCAATAATTGTGAAAGAAGGTGGATTTGTTGTTGGAGCGTGTAAATTGGCGCAAGTTTTGAATGATACAAATCGATTGGCACAACTCGAAACACAATTGAAAGTTGATCGAAATCGAGTGCTGCCAAAAGTTGGATTATCGAAAGCGCAAAAGGAGAGATATTTGGAGACTGTTCCAAATGGAATTGATGAAAGAATATGGAGACAAGCGATTGCTGAAAATCCAGCACCAAATCGAATGTTGCCAGTTGTTGTAAGAGGATGGGAAGCATTGAGAGATCGACAGAAATCACAAATTGCTGAAAGAAAGGTTTATCAAGAAGCGCTGGAATCTTTGGGTGAAAGAGTTGAAAAAGTTGAGGTTCGTAGCTTTCGGGCAAAATTTGGGATCTCTAGAATTTATTAATTCAAATGGTTTTTTTTCTCAAATTGGGTTTCTAATTGTTAAACAGAAGTTATCAAAAAAATTTGGAGAATTGTTATTCATCTTTTGACGCCCAACTTTCCACGTCATCAGATAATCCAAAAAATTCAAGAAAATTTTTCGTTATTCTCAGATTTACTCCTAATTTTTTTTCTAATTAGAATTTCAAAATTTAAAAATGTGATAAAGTTTATAAGAGAAGCAAAATTCCAATATTTCCAGAATGAGCATGCACGAGCTCAAGTCGAAATTGAAGCGATTCGTTGTCGTCACAAACAACTATCATATCGACTTTTGCGTATTTTATTGGCTCAATGGATCACTCAAAGATATTCGAAACAAGTTGATACAGATGAAGATCGAATTGAAGCACAAACTGATACTCTTTTGGCCAAATTGAATCGACATAATCAATTGAAGGATTGGATTCGTAACTTCTACGAAACCCTCGAAAACCATGGCGACAAATTGCGTGCTGGAGCTGAAAAGGCGTATGATATGTCACAAGAAGATCAACATTATGCGCGAAAATTTTTGACCGAAATTTTGTATATTGGCGAACGATTGGTGGAAACAAATCAATTACAAATGGAAGATTTGGAAGCAATTCGGCGAACTCTGGAAGGCGAATAAATAAATTTGAGAATAGCGGAATTTTGAAAAATATTCCGCTATTTATCTTAATCAATAATTTTTGGTTTTTTTATGTGGAAATGTTATTTGTTTGTTGGTATTTGATATTTTAAAGGAACCCCTCTTCGTTTTTCTTTCTTTTCCCCCATCTAACACAGGTCTCACTTTTCTATTTTTACCGTATTTTTACTTTATTTATTGATAAAATTCTTTGATCTCTTTGATTGATTTTTGATGAGGAAAAACTCGTTTTTTGAACGATGGAATACTTTTTTCATTTATTGGTTTTGTTAAACGTGACCTGAAAAATTTAAATTTTCATTATTTTGTTTGAAACCCGATTTCATTTTGAGAAAATTTGTCTTTTTCAAATAAGTTAAGCTGCCTCATTTCTGAGCATTCTATTTTTTTTAAAATGAGATTTAAAGATCATCTCACACTGATTTTATACAAATGCGCTCTATCGCAAATTAAAAAATCGGAATTTTTCTATAGAGCGCATTAGTTTGTTCTACAATTAGTGAAGTGGAAAAAATTTTATGCCACGGTTTTCACTATTTTTAATTATTACAGCTCGATCAGTTCAGTTTTAGAAGTAATCAAGTTAAACGAATCTGTGACATAATTATTTTGATGAGAGATAACGTGAAATTAAGAGATTCTAGACAGAAAACTAGTTTTCTTTATTTTTCTTCGAAAACCCTTTAGAAAAAAGATTTTTTGCCAACGAAACCTTTTTTCCAGTTTTCCACTCCAACAAAATGGTAGCTGCAAATGAGGATGAAAAACGACGAGAACAATCGGAAATATCTAGAAAAGCCGCGATTCGAGAAAGAATTGAAAGACAAAGAGAAAGAGATCGAATTGTGAAAGAAAGTATTGCAAATGTTGATAAAAAGGCAAAAAATCGCATTGTTTTCGAAGATTCGGATGAAGATAATGAAGATGAAAAAGATGATGATGAAGAGGAGGATAAAGTATGTTTTTATTGATTTTTTTTTGGATAAATTGATTTTTTATTGATAAAAATACGTCTACAAATATGATCATAATCATGTGTTTTTCAGGCTGCCAGCTCATCGAAATCCAAAAAATCTTCATCGTCTTCGAAACCAAAACTGTTTGATAGTGAAGATGAAGATGAAGATGACACTGAAAATCCGGAAAATGAAGAAATTCAAATAAAAAATCGACACAGCGGACCGAAAGGTGAAAAATTGATGAAACTCGAAACCCGTTTCAACAGTGATCCACGTTTCAAACTTGATGATAAATTTGTGGAAAGTTCGGATTCTGAAGGAGAAGGAAATGATGGAAATGAAGAAGAGAAGTTGGAAAAAATGGAAAGTAAACAGGAAAAAGAGAAGAATCGAGAATTGCTGTCAAAGATTCTGGGAAAAAATGTGATGGATGTGAAAAAAGTGGAGAATAAGGGATTGATGGCAAGACCATTTACAAGGTGAATTTTTGGGAAATGGCGAAAAAATATTTTTAGACAAATAATATTTTTAAAAATTGAGAAAATGTGGATTTTTGAAATATTTGTCTGAAAATCAAGATGCTGAAATTAGGACATTTGAGTGAATTTCAAAAAAATCTAAATTTGTTCCAGATTCGATCCATCAAATCCAGAACATGTTGCATGGATGAAAGAATTTGAAGAATCGAAAAATCCGAAGAAAAAAGAGGAAAAAGAAAAAGAAGCTGAAAAGGAGAAAGAAGATGGAGAAGAATCTGAAGGTGGTGAAAGTAGCGATGAAGATGATGATGAAAATCTGACAAAAGCTGAAATTTTCTATCAATATGATGAGAGTTTTTCGAGTGAATTGAAAAAAGAAAAAGAGGAAAATGGAAATGGAAATGGATTCTCGTTTTTGGCAATGATGGGAAGAAAACACGAAGAAGAAGAAGATGAAAATGAAGAAGAAGAAGAAGAAGAAGAAATGGAACAAGATGTAAGTTTTATTGGACTATTTTTGGTATTAGATAAAAAATATTTTTCTAACTGAAACGTTGAAAATTTTCTTTTAAAGTTATTTTCAGCTGAGATTCAATGAAATTTTAAACGATATTTGAGAGCTCTATTTTTGTTTACGAAAAAACCTTGAAAATTTACGTTTCAAAGTGATTTATTTCCGGGAATTTTTCCAACTCTATTGATATTTCTCGTATTGAAATAGCAATAATCATAGTCTTCTTCAGATCTCCGAAGTTCCGCTATCAACGAAAAAATCCAAATCCGAACCTTCTCAACTTCCGCTAAATACATCTGTAAAAGTGTCGAAATTTTTCGTAACCTCAAAAGATGAACAAATTCGAAGTATGGCGATGAATTTTCGACGAACTCAAGATGTCCAAAAAATTATTGATCGATGGACTCCGCATCGAGATGCTATTTTTAATATTTGGAAAAAGCAACGAAAAATTGCTATGAATAATGAGAAGGGAAAATTTCCGGAAAAAAAACGAAAAATCGACAAAAATTGATATGTTTATTTGTTTACAATTATTTTCTTTGTTATTTGTTTCTTGTTGAAGATTTTTTACTTTTTTCTTGGACTCTTTTTTGGTGAAACATTGGTTTTGAGCCAATTGAATATCTTTTTTTTTCGAGGATTTTTGATTTTTTTTCGGGATTTTTAGTAATGCTTCTAACTAACCCCTTTGAGATTCTCACTGTTGAATTAGAATAATCTAGATAGTGATCTAGGAAACCAACTTTAGGCGGTCTAGAATGTGACAATAATTTTTATTTAAAAAACAAAAAATGTTATCATTTTGATTTTAAAAAATCCTCCGTGCATTCTATTAATTTTTTCGAACCACAATCCAAACTGGGATTGCCAACATTTGAAGTATCGCTAATCGATAACTTTTGATAATCAACATAACTGGAAAAGGGTCTAACGCTGGGAATATAGCAATTGTCATGCTCACTAAGGCACTATAGTTCCCTAAATTAAAATCAAAGATTGTAAAAATAAATAAGATTGTAGCGGGAAGGTGCATTAAAATAAGCGGAATCAATGTTTGAGTTACTAAAGCATAAAACAACTGAAATTGTAGACTTTTTGATTTTCTCGATTGTGTTGTTGTATATCGATTAATTTTAACATAACACATTATTGCGCATACTGTAGTCAAAATAATTGATAACAGTAAAATAATTGACATTAGAAATAGTCCAATGATATTTAAAACATGATTTTGATTGGTTTCTGTAGATCGGTGTAAATATGGGCCATCGTATACAATATTTTCAAAGTCCCAATCAAGTTCAGCTTTTAATATATCACGAATAGCAAATTCTATTTGATCATCAGGTGGCATGAAAAAATAAACTAAAAGTCCCCAAATGATACCACAAAGTACAGGAATACTCATCCATAGAACAATTTTCCAATTTTGAAAAGATTTGATCAAACTTGAGCTAAATAATGAGTTTCTCACAAGCTGTTGAAAATTGGAAAAACCCACCCAGTAGCAACCAAATATCGATAAATAAATTGTATAGCAAAAACCCCCATAAAACTTCCAAAAAATGCTCCCCAAATTGACAATAACACAAGATACACATCTTTTGGAAAATATCCATTTTTTATATCGATGATAATTAGAAACATTGAACCATAAGAAAAAACGATTGGTTTTAGAAGCACATCAAAAAATGAGTAAAACATTTCAATAATCGAAATGTAGATCATCAAGTATTTATAAGATCCAATTTTCTTTGGAGATTTTGTGAGAACCAGCAAAATGAGTAAACTGTTCGCCAAAAATGATATAATCGCTGTGATTTCTTGAATTTCGAGAGTAATTTTATTCCATGCCATAATGACTATAAAATTAAATATAAAAATAGTATTTAGTAGTATGAGAGGCGTTTTGAAAACAAAAGTGCTTCCGGAAATTGTGTTGGATAACCCATCTGATATTTGTTCTTTGTATTTTCGATAATTCCGCGTGATAAGGACATTAATAATATTTCAACTTTTGTATTTGTATTCTTATTGTCTGTATTGAAATTGTTTACTATCAGAATTTTTAAAGTAGGGATTTTATTTATTTTTAAAAGTAAAGTCTTCACTAACGTAAGCTTCTCTTCCAATTCCATGATCTTTGAAGCTACAGTAATCCATCGGGAAAAAACAAACTGAAAGTACGGGAAATTGAAAAATCACACTTTTCATGATTGGTAGTTTTATTATTAGAAGTTCCCCTTTCAAAGCAAAGTCTTTATTCAAAAATTTCAAACAGTTCTCATTTGTTCACATTGGCGAGTTCACGAATCTAACAATTGGTGCTCTCATTCCACAAGCATAGAGGGCAGTAGAAGTATAATAAGAGTTAGTTGCAGTGCCACATGTCGCATCATCATAGAATCCAATAGGTCCAAACCCTGTTATACCTGCTGGTTGGGTCAAATACATTTGGGCGCAATCTTGGTTGTTGCTGGAAATGAAGGTTTTCGGGGGTTTTCCAAACAATCAATTACTTGTTATAATCTGGCTGGTTATCTGCCCATTGTTCAGTGAAAATCCGATTGCTCACCATTGGATCAGCCCAGTAAAATGTGTAGCGACTCTGGAATTTCGGTTAACTTTTCGAAAATTTCGCCGGGAAAGGCTGTTTACTCTAGAGTACCCAGGGCGACTAGTTCATGTAAGTAACTGAAGTTTAAAAATGTCGTTCTTACAATTGCACAATTAAGATTGTTGTTAGCAGTCTCAGTTGCTCCACGACAGTTGGAAGTTCGAACAAGTCCAAGCCAAAGACGAGCTCTGTCTTGATCATTCGCCTGTAATATTTGCATTCCTTTCTGTTGAATATACGAATGTTCTTCAATTGATTCAATTCCAGTCAAATATGCACCTTCTTGATTACACAAAGCTTGAGCAATTGATTGAGTATAAACATAGGGGGGAGCAGAATAAACCTGGAAGACTTAGGAAACTTTTCCAGCGTTTACAGCTTTTGAAAGAATTTATAAAGGTTTTGGAACTTATTCATAGTTTTAAAAATTGAAGTTCACGTTTCACTGAAATCTTTGATTTTTTTCAAAAATCATCCAAAAATAAAAAAAAATCCAAATTGCCACGTGTTGCTTCCCATTTATCACTTACCCTTATACAAAATAAGCCCTTTGGTCTTTGAAATGGCTCCCAATCAGTTGGACAAGCTCTTTCCACAAAGTTGGTCAAATTTTGTGCGGCAATCGAACTTGTTCGAAATTCAAAACCATTAGTTATATCAATCTTGAGAATCAAGCAAAATGTTAATAAAAAACTGTACATTTTTTGCAGAATGAATATTCAAAAAATGATACAGTTTTCTTTTTATATATACCTACCCGCTAAATTTGCATTTTTTATGTATAATATTATCATTAGAAAAATGAATACGGTATTTTTGCAGGAATGTCGTTTGTTGATGCAATTTTGGGAGGAACAACGAAAAAAGCAGAATATTATGAGGTTTTGGGATGTGATAGAAATGCGAGTTTGGAACAAATTCAAGCAGAGTATAAAGCAAGAGTTCGAGGATGTCATCCGGATAAAGTTGCTGAAATTGGAGATGAGGAAAAAATCAAATTGGCTAATCTGGAATTTTCGAAACTACAGGTAAATTCAGGGGTTCCAGTTTGAAACGTTTATTGGAAATAATTTTCAAAAATAGAACAAAATACATTTCAAAATGATAATTAATTAGTAAGTGTTGTAACTGACAATTGGTGCAAGTTTTCCACAAACATACTGTGCATATTGATTTTGATCCCATGTTTCAACAGTCCCATCACAACTGACATCATCAAGTAATGAGATTTGTCCATATAGTGGAGAATCATCGTCTGTTTGTGGAAATGATGCGATCGCCATTTGAGAACACTGCTGACCGGTTCTTCAAATTTTTAAATTTAAATTTTGTTTTTTAAACTATTTTTACCCTGCGTTATCTGCAGCATAGAATCGCAGTTGATCATTCCCGACAACATTACCATCACTCCACGTGAATGCGTATTTAATCTGGAATAATTTTTATTCTAAAAAAAACTTTATGTTTCTGAACATATCAACTTACATCACTACATTTATCTACGATAACATTAGTTTTAGTACATTGAAGAACTCGATAGGCTCCAACCCATACTCGTGTTTGTGTTAAACCCAGATTTGTCATGTAACTTGCACCAATACCTGTAAAAGCTACACTATTCGTAATTTCTCTACTAATCAAACAACTTACGTGCAATATAATTTCGTTCTGCAATTGTTTCGATTCCAGCCAATCTTGCTCCAATTTCATTACACATTGCTTGTGCTTGTGGTTGAGTATACAAATATGGTGGAGGATAGAATACTTTAATACAGTATAACCCTTTTTGTCTTTGAAATGATGCCCAACCATCTGGGCATTTTCTTTCAACATTTACATTCAAAGTTCCGTTTGCAATTATTGGAGTATCAAAATTTTGTAGTTTGACGAAAGAAACAAAACATATCAAGATCAAAAACCGTATCATTTTGCAATTGTATTTATTTTCTGTTCGTATTTATACCAAAAAATACGTATTTGCATTTTCTCATAAAATGTCCCTGTATAGTTTTAGAACATCGAACCAAAGAATGTCGCAGCAAACAATCAGGGCCTTTTTTTTTGACTGAATGTTTTTACCTATTCAATATACCGTTTTATTTTAGGAAGCCTACTCAAAATTGTCAAATTCGTCAACGAGAAAATTGTATGATTCTTGGTTGAGCTCACCGATTCCAGGAGGTTTTGAGGAATTTACGAGAAATTCGGATGCTATTCAAATGGTTAGTTGATATTTTTTAAAGTTCAAAAATAACTTATTTTTATTTGTTTTTGATGACGTGGCATATTCCATTTAATTATTATCTTTAATAATCCTCAATTTTTTCAGTCAACTCATTGGGCTCAACCAAAACAACAACAAATGATAAAACTCAACGACATTTGCCCCGAAAATCAAAAATCTGAAGAAGCTTCACAAAAATGGAACGATGGAAGAAGATATCAATCAGAAACTGCATCGAAATTCAGAAATTATCAACTTTAGCTCAAAACAAATAATATGAGCAATGTTAGCTGGAATTGAGAAAATCTGCTGGATTTTTTGTTAGACCGCTTTTTTTTTGAGAAAAATGAAGATTTTTTAGGCTTTCTGGATTTTTTAAAAATGTTTATTGGTTTTATGAGCCGAAAATATTTACTTTGCGTTTTTATGAATTTTCAGCCACCAAATTTGAATATTTTTTCAGCTTTCGATTTTGGGTAGACGTATGAACGGTGAGTTAAAAAATCCCAAATTTTTGAATTAGAAGCCGTGCGAGAAGTTGCACAATAGACTCCGCCCACGTTTCCAAAAATTTCGAAAATGTCTTGTTTTTGCAGCCTATTCATTCGACGGTCTTATTGTTGCTGCTCTTTTATTCATTTGCACTTGTGCCTATTTGAAACGAGTTCCACGAATTAGCAGTTGGTTATTGTCTGAGAAGAAGGGTCTTTTTGGTGTTTTTTATAAAGTGAGTTCGAAATATTTTTTGGAGACTGTAACTTTCGTCAATCTCTGATACGGACAATTTTGACTTTTATCGAAAATCTGAAGTCGTATAATCAAAATTCAGAAAAATTTTCCAATGTCCAATGTTCAATGAAAAAATTGTTTTCTAAAAATTTTTTCTGCTTGAAAAAATGATAATAGAAATTACAAAAAAAAGTTGCTAAATTTTTCCCATTTTTCCAGGCTGCTGTAATTGGTGTTCGTCTTCATTCAGCCGTTGCTTTGTCTTGTTTCGCATCTGCTTTCTACGTTCTTTTTATCCGCTAACTTCTCTCAACATCTTCTCAACAACATCAAAATGGTTCAACACAAATTGAAAACCAAAACAACTCTTCCAAAAGGTGTCAAACCGAAACAAAAGAAGGCCAAAAAAGAGGGACCGAAAAAGGGAAAATTTTTGCACATCGCTCCGAAAAAAGCGCACGTCATTGAAGCCGAAAAAATCGCTGCTCATGTTACAAAAGTGATCAATGAGAAAAACGAGGAAATGGTGAAAGGACGTGCTGATACGGCGGTTGGAAAAACGACTAAAAAGTAAACTTTTTCCATTTTTTGGGATTTTTTATTGGGTTTTGATGTTATTTTTTGTCTCTGTTGATTGATCAATAAAATTGGTTTTTTATATTAGAAACAGTTTTGATTTTGAGAATATATCACACCAAAATTATTGCAAAAATGAATTATGGAAACTGCTAGAAATATCATTTCTAGAAATTTTTAAATGAAAATTTGAAAAAATCTAGCGATGTAATATTATTCACGTGACAGACGTGATGATAAAATCTCTCAGCGATTCTATAAAAGAGGAGCATAGCAAGGGTTTTTTCACCTACATCTAACATTCCTAACTTATTTTGTATTGGATTGGCGGCAGGCTATTTGCTGCTCAATGCCAGCCGTTCGTCTGCAACTCGGGAAATACGTAAGTTAGGGCATTCTTGCGATCTCTGCTTCTTTCACAATAGTTTTTTTGGAGCGTCCAAAAATCAAAAAAAAAAAATGAAGATTTCACGCCTGTCCAATTTTGTAGACTTACGAGAGATTAAAGGTGCAAATATTGTTTTTTGTTTGAGTCTCGAGACGAATAGAAGTGTCACACACGTCATCTTTTTAATTTCGAGAAATTGTTTTTTGAAAAAAATTTTCAGTTTTTTGTTTCTCTCCCTAGAACATTAAACATTAGTAATTGGCGACTGAATGAGTCCTTTCATTCTCGCATATTCCTGTGTTGTCTTTTTTTCTCTTTCTTTTTCTGAATCTTTTTTCTAAAAAATTTTTGAATTTTTATATATATATCACAGTGTCCACAAAACGACGTTTCTGCGTCTCTTTTCAAAAAATCTCTCATTTCGGTAGAGCGCGTTTGCTCGTTTGTCTTTTTTCAATGGAAAAATCGAATTTTTTGCCGATTGTTCAACTTTTTATTGTTTTTACTCATTGTTATTGTTGTTTTTGCTTAATTTCATGAACGATTTCCTATTCTATGAATGTCAGAGAACATTTTCATGTATAGATCGTTTCATAAAGTAACGCCATAATGCCGTTCAAAAATTTTAAAGATTTTCGTTCGTTTTTCATGTTTTTTTGGGTGTCACCAAAAAGTGAAGAATACTCATTTTTCGAACTTTTTGGGATACGAGGACCACATTTGGGATGAAATGGGATATATTTGGACCAATTGTAACGACGACAGATTTATTTTCATATGAATCGATGGATGTTACCAGTGGTGCTGTCGAACTGTTTTCTGATGCTTGTTTGGATATAAAATGATTCGAATATTATGGGAGAGAAGAAAATTAAGCTTTTCGTAGGTTTTTTGCTTCAGAAATTTTATAATAACGGTATTTATAACTGTATTATTGCAGGTTCACGCTGGTCTTCGCTACTTTTGGACATTTACTGGTTCAAAAAATATGTAACTGCTCGTGATATTTGATTTTTGACGAAATCGGAATCGCATTGGATGTATCTGATCGTAATTTCGAATCAACCACACATTTTTTCAATGAGGATCATTGCGATAAACTCGCGCTGGAGGATCTGGCTTTCCAACACCAACATCAGGAAATGTATTATTCAGAGTACTAGAGGACAGTGAAAAACATCGAGAACACACATGGAAATCCACTTGACAATGTATATGTTGGAACTATGAAGAAAATAGCGGCCGTTGGGGCTGATTGTAAATGTTTGATGGATAAAAAAATGATTAATTGAGAGGAACTCATATTTCAACAGTAACATCCGACTCTTCTTATTGCTAAATTCAAATTTTGGAGCTTGGTAGAGATTTGACGATATTTTTTCTGAAGTCGACAGGAATTGTTGAGTTTGAATCGAAGAATGACGTTCCTTATTGGCCAAAATTATCGATTTGTGATATTCGGAGCTCTATAACTCAGCTAAGAAGTTCATGCAGATCATGACAATCTTTTTGTTGTATATTTTCATATGGTCTTTCTGCTGATGTTAAGTTTCAGCCGGTTTTTCAAAAATGTTTTTGTAAGACACAACTTTCTATTATTTATTAATGAATATTTATTTAGAAAGTTCGTTTTTTGTTACATGAAACTTTATCATTTAAATTTTTCAATTTTTCACACTTGAATTCAGGTATTTCTTATTTTTTAATTAAAAAAAACGCTCAAATAAACGTGTTTTGCTAATTGCAAGAATTTTTAGGTTCGAAACTTCTCATTCCTAGCATCAAATAAACTGGTATACTTTTATTTACGTAATTCCTGGCCTCTAGAAGTAAATTTACTAAAAATTTGGTGAAATTTCAGCTAAAATACTTTTTCAAAAAACATAAGTTTTTCTTTCAATTTTATAGCCTTAAAAATTTCAAAAATGAATCGAAATGTTATTTCTCTGTCTTCCTTTCATCCTCCTCTACTCGCTCATATACCATTTACCCGTGAATTTCTCGAATTTTTTGAAAAATTTCGAAAAAACACGCTATTTTTGGCCGTCCAAATCGAGAGAGTGGCGCAGAGAAAAAGACGCTCGTTTCTCGACACGAACAAAAATATTTTGGTAATACTACTGTATCTATTGCTTCGCGTGTGTCTTTTTCACGCGTTTCTCGAAACGAACAAACAAAAATACCATAAAACTACTGTACTTAAAGGGAGTTTTCGCGTCTGTGTCATTTCTCTCGATTCGGACGCTCTTCTTCTTTTTAAAATAGCGTGAAAATTCAAAAAAATTGAAAAAAAAAATGAGAGAGTGTTGTTTGCTGTAGAGACGCAGACAACGAGAGAGCGCACACACCTCGCGTCGTCCTGTGGATATTGTGTAATATATAAAAATTCAAAAAATACTCCTACCGTACTCTTCATCAAAGGCGCACACAATTTTTATCTCGTCTCCCGCAACGCGGGTGTGAAATTCTCTTTAATTTTTTGTTCAAAAAATTGCGCCCTGCAGGTGCATGGGTCCACAGATTTTTTTTAAGCCACGACGGAAAATGCGCCAGCCTAAAAATATTTTTTTGCAAGTTGTGCAAAAATATTTTTTTGACCTAGGTCACTTTATTTTTTGGTGGGCGGCGGCGGGAAGTTTTGAATTCGCTAGACTATAGTCTAGTTCGGGGTATAAAAGACGAGCGTTCGCCGTTGGTTGGCATTCTCTCTTTTTACGGGAGACCTATTCCTGCTGCCTTCTTGCTGTCTTCTTGCTGCCTGCCTTCCTGCCTGCCACCGTCTTCCGTCGCCGTCTTCTGCATTCAGCCGCCTCTCGTCTTCAGCCGCCTTTCGTCTTCAGCCGCCTCTCGTCTTCAGCCGCCAACGTCTTCACTATCTGCCACGTCAAGCTGTTTTGCAAGAAGAACTGGATCGATATTATTCAGATAAGTTGTTTTTTTTTCATTTATCTCCATTTTTGTGCTTTTTCGTTCGTTTTGTTTCAGGAACTACGACAACCGTGTCCATCAGCTTCAGTTCTGCATTTGCTGTCAAATCGCCTCCTCAAATTGCTTCATCTTCAGTTGCTGATCCTGGTGATTTCGTAATGAAGGAATTCTCGGTATTTTCACTGAGAATTTTTCGTTGTCAAGCTCGAGTCACCAGGATAATCACCACCAAGTGGCAAATTTGGAAACAAGTCTGGCTCGCCAAAAATTTGGAAATTTTCCATTTTTCTGGCTCATATCGGACTGTTTCTAGGTTTTGCCACTAGCGCATCACGCGCTCACCATTGAAATAATAAAGTTTTTTTTGTAATGCGTTTTTGATTCCTCCCAATCGACTGATTTCTTAAAAATTCCGATACTAATCATTTTTTTTTCCAGAATTGTCATTGCTGATTTTCTACTTCCCGGCTGCTTCAACCGTCTCCAGCAATCTTCACAAGATCGCCGCTGTCAAGCTGACCTCAACACACATCATTGCTATCAATTCGTCGCCTCATCTTCAGTCGCTGTTCAACACCTTCAATGCCGAGCAGCCGCAAATCATCGTCGTCTTCAGAAGCCGCCAAGTCGAGCTGGAAATGGAAGATTTTTGCACCGTCTACAGGATTTCAATCGGAATTCGAGTTACCTTTGGCTGAAAACCTTTGAGCATAAGATTTACTCTGATATCGAAGATTATTAGGCGATGATTGAAAATTTTTTGGCTCAGAAAAAACATCAAAACTTTAAAGCATTATGTATTTAGAGTATACGTTTTTTCCCACATTTTCTCATTTTCAGGATCGAATCAACGAGGTGTTTCAAGTGGGCAGCATAAACTACAATGTCATCTCCAACAATCTCCACAACGACAGAAATTGCAAAAGCGGTTCCGACTCCGAAAGCTGATGTTGCTCTACCACGTGAGCAGAAATGTCAAGTTTTTGCCGAGTTGCCACGTCTCAGTTTGATCGAATCGTCTCCTGCAAATTTCGCAATCGTCTTTGCCAAGCTGACTGCTCCACTCCAATACAACGCCATCAATTCGTCGTAGTCTTCAGCCGCTGTTCAACATCTGGAATGTCGAGCAGCCGCACGTTCATCGTCGTCTTCAGAAGCCGCCAAGTCGAGCTGGAACTGGAGGATTTTTCGACCGGAATTCGATTTATCAGGTCGTTTTTTTTTAAATTTTTATTTAAAATTAGGATACGTTTTCTAGATATTCTAAAACTTCTAGATGATTTAGGCTTTGATTGTAAATTTAAAGAAATCTAGGGTTTTTAAGCTAGATAATTTTCAATCATTATCAGCAACATTTTTGGCGTGTAGGATTTACTCCGATAGTCAAATAAAAATGTGCACTTTGGCTGAAAACCTTTGAGCATAAGATTTACTCTGATATCGAAGATTATTAGGCGATGATTGAAGATTTTTTGGCTTAGAAAAAACATTAATGCTTTAGAGTTATGTATTTATTTGTTAGAGTATACGTTTTTCTCACATTTTCTCATTTTCAAGATCGAATCAATGTGATGTTTCAAGTTGGCAGCGTCGACTTCAACAACATCTTCTACAATCTCTACAACAACAGCACTTGCCGAAGCGGTTCCGACTCCGAAAGCTGTTATTGCTCCACCACGTGAGCTGAGATGTCAAGTTTTTGCCGAGTTGCCACGTCTCAGTTTGATCGAATCGTCTCCTGCAAATTTCGCAATCGTCTTTGCCAAGCTGACTGCTCCACTCCAATACAACGCCATCAATTCGTCGTAGTCTTCAGCCGCTGTTCAACATCTGGAATGTCGAGCAGCCGCACATTCATCGTCGTCTTCAGAAGCCGCCAAGTCGAGCTGGAACTGGAGGATTTTTCGACCGGAATTCGATTTATCAGGTCGTTTTTTTTTAAATTTTTATTTAAAATTAGGATACGTTTTCTAGATATTCTAAAACTTCTAGATGATTTAGGCTTTGATTGTAAATTTAAAGAAATCTAGGGTTTTTAAGCTAGATAATTTTCAATCATTATCAGCAACATTTTTGGCGTGTAGGATTTACTCCGATAGTCAAATAAAAATGTGCACTTTGGCTGAAAACCTTTGAGCATAAGATTTACTCTGATATCGAAGATTATTAGGCGATGATTGAAGATTTTTTGGCTTAGAAAAAACATTAATGCTTTAGAGTTATGTATTTATTTGTTAGAGTATACGTTTTTCTCACATTTTCTCATTTTCAAGATCGAATCAATGTGATGTTTCAAGTTGGCAGCGTCGACTTCAACAACATCTTCTACAATCTCTACAACAACAGCACTTGCCGAAGCGGTTCCGACTCCGAAAGCTGTTATTGCTCCACCACGTGAGCTGAGATGTCAAGTTTTTGCCGAGTTGCCACGTCTCAGTTTGATCGAATCGTCTCCTGCAAATTTCGCAATCGTCTTTGCCAAGCTGACTGCTCCACTCCAATACAACGCCATCAATTCGTCGTAGTCTTCAGCCGCTGTTCAACATCTGGAATGTCGAGCAGCCGCACATTCATCGTCGTCTTCAGAAGCCGCCAAGTCGAGCTGGAACTGGAGGATTTTTCGACCGGAATTCGATTTATCAGGTCGTTTTTTTTTAAATTTTTATTTAAAATTAGGATACGTTTTCTAGATATTCTAAAACTTCTAGATGATTTAGGCTTTGATTGTAAATTTAAAGAAATCTAGGGTTTTTAAGCTAGATAATTTTCAATCATTATCAGCAACATTTTTGGCGTGTAGGATTTACTCCGATAGTCAAATAAAAATGTGCACTTTGGCTGAAAACCTTTGAGCATAAGATTTACTCTGATATCGAAGATTATTAGGCGATGATTGAAGATTTTTTGGCTTAGAAAAAACATTAATGCTTTAGAGTTATGTATTTATTTGTTAGAGTATACGTTTTTCTCACATTTTCTCATTTTCAAGATCGAATCAATGTGATGTTTCAAGTTGGCAGCGTCGACTTCAACAACATCTTCTACAATCTCTACAACAACAGCACTTGCCGAAGCGGTTCCGACTCCGAAAGCTGTTATTGCTCCACCACGTGAGCTGAGATGTCAAGCTTTTGCCGAGTTGCCACGTCTCAGTCTGATTCAATCGTCTCCTGCAATCTTCTCAATATCGCCTCTGTCAAGCTGACTGCAACACTCCTATCAATTGCTATGAATTCGTTGCCATCTTCTGCAACTGTTCAACACCTGAAATGTGGAGCAGCCGCCAATCCATCGTCGTCTTCAGAAGCCGCCAAGTCGAGCTGGAAATGGAAGATTTTTTCAATCGGAAGTCGATTTACCAGGTCGTTTTTTTTCAATTTTTTTTTACAATTAGGATACGTTTTCTAGATATTTTAAAACTTCTAGATGGTTTAGGCTTTGATTGTAAATTTAAAGAAATCTAGGGTTTTTAAGCTAGATAATTTTCAATCATTATCAGCAACATTTATTGGCGTGTAGGATTTACTCCGATAGTCAAATAAAAATGTGCAATTTGGCTGAAGATCTTTGAGCATAAGATTTACTCTGATATCGAAGATTATTAGGCGATGATTGAAGATTTTTTGGCTTAGAAAAAACATTAATGCTTTAGAGTTATGTATTTATTTGTTAGAGTATACGTTTTTCTCACATTTTCTCATTTTCAAGATCGAATCAATGTGATGTTTCAAGTGGGCAGCGTCGACTTCAACAACAACTTCCACAACACAATCTACACAACGACAGCACTTGCCGAAGCGGTTCCGACTCCGAAAGCTGATGTTGCTCCACCACGTAAGCAGAAATATCAAGTTTTTGCCGAGCTGTCTGCTTGAATCGTGCCCTGCGAATTTCGCAATCGCCTCTGCCAAGCTGACTGCTCCACTCCAATACATCGTCATCAGCTGTTGCACCTCCGTAAGCTGCTGCCGCGAGTCGTGACCACAAGAAGTCTTCTCTGCGCAGGGAGACAGCTAAACAACTTTTAGGGCTGTATAATGAATGTTTTTTGAGTGAGTTTTTTTTGTTTCCCCATAATCAACAGATTTATCCATGTATTGGTAGCAAAGTTCTTTTTTTCAGAATTGTCAGTGCAATGCCACGCTGCTGATCGCGAGTCGCATTCGGATGAAGTCAAGCAGCCTCCGAGTGTAGCCAGTGATGGATCGGTGACTCGAAAGATGATGCAAAGATGAAACGCTCGACAACCAGCCCAGTATGGCCACCAAGTTCAACAACAAGAACGGAGGACGAGGACAAATGCATTGTAGTTAGTTTATTTTTTAGGGTTGGACCCCGTAAAACGAGAAAATTTTTCGAATAATTTAGAAATTATCAACTTCTTTTTAGTATCTTTTTCAAATTTTCATCAATTTTAACTAAGACTTCTTGTTTGTAGGATTGGGTAGAAATCAGTGAGATTTTTAGTTTGATATTAGTAGTTTCAAAAAATTAGGGTTTTTTTTTGGATTCAAAAACAAGATTGATTTGAATTCTTGATAATTATAAATTAAGAGACCAAATCTCTTAATTTATCGAATTTTCAAGAGTTGCGTTGATCAGTCTTTTTTTTAGAGTTCAATTAAAAATCCGATTTTTTAAAAATATAAATTTGACTTCTTGTTTTTATGTAGGATTGGGTAGAAATTAGTGAAATTTTTAGTTTGATATTAGTAGTTTCAAAAAATTAGGGTTTTTTTTGGATTCAAAAAACAAGATTGATTTGAAATCTTGAAAGTTATAAATTAAGAGACCAAATCTCTTAATTTATCGAATTTTCAAGAGTTGCATTAATCAGTCTTTTTTTTAGAGTTCAATTAAAAATCCGATTTTTTAAAAATATGAATTTGACTTCTTGTTTTTATGTAGGATTGGGTAGAAATTAGTGAAATTTTTAGTTTGATATTAGTAGTTTCAAAAAATTAGGGTTTTTTTTTGGATTCAAAAACAAGATTGATTTGAAATCTTGAAAGTTATAAATTAAGAGACCAAATCTCTTAATTTATCGAATTTTCAAGAGTTGCATTAATCAGTCTTTTTTTTAGAGTTCAATTAAAAATCCGATTTTTTAAAAATATGAATTTGACTTCTTGTTTTTATGTAGGATTGGGTAGAAATTAGTGAAATTTTTAGTTTGATATTAGTAGTTTCAAAAAATTAGGGTTTTTTTTTGGATTCAAAAACAAGATTGATTTGAAATCTTGAAAGTTATAAATTAAGAGACCAAATCTCTTAATTTATCGAATTTTCAAGAGTTGCATTAATCAGTCTTTTTTTAGAGTTCAATTAAAAATCCAATTTTTTAATAGTATAAATTTGAATTATTGTTTGTAGGATTGGATAGAAATCAGTGAAATTTTTAGTTTGATATTAGTAGTTTCAAAAAATTAGGGTTTTTTTTGGATTCAAAAACAAGATTGATTTGAATTCTTGAAAGTTATAAATTAAGAGACCAAATCTCTTAATTTATCGAATTTTCAAGAGTTGCGTTGATCAGTCTTTTTTTTAGAGTTCAATTAAAAATCCGATTTTTTAAAAATATAAATTTGACTTCTTGTTTTTATGTAGGATTGGGTAGAAATTAGTGAAATTTTTAGTTTGATATTAGTAGTTTCAAAAAATTAGGGTTTTTTTTTGGATTCAAAAACAAGATTGATTTGAATTCTTGAAAGTTATAAATTAAGAGACCAAATCTCTTAATTTATCGAATTTTCAAGAGTTGCGTTGATCAGTCTTTTTTTTAGAGTTCAATTAAAAATCCGATTTTTTAAAAATATAAATTTGACTTCTTGTTTTTATGTAGGATTGGGTAGAAATTAGTGAAATTTTTAGTTTGATATTAGTAGTTTCAAAAAATTAGGGTTTTTTTTGGATTCAAAAACAAGATTGATTTGAATTCTTGAAAGTTATAAATTAAGAGACCAAATCTCTTAATTTATCGAATTTTCAAGAGTTGCGTTGATCAGTCTTTTTTTTAGAGTTCAATTAAAAATCCGATTTTTTAAAAATATAAATTTGACTTCTTGTTTTTATGTAGGATTGGGTAGAAATTAGTGAAATTTTTAGTTTGATATTAGTAGTTTCAAAAAATTAGGGTTTTTTTTTGGATTCAAAAACAAGATTGATTTGAATTCTTGAAAGTTATAAATTAAGAGACCAAATCTCTTAATTTATCGAATTTTCAAGAGTTGCGTTGATCAGTCTTTTTTTTAGAGTTCAATTAAAAATCCGATTTTTTAAAAATATAAATTTGACTTCTTGTTTTTATGTAGGATTGGGTAGAAATTAGTGAAATTTTTAGTTTGATATTAGTAGTTTCAAAAAATTAGGGTTTTTTTTTTGGATTCAAAAACAAGATTGATTTGAATTCTTGAAAGTTATAAATTAAGAGACCAAATCTCTTAATTTATCGAATTTTCAAGAGTTGCGTTGATCAGTCTTTTTTTTAGAGTTCAATTAAAAATCCGATTTTTTAAAAATATAAATTTGAATTCTTGTTTTTATGTAGGATTGGGTAGAAATTAGTGAAATTTTTAGTTTGATATTAGTAGTTTCAAAAAATTAGGGTTTTTTTTTTGGATTCAAAAACAAGATTGATTTGAATTCTTGAAAGTTATAAATTAAGAGACCAAATCTCTTAATTTATCGAATTTTCAAGAGTTGCGTTGATCAGTCTTTTTTTTAGAGTTCAATTAAAAATCCGATTTTTTAAAAATATAAATTTGACTTCTTGTTTTTATGTAGGATTGGATAGAAATCAGTGAGATTTTTAGTTTGATATTAGTAGTTTTAAAAAAATGTGTTGAAAATTGTGTTGTTTTCTTTTTTTTATCACTTCATGATAACAGAATTCAGTTTTCCAAAAACAAAAAAAAATAACATCAGAATTAATTCTCGGTTTAATCTACCGTAGTCTCTACCAAATCACATCATTTCTCGCAGATTAATTTATTTTTCCTTTTGTAAGATAGATTTCAGGGAGAAAAAATCGCATCTTTATTTATTTTAATTTCCTAATCGAATTTCCTGCTCTCTTTTCTCGAACTCGCCATTTTTTGTTCTTTTTCAAAAGAATTTTAGCTACTGACTGAGAGCTCAGAAAAAGCTCAAAGAAGCTCGAGTCGCTTTTATGTTTTTGCTCATCTCGAAACATGGAAACTTGGACTTTTTTACTGCTTACCAAGAAAAACATAGTCCAAAAAATTTTAGAACTAACAAAAAATAGTTATCTAAGTTACAGAACAATTATATTTTTTCAATCAACATTTGAGATTTATCGCTTTCAATAAAAATAGGCCATTCAGACTCAAAAAAAGTCCAAAAAATTACGAGATCAATTTTTGTCGTGGCCTGCAAAAAATTAGTGTAACAATCTCGTTTTTTCTCTCCTTCATCCATTCAAACACCATTTTTTTTTTCAATTATTTTTTTTAGAAAAAAATTATTATTTTCCAATTTTTCTCTAGCTTCTGCTTTATTTTATCAAAAAGAATCACACAATAATAATAATTACTATTATCATCGTGTCTTCTTCTCATGTGATTTTGTTATCTGACAAAGAAATTGTTGTTTTGCGCGAATTTTTGTACTTTGTGTTCTGGAACCATCAAGGTGTTGATTTAGTAGGACGTAAAAATTAGTGAAAACTGGTGAAAATCCACGTAAAATGATTTTTAGATACACTGAATTTGGAAAACAAATTCAAAAATTGAGATGGCTTCAAAAAAGCATAGAGTTTTTTAGTTTTTTATGAAATTATCTGTTTTCATATTCAAATTTTGGGATTGGATGAAATATTTTACAGTATAAATGTAAGATTCTGAAACTATCTTTTTTTTTCCAAAGGCTTATGTGAGTCGAGTTGCATAAAAACTGAGGTTTAAAAAAGCTTCTCTCAATTTTAGATTTCGAGTCTCAATAATTTTTACTCTGAAGTTTTCGAAATTTCTTGAAACGTTTCAGACCCGAAATTCCTAATTTTCCGTTTATCTGAAGTTCTCTCCATAATATCGCGATACACGTTTTGCTTTTAGTCTTTAGTCGGGCCGTGAATATCACGAACCTTCCCTTTGAACTCTGATTTTTCGCTCCACTCAAAATTTCCACATGAACAGCATCATAAATATTTGCAACTCTTATCAAAATAAAAGCCGATTTCAGACACTTTATCACATTTTCTGTTCTGAAAGAGAATGGCGTGAAACCCTTTTTTTGGTCTGTTATCAGCTGACACAGACACACAAAAAACCCTCTTTCAACAAACAAAAAATAATCAATTTCAAAATTTTTATTATTCACAAAAAACGAGAGAAAATTAAGATAAAACAGTGTCATTTTCGTGCTAATTTTTCAACAAACAAAACAAAGTTCTATTTAGTTTTGTTGAGTTGATTGATTGAGATTATGAGTTCAAAAAAACATTACGAAACAATTCCGGGATTCTCTGGAAAGGTGAGTAAATACGGTAGCAGGAAACATAGATTTTTCCGATGCGTAGATTTGAACGCGAATTCTTGAATCTAGTTTTTTTTTCCAAATTTTAGACATCTTGATTGTTACACCGAAGATCAGCTAAATTTTTAATGGAAAAAAATGAAAGATATTTTTGACACGTTTGCGTAAAAAATTAACAGAAATTTGTCATTTCTAATTTTTATTAACTTGTAAAAATGGTTGACTCAGTCGAAGTGAAGTGAAGTGAGTTGAAATTAGTCATCATTACTGTAGACTATCCACAATTACTGTAGAAGACCCCCGGATACTGTAAAAAAAATTAGGAATCCAACTACTGTACTGAGCAGATTTCCTCCATCTGTTATTTGGCCCTGAAATTTTGCCCTATTTTGCAAACAACAAAAAGTTCCGTTACCAACATTTTACAGTTTGTGTTTATTTTATTCTCAAAGATTTGCATAATAATAAAACAATTATTATTCAAATATTTTTCCGCGATCATATGAATTTTTTCGCACCAAATTCTACAGTAACCCACCCAACTAGAACTTTTTCCATTTCTATTTGCTCTATTTCTCTCACACTTTTTTCAGAAAAAAAAGCATAAAAATAGAGAATATTTCGAAATTTTTCGTCACATGAGATTTGTCTCGTTTTCAATACTTTTTTATGAAATGTGATATTTTTATTGAAAAAAAGTATGTCAATTTTTTTTTTGGGTTGAGACACCCACGTGTTAAGTTGGCGTAAAAAATATGCGATCCCCTTAAGATTACATTTTTTCGTATAACTTCTGGCCAAAAATAAATATGAAAAATACTAATCCACTCGTTTTTTTTTGCATCAAAATATAATATTTGCTTTTCATTTTTTGTGTTGTGTTGGCCAATAAAATCCACGTGTAGATTCTATGGATTTTCAAGCATTGTCACGTGGCAACAATCTTAATAAAGCTATTACGTGGCAAAATTTTGTAATAAATCTTGGCTAAGGTAGTAGTTTCCAAATATATAAATCCTAGTTGTCAAGTAGCCGCGCCTAGAGAATCAAACTTTCAAGGATAATAGATCTCATTTCTCAAGTTACCGTGCCTAGACTGTCTTGTAATTGGGAAGAAGGAAAATCTTTTAGAGTTCAGACCTCAAATCTGTATCCTATTTTATTATTATTACAAATAAAATTTTCCCATGATTTTGTAGTAGGCGAGTCTCAAAATACTTCTAAAAATAATTTCTGTAATTTTTCGAATGAAACCTTGTCGATAATACTCTGCCACATCATCTTTGTTTTCCTGGACTATGTTGAGAAAGTGATTGAAATTAGTAAGTAAGCTTGGAAAAAATTGAAGTGGTATAGTCTGATTTCATCATATTTTTTGAGTGGAAAAATTAAGGTTAGGGAAGATTTTGTAATGATGTGCACTTTTCCGCGAAAAAGTGTCAATTTTTCCACTCATTTTTCACTCATTCGTCGCCATCAGAGTTGTAGAATCACATTTCATGGTAAGATTTTTTGTGAAAAAGTTATTACATGGAAAAACTTCGTTTAAAAATTGAAGCCTTTTTTAGGCGGTATTTTTAGATGATACTGTGAATCTGAATTTTCCACTCACTTTTCATCCATTCAGAAAATCCACGTAGCATAATTTGAATTCAGAATTCTGTGCGCTGTTCAAAGTTTAAATTCGAACTTTTCTACATCCCTTTGAAAAACCCTTCGAAACATCCCAAGCTCTACAGATTTTTTTTTGAATTCATTCATTCATTCAAATAAATCCTCGCAAAAAATATGAATTTTTCCACTCATTTTTCATCCATTCATCATCACCATGAAGCTCAAAAAAATGTATATTATTTGCCTTGGGGTCCACTTTCCTCCTCCTCCTCCTTGCTTTTTTTTCCCTTCATCTCACAATATATTTTTTTTGTGTTGTCCTGGTCATCTCTTCTCTTCGTTTTTTTCGTCGGCGCGCGTGCTTCATTCTTCTCCTTCTTCTCCCCAGTTTTTCTTTTATGTCTCATCATTTTCTCTAACAAACTGAGAGAAAGGAAAAAAAAACGAGGGAATATTTTATACATACACAATGTGTCGTTGGGTGCGCCTTGCACTCACCACACAAAAAGTCACTCGCGTTTTTTTTTTTGGTTGTCACAACTCGCCTTTTTCGCGTTTTCGCCTGGCCTAAACATTTTTTTTGGTGGGTGGGGTACTGTAGGTTTTAGGTCTTGAAGTTAGTAGAGCTAGGGATACTGTAGATTTTAGGATCTTTCGAACTTTCTGGATTTTTTATTCTATGGGACGGAGGGGAGGGGTACTGTAGTTTTGAGATTTTTTGAATTCATGAAACTTTTGAATTTTTTGAGAATCAACGGAATCTAGGATTTTTTTTTTTCAATTTTTTGGAATCTTCGAAATCGAGGGCCCTGAATTTTTTATTTGGTCAAAATTCCCAAAAGTCTAGACTTAGGCTCTGAAAATTCCACGTGGCTTAGTTAGAGCCCAGATTTTGAGAAGGGCTCTGGAGAACTCTAGGTTTTGTAGGTACTGTAGAAAATTGTTGTGGAATTTTTTTCCCAAAAATTTATGGATTCGCGGAATTTTTCTAACTCTCTTCTAAAAAGCGAAAATTCTGATTGTGAGGCGTTTTTGGCTAGTTTTTTTTATTTGCCGATTCTAGAATACTGTAGATGAAAGTTTTCAGAAGCATCTCAAGTTTTGTATCTCTAGAGTACTGTAGATTTAATGTTAAGATCTATGAAAAATTCAGAATTTTTTCTAATTGCAAAAATTTAGACATTTCCAAGGTAAAGTAGATTTTTTTGTTTTTTTAGTTTCAAAACTCTATTTTCTCTTGTCAAATACTGTAGACTTCGCGTGTGTTTCTGAAAATTCCAGTATTCAATTTCCTTTCTCTTTTCACTTCAATTTCAATTTCATCTACTCCCCCTCAAAAAGTTCCAAATTCCTAGATATCTACTTACAAGATCCACATGTTTTTTCCTTGGCGAAAAATTTGATTATGATGACGAGTGTGTTTTTGTCTGTTTGAGGAGGGATGAGTGGGAAAAAGAGTGAACTTTGAGATTTTGTACTTTTTTTGAGAGCCCTGATTGAGATAAAAATAGACAATTTCTTTGAATTTCAGAAACGAGAAAAAACTAATTACACACTAACGACTTCTAAGAACTACATTTCTAGAACTTTAGAGTTTTGAATAATTTTTTCGAAAAATTTCGTTTTCCGTTTTTTCAATTCACTTTCTTTCATTTTCTCAACAAAAAATCTAATAATAAAAAATCGTTTTGCACTTGGTTTGCACTTGTCGTGGGAACAAAAAGTGCACCCAACTTTCTCTAACTCCCTCTCTCTCTCTCTCTCTTATTTTTTTCCTATTTGCACAAAAAATTGTCATTTTCTTCATTTTGTCATACGCCCTTTTATGACTCAAAAATTGGCCAAATTATTATTAGTTTTTTCCTGACTGAAAACAAGTTTTTTGTAAAAATTTTTGATAGGGATCTTCGAAAAAATGTCTTATTCGCGTTGGATTCTTTGATACAGTACAGTATTCCTTGCAGTTTGGTAAAAGGGGGCGTTGAACTTTGGCGCCAGTTTTTCTGATCAGAAAAATATACTTTTCTGCCTCGAACTTCGAAAAAATCTATTTTTATCCTCTTTTTTTCTTCGTCATTCTATCCGACATTTTTTTATTCATGAACATTCCCCAAAAATGTATCACAATTTTTGTTTCAAATTTTTGTTGATAAAATTGCATTTTGAAAAAAAAACAAAAACAAATTGTGTTTTAGTCTTTTTTGTTTTGTTACTTTACAGTCTGAAAATATTTTCATTTCTCATTTTTCGACCAGAACTACAATCAAAACCAAAACCAAAAAAAATTGGTCACGATTTGTTTATTTTCTGTCGTTTTTGCCGAAAAATGAATGATGATTGAAAACTCGTTTGGAAAAAAAGAGAACAAAAATAACCTTGAAACATTTTTTGGCGTCAAACAATATTTTTTGATTTCTGTTTTTTGGGTAACACTTCCGAGTTCAAAACCCGACATTGACTAGGATTTTAAAGAAGTCGTAAATCTACGTGACAAAAAATCCGCGCCAAAAATCACATGATTCAAGTTTTGCAACTTTTTCTCACGTGGATTTATATAGACGTCACGAGTTTTTATTTCCAGTTTTTGGGGTTGTTTTTATTGAGTACTACTGTAGGAACCAAAAATTTCATTCTTCACGCAATAAACTGAAATGGCTTTTTTTCTCATTTTTAATTTACTGCGTCAAACTTTTTTGAGAATGTGATCTATAACAAGGTTAATATACCATCTGATTCATCTCAACGAGACGAATCGAATGGTTTAATCAAAATACTATGAAACTTTCTCTAAATTGCGCAATTATTGCTGAAAACAACTTTAAATTTTTTGTGTGCAAACACCATGACGCACAAATACACAAACATCATACCGTAGTAAAAATTCGGGCGTCCAAATATTTTTTGTTGTTGTTTCGCTACTCCTTTTCAAAGTTTTTTGCAATCCTAAATGTTTTCTGTTTCTAGAATAAAGCCGATCGTATGGGCCCTGGCGGCTCTTGCCGTCCAACAACAAGAACGCTCAATGCGGGAAATTCTGGAACAAATGGAGGTGCAACTGGAAACAGCGGAGGATCGAATGATTTGGATTTCGAAATTTTCGCATATCGTACAACCACCTGGAGAACTGTAAGTTCTTGTGAAGAAATTTGAATAACTTTTTCTGAATGGGAAACGGAAGAAAACGTTTTGTGATAGATCAAAAGAAAAATTTCGAACACACCCACATTTTTTGTACCAAGGACATTATTATTTTATTTTCTTTTGAAGAAGGAGAGAAAAAAAATAAAGAAAGCACCGGAAATCCGGAAAAATCTATAGTCAAAGTGACTATGGTTTTGACCCCAGGAAAGGGAAGGAACTAAAAATGATTTTTTTTGCAGATTTTCTTCTATATTTTCTCCTTTGGAACATGTGGTATATTTCGGCTGATTTTGCACTGGTTTCCAAAACTTTTTATCGAGTTTCGCGCCAAACGTTGCTCGGTTCAAAATGCTAATCTGGTACTTGTGATGTAAGTTTTTGTTAGGTCGACCCCTCGTTCCTCACCAAAATCAATTTTTATTTCAGTGATAGTCACGAGCGTTCCGAAATCTGTCGTGTTTTCTATCGAAATCGTAAAAGTACTGAACATACAGTTGTTGCTCATACAGATGGAAGTCTTATCGAATTCGACGAATTACGATGGTTTTTCTATCGTAAACTTCAATACACGTGGATCGATGGTGAATGGACGACAGCGTCTCGCGCATTTTCAAGTGTAACTCCAGAAAATATGACAAAAATGACGAAAGGATTGACTGATGATGACGTGGCACTACGACAAACATACTTCGGACAAAATGTGATGACTGCTGAATTGACACCGTTTTTTGAAATTGTTCTCAAAGAAATATTGACACCTTTCTATATATTTCAAGCATTCAGTGTTACAGTTTGGTATATTGATGACTATGTTTGGTATTCAACTTTGATCATTTTAATGACATCTTATTCAATTATTTTGACATTGAGACAAACAAGACAACAAGAATCTCGAATTCGATCGATGGTTGTTGAACATGATGAAGTTGAAGTATTGAGAGATGATGGAAGAGTTCGAACTATTGATAGTAGTGAGGTAATAACAATATATATTCAAATTTAAATTAAATTCTAAATAATATAATTAATTTTAGGTAGTGCCTGGCGATATTTTGATAATTCCACCACAAGGATGTATGTTATATTGTGATTGTGTTCTTTTGAATGGATCTGTTATTGTCAATGAAAGTATGCTAACCGGTGAATCGATTCCAATCACAAAAACCGCAATTTCGGATGATGGACATGAAAAGTATTTTTCAATTGATAAACATTCGAAAAACGTGTTATTCAATGGCACAAAAGTTCTTCAAACCAAATATTATAAAGGTCAACATGTGAAAGCATTGGTTATTCGAACTGCTTATTCAACAACAAAAGGTCAATTAGTTCGATCAATTATGTATCCAAAACCAGCCGATTTCAAATTCTTAACTCAATTGATGAAATTTGTTGGAGTTTTATCGATTGTCGCGTTATTTGGATTCCTTTACACTGCGATTGTTTTGATAATCAATGATAAATCAGTATGGAAAGTATTGATTCGAGCATTAGATCTTGTTACAATAACAGTTCCACCAGCTCTTCCAGCCGTTATGTCAATTGGTATTTACTATGCTCAAAAACGTTTAAAAAAGCAAAGTATATACTGTATATCTCCAACAACAATTAATACGTGTGGTGCAATCGACGTGGTATGTTTCGATAAAACGGGTACACTCACTGAAGACGGTCTTGATTTCTATGCTGTTCGGATGGTTGATGAGAAGAAATGCGATTTACTTGAACCGGTTACAAAAATCACAAGTGATTCAATGTGTCGAAAAATGGTAACAGCAATGGCAACGTGTCATTCGTTGACTAAAATTCATCAGGAATTACACGGTGATCCATTAGATGTTATTTTATTCGAACAAACTGGATTCACTTTGGAAGATATGGATGATGATGAAAGTGGAAGCGAATCAGATCATTCTGTTCAACCAATTCTTGTTCGACCATCTTCAAATACACCAGATCAAACAGATATGTCAATTATGAAACAATTTATATTCAATTCTGCATTACAAAGAATGTCTGTAATTGTATCCGGAAATCAAACCTTGAAAGCATATTGTAAAGGATCGCCTGAAATGATTGTATCATTGTGTAAACCTGACACTGTTCCTGAAAATTTTCATGATATTGTGGAAGAATATACACAACATGGTTATCGATTGATTGCGGTTGCTGAGAAAGATATCGAAAATGGGACGGGAATTTCGAAAATTTCGAGAACAAGTGTTGAATGTGATTTGGAATTATTGGGATTTGTTGCGTTGGAAAATCGATTGAAACCAGTTACAAAAGAAGTTATCGATGATTTGAACAAGTGAGTTTGAAGAATTTTTTAGGGGGAATTTCGAATTTATAAAAACAAATAGGAATTGAAAAAAATTGTGGAAGATATTGTAATAGTTTTGAAAAAAAATGTAGAATTAATCAAGAGAACAAATTTACAAATTTTGCAGAGCAAATATTCGATCAATAATGGTAACTGGTGATAATTTATTGACAGCTCTTTCTGTTGCTCGAGAATGTTCTATAATTGGAGAAGATAGAAAAGCATATCTGATTGAACATCATCAAAATGAGACTGATAATCGTGGTCGACCAATTCTAACACTTCGACATAGCGAGATCGGAAATTCGAGAAATATAAAATGCAGTGATTTGAGTAAACTTGCCTCAAATGATTTTCAATTTGCAATATCTGGTCCAACATTTAGTGTTGTCAGTCATGAATATCCTGAACTTCTCGATCAATTAGTTTGCGTTTGTAATGTTTTCGCAAGAATGGCACCAGATCAAAAACAACTTCTTGTCGAACATTTACAAACAGTTGGTTCAACAGTTGCTATGTGTGGAGATGGTGCAAATGATTGTGCAGCTCTAAAAGCTGCACACGCTGGAATATCACTTTCAGATGCTGAAGCATCGATTGCTGCGCCATTCACATCAAAAATAGCTGATATTCGATGTGTTATTACAATGATTCGAGAAGGACGTGCTGCATTAGTTACATCATTTTCAGCATTTCTTTGTATGGCTGGATATTCATTGACACAATTCATATCAATTTTATTGTTATATTATATTGCAACAAGTTATTCACAAATGCAATTTTTATATATCGATATGCCAATTGTCACATTATTAGCTTGGTTGTCATCTCGTGCAAAAGCTCATACATCACTTGCACCAAAACCTCCACCAACAAGTATTTTGTCTGTTTCAAGTATGGTTTCATTATTTGGTCAACTTGCGATTGGTGGTTTCTCGCAAATCTTGGTCTTTTGCTTGATAACACTTCAAGATTTCTTTGTACCATTCAAAGGAACACATCAAGATGCAGAAGATGAAAGAAAAAGTATGCAAGGAACTGCGATATTTTATGTATCAATGTTTCATTATATTGTGCTATATTTTATATTTGCAAAAGGACCACCATATCGAGCAAGTTTTCTATCAAATCGACCATTTGCATGGGCAATTCTTGTTATAACAATTGTTTGTATTTGGGTTGTTACGTGGAGTTTTACACCGGTTCATACATTTTTGGGATGTGTTGAGATTCCATTCGAATTTCGTTTGATTATTCTCGCAATTGCTGCTGTCACTGCAATTATTTCTCTTATTTTCGATCGATTTTTGGACAAAATATCTGCATATATCAGTGAAATGTTAGTTTTTCTATTTTTGGAAGACTTTTTCTGATCATATTTTTTTCAGAATTCGTCAACGTCGGAAACGAAACTAAACAATCTATGTTATGTGTTTCATTCCAAATGTGTTATTTATATAGTTAGAAGTTTTAAAATACTTGTATTCATTCCATAATAAAAGGGTTTTTCTAATAAACATCCTATATTTTCTGAAGAGAGAGGGCGTGCAAAACAGAGAGATGTAGAAAATGTGTAAAAACTTTGACGAACTTATGCACAACACACGCGATGGTTTCTACCGTACTCTTCTTCTCAGCAATTGAAATTCCCCAAAAAAATAAACCTTGCTTTTATTTTTTAGGAAATAATAAACACGTGAAATTCTTGCGTGAACATGTATTTGTCATTCTCTGATTGGTTGATGACGTGTTTATTTCCACGTTTCAATAATTCGAAAAAATCAATAAATTCAACCATTTCTGGTGAATCGGAGCAGAGAATTTGCAATGGTTGAAAACAGAACGAGAATGTGGATTATTCTGGCTTTGGTAATAACAATGGTTGAAGGATCGAATGAAAGTATGTTTTGTAAAAATAAATGATTTCACTTTAAAATATACATTTTCAGATGAAGACTATGTTGGATTATTGTGGAAAGTTGCTTATACTCCACCAGAACCTCCTAAAGAATTTCTTCCAATGGATTTTGACACTGTCAAAAACCGTGCTGATCTCAAAAAATGCAAAAAAAGTTTAGATTGTCCTTTGGATTTTTTCTGCAACGAGCCAATATCGAAAAAAATCAATAAAAAGTTCTGTTATCGTAGTAAGTTGATTTATTTGGGCACTAGAATACGTTTCATTCCTTATTAGCTTTTTTTAAACAAAAATTGTGGGTTGAGTTATGATAAGTTAGTCTCATCGTTTCATTTTGTTGTAATCATATTTTTATTCGACAGAATAACAGTACTAAACCATTGTTTTTCAGTTCCGACTTATTCTCCTGAAAAGTATTTTCAATCGCTGAGTGAAAACGCAATCGGTCTTCATCTGTGTAATATTAACGATCACCACTCTTCGAACAAATGTTCAACATGTCGGAAACCTGCTGAAATATCAAAAACCCCTGATAATGCCAAATTGTTATGGGGAAATAAGCGCTATGATGGATATTGTTTCAAAGGTAAACTTTTAAATTATTCGAAAATCAAGTATACTTATAATGGTATTTTTATACAGAGATTGAAGTAGGCTGCAAAAATGGAAAAGTTGGTTACAATAGAAATGAAATTGTTGAATACTGTAAAGAAGAGAAAGGCGCATTATCTGCATATATTTTTTCCAACCAAAAACGAATTGTTTGCTGTCCACGAACTTATTGCAAGCTGACAGGAACAAAAAATAATTTTCGATCAAGTGAATTGGATCTCGAATTATTCGCTATGTGTTCACATGTTCGCTTTGGCGGATCCGCTGGGTTATCTGGTAATTTGGCCAACATTATAAGTAATAAATTTGTTTTTTGTGATGCCGATAGTATAATATGTCGTAAGTTTTTATCAATTCACATAAAATTTTAAATTTCCACATATTTTCAGCATACCCATTTGCTTATCATTTGTTCAAAGATCATTTGATGAATTATTCCGAAATTCCATCGGAATTATTACCAGATGGTTTTAACAATGTGCAAAAAACACCTATCAAATGCAATAATAACAAAGATTGTGGCAATAATCGATTCTGTGGGCCTTTTTTATCATTTCAAACCAATCCGACAAACAAAAAAAGTTGCTATTTACGAAATCGAAAATATTATGATCAAAAAGCTGGAGACGACTGCAATTTAGATGAGAATTGTTTGGATGAAACTGGCAAACCAAATTTGGGAAAATTCATTTGTACCGAAAATTTGGAAACAATGCTTTTGGCATCGGAAGTCAATTATTGCTGGAATGGTATATTTATTCCAAAAAATATACCATTTAATTGATTTTTTCAGCACCGCCAATTCCAAAACCACATAAACTGTCAGAAGCTATGGATGAAAATGAAATTGGCTTGCATTTTTGTAATACACCTGATGATTGCCCATTGCTTCCCATTGGAAGTTTTGTATGCATACAATTTGGAAACGATGTGACATATATGGGAATTGTGAAAGATAGAAGAACATTATGTAATGGAATTTGTATCAAAACATCTCTTCCGAGTGAGTTTTCGGGAGGAAGTTGGATAAAAATTGCTAAAATCTGAAAAAATCAAATTGAATTATTTTTGGATAACTAGGAAGTCGTAGAATTTAGGAATTTGAAAAAAAATACCTTTAATTATTTCAAAATTCCGAAACTTGCCCAAAAAAACTATGAGCTATTGGAGTTTTAAATTTTTCTATTTTCCAAAAAAATCAACTTATATCTAGTGAATCTCGAGAAATAAATAACTGTCATATAATAATCCTTATTTTAATTTCAAAGAAGTGGTAAGTCAAACTGTGGCCGATGTTTTCTGTCCGGACCTCCAAACAAAATTAGCAAATGAGCCAAAATGTGATTCAAATGGAATTTGCACAACTCAACGTGGAGCTGTCTGTATATTAGGTCATTGTTGTCCATCTTCAGAATTCAATATGACAACAATGGAAGTAATTAAAGGAAAATATCATTATTTAACAGCAGAACCATGTGATCATTTTGATCAATCATATCGCAAATTATGGTATGCGTATTGTGATCCAGAAACAAGAAATATTGCATATTTTGGGAATATGTCAGAATTCGATGAACCACTTACAATGCTCGAATTCAACAAATCGTGTTTATCATGGAAATATTGCCCAACTGGATTTGTTTGTTTATTTCAAAATATAAAAGACAAACTTGGAAAATGTTATCATAATCCATTGAAACCAATTGTTCCAATTGAGAAGTTTGATTTTGAAATTCCTGAAGCCGAAATTCCAGCAAGTATTTATGTAATATTAGTAACATTAACATTAGGATTATTTATAATTGCATATGCAATTTATGAAACTGAAACAAATCGAAGAAAAAATGATGAAGAAAGAATTGAACGTGCAATTCGACATCAAATGGGTTTAGATGAAGCTGGTGTTATTGAAATTGATGAACATAATAGTGGATATATCACTATGTAATTACATTTTCTATTTATTATTCCTTGTAAATATTACGATTTTAATTTATTTATTTCTAGTTACAATCAATATAATTACTTCAAAATAAGTTTTTCAAATGATTTGATCATTTTTTCGATTAATAAAAATTACAATTCAATTTTTTTGTGGAAATAAATTTCCAATTTTCAGCCGGTTTTTTACAATTCAGACATCGATGTCAAAAAGTAGACAAACATGTAAATTGCGCAATATGCTAATATTTATTATTTGTTTGCTCAATATTTCATCGATATATAATGCTTACTATTCAATTTACACGTGACGCACTACTTATTGTTTTTCACCCCTTTTTCATTGTTACCGGAAAACAACAAAAAACTATTTCATGCTTTTGAGAAAGGAACAAACAAGGAATGGAATTATCCGGAAGTGTGCTCATCTTATCTCTCTTTTTTTTCTGTTTTGTGCCGTGCCACAAAAGGAACTTGGAGGCTCTTGTTTCAAGTGCGTTTTTACCTTGCGCATATTGAAAGAAAAAGAGAAAACAGAAAATAAAAGGACAGACAAAAGAAACAAAAGTATTTTTGTTGATTTTCAAAGAAAATCGAAAAATCAGGCATCAGTGAGCAAAAAAACAGATTCCGTGATCAAATTCAAGAATTGGAAAGTGAAAAAAAATACAAATAATTTGCTTTAATGTAGCTTTCAAAATTTTCTGGTAGTTCAAAATTATTTTGCTCTCTTATACTTGCGTTGAATTTCGTCGATTTGAGTCTTGGATTTGAAATTGCTGAGTTGTAAATTACAGTAGTAGAATTTAGAATAAAACATTATGATTTTCTAGTGAAAAATATATAAAACTCCCCATTTTCGAGATAAAAAATCGGGACCAAAGAATCTTGAAATTGTTTCATAACTTTCTTGTTTCCGAAGCATGTTCTGCAGAAAATATGTGATTATTAAATATGAACATTGTTTTCTATAGATATTATTATTATTATATTTGCGAACGAGCTGTCAATTGTGCTCTTTTGTATTCAATCATCCCAAAAAAGGATAAATAAACAAAATTTTCTTCTGGAAATTTCAAACCCTTTTTGGTATTTTCCATGATTCTTCTCAAAACCTTCTGTTCACAAAATGTATATTAAAATGAAAATCAAGAATTCTCTGATCAAGAACACCTTCCCTAACATAATCGGATTATTCATCGAAAAGTTACGTAACTTGCGGCGGTGTACACGCAACACACGCATGTGTGCGCGCTAAAAAACCAACCAAACTTGTGTGCCGCTTCGAAACCCCGCCTGCTGAACCGGAAAAAAGTGAAAATATGCGGCTGTGTTTCGACGGCAGCCGCAGAGGGAGACCTTTTTGTTTGTTGGTGGTGAGACTGTATTTGTTAGAGGCCGAGAGAAAAAAAAGAGCTGTGTGTTAGAAATTGGCACTAGCTATTTGATTCTTCTACATATATTCTATTCTTTATTTTATTCGATTAGATTTGTCTGAAAATTTCTGAAAAAGTGATGTTTGAGAGATGAAACGATGTTTAGATGTATATATTATTTCTATTTTAATTTTAATTTTGTGTTGCCTGAGTTTACGGGTTTCTTCGGGTCGAAGCAAAAAACCGGCTGTTAGAGAGGAGACTTTTTTGACCGAAGAGGATTTTTTGAGACCATTGAATGGTGAGTTATGGAAACTTTGAAAAAATGGGATATGGGGCTTCAAGATGTGGTCAGGATTATTTCCGAAACTATGTATTGAAGCTCCAAATAGATATATACCAGATCTATTATTATATGGGACCTTCTGGAGCCCCAATGCCAACCTTTGAAAAACTATGAAATAAAAAGTTTCGAATTTTTTGGAATTCTGAAATTTTTTCCGATCACCACTTTCACTTCCCCATTATAATTTTTGATTTTTTGGATTTCTGGTGTTATATTTCCAATATTTTTTCAGCCGATTCTGAATTCTATGTGAAAGCTTGAATATGTAACTTTTGGATGATTTCTAGATAGTTTTTAATAAGCTTATTGTTATTCTGAAAGTGAAATCACACTATATATTTTTGTTGTGAAAAAACGTTTGAGAAATTAGTACTCAGGGACATTTTTATGTAATATATCAGGATTACAGTAACTTTTAATATAATTAGAATTTGACTTGGGTTTAAACAGAACCTTGTTGAAGTTCTAATCTTATGAAAATAAAAAAAAAACAAAGTAAATACATTTTTTTCTAAATCAGTAATTAAGCAAATCAAATCTTAATATGAAAATGGAAATTTCAAATTTAGACCTTCATTAATTTTTTTTCCCAAAATACTAAAATTAACCTCTTCCTAGTCTTTTCGAATCTCACTTTCTCAAAAGATTCCAACTTTTGTAAAAAAAAAATAATCCAAAGTTTATTACCATGCACCAATAAAAACTATATACATAATCCCCAGATTTCACTTTTTCACAAAAAAAGTTTCGCTTTTTTCGAGAATTTCGAGAAACAAACTAGTATCTTGCAGGTTTTTTGTGTTTTCAATAAATTGCATTTTCAGACGATGAAACATTTCTGACTGCTGACGATTTCAAAAATGCTGATAATTTACAACGCGATCATATTCCAGCTGGAAAGATTTTATGGAAACAAGTTTTTCGAAAAGGTGATATTCGTGGAAAAGCAGCGTGGAAATTGGAAAATTCGGCAAATTTGCGAAGAAATGGAGTGATTACGGGAACTAGAAAATGGCCAAATGGTCGGATACCTTATGTTATATCAAATCAATATAATGAAAGAGAAAGAGCGGTTTTGGCGAGAAGTTTTCAATCGTATCATGATAAAACTTGTATTCGATTTGTGCCAAGAACTGCCGTCGATAATGATTATTTATATATTGGAAAAATTGATGGGTTAGTTGTAGGGTTTATTTTTCATGAGAACTTTACTTATCTCAAAAACATGCAGTTAGCAATTTAAACTCTGGAATTAAGATTATCAAAAACAAATCCTTTCAAAATTGTTTTGATTTTCCCAATTTTTCTAGATTTGTCAAATTACAGTATGTCCAAACTATGGCAAAATTTTTGGCATCGAAAATAAACTTGCTGTTTCAAATTTTTCATTTTTCAAAAATATTTTTGAAAACATTTCTGCATCGAGTGATTGTATTTTTTTCAAAAATTCCAAGTTTTTGAATATTTTTTGTATATTATTGCAGTTGTTATTCTGATGTTGGTCGAGCTGGTGGTCGACAAGAACTCTCCCTAGATAATGGCTGTCTTCAATATGACACTGCAATTCACGAATTAATGCATTCTGTTGGTTTTTATCATGAACATGAAAGATGGGATCGTGATGAACATATCACTATTTTATGGCATAATATTGATCGAGAAGCTTATGATCAATTTGGAAAAGTTGATTTGGCTGAAAGTTCGTATTATGGACAACTTTATGATTATTATTCGATTAGTGAGTTTGTTTTATGAAAATTGATTATGACAAGGGAAATATTTACAGTGCATTATGATTCATTGGCATTTTCGAAAAATGGATTTGAGACAATGGTGGCGAAAGCATCAGAAATGACACCAGTTATTGGAGCAGCTATCGATTTTAGTCCAGTTTGTTTTTTTTTTTGAATTTGGGAACTTTTACCATATTTTTTAAGGTTTTGATGCTCTAAAGAAACTTCAACACTTTTCAATTATGCAAAAATAATTCAATTTTCAGATTGATGTTCTGAAAATGAATCTGATGTATCAATGTACAGATCTGAAAACTGGAACAAGTCCAGCAGTTCCACTTCCACTTCCAACACCTTCCGAAATCCTCGAAAATAAAAAAGATTCACGAACAAAATCCATCGAACCAACTCAAAAAATCGAAGATGAAGATTGTCGAGATCGAACAAATCTTTGCTGGCGTTGGTCGGATCGATGCAAATCATTCTTTTTCGAAAAAATCATGCAAGAATTTTGTGCACTTTCTTGCGGATTTTGTGTTCCGAAAAAACCGCAAGGTTTACCAAATAGTGTTTCGAAAGCATCGCCGCCTGCTTTTGCATCAACAATTCTAACAAAATCAAGCACTTCATATCTCAATCATGGATAATTTTTGATTGTTATTTAATATTTTTGCCATATTTATTTTCTGATTTATTTTTTTAATAATTTATTGGAATTTTATGAATGTTTATAGGTTTTTCAAAAAATCAAAGTTCATTGAGCAAATGAGAAAAAGGAAAAGGATAATCTCAAGAATATAGAGTTACCATATAAATTTAGATGAACAAAGTTCTACTAATTCTAAAGTTCTTTCAAAAAATGCGGGGAGAGGGACCAGAAAATATATTTTTTTTGGCGGTGAAAAATTCAGCTGTTTTTCTTCTAATTATAAGAATCATGATTTTTTGGTCTACTGAATGTCTGATTTTACAAGGTTTCATGATATTAACAGTATCTGGACAGATTGCTCTTGATCTTTGTTTTCTTCGAAAACATCAGGCAATTTTCAAACACAAAACCTTTATAACAATATTGAAACACCAATTGTGGTTCTGAATTTTTCAGTTTTCTTCCTAAATAATCCAAATGTGAATTTTCGATATGCAGGAAAACTAATAACACAAACAATAATATTAATAACAGAATGTGTTGCATAAACCATTAAACTGATATGAGAAAATAATTGAGCATTTTGTTGAAAATTCAGAAAATAACTTGCAATAATTTCCAATGGTGGAAGAGTTGTCATAAATGAAATACAAAATTGTGCCAAAAGGCTTTTGATTGCATTTCGATGTTTATTATAATTATCATTTGATAAACAATGTCGAAAATCTCGAAGTAATCGAAACATTTGAATTGTTGTATAAATTGATATATTTACTGATATTGTTTCGGATATCAATATAAAAATAAAAAATAAGAATATTTTTGAATTCGGAACTCCAACAAAAAAATCTCGAAGATTTTGAAAATCATGAAGATATTCTGGATAATTTTTCGAAATATATTCAAGTTGTTCATTATGTGATAATCCAGAATAATAGTAGAATGCAAATATAAAAAATGGAATGACTATAAAAATTGTGATAACACATTTATAAAGAATATTTGGAATTTGTTGTGTTTTGCTTATTTTTGCAATTGCCTGATGCTTTCGAATGAAACACATACTGAGAGCTTTATTTTGCGCTTCCACAAAACATATCATGAAACCCTAGAAAATATATATGTATTTTAAAGTGTTTTGTTTTTAGATTACTGTATTAGAGAAAACTAACCGACAAAAATAATGATGACAAATTAAAAAGTTTCGATAAGATGCCATTACAAAATCCGGCAATAATTGGAAATAAAAATACTGGCTGAATACCAAAAGTCAATAAAATATCTGAAAATGTGCAAATAGCCTGTAAAATGTTTGATTTTTTTAAATGAAAAGTTGGAGATTCAAAATACCTGAAATGTTAACAAGTAATATCGGTAATTATCAATTTTTGAATTTTTGAAAATCACTAAATAAAATCCATAGGTGTTAAATATCAGTGAGAAAAAACCCAAAATATGATAATAGTTTATTAAATAATCTGGAGGATAAAAATCTACCATTTGTAGACTATTTGTCAAAAAATTCCGAATGAAATAGGAACATATATATTATTGGAGCAGCTGAAATTTAAGTTGAAGGTTACAATTCGACACGACGGAAAAATGAGAAATTCATGTATGAGACATTAAAAATTCTTGAGAAAGAGCCTGAAAATATGAAGAAAAAAATTGAGAATCACTTCCGAACATTTGACGTGTTCTTATTGTCAGCGTGTGAAATGTTTTTCTCAAGATCTAGAAAAACAAGATAACCTTCTGAAAATGACAATGTTCCAACAGAAGCCCATCGAAATCAACAACAGAAAAAAATTATTTATTTATATACCCATAAAATGATAGCCTTGATTTTTAATGACATTTTTCCAATACAGCAAATGCTAATGAACTTTCGAAAATTCATGATTTTTGGTAGAGATCACATAAGAAAAACTCTCGGAAAAAAATTCAATCTGACATTTTTTCCTGAACAATCCGAACGTAAATTTTTCATATTCTGGAAAACTAAAAACAAAAACAAGAGTATTAATAACAGAATGGGTTGCATAAACCATTAGACTGATATGAGAAAAATGTTGAGTATGGAAAATATATATGCAAAACGTGGCAATAATTTGGGATAAAAATACCACCTGAATTCCAAAACTTAACACAAAAAACACCTGTGCAATGAGCCTGTAAAACCTTTAGGTTAAAAATTTTGAAAGTTTTTTTGGTATATAAGAACCTGAAAAAGTTAACAAGAAATATCTGTCAATATTTTAATTTTTAAAAATAACGAAATAAAATCCATCAAAATTGTAACTGAGCGAGAAAATTCCCATAATATAATAAAAGTTAATAAGATACAGTAGTTTGGATCATAGAAATTGATTTTTTCTTTGGATATTGACAATTTTTCAGCGAACAACGTGGTAATTGAATTGAATGATCATTTCAGGCAGGTGAAATTTATTAAGAAACCATTGTTCAAAATCGCAGATGTTTTTTATCATAAAAAAATTTGGAAGTACAATTTTTCTGAAAACATTGAATGCAAAAAGCCACGTTTGATATGAAACGATTGCTTTCTACGAAACTCCACAGAAATTAAAAACACGTTTTGAATTTTGGCCCGGAAATGTTGTAAATAATTAATTTTTGGTCAATTAATCAGATATGATTTTCAGGGTTTCCAAATCGGCAATATTAGATTTGGGGTAATTCTTAAAAACTGGTATTTCTCATCTCGGGAAAAAAGCCGCGAGTTGATGCGAGTTTTCATCCTATGATGCGGGTTCGCATCAGTTTGATGCGAGCTCCCGTCACTTTTTTGCAATGCATTTGAAGTGATGCGAGCTCGCATCAAACTGCAAAAAAGTGACGGGAGCTCGCATCAAACTGATGCGAACCCGCATCATAGGATGAAAACTCGCATCAACTCGCGGCTTTTTTCCCGAGATAATCTGAAAAAAATCATCCTAACATAAAAATATCTTTCAATTGCTTAGATTTTCAAAGATGCGCAATAAAATCAAATAGCCCATAAAAATCAACAACCCGCAAAAAAAAGAGAATCGATTTATCATTTCACAAAATGCTAGTATTTATAATAAATATTTCCTGTATGAAAAATGATGATGAATGATGTTATGCGGGTTGGAAACACCGTGTCATGTGACAAAACAACACTTTTTTCTGAAGTTTTTTCGCCAAACACTTTTTCGAACTACATGTTTTTAATTGTTTCTCGGTTTTTAGATATAAATTTTTGGATTTTCAGAAAAAATGAAACTTGAGGATCAAGGATATTCGTGGTGGATTGCTGTGATATTTGTGTTTGGTGAAACCGCAGGTTCAGGATTGGTGGCACTTCCAAATGCAATCTTAAAACTAGGTAAGTTGAGCATATGAAATGAATTTACTTGAAGTACTTTCTTTTCAATCAGAATAATTAAAAAATTCCAAAAAATATTTGATCTACAAAAATTGAACTTATAAAATGGAATGGAGCTTATGAAATGGAAAAAAAATATTCCAGGCCTAATTCCTGGTTCAATATCGCTCATTTTCATGTGTCTCATTCCTCTTTACACCGCTATTTTACTCGGTAAAAATTGGCTAGAAATGAAATCTCGATGGCCCGAATACTCTTCTCATTGTCGAAATCCATATCCAGAAATGGCTTTGAAATCAATCGGACCAAAAATGGGATTTTTCACAAGTTCCGCTTTGAATATTTCAACTTTCGGGGGTGGTGCAGTGTTTTCACTTTTGGCCGCAAAAACTCTGGCTGGAGTATTTGGAACATCAATTTGTTGGATGTTAGGATTAGTTGGATTGATATTATGGCCGTGTGTTATGTTGAAAAGTCCGATGCATTTTTGGTAAAAAAAACTATTCATATAGAGAGATTTCGACTAACTTGAAAATTTCAGGCAAGTTTCAATAGTGGCTGCTGGTTCAACATTAACTGCAGTGATTTTAGTTCTATTCGGATATTTTCAAGATTTTGAAACCTGTCAGAAGGTAAACTTTCTGGATAAATTTCAGCACATAATTTTGAAAACCTTTATAGGAATCAGAATATCCAGGGTTCGATGTTTCATCGTTTTCAAGTAGTATTGCCACAATTTTATTTGCATTTGGAGGTCATCCTTGTCTTCCAACAATTATTCATGATATGAAAAATGCCGAAGAATATAAAAAGACTTTTTTGATCAGTTATTTGGGTGAGTCTAGTGGTGAAAAAAGATCGACGTTAAAAACCCGTTTGAAAAATATTCCTGAATATTTTGGTCTTCAGAACGAGTTGAAAAAAATGAGAATCCCACAAAAAAATGTATTCTAATTCAATCACACTTATACATTTTAGTAAAAACAAAACGGTGTTCATCAATATCCTCATTATTTGGAACTTTTCGCTTCTTAGAAACAAGCTCGATGCTTGGGCCTATCTCTTGAACCGTAACTGGATTTTTTTCCCGCAAAGCTTCGATGCTTCCAACTCTTCTCCATTCCATTTCATAAGTTACTTCTCGATCTTTCACTTGAAGTATTACTAATAATACTTTTCGCTCTTCATCCCACAAAGTGTCAATGATATTTTTCGAAAATCTTGGTCGAAACTTCTTCCAATTTTTGATGAAGATGTTCTGTGTTAATACTATTTTCTGATTATGATGACAAAAATCAATTACAAAAGTTTCCGCAATATGTTTTCGATAAATTAATGAAGCATTTACGGGGACGATCTCAGAAGAAATCAGAGTGTCCAGAGCTTCAACCGCCTCTTTTGCTGCTTGTTTCATGATAATATTTATGGTTGTTACATTCACAGCTGGTGTAGATTCTGTGATCCAAAAATTGGAACAAAAGATGAGGAATGAATAAGCTTGGAACATTTTCGAAAAAATGAAAAAGCATTCGGAAATATTAGAATATTGAACATTGACACGACGTGTTGGAAGTCTAGACTTTGTGAAAATCTAAACAGTTTGTTTGGTGTTCCAAAGAAAAAAAAGCTAATTAGTTGTTTTTAGGAATATTCTGGAAAGAAAACTATAAATTTCAGAAAAAGTTTTCATACTACAATTTTTCCAGGCCTCTTCCTGATCTACACTCCTGTATCAATTATTGGTTATATAACTTATGGCGATAGTTTGAGTGATTCAATAATTTCCTCCATTCAAACTGATATTCTTCGTCAATCAATTTCAATTTTGATAGCTGCTCATGTATTTTTCTCGATTTTAATTATTGTTAATCCACTTCTACAGGCTTCAGAACAATTATTCGATGTTAAACAAGGTTTGAAAACATTTTGTTTAAAAATAGTAGATCAAAACTATTGTGATCTAACACTTCAGAATTTGGAATTGGTCGTTTTCTCATTCGCTCCGTCGTTTTCTGGACAATCATAATAATTGCTGGAATTGTGCCAAATTTTGGAATCTTCGTCAGTTTAGTTGGCGGTGGAACTTTCTCTTTATTGGTCCTAATTTTGCCTCCACTATTTTCAATTGGTTTCGAGACGAATTTTGAGCTCCTCAGGTATGTTTCTTCAAAATCCACACATGATTTATTGATTTTTTAGGCTGAAGAAGTTACCAAAACTCCGACTGATCTTTGAAATTCTAATAATTATTTTGGGAATCTGGATAATGATAAATTCCACGTGGCATTCGGTATTAACAATTTCAAACTCAGCGTCAACACAAAAATCATGTTTCTCAGCATTCTGGAGTTCACCAACATCAATAACAGATTCTGTTCAGAATTCAACTTCCAATTTCTATTGCGGGAAATATCGAAACATTTCTGTATATTATTGAAAACTAACTATAACCATAAATATGAAAATAAAAATAATAATAGTAATGTTTTCCAGGCTTTTTCTTGCAGCAACCGAAAAAAAAAAGATAATTATATTGTGCCTCATGTTTTTTCCTCTTCATCGATGTTTTTTTGGTCCAAAAAATACGAGAAGAAGAATGAAGAAAAACAAATCAAATTTTGGCTCGAAAACTCATCATTTTCAAGTATTTTGGGCCGTGTTATTTTTGTGTTGCTGGCCAATTCCCAAACGTGTCATTTTGAGTATCATGTTCAGTTTTTTGTGAAGAGACTGAGAAAAGAGTTCGGAAAATTCAGTTTTTTTGTTGCGTCTTCTATCTCAAATTTTTCAAACAGAAGTTTCCAAGATAAAAATGATGTTAGAAAAAGCCCATTGGAAACTCCTTCAAGAGAACTTCAAAACATCTCATTTTTTGTGGTTCAAAATATTTTCCCGCTCTTCATTTCGGAAGTATAGATCAAACTTTTTCTCTGCGTCTCTCTCTCTCTCTAGATTTATCCTGTACTTAAAAGGTCTTGTTCTTATTTTCCTCAAAAACCATCCAAATCCATTCTTATCCCAATTTTGTCGATGCACTGAACACCCATTTTCTTCTTCTATTTTTATCCACCGATTTTCTTCATCTCCTGTGTTTTTTTCCATTGGCTCAACGCCAAAAAACAACAGCCTCCGGCGATTTTTCTTTCACAAAAAGAATATTTTTCCACTATTCGCTATTCCTTTTCATTCATTCAATCCTCCTTCATTCACACACAAAAAAGAGCAACTGTTTCTTTTTTCGAGGCGAAGCGAGAGAGTATGTAAAATAGAGAGAGTGGGTGGTAGATGAGGGATCCTCTTATTTTTTGCCACTTTCAATTAATTTTGTTTTATTTCATCTCATTTTTTCCCCGGAATTTTATATTTTAGCACTTCTGGTTCTGGTTCTTGATCTTCATCTACGCTTATTTGTGTGTAGTTTCAGCGTCTTAGAATATTTTCTGAAAAAAATAATGATTCACGGATAATCCAAATTCATCAGTGGCAAAGCGGACTCGAACCCGAAACTTTCAAAACACGAATGTATGTAGGTACCATTTTTCACAAGTTTCGTAGCTCATTTTCTTGGCTCCACCTTGAGCTGAGAATATAATTTTCACCGAATTGAGATCAATGCGTCGAGTTCTATGAACCGTGCCAGACCAAATTTTCAACATCAAAAAACCAATATTTTCCTTATTTTCCAAATATTTGTCTCCTTCCCAAATACGCTATTTTCAGCTGTAATAACATTATACCAAATCTCATTTCCTTCTATTTTTCTTTTTTCTTATGCTTATACAAAAAATCCAAAAAAATTGTCGTTTTTCCGAAAAATAAGTCCAAGTGACCTGAAATTCGATATTCTCTTCGTTTTTCTTACTTTTTTCGCTATCAACTGTCACTTTTTGTTTCCTCAAACATTTTCAAACAAATATATTTTTGTTGAGAACTTCATTTTGGCAACAAATATTCTCCCCCACATTTTCTTCCAGCCAAAAAAGTATATCCGGTTTCCTGTTGAATAATTCATAAGTTCAAGTAAATCTATCTACCTGACTGAATGAGTGGAAAGAAAATAACGAAGCAGAAAATGCCAGAAACATTTTTTTTTGTCATAAAATATTCATAAAATATACATTTGACGAGATGAGATGAGATGAGTGGGAGATGTACTTTTTCGAGAGGAATAACATTTTTCCACGTGGTAAAATGTCTATTTTGACGCCAAATCTGATATTTCTTATCTCCTTTGTTTTCTTGTTTTGTTTTTGCCAAAACTTCACTATGAAAATAAATGCACACAGAATTTTACAGGGTGAGAGAGACGCAGAGACAAGTAGAAAAATTAAATCTATCGTTGCGAGATCAAGCGCGGGAAAAATCTTAACTTAGCTGTTCAAAAATCCCAAAAAAACTAATTTTCTATTTTTTTTTCAAAAAAAAAAACCAATTTTCTCAAAATCCGGTCCAAATTGAAACTTGAAATTAGTTTTTTTTTCACTACTTTTTTTTCTTTTTTCAAAAAAACGTATTTTTTCTTTCAATTTTTCAGCTTAAAATTGAATTTTCCACTGTCCTTTTCAACTTATTTTTTTCGTTCCTGAAAATAAAAAATAAAAAAATTTCTGATCTACGATTTTGTGTATCCAAAAGAAAAATAAATATCTACAGCTATAGCCTAACAACAATTTATGACTTTATTTTTCAAACATAAATCATTTTTTCTTTTTCTTTGCATGATGAAGAAAAATTGCCAAGTTTTTATTTTTATTATAAATTTTCATATCTATATCATCATGTTTCTTGAAGTTCCTAGTGAGTAACTTTTCATCAAATTTAATGCTTTTTAAAAATATTTATCATAAAATGAAGCATTTTTTCAGCAGTTTGTGGGAAGAATGAGAAAATGGAAACAATAAATGATAGGCATCATCGATGTTTTTTTGGATGGGTTCATGTTTCGGTTAGTTCGTTTTTGGGATGATAATTAATTTCAAAAATTTAGGACTTCTGGGAACTATGAAATCTTGAAACTGAGTTTCGAAAATAAAAAAATAGCACAGAATTCACAAGAAATTTTGAATCATATCATTTATTTTTGAATATTTCCGGAAATTATAAAATATATCCTTGAACTATTTCCGAGGATAAACTTTAAATATATGAACTACCAAATCGACAGTACCCCTACCCTATTCTTTTATTTCAGACAACAATTCGTTTGGTCATCGCTTATTTTCTAATCTATAATATATGTATTGGTTTTCTCCGTCTTCCTCCAATTTCAGTTTATATCGCAATTATTGGAATTGCCACGTGTCTTTTCTCACTTTATCATGTCATTCGAAAAAATCCCCGTTTTCTAGTTATTTTCTATTTTTATGTGGTCTTCACAATTTTCTATTTGCTATTTTTGGGCGGATACTTTTTCTTTATCAATATTTTCAACAAAGATCTTGTTAAACGTGAGTATTATTGAATTAAAAACACGTGAGAAATAAAAAACTAGGTCAAGTGACGTGGATTTAAAAACAGTATAGGTAGCCATGTCGTCAATTGCGATGCGGTTCTGCGATGCGTGTTGACCTCGATATTTTCCATTGGATTTTCCAAATTTTTCATTTCTAAAAACGTGTCGCCCACACGCATCGCAACTGACGACATGGCTACCTATACTGTTTTTAAATCCACGTCACTTGACCTAGTTTTTTATTTCTCACGTGTTTTTAATTCAATAATAGCAGTTAGATTTTAATTATATAAATTCGATGTCACCTTTTTGCAGAAGCGATTGGCACAAATTCTGACATAATATCATTTTTGTGGCATTTTATGGATGTGATTTTAATGTTAACTCATGCATGGGCTCTTGGAGTTATCTCAAAAACTCGAAAATATTACACGTGGCTTGCGGAAGGAGGACAAAAAGGTTTGGAATTTGGGGACGGAAAAATGAATATTTCTAGATTTTTTGGATATATGAATTTTCAAAAAAATAAGTTATTTTTGAAGAACTTATACCAATACTTGCATAAAATGATGTCTCACAGAAAGTAATGTTGGCGCGGATCAAAGTTCATTTACACCGTCTAATTATGATTTGATGATGGGTAGGGAATGTGAAACTTGTTGTGATTGTGCGAAAAAAATTGATGTTGTGAAAAATTGGGGGGTTTTTCTAAGATAGACGACACATTTCTTAAATTTCTCTCCAAGGTTTTGTTACAGAATTCTTAAATCAGATTCACTTAAGTTTACACTTTTTCAAAAAAGCTGAAATTTTTATGGGAACATCATAAATCCTCTGCCTATGTTTCGCATCAAAACTTCTGCCACCTGGCAAATTTTCACAGCAACCCTCATCTATCTTTCACTGCACTCTTATCTCAAAATTCTGGCAGTTTTTGTATCGGACCTGAGGAATCGGACCAGGTCCGATTAATCGGACCCGATTTTGAAGGTTGTTGGAATCGGACCAGGGACACAATTTTCCAATAGGAATCGGACCACAAAAAAGGAATCGGACCACAAAAAAGGAATCGGACCATCTTGTGTTTTTTGAATCGGACCAGGTAAAATCGGACCAGGTAAAATCGGACCAGGCAAAAATCGGACCAGGTGGAATCGGACCAGGTAACAAAAAATCGGACCAGGCAAAATCGGACCAGGCAAAAATCGGACCAGGTAACAAAAAATCGGACCAGGCAAAAATCGGACCAGGTGGAATCGGACCAGGTAACAAAAAATCGGACCAGGCAAAAATCGGACCAGGCAAAATCGGACCAGGTGGAATCGGACCAGGTAACAAAAAATCGGACCAGGCAAAAATCGGACCAGGCAAAATCGGACCAGGTGGAATCGGACCAGGTAACAAAAAATCGGACCAGGCAAAAATCGGACCAGGTAACAAAAAATCGGACCAGTTTTTCTGGGCGTTTACTAAGCCTAAGCCTAATATCCGGGCCAGTAAATCCCAAAAGCTTTAACTTTTCTGTCTTTCAAGGCTTAGGCTTAGTGAACGCCCAGAAAAACTGGTAAACTGGTCCGATTTTATCTGGTCCGATTCCACCTGGTCCGATTTTTTGCCACCTGGTCCGATTTTATCTGTCCCGATTTTTTTTACCTGGCCCGATTTTTTGTCGCCTGGTCCGATTTCACCTGGCCCGATTTTTTGTCGCCTGCTCCGATTTTACCTGGCCCGATTTTTTGTCACCTGGTCCGATTTTTTGTCACCTGGTCCGATTTCACCTGGCCCGATTTTTTGTCGCCTGCTCCGATTTTACCTGGCCCGATTTTTTGTCACCTGGTCCGATTTTTTGTCACCTGGTCCGATTTCACCTGGCCCGATTTTTTGTCACCTGGTCCGATTTTTTGTCGCCTGGTTCAATTTCACCTGGCCCGATTTTTTTACCTGGCCCGATTTTTTGTCGCCTGGTCCGATTTTACCTGGCCCGATTTTTTGTCACCTGGTCCGATTTTTTGTCGCCTGGTCCGATTTTACCTGGCCCGATTTTTTGTCACCTGGTCCGATTTTACCTGGCCCGATTTTTTTTTTACCTGGTCCGATTTTACCTGGCCCGATTTTATCTGGTCCGATTTTTGCCTGGTCCGATTTTATCTGGTCCGATTCAAAAAAGGCAAGGTGGTCCGATTTCTTTTTTGTGGTCCGATTCCTATTGAAAAATTGTGTCACTGGTCCGATTCAAAATACCTTCGAAATCGGGTCCGATTAATCGGACCTGGTCCGATTCCTCAGGTCCGATACAAAAACTGCCCAAAATTCTAAACTCATTTTTCAGTCGAACTTACGACAACAACAACTACAACTTCAACAAGTTTACCATCGCCACGTCACGAATCAAAACCGGATATTTTCTGAAAATCTGGAAAACCACGCACAAAAAAGTTCTACGGTTTCATTTTTGCGGGTATTCATTTTTGAATTGTTGAATTGAATAAACTTTTTTTCTCAAATCAAAATCAATGTTTCATTTTACTTTTACTTTTTCCCCGACAAAATTGGCCAAATGCAATAAAGCACCTGGCGAAAAAAAGGCAGCTGATTGTTTTCTGGGAAAAATTTCTTATTATATTTTTTCATTTTATGTTCATGTGAATGTGAAAACGCCATTTTTCTCCTGAAAAATAAAAAAAATAGGCTTTGGGTATGATTTTTTCTCAATAGTAGTCAAGATTCGAGAAGGAAATTAATTACGAAAAGAGATTTTTCATACTACAAAATTAAAAATTCGTAGTCCACTATTATTTTTTTATTTAAAAATCTAGAGATTCTGCGCAAAAAAAAAATCAATTTTTACATTTTTTTGACACGATGTTCTTTTTTTAAATTCTAAGCTTTTGCTATGCCACGTGGCAAAATTTTCAAAATGCACATCCTACTCTAGTCTAAAAATATAGATATTTTTGTTATTTTCAATATTCAAACACAAATTTTGAATTAACAAAAATTTGTAGCTACAGTAATCTTCCGAAAAATCATATGTTAGATAAAATAATTATTTTTATTTGAAAAAGCCACAGTATTTTCTTTGATATTCTATTTAGTCTAACTTTCCTAACCTCTCAGATCTCAAAATTTCCAGAAAACCATGGGTTCTGGGGCCTCAAGCGAGGCTGCTCAGGCCACAAATTTTGTGGGAATGGGTCGACTTCGAGAAGATATGAAGATGTATCGATTAGTTGATATGCATGGTGGTGGAGAATTGATTCCATGGTTAAGATATGCGATGGTTTCAAATGATACATCATTTATTGATGCTTATATTGATACAAAAGTTCGAGAATTTTTGTATAATCAAGGAAAGGGAAAATTGGTGACGGTTACCGAATTGGTCAAATTGAGAAATAAGGTTGGTTTTGAGAGAATTACAGATTCCGAAATGCCCAAATAAAATAACCAGCTTGTCTTTTTCTCACGCACTTTTGCTCAATCATCCAGAATCCCCTAACTTTCTTTTCTTCCAGGAAAGAAACGAACGATTGGGCGCATTTTCCCGAAAAAAGGGAAAAGGTAAAAGTGGTCCAAATGTTCTGGACGACTTTAATCAAGAAGGTGAAAATGTTGGTGATCTCAAAAAAGCCCTAAAACTTCTTGATGGTGGTGGAAAAGGTGGAAGAAATGAATCAAAATATCGTGAAATTGCGTGGAAACTCGAAGATCGTGGAAGTATGGGTGAAACTATCATCGGATGTTGTTTACTTCATGCCACGGAAATTCACAATACTTTGGTTCTCAAAATTCTTGAGGCTTATCCAAAGTTATTGAATGATATTCATATTTCCGAAGATTTTTATGGATTGACACCTTTGCATCAAGCAATTATTAATCAGGATTGTGTTTTGGCTTTCAAGTTTTTGAAATTGGGAGCTGATGTGAATTCAAGATGTTTTGGTGCATTCTTTTGCGCTGATGATCAGAAAGATTCCAGAACTGATTCCTTGGAACATGAATATGTCGAATTGTCACAGAAAACTAATTACACCGGGTTGGTTAACCAAAAAATTAAGAAATAAAATAAGAAACATTTTTTTTTAGCAACATGTACTTTGGTGAATATCCTTTATCATTTGCTGCTTGCCTAAATCAACCCGACTCATTCCGTCTTCTTCTCGCTTTCAAAGCCAATGCAAATGCTCAAGACACAAATGGGAACACAGTTCTTCATATGTGTGTTATCCACGAAAACATGGAAATGTTCAAATTGGCGCTTGAAAGTGGAGCAAGTCTTCGAACGGTAAATAAACAAAGTTTGTCACCTTTGACATTGGCAGCAAAATTGGCGAAAAAAGAAATGTTTCGGGAGATTCTAGAGTTAGAAGGTGATAGTGTTTGGGCATATGGAGATGCTTCTTCAACAGCTTATCCTTTGGCTAAAATTGATACGATTAATGAAACAAGTGGAGAAATGAATGAGGCATCTGCATTATCATTAGTAGTTTATGGACAAACAATTGATCATTTGGAATTATTAGATGGGTTGTTGGATACAGTTTTAGATGCAAAATGGGAAGCATTTGCAAAAAAGAAGTAACTATTCTCTCAGGATCCCCAAGTTGGGTGAAAAATTCAGAACTCTAATTAATTTTTGCAGCATGATCGTTTCATTTGTCAGCTTCACTTTATATTACATTTGCTTCGTCACAGCTGTTTCACTTCGCCCTTTTGGTTATTCAACTGAAATGAGTACAGAAGGATGGATCAATCGATATTCTGAACCGTTTCCTGGAATTTACAAACTCAATAGTGATACTCCAACAATCCCTTTAATTAATACAAGTTCTGGAATTCATCAATGGTCTGCAAAATTAACACAATGTCATTTAAGAAATTATACAGATCCGGATATGGAATTCACAAGTAGTTATTTGAGATTGGTCTTCGAAGTTTTAGTGATTCTTGGAGTTCTTATTCAAATGTTTCTTGATTTTCGTGATATCAAAAGAGCTGGTCGAAAGAAGTGGTTCAATGTATTAAAAGCCTTTCCAGCCAAGATTATTTATAAAACAACATATTTTCTAATATTATTAATGATTCCAGTTCGTTTAGCATGTGATCTTTCTCCAGTTCTTCTAACTATTGATAATACTCTTATAACAATTACTGTCATTTTCACAACAATTCATTATTTATTTTATTGTCGAGTTATTCGTTTTGTCGGTCCATTCGTTCTTATGGTTTACACAATTATTGCAACTGATATCTTCAGATTTCTCCTTATTTATGGAATTTTCCTTATGGGTTTCTCGCAGTCATTTTCCCTTATCTTTTTATCATGTGAAAGAGAAGCAACACAAATCAAGAATATTATCAAAAATCATACAGAATCTCTTAATCTTACCGAAAAAGCGATATATGAAAAAACATTGGCAAGTATGGATCCAGTAACAATTAAAAATGCCGAAGTTTTCGAGAACGTTATTCAAAATCCTGTTGAAGCTTTTGTTCGAACATTCATCTTAACAATTGGTGAATTCACAGTTCTCTACAGAAATCTGGCATTATGTCCATCGAACACAATGGTTTGGATCGGGAAGGCTATATTCATTATGTTCGAACTTTTCGTAAGTATTATGCAGTTCAATATGTTAATTGCTATGATGACAAGAACATATGAGACTATTTTCCAAACACAACAAGAATATAAAAGACAAAAAGCACAAGTTATTTTGATGTTGGAATTATCATTGAGTCCAAAGGATCGATTGGAATATTTGTTAAAATATTCGAGACCGACGGGAACAAATAAAAGAGCGAGAAGTTTGGTTGTCAACAAAAAAGCAGTGGTAAGTGGAAAATATATCACAGACTTCAGAAAAGTTTCTTATTTTCCTATAGAAAATTTGAATTAATTCAAATTTTCAATCATAGCATTATTTTCTTTCAGTTCAACCCCGATTCAAAACAAGACACCGCAGCTCGCGAAGCAAAAGCCAAACAAGTTCTCGAAGAAAAGAAGGCGATTTTGAAACGAAAAATGAAAGATATGGAATTGAGAGAAGGTTTGGTTGTTGGTGGAATGCGGCCAGTTACTGGATATCAAAGAACACCAAGACTTCATACACAATATTTGAATCGGCAAGTACAGGCAAATAATCAAAAACAAAATGAGGAAAAAGACAAGGACAAATGAATAAATAAGTAAATTTGGTTTGCCGAAAACGTTTGAATAAAACATGTTGATATTCCCTTTTTTCTCAAAACCCCTTAAACTTATCACATCTCCTGTCCAATCAAAACACTATTAATCCAACTCAAATACGGTGCAACCATTGTATAAATACCAGGTTGTTTTTTCTGTGCACATCCATCGCCCCAAGATATAACTCCAGCAAGTACAAATGCTCCATCTTTTTCTCGTCGACATGCAAATGGTCCACCAGAATCTCCTTGACATGAATCAACACCGCCTTCTAGATAACCAGCACAAAATGCGGTGCGGCTCATTGATTCGTAAATTTCGGATGAATTCTGGCATTCAGAACGATCGATTATTGGGATCAGAGCAGCTTGAAGACGTTGAGCATAACCTGCAAAAATAGAATATTTTAGGAATAAAACATTCATGCTTTGTTTTGAGAATTGGAGTTTTAAAATTTTCTTCAAAAATTTCGAAATGAAAAAAAAACTCACGTAATCCCATACTCCCCCATCCTGAAACCACACATTGTCTACCAGGAGTATAAACAAAATCTCGATCTGGCAAACAAATTGGTTGAGAATACAAATCGAATATAATTCCAGGATCATCGATTTCCAGAATTGCAATATCATGCGAGAAAATATCCTTATAAGTTGGATAAAATGTGATTCTTTTCAGGTCGAATATTTGTTCAGTTCCTTCGGTTTTATTATTATCCCATTCTCCAATTATTAATTGATATGAAGATGGACGATCATCTTCTCTGAAATCATTTTTTTTAATACTCATGGAAAACGTTTTTAACTCTGAAATATTCAAATTTTCCTCCCACCTACTGTTTGGACAGCTGAAATATGAAATGTTCGAAAAAATTGATTATTTGAAAAAATTTTTTTTCTAAATACCGATTCTACATGGAATTTAAATTATGTCAAGTGTTATGTTACTTTTTCAACTCCCCAATTTTACACTCCCAAAAAACCCACTCAAAACAATGTGCTGCTGTGATCAAATGCCTTCTTCCAATAATCGATGCTCCACATTGATGTTCTCCAGTTTTCTTGATTTTCAACGCAGCCGTCCATGGAAATGCTCCAGCTTGAGTTTCAAATCCTCCAACAACTCTTGCGATTCGAGCTCTTCTGGCATCCCTTGCATTTATTTCCACATATCTTGCTCCGCATTCAAGAGAAATTGATGAAGTCGAAGAAGATTGACATGAAATTTTTGCCAATTTCCGGCATTTTGAAACTCTCATTATTTTCCGATCCTCGATGATTTTCCACGCTGATTTTGTAGAATTTCCAGATATTTGTGTTTCTCTCAAAAAGCTTCCCGTATCTCCAAGTCGCATAATCTGACAAATATTGTCAAGTTGTTCTAACTCATCAGCACAAACTGGTTCCCATTTCGATCTGAACATCACTTCTAAATTTCCACTCATATCCGATTTTCCATCAGCTAATCGGAAAAATGAAGCTCGACAATCAGATTCATCATCATTTTCTGGACAATCTGCAGTTCCATCGCAAAGCTGAGCAAAATTGATACATTTTCCAGTAGAGCAAGAAGATTCCGGACAAGAAGAGCACCTAAAAAGAAACAAATGAAAAACCAGAAATGAAAATTATTTTGAAAATCAAAAAATATTTATAAATTATCACGTGACATTTGTTTCCCACGTCATTTGCACGCAATTTTTCCCGCCATTTCTTATATTATAAATGTTACATTTCGATGATAGACGATTTCAGAACTATTCCAAAAGGTATTTCAAAAACAACCTACCGTATAGCTTGACAGCTCGAAATTACTGTAGATGTGCAGTTGGGTTCACGTAAACACGATAAATTCCAGGTGTGTCGAAGAGGATTCGCGATGGGGGAAGATGGTAATTTCATCACAGGCTGCGTTTCCGACATCGCGACGAATTTCTGCGAATTCGTCGAGTGGTCGTCGACTCGGCGGATCATCTTATCGCCATCATTCATATCATAATCATCATCATCATTCACATTCGCACGAATTGTCGCAATCGTCGCAAATTTCGAGTGTTGTTGCGACTTCGCATCGAATTGATGTTCAATTACAGCAGAATCAGAAGATGTTGAATGATAAATCACATCTCTATAAAACTATTTATTGGGTGAGTTTGGGAGAAAGAAAAGTGTTTTTGGGAGAAAGAAAAGTGTTTTGGGAAATAAAAGAACATTTTTTTATCATTCAATTCTGCTGCTGAGATCTTATTTATCAAAATTCAACTCGGAAACTCACAAAAAATTAATAAACTCAAATAGTTGAAAAACGCTGGGAACACACATACACCGCGACGCACAATTACACACATTTCTTGCCTACAGTAGTACAATAGAATGCTTTTCAAATTTCTAAAGACTTCGACGAAAGTATCCCGGGGAACATGAATGTTCAGTCTGATTTTCTGAAATTTTTCACGCACACACAAAAATCACATTTCAAAAACCTCAAATTATTTAGCGCCACCCAAATCTGGCGATAACTCGTGAATGCAACAATCAAGAGGAATTTATTGGCGAATTCGTCTTCTACCCAGCCACAAATTCCAATGTAATTGTCAATTTTTTCACGGCTCTCGATACTCCGCCACCCCAACAACAAAAGCTACGTTTTGCGCACACAGCACACACTCCACCCGAATCATCGAGACTATTTTTGACGCCAAGTGATTATCTTCGAAAAAATATGGAGATTTTAATCAAGAAAATTGAGGATCTTCAAGTTGAACCTCGATTACAAGATGAAGAAGATGAGAAATTATAAATCTAGATAGTTATTATGATAAATTTGAAGCATATTATTTTTTGGTTTTGTTTGAATGAAAATTATTTAAAAAAAAAAATAAAACGATACCCGAATCCAAGAATTTTGCAGATTGACGAAAGTTTGTCGCGGCTGAAATTTTCATCACAAATAACACCTTTTTTCGAGGATTTTGTAGCGTAGAGAGTCGAATTGATAGACTCGAAAACGACATCTTCTGAAATATTTTGAAAATAAATTTTGTAAAATTTTTGAACCAACTTACTCGATGAGAAACGTCTTCTATAATACAGTGATGTGATTTTTTGGGCTAAACTCGAATACATTGCTGAAGTATCAGTTAGCAAACACATTTGATTTTTGGGTTCATATGAAAATGCTTCACACATCAATAAACTTTCTCGACACTTTCTAGCACATCCTTGAACATGTGGAATAAAAGTCCAAACTTCGATAACATTTTCAGCTAATTTATATGCGCCAACAAGTTCGAAGGATTCCAAATAATCTTCGCAATTTTGTTCATCTGAACCATCTGAACAATCAACTTCGTAATCGCATTTGAATTTATCGGAAATACATTTGCTATCATTATCACATGAAAATGAAGGAGAAGAGCATGAAATATCAGAAGATGAGATTGGAGAATCATTTTGAGTTTCGGGACAATTTGGAAGTTCGCATTTTTCAAGTTGATTCGGTTTTATGAAACACATTGGAGAGGTTGAATTTCTGGAATAAACTTCAAGAAATTTCAGAAAAAAATATGACAAGAATTTTCTTGATGTGGCAACTTTTTTTTGGAATTAAAAAAAATTATCTCATTTTGGAAAACTAAAGTTTTCTCATTGAAAAATTGGTTTTTTTCTTTAAAAATCCCACTTCATTTTTTCTCAACTTTTTTTCAAACTAACCCTACAAATCGACAAAAATTATGGCTTTCAAAAATATCAATTTCCATCGAATTTTCTTGTTCAAAAAGAACTGTTGGATCATTCCATCTCAAACATTTTTGTCCATTTGAAGTCACATTCGTCACTCCCGAAAACAATTTCTTCGAGGAATTTTTGCTTTTCTCAATACATTCCCTTCCATGTTCACAAATATAAAATGCACTGTGTTCACAATTGATTGCTCGAAAAGTTCCTCGAATAACTGCAAGACATCTTCCTTCTCCGGGAATTTTCAAAGGATTCGAAAGGGTTTCTCCATTCGCCCATTCCCAATTTGAACCTTTTCGAAGACCCGACGTATAAAATGGGGTGTCTGGAAAAACGGAACTTTTTGGAGATCAGGTTATTCGAAAAAAATGATTCATCAAAACAGTGTCACCGAGTGTCACTCTCTCAAAATTCTTGAGTAAATATTTATTTTTTGTATTTTTTTTTCTCAAAAAACTGACCTGTCTCGGGCAAAATTTCAGCCAACGTTTCGAGTTCAGATGGTTTTAAGGAGCCTAAAAGTTGTCCACATTTTGATTTTGCGTCGGAATAGTCATTAGCCATAGTGGTCGAATAAGTGATACATTTGTTGGCACCAATTTGAAAACTTCCACTTGCACATACTGAAAACATTTGAATATTTAAAATGGAATTCTGTGAAAATTTTTGAGAACAAAAAAACTGACAACTTTCGGCACAATAAATCTTCACACCAGTTTTACAAATTGATGACAAAAAACTGAAACAAACATTCGAAGTACAACCAATAGAATAGGTATATTGATCCAAGTTTTGTAAATTATATCCAGAATATACAGAAGAGACTGAAGAACATGCTTGTTCTCCAAATTTTTGTTCAAAAGAACTCGAGCATAAGGGAAAAAATAGTCCGTTTTGACTTCGAACTTGTAAAATGTCCTCGAAAATTCTAAACTATCATTGAAGATTTATCTTTGAGGTTTCCAACAACAACAAAGCACTTACTTGAATTCGATGCTTTTTACTTTCGTTACCCAAAACAATAACAAAATGAGATGTGGTTTCATTTTATGTTAGAAAAAGTGAAGAGAATAACATTCTTGTAGTGAAAAGTGAAAATGGGCGGGACCTAGTGAAAAAAACTAAAGAAAATGGTTTTGCGTACTTTTCGGATTAGCTGCCAAATAGTTTCATTTCGAGTGGCAAAACAAAGTTGTTTCGCTACTTTTTAAAATCTAATTCGTTTTCATATTTTCGCAAAAGAATTGAGTTTCTGATGGAGAAAACTTGGCATAATTTCAATTAAAGGGTTGCAGACCAACCCTGTAACTACAGTAAGCTGCATTTCTCGGAAAAAAAGAAATTTGAAAAAAAAACTTGTGTGGATACTGTAAACAATGGAAAGACGCACATAAAAGAAAGTTTGCGCGCTGCGAGACCCACTAGCGATTTTATGTGCATGCGCCGAGGTTACGGTGGATATCTGGTTTCGATTTTTTCTTTTTTTTTACTAGAACACTGGAAACTTCCTCTTTAAAAATTTTGGAATACTTTTTTTTTTACTTTTTTCGAATTTTTTTAAAAATTTTTTATTTTTCTAGGTAAAAAAAATTATTTTTTCACAACTCCCTTTTCCAGTCTATAGAGCAGTAAGTAAGCTTCGTTTAACTTTTCTGATCTACCTTTTTCGTCCACTGTAAGTGGAATTACGATTTTTCAAAGTTCAGAATCAAAAAATTCTCAAAAATAGTCCACCCCCAGGTAATCCGGGAACAAATTTTTTGCATGTTTTTGTTTCAAAATTGAACAGATCAAAAATTTCGATAATATCTAATTTCATTAAAAACTCATGTATGTATACAATACTTTTGCAAAAACGTGCTTAACTTTCATAAATTGGCAGTAATGTACAGGGTGACAACAAATTATAGCGACAAAAGTTTACACTGTTTACACAGTAATCACGGAACGATTTTTCATGATTTCATTGCTCAACTTTTCTCAAAAACCATCATTTTATATCACCTAATCAGTATACTAACTTGTTTTTGATTATGAACACAAAAATTTTCACAAAGTTGGAAAGCGATCGTTTTAAAAATTTCTCTTTTTTACGATTTTTTTAATTTTCGATATTTTAAGAGCTAATTATTTGAGCTCTGAACGTAATATTCTACAACTATAAATTTTTGTTTAGATAAAGTAAGTATTGAGGAGGGTTCAACACAAATATTATAACAGGTATCCGACTTTTGAACTTTTTTGGATGTGGTTATTTGGAACCACCACTTGCGAGTATCACAATTTCATTTTTCGAACAAATTGAAATATTGAGATAAAATTCCAAGATTTATAAGAATGCATGAATGTAAATTGTCTCAATATTATCGAAAATTGTTGAAAAAAATTTTGAGCATGAATCCTCATCATTAATTAGAGTTATTAACGGATTATCAGAGTCAACTGATGAATTTGAAGAAATTATGATTTTTAAAAAAGTTGCATTTTTTCAAAATTTCTGTTTGAAAATCATATTTGTGATCTAGGAACCTTCACTAAACATCTTTGGGACAGTTTGAAGCAGTAACATCGTTGAAAAAATATTATTGGGAGAATTTTTAATTTTGACTGGATTTGAAAATTCACAAAATTCTAAAAATTCATGATAATTGAACCGCGGTGGATTACTCATTTGAACATTAGGAATTATTATAACTGTGAAAAAGTGTGTATTATGATCTAGAAAAACTATTTTGAGCAATAAATATGAAATTTATCAGCCAGGGAAAATTTTTGCTGTACAAAGTGTCTAGCGAGTACGGAAATATTTTTCGAAACTCTTCAAATGTCAGGAAAAATATCGGGAACCTTCCGAGAACTCTTGATATTTTTTCTGTGTGGTCCTGAATAGTCAGAATAGTCCCAAAAAATTTCATAGAGATCGGTTAAGTACCACGGTCGCCAGAGTTAGTTTAATTTGTCGCTATAATTTGTTGTCACCCTGTAATTGTGTCGAATGAAAGTATAGGTTTACTCTAGGTAAAGGGGAATGAACACTTGTTTTTGGTGTAATTACTCCGCAGATTTCTGAGAAGGCAGTTATACAAACAAATCATCATTATTATTACCTAACAGTCCAATATTAGTGAACATATTATTACTGTGCTAATATCTAATGTCAGCTTTACGAATATACAACTATTCTCAAATTCAAACTTTCAAATTTTGACGTCAAAAACCCACGCGAACGTTTCCAAGTTTCGCCTCGAAATTTTAGAATCTGAAATATTCGATTTTTAAATTTTAGCCTAAGTTTTTATTGTTAATTTTTGGCGCCAGATTTTTAGGTTCAGAATTTATAATTTTGGAACTTTTTAAAAAATAATTTCAAGCATAAATTTTCGATGCCTGAAGTTACAGAAAGAAGAATCGACGTGAAGAGACGTGAAGAGACGTGAAGAGACGTGAAGAGACGTGAAGAGAATTGAAGAGACGTGAAGAGACGTGAAGAGACGTGAAGAGACGTGCTCGGGAAAAAAGTAGCAAGTCTGGCGACAAAAATAGACTTTTAGCCAGCTTGCGACCATTTTTTGCAAGCTTGCTACAAGTTTTATAATGGGAAAAAATGTAGCAAGCTTGCTAAAAATGGTCGCAAGCTGGCTAAAAGTTAATTTTTGTCGCGAGACTTGCTACTTTTTCTCCGAGTGAAGAGAATTGAAGAGACGTGAAGAGACGTGAAGAGACGTGAAGAGACGTGAAGAGACGTGAAGAGACGTGAAGAGACGTGAAGAGAATTGAAGAGACGTGAAGAGACGTGAAGAGAATTGAAGAGACGCGAAGAGACGTGAAGAGACGTGAAGAGAATTGAAGAGACGTGAAGAGACGTGAAGAGACGTGAAGAGACGTGAAGAGACGTGAAGAGACGTGAAGAGACGTGAAGAGAATTGAAGAGACGTGAAGAGACGTGAAGAGACGTGAAGAGGCGTGAAGAGACGTGAAGAGACGTGAAGAGACGTGAAGAGACGTGAAGAGAATTGAAGAGACGTGAAGAGACGTGAAGAGACGTGAAGAGACGTGAAGAGACGTGAAGAGAATTGAAGAGACGTGAAGAGACGTGAAGAGACGTGAAGAGAATTGAAGAGACGTGAAGAGACGTGAAGAGACGTGAAGAGGCGTGAAGAGACGTGCTCGGGAAAAAAGTAGCAAGTCTGGCGACAAAAATAGACTTTTAGCCAGCTTGCGACCATTTTTTGCAAGCTTGCTACAAGTTTTATAATGGGAAAAAATGTAGCAAGCTTGCTAAAAATGGTCGCAAGCTGGCTAAAAGTTAATTTTTGTCGCGAGACTTGCTACTTTTTCTCCGAGTGAAGAGAATTGAAGAGACGTGAAGAGAATTGAAGAGACGTGAAGAGACGTGAAGAGACGTGAAGAGACGTGAAGAGACGTGAAGAGACGTGAAGAGACGTGAAGAGAATTGAAGAGACGCGAAGAGACGTGAAGAGACGTGAAGAGAATTGAAGAGACGTGAAGAGACGTGAAGAGACGTGAAGAGACGTGAAGAGACGTGAAGAGACGTGAAGAGGCGTGAAGAGACGTGCTCGGGAAAAAAGTAGCAAGTCTGGCGACAAAAATAGACTTTTAGCCAGCTTGCGACCATTTTGCAAGCTTGCTACAAGTTTTATAATGGGAACAAATGTAGCAAGCTTGCTAAAAATGGTCGCAAGCTGGCTAAAAGTTAATTTTTGTCGCGAGACTTGCTACTTTTTCTCCGAGTGAAGAGAATTGAAGAGACGTGAAGAGATGTGAAGATAATTGAAGAGACGTGAAGAGACGTGAAAAGAATTGAAGAGAATTGAAGAGACGTGAAGAGACGTGAAGAGACGTGAAGAGACGTGAAGAGACGTGCTCGGGAAAAAAGTAGCAAGTCTGGCGACAAAAAATAGACTTTTAGCCAGCTTGCGACCATTTTTAGCAAGCTTGCTACAATTTTTATAATGGGAACAAATGTAGCAAGCTTGCTAAAAATGGTCGCAAGCTGGCTAAAAGTTAATTTTTGTCGCGAGACTTGCTACTTTTTCTCCGAGTGAAGAGAATTGAAGAGACGTGAAGAGACGTGAAGATAATTGAAGAGACGTGAAGAGACGTGAAGAGACGTGAAGAGACGTGAAGAGAATTGAAGAGACGTGAAGAGACGTGAAGAGACGTGAAGAGGCGTGAAGAGACGTGCTCGGGAAAAAAGTAGCAAGTCTGGCGACAAAAAATAGACTTTTAGCCAGCTTGCGACCATTTTTAGCAAGCTTGCTACAATTTTTATAATGGGAACAAATGTAGCAAGCTTGCTAAAAATGGTCGCAAGCTGGCTAAAAGTTAATTTTTGTCGCGAGACTTGCTACTTTTTCTCCGAGTGAAGAGAATTGAAGAGACGTGAAGAGACGTGAAGATAATTGAAGAGACGTGAAGAGACGTGAAGAGACGTGAAGAGACGTGAAGAGACGTGAAGATAATTGAAGAGACGTGAAGAGAATTGAAGAGAATTGAAGAGACGTGAAGAGACGTGAAGAGACGTGAAGAGACGTGAAGAGACGTGAAGAGACGTGAAGATAATTGAAGAGACGTGAAGAGAATTGAAGAGAATTGAAGAGACGTGAAGAGACGTGAAGAGACGTGAAGAGACGTGAAGGGACGAATGAAGAGACGAATGAAGAGAGACGGGCAGAGTGGACCAATGAATCGGCAATCTGCAAAAAGATCTATTAATTTCGGGATTTTGATAAAATCTGTAGAATATGGGGAAATCAAAAAACACATGAGAAAAAAACTTTATTTTTCAATGAGACGCCGAGCTGCACAACCCAGAAACCGCTCGAAATGATCCATGAATCTATGGCGAAAAAAAACAATTTCCGGATTGAGCAGCTTTGAGAAAAGTGTTGATGGCTAATTGTGAAGAGAGAGCAGATATTATTTTTCTGAAAAACTGAAATGGTTCTCAAAAAAAGTAATAGATTCGAAAAACTTATCTGTAATTCTCTTCAAATCCATGAGACATATCCAATTGATAAACCAGTGAGAAAAAAATGCCAACCAAGCCAAAAAGTCTCGGTCGCATTTTTCTAACAAAAAAAACAATTCAAAACCATCCGCCGCCGCCAAAACAACACACTTTTTAGATCAAAAATTTGCATTGTTGCATATGCAGACACGAACAAAAATTTTTGTGTGTATTTTTGGAGTCAGCTGTGCAAAAGACTGGCGCATTTCTTGTTCGTTGCTTTTTAAATTCGCCGCTTTTTAAAAAAACGCAGGGTTCCCAACTGTTATACTTTTGATGTTATCTATTCTCAAAGTAAGAAGGGAGGGGGGGGGTTCCCATTTTGAAAATAATCCCCTGAAGTTACAATAGGCGTGTTAGATGTTCCAAAAATTACAGCGCTCAAACCCTCAAAAAAAGAAAAAATCACAGTGTCCACAAAACGACGTCTCTGCGTCTCTTTTCGAAAAATCTCTCGTTTCGGTAGAGCGCGTTTGCTCGTTTGTCTTTTTTCAATGGAAAAATCGAATTTTCTGCCGATTTTTCAACTTTTTCTTGTGTTTACTCATTGTTATTGTTGTTTTTGCTTAATTTCATGAACGATTTCTTATTCTACGAATATCAGAGAACATTTTCATGTATAGATCGTTTCATAAAGTAACGTCAGTAGGCTGTTCAAAAATTTTGAAGATTTTCGTTCGTTTTTCAGGTTTTTTTTGGTGTCATCCAAAAGTGAGGAATACTCACTTTTCGAACTATTCTGGTTACTATGAGCACATTTGTGATGAAATAGGATAGATTTGGTATTTTTTGGATGTTTTAACGTAAGCATTACCGGTGTTAATGTTTTGTTGTTAGGATCGAGATTATTGACATTAATTTTATTGTGTATTTTTTACTTTTTTCTCGTTATAACCAATGTTTTCATCACAATTTCTCTTTTTCATATCGTATTTACAGAAAATTGAATGTGAAGTAGCTCATCGATCATCTTCTCCCACTTCTAAACATCACACGACGAAAAACGGGTTTAGAAAGGTGGTTTTTTTTCAAGTTTGAAAAAATATTTGATTGATTTTTCAGAGATGGGTAATAAGAAGCAAAATCGAGCAAACAAGGAGAATGGAGCACTTTCTGTTGCAAAACGGAAAATCGAGAAGCTGGAAGAAGAATTGAAAAAAGAAAAAGAACGAAATCAGGATTTGGTTTCCAAAAATGAGAGAATTCAACAAGAAATATTTGTGAAAATCGAGGCCGAAATTGAAATAAAAAGATCAAATCGTAGTTTGAACCTCGATATATCCTCGGCAAGAGTTGAAATAAAAAATATACAAGATAAATTGCAAGCGAACCAATCCGAATTGTTGTATGCGAAGTTCCAGGCGGAGAAATCGACATCGTGTAATTATAGAGAATCGTTTTCTAAACTTCAAAATTATCAAAGAAAACAAACAAGGTCATCGAATTGTGTGAAGGTTATGGTAGAAGAAGGAGCTGAGGAGGATATCAAGCCAATTTTCACTTATATTGCTGGTCATTATAAACGGCCCAATGGACAATATATGTTCAAGCTCTCGGATATGGATAGCTTATTGTTCAAGAATATTTTCCACCTTGGAGATGAAGCGGTCAAACACATCAAGCAATTCTTTTTCGATAGATTTGGAATTGATATTATCTGTTCAAGAATGATCATCACGATGCTTGAGAAACAATTAGACACATCAAGGTTTTATGAAATTGGAGTGGAAATTGTTATCATTAATAAGAAAAGAGTGCAAAGATTTTATTGGATTTGTAGGAATTACGAAGCCGTTTTATCGATTCGTCTCACAGATTTATGCAACGCTGGTAGATTAGGCTCAACGCCACTGAAAATTATCAAAGTTGTTGCAAGTGGAGATAAAGGAGATGAAGAAGTGAAATTTCTCGTAGGAATCGAGCATCCAGATAGACCAAATTCTCCTTATGCTTTAACGAACATCGTCACATTTTCTGGCCAAGACAACTTCGTAAACATCAAAGCGAAACTAGGATCCGCTTTTGAAATGATTCAAAATGTTACAGAGATCGAATACAAATATGGAAATGAAGTGAGAAGAAGTATTGTGGATACAAAATGGACAGGTTTTTTTTCACTCATTTTTCAAATTTTAATTTTAATTTTTCCAGGTGATTTCAAGTTCATTTCTGGAGGATATGCACATAGAGGCCAATCTTGTAAAAACCCTTGTGTTTCCTGTGAATGTCCTCTTACAACACATGGTGCTTTTCGAGATTTCCTCGCCAGTTACGATTTCACCCAAAAATTCGAAGCTCGCACAATTGCACGAATGATATCACAATGTGAAGATGGAACGGTTGGTATGATTCTCGGAGAAGAACCAGTGTGCAAAATTGAACCTAAAAAATTGGTGCCACCCAGTGTACACACAATGAATGGAATTTTTGAGAAGTTCGTTTACAAGCCGACAATAGCTAGATCAAATGGTGTCGATTTGGATTATGATATTCCAGATACATTAGAAGAGCAAAAACGAGATTTGCGAGATTTGGCCAGAGATGAGAAAGACCTTGAACATGTGATTTGTGAAAATCAACAATACATGCACACGGCAAAGCTTATGCTCGAAGGATTAATCAATAACCAACCGTCAGCTGAGAGAAATTGTGCCGCAACCTGTTGTATCATTGATTATTCAAGTGAAAATGTAGCCACATGGGTTTGCTGTGATGTTTGCCAAAAAGACTACCATCAATTTTGCGCATTTATCATCACCGAAGAGCAAAAATGTCATTTGAATAATCCGAATTCAGAATGGAAGTGTTGGAAGTGCGATGAGGACGAACATGAAATTTTGAAAATGTTAGAAGAAGCTATTCAAGATTTCGATGAAGAATTGAAACGAGATAATGATATGTTGCTCGAAATTCAAGATGAAAGAAAACAGAAGGAGCAAGTTATTATTCTATCTCAAGGATCTCACAATAAGGAGTTGGAGGATGTCTTCAGAAAGATTGGATGCATGAACACTATTTGGTATTCGCAGTTGGTAGGAAATCAAATTCGCGCATTTTTGAGACCCGAAAGTATTGATATGGTGTTAAATTTGTTTCCCCAAGACCACACTACTCATCTTATGCGAAAATCAATGCTTCTTCTTGGGCGCATTATGACATTTTCTGGTCTCGAATATTTCGAAGACGAAGATATCGTGATTTTCAAGACATGCGTTTATGATTTTGTTGATGTTTTGAAAGAATTGTTTCCAAATCAAGCTGTGACCCCAAAGTTACACTTTTTGGTATATCATGTAGTTCCGTACGTCGAAGAAAATAGAACTTGGGGAGGATGTATCAGTGAACAAAGCACAGAACACTACCACGTGATTTATAGGAAGGTGAAACGAATTTTCCAATCTGTTAGAAATTTGCAATTCCGTGCTGCTTTAATGCTCCGTCGATTTGCCGAGTTCAACCATATGCATGACATTGGAGCCATCTGATTGTTTCAATACGTGGGTTAATCACAATTACTTCTCAGATTTTTGAAAAAAAAGCGAATTTTTAATCATATGTTCTGAAATATTTTTTATTCGATATTTGAAAAATGTTTTAAAAATCCATTTTTTTCAGAAATCTGTCGCAATCAATTATTTGAAATCCAATGGCTCAAATTGGTTTCCAAGGAATATTTATTTGAACAAAATCGAGATTTGAAGGTAAATATTTTTTTTCAAAACTTGTGGGTTGAAATTTCCATTTTTCAGAAATGTTCTTTTTTCCTGCCCAATCCACGCAAAAATTGCACCAATTTGCTCGAACTCGAATCAAATTTTGGAGGAAATGTTGCGCGGTGAAAAAGTGACAAAACCGGATTGGGTTATTCCGGCTGGCGCTGGTTTTGGGCAACTCCAGCTATGTTTGCGAGCTGCAATTTATAAACATTTTGGTACATCTTGTCCGTGAAGATATACCCGAATTTTTGAATATTGGCAAGCTGAATTTGTCAAAAAACCTATAGCTTTGAATAGAAATTTGGGTGCTGAAACGATTGCCGAATGCGTGAAAATGTCGATTTTTGTTCATTCTGTTCCGCAGATGCTCCTTTGGCTGCTTATTAATCTGCACCTATTGTTGCCGCAGATTCGCTGCAAATTGTGGAAAAATTGAAAAATTGTGAGAAGGTTTTGAAGAAGGTGGAGAAATTGATTGAATTGAAATGGGCGACTATTGAGAATATTTCTGATCGTTTTCAGATTTCGCAGGTACTTGAAATATCTTATGGTTTTCAAAATTCCAACTTGAAAATTTTTTCAGATGAATCGACATAAATCATTCGCCCAGATAATATTTTCCGAAATGTCGTCTAAATATAAGGAAACGCTTAATGCTGTTTCCAAAAACTAAATATTTTCAGATGATTTTTCAACTGTTTACCTTTTTTCTGTTTCTTCGTGTATAAAATTGAGTGTATTAATTGTTACATAAAGAGGATTTTTTTCTGTTTCTCACATATTTTTCCATTTTTTTAATGAAGAAAATTAAAAAAAAACTTTACAAAACCAGTTTTTGTCGTTCGAACATGTTTCGGGTTGAGATTTCTACTTTTCAAACATGGAAATAATTGTGATTATCTTCTCTGGTTTTTTTCCATAATCCAGAGCTAAATCGATGAAGTATTCCGTGAATTTAAAGTGAAAATACTAGTAAAATACTTCATCGAAAAAAAACAATACATATTTTCCGTTTTACAGTCATAAAACTTTCAAAAAATATATCTGAATTTCATTTCTCTGTCTTCCTTACATTTTCCTCTACGCTTTCATATACAATTTTACCAGTGAAATTTTCCAAGTTTTTGGTGGATTTCGAAAAAAAAAATAAAAATTGAAAAAAAAAATGAGAGAGTGTTGTGTGCTGTGGAGACGCAGACAACGAGAGAGCGCACACATCTCGCGTCGTCTTGTGGATATTGTGAAATAAATAAAAATTCACGAATACTTCTACCGTACCCCTCATCAAAGGCGCACACAATTTTTCTCCCGTGTCTCGCAACGCGCGTTGATTTTTCAAAAAACGAAACGGTGTTTGCACAAAAAGAAACATTTAATGTGACGCCAAATTTTCAGTGATTTCGTTTTTTATAAGGGAGAGATTTCGCGAAATTTAAGTTTGGCGACACGAAATTTCGCTGACAAATTTTCGCAAATTGAATATCTGTTTGTCGCTTCAGGTTAAATTGATAGTCATCAACAATATCATCGACTTTATCACATAAAAAAACAAAGTAAAGTTTAATAAAATCAAAAATAAAAGTCTTATTTTAAAAACTCCCATTTTTCTCAAATCTCTTTCTGCACTATTTAATGCATTCAAATTTCCGCTCTTTTACCCCAAACACGCCAACAATACCGAACACTAGCCTTTTTCTCTCTTCTTCAAACATATTTCCACTCGGCGTGCCTTTTCTTATTACACGTCGCATTATGTTTATTGCACATATTTTTCAAATGTTTTCATTTTATGTTTTTTTGTTCACAGATCCTTTATTATTCCATTCATAACTCAATTTCCAGGAAAATGAAGACCGCCATCATTTTTGTCCTCGCCATTTTGGCCATCGCCAATTTCGCATCAGCCGCCGAAAAAACCGTCGATAAACTTCAAATTGGCATCAAGAAACGTGCCGAGAATTGCGAACAAAAATCGAGAAAAGGAGATCAATTGCACATGCATTATACTGGAACACTTCTCGATGGAACAGAATTCGATTCAAGCAGAACTAGAAATCAAGAATTCACCTTCACTTTGGGACAAGGAATGGTTAGTGATTTTTTTGAGCATTATTTAATGAAAAATTCGAATTTTTAGGTCATCAAGGGATGGGATCAAGGTCTTTTGAATATGTGTGTTGGTGAACGTCGTATTCTCACAATTCCACCACATCTTGGTTACGGAGAACGTGGAGCTGGAGAGAAAATCCCACCAAACTCTGTGCTCAAATTCGACGTCGAACTCATGAAAATCGACAGATCTGATGAATTGTAAATAAATAAATGGCTAGATTAATAATTTATTGAGATTTTTAATGATTTATCTTATATGTGCCTTCTTAAATATAAATCTATCATAAGTTTAATTTTTTTAAAGTTTATATTGTGAATTTGGTTGTTCCATTTACAAATCTCTATTTTTTCATGGTCAGAAGGAGGTGTTATCTTTCAATTGATTGAAAAACAGTTGACCTCTATAGGAGATTTTCTTATCGCCTAATTGTTTTTCTACTCATTTACCATTTTCGTAAAGAAATTTTTAGAAAAATATAATTTCAGCCAGAATATGAAGTTCATTTTGGTTTTGGCATCTTTGGCGGTGGTTGCATTCGCTGCAGAACTTGAGATCGAAACCACTCATTTGCCAGAAAATTGCGGGGAAAAATCGAAAAAAGGAGATGAACTTCATATGCATTATACTGGAACACTTCTCGATGGAACAGTTTTTGATTCGAGCAGAACTAGAAATGAACCATTCACTTTCACTTTGGGACAAGGACAGGTGAGTGTGATTTTTTTTAAAATCTAATAAGCTCACCAAGAGTTTGATAAAGGATTTTTTTCGAAAAATTAAAAATTATGGGAAATCTTACTGAAAAAGTCCTTCGATGACTTTCAGTCACAAATCATTTTTCAAGCTCCCCTGCGAGCTGAAAAACGTAATTTAATCATTTTCATAAAATCTAACTTCAGAAAATTAGCAAAAATGATCAATTTTTTCACCAAATTCATCCTAAAATTTTCTAATTTTTCAGGTAATCAAAGGTTGGAATCAAGGTCTTCTGAACATGTGTGTTGGTGAACGTCGTGTTCTCACAATTCCACCAAATCTCGCCTATGGTGAACGTGGAGCCGGCGGAGTTATTCCACCAAACGCTGTTCTCAAATTCGACGTCGAACTCATGAAGATCGATAGAGCCGATGAATTGTAATGTGCATTTTAAAATAATTTCAAAACATGTAAAATAAAATATACTTATACTTATTTTGTTGAAATTTGTTTGAATCGAATAATAGAAAAGTGGTTTTTCCACTGTTTCAATCTTTTTTTTCACTTTTTTCTTTATGCCCTGAAAGAAGGTGTTATCAATTTTTTCCCTTTATTGATAATAATCATAACTTTTTCTGCTTGTCTTGTCCGAGACATAATAGTGATATTGAAAAGTGTTATCTTTTTTTGCTTTCCTCGTTTTCATTATGGATTTTTGTACTTAATTTCAATGGAATTTGTTATTTTGTAATTTTTATTTCAAATTCTTGGATTACGAAAAACGAAAAATTTTTTTCAAAAACTGATCCTGGGCGTTGAAGCGCAGAAAGATTGCGGTCTTCACTCGCTCCGCTTGAAATAAATTCAAAAAATCCTCCCAAGCAAATTGTTTCTCAATAGAGCGCGGTTTCTTTATTTCTTCAGCTGGCTGCTCAATTGAATTATGTCAAATTAATTTGCTGCTGTGGCGCCACATTTTTCCTCATTTTCATTTTTCGCTCTATTTTTCTTCATCATCTCGAAGGTCATTGCTCTTTTTTTTATGAGCACAGAAAAAATATATAAATAGACAATTTCGCGCGGTTTTAATACCCATCTTCTCTATTTTTTTCGAAATCAAATGGAATGTGTTTTCCTATAGGGAGGAAAAATGCAAATTTTTCGCACCAGATTTGAATTCATTGTGATTTTCGATTCGATATTTTTGTCCTTCGAGAATTTTTTTTTTTCGAAATTTCATTTTTGGTTGGAAATTGAATCTCGTCAAGCACTTGAGAGAGAAAGATTCATTTTTCACTCACTCATTTTTTGTGTTAGCAAGCAAAGAGCGAAAGATGTAGTAATATCTTTCTCATTTTTTGTTGAGGTTTTGTTGAAAGTTTTTCTGTTGAAAATTGATATTTTATTCAATTTCCGGAAATTTCTTTTCGAGAATCCACCTATTCTCATATTTTTGGAAACGAATATGCTTTTTTTCGGTTTCCAAATGATTTTTGAATTGCTACGTCAGAGTTCACGTACTTTTTGAATAAATTTATTTCTAAAAATAATTTTTAAGTATCGTTTTTGGTGGCCTAGGAAACCAATAATGAGTGACGTGATTTTTTTGGTGGGAAAAATCCACGTGTCAATCCGAAATTTCGGAACTCAAGTTTTCATTAGAAATCATTGTTTTCAAAAAAAATTGGTTAAAATTAACTTTGTGATTCACCATCGATTTTTGGCGCCAATACTCTCTAATATTTTTTTCAATGTTTTGATTTGTTCCTTCGGTTTCTTCAGATTTTCTGTTATAAAATATGAAATTTGAACTTTTCAAATTTTATTTTTTCAGAAAAATCTAAGTAAATTCTTCCACTTCTAGTGCCAATTCTGATATTTTTCAAGGTTTCATTTTTCGCTCAATCTATAATATCTCTTTTGTCTCAAGTGTGGAAATCCCGAAAAATCCAATATGTTTTCTTGAAAAACATATTTCATCATTTTTTTTTCAATAAATAATGTTTCCCCAACTTATCACACACCCACACGCAAACACTTCAAAGTTCTCGAAATGAAAAAAAACCACGTGAATTTTTTGGAGACAAAATACAAATTTGAGAATATTCGAAGCAAAATGTTTTCTTAAAAATCCTCATTTTTCTAATATGAGCAATCTTACGCCAATAATTACCAAAACTGATTTTTTACAGAAAACTTCACCCAAAAACAACAAAAAGTCCACCAAAAGCAGTTGGGGCGAAGCTTTTTCTCACAAATTTTCCCATTGGATATATTTTTTTTTCGAAAATAAAAATACACACGAAAAAACGCGGAGGGGGAAAAGCACCAGAAGAGTTGCTCATATGAAAACGAGAGACGGCCGAGAAATATAAGAAATATAACGAACGAGAGAGTGGGTGAAGGTGAGAGAGTGGCGAGAGAAAGAAGCGAAAAGACACGGAAAAATGGTGGGGTCGCATTCTACTACGCAAGGACTAGGAATAAGGCGACCGTGGCAAGAAGCAGCGACAAGTGCGTTTGCGATTGCCAGTGCGTTGCCAATTACAACTATGAATAGTCAACAAATTGCTGAATTGTTTGAAAAAGTAAGTTTTTGTTTTTGGGAACGAATTTGATTATTGATTTAAAATATATGAAGATGAAGAGAGCAAAAAGATAAAAGTTTATGCAAATTTCTCGTTTTTACCCGATGAAAAATCGATGATTTTGAGAGAAAGATGACAAAGTTTTGGCGTTTTTGGCTGAAATTTTTTGAAAACTATTTGAAACCCAGCTTTATGCAAATTCCCATGTATTTTGATATCATTTCAAAAATCAAAATACATGGGAATTTTTCAAATCTCATCCACGTGGATTTTTGTTTCGACATAAAAAAGTTTTTGCTTTTTTTTCAACTAAACAATACAAATAAATATTGTCTCAATTTATTTATTTGGCCAATTTTCTTCATTTTCATTCATAAACAATTAGGAGAGGATGAAAAATTAGACTTTTTCCGCTGAAAATTTGTATTTTTCCTCTCTGAAAAGAATCCTCAGAATTTCTTTTCTCAAACCCTAAAATTATTTCGAGCAAATTATAGGATTCCGGAAAATTCGATGGGAATAAATAAATGAATATTTGTTGTAACTCGAAACTTTTTACTTTTAAAACAAAAGAAAAATGGCTACGTAAATAATATGAAAGTTTTTTTTGCAGGTCGAACAAGGAATATCAGAATTAAACTGTCCGATTAGTCAGGAATTATCGAGTTTTAGGAATGCGGTGAGACACTTTTGATTTAAAAAAAATGAAAATTAAAAAAAAATGAAATCAAACGTGTAAACGTGAAATTGAAAAAAAAAATCATTTTGAAAATTTTATTCGCAAGAAATTGGTGAGTGAATTTTGAGTTTTAATATTGAAACTTCTACCGAAAATTCATAATATGAGCACATTACCAATTTCTTCAATAAATATCCAATTTTATTTGCAGACCGGTGAATCATTGCTCATAGTAGCTAGTCGAGTTGGAAACACAAAAGTTGCCAAAATATTAATTGAATTGGATCCGGATTCTTTGGATGAAACAGATAACGAAGGATGGAGTCCACTTTTAAACGCATCACATGCTGGACACGCTGACATTGCACAATTATTATTGGAGCATGGAGCAACTGTTGATCAACCGGATTTGATGGGATGGAGTCCTTTTATGTGGGCTGCTTATAAAAATCGATTGGAGTTGGTTCATATTTTGTTGAGGCATAGGGTATGTTACCTAAAAAAATTTTTGGACCGTGTTTTCAACTTGATTTCGTCCCAGATCCTATCTGATTTTCTTTTTTCAGGCACACATTAACATTGTTGGCGAAGAAGATAGTCTAACTCCTCTAATAATTGCTTCTGGTCGTGGTTTCACACAAATCGTTGAAGCTTTAATAGCAGCTGATTGTCAAGTAAATTCATGTGATAAATTCGGAAGTACCGCATTAATTTGGGCGGCAAGAAAAGGACATTTACCAGTTGTTCAATTATTATTAAATGCTGGCGCACAATTAGATGCTGTTGGAATGTATTCGTGTACTGCTTTGATGTTAGCAGCAAGAGGTAATTATTTGCCAGTTGTTGATTTGTTATTAACAAGAGATCCCAATATCAATGTTGTTGATGCGAATGGATTAAGTGCACTTGGAATGGCTGCAAGAGATGGATATTCGGATATTTGTGAATCGCTCATTTTGTCCAAAGCATATGTTAATCAATGTGATAAGTAAGGATTTTGTGGTGGGCTTTTAGAATCCAATATGTTTTTAGAAATTTATATGAAAAAATGGGGGAAAATCTCCAAAAATTGACAAAGAAAAGAAATAGTGTTTTTTCTTTTACTCAGATTTTCTGTTAATAAAAATCTGAATAGTTTCACTTTAACTTCAAAAATCCAATTCCAGATTTGGTAACTGGATTCTCCTTTCGGCTGTTCGATCTGGAAATGCATCAATAGTTCGACTTTTACTCGAAAATCACGCTGACGTGGATTCACAAGATTCAGAAGGAAGAACGGCTCTTCATCTTGCAATTGATAAATCATTCACGGATATTGCATACATAATTCTCGACAAAAAACCGAATTTGGAACTCAAAAACAAGGATGGAGAAACACCGTTATTGAGAGCTGCAAAATGTCGACATGTCCATTTATGCACGTATTTATTAAATTCGGGAGCAAAATTGGCGGCGATTGATAATTGTGGAGATAATGCATTGCATTTGGCATTGAGAGCAAGAAGTCGTAGATTAACACAAGCACTTCTTTGTATGTTTTATTTTTGAAAACTGAAAAAAAAACACAATCATTTACGTTTCAAAAAACAATTCAAATACCCTATTTTTTGCGAGAAATTGTTTCACGAAAATTTACTGAGTCAAAAATCAATATTTAAAATTTTGCAGCCAATCCATCTGATTCTCGTCTTCTTTATCGACCAAATAAACTTGGACAAACTCCATATTCAATCGATTTGGCAAATCCTCAACCGATTTTGAGTTTAATATTTGGACCAATTGATGCGGAAGACAAAATGGATAATGTTATGGGATATGATGTTTATTCGAATGTTTTGGCTGATATTGGTGAGTGGTTTTTTTGGGTGGATTCTTTTAGTTTTGTAGAATTTCCATACTGAATTACCCGAAGAGTGTGTTTTTTCAGTGATTAGAGAATTTGAACTGAAATAAAAATCTTAGTCCAATATCTACTTCTAATTTTTTCCAAAGATGTTGAACTAATCGAAAAGTCCTGAAATTTTGTCCACATTCCCCCTTCAAAAACCATGTTTTTTTACAGTCTGCGAACCATCTTTATCACTTCCTCTAACTATCGGATTATACGCAAAATGGGGATCTGGAAAATCAGCACTTTTAGCCAAACTAAAAGAAGCAATGCATAGTTTTTCGAGAGATTGGTTAGATGGAGCATCTTTGAAGTGAGTCAACTCATATTTTTTCTTCCGTTCTCATTCAAAAAAGCATTTTTCAGTCTATCATTCTCATTATTTTTATCAATTTTCTTCTCGATTGCCTGGTTTTCATTAACAATAACAATGTTAATTGCGATTAGTCGATCACTTTATGCATATTTTATCACTTGGATTGTTACGGCTACTGTATTTATTGGAATTCTAGTCACAATTGTTGTTGTTTATTATGGTGATCGAAGAGGATGGTATACATCGATGGATGTGAGTTGTTTTCAAGGGAATTTGAGAGAGGATTTGAGAAATGAACTTTTCTTAAATTTGAAATATTATCTTATCATATTTCTCGCATAGAAATACGCTTTAAAAATCTAATTTTTCACTGGATCCTCGCGTTTTGAACTATTTTTCACGAAAAGCTTTGAGAGAAACAAATAATTGTCTAACCTTCTTCAAAAACGTCCTAATCGTTCCCAAAATTATAAAAATAAAGTCAAATCTAAACATTCCCAAACAAAATGTGTCAATTCTCGCACCTTCTCCTCTTTTACATATCACTTTGCTTATCCCGTAATTCGTCGGTCACATGTTTTTCCTTACCTATATAATTATTTCGATTTTCAATTATTTCGTTCTTCCGAGAACATATACTAAAATTGGAACAATACAGAGAAGATTAGCATGGCCCCTGCGCAAGGATGACACGCAAATTCGTGAAGCGTTCCAAATTTTTTGACTGATTTTCATTTTCGCGATCATTTTCAAAATCCAGGAAAAATTACGTTTCTAGATTTTTCAAAATATTTTTGAATGTATTTTCAATGATCTCACGATAAACATATTTGTTTAATATGGAATCAACTGATAATAATTCTTTCAACATCAATATCGATTATCCTAAATGTTTCTAAATTTTTAAGAAAAATGTTCTAATTTTTGCAGTTAGCCAATGTATTCGCTCGAACATTCAGTCGAATCAAACTTGTTTATGATATTCTAACTCTGCATGCTCCAATGAATACAGATGATAATGCAAGTATGCCAGTCAGTTTTCTATTTGCTGATTATCATCGACTATCATCAATTGGTGGAGAACAAGCGCTGGCTAAAATTGTGGCGACACTTTTTGAAGCAGCCGAAACACATTTTGGTGTATTGCCTGTCAGATTATTTTGCTCGATGAAACCGCCTTATCGTGAGTTTTTTAAAGGGGATTTGGAAGTGAAAATAATTGGAAAATTCCGAAAATATATTTATCGAACTTTTTTCATGAATCAGAAAAAAAAATGTAATTTCAATTTTTAAAAATAAAATTGAAAAGCCTTCCGGTAGGCTGCTCCATTTAAAAATCTATACAAAATTTTCCAAAAAATCGATATTCAGCTTTTCCCCTAGACTATTGTTATTGCACATATCCTCTCCCATTTTTTGCCAACTTCTCCTCATTATATTTTCTTCCCGATCACAATTTCCCCCTTTTTTTCTATTCAGAATACATTGATACTGGATTTGGCTACACTTCTTTTGTCAGAAGAGGCGCTACTTATCAAAAAGTACCCACAGGACAAGGTTTATTCTTTGTGGCTTTTTTATTCTAATTTTACTTACTGTGTGTGTCTTTCTTGTCGCTGTGAAAACTAATTTTTTTCTAAAAAAAATATGTGGATCTTTAAAATTTCCCCCCACTTCTCCAAAATAATTGATTTTCTTTCAGCTGGAACACACGGATCTCTTCGACGTCATTGTGGTGTTCCACATGTTATCATCCTAATTCTTGCCGGATTTTTGTTGACTATGAGTCAGATTTTTGCAACACTTTGGTTTATGTCAGAAAAACGAGATGCGAACAGTTTGCATTTCTATTTTTGTATCGCTTTTCTCATTGCGTTTGCGATGATAACTGCGTGGCCAATTGCATTGATTTTTAGGTGAGAGATTTGGAGGGAAAGTTCGGGATTTTGAATTGATTTTTTGGATCAAAAAATTCCGGTCCAATATCACATATTTTTCAGACACATAAAAACCTTTCAATTTTTTCTTGAAAATTATTTTCGGAAAGTTTTCAGAAATTGGATCAAATTTTTCTATTTTCCACACGTGACCTTCATTTTCTCAAATAATTCAAAACGCCTAAATTTTCCAGATATTGTTGGTCAAATATTCCTCGCCGCCGTGTGAATGCAGCTGCTCGAAATGCTCATAAACTTCGTTTCGAAGGACTTATGCAAAAACTGCAAACCGAAGTGGATCTTCTTGCTGATATGATTCGATCACTTGATGCATTTACAAGATCACATACTCGTTTAGTTGTTGTTGTCGATGGATTGGATAATTGTGAACAAGAACGAATGGTTCAAACATTAGATGCATTGGAATTATTATTCTCAGCTCGAAAACATCGACCATTTATTACTATAATTGCAGTTGATCCACATGTAATTGTATCAGCAATTAGTCATAATATGCATAGTGCATTGTCTGGAACTGAATTAACTGGACATGATTATTTGAAGAATATTATTAGTATGCCATTTTATTTGCATAATTCGGCATTGAGACAATTACAATCGAAATTGAGAGAAAAACGAGAATCGATGGCCGAATGGAAAGAAAGATTCAAACGACAAGATACATTTTATGGATCACATTTATCTCTAAGAGAAGCTGATGGAAGACAATCAAGAAAGAAATCAACAATACCAAATGGACCTGTTGTTGGAAGAGGAATGACTGATGGAATATTGGGAGAGGATTATTTCTCAAATATGAATCCGAGAGCAATGAGAAGAATTGTGAATGCGCTAACATTGACTGGAAGACTTATGCGAGCTTTTGAAATTGATTTTTCTTGGATGTCATTAGGACATTGGGTTTCGCTATTAGAACAATGGCCGAGTCGAATGTGTTGGTTGATTGATCGAGCATTGGAAGTTCATGATAATCAATATTTGTTATCTGAAGTTTATCATCAATTTAAAGGTGAGTCAAAAAGAGTTAACATAGATTTTTTTTTGGAAATTATTAGTCCCAAAAATCGAAGGGAATTGTTCAAAAGTTTTTCTCAATTTTCAAAAAAAATTTTTATTATGTTGAAAATATTTGCTGTGATCAGTCTCTCAATAACTCCGAATTTTAGATCACATTCCTGCCAACGACGATTTGATTGCAATGGATAGAAATTTGGATAACTTCGAAGGTTTCTTGGATTCGAAAGGAATACCAATTGCAGAAAGATTAACAGTCGGACATGTCAAGAAATTCGTGCCGTGCACAAGTAATTTGGACCCATATTTAAGAAAATTGATTCGAGAAAGAAGTAAAGGATTGGTTGATATTGAAGCACAAATTGGAACAAGTGGAATGGTTGTACCTCCAAATGCCAAATTATTATTTACGGTGAGGAAGTTGGGGTAACTTGAATAGTTTTATCCACAAATATTCCGAAGAAATGGAGAATTGGTAAATTTATGAAGCGATTGAAAATAATCATTGAAACCGTTGAGAAAACTCCATTGAAAATCATTAAATACAGTAATCCTAAGCCGATTCGATTGTCAAGATTTGGAAAAATTGTGAATGATAGATTTATGATATAATAGGGAATTATTGAGAATGTTAGAAATATGAAACTCTGTGCGAAAAGACTGTAGGATAGATTTTTCTGATGATTATGAGTTCGAATTGACCAAAGATTTGTTTGAGAAAGACTTTGAATTATTTGAAAAGTAACTGCAGTTATATAAATTAGAATTCCGAAAAGGATAATAGAGGGCGAAATAATTGAAATGAGAAATGTTCGATTAGTTAGGCTAAATCCAAGATTTGAAGTTATACAAAGTACAAAAGGATCATGAGTTTCCTAAATAATCATAAAATTGAAAAAATAATAAATATAACTCACTTCATATAATTCAAATCGTCTATCTTCATGTTGTCTCAAAGTATTTGAATAAAAATACCAACTCAAAAACCAGAAAAATCCATAAATTCCCGAATAAAAATATAATAAAGAATTCAATTTTGAAGAATGTTTTGTATGGTGTTTTAAAAGATTATAGCGATAATGAAATAGAATAAGAATACTCATAATATTCCAATTATTTAAATGTGCACTTATTGACATTGAAACTAGACCATTTACTTGGAAATAATTTGATAGGCCAAGAGCTCGAAACATTGCTATTGGTAGATTTGTAGCCGGAATGAAAATCATACTATTAAATATTTCGGAGAGCATTATTCTGTAAGTTGTGCTTTTCAAAAAAAAAAAATTGAGTTTTCACACACAGAAAAACATGAAGAATTAGTCGAACTTTGTATGCTACCAATTTCCCGCCAAAAATCAATATTAACAAAACTAGAACATTTATCGAAAAACTGAAACATTCTGTATAAATAACAATAGTTAGATAGGGATTTATTGGCTGCGCACAATTTTCTGAAGAAAAGTTCATATAGGTTTGCAAGAATGATTTCTGGTGAATCATCATGTTATTCTTGAAATTCTAGATTTGATGACTTTTTATGATTTCCTGGAAAGTGGAATTAAAATTGATATTATGACGAGAACATTCTGACTTTTGAAGAAATGCAAAAATTGGTTTCAAAGTTGAATCAGAAAATAAATACTTCACGTTAGAATATTCGATTTAACCAATTAAAAAATTTTATTTGCAGAAAAATTTTCGAGTTTGGAAAAAAAGTACTAAAAAGTATGAATTTTCTGCAAAAAAATGAAATGTTAAAAATTTCTCAAAAAAAAAGTTAATTGTTGATGTACTTTTAGTGAATTGACTGCGGTGATCATTTTCTGATATTTTATTTTTCACAAAAATTATTCTGAAATGGAGCTACGATAACAGTTAGGCCCTACTTTGTATGCATTAATTATTTCCCATTTTCAAACCAAAATTCAAAAATATTTTTAAGGATGAATTACCGTGGATGACAATCGATAAACCACTTGTTGAATTACGACTTGATGCAATTGTCAAATTATTGAAACGATTAGATATTCCAGCAACAAGATTAGATAATATTGTCGATAAATTCTATTCATTAAATCTTAGCGGACTTGTTCTTGCAACTTGTCCACTTCAAGATTTAAAAGATGCAATGAAATTACCATTAGGAGATTGGACAATTATTCGACTACTTATCGAAACTTTGAAAGTTTTTGGAAATTCGCCACCCGGTTTACGAGTTGATAAACGAAAAGCGTTGACACTTCGAGAAGAAGATGAAGAAGAAGAGGCTGAAGAAGCTGCGGAAGCTGTTGTGATGTCAGAAAGAGAAAGAGCACCATTGTTAGGATCAGTGAATGCGGAACAGAGGAGAAGAAGTACTGTAGTGCAAAATGCGCCGGAATTGAGTGATGATCAGAAATGGTTGATGGAAAGTTTGTCGGGAATGGATTTGAGTGAGTTTATTTTAAAGGGTCTATACTCAAAATTAACCCCAAATCCTTTTTCAGCTGAAACTGAAGGTGATGTCAATGATATGCATTTTTCTCATTTTTCATCTTCAACTGATGGACCATCTCCTTTAATTGATGGACTTGCTTCGATTTCTGTATCAGCTGCACCATCTGTTAGGTAAGAACTTTGAATTCCTCTTTTGGCTGGAATTTCAGATTTTCAGTTAGGCTTTCGATAAGTTTTTTCACTCAGTTTCAATTTTTCGTTGGCAAATTTTTGTTTCATTTTCAGATTTGAAGATAATCTGAATGATTTGGAACAAGATGCTTCGGATGCCGATTCGACACAATCCAGATATGATAGTAAAGAGAATCTACTTGAAGAACGAGAAATTAGCGAAGAACCGAGTTTGATGAGAGGATTTGATGGAACGAGGTTTGGCTTTTTTGGTTTATCGGGTTTTTTGTTCGAAATGTTTTTTGGCAAGGAATAGTTTTTGAAATTTGGGTACTGACCTTAGTTTAATCTGAAATTTTGGATTTGAGCCTATGCTATAGAAAAAAGCTAAATCGAGTTCCAGGCTTACACTTGTTCAGTGGCCAAATTTATGTTAAAATTTCCTTGTCATAAAACATCACGATATTCATTTATACACTATTATGTTAATTGTATAGTTTTCTCAGTTTTTCAATAGTTTTCTATGTTCCTTTTTCACACTATAAAAGTTGCAGCGAATCTCCGGGTTTGGTACGATCTACTTATCGTAGCCAATCGAAATACCGTAGAATGAGTCGGTAAGCCAAAAACAACCAACCTCAATAATTCCCTTTTCTTGATTTTCGTAACTTTTTCGTGTGCTGTGGTTTATTGAAATGCGTGCAAGACATTTTTTGATTTTGTTCTTGAAAAAAATGTTGATTTTTCAGAGGTGAACTGATGAGAGGAATGCATCAAAATGAAATTGGTGGAATGACGAGTGGAGTTGGAAATGGAATTGGAAGTAGTCAGCCGAGTTTGGTGATGAGTGATGAAGATGTGGTAAGTTGAAGAGATTTTTGGTTAGAACAGTTTTAAAATGATAAATTTTTTTGAAAATCAAAAAATAAATATTGAAAAAGGTGGAAATTGAGAAATTGCCTGAAAATGAATCTACAGAATTTAATTTTTGAATTATTCTGAAAAATTTGATCTCTTCAGAAGAATTTAATCATGTGATTTTCGAAATGCAGAATTCTCGAATTGAAAGTTGAAGATTCGAATTTATTCCTTGAAAAAACCACTTTTTCTTCAATTTTGATTTTTATTTCGATTTCGGACTCAACTCTACCTCAAAAAATTCTAGTTTTCATTCAACTTTTTTCCCAATCCTTTTTCCAAAAAAAAAAACACTTTCATTATTTATATTATTATGTCACAATTTATGCATAAATAGTAGAATAATATATAATTATTCAAATTTCGCATGATTGCGTTATGCTAAAAACTTTCACTTGAAAAATGTTTTTTTTTTCATTTGGAAAATTAATGTTTCAAAGAACCAAATTTACAGAGTCAAAATACTGTGCAACGACGAGGCGGCGATGATTTTGAGCGAATTCAATTGGAGCAATTATTCCACAAAAAATCGGATGCCTAATTTTTATTTATTTTCCCCTAGGTTTTTCCCTTATTTAGTTTTTAGCTTAACTTAAAAATGTACTCTTACCCTGAAATACCGTGTATATTTTTTCTGTGATAATTTTCAGTTTCACCCCAGTTTTTTCTTTTCTTTTTTGTTTTTTATGGTTTTCAAGCTTTATATTCACTTTTTCATCAACCAAATCACAAAATTTACGGTTTTTTTTCTAATAAAAAATTCAGTTTTTTCCCTCTCTCGTTTTTTTTGCTAAATAGTAACTAGTTTTCGAGGGCGGAGCCTATTCAAATGATGAAAATGCAAATTTTCACTTTCCAGTTTTGCATAATTTTGTCCCGAGACCTCTCAACTAATTGGCCATCATTTTCAAATCCACCAACATCTGGCGGTTACTTTTTCAAAGAATTTTATTTGATTTTTAGACAATTCAGAGTAAAAACATGAGGATTTCGGTGATTTTATTTTTGGCGATGATTTTGGGAATTGGTGAGTTTTTTGGGAAAATTTAAAAATGTTATCACGAGTTTTTTCAATGATATATTTTTCGAAAATGATTGAAAATAAGTTTTTCTCTAAAATTGAAATAGTTTTAAAATCTGAATTAAATTTTTGAAATATGAGAAAGTTTATGTTTCAAAAAAATTAGGAAAACTTTTTTGGAGGTTCGGAAAAAATCCATATTTTTAAGATAAATATTCTTGAACCGAAAATAATAGTTCCACAGTAACCAATAGAAAATTAGAAGTGAATGTTTGAAATTTAGAGAGAGAAGAAAAACTGCATTCTGAAAAACATTTGACAAAATTTGTCCACAAAAGTTCTATATTTGAATTACCCCGGAATTTTTTAAAGGGAACCTTCTCAAAACAATTTTTCACTACTTATTCCAGCCCAATCCGCTTCACTTTTCAATTCAAATTCCGGCGATGTTCATGTTAGTGGAAGTTTTCGAGTAGCTGGAGAGAATGAGGAAATTTCGAGTAACTCGCAAGATTTTCAAGAAGTTGAACGTACGTTTTTTCTCCAATTTTTTAAAAATCGAAAACATCTTTCTCCAGATCCATTTTTCCAATTGGAGGCAATGAAAATAGCTCGAGCATATTTGGACAAACAATACGCCAAGGAACGAGCCAAGAATAATTGATTTTAAGATTTTTTGAAAATATTTTATAATTCAATTCAGTCAGGGAACTGTGTCTTTCAATGTAAATAAATAAATAAATACTATTACCCTGAAAATCATTTTTCATTATAAAAACAACAAAAAATAACAATCAACCCTCTTTTATGGCTGCGATTCCCATTTTGTTGACATCAAAAACGACAAACGAAGAAGATCGACGAAATGCGGTATTGGCAAAGATGTAGGGATCTTCGAAAATTTGAACAGACCAATAACCACCCAACATATCTTGGATCGTCTGAAAAATGATACCTTTTCAAAAAAATTGGATCTCGATTGTCAAACATCAGAAATGAATCGGAACTTTAAAAACATTAAAGAAAAACCTAGAATTTTTGAAATGTAGAAAATATTTCTGATTTTTCATTAAGGCGTGACCCGAATAATTTTCAACGTGAAATTATTTTTTCGCAAATTCATCATTTTCAATTTACCTCAGCCATTGTATTCATGCCATCCAAATCGTGCAAATTTCCATTGAAATTTTTCTCGATAACAGCTTCGATGAATTTTGTTGTCTCCTCATTCATCCCAAATGACAAAGTAACTTCCATCAAAAATTTCGGGTATTGTCGAGAACTAATATTTAAAAAAAAATTCAAAAATCTCAAATTTTTCAGGAAACACTCACATATGATCTCCTTCGACTATTGTCTTTGGCGAAAATTGTTTGGCATATTTTTCGAGTTTCGTGTCTCGCGCTAAACTCGAAACAATGCAAATCGACAAAAAAGCGAGGTTTTTAAACATTTTTCGATGAAAATTACTTTATTTCTGAGGTTTTTATACTCATTTTCCGGTTCTTAAGTGTTTTTGGTATTATAATTGACCAAAGGTGAGTAATTTTGATGCGAGAATCGCGAAAAAAAACAACAATCAAAAAACAAAAATTACTGTACTGTTTTTTATTTTCGCAAAAAAAAATTTGGAAAAATAATAACATATCGTAATTTTTCTTTCAAGGCACACAACACACATTGCAGTGGTCCCGCAACGATGCATATTCAAAATTTTCATTTTTGTTTTCTTCCGTCATTCGATATCGATTATTCGCCTCCAAATCAAAAAGGTAAGTCGTTTTTCGCAAATATCTAGGTAACCAATCAATGATGCTTGACCATCATATTGTCATTGTGTCTCTAAAAGCCACCCAGTTTATTCAAAAAAGGTCATTTTTCTGATGAGAAATCTTCTTCATCGTTTTTTTTCTTTGAAAATTGAAATTGAGATAAAAATGAAATAAAAATATTAGGAGCTGGCTATTAATAAGAATTTAATGAGATATGCGCTAACAACAGCTGCCTTCAAAACAAAAAAAAACAAAAACTTTCTGGGACCAACAGCAAATTTACTCCATATGCAAAGCACAACGAAAACACCTGTTTTTCGAATTTTCTCACCCAGAAATTTATTTTTTATTTATTTATGAAATCTGATCTACATTTTTATTAGATCTACCACATTTTCCTGTTGTTTTTTTGTTTCTCACAGCAGCAAAAAAGTCATTCAATATTTGTTCAGTTACATCTCGAAAACCTTTTTTTCTTATTTTTCTGTGCGCAACTTATTGTTTCGAAATGAAAGAGAGCTTCTTCTTCGTCTTTTTAACTGACTCATTTTCCAGTTTTCAAATATTTATTTAGAGCACTTAAAAGAAATCATGAGATTTTTAGGTTAGGATAGGTGAAATATAAAAATTAGGGTAAACAAAAAACAGTGACCTTAATCAAAAATTCATAGTAAACATTTATATATAACATATAGTTTTGGTTTTTCCCAGACTTTTTCCGTTTTTTATGATAATTATTATTGTTGTTAGATGAATTGAATCTTCTACTATACACTATTTTATTTTTCAGAAAAAATCACAAAAAATCGAGGTGGAGGACGCATGTTGCTGAGGTGAGGAATTTTGAATTTTTGAAACGAAATTTGAAAAAAAAAAGATGACAATAGGTTAGGCTGACGATCTAACTTTGAAACTGAATTTTTGAATTTCAAAAATAAAAAAAAGAGGATGACGTGGCAATTTTTCCTTTTATTTTTAAAATTCAAATCTTGCCACGTCAAAAGTTTTTTTTTCCGAATTAGGGTTTTTGAAAACACGAAATCACTCGAAGAGCTGCCAAGGTTTAAAAATGAAATTCAATTTTAGCCAGAATCCACGAGGTCTCTTTAACTGTCAAAATCAAGTAATTTCCCTTAATTCCAGCTCAAAAATCCCTGATTTTTCAGCCAACAATATGCTCATCAATCACTTCATTCCAATAATAATTGCTGCAATTTTTTTGAATTTCCCACAAAAAACAGGTATTTCGCTTTATTATCTTTTCTTCAATAATAAATCAAAAAGCTATAGAAAACATGTGTTTTTCTTGAATTAAAACTCTGAAAATTTGTGGCGAGATAATCCAGAATAACCTTGTTTTTGCCACGTCATAAACAATTCTATCATAAAAAGTTTGTTTGGGGTTGGTTGTAAAACCAAATTATTCTCAAGTATTTATTACAAACCTCCCTCCCCCTCCCCTTCCGAATTTGATCAAAACTTGTATAATTTTTGGGAAAATGTATATTCCTCAATTTTTTGTCAAAGATTTTTCGGCGCCAGGTGTGTTTATGACTCATGTTAGGGCCGCGTTCCTTGTAGAAAAAATTCCCTCAAAAAATCTTTTCATTGTGAAAATTATGCGAATTCCTACGATTCCCGAGCGAATTTTGGGTGTTTTCGGTGGGAAATTATCATATTCTCACTCAAATTTTGGGAAAAAAATTGAATTTTTTGTAGAATCTTGTCTTCCTCAATGGTTTCGCGAAGAAAGATCGGCTGGTTTTGAAGCGACAAATGAAATTTTGGAGCAAAATGTGGAGGAAAATGATAAGAAGAAAATTATTGAGCAATTGAGTGAGTTTTACTGGGGCTCAAAAAGTTCCTCATTCTCAAAAAATGTTTCTTTTTCAGCTGATGATGAAAATGAATATGAAAATCCAAGTGTGATAGATGGTTTTGAAAGTTCGCAAGAAAGTCAATTTATTCAAGAAGAAGAAGAAGAATCGCAAGAAGTGCAATATAATTTGGCGGCAACAAAATCGCCGACAACTTCGATGAGTCCAGAAATGGAACGAAAAATGGAACAATTGATGATTGAAAAATGCACAAATCATTGCGAGAATAATGCAACATGTAGTTTAGAAATGTATTATAAATCTGCTGAAGAAGGCACTATTATTATTCCCATTTGCCAGTAAGTTAGATTCTGAGAGACGGGCGAAAAATATATATGTATTTTAAAGGGAAAATTGAAAAGTCAGAATTTTGGACCAAAAACAGGAATTCCGGAGTTTAGAGAAAATAAAATATAAGCTTCAAATTTGAACACACAAATCTCTTTTTTACAGTTGTAAGGCTGGTTGGGAAGGTCAACAATGCGAACGTCAATATGTTCAAGAATTCTACGCGGCAATTTCTGGAAATGGACAAAATGTACGTTTTGTTATGTTGACTGGCAGATTAATCTCATCACAAACCCAAAAAAATGTAATTTTTTGTTGAAAACACCTCCTAATAATCATAACTAACAAAAATAATATGGAAAAAATGAAGAAAATTTGTAATTTTTCCCGAAATTAAACCAAAAAAAAAAACTGCATGATTTTTTGAATTTCTAACATTTTCTGCATGTGTGCTCTAATTTGATCTAATTTCGAATTATCTTTCGAACAAAAATTTTGAAGGTTTCTTCCACGCACAACAGAGTTGCCAAAACTCAAAATGTCAAAAAACCGGCAACTGAAACTACGAATTTTTTTGGAGATTTTTCATTTTTGGTATGTTAGGAATAAAAATATATTGAGAAAAAGAACATTTTTAAAATTCTAAGATTTTTATCTTGAAAAAAACGTTGAAAATATTTGTTTGCAGCAAAATCCTTCATCTGCAGTTCCAGCAGTCACTTTTCTTATTCTCATGTTGATTATGTTTGTATCGATTGTTTTGTATGCGTATAAAAGGTGAGTTGATTTTTAAATTTTCACCAGAATTGATTTATTTTTAAAATTTCTATAGTTTTAAAAGAAAATCCCAAATTGTTTTGTGTTTTGCTAAAAATCCACGTGGCACAAAACGTTTTTCCAATTTGTTCCCATTTTTTTCAGAATGTCTCGACGAATCGATGAAACAACATACACAATGAGTCATATGTGTCCACCAGAAGCTTTCACAGTTCTCAAAACTCCGTGTGGTCGAAAAATATCAGTTCATGAATCGCTTTTCTCATCATCGGCTTCATCTTCTGGCGCATCAGGATTAGGACAAGCGAATTCAGGATTTGGCACAAGAAATGCTCGAAGATTGAATTCGAATTCTGGTCCAATTATGACATCAACTCCAGCTGTTCATTTACCTCAAAGAACACCGGCTGTTCGAATTTTGGAAAAACCAAGCATTTTTCAAATTCTTCGAAATCAAGGATCGATTCCATCGCGAAGTATCAATGAAAATGACACGCCGAAATATTATAAATCAGTTCCACGTGTCGAAGTATCAGCAATTAATTATTCAGGACATATTGATTTTTCGAATATTCTTGAGACACCGGTGAGTATTGGAAATGGAAAGAGGGTGTAAAGTTGGAAAGTTGTTTGAAAATTCTTGAAAAGCTCGGGATCTTTGAAAGGAATCTGAAAAATTCAAAAATTCTGAATGTTTGTTTGAGTTTACAAAATTACTCATGTACCTGCGGAGTTTCCTTGTAAATACTACGACACTCCGAAGTTACTCCCATTATATTATATTTTTCAGGAAGAAAGTCGACCGCATCGAACATCTCCGCCTCCACATATAGTTATTCAGATGGATGAAGAGGTTTTTTTTTTGCCTGCAAATTTTCAACCAAGAATTCTTTATTTTTTCAGAGCACCCGATCAACTCTCGATCCAACCACTTCACCAATCGCCAGACTGTGATCTAATTTTTCCCACCAGAAAAATTCAAAAATTCTAGTCAAAATCTAGTCTCTCTCTCCCTCGGGTTTCTTGTTCAATTTCACTTTTCTCCTCCTCTCAATCACTTTTTTTCCTGCAAAAAATTCAACAACGGGTGCCCAAATTTTCCCCGCTCCGATCGTAAAATTCCTGTGAATTATATATAGTTTTTATATGTTTTCTTTCTTTATTTTTTATGTATGTATTTTTGTAAAATAGCTGCTATGTTACGTATATGAATAACTTACCTTAACTTCAACAGATTTAAAAATTAAGACAAGATTGAAGTCGTTAAATATTTATATTTAAATATATTCAAAGTCACATCTCGCAGAGATTAGGTCAAATTATCACAGGAAAATGTACAAAAATGTGGGCGGAGATCAATAAATCAATAAATTTAGAGTCCAACATTTTTCAAGGTGGTGGAGTTCTTTGAGGTGGAGTTGTTTTGTGAGTTGCTTGAATTAGCTCGTCAAATTGGATTATTTCGAAAAGTGATGTCATTTGCACTGTTTCGTTCATTAGATGGGTTAGGCTCTGAAAAAATGAAAATTAAAAAATTGAAATGCGAAGATTTGATTTTTTGGAATTTTAGATTTCCTTTCTCGAAACTAGAATTTTTGTTATTTTCAAAACTGAGTATGAGGTTTTTCTTATATTTTTTGGAAAAACAGATTCAATGCGCATACAAAGCTGTCGTCAACGCGGAGTCTTGTTGTCTTGTTTTTATTTTTGCAATTTTTTCATGTTTTTTTTAGAAAAAGACTACGAATTTCGCATTTGCAACTACCCCGAGAGTTTCTCCCCTCTCTTACCGTAATCGCGGACAACATAATCATAAACTTGGCAATTCTGAGCGTTGCTTGAGCCGACGTCGAACATTTTGCATTTCTCTCATAATTATAAAGTGCACTCAAATATTTTTCTCTCGCCGTCGCAACCGCAACACGTCCTTCTGCACTCAATCCACTTTCATTCGAAAAAAACATGACCGATTTAACGAGAACCATTTCATGATCATCCATTTCATAATTTCTCATTGGTCCAATTACATAATGTAAATATCTTGGCATACATTCTTTATAGAATTCAGTAATGTGTGGATCAGCCATTTGATCGGATAAATGAGCTGCGCCATTCGCGAAACATATTCCATTCACATTGTTTTTATAGGAATAATATGCGTGAACAAACCAGCCGTGAAGAATGATTTTTTTCTTGGCAATTATTATTTGATCTTCGGAAGAAAGTGCGAGAAAATCTGGCATCGCGTGGCACCTGAAATCAAGAATGTTGGAATACGGTAGCTGGGGAAAAACATTAGATTTTGAAAATAGTAGCTTGGAATATTTTTCATTCCGACAAGAAATTGAGAGCTTCTATGTCAAGTAGTCGAGCCCATCCTTTTTGTGTTTACCGTACTCACCAATCAGAATAATATGTAAAATGTCTTCTCCATCCATCAATCAAATCATTTGGTGTCAAAAATCGTTCATTCGAAAAATTCATCGGATATCTTGCACAAACCATCAAAGGTCTTCGAAAAACAATTTCAAATGGTAAATTGATGGGAGCCTTTGTCACATTAATCGATTGATCGACTTCAATTGGATTGTTATAGAACACCTGGATAAGCTGTACTTTGGCGTCTAACTTGAATGTTGAAAAACAATCAAAAGAATTACCTGCACTTCAATTTGATACAACATTGATGGAATTGACATATAATCATTTGGAACAGGTAAATCAGAGGGTGGTGTTGAGATACGTTCAGTTTTGATAATTCGAGGACTTGAGGTTGAATGATCGAAATCATAATCATCTTGAATTTCTAATTTGGCATCAGTTTGAGTTGAAGCATCAAAACAATCCGGTCGAGCTCGTTTTCGGCGAATTGAGCCATTTGGAAGAATTGTTAATTCTTTGGGATTTGAGAAGTTGGTAGAGTTTGTGGAAATATTTTGAGAAGGGGTTATCGATGGAGCGCCGTTGGCCATTAAACCGTTTTTGGCATTTCGATCACGTTCATTTTGAACAGCTGGAAAATTAATTAAAATTTATAAATATTATTAAAATTTTGTAGGATAACTATTCTTTTCTTGTTTTCACTTATCTGACGTCAGAAAACCAGACACACAACAATAAATGAAACGTAAACGATCTCTCAAAGATCAAAGATAAAATAGGAAATTATTTAGCAACAGTTTCTCAACAAAAAAAACTGAATTTGGTAAAACAGTGTCCCTTTATATGGTCCCATTTGACCTAAAAACTCACAATCTGGATTCATTCCAACTTCGAAACATTTTTTCAATCGACAAGATCTGCATACATTTCGATTCTCTTTCATCATTGGACAAGTTCCACCAAATCTACACGAATATTGTCGACGCGACCAAACCGATCGACGAAAAAAACCTTTACATCCATTACAAGCATTAATTCCATAATGTTTTCCAAATGCAACATCTCCACAAACATCGCAAATTAATCGAGAAGATTGTGAGCCAGCTGATGATGAGAGGTCACAGTTTGATGTTGATGGAGATGTGTCGAAGTTTGGCATTCCTCCAGGCACTGAAACTGGAAAAGGTTACTGTAGGGGTTTTGTTAAAGGAACATGATCTGAAGATACTTCTGAAAACTATCAGAAAACGTTTTTGTCTAGAATTTTAAAAAGTTCCTCGTGTTACATTTGAGGATATGAGATACTGTAGATTATAATGCTACAGTAGGAAACCCAAAATTATCTAGATTGAATCATGTTATGAACATATTAGAATTTTTTCAGCTTACCTTTTGAGTTCCTAAAAATCCCAAAACTTCTGCAGTTCACATAAAAACAATGTCTACAAGGTTTCAACATTTTCAAAATTCGCTGAATTTGAAATATTCAGAAAAACAGTAATGTGTATTTTTTTTAGGTAAGAATAATATTTTTACTGAAAAATAACAACAAAAAAATTTTCTCACAAAAATTAAAGTGTTTTGAAATATTTCGAAAATTTACAGTAGTACCATAATTTCGAAATACGGCAAGTACCAAAGTCGTTCTCACAATTACAGTATCTCATCAGAATTATTATTTTAGGTACTTAGGGTTACGGTAGGTCCTTACAGTATCCTGACAAAGATTAATTTTTAAAAATCAAGATTTTTTCGGAGAATGAAAAATAATCTCTGTTATTTATTTCCCACCAAAATAATAGTACTCAAGAGAAAAATAAAAACAACTAAAAAAAAAGATTTGATTTCTAAAAGTACTCAGAGATTAGCCAAGGGAATTCCCGCATTGGGATCTTAGAAAATAAATAATTGATCTGAATAGAAATTTTGATTCTGAGATCTCAGTGTAAAAGTTTATGGCTAATATCTGATTCTGAGTAAGTACAACGTTATCCCAAAAAAGAACTCACAATCATATTTATAATCCTCAATTTGTTCGTATTTCGGCAAAAATGGTTCCAAGACTGGATCAACCAACATTTCGCCACTTGTCATTTGAGGGAGGAAAACCAAACCAACCAGACAAAAAATGCTGAAAATCCAATATTATTTTTTGTTCGTATTTTTCTCCATTATCAAAAGAAAAAAAAAAAGAAAAGCCAAAATAACAAGAGATAAATCACCATAGTTACCATCTGACTCATTTCTAGACAAGACAAAATATAATCAAGAAATGAGAAGAAATTCTAGGTTCCAAATAAAAAATGAAATTTGAGAGTACAAAGACGAGACGACAAAAATATGTATGTATTATAAAAATAGTAAAGTACCTATGGCCGATTAGAGAAAAATTTGGGGATGGTGAGAGAGTGAGAGAGTGCAGAGATGGAAACAACGACACAACGTGTCCTTATCATTAGAATCACATTTTTCGCAGCGCGAAAAATGACAGAAAAAATAGAAAGAAGGGGGAAGGGGGAGAACCTTGTCTTGATGATTATGTTGATGATCACGAGGAATATTTGGATAGATACTTTTAGAGAAACAATTCTAGAAAAAGAAGAAGAAAATGAGAATTGGGGAAACAATAGAAAAAAAGAAAGATAGAGGAATTGCAGGAATCCGGGAACGAACTGTGGTTTGTTGAATGGTAGTGCAAAGAATTACCAAAAGACTTTTCAGATGTGGAAGTATTTGATCAGACCTGACTAAAATGGCCTTGTCGGAATGAGAAAATTCAGATTTTTCGAATACTTCGGGCAGTATCTAATTTCGTAATTTCTATCAGATCTCTGTTGAACATTCCGAAATCCAGCTGGAAATACGCTTAAAATTTTATCTAGTGTATTTATTGAGCAGACTTAGAAGTAAATCATGTTTTTTTCCTAATTATGATTACATTTTTGATCACCAAAATCAAATATTCAAAAGTTCACATTTTCAAGCTGATTTGTAAGTTCTGACTAAATTTTCGAAAATTTTCAATCTCAGGGTTCAACCTAGAAATTCAGCTTTAAATCTGGATTTGTTCCAAAATTTTCTAGCTTAATTTTAAAGCCCTCTAAATTTTTCAAAGAAAACTCAGGTCTTAAATTTTGTTTCCTCTGCATCTTTAATTTTCGCGCAAAAATGACGCCATCGCTTCAACTATCCCCCAAAACTACGCAGCTCCACCCACTCAACTAAACTTTTCGCGCCAATCGCTCAAAAATATTCCACGTCATCAAATATGGGTACAAAGAAAAATCCAATATAATAAATATCTAAATCTATATTGACACATTTGTTCAAACAAAATAAAATATCGCGAGAAAAAAAGCAACTAACTAAAAAAAGAAATCGAATAATGAGCAAAGCGTCTGACTGGAAGACTGAAAAGAGTGTGTGAAAATGAGAGAGAGTGACCAGAGAAAACGACGACACCAGCCAGTTTCCTAAAAGGTGGCTTTTTTATTATTATATGTGAAAAATATATTTATTTTTTCATTTGTATATTTTTTTGCAGAAAGAAAAATTGTTTTCCCGCTTTGTACTATTTTCTTCTCAAAACCGAAAAACAAAAAGTGCGAGTTCTTTTTCTGCATTCACTGAGTGAGGCCGATCAAAAAACATCCAGAGAGCTACAGTAATCTGGTTGAATTTTTGGCGAGAGAGCGAGAGAAAACAGAAAAAGTGCAGAAAGGTGCACTTTTTTGGTTTTTGGCGTGGTAACAAAAACTGAAGAGAAAAATTTTCTGTGGGGGGTGGGGATCGAACCCAGCATCTTGAAATTCTGGAGGCAAAACACTACCACTGCGCCACGCGTTCATATTGAAACGTTGGTCAAACATATTTTACCATTTTTCCTCAAAAAAAAAATTTCTGATTTAATCTAAAACTCATATTTTTCTATTTTTTGAACAAAAAAGAAAGTAGTAAAAAAGGGGAAAAGAGATGAAAAAACACATTCATGTGTGTGGAATGAAGGAGAAAAACACGTAGGGCAAAAAAAGTGCAAAAACTACATTGGCTGGGGCGAAGGCAAGAGGCCCGCCCGGCTGGATCGAGTGACGACGATTGCGAACAAAAACACATTTACTATTTTTGTTGGAGGGAGAGAGGGACAAAAAATTGAAGAGGGCAAAAATTGAAAACGGATTGGGACGAGAGGATCTGGAATTTGTTTTTATTGAGGGAATGAAAGTCAACGGATTTCAGGTTACACATTCTCAATCAATCCTTCGAATCCCAATATATCAGATACATCTTCGAAAATCCGAATTATTCTCAGTTTTTAGTATTAGATTCAACGTTTACTAGTTCGTAGAAAAAATAAGAACATTTCGATAAGTATTCGCCGAAACGAAACAAATGACGAACCGTATGCGAGCGGAGTCTCGTTGTTCTCTTTTTATTTTAGCGAGTTTTTCTTTTTTTTTTTTTGATGAACCGCGGAACTATTTACGAAATAAATAGTTCCGCGGATGAAAAAAATACACACAGGAAGCTTTAACACTTTCAAGCTTACCCAGACAATTATTTTTTGTAGATCAAAACATAGTTCGAAAAATTTAACCCAAACTACAATTTACCCAATATCTAGAAAGACAACATCTTCTTTTTGTTTCTTTATATATAACATCAACAAAACAATCATTGAATTCGTTGATCAGTCTGTTAGAAAAATCAAAATTATTTCTTGATTTAGTGAACAAAGTTCAGATGCGCAATAAATCTATGTACGCACATGTATTTCAACCCGATTTATTTATGATATTTATGTTGGATGGTTGTTTTATCGGTGTGAAATAAATAACCAAAAAAAGATTGATTCGGCGTGAAAGAACGAGCGAAGAGACGAAGAAAAAGTGATACAATTATAGATAAAAAGATTGATAGGAAATATAAGATAAATAAGGAAATCGGTAATTTGTGGGTACATTTTTTGTTTGTTGGGACCGATAAAAATATGAATAGTGACGAAAAATATTTTTATTATTATTTTTACTAAATAGGAATCACTTTCTTGAGTTTTTAAAGGCGTTAATTTCACATGAGAAAAGAACAAGTGATAATCTTATCAATCTACGGTACATTCTACCGTAGCTTTTAAAAACATTGTTTGCGATTTGGAACAAATCAATCGTTTCAAGAAAACATGAAAATATGTTATTCATATTCTCAGATTGTTTTATTTCTCACAAAATCATAAGAGGAAAAATCCTGTGAGTGTTCAAAACATTCTAACTTTTGAAATTGAATTTTTGTAAACTCATCCAAAGAGAAGTAACTGTTTCAACTTATACTCGAGATCTAGTTTTTGACCTGCTCTTTAGCAAATTATAATCGAAGTTAATAAAATTGAAAAAATGAAACAAACTGCAACACAAAATTTTAACAAAAACTATCAATAAAACCCGGAAAGAGCCAATAGGGAAATGCATGAATGATAAGAATTCTTTGGACAATGAATAGACAAAAAGTTTTCGATGAACTGATTACTAATAGGTGTGAACTTTGATCATTTGTAGTGCAAAATGGTGGCGAGACAAAATATATCCGGTATAGAAACATTTTTGGAAAATAGTCGCATAAAATCAGAAAACAATATTTCCAATTTTCCGGAGATCAAAATACATTTCAAAATTTCAATTAGATTAAATTCTTCTGGAAAAATCTGTCAATCAAAAAACTCGGAAAACTTTATGAGTTTATATTCAGTCAAAATGTTTCATCACTTCAAAATGTATAGCATAAATCAATAACTCGTTCACGATCTACACAAAAAAACTACAATGGGGCCAAGCTTATCGCCTATAAATTTTCGGCGCCAGTATAAATGGAACAAAAATCAGTTGCCTCAAAAAAGTTGAAAAGCCATTCTTATCACTTTTTTCCTCACGTACAACTTCGTTTGACCAATAAAACAGCGGCGAATCTCAACAAATAATGAAACCAAAAAAACCAAAAGTGCGAAAATAAAAATGAGTGACAAAACGAAACAAAACAAAGAATCGACGGTCAAGATGTTTAAATACATAATATAAAATTTCAATTCAAACAAAATGTATGTATATATCAAACTAGATTCTATTTCGGGATCACAACATCGGCCTACAAACTATTTTTCAATTTGAACATGATTGATTATGGGACTATTCAAGTTATTTTCTCAACGCTGAGAAAAGCGAAGAAAACCTATTCAGGTAGGCTGAGAAAATACGAAAAAAGAGAAGAAAATACATTTTCTCCGCATTTCTCCTGTTTTCTCAGCGTGTTGAGAAAATACTTGAATAGCCCCATTATCCTTCAACACGTGATATCAATTCCAAATCATTTCACAAAACTTGTATTTTCCCGATAAGGTCGATCAAAAGTCAGATTTACAGTAGCAAGAAACGTGGAGACAACCATATATAATCATCATAGATCATCTAATGATCTACAATATTCCATAGAGCACATTTGTCTATTTTAGACCAAAAAATGCACTTTTTTTGCGACGTGGGGGCGATTTATATAAATATTTAATTAAGAGGAACAAAGTCTCACTTTGTTCATTTATAAGCGAAAAAAAGTGAGAAAAAGAAGAAATGATGGTTTTTGAAGAGAAAAAGAAGAAAACGTGTGGGAAAATCTGAGGATAGGTGGTCTTTCAAAAAATATGGCAGAGAATTTGCCTAGATTTCAAAAAGTAAGTATGTTAGTGTAAAAGTACTGTAATTCTAACATAACAAAAATAGAACAAAAATACAGTAACCACAGTATTTTCAAGTTCACAGAGTGTAATTCAATCATTGAAAAATTGAAAATTACAGTAATCTGAACATACATACAGATACCGTAATCCTGGAGAAAATCGTTAGATCAAAAAATCACAAACAAAAATAAAGTAACAATGTATCAAGAATTCAGAAAAAAGGGACAAGAATCGCAACAAATTCCCGGAAAAAAATAAAAAAGATCAAACAAACAACATAGAGTACGTGTAGATAAAAAATTCAAGAGTTTTTCGCAGCAAATTTTGAAATCAAAGACTACAGTACCCTCAGATCGAATATTGAGAAATTCAAGAATGTAATGAGACGAAATACAGTAACCCTTACCTTACACATGCTCAATGTGCCTTAAAAATCCCCACATTTCCAGAAATCTTCAAAAAAGTCACGTATTTTCCAACCAATCAAAGAAAAATACTTACAGTACCCAGCCGGCGGTTTGCAACACATTATCACATGATATTAACAAGACCGAAGCAAAAACATAATAAACAAAAAAAATCTTCTTTGGAATGATCATGAAATGAATATAAAAGTTCGTAGAATGATCACTTTTATGGGAGGAGAAGAGTTATTGGGATTTTTGGAGACATTAGAGACACGTGTTGACAACATGGTTGAATTGATATGAGAAGACACAATGTTGAACGAAGGAAAACGATTAGTTTTGCAATTGACAGCTAAAGGGATCTAATTCTTGATTAACTGATTATTTAATTAAGATTTGCCATGTGGAAAAATTGGTTTTGGAAAATGGGGGTGAAAAGGGATTTTATGAAAACTCTGAGAGTAGAAAAATATGGGTTCGGAAATTTCAGATAGTAGCCGCACCTAGAAAATCTAATTTTCAAGGATCAGCGACTAGATAACTTTGTTCTCAAGTAGCCTCGCCTTAACAACCCAATTGTCCTGGGCCCACATCTAGGTATTCAGTCTAACAAGTAGCCGCGCCTTGAGAGCCTCTGTAACTTGAAACCTTGGTTGTCAAGTAGTCGCGCCTAGAAAGTTCAAATGTTATGTAGCTTTCGATTTTATTTTTCGAACTAGAATTTGATTTTATTTCCCAAATAAATTAGTATAGAAAAAAAGATCAAAAGAGAGCGAGAGAAAAGAAAAGTCAATAGAAAAGTTCCTCTTTCGGAACATTTTCGCCGGATTTTTTCTGTCACATGTGGTCAGAAAAGGACAGCCAGCGGGGAGCGGGGCAGGTTCGGATTTCTGAACAAACAAAACAACATTTACTACAAGTTTTATTTGGAAAATCGGAGCGCCGAAAATTGCACGATAGTGAAGTGCAAACTTTGAAAAAACAGATTGAAGGGCTCAGAAAAAAAGTGTGATCAAACTATTTACAAAATATATTGTGTAAGGCGATGATGCAGATTAGTTTCTCCCCCGAGCTAATTGAGGAGAAAGAGGAGAAACGTGTTGCACATGGAGGCGAAACAATGTATTTTTCGAATTTCGCCTCATTTCTCCTCGGAGGAGAAACTCATCTGCAACATCGCCTAAGGGAAACAGAAAACCAATCCAAACCTCACCCAAGAATCTGGAGGAGTGGGTAAAAATTGCCCAGATGGGTTTATTTTCAAAAATTCCCCACCTACTAAAAAAAATTTGCCCACCTAAGGCTTGCCTTAAAGACCCAAAAAAAATTTGCCCGCCTAAGTGTTCTTTCACCCAAAACCAAACCCCAAAACCCATTAAACTGACCTGACATGAGTTGTGGCAGTTGTATAAGAACCAAGTCCTCATATTAATTTTGTTTTCATCGTTGAAATTGGAGTGGTAAGCCAACAAATCTCATGCAATCTGGAATTTCTATGGATCATAGAAAGAAAAATAAACTCCCTCTTACGTTTAATTGAGAGCTCTCATTGCAGACAGGCCAAATACAAAATAAAATATTTCAAGAAATGAGTGTCCAACCTGATGAAAAATAAATAAAACTCATTCCTAATTAGCTATAAAACATACACAACGTTTTAAATAATTCAGAACAAAAAATGACGTAACGTATTATTTCTTCGAAGAATTCAAAAACCAAAAAAAAACACAGTGAAAAAAAAGAAAAGAAAAATAATTTTTCGCTAAACAACAGGCATGCGGACAAACGGAGTGTCGTACTAAAATGGAAAATCGGAGTTTCGTATTTTTTTAATTACTATAGTATTCTCCATGGGAAAACCACGGGCGAAAAAAAGAAACAAAATTTGGGATTGCGGACCGTTGCCACATCAGTAAAACGTGTCACTCATTTCGAAAAAAAAGACCGATTTCACCCATCCCAGCCAATCACGTAATTACACGTAGATAAAAGGTACATGACACGCCCCTTTTTCTGCCAAGTCCGCAGTGAGAAAAGTGTACACGTTTTGTTTCATTTTTTCGCCCGTGGAAAACACGCTGATTATTTTGTCACGTTTGGCCGAGGAAACCAAACCGGGCAGCCAGACGGCCAGGCTCCGCTTTTTTAAATTGAAAATGAGAAATTTTCTCAAAATTTCACGCTTAACTGTTTCAAATTAAACGTGAAATAATTTACTTCATTTTCATTTTCTCATTTTTCAAAAAATGTGGTCTTTATATTCAAAATATTCTCCTGAACCTTTTGAACCCATCCATTTGAATCACGAAATAGCTGGATTTATTTTGGCTGCTGCTTTGGTGATTTGTTAGTTTCATCATTATTTTTTCGAATTTTTTGTGAATCATTTTTTCCAGTAATCTCAATATGTGCTGCAATCCTTTATCAATCTGTATTTCAAACTGATATTTTTGATGTTGATTTTCCTGAAGAAAATGAGAAGCTGAATCAGAATGACGTCGATTTCCCAGATAACAATATTGAGGAAAAAAGGACACTTGAAGAATGAGATTTGAAAATTGTCTCAATGAATTGTTTTGTCTTATGAAAGTTGAACCTCATTTTATTTTAGATTTTTTTTTCAAAATCCAACCAATAATTATATTTTTTCCCTTCAATTTTTCAGCTAAAATGTCGAGCTAACATATAATTTTTCATTTCAATTCCACTTTTTTGTCCTCGAGAATTACACAAAAATGGCTAACTATCGAGAAATGCTTGAAATACTGTTCCAAAATGTAACAGAAAAACCAAGAAAATATTCACCTGAATTTCGAATTTTTCAATTTTCAGCAAGTTTCCTCTATTTTTTATTAGTTTTAGTATATTGGCTCAAATTTTCCATTATTTTCTGGAAACAAGGTTGGAAAAATATGCAAAAATTTGTGAATTTTCAATATTGGCTAACTAGTGGCGTTTATTTATTTGGTGTTGGTGTTTTTGTTTTATCAAAATATCATGACGAAGAGAAAATTTGTGTTTCATCGGTTTTATTGGAACTTGAAGGATATTTTGCTGGGAATCTTCCGATGATTTTGTGGTTGGTTTTTCTCAATTTTCAAGTTCTATGCTCGCCAGATTTGTCGAAAAACAACTCAAAAAAATAATTTTCCAGTTACTGTTACGAATTAATCAATGTTATTTCGGTTTCTGAAATCAATCTAATTCTGCTATGTTTTCTCCATATTTCCTTTGAAAATATTTCAAAAATTATCCAAATTCCTGGAATTTATGGATTTGCAGTTCAATTAATAGCAATGTTTCAAATTGAGACTCCTTATCGGGTAAAGTAAATATTACCTAATTTTTTTAATTTCTGAAATCAATTTCAGATTTCTTATAAGTGTCCATCTGAATTTCAAACACCAATATTGAATACAATTCGATTATTTTCTTGGCCAATTTTAGTCATTTATGCTATTATTTCTCTGAAATCGAAGATCAATAGGAATCTCGAAATTTTGGCGATATTGATATATGGAAATATTCGGCTGATTTTTGAAAATATCGGATTTTTTGAAGATTTTTGGATATATGATTCAAGGAATTTTATGTTATCGATCTCGTTTCCAATGATTTTTATGTTTTCGGAGAAAATTGGGGAATTTCGATATTTTGCGAGGGTTTCGCCGCAAAACTAGAATAATAATGAACTTTTGAAAAAACCTATAATTAATTCGAAAATGTCAACTTAAACTTTTTCATTAGAAAAGTAGATTTGTATTTGTATTTGAATTTTTATTTAAAAAATGGATAATTCCACAGATTATTACTATTATGATAACTACACTGATTATTCAGAAATTTCCCAAGAAGATCTGGAAAAACTTACTGAAATTATTGACGCTCTGAAAGAACTTGAACAAATAACAACAACAATTCAACCAGAAACACCACCACAAACATTTTCAAATATAATTTTGCTGACTTTTTATATTATTTATTTTTCAACATCTGTTTTATTGGTTTTCAAACTTGCTTGGGAAATTATTAGAAAAACGCCTAGAAAGTTTGTATATTTGCAATTTTTGATATTAACAATTGCATATTCTTTTGGTTTGGGTTTAATACTGTTCGGTGAATATATTGGAGGATTTTATATGTGGGATATAAATACTGGACTTATGGTAATTATTCATATAACCAATATGAATGATAAAATTGCAAATTTTATATCATTTCTCAATGGATCTCAAACATATCGACTTTTATTATGCTTTTTGCATATTTTACATGAAATTTTAGCCAAAAAATATTGGATTTTTGGATTTCTTGCGTTTATTCTTCAATTAACAGTTTGTTGGATATTTGAACCGGGATACATGGTATACATAAGAACTGGATGAAAATTGAAATCAAGAAAAAAAAGGTTTTTTAGGATCTATTAGTTTTCCCATATGAAAAGTCATCAATAATTGTGCTTTTAATAATTGATTATATTTCTTGGCCAATTCTTCTGATTTTCACAATCATTTCAATCAAATTTTGGAAACTGAGAATCGAAGAAAACCTTGTTATTTTTACAATTATAATCTATCAAAACACGAGTAACATTTTTGCGTATTGCGAGATTTTCTTCAAATTTTGGTTTTTCCATTCACACAATTTTATTCTATCAATTTTGATTCCATTGGTTTTTTGCTATTCCGAAAATATTTTCAGACAATTTCGAAAAATCAAATATTTTTCGAAGATTTCGCCACAAGTTACAGCGCCGCCAATTAGTTAACTTTTTCCTGTGATTCAATGAATTTTTTTTTAAACTTTGTTTTTTGAATTCATCAATTTCTGACGTGGCAACAATTTGTGCATATCAAACTATAATTATATTTATAGTTTCCGTCATCAAAATTACATAATATAGTATTACAAGTATGTGTCCAGAACGTTGAGTTCCTTCTTTTTTCTTTTCATATCAAATTCTATTTTTTAGGACAAACAAATACTGATTCATAAATACGTCATGGTTTCGCGATTCCCAAATTTTATCACCTAAAATAAAACATGTATAAAATAGAATAGAATGGCGTGTGCTTCTTATCAAACTAAAGAAAAAGAATTAAAAAATGAATATTCGAATTATTGAGAAACCGGTTAGTTTGTTTTTTGAATTTTTGAAGTGAAGATTTTCGAAATTTTTAAAGACTATTCCACTGAATGCACCAATTTGTAAAGGAATAAAACCTCATTCAAGTATTGAAATTGTTGGATTTGTTACGCATGGATCACAAGGGTTAGTTTTTACAATCTAATTAACTAATTTCTTCACTAATTAATTAATTTCTAGTGGCTTCACAATCGAATATGTAAAACCTAATGGCACACCATTTCATATGTCAATTCGAATGGGTGTTTTTGGTGAAAAAGTTATCGCGTTCAATTTTTTGAAGCGTGGAAAATGGCATAAAGAGGAACATCATCATAATCCACTTTTGTTTGGCGAACAATTTTTGTTGAAAATTTCGAATGAACATCATAAATATGATGTGAGTTTTTTTGTGAGGGAAGAAGGGAGAAACTATGTATTAAAACACACTTGATTATTGATATTAAAATTTTGTTATCAGAGCGCTGAAAAAATCAGGAATTCGTATTTTCAACAAAAAAACCTGCTGACATGGCCGGGGTGAACTTTTTTCAAAATATCAACACTCCAAATTGAAAGTTCAAATCCAACGTTTAGCAACTACAAAATTCGTTGGACATAAATTGGCCCAAATTTTCTTATTTGAAAATGTAATCCAAAAAAATATGATCAAGAAATATTTGAAAAATCAGTTTTAAAAATCGCAAAAAAATCATAACGTTTTCCTTTTTTCACAAAGACCAGTTAGCCAAAAATCTGGTTCCAGAATCCCCTTCCCCAAAATTATCTACCTTTTATTTTGCAGATCCATATAAATGGCAAACATATTGCTCATTATCATCATCACAGTTGCCCGAAAAAAGTGAATAGTTTCCTGATTCGCGGTGATATTCAAGTCTCATCAGTTAGATTCAACAATTTCCATATCGATAAATCTCAAAATAATCAACCAATCTTCATCCAACAAGTTGCTCAACCACAACCACAAATAATCACAACAGCTACAGTTATTCCAAGTGCTCCTCCAATGATTCAACAAGCTCAACCAGTTTATCAAATTGTTCCACAGCCTCAAATATATCCTCAATTATACGGTCAACCTGAAATCATTGTTATGGATGGTTATCATCATCATCACCATCATTGTTAAAAATCATAGCTCATTTTTGTATATTTCTGAAAAAAAATTGATAAAATATTCATATATCAACAAAAAAAATATGGAGAAAAAAAGAGAAATATGGCAAAAAAGGAGAAAAGTTTGCAGATAAAGAAAAAAATGTGTATGTATAAAAACTAAACAAATGGGGGACAAAAACGTGGGAAACCTAACTAAACTCACTATTTACAAGAAGATGAAGAAGGTGTTGAGGCGGATGGTTCTTCGACTATTTTCAATGCCAAGTCTGCGTGATGTTTCCATAATGATTCGTCTTCTTCCTGTGGGAGAAAATCATTTTTCCATTGGAATAGAAATAAAAAGAATAATTTTGATATTCGGATGAAAACGTTTGAGCTTACTTATATCACTGGTCCTGGGAGGTTGACCAAAAATTGACCAAATTTTGACCAAAAACGAAAATTGGTCGAATTTTGACCAAAAATTGATCAAAAATATTTATTGGCCAAAATATGGTCAGAAATTGGCCAAAAAATTGGTCGAAATTTGGCCAAAAATCAGTGAAAATTTTAATTGTGAAAAATTTCGAAAATCTTAATGTTGTTGGGCAGACATGTTTTTTTGCGGCTTTTGGTGAAGTTAGGTTGATGAATTTCGTTGTTTTTCTACTGGTGAATCAATAAATAGGAGTAAAATACTTCGTTTGGTGAATTTTGGCGCCACTCACACCAATTTCACCATTGGCGCAAATTTCAGCCCCAAATCTTCAACTAAAATCAGTTTTGACTTATCTTGGAGCTATTTTTACCAAGCAGAGACCTATCTCGAATCTATCAGTTGTATTGATTGATCCTTGATTTATCAACAACAAGGGCTCATAGAAATCAGAAGTATTGGGTTCAAGGGCAATAATTTCCATTATTTTTTGAAAGAATATTGTTGTGACAGCCATCAGCTTCGAAAAAAAATGACACCAGTGTCTCAAAAATCGTGCATTTGTTCCCAAAAACGTGAACTCAAAAACTTTCACAGATATATATGATTTTTATATCATTTTACTCAGCGTGAAATTTTGAATCGAATGGTGTAAACTATTTAACATCAAACACCACTAATTTGTGCGCGAAAACAATAGATTAAAGGCGCACATATTTGTTTCAGTTGGTCTCGCAGCGCGCTGTTGCGTTTGTGTGCATTTCGAAAATTTCTTTTTTTTTTCTGTTTTTTCGTTTTTTTTCTGTTTTTGAAGGGGTTTGAGTAACTTATGAGAAGTTAAGTGAATAGAAAAAGCTTTCCCATAGTATTGACGAGCGAGATATTTTAGTGGGGCATTGGAAACTCTCTTCACGCGTCTAAATTGGGGCAAAATGGTCAGATTTTGGTGTTTAGTTGATTTTTTCGCCATTTTTTCGTGTTTCTGTCTCAATCCGTTATATGTTCTCCAATTATTATCGTCCATTTTCTTCTTCTATTGTTTTCATATTTGCAGATGGGACGAAAGCGGCTCCCGAAGTTCCAACAACTCGAAAATTGTAAGTAACGAAAAATACCGATATTCATGAATATATAAATAGCGGAAATACTAACGCTGATGTCGTAGCCTACTTTTCAATGAACATTTCTTTACGTGGCATTATGTTTCCCTCAGTTGTTCCTTTTTTCGGGCAACATGATCATTAATAATAATTTATTGACATTTCTGACTTCATATTGACATTTCTGACTTCATAAGAAATTTACGAAAAGCTAAGACATGGCTGCAAGTATTTCCGGTATTTCTACGTTAGCACAATTTTCAATATATCTACAGTTGTGCCCAAAGTTTGCCGAGTCCCCGTTGTTGCCGATCGTCGACAGCAAAACCGTAGAATTCCAGATACAGGTGGGTTTCTTTTCGTTAATTTTTATTCATAATATTCAAAATATATATTTTCAGGATTTAATGAAATATTCCCACAAGTTCCTGCAGATGATCATAATGATGGGAGAAATGGAGATGGTTCGCTTTCAGATATCGAAGGAGAGTCTGATTTAATGTTGGAACGTGAAGAATTGAATGTGGCCGAGGATTATGAGGACGATGATGATATTTACATGGCTCCTTTTGCTGATGATTCCGAAGGCGAAGATGTCGAAGATTATTATCGAAACAATGATGCGGATCCAGGTTGGGTGGAAGGTATGGCTTTATTACAATGAGGGGTGGGAGAATTTTGTGAATTTTTTCGAAAAATATTTTCGTTGCTAAATTTGTGAAGTTTGAACCAGATCCAAATTATGAAATTTTTCGAAACATGATTTTGTTCTAAATTTATCATATTTTCAAAAACATAACATGGAATGATGGTGAAACTTTTCAATATTCAAACTTTTTAGAATTGCAGAAAGTGGAAAAAAATTTTACAAAAATAGGGGTTTCGAAGAATATATGGGTTTAGAAAATATTATGCTCTGAGATGTCGAATGTTTTTACTTCAAGTATTTTCTCATTACGCTGAGAAAACAGGAGGAATGCGGAGAAAATGTATTTTCTTCAGTGAGAAAACAGGAGGAATGCGGAGAAAATGTATTTTCTTCACTTTTTTCGTATTTTCTCAGCCGACCTGAATAGGCTTTCTTCGTTTTTTTCAGCGTTGAGTAAATAACATTCTTGTTGAGGATCCAAAGTTTGTTGAAAAAGTATAAGGATGGGAAAAAGTTGGGACTGTAACTGGGATAAAAGAAAGAGGGCGGGCAAGAGGGGGGTTGGCACACCTGACGATACGTGTCCAAAAGGGACACTGTACAACAATTTTCAAAAGCCACACTGTACATTTTTTCAGTAAAAAGTGTAGTTTTCATTCATTTTCATCGGTTTTTTATGACAATTTTACAAAAAATTCAAAATTTCACGCTGCACAATTTTTTTTTTTCAAAAATTTCCACGCTGCACAAAAATTTTGGAAAACTATCGCCAGGTGTGGGGGCGGAGGTGCTCACCTCCACTGAACGTGTGACGATTATTCTGGAAAGTTCAACGTGCGATTGACAGTTCCGACTTGCAGATTCGTTGGCGGATAAAATTCTGCACCTTTCCGATCCCGGACTTGTTACCTTGGCATCTTCAATAATTGGCAGAGATTCACAAACTGATCTTCGGCTTCGTTTACTAACAGTTGCGGCAACTGTTAAAAAAGAAGTTGAAGATATTTTTGAATATGCTATTCGACTTTTCAAAGACGTTCGGATTTGCTCACAATGCGGGGAAAAATTAGTCGATAAATCAATATGGTAGTTTTTCTGTCTCTCAATATTTGAATTACTGTTTTCCTTAGCTGTGCTCCGGTCGGAACATTTGTACAATCACCGCTAGTGGATCAATTAACCCATTTCGTTAATAAAAATATCGACGAAATCTTGGAAGTTCGAAAACTTCTTCGCGATGGGAAATTGCCGAATCACACGCTTTCTTCTGAGTTCTTCAAAAGTTGTTTGGAGCATGATGATCATGATTTGAATATATCCCTTGTGCTCTCAGTCGATGGAGTTTGTCCACATGGGCATTCAAAGTAAGACTTATAAAGTCTAATTATCATTGCGTTTTTCTGTTTTTCAGTCAGCACCTATGGCCAATGACTGCTATGTCAGTAGACTTAAAATTGGGACACTTTTCGATAGCCACAAATTTGTTATTATTCGGTGTTTATAAAGGTCCATGCAATCCAAATACGAAAGTTTTCAACACAATTATAAATGAAGTTATGCCAGTTCTTGAGCGATTCAAATTGAATATCAGAGGTCGAAATGTGATATTTCGTGTTGTCACCGCTGTTGCCGATCAACCGGTAACTTCATTTGTCAAAAAAAACATGCCAATCTCTGATTTTTAGGCAAAGCGGGCTTTGTTTGGTCTCAAATCGGTCAATTCAGCATTTTCTTGCTTCTACTGCATTTGCGGTGACACTCTTCACAAATGTTCAGCACCAAGTTTGTAACATTCTCACCTATTTTCTACAAATGTTTGTTGTTTAGGCAGAGAAGTATTTCGCGGAATAATACAAACTCCTCAAGATGCCCGGTATGGACTTTTCGGGTTCATTGATGGTGTTTTTCCAGTGATTCTTAGATGGATCCTCCCTTGGCAAGTTCTTCTCGATATTTTTCACGACCTCAATGAGGGTTTTTGTGTTACGGTAATCAAAGGCATGTTTCACGCATTAAATTCATGATGACCCTTCGCTTCTTGTTTTTAGAATCATTTCCTAAACCAAGATTCAAACCGAAATCGGATATTTTTACTTGTACAAAACAACTCTTCGATCAATTTGCTCAAAAAATCCATCTTCCAACCGAATATCAAAATGTACAAGGCGTGCGAAATGGGACAAGTAAACTCGATGTGAGTTTGGAAGGAAAAGGTCGAATTATGAAATAAGTTTTTCAGTATTTTCGAATTTGCTTTTTTGAATGCGATTTATGATAAATCCTTCAAATGTACTGCCCGACTCGTTATTGTTTGTTTTGGAATGATTTCGAATTACTTGTTGACGGATTGTGAACACGATGGAGATATGATCGCTGAACTTTGTCAGATGATGCAAGAATTGTTCCAAAATAATTACGAACAGTATATTGTTAGCAAATTACATGCAAGTTTTCTTCGCATCGCTTCGAATACTACTTTTTTTTTGTTTCAGGAACTACTTTTCCATCTTCCACACTGTATTTTGTTATTTGGGAATCCAGCATTGGTTTCAACATCTGGGTTCGAAACATTGTATCGATATTTGCTCTCCGATTTCCACGCATCGATCACGAAAAATTTCGTGCGAATCGCGTCTTCGAGGTTTGTCAGCTTTGGTTTCATTTTTCGATAAAAAAACCGTTTTCATTGTAGATTTGTGGTCAACATATTCATGAGAGAAGAAGTCAGAATTAGAAGTGAAGCCGATTGTTTATCAGATACATTGAAAGGCTTATTGAAGGAAAAACCGGCTTGGAAAAATCGAACCATCAACTCCTTCGATGTGATTGATAGAAACATTGTGGATGGAATTGATGTTGTGATCGGAAGTGATGTTAAATATTTTTCGTCGATAACTTTCACATATTCGACCCTAAAATCGCACAAATACAATTCAAAAAATGGAAGCTTCAGAAATGGAATTGTGTTTTACCAGAAGGATGTAATGAAAGTTGGAAGATTTGTGCTAGCCGCCACCCAATCCGACGATCATTATATAGTAGTCGAACCCTTGTCCGAAAAGCTACGAAGTCAGCATTTTGAGAATTTGAAAAAAGAAATCGATGAAATAGCTGATATTGGATTGAGACAAAATGCGAGGAAAATGTTGAAACAATTGAAAGGATATCGAGGAATTGTTGAAGGCAAGTGGTCCGGTGGTAGAGATCTTGTTGAAGTTGAAGAAATCTTAGGAATAGGCTGCTATTTTAAGAGCGATGAAGATATAATATGCCTGCAACTCAATGGCGTCCCAGTTCATAAATAATTCAGTTAACTCCGCTCAAGTTTTTGTGAATGTTTTTGTTTGTTGGATATTTTTTATAATAAATATGTGATTATCAGATTTTTTTATACGTATAGATTGAGTTTTTACCCCTCACTATTATATTTCAATCATAAATGTAATCATTACAGCACTTTTTCTAGCATGCCTGCTATTAAATCTTGGGCCGAAACAAAAAAGGTAAACTATTTCAAAATCACTCCACAATTCCGATTACCATATGCATTTGTTTTCAGAAAAAAGTCGAAAATGATGTTCAAAATCGAATGGAAATCGAGGGTGCCGCCGCCAAAGCCGAAACTTCCAACTCCCAATTTACGCCTATGAGAGTTAGTTTGTTTTTCACTCAAAAAATTGAAAAATTCGCAAAAAATTGTAATATTTATAAGATCTAAAAATTATTCAAAAATTTTCATAGAAAAAAAGAATCAGAAAATTAATTTTTTGATTAATTTTTCAAATTTCCGATTTTTGAAATCAAAAAATTGAAAAATTCGCAACAAATTATAATATTTATAAGATCTATAAATTATTCAAAATTTTCATAGAAAAAAAGAATCAGAAAATTAATTTTTTGATTAATTTTTCAAATTTCCGATTTTTGAAATCAAAAAATTGAAAAATTCGCAAAAAATTATAATATTTATAAGATCTATAAATTATTCAAAAATTTTCATAGAAAAAAAGAATCAGAAAATTAATTTTTTGATTAATTTTTCAAATTTCCGATTTTTGAATCAAAAATGAACATTTTTTTGCAGATTCCCTTGAAAAGAAACGCGAAAGCAAACTTGAAGTATTCAAAAGCTGGAATTGAAATATTGGACGTGAAAGAAAGAAGAAATGAACATATTGAGGAAGATGAGGAGAAAATTGTTGAAAATGATGATATTTTGCCCGCAAGAGTTTTGATTGAAGAAGATAAACAAGCGGAAGAAGTACAATTTGCAAATAATGAAAATGAAGTTGTTGAAGATTGTAGCGAGTCAAGTTCTTCGAAAACTTTGGTGTCTAAAAACGGCGAGTATCTTCCAGTACAATTAACGAATGCAGTGTTTTGGGATGTTGAAAATGATAAACCTTTGATGCGAGATGAATATGAGGTGATTAACAATTCTGTTTAAATCCTGAAGAGAGATAAAAAACTAATTTCTTGCAGAATAATTTCAAAAAGGTGACGAATCATATGAAACCTATCAGCGTCGAACAATATTTGGAAATGGCTGATGCTGAGACTGAAAAGCCTATGAAAAATATTTATAAACAATTTGCTTTTCAAACAGCTCTGGTAGCCATCAATATAAGTTCAATATCATAAACCCTAAAGCATATTTTCAGTTCAACTACACCGTACATCGCAACCGACAAATCGCAACAGGGTCAACTCCTAGAAGTACGAAAATGAAGCAGGTGAGAGTGTTTTGGGGATTAGAGCATAGGTCTAAGATACCGTCCAAGCGAAAAAGAAGCCTACGCGAAAGCGCATCCGAATTTTTCAATCAAAAAACTGAAAAATTCGTTTAAAAATATAATATTTATAGGATCTAAAAATTATTCACAAATTTTCATAGAAAATTAAGAATGAGAAAATTAATTCCTAAAACAAAAAATTGAACAATTCTTTTGAAAATATAATATTTATAGGATCTAAAAATTAATCAAAAATTTCCATAGAACAAAGAATGAGAAAATGAATTTTTTGATTAATTTTTCAAAATTTCGAATTTTTCAATCAAAAAATTGAACAATTCTTTTGAAAATATAATATTTATAGGATCTAAAAATTAATCAAAAATTATCATAGAACAAAGAATGAGAAAATGAATTTTTTGATTAATTTTTCAAAATTTCGAATTTTTCAATCAAAAAATTGAACAATTCTTTTGAAAATATAATATTTATAGGATCTAAAAATTAATCAAAAATTTCCATAGAACAAAGAATGAGAAAATGAATTTTTTGATTAATTTTTCAAAATTTCGAATTTTTCAATCAAAAAATTGAACAATTCTTTTGAAAATATAATATTTATAGGATCTAAAAATTAATCAAAAATTATCATAGAACAAAGAATGAGAAAATGAATTTTTTGATTAATTTTTCAAAATTTCGAATTTTTCAATCAAAAAATTGAACAATTCTTTTGAAAATATAATATTTATAGGATCTAAAAATTAATCAAAAATTTTCATAGAACAAAGAATGAGAAAATGAATTTTTTGATTAATTTTTCAAAATTTCGAATTTTTCAATCAAAAAATTGAAAAATTCTTTTAAAAATATAATATTTATAGGATCTAAAAATTAATCAAACATTTAAAAAAAAAGAATGAGAAAATTAATTTTTTGATTAATTTTTCAAAATTTCGAATTTTTCAATCAAAAAATTGAAAAATTCTTTTAAAAATATAATATTTATAGGATCTAAAAATTAATCAAACATTTAAAAAAAAAAGAATGAGAAAATTAATTTTTTGATTAATTTTTCAAAATTTCGAATTTTTCAATCAAAAAATTGAAAAATTCTTTTAAAAATATAATATTTATAGGATCTAAAAATTAATCAAACATTTAAAAAAAAAAGAATGAGAAAATTAATTTTTTGATTAATTTTTCAAATTTTCAAACTATGAAATCAAAAAATTGAAAAATTCTTTTAAAAATATAATATTTATAGGATCTAAAAATTAATCAAACATTTTTTTTTAAAAAAAGAATCAGAAAATTAATTCCTAATTTATATTTCAAATTTTCAAACTATGAAATCAAAAAATTGAAAAATTCTTTTAAAAATATAATATTTATAGGATCTAAAAATTAATCAAACATTTTTTTTTAAAAAAAGAATCAGAAAATTAATTCCTAATTTATATTTCAAATTTTCAAACTATGAAATCAAAAAATTGAAAAATTCTTTTAAAAATATAATATTTATAGGATCTAAAAATTAATCAAAAATTTCCATAGAACAAAGAATGAGAAAATGAATTTTTTGATTAATTTTTCAAAATTTCGAATTTTTCAATCAAAAAATTGAACAATTCTTTTGAAAATATAATATTTATAGGATCTAAAAATTAATCAAACATTTAAAAAAAAAGAATGAGAAAATTAATTTTTTGATTAATTTTTCAAATTTTCAAACTATGAAATCAAAAAATTGAAAAATTCTTTTAAAAATATAATATTTATAGGATCTAAAAATTAATCAAACATTTTTTTTTAAAAAAAGAATCAGAAAATTAATTCCTAATTTATATTTCAAATTTTCAAACTATGAAATCAAAAAATTGAAAAATTCTTTTAAAAATATAATATTTATAGGATCTAAAAATTAATGTAACATTTTTATTTAAAAAAAAAAGAATCAGAAAACTAAGTTTTTGATTACTTTTTCAAATTTTCGAATTTTTCAATCAAAAATTAACTTTTTTTTTTGAATCGCAGGCCAAGTATACATTTATGTATACCGGAAATGATGAAGTGATTGTGGTGACACCGGTTATGAAAATCGCTGTCAATATTTTTCCTGTCCTTGTTCACAAGAAATGGGACAATTATTTTGCATCAAAGTTCACAAAACTTCAAAAAGATGTCATTTATGATATTTTGGATGAGGTAAACTTCAATTTATTTCAAACGAAAACTGGACACATTATTTCAGGTTGACCAACATGATGATTATCATCTTATTTTTACTGGACCGGTTGTTCACGAATCAACAGCAACATATTGTCCATATGCAAATGATTATACGAATACAATGACCGGTAATTATTTTTGAAAATATTTTCTCACAAAATGAAATGTGTTTTCAGAAGTATTTTTGGATGCTTGTCCCTGTAGATTCTCTTCAGAAGAAGAAAAGAAACAACATCGGGATGAAATAAAAATTGCTGTAAACACGTTCACTTCATCGTATTAGTGAGTTTTTTTGGGTCAGTATTAATCAAATTTTTTAAATGATACTTCCAAACTCCAAAAGTGCAAAACATTCGAAAATCATACTTTGAAAAAAAGTTACATTAGTTGAAATGTTTCAAAATTCACCTTCAAATATTTCCAGTCAAAAAAAACGAGATGATGCGATTGAAAAGGATAAAGAAAAGCAGAGAGAAATTGATGAGATGTTGATTAGTGTGAAAGGAGAAGCTGCCGGGAAAAAAAAGATGGATAGATTGAGAAAACGACGAACTGTTATGGGTGAACCGGATGAGTTTTGATTTATTTTTTGTTTTTCATAGATTACCCCTGTGGTATTGTTAAATTGTTAAATTGTTCGTTTTTTTGTTTTTTGTTGAAATGAAGTTTAAAACTTGAAAAGTTAGTCGAAAAAAGTTTTCCCCAATGATAAACAAAGCTGGAAAATGATCAAAAAATTGTGAAAAATTGGTGGGAAAAAGTTGTAAAATTGACCAAAAATTGGTGGGAAAAAGTTGAAAATTTGACCAAAAAATAGTGAAAAATTTTTCGGTGCATTTTTGGTCAATTTTTGTTCAAAATTTTTTGACCAAAAATTGGTCAATTTTTGGTCAAACTCCCAGGACGTTAGATATCTAACGTTTCAGTTTTGATATCAAAAACTCAAAATGTTTTAACAATGATAAAAAATTCCACGTGGTGATCACGTTTCAATTATTTACATAAATATCCCGGATCTAAATTTTCCATTTATTCCAAAAAACCTCACCAAATCAGTCGAACTCACATATTTATTGTCATTTTCCGTCGAACATCCACTCGAATTCAAAACCAACGCATCAAACAATTCGACATTATCCAAAGAATCAGTTCGAGGCAAACAACAACTATGCACTTCTGAACCAAATCTCGAATTTGTTGTTGTGGCTAAAGGAACATCATCACCAAGTATTGCCAATGTAACAGAGTGCGTTCGACGAGAATGAAATTTTGCTGAAAAAAGGAAAAATATATGATTTTCAATTTTCGAACAAATAAAGGACCAACTTTGAAGCGATTTGACGATTGGCGCTCTTCTTGCCAGTCGCCATTTCGCAAAAACATTTGGGCGATGAAAACGAACAACTTTAACAATGTATAATCCATAAGCTGGAAATTTTAAAATTCGATTATTTTTGAAGTGAAATCAAAACTCACGTTTCCCCTCAAAAATTTTCGAAAAATCGACAACAAATTCCACATCATGACTCCACAACAATGGAAAACCATTATGATCTGTCAATCCAGAATATTCGGATATTGTCTCAATTTCAACAAAACCACCGTGAACTGTTACTGATAATTGTGTCACATTTTCACGCAAACTTCGACCGTTTACATGTTGACCTTCAGAATTATTCAAAATCGATGGAGAAGAAGACGAAGATTCTTGTTCTTGATGTTCTTCGCCATCAGTTTTATTGTTATTATTCGCAAAATTATTGTTGTTATTATTTTGAGAACTGACACCCATTCCATGACATTTTTTCATTTTCATTGCGATCGATTTGCCTAACAAATGTACATCTGCAAACAAAATATTAACCATTTCATCCCTTCATATCTTATCTTACTATTAACTCCGATTTGAACGCATTTCAAATGATCATGTGTTGATTTTCCCGCGACTTTTTCAGATGGATGACAACAATGTGTGCCACTTTTGAAAATTCGGACATCTCGGGGAAAATCGCGACTTGAAACAAGTCGAAGATCGCGTTTCTCATCACATTCCTCGCGAGTTACTAAACCAAAATACTCATTTTCGAGAAGACGCGCCGACATTGATAAAGAATATACTTTTTCGAATTTTTCAATTTTGTCGATGAAAAATTTCCAGCGACCTTCGTGTTCTTCGCTGACAACAGAACATATTAATCGACCTATTTGCTGTTTTGGAAGTGTTTTTCGATCCGAAATTATGCCAAGAACATCGTTAAAAACTGCATATTCACAAAGATCAATGTTTTGATAAGTGAAACAACCATTTGTTAAACAATTGCAAATAATTGTTGGCTTTTTGAGACTTTGCGAATATTCTAGTTTGATTTGACTCCATTTTTCGGACATTTTCATTTTATTCACAGATTGTACATGTTTTATATTTTGAATGATGAGTTTTCCTTCGCTTCTAAAAATCAGAAATTTTGATGAAAAATAATTTGAAAATACTGACTTTTTATACAAAAATCTTGCATTTACGACAGATCCATACGGAAGAAATGGCCGTTTTTTCGATTGTATTTCCGCTGGAAGCAAGGTTTTTTGATGACAAACAATATAGTTTTCTTTGCTTGTTTGGTTTAAAACGAGAATTTCAGCATTGATTATTTCATCCGCTTCGCCTGGATCATTTTTATCATCAGAAAACGGCATCTGAAATTATAAAAGACTTGATACAACCATCCAAACAAGCCCAAAATCCCAAACCTAAAGAAAAAAACGAAAACAATAATGGAGTGATTCAGGTCGAAAAAAACTCTTAAAAAGAAACGTTTTTTAACAAAAATGTTCAATTCAGGAGAGGTCAAAAAACCCGCGGGTTTATTTCCACGTGGTGTACACAAAAATGAAAAATGAAAAAATGAAAAAAACACACATGTTCAAGCAAAAGAAAATGATGCAATGCGCCTTTAAACAAAACTGAAATCGGTGTCGCCTGTTATGACAAAATGGCTTAACTGAAAAAAATATGATTAGATGTTTTTCTGCGAAATTTCGTGGTGGTGTTTGCACAAACCGTATTTTTTCTGAAGGGAGGACTCATTTTTTGTTTTGGTCCCGTCACGAAAAGCATTACACAGTAGTCCGTTCATTACAAAATTTTAGGAACATTTGGTTTTTTCTTTTCGGGTTCAACGTTTTTTCTTGTTTTCAAAGCTAAAAACACAGTTTTCAGATGGATCCACGAACAGTCAGGAAGCTCAGTGAAATTGAGGGAATCAAAACATATTTCTTTGCTCCACTCCTCAAATATATATTGGAAAATGAATCGATTTTGATCGAAAATCCTGGCGAAATGAATCGATTCGCAACTTTCGTTTTGGGGTTGACAGATCAATTTCCAACTCCCGAAGATTTCTTAAATATTCTTATTGGTTCGCAAGAACCAACTAAAGCAGTTATGGTTCCAGCAATTGATGTATTTCTCTGTTTTGGATCAGATTATTTTCATATTGCGAAAAATATTGCGAGACGATTGGGAGAAAAAGGAATGAGACATGATGTTATTTCGTGTCGCCTTTGTGCAGAAGATGAAGAGTCATTTGCAAGCGGTTAGTTTTTAATGAAGTTTTTTTCAAAAAATAATGATTTTTACAGATTTATCAAAACTCGTCGGTAAAACACTGATTCGAAAAGCAGAAGGATGTAATCTTCTGAAATTGCTTTACTCAATCATCAAAGCAAATTCTGAATTGGAACGATTTTATGCTTTCAGCGAAATTAGCATGTCAGATTTAGACTGGGATGCTTATGTTTTCTTGAAATTATTCACTCATGGTTCACAAGAGAAAGTCGAGGAAATCGAAATGATTCGAGATAATATTATTGCAAAATTTGGAAGAAAACATAGAGAATTAGTGAAACTATGGATCGATGGAGATGATTTGGAAATACAACTCCTACGAAAACTAATGAAACCTATGTCAATTGTTACGGAGAATGTTTTTCCTTCAATTATCGATAATCTTTTGCCAATTATTGACAGTCGAAAAGAGGACGATATTTCGAAAATTTATTCACTTATCAGTCAAATTCATTATATTACAATTCGCGCAATAATTTCTGGAAATCGTATTTTGGTCGATGAGATTCATTCAAAAATTCCAGTATCTATTAAGAATTTGATGTTCCCTGGATTAATTCGATCAACTGTTCAAACATCAATCACTCTTCTCACATATTTTCTACAATTCTTTGTTTCACTTCCCGAATCTTCTATTCTCAAATTTAGTGATGTTGAAAATGCTGGGATATATGAAATTTTGACGAATCCGTGGAAAAAAGATGCTCTCTTCAAACTTCTTCTCGATTATCAATCTTCATTTGAAAGAGATGTTTTTGGATTTCCAGTAAAATTGAAAGAATTCCAACAAAGTTGTGTTATATTTGCAATTGAGTTTTGTATTGAAATTGTTTCGAATTATGAAAGAAATTTCAAATTGAATTGGTTGCACCCGAAGTATAAAAACATGCTTTTGAAAACATTACGAGGTATTATTTGAAAATAAATTCGCTTGAAAATACCTAATATTTTCCAGAAGAAGAACAACATCGCTCAACTCAAATTTCTGCAGAACACGTGACAAAAATTATACGAGAACTCGAAAATGCTCCCAATTTTTTCGCAACATCTCCAGTTAATCAATATATGGCAAATCCACCAGCGAATAATAAAAGTGTGGACGAAATCGAAGAGCCACAATTATTTGTCAGTATTGGAAAAGGAGTTTTTGTATGTGCGAGAGATGTTGAGCCAAATGATTTTTCGATGAATGAGCAACTTTTTGTGCATGATTCGGAATCGCGAGGACCATCGGCTTGGTCTTTTGGAATGACAACATCAAACGGAGGTTAAACATGTTTGGTGGGTCAACTATTTTTTGAATGGGCTTCAAAACTTTGAATCAAAAATTTTTCCATTTTTTTTAAATTTTACTTTACATTCCTAGAAATCTGTTAATATGTTTGTTTTTGTTTTTTATTTGTTTTTCATAAAGTTAAAATTTTATTCGACTCGTAAATTATCGTAAGTATTCCGGAATGTTATAAATGAAAAAATCAAGTATATAAATAGATAAAATAAGTAGATAGTGAGGAATCACCAACTGTCAACAATATATGCAATAATTGGCGTTGATGCAACTCCCACCAGAATTCCCAACATTAAAAAGATCGAAGCCAACATTCCACTCAATTTTTGATATCGTTGTGGAACCCGACTTGGTGTATAAATCAATGCCAAACTGCTCATATAACCACAAGTAAATGCCATTATTGTACAACCAATTGTAAACCACCATTCGTTTTCGAAGAAAACTGGCCATTTTCGGGTACTTGGTCGATAATTACAAAACATGTAGAATGGTATGAAGATTGTTCGAGCAATTACGGCGATCCACAGATATTTGGCTGATGGCTGAAATCAAATTCTGGATTTTTCGAATCTCACTCAAAGATGATCATTTTTGGATTCTAAAAACCAAATGTTGAACGGATTTTTACAATTTTTCAAGAATTTTCAAAAAATCTATAAACGTATTTTCTTTATGGATTCTTGTTGAATGAATTTTGGAAAATTTCAAGGTTGAGACATTTCAAAAACAAGTGATTTTTGAAATAAAAAATAAACATGATAAAACTCACAATTTGCACATAATTTGCGGCACTTGATCCAATCCAGGCAAATAAATTGAAATTCAAAAAAGTATTAATTGCATAATATAACTCGTCTCCAAATATTGATTTATCTCCTGGATGTTTGACGAAATATGGAGTATCAGTCATCATTGCTGGGAAAATGATGAGAGAAACAAAATAAACGTAGAAATTGTTGAAAAGTTGAACCCAGCACTAGAAAAATTGGAGAAAGTTGTGAGGTTTGGAGGGAATTCGAGATTTCAGTTGAAAATCTTGATTTTCTTGGGAATTTGAATTTTGAGAAAAACTCATTTCGAAAAATTGTTTTCCTAAACGCAAGTGAGAATTTTTAGATTTCCCTGAATTTTTTTTCGGAATTTTAAATATGAAAAATGTTGAAATTTCACTTTTCCGAATTATTCCGATTCCGAGAAAATTATAGTGGGTATATTAATTCCCATACCCCTGTCGGTTTCGAAATTCGAATTTCAGTCAGCCCTAATTACCACGTCATAGTCAACATCCCATTGTTTCAAACTCACATAAGTCAAACATTCCCAATATTGTGCCAAAGATGGATTATCAACAGCTTCCTCATATCTCGCCTCAATTCCTTTCTCAATATGATATTTGTAGAATGGCTGAAACATTCAGAATTTATTTACAATTAGGAGAAATGATTCCTTACAGATCTAACTAAAAACCAAAGTGATGCCAAACAAATGATCATAAAAGCCAATGAAATACTGAAATATAACAGAGCATTGAGTTTTATATCATTTGGAGATACTGTAAAGTTTTTAATTGTAAATTTAAATTCAAAGTTCTAAGTTAATTTAGAAAAACTCACTCAAAGTTGTTAGAATACTCATAACCGATGTGAAAACTCCACATAAATTATTTCCAATAATTAATGAATTGATGTAATTATCTGGGAAATCAGCGACAATTCCATAAACCGAGTTTTGATAAATACCATTTGCCAAATTCATAGCCATGATAATAATTAGAGTTACGACATAAAACCAAGTGACATCTCCATTGTCGGGAGATGCGAAAATTGCAAGAAGAACGAGAGCAGCAATTAGGAAACAGTTTATAATTAGAGGAACAACTACTCGGAGCATCATGAAACCGCTGAAAAATTTAGATTTATAAATAGTTAGTATTTAATTTTACCGAAGTACAGTATACCGAAAAGAGCTTTTCAGGCGTTTTTTTCATTCATATTTGGATAAAAATTTGGAAATGTTTTTTTTCAAATTCAAATTCTAAGAAAATTCCTCTAAAAAATACGTTTCAAAAATCTCATAAATTTAAAATTTCCAAACACTAATCGATAGTGTTCTTAGAAGAATTTCCAAAATTTAATTTAGTTGTCTTAAAGAGTCAGATGAAATTTATCAAAAAATTTGGAACGCTTCACGAATTTGCGTGTCATCCTTGCGCAGGGGCCATGCTAATCTTCTCTGTATTGTTCCAATTTTAGTATATGTTCTCGGAAGAACAAAATATTAGAAATACAACATGATTATATAGGTAAGGAAGAACATGTGACCGACGAATTACGGGATACGCAAAATGATATGAAAAGGGGGAGAAGGTGCGAGAATTGACACATTTTGGGAATGTTCATGTCTGGCTTTATTTTCATAAACATTTCTGGGAAGAATGATTGTTTCGATTTGGATTTTTCAAAAACTAATTCTCATTCATTTCAGTTTTCCTCATCCCCCAAAACTTACACCATAACCACAATTGTGTTCAAAATCATAATTCCAACATTTGGAATTTGTGAAGTGACACCAATTATTGACATAAAACTATTTTGATAACTCGTTCCATTGAACCAATAATCGTGGTAGTACTGTAATCTATGTATTAGATCAGTTACTGTAGACTAGATTAATGTACCTGTGGAGCAATTGTGATAAACATATTCCATGACATTAACATTCCCATACCGTGTAGTGTGAAAATTATGTAGACCTGGGAGAGAAGGGTTTAAAATTTGACAAGTGAGTCTGACACATTAATTTTTTTCTGCTACAGAATATTTTTACAAATATTTATGCTCACAATCTTCGAGAGTTGAGCGGAAAATTTGAATTTTTTTCAAAAAGCTATTCTCAAAAATAGTTAGATTTTCCTGAAATCAGCGTCTCTTTTTAAAAACCCACCAAAAACCATCGATCTTTTGGTGCTGAAATCCTTCTTCCCCAAGTATCTCTTTCCGAACTTTGCACCAAATCCCGATTTGATCGAGATGTTGATTGACTTTCAGACTCCTCTTCCATCCTGAAATTTTTTATGTAAGTTAAAAATGGCTGGCGAAAATGTATTATGACCACCCAAACTATTTGAAAAAAAACAACAAAACAAAATTTGACTAATCGTATCGTACTAGTACATTTTTCAGCACTTGTTAATTTTATTTGTTTATTTATTTGTTGGTATTTTGAAATATGCAAAAACCAACAAATTTTTTGATAAGAGCAAATTTTTTTTTAAATTCTGATTTCACGAAAATATAAAATAACATTTTGTGAAAAATCGAATAAAATGATAAGAAAAGTGTTGTGAACGAATCTTTTTTCAAAATATTTTTTTTGAAAAAGAACACAAGGAAAAAAAGAAAAATGTGTGTAATCGCAAAAATTTCTTTGATTTATATATCAAAAAGACACGAGGCAAAAAAGAGAAGCAGAGAACAAAGAACTTTTCCCCAGTTTCTCCTTTCAAAATTTTTGAACCCAGGATTGTTGCTTGCGCCACAAAAAAATGTTGCAAAATAAATATTGTCTTATCAAGTTTCCAATTTTCACACCTCAATTTTATCATGGAAAAGAGGATTATTGAAAATTCCTCAATTTTTTATTATTTCGCAAAAAAAATACAAAAATCAATTTCGTACCAACAAAAAAATAAAGAAAAAATAAAACTCACAAAAAACGTGTTGTCTCCATTTCCGTGAAAATAAAAATGAGAAATAAAATGAAATCGAGCGAAATGAGATTTTTGCGTCATTTCTACATTCATGTCAATCGAGAAAAGCAAAAAGAAAAGGGCGGCTGGAGGTGAGCTGGACAAATAGAATAGGGAATAAATATATTTGGGGAGGGAAATGGGATGTAGCATATGTACTGTAGAAGTTTTGCAGTTCGGGATTACTGTAGCAAGATACAGTAGATTTTTTGAAGTTTGGACTAATCTTTGTAGTTTTAGGATGAAATACTTCTGAAGGAAAAAACTCGATTCACAAAATTTTCTCAATTATCATATTAATTTCTAGCCGTCCCAAATCAAATGAAAAATGACAAAATGATAACAGCTGGCACAATTTTATTGAATCGTTTCGAAGTTCAAGACATGATTGGTGGCGGTGGTTTTGCCCAAATTTATAAAGCACTTGATAATCAGGATAATAACACAGAAGTTGCTGTAAAAATCGAAGATTCAAAACAAGATATCAGAAGAATGAAATTGGAGATTACTGTATTGTTGGCATTACGTGGAAATGTAAGTGAATTCTTAAAAAAAATAAAAAATTGCAACAAAAAAAATTACAGCTTGGAATTCCTGAAATAATGGGAATGGGAAAAACGAAAGAGGGTCATTTTTGTATAATGCAACTTGTTGGTCGAAATTTATCAGATGTTCGTCGAAAACTTCCAAATAAATGTATCTCACCAAAAACATTATATCGAGCAATGTTACAAGTTCTTCGAGCACTTTCTATAATTCATGGCGCCGGGTTTTTGCATCGAGATTTGAAACCATCGAATTGTTGTGTTGGATATATTGATTCGACTAGGATTTATTTGATTGATTATGGTAAGTCAAATTAAGTAGATTCTAAAGAATTTTAAAACTTCTCGGAAAACAGCTTCACAGTTTTTTCTCGAAAATTCCGAAATTGAAATCTAAATTCTTTAAAAAAAACCATTACTTTTTTAATTTCAGGCCTGACTCGTCAATATCTTGACAAAGGAGGAATTGTTCGAAAACCACGACAAGGTGTTGGACTTCGTGGAACAATTCGATATATGAGTTTGGATGGACACGCTCGAAGAGATTTGGGGCCAAATAATGATCTTGTCGCGTTTTTGTACACTACGGTGAGATCTTTTGAGAGAATATTTCGAATCGGGCTTGGTTTTTTAATTTTTTTTTCCAAATTTTTTTTTGTTGATTTGAAATCGATTATAAGTGAAGCAGTTTTTCTATAAAACGCGAATTAGGCGCATTGATTATTCAATCGAAAAATCAACCATGTTTTTATTTGTACTTCTTTCAATTTTTTCGTTGACTTTCATTCAAAATGCTGGAGCCGAAACTTCAGCTGAGGCCGCCAAAACTCTTCTCACAATAATCCAATCGGCAGCGCAAACAAAAAACTTGGAGTTGTTGCACTTATTTGTGTCTCCGAATATGAAAATTTCACTTTGTGGTTACACCGTCGATTATTCGAAAGCCAAAGTTTCAAGTGACAAAATCTTTGGATTTGTGGGAGAAAAAGGGGCGGAAATTATTAGTTCACGTCTTGGTGCTGATAGATCATTGGAATTTACAGCTGCGATTGGAAAACAAAGAATTTTAATGCATTTGCGAGCGTTGAGATTACCTAAAGGAGAACGAAAAATCACCGAGTTGGATTTTAACAATGTGCCGAATTGCGCGGAACTTGTGCAAATTCCAAAACATCGGAAAAATCCAGTTGTTACGATTGCAATTGCATCTGCTGTTGCTGATGTTGCATTTGGAATTTTAATTTGGGCTTCTTGGCATTTCGGATTCTAATTCAAATTTATTGGAATAAAATTGAATAATTGCAGGAGTTTTAAAAGAATAAGAAGAAAATAGCAATATTGGTTCCCAAAATGTGTCAATTCTCGCACCTTCTCTCCCTTTTCATATCATATTGCTTATCCCGTAATTCGTCGGTCACATGTTTTTCCTTACCTATATAATCATGTTGTATTTCTAATATTTTGTTCTTCCGAGAACATATACTAAAATTGGAACAATACAGAGAAGATTAGCATGGCCCCTGCGCAAGGATGACACGCAAATTCGTGAAGCGTTCCAAATTTTTTGATAAATTTTATCTGGCTCTTCAAGAGAAGCATTTTTTCAGAGGAATATTCTAAAATTTGCGGGCCAAGTTAACAAATTCATTTCAAATTATCAAAGTTAACATTTTTTTCAGATCGAACTTGGCGATGGTCAACTTCCATGGTCATATGAACGTGAACATGATGATATAATCAAATTAAAACAAGCGTATGTCGGTGAAAAACTCTGCGCAAAACAGCCAAAAATGACAAAAGTTGCGGAATATATCGAAAGTCTGAATTATCACAGTATTCCAGATTATGATAAATTATTTTCGATGGTCGAAGAATGCAATCCACCTGATTTGAAACCAACTGATTTATATGATTGGCAAAGTTTGGCAATGTGTGGACAATCGGCTGAAACTGAACAACAAACACAAATTAATGCAGATGGTGGACATTCACCGGGTGGACCTAAAACAAAACCAGCACAAACACCTCCGATTGCATGATTTGAATTTGAATATTATTATGATATTAAAACACAAATTGACCTTTTTTCGAACATAAAAAATTTTAACCAAGGATTTTTTTATTTTCGAAAAAAGCTGTACAAAAAAGTATCCCGTAAAATGAAGGCAATCACAGATGTTTTCTAGCGAAATGTATACAAATAATAGAAATCTGCAAATAATTGATTCTATTCCCAATTATGAGAATCGACTCCGACAATATCGAATAATTGTTTGATTTGATGATGGCGAAGTGGAGGAACACCGCCACTGAAATTTTCAGCTGTTTCACAGCTTTTGTTGCGGCCTGCAAAAATGAATTATAAAAACAATTTTTCAATTCGAAAAAGTGATAACAATTTTTTAATTAGAACTATTCACCTTTTCTCCAGAGATTCAAAAAAAGCTGAAAAAATACGACAGGAAAAAATCAACAATGTTTTTTGAAACCATAATTGAATTATGACGTGGAATTTTTCGAATAATTAAGCTTACAATTAGTTTTTAATTAGGATTATACCCAATTTTAATTTTTTGAATTTTTCATAATTAAGAAAATGGGCCCTAAATTATTGTCAGTCCGAAAATAAAAGAACCTCCGTTTGAATTGGCGCTCACGTACAGTAGACTAAAAATGACGTGACACATGCACATTAAACTGGTTGGCAAATAGCCAGCGTGTAAATTTCGCATTTTATTTTTCAAATAGACTTCAAAATTTCGCGAAGTCTACTGTAGTTTTGGTTTTCTAGGCCATTTCGGTTCTCTTCCAACGTTCTTTTTTTTTCGGAATGACAATATATTCACAAATTTTACCTGCAAAATCTGTGACTGTTGCTACAAATTCTCCGAATTCCTCCTCGCTCTCTCCTTCTTCATTTTTTTCTCGATCCTCAAAAAATCTCAAATCTTTCCTAATTGGAAATATATGTCCTTCTGTCGAAAACAATATATTCTCCTGATGTTTATTAATCGGATTCTCCAAATCAAACAATAAATACAAATATTTCATAGTTTCAGCCAAGAAAAACGATTCCATTCGATCTTCCAAACTTCCATCCAAAACATCGTGAACAGTTGCGAATCCACATTTGACACGTGTTATACTATCAATTGATTCCAATATTTCTAATCCAACATTCAAATAAAATGGATTTTTAGTGGCTGTATACAAAAGATATGTGGATTCAGCGAATTCAGGTCGAAGTGGATAGAAATTGACATCAGGTGCTTTTAATTGCCAATTGAATCTTTCCGGAAGAACACCGTATTTTTTCCATACTGAATAATAAAGAGCATGATGACAAACAGCTTCATCGATTTCGCCAGCAAGAACAAGAACACCACTGAAACTTGCCTGAAAATTGAGATTTTGATGAAGTTTGACAAAAAATTCAAAATTCGAAAATAATTTTGCTAACCTGCAACGAATCAATCCACGTATTACTCGTACTTCCATCTCTCGAATCAACATTCACAAAGATGGGCGGATCTCCCGAATCCTGACATTTCGTTCTTCCTCTTCTCATATAATTCAAAATTTTCACAAAACTTTCATTAAACATTTGCAAATCTTTTCGATCTCCGAATAATATATAAGATTTCAACATATATTCATAAAATGAATCAACTCCAGCTCCAAGTGTTGCCAAATTTCCCAACCATTCTCCAGTTTGTATATTTATTAAATTACCGTGTAATCCAGTCGCGAAATCTCGTAATTTCCATAATTTATCATTAACTCGTCTCGCAAGATTTTCAAATGTTTCATCGCCTAAAAGCCTTGAAAGCAATCCAAATTCAAGGAGCAAAGAACCAGCTCCAGCTGTACATGTTGAATTTGTTGTCCCAGGTAAAACCCCTTTTAATAAATTAACTCGAGTATACGGTAGCCCGGTTTCAGTTCCATCAAATGCTGGCAATAATCTTGATGCTAAATCATGCGCTAATGTTAATAATTCTCCATCATATTCTTCTATATAAAAATCTCCAAATTTTCGAGATTTATCAATTGCAATTAAATGTGCTGAAAGTAGACTTCCGATAACTCGAATTGTTGATTCGAAAACTTGAACAGTTGTGTTTTTCTCAAAATCGACATAACGAATAACATTATTTACAGCGCGTTTGAATTCGAAAGGATCTTGAAAAACAACAAGAGAATCGAGAGTATCGATTAGGGTTAGAGAATAATCACCAAGAACATCGTTGATATTTATATTGTCTCTGGAAAATTTCTAAGTTCAGGAGAAGTTTCTCAAAATTATTTGGATATAAATTTGATTGAAAAATTCGGAAAAAATCAAATTTGGAAAAATCACGAACATATCTGAAATCTACCGCGATATTTTTTAATTCTTTCAAATCCCTTTAATTATTGACAAAAAAACTCACGGATTCTGATGATCAGCGCCTCTTCCTTTACAATTTATCGGATCCAATTCATCAGCCGGAAAAGCGTGTCTCATATAATTTTCCCAACCAAAATAAAACATTTCACGAGTTTTTGTTTTCGCATATTTCAGATCTTCCTGAAAAATAAATTGTTCAATTTATTTTAAAAGAATAAAAAAAAATAAAGAAATAAAACGAACCTCAGAAAAACTCGAATATTTCACCTCTTCTTCACTCATCAAAAATACATTTCTTTTCGCCGAAATCGTTGAAAAAAATATGAAAATCCCAAAAAATATCACATTTTTTCGATTTTTCATACTATTAACATTGGAAAACGCAAAAAATCCTGGAAAATCAATTGTTTTTGTTGTTTAAAACACAACCACATTTGGTCATAAATATATGAAATGTAATAAAAAACATTAGCATGGAAGGAAAAAATCGATAATCAATGGAAAATTTTTATTTGCAAAAAAATTTTCGTGCAAAAAAAACGAAGAGATAACAAAAAATCCTAGCAGGTAAATATTCTAATCTATCAAAAAATATCTAGCGAGAAAAAAACAGATCATTGAGCAAAGAAAAAAACAAATGAGAACAAGAAAATCTGAGATTATTACATGTGTTTGTGAATTTCTTCGTAAATTGCCATAACTAATGCACCACCAGCGCTTCTGAAAAAATTACATGTTTTTTAAAGATAATTAGGTTCGTTAGGCGCGTCTACTGAGAAATAAGCTCGAAAAAAACATAGTCTCACCTGAAAATATTTGCCAATGCTCCTTTATACAATCCTTTCATTCCTTCTTCTCTCACAATTTTTCTTGCAGCAGCAACAGCTTTTGAAGTGCTCAATTGTCCCTTTACCATCATTCTTCGCCGCACAGTATCCCATGGATAAGTGAGATAACTTGACAGTACGGTAACACCCTTTAAAAATATCCACACTTCTTATAAGATCCATTTTTCACGAAAAAAACACTAACCTGAGCAATGGCGAAAGATGTATAGAAAGGCAACTTTTTCTTATCACTATTTATACTACTTCGAATCGCATCATATAAACCGAAATAAACAGATCGATAGATGAAATATGTTTGAAGAGAAATTGAAAATCCGCGATATAATGCACCAACACCTTCACTTCGAACTGTTTTCATTGTGCAATCATATAATCCTTTATATTCTCGATTTCCTGCATGTCCCATATCAGCTGATAAACGAGTTCGAATAAAATCCAATGGATAAACTATACATAAACTTGAGCAACCAGCTAAACCACCGGAGACTAAAGTTCTCGCACTGTATCCTATCACATTCTGTATAATAATTCCATTAATATTATTTTTCCATCCGAATAAATATGTCAACTTACATCCTCTCTTTTTATATTCTTCAATAAAATCGATTTATACAAATCATTAAATGCAAAATTGAAAGCTTGTGTAGGGAAATAGCGAATAACGTTGGTCAAATTTCCTCTCCAAAAACTTGCAAATCCTTGTTCCTTCGGAACTCTTATAAATGCATCAATTATTCCATTAAAACGTTTATCTGCCGGGATATCTTTGTGAGAATATTGAACTTGTAACAGGATCTTCACACGTTCTATCGGTGCAACTGCTGTTTTTGAAACTGTTGCTGATAATCCACCAATCAATAAATCTAAGCCAAACTTTTCCGCGTCTGTTCGCTGTTTTTTCAATGAAAATCCAGACATTAACCAATTATTTTTGTGAACTAATAAATGATGCAATCCTGAAACCGTCTAATTATTGTTGATTTTCCTCAAATTCATGTTTCAAACACAGTGCATTAAAAGCTCACCTAATTTATATTTTGTATGAACACCTGTTTTTCAAATAAAACGGCAAAAAGGGAGAAAATAGAAAATCGAAATAATATAAATAAAAATACGTGCGCGTCAAATAAAATGCAATACCGTAGGAAAACTGCACAAAACACAAGAGCTGTCGCAAACTCACAGACCAAAAAAATATTTTAATTTCTTGGCTCTCAATCTTTCGCAACCTTACATAATCTTATCGGTTGTTTTTGTTTTTCAGTTTGTTTTTCAGCAAAATATTACACAATCTCACTCTTTTTCAGTCTGTTATTGCTCACACTAAATTTGTCTATAAATAGTATTAGTTTTTCTCATTTTTAGGGTATTCGTCAAAATGGTTTTGGACATGGATTTGTTCCGCGAGGAGAAGGGTGGAAACCCTGAACTCATTCGTGAATCGCAACGAAAACGTTTCAAGGATGTGACATTGGTTGATCAAGTTATTGAATGGGATCAAGTTTGGAGAAAAGAACGGTTCTTTGCTGATCAACTCAATCGACAAAAGAATGTTTTCAGTAAGGCTATCGGAGAGAAAATGAAGGTATTTTTTAGTTTCAGCTGTCTGAATTCATAAAAATACAATTCTATTTTTTTTTTAGAAAAAAGAGGCTCAAGGTACCGACGATAGTGTTGAGGACGAAATTGTCAACCGACTCGCTGAACTCAAACTCGATGAATTGAGCGCACTCACAGTAGTTCAACTCAAGAAACTCCGTGTTTTGGTCGACGAGAAAATCGTAGAATCAAAGGCTGCTATGGATGCCGCTGAAGTTGCCAGACAAGAAAAATTAGTTCAAATCGGAAATCTTATTCATGATTCGGTTGTTGTTTCGGATAACGAAGATAACAACAAAGTTGAGAGAACTTTCGGAGATATCACAAGCAAGAAAAAATATTCGCATGTTGATTTAGTTGTAATGGTTGATGGTTTCGATGGAGAACGTGGAACTGTTGTAGCTGGAAATCGTGGATATTTCTTGAAAGGACCATTAGTATTCCTTGAACAAGCTATTATTCAATTGGCATTGCAAAGATTGAATAGAAAAGGATATACTCCATTGTATACACCATTTTTCATGAGAAAAGAGGTTATGCAAGAAGTTGCTCAACTCAGTCAATTCGATGATGAACTCTATAAAGTTTCTGGAAAAGGATCGGAAATCGCTGGAGATCAAACAATTGATGAGAAATATTTGATTGCCACTTCTGAACAACCAATTGCTGCTTATCATAGAAATGAATGGATTAAAGAGAGCGATTTGCCATTGAAATATGCCGGAGTTTCGACTTGTTTCAGACAAGAAGTTGGAAGTCACGGAAGAGATACTCGAGGAATCTTCAGAGTTCATCAATTCGAAAAAATTGAACAATTTGTTTTGTGTAATCCAAATGACAATGAATCATGGACACTTTTCGATGAGATGATCGGAAATGCTGAATCCTATTATCAAGAACTCGAAATTCCATACCATATCGTTAATATTGTCTCGGCAGAATTGAACAACGCCGCCGCCAAGAAATTCGATTTAGAAGCTTGGTTCCCAGGAAGCGCTGCTTTCAGAGAACTCGTTTCGTGCTCAAATTGTTTGGATTATCAAGCAAGAAGATTGCGAGTTCGATATGGACAAACTAAAAAATTGGACGGTGATGTTCAATTTGTTCATATGTTGAATGCTACAATGTGTGCGACAACTCGAGTTATTTGCGCAATTTTGGAAAATAATCAAACTGAAACTGGAATTAACGTACCAAAGGTGAGAATATGCTAGAATTGAGTTGGGTCTAACTAAGAAATGACAAAAGAAAGAGAAAGCTTTGAAATTAATAACTGAAGTTCACGCTGAATATTGGAATCTAGAGAAAAAAAACGTGAATTTGTTCATTTTCGAAATGATTTTAATTTTCCACGTCATTCTCAAATTTTCTAGGCCATTCAACAATGGATGCCAGAAAACTACCGTACTCACATTCCATTTGTCAAACCTGCTCCAATCGACGAAGAACAAAAGAAGAAAGCTGGAAAATGATTTATTCATTCGTTTTTTTTCGCTGAAATTATCTTTATTGTTATGTTATCTCTTTATTTATATGCTTTTCCATATCCCCCTTTTTTTAAATTTAATAAAGTCCGGTTCTTTTCTCGAATTTTCATTGTGCAGCACGTTTTTTCGAAAGAAAAAATCGTTTTTAAAATATCGGAGCAACGTAAATGCTTCCTGTTTAGCAGCATTTTTATTATAAACAAAAACAAAACTTGTGTTATTGCAGAAGAATAAAAAAAGAAGAAAGAAAAGAATTGAATTGTATTGAAAACTAGATTATTGCCAAATTTATACTTACTATTATGTATAAAGAAGAGGGTAAGTTTTTTATTGATTTTTTTGACTTGAACATGAGTAAGGTTTGCTGAAAATTTCAGATCTCTTGATGGAGGAAGGGGATGAAATTGATGCGAAGTTGCGCATTGTGAATGATTTGTTACGATCTGAGCCTCCATATTCTTTGACGAAAAACGATGTGAATAGTGTCAAAAAATTGGTGAGTTTGAGTTTTGGAAAAGAAAAAAAAGTGGAACTTGTAAAAAATTATCGATTTTTGCGTCACGAACAAGAATTGAATTCTAAATTTCAATTAGTTCTTCAGTCCGGTTCTGAGTAGGTAATTTCTTAAAATGAGTTATGACGTGGCAAAAATCAAAATCTCACGGTCTAGTCGAATGTCTGCAAACACATTTAATTTCTTCTTCTTTCATCTTTACAATCCATAAAAACAATACATTTTCATTGCAGATAAATGAACTCGCCTCTCGGTTGAAGATCGCCGAACAAACATGCATCAAAAACACAGACCTCTTGGGAATCGCCGATGATGGTTTAGATGTCGATGTCGAAGAATTGAAATGTGATGTGGCATTCGAAAACACGCCAAATTCATTAGCGAGTTATGATTCGGATATCATTATTATTGAAGAAGCCGAAATGTTGCGAAATATAAAAATCGAAGATTCGATTTCCAGTAGAAGTGATGATGGTTTGAGAATTAATGAAGGAGAAATTGCAAATGAAAAAGTAGAAGAAGAAGAAGAAGAAAAGGAAGATGTTCCGAAGAGTGTAAGATTTTTCATGAAATTTATTAATCTAAAAAATTATTTGAATTCCTTTTTTACAGACAAATCACGTCAGTTACAACAAATTCAGATCGAAAGAAAAAACCTGTGAGTTTTTGAAAGTGTGCAAAAAATCCAATTCAATATAAATATTTGCAGATCTTCGCCTCAAATCTGCTGCTGCATTCGATAAAAAAGTTCACAATGAAGAATTGAAATATCCACTTGGTGTTGTTTATGACGAAATCCGAAAAATATGGATAGTTTGTGAGCAAGATGATAAATTGATTCAGATTGATGAAAAAGAAAAGGATTCGGCTGTGCTGGAGAATCATTTGATCAAAAATCCATCGGCGTTGACTATTTTGAGAGTGAGGATGTTTTTTTCTTTTTGAAAGTTTGGTGTTATTTTGAAGAATAGTAAGCTTGACGAGGGAAGTGTGTGACCAGTCCCCGGAGATTTTCAATGAGACCTATGTTTTTTAGGTCAGTTTTTCACGCTGATAACGATCCTGTTTTCAGTTTTTGCTGAACGACTCTCTGAAGAGCCCAAAAATGAGCCAAAAGTTGAGAATTTCCTGAAAATCGCGTTTTTGAGAGCCCATAACTCATGTTAGAAATTATTTTTATGAAAAACTGAATGCATCACGTTGTTCACGAGGGTCGATTTACCAAAGTCACAAGTTTTGACAAAATTTTCCAAAAATTTTCAAATGTGCTTTTTTCATGACCTGAGCCTGTTTTCTGAGCCACAAAATTTTTTTCTGAAAAAGTATGGACTTACTAACCAAAAATTTGTTACTTTGGTAAATCGACCCTCCTGAACAACGTGATGCATTCAGTTTTCCATTAAAAAATTTCTAACATGAGTTATGGGCCTTCAAAAACGCGATTTTCAGGAAAATCTCAACTTTTGGCTCATTTTTGGGCTCTTCAGAGAGTCGTTCAGCAAAAACTGAAAACAGGATCGTTATCAGCGTGAAAAAACTGACATAAAAAACATAGGTCTCATTGAAAATCTCCGGGGACTGGTCACACACTTCCCTCGTGAGAGCTGAATATTTCAACAAAATTCTTCACTTGTCAGTTCGTTCAATCTTATCAAAAATTAATTTTTTAGGAAGGCCATTCTATCGCGATTCTTTGCGCAGACGAATTCAAGAAAAACTGGATCGCTGAATACAATTACGGGAATCGAAATGGGAAAGTGACATTGATTGTTCATCACAACAATTCGAAACATGATTTGAAATATCGATGTCGTGGATTAGCTCGATCATATGCTGGAAATATTATGACACTTGATAATCCACCATCTCCAAATTGTCCAAGATTAAGATTGATTTCACGAAATGGTAAAGAAAGTGCAAGTTTTGATATAAAAGATGCCAGAAATCCAAGTTTTATTGCGTCGCACAAGAAAAGAGTAGCTGTAAGCGATTTGGGAACTCAGCGCGTTTTTATTTTTGAAGTAAACGATATAAAATGGAAACATGGATCGGAAGGATTAAATTGGCAATTGATAAATACGATTGGAGATGTAGGTTTAATTAGAATTGTTGAAGAAAAAGTTGGTTATCTAATTTTTGAACTTCAATTTTTGCAGGAAAGACTCGGTGTTCCTCGACTGCCGGTTAGAATTTACGATTCGGCTGAATTCAATTTTGTCGCCGGTATTCAATATGATAAAGATGGATTTTTGATTGTCGCTGACGCTGGAGGACATACAATGAAGGTTTGATTTTTTGTTTGGAAAAAAAGAATGGAGAAAACATTGTTACAGAAATATATTTTGATTTTTCTCCAATTAATTAGATTTCTGGTTCAATTTCAAAGTTGTCTCCAATGTTTTTTCTTTGCAACTAAGCTCATTTAAATTTTCGAAAAACCCCGTTGTTTCTCCAGTTATTCGATAAAGATGCCAAATTCCTCCATCGTATTTCATCTGATTTCCCAATTCCATTTATGTCATCCTTCCACATCAATCGTCATGGAAGAACTATTATAATAGATTTACGTGGAAGCCAAGAAAAATTATGTTTTGCACAATTAAGCTCATCTCGTATACTTGATAAATGGGTCGATGCACATACAAAACCGAAACCACGAGAATCGAGCAGATTTTCAAGGAGTTTATCAAGAAGATAAATTTGATCAAACCTTTTATTGTCCTGTAAATAATTTTTGTTTCATGTCATTTTTTGGTGCTATCTAGATACTAACACTAGACAACTATTTTTATTTCAATATTCACGATGTTTTATTTGGTGCCTTACTGTATTTTTATTTTATCTTATGTATTATTTTTTTAATTCTTTTTTTTTCACTGATTTTTCTCGAAAAGGTTTTGTAACCTTGGATACTTTTAAAATTGAGAGACCGGGAAATTTGAGAAAAGAATTTTCAGATTTCAGAAAAAATGCCGAAAATAAATCGACGACTGGTTTATCTATTTCTACTAATTTTCGGCGCAATTTTGATATTTAAAAGTGGTTTCAAAGAAACGACACAAAGCATCAAAAAGCCTTTTGGTATGTTTTTATTCTGAAAAGAATTTCTTCTGAGAATTTCATGATGGGAAGCAAAAATATTTAAAAAAAAACAAAATTTCAAATTTTTTGAGTGAAAAACGTGAACATGCCAATCTCATTTTCCAAAATGATTATTCATTTCTTATTTTTGCAGCAAAAAATCCGGTGCCTGAAATTGACGAAGAAGAAAAATGTTATTATGATGATTCGTGTTCTCTTCCCCAAATGTTGTTTCGAATTCGGACAGAAACTGAAAAATGGCCGCCGTTTGCATGTTTGAATGATATAAGGTAACTTTTTCGATTTTCAATACATCTGAATCGAAAGTTTTTGAAAATAGGCTGATTTAGCTTTTGATCATTCTGAAAATTGATCTAAAAGCTATAAATTTATATTTTTATCTCAAACTTCTATCGAAAATTCCCTAATTTTTCAGATTATTTGATAACTCAATAATCGAGCAAGGAATAAATGTGGCTGTTTTGAACGGATCTGATGGTGATATTCTTATTCGAGACACTTTTGATGTGAAAACGACGGATGAGAAGTTCATGAAATGGTTGATGTAAGATTTTTCACACAGAGATTATTTTCCTATAATTTTACCTGATTATCTTCAGAACTTACAAAAGAAGTTAATCTTTCCGTTTTGTTCCGAAAATCGTCCATTTTCAAAAAAATAAATCCCAAAATTTCAGAGCCCTTCCACATGCCGCAATCCTTGTGGTCGCATCTTTCGGCGATGTTGCCGAACACGTTTCCCGAGACACGCGTCAAATTCTCGCCGCATTTGGCGCATCAGAAATCGATAATTGGCGTGGTGGAAGTGCTTATATTTTAATCGGTCAACGTGGAATTGCGAAACGCGAAGCAAAAGAGCGAATTTCACCATTTTCGAAAAAATCTGGAAGTATTTTTTGAGGGATGTTTCGATTTACCATTAGCTGAGACGAAAATTGTGAATTTGACAAGTTTCGGATTGAATCGAGGAAAAAAGCTGAATGAAACTGTTTTGGCCGAAATTTCGATGGAAACGAAAGGAAAAACATTGAATCAGGGAGAATTTAAAATGGGAATCAAGTGGAAAAATTGTGGAATGACAGAAGAATGTGAAGATGGTAAGAGTTTTTGAACTGAAAGCTCTATTCTTATGTTTTTAGACACTATTCCGATCCATTTGTTTTCTGGTGAACAAAAAGATGATAATCCGAAAATGTGTATTGGTGGAAAAATGATATTTGACAAGGGATTGAATAATGCGGGAAGAGGATTGAATTTAGCGATTTTGGAACCGAAAACTGCCAAAATTAAAGATGTTAAACGATTTGACACTTATCAAGATGGTAAGGAAATTTGGGTGAAATCTAACAAAATCTAAGTTTTAATTTCAAAAAAATTCAAGCATTATAATCAACGAATTTGTTTATTTTGCACAGGGTTTCTCTTACTGAATATAACTATAATAATCTCCACCTTCTTATTTTTCACCAATTTTTTCTTCCAGAATCGAAAAATCTAGAAGAATGGCTTGATGCAATTCCAACTGGGTATATAATTGTTGGTGTTAGCTTTGATGAAGCATCAAATATGTTATCCGAAATGGCAAAAAGAATATTATATGAAATGGGTTCAAGTATGATTGAGAGACTGAAATTCCGTGCTGCTTGGTATTTTGTGGGACAAAAAGGAATTGGCGCATATTCACCATTTGAAGATTTGAATATTCCAACAGGAAATACGTGGGCAACACCAGTTCGAACTTCGATTTGTTTGCCAAAGTCACGTGAGTTTTTTATATCTCGAGAAAAATGAAAAAAAAACATATTTTATAGTTATCAAAAAAGCGGCTGATTCTCTACCCAATGATGCACGAAACTTGCCAAAACGTCATTTTTGTGCAAAATATGATAGACATGAAGAATTTTGTGATTCGGAAAATCTTGATACACCAATAATCCCGAAAATTCTACAAAATGAAAAACGACAAAATGAGGCGATTTTCAATGTTCCAATTATAATTGCAGCTGGTTTAGCACCGGATTCACTTCGAGCAACACTTGAAACATTAATCAAACAAGAAGGTATCAATATGCAAATGGTTCTTGTTTGTTTTGATAAAGAATATATGGAAAGTGCCGATTTGGCTGCATTGTTTCATGTGAAAAGTGTGGCGATTAGTGCAGGAGCTGATTATAATGGTCAGTGTTTTGTTGTTTGAAATATGACATTTTTATTCGGGATTGAAGATTCAGAGTCTCACAAAAATTACAAAAAGTCTGATTTTTTTTGTTTTAGAAATTTAAAATTTTGTGAGGTCAAATTCCATCCACAAGTTTTTCGAGAATCTACAAAAAATCGAAAAAAAATTTCAAGCTAATAAAAAATTTCGGGAAACTAGTATACTCTTCGCGAAGTGTAGTTGGAGAGATTCTCAGGGTTCCCAACTGTTATACTTTTGATGTGATCTATTCTCAAAGTCAGTGTTAGAGGGGGGAGGGTTCCCATTTTGAAGAAAACAATTCCATGAAGTTACAATAAGCGTGTTCCAAAAATTGCAGCGCTCACACCCCAAAAAAAAAGAAAATTCTCAGACAAGTTGAGCGATTAATCGGTAAGCAAAGTGAGCTGACGATTAATCGTCTGAACAAAATTAATACAGGCGATTAATCGCTCAGCCAGCAGCTAATTCAAGTTGCTTAGCGATTAATCGCCCAATTTCTCTGAGTAAATAAAAAAATTCACGAATACTTCTACCGTACCCCTCATCAAAGGCGCACACAAATTTTCTCCCGTGTCTCACAACGCGCGTTGATTTTTCAAAAAACGAAGCGGTGTTTGCACAAAAAGAAACATTTAATGTGACGCCAAATTTTCAGTGATTTCGTTTTTTATAAGGGGAGGACATTTTTAATCAAACATTTTCTGGGTTTTAAAAACAAAATAAATTTTTTTCTAAGGTTCAACCTCCCGTTTTTCAGCCCATCTCCTTTCTTCAATGTCAACAGCTCTTTCAATTTTCCCGGATTCCGATTCATTTATTGTTATCGAAGAAGATGTCCAATTATCTGATGATTGGCTTTTCTATTTTTCAACAATTTATTCAACTTTCATCGAAGATAAAAACATCGATTTTGCACTGGCTTTGAATCCAAATGGATTTGTCGATTCTTCTGGCGAACCATCAACAATTTATCGAATTCAAGATCAACAACCGATTGGATCTTATATTATTAAGAGAGATTTGTATGAAAAACATATTAGATTGAGAGAATGTGAGTTGATTTTTTTTTGGATTTAAAACTTGAATCATACCTGAAATCTCCATATTGTATTTCAGTTTGCTGTTTGGAACATCGTAATTGGGACCTTCGACCTTCAACATCTCTAGTTCCAGCTTTATCAAGAATTTCAATAACTGGATATTTATTGGATAAAAATAATGTGTTATTTTCCAGAGAAAGAATCGCGTCGTAAGTTTTCTTTGATTGGCTAAAAATTTTAAGTTTTATTTTATAATATATTCAGAACTTCCCCCGCCAAATTGACTGCTGAATATATAAATGTGGAATATTATCAGAAATTTATCGAGAATATTCTGAAAACAACCCCAAATTCAAATATCGATGAAATTTTGAATATTGGATGCGAAAAATGGAAAACTTCTCAAAAAGCATCAAAAGTTTTGAAATTTGAAGATGTCTCAAAATTGGAACAAATTTTCGATTGTCTCAAACTTTATCACACTCCAAAATTGTTGAAAAATAATCGAGTTTTCAGGTTTAATTTGGCAAAAAATATAGAGATTTTTATAGTTAAAAATTAGCTTTTTTATTATATATTTGTAATTAGAAAATATTCAGAAAACGGGTATTATGTTGCTTGCCTTGTCAAAAATATGTGTATAATTCAATGAATAGCATAATGATTTAGATTTTTAAAATTGCAAATAAATATTTTTTATATCTTTTTTTCTCTGTTCTCTCTTCTTGGTTATTTGACCAGTTTTTATCTCTCGTTTTTTGTGCTGACGTTGATTTTTATTTTTTTCAAATTGTGTTTTTGGATTTTGAAATACATAATTTCTGTAAAATTGCCCCTTAATTCATATTTTCAGATGAAAACCTCAATATTCTTCTTCTCCCTTTTAACCGCTCTATTTTCAACAATTTCTTGTCAAAAAGAAGAATATAAAATTGATCTGGAAGAATGTAAAGCGGCTGGATTTGAACCGGAAACATTGAAATGTTCGACGTGTGAAAAATTGACCGATTTCAATTTGGAAACACTTTTGAGCGATTGTTTGGGATGTTGTACGAAAGAAGAGGAATTCAAGCATAAGGTGAAGAGTTTTGGGCTTTGAAGCTAGATTTACAGAGGGGAAGCTGGAATTTTGAATATGACATGGGAACTTGAAAATTCAGTGTTTTTCTCAACCAAAATTCAGAAAATTTCTTCTTGATTTTCAGCCAAAAATTGACGATGATCGAAGTCCATCAATATTTTGTATTTTCTGGAATTTTTTTAATTTGAAAAATTATGACAACATGAATTTTCAGCTGAAAAATATAATTTTTTGAGTAAAAAAAAGTTCCCTTGTTTATTTTCAACTTGAAATAATCGAACATTTTGTAATTTTTCATCAAATTCCCTAAAACAAAAATGAAAATTCAAAAATCGTAACGAAGTTAAGCAAATTCAAAAACCCTTTAATTTTTTCCAGACCTACCCCGTAGCATTCCTCGAAGTTTGTGAATGCAATTTGGCTCGTTTCCCACAAGTTCAAGCTTTTGTTCACAAAGATATGGCATCACAATGGAATGGAAAAGTAAAAGTGAGACATGTGAGAGGAGTTCGACCACAAGTTGTATTGAAAGATTTGGATGGAGTTACAAAAGAAACATTGAGTGTTGAACAATGGGATACGGATACACTTATTGATTTTTTCAATCAATGGATCGATTAGTGGGTTTGCTTTTTTTATTAAATTATTTTTTTGAGTTTGTTTTTTATTCTTATGTATTTATTGCCATAAATTTGGTGTATTTTTCAGATTAAAATTGATAGATTTATTTTTAATAATTAAATATATAAGAAGACAAAAATCAATAAATTTAGGATAAGATAAAAACCAATTACAATAATTCAGTCGCCTAATCGGTGGCTTTTGAGATGTAGCAAGTTTGTTGTGGAGTTCCATCGGCACAGAAATCGGTGGCTGATGAGGCGAAATCGCTGTCTCCTTCGATACATGTTACCAAGTATCTGGAATTTTTGGAGTTCGGTATTGAAACTTTCGAAGGGACATACAAATGTTAAAGGTTTTTGGAACTTTTGTTTGGCCCGGTTTTCAGTAAAGCTTTTGATTTTTAAGAGAAATATTTTTCAATAGTTTTCTTAAAAATCGATCAGAGCTACAGTATTCTAAAATGTTCTCAAAAATTCTTAATTTTGTCTACAGTAATCCCCGATTTAAGATGTGTTATTTTACACAAAATAGGTGATACTTCCTAGCCTACGGTAGATATCTACAGTAATCTAAAAATACTTTACTTTAAATTGGATAAAATTGAATTTAAAAAATATTTCACAGATTATTTTGATCTACAAGTTCTAGTGTTTTGTTTTAATACTGTAGAAGTGGTATCATAGTAGCTACAGTAATCCTGATCTTACTAAAATAGTTCTATCTTATTTTGCTACCTACCTAACTCCTTCGAATTTTTCCTTCAAACTGTTGACAATATTATCACGTGAATCTTTGGTAGTCGAACGAATCGAGTTCAAAATGATTTTTCTGAGCTCTGGATTATTGCATCTGGCATCAGCCCCTTCTCCAGCCTCACGCTTCTTTCTTCCACCACATCCACATCCTCCGCCACATGGCGGTGGTGGTGGTGGCGGCAATTTCAATGTTGGAACATTGAATGAGACAACTGAACAACCGAGGGTTGGAAGACACTGAAACAAAATATTATGAGTAATGAGTGTGAGGAAAGTGAGAGACTTACTCCTCCGCCTCCGCCACCCCCACCTCCGCAGCCACCACCACATCCTCCTCCACAACCTCCGCCACCGCCACCCATTGGGAAGAGAAAGGCATTGGCAGATACGACGACAAGGGCTAATGTTACAGCGACTCTCTGAAAAATTGTAAAGTTTTTCAGGCTTCCTATCCTTGACACTCTCAAGGCGCGGTTCCTTGTCAGAGTGGATCCTCACGTTGGATGTGGCTTCTAGACATTAGGATACCGCTTCACGAAAACTAGGATTTCTAGACCTAAATTTGAAAAAATCAGGATTACCTTGAAATTTATAATTTTAAATCTAGTTTGCTTTAGGTTTCCGAGGCTAATTTCAAAACATGAACTTCACATGGATTTTATTTGGTATCTATTTCAAAATTCAGAAAATTCATTTGAAAAATATTATTATTCAATGAAAAAGTCTTAAAACTCCCAAAAATTCCCCCATACCGACTTACCATAATTCTATTTGCGAACAAGAAGAATGCCAAAAAATGGATTGATGTTATCTATTTATAAGATAGTGTTGTTAGTAACCAGTTTGGTTGGATTCGTGTGCCACCGACGAAAAGCAAAAACCCGCCCGCCCCACCAAAAAAAGCCTTGTTGTTTTTATTGTTGATCGAACGAAGGATGGCAAAAAAAGAGGAAAGCTGTGAAGAAGAAGATTATGAGATAATAATAATTATAATATTAAAATAATATTAGTTATTTAGTTAGTGAATGTCGAAGAAGATGTAATTAGGCAGAATTAATCTGATCTTACAACTTTGTCTTTGAATATTTGGTCAAAGAATGTTTTTTGGTAATTACGTTTTTTGGTAATTAATGTAAGAGGAGAAGCTGAAACTTTCCAATGGTTTATTTTGAGAAAATTTCGAGTTAAATCTAATTTTTTAAATCAGGAGATGAGCGAGGTATGCTGATAATTTTAGGAACAAGTTCATACGTTTCCGATGTTCTTGATGATATATATTAGATCTGAAGTTTAAATGCAACAAAATCATATCTACTGATTTCTGTAAGTTGATACTAATTCTGCAATATATAAAATAGAAAAAGTAACTAATTCTTCTCTGTTTTCTGTGATCTCTGAAATTCTCAAAAAAAAACCCGAGAATGATGTATGGAAATCTGAAATTCCTCCATTTCTAGAAATATAATGCTTTCCAAAGTTCCTTTTTTCTCCAAACCCCAAACCCCATTTAAATCTTTCATATTTTTCTATTTCCAACTGGAACAAATTGTCTAAAAGTGCAAAATACCCTATGCAAAAAACAACAAATTATTCTATGTACATATTTTGTCTGATAGTGCGACCGATTCATGAATTTCTATTCATTTTCCTTTTTTATTCGTTTTCTCGTTTTCCTTTATCCTATTCAGCTAACAAAACAACAATAAAGAAAACAAAACAGTAACCTCAATTGCGTCATCGTTCGTAAAAAAAACAGAGAAAAAAACGAAAGTTCATTAGAATATTTTTCTTCTTATTTTTTATCATTCACAAATAACTGGTTATGTAAGAAAATAACAAGAAAAAAAAGAAGAAGAAGCTAAATCTGAATCCACTCAATCATTTGATCAGTTTTGGAAAGGGGCTTGTTTATCTGTTTGGTAATAGTAGAAATAGTAGTTGACATGGGCAAAGAATTCGGGAAGCAATCAAATGGAGGATAAGAAATATGAGATGTGATATAGACATAGGATAAGTCTGGTTTATTAGTTAGTTGAAGTTGGGGAGAGGGATTTTTGTGAACAAAAAGTATTATTAGAAGAGTTTTTAGATCCGAGTGAACATTCAGATTTGATTTTTTTTTCAACTTGAAACTAGTAAGGAAAAATCATTGATGAAAACTCTCAAAACGTAATTCCTTTCCAGAATAGATATCTAAGTGAGGACAACAACTCGAAAACCTAAAAAACAGAAACTAGGTTTTTGGCAATTCATTTTAGAATGTTTTTGTCGAATTTAAAAAGAAAATAAATTGGATTTTCAAAAGTTTCTTTTTTCCTTTTTTTCACAGGGGTTTTTTCACTACCGAGTCAATGCAAAATTGTAATCGAGCAAATAGGCTCCGCCCATATTTTTCCGCACAGACATGTGGGCGGAGCTTAGGTTTTCAGATTTTCAAAAAGAAAATTGAAAACCGTTTGGCTCAAAAGACACACAAATAAAAAGAAAAAAAGTCGGGCTATATGTGTGTTTGCAGCAACCGACATCTCGCGAGGCCGGCCACACGCTATTGTTTTTTTTTGTCGGCCACGTAGCTCGCTGTTTGCGGAGGTTTTTTGTCGTCAGATAAAATGTTTTGTACGTGATTAATTCTCGGTAGTAATAAAACCCCTGTGATTTTTTACCGTGTTCAGATTCATCCCCTCAAAAATCTCAAAACATATTTTATTCATCAATTCACAAAATTAAATTCAAATTTCCAAGCCAGCACATCTTCAAATAAATACAAAATGATTACCAATGATTGATAAACTTTTTTCTTGCGAATTCTTTCAATGGCCTCAAAAATCCGGTTGATTGAGCAGTAGTTTGTCGATCATCTCCAGGAGTTGCTGAAATAAAGATTTTGAATTTTCATAAAAGTTAAGAATTTGAGAGCATTAAAATATTGAACGTTGTTTATTTTTGAATAAATCCAGGAAAAATAGATTTCAAATTTTCAATTACATTTTCAAGAAAGAATGAAATTTGATCAGTATTTTTTTATCAAATTCCGAAAAAATGCGATAAAATTTAAGTCTATTATTAGATGAGCATTTTTCTGGCCTCGGTTAAATTTCGGGAATACTGTAGCAAATTTAATTGATTTTGAAGAAACTTCTAGAATACTGTAGGTTGGGTTATTTGAGAACTAAGAATCTCTCAAAGCGCGGCTTTTCAGTTCTTCAAAGTTCAAACTCACATCTCGAATCGCTCATTTTTCGATAATTAACATTAATAACTGGAAGTGTCAATGATTGTGACATATTATTATTTCCATTAATCGGAACTGCTAAAATATTCGAATCATCACTGACTGGCGAACTGCTTGTTGATGCTTTATTCAGTTGTTCATCATTGATATCACGACTTGCCGCGCGATTTTTGATGTCCGTGTTGAAACCGCGCTGGAAAATTGTCGAGATTTTTAATTCGTTCGGGGAATCTTGAAGAAAATATTTTATATTTTCACACATATTTTTATTGAGAAATAAAAATTGCAAATTAGAACTTTGAACGTGAGAAATTTGGTTCTGAAAGCATGTGGGGAAATAAGAACAAAGTTATGACGTGGCAGAAAGTTCTGTAAAATTCATGAAAGCTCCTTGAAAACATTTTTCAAGTATTTTTTTTCGAACATATTCTTTGGTCTAGATTTTGAACCTTTAAAAAAGTTTTATGAAATCTGCAAATCGTAAATCTTTCCTGATATGATCTAAAAAAAAGTTATGACGTGGCGTTTCCCACAGATTTTTGAAGTTGAGCAAAAAATGCATTGGCAACTTTTTTCTGCCTAAAATCTTGTAAGCCTCTTGAAAATTTTTGAAAAGTGTTCAAGTATTTTCCTTGTTCAAAAAAGCGGCATTTTTTCAGCAATTTTTATTGGAAAAATCGGCAAATCGGAAGTTTGGGATTTTTTGGAACTTGTGAATTTATAAAGTTGTCTTCTGAAACCAAACTATGTGGGAGAATTCTTGGGAACTAGAAAAATATGACGTGGCAAACTCTATGATCACATCTTAAATGGTGTTCGAAATTAAGTTTTTTCCGAAAATCGATTTTCAAAAGAAACTTTTGCTAAATGTTTGCCACGGGATGGCTAAGTTTCCAAATTCTTTGAAGCCCCAAATTTTTCCCGTCAAATTTGATCAAGTTCCAACAAACTCTAGTCTAGTCTCCAAAATTCTTGAACTTTCGGAAAAATTAGCATTTTTGTTGTTTTTATTTCCTTGTATTCAAATATTTCCTCCTTCTCAAAATATCACGTCGTCTCTAATTTCTTCCCTAAAAACAAAAACTTTCCACACTTCATCAAATATTCATATTTTCCCACATACTTCCTCCCCTATTTCTGTAAAGTGTCTGACCTTCATTTGTTTAATCAAAAGTCGAAGAATTGTTCGCCAATTTATGATAACTCGATCCAAAACATCCATCTTCATGAAATAGTGATCCTGCAAAAAAATATCCGGTTGGGGGAAATTTAATTATACTAAACTAAAAAATATTTCTTTTACTAAATAGATACACCCACGGATTTTTTCGCCGTAAAAAAGTGAATAAATAAATGAATATGTTGTAGTTTTAGTTGAGTTTGCAGCAAAAAAACAATTTTTGAAAATTGAATTTGTGGCGCTCAAAAATTAGAATTTGGCACAATTATACTTTTTACATGTGACTTTGCGTAGAGGAAGAATCACACCGATTACGCAACTCACAACCAGAGCTTCTAAATTTTACTAGGGTCGTTGATGAATCAACTCGAAATATCATTTTTCAAAAATGACACGTGGCATTTTATTTTAAATAAAAATTACACGATAAAATCAAAATCGTTGAACTTTTCTCACCAAAGTTGTTTACAAAAAAACTTCAACTGTGTACATATAATTATAGATTTCTGCAAATGTGTGTGATTTTTCAAAGTTTAATCTGCTTGGACCGGAAATTTGGAATCTTGTCTTAAATTGTCAAAGTCTATTTTTACTACATAGACTAGACTGAAGCTGATTAGTATTTTTGATAAAATGTGTATTAATTTCTATTCTGCATAGTCTCATGTTTTTCCAAGAATCGTTTGCATCAAACCACAAGGCTCTTTTGATAACATAAGTTTACCTAATTCCAAATCTACCTAATCAGATATCATTCTTCTAACCGATCTTTGCCTTTTCCTAATCCAACCCGGGCAATTGTTCTATTTACCACATCATTTTAATCCCTATATATTTTTTTCTGGTTGGCTGAGTTGAAGAGTTGCAGTAGAATAGAAAATATTCTAGACAGGAGTGAAATAGAGAGAATAGATCGGATATCTACATTTTCTTTCGAGTTATGACGTGACGAAGTTAGAAAATAATATTTGGTAATTGGGTAAAAATTTGGTTTGAGTTAGGTTTGAACTTTCCTGAACTTATGGAATCAGCGAGAAAATCATATAATTAGAATTAGCTCTAGAGTAGGAAGGTAGGAAGTTTCACACCTTCCGAGTACTGATATTAGAATTTAGAATTCCGACGGTCCTTTTTCGAATGATTTTCGATGAGAAAAACTGTATATTCAGATTTTAACTCATTTAGGAGTCAATCTAATGTACAAACATCATATTTTTTGAAACGTATTTTTTTTTGACGACATGTTCTGATCCGACTTATAATCTGCCATACAAATTTCAAAACTCATCATTCATCAGGATTAAACTTTGTGACACGAGGTTTTGAAATACAAATCCGGTGACGAATTTTCTTCTCTACAAATGTAAAACTTGCCTGTCCCAAAACTTTTCGAAAATGAAAAAAGTGTACATTCAATGAAAACACCCCAATGATGAGTTCGAAATCCACGAGATTCGCTAAGTCTTCCATGAACTCGTCCCAAATTATCACATAATGGATTAAGTGTCTCCGGATTGTCTAATGTTTTTACGACCGATTCGAGCACCTGATAAAATTGAGAATTAGAATAAGTGCTGACGGAAATTCGAATATCCTTTAAATGCTTACTTGCATAAATCGAAGTGCGTGGAATTCCATCTCGCGACATCGGCCACCTTGATTCATTTTGATAAATGGAAAAAGCTGAAAAACCAAAGATCACGACGCAAAGTATTTAATTATTTTCGATAAGTATAGAAATAAATAATCTACCAAAGTTACTACATAAAGATATTGGAACACGTGACTAACGGGGAAAAGTAAATTTATGATCTTATTTAATTTTCATTTATATATGAGTATTTTTTGGGAAAAGTTTGTAGTTCAAAACACAAGAAGGAAAAGAGAACAATTTGAGGAATATTTATTATTTTTATAATTTTTATTTCAGAGAGTTTTTCAAATTTTGAATTTTTCCGAAAAAAACACAACTTCGCCATATCATAACTATTGTTCAAAACATTTAGGAATCTTGTTTTATTTAGGATTACATTAGTCAATTTTCATACCTAAACAAATATTATATCCATTTTTTTTGACAATTTTCTTCAACACAAAATAACCTATATTTATATAATTAGATATTTCAATTTGTCTGAACTCAACGTATACCTAGTCTAGAAAAATGTTCGGAGAATTAAAAAGTAACTCTCGGCCAAAATTTGATTTCCTATCTTTTTTTTACAAAAAAGGTTAAACATCAATTTGTTTATTTTCAAAGATCATACCTCATCTAAATCCCATAAACCAAAACATAAAGTTAGCTCAAATGAATTCAAGAATTTGAAATTTTAAACGTTTCCCAAATTCACAGCCCAAAAAACAACAAACCTGTTTTGTATCTGGACTTTGTGAAATAATCATCTCAAAAATGTTATAAGCAGTATTATTCAAATTGCGGTCCAAAACCTTCCAACTTTTGCGCAAAATATCTTTTTCCTCGTCGCTGAACCGATTCAAAGCCTCCATTATTCTTGGTTTCTGTTCTGATTAAAAATGAGATGAAAAAATAAAGGAGAGCAAGAGCAAGAGCAATTTCCGCGAGCGAGAAAAAACATATTTTTCGATCTGGGCGGAGCTTGGTAAAACAGGGCGGAGTAAAGACTAAAAATATTTTCAACATATTTTATAGAGATATTGGGAGAAAGAAGAGCAAAACTCTGAAAAAAGACAAGTTTTTTGGTTGGTTGATTGAAAAGAACTGCTCTTTTATTTGTGAAAAGGAACTTTTTCGGGAGTCAGCGAAAAATATTGAGTTTGAGTTTTGATATAGAAAATATACGAAAAAAATGCCAAAAAATGATTAATTATGGGTTAGGTTGAAAAATTGTTTGTGTTTAGTGAATAACCAAAAATCCTCTTTTTATCCGAAAACCGGATCTTCGAAAACAAAAACAAAAAATTCAATCAGCGAGAAAATTTGAAGTTCAGGAGAACTCTGCTAAATAAATTGAAAAGTGTGGGTTTTATGAGATGGGCCTGACAACAAACAAATATTTTTCTCTCATCACGAAAAGCTGAAACTTTTTCAAAGGGTCATAGGGAAAAAATGATAAAAAAACCAAATTTGTGATTTTTGGAGGCTCTCAAGGCTCACTGTCTTGAAAAGTGAACTTTCTAGTTGTGGCTACTTGACAAGAGGGGTTTTAAGGCTCAGACCCTTGGCATAGAATTTCCCAAGGCGCAGCTCCTTGTGAAAATGAATCTAGATGCAGGCCCTAGCCAATTAGATTTTTCAAGCTTCGAAAATTTTCGGAAATCCTTCACATGATTTTTTTGATTTTTTTTTCTGTTTTTTTCAGCTTCCGTGTGATTTTTAAAAAACGAGCAAACTTATCAGGAAATCTATCTTCCGTTTCAATTTTTCTTCTTTTCTTGTCTCGAAAAAAAAAGAAAAATGGAACTTTTTTGGAGGCAGGGACCTTTGGGATTTTGCGCACTAACTTTTATGAAATTGCCATATATATTTACGACATTTTTACAATGAGCAAACTACATGCTCTTCTGAAAATCGAGAAAAATTGCTCTGGTCAAACAACTAATTGGGTTGGAATTTAATTGAGCGCGGAATAAATAGAGTTTGTTAGTTTCCTGGTTTCCAGGAAAGAGATTTTTGAGTTTGAGAGAGAACAAAAAGTGCAAAAATCCCAGGAGGGAGATATGTTTGAGGAATTGACAAGTTCCTGGTAAAAACAGGAATGTACCTTTTTGAAAAAATGAATTTGGAGATTTTTCACGTATAGCTCGGAAAATGTAGAGTTTAGATCTCTGAACTTTTAGAAATTCAGAAATGTCAAAATTTATGAAAATTGGTCTCATCTGTCACGTGGATTTCCATGAAAAGGCAATTCGAATGTTGATTTTTTAGAGAAAACATTTGGTATATTTGTATATGTGTGTTAATATCCAAAAAAAACTTTTAGAAAAATTTCAATGAAAAATTAAATTTCACGTAATAATTGGATATGTGATCTTCAATGACGTGGCTTTTTGAAAATTAAATTTTTTGAAATCGGAAAAATGCCACTGAAGAATCCAAAAATCTCAAATTGTTACTTTTATGGGAAATTTCCTAGGTTTTCTGAAAATTCAAATTTTCAGATACACACTTCAATTTATTTTTTTTTTCGTTTTAAATCATTCCAGTTTCAATTAAAACACGGATTATTTATGCTTCTTCTTCTTCTTCTTTTTTTCCCCAGTTACTAATTAGGAATTGCAGAAAAAGCAGAGAAATTCAATTTTATTCTTTCTTCTTTCAAGGGTACTTTACATTATTCCTGGAAAATCAAAAAAAAAACGGGAAACCGGGGGATGAAAAACTGTGGGTTGAGGAGAAAAATGGGGGAATATTTACAACAACATTTTCAAAATCTAGCGAATTATTTTTTTCAATTTTTTTTACAAAAACACATTTTTGTTTGGTTTGGTATGTACAAAAAAAGGGAGATTAGGTACAAGAAAAACATGAAGCAAAATTAAAAAATTAATATTTTCAAAAGGCACTATTTAATACATTTCGCGAAGTGATTTTCGAGTTTGAGCTCTTCTTTGAATCCAGTCAAATGACGGTTTTGGAATGTTTTTTTGTTCGGACGGTTCTGAAAAATTATTTGGAGTTAGGATAAGTAAAAATGATAAAACAGGCTTACTGTATTGAGGTGCACGGCATGGTAAAGGAGCTTTGTAGCTGATGCGTTTTTTGGTGTATTTCTGGAAAATGTTTAATTGTGGAATGTCTAGGATTAAAACAGATAATTTATGGGCCTATGCAGAATAATATTTTGTAATAAAAAAACATAAAAAAAACATTTTTTTCCTATGCAGAAAAACGTCGAAAAAACAAAATATACAGTTTATTATTTTGAGTAGAGACAACGTGAAATTGAGAGAGTGCAGAAAAAAAACCCATTTTATGTCTGCGCTCTCTCAATTTCACGTTGTCTTTATTTTGTTTTTTCGACGTTTTTCTGCATAGGAAAAAAATGTTTTTTTATGTTTTTTTATTACAAAATATTATTCTGCATAGGCCCATTAGAAATTTTCTTGATAAAAAATCAGGTGTCAAAAATATTCCAAACATTAAAATGTTTTTAAAAACTCACCGAGAACTGTCTACCCTCACATTGTTGTTGTGGTGTTTTTTGTGCTCTTTTTGGTCGCATCATTTGACTCGCTTTTCTCGAATATTGAACCTCCGATCTTCTAACAATCAAACTTTTCCCCTTATTTTCAATCATTCTTTGTTTTTTCAAATTTTGTTGAATCTTTCGTCGTGGTGTCCAGAATGTTGTGTTTTCTTGATTTTGATAATTATAAATCACACTTGGCAAATTTTTATTGATCTTCTTGCTGATCTCTCTTTTTGGATAATAAGATCTCAAATTCGTCTTGAAAATAACATCTCGAACATAATCTCTGACTTGGAAAGTTGGAGCTTTGCGTGGCAAACTTCGAAGATTGTATCGAGGAGCCAATTCACCGCGGAATTTGCTGAATTTTGGTTGACTCTGACTTTGTTGAGTGCGGAATTTCGAGAAATATGATTTTGGAAGTTGTCTTGGTTTTCTCATTGGAACTGACAAATTCCGTGGTTTGCTAGGCATGCAAACCGACAAAGGCGGAATTGGTCCATCCAAAACAACTCGCAATTTTTCCGATGATCTCAAAGGACTCATATTCGAAAAATTGTTGTTATTGAAAGTGAAAAGAAATGGTGGAAGAGGATTGATTTCTTTATGTGGTGGTGCATTTAAAGTAGTTTCATAATAATCCGATTTTTGATTCGTCAAAAATAGAATAGCCGCTGTATATGTGATTGAGAGTAATGGAACGAGAAGATAAATATGATTTCTTCTCTCTGAATCAGTTTCTTTCAAACGGATTTCAATGATTTGAAGTTCTTCGTCTTCTTCATCTTGAGTTTCTTCGATTTCGAGATCTGAATGATCTGTGGAAATGTAATCTGAATCAAGTGGAAGATCTTCTTGTTGTTCTTCGTCTTCGTTTTCTTCTTCATCATCAGTTGGTGGCTCCTGAAAAGAATCAAAACTTTTTTCAATTCTTGAAACCTATAATTCGGGGATCATGCTAGAAAAATTAAAATTGAAATTAATTCTTTTATTGAACTTTTTTTGATGTCTTGAATTCTCATGCTGTCTTTCTTCAAAATTAAAATTAAATTTTGAAATTTAGGTCACGCTAGAATATGAATTTTTCATATATTCCCATTTTTGAAAAATTCCGCATAATTGAATTTTCTGGAAATTTTGAAAAGACAAAAACTTTATATTTTTGAATTAAAATAAATTCAGTGAAACAAAGGTCCAGCTTGAAAATAGTTTCCTCCAAACCGGTTTCACCGCTCATCCAAAAAGCTTTTAAGCATTGTCTGTTCAAATCAATTTTCAAAATACATATGATTTTTTGTAATGTTCAAGGCCATTTAAACTAACCTCAATTATGGGTTCAACTTGATTCTCTTCTACTTCTTCCTCTTCATTTTCGGAAATTTCAGAATCATCACTATCTGACAAAACATCTAATTCAAGATCAGAATCTGAATCAGAATCCGATTCCGAATCAGTGCTCATCAAATCATCGTGCTCAACAATATCATTATTCTCCTCTTCAACAATCGACCAAGAATCGGACGAAGATGTTTCGCTGTCCCGTCGAAAACGACTCATTACCCCGCTGAAAATTAATTTTCAGATTGATAAATATTTGGGCAGACTGAAAATAAATGAGAAAACTGGTTTGGTTTGATGCCGCGCGCACAAAAAGAAAAATGAATGAAAATGTAAAAATGGCAGAAAAAAAAGAAAAAAGAGAAAGGGTCACGAGGTGGCGGTACAATAATTCTCATATGACTTTTTTTCGTAGTAGTGGTAGTAGGAAAAAGTTTGACCTTTTGTATGTGAAGCTTGTTTGGGGGAGGGAGATGGGGGTACTGTAGATTTTCGTCGCTGAAGTTCAAAAGGTACTGAATTGGAGAGGTGCTTTTTATTCGAAAAATGTGAGCTAGAGACAGGCTTGATTAGTGTGGTCGAAGATTTCAGAATTTTGGATCATTTTTTAAATATTAAACTTATTTTTGAAATATTCAGAAAATTCAGATAACCAATTTTCCACCTTTTTTAAATATAAATTGGACCATCGAATTTAAAAATAAAAACAAAAAATATTCCGAAATTTGTTTGGTGCAAAAACATGTGACTATTTCCCAGCGAATCAATAAATTCTCGCGCCCGAAAAAATCCCATGAAAATTTATTTGGAAACAAAACAAAGAAAATAAATTTGAGTGTGTCTGTGTATTTGCATTTTCTCATATGAGATGAGAAGAGCGAAAGATTTCACGAAAATCAAAAAATTATGAATTTTCAAAATAAAATGTGTAATAATAATAATGATGGAACTATTGTTCTTTCATCAAATGGCTAGCTGAAAAAGAAAAAAGAAGAGAAAAAACTAGAACTAGAATTCAGTAACCAACCACAAAAAAATTAAAATCAAAGTCAAAATCAAGTGAAAGTTTTTAGTTTATAGAGAAAAGGGAGGGGTCATGTGATGGAATTCAGCTGGTTACTTTTTAATTTTTTTGCCTTTTGGTTGGAAAAAATAAACAGCAAAAGTGTGATGATTTTTGGTACGAAAAAATATTGATAAGAAAAAAAAACAACACAAATGTTGGTTTGGTTTGAGACGAGGCAAAAAGTTTTGCCAGCCAAGCTAGAAAATTTTTTGTTTACTTTTGCACATGGTTAAGCCCACTTGAACTATTTCTAATGAAACAAACTTGGAGAATTTTTTTTGAGAAAAGGGGGCTGGAAATACACGTAGCTTTTTTTTCAAAAATTGAAACCCTAGAAATAAAAGCTTTTAAAATTGCTCTCAAGGGAGCTTGAACTTCCAAAATAGCTAGAAAAGGAATTGGAAACAGTTGATCTAGTTTCGCCCAGAAATACACGTGGAGTTTTCGAGCCGTTTTCTGAACTATGCTTGAATTTTATAACTGAAAACTTAGTTGAATTTTAATGTGCTGAAAAATTGAATTTTTGGACTCACAGAACAAATGCAGAATTTTTTTTTGTTCAGACAGAATTTTCCTTACTGTAAAATTTAGCTTTGCAACAATTTAAAAATTTCTTGTGACAGAGAAACTTTTCGTGTGCCCCTCTTCACCAAAAAAATCAATATTACACCACCCCAAAACCCTGACCAAAGAAGCCCCAAACACAAAAATCACATGTTTCATACTTCAAAAAAAAAGAAAAGAGTTGCGCACTTTTTTCCTTCTCTCTTGCAGACAAAGCAACGCAACCGGTTGAGAAAAAAAAACGAGGGAAAAAATGAGAGAGGAGAGTTTGGCAATGTCAACACGTGAGGGGAAGAAAAAGGGAAAAATAGTTGTCATGTGACACAGCTGATTGTTGAAGCAAAGAGAAGGAGAAGCGGGAAATGAAGGAATTTGTGATCAAAAATCTATTGAAACATTTTCATTTCTATTGATAAAAGTGCATGGATACCAAAAATTAATTTCTTTTTTTTGGTTCACCAGCTGTCAGACTAACCATCTGCCTCCCTTTTATGCAAAAATAAAAATCTATATTAAAAAAAGCTCATGTTACACATTTTTAATTGAACGAGAAGAACGCAAATATTTTTAGACCACCCGGAAAAATAAGTAAACGCATAAAAGAAATAAAAATCAATGGGAGTTAGTTATTCGAAGTCAGCTGATGTCAAAGAAGAGATAGAGACGGAGAGCTGGTGTGTTGTGTGAAATGAAATGGATATTTTGTTGTATTTTGCGGGGGAATACGCGTATGTGGGTGATTTTTGAGGATTGAAAATAATTTTTAAAAATTGTTGTTTTTTAAAAGAGAAAAACACAATATATTGCCATACAGTATTTGATTCTGAATTTTCAAAGTTTTTTCTCTATGGGTGTACTCTTAAACTAATTTCATCGCTTAAATCTTGCTTTACAAAAAAAATTTGCGAAAAATTGCGAAAAAATAAATGCAAAAATAAATAAAAACACTTCAAAGTTACGGTATTTATAGGCACACACTTTTTGAATCCTGAGTCTCGCAACGAAACTGTTTGAAAACACCTTGCACCTTTAATACGGTCTCTCATTCTTTCTCAGAGAAAGCCGGCGACTAATCGGCGACCAACAAGTTCGTCGCAAGTTCGTCGGCGAAAATAGTGTGTGTTTCCCGGAGACGCAGACGAAAAAGGTTCAGGCGACTAATCGGCGACTAATCGGCGACTAACTTATGATTGGTCGCCGATTAGTCGCCTGAAACTTTTTCGTCTGCGTCTCCGGGAAACACACACTATTTTCGCCGACGAACTTGCGACGAACTTACGATTGGCAGACGATTAGTCGCCTGATCTCGATTCGTCGTAAGTTCGTCGCCGATTAGTCGCCGGCTTTCTCTGAGTTTCTTTTCATTTTTGCATCTCGTCGCCCGGAAATTTGCATATTTGCACTCTCATCAATGTTGCGAATCATTTTTCAAGCATCACAAAATCAAATATTTGCCTTTTATCAAAACCCTTGTTATTCAAAAAGCCATAAATAAGAGTATATTTATTTCGCAAGTATTTATGTTTTTTTTGTCTGTTTGTTTCTCTCTTTTGCTCCTCTCCCACTTCCAAATCTTCATTTTTTTGCATGTGTATGTCTCTAGTTGTCTATTTCTAACCCTGTTTTTCCTTCAAAACATCGTATATACTTTTTTCTCGTGATTTTGTTCAAAATAAAACAAAATTGTTTTTCTTACAGAAAATGGGTGATCATGAAGAGCTTGCGACCTATGTTGAACCAGTTGATCTTCGTCCACACGCAGTTCGTGTTGTAGAAGTTGTCGAGGACACCGATCATAGTTTTGAGTTGAATACCGCTGCGTTGGAACAAATTTTATTGAATCCAAAAGTGGCCGATAAAAAAGTTGCGGTTGTTGGAGTTGCTGGAGCTTATAGAAAAGGAAAAAGTTTCCTGTTGAACTTCTTTTTGAGATATTTGACATGGCGGTCGAAAGCCGATAAAGTGATGGGAGAAATCGAATTAGATGATCGAGGATGGATGTCACCAGATTCACCACTTCAAGGTTTCTCATGGCGTGGAGGATCGGAAAGAGATACAAATGGAATTCTTATTTGGAATGAACCATTTTTGATGAAAGATAAAAATGGAGAAGAAATCGCTGTTCTTTTGATGGATACTCAAGGAGCATTTGATTCTCAATCAACTGTTAAAGATTGTGCAACTATTTTTGCACTTTCCACAATGATTTCAAGTGTACAAATTTATAATTTGTCTCAAAATATTCAAGAAGATGATTTGCAACATTTGCAACTTTTCACTGAATATGGAAGACTTGCACTTGAAGATTCATCTGCTAAACCATTCCAATCATTGCTTTTCTTAGTCAGAGATTGGAGTTTCCCATATGAAGCTGAATATGGATTCCAAGGTGGACAAAGAATTTTGGATAAACGATTGGAAGTTTCGGAAAAACAACATGTTGAATTACAACAATTGAGAACACATATTCGAAATTGTTTTGAGAAACTTAATTGTTTTTTGATGCCACATCCTGGATTGAGAGTTGCTACTAATCCAAATTTCGATGGAAAATTGAATGGTAAACCTTTTTTTGTTTTCTAAACTCGAAATCCCCATTTTTTCCAGAAATCGATAGCGAATTCCAACAACTTCTTGGAGTTATGATTCCACGTCTTCTCGATTCGCATAGCTTGGTTCACAAAGAAGTGAATGGTCAAAAAATCACTTGCCGTGAACTTCTCGAATATTTCAAAGCCTACATGACAATTTTCAAAGGACAAAACCTCCCCGAACCAAAATCAATGTTGCTCGCAACTGCTGAAGCTAATAATTTAGCTGCTGTCGCATCATCTCGTGCTGTTTATCAAAAAGCGATGGAAGAAGTTTGTGGTGGAGAAACACCATATATGCCAACATCGGATTTGTTGTTGGAACATGAAAGATGCAAAAATGAGGCGATTCGAGAGTTTAGAAATTCGAGAAAAATGGGAGGAGTTGAATATAGTTTGCAGTTTTTGGAACGATTGGAAAGTGATTTGCAAGTGAGTTATTTGGCAGAGCCAAGAAATTGTGAAATGTGTTTTGAGAAATTAAATAATCGATTCGAATCACCTCGTAAAAAGTTCACGTGTCAAATTTCATAATTTAATTTTGATATTTTTTAAGCATTATCAATTTTTATGTATCACCTGATTGTAAAAGAGACTACAATTTCATTTTTGAAAAAACCCAAGACTTAAAATTTAATATTTCAAGGCTCTATTTGTCAAATGGTGGATCTAATAACGATTGGGAATTTAGTGAATCTGAAAAATACATCAGAAATTTTTTAATACGAAGAAATAATTCTTGAAATGAATCAGAACAACAATAAAATAACATATTTATTCCAGGATTCCTACGAATCATACCTGAAAGTTAACAATGGCAAAAATTTGTTCAAATCAATGAGAACTCCAGCAGTGCTTGTTTCACTTATGATTATCGATTATATTTTCCAAGAATTTTTCCAACTCATTGGATTGGATGGACTTGCTGGTAAGTTCTCTTTTTGAAAATATTGATTGGGCTATCAGTCATAGATATTTCGAAAAATGCTCAAATTTAACTTTGAAACGAATGACACTCCCAATTTTTCTCATGTAATAACCTTTTTCAGGTCTCTTCTCATCAATTCTCGTAATTGTGATCGGTGCTCTCAGCGTTTGGGCTTATTCAAGATATTCTGGACATTTAAGAGAAGCTGGAACATGGGTCGATGAAGCTGTTACTTATGTTTGGACCAATTTTATCTCACCAAATGCCGGACATTTGGGACCACTTGGAAGTGCTATTCAAATCAGCGACACTGTTTCAGGAAATTCGACCGTGACAAAGAAAAATAAATGAATCAATGATTTATCCACCCCCGTTTTAAAACTCACCGGTTTTCGTTTTTCGCATATTTTTTGCCCCTATGCCCCTTCGTTTCCGAAAGTGTTTCTTGTAAAATACAGAGTTCTTTTCAATGCCTCTTTTTTTCCTAGTTTATTGTAGTCCTAATCTTTTATTACTCACTTTTTCGCAATTATTTTTTTCGTTTTGTTTACGGATAAATGTTTCGATTATTGAGAAATACCATTTTTGCTAATTTTTATTTTTTTTTAGTTTATCAAAGTTTTTCATTTTTTTTTTAGAATTTACAATTAAAAAAACATACTATCTTCAAAAGTTATTTTTTTCTGAAAAACATCAAAAAATTGTCAACCGATTCTAGTTTATCGAGAAGTTCGGAAAATTCTAACAAGTTCAAAATGAAAAACATAACAACAAATTTAACAATTTTGAATTTAAATGGCCCGGCAACGGAGATTATGAGTACTTTTAAAAATGTTCAAATGTTGATGAATGAATCTCAAAATGCATTTACTTCACAGAAAATTGAAGTTGAACGTAAATTTCAGAAAAATAAAAAAACTGAAAAAAATAAAAGATATATGTGGCCGAACTATTTTGGTGGCTGCTAAGTGTCGGGAATTCGGCCAAAGCAACAAACGCGCTCCAACAATGCAACATTAGAGCGAGTTTGTTGCTTTGGCCGAATTCCCGACACTTAGCGGCCTCCAAAATAGTTCGGCCACATATATCTTTTATTTTTTTCAGTTTTTTTATTTTTCTGAAATTTACGTTCAACTTCAATTTTCTGTGAAGTAAATGCATTTTGAGATTTATTCATCAACATTTGAACATTTTTAAAAGTACTCATAATCTCCGTTGCCGGGCCATTTAAGTAAAATCTTCTCATTTAACTCGACACATATTGAAGTGCTTTTCTCAATAATCGATTTTTTTACATGAGCCAAATTAATAAATTAGAACGATTTTTATGCTGTAGCAATTTGAAACTCACAATCAAGAAAATCGGTTTTCTAAAATATGTCTCATTTTCATTCCCAACTGGATGATATAGTGAAACAAATAAATTCGCTAGATTCCACACATTGTTAATTGTGTTAATTCCCCATGTTAATTTTGAATAAATCTGAAATTGAAGAACCGTTTGGTATTTACAGAAATTTCTTCTAAAAAAATAATCCGCTGAAATTACAGAAAGTTTCTGGTTTTTAGCACGAAACTTCGAAAATAAAAAAGATCTCCCACTGCAAGAGTAATGTTGCTCTAAAGAATTTCAGATTCTCTTAAACTACTAATTGTAAGAATACTGTAGTTTGAAGCGAGATATATTGAGTTCACGATTATTTTTCAAATTTTGAAATTTAGCTTTTTTTTAAAGTATTTGTTGTCAAACTCCATTAACCTAAATTTGGTATAAAAATCACACAATTTTGATCGGAAAACTAATGTGTATTTATGAATTTTTATTTTTATATTTATTTTCAAACAAAATCCTCGTCGCGTCTCGTTTTTCCTCATTTTATTTCATTTCGCAACAAAACAAACAATGTACATATGTACGTACAAAAATTCCCATTTTTCTGTCGGTCATGCTAAACTTTTTTCTTTCTTTTCCACCTCTCTTCCTCTTTTTATTTTTCCTTAAAATGTCCCTAATTTTCTTTCTCTGCGTCTCTTCGCAATACTTTTTTTTACAAAAAAAAAAACAAAAACCAAAAAAATAAGAACCGTTCTATTTGTTTTGTGAGATAGATATTTTTCAACACAACAATGAATGTGAATTTGTTTTTTTTTTCGTTCGTTCATCCAAAAATTGTTGAAAAATTATCGATTGATTTCTTTCCGGGGGACAGATCTAAAGACTTTCGATTTCTCGCCCCAAGAAAATTTGACCTCCAATTATAAATATGTTTTTATAAATGATTGAATGAATATTTTTGCATTTAACACGAGAAGAAGACATCCTTTTTTCGGGAATAAGTGGGTAAAACTGGTTTTTGCTGTTTATTGATTTTGAGATTTGGCGCTAAGGTTTTTCGAAGTTTACTTGGTTAATGTTTTGATTTTCTGGATTTGTTCCATATTTTTTTTTCAATTTTTTTGATTTTCAGAATTATATTTAGAATAAAATTTGGGATAATGTGCTTGGAATTTTAATTTTTTTAAAATTCGGGATAGATTCTTGAGCGATTGAATAGTTTTGAAATTTAATTTGAAAATATTTTTGAAGTTCATCCCAGGAATTTTCGGATCTGATCCGAGTTTTAAATCATCTATTTTTCTTTTCTGGTTTCTCTTACTCTCACAATCACTTCGAATAATTTTATGCCAAATTTTTCAGGGCAAATGAATGAACCACCGTCTGAACCAGAAGACACTGATATATCAAAACTTCAAGATCAACTGAAAATTGAAAAAATTTCGAAGAAAGCTGAGATTGAAAAAATTCAAAATGAACTCGAAGCTGAACTTCGTGAAACGGAACAAAAATGGATGGAAAAAGTTAGAAAAGTTGCTGAGGAACGAGATATTGTGATTAGGAAAATGGATGAATTTGAGGAGAAAATAGAGAATATGAAAAGACAAGTTCATCGAAGTGAAACATATAAACTTGAATTGGATGAGGCAAATAAGCGGCTGAAAATGCAATATGAAACACTTTATAATGATTATCAAGAAACAATGCAAGAAAGAAGTGTAGTTCTCGAGGAAAATTCGAGACTAATTGAAGAAAAAGAGAGACTTTATAAACAATTGGAACATTTAAAACTTGGAGAAAATGAGGAACTTTTGGGACTTCGAAAAAAATTGGAACACACAAAAAAGTTGCTGCAAGTGAATATGGAGGAAACTGTTAGTGCGAATGCGAAAAAAGAAGCGGCATTGGCGAAATGTAGAGAAGTTGAGAATTTTGGAACAAAGTTATTGGAAGAACGAGATGAAGCATTGAGAAAAGCACAACAATATTGTGGAGATTCTGTTGTTGATATTTGGAATACACATAAAGTTCAAGTTGATTTGGTTAGTTATCGGGCTAAAATTTTCGGACAAAAACAACATTTTTCTCATAATTTTAATTTTTTTTCGAGAGAAACTTCCCTGAGCCGTTGAACTATATATATATATATGTATATTCAAAACATTCCCTAATTTTTAAAGTTTTCAAAACTGATAACGCTGAAAAAGAGCACTTAACTCTACAGTAACCCAGAACCTATTTTTAAAAAATTGAAGATCAGAAAGTCCCCAACATCTACAGTACCCCTAGACTTATTTTTGTTGGTATTTATCATAGAATAAGATCAACAAATTGAGCCACATAATTTGTATTTATATTATGTTTGAAACGTACAATTTTCAGCCTTTCCCCAAACCAAATCTTGGAATTGTTCTTGGCGGTGGTCGAACAGATGATTCAACAACAGTTCATGGTCCAATTTATGTCAAATATATTGGACATGGTTCACCATTTGAAAATGTTCTCAAAAAACTTGATCATATTGTAATGGTAAATGATATATCAGTTATTGAAATGGATGAAAGAAGTGTTATTAGTATGTTATCAAATTGTCATCATATTCATTTAGTTATTCGAAGAAGAGCTAATTGTAATCGAATTGTTGATATAACACTTCCTTTAAGTTATGATGTTGGTTTGGAATTGGCTAATGGTGTTTTTATAAATTCTGTTGAACCAAATGGAACTGCTTCAAGGAGTGGATTAGTACCCGGACAACGGGTTGTTCACGTTATGCATACACCAGTTTATGATGCTAAACATGCTGAACTTTTGATAAAGAGTAAGATTTTTCAATTTCCGATATTCAAATGTAAAATTAACGATTTCAGATGCCCGAGAACCACTTGTAATTGGATTATTACAACCAGTCAAGCGTGGTGATCAATCAAACAAAGATAAACCGCGACCTAAAATGTTCTCTAGGTGGTTCGGAAAATCAAACGGAGAAAAGGAGCGAAATGTGGTAGCCAAAGCTAATATCGATAATGATGCCTCTTTGCTGCTTAGACAAGGTTCATTAAGAGTTCCACAAACTTCAAGTGCAACTCTTTCACCATTAATTAGATATGGCTCGTTGAGAGCGCCAGCTTATGATCCGAGCAAATCGATTTATGCAAAATCGGAGATTTGTTCAACGACTGGGGGAGGAGCCATTTTTGAAAATAATGTGCCGGCGTATATGCCAAAAAATACGATGATGTTTAGCACACCGACATCCCCTGTTGCGTAAGTTTTTTTCACAGTTTTGGGATCGAGAGAAGGCAGAGAACTGAAACTTTTTTGAAGAAAAATTTATCGTTGAAAAAATTTAGACTGTAAATGGAAACTTTGATCGTTCTTTCTGCCACATGCCCTGTTTTTCATGCGCAAAAATTGTAGATCTGGAGTAGAAAAACTCAATTATTTCCAGCCGCTTCATCCGTCAAAACACAGACACCCGAAGTTATGCTTCAAGCTCTCCGGCTTCTGAAATCACAGCCACTACACGACCATTCTCAATGCATTTCACACCAACATCTTCAACAATAATGGAGACAAAGGTGCCAAATGAGAGAACATCAGTGTATAGTCCGAAAAATTGTGATTATTCAATGTCTTCAATAATGTCATCAAATAATTCGATACGATTACCATCCACAAGTTTTTCATACACTAATAATTGTGAGTTTTGAAACTCCCAGCATTGGGAATACAAATTAGAAAAATTCAATATTTTCAGCCATAAATTCGCTGCCTGGAATTGCTCGTCATTGCGTGAGCAAAGATGGAAGCGAATTTTCAATTTCTAGTGCTATCGAAAGATCTAAAAGATTGCGAACAACTAATGATGTTCTTCGATCTTCTCAAGCTAGATTAATCGAAGTTCCAAGAGGCGATGTTCGATTATGTGGTGGGAATGCGATCGGAATTCTTGCGGAAAAATCGATAGGTGGAGATTTATTAGAAGGTGATTTGATCCTAGAGATTGATGGAAATTGTGTGAGAAATACAACACTGGAATGTGCTGTGAATACTTTATGGGCTGATGATGATGAATTAACAAGAGTTTTGATACAAGATGGAGGAGATCGATTGAACCGTCTTAGACTAGGAGCTGATGGCGATAGTTTTTTCCTCCGAGTTAATATTGATCGAAGTGTTGAGCATAAAGATGAACTCGAATTAAAAGCTGGTGATGTTGTGTTTGTCGATAAAACTTTATATCTTGGAAAGAAAGGAAGATGGAGAGCATGGAAAGTTGATAAAGAAGGAAGACAGCGGGAACATGGAGCTATTCCATCTTCAACAACAATTGCTCAGAGTATACGATCAAATCGGTGTTCGAACCCTTTTCCGAAAAAAGCTTATGAATGGGTTGAAAAATTGGATACTAAAATAAGAAGACCAGTTCTTGTATTTGGTGCATTGGTTGATCCATTCATCCAACTTTTAGTTGATGAATCAGAAAAGTTCTCACAAATTCCGAGAGAATCACTGAATGCAACTTTTGAAGAGGTTTCCGATCTTTTACGTGATTTAGTATTAATTGATTCACAACAAAACGAGGAAGTTTACGATTTATATCATGTTATATCAACAGCTCGTGTTATTGATTATACCAATCAGGGTTTACACTGTGTTCTGCAAGTTGATCAAGCTGCGGTTGACCGATTGAAAAAATGTCGAATATTTCCGATTATTGTGAAATTGAGATTCAAAAGTGTGAAACAATTGAAAGATATTAATGAACATATTTGTGGAGAAAAATTGAGTTCGAAAGAAGCGAAACAAATTATTGAGAAGGATTTGAAAGATTTGGATGGAGCTGTTACTTTAGTTGTGCCAAACCATAATAATGTTTCGTTTATGTTGACACACGCTGTTTTACAGGTAGGAGTTTTGAATTTGAGCCAAGAAATCGAGCCAATTTCAAGACGTGGTCTGATAAACATGATATGTTGGAAAAATTCCAAAATTTTTTTTGCAGCTCAAAAAAATCGTAGAAGAAGAGCAAAGAAAAACTGTTTGGGTTCAAAGGAAAATCGAAGGAGAGTCATAATTTTTTTCAAAAAATAATTTATTTATTGTTTCCCAAAGAATTTTAATTTAATAAATCCGGTATTTTTGCGTGACATTTTTTTTCGTGAAACGTGGTTATTTTTTTCAAAAAAAAAACAAAACAAATCCAGAAAAATCAGTCATTTTTTGAACATAGAAAATTGAGAAACAAGCATGTTTTCAATATTTCCAAATATTCTTCGAAAAGAGTTTTTGTATTTTCGATCAAATCATCCATTTTCGATTATGGCTTATTCTTTGCTTTTTATCGCTGTTTATTCGATTCATTTGTGGAATTACGTAAGGAATTTCAGATTTTGGGGAGGAAACAGAAAATGAAGAAATTTACAGACAAATAATGCATCGACGGATCACGAATTACAGTACTTTGATAACCATCGTTTTGTGACGAACAATTTTGTCAAATTTGCGGTAAGTAGATGAGACTCTCGAATTTTCGTGATGGAAAGATTTTCAAAATCTCTCAAACGCCCCATTTTTTGTAATAAATAAATTTTGGGCATCTATAGATCGAAAATCTCAAGCTCCAATCAAAAATGTTTCAGATCTGCATCCCTAAAACCGTTGTGGATTATCGATTTTCTCGTGTGAATGACGCAATCAAACAAATGCGAGTTCGTTATCGACATGTTCATTTTGTGACCGATTGCCAAAAAGGCAAAAATATGTTGAAAGACAAAACAGTTGACTTATTCGTCGAATTCACAAAATTAATTGAAACAGGCAAAGATATCAAATATTCGATCAATTCTCGCGAAGGTATTCTCAAATCCGATTTCTGCACAAATTGTGATAGTTTACGAAAAGAAGTTTGGGGAATGGCAATCGAAGTTCAAATGATTGTCAATAATTTCATTGCGATTATTGTAACTCGAAAAACTGATGCGGTTTTGTATATGAGTCATTTTGAGGATTTCAACTTCGATGCAACATTTTTGAAAACTCAAAATGATTTGTTTTATACTTGGTTGATGTTGTTACCATGGTGTGCTAGATGTATCAATCTTTGGTATGATGACAGAAAAAGCGGGTTATATGTAAGTTCTTCTAAAAGTTAGCGTAAATTCGCAATCGTTTTACTTTTCTAGCGCAATCTTCTGAATTTGAAAGTCAACCGAATTGAATACATTCTATCAAAATTCGTTGTTTGGTACCTGATTATGATAATTCCAACAATTCTCCTCTGGACAATCTCATACATTTTGGTTCCTTCCTCATTTGTCATCCAATCTTTTCAATTCGCCTTCGTTTATATCGGATGCATTGTGATGTTTTGTATGTTTCTTGGAACATTTTTCGATAGAAGTGTGTTTTTTGCCAAGCTCGTTGGATTCTTTCTAATGTGTGCTGGACAATTTGGAATGGGCAATGTTTATTATGGCGCCATATTTTTTCAAACTGCTGTTCGATTTGTTGGACCAACTTATAAAGCAAAACATTCAAACACGATTGAAGTGGATATTGGAGAAGCTGTATCAATTGCTTGTATACTTCTCAACTTTTTGATCATGCTTGGCTTAACAATTTATCTTGATTATTATAATAATTGGCATCTGCCAGGCGGATTACCATTTTATTATCCAATTTCTAAAAAATTCTGGTCAACAAAACTTCGTCCACCTCATAATGATCCATTTTTAGAGGTTCAACAAGTTCATGATAAATTGAAGACATTGGAAGTCACTTCTCCACCTTTAATTACGATCACTGGAATTTGCAAGCGAGTACAAAAATGTTGGAAAGTCAATGCGGTGAATTTTGTGATCAAATTTGGTGAAGTTACTACACTCTATGGACATATTGGATGTGGATCAAAAGAGATTCTCGAAATGTTACACGGCGAAACACATCCTGAATTTGGGTATATTTCGGAAGAAGCGGAAAGGGTAAGAAGGTAGAAACCACTTAACATTTCATAATATGAAATTTTCAGAAACTTCTAACTGCGAAAGCCACTTGTGTCCCGAATATCAACTATATGACAGTCAAAACCTATCTAAAATTCATTGGAAGTATTCGAGGAGGAGCGTTGAAAAAAGAGGAACTTCATCAGATGATGGAAGATTTGGACTTATTGAAAGTTGAAAATCGTGATCTCGATCTTCTTACGTGTACACAAAAAGAGCGATTGAGAATTGCAGCAACATTTAGTGGACAATCCGATCTTGTTTTGATTAATCGACCAACTCGAGATACATTCAATGATTCGAAAGATATGATTATCAGATTCATTGAGAGTCAAAAAACACATCGAGCAATTGTGATTGCATCGTATGATTCGGAAGAAGCTGAACAATTATCGAATGAGTTGGTCATGATGAGTGAAGGTTATGTGGTTTTGACAGGGAATATTCATTTGTTCACAAAATCGTGAGTTCTTTGTAAATTTGATTCTAACAATAAACTTATTCAGGATAAGCAGTGTTTTTGAAATCCGCCTTTGGCCTTCAAAAATCTTCACCTCTGCTCAAATCACTGATTTAAAGAAAATAATAAGTTGTGATGATGAAAGACTTAAAAGAGATCTACAAGTTTTCGAAACTCCGAATGGTAAACTCCGCTGTACACTTCCAATTTTGTATCGAAAGAGTATTCCGCTTATTTTGAAACAAATCTCAATTGAGGGAGATAATCTAGATGTTCAACACTATGAATTATCGACACCCACATTGCATGACATTTATGTGAAGTAAGTTGCGAGCAAGTGATTCGAAACTAATTAACTCAAAAATATCAATTCAATATTTCAGCGCGTGTTTCGATCCCAAACAATATGCGCCACTTGCCACGTATGACAAATTGAAGAAATTCTATAAAGCCCAAACTCCAATTTCACCAACACTCAATTTTCTAAAAATTTTGATGAAAATCTTCATCGATTTTCGATTTCTCTACGAAGCGGCTATCGTATTGCTGTTCTTCGGATTATTGGTGACACTTGTGGTATTTGGACTAACTGAGGACCCAGACTCACGTGAGTTTTACGAAGGAAACACTATGAAAAACTGTCAAGAAAACTTTTCAAGAAAACTTCAAAACAAAAAATTTATAAAACAAATACCGTACTTTTTCGAAGACGCATGCAACTAATATGTGCATCGTTTCAAGACCCACTAGCAAATTTTGAATAATTTTTTTTTCTTTACAAAAATTTTTTTCTCGGCATGCCGCTGCAACGTTGCTTTTGGTGGTTGCAAGCCAATCAATTGATTAATTTCTAGGCACTGCAACAACATCTTATAATTCTCTGGATCAGCAGCAACATCTATTTTGCGATGGCCTCGATTGTAAAGATCCAAAATTATCAAACGTCGAATATCGTCATCATAAACGTCAAAGTGATCAAATAAATAAAAACACTGCTGGAGTTAATATAAAAGATCATAAGATCAATGCGTATTCATTCGGAGATGAGCAATTTATCATGTCAACACAGAATTATATTTTGGAAAGATTTATTCATATGACTACGGGTTATAGTAAGTTTTTTTGTAAAAGTTTCTCGAAAAATGGAAATTTTCAGCCCCAAGTATCGAATCTAGTTTGGAACATTATGAAATTTACGACATAAAAGACATTCAAGGATTTTCTCCACTTTTCCCTAATATTTCTGCTCAACATGCCGCTGTTATCATGGCTGATTCACATATTCTTCTGTATATTATGACACTGGCTCAAGTTTTTGTCTACATATTTTCGACATTATTGCCACTTCGATTAGTTCGATTAAGACTCTCATTGGATAATCAGATTTTCGTATGGCCAAGATGGCAATATTTTTTGCTAATTTTCCTCGCCAATCTGATTATCTTCATTTTGTTGAGCTTTGGAATTGTTGGAATATTGGCAGCTTGCGGATTTTTCCCGTACGATACTCTTATGAGTGTTTTGTGAGTTTTTTACATTCAGACATATTTTTGTTCAAATCAAAATTATATTTCCAGACTTGTTGAAGCAATGTGGATTTGTGTATTTATCACTACAATGCCTCTTGTTTATTTTCTGGTTTTCACAGTTTCAAGCGCAACAGCAATTGTTCCATCAGTCTTAGCGATTCCATTCATTTGTGTTTCGTTGCCGAATTTGATAATGTCATATTCATCCGAAAATTCAATTTCAATTGACACATTGCTTTCCATGATAACTTCGTTGTTGCTATTCAGTCCACCAACAACTCTTCAGTTTTTGGCCGCGTTTTTGAATGCGAAAAGAGTTGAGAAGGAATTTGACAACGGTGAGTTAGCATTAATACGGGCCCAGTGGGTTCATTTCCAAAAATCTCAACTTATGTGAATGTAACAACTTTTCAGTGTTTTTCTATCTAATCATCCTTTGCTGTGTTCATCTTTGGATTTTCCCAGTCTTCATTTATTCAATAATTCGACCGGATATCAAAGAATTAATGCAATGTTGGTTTGTGAACAAAGTTCGCGTAACTGCACCATTCGATCGTCGAGCAACACTTAAAACAACAAAACAAATTCAAAAATCGGATGAAAAACAAGGAAGCCAACAACCACAACAACATCAAAATGTGGGAGCTGAAGATGAACCTGTGCATGCAAATGATGTTGAGGGAGGAGCTAGAAAATTGGCTGGAAATGAGGCAGAAAAAGATGAGATGTATTTTAATTCGGAAATCACAAAATATGAAGAGGATTTGATAATTGAAATTGCGCAAATGAAAAATTGGACTGATCAACAATCGATTGAAGTTGGAGAAAATGCGACATTTGTTGTTGGAGATCAAGGAAAAATGATTAGCAAATTGTTGCACACCGTGTCAGAAATGAATGATGATGTGAGTTTTATTAAACGAGAAAATTTTTTTATCAGGTTTATTTGTATTTAGAATCAAATCACATTTCTCCCTCGCGAAATCCATCTTCCTCCATTATTTTCTCCTCGTCAACTTTTGCGCCTTTCTGCTTCTTGTCAAGGGACTACTGTAGATGAAGCGCATATCGATTATTTGTTGGATTTATTCTCAATTGAAAAAGATAAAAAAGTGTGTTATTTGGATGATTCGGATCGTAGAATTGTGTTATTATTGAGTAAGATTATCAAAAAACCAACGGTTATTATTATGGATCAGACGGATTTGTATTTACCCTACTCGAAATTGATGACTTTGTGGTAAGTTTGGCGTAGTAAATTTGAGTTTTACGATTCAAAATTTGATCTAGTAGGAAACCTTGAGTGAAAAAAAAAGTTTCAAAATTTTTAGTACCAAATAAAGTTTTTTAAAATTAAAAAAAAAATTTTGCAGGGCTCTTTGCAGCCGAATGCGTGATGATGGTTTGGCTGTAATGTTCAGTTCGCCAAATCATTTATGGGCTGAACATATGGCGACAAGTGTTGTCCACACTTCGAAATGCCAATTTTTGACTGTTTTACCACCACATGAAATGAAGAGAAAGTATGTTTAAAACCAATTAAAAAATAATAATTATTTTTTTACTTCAGAATTTCACACATGCTTTTGGAAGTTGAAGTTCGAGATGAGAAAAAGACTCAAATCATTGCATCGGCTATCAAATTTGCATTGAAAGATTCGAATTATTTTAGACCTCCGACAAAGCATAGATTTATTTTAGAACTTCCGAGTGATGATATTGATACTATTGAAAATGTAAGATTTTTAAAAATATTTGCCCTTTCAAATTATTCCTAACTTATTTTTAGGTGATTGGAGTTGTCAAAGTGCACACAAAAGCGATAAGTAGATATAACTTGAAAATGGCAACAATTGCAGATTATTTGAATTTAGCCAGAGTCTGAAAATGAATTTTAATTGGATTACTTTTGGTTTTTTGTCTAAAGCCTTCAAAGTTGGAAAATCAAATATGATTTCCACGAAATATGTTAAATATTTGTGATAATTTCGGCTAGAACGTGCAATTTTTATTATGTCATCAAATATAACGGTAAAACTTTTTATGAGTCCATAGTCGAAAAAACGATATAAAAATCGCTGTTTCAAAAATTGTTGATTAAAAATTTCACGAAGACAAAAATGAAATTTTTTCTCGTTCTGACAGCTTTTCTACTAATTTCATCAATTTCGGCTGACTCTTGCGAAAATTGTCTTGCATCAGGTAAACATTATTGTGCAGATGTGAAACTTTGTGCATTTTCACCGTGTTTGAATACGATTACGGTATGTTTCTTGAGTACTGAAAATTCTAAATTGTTTTATTCAAGTTTTTTTAGCACGCATTGAATTGTCCAAGTTTGCCCAACTCAACTTTTGCTTATGATGATAATGTGGCAAGAACTCAATGGTTGCCGTTGTTTGGAGCTGGAGCAACTAATGGACCAAATGCACAGAAATGTTTCGAGTGAGGAATTTTTTTTTAAAATCCACCTTCATCCTAACTTTTTTTAGCAACAATTGGCCAACAATGAAACTCTCAAAACGAATTCTGGTAAATTGTTCTGACCCAAGTCTTGTTTTACCTGAAACTCAATGTTCAATGATCACGGCAGTAGATCAAACAAAACAAATTCTTGTAATGTCATTCCGTGGAACCGTTGGCGGTATTCAATTAGGTGAAGAGTTCCTCAATTATTTCCAAGCCAAGAAAAAGTTCTTCGATTCTGGTGAAATTTTCGAATTTTTCTATGACGCATATTTGGCACTTTGGCAAGGTGGACTTGAACAAGAAATGCGCAATTTGAAATACAAATATCCAAATTATGAGGTTTGGGTGACTGGACATTCTTTGGGTGGTGCTTTGGCTTCAATTGGTGCAAGTTGGATTGTGAAAGCGGGATTATTCCAATCATCAAAAATTAAGTTATTAACTGTTGGACAACCAAGAACTGGAGATTATGATTATTCAATGTGGCATCAAAATACATTTGCTTATAGTTATCGAGTTGTTCATCATAGAGATTTGGTGCCACATGTTCCATTCCAATATGAAATCTCGGATAAAGATAAAATGTATCATCATAGAACTGAAATTTGGTGAGTTTGAAAATAGAAATTTTTCCTTGAAAATTACTAATTCCATGTAGATTACACTTGGAAAATATACGTTTCAAAAAATGATCAAAACAAAAAATGTTTTCGAAATTCGCTACATCAAACTCGCTTAATAACGCCATTAAAAAAAACAAAAAATATATTTCGCCAGGTACAACAACAATATGACAATCGGTTCAACATATCATGTTTGTGCTGAAGCTGATGGTTTTTATTGTAGTAATCAACAACCAGATTATAGTTGGAATGATCATATGCATTATTACAATACTGATTTGGGTTATTATGGTGGTTTGGGATGTCCGAAAAATTAGAATTTTTGCTGACAATAAAATAATTTTCATTTGAAAATTTCTAGTTTTTTTTTCGCACCAATATTCAACCAAGTTACTGTGTTTTTTGAATGATTGATGATTTCTCTCTTTCATTTTTATAATCAAAAGACGCGTTGACCTAATTTTCGAATTTCTTCGTTTTCATTCTTATTTTCACTTTTTTTGTTGGTTTTGATTTGATTATTATCATCATATTTTCTAGATTATGATGCTTTTCGTTTTGCCATTTTTGGTCACAATTTTCGGATTGGGTGAGTTTTTTTTTGCGATTTTTGATTGATCAAACTAAATATATATAAAAGTAATGAAAATGTGACATATTTTTGCGATAAGATAGAAAGAACATTTTGATGGCTCGTAAAAAATTGTCAGAAATGATATTCGAAAAAATGGAGCAAAGAATTACGGTGATGTTTGGTTTAGGAACATTTTCGAGAAACTTTTTCACGTGGTTTTGAAAATTATAAATAATCTTATTTTTGAAATTTCAAACTAAATGAGATAAATTTTCCTCTTAACTCTGTGATATTTTCTTTTAGCTTCATCAATCCCAACTCAAACCAAAGATAACTCCCCTGTTGTAATTCCCGCTTGTCCCGCTGGTTCTCGTCCACTTCTTCGTCCAGATGGTCAACCACGAAAATGTCTTCCCCATCAAAATTCATTGTGCATAAATGCTTTGCCAGATAAACCAAATGCGGATACAGTTTGCTGTTATCACAATCAAGTTGATTATTATTGTTGTTTGGATACAACTGAACAACAATGTCCAGATTATCATCAGGTTACTGTAGTTATTCACAATTCATTTCCACAAAATCCATTTGCATTGAAATCGTTCTTCTTCAAAGATGGAATTGATGATGAGGTAAGAAGATTGGGACAGTAGTTCATTCCGAAACCTTAAATTTTTTTGCAGATCATTGATGCTACTTTTGGCCGAGGTGAAAATGGAATTCAAAACGAGGGAGGACTTTTAGTTCGACATAATGAAATCACTAAACACTAAATTTTCAACTATCTAATAATTTTACATAATAAACATCCAATAATAAATTTTTTATTTACATTTTAGTAACAATTGAATGATTATTAGTTTGCATTTGAGAAACTGTTCCGCTAGTTCCAATTGGACCAGTTCCAATTAAAGCATAGTAGATACGTTTTATTGCATTTCTAAAATTCCACATGAATTCTTTCAAGTTAAACAAGTTTTACAAACCTGTACGAGCTCAAACAACTACATAAAATAACAAAATCAAAAGTTGGAAACCAAACCAAAGCTGCACTTGAAATAGTTCCAATTATATCAGTTGATTTTCCAGAAGACGAAGTAATAGAGAATAGAGTTACATGAAATCCGCAGCAGAAAAAGACGCAAGCAGTTTGTGTGACATGATAAATCAGAATTTGTTTTTGCAGTTTTCGAGTTTTGTCGCTTGCTGAGATTTTTCGCAGAGATAAACTGACATAAGCTCCGCAGAAAATTATTGCGGAAATCTGGAATAATGATCGGGTTTGAGAATGACTGTAGATGTTTGTTCACCTCAAATAGAATAACCAACATAGCAAGTGAAAATGTTTTTCTGGATTGAATGACTGTTGGATCAGTAGAATTAGTCTGAAATGTTCATTATTTGGCAAGTGCGCTCTTCTTTTAATTTCCTATATTTCTAAACGATTGGGAAATCAGCGATTTTCGAAAAAAGTGACATTTTTTGAAATGAAAAATGTGTTTGTTGAGCTTCACGTACCCTCACCGCAAATGCAACAATATGTTCAGTTTCCAATAATTTTTGTGCGATTTCATTCATTTGTTCATCCGTTACTCCTTTTTTCTCCCACAAAACAAAAATTGCCAAACAATAAAGTGAGGGGAATATTAATATTGATAAAACAATAAAGATTTTCAAAAATATTGAAGTCTGTGGTGATTTTGATTGGATATTTTTGATTGAATTGAAACGAACAGCAAAAAGGGTCATCAAAACAGTGATTGACTGTAATGAGAAAATGAATTTAACTAAAGTTAATCACATGGGAAATTTTCTAGAGACAAAGAAGGAACTGGATTAATATTATCCCGAAAATGTTCGATCAACTCACAAAAAATTAATTAACTTTCTCATGAAATGTTTTTGTGGTTTTCTAATTCTGCTCCAGATTAAAAAATGTCTCTAGTATATTAAGGAACGCGCTTACCTCAATGAACAGAAAGGCAAAAATTGCGAGCAAAACTTTTCCAAAAACAGTTTGTTCAGTAATTGAATATGAAAAATAAATATAAACATTATCAACAATTGCAAAACCAGGTTGAGCCCAAATATGAAAAATACAATAAGAAATATCGACACAACAATATAATATGAGTAATGATCGAAAATTATTGGTTTCTGAATTTTTGATCGAAAAAATTAGAAAAAGTGAAAACAGATTTCCAACAATTCCAGAAGTTCCGAAAATTCGAGAATTTAATTGAAAAAATTGTCGCTCGAATGACATTATTCTGACTCTGATGTTTGTCAAAATGAACCAAAAATCATTTATATTCCAAAAAATACGAATTCAAGAAAATCTTGTTTGCGAAACTTTTTGGGCGGAGTCCAATTATTTTTTGGAGTTAGACAGAATAAAAAAAAACAATCATAAGATCAGGAAAAGTTGGATGTTTCCGGCAAGATAGGATTTTTGCTTACGTATCCGAGCTCAAAGTAGTTCTTACAGTATTTGTACTTTGGTGAAAAGTTGGGCTGATTTACAAAAGAATTACGTCAAAAAGACAAAAATTGTTATTTAACAATCTGAAAATAGAGAAAATTGCAAAAATTGTTGTGATAATTTCCAATAATAATTTTTTATGAAGGGAATAAAAATTCGTTGATTGATCTAAATGGAAGATCAATAGAGAATCACATTTTTGTAACGATTGATAAGCTTCTACTCTGAGTTTGAGAAGTTGGTCCGCCTATTGCATTTTTTCCTGTTCCAGTTAACGCTTTATAAACTCGCTTGATTGCCTTTCTTAAAATGAAACATGCAATATTTTCAAAATCCATTTGACTAACCTGTACGAGCTCAAACAACTACATAAAATAACAAAATCAAAAGTTGGAAACCAAATCAAAGCGGCACTTGAAATAGTTCCAACTATATCAGTACTTCTATGAAGAGATGTGCTGATAGAGAAAAGAGTTACGTGAAATCCGCAGCAGAAAAATACGCAAGCAGTTTGTGTGACATGATAAATCAGAATTTGTTTTTGTAATTTTCGAGTTTTGTCGCTTGCTGAGATTTTTCGAAGAGATAAACTGACATAAGCACCGCAAAAAATTATCACTGAAATCTGCAAAAAGAAATTATGAAGTAGTTGTATTTTGAAAAATCGCTCACCTCAAAAAGAATGATCAGCAAAGATAGCGAAAAAGTCTTTCTGGCTTGAATTACCACAGGATCTGTAGAATTTGTCTGAAAAATCAATTTTTTTATATTTCTCAAATGCAGTCTTGTCTACCGTACCCTTGCTGCGAATCCAATAATATTCTGTGTTTCCAGTAATTTGTTAGCAATTTCAGACAATTCCCCATCTGAAACTCCTTTCTTTTCCCACAACGCGAAAATTCCCAAACAATACAATGTGGGAAAAATGAGACATGATAAAATAATGAAGATTTTCAGAAATATTGAAGTGCTTGGCGATTTTGATTGGATATTTTTCATAGAATTGAAACGAACAACAAAAAGGGTCATTAAAACGGTGATGGACTGCAAAATTCTAGACTACAGTAACCCAAAACTTTTTGATCAGAAAGAGTATGTTAATTAAATTTCTCACGCTGCAAATAACTTTGTTTTTGTTTTTACCAAAAAAATTTTGGAACAGAAAATATTAATTGAATTTTGATCTGACATGAGACCAAAAAATACCTTCAGATGGCTTTTTCACTTACCTCAATGAACAAAAAGGCAAAAATTGCGAGCAAAACTTTTCCAAAAACAGTTTCTTCTATAATTGAATATGAAAAATAAATATAAACATTATCAACAATTGCAAAACCAGGTTGAGCCCAAATATGAAAAATACAATAAGAAATATCGACACAACAATATAATATGAGCAATGATCGAAAATTATTGGTTTCTGAATTTTTGACCGAAAAAATTAGGAGAAGTGAAAATAGATTTCCAACAATTCCAGAAGTTCCGAAAATTCGAGAATTCAATTGGAAAAATTGTCGCTCGAATGACATTTTTTAGATCTGCAAAATGTTATTATCTCAAGATGAGTCAAAAAATGGGCGGAGCTCGATTAATTTTGCTTGAAAAACTTGTTTTCAAATTAAAAAAAAATCTGACTAATAAATTCGAAGGTGGAGCCTAATACTTCTGTTTTTCAAATATAATAAAAACAATCTGACGTCGAAAAAACTTCAGAAAAAATACCGAAAAAACCAACAAAATAACATAATAAGGCGACTATTTTTCAAAAAAAGACCGATTTTTGCACCAAACCTTTTGGGGCCAAAATCAATAAAATAAGTGGTGTTATGGCAATATTGAGACTATTCTGGGGAAGGAAATGATGGTGGGAAAAAATTGAAAAAGGGAAAAATTAAATAAAAATAATAATTTCCTAGGCTAGAAGAAGAGTGAGTTAGGCGAATATCTTTGGATTTAGAACAAAATAGAATTCTGGTTGTTTTTGTTTTATAAATTAAGTTTTTCAGCAACTGCTGCTATCAATGCGGCTCCTTGTGCACTTCCTTCGTCTGCTGGAACCAATTGCCACTGAAAAAAAAGTAATTATAATAATATGAACAGAATTCTCCGTGCTGAAATTTGACAGAAACTATTTTTTCGCTACTTCTGTGCGTTTTGGAGATATTTATTGTTTCGAAATTATTCAATCTAAAAGAGCAGGTAAACATTACAATTTTACATAGAATTCCTTTTTCCCTAACAACATTTGTTTTCTCACAATTCTACCCAAAAATCCAACTCACTTTCACATTTAATGGTGTCAAATTGCTCAATTGTTCTTCCAATAATTGATGATAAGTTGGATGAAATTGTATCAAAGCACCGCCAACTCCAATTTTCACACTCGATAATTCCAAATGTCTCAATAATGCACTAATTGCAGCCGCTACAATACTTGCCGATCTTCTTGAAACAATATCACAAACTGCTCGAATTATTCGATAATCGGTTGAACCGTGCAATGGAACATCGAGTTCGTCGCAAATTCGACGACATTTTATGAAAATTCCATCTTCTTCGCTGGAAAAAATTTTATTTGAAATGTTAGTCATTATTTTTTTACTTCAAAAATGTTTAGTGAAAAAATTTGTGCACTTTTTCACGAAATTCGGTGTTTTTTTTGAAAATCAACATTTGGACTGTGATTTTCAGACCGATATTTTCCAGTAATTTTTTACGTGTGAAAATACGTTTCAAATATTTCACGAATAAAAAAATTTTGCAACTCAATATTTACGAATGTTTTAAATCAATATTTTCCTTGGTGAAAAAAGTTTTTAAAAAACTCACGCCAAGATTTCGGAAATATATTTGGTTGGAAATGAGTCGATTTCGTCTAATTTTTCACAAGGATGTCCTTCAAACAAAACCCGATCTAATACCAGTTGTGATAAAATTCGTCGAACAAGTTCACCCAAATATAAAGCACCCGTTAGCTTATCGATTCTGAAAAACATGAGCATTGTTTTTCAAAATTTTGAGACAGAAACTTTTCAAACTCACATTTGTTTTCTCTTATGAACACTAGCCGCATCTAATTCTCGATCAAATTCCGTCAAAATTTCATCCAATTCTCCTTGACTTCCAAATTCTTCCCATTCCGTTACAACAACCATTTTATCATGTGGATAACCCAAACTTTTTGCATCGAATTTTGTGATATTTTCCGTTTTTTCCAAATACGATGAATTACAACCATAACCAATTACAACACCTACAGTACATTCTGGACCATATCTATGTGCAGCAGCAGCTAATTGTCCTACAGTATCATTCATAACAGCTTTGATTTGAGCTTTTGTTGACATATTCATATCAAGAGCTTCTTCCAGGAGACTTACAACATCTTTTTGAAGACAATCTTTGATATCGAATCCTTTTGTCCACCAAAGTAATCGAGCAGAGCGAATTGATAATAATTCACATGGATATGAAAATACGAATCCTATTGGAAGATTTGCTTCGACTAATTCGAATTCTTGAAGGAAACGTTGAAGACAATTCACGATGAATGTAAAAAGCTGCAATTTTTCATTTTAATTGTGAACCGCATTTCATTCTGAATTTTTTCAAACCATTTTCATGAAAATTTCTCACCTGATCTCCTGTTCCTTTCATCACATGATTCGGCACAATATAATTGATTTTATTCTGCACCGGTTCTCTTGTGGTTCCAGAAAGTGTTAACAACATTATCAGTAGATTCTTTCCTGATAAATCGATTGCCACATATTTTCCTGTTTCTGATCCATCTGGAAGTGCTGGAACATATGAAGGAAGCATTGCAATTGAGGAACCATGACGTTTTGCAAGTCCAGCTTTGATTTGCAGCTCGATTTTTTCGGATATCTCGAAAAGTTTTTCTTTGTCAAGCACGAATTTATCGAGGATCTCTCGCACCTCGTTTGGCACATTTCTGGCGCCCATTATACGGCGGGTTGACCTGAAAATTCAATGATTTTTGAGAGGAAATGGAAAAAAATGAAAAAATAAAATAAAGGCGCATCGATTTAATCAGATTGGTCTCAACACGATCACACAATTTTGGAGTTCTCTCGAAAAAAAATTCATTTTATTTTTTTTCACGTTTCGTTTCATCATGGTTATTAAAAGAGATAAAACAAAAATATCTGTCATTTTCTAAACAACAAAAGTCACGTGTGGCAAAAAGTATCCATCAGCTGACCCTCCATCAATCAATACTACAAAAAACTCCACAAAATTTCTGTATTTTTATTATTATTAAAAAATGAAAATAAAAAGAATGAGAAGAAAAGAGAATCGGTTCGTCAATAAATTTAATGTGTGGCTGCTGGCCGAAAGAAGAAGAATGAGATGCAAAGAAGTTTCATCAAACACACTATTTTCTGGCGAACAAAGATTGACGCGTTTTTTGTTGACCCGCTTTTTGTACTCGTTGGACATTTTTTGAAAAAAACTTCAAACACCGTGATATTCTTCTTTGTTTTTTCCAGACTAAAATGACAACAATACATCAACGAATTGAAACCGCGCACAGAGATGCAATTGTAAGTTTTTTTTTGAAAAGTATTTCTGCATAATTCCATTTTTTAGCATGATGCTCAACTCAATATGTATGGAAGTCGTCTAGCGACTTGCGGTTCAGATAGATTGGTTAAAATCTTCGAAGTTCGACCAAATGGACAATCTTTCCCAGTAGCAGAATTGGCAGGACACGCTGGACCAGTTTGGAAAGTTTCGTGGGCTCATCCGAAATTCGGAGGACTTTTAGCATCTGCGGCATATGATAAGTGAGTTTTTTGCTAGATTTGGGTACGATATTCGTTGTTTTTTTCAGAAAAGTGTTAATTTGGCAAGAAGTGAGTGGCCGTTGGCAAAAATCGTATGAATGGAATGCACATGAAGCAAGCACAACATGTGTCGCATTTGCTCCACCACAATACGGTTTAATGCTTGCGTCAGCTTCTGCTGACGGAGATATTGGAATCTTGCGTTTCGATGCTGCGTCATCGCAATGGCTTGCATCTAAAATCCCAAAAACTCACGAACAAGGAGTGAATGCGGTTTCGTGGGCTCCGGGAAGTTCTGCACATGATGCAAAGAAAAGATTGGTTTCGGCAGGAAATGATAAAAGTGTCAAGATTTGGGTTTTGTAAGTTGAACGTTTTGGGGAGTTGAAATTGAGAACTCTTTTCTGAAATTTGGAAAAAAGTGTGGGGGTTTCTAGAGATTGTGATTTATTATCAGTTATTTTCAAAGATTTTAGTCCTATTTCGAAAATCTCAATTTTTGAAAAGCGGAAAAAAGTAGCATTTCAGAACTCACCAAAAGAATTCTGTAATTTCATGCTTCTCAAAACCATTTTCTATTTTCGTTCATAATTCACGCCAAAATAGACCAAAAATCGGGCCATATTGTTCTTATCACAACAAAAATATCAAATGTTGACCAATATTTTTTTCCTGCAAATGCACGAAAAATAAATCACAGTTCATTTTCTCAACTCCCAACGTTCTTTTTTTGCTCGCGTTTTGTTTGCTCTGGCTATTTGATCCGATTTGACAAATTTTTGTTTCATCATCACGTGTGTTTAATATTGGTTTTGTGTGTACTTGGGATGGGATGGCAGAAAAAATGAAGACCAAGACAAATTAAATTGAAATTGAGACGGGTTTGGGGATTTTGGTGAAGAAAAACCAAGATATTCTGTGTTTTTAATTTTGAAAAATTCTGAAAATTTAAAATAATCCGAAATAAAAAGGTACATTTTTGAGAAATCTGAAAATTTACTTGGCATAACACAACTCTTCCGCAACATCGCTTTTTCAGCAATGAACAACAAAATGAATGGGAATGTGAAAAAGTGCTCCATGGACACACCGATTATGTTCGAGATGTTGCTTGGTGTCCAGTCACAAATAATGGCCTGAATTCAATTGTTAGTTGTGGAGTTGATGGAAATTTGGTATTGTACAGATCGAAAAATATTGAAACTGATGATTGGCAATCGAAATTATTGGAAAAGGATACGAATTCACTGTTCCATGTGTCTTGGTCGCCTTGTGGAACTTTTTTGTCGGTTTCGGGAGACAGTAATGCGGTAAGAAAGTTTTTGGGAACGATATTCGGGGGTTTTTTTTTGAAATTCAAAAAGACGTATTTTTGAATTAGGAAATTTGATTTCAATTTGAAAAAAGAGATCCACATAATTTCTTTGTGTCTTGATTTCAATCTAGAAATTATCTGGGACATAATTCTTATTAAATTTGGAAGTTAAAAGTAAAAAAATCAATTTTTTATACAATGTATGAATTCAGAATTCAAAATTGTTCGTTTCTAAATTACTAAATATATTATTTTTATACTGAAATTACGTTTTTTAAAATGTTTTTGAGTACTGAAAGAATACTAAAATTTGAAAATTTTCACTCAGTTTTATTAGAACATTTAAAATCTGTCTAATTCTTTTTTATTTCTTCAATTCTCTTACAAATCCCATTTCTCTTCCAAAATGTCATATTTTTTTCCATTACCATAATTGATAATAAAACAAAAATGTGACATTTTTTGATTGGGTCATAAAAAAATCAATTTTTTCCTGAAATGTAGTTTCTCTCAAATATCCAGGGACCTTCTTTTTTTTAAAGATTTCAATTTGGCGCGAAAATCTGCAAGGCCAATGGATGAAAGTTCCACGTGAGGAATCATGAATTATTTTTTGAACCCCAATTTTTACCCAATTATTTATTTATTTTATCCGATTTTCATGTGATTTTTGGTTGTTTTTTTTTCGAATTGTTCGCAAGGATTAAAATTTCATGATGAAGATATTTATTTTTTGAACTCAGAAACAAACTATGAATCTATAAGGTGAATTTCAAACTGGCGTAAACTTTTGGCTGAGATTTGGCAAATTCAGTTGTCAAATTTGTGATCATACTGACAACTGGTGGAGTTTTGGTGATCTAAAACAAATATTATGAAATTTAAGGTGAGAAATTCAAAGAATTTTCTACAGTAGTTGAAAAATGCGAGAGTTACATACTACTTCTTCTAGTGAAAAATATGTGCCAGGGTTGCACTTTCCCCAAGTGATATTTTTTCACACACAGTTTGGTAGTATTAAAAAATATACTGTTTACTATTAGAAAACAAAGAAGTTCAACTATTGAAGTTAATGATTTTATTCAAATTTGAACCCAACCCAAAATTATTGCATAACGAATTTTGGTCTATTATAAAGTGAAGTGTAAGCTGGCGTAAACTGTTGGTTGAGCTGTGGCAAACTCGATGGTTAAATTTTGAATCACACTGACAACTGGTGGAGTTTTGGTTATCTGGAATTGTTAGGATCTACATTTGGAGTGTTTTATTATAAATGGCCCGGAAATAGAGATTATGAGTAATTTGCAAAAATTGAAACTAAACGGAAGTTTCAGAAAAATAAAAATATGCGGAAAATATTTTCTGAAAGTTGCGTTTGTATCTATTTCCGGGTCTTTTAAAATAAAACATAAAAGTTCAGATTTAGAAAAAAGTAAAGCAAATTATTGAATGATGAAAAGTTTTATATAAATTTTAACCCAACCCAAAAAACGAATTTTTATCTATTATAAAGTGAAGTGTAAGCTGGCGTAAACTGTTGGCTGAGCTTTGGCGAACTCGGCACTCAGATTTTGGAACATTGTGAGAATTGGTGGAGTTTTGGTGATCTGCAATTGTTAGGGTCTACAATTGGAGTAAGTATTTTGAAATGAAAATTTAAAAGTTACAAAAAAAACTTCAAATAAAAAACATCAAAATAATAGTTATTCAAAATAAAATTTAGAAAAAAATGATTAAACGAAAAAGTTACAATTTATTCAAAATTAAAATTTTAACGAAATCAAATTAAATGTTTTTATTACAACGAAAATCCAAGTTTCGCATAAACCGCAGGTTTTGCCGCTGCGAACTTCGCAGTATAGCTTTGAATTTGTTCGATAACTGATGGTGTATGTCCGGATAACTGAAAATTTTGGTTAGGCTAAAAATAGAACTTAAAATTCAAAATATAATAAGGTAAGGTAAATAAGAGCTTAACTCAAGTTTAAAAAACTTAAGGTCAAAAACTTACCGCGCTCGATGCTTCAACTGCGAATTTTTGGCAGGTCAAAGTGTAGTTGTTTTCGGTTGCAGTATCAGCAGCCCAGAACAAGGAGGTCATCTGAAAAATTCAGAATGCCACGTTATAGCTAACCTTTTTCCACTTACCTTTGTTCCTTCAGCAGCTGTCAAATATTTTGAGTTAACAGCTTGATTTTTCATATAATTGATGTAAGTTTTAAGAGCCCATCGATAATCGATGAAAGCCAAAGCTTTGGTTTGTGCATAGGCTTGTTTTGAATATGGATCTGAAGCGACGAGAGTTGCCGTAGCCGCTTTCCAATTTTTTGGAACCCAGTTTTTGACAGCAGTTTTTGCCTTGGCATTTGTGGCTGCTTTGTTGCAATTTGTGGTTAGCTGAAATATATATGATTTTTGTGAATCTATACAGCCATTATAACATTTTTTCAATTTGATCTATAATTTTTTGATATTCCCAAAGTGGCATTTTCAAATTCTGGTCCCAAATTCCGGTTCCAAAAGTGTTCACTATTTTTTTTAGAAAAAAAAACCGAAAATTTTCTGATCCAAAAATAAAAGAGTTACAGACAGTTCAAAAATGGTTGAAATTCTAAAAAGGAATTCCCAAAATTATAGTTTCAAATCACATTTTTGTTCTCCCTTGAATATCATGTGAGCCTAAAGAATAAAAATAATATAAAATTGTATACAAAACTCGTGATTTTACGATTTTTCATTTTAAAGTTATCAACAACGAAATATTACGAAATTTTCTCAATTCCGTCTCTAATTAACTCACCGTTTTAACTTTAGCAGCAGCCGCATATTTGAAAATCTTCTGAAAGGCCGCAACAACAATCTGATCAGCTCCCAGACATGTCACACACAATAAAACAACAATCAAAAGAGGAAGTAAAAGTTTGGCCATTTTTTCGTTTGGAAATGAAATCTGTTACGGTGGCCACATTTTATACCCAAATTGTGACAATTTTTTGTCATTTTTGTAATCCGTTTATATTTTAATTGAGACCAGACCAGATCAAAGTTTCGGCTGATCTTTTATTATTTCTAGTTATGTTAGTTTTATTACAATTTTTTATTTTGTTTTAATCACCAAAACAACAGTAGGCAATACTTGATAAAATACAACAAATTGTCATTATTAGAGCAATTACACCAATAATTACAGCTGGAACGATCTGGAAAATTGACATTTATTGATGCATCGCGTTTGAAAATTAAAAAAAGAGCAAACCTGAGTTCTCAGGCAACATTCCTTCGCGCAACATTCAAAATAATAAATCCAATTGCTGGGACCTTCAAAAACCCAAATCAATCAAAAATTAAAAAAAATCAATCAATCTACTCACAATTCAATTCTTCTCCACTTTCTGACATACAAGCCTCACTTTCTTTGAAAAATTCCAAAGATTGTACAAAAATTGTGCAGAATATTAGGAATATAAATAACCTCCTTAACTAAAAAAATTTCCTTTTTTCAAGCTTCCGACCAGGGCTGGTCGGAATCGGAATATCGGAATTCCGAAATTCCGAAAATCGACGTTTTTTCGGAAGTGTAGTTTGGTCGGAAGCACTTCCGAAAGAAAAACTCGGAATTGCTCCAATTCCGACTCTCGTTCCGACTTTTTTTCATTCCGATTTTTTTGTCGGAATCACTTTCGAAAAATTTCGGAATATCGGAATATATGCTTTTATAGAGAAAACTTTATTTAAAGGCTGAAATGATGGTGAAAAATTTCTTAATAATCGATAATAGACACAAATTTGTTGTCTTTGATGAACTAAAGAACAAGATTCACTTTTTCGCAACTATTTTCACTATAATTGTTCTGATAACTCATCGAAAAATGTCGTTTTCCAGTTTTTTCCTGCGCATTAGGACTTCCGAATTTTTTTCGAAATTCCGAAAAAAAAGTCGGAAGAAAAAATCGGAATTCCGAACTATCGAAAAATTATTCGGAATAAAAAGTCGGAATGCCGAAATTCCGAAAATAAAATCGGGAGTGAAAATGGGACTTCCAAAATTCCGAAAGGTCAATTCCGACCAGCCCTGCTTCCGACTAAATGTACACTCACCATTTTTTTTTTAGAAATAAGGAAAATATACAACAGAAAATAAGAAAATTTGATGATAAAAACTGTTATTTGAATACCTTTTTTAGTGATAAGCACATTTTGTTTTTCGAAAAAAAATCTGTATGTAATAAGAAAAAGTACACCCACGGAAGAAGAAGTTGATGACGTGGCAAAATCTGTGTGAGTAATTTTGAGAAATTTTTATGAAAATACAATTTTTGGAAACGACCCATGGAAAAATGAGTTACTGGAACTCATTGTTCAGAACTTCGATTTTTTTGAATTTTCTATACAATGAAGTCTGTCTGAATCAAATAGGCTATTCAAAATTTTTCAATCAGAATTATAAATCGGACATGCTAAAAGTTTTTGAATCCTGAATTTGATAATTTCAAAGATTTTTTTTAGTTTTGAATCCAAGTTTTAATAATCAAAAATCCTTTTGATTCATCTTTGCATAACTGATATCACGGTTCAAAAAATCAAAAAATTTATCGAATTTGGGAAATAAAAAAGTTGATTTTTTAAAAATTCTCATGGTTTATTGTTTCAAACCGCCTGATACTCAGACAGTGAATGCTTTAAAAACATACCAGCAACATATATTCAGAAATAACTCCAAATGAAACTTTTCATATTGATTTTCGTAACATCAATTGCTATTCTCCACGTGGATTGTGCTAGAGGATCAAGAAAACAAGCCGAACAAAATCATTTCATCCATTCAAAAAACGAAAAAACAAAAGAAGTAAAGCATTTTGCCATAGAAATGTTGAATTCAAGTTCCACTGTTGAATTGAACTTTCATGCTGATTTTGAATTCAAGGATTTGAATGGGCAAATTCATGGACGAGAATATTTTTTGGAAAATTATGTAGAGAAAACTAAAAATTTAGAGGGAAAACTATGCGAAGCTGAAGACGTAAAAATAAAACTGGAAAACAGGTCAAACGTTTATTATGTTGATATTGCTGAACTTGAAATTTTCTGTTTTGAAACTGAAAATCGCAAGTTTCTGAATGGAATGTACATCAAAATGTTTGAGAATAACGTAATCAGAAGAGCAACTGCGTTGAATGAAAAATAATTTTTGATTTTTTAAATTGAAATAAATTTGGAATCTCATAAAGTATGCAATTTTCAGATGAAAATATTTATTTTCCTCAAAATATGTATCAATAGTTTAGCTTACACGCTGATTCAAAACACATTTTTCGATAGATTCTGAGGTCACTTTGTTGATAATCCGTTTTGTTTTTGCTCGTCGATTTTAATGAGAATTTCAAGACTCTGAAAACATTTGTTTTTCAATTTCAAAATTTATAATTCAAATCAGAAGCTCACCAGAATACTTTCTTTGATGTCAATGATTTTTGATTGGATTTCGAGCATTTTTTGACGATGTTGGTGCTAAAGATACAGTTTTTTTACAGAACCTAGAATTTTTCTAGGAACTTACAATATTTTCCTCAGAAATTCGTAGACTTTCCAAAAAATGATCTTCATCTTCGGAATCTGATTTATCTTGATCATCACTGGATTTATTTAGGATTTCGGTGCGTTTTTGAATAGCGATTCCGAATTGGAGTTCTTCGTGTTCCTGAAAATTTGAGAGTATTATGATCATTTCTCGAGAAGTTTCAAAATTTTTTGAAGACTTCATTGAAAATCAAAAATTTTTATGATTTTCAATGTACAACGCGATCAAATAAAAATTTTCATTTCTTTCAATAACTGTTTTTGAAACGTATATTTTCCAGTTCAAAATTGTTTCAATTTTTACTCACCAAATTTACTTGTTGCTCTCGTAATTCCTCGCGGAAATCCACCAATTCATGGAGGCGCTGAAATTATTTGAATCGAAATTTAAATTCAAAAAATCATTTTCAAATGAAAACCAACCTTTCGTCTATTGATATCCGCCATTCAAATTGTTTTGTTATTTTTCACTCTTCACTGAAAAATTTAAAATTAAAATTTTTGACAACAATAAAAAAAGGGCACACAATATTTTTCAACAAAAAAATGGAGCCTATCTAAAATTAATTTTTTTTTTGGTTGTTCAGAGAGGAGCAAAAAGCTAGAATAAAAATATATGGTTGCTATCGTGATGATTAGCTTCTTCTCAGAAGAAAAAAATTGGCAAGATTATTTATGTTTTTGAGCAAAATAAAAAATGTGACCAAAAATTATTTTTTAAGAGCACACACAGATCTCACCAATAAGTCAAGCCTAGAATTATAATTGTCAAGTAGTCGCGAAGTTAGACACAAAATTAATTTAAGGTTATATACATATTTAAAATTTTTTTTCGAAACCCCAGTTTTTAGATTAGAAATTCAATGAAAATTCCAAATGTGATACCCAAAAAATCAAGAAAAACATTAAAGTTTGATTTTTTTGGTGAAATTATAGGTTGGCTGAAATTTGAGCTCACAATAAAAGAATAACAAATCCCAATATAAATAAAGAAAAATGACATCACATGCAACAAAAAAACTTCACACTTTTTTTTCGAAATAAAATTCTTCTAACTCTTTTTTTTTCAAGCAACCGAATAAAAAACTCTCTCGAGACCTTTTCTAACACAAAAAAAGGAATTTCGAGAGAGGAGAAAATTGATTTTCGGAAAAAAGTGCCTCAAGGAATGGAACCTTTTTTTGCTGAAAACAAACTTTTTATAAAAGTTTTTATGGCGTCAAAAAAAGAAATATTGGCTAAAATAGCGAGAAAAAACTTGGGGTAAATATATCTACGTAAATATCATGCTAGAATTACTTGAAGATATTTATCATCTGTGAAAAAAAAACAGATAAAAATTCATAGATCATATGCCAAAAATAGATTGGAACATTTTCTGAAAATTGTTTATTTTGGAATATGCAGGTGATTAGAGAATTTTGAGGGTTCATATTATGAAATTATAGATTCGCTTCAAAAATGATCCCCTCAAAATCAGAAGTTAAACAATTTTTGAAAAAAATGTATAATAATTTATTTTCCTATTTATAAATCAAAAAATTAATCAAAAGACAAAATTATTTCGCTTTGGTAGATAACATTTCGATGATAAAAGATCAGCTCACGTGGTACACAAATAGCAAACTGGAAAATTATACGTTTCAAAAATTATTCATGAATTTGAAGGATTAACGAAATTTGTTGAGTTCATTTTAATATGAAACAAGAACTTCGGAAGAGAACCGAAATGGTCTACAAAACCAAGACTACAGTAGACTTTGCAAAATTTTGGAGTCCGTTTGAAAAAAATTATCCAAAAATTTGCTAACAAGTTGCATGTGCATGTGTTTTGGATTTTTTAATGTCAAATGTTCAAAGATCTTTATAAAAGTTGAAAATTTAAAATTTACATATTTATTCATCACGTGATTTTCCTCCTTCATTTTTTAATCGGTGGCAATGAAAAATCTCTCGACGTATTTGCACTCTTTGAAACTTTCATCGTGGAATTTTTCGATTTTTCCGGATCTTCGCAATTTTTTCCAACTACGCGTAGATGAACAAATTTTTCTCGCCATAATTTGGCTTCGGCATCAAGAATCGGGTCTGTAAATTTACAATGTGTTATGACGTGGCTAGTGGCAAGAAGAACTCACCATTAATTTTCTCGCCTTCGTAAACTGCAGCATCCCAAGATTTCAAAAAGTTTTCAGCGACTTTCAATTCGGAATTTTGTTTGAAGTTTTTGAAATCTGTTGTTGTTGTGCTCCAAGTCAACATTTTTAAATGAAAAAAATAATTTTGAATAAAAAAGGAAATCTTTTGAGGTTTCCATGGTAACCAGAAGAGCAAATATGCTCCAATGAAATTTCGGAGCAAATTTTAATTTTCTTTAATATATTTAAAACATTTTATTTATTTTCAAGTTATCTTATCTTTTATCAATTTATGACATGAAATCGATAAAAACATTTATTTTTTTGTTCACTAAAAAATGGACGAATTAACTAGACTCTATTCTCCGTCATGTTGGGTTGCAGGAAAATCAAGTGAAGAGGTCATTTTTCAAGAGTTGTTTTCAAATGACATAAAATATTTTTAGGTGATGTCAGAATTTATTTCCAAAACTCAAGAAGCCTTCGAAAATTTGAAAAATAATTTGGAAATTCCCCGAAGTCTCGATATTTCTTATGGTTCAAAACCAAATAAAAAAATCGATTTGTGGGGACCAAAAGATTCTAAAAACTTGTTAATCTACTTTCACGGTGGATATTGGGCAGCTGGTTCTCGACACGATACCGCCCCAATTTTACCATGCGCCTTAAAATCTGGATATACTGTCGCGGCGATGGGTTATGAATTGGCAACAAAAAATATTGGATCACTTCCGGAGACAATATCTGATGCGATTCAAGGGACACAGTATGTTTTGGAGAATTTCGGAGATAATTTTGAAAATATAATTGTTGGCGGACATTCGGCTGGAGGACATTTGGCAATTCGTGCGGTTTCGGGATCAGAAAATTCGAAAAATTCAAATAAAATTAAAGGATTATTATTGTTTTCAGGCGTATATTTTGTTGAAGAATTGGTTGAAACTGACATTGGCAGAGATATTAGGTAAGAACGAAAAAATAGGAAAAAATTAATTCAAAATGTTTTAGCCTAACTGCCTCGGACGCCAAATTATCTACCTGTGATTTCAAGTTGATTCGGGTTCCTGGATCAATAAACCAAGTTCAAATAATTTTGGGACTTCAAGAATCTCCAAAACTCATCGAGCAAAATCGAGAACTCATGGGGGATTTTGCCAATACTTACAAAATTGATGAGTTTCCTGACGATTCACATTTTTCGATTATCACTGGATTATTGAATGAGCATTCAGATGTTTTCAAGACTGTTTCTCGATTTTTGAACAGTTTTTGAATATACATCTTATTTTCTGGAAAATGAAGGTTTGAAAAATTAAAATTAAAATTTTCTTTCGATGAAACATTTATTATTGAACATATTATAATCATTACAAAATTTATCTTCGTGTTCCGTCTTCGAAGAAAACTCCACCATCCAATGCACAATATTTCGGGCAAATTCCTTTTTCTCCCGCTCCTCCCGCAGCTCCCGGTGGTCCCGGAGCTCCTTTTCCTCCATCGGCTCCTGGTGGCCCGTCTGGCCCATTTGGTCCTTTTGCTCCCGCATTTCCTGGAAGTCCATCTGGTCCAGCAAGTCCTGGTGGCCCAACAGGTCCTGGTACTCCAGCATCTCCTGGCGGTCCTGGATCTCCAGGAATTGGTGTTCCATCTTGTGGTGCTGGTTTTCCTGGTTCTCCCGGGATTCCTGGTTGTCCTTCGATTCCCGGTGGTCCCGCAGGTCCTTTTGGCCCAGGTTCTCCACTATTTCCATCCGGCCCATTTCTACCACTTTGTCCAGCTGGTCCAGGTTCTCCTGCTGGACCTGGAGGTCCTTGTTCTCCAGGCAAACCAACCGGGCAAACACGACACGGTGGTGGCGAAGTTGGTTCGCAAGGTGCAGATACTGTCGATTTTCCCGGTGCACCTGGCATTCCTGGAGCTCCAGGCTTTCCAGGTTTTCCAGGAGTTCCTGGTAGACCATTTGGTCCCGGACCACCTGGACAGCAACCTCCGCAGCCAGCAGCTGGAGCTGCATCTCCAGCATTTCCAGCAGCTCCTCCTTCAGGTTGTTCTTTATAGGCTTGACGTGGGAATCGAAGAGTTCGATTTGAAAGTGGAAGTTGTTTCATCACACGTACCTCGTTCCAGATTTCTTTTGCGTGATGCTGAAAATTTGAAGAGGTTTGGAAATTTCTGATGAATTTGGCTAATGAATTCTCATGATTTATAAAGTAAATTTCTAAAATTGTAAATTCGAAAAAAAAGTTTAGAAACTGTTATTCAAAAAATTGTCGCGCCAATACACAGTATCCTACCGTACTCACCTCACACGTCACAACTTCCGATGATATCAAATTCTTAACATGAAGTGTATATAAATACACACCAGGAACACTGACACAAACTGCAATCACTGAAACTAATGAGAAACATAATGCAGCATTTGCGACCCATTGATAAGCTCGAACACGCTGACAATCATCCATTTTTTCTCGAGGAAAAAAGTCAGTGAAAAACCTATGGGAGTATTTGGTTTATATACTTTTTTTCAGGGAGATTTAATCTAATTCCGGGAACTAAAAAGTTGTCTTGTTTTATTGAGAATAGATCAATTTTTAAGATAAATCTGGTTTTCACAATTCGTGGATTTGCTAAAATAAGATATTTCGGTTGTTAGCATCGTTGTTAAAAACAAAAACAAAACTGTTCCAGGATTGCATTTTCTTCTGACCTCACCCTTTTTTATGGAAGATGTTGCAACTCTAATAGCACATAAATTCAATTTATACTTTTGGTTAGTCATGCGACGTTTTTTTGTTTCTTCTCTTTTTTCCTCATTTTATCTATTTTTATTTATTTCTTGTGTTTTTGGTGGAAAACACACTGAAAATTGATCTCAGGAACTATTTTTTGTTCTGTTCTCTACAAAAAATTAAATCGGATATTTTTTGGTTTTGCAAAATGTGGATGATTTTTGGAATTTTATTTTATTTATTCATTTTTTTTTGCTTTGACCAGACGGAAAAATCCCATTTCAAACTTTTTTGTGTGTCTGCATTTCATTCAAGCATGCAATTTAATTTTTTTTTCACCTAAAATTGTGTGTGTTTTTTTTGTGAGTGCCCACGCAGAAAACAAGCAGAATTGAAACTAATCCCTGATGACATATTCACTTATTTTAAATGTACATATATTCTGATAATCAAGTTTTCTTTTTTCTTGTAAATATTTCTGAAGAATTAGAAATATTATTTTGCTATTTCTTGAATAACTTTTTTGCAAGATTCTTTTTTCTTAGATGACTTGAAACCACGTGGATTCCGTAATTTGTCCAAGTTTTTCAGAACTGAAAATAATTTTGATTCTAAAACTGTTATCAGTTTTTTTGCTTTCAATTATCTAAACTCTAAAATTGATTCATGACGTGGCAAATTCTAAGAACTTTGATTTTCTATGAAAATATAATTACACCGAATTCCTCGTAAATTTGTGGTTTCTTTAAAAATTCAATTTGTTAGAATAATTTTTGTTCACCGAAAAAAATTAGATACCAAAAATCAAATTTAATTTCCTCTGGAAAAAAGTTTCTGAACTCACCCAAAAAAATTATCAATTTTGTTTTGTTCCCCTCCATCTGCCAAGTTAGAGTTCTCTGGTTCAATCCCCAAAATGGCGAATTCTTTCCAGGAAATTCTTCCAAAAATATATCTATCTATAATTTATGCGTTCTTTTCATGATAACACGACACGAAATGATATCAAGTGATATAAATAAATATTTTTCACTATTTTTCCTGGCCAGAAATAATTCAGAAATCATCTTTAAAGTGTAAGTGCTTCCTCGAAAAAAATCAAGTTCTGAATCAAGTTTTAGTTCCGTGAGAAATACACACTTCCAGTCGCACCTTATTCCTATCACTATATCATACATTCCCCAGAAGAATCTAGAAATCATCTTTAACCTCGCGAAGAATCAAAAATTCCTACGCAATCCCATTTTGCCTATGTATTTTTCCCCGCCCTTTCTTTCATCACATTTTCTTTTTTTTTCGTGTGTGCCTTTTTCGTTGTTACTTAATCCAAATATTTTTGCTCTTTTTTTGTTTTTTTCCATCTTCTTTTTTTTTGCTTTTTACTTGATTAAGAGAAAAACATTCTTTTTTGTTGCAAAAGCAAAAGCTGAAGCTGAAGCAAAACGCCAGAGCCAATTTGAATATTTAAACATTTTGTGACTCACTTTTTTTGTAATTCGACGCGAAATTTGATTTTTCTTTCCATTCTTTCTTCGAGAAGCTTCTCACTCGAAAATATTCTTTTCTTTTCGTTTTTCAAAAAATTCTTGGATATTTTCAAATTTTTCAGAAAACTAGAAAAATGGGGAACACTCATCCAGCATCAACATCTCAAAATCCTCAAGTTACTCTAAATTCGAGTCGAGTTTCACTGAAAAATCGCAAGAAATTGGGAAGACAAAGAAGATTATCGGATCCAAGTCAAAAGGTTGGTTTAGAGAAGCGAGGGCGAAATTTGGGCAAGGAATTTCAAAAATTGACAGGATCATTTGAAATTCATGAAAATTGAGCCTTTCTCGAGGTTCAAAAAAGTATCAAAGTTCAAAAATCTCGTAGACCCTAATGAGAGAACGTTTTGGAGAACGGCTGAAAATTTGATTTTCATTAATTACATTTAAAAATGAATTTAGAAAAATCAATAAATTTATAATGCTCTGATTAGTTCAAGAATCAGTTTCAGAAGGTTTGGAAAACGAAAATTGAGCTGATTTTTCGCAAAATTTTTGATCATGAAAATTAAAAAAACACATTAAATTGAAATTTCAAAAAAATCTAGAATCTGCAGATGTGTACATTACGAGCAGCTTCATCTCAACCACCTCCATCCACAACTCCTCCAACAATTCAAATCAACGGAAAAGAAAGTTTTGATGAAATCGATGTGTCACAAATGCGCGCAAAAAGTGCGAGTACTGTAGGTTTTCTTGTGTTTATTTTTTGAAAGCCATATTCAAGCCAAACAATTTAGGACTTCTCGAATATCGCAACTACGGCTTCTGAACGACGAAGAATGTTTCTATCATCAACACACAATTCGAATGCGAGGTTGGGAATTTTTTCATAAACATATTTTGAAAAGTGAGGATTTCAGAAGTTTGGACGAATCAATGTCGGCAAAAATGCGAGCTCTGATGCGAGCCAAATCGCATTCACCGTTGAAACAAATGCGAACATATTCGTTTAGATCAATGTCGAGCGAAGAGAATTTGATAGACAGAGAGGTACGGTAGTTGATCTGGGATAAAATGGAAGAGTTTGGGAGAACAATTCTTGAACATACGTCAGTTAAACTCTGACAGAATTAGAACTTTATATTTCTTATTGGCTGGCACATTTCTTGTAGTTTCAAATAAATTTTTTAGTTCTGAAAATGCGTCAGCTAAAACTTTCACTGACCCATTTCTATTGAAGAAAATACATTATTTTTGATGTTTTCTATATATAAATTTCAAGATTGTCCCAGCAAATCACATAACAAAATTTCTAATTCTTCACACCATCAATTTTTCCTCAAGTTACAACATTTTCACAGTTGCATTTTCCATCTACAGTATCCCTCCTCCCTTCCAAAACCCACCTCTTCTAATTCCAGAGTTGCTCACTAGTCCTCGATTCTTGGCGACTCGTCGAATCTCGCGCCACAAAAGAACGTGAAAATTGGGATTTCGGACATTTTGTACTTCAGCGAGTCTTCAATAAAATGCCCGAATTGGCTCGATTGTTTGGTTTGGCCGAAAATGAGGATCTCACAACGATTCCCGAAAATCACGCAGTTCGAAGACACGCAAAATTATTCACTAATGTTTTGCATTTGAGTGTTAAAAATATGGATGAATTAGAGATGCAGGTGGCTCCGACTGTTTTCAAATATGGAGAAAGGCATTATCGACCTGATATTGTGAGTTTGTAAGAAATTGAGCATAATTCAGAAATAATTTGAATTTTAAAAAATTGAATTTGAAAAACTTTGGCTCTGTAAACTCAAAATTTCAATTAAAAACAATTTCAGAGCCCTCATATGACAGAAGAAAATGTTCGAATATTCTGCTCTCAAATCGTGTGCACAGTTTTCGATTTTCTAGTCGATTCTGAAGCGACCCCAAAATGTGCTGAAGCCTGGATTGAATTATTACGGTACTTGGGTCAAAAACTATTGGATGGTCATGAATTCGCAAAATTGGTAGCCGAGAAGAAAATATCGATTAATCGAAATGATCATCATTTATTTTTGATGTTATGAGATTTTCAAAGTTTTGTAAATAAATTATATTTTTTGTAAGTTTTTTCGAAATGTTGTCAAACTTGAAAATTGGTATTTATTCATAGACGAAAAAACAAAGAAAAAAATAAAGAGAGCATGCGTTATGAAATTGAGAAGATTTTGATTTTTTCACAAAAAAAGCGAAAAGTAGTTTTTCAAAAAAAAAATATTACAGAATTTTTTGGTTGGGACGGGAAAACCTGACTTTCTTTGAGGTTACGGTACTAACATTGGCTGGTTGAAAAAGATGTTCTGATTTGTAAAAAAATGCCTCATTTCTCCAATGTTAGTCACTTTTCACCGAAATTAGGATGAAAAATCCGTAACCAATTCTAAAAAATAAGATAAGAGAAATTATGCATATAAAAAAAAGAATAAAATGGGGCCTGGCCTGTGAAAAATGTAAGCCTAGATCTAGGCCTAAAATAAAACGGGTTTTGTTGGTCAAGCATGATGTGAGCTTGACGAAAAATTTCGTGAAAAAATTGAGGGGCAAGATATGTGTCATGAGAAAAAGAAGAAAAAATCACCGAAAAAAGGAGAGAACCACAAACAGTCAAAGACAAAAAAAACAACTAAAACTAACTATTTTTGAGAAATTTAGGAATTTTCGGTGATAACTTCTTTTCCAGTTCCGCGTACAAAAATGACTCGATTCAATTTATCGGTCATTACTTCCAAATAATGTACATAGTCGTCAAGACCGCGTTCTGCAAACAATTGATGTTTGAGTTTAAAAGCTGTACATAGACCTATTCTGTTGAGAAATTTACAGTACAAACCAAGTTTTTGAAAAAATTTTGAAAGTCTCAAAAGAACGAATATTTATTCTTGATTTTTGGTTTATATAAATATCAGAATTTTGACAAGCTATGAAATTTTGAGCAATCTAAAATTATTTGAATTTTCTTCCCAGTACGGTTCATCTTTTGAATGATAAAATTTAAAACATAATCGATTTTATTTTCGAATATTCTCAATACTCGAGAAAATCTTGAAACGTATTTTTGTGGCCTTTGAAATCCCTCCAAAAAATAACCTACTTTCTTTATGCAATGGTGGTTTTGGTAAATTCAACAAAATCAATTGACTATTTGCCGAATGTTGCAACAACAATTCATTCAATCGAACTGCTGTGTGCATTTTCGAAACTTTCGATTTATCCAACGCCTTCATTCTTTCTTTTTTCGTTTTTTCAGCTCCAGCTCCAGTTCCTCCAGTCTTTTCATTTTCTTCCGAATTATTTCCTTCAACAACAACATCTTCTTCACTATCTTTTTTCTCAATTTTCTCCTTATTTTTCTCTTTTTCCGATGTGACTAATGGTGAAATTGCTCTTGATGCATTTTGTGGTGGCAATGAAAGAGTCTTTCCAGTTCCAGCTGCTTTTTGTAAATCTCTCATCATCATTGTTCTTTCTTCCATCAAAAGTGTACGTTCGAAGGCATTCTTTGAGATTTCTGGATCAGCGAGTTCGACAATCTGCAAAAAAAGAAATGAAAATTAAGGTATTGTAGAATTGCTCTCAACAATTGCCAAACTACAAAAAATACTGTAGCAGACTGCAAAAACTGAGGTTTTCAAAAAAGTGAGAATATAAACTCGGAGTTGCAATAAATCCTACACACAACAAGACTGCAAAATTACATTACAGTAATATTTGCAGTTCGATCAATCTACAGTACCCTTACATGTCCCCAAAAACACTTACCATAATCTTGGCATCAATTCTCAATTGATAAACATATTTTTGTAAATCCTCTTGCATTTTCACATTATTATCCGATTCTTGTGCAATACCAATAACACGCAATTTACAACCTCTCCAAACTTTGTGTTGTTTCAATAAATATCCCAAAAGAAGACATAATCCACCATCTTGAACAATCCAATAAACATCAATCATTCCAGACATTCGGAAAACTGAACTTGGGAAATCAATAATTCCTTTTGCAACAACAATTGCCATATCATTGATGGCAGCCGCGTGAACTTTTTCAATGAATGTGTTATATTCAGACATATCTTCTTCACGTTCATGAACTGGCCACGAAATCAACATTGTATTTGGTTTCAAACCGCCTAAACCAACTGATTGAACAAGAGTTGACATCGAACCGAAAATCTGAAGAAAAAATGTCATGTTTCAAAAAGTCCGTAAAATATCTCACCTGATCCTCTTCATGGACCAAAGTTTTAGCAAAACCTCTCAATCGAACTTGATTCATATCAAAGTCCATTCTCGCTTTAACTTGTTCTCCTTTCTTTTTATCATCTGGACTTGTTGGATCACCTTTCAAGAATGCAGTTACAACAGTCAATCCTTTTCCAGCTTTCAATTGACTTGCCAAATTCAACAAATTCAAATATCTAACATCAATTATTTCTTTCGACCATTGCATTGATAACAACAATAATAATTGTGGTCTCCAATTTTTCGGATGTGGTTCTTTATCCTCAATTTTCATCAATGAATATTGTGCAGTTGTTAGAGCTAATCCACGAATTCCATCTCCCCATTCTTTTTTCGCACCTTTCCATTCAACATATTTATAAATCACCAAACATAACAAACAAGCAACTGTTGCATAATCCCAATGTGTTGAAAACATAATGAAGAAACAGAGAACCGCTCCAAGAAGTGACAAAAACCAATGATAATATTTGAATCGTGGTCTCCAATTTGGTGCACCAAGCAAAGAATGAAGAGTGCAAATGATATTGACAAAAGCATAACACATTAAGAAGAAGAAATCGACAACAGCTGCAATTGTATCCATTCCACCCATAAGAATTGCGAGCTCAGCAATTATTGTTGTCAAAATAAGACCCAAAAATGGTTCATTTTTAGCGGTAACTTTTGCGAATGGCGAGAGAATTGGGATAACTTCATCTTTTGCAATTGCTTGAAGAAGACGTGGAGCAGAACAAAGACATTGAAGAGCAGCACCGAATGTGGAAAGGAATGAACCAATTATAAGAACCCATTTATTTGGCCAAGATAATAGAGCAACAACCATTTGACCACCAACTGATTGACCATTTCTGCAAAAAAAAAATGATACACTATCGAGAAAATTTTCATCCAAAAAATGCACTCACTTATCTCTCAAAACAGCTCCATCAATCGCTCCTCCAAAAACGAAAGCCAATGAGAAATAGATAAAAGAAGTTGTGAGTGTAGCGGCAATTGTTCCAGCCGGAATCGATGCTTGTGGATTTTTCAAATCTCCACTCATATTTGCACCGGTGAAAATACCAGTTACAGCCGGGAAATAAATGGCCAATAATACAAAGAACGTTGTTCGAACATCTTGATAAACATCAGTTTTTGTATTTGCTTCTTGGTGAATTGTTGAATATCCTTTATCAACATAATTTGGTGCCAAATTATTGAGGAGAGTTTGTCCGCCCATAAAACCAGGGAAACCATTGACACATCGGAAACTTGTTGTCATTATTGTATCATTGCAACCAGTATCAGCACAAATATTATCCAACAAGAAAGTGTTGCTGGAAAATAATTGAAGATTTTCAGAAGTGCAGTGAGAAAAATAAGATTTCTGTTCCAACTAATAATACATTTCATAAACTCACTTGTTTCCACAATAATTGCACATTTCAGACAAATCAACATCGGCCGGCAAAACAACGCGAGATTGAAGAAGAGTATCTCCGTAGAAGCAAACGCTGGAAAAATTCAGAAAATAACCACCTGACAATTTTTTTGGATAAAAACTAGAGTCAAACTCCAACATTTTGAACACTTCTTCAACCAAAAAATTCCAAAAATAAACTCAAAAAATCCCTTGACTAACTCTTGTCCACTATCCGGATACATAGTTTTGGTAACTCCTCCAGCATAACACGCCAAAATCGACAAAATGACACAAACCAATGAAACTGGCGCCAACATTTGTACAAATTTCACACCCATCGCAACAATCGCAAATTCAATCAACAACAAAATTGTTGAATAAAAACGCAATGAATTTGTCATATTTCCGAATAATCCAGTATCATGTTGTCCTTCAACTCCACCAAATGTCAACCATGGGAAGATGTATAAGAGTAAAATTTCGACACCTCCGACAAGATACATTGATGTGGCAACTGTGTTTGCGAGATAGAATAAAATACCAACTGCGGAACCGAATTCAGGGCCAAGATTACGAGATATCATGAAATAGGCACCACCTGATTCGACAACACCATTTGTAGCGACTGCAGAAATTGAGATGCATGTTAAGAATGTCTGCAAAAACAAGAGTTTTTTGGAGATCTATAACTGGGATCATAGTTTCATTTCAGAACAATAGTTTATTTTGGATAGCTTTCTTATCAGGTTTCAGACCCTCATTTCTCCTTCAGAAATAAATATCAAAGTTCACACGCACTTATATCGAATATTTTTTATCAATTCATGAAACAAAATTGGCCAAAAGATCTCTTGATTTCGCCAAAAATGATTTATAGTTTGATAAAAAGCATGCGACTTATTTTCAAAGAATGTTTACTTATTTTCTCTCATTTCTTTCTCGTGAAAAATGGGCGTGGTTTTAATGCAATAAGGAGAAACTTCTCTAAAATTTCAGATATTTAAAACTTACACATAAACAACACAAGAACAACAACAAGAATGTCTGTCCCAATCCAGCAATTCCGACGAGCCAAAAAAGACGAATAAACATGGTGACACCCAAAATGTGTTGAATTGTTGGCAAATAGACACCCAAAAGTGTTCCCAAATCAGCTTTTCCACCGTGTCCGCCGTGTGAACTTTGTGCTCTTTCCAATGGTCCCGGTGTAATGTGTGCTTTCAGATAATTTGAGAAAAAAGGCATAGATGGTTCTTCGAAAAGTGCCAAATTGTGATTGGCGGTGCCAGATTCTTTGTTTGAACCCCATGCATAGAGTTCTCCTGGAAAAAGAAGATTGGAAAACGGGACGAGATGAGGGGGGGGGGGGGGGGCTCAAAAAAGTTCACTTTTAATTCATTTCTTTACTTGAAAAAATCAATTTTCAGATTATTAAATTGCAGTACTATTAGAGCGCTGTTGCGTTATATAATGCAAAACCAGTCTGCTTCCGGTACGGAACTGACAGTTAAACAATATTTTCATCAAAAACCTTCCAGTCACCAGTCTGTTCTCTAATGCTTGCCTTTTTGCTTTTCAAACAAAAAAAAGCAATTTTACAAATAATTAAATGAACTCAAAAAAGAAACCAAAAAAAAACGAACGATGACTATCATCCCTAGTCATAGGTGGCGGTGCATCTTGTTCCACCGACAATAAGAACCTCGACGACACTTTTGTCGGTGGTTTTCCATGTCCAGTTGATACCACTATCGCCGGTGCAACTTGATTTGCGTGATGTTTCGAAAGCAATGTCGAACTCTCGTTTATACTGTGCTCATCGCCACCGATAACAAAATTGAATTGTGCTCCGCTTCCGCTTCCGCCAGCCTCGGGTGACGTGGTTTCGTTCTCCCGCGTCGATTCGATTGTCATTAGATGTTAGTTGTTTTTGTTGTAGCTGCTCACTTATCGATTGATTTTCTATCGAGTATCACGTGTGGTTAGGAAGAACACAATAATATATTATTTTTGTATAAATAAATAAACACTGAAAAAAGAAGCAAAAATGAAAATGAGGAAAAAACGGAACGGAGAAGGCCAAACAATAATGACAAACTTAATTAAAGTAGAAGTGCTGGAATATAAATGAGTAATTAAAAAAAGTGAACAAAAGTTTGTTGAACATTCGAGTTCCTTTTCCAGGAAATGGAAAATCTATAGTTTGATGATAGGTCAGACTACAGTATAGTGAGCTTTGGTGCAAAAAGTTTGGTCAAAAAATTTCAGGGAAAGCCCAGATTCTTCTGATTGAAGTATTACTTCATTCAAGAAATCAACAAAAGTTGAAAACCCCGATAAACTACTTCTGACGAAATGAAATATTTTGGGCGTGGAAAAAAGCAGGTCACTCATGATAAAATCATAAAATTTATGTTGATGAAAAGCAAAATTTTTTGAGCCACCTTTCTTATCTATTGATTTTGAAAAGTTAGTGAAGTGCAAAGAATGAACAAAAGTTCGTTGTCTTTTGATAAACTTCCGGAGACTTTTTATGAGTTTTTCTATAAACAAATATCGATTCAATATTGAGTCAGACACTTTTTATGGACAGGTGTCACTATCGTTGGAAAATAAAATTTAGATAAAAACCTAAAAATAACACCATTTGGAAATAATCAATTTTCGACACATCTGGACTACAACTGTCCGCAAAAATTATGCGGTGTGTATATTTTTGGAAGATTGGAAGAAAAACGAAATTACTTTTTTTTAGAGAATATAATAAGGGCACTGTTTCACCTTAAAATCGAGATTTTTCACGATCGTGTTTTTTAATTGCAAATCTTAACTTTTAATATTAGTTATGACGTGGAAAAGTAAGAAAACTTTGAAAATTCGTCACTCAATTTAGGAGTTGAGTTGGTCAGTTTTTGAATACGGACGGCGATCAGCAGGTCGAAAACTACTAGAAAACATAAAAATTATCATTTTTTATTGACTTTTCAATTTTTGCACAGACAAGAATGTAATAAATAAGAACCATTGGCTTTTTTTGTTTGATAAGACGAAAAGCAAAATGTGGAATTTTTAAAGAGTTTAATTCGTTATCAAAAGACCATCAAAAAAGTAAATATCAATCAGCTTTAAAAACCAAAAGTCTCAATTTCCAGAAATTTCGCAAAAAATGAAACCAACTGGAAAACATGAGCAAACAAAAGTGGGTGGATGAAATTAGATACAAGTACTTTTATCACTTATTATTTGTTTATATAGTGAGTGATAGATGGAATAGAGTGGAAAGGGAAAATAGTTTCGGAACACACATTTTTTGTGAGACTCGGTTTCAAAAAAGAAAAAGCACAATGAAAATGAGTATTATGTAATGTGGGAATATTTGTTGTGGGAACGAACAAAATGACCTTGGAGGTTTGAATTTAGAGGCCAAAAACTGAGAAATTTTGTGCAAAAACTCTACGTCTCATAAATTTTGAAATATAAGATATTTTGAAGAAAAATTTTTGGAAACTAGGATATTAGTTCTACATAATAAATTTATTGCTAAACTTGAATTTTGATCTCGAAAACTCACAAATTACGAAACTTCTACCATATCTATAGTTGAAATACATCTACTCAACTTCCAAATCTCACGAGCACCATAGAAAACTCAAGACGAAACAGCGAAAAAGAAAAGAAAAAAAGAAAACCAAAAAATTCGAATCGCCGCAAGCACCCAATATGACGCGCAATTGCACACAAATCGTGGTGGCAATTTGAGAATATTTATTTTCTTTTTCTTTTTTTCGTTTTTTCATTTCATCCATAAAAATAAATTATGGGGACCCCATTGGGGTGATTCAGGTCGAAAAAAAAATAATAAAAAAACATTTTTTAACAAAAAAATTCGATTCAGCAAATGTCAAAAAACTATATTTTTTTCCTATTTTTTGACATTTTTTTCCACACAAAAATGAAAAATATCTCGCAGCGAAAATGTTGCAATGTAAAAAAATGTCAAAAAATAGGAAAAAAAATATAGTTTTTTGACATTTGCTGAATCGAATTTTTTTGTTAAAAAATGTTTTTTATTATTTTTTTTTCGACCTGAATCACCCCATTAGAAAGGGAAAATGGCCTTGCCACCTGCTCGCGCCCCGAAAAAAACTCACTGTCACCAACACTGGCTGTTGACATATTGCGACTACGCTCATCCAAACCATTTCCACTTAAAAATTATTGATTTATTCAAATTTTTTGAGCTTTGAAAAAAACTTACGCGTGTTCGGGTGAAATGATAATTTCAGGTTGTGGCGGAATCGTTTTATCTTCGTCCATCATCAAATTTCGCCACCACGACGAAGCTCTTCTGTAAGTTTTTTTTAAATCTTAGTTTCACAAAAAGTTGTGTGTCTCAATTATTTTTTAAAAATCAAAAAGTTTTTGTGATAAATCAATCATCATGATACCAAATTATCACAACTAGTTTTAATCATTTTCACATGAAAACAATATCTTTCTGATTTCGAATCAAAATTTGTCGGATAATAAAAAAGTATCAAAAAAAATCCGACAAAAAAGTCGATAAATTGTTGGATAAATGACAAATGATACGGTTTTTATCAATAACACATATCAAATTTATATATCCTTTTTCGATTTTCGGCAGGTCGAAATAAAAAGGAGAATAGAATATAAAAACGGAGGAGAAGAAACATTCGACTAATTTATTTATGTTTTGTTTTGTTTTTCAAAATTTGTTGAACTTTCGACGTAGTTTTTATCGCTATTTTTCTCTGCGTCTCGGTTTTTCTCGGAATTAATTTGGGTACTGTAGATTAGGAAAAATACTGTTGAACGTTTTGGTTGGTCTATTTTTAGATTTCTAGTGATTTCTTAGTTGTCCTTAATTCTTAAAAGTTATTTAAATATATTAAACTTCCAAATTTTTTAGAAATATGTGATTCTTGGGTTCTTCGGTTTGGAACTGATTTTGAAAAACTGAATTTTTATTTATCAAAAATTTGAAACAGTGAATTTTTTTCGAATTTTTTAATAAAAAAGGGAGTAGAGTGTTGTAGTGTAGATTTTCTCCAAATGTTTCAAAAATCCAATCTTTTACTTCTTCATTAAAAAAAATTTCAGGGTTATAATAGAGAACATTTTCAGATTACTGTTCATAGAACTAATGTGACCCAGATTACTGTAGAAATCCCAGAATTACTATATTTTTCCAGATCAAAAATTTTAGAGAACAGTATTTTCAGAACTAGATTACTATAATTTTGCGAGAATTTTCCAACTACAGTAATCCACTTCATTATTACTGTAACTTCCCTATCAACAAAACAAAAAACTCACTTGAAAAACTGCATAAATATGAAATCAAATCAAAAACTCGTGCGGGTTTAATCTAACAAAACTGACCGAAGCCGATTGAGATTTTCGAATCGAAACCACTTGAAAAACTATTTTTTGTTGTTGTTACAAGATACATTAAGTCAACAAAAATCTGATGAAGAGCATAAATAAAAATGACCGGTTAAAGTTATTTTGAACTTTTGTCGATTTGATTTCAGACTCACCGAAGAAGTTGAAATTGAAAATAGCGCACCAAAAACGCATAGATTTTCTGATTTGCTCGTTTCGAAATCACTTTCATCTAGTTTTCTCTTAAGCTCAGAATTTTTAGTGAATGAAGAAAAAATAACAAGTGTCAAGTGTGTTAAAAAGCATGAAAATCAAATATTATTCGTTATTTTTCTCTCAAAGTTTTTTTTGTATTGTTACTAGGATTCATCATCGTACTATTTTTTGTGTTAACAATGAGAGAAAATCAGTAGTGGAAAAAAGGGGAGAAAGACAAGTGTTTTCCTGGTTGCAGAATATAATTGAAAAGTACAGTGCTTTTTTTCTGCTTTTTCTTTGATAGATCAAATTTTGCAGCAAAAATAAAATTGAAACTCTACAAGACAGGCTAATTTTCGGCCAAAAAAATCAGAATTAATTTTCAAAGATCTCATACATAATTTCATCCTTATAGTTTTATCCATTTCATTCCCCAAACTTTTTTCCAAATCAATATTTCTACTTCTCATGTTCCCCACTAAAAAAATGATACACATTTATCAAAACTTCCTGTTATTATCACTCAAAGATCCCCTTTCCCACTGTTCTTCCCAAAAATTCCCACCAACTAACCTTTCCTGATTTGGTGAATCAGGTGTTTCAAAAATCACAACCGATGCTTTTTTGGTGGGTGGCATCGCGTTTTTGACAGCCTCCACAGAACTCACACGGCGACCAAATCTGGAACATGATTTTTATGATTTAAAAAAATTTGTGAACTTGGTAAGCCCCCAAAGAAACATTCAGAATAGCTGAAAAATAAATGATCTGAAACAAAATATTGTCTATTTGTCTTTTTGGCCAAAAAAGGTAATGACTGTTAAATAGAAATATCATCTTTTGGAACCCAAATGATTGATAATATGGGAAAAGTCGAAACAAAAACTGGTTTTTTCAAGTTTACCTAAATCTTTGAAGGTTCATCAGGTTCTAAAAATACAGAGTCTCAGGACAAAATTTTTAGGTGAACTGTAGAACAGTTGTTATTTTAATTCCCCTCAAGTCAAATGTGTATTATAGGTCTCACAGAGATTTAAAAAAATGCTAGTCATTGGGCTTTTCGAAATACCCTATGATCGGAATGAGTGATCGTCTCCAAATTAAAAAAAATAGAATAAAAATATTTTTTAACGTGACCCATAAAAAATAATGAAACACGTCTACATTTTCCTCATTTTTTTTATTTATTTCTAAAAATTCATGAAATAATGAAATTTCTCCTATTGTTCTTTTTATTAATTATTGTTGAAACAATTGCAGGTATCATCTAAAACCAAAAAACCAAACTCTCAATCAATCAGAAAATTTTGAATTTCAGCAAATAACAATTGCAACAATAGGGATGTTCTCGAATATTCCGATTTATCAGATGATAAATGTGATTTTCGAGCCGAGACTCCTTTAGAAGCCAAGTTTTATCGAAAATTTTGTGGGAGAAAAGGATATTATGGATATTTGGGGAAGAAAGATATTTTTGGAAAACCGATTGAAAGAATTGCACAAAGATGTTTTACGACTGAGTAAGTTTAGGGCTGAAAATCTAGGAAAAACATTATTAGAAGAACTTTCATACAAAATTCTTTGGATTTCAAAATCAAATCCATAGTTCCTTATTTCTACAGTACCCCAACTCACTCAGAGTTTCAGCGTTCATTTTTCATTTTTAGACAATCGAGAAATGATGAAATTTTTGAACAAAAAAGATTTTCCTTAAAAATTAGTTCACGTTTTCTACTTAATTGTTTCTACAAACTGTCAGAATTTTTTGAATTCCAAAAATATATTTGTTTTCAGAGATTGTGAAGATGGAACTGAACCAATGGTTTGTGTTAATGTTGAATGTGATACTCGAATGTGTTTTCCGGATCCATTTGTAAGTTTTTTGATCAAACTACAAAAAATAAACTATTCTTGGAATAGAGAGTTGAAATAACTCCTTGAAAAATTATTGCTTGAAAAAAAAAGTTATAACGTGACCTCCCATTTTTGTAAAACCCAGACGGTTAAACTCATAACAAATTTCATCCTAAAATCTCCTAATATTATTTTCAGATAGCTCAAAAAACAAGTCACAGTGAAATCATTTGCACAATTTGGAAATACACAATATTTGTTGGCTCCGCATTTTTCGTTCTTATGCTTGCCTCCGCAATCGCTTATAGTTTCACAATGAAAGAAGAAAATAAAGAGGAAAATGAAGATGAGGTAAATATGGATGATGTGGCACCCAACAATGAAAGTGATGATATGAATTATGGATCAAGTGATGAAAATAATAAGGATAAATGAATAAATTTTTCACATTTGCTACAAAAATGAACTAACCCTGGAGGTAGATCCTTTGGCCGAATTTGCGCCGGCTCATCGCTGCTCTCCTTTTCACTCATTTTTTCAGAGTCAAATTTGAGATGCCTCTGAAAAAAACTACAGTAAACATGGTCAAAAATGAAACATAGAATTTAAAATTCAAATTCAAATTGAAATAAAATCGAATAGAATATTCAAATTTCAAAGTTTTATACTGAAAATTTGAATAATCGGTTTTCAAATTACAGTTCTTTCTGCCCGCCCAAGTCGGATTCAGGAAACAGTACTGTACTAAAATTTTTTTTGGAATTGAGATAGAAAAAAATGAACAAAATGGCAGAACTTTTTTGAAACAAAAAAGTCTGGTTTTTCTATTATTAATGAAATTGATAATAAAAAAATAACAACAAAACAACAACAATGAAAAAAAACAAGAAAATTTTGGATCAAAAATGAAAATAAAAAATTCTGAAAAGAGAACTTTTCGGTAACGAAGAGAGAAAGTTAATTAAAAATCACATATGAAAACTAATTAATTTTAGGCTGTCTTTTTTTTGAGAAAAAATAAAAAGTGCCACGTGGATTTTAGGCGGAAGTGATCATTGAAATATGAAAAAGAGAAAATTTGCATATTGATCATTTGAAACTTTTAAAAGTTCTGAAAAATTATGAAAAAATAGAGAAGTTTGTATTTCCTAAACATATATGTAAGAAGTTGAAATACAGTAATACGGACTGAAAAAAACACAATGTTCAGATACAGAAAAAACCTCATAAGTTCTGAGATTTTTGATTTGCCAAATAAATTCTGGAAGTTTTTCGGAATCAGAACTTTCCAAAAGTCGCGAGTTTGCCCTCTAATCGATTTCTGACGCATTTTCATCAAAATAAAGATTCACAGCGCAAAACCATTTTTGTCACGTTATACCTCATTTTTGAAAGGCAGAATTTGACTGTATGTTCAGCAAAACAAAACAAGAGGTAAAATTGAAAAGGTTTCTTGGTCATTTTGTGTTTTCAAAACTTCATTATCTAAAAAATTACAAAAAGAAAGACATTACAAAACACCCGAATTCAAAAAAAATGTAAATATTTCAAAGGTTTGACCTAATCTCTTGGTAATGGCTTAATCATAGTATTATCAGTTGTTGAATCATCATCTTCATTCAAATATTGATGATGTGAAATTGATCTTGGAGATCGATGATATAAGTGTCGATTCAAAAGAGATGGAATCGAACGAGCCGCGTGTTGCTCTTTTTTTCGTCGTACAATTTTGCGGCGGAAACGCATTGGTTTGATGTAGAGAAGATAATAACCAATCTGAAAATGAAAATTAAATTTTGCCACGTGAATTGTGTTTGAAAAATTTACATTTTCTAAAAATACCAAAAAATCACGTATTTCTGACAAAAACACGAACAACTTTGAATAAATCAATTTTTCCAGATTTTTTTACAACAGTAATCCAATTATAGCCTAGTAGCTTATTTGATGTCACAACCAGTTTCGTACTCTAGTAATCTATGAATTTCAAATCACAAAACCAAAGTTCAAACCTCGCATAATAATTCGGCAAATTCGAGAAAAGTGATGACAGAGAAACCAATCCAAAGACCAATGTTACCACCGAAATCGGAAAACAAATTGACCAACTGCAAAAAAATAATGGATTTCATGGAGCAAAAATGCCAAAATTTTTGATGAGTGGTGTAAAAATTTAAATTTTAGAATGTTTTTTTTTTGAAGTTGAAAAAAAAACATTTTTTCCGGAATTTTCTAGAAGCTAAATTTTTCTCAATGAAAATTTCCAAGTAAAAAATTAGGATATTTTTTTTTCAAAACTTCCAGACTTACCGTATATCCGGCAGTCTCTTTCAACAATTCATAATTCAATTGCTCATAATAAATTTCAATATATGCTGTATTCTTTCTATAATATTCCGTACATGCTTCAGAATCATTAAAAATATCCGCCACTGCTGGACAATCATCTCCAATTCGGAAATTTTGACTTGGCCACGCGGAAGCCGAATATGCAGTTTCGAATTGTCTTTCTTTACAATGTTGTCGACAAACACAACGATCCAAAAGACTGTGAAATTCACCAGTTTCAGAAGTGACATTCCAAAGACATTCTCGATCTCGAACACTTCCAGCTTTGCAATGTCGGGTATTTTCAGATGGGAGGGGGAAACGAGGATCGCCGCAGCCACAGATTTTGAGAGCCGTGTTTTGGAAACAATTTCGATGGCAACCCTGGAATAATGTGGTTTTGATGAACTCAGAATTTCAAAATTTCAATATTATTCTGTAATTTCGAAAAAAAAACATTTTAAAAGTTGATTTCGAGAAATCTTCCCTTAAAATTTAACAAAAATTCTAGAAATTTCAGAGTTGTTTTTTAATTTCAGAAAAAAACTTCGCAAGTTAATATTTTTCTCATATAAAACTTTGACAAACCTCTGGCGAATATCTGTCTTCATAAATATAAGATTCCGGCCTGAAATCATCGCTACAATTTCCCCAAGGCGCACTCAATCGATGTAATTCTTTAGTTTTCAATCCAAAACTTGACACAAATCCAGTCGGAGCCGAATATCCAAAAGTATCCGGAAACGGCTCTTTATTTTGTTCATGCACAACAATTCGAACACCCGCAGATTCAGTTGTTGGCATATAATCATCTTGATGAACATCTAATAACAATCTCAATCCATACATTGGACCAGCTCGAGTATTTTTCAATTCCATACTATAATTAAAATTGAATGTATAACAATTTCCATATTCTGGATCGATATGAAGTCGAAAATCACTTTGCATATCACAATCTTTTGAATTGAAAGAACATCGAAGAACGAATTCATTGAGAGAATATGAAAGATTTCGACGAGTTTCTTTTGGAAGAGCAGCGACGAGGAAAATTAGATTCTCTTTAGTTCGAGTTGTAATAGCACCAGCGCCTTTGAGATCCTGCAAAATTATTTTGAAAAAATTTAGAATGTGAGCAAACTTGCTCAAAACCTACCTCTAATCCAAATGCTTTTTCAGTTTCTGTAATTTCAACAACAGGTGGATCAGTTACAGCATAAACAGTATAATTATTCGGATCCCACCATCTAATTTCTTCTTTTGGATGAACCATACAATGATGTGAAATTGATTGACACAAACATGTTACTCCAGGAATATTCTGCTCTTTCTTCCAAACCTTTAAATTTTTCCGATCTTCTCTTGGACCATCTGGATCTGGACAAGTATTTGATATCGTCGAACATCCCGTGCAATTCTTTACATTCCAAACAGAAGTTGGATAACACGGCCAAATATGTCCATGTGTCACATCTTCGAAACACATACAAATTGATGCTTGGGTTTCGAGAGGATTTCGATTTGGTACACATTGTTCTGAATTCATACAAGTGCAACGCACAAAAACTGGCTGATATTCAGCGCCTTCAAGTTCATCGTCATCGATTGGAAAAACAAGATCTTCACGGTTTTTGTGAGCTCCGCCTGTACCAGCTCGTTTCCTGCAAAACTCGTGATTTATTCAAAAATTCAAAACATTTTTCGATGAATCATTTTTTCCATAATCAAATAATTCGATAAACAAAACATATAAAAAGGAACTTTTTAAATCAATTTAGAAAATGTTGATTTTTCTATCAATTTTCCTAATTTTCCCAAATATTTCCAAACAAGAACAAGACAACAAAGTTTTTGTGTCAGATGGCGAAACAAAACTTTCAGAGTTCACATCATTTTGTGGATCAGGATCAATTTCCAAAAGAATCACATTTTTCTTGGTGGATTTGTTCACCAATTTACAAGATGATTTGAGTCATTGTTGTGCAATTCATGATGATTGTTATGATGCTCAAAGAGGAAAAATGAAATGTGATAAGGATTTTGAGAAATGTACGAGTAAATTGGATGATTTATTTTCGACGATAACTTATGCAGCTGTTCGTGAACACGGAGCTGCAGCTTACAGAGCTGCAGCTAATGGTATACCTGAAGGCTTTTCATGTGAAACATTCTAATTTCACTTTGTTTTCCAGATGACCCTCAATTAATATTTCAAACAAGAGACACTTCAATATCCAAGCAATTCGATAATCTATATAATTTTTGTAAAAAATCAAAAGCCAATATATCATCTTGTATCATAAGACATGAACATTGTAAAAATCGAAAAAAGGAAAAACGACAAACATGTAGAGTTTGGGTAACTTTTGAAATATGTTTGAAATGTAAATAGCATTTCTATATTTTTTTCAGTTAGCAAGCTGTCTTTTATATACTTATGGACACCGAGAGATCAATGAAAAATGTGATGACAAAATTGAAAAATTTATCGAGAAAGATTTGAAAATTAAAATCGATGATGTACCATTTTTACCAGAATGATTTTATGATGTTTTTTTATTCTCGAACAGTAAAAAGTTTAAATTTCATTATTTTTTCCTAGACTACAGTACTCCAAAAACTTTCCAACTCACTTTCTAACATTAATCGGAAGCAAACTTTGATCCAAATTCTTTCCACCTTCTCTCAACAACTCATTCATTTGTCTCGCATTTATCACACGATCCCAAACATCGAACTAAACAAAAAGATAATACTGTGAAGTTCTCTACTAAAGATCTAAACTCACCCCAGTTTTAATCTCCTTATATTGAATAAGTTCACTATATTTGAAGGCATTTAAATTGCAAACAGTTGCAGCTGGAAATGGAGCAGCTTGAAATTGAAGTTGCATTTCGATAATTGTTCGATAGTGTAAATATTCGGACATTGTCCAATAAGTTTGAATCAAGAATGACATTAGAGCACACATGAATACAGCAGCCCAAACCCAACGACCAAAAAATGATGAAGTTCTGAAATAATACGGTTTTTGAAACTCCCACCTTTCTTTTCCCCCTCAAAAAACTAACCCAACATAAGGTATTCCATGTGAACTTGTTCGATCACAAAAATCAAACCACAAAGATCGAATTGATGTATATCGATAATCATCTTCTGATTGAGATCTTATAGATTTTCTTGGCGAAACTCTTCTTGACGAAAAAAGTGGTGGAACATGCAAACTTTTCGATTTATCAATTGGATCTTCCAATATTTCATCATCTGCAATTTCCGAATCAAATCTTGATCCACCGGGATATGGCAAAGGTTCGATATAATCATCCGATTTTCGACTTGATGGCATTTCATCCGATCGAACTCGAACTAATTTCTAAAAACAAAATTTATAAATGAAAAATATGGAGCTTTGGGTTGAGTTAGAGTAGATCAGATATCTTCATAAAAATGTCATAAAATAAAATTTGCCAAATTTTTGAAAGATGGAAAAAGTTGATTAGAATATAGCTCATTTCGCAGAAAGTCGGAAATTTTACGGATTTTTTTGTAGATATAACTGCAAAAACAAATACATAATTTTGAAAAAATATTATCCAAGATTTTTGAAACGTAGAAAAACAAGGTGAAATTTTGAAACAGAAAATTTTTGAGAAATAGTTGTGCGATTCAGAAAATCCAAATTTTGCAAGATAATGAAGAGAGAAAGAATTTTGAAACAGAAACAGCAAAAATTTGTCCTCAGAAATTGCTCAAAAATAGTTCAGCTTCTTGTTCTTCCTATTTCTACAGCAGAAAAAAAGCTCCAAAAAATCGCTGCCTTTTCGAACGAAAAAAAAACAGCAAAGAAAAATATATGTTTCGTCCTTGTTTTGCCCGCCGCCAGCCTGGTTTGTCCACCAAAATGTGACAAATGCGACCCGGTCAGGCACCAACAACGAGCAGAAAAAACAAAACAAAAACTATTCCTCGGGGACCTTGCCTCTTCTTTTCCTCATTTTTCTTACAGATTACAATCGCAAATTTTTTTTGGTTGAGAATTGGGATTTTTTTTTTGAATTTTTGATCTACACAAAATGTTGAAGGATTACTGTAGCTAATTGAAAGCTATTTATTTAGTTATCTGATAGTTACAGATTTGAAATACCGATTTACAGTATTCTTATTCAAAGGAACATGATCAAGATATTTTTTTCATACAGAAAGAGTACAGTAATTATAGCCCACACAAAGTGCATCGAGGCATCGAAAAATCAGATTTTTCGGGTCTCTTGGGATTTTATTTTTTTTGGAAAAAAATGTCGTAGAAGAAAATTAGTATGCGGAAACGGAAAATGGGAAGGGTTATTGGATTCGAGATTTTTTTCTGCAGAAAAAAAAGTGTTGACATTTGGGATTCATAAGTTTTTCGATTAGTCCGAACGTTGAGAAAAAATTATGGAGCTCAAAAAAAATGAAATTCATCTCTGAAAATTCAAGAACTATACATTTCTTTTTTTTTAAATTTTTTATTATTTTCAAATTTAAAGAAATAATGAAACAAGTGTTTTCAACATTCAGAATGATATGAAATATTTGAAACTTAAAAAATTCGGGGGTTTCCACTGGTTTTTTCTAGATTCCACAAATGAATTCTACATGAATTTAGAACATCCATTCAAAAATTGCCTCACCTGACAAGCTTCTTCATCTTCTTCCTCTTCTTCTCCATCCAATGAAAAACTAACAGTTTTCATTGGTCTTCGATTGTGTCGCATTGCGCCACGTCTTTTTGGCCCAGTATTTTTGCGCACAAAAATCATTGACAATAAAAATGTTTTTTTTTCTGGTGAGGGGAGTTAGCACCCGACAAAAAAACTTTTTTTGGTGTCAAGATTGAGTTTGCAATTAGATGAGCATTGTTAAAGAACACGAAGAAAAGAGAGAAGAAGAAAGAGAGACGCAGACAAAATATGTACTTTTTTTTGCAGACAAAATTTGGTGACGGATAGTTGAACTTGCCTTACTTTCCCTTGTCGCTGAAACTCGTCGCATTTCTTTTTGAGAAGAAGTTCAGGGAATTCTGAAATATATATGATTTTTGAGGAAGAATCGAGAGGAATTTTGCACAAGGACTTACGTAAAATTATTTCGCTGTCATTTTCGAATTACAAATCATTTTGAAATGAAATCATCATTTTCAGAAATAATGAAATGAAACGTGAAAATTTTGCAGAGGTCACCCAAATTTTTATTTTAAAAAAATACCTGTTTTTGGATTTAAAACGTTGCAGGGATCTTAAGAACAACTTCATCTACCAAAACTCAATTTCGAAGTAGATTTTGTACTTCTTGAATTTTCCACTTCACCTTTCTGAATCCTTTTGGATTTTTTTCTCAACAAAACCTACTATTTGAGCTTTCGATTTGAATTTCTCATATTTTTCAACAAGACAGAATCTTATTTTGGCTCAAAAAGTTCTCAAATTTCTAAAATTTTTACGACTAACCCTAAATTTCGTCAATATCTAAAACCCAAGAAAAAACTGCTGCTTGACCACATTAAAAATACTCGAACTCAATTCAATTCTCAACCAAAAAAACCAACCAAAAAAGGGCCCGACCCTCCGAAACAACATTTCCGGTCTTTTCATTGTTTATTGCCTTTACTTCTTCTTCTTATTTATCCCTTCCTTTTCTTTTTTCCTAAATTCGGTCATTTTCACATCGGATTTAAAAAGGCAATTTAATCGTATTCATGTATATTCAAGTTATTCAAAAATGAAATGAAATGACAGATGCAAAAATGAACCCAACCCAACACAAATCTACAAAAATTCGGCAAGATTGATCGGAAATCCGCTGAGTGACACAAAATTGATGTTATTTGTCTCTTGAATTGCTAAAATTACATTGTTCATTTGGGATAATTGAGCAATATTGAGAGGCGGACTGTTTGATCTGCAAAAAACACACTGAAAATTATAAATTGTTTGGGGATTTGTTGTAGTTTCTTTCCAGTTGAATTGGAAAAAAAATTACTGTTTCAAAAAATTAATAAATAGATTCAATTTTTTCAAAGGCAATTTTGGAATTTCAAAAAACTTTTTTTAAAATTTTAGAGACTGCCTGTAAAAAAAACACTATCCAATCTAACTTTTTCAAAACCTTCTGTGAAAAAATTCAAATTTTTTTCTATAAAAAAAGTGTTCTCACCCATAACAAATCACTGAAAACAATGGTCTCGCTGGCAAATTATGTGAATATCCAGCTGGCGAAAAAACATGAAAATCCACATTCTCCACAGTAATCCTTGAATTCCTCCGAAATTCTGCAGAATTTCCCGGTTTTCGAAAATTATAATTTTTGCCTTTTGATCTTTTTGACCAATCGATATGTCGATATTCTTCCCAATTTTGTGCATTTTTGAGCTTCCGGAATAATTGGCCAATATTTCGGGCGACACGGTTTGTTAGATCTTGATGAAAATCTTGGAATAAATTTTGATTTGAAATTTTCGAGTTTTAGGAAATTGACAAATTGCGGATTTTTGCAAAGCTCCAAGTTCAGTGGATTTTCTGAGCGTTGATTTTGAACAAAATTTTGAAACGGTTGAAATTGGACCTGCACTTGATTTTGCGGTTGATAATTTGAAGTCTGAGGTTGTGGCCAATTCGGTCTTCGCATTCTTTCATGATTAATTGTAGTTTGTCTTGGTCTAATAATAACCAATCCAGTTAGCCGAATTGTTTTGTATGTTTCATATTTTTGAGTCGAAACTTGACAGGATTCCAAAATATGGAGCGCTTGAAAAATCGATAATTCTTGACCGTTGACGTTTTGAATTATTCCAGAACCGGTCTGGAAAAGGGAGACTTGAAAGTTATGACGTGGGTTTTTTCTCCCAGAAAACTCTCTAAAAAGAACAATGTTTTTTTTTGAAAATTGTAGACAAAAATTTTTGTCTACAATTTTCAAAAAATAATTTTTTACAGATAAAATGGAGTGATTTAAGTCGAAAAATATTACTAAAAAACATTTTCTGAAATATTTCTATAAAAAACGGTTTGAAAAATAAAAGTTGGTGAATGGAAAATTTTGTCAAAAAAAATATTTTTTATTAATTTTTTACGACTTGATTTACTCTTGGAAGGAATAAACAAGAAAACATTTTATCCCTGACATTCAATTGAATATAAAAATTTTGATACGTATAAAATTCATTTTTTTTAGAAAAGCGGGTGACAATTTCGATAGTACATTATTGTACTATCGATTTTCGGGTTTTCAAAAAAATAATACGCTATATTCAAAAGACCCAATTTTCAGAAAATCAAAAATCCACATAGCATTTTTTCATACCTCATGTAAAAAGACAGCTTCTTCGGGATATAATTCATATCCACCTCTTTGCGGAATTCCCATCGATAACATGTGTTTTCCCACGGTTTTCAGCACTTTCAGCGTCGATTTTCCGGGCTGAAATTCGATTTCGACAACTCTTCGTCTAAAAAACTCCCAGAATAGGGTTTTCGGATGAACATTTAATTTAAGAAAAAACTTACTTTCGCTTGATTTTATGATGATTATTTTCCATTTTCCTGGAAAAACAAATAAATTTCTAAATTTTTTCGTTCCCATTTTCAAAAATCAAAATAAAAATTGAGTCATCCAAACAATTTTCCACTTTTAAACAAAAACGGAGGGAAAATGGCAAAAACTTTATAAAATTCATTATTAGAGAAAAAGTGACCTAGCGATAGAAAAAAGAACCGTTTTGATAAAATTTAGCAAAAAATTTTGATTTTGTAGGGGGATAAAAATCACAGTGAAAGAGAGAGAGAAAAGTCGGCAAAATACATACATTTTGATTTTTGAGAAAAAAAGAGCAAAAGCAATAACAAAAAATATAGGGTTCCCTTATGTAGGAGATTCAAAAAATATCCAACGGCATGAAAATTTTTCGACAAGCTCTTGTGACTTGAGTCATTGGATAGTCTTGAATTGGCAACATTTCGCTTATTTTTGGAGGAACTGATTTGAAGTCCGATGTGTATTTGAGATCAAGACTGTCGCGGAGAAAAGCGCGACCGAAATAATCGAGAGAAACAAATTGAATGTCGCTGAAAAATTTAACTTTTATTTAAAAAATGAAACAACAATCCCAATGCTAAAATTTTATATACAGTAACCCAAATTTAAAACGACAGAAGTTTATTTTTAAAAATTTCAAAAAAGATTCACTGCTTCGTCAAAAACATAACATTATTCTCAAAATGTTACTTTCTTGTAATAAGAAAAATTTACGATGATTCCTACATTCCAAAAAAAAACGCACCGATAAATAGGAAAATGTTTTCCAATCGTAACTTGTCCATTTTTAGCAACTCTTCTCGACGAATTAATCAATGTTTGAATTGCGCGGAACAAATCATTATTTTGAACAGCGGTTGTGACCGATTTCCAAGTTTCTTCGTGGCGAGAAATATTTGGATTTTCGAGGCGGAACTGAAACACGAATATTATGAATCATGATGATAAAGTGAAAATTTACAAAAAATGATACTTATAATATTTTTATGCCGGAACAATTTCTGATTTATTTTACTGTTTCAGAAAAATTATACATTTCTTTAAAAATTTTCAATTTTCGATAACAAAATTCAGAAAACTCACATCATTATTTGGATTCGAAAAATACAAGGGAAAAGCGTCTTTGTGTTGATCAGGTAAATCAAAAACACATCGAATATGATGTCTTTCTGCAATCCAACTGAATAAATGACTCGGTAATCCCAATCTTCTCATATAATAAATCATATTCCAAAAGACAACTGGATGCGTTTCTTTCAGCGATTCTTTCTGGAAAAAAATATGTTCAAGATTTTCAGCGAAAAAAATCAAACCAACCTTAATAGCCTCCTTATCTCCAGCCAAAATAGTTTCCAATTCTCTTCTCAAAACAAGTGGGCTAACAAATGCAACTTCAAGCGATTCTTCCGGATTTTCTTTTTGAGTTTGATCTTGTGGTTCAGGAGTGGATTTTTTCTCGGGTGTTCCTTTTCTTGATTCAACCAATCCGCCGGCCGAATAAAAACTCGCATTTGGAACCTGGAAATTTGAATTTCAACAAAAATTTCTTTGCAAAAGTGTAATTTTTGGATTTTATTTGGATCTATGGGTATTTTTCTGAATGTTTTTCTGATTTATTTTTTTTGGTTTACGATTATTTAGAGGTCGATATCGAAATTTTGAATAAGAAAATGTTTTGCACGAAAATTCGCAAATTCATATTCTATAAATCTTACTGTAAATCTGTCTGTATTGTAATTATACATACCTCAATCCATTTCATTCGAATCTTCAATCTCGGTGCAAATACATCTTCAGCTTTTGTCGCTTCAACAATCGCATCAGTTGCTCCCATTCCAGCACAACAATGTGTACAAACAGTATTTAAATTTTGATCATCAACTTTCCATCCTGACATAATTTCTTCATCATAAATCATAGTTGAACAACTTGGACAAACAGTTGCCGCACAAATCACAACTTCTAATCGTCCTTTTTGTTCAGCATTATCTTCGGGATTTTCTTGATTTTTTTCACTTCTTAATCGCTCTTTCGTTCTTCTAACTTGCAAATAAACTTCTCTCATCCAAAAATCTTCTCCCAAAATACTCGCAGGTTGACTAGAATCCAAGAAATATGCCGGATCTTGTGGATTCAATGCAAATTGATTCTCATTTTTCTCATCCGAATAAATCATTCCACTTCCCATTGCTCCAACTGATTTTGTCAAAATACTTGACATTCCTTTTCGGAATCTTGATGGAACTACATCTTTTACAACTCCATCATAACCTTTTCGAACATGATTTACAAATGAATTCAGGCTTGGACTTGCACTACCAGCATTCTCAACGGGTTTTGGGGTTTCTGGAATGAAAACAAATAATTTTTTGGGAGACTGAAGTCGTGGTTTCTAGATGCTGTTATTTTATTCCTAACACAAAAAATGAAACCAGAATTCACAAACTAAGCAAAAACATTTAATATAAAATTTTCGAAACGTATAAAATTCAGTTTTAAAGAAATAGACAACTTTTAAAACTGAGGTTCAGGCTGGCCCAATATCTTGATTTTGCTTACTTTTCTACATACTTTCCAACCAGAAATCATTCAAAATATGTGCGTTGATAGAAATGGCGCAAGGTTGAAAAAAATAATTCGAATTTGAACGCCCGCCGAGTTCTAGATAATCTAGTGCATTTTTGGGCGGCGGTGTGCGGTGTTTGCAGACTTTTTTTTTTACTTTTCTTTTTTTCGTTTTTTTTTTGCAAAAAACGGATTTTTGTGATGAAAATCGGTTTTTGACTATCGCAGCACATCAGGAATCATGATTGTCGATATTTAGGTAAGTTTTCATGAACATTTCATGGTTTTCATGTTCATTTTCAGGAAAAATTGGCGATTTACAAGTTTCGAAGGATTTTCGATGGAATTCTCAATTCAAGTCGTTTTATGACGTTTGGTGAGTTTTTTCAAAGTTTTATGCTAGATGATAGTGACTCTAGGCAGAATCGAACAAATAACATCTTTAATTGTTAGTTTTGTAACGATTTTGGCTGCGAGTCCATCAAAATTCAAAGTTTTATTGAAAAATGAATCTGAAACTGATTTAATTGTTGTTAATTTCAGAGAACAACTTCAATGTGCTGTGTTAATGGATTTGGAGGCTAAACAAAGTGATGCTTCGCCAAAAACATCCCGGAATTCTGCGATTTTCAGAAATTCGCCAATTTTTGAAGATTCGAAGCCTATCCAAAAATTTCTTTGCTCAAATGTTCACTCAAATGCTATGTAAAGTGTTTCTTTCAATAAATTTGCTGAATTTTTCCAATTTTTTATTCGGTTTCTTTAGGTTTCTTGCTTTCCACAAACCAAAAAAATAAAAGTAAAACAACGAGACTCCGCGTGACACTGCGCTCACACAATCGCGGCAATTTTTTTATTTTCAAACGAGGGTTTTTTAATTTTTTTCTTTTGCTTCAAAAAAGAGTTAGAGTGAGTTTTGTGAGTTCTCTCTTTGCAGATGTGTTAAAAATAGTACGAAAAAAGTAATTTTGGTATGTTTTGAACCGTAGCTTAAAAGTTGTCTATTTCTTTAAGAAACCTCAATTCAATTCATAGTTTTTTTCGAAATCCCTTCTTTAAAAACATACCAAAAGTGGTAGATCGAATCATTTTCAACATCGGCGAATTGGCAATTCCTTTCAACCATCCTTCCGATTTTCTCGCACTTTTTTCCGCTTTCGGCGTTGTTTCCGATGAGAAAAGTTTTGAAGAATGTTCAGCAAGAAATTTGGCGCGAGATGGTGACATTCCAACATCATTCTTTCTTCCAATCCCATTTTTCTGCGCATTCAATTTATTTGCTCCAAGTGGATCTTCTTCTTCTTTTTCTTTTTCAGAAGGCAACGGATGATAAGATATTTCATAATCGACAGTAACTTCCTCAATCTTCGTTCCATTTTTATTATCAATTTCTCTGGTATTTAATGTTTGAAGTCGTCGTTTTTCAACATTTGCAAACTTATAAAAAGCATCAGATGCGTTGATAGCAATCCTTAAAATCGACCACATTCGAATTGCTTTTTGTCTAGCTGCACTTGGCCATTTTGCATCCATTACAGCTCGATGATAAATTCCATAAGTCACAGCGTTTTGTTCAAGTCCAGCACGTTGCATAGCCTGAAATTAATTGGGATTCAGGAATGGGTGTGAGTGGGATCATTGATATTTCATTGGATCAAGTTGCGTTATAATATTTTCAAAACCTATTCCGCTTGAGTAATGTTATTTTCATGCAACAAAATCTTCAAACAAAATTTATAAACGTATTTCAACCCTCAAATTATTTCAAAAACCAACCTGCAATACTTTGACAGCCATCGCCGGTTGATCATATTTTCCACAAAGTTCAATTAAAATTCGATAACAAACTTGATCGAGCGGGAATATTTCTGTCCGTTCCATTCGATCGAGAACCTGAAATTAATCAATTGAAAAGAACCGTCTAGGGACCAACAAAACTCACATTAAAAGCCAATCTCAAAATCTTCTTCTTATTCGGCGCCGCCAATAAAAGACTTTCCAATTGCATAAACCACAATGAATACGAGTAGAAAAGTAGAGTTTTTGCCCACTAAACAATACCTGGTTTTTTTAAATACAAAAAATTTGAAAAAACTCACATGAAGTGGATTTGTTTTCACAGTATTTATCGCTGCCAAAAGTGAGCTTTTCATTTCGGGTTTTGTACGAACTGCTGTACAACGAGAAGCTTCGTAATGTATCGGAACTTTTTCGCCATCTTTTTCGAGTTGGTCCAATTGGAAATATTCTGTGTTGAGGTGAACTGGGAATTCCTGTAAAAAAATAATCTCATAGGTGCCTCCCACACGAGCGATTTTTTTCAACACATTTTCCAAGTGAGACCCAAAACCTACCGTATACTCAAATCTCATTTCCTCTCCAGTTTTCGGGCTCACAAATGATTCAGGCGACGGGATGAAAACCTGCAAAATTCAATTTTAAACTCCCCAAATTTTCCGGTTTTGTGTTAACATGCAAAACATAAACGTGCGATAAGAATTAGAGCAGAACAAAAGGCTAATAAAAGGAAAAAACGAACCATCGAACTTCGCGAATCTCCAAACAAACTTGCGTTCTGCACAAAAAAAGAGAGATGAAAAATATTGAAAGCTCACAAAATATAAAATCACCACAAAAAATCATGCGGATCATATAAATGGAAATATTCAAAAATGAGCAAATACACGGGCTCAAAAAAAGGCCGAAATTTGGGATGAAAACTCACGGTCGTATGATTATGCGAAGTATCAGGTTCCAAGAGTTGAACATTCGAACTATCACGACCTTCTGGAAAAAACCCAATGTTTTAACATAAGGCTAATTTTCACGAAACCAAAAAAAAGACCCACCATATTCAGCCATGTTCAATTTTTCAATACAATCATCAAAAAATTGATTATAAGTATTTCGATCCGATAAAAAACTTCGTTCCTCAATAAATCGCATAAAACTTTGAGTTTCCGAAAATCGCTTATAAAATTCGGTCGAGCTTTTTTCGCGTGATTTCAAAAATCCATCTAAATCAAATAATTTGCCAGTATCAGTTGCATTTTCATTTGTCGGAGCACGTGTGATTGGCCTCAAATATGCTTTATATCCTTTCATGAGCGATGCAATGAATTTCAAAAAAGCGTCTTGAATTTGTGTCTCAAAATCGCGTCGTTGTCTTTGTCGAATCAAATCTTTGTCAACTGGAGTGAATTCGGAACGACCAGTTTTTGTATCGGCTATTACTTTGCTATATCTAAAGAAAATTATGGATTTTATCTGATTTCGGGGAGAAAGTCTTTTGTTTTTTTGGGAGAAATGACTTTTGAAACGTAAATTATCAAAATTGACAACGAATTTTCAGTGATCTTTTCTTTTTTTCAAGATTTCATTTTGTATTACGACTATTTTTTTTGCAGTTAAAATGTGTTTTTTTCACATCGAAAATCGATTTTTCGAGTAAAAACTCAAAGTCAAATCAATATTAATTGTAAGAATAATTTGAAACTGAAATCAGCTTTCTTGGAAAAAATAAGATATATCTGAAATGTTTGAAACGTAAAAACCCCAAGAATTTTATTGTTAAGAAAGCCGAAAATGAGTAATTTTCCCCCAAAACTCACTCTTCCACAATATTCCTCAATGCCATTTTCAATTGTTTTGCTGGTTTTTTCGGTAACATTTCCTTCTTAAAAGTGGCTCGAATCGAAGAATAACTAATTGTAGCCGTATCCAAATCAAAACATGTCACATCATGTGGCGGATCTTCATACAATTCAAAATATCTCGAATCAACTCCAGCAATGAATGGAAGTGGAGCGTGTAAAACACCAGCCAAACCAAGTGGACATTGTGGAATATAAGGACATTGCCAATGAAACGGGAACATTAGTGCACAAACACTTTCAGCGACAGCAGCCAACATCCAAGGACGCAATGAATGTATCAAGATTTTTTGTTCGAGTAATGCGAGCAACATTAAATACATCAAATTGTCGGGACCAAGGAATTTGAGAGTATCCAAAAGTTGAGCACCATTCAAAGGAAGTTGACTATCATCGTGTGAATCAAAACTTATATTTTCAGCTCCGAGTTGCATAAAAACACGTGGACGACGAGGAGTAGGAAAGGATACTTCATGCATCTGCAAAAACATCGAGAATTTGAGAAAACTTGAGTTCGGAACTTCATATAGTAATATTAAAGGCAATTTTTCTAAAACTTCGACTTGATTTTTTAATAAAATACAATTTTTTGACTTATGAAAATTAAAAAAAGTTGGGCTTCACTATTCTAAAAAATAGAAGATTTACTAACAAGTCATAAATAAAACAATGTCAAGATTTAGAATTTTTAAATTTAAAAAAAAACTCACTAAATGTGAAATATATCTTTCAATTGGCACAGTATATTGTACATTTTGTGATGCTGACATTCGATGCAAAAAGAACAAAAAACGTTTGAATGAATTGAAAAACGGATATCGTGAGATCAAACAAATTGACACGTTTTTGAAGAATATCATCTGCAAGAAAATATAATTTTTCTAAAATGATGTCGAGAAAATCCAACTTACATCATCAGCAGGATCATTATTACTCGTGGAATCATCAACAGTTCCACCTTCCATCAAATCTTTGTCTTCATCAGGTTTCAAATCCAAATATTCCAGTTGATTATCGGTTAATTTTTTGTTATATCTTTCATAAAATGTGACGGCTGAACCATAGAATTTTGTACCATTCTGCAGGAAAAAATATTTCTTCTTGAGAATAGTAGATATTTTTGGAGACTCAAATTTTGTTTCAGAAAAAAAAAACAATTTTTCAAAATTACTTTCATGTTTGAAATTTTAGCCTAAAAATCCCAACTCAAAACTCACTTCGTCAGTCAAAACAAAAGTCGAAAAACTTCGATCCGGTGGCGAGCATTTTGCCTGCCATCCTTCAATCAATGCTCCCATCGGTAAACAAAACATCGCCACATTTTGCGCCAATTTGAAATCCTCCATTTCCTCAGATTTATCGATTCTCGGGAAATAATCGAGGACAGTCGGTTTATAAGCGAGTCGTTTTCCAACACCTTGTGATTTTTTATAGCAAATGTAGACATCTGAACCAATTATTCCCTGCAAAAAATAATAAAATGGGAAGATGTTCAAATGTTTTTTGGAAAGCAGCTGATAATTTCTTACCTTATTCAACTTTTTCGGTATTTTATAATAAGTATGAGGTGCAATTTCTCCTTTATTTTCCAATATCACTTTAATATCAGTCACAACAAATTGACTACTTGCTGCATCTGGTGCAGCTCTTCGATATGTTAAATATATTCCATGTGTTGTATTATTAACATTTGCTGGTCTTCCATAAGGTGTTGTTTGTACAATATTTGAATCAACCATTGGTTTATCACCATCTCCTTCGTCAAGAATTGTGATATCAACCAAAGGGAATTTATGATAACCTCGACGAAAACAAAGAAAACATGAAGGAGTTCGAATTGAACCATGATTTAGATCTGCTGTATAACCAAGAGTTGTGATTTCTACTACTTCGTATCCTTCGGGAGGCTGCAAAAATGAAGATTTTTTAAAAAGCGGAATTCGTCAGTTTGTTCACGAAAAATACAATTTTCAGGGATTTGGGGATTCTATTTTTGCCACGTCATAACTAAATTTTTCTGATGATGCTCGAAAGAGTCCGATTCAGTTAGTATCATCAAGATTGGATTTTTCAAAAATAAAAAAAAATCAATGAGTTCTGGGGCTCAAATCCAAAAACAACTCACTTATCACACATTTTTCTTCCGACCGTTTTTTGAAAATTATGAATTTAGAAATGATTTATTTACGTGAGTATAAAAAATATTTATTTTTTTTGAATTCAGAACGTGACGTTTTTCATAAAAACCTCATTTTAAGATTTTTTTCATAGAAACTGCTTACCTTCTCTCCAAAATCAGGAAAAATCACAGTGATATCAACAATTGGTGCCAAAGGCTGTGTATTTTTCAATCCACATTCTTGATTCGAAGGTGTTAAATGTTCCAATGGCTTAGTTTCATCAAGACCAGCTATCACAAAATGCTCAAATAATCTTCGCTCATCGTGAAGTCCTGACGAAGTTCCGCCGCCGGAACTCATTCAGATTATATGAATATTTTATTTCTGAAAGAGAAAATGTACAATGTTCTATATAGCTGCTGACTGAAAATAAAATATAGATTTTTTTCAAGCAAGGGTGGATGAAAATGAGAAAAAGGGTAAAAGTATGACGAATAAAAAGGATAAAGAAGAAAAATGTATTATTATCAATAGAGCGCAGTTGTAATGCTGTCATGAGACATGAAGAGAAAAAAATGGGAAAGGGGAAAAACAAATAAACATGCCCCCGATACTTGTTGTTTTTCGTAATTAAAATGAGATGAGAAAGAAATTTCGAAATATTCTAGGGGCAAAAACTCAATGTTTCCGGTTTTCAAACCAAGGAAAAATAATTTGTGTTCTGGAAAAGGGAAAAGGGGAAATTATTGATTGTTTTGTTTTGTTTTTCAGGCTTCACTAGATTTATACAGAAAGACTAATCAGATTTATATTCTCCGGGGTTATTTCTCACAAATATTCTGCGGGCAGACCAGGAATTTAGTTTTTCATCTGTTTTAGTGAAAGATTCAAGGAGGAACGAGAAAAATCCGAGAAAAACAACAAAAAAAATAAAAATATTAAATTCAACCGTACTTCAAAGGCGCACGCAGAAAAAACACAGGTCTTGCCGCGATAGAAAAACATTATGGGTCTGGAAAATGTTTTTTTTTTCAGTTTTTTTTTAGAAAAAAGGATAATCCGGAGGTAAGCAGATTATTTCAGCAACTTTAAAGTGCTTTCAGAAATATTTTACTTTTACGGAAAAAAATCTTTGACCTAACATTTTTTCATGAATAACTAACCTTTTGAAGGTTCTGGAAATCTTCTCCAACTTGTCTACGGTTCTTTAAAAGCACATACAAAAATTGAGTTAGGGAAAGTCTCGAAGTCTAAAACTCTTCTCTGAAGCTGTTTTGTTTTTTCCACTTCTCCCAAAAAACACAAAAACCAAGAAAAATATGAAGAGAAAGAGGAGAAAGCACTTGAAAATTAGCCAAAAAAAAGTTTGTCGAAAAAAAGAAGACAAATTGTTGTTCTATATCACTTTTCCACATTTTGGGTCAAAATTTTTTCTCATTTTTTTCTGGCCAAAAAAAAGAGAAAATAAGCTGGACCATAATAAAATCTCCTTGGTAACCCTCGGGAAAATGACCGGAAAGGGAAACCTTATAAAAACAATTTATTTTATTTTGGAAAATAAATAATAAGACCGACTTTTGTTTAATGGGGCAAGACAAAAAAAATGAAAAAATTAATAATAAAAAAGGAGATCTGGCAAATATTTTTCTAATTCTTCAAAAAAAAAAAGGTTAACATCAAGATTAATTCAAATTATTGCAGTTTTAGCGGTTTGGACGATGGAAAATGTAAAATGAGAGAAAATCGATAAGTTCGTTGTTTTAGTCAGCTTTTTGTACTTTTCTTCTTGCAGCACTTCGTGTAGTTACACTTTGATTTATATCTTCTGACGAAATATTCGCATTGATGTCTTCTTTTGGATGATTTTTGATGAATTGTTCGATTGGCTGGAAAATAATTGACATGATTTTTGGGTGGATTTTGGAAATTGCGGAAGTTGAATATGGATATTGTTTTTTTTTCAGGAAAAAAGGTTCAGTTACTTGTATTTTTTTTGAAATAACATTGATCTGTGGTACAAAATCAGACCCCCTCAAAAAATATATTTCCAAATATGGTTCCCAATTTTTTTATAACAAAAAATTGTTTTGAATTCTTTTTGAAATATAAAATTCGTCACTTTCTTTACAAAAAGTACAAATTTTGAAATTTACCAATTCTTTAGAATTGCGAATTTTCAGGGGTTTGCAGGGAATATTTTTAAGTTTTGCCACGTAATAACTAGTACTTAAAGGGTTGGTCCTCCGCCAAGGAATCTTGCTTGGTTTAGATAAGAATAAGGTGCTCCTGGAAGGTTCCAGTTTTAGAAAAAATTCTAGTATCAATTCAGCCCATGTTTTTCCTCAAAAACACAAGCGAGTTAAAACCTACGAAATAAAGCATGTAAATGCGCTCTAGCGCACAACTTGTTTTTGAATTTTTGTGTGTGTGTTTGCACACAACTTTGAAAATAACACGGTGACGCCTTTTTGCAGACGATTTTTTCACCAGGAAAGCACCAACCCTTTAAAATCCAATAATAACTAACCTCATCAATCTTCTTTTTCTCTTTAACATATCGATTATTTTTCTTCACATAAGCATGATAGAAAAAGTTGCAGAAAAGCAAGAAGAATGAGAAATAGATTCCGAAACACAAAAACAGATTTTCCCAAGTTTGTTGACAAGCTTCACCAGCCGATTTCAATCGATAAACAAATCCACCAATCAAAACACCCATAACCATTTGAGCAATTTGGAGAATTGTAATAACCATTGCAAGTGGTTTTGGAAGACGAATTCCGCGAGCTCGAAGAGCATAATATGAATACATTACTGCGTGAACACCATAATTCATCCAAATGAACCAGCGACCTGAAAAAATAAACAAACTGATTTGAGAATTTAGAAAACACTTCTAATTTAGTTTAGAAACAAATTTTTTAAATTCTCATTTTATCTAATTTCCGCTAAAACATACGTTTCAAAATAGATGTGAAATTATTCTATCACAACATTTTTCAGTGCCAATATGTTGCTGGCAATAATTATAGTGTAACAAGAAACATTTTTCTGAATTTTTTTTTCAGATCGAAATATTGAAATTCCACTTCTTATTCTTTGAAAAAAATTCACTTTTCAAAAAACACGTCATAACTTTTTATGCGCGAAAATTTTCCCAATTTTTCTCCAATAATTCGATATTACATACCCGATGCGGTATGATCCTTATAAGCGTGCCAAGTATAAATAGTAACAGTGACATGATGATACCAATGAAGGAAGATGAGTGGACGCTTTCGGAGCACAATAAAAACTGTGTCAATGAGCTCGAAAACTTTGGAAAGTGCGAATTGTTCGGTCCAAAAACCAGTGACACCTTGAGCAAATGAAGCAGTGCATATCGAGTATTTGAATGAGTTTCTGAAGAAAATCCGGTTTTTTTCATTTTTAAAAAAGAATTCTGATTTCAATTTTATTTTTTTAATTGCCACGTTTTATTCGAAAAAAATCTAGACCTTATTTATCTTTCTTTTATTAATTAATTAACATGCGTTTTCTCATCGGAAACATGTTTTTTCGCATTAAAATCCGAAGATCAATTGTTAATAAAATTAAGAATATAAAATCAAACTACAAATTTTTCCAAAGACAAGTTTCGAATGAAAATTTGAGTTTTCGCAAAAAAATAAATGAAATGAAAACCAACTCAGGTGCGGCCCAACTCCAAACCCATTCAGGTGTCATTCGGACAAATCCAAGAATTGAGAAAATGGCCAACGCCGAATTCCACAGGAATAAAGGCGTATCGAGAGCGAATGGTTTACGGTTTTCCATGAACTGAAAGAACAATGATGATTTTTGTGAGGGAGGGAGGGATTTCGAACGTCGTTCTGAACATCGGTGTTTTTTAAACAATTTTCAGAAGTAAATTGTTTCAACTTAAAATCCAAATATTAAATGAAGTATCCATTATTTAGTAATTTTGGACCCGCTGATCACGTTCTCGTTGTCTAGAATTGCACAACTCAACTTCTAATACAAGTGTGATCAGCGAGTCCGAAATTCCTAGAATTTCCACCCTATAATTTTTTTCAGTATTGGATATTTTGCACATGGGAAATTTTCATAAATTCCCCAAGAAAACCTTGATTTTTTACGCACTTTTTTTCCACCGAAAATAACCGCAACATAGATAACTGAAGCTGTAATTGAATGTTGCCAATTTCGTTGCATGAACTCTGTCGATTCCCGTGGATTGAATGATTTTTCGAATGGAAGAATCTATAAGAATAAATTCCTTTTGATTTTTTTCCAAGTCGCCCCAATGAAGTTGTTTTAAAAGTATATTTTGATTCTTTTCTCTTCTCGATCAATCAGATCTCTATCTTATCTAAAGTTATTTTTTCTGAAATAGGGGAGAAAAAAGTTTCAAACCAAACCCGAATTCCATGATTTATGACGCAAAAAACCACATCGTAGATATTAATTTTCCACGATCTTTGCGCAAAAAAATCCGGTTCAAATTAAAATCACATAACGTACCATGCTATAGTTATCTAACCCATATCGCGGCCAATAGTCGTATTGTGCCATTTCTGCAAAAATACATTTGTTTATTTTTTGAAAATGAAAACAACAAGGTCAAAGACAAAAATAAAGATCACGTTTTATGATATAAAAAATTCGTGGATTTCTGATTTCTCATAAAAATTAAATGATTTTCGGGAAAAATTCGATGAAGAAATCACAATTTGTCTGACTGATAACCATAAAAATCAAGATAATAACTATATGACATATAGTTAAAAAGATAACAAATTATAAGGTGATTTTTCTTTTATCAAAAAAAATGAGGGAAAAAGTAAAAAGAATGAGAGAACTTTGGAAATGCTAGATATTTCCATGGAAATAAGTCAACAACAAATTGCAGCTGGAAAAAATGGGAAAACTAATAAATATATTTGAAAAAAACGAAAGAAAAGAAAACGAGAAATGGTGTGATCGTCGTTTTGTTCGAAAAAAAGGAAAAGAAAACCTGTGTAGTTTGGCAAACCTGAATGTTTAGACGCAAAAAATGCAAGGTGATAATCAGTTTTTATCATCATCTTTTTCTTTTCTAGAATCTCAGATCAGGTCGGTCGTAATTTTGACCAGCCAGCCATGCAGGCCAAGATGAAACAACTATCTGATGTTAGGATTGGCAAATAAAATTTTTTGATCAAATACGCAAATAAAAAGTGCGTTTTTCGATTCATGATTCAATGTTTGTTTAGCTTATCACTTTTTGATTTTGAACTCTAACAGTTTCTGAAGAGTTATTCGAAAAAAAAAGTATTTTGGTGTTGTTTTGGCAGAAAAAAAGGAAAAAACAACAGTTGTTTTTGGGAGGAGGAAAATAAATGACTGTTTATTGAAAAATGAGAAGCCGCACGTTTTCCTCGTTGAATTTCGAAATTTTGGAGAAGAAACATGCCACGTGGCAAAAAAATTCCGGAAACTTTGGGAAAAATCCCAAACCTAAAGAAAGAACGGAAAAAATAAGAGTGTATGTCAACACCGACTGCCCGCAAACACCAAATCCTACGCGCAACCTTGGCGCGAAATACGGGCTGTGTGTTTTCGCGAAGAAATTTCTCGGGATTTTTAAAAATTGGGAACCCCCCCCAGATTTTAGAAATGGACACGTTCAAATTATAACATATGGGAACCCTGAGAATCTCTCCAATGTCGCTTTTCCCTTGGAGAATACTAGTGAGAAATAAAAAAAGTAAAAAATATGTGTGCCAACACGCTGACGCACAAATGCACAAACAAATATGTGGGAATTTGAAATTTTCATTTTCAGGGAAATCTCGAATTTTCAAACAAAAACACGTGGCAAGTAAGGAAAAACCTAGGAAAAAAAATTAAAATTTGGGCTAAACTTTGAAAATTTATCGTATTTCAAAAAAAAACAAAAGCTGAAAATTTTCAAAATTTTGAATTTTTTCAGAATCTCACTATACGAATCAATTTAATCGGAAAAGTGAAAATAAACGTTTTTTTGGGCCCAAAAAATGTCAAGTGTTGAACACAGCAAAAGAAGAAGAAGAAGAAGCTAGAGAAAAAGAGACACTTATATAAAAAATGTATCAAAAAAATTACGTAGTGGCCATTGCTAGCCGAAAAACCGGCCGGACGGCAGAAGGCTGGCTAGCTAGATACTTGATGGAACAGACAAAAAAAGCAGCAGCAGAAAAGAGATAAATGAGAAATATCGGGAGAAAAAGAGACGCAGAATGTTAGAGAGCAGGTGCTGGTGTAGAAAAGGGCAAAGTCCGAAGGGACAAAAAATGGGCGGAGATTTGCATGTTGAAAGAGAAAAAATGGAGAAAGAGAGGGAGAAAAGGAGTTAGATGAAATTGAGTTAAATGTGTTCGGAAATTGAGAACATGGGGAAATAGAGTGCAATCGGTTTTTGTGCATAATTAGAAGCTGGATGCCTTTTTGAACAACCGGAAATTAGGAATCGAGAATAATACATATTTTGGGTCCATATAATTCTGATCAGTGAGTTTTCAGAATAAAATTCCACCTGGAATTTTTCAAAAAATTCAAGTTTTTCGCACTAAACAAAACAAATCACAAAAGTGAAATCATTCTTTTTTAACTTTTTCCCTTTGACCATAATAAAAAAGATCACTCTCATTCTCATTTATGTTCATTTTATTCCTCTTTTCCTCCCGTCTCGCTTGAAAGTACAAATACATTGAGCGTGAAATTTGATCTTTCCACCCACATCTCCAACATGGAACTTTTTGGGATACTGTATAGAACGAAATCGTGCAAATTTCTTTTCTCAAATTTATTTCGAATTCTTATTCGAATTAGAAGAAATCGAATCATGCGTTTTGTATAAAAATGGAATCAGAAGCAATGTTGAAAAATATCGAAAATGAAGTGTATTTTTGGTGTTTCTTTGATTGTGGCGTTGGCTTTGGGAAGTGTCGAAGCAGAGAAATATCCACGTTCGAAATGTGCTGGTTAGTTGAACCCTTGATTCGAGCTAAATAAAATACCTAAATTAGGCATTGATTTAGGCCTAATTTGTTATTGTTTCAATACTTTCCCCATATTTCCAGAATACAATATCAACGAAATTTTAAAACTCCGTCATCAAGTCCGCCATCTCGAAACGTTCAACAACGAAAAAAACAACAACGATCGACAGCTTTCCATGACAATCCTCAACCTCAAACGCGAATCTCTTCTCAAGATCGAAAAGCGAAGCTTGATTCAAAACGTGATCTTGAAAAAAATCAATAAAATCAAGAAAGAATTCGAAAGACTTCGCAAACAAACCAAAGATGGGAAAAACAATGCGGAAACTCTCAAATCTTTGATCATTCTCAAAGGAAAAAAAGTCGAACAAATTGCTGCTGAAAGAGGACAGGATTGTATTGCTAACTTATTGCTGAATCTCAATGTTAATGTATCAGTTGCTCCACCAACAACAACAACATCTACAACAACAACAACACCAGCAACAACTACAACATCTACAACAACCACAACAACCACAACGGCGCCGCCACCAACCACTCCAACAACTGAACCTACTGAAGAGACCACACCAATCTCTCCATCAACCGAATATCCTGAAGAGACCACACCAAATTCAGGAACTAGTTCTAGCCCAAGCCCCCATTCGATCACCATAATTCAAGGTTTATCTATCGAATGTATTGTTAATGGAATACCCTCGAACATCAGCGGAACAGTCGGTAAGTTGTTGTTTTGTTGTGAAATTGAGACGCAGAAATATTTGCAGATCTTTCGACTTCATGCCACTGCGGAAAACTCACAATCAACTTCCGCACCAATATTGATAAATTCACATTACATGGTCCTGCGTCATTTGGATCTTTGTTGGAAAATGGAATTGTTTCGAGACAAGCAAGTAATATTAACGAGTTGAGAACTATCACATTGCCTTTCTTTTTCACCGACGCAGAAACAGTTCATTTGAAATTGAACGATAAAGATATCAAGATTTCTCACGATGATATAAACAAAGATCTTTGAGAAGTTTTGATGATCAATAAAGTTATTTTGCATTTTTTGGTGGTTTGTTTATTGATCTGGAGATGGAGTTGAATTTTTTACTTTTGACGCATCTGATAGATAAAACTGTCTTACACAGAAATTTTATGAACTAGATTTTTTCTTCTTGAAAATGAACTTCAAAATCCTTTTTGCAATGAACCTTTTTTTTAAACCCTGTTCAAAAAAGTAATTCATTTAATTCAAATATTTATCTGTTTATTTTTTCTCAATTCAAAAACATGTAATGTATACATTTGACCCTAATTGATATCTAAAGTGCACTAAACATTTCATAACACCTTCCTATTATTTTTGACAGTCGACAGTTGTCAAATCTTTTAATATATATTAACTTGTTCATTTTGGTTCATCTCAATGTCTGCTTTTTATTTTTCTGAAGCTCAATTCAATTGTATTGCTCGAACTTTATTCTCACGAGGTATTCTCAAACGCGACAATCACTATGAGGTTTCCCGATTTTTGCAAGATTTTCAATCTCATGAAATTCTTCAACCATATCAGAAAATTAAAATTATTCTGACATTTTTGGAAGAAGATTATGCCAGAGTTAAGCTGTGAGTTTCAAAGTGTTTTTAAATCAAAATTCAGTTAAAATAATCCCAATTTTCAGAATGATCAGTAAACAGAACTTTTCCCCGGAACATTTTGAAGATTTGAAATTACTGTGGTTAGAAGCACATTGTTTGGAAATCGAAACTCGGCGGAACAAGGTTAGTTGAAAAATTTCGATTTTATTATAAAAAGTATTTTTCTTGCAGCAAGAAGGTCGAGATGTTCTTCAAAGATTTTTCCAAAAATCCAAATATCCATCAAGAGAAGAAAAAAAGATTCTAGCGAAGCAAACAAATTTGACAACAACACAGGTTAGATATAAAATATTTGGATTTTTGAAACGATATTTCAATCGTATCTTTTTTGCAGGTGTCCACATTTTTTGCCAATCAACGAGCTCGATTGAGAAAACTTGGTCATTTATTTTGAATTTTCGCGGCTCTAATATTTTCGGATGTTTTCGGAATTTTTTTGCTTCGATATTTTTTGCATATGCCCAGACTTATGATAAATTATCTATTTTAAAATAATAAAAAATTTTAAGAGCAACATGAAGTTGTGCAATTAACTGGTACAACAGTTGCAGGTTGTCCACAAACATGTGCCACAGCTGTTGTAGTTGAACATGCGATATCATCCATACTTCCAGGAACAAAACTACCCCAAACTTCATTTGATGAAACCATTCCAATACAATTTTGCAGTCCATTCAAATTAGTAGGTTCATTGGTACTGAACAATGAGAATCCATCAGTTCCTACAGTAAAACCATCAGTCCAACGAAATGAGTTTGTTTTGACTGGAGTACATCCTTGATTCGAAGCAACATTTACACCATAACAGGTTGCTAATCTAATTGCACCAATCCAACAATAACCACTTGTTGATGTTGCCAATTGTGCTAGTTCTAATATTAAACTACCTTCATCTACGTTTTCGATACTTGCTAAAGTTGAATTTTCCAAATTACAGGAGGCTTCTGAATCGGAATAGTTTGATGAAGAAGCGACTACTTTTATGCAATAAAAGCCTTTGGTGCGAGAAACCATTGTATAATTATCAGGACACGTGTAATTGCCAACAGAGAAAAGAGTCTGAAAATTGGGATGAAGTGAGGTTTCGAAGTCGAGACAGAATACTCTGATAGTGTTGATCTAATTTATTTTTGGTTTAAATAAAAACTGACTGATTCTGGATAATTTATATTTGAAATTCAATGAAAACTTCAAAAATTTTGAAAAAAAAACTTACATCTTCAATACCACAATAAGACATGAACCCCCTTTGAACACATAGAAAAATACAAATTGCGTAAAAACCCATCATTTTTTTTACAAATATTTATTCCATATTTTGATTTTGCAACTTATATATTTATTCAAAAAATATTCAAATTATGTGAAAAATGATACTGTACGTAGTGCATGATCATTCATAAAGATCAGTATCCAGTTTTTCTTTTTTTGATCGAGCACGTGAATTGCAGAAAAATCTGCCGATCTGAAAAAAAACATACTGTAATTGATATTTCAACTCTAGAGATTTTACTAACCTGTGTATATGTCAATTTTGTTTGATGCGCGAGATACTTTTTCTGATCTTGGGATGGATATTTGCAAGTTTTGAAAAATTCTTGAAGAATTTCTCGGGCTTCTTCCTGAAAATTTTACATATTTTTGTGACGGGAGATAAATAAAAATAATCTATCAACTTACACCAATATTATAACGTATTGAATTCCAGGTTCGAATTGTTGCTGGAAATGGGGCCGATTTTCGAATCCGAAAATTGTCAACATTTGTCAACACTTTGTTTCGTCTGAATGTTTCCTCGGAATAATGCGATTCCAACCACAACATTTGAAGTTCTTTGTGATGTTCTGGAGAAAAGTTGGAAGTTGTGATCAGCCTGAAAATAAAATTTCAAAATATTCACTAAAATTTCTTCAAATAAAAAACTCACATTTTAACTTTTGTATAATCTTTTTCCAGAAACGCCAGAAGAATTTTCATTTTCTGATAAATTTGGTGCGTTTCATAGAGTTCGAATGATCGCAAAAAATTGAAAACTTCATAGAAGTTGTCGCGTTTCAGAAAACCTCGTGAGAATAAAGATTGAGCAATGCAATTGAATTGAAGTTCAGAAAAATAAAAATATTCCATAGTTGTGTTGTTCGAGAGAGAATAAATAATAATGACGATACGAATAAATGACAACTGTCAACTGTCAGAATTCAGAAGAAGGAAGGTGTTATAAAAATGTTTAGTGCACTTTAGATATCAATTAGGGTCAAATGTATACATTACATGTTTTTGAATTGAGAAAAAATAAACAGATTTGGGTTACTGTAGACGAAATATTGAATTGAAGTTTTTTCAAACCTGAAATTTCATTTTGAAAATTACATTTGAAGAAATTTTTCAAAGCCATCTCTTTATTTATTTATTTATTCATTTTCAAACAATTATTATCGAAAATCTCCAAATACCAATAAATCAAAAATCTGAATTAACATCAAATTTAACAGTATGATAAAGACACGCAGCATAAGTGTCAACTGGTGCACAAAGCTTTTCAATCGATTTTTCCAAAGTCTTCTTATAAGTTGGATTCAGTGTTGAATCCATAAAAGTTCCACACATTTTTTGACATTGATCTGATCTTTTTGTTGTCATTGGTGATCGATCCATGACGTGGATTACGGTTGTCATTATTCCCTGGAAGTATGATAGAAGTTAGGTGGAGAAAATTTGAATCTTGTGTAGCAAAAAATATATAGATTTTTTGTTTTTCTCAAAATTTTAGATAGTCAAAATTGGTTATATTTAAAAAATATTTTAAAAGTTATTTTGTTCAATTTTTCTATTCAACTATGAAAATTTTAAGAAATGATTTTTATTTTGTTATTGAACGTTTTTGAACCGGAATCTTGAGAAAAAAATTCAAAAAATCAATATATTTTCGAACACGGACATCAATCTTAACCTGTTTCAAATAATGCCAATATTCCTCAATTTTATCCTTCGATATTTCGTCATTTTCGTTAACTTCGCTTTGATTTGGTGTGCACATTTTGAAAGTATATCTATGAATATCATCCTTAGTTGAGCATTCCTGTCGTCCTTCGTTTGTCACGAATTTTCGGATTTTCGATAACTTCGATTCGTCTTTAGCGTTTTCACATAGTGAACAGAATTTGCTAGAAAACGTTATTCTCGATCTACAGTATCTATTGATCGACTCACCATGATTTCTTATTTCCTAACATATTTCTCAACTGTGAATTATAACTCTGTGGACACCAACTCGCTGGTTTCGTAACATTTGTGCAAATCGATTCGACTCCTCGTAAATTTTGCAATTTTTCTTCAGATTGACATGGAATATTTTGACCCAATTGCATAAATGCTTCGATATATGGATTTTCAATATTCCGAAGCATTTTGAAACTAACTTTGACTCGATAACAACCAGGGAAATCAATTTTCCTAGTCTCACCATTTAAATCAGTTATCGTAACTTCATCTTTCTCTTCTCCATCATCTTCTTGATTCGATGATTTCAACATTTTCATTGAAATTTTCAATGAAGATTCATCGATCAAATCCGAATCGACATTTGGACAACTTTGTGTTACATTATCACGAATTTGAATGTGGATTTTTTTCGAGGAAACCGAAACTAATCCGAATAAAAATATCAGAAGAATAATTTTGAACATGAAGATTTCTTTATTTATTCGCTGAATAATTCAAGAACACCGTATATATACATGTTTTCTTAGAAGAACTACTTGACCCAAATATTCTTTATTATTCTTAGAATTGTTTGAGGATCAGGTTTTTTTTAGAAATTGGAATAAAAAACGTTTGAGGCAAGATGGGGAAAGAAGGGGGTCAAGGAAATATTTTTAGCTTCGGAAAATTCATGTGATGAAATTTCAAGATCGCTTGGACAGGGCCTCATACTTGTGCCAAACTAGGCTTAAGTCCTACGACTGCGCGAAATCTCAAAAATCAAATCAAAATTAGTTTCATGAAAATAATTTTACTTGAACTGAAAATCATGTTTTTCATAATTTATCCATACATAAAAAAAATTCCGAAATTAATTTTTTTCTGAAATTTTTTTCGCCGCTTTTTCCCCAGAATACTTTTTCAAAACATTCCTTCCTGTTTCTCTAATCCTCTTGTTCTTTTCATATTTTTCAACGCTCGCTTTGGTTGTCATGGTGAATTTTTGAGATTTTATTGGGAAAAAAGGTTTCTTTTTAATTTCCATCAATCAAAAAAAATGAGTGATGATGAACAAGATGAGGAGAAAGTTTTAAAAGTAAGTTTGATCCTTAATTTTCATTAAATAAACAATTATTTTTCGATTTTCAGTTAGTTTTGGTTGGCGATGGTGCAAGTGGAAAAACATCAATCTGTCAAAGATTTGCCAAAGAAACATTCGATAAAGCCTATCATCAAACCTTGGGTCTCGATTTTTTCTCTCGTCGTCTAATGTTTCCAAATGATGTTCAAGTTCTTGTTCAAGTTTGGGATATTGGTGGACAAAGTATTGCTGGTGAAATGGTGGATAAATATGTGAATGGTGCAAATATTGTGATATTAGTTTATGATGTGACAAATGGAAAATCATTTGATAATGTTCAAGATTGGTTGAGTTTGTGTCGTCGAGTTCTTGATGGACAACCAAAACCGCCAACTTTTGTATTATTGGGAAATAAGACGGATTTGGAAGAAAAACGGGTGGTTTCTGTGGAAGCGCATAATACATTTTGTAGTAGTAATGAATTAACACCAGCTTATGTTTCAGCAAAAAGTGGAGATACTGTGTTGCTAGTTTTCAGGTATATCATGTTTTATTTGCATTCAGAATTTATTTAGCAGTTTGTCGAAAAAAATTTCTAGAAATTTGAAAATTAAAATTTTCAAAGTTCGAATGGAAAACTGAGAAAGTTTCGTGAACTCTGAAATGGTGTAATTATCTGAACTTTTGAAAATATTTAAAAGTTTTCTATGAACTCGGTTTTTAAAATAAATTTTATATCCAACTTCCAAAATAGCCACTTTTTCAGACAAGCCGTTGCTGATGAGCTGAAAATCTCAATGACCAAAGCTGACGTTGAAGCCGACATTGCAATCGTTCAAGGAACTGTTGCCGAGGTCGTCAAATCAGATATGATTCCTCCGGTTCGAAAAACCGATCAAAGTCGCAACACATCAGTATGCACAATTTCATAATAAAAATAATCAGTTTATTTTTCTAAACTTCGTTTCGTTTCGTTTAATTTATTTTTACAAAATAAAATATATTTTTTAAATTAAATACAAAATAAAAAAAATGTTCGAGAAATGATAATTACATAATTTCTAATTGTAAATACAACCCGATTTGTGGAGACCATTTTTTTCAAAATTTGCGAAAATTTTCAAATTTTCCCAGCGAGTTGCGATTGTGAAGGTGAGCATTTTTGACGAGTTGAGGCAGTTCGACGAATTACGATAAAGAACCCACAACTTCCCATAATTAAAAATGCAGTGAGAACTGTTTTCCAGATATAAATTGTCATGTAAGGAGTGAGTAGAAGAACTACGACAGATGAGGCACTCTGAAATATATTTGGGTTTGAAAGGGATGTGGAATCACAATAAAACATCTAGAAATATAGTCTCCTATTTGAAAAATGAATCCCGGTTTCTTACCTGATAAAGTTTGGAGAGCGAAAACACCTGCATTCTACAATCTGGAACAGCAACTTGACAAATGACAGCTCGTGCCATTGTAATACAAAAATCCGAAAATCCAATCAAAAATCCAATAACAAAAACAAGAATTCGACTGGGTGTGAAAAATAGTGGCATCTCGTCAGTTGGCCCAAAACATGCCAAATTTGGAATTGATAACAAACCGAGAACAATAATAATTGAATATGAAACAAAATTTGCTCCAGCTGTCAAATACAATCCATATTCTCCTGCTCTTTTTACCAATGGTCTCAAGAATATTCCACCGATTCCTTCAGCAAGTCCCATTGCAATTGAATAAATTGCGATGATATAAATATCACCTTTGAATGTGAATGTAAGAGTTGTTGGATAAACAGTCATAAGAAATGATACAGCAAATCCTTGGAAGAAAAAAAATGGCATTAGAAGAATGAGATTGTAGGATTTGACTGCTTTGATGAGTTGTTCTGGAAAAAAGCAACATTTTTGATATTGAAAAACCAGTTTTGTTAATTTGATAAGATTTCAGTCTAGTCTTTCAGTTGAACCACGTTTTGATAGTGGTACTGTAGATTATTGAAATGATAACATAATTGATGGGCACAAAAATCGTCTAATTTCAGTCTAAAAACTCACTAATCTGATTCCAAAACGATGGCACAACAGTTGTACAATTTGAAGCAATTGAATCACATTGTTTTGTTGGTAAAAATGCAAAAACCACAATTGAAAATAAATTCAAAACAAACATAGTTGCATAAATTGCCAAAATTTGAGTTTGATTAAAATCACCAGCTCCACCTTGAGGGAAAACATAAAACAAGATGATCAAGGCGATTCCTCCAAAAAACATGCTGAAATGTCCGACAGCTGTTTCGATTCCGGTATTTGATTCGATTGTTCGACGGCTTGAATGTTCAGAAAGATATTGACCTTCTCCATTGTTATAAACTGGAAATTAAAAATCTCGAAAATTTCATTTAACCTTGTTTTTGTTATCAAATATTTAAAATCATCAATCAAAAATATTATTTTGTCATTTCTGTCTAATCTTTGCAAAAAAGTACAAGGCAATTTAGAACTTCAAAAAAAATTCCAAAAAATAAATCATATTTTGAAAAACTCACATGCATATCCAACTCCCATCAAAGCTTGCGAAAAATAGAAATAATATTTGTTGAGATGAATAAAACCAAGATAATAGACGGCGAAAAGAGCTGAAGCAATTGTCAAAATCCATTTTGATTGAATAAAATGTTGAAGAGAAGGTGTGATTAGAGTGAAAATGGCAAACGCGGAGAGATGGATTGCGGCACTGAAAATAATATATTTGAATTGAGAGTTTTGGAAATATATATTTGGGACCAAATTTTTCAGACTATACTCTTGAAGAAATATTTCGAGTTCTAAAAAATCAACAAATTGGTAATTTTTCAGATTCTCCTTTCCGGCGCCCAAAAAACTAACCCATAATATCCAGCATACTGCGAGATTGAATCCGGCTCTTTCTCGTGAATCGAATGAATCACTGATTCGCCAATGAAACATTGTGCAGAATACCCAGTGTAGAGAAAAAGCGTGCCGATTCCCAATAAATATGTTGACAACAATTCATGACGTCTTGGTGTCAATTCCATTCTGAAAACAAAACAAAACATCAAAAAACTGGTTTTTATGATATCAAAACGTGGGGAGAGTTGATTAAAATAACAAGAGTTCATAGTTTTCTAAAAATAAAGTGGAATTTGGACTGGCTTGTTGGGGTATTCAAAGGAAGTTTTTGAAGAACTTGGGATAATGATGTAGTTTTCAGAAAAATGATTATGCTGGCAGAGTACTGTAAATCTAAATTTAAAGACCTTATTGTAAGAAAACCCATACATTTGATAGTTCCGCCCAAAGCTTGATGAAACCTTAACTGAGAACTTAAGTTTAAGGTATATCTAAATCTGACTCTCTAAGCCAAGTTTGCTAAGGCTAATCTAAGCTAACTCTAAACTATCTTCCTCCCCATCTATTCAAGGTTACCTTTTTGGACGTGCCGAAGTTGGTTCCAAAATATAAGGAATATTACTAGAAGTTTCCATTTTATTTTATTTTTCGTAAATGATGATTAGAAAAACATTGAACTTTCCCGCTTTTTATCTTACTATCTATCTAGAGATGTTTTTTGTTTCGCATTTTGACTCCGCCTATTTTTTGCCTTGATTGGGGAAAGTTCTTTGGTAAATTCAATGAGAAGGCGGTTCAAAGTTTTGTGAATTCACATGAACAAAAACGGTTTGTGCCACAGTCTACAGTAATCTTAACCTTGATTTCTTTGATACCAGAAAAAAAATGGGTTTGGTGGAAAAAAATCAAAGTTTGATCTGTGAACTACAGTAACTTTGGGAATTAGTTGATAGAACAATTCAGAAATTTTTGAAAGGCTTTTTTGTTTCAGTCACTCCATATTTCGGATTTTTTCGAGAAAAAGGTCTGCTCTAGAATTTTTCTGAAAAAAAAGACCCCGAACTTACGAGCTTGAGGTGTTTAGCTCAAGAATCTAAGTCTAATTAACCTATTTTGAGCTCCTAAGTCTGAGAGCCAAAACTTAGTTACCCATAAATTTGAAATCAAAAACTCTTACAACACTTTGAAAATTAAATTTTCAGTCGGAATCTACAGTAATCTAGGTAAAACTAAAATGATCCAGGCTGCGTCCAAAATATTGAAAATAAAAATAATTACAAAAATTAATCTCTAACCAAAAAATAATAAAATCTGCAAGAGAAAAAACCAAAAGAATCACCATCGCCCAACAAAAATAAACAATTTTGTTTTTTTTTGATAAAAAATGCACGCCAGACACACTTTTTGGGTGTATTTTGGGTGCATCGTGCACCATAACTTCCCAAAATCATGTATGAATTGTTTACGGCCAGATAGTTTTTGGGTTAGATTTTTCTTCTGCGCGGCAAAAAACTAATTGGGGTTGCAAAAAAAGTGATTGATCATTTTTTTTTGGATAAAAAACTTTTTTTGAAGTTTAAAATTCAAAGTTCTGCCTGGAAAACCAACAAGTTATACCAGCAAATGTTTGTGGGCGGAGCCAAATTTTTCGACGATTTTTCGATTCGATGAAAAACGAACAGATCAGCTTATTTTTTGGCTGGAAAAATCTCGAACTTTTTAACTTTGCAATCATCAATCAAATAGTGTCATGTTGATAAAATTTATGTCTAGTGTTTGCAAAGAAAATGTTTCGAACGGGTACTGTAGTTTCTGATTTGGCTTGATTTGATAAAATGGAATTCATGTCAAATTTAATAAAAAAACAGCAGCAAATAGAAAAAGTGGAATTTCAGTTTTTCTAATTTTTTGGAAACTATTTGACCATTTGGAATGTAGCTTGATTCCCAGAATGTCCGAAAGGAACCTCCTTTTTTCGATAAAAAAATGAAAAAGGTCAGATTCTTGAAAAAAATTGTTTTCAATAAATTCAGAAATATTCGAATTAAAAATGTCTTTAAAAATCTTGAAAACTCGCTCTTTGAACATCAAAATTACCTCTCAAAACCTCAAAGTTTCCTGAATCAAAAAACCAACAAAAACATATTTCCGTGAAAAAATTTGCATAAGTTCTAGCTAATGATATTTCATCATCTATAGACATTTTTCATTGAAAAAAATTCACAAAAAATGAAATGACGAAAAAATTCGTCGAATACACTTACAATTAAGTGTAAATAAATAAATAAAAGACACAAAAATCAATCCTCGTCATTGAAATCCAAGTCAAGGACAAAATTAATTAATAATCAAAATATTATCATAATATTAAAAACAAATCTTATCACAATTCATAGTTTCTAGTGAACCTACAGTAACCAAAAAACTATGTACCTAACTAATAAAAAAAATAAATAGAAAGACAGACAGACAGAGCGTGTACAGCTCATCCAAACTCAAATTACAGTAATTATCTTCACAGCAGGGCATCTCGCTTGTATTTTTTTTTTTGAAAAAAAAGGGGGAAAAAGTCTGGAATCCTTTTTTGATATCAACACGACCTTGATCATTTTAGACGGTTTTTTGTTTGGTGCAAGACACAAATAAAAGTCAAAAATAGTTGTGGCATTAGTGCGCTTTGATCTGGAAATCGGAAAAATTGAAATATAGCTCATTTTGTAGAAATCTTTTCGACTTTGAAACATCCTAGAATTCTGAAAATAATAAGAAACTCGAGTTTTAAGAGAAATGTTTTGGGTTTGAATTTTGGAAAAATCTAACCCAGAGAGAGAGAACAATTTCTGCTAACAAACTTCTTAATCCCAACCTCCAGCAAAATGTTTTGCTTGTATTCTATGAAACATTTCAAATTTTGTTATAATTAGTTCTCTATTTCCACTTTTAACCCATTTTTCCGTTTCATTTTTTATCTCTCACCAAAAAAAACGAAGAGAAAATTAGGGCAATGAGTGACCCGAATTCGATAAGTTAGTTCAGTTTTTTTCAATCATTTCATTTCATTTTTCTTCTTCTTCTCAAAAAAAAAGCTTTTGAGATTAGTGAGAATAAAATGGATGTTTGGCGAGTTTCGACAATTGTCGGTAGTGTTTTTTCGACTTTTGCTGTTTTAACAGTCATTATTGGCTTGCCACTTTTACACAATCATGTTCAAAAAGTCACCACAATTATGTTGACAGAAGTCGAGATGTGTAAGGTTCGTTTTTTTAAATTTGGGATTAGATTTACAAAGTGGGTTTGTTGGGGATCAGACTGGAAGGATCAGAAAAAAATGAATAGATTTTTTGCCGAAAACAGTTTTCCCTAAATAATTATTTGTAGAGTGAAACCCAAGACATTTGGAAGCAAATGACATTTGTTGCCAGCCCGAGAAGAAATATGACAAAGAGACAATCGCCATACGGAAATTATGGAGCGGCTCCTTCTGGAGCTTGTTGTGCGTGTACTCAAGGACTTCCAGGTACTTAATTTTAAAAATGTGTCAACAACTCGTCTGAACATTTCGAAATTTCTAGGACCTCGTGGAGATCCAGGAGAGGACGGAGAGCCAGGTCGTGACGGATTTCCGGGACGCGATGGAAACAACGGTGTTGCTGGCAAATATCTTCCAGCACCTCCACCGGGCACAAACGCTTGCCAAAAATGTCCAAATGGCCCACCTGGACCACCAGGTCTTCCCGGTCCAAAAGGACCACGCGGTCCAGCTGGAAGTGACGGAAAAGCGGGTCGGCCAGGAGAGGACAATCGACCAGGTCCCCCAGGTCCACCAGGAGTTCGCGGTGAGCCAGGAGCACCTGGTGAGAAGGGACCAACCGGAGATCGCGGAAAAGTTCTCAATGGTGCGCCGCCAGGTCCACCAGGACCAACTGGAAAGGTGGGACCACGCGGACCGGCAGGAGGAAAAGGACACGATGGAAAACCGGGATTGGGAGGACAGCCAGGAGTTCGAGGAGCTGTTGGAGCGAGAGGAGATGCCGGAAATCCAGGATTACCAGGACCACAAGGACCAAAGGTAAGTGAGGGAGACTGGACAGGAAATGAAGCTGTATCATACCCAACTTCTATTTACAGGGTGACACAGGAAATCCAGGAACCTGTTCACATTGCCAAGCCAAACAACAACAGCCAATTCCTGTATCTCGACCAACGTCTGCACCAGCTCCATCTCCACCAACTGGTGACTATGAAAACCCAACTCAAGAAACATATCCATCAGCAAATCAATATTTGTGGATTCATTGATAAAATTCTCGTTTTTCAAACATGTTTATCTTTTTTTCTTTTTGTTTTTTGTTTCTTGGAGAAAGTTGGCATAAAGAAAAGTGATAAAAACCAGTAAGTTATGGATATATAAAAGTAGAAAGCTGGTAAATTCAAACATCGAATAGTCAGCTAGAAAAAAATGTTCAAAATTTTCGTATTGCTAATTTTAGTGCAAGTTGCTTCATCTCTATTTTTCCCATCTGTCAGTCCTTCGGGAGGATGTGGATGTGGATGTGCGCCACCACCACCACCGTAAGTTTTGGAATTTTTAGCGGTAATTTCTAAAACATTCTAGCTGTGGCTGCGGTGGTCGCAAAAAACGTGAAGTCGGACATGTTCGCGGACATCTTACTCATTTAAAAGGTGATTCATCACACGAAATGAACAATCAATGCAACAGTCAAGAATTATCCGAAGTTATTCTCAAACATTTGTCAAAAGATCATCTCAAACAATCAAGAGATGCAATTTATAAGGAATTGGATGCAGCATATCCGGAAAATATGTTTACTGTTATTTGTATGGCAAATGCGACAGCAAGTTTCCAAGCTGATGCAGCACATTATTGTTTGGAAGGAAATGAGAATGGACATTGTTATGTTTTCGGTTTTTAATTAATTTTACGAACACTAACTAATTGAATACGATAATAATAATTGTTATATAACTTTTCCGCAATAAATTGTTAAACTTTTAGTCATAAAAACTAGCTCCAACAGTGAAATCATCAATCTCGAAACTAGGTCTCAGATGAATATCATGTCGAACTTTGAAATCCTTCCCAATTTCAAATTCTAAATCCAATATTCCAACATTTCCATGTTCGGATCCATCAGGAGTACAAGTATGCCATATTTCGTACAAAACTTCATATCTTTTTGCAAATAAACCATCACCGTTCATTTGTCCATGTATAATTCCACTCCAAGGTCCCATTAATCCCTTGTGTTCTTCTGAATCAGTAATTGTATCATCGTTCCATTTGAAAAGCCAAGTGATATCAATTTCTTCATATATCAAATTGAAATCATAGGCTTGATTGTGACGACAGTAAACAGTTATGTTGAAAATGAATCTATCTGTCCTAGCTGCTTCGGTAATTTGAAGAAGAAGACAAACGATAAATATTAGGAAAAACATTTTGGAATGACTAGTGGCTTAAAGTTTTCTTTTTATATCAAAAAGAAATGGGGAGACACCATAAAGTTCTGTAGAACAAAATTTTAAATTCCACATCATCATTCATGATTGAAGAATACTTTTATTTAATTCAGTTCTACATGTCGTAAAACAGGAACCTTTGTATTGTGAGCTCCACTTGTAAGATACAAGTCATCTTTATCTGTTAACGTATAATTAAACCAATGACAATATGGTTTCAACCAACGTAGATTTCGAACCCAATTTCTATTTGGAGTACAGTTTAGATCGATTTCGGCAACTATTTCGTATTCACTGTCTCCCGGGCCATCGCCATCCATCAATCCATACATTGTTGTTTCAAGAGTGCCACATATGTTGTATTTTTTCAGTTTAGATGTTATTTTATCAGAAAAGCTCAATATTGAATCTGACTCAACAAATTGCAATTTCACATCAAACTGACAACAACAATGAAGAGTCACTTTAAATTCGAAACTATCATTTCGAGCGGCTTCAATCGAACTTCCAAAAACAAGAAGAAGAAAAATATTCGAGAAAACCATTTTGTTTTTGGTTATGGAATAAAAAAACGTTTATATGGGGAGACAATTTTATGTGCGAGTTTCGAAGGACTGAATTATCAAGTTTATCTTTTTTTTGCGTTGTTCAAAAATTTCGATGAAAAATTTATATGTGCCCCTGCTCATACTTTTTTTCGAATTTTGTTGAAAATTCGAAATATGGATAAATTCTATGTAAATCAAATAGGGTGATAATTTTCTGATACCCAGTTTCTTACAAAAATCATCACGATCAGATTTATACTGCTATTTATGAACCTGTGCTGTTCAGACAAGTTATTTTCTACAGATTCCAAAATTCTGTGAATCAAAAATTTAAATAAAATAAGTAATTCGAAAAATTAGACTGACCCTAATCACTTACTATAATATGTACTCTATGCCATGCATTATGAATCAAACCACGAACATTCCAAATACCTGATGCAGTTTCTGGTTGAGTATTGTATGATCTATCAACTGCTTTTGCAATAATATTGAATTCTTTGACATTTGGTGGAATTTTCACTTCAGCTTTGAAAAGTGTCCAAGCATACATGTGCTCCAAATCTTGTTTTTTCTCTTGTTCCATCTCGCAACTATGCCAAGTTTTACCATTATCAGCGCTGATTTCAATTCGAATAATTCCACGTCCGCCGCCACTCCAAGCATAACCCGAAATTTCCACAAATCCGTCATCTGAAAGCAGAATCTTTGCTTGTTATTTTTTTTACATATGGGAATAATTCTCCATGATTTGTTTTCAGCCGAACTTTTTTCAAAAACTGAACAGATCAGGTTTTCTAAATACCGATTTTTTTGTTTTTGAAAAATCCTACCTCTATCAATTTTAGTATTGGGAGCCGGCGAGCAAATTGCACACTGCACCGGATATTCTTGAATCGATGGCACCGTATCCCATTTGAGCTCATCACCAAGATTTACAGCTGGTGAAAATGCTCGATAATCTTTTTGTTGCCAATGACTATCACTTTCTTTTTCGCTGACAATAATTTTTCTCAACCATTTCACTTGTCTCGCTCCAACATTTCCAGGAACAATTGCTCGAAGAGGGGCTCCGTGATCTCTTGGAATTTCTACACCATTCATCAGATATGCAATAATAACTTCATCTCCTCGAGCTTTTTCCATTGGAATTGATGCTCCATAAGGGGTCCCTGAAAATGAAACATTATATGGAAAGATCAAGGTTTTGACCCAAAATCACAGTGGGGAATGATCAGTCGTAATTTTTCAGAGATCAGAAAAAAATTGACAAGAGATATTTTGAAAATGTGGTCCGATTCCTATTAAAAATGTCACCGCCGATGACAATAAAAAACGACAAACCTGTTGGATCAATATCAGCTCCTTCAAAATGAACATGCTTGATTTTATCATCAAAAACATCAATTCCAGCTTCAGTCAAAACATCGCGAAGTCTAACACCAGTCCATTCGGCATTACTTATGGCAGTCCCTTCCCACATCAAACCTTGCACTTTTTTATATTGATTCATATCAGCTCGTCGATTTCCAGCACATTGGATGACCGAACCAATTGTGTAGGATTTGAATTTCTTTTTCAATTCATCAACACTCAAATCAATCTTTTTTCCGTTTAAAGTCTCAATCGTCAAGCGATGATCATTGGTTTTAATCTGTAAACAATTGTTTTTGTTCAAAATTCTTAAGGAAGTTACGTCAGGACAAACATACGTCAGGAACTGGTAAATGATTTCGAACAAAGAATAATTCATTGGGAGTATAAAATTTGTCAGTGATGAGAGATGGCGGGGTTTCAGCGTTGAACGGTTTTGCATTGCGAACGAGGAGAGCTGGATGACGCGGTGGATCATTTGAAAATGCATCCGGTTCAGCCTGAAACAATTAAATTTACAGTTGTAAATGTATATTCTGGGTTTAGAAGGAAGCAGAGTTTTTCACCAAATTTTTCAAAATACCCACCTCTGGAACATCTTTAATATCCAATCTTCCAATTCTATATCCTTCCAAAATCTCTAAAACTTCCGCAGTTTTATGTTGTGAATACAACGCCCAAAAAGGATCAACGGATGCTCCAGCAGCAAGTAGAATTTTGTCACCACCAGGATGTATTGCCACAAAATCAGTCACATCATAAACACCCTGAAAAAATTGTGATGAGACTGTTTTGTAGGGAAATCTAGCCCACATCTTTGTAAGTAACCCAAATTCTCTCCGCATCTTTTCCATGTTTTTTAACATCTTCTTGTTTGAAAAGTGGTAATTTAGAAACATCCATTTTGCGTCTCTCAGTATGCTCTAATTTTGCTTTTCGAATGAGCTCAAAAAATCCAAGAGCTGAGGCAGCTACAGCAATTGAACCAGCATATACTTGATTTCTAGCTGGAAATCTTTCAAACTCTGAATAACCGTTCTAAAAATTCTGACTTACAATAACTATTATCGTCTGAACTACTTCCATCATAAAATCTTTGTCGTCTGTTGAAATATCTTCCAAAAATTACACTTTTTCTGAACATTCTGAAATTTGACATCTATATTTTTATTAATAATTTATCAATCATGCAAATATGAATCAATGAACTTTTTATCAATGATTTGAAGAGCGAAAATTGAAAAAAATGATTTAATAAATTTATAACTTTAAAGCTATTTATGTCGTAGTGAAATGGAGCGCTTATTCCGACTTGTGGTTATCAAAATAAGAAAAAAACTTGTATATCATTGATGAATGACCTATAAAACAATCGGAAAAATGAAAGATTTCGGATTTATTGCCAAACAGCCAATTGTTGATTGCAAGACTAATTTTTGGAACATTTTTAGAGAAACTATCTGATCAATTTTCTAACAGAATTCCACTGGGCCAATCAAGTATTTAAATCAGTAAAGAAGTTTTAATATTCCACGTCATTTTCAGAAGATTCCAAAATTCTGTAAATTTTCCTTGAAAACAGAACAAAAAACTCACTCAATCACAATTATTTCAAATCAAGCACCTTTTATTTTTCCATTGTACAATAAAATATATAAAAATCTCATCCAATAAATATTAACGCAATTGGGTAGTCTCGACATTTGAATTTGAATAAATACGCAACAAAAACGCGGCATCATCATAAGCATCAAAAGTGCTCGGAATAATCACATAAGAACCTGGAGTGACACGGAATCTCGCTGTAACTTCGCGCATATTTATGAAAACTTTGTTCCGAGCAACTGGTTTTTGTGATCGAATTGTTGCTTCATTCAAAGGTTGACCACTTGGATCAGCTCGATAAACAGAAAAACCGATTGGCAAGTTATCGAGGTTTTTGGAACGGAGTTCACGTCGATATTTTTGAAGGACTGCAGCGATTACTGTACATTTTCCATCTTGTTCAACTGAAGATTCGGGAACTTGGAAGAATGTTCCGTATTGTGGATTGTTTGAATATGTATCTGCGAAAAACCTTGTTATTCCTTGTTGTTTAAAAACTTCAACTCACCATTGTTTTGACATCCCCCAGCAGTTCCATTTCTACTATTCCATTCTCCATCTGCCGATTTTTCAACCCATTGATGTTTTTGTTTTTCAGCTACTTCAACTCCGGTCATTTCCGTAATTTCATCCATAACATCAGCTGACAAATTGCAAACTTCCATTTGTGTAAAATTTGTCATAAAATCATCAAACGACATCCAAAATTCACCATCTTTTGCAAAATTGACACCCATTGATTCTCTTTGTTGTCCATCAACTTGTTGCCATTCTTGACTTCCATCACTCCAAGCACCCAACCATTCTTTCGAATTTCCCCAAGGATTTCGAATTCGTAAAAGTGGAATTTGTCCTTGATATGTGTTAACAGTATGAATTGCAGTGATACTATAAGCGTGTCCACGAACCAAACCGTTATTTAATTGAGCTTCTTTTACATTTTCATCGGCATCAATTGAGCAACCAAAAAGTGAACCCATTTGCATTCCTCGAACTAACATTGCAAGAGTTGTTGCTTTATCAGCTTTCGTGAGATCGAAGAACTCGGTGAGACCGCCAGTGAAATCTTCAAGAGCTTCCGCCGTAGTTCCACCATCCAAGTTCTCATAACCTCCATACAATCTGAAAGTTATAATATTTACTAAATTCATTCTATTCCGACTCACTTTGCATATGCCTTTTCTAACAAAGCACTCCAGAATTCATTATGTTCATTTGATCTCATATAATATAATTCACCATTAACAGTTGGTAATTTATCATCAATCACAACATCAACCCATTGTCCATATCTCCAAAATTGAAAATGAAAGATACCAGCATAATTTTCGGTGAAAGATTGATCTGGTGGAACAACTCGATAGAACAATTCGTCACGAAGTGTCAAATTAGCAACCGCTGCTAACAACCAACAATCTCCCAATGCACCTTGCACAGTGTCCACAAAACGACGTTTCTGCGTCTCTTTTCAAAAAATCTCTCATTTCGGTAGAGCGCGTTTGCTCGTTTGTCTTTTTTCAATGGAAAAATCGAATTTTTTGCCGATTGTTCAACTTTTTATTGTTTTTACTCATTGTTATTGTTGTTTTTGCTTAATTTCATGAACGATTTCCTATTCTATGAATGTCAGAGAACATTTTCATGTATAGATCGTTTCATAAAGTAACGCCATAATGCCGTTCAAAAATTTTAAAGATTTTCGTTCGTTTTTCATGTTTTTTTGGGTGTCACCAAAAAGTGAAGAATACTCATTTTTCGAACTTTTTGGGATACGAGGACCACATTTGGGATGAAATGGGATATATTTGGACCAATTGTAACGACGACAGATTTATTTTCATATGAATCGATGGATGTTACCAGTGGTGCTGTCGAACTGTTTTCTGATGCTTGTTTGGATATAAAATGATTCGAATATTATGGGAGAGAAGAAAATTAAGCTTTTCGTAGGTTTTTTGCTTCAGAAATTTTATAATAACGGTATTTATAACTGTATTATTGCAGGTTCACGCTGGTCTTCGCTACTTTTGGACATTTACTGGTTCAAAAAATATGTAACTGCTCGTGATATTTGATTTTTGACGAAATCGGAATCGCATTGGATGTATCTGATCGTAATTTCGAATCAACCACACATTTTTTCAATGAGGATCATTGCGATAAACTCGCGCTGGAGGATCTGGCTTTCCAACACCAACATCAGGAAATGTATTATTCAGAGTACTAGAGGACAGTGAAAAACATCGAGAACACACATGGAAATCCACTTGACAATGTATATGTTGGAACTATGAAGAAAATAGCGGCCGTTGGGGCTGATTGTAAATGTTTGATGGATAAAAAAAATGATTAATTGAGAGGAACTCATATTTCAACAGTAACATCCGACTCTTCTTATTGCTAAATTCAAATTTTGGAGCTTGGTAGAGATTTGACGATATTTTTTCTGAAGTCGACAGGAATTGTTGAGTTTGAATCGAAGAATGACGTTCCTTATTGGCCAAAATTATCGATTTGTGATATTCGGAGCTCTATAACTCAGCTAAGAAGTTCATGCAGATCATGACAATCTTTTTGTTGTATATTTTCATATGGTCTTTCTGCTGATGTTAAGTTTCAGCCGGTTTTTCAAAAATGTTTTTGTAAGACACAACTTTCTATTATTTATTAATGAATATTTATTTAGAAAGTTCGTTTTTTGTTACATGAAACTTTATCATTTAAATTTTTCAATTTTTCACACTTGAATTCAGGTATTTCTTATTTTTTAATTAAAAAAAACGCTCAAATAAACGTGTTTTGCTAATTGCAAGAATTTTTAGGTTCGAAACTTCTCATTCCTAGCATCAAATAAACTGGTATACTTTTATTTACGTAATTCCTGGCCTCTAGAAGTAAATTTACTAAAAATTTGGTGAAATTTCAGCTAAAATACTTTTTCAAAAAACATAAGTTTTTCTTTCAATTTTATAGCCTTAAAAATTTCAAAAATGAATCGAAATGTTATTTCTCTGTCTTCCTTTCATCCTCCTCTACTCGCTCATATACCATTTACCCGTGAATTTCTCGAATTTTTTGAAAAATTTCGAAAAAACACGCTATTTTTGGCCGTCCAAATCGAGAGAGTGGCGCAGAGAAAAAGACGCTCGTTTCTCGACACGAACAAAAATATTTTGGTAATACTACTGTATCTATTGCTTCGCGTGTGTCTTTTTCACGCGTTTCTCGAAACGAACAAACAAAAATACCATAAAACTACTGTACTTAAAGGGAGTTTTCGCGTCTGTGTCATTTCTCTCGATTCGGACGCTCTTCTTCTTTTTTAAAATAGCGTGAAAATTCAAAAAAATTGAAAAAAAAAATGAGAGAGTGTTGTTTGCTGTAGAGACGCAGACAACGAGAGAGCGCACACACCTCGCGTCGTCCTGTGGATATTGTGCCTTGTTTCACATCGAATCGCGATTTTTCACCAACAATAAGTTGGGGATTTTCGAAAATCTCTCCAGGTCGTTTCCAAACAATTTCCTCATCTGGCCGTGTTTTGAACCAAATACTACGATCATTGGCGGGGAATTGAGGGTCTTCGAATAGAACTCGTTGATCGAGACAGCGTTGACGCTCTTGTTTGAAATCGATTGGTTGAAAACTTTCCGAGAATTGAGATGAACCTCCAGCACCGCCAGGAACAAAAGGATGGATCTGTAAACATCGAGATTAGCGCTTGAAAACGCGAAATTGCGAGAAAACAATAAAATAATTTTTCAAAAAATATTTTTTCCGCGTTCATTTCGCGTCGAGACCAATTGTGTGTTTACGGTTATGTGGCTTTGGAACAGTATTATTTTTTCTTTATTCTTCAAACTTACATCTCTCTTGAATTTTCCACTGATAATATTATCCAAAATGACTTTTCCGATATCACTCAACGAATTGTGCTGTCCGCCCATACGGAAAATCAAATTTCCGGCGATCGCTCCAATAATTGCACCAGTCGACGGATTGATTCCGAAAAATTGATGAGAAGCCGATGAAATCAAATTTCCAACCAATGATTCCATACCGCCCGATGAGAAAACATTCGAAAGCCCGCCAGATTCACCACCAGATTGTTGAATAAGATTTCCGATTTGTCCAACAACACCATCAAACCCGCCACCACCAAAACCATCCATAGCGCCTAGATAAACAAGATTGATAGAGGTTGGTTAAGTTTTCATTTTACCTAAATCTCACCATTTTCTCTAAAACTTCTAGACCGGTTTGAGATAAGTGTCAAACAAAAAATGATGATAAAATTATTTTGGAAAATAGAACGACACGTGGTCTTTGAAAAAAAAACGTGATAATTTTTTTATGAAACTCGACGTGGAATTTTTCATTTCAATTATTTTTCAGTTTACCTTTGAAAAGACTCGACAATCCATGTGATTCATTATTCGAATCTTCAGCTCCATGAGCAATCGAAGCTTGAGCAACTCCATATTCTTCATCATCTTCTTCGTCCTCTTGATTATCTGGATTATATTCTGGTTCGGGTTCATCATAATTTTCTTCATAGTTGTCTTCTGGTTCTGGCTCAGGTTCTTCCTCTTCTTGTTCTTGTTCTGGTTCTGGTTCCTCTTCTTCTTCTTCATAATTTCCTTGATCTTCTGGTTCATAATCTTGTTCTTCTTGCTCATAATTTTGATGATCTCCCTGATCTTGGTCATAGTTCTGATCATCATAATTCTGTTCTTGATAATCTCCTTGATCTTGGTAATCATAATCACCGCCACCTTGATCTTGGTCCTCGTAGTATTCTTCTTCGTCCGACATTTTCAACTGAAAAATTATTCAAATGAGTTGAACGCCTCTTGAGCAAAACAAAATTTGTACGCTTAAAAATTTAAAAATTCTGGAAAGTTCCAAAAACTAGAGATATCATAACAATATTATGTTTATACAAAAATAAACTAAAACACTTTTTTATGTTCTTTGAAAAAAAAATGACCAGAAAAATCAATAACCACATTTCCCCCCAGAAAAAAAAATGTGACCACAGAATAAAATGTAGTAGATCAAATGTGTTTCTTTCTAACAACTAAATGAAAAAAATATATTCGCTCAAAAATCAATAGTTTCTGACTGACCACATGAAAAAAAGAAGATGATGGAAAAAGTTTCACTTTTACAATTTTTTATTTGCGCGTCCGGTTGAATGGGAGAAAAAAAGGTAGAAATAGTATGTAACTACAAAAAAATGTTTTGTTGTTCGGTTGTCAAGAGGAACAAACATTGTTAATTTGAACTCAGGAATTTGAGAAAATTTTAGATATAGAAATGTTATTTATGCGGGACTTCAGGGGAAATAATCTGCAAATCTGAAAATACCGTATTCTAGTTACCAAATAGCGCACGTCATTATGTTTGAAACGGAAGTATAAATTTTTTAAAAACATATGCCATTTGTCAAAAATTTGTCGGAGGCTCGATAATATCACGAATTTTCAAGTAACAATGGGCCAGTTCACGTCTAACTTTCATTTTTTTTATCGTATCTGTTTGTGATTATGGGTTACTAGAAAATTCAGAGCTTTCGTGATTGAAAATTTTTCAGATGTGAACTCCATGATCACTGAAGCAGTATTCTAATCCAGAAACTTTGTACAGTAACCCGAACAAAAACCCCGGAAATGATCTACTATAATACAATATTATTACGATGTTTTTAATGCCGTAGAAGAGAAAATCACCACATTGAATGTTGTCGGTTCCAATGATCTTTTGTGTTAAAACAGAAAATGTTCGGTTTTCTGTTTCGAGGGTCAAATTTCAGATGGACAATATTTGAAACAGTGTTGAAAACTTCACTGTTACAGTACCCGGAACTCATCTCTTCTCAAATTGAAAACCACCTAGTTTTCAGTTGTCCCTAAACCACTGGTCATTTTTCATTCTCTTCAAATTCTCTACAATAAATACAATATTATTTGATCGTCGTCACCGCCGGCGCGCGAACAAAAACGTCTGCTGAACAAATAGAGTAAGACATAGCCAAAAGCACATTTTGAGAGAGAAAAAAAGGAAAAAAATGAACACATTGAAGAAGAAGAAAAAATATATGGAGAGACAAGAATTGTTGTCACGACTGGTCTAAACGGGAAGCAAAATATTATATGAAACCGTATTTGTGTTGTTCGCCGCACCATTTTTTCGCTATGTTTGTTTTGGGTTCTTTTTTGAGTCGCTTGCTGAAAGATTACTGTAGGAACCTTGATTCACTTAGTTCTCTTGATTTTCGTTTTTAGATTTTCTGAACATTTTGAATTTTTATTAGGCATAGGACTTGATTCTTCGAAAATTTTGATTTTTTTGTTTCCAAAAATGTTTGAATCTAGGATATCAAAATTCATTTTCTATTCTATCCAGAATACTTTTTCAAACATTTTATCTCAAAATTGATATTTCCAATAATTCGATTGTCTGTTTACTGTATCTGAATTCTTTCTTCAGAAACTTAGATAAATATTTCAGTAATTATTTTTAAAAAGAACAAGTTCCAAATATTTTATTCCTGTTTTCCGTTGAAATCCAAGGATGCTACAAAATATATTTTTGAATTTCAAAAAATCAAAGTTCTGTAAGTTTTTTTTAATGTTCTGGCTTGCGATTTACACAGAAATCTGATTTGCGTCAGATTTTTTGAAAACACAAATTGAGTTTCCAAGTTCTTGAATTCTTCATTAAACATTTTCCCTACATCCACAGTACCCGATTTTTATCAAAAACAGCACTAAAGTGCCGCTGATCATTTAATCCCGGCTCGTTTCGTTTTTTCTTCGAAACAGTTCGTACCAGTTGACTTTTCATCTCTGCGTCTCTAACTTGGCTCAGCGCTCCATTTTTCCAATTTGCTCTATATTTTTTTTACACTTTTCCCGGATCTTCATATTTTTTTCATAAATATATATGTACAAAAATAAAATCATAAATTCTGACCAAGGTGTGTATTATGTATTATTGTTTGTTTATTTACATGAAGTATATTTATATATTCAAATTTTGTCGTATTTTCAGATGTTGTTGTGCACAAATTTATGCTTTAAAAGATTGGATCAATTTTCGGCTAAAATTACACAAGAAATTAATAACAATGAGTGAGTTTTTTTGTTGTTTTTTTTTCATTGTTATAAAAAATCAAATATTTACCGAGCTGCACATCACAAACAATATTATTGTTTATGTTGTAACCAAAACGGTTTATGAAAAAATCCGCGAAAACTGGGGGAAAATATAGCGAGTCTTTCAAGAAATTACATTTTCTCGAAAAAAAAAACAATAAATTCGAACTTCCTCGCAAATCTCTAACCGTCTGCACCCTCTTCCTCTCTCCTCATTGTTATTCAATGGAGCGCGTTTTCTCCTCTCTCCCTTTCTTTCTCCACGCGTCGTAACGATTTTTCTTCCACTTTTTACTCGTTTATCATTGTTTTTGCGCCAAAAAATTGCGCCAAATTGGAAAAGCGATAGGTTATGAGTCGATGGTCGGCTGGTTCTACACCTGGAAGTGTTAAACCAGTTTATGGTGCAAGATATCCACCCCTTCATGAGAATATTCCGACAAGTCCAAGTAGATCAATTGTTGAGCCACAACATCGACATACTAAATTTCAGGATTATCAAAATAGGTAGATTATTCGATTTGATTTTTAAATATACCAGATTTCCGTTTTTTTTTCATTAAAAAACATAAATGGTGGTCTAGGAAACCAAGTCTGATGTTTCTAGGTTACAAAAAATTCTGAGAAATGTTTCCCCAAAAAATTCCAATAAATATTTTCTAGTGTCAGTGATGCTTGGGATACACGTGTAAAAGTTGATGAAAGTCTGGCTTCCGCATCGGCAGCAAAAGTGTTAGCCGCTCATGCCGCTGGAAAGAATCGCGATGAAGAAATTATGCCACCCGTGAATTCGGCACCCACAAAAAATAGCAGACAACAGGCTCTTCAACGGCTGGCAATACAGAAAGGTGAGATTTTTTTTTTTGAATTTTTGAAAATCACAAAAAATTATCTCAAATTTGTAAAAATTTTCTACTCAAAATTAAAAAAAAACACAAAATTCGAGAAAAATTATTAAAAAATTTCTTTTTGGGCAGTTCAATATGAATTTGACAAAAAATTTATTTTCCAATTTCTCTCACAAAAACAGTCCATTTTTTCTTCCAGAACCTCTGCCTTCCTCAATGTCTACAACTCCTCAAACCGGCAATCCAATCTATCCAAAACTACCTGAAATATCCGATCAACCAAGATCAGCAGCTCCAGCAATGTCTGCTCCACCACACGGAGGAGATCGAGATCAAACAAGATTTGCTCGTTTGCGGCGACTTTTTTCGAATGGAAAATCGAGCGGAAGAAGTTCGCCACCAGTTGATGTTGATTTAGACAAATTAAGAGAAGATTGTTGGATGGGAATTCCGCATAAATTGAGACCACAAGCATGGAGATTATTGTCGGTTAGTGAAATTTGGAAAAATAGCGGTTGAAAAACATTCTATGAACTGGGGAGTTCAGAAAATGAATTTTTAGTTTGAAATATTTTTAACACTTGGTTATATCTCAAAAATTCATAGAAAACTTGTAGAAATTGCATATAACCCAGTTTGAAAAATTCTAAATTTGGAATTTCAGAGTTTTTTAAAATTCATTCGAGATTTAAAAAATCCGCATCATTTTCCCATGAAAATTCCAAATTATCTCCCTATTTCTATTTTTTTAGGGTTATCTTCCAACAAATGCAGAACGTCGTGAAGTAACACTTCAATGTAAACGTGACGAATATTGGCATTATGTCGAACAATATTTCCATTCTCGTTTCGAAGACGGAAATGCCGAAATCTTTCGTCAAATCAACATTGATATTCCTCGAATGTGTCCACTTATTCCACTTTTCCAACAAAAAATGGTGCAAGAAATGTTCGAAAGAATCCTTTATATTTGGGCAATTCGTCATCCCGGTTGTGGTTATGTTCAAGGAATCAATGACCTAGTCACTCCATTTTTTGTTGTATTTCTCTCGGAATTTATTCCACAAGATGTTGAAGTTGGATCATTTGATGTATCACAATTGGAATTGGATCAATGCCAATTAATTGAAGCTGATTCATTCTGGTGTGTTAGTGCACTTTTGGATTCAATTCAAGATAATTATACATTTGCACAACCTGGAATTCAAAGAAATGTTTTGAAATTGAGACATTTGATGAGTCGAGTTGATCGTAAGTGTCGATTTTTGTGGCTAAAAAATGTTATCAATTTTTGTTTCACAGGGCCACTTCATAAACATTTGGAATCAAATGGCGTCGAATATTTGCAATTTTCTTTTAGATGGATGAATAATTTATTGATGCGCGAAATTCCATTGAGAGCAACTATCAGACTCTGGGATACTTATTTGGTAATTTATCTTGAATTTTTTTTTATTTACTAAAAAAGAATTAAATTTTGCAGAGTGAACCTGTCGGATTTTCGCAATTCCATAATTATGTTTGTGCCGCATTTTTGAGAACATGGTCAAAGCAGCTGCAAAATGAGAAAGATTTTCAGGTAAATTTTGCGTGGGAAAAAGATCGGGTTATTATTTAGCAAAAAAAATTAGACTACACTCTAGTCTACCTTTTTTGAGGTCATTCCATCCCCAATTTTGAAAATTCATTTTTTTTGAGTTTAGGAAATTCAGGATTTGAAAAAAATTTATTCTGCTATCAAAATTCTACAGTAACCCAAAAACAACAATTTTGCAACAAAAATGATCTACGATCGTTCTGTATGTATTGAAAAAAAATATCAATTTATTTTTTTTCGTTGAGAAATGTGACCTTTCTCAGACAATAACTTGAAAAATGACTTGGTTCTACTAGAAACCAGAAAAAAATCCAATTTAAAACCCCTCTTTTTTTCCAGGGAATCATGATATTGTTGCAAAATTTGCCCACACAATCATGGGGTGATCGTGAAATTTGCGAACTTACCGCCGACGCTTTTTCACTGCAATCGGTTTTCGACGGCGCAAGTCGACATTTATCAGCACAATCCGCTTCACCATAATTTTTCCTCGATTTTTTTGGGTAGACTTAGAAATTTTTACACCATTTTTCATGTAAATAGAGCTATTTTCTATTTATTTTTACTTTTTCAAACATCTGTGATAACCCTGTCTATTTTTTCCTTCCTATTCTATTCTAAATACTTCTTATAATATAATCTAGTGCCTTGAATCTTTCAAAAATCCCCACACATTTTTGTATAAAGTCATTTTTCCTTTCTTTTCTTCGTTCTATTTATGAAGGTCATGTTTTTATTGATCACTAAAGTTTTTTGCCATAATTTAATTAGCTATGAGTCAGTCAATGTTCCGGAAGCCGGAATTTTTCATGCTGAAAGAACATTTATTGATTTTTGTGTCTACTGCAGTTATATGTTATTCATTGCATCTGTTCTTCTTTGATATTGAAAAAAGACAAAAAACCATTTGTTTTGTCCAAAAATGTGGAAAGTCTGCATTTTCGCGTAGAAAATTTAATAGAATCTGCATTTTTGCGTGACATTGTGTGTTTTCTACAGTAATATTTTTCCACGAAAATTATTTTTTCATTTTTTGTTTTTTTTTTGGCAAGAAACCTTGGGCGTTTCCCGTGTTATGTCGTGTTAGGACAATATTTCATAATTTCGGGTGATTTTATCTTTGAGGACAAGTTTCAATTCCCAAGTGGTTTTCATTTTGAGAACAAAATTGTGTCATATTTGTTTTTGAACTCGAACCACATCAAAATCATTTCTTTATGATATTTACCAACCTTTTTTGTTGTCCTTCTCACTATTTATTAGTTAGGCGAGTAAAATATCTATTGTATTTATTTATTCAATGTCACTCACTCGTTTTTCCATTTTGTATTTGTTGCCAAAAAAAGTATTGATTGTTCCCTTGGTTACCAAATCTCTTTTTGTTTAGACATTTATTTGCTATTTTTATTGTTTTGATATTTTCAGACAATTCAACAATGACAATTTCATATAGTGGAAATGTTATTCGAATTTTGTTGAGATGGAAAGGATCGATTTGGCGAGCAGTTTGGCGCGAACTTGTGATCTATTTATTATGTTATTATGCAGTCAGATTGGTTTATTTGAAACTTCCCGAAGTTCTTGATATGGACAAAGAGGATGCAAAAGAATTCACAAAAAATTTCGAAGCTTTCTGTGAAATGTGCAAAGATTGGCTCAAAAATATACCCCTAACTTTTTTGTTGGGTTTCTACGTTTCAAACGTGGTTTCTAGATGGTGGCGGCAATTTGAAACTTTATATTGGCCTGAGGATATTTTGTCGGTTCTTTGCACAGTGGTTCATCAAAATGATGATAAGAGTAGAAAGAGGAGACATACTATTGCGAGATATTTGAATTTGGCTTCAGCGTTGGCATGGTGAGTTTTTCTAACTGTTGGTAAACTAGTCTCTTCTGAAAATTATAGACTAATTTTCCTAGGAGCTCAAAATCGATTCTGAAAAGAAAAACAATTTTTAGGCGCGATATTTCTTCAAAACTCCGCCTTCGCTTTCCAAATGTTCACAGTCTTATTGAAGCTGGTTTACTAACTGAAAAAGAATATGAAATTCTCGAAAAAGTGCACGAAGATTGTGATTCAACTCGCTGGATGACACCAATTCATTGGGTTCAACATATAATGCGAGAAGTTGAAGAAGATTCCAAACCAACCGCATCACTTTTGAATCAATTCATCGGTGAACTTCGAATTTTCCGGCAATCTTTGAGAAAGTTATATAGTTATGATTGGGTTTGTGTTCCTTTGGTTTATACACAAGTTGCTGCATTGGCAACTTATGGTTTCTTCTTTTTCACACTTTTTGGACGACAAATTTTGGTATCGGATGTTTTGAAAGGAGAAGCGATTGATATAAAAGTGCCGATTTTTACAATTGTTCAATTTTTGTTTTTCATTGGATGGTTCAAAGTTGGACAAGATTTGATGAGACCATTTGGATTGGATGATGATGATATTGAATTGAATTATATTTTTGATCGAAATGTTCGCATTTCATTTACGATTGTTAATCGATTACAAGGAAGTCCACTTCGTAAGTTTTTTCTGGTAAAGTTCTGAAAATTTTGGTCAATCTGTTGCTATATTAGGCACATTTTTATTATAATTATTTTTCCTCATTCCCAGGCTGATTTTTGGTTTTCCTAAGTTTTCCCGAATTTTTTAAAAGAAAATGGAGTCTTGCGAAAATTAAGAACTTCGAAAAATGAGTTGCTATAAAAAATAGACCAAAAATGTTTTCAGTCTGAAAATTTCGGATTCAATAAATATTTTACAATTTTCCAGCTGATTACGATGCTGAAAGCGACAAATTATGGCGAGAAAGTGAAAATGGCACTACCCTGATTCCATCAATTCCACATTCCAAATATTCGCGCCAATTATCCGAACATCCTCCTCGACTTCATGCTTATGTTCCAATTCATGATCAAATCAAAGATGCCGAAAGTGCCAAAGGTTGTTTATCGATCAAAAAACAGAAAAAGTGAGTTCCTATTTCTTTTTTTCTGTATTTGGAAAAATATATACTTTTCAGACATCTAAATTGGTGATAATTGTGATTATTTACGAGTTGCAGAAAATGGCTTTACTTATCGATTTTAATGTTAAAACGTTGTTTGTTAATAATAATTGCATAATAAAATTCAAAAGAAAAAGGAAATCTATGTCCAACATGGGTTTACAGATGGTCTTGGTGGATTTTGTGGGTGTTGTGGGTGTTGTGGATATTGGGGTGGTTGTTGTCTTGGTGGTTGAGGATCTGGAGAAAAAATTAAAGTTGAACATGGATTTGTTTTTTTTTCAAAATTGGCGCGGAACATAACAAATGTTCAATTTTAATATTTCGATGTCAAAATTTTTAATTTTCAAATTTCGTCGCCGAAACCGATTCCTCATATTCAAATTTGGAGCATTCTGAAAGTGTTCCCAGATTTTTATGGCAATTTTCGACTCTGGCATCATTTTCAAAATACTTGGGTTTGTATTTTCACTAGAAATGAAATTCCCTTTTTCAAAACTAACCTTCTGGTGGATATTGAAAATCGGTTTCTTCAAAATTCCCCTGATTTTGTCGTGTATTTTGCGCGTTGGCAAACATCAAGAAAATCGAGAAAAATATCATGATAACGACGGAAAGCTGCATTTTTAGCAAGAATAATGATCCTTCTAATATCTATCACATTTTTTCGCCGATCAACAACTGTTGCGAATTACACTGATTCATCCATTAAAAAAAACATTTCATCAAAAACAACAAGGTCAAAATCAACAACAAAATATGGCAATCTCTGAATGGGGCCCCTGAATGGGGCCAGTTTCTGAGAAAATGGGGCCACCTGAATGGGGCCACTTGTGTGGCAAATTCCCTCAATGGGGCCAGCAAGAAAAAAGTAAGAATTTCTCCTTTTTTCCTGAATGGGGCCACCTAAAAAGATGAAACACATAATTTCTGCATATTTCCTCAATGGGGCCATGTATTTTTTGTGCATTTCCTGAATGGGGCCCATCTTTTCATTTTTATACATCTTGTGACGTCATAGTGATAGTGAATTGAAATTTCATGAAAGTTTTCAAATTTTTAATAACGTTATTATGATGTGGTTTTTATTCTCAGCATTGAAAACATTTCGAATGTAACTTTTTCTCAAATTTTCAGGCTCTGATGATGAAAATATTTGAATTTTCCTCGAATATTTCGAATAATTTTTCTGGGTAAACTTTACATTTTCCCAATTATTTTCTTCAATCAAATTGATGTTTTCTTCTAAAATAAGTTGTGCATTTCATTAAGTTTTGGTTATTATTGTATTCTTAGCTAGTTGACAACAAGTTTTTTGGATAACTTCCCAAAAAACTCATCTGGGTCTCCAAAAAAACACACTTTTTTGCGCGATGTCCGTGTCTTGTTTATGGGCAAGGTGCCAAAATATCAAGGTGTGAAAACTTATATCATAAGTTATATGACATGTTTTTCAATAGTTTTCAAATTTTATATAGAATTTCTGTGAGAATTATCTAATGGGGTGATTCAATTCGTTTTTTTAACGATTAATTGACAGAAAATCCGAGTCATTTTTGTGCGATTTTTTCACGTTTTTGTCGATTAATTATAGGTCAAATAAAATTTATTTTTAATGCAATTAATCTCATTTTTGCCAAGAAATGAAAGCGAGGAATTGACAAAAACGTGAAATTAATCGCCCTAAAAGACTCGGATTTTTTGTCAATTAATTGACAAATTCACGTCGATTAATTCGACTGAATCACCCCATAACGAACTACTTCCAGATTTTGGTTCAATTTTCAAAACATGCTTCTGTGAATATTTTTCGAATTGTTTAATGCGTAGTAACCCGAAAAATTCGTGACCCGAAAATTTGAGAAAAACATTTGATATTTTTTCTCCAATTTGTGAAATGTCTGAATTTTCTCTGTGATTTTTGATAGTTTTCGAGTGTTTGAGAAAAGCAAGACTTGAATTCCAAAAAGAAATATTTCATTTAATTTTACTGTTTCAAAAATTCATGAAACTTGGGAATTTTTATGTAAGAGAGGCTCCATGCCTTCAGAACCCCAGATTTGCATACGTGGTAAACATATGAGTAAGTTATAACTCACATACGCTAATAAAAAATTTGAAAACTTTCATGAAATTTCAATTCACGATCACTATGACGTAACAAGATGTATAAAAATGAAAAGATGGGCCCCATTCAGGAAATGCACAAAAAATACATGGCCCCATTGAGGAAATATGCAGAAATTATGTGTTTCATCTTTTTAGGTGGCCCCATTCAGGAAAAAAGGAGAAATTCTTACTTTTTTCTTGCTGGCCCCATTGAGGGAATTTGCCACATAAGTGGCCCCATTCAGGTGGCCCCATTTTCTCAGAAACTGGCCCCATTCAGGGGCCCCATTCAGAGATGACCCAAAATATTTGATATTTGCAATAATGTATGTATAACAAAAAAGTTTGACTAAACTCCAAATCTTCCTGAAAATGAATCGGTGATTCCGAATTCCGCATACGGATTTGTGTCGGAAGAATTATTTGAGAGGGCCTGAGTTGCAGCAGGAGCTGGTGAGGAATTATTAGGTAGAGCTTGGACGGGACCATCGAAATCGCGACGGTATGGACGAGGAGCATTGGCATTATGCCAATTCCAAGATTGATATGGGCGAGGAGCTGGAAATTTTGAGAAATTGGAATTTTTTTCAGATCAATTTAATTTTCACATCACATTTGAGAAACATTTAGTGAAAATACTTCAAGGAAAATACTAATAAGAACATGCCCTTTCGAATATTCTGCTAATTTGCCTAACTTATTTTTATCTCAAACCTTAAAAAATTATTCATGTCAGTAAAATTTGGAAATGATTTTTTATCAGTGCAAAATGTGAAAATGAAAAATCCACATCAAAGTTCACGTTCACGTCAATAATTTTTTTAAAACATGTCCTCTATTTTGAACAAAATTTTCAAATTGCCACGCAAAAAAGTAACTTACCAAATTGATTTCCTTGTGAATTTCCTTGCATCATATTTCTATTTTGTCCTCCAACTCCTCCATTATTGCAATCATTATTAAATCGAACTCTTGCTGTTCCACCGCCTCTTCGATCTCTTTTTCGATTTTCTCTTGGAAGTCCTTGGGTATTTGAACTTTGTGGTTTACTATTTCTAAACTCCTTTTCAGCTTCATCATCACTAAATTCAATATCACTATCAACTCCAACAATCATATTTTTCTTTCTTTCGATTTCTGATTGTCTATCCAATTTTTGATTTAATTTCATCAATGTTTCCCGATTCGCAGCTGCTAAATTCAATCCACGAAATGGTGTTTTCGAATATGTTTCATTATCTGGAGCATAATATAATTTCATTCCAATCGGAGTTATTGAAGCCTCTTCCGATGTATTGAATCTCACAACATATCCTGGATTTTTAACTTGACCAAAGATATCATAAATCTGCCCGAAAGCCTTTCCTTCTTCATCAAAAACATATGAATCGAAATCGAGAACATCATTGCTAGTTGATTCAATAAGAACCATACAATCAACAATTTTTTCAACCTTTCCAAACTCTACCAATGTGCTTTTTTGACAAGTTATTGATAGATTTTCAAGAGGTGGCAAATCATCATATTCGTGCGATATCTTCGAAACATCTTTCTTCAATTCTTTTTGCTTTTTCTTTTCTGAATTTGAACCATCTTCAGAGTACTCTTTCTTGTGAATCTTCTCAATCAATTTACTCGAAATCGTGATCAATTTATCGAATTCTTCATCAGAATCCAATGCATCAGCTCGAAAATCTGTTCCAAAATCACTATCATCGTCCGATAAATCAAATTCACTCTCTGTATCTCCCCCATAACTATGAACTGATGGCGCTTTTCTGATTTCATTCATTGCTGGCAACATTTCTTGAAATGGACATGGTTCTGGCTCGACTTCGATTGGTTCAGTTGGTTTTTTCGGAACAACTGTGGCATCTGATACTATCGGCGTTCGATCAATAACGAAATCCTCTTCCATTTCTAAAAAATTTATAAGTTTTAGGGGAAAAAAGAGAAAAATGAAAAAATGAAAATATTTATTTCTAGGCCAAGGGACTAGAAAACCAAAGGCCGTGTGTTTGGTTCGGAAATTTTATTTTTTTTTGTTCGTTTTTTGATTCGTTTAAAATTGTTTTTATAGGTAATGGAGAGTGCCACAGAAGTTATCAATGATGAACCAACACAATCGGAAACTGTAGAAAAGGTTCTATCCAAAAATCAGCAACGGAAACTTCGAGCAAAAGAGAGATATTTGGAAAAACGTGTAGTGAAACGGGCGGAAGAACGCGCAAAAAGGAAAGCGAAACGAGAAGCAAGAAAAGAAGCCGGAGAATTTGAATTGCTGAAAAGAAAGAGACCAAGGAAAATGTGCGATTCGACAAGCAAACAAAGAATCGCATTAGATATGTCTTTTGATGATTTGATGAGTGAAAAAGATCAGAAACGAAGTGTTCGGCAAATCAATTGGTGTTATACAGCAAATCGACATTCAGCACAACCTTTTCAATTGCATTTAGTAGGATTTAATGGACCATCTCGAAAGGTAGGAATATTTTGAAAAATGGAAAAAAAATAAAATTATCAAAGTTCAGATTTACGACAACGTCGAAGGTGCTGAAAATCAAGATGTTTTCTGTCACGATACAAAGCTTGAAGATACTTTCAAACCTGAAGAAATAGTTTATCTTTCTGCCGAATCGGATAATGTTTTAGAAACTTTAGATGACTCAAAAGTATACGTGATTGGTGGCCTTGTAGATCATAACTTTCACAAAGGACTTTGCCATAAATTAGCTGTTGAGAAAAAATTTGGACATGCAAGATTACCAATCGATGAATATGTGCATTTGAAGACTAGAAGAGTGTTGACAATTAATCAAGTTTACGAGATTTTGGTGCATTTTTCAACGCATGGAGATTGGGAAAAAGCGTTTTTGTCGATTGTTCCGGGAAGAAAAGGCATGCTGACAAAAGCGGAAGCGGAAGCTGGAAATGGAACTGAAACAATGAACGAGAACGAAGAAGCTGAGGCTGAAGATGTGGAAGAAAATGATTGAGAAGAGTCTGAAAAGTCAGGAGCCGAAGATGAATCATAAAAAATTGGGTGATGTTTTTTTTTGAAAATTTATTTTTCTCAAAGTGTTTTTAGTAGTGGGTTAAACGCAGAACAGGCCCTCACCTATATCATTTGAAGCCCCGACTTCCAACTCCTTTTCAAAACCCCAATCGCGGGGTTTTCAAAATAAATTATGGAGAAAATAAGAAAAAAAAGTTTTTTATCTACTCGCGTAAAAGAAAATTGCAAGTAGAAAATTAATGTTCAGACGGGATTCTAATAAGAAGGCGAATTATTGGCAAAAAACAAATCATTCTGATTTTTCATTCCTTTTTTAATGTGGGGGCCTCAACTAAAAGAATTAAAGAGGGCTCTCTTTTAGTGAAAGTTCTGCGTTTTAGCCTTTGTTAGTAATTATTTTGTTATTTTTGTTACTGTTCCGAAAAAATTCCTTTTTCATAAAAACTTTCATAATATTTATTTTCAATTTTATTTCGAACAACAGTGAAAGTAAATAGCACTTTTTCGGGATGTTTTGACACAATAATTGATTTGAAACCAGATTTTCTGGAAAAATATCTGCCATTCTCACAATTTTTTTATTTTTTTTTCATTTGATTTTTTTTTGAAACATTATCCGTTGAGTCATTGTTTCATCTTTTATTTTTTTTTGATGTTTCGGGAAAAAAGAAGAAATCTGCAGGAGAATATGTGTATTTTTAGGTGTTTGGCAGAGCTTCCGTTTTTTCTCACTTTTTTGTGAGAGACTTGAGAGAAGATGCAATCGGGTGTGAAAACACACGATTTTGAACTTTTAGCGGGGAAAATGGAAGCGAAAGAGGTTTTCAGCAAAAAATACCGCCCACTTTTAGCTTTCGAGAAAGTTATAGCATTTACTAGGTTCGACCTACTTTGAGGAACTTTTTTGACTGCGAAATTGTTTTCTCCGCCCAATTCGATCTTACGATCTTCAATCTCCCATGTGTTATCTTAAACTCTAGTCCAGACTGAAATTCAAAACCCCATCAATCCATCAAATCTTTCTGTGTGTTTTTCCAACATCCCACATCCAATCGAAAAACAAAAAAAATGTATAGCACGAAAAAAATACGGTGTAATCGTCATCATCATGAAAAAAAGATTGTCGAAAAACAACCCATTTCTCATTTCTGTCAGGCAGGAAAAAAAAAGAATTGGCGGGGCTCAAAACAACTGTCTCCGGTTGGCAGATAGATAGGAGATCTGATTTTTATTATCTTTCGATTTTTTTCTACTTACACACAATCTTGAAAAAACACAATTTTTTTGAAGATTATGCGGATTGAGTTGCTGGTGGTTCTGATTGCTTGCGCAGCTTCTGCGCCAGTCCCAGATATCGACACTGCAATCAAATCAGGTGTCGAGGCTGTAGGTGAGTTCGAAAGGGAAAGTGTGAGATCAAAAACATTTTGACTAACTATCCACTAACTTTTTTTCCTAACAGTTCATCATTTGGAACCCGTCAAAACTTATGTATACACAGCGACAGGAGAATTCGTTAACACGATAGGTTTATCCTGAAAAAGAAGGGACAAATTGGAAAAAGACGACAACTTACGGTGTGCTAACGCTTCTTAGATAACTCCCCCCCTACTAACACTAGAAATATAGAATAGTTGATAGTTTCAGCAGAAAGTAGAACCTTCAAAGTAGCGGCTAGACTAGAAACCCAGAATGATAGATTGAAACGGCAGCAAGAACAACAAGACGATGAGAGACGTAGACAAGAAGCCGAGCAAAGACGTCGAGAAAAATGTCGCAATCGCAAGCGACCGGCTACTCCTGCGCCAAGAAATAATTGTTTGCCACCAGTTGGACCACCCCCATGTCAAGCGCCACTTCCGCAAGTTCAACCACAATCATACGGACCTTGTCAACCACCGCTGACACAAATTCAACCACAAGCTCCAGTTCAACAACCTTGTCGTCCACCTTTGCAACCACAACAACCTCAACCACAAGTTGGACCATGTCAACCACCAATTCAATTCCCAACTCATCCACCTCAACAACAAAAACCAATTCGAACTGGAGGATGTTTACCTTCACCTGTTGGATACAACAATGAACCACAACAACCTCAACCATATACTGGATGCCTTCCTGGTCCATATTACCCACCAACTCTTCCTCCCCCATCACCAGTTGGTGCAACCTATCCACCTCCTCAACCACGTGATTACCAAAGAACTGGTGGATGTCGTCAACGTTATCCTCAACCACAACCACAACCACAATACCCGGAATTCCGCTCGGGATACACTGAATGCGCTGGTCCCGGACCATGTCAAAATATTGAAAAACAAGAGGGGGAAGATCCGTGCGTCGGAAAAGTGAACATTGTTTCAGTTGATGCGTCGGGAAAAGTTGAACACTACATGTATGAGACAAAAAAACAAGCGGGCGATTTGATTGGTATGTGCCGGGATAGAGAGAAATAGTGAAAGTATAGAGAGAAATTAGAGGAGGGTGCTAGATATTACAGGGGACATTCACGAAGATCAGACCTGGGGAGTTTTTACGTAAAAGTATTTTACGGTTCTGAAAACCATAAAATCCCGTAAAATTCATAAAATTTTGTTACTAAACCTCTTATCTGAAAACATCAAAAAATATCTTCAAATATTGGGACCCTACTTCTGGGGTTATACTTTTTAGTCTCACCCCGGGATCCTACTGAAATTACTTCTGAAATTTTGTTCATAGGGGAGATTTCGGACCCATTCTGGTCGAATAATTCTTATGAGATAACCTACATTTCCCGGTTCCCTCCTCAAAAACTCGATCTTTCTCTCGATCCTAGCCGTGTGTACTTTCTGTGTGTGTCTCGTGTGTTTTTGTCCAATAAATCCCCCGATTCGGTAGCTCACCTTAATAGAGATTTTCATAATTTCTCGATTTTTCCTAGGCTCTCGAGTGCGTGTTCGACGACATCGATGCAGAAATAGAGAAAGATATATTCAGCCACGTGGGTTTCTCTAGAAAACAAAACAGACAGACATACTTTAGACATAACACGTTTGGTTGTTTCTCTAGTTCTGTATAGATGGGTGTCGAGTAAATAGTTTAGAGGTTGTGTCTTTTTGTGAGTAGAGTAGAGTAATATAGCGAGTAGAGTCATGAAAAAGTTCGAAAAAGTAAAATCTGAATTTTTAAGCAACTGTTGCTGCGTATGTTCGCGAAGAATTTGAGCAGGCTCGAAAAGCTGCCAGTAAGTTGTCCTCGTCTTTTTCTAAATGTTCCAAATATTTATTCCTGATCTATAATTCCAAATTTTCTAGGTGATGCTGCTGCAAGAGCCGCCGAAGCTGCTAGAAATGCTGTTGATGAACACGGAAACACCATCGGAGGTAACTAGATATTTTTGAGAGTACTGTACCTCGGCCAAAAAAAACGACATAGTTCGGGGCGACTCGTTGCACTCGTTTTACGGCAAGTCGCCCCAAGCTTACCCGAACAACGGCGCGTTTCGGGCAACTTGCCGCAAATGTAGCGTGTTCTGGGCGAGTTGCTACACGTTCGAGCGACTTGCCCCAAGCTGTTAGTAAATACTTTTTTATCACAGATGCTGCGCAAAGTGGAGCTGATGCCGTGAAAGATGGAGCCAGTTAGTTTGATTTGCACAATCACGCACCAATTGTTTATAGACAAAAAAAATATTATATTTATATTCTCACTTTTTGTTTCTTTCTGGTGCATGGGTTATAGGAGTTCAATTTTTTCTCATTTTCATCAAAAACTTTTTTATCTCAAATATCTATAGTACAATTTGTTTTGTTGCATGCGCACCTTTTCTCTCTCTCTATGAATGAATTTTTCTCACGTTTTCGGCACCAGTAGTTATTTAGAGAATCACTTGAATAAAGTTTAGATCAGTAGATATGTCTAACCGTTTGTTGTTGATCTGTGGAGGTTCGAAGAATGTATGAGAATATGCAGGATGGACTGGAGATCGAGCAAAAGAAGGTGCAGGATGGGTTGGAGATCGAGCTAGAGATGGAGCAAATGCTGTCAGAGATGGTGCAAGTTAGTTTCTCTTCTTACTATTCATTTATGGATAAGTATTTTAGACTGGGTTGGCGATCGCGCGAGAGACGGAGCAAATGCAGTCAAAAACGGAGCTGGTTCTCTTTACGACGGAGCTAAAGATGGAGTGAATTCTGTTGGAGATGCAGCATCTGATGCAGCTGGATGGACTGCAGATAGAGCAAACGATGGAGCAAATGCGGTTAGAGATGGAGCCGGTGCTCTTTACGACGGAGCAAAATCTGGGGTGAATGCCGTAGGAGATGCTGCTTCAGATGCAGCAGGATGGACTGCAGATCGTGCTGGAGATGGAGCTAACGCTATTAAAGATGGAGCTGGAGCAGTTTACGATGGAGCCAAATCCGGGGTTAATGCCGTAGGAGACGCTGCTTCGGATGCCGCAGGTTGGACTGCAGACAGAGCTAAAGATGGAGCAAACGCGGTTAAAGATGGAGCCAGTGCTGTTTACGACGGAGCTAAAGATGGGGTAAATGCTATTGGAGATGCTGCTTCAGATGCCGCAGGATGGACTGCAGACCGTGCTAGAGACGGAGCAAACGCAGTTAAAGATGGAGCTGGAGCAGTTTACGATGGAGCAAAATCTGGAGTAAATGCCGTAGGAGATGCTGCTTCGGATGCCGCAGGATGGACTGCAGATCGTGCTAGAGACGGAGCAAACGCAGTTAAAGATGGAGCTGGAGCAGTTTACGATGGAGCAAAATCTGGACTAAATGCCGTAGGAGATGCTGCTTCGGATGCCGCAGGATGGACTGCAGGCAGAGCTAAAGATGGAGCAAACGCTATTAAAGATGGAGCTGGAGCAGTTTACGATGGAGCCAAATCCGGGGTTAATGCCGTAGGAGATGCTGCGTCGGATGCCGCAGGATGGACTGCTGATAGAGCAAAGGATGGAGCAAACGCGGTTAAAGATGGAGCCAGTGCTCTTTACGACGGAGCGAAAGACGGGGTGAATGCCGTAGGAGATGCTGCTTCGGATGCGGCTGGTTGGACTGCTGATAGAGCGAAGGATGGAGCAAACGCAGTTAAGGATGGAGCTGGAGCAGTTTACGATGGAGCAAAATCTGGAGTAAATGCCGTAGGAGATGCTGCTTCAGATGCCGCAGGATGGACTGCAGATCGTGCTAGAGACGGAGCAAACGCAGTTAAAGATGGAGCTGGAGCAGTTTACGATGGAGCAAAATCTGGAGTAAATGCCGTAGGAGATGCTGCTTCAGATGCGGCTGGTTGGACTGCAGACAGAGCTAAAGATGGAGCAAACGCAGTTAAAGATGGAGCCGGATGGGTTGGCGATAGAGCCAGCGATGCCGGCGGTGCAGTTGTTGATGGTGCAAAAGCTGTTGGTGGAGCTGTTGCGGACGGAGCAAGTGAGCAAAGTGTTGTTTCGACTGTGTGTGCGGTGTATAGATAACAATTTAGAATTTTCTAGCTAGTTCTTATCAGTAATTAAATTTATACAAGAATGAAACGACCTCTTCATGCTTGTTGCGCCTTATGCTGCGTGCTTTAGTCGTATCTTACAGTAATATCTCGTAAAGTTTCATGAAAGTTTGGCAAACATTTTGAACATTGTCCAGATTTTCAAAAAACAAAGCTTCTTAACTTTGATATTTTTAACTTTAACCTAACTCAAAACTTAGAAAAATGAAATACCGAAGGGTGCTTCTTGATAAATAAACAGAGAAAGGTTTCCAATTATTTTTTTTTTTAATTTCGACAAAAAAAGGTTGACCACATGATTTCAGTTTTAAATTGATACTAATTAATTTGTTGAACATTTTTGCCGAGGTGTGCTTTCAAGTTCAAAAAAATTTCGAATACACATAATTTATTTGTGTGTATTTCTTGCGAAGTTCATTCCCTAACATTTATCAACTATGGAAAGTGATTTTCATCAACTCTAGGCTTGTTAACAGTTCAATCTAAAAAAAAGCATGATTGTCTGATGCATGTTATTTTTTGTGTTGTTTCAAAACAAATTGAGAAAAAACACACACATACTCTGATTCTTTAGGCTGGACAGCTGACAAGGTCGGGCAAGCCGGAGAAGCTGTTGTTGATGGCGCGAAAGCTGCCGGAGGTGCTGTTGCTGATGGAGCAAGTATAGTTTAACCTATCACATTCGAAAAAATGCCCTTTACTTTGACCTTCAGGTTGGACAGCCGGAAAAGTTGGGGAAGCCGGAGGTGCTTTGGTTGATGGCGCAGAGGCTGTAGGGGGAGCTGCAGTTGATGGAGCTAAAGCTGTTGGTGGGGCTGTGGTGGATGGAGCTGGATGGGTTGGAGATAAGGCTGGAAAAGCTGGTGAAGCTGTTTTAGATGGAGCAAAATCTGCTGGTGGAGCTGTGGTTGATGGCGCAGAGGTTGTAGGGGGAGCTGCTGTTGATGGAGCAAAAGCAGTTGGTGGAGCAGTTTCAGATGGAGCTAGTGAGTTGAGCAAAGATAGGGGGATGTTTTCTAAGCAGAGCTATCGAAATATTGACTTTTTTTGATCCATGGTCCTTATGAATTAGAACCTTTTAATTCAAGACTAATATTTTAAAGGTCTACCAACCTCTTTCAGATTAGCCCAGTAACTCTAACCCATAAACTACAACTTCTGAAAATCTAAAAAACTCACTTTTCAGCCGGAGTACAGTATCGAAAGTGAAAAATATGAACGTTTCCAAAAAAACTGGAAACCAAAATGAAAAGTGTTCAAATAAATGTTTCCTAGATCTCACGTCACGTCTCAATAAGAATAAAAACAATTCTAGGTTGGACCGCAGACAAAGCTGCAGAAGGTGCTGGCGCCGTTGCTGATGGAGCAAAAGCCGCCGGCGGTGCTTTAGTCGATGGTGCAAAATCAGTTGGTGGATTCCTTGGTGGAGCATTAGATTCGGCTCGCGACGCTGTAGGAAACACTTTAACCAGTGCTGGTGACGCAGTTAAATCATCAGATTGAACATATTGATTTTTTATTTTTTCATAATTCAAATCCCATCCCGACTGTATTTAAATTATACCCTCTTCCCTCCCCAATTCTTTTATTTCGCGCATTTATATTTTCATTCACATTTCTGACTAATATTTTATTCATTCTAATGGACTACTCTAGTTTATATGAATATATACCCTCTTTTTCTTTGTTGTTGCGATTTTTGCGAGCGATTCACTGTAGAATATTTCATGAGTAAGGGCGAAAAAAGAGGCGCGTGTCGTAAAATGACACTGATTTTATCGCGCCGAGAGAAGTTGAAGAAACTCAAGTTTTATTAGCTTTTTGAAAATCGCCGAGAAATGTTATGGTTTTGAATTTTCGAAATGGTGAAAGGTTTTCAGAGACGAACTTTGATGTGTTTGCTCAAACCTGAAACCTACCTGAAAAAAACGGCAGGTCCAAAAAATCATCTGTAATTTTTTGACTCTTAATTCATCGGGAGAATTAAAATAATTTTTTCCAACTGAAATTCTAAACTTTCTCGAATTTACTTGTTTATTCAATAATTCATGGCAAGAAAACTACAAATAAAATCAAAAATGAGAAAGGATACCCTAAAATTGGCGGATCAAAAATATGTGTTTGAAAGAATGAAGGAAATGTAAAGTAAAGCCGAGACCATTCAAAAGCTAAAGCCTCATATAAATTAGAGGTTGTTCCAAAAAAGAAACACAAAAAATGATTTAAAAAATCTAGATCGATCTTAAATGCTCATCAACTTTTTGAAGCAAAGTCTCCTGAGTTACACTAAGTGGCAAAATATGCATATCGGGTGTGTGTCGAATATAACCAGAGATTACTTCAAGATTTTGCAATACAAATTGAATTTGTTGAATTAAAGTTGGATCACTGGATGGGGGAATAATCATTGATAAATTGGCCTGAACTTGAGGGCGAGTCGAAAAATAATGGAAAATATTTGAAACGACGGATAGAAGTGGAAGAAGTTCATCATGTCCAAAACTATCTTGTCCAATATGATTCAAAAATGAGTCGAGTTCAGTAGAAGGTGCTGTCGAAGATGAAGATGAAGCTGTATCATCCTCCTCTTCTTCAATTATTTCAACTTCCTCCTCTTCCTCTTCTTGCTCATGTTCTTCTTCCATATCTTCATCTTCTTCCTCTTTCTGTTCTTGATTCTGATTCTGATGTTGTCCATTCAAATTCTGAGCTACTTGCTGATTTTGTTGTTGTTGTTGTTGAGATGTTGATGACAAAACAGGTCCCGTAGTCGAACTGAAACAAATTTTATCTTGTCAAAAAACAACGAAAAAAAGGGGGATGTTGTCGAGATGAGAACAAAGGCCATAACTCTTTTGGGGCGCGCGCGCGTTCAATGTAAATGTGTTCTTTTCGATACAAAGTGCAGATCGAGAAAAGAAAATGTTACAAATTGCCTTTATGCGTGTATTTTTGTGGATATGGTGGGTGATGAAATCGGAATGTGTCTTGGTGGCAGGAATTGGATTAGATGGATTTGTTTTTGTTTTTATGTTTGGAAATGTGAATGGGAAGAGACATTGTGAACAAAGAGATGAAGATCGATGAGCCGGGAATTTTTTTCCAAAGTGAACTTTTTCAGAAAGGCATTTCTTAAAACAAAAAGTATATAGTGTCTGAACAACGGTAAAATTTGAATACCCAAATTCAAAGACAACTCCCACAAAAAACCTTCCCACTCCCTTTGTGCTAATTTCTCATCCTGACCCGTAATAATTTCAAAACTTGTGCTCCTCTCCCCTTCCTATATTTTCCGGAACAGGTGTGACCCAGTAGCCTCAAAAAGGCGCCGGGAGAACACAACAGAACAGACGCCCTTTCCAAAAATAATGATAAATTAGTGCAACGAGGCGAAATTGTAACACACACACCACAGGGTGCCATTTTCAAAAAAAAAATAGCAAAACGAACCTTTGGAAAATTCCAGCAATTTGCTGTTTCATATGATTGAGAAGTTGTGGAACAATCGCATTTTGGAAAATATCGCCAGATGGAAGTTGATAAAATGGAAGAAGGAATTTGATGAGAGAACGGAAACCGGGACGATCAACTGTTTGAGCGGGTTGTTGATCAAGGAGAAGCATTAGAGCAATCTGGAAAAATATTGAATGGAGAGGGAATAAAGATTTAATTTTGAATAAGTGGAGCTTTGAAAATTAAAAATTCTGGCTCCAAAACTTCTCGGCTCAAAATGTGTTACCACCCAAAAATTCCCGCCATCAAAATCACCAACCTGCATATGAATTTTATGATCTTCCTCAATTTTCTTCTGCATTTCACTGCAAACATTGAAAAATGGAGTTGGAATCGAAGTTTTCAGGCTCAAATCAGTTGGTTCTTCCTCAACTTCTGACTTGATCATCATTGTTGTTGGTGTTGGTTTAATTGCTTTTGGTGCAATCAAAGCAGTAAAATGTGAAGAAGACGCGGAAGAAGCGGTATCAGAAGCGGAAGATGATGCAGACGGAGATTTTTGAGATTCTGGTTGTTGTTGAGATTGTTGTGGCTCTTTTTTGACACCATCAAGGCTTGTCACTTTTTCGTTCATTTCTCGGAGCAGTTTTGCACGAGCTTTCTCTTCTGAAAAATCATAATTTTGAAAACATTTCGAAAAAAACGTGTTCCAAAACTCATTTGAAAAATTCAGAATTCAAGGTGACAGTGCCACGTGGAAAGCCTCGAGATGGTTTTGACAAACCAACTTCAATGTAAAATAATCTACAGTATCCCTCAAACTACAAATTCCAAAAATTTTCAAAATCTTCCCAATTAAATAATAATCTCATCCTTATTTATGCCTACCTACAGTACACCTTCTCAAGATTCAACCTTGCTCTAATCACCGTTCTTTTTCTTCTTCTATTTCCACCTGTTATTATCTGATCGAACTCTTTTCCATCTGTCAGCAGTTCCCAATTTCAATTTCTAATTCAAAAATGAAGAACACAAAAACTGAATCTCCTATATATTACATAATAAAATGAGATCTAGTTTTTTGCTTCTTAATATGTTGTTATTCTCTTTTTTTTGTCTGCTTAAACGAAAAAATCTTATTGGTTGGTCAGTCGAACGAATAGGAGGAAAACCGGTTTTCTAGTTAGCTTGCGTAATCGAAGAAATTCGTTGCGTGTTTTGAGATTCGATGTCTTCTCGGCTAAGGTGTATGGTTTTCAAAAACAAATGTGTGATCTAAATTTTTAAATCTAAACTTTAATAATCATAACAACTTCAATACCAAGTAGCTGCGCCTTGAGTATCTAACTGTCAAGAATTTGCACATGTGAACTTGTTGTTCCTTTTCCTTACCCATTTTCACAATCATACTACTTTGTCGAGCCTCTTGAACAAGTTGATATTCTTGTCCGTGACAACTTCGCAAATGTCGAATCATCCCCGTTGTGCTGAAAATATTCATTTTTCGGAGGAACACCTTTGTAGAGAAAAACAAAAACAAAAAATTAGGCGCCAAGAAACATTGGTTGAATAGGCAAATGAGGTTGATTTTATTGTTCGAACCATTGTTTTTTTTTTCGAATTTTGAGAAAGAAGAAAAATTGAGGCGAGAAAAACAAAAACAAATACCGTAGTTTTTTGCGGTTCAGAAGATTTTGTTTAAATTTTGGATTTGACAAAAAAATATGGAAAACTTCAAAAATTGTTGACACACGTGGATTTCAAAATAAATTTCAGACAAAAATATGAGGCCCAAATAATTGGGTGATGAGAAAACTGGACTTTTTGTGAATATTTTTAAAAAGTTCGTTTCAAAATTCAAAAAATCCAGCAAATCTTCAACAAAAATAATAAAACAACATCAAAAAATGTCTACCTGCTATTAGTCGCCTTAATTTTCTTCCGACAAATTCGACATTCAGCAGCTTGTTCGACCGTCGGAAGTTCATCGAAATATCTCCAAACTTTTGCAGTTTTAACCGTACTTCCACCAACTCGTTTTCGAATCGGATATTCATTTCGAACTTTTCTCACATTTTGTTGCGGAGTATTCGAATTATTATTATGATTATGTAAAGCTGCTAATTGTGATTGTAAAAGTGATTGAAGTTGATTTGTTCGAATTTGAGAGGCAAAAGCGGCAAATGCATTGGGAAATGGGTTTGGAATGGAACTTGGCATCTGAAGTGGTGCCAAAGGTGGAGGTGGTGCAAACGGGGTTTGCATTTTGATCTCTGGAAAAATTGGAAGATTTGGGAGAAAAAAAATATTTGTAAAAAATCAAAGGTTAAAAAAGGGAAGGATATAAACTTTTTCAAAAAAATGTTTCTCGAGAAATAAAACTTTCGAGAAAAAAGTCTCTGGGGAAATGGAAAGGTGCCCAAACTTTTGACATGAGAACCTAAAATCTTATTTGAAAAAAAAACTTCATAATGTTAAAATCGTTCAAAATTTGACATGTTCCAACTTCGAATTATGTTTCAGGCCCGGAGAAAAATAATCTGAGCTGAGGTTCCCAGTAAAAGTGAGGCTTACAATGATATAGGTGGTTTGCTGATCTAAGTTTCAGCCAGCTATTTCAAAAATATTTTTTTATTGGTTTTCATTTTTTTTAATTCTAAAAGTTAAGCATTTAAGTTCTACGAAAAATCTTGGGAATTTTAAAAACCAAAAATTGAAAAAATGCGGGATGAAGAACAAAATAAAATAAAATAATTCGAGGACACAAGAAAAAGTGAAACTGTTTGTACACATTTCCTACCAAAAAAGAGGCTAATCCGTGCGGATACGGGAACAAAACGGAAGAAGATGAGGAAAAAGTTCCGCGGCGCGGACCTCCCCAACAGTAGTGGCGGTGGGGTGGTGGTGGTAAAAAACAACAAGGAAGGAGGGGAAGGCAATTGTGTGGGGTGTGGGAAGAACGACGAAAAAGTGGGCGTGGCAGCGCAACTCCGCCCTCGAAATTTTTGCCTCTTTCACCGTGAGGAAAAGGATGACCAAAAGCCTTTTGGCATTTATTGGAGGAGACCAGACAAAAACCGGAATTATTCTTGCGCCCCTTTTTTTCGTCTGTTCGGATTGTAGAAAGATATATAGATAGATGGAATAAAATAGGAGGAGGATAAGAAAATGAAGAAGAAGTACATGAGGTATCTAGAAGAGGCAACAAAACAAAACAATATAACAAAAAAACATAGCAAAGTAGTAATAACACAGAAGAAAACTGGACATGGCTGACTGGAACACTTTTTGGCTTGGATCTATAGAACTTCGAGTGAGATATTTGAGATAAATGTATGTAGAAGTTCAGAAGTTCGAATATTGAATTCAATCCGAAACGCAAGTTCAATTGCCAAGGATCAGGGCCTAGAGAGGCCACGTCGAATTATCTAAGATTCTTTTTGGCAAGGATTCGCACCTTGCTAGTTTCTATACCAAGGAGCTAAAAATCGAAAAATTCTAGTTCACAAGTAGCCGCGCCTTCGAATCAGCCACAGTATTCTTAGGACTTTTAAAAATTAGAAACCACCTATGACTTTACCCAGTTTAGTTCCTAAAGTAAAACCTGATTCCGCAGTACCGTAACTCACAGTAATTCAATTAGATTGCTCAGGTTAGTTAAGTCTAGTGTTTGGCACAAAACTGATCTACTGTAAACCTACAGCACAAATTTTGTAGTACCTGAAATCTTCGAGCCTAGATACTCACATAATTTTCAAAAATACCAGTGTAGATAATTTTTTACTTACAGTAAGTAATTTTGGTAACTTTTAATGTTATTGGTCAGTTTCGAACCTAATACCTACAGTACACCTTTGTTCTTCTAAAATCCAACCCCTTTTCACCCTTTTGTTTGATCTACCGCCATTCCCAAATTAATCACCAAACACCTCTTTCAAAAAACACCTCCTACCACCAGAAGCCCATAAAACTATACTAATCATAAAAAACCGTTGGCCAATTTTTTTGTGATGACCTAATTCTAATTATACTTACCGGCCGACAACTTGAGTCAGAGAGAGGCGCGGGAATTTTTTTTGTCAATTTTTTGGAGGAGAAAAGCCGCCCCTGATTCATCTCGACAACGCATTTTTTTATTGGTGATGATGGCAAAAATCTCGGAAAATCTCGTTTTTTTTGTATGTGTGTGTCCATCGTTGAATCAAGCGAGACATCTTGCGCATATAAATAAAACTGCTGCGCGGATAAAAATTGGGAGATGAAGAAGAAAAGGGCATCAAACGTGGCGTAACAAGGCAGCAGGTATTTTAGTCGCCGTCGCCGCCGGCGATTCGATATTCGAGTTTTTATAATCGAGGCCGAGAAGATGAAGCTGGTGAATGCGAGGATATTACAGTTTAAATCGGAAGAGACGAAAAAAGAGAAGGGATACGAAAAAAAATCCTTTTTTTTTTGATTATTACGCAATTTTTGTCGATGCGTTCGGGTTTTGAACGGGTTTCCGCAGGGCGCGCAATCTTGTCGTAATAATGTTTGAGACGGTTTTTTGCCGCGCGCAATTTTTGCGTTTACAATTCTCAAGACACCTTTTCCGAATGGTCAGTGAAGGGATTTTGAAGAGAGGAGAGTGTTCTTTGAGTTGATTTTATGGGAAGAAAATCAAGAATACAATTATACTCAGATATAGTTTCAAGATTCGAACTCAGGTGGATCAAAAAATGTTAGATGTTTTTAATTTGGGAAAATCAATTTAATTTGTTCTTTACATGTTATTAACAATCTTCAAATCTTCAGATCTTTTATGTCAATTCGCCGAGCCTAAAAATCTCAGTTTTCAAGAAGCAGCGGTTAAAGAATCTTACAGTTAGTGTATAGGACTCGCATCTAGAGATCATCGCTAACAAGGCGAAGAGGCTTCAATATCAAGGTGTCAAGCCTAGAGATTCAAATTCTCAAGTAACCGCATCTAGAGAGCCTGACTTCAAAGTTTCTGAAAAAATTCTCCAAACATTTTCAGAAAACCTTTTAGAAAATACTGTAACTACTGTAGATCAAGATTTTTTGAAAAAATTGTGTTACGGTAATTCCAAGAAGTTTGATTGAACTTATTCGCAGAACTTTAGATGTCAAAAGCGTCATCAAAAGCCTTTCTGAATTCTTGAGAAGTCTCCTGATCACATTGTTCAAGAGATAAAAAACTTCGTTTCTCATTTTTCATCCCGATACTTCTTCCAAAATCAGTACTCTCCTCAAAACCACCTTTCCCATTGAATCCCCGCACTGGTCAGTCACATCAGATTTTCAGCCAGCCGTTCCACCATCTTGTTGTTATGTTATTATTCTGTTTTTTCATTCATCTCATCTCATCTTTTTCTTTTTTTTTCTGCCATTGGACAGATGAAGAATCTTGTTTTCTTTTTGATACAAATCAAGGTGTAGTACAAGTGGACAAGTGGACATCAAGAAGAAGAAGAAAAAGAAAAAAAAAGAAAAAAAGAAGATGAAGATGATGAGAAAAAGCTGGTCTACAAAAAGAATATACGACGATGGCGACTACGAGAAAACGAAGAAAAAAAGAAGGAAGAAGAAGAAGACCGTAAGGCGCGCAGCGCTAATATACAACAAGAAAGAAGAAGCAGCAAAAAATAAAAGAACTGGATCTCATTGCGCAATCGCTTGGTTTTAGATGAGGAAAATGGAGAATAAACGACAAAGAAATACATACAAAATAACACATGAAGAAAGGGATTTCAAGCTGAAAATGGCAAATTTTGTAAGATCAAATTAACTTGAAAATGTCTGGCGAACAGAAAATCGACTCGGTTAAAAGTGTTATTTAAAATGCTGAACTAGGATTACCTTTGAATTACTGTAGATCAGAAAAACCACGTGGAAATTTGAAAATTCAAAATTTTCATTTTTGTGATTGACAATAAAAAATGAATGGACCAACAGTAATAGTGGACCTCTACCTACAGTAACCTGAAAAAAAGAAAGAAAGCCTTTTCTACGGAACTCCAATATCTACAGTAGCTTGTAAAAACTCAACTCAAAATTTTATAAATCGAAATTGTTTTCGAAACGTGACCAATAAAATTATCAGCTATTTTATCAGTGTTTCATTTCCAAATATCAGTGTTTCATTTCCAGAACAAAATTCCAGAATTCTTTCCGAGCTACTCGACTTCTTTCAAATCAAGTAACCCTTCAGGATATACATATAACTCTCCCAAAAACCTACAGTAATCTTCCCGAACAAGAACAAAAACAATAAAAACCTAATTCGATCTCTTCTCGAAAATTAGTACATTCGAAAAAAAAACAGCATGTCAAAGTGAGAGAAAATCGTAAATTACAATGTGTCACTATTTTTGGGGTTAGTTTCGGGGAGTCGGTTGGGTGTCCAAATGATGTATGTGACAAACAGGTGCCCAATACGAAACGAGACTGTTGCCTTTTTTCAAAAAACAACATAAAATCGGAAACATTGGACATGTAACAACTACACCACATTAGGAACCGTTTCAAGGATACTCGGCCCAATACAACAAAATGTTATTGTAGTTTTTGATACGGTAGACAGCACATGTAGGTAGTAGGTAATTAGGCTGTCAGCGAGCGCGGACAAATGAAAAAACGGGTGACGGATCGCTGCACACAATGACTTTTATAGGTAGGAAATGTATGTATGTATGTGTGGAGAAATGAAATTAAAACGGGAACGGGAATATTGATACAAAAATAAATAGAAACGGAAAAAAGTGTGAAGTATAAATAACAATCAAATGGGAATATGTCGTGGAAATCAATGGATAAAATAAAATAAAACACAAGAAAAACAAAAATGACTCACGAGGAAAAAGACAAAAAAATGGAAAGAGGGTAGGAAAGTCGAGAAAATGTTTTTTAAAAAATGATTTTGGTGTAGGAAACAGTACGTAGATCTCAAGAATTTTCAACAAACATCGACGATAATCAGAAGTTACGGAAAACGAGGATAAAGAGCGGAATCATGCAATAGAATTTGAACTTCTCAAACAGCTCTTATCACATTTTCCAAGAACCTTTCAGGGAGGGGTAGTAGACCAAATTTCGTTACAAATATGTTCAACTTCAAAAATGTATGCCCGGAAGAAAGAGACTTTCAGTATTGTTGAGAAGAATTCTCGATATAATGGTTCTTTCCTAGAATTTCAGTGTTTCAAGCAGAGGAACATTTGAAACATCTGCATACTTTCAAAAAGTCCTTCTTTTATACCAGTTTTTGTTTCAAGTGATGGCGCCTAGGCATCAGATAACCCCTATTACCTCATTCACAGTATATTGAAAATCGATGTCTTGACTTCGACTCACAAATGCCCAAGCATTAACAAAACCTTAAGCCTTCTCAGAACAACTAATCACAAAAATCCCAAAAATACGAAATCCACATCAGGTAGCCAACTAAAAATGTTCGAAAAATATTTCGAAAAAAACCGGCTATTCCAACTCAATCCCGTTGTTCTCCTATCTCATAAAAAGTGACCAGTCAACCGGGTTGTTTTATTTTTTACATAAGTATATAACAACAATTAAATCGAGACTCGCTGGTCGCGCAACATAAATATCCGATTAGTATTTAGCACAAGTGAGTGGACGGGACGGGATGATAATAATCCTATTCAATTTTACCTGTGTCTACCGTCAATTATCCCATCTCGTCCGGCCAAACACAAAAATGACCACCAAAAAAATATTGACAGCACGAACTAAGGGAAGGACAATTATCGTGTTTTCGAGACCATCCATCCGATAATGTTATTCTTGTTATGTATATATTTGGGAATGAGGCGAAAATGGAGGGAACTAGGTAAAAATTATTATAATTGCACGGAAAGAGATGCAAAAAGATGAGGATAATGTACAATTTGAAAATTGTTGCGGTTTCATGGAAAAGAAGAATGAAAGTGCATTAACGGTTTGATCGAAATTAAAAGAGAGAGAAGAGGTCAGAAAGAACTAATGAACTTTGTATGAAAATATTTTTGAATGTTTCTGAGAAAAGACATACCTGGAAGTCAGCTTCAGAAGTTTCCTTGTCGATATCATTGCCACGTCATAGCCATTTCTCGATATCTGCGCAGGATTTTTGAAATTTTGAGCCCAGTACGCTGAAAATACAAGAATAATTGAAATTTGAACAAAAATATTCGAAAACGCTCACAAACCTTCTAAATCACAATTTCTGATTCAAGATGCATCGATTTTCTGTCAATGATTTCTGAAAACATACGTTTTTGAGCTCAAAAGACAAAAATTATAATTTAATCTTCCCACAACATGTCAATAAGCAATCGGTGAGAGTGAATGAGACGAAAAGATATTGGAATCGCGCGTGATCTACAACGAGTTAAATTTGTGGGTCTAGGATTTGTGAAATCTAGAAATAGGCTTCAGATTGACTTTTGAGAATTTATTCTTGAACTTTCACTGTGCCAAGCGAATAAAAGTCATCCTAAATTTTTAGAAGAAAAAAACGCAAAAGATCCCAACCTTCAAAAAAAAAATGCCTTGAAAATATCCGCAATTGCGCAAAAACGCTGAAAAAACTAAACGCACTAAACAGCAAACTTTGACAACGACACTCCGCTTGCCCGCTGTTTAGCGCAACGCGAGAATATTTTCATTTTTCGTTTTTTTTCGATGGGTTTTCAGGTTTCCGTTGAAAATCAGAGGATTTCAGTCAAAAATTGAATTTTTAGATGTTCTACAAGTCTGCAATTATCGCTTCCAATGGAAAATCCGAGAATTATCGAAGAAAGGTGGGTTTTTTCTAGACAAACACTGTTTCGATTGAAATTTTTGAGTTTTCAGCTCGAAATATTGATGGGCAATTGGATTTCACTATCAATAACGTGGAAAACTTGGAGGATTTTCGATGATTTTTGTGTGATTCGAGAAATAGAAGCGATTGGTGAGTTTTTTGGGGAGGGATTGCGGGATTGACTTTTTCTAACCTAAACAATTATTGTTTAGCGCAAGCGTGTGAAGTAGGTTCTGGTTATCTGCGATTTTAGCTTGGGAATCCTTAAAATTTATCAGATTAATAGGGATACGCCTGATAAAACTTTCTGCCCAGGGTCCCCTAGTTTCAAACAGAATTTTAGATTTTTGAATTGTTTTACTCACCTACAAATTTCTGTCATTTTGGAATCGGAAAATTTTTTGAAATGAAATGAAAAATCAAAAAATGGAAATTTTAAACGTGGAACATGATTGGGTCACGTTAAAATAAATATTTATTTTTGGAAAATTTTTCAAAATTTTTTTTTTCAGTAAAGTTCGAATTAACCGCAAGCTTCTGAAGAAGGGGCTTGGGTTGATTTTTTTAAAATTTAAATTTCTCAAACAGGTTTTCATGTGGTTTTTGTTTGATTTTCATAATTCTGAGTTTTGAAATTTCCCGAATTTCTGAGAAATATCAACTGATCTGAAGTTCTATTCAAACTCTACTTTTGATCGAATCTACTTCAATTTCCCACCATTTTTCCAGTGATTTTCGAAATCTCACATGTTTTTTGCACCAATAAATCTCCCAGCTATTTTTGTTTCACATGACCTTAGATACGAAAAAACTCGTTTGATTCACCCTCTTTTTCACACCCAAAAAATGCACCAAAAAAACTCAGCAAAACTAATGACACTTTGTGTTGTTTTTTTTTTGCTGTCGCCACAGGTGACGATGATTTGACCCAGTGAGTGCAAAAAAAAATGGAAGAACCGGTTGAGAATTGGTGGAAATGAATGTGTTCTTCTTTGTATCTTGGGGGTGACTTTTTTGATGATCAGAGAGAGAGAAATATTGGTGTGTGGTTGGATGAGTTTTGAAATCAAATAAAATGTGCAGGTGTTCCGATTTGAACAAACGGAAATATCTTCTATATTTGGGTTAATGAGACACCGTTGAAAATGAGCGGAAAGTGATTTGCGGTTTGAAATTCGACAAAAAGAAATTAGTGGTAAGAAGTCGAGGGATTAGAATTGTGTTGGAGGTTCTGAGCAATTGTTCAATCAGCTTCAAGGAAACCTGAATCAGTTGAGATTGATCAATGAAGCTTGTGTCCTTCTGGTTTTCTGAAAAAAAGCCATATATTACCCCCAGATTTTTTTTAGTTTTTTTTTGTGCACACAGAGCTTTTTTGGGAATTATGAAAGTCAGGAATAGTATGTTCAGGTGATACATTTTCATATCAGAACATGATTTTTCGGGGCTCCCGGACCTTTTAGAGATAACATCTCAAAAATTCAAAGTTTTTTTTGTTGAAAATCCAACCACATCCAGGGTCAAACTACCTTCTTCTCTTGTTTTTTTTCTTTTTTTCAAATTCTTGTAATATGTTACTCCGGCAATATGTCTGATTTTCTAAATGTGAGTCGCCCATCCCGCGCGAGAGGGCTCTTTCATATTTCTCCCAATTCTCTTCATTTCCCCAATCTCTCCTATTTTCCACATATTTTTTGCGATTATATGTCGGTTTTTTCTTCTACTTAATGGGAGCCAAAATCCAGTGCGTAGTAAAGTGAGTAACTCATCGACCATATGTACAAAACAACACAACACATCAAAAACAAAATATGAATATTTCGGGATGTGTTGGATAAAAAGGGAACAAACGATATTTGTTTATATTTTGGAAGAAGTTTTATGATGAGAAGAGATAACCCGAAAATGTGTTGTTTTTGGCTTTGAAATTTGAGATGATTTAGGAGGAAGAGCACAAAAAACATATGGTTTTGGAGGTGTCGGTTTTACAATTGTTTGAGTGTTTGGAAAGGGAGAAGTATGAGAAATCAAGGGGTTTTGAGGAAAAAATTAAGAATGCCTATTCACAACAATTTTCAAAAAATCAAACTCAAAGGCGGTCATACAACAAAATATATTTATAAGAATCCCTATTTCTTGACCAGCGAGAGAAAATCTTGAAGATTTTTTTTACAACTTTGAGTGAAGCCTGTTGAAAACACAAAAGTGTTCAGAAAATAAAAAATACTTTTTTTCAAACCTGGACAACCTCAAATTATATTTGATCTCAGAATTCGTAAATTTTTCGCGCCATAATAAAATGCTGGTTTTTCGGACATCGAAGATAATTTTTCCAAAATAGTATTCTCAAATTTTTTTCGTTTATAACGTCGAATTTCAGCTACTAGAAATACGCCAGCGTTTCTCAAAACTGACCCCAAAATTATATGATAACCAATTTGACTACAGTGTACTACCCTTTTTGCGTACTTATCATTTCCCTTTCCTTATTCTTCTTTCTTTCTTTCTTTTTCTTGCCATTGTTCTTTTATAAATTTTACATTTTTCAAGTCTTTATTTTCAGAATGTCAAGTCTACAATATTTAATTGAAAATTGGGAGCAAATTGGAAATCAATTATTACATCAATTTAAAGATCAACATTTTCTATTAGCTGCTTTGAAAGGATTGAGAAATGGTGTTGTGTGAGTTTTTTGAGTGAAAAAAATTTAGGAAAAAAACTGATAAAAAGTCCATAAATTTTAAAATTCTCGGCTGATTATTTATTGATTTTCCGGTTTTGCGAAAAAAAAATTTCGTGACATTTTTTAAAAAAAAGTTTAAAAAATTCTTCAAAAAATGTAGAGAAGTCTTGACAGACAGAAGGTTTTCAGCTTTAAAACATGGATTTCTGAGTTATCAAAAAAAAAAACAAAAAAAATTGCAGATATGGAGTTCGGATTCGCGCGCCTCACGCATTGGTTATGGTTTTCTTGTTTGGTGAAGGAACGTGAGTCCAAAAATTCAATTTCAGGTCAAAGTGAACCTCCAAATTTTAATTTCAGGTTGATTCAAAAGCTTTTGACAATTATTCGACTCACAAAAACACACGCTGTAAATTTGGCAAAATTTGTGTTTTCCTATAAATTACTGCACGGATTTTTGGCGAAATTGGAAGGTGACAATATTTTGAAATTTTTTTTTGAAATTCTAAAATTTCAATTTAATGACCGAAGAGTTTTAAATTTTCAAAATGAGAAAATAAAAATAAAAAATCTTCAAAAAATTTTGAAACGTGAACTAGAAAATAAAAAAATTATATTTTCATTTTCTGATTTTTAAAAAATAATTCTCACTACTTTCAGGTCGTCAAAAAGAATGGCATTCATTCGCCGCCGCTTTTATCATGGGTTATTTTGTTTTTGGTGAAAATAATGCTGTCAATATGCAGGTAAGCTTTTTAGTCGATTTTTCGAGGGGGAATTTTGGATTAGGCTATGATTTTGGTTGAATTTCTTTGAGAAAAATTAATGAAATGTATTTCAAATCATTACTTTGGAATTTGCAAACCTACAATAAAATTGAAACATTTCGCCACTTCAGAATATTTTCTAACCCTCCAATAAACTTCACACTTTTCCAGATCAATCTATATCTTCTTTCTCGAATTGTTGTCGGTCTCGCCAAACTCGCTGCAAATCGTGAAATAATTCCCCAACCAAATTTCCCAGTTTTTCCATGGTTTGGTGCCGTTGTTTGGGGTGTTGTTTTGTGGCTTTTCGAACATCATTCAAGTGTTCTTCAAGGATCCCTTCAAAAATCAATGACTTATTTGTATCATGATTCGAATATTTGGAAAGATATTCGTACTTTTATTTTGCAAAATAAGTAGAACATGTGTATATATAGATAGAGAGTGCAATAAAATAATTTGAAATGTTTGGGTTAAGAAAAATCAAAAGATCTACTGAAGTTGGAGATGAGAATCAGGTCTGATTAATTTTTGTTTGTTTCCTGGGTTTTTTATTTTTACAAAACCTAATGGTTGGGATTATTTGGATTTTTTTTACAAAGATTATCGCTCTAAACCCAACAAAAATTACTCTTTTCGGAAGGAAAAATTTGAGCCTCCTTCTCACCAAATCTCTGGGTTTTTGGCCATGACAAAACTCGGAAAAAAGATAAAAAATTATCTAGAATTTTTTTCAAGGAAAGATTCCGTAAGTCAGCATCTTGTTCAGCACTGGCGCTTCTTAAACGCACCAAAAAAGGGCCGGTACTTTCCAGAAAAACAGAATTTTCTTTTCAAAATCGCCTCAAAAAACCAAGAGAAAAAACACATTTATTGTCGGAAAATGTTTTTAGAAATAATTGACGAGCAAATAAGAGATTGCCATTGAAATAATCGAAGCGACTCCCATCATTCCAGCTGAACTTTTCTCACCCTTTCCAGTTGAATTTCCGGAACTTCCAGATTCTTCAGATCCACTCGATGATGGTTCACTTCCTGGGGGTTTTGTATCTGCAGGTGGTTTATCATCTTTTTTCTCGCCTTCTTTAGCAGCAACATAAATGCAAGCCATCGCCAAAACGAACAAAATAGTGATGAGATATGCGCGCATTTTTGTCCTCCAGTGAATGTATCGACTGATTTTCTGAGTCCAAACCACGTCTTTTATACTGGATGTTTGCCCCAAATGACGTGGAAAATAAGTAGGTCAGGTTAGATGACGTGTGATAAGAAATACTATAAAAAGGGTGAATTTTTTGTGGAAAAATCAGAAACGTATTCGCTCGAAGAAGAATAACATGCGTGCAGCTCTCATCACTATTTTATTCGTTTTGGCAATGGCTTGCATTTATGTTGCTGCTGAAGGAACTGAAGCCACTCCTGCTGCTAATGATACACCTGTTGATGGAGAAAAAGCAACTGAACCACCAGCATCTGGAAACTCGAACTCAAATGCCACTGAAACTAAACCTGAAAAAACCGAAACAACATCAGCTGGTGGAATACTTGGAATCGCTTCGATTATCTCAATGACAATCTCCTATTTACTTGTTAACTATATTTGAACAATTTTTGTGACAATGAATGAATTTGTTGGTTTTTGAAATGAGTATTTTGATTTTTTTGTGTGAGATGCAGACCAAGAGAGTTCAAAAATTCGGTCACAAAAACCTTGGACGCTCCGGAACAAAAAATCCAATCCCTGCTCAAAAAACGGTATATGACATTTCCCCTTCTGAATCAGTGTTTACAGTGTTGTTGTGAGCTGAGCCTTGAGAAATTTGGTGCCTCAAATAGCTTATTTTTGCTGCAAGTACTGTAAGACTCTTTCAAAACGCGCACAACACAACATCGAAAAGTTAGAGCAGCATCTGTTTGGCACCAAGCCAACGCCGCGAATTTGCCGAAAAAATCGCGGTGTTCGCGAGTGCCAAGCAGATTTCAAGCTCTACGAAAATCTGAAAAAAATCAATTTTCCACATTGATTTAAATTTCGAAAAATTGATATTTCAAATATTTATTATCCCTTTATGTGTTCACAATTTTTCAACCTCATATTTTCACCTCTTTTTCTTCTTTCCTCTTCTTTTTCTCCTCATCATCATCATCAAAATGACCTTGGTATCGAGGACAGTTTTTCGATTTTCGAAAAAAAAGAGGGATGGCCAATTATTTTGCGATTTTCATTTTGTCATCCAAAGTGGTAGTGGAAGTAGTTGTGGGTGGTCAAAATGAAAATGTGTACAAACAAAATCCGCGCAAAGTAAATCGGGTCAAAGAGAGGTTTCTGACGTAAAAATATTGAATTTGGTGTTGTTGATCAATAAATTTCAGAAAACATCTTGAATGATCTCAAATCAGTCAAAAACTCAAAAATTCTAAAATTTTTGAGTTACTGTAAATCGCCACACACTCCAACTGTCATTTCATTTCAAAAAAACTTTCGCCTTTCATTGTTTGTTGCAAAATTCAGTGTGTCACAGATTTTATCTTGAGGGCAAATTTCGATTTCGAAAAAAAATTGACAAAGGATCTGATCTTTCAGGGCGAGGGAACTCGCTTGAAATACAGTACTTGGTGACAAAAATGACAGCGTGCAATGTTCACAGTGGAATTTGCAAAAAAAAACCATTAAAAAAAATTAAAATTTAATTTAACTCATAGGTTTGGTAAAATTTTTGAACAGAAAACAAGTTACTTTAAAAATTCGATGATCGAACAATTTTTCAAAAATGGTTTAGCGAAATAAAATTCAAAACTGTTCGAAGCGTGAAAAATTCATGGATAGATTTTTCTGGTCACAAATTGTTGAGAAATTAATTTTTCATGGCAGAAAATCTCAAAATCAGATACTATTGGAAAATTCAAATTTTCAAGATCCAATCCACGTTCTAACAGTAATCCACCTAAGCCAAATTCAATCAATCCCTCAACTCTTGCACTTTCCCTCGAAACCCTCATTTTCTCATTTTTTTTTGGCGATTCGATTCCAAAAGGTCAAAATCAACACTCTTTTTTCCTTCTCTCTTTCATATTTTTTCCTCCTCGTTTTTTTTCGCTCCGATCAGACACATGTATTTTATTGTTTTTGTTGTGAAGATGAATGTTTCTTTGTCCCCACATTTTTGGCGCCAAAACAAAATTTTTCGCGAAGGATGAAATGAAATACGGGTCAAAATGAGTTGTGGTTTTTTTTCGGTGAATGAGTAGATAGAAGTGGCAGGTTTTTTGGGCGCCAAAAAAAAAGAGGAAAACAGGCATACATACATAAATACATATATTAAATAGTATAACATACATAATACATCAATTGATCGATATTCGTTTCGTTTTTTTTGTCAACATGCCGTGTATTTGTTGTGCCCGACCGACCGACTGTTGGCCCCCTCTGATGATGATTCATGCGCCTTTTCTTTTTCTCCTTTTTTGGTTGGTTGCGAAAACGAAAAAAGGAAAGCTGGTTAAATATTGATTTCGAATAAATAAATACAAAAATTTGTATTTTTCAAGAACTACATGCAGACAATCGTTGTTTTTCTGCTTGGGATTTTCGAAATGAGGATCATAACAAAAAAGTTCGTTCTAAGAAATTCGTACGGCACCTTAAAATTTCATAAACTCGATTTTCCCCTAAAGTTTGATATAAAATATGTTTGCATAATCTTTTGATGAGTTCAAAACTAACTTGGCCAAAAAAAATGAAAATTTTGAATTCCTGAGAATACGGTTTCAAGTTATGAAATGTCTTAAAGATCTGGAAGTTTTCAAAAACCTCAATTAAAAATTTTTGAAAAGTCTTCTAAAATTCTCAAAATCCTGGAATGAAACATGTTTAAAAAAAAGTCAATAATTCCAGGCCAAAGTATTTCAATGAGATTAATTGCTTCATATTCCACATCTGACAATTTTGGACTAATTGTTATCAAAAATATTGGCCAAAAAGTTCATGTGGCATTGCTATTTGAAATCCGATTAAAGTTCAAGTTTCAAGATATTCAGAAAAATAGAAAATTGAATTAGGCCTAATCTGAGCTAAGCCTGAAAGGACTTAGAAATCTGGCTAACAGGCTATCAAGTTCAATTTTTGGCCCATTTTCAGAGAAAACTGAAATTCTCGAAAGAACCTCTTAATTTTGTTTTGATTTTTCAAAAATTGAGACAAAATCCAAGTCTTCTCACACCAAAACCCACCAACAAAATCTCAAAAAAATCTCCCAGAAGAGACAAAGAAAAACGACGAGTTCGCCATGGTACCACATGATTCGCGGTGTATATTGAGCCCGCCACACAACAAATATACGGTGTGCACAAATTTCGGAAACGCCGTGAATTCATGCAGTGCCATTGCGAACCCTGTGCATTTCTATTTTAGGTGAGAATATTCTAGAATTTTTTTTTTAGGAATTTAGGAATAGGTGTCTGTGAGGCAGGCCTCTGCAAACTGTATTGCTATGTGAAAATGGCGCGCCGCGGGACACAACAAAAAAAAAGGAGGAAAGGAGGAGAAAAAAGACTCCGCCCTCAATTTTTCTCTGCGTCTCTCTCACTCTCACTCTTTTTTTTTTTGAATATATTTATATTCATAAATCTGTCTAACTAACCAGCCAAAAATGGAAATAATACTTGTGAATGAATGAAACTGGCTTGGATTACTGTATTATAATGAGCGCGAAAAAAGAAGGGGTTGTTTTGGTGGTTGGAAAGGGAAGGAAAAGAAAGAAAGTTTGTGGGGAGATGGAGGATTAGTACAGTAATCGACCCGATTTTTGAAGAGGAATTGAAAGAAACAATGGATGGATGAATGGGGAATGAGAACGAGAAGAAGAAGAAGAAGACTATGATGATGGTCTTTTGATTTTTCCGAGGTTTTAGTTTTGGGATTGGTGCGAAATGTTTTGGATTCAAGTTATGGTACTGGAGAATAACTTTTCCACAATTCTAATCCAGAAGAATCTGCACAGTCTTTGATTTACTTCTTTTAGGCCTCAAATGTTTCTGTTAGATCTAAAATATTTTTCTATATTAGAAATTGTTCCAGATCTGAATAAATGCGAGAAAGACGGATTTGCAAATGTACACAGTATCAAACTGCCACGTAGAATGATTTTAGAGAATAGAAACTTGAACATTAAACATTTTCAGAAGTTTTGTACATTTTCCAGTATTTTTTTTCGTCTCCTAATACTTGGCTTTTCAGAAAAATCGAAAATCATCTGCTCAACGGTTTCAACAGATTCCACGTGGATTTTGAAGGTCAAACTTCAAGGCTCTCTAAATTTTTATTCAAGCTAAATTAGACCTTGAAAAATTCCCGACCTTGTTTTTTCTTTGTTCCGAAAGTATTTTCATTTTCTAAACCCGCGCAGCTGCATTTGTTGCGTCAAAACAAACTCATTATTTTTCACACCTGTTTTTACGTGCAAACCATTTTTCTCAAAATAAAATAAATTCCCAAGGACTCACCAAAAAACTAACAAGTACTAGTGGAATATCAAATAGAATAAAATGAAATAAAATCAGAATGCCTTCTCGTTTTTGGGCAGCTTAAATAATCTCAGCTTAGCGAAGGCAGATAAAGATTATCATGCTCTCAGAGAAATGAGAAAAAAGCTTATCTCAATCCACATCCACACATATATACTAAATATGTGTATTTTTATATATATATTCTTAATAATAATCAGACATATATTCATATTTCATTTGAAAAAGAAAATGAAAAAAGGATTTGTTGCTAAGCGAAAAGGAGATAATTTTGCCATCGATGGATATAAATTTTAAAAATCTCATTTTTTGGAAAAATGGATTTCCTATTCTTGAACAAAATTCATCAGTACAGTAATATAACATGACGTCATGAAATACTTCAGAAACTTGTCGGAAAATTAGCAAACTTTTGAAATATTTTTAAAAAACGTAATAATATCTCTCCACTTAGAATAAGTCGGTTTTCACTCAAAATAAAAATGTGACTTATCGAAAATTGTGTGCGCCTTTGATTCGGAATTTTTGGGATCCGGATTGTGCTATTCTAACCCAAATTATTTCTGTACACTGTTCGCTGATATATAATTATCAAAAATCATTCTTCCTGAAATATAACATCTCATTTAGACAGCTGAAAAACAAAATACCTTGTTTTTTCATTCACTCATTTTTTTCATTCATAAATGATAGATTTCACAGTTCCCGAATATCTTATAAATTATTACCATACTCTTGGTATTTTATCGATAATTTTCAATAGTTATGGATTATATTTGGTGGTTTTCAAGAACTCCAAAATTGACACTTTTCGATATTATCTTCTCGGTTTTCAGGTTGGAGAAATAAAACATGATTTTTATTTTCAGATAGTTTTTTTTTCAGTTATCTTGCACATTTTCCGATATATTTTTGACATTTGGAATGCAACCAGTTCTTTTGTTCCCAATTTGTTCGGGATTTAGTAATGGTTATTTATCAAGTGGACTCGTAAATTTTTCGACGTTATTTTTAGGGGCAAGTTACATTTTTGGAAGGGAAGGTCAACGAAAAACAATTTTGAGTGACTTCGGAATGTGAAATAACATTCCAACTACTTCTGATTTCTGAATTGTTATCATATTTTTGAGATGCAATACTAAGAAAAGAAAAGATCCAAGAAATTATCCAGGTGAAAAAATTATGTGATTAAAAAACATTTTCAGTCAGTTTGCCTTGGTTCAATTGCCGCTCAAAACAAATCGCTATGTTTATGTTTTATTCGAAAACATCAAGCAATTGCAAAAATCAGCACCACACAAATAATTCCCAATTTAATTTTCAAACTCATAGTTGCTTTATTCATTATTTTTCCTTTCACAATTGGCGCATATTTTTATTTATGTGGTTTATCAAAAGATGAACAATATGCATATATAACTAAAAATTATCCATATTACTTGGAAAACTTTAAAAATCTTCGAGAATTTCATGTGGGTGTTCCAAATCGGAGCCTCGTTGGTTTCTTTATTTATATTCTTATTGGTGAAAATATATCAGTTAGTATAACAATTTATACAACAATTCAAATGTTTCGAATTTTGCGAGAACATCGACATAGATTATCGAATGAAAATTATAATAAACATCGAAATGCAATTATTAGTTTATTGGTTCAATTTGCAGTTTCATCAATGACAATTCTACCACCAATTGAATTAACAATCAGTTTTTGGATGGAATTTGAAAATATTCAAAGTGAGCTATTTTTTATATTTAACTTTTGAATAAATTCAAGTTGAATATGTTTTCAGTAGGAATTCAAAAGATTTCGAACCATTAGCTTCAAAAATCCCGAAACTCTAATTTTTTGCAGCATATGCCAATATAAGTATAATGATACTTTCAACTCATTCAGTTATAAATATAATTGTAACAGTTGCAACATTTCCCGCATATCGAAAAGCGACAAAACAATTATTCTGTAGAAAGAAAAAAGTTGAATCAATTATTCAAAGACAAATTACTGTATCTGCAAAAGTTGGGTGAAAATTTGAAATTTTTCAATAAATTGTTGTTTAAATATTTCAAAAAGGTACAAATTCATAGAAAAAAGGCACTACACATCAAATCAAAAAAACATCATGAAATACAAAAAAAAACATACACAAAAAATATTGCGAAAAAAAGAACTACTTCAGGAAACTACATAAATTTACTATGGAGATCTTAGAAAATTTCAGACAAAAAATAATATTGTGTATTGGGGAAGGATGAAGAGAGAGAAGAAGGAAGAGAATCACAGTTTCTTTTTTTTCACGAAAAAATTCCCGATTCGTTTTTTTCGGAATTACAAATAAAATTGAAAGAAAATTCAAAAAATACCCTAATTTAAGAGCAGAAAAATGAAAAAAATGGAGCTAGAAAAAGTTAAGGAAACATGATTAAAAGAAGAAATCGTGAAGCAAAGTTTGTCGTTTGTGTTCTGCGCGATGCATATGAGCTTCAAGGGCTCCGCGAGCAGTTGCATCAGCTCTTTCGACAGCCCATGCCAATTCTTCCACTTCTTTTTCGAGTTGAGCTTGTTGATATTCAAACTGTAAGAAATAATTAGTTAGATGGAAAACGTAAGCTTTTAGAAAACGTAAAGACACACAATCCGCTAGAAATGAACAGAAAATGAGTTTGTTATTCATTCTCAACCATTCTCAATCAAAACATATTTTGAAGGGAAAACTTTTATTAAAAGTAATCGAAAGTAATCGAAATTCATAAAAATCAAAAAAAAAATTTTGAGTCTAGCAAAAGTAAAAAAAATAAAATAATTGTTTTTGAAATCGCTCAGCCGACGGGATTTTCGAAAGTGTTTGCACACAAAGAAGCGATAGAGCGCACATGCTGTTTTTGTCATTTGAAAATAAATGCGGGAACACTGTTTTTTCCAGTTTTTCTTGTGCCTTTCAAAAATGCTTTTTTTCTCAAATTCGCGTAAAGTTTTCGATTTTTAGAATTAAAATTGGTTTCTAGGCGCGGCTCCTTCAAAACTAAGCTCTTTAGAAAAGGTTTTTTGACATAGAATTTCTGAAGGCGCGTCTCCTTGTCAAAGTGGATATCTAGATGTGGGTCCTACACAACTAAGTATTATAGACGCGAACACTTGATAACTCTAGGAGCTGATCCTTGAACCATCCATACTTCCAATTCTCCAGATTACCGTACTTTGACCTCTTCCTACGGACTACCGTAGTCAGATTTTCGGCTAATCTCTCAAAAATCGGATCAGCGGATCACACTTTCACCATCATTATTATTACTATTATATTTTTCAAATAATATAAAAATTCAAGGGTTCTTCCTGTTTATCTAAATCATTTTCCTATTTTCCACTTTAAAACTCATGTCAACAAGTTAACAAGTTTGTATATAAATATGTTTTTATAAAAATGTGTCTAATACTTCAAATTTCTCGCGCAGGTGTGCGAAAAAATGGAAACAAAAGGAAAGGACGCACAGTTGGTGATTTGTGTGAGAAGAGAGGAACTTGAGGGAATATTTGTTGAATTTCAAGGGAGCGGAATTCGCGCCAAGATTTTTTCCAAAAAAAGAAAGAACTAACCAATTGTTTTCTTGGACCTGATTGCATATAATAAGCAAATGGATAAGTATACTGTAATGTATATCGACATTTTGTCAAAAGTGAAACTGAAGAATGCAAATATTGCCAATCAATCCATGTACCATTGTGTTCATTTACCTGGAAGAAAACAAATTGCGTTTCAAAACTTTTTAATTTTTTATCATTTTTTTCAAAAATTGATTGGTTATTGTGTTAACATTTAAGGAAAAAATAGTCTTATTTTTTCATATTGATTCATTTTTCGAAAAAATAAAGAAAATAGATTCATTTTGTTTTTGTGGAAATATCAGAAATTCGGCTATAATTCCGAATTTTGATGCAAAAAACAACATACGAAAAACGAAATTTGATTTTGAAATAAGTCCGGGCTTGAAAAATTCAATTTAGAACTTCGTTTTGGAAAAAACTTACTACCTCTCCGATTCTCCCAAAAAAAACAGACTCACCTTATCCTCAATCTTTTTTCTAATCTTATCCCTCAATTGTTCTTCCATTTTCAATGATTTCGAATGATTCTCAAATCGTTCAAAATAATGCAAATATTTTTCGAGTGCTCGACGAGCTTTTACATGATTTGCTTCGGCAGCAACAGATGGATTCTCTTTATATCGACTACATTCATAATATTCACTTCCATGCGTTTTCCAATCACCAAAACACATCCAACAAAAATGATATCTACATCGAGTACATTGAATGTGATTGCAACTGGAAAATAATACAAAATTGGATGAATCACCAGTATTTTTATTAAAAAAACTTAGAAATGTGTGATGTTTAACTATATTTTGAAACGTAAAAAACCAGAATTTTTGTTCAAGCCTTTTGTAAAGACAAAATTATTTTTGTAGTTTTTTTTTCAGAGAAATTTTGAAAACAACTCTAATCTTTGAAACTGGGATTTTTAGGCGATTATTGGACTCTAAAAGATTCAGAACTATGTAGTCTTCGTATGCACTAATCCTTGGAAATCAAATTATTTAGATGCCATATTTGAGATAAACTCATTATTATTATTATTTTTCGTAGCTTCTTAAAAACAGATCACAAATTTTGATAAAATCCACTCTGAACAGTTTAGTTTTCAACTGTTGGAAATCACTATTTTAATTTCAGACAAATCCTTAAATCATCAAATTCGGAAAAATAATTCAAAACCCAAACCCATATTTTGAAACGTATAAAATCTTGAAATTTTTTCGACACAAAAAGTAAACTAACCCTCCAGCTTTTTCAATACAACTATGACATTGTGGACAATCTTTTGTGTGTGCACTAATATAATTTGCTGTCTCACTATCATCCGCGCATTTTGTCAACCATTGTTTTATTGTATCACAAGATGTTGGAGCATGATAATCGACACCACATTTCACACAAAATGCCGTGTGACAAGATTCACAAGTGACACGTTTTGGTTTGTCTTCGTTCGAACGAATCACAACCTGAAAATATGCCAAATTTCAGTTTGCTGCTTAAACTTTGAAGAATATCGGTTTGTAAAAATTTTCTGAAACTTCAAAAAATTCAAATTTTGTCGCCAAAACTGGCACCTAATGGGCCTATGCAGAATGATATTTTGTAATAAAAAAACATATTTTTCCTATGCAGAAAAACGTCGAAAAAACAAAATATACAGTTTATTATTTTTGAGTAGAGACAATGTGAAATTGAGAGAGTGCAGACAGACAAATTGATTTCTCGCACAAAAAATACAAAAAACTGTCTGCACTCTCTCACTTTCACATTGTCTCTACTCAAAAATAGTAAACTGTATATTTTGTTTTTTCGACGTTTTTCTGCATAGGAAAAATATTTTTTTTTATTACAAAATATCATTCTGCATAGGCACATAACGAACATTGTTAAAATTTTGAATTTTATTGTTAGGCACCGAAAAATCATTGATTTAGCACAAGTCCTTCAAAAAACCAACCTGACAATCTTTTCCAACACAAAACTTCAATTCGCGATGCGACAAAACCAAATCTCTAAACAAAAATCGATCATATTTGGCTCTCAATGGTCCTTTCTCCAAAATTTCATAAACAAAGTCAGGTGGACAATAAACTCCACATTCAGATTCCATACATTCTATTCGTGTTGCAACACCTTCAGATAATCTCGATTCAATATGACAATTCCAACATTGTTCACAAAAACAATGACCGCATTGTAACGAAGCGAGAGATTCATAGCCATCAATTGCACAAACTGAACAATATCCATTTTTTGGTTTTTCATATGCCACGTCGGATTTTGCAGCCATATGACTTTGACGGAAAAGATCATATCGATTCATACGATACATACTTACAATCTGAAAAAAATATTGGAATTTGGGGAGAATTTAGTAATCAGGTTTTTGAATTTGTTTGTGGATAATTCAATTCTTGCGCTTTTGATTCCAAAAAAATAACGCGAGATAAAATTAAATATGCAAATTTCGGGTGATTTTTTGTGCCAAAACCTCCGATTAAAAAAATTGAAATTTATTTAAAAATTCAAATTCACTTTATTATTTTGAAAAAAAGTCGAGCTGTAATTTTTCGGCTCCAAAATTCCAAATTTCAACAAAAGATTTTGGAAACCGAAATTCTTTAATATTGATCTATAAGATTCAAAATTCAGAGAACAGCTGAAATTTTGCTTCAAGCTAATCAAAAATGTTTCTCAGAAAAATAGAAGAACATTAATTTAAAAATATCATATTTTTGAACATCGAAACAAGTTTCAAAATTTTGAAGCAATTTAGAAAAAAGACTAAAAAACCTCACATTTCTCACACAACTTTTATTGCTAGATTAACAAATCGTGGGAACTCACGATTTTTGTCATTTTTAAAATTAGAAATGTAGTTTTTTTTTTGAAAATAAAATTCATTCACGTATTGACGAAAAAATCTCACGTATGTTTTTCTTTTTTTTAATTTCAGAATTTTCTCAAAACCCCCCAAGATATCTTACATATTCAATATCCCACGAATTGGCAACCAACAATAATTTGGCAACTTTATCTCCAATATTCAATCTCAACATTAATGTTTTCACACTTTCCACAAACACTTTTTCCACTTGTGCAACATTCAAACATTCAAATTCAGCTTCTTCGGAATGAGTTGATGTAACTGCCACGTCATCCGTCGCATCTACGTCACAATCATTGTAATAGTCATCTGAAAAATTTTAGTATTTTTCTGGTAAGTTTTGAAGATGATACTTTTTGTTGTATTTAAAGTTGAAAAAGTCCTTTCAGAAACAAGATATTTAATTATAGATATCCGTTATGAACGTTGAAAAATTTTTCTTTGTACTTTGAATCATAAAAATGAGGTTGAACTATTTCTTATGAACTAAAAAAATCTTGTTTCTCGAAAAAAGTTCCAGACCATGAAACGTGTATTTTAAACAAACAGAATTAAACTTCGTGGCTGCAACCTTTCATAAAATTGGAAAATCAATATTTTTTCTTCAGTCTTCACAAGGACATTTCGGGCCAAAATTTCAAAGTTCAAAAATGCAACTCACCATCACAACAATCATAATCATCATCATCATTCGATGTACAACTCATATCTTCATCATCCATTTTTTATTTTGAAAAAAAAACTTCTGAAAATTTTTTTGTTGTTTTCTTTTTTTTCTCAAAAAAAAAACTGATAAGCTCGAAAAAATAGATCAATATTACACTATAATCCCCCTTCTTACAGCTGAAAAAATGCAAAAAAAAGAAGGAAATTTTCAGTTTTTTAGTCAGCTGTATTTCTTGGAGAAAAAAAAGATGGAAAAAAGAAAAAGAACGAAAAAAATAATGTTACACTTTTTCTTGAGTAGGTTTTACTTTTTTGGGTGGGGAAAATGGAGAAAAAAGAGAACTCGAGGCAAAATAAATTGATTGAGACAAAATTTAACTAAAAGTGGGGATTTTTTTGTTCTTGATTATAAATTCAGAATACGAAATTGAGAAAATGGATTATTATGAAAAATTGGAAAATCATGACAAGAACTATTGAATTGAAAAAAAAACAATGTGCTCCATAGTTACTTTTAGTTTACTTTATTAAAGACTCTCCTTTTCAACTTCAAAGGGCTGCATATAATTTTTCGGATTAATCAATATTCGGCGCCTAGGCTCGATTTTTGAGAAAAACGCTAACTTTTTCGGCAGAATTCCAAACTTTGATTTTTGCAGTTTTTTTTCGGATTGAGAGATAAACTCTTGGAAACTGCCACATTTTCAAAAGACACATTGTGTTTCATGAAATTCACATAATTGAGCTTCTGCTATATTTTAAGTGTTTTAGTGAAGCATAACTAGCTTCACCGCTCATCTATTCAAAAATAAATCAATCAAAAAGCGCAAAAACTTGCCGCGTGCGCCGTGCGGAAACAAAAATGAAAACGCAAAATGCAAAAAAGTGAAAATCATGTCGATCACGAGAGAAACGAGAAAAAAGAAGGCAAATAATTGATTGAAATATACTTGGGGCGAGAAAAGTTCGGCCACGACCGCGTGCGGAAATAGTTTGGTGATGGAAGAGGGTGCGAGAGAAATTGAGAAAATTTGTTGTTGTTGTTTTCTTTTTCTTTTCATTTCATTCATTCGAAAACAATGATGAAAAAAAAAGAAAGGAAAGAAAAACGTAATGTTTTTGAGATTAAATAAATATTCAAGTAAAGGGTTGCCATGGAAATAAGTACAAGATTAGATGAAAATATTAGTCATCGTTTGCGACATTTTGAATTTGAAATCTATTTTGCAAGAAAAAAAAACAATTTATTGCAAAACGGTGTAAAAAATGGTACAATCAATAAAAAATACAAACAAAATTTTAATCGTTTTGGGAATTACTTTGTAATACGATTTTCGGTGTCAAAATCAAACCCAATAAACGGTTTCTCTATAAAAAAATTACCAACAACAAAAAGTTTGAGATCGTCTTTTCAATCGTGACCAATGAATAGAATTTGAACAATAAAACTCATACCGGTGTCGAATTGGCCGTCCAATTCGATATGAGCTAACCCGGGTTTCAACTTCGTCAATTGGGCTTCGTGATCATCAAAGGTGTAGATTCGTTGACCTGGTGAAGCGTGCAATTCGGACATTGTGATAGGGTTGTCCTTTGGGTCATCCGGATAGCGTGGCACAATACTGAAAAATTCAATATTAAAAAGTGAATATAAATTTGTTTCTGTTTTAATTTTGCAAACCTACCGCGTTGTTCTAATCTTAAATCCTTTATCATCTTTCTCAAATTCGATATGAGGCAATAAAACTGTTCCACAATTTTCATCCTCCATTTTAACATCAATATTCACTCGATATACTGTCAAAACAAATCGACCTCTTCCATTTCGAACTTCTTCTCGAAGGCGATCCAATTCTTCGGCGCATTTCAATTCTTCTCCATAAAGGCTATCTTTATCGTCTGATAATCCATTAGAATGAAAACATCCTTGTTCAGAGAAAACACACGTGTTGACTTGATTTTCACCGTCATTAGATTCAATATTTTGCTGTGAACTACAATGAAGAATGTGTTGACTGGTGATTGGAATAATGGAATTTATTTCGCTGTCTGAGAACAAAAAATGTCTGTCATGTTCGACGAGTGTCATTCGATCGATTCTTTCCGAAATATTTTGTATCATTTTTGGTAATTCTTCATAATATTTCTTCATAACAGGATCAATATTGTTCTCTTCAGTTCTTTCTTGAACTTCATTCCAAAAATATCTGATCCATTCATTCAAATTGAGGATTTCGAGAGATTGACTTTCATAAGCAATTGGATTGACATCGAAACCACATTGGATGAATTGCTGAACTCTTTTCAAACTTGTGCCTTGACAGAACACGAAATGAACATGATCAGCATTGTATTTCAAATAGACAGTCTCCGAGACACCAAGTGGATAGCCTGAAAACGGTCATGATTGAAATCTTAGATTTTCATTTTGAATTTCGAACTCACCAAACTGTAAAAATTTTAATTTTTGACAATCTGCGCCAAGTTCCATACAACTCAAAAACATATCATCTCTGAACGGGCCATTGTTCACTTCTTGCTTCAGATTACTCGACAAATCGTCACCTGGCAAAACTTCAATCCCAGTGGTGTCTGCGAATCTTAAATCGATTGGAAGAATAGCCAAAAATGTTCCAAGCCATGTACACTTCGAATGGTCATCTGAGCAACTTTCCGGCAAAGTTCCAATTCCAGGAATATAGTCAAGATCGGATTGCATGAATTCCAAGTGTCTCGACCTAGAAAATCAGTGTTTGTTTACTTCCAATTAAAAATTCGAACATACTTTCCCAACTTGTTCACTCTGTGCAACCAAAATTTCCGAGCCTTGAATGTGGAAACCCTTTTACAACATAAAATAAGTGCCTGAATAATGGTGAATGCCAAGTGAGAATCATGCTCTACAATTTGTTGGAGAACACCGCATGCTTCTTCGAAATGGTCTTTGGTGTATCGTTTCACGAGGTAGTCGATATTTTTTAAAAACGTGTCATTCAGGTTTGAAATAACATTCCGCAAAAACTTTCTGACAGCCTCCTTGTTATCCTTGATCAACTTTTTTTCATAAGATTGATCCAACTCGTCGACGATTTTTCGTTTTGCTCGCGGCTCATTTTCCCTGAAATTTTAAAATATTCAAACAAAGAAATCGGTGGACAAATTTTTTTTTGAAAAATTGAATAAATTGTGAATTTTCGTGGAAACCCCAAAAAATTTCCTTGTTTCACTAGAAAAATTGGATCTTTTACGAAGATCATTTTACTGATATTTAAAGTGTAAATAATTATTTACCCGCAACAATCATCGATCATAAAATGAGTGCGATTCATAATCTCGAGTTCAGTATTTTTAGTGAATCGTTCATTCAGCATTTCAAGAGACTTAGCTCTTCTGCCTTTAGACAATCTCAAACTAGCCGAATATTGTGTAAATCCAGAGATTCCACGAATCGGCTGCCTAGGAGCTCGTTCTTCGGCGCTGCAACAAGACACAACATCAATTTCTTCTTCGTCATCGCTTGACAAAACAATTTCATTGTCCTCTTCTTGTAATTTTTTATAAGCTAATTCCAATTCCAACTGTTGTTTTTGATTATCTTCAAGCTCTTTATCGATCGCATAGATTGACTCGCGTGGCGAAGATCCAGAAGAGCCATCAGAATCAGAAGATGATCCGAGTATACGTCTCTGATTTTTCTTTGAATTTTCCGGTGGAACTTGACTATCATCGGAATCCTCTGACAATTCCAGCCTATCTAACTTTCCAGATTTCTTCTTTTCCTTTTCAAAAGTGCTTTCCAAATCGGGAACTGAGTCGATGATTTCAATAACAGGGGTTCTCCTATCAGCGATGTTTTTCTCCTTTTCTTTCAACTCGTCGGATTTTGCTTTGTTTTTGGCAGTTAGATCTACGTTGTTAATATCAACTTTCAACACAATCTCCAGGTCGTAAGATTTGTGATATTTCACGTCAACTCCTTCTGTATGTGTCATTCCAATATTATCTTTATACTTTTTAAGTTGATCGTTTTTCAAAAGATTCGATTCGGGCTCCCACGTTCTCTCGAATATATTGTATCCTTTCCAATGAACCTGCAAATTTTTCGACTGATTGTGAATACCATTTTTGATGTACTTAATAACCTACCAAGAAACCATATTTTGAATGCGTTTTCTCTCCAAGAGTATCCGGAGCAAAAACAAGTTCACCACGAGCAGCTCGTTTTACCAAATTGTCGAATGTGTCATGAGCGATGATCGATTCTACAATGTAACGGCCTTCCTCAGCTTCGTCATCACTTGACATGATTACTGAAAAAATTATGGTTTTAAACAAGGTAAAAGGAGTCAGTCAACAAAAGATAATTAATGAAGAACAGCTGTATTTTTATAGTTAATCTACAAACAACGCGTTTTCTGAACGATTTTCGCTAAATTTCAAGAGTTAATGCAATATACTAACTGAGAAGACGAAAAGACTTTTCAATTTTTCAAATTTTGGTTCTTCGAAGAAGAAACACGCGTTTTCTGTTTCAAAATGAAGAAGTCCCAAAACCCGCGAAATTTGTTGCTGGTCTCACAACGAAACCAAAATTTTATGTAGTGTATACGGTATCTTTTCGTTGGGCTGTACAATTTTTATTTGTTGTTTTCTTTTGAACTGTCTAACGAAATCCGGAATGACCTGTACAGATCCCAAAGAACTTACCGTATTTTCAGCATTTATTTTTCAGTGCTTCTTCCGCATATATTTACCTGTAAAAATCATGTTCACTGAATTTAACGTAATTTTTGGTCTAATCGTAAGAAATTTCGCTTTTCTCAGATGTATTTTTTAGAAATCGAAGAGACGATTTTTGAAACGATAAAGCAATAAAACCTTCATTTTAAAATACAAATTATTTCGATATTTGAGCATTAATATATATAAAAATTCAAAAAAACATGGAGATCGACAACTTTAACTACCGCTATTTTGAAAAAACCGAAGCTCAAAATGACTAGGAATCAATAGATAAAAGGGTGGGCCATTAATATTTTCACACAAAAAAACAGAATTAAAAAAGAAATAATAATTTACCAAACTTGCGTTTCTCTAACTTCACTTATAATAACGCTAGCTTGTTGGAGAGCCTTCATAGTTTCTAAAGTGTCTCTTCTTCTTTGTGCCATATCTTCAGTTTCAGCCAATAAATCATCCATTTCGTCAGGTTTATACAATTGTCGAACCAATTCTGATTGTAGATTATCCTGAAAACACGAAAATATATAGAAAAGAATAACAATTATTTTTCACTTACTCTAACAAAATTCACCAATAACGCCATAATTGCTTTCGGAACACTATCCTGAATATTTTTTCGGACAATCATGAAGTAGTTTCTGATGAGTCTCTCAATAATTGCAACATCTCTTTGTTCGCGGCTTGTTAATTTTCGGCCAAGTTGAGTTTCAGGAACTTCTGGCAAGAAATTTGCGGCGGACACTTCTGAAATTATTTATTTTTTTTAAACCAAATTTTTAAAATGCGACGTGTTAACATGATAGTTCACGTCAAAAATCAAAATCGCTCACTTTCTTGTGGGGAAGTCTTGTTGGAACTGGTATTATTCGCAAAAAATCCCAAAAATCCAGCGCCATTTGTTGTTCCTTTCGCAGCTTGTGGGAAAATAGTATTCTGTTCGCCATTTAATTGTTGTGCCACCGCCAAAATTTGTTCTCCATGTGCACTGACAGCTCTTTCACCGGTGGATTGTTGACGATTTCGACTTCTTGTATGTCTTTCATCAAGTGAAAGTTCCTCTTTGAGCAATGTCACCAAATTAGCTTCGGTAAATTCTGGATGTTTTGTATTAATATAGGCTAACTCGATAGCCACCAAATTTTCAACCAATTCATTTGTTGGTTTAAGTCGCTCTTTCAAAACACCACTAACAACTTCGTTAATTTTATCGTATAATCTAGGGAATCGAATCATTTCTTGTTGTGTCGTAAATCCACAATGTTGTACCATTCTTTGCATTTCTTCATGAACCAATTCAACACATCTCAAAGAGGGTTCTTCCAATCTTTGAATTTGTCGTTTCACAAGCAATTCAAATGAAACTTCAGGAACAAAAAGCGCAGGTCTCGGGCCAGTTGCATTTCTAATCGCTGTCAAAATATCCAATTGGGTAAGATTTTCCAACGGATTCACTGATTCTAATGATTTTCCGAATGTATCGTGGAAAATATAACATATTCTTGCACCACCGCAAAGTTCAGTAGTTTCAATATTTCTGGAAGTTCCCTCAATTGTAGATGTATAAGCAGTGGCAAATCGAGTGATAATTTGAAGAAGTGTTCGATTTTTATCTTCAACTGGTTCACCGAATGCGATCAAATCTGATTGACATTGAGAATTCATTATTGAGACACGAGCTTTTAGTGCGGGAAGACAATTACGAATATGATGCATCAGAAGCTGCAAGAAAATACTATTTGATCAGTTTCCAAAAAAAAAAAGACTTGTCAAAAAAATATCTCACCATATTCAATCGTTTTCCCAAATATGGTGTACCATTCCGACTTGCCAAAGTTGGATATTTCTTTTGCAAAAAATGTTGCTCATCTTTCACCGCATCCTGAATCGGTTTATTATCCAAAATAGCTTGTTGAGATCTGTTGACAACTCCAATAATTCCAAGTTTCACCGGAATAACTTTTCCCATCAAAACGTCCATTGCATCAGTTCCTTGATCCATTAAATCCAATTTTGTCAAAACAGCAAGAGTTCTTTGACCGCCCGAATCAACATCTCTTGCTAATTTAATCGGTTCCGAAGTTGCAAAATCTTGATTTGCTGGAGTTACAGCAAGGATAATTGAAGATGGATTTGAAATATAGCTGAGAATCATTTCTCGAATTTGTTCTTCAATATTTGTTGGTTGATCTCCGACGGGAATTTTAGTGATTCCGGGAAGATCTACGAGAGACAAAGAAACAACATGATGGGAATATATTTTCAAACAAATCGGCACATGTGATATTCCTTTATTTGCACCAGTTAATCTATCAGTTTCATCTTCGATTTCTTTTCTCACTAAATCGAAATCAGTGAAAACTTTATTTCCTGAATGTTCGAACATTGCCCAATCATCTTCAATCATTTTTCCACTTGATGTTCTTCTTTTACTATCATCATCCAAAGCAACATAATTCAATTGCAAAATCAATGGTCTTCTTGTAACAATTCCAGTTCCTCTGGGTAGAAAATCTCTGCCAACAAGATTTTCGAGAACTGATGATTTTCCAGCACTTTGCGATCCGACGACAACAATCTGTGGAAGCTGAATTTGATCTTCTCGCCTACCCAATGTTGCAAAAACATCCTGCAATTTATTGATCACCGGGATAAGATTTTCCATCTGAAATAAAATAAACTTTTATGGCCAAAACGGCAAGTGAAAAACAAATAAAAAGGACAGGAACAGTCTTATCAATTGCTTTGCCTAACCTTGAGTTTCAAAAATTGCGAAACATGAAGTTTTTGCGTCAAAAAAAGCGCGTCACTTTTCTTTTGTGTTGCAAAAAATAAAATATTTGAGAATGCAAACTCGCTCCATTGCAAATGGTCCGCAATGCACACTGCACATTTTATTTGACGACACTTTATTTTTTTTCAGTCGCCAAACTTACGGGCTGAAATTCTACCGGAATGGATTATAATCGACGAGGAAAGGAGTTTCGAATGATTGTGTATAATGCGGCTTGTATCGGAAATTTGGCACGAATCAAGGTAATTACTGAAATCACTTGAAAAATTGATTTGAAAATTTCAGATTTTCATCGAACCAAATCGTGTGTATCCTGAATGGATTTCCGGCTGCCTTAATGATAGCTTCAACGAACAATTTCCTTTGGTGATTGCTGCAAGAAAAGGGCATGTTGAAATTGTAAAATATTTGCTTGAAGTCGGAGCCGAACCATCAGTTGCTGGAGTTGTCGAATTCGATAACGATGATATTCGTGAGTTTCTTAATTTTAAGATAAAATGAAATAATAAATTTTGAGCATGAACGTGAAAAAACGAAATTTTAATGGCAGGGTTTACGTTTTTATTTATTTTCAATATAACTGTTTTGATAAATTCTTGATAAGACTGGTGCCAAAAAGTCTCAAAAGAATAATTGTTATCAGGTGGAACTCCTCCTCTTTGGGCTGCCGCAGCTGCCGGTCACATGGAAATTGTAAAAGAACTTGTTGAAAATGCAAAAGCTAACATCAATCAAACAACAGAATCCAACAGTACTCCGTTACGCGGTGCTTGTTATGATGGACATTTTGAAATTGTAAAATATTTGGTGGATAAAGGTGCCGGTATAAATATTCCAAATCGTCATGGCCATACTTCTCTTATGATTGCCGCATATCGAAATAAAATCGATGTTGTTCGCCTACTTTTGGAGCATAAAGCTGATGTAAATGTACAAACTGCTAAAGGAAATTCAGCACTTCATGATGCGGCTGAATGTGGAAATTGTGAAATTGTGCAACTTTTGATTGATTCAGGAGCTGTTATGAGCAAAGATTTTCAAGGTGTTTGCCCGTTATTTTGTGCAGCAATTAGTGGACATGAAGAAGTTGTTGAGATACTTTTAGAACAAGCGAAAAGTAATATTACAAGACGAGATGCTCTCAAATTATTGGGTTGTACAATGGTTGATAAAAAAATGGATTCACATTTAGCAATGAAGTATTGGAGGTTCGTAATTTTTCCATAAGAAATGATGGTTCCACAGATTTCAAAATTAAAACAAAAACTATCACGAAGTTGTAATTTATGACTAAATCCGGAAATATCAGCGTTTACATTTTTTAGAAACACTATTTTAAACTTGAATTTGTTTCTTTTTCTCTGAAAAAAGCAAGAAAGTAAATAATTTTCCAGACAAGCTCTCGAAATCGAATTAACTCCAGATGAACAAAATACAATTCGACATTTTGAAGCATTCACTGAACCTTTAGAAGCTTATGATAATGAAACCGAAATTCATTATATTGAAAATTTGTCGAGTCTTGAGGGAAATGTGGATAATGTTCGAATGCAGGTTTGTGATTCAGTTTTGTTTTTCTGAAATTTTTTCGCTACGAACTGGTCTATAATTCTCAGTCCCCATATTTGTTCCAAACATAATTCCTTATTTTTTTTACCTTTCCGATTTTTCCCACTCTTGAATAATCGCCTTTTCCTGTTCCGCCAACCCACCAAAAAACCACTTATTAAGTATCTTTATGTTTTTGTCGGCACTGATTGACCTCCCAGGAAACAAAGATACACACTTAATTGTTTTCGGATTATTGCAATTAAAAGTGTGCCAAAATTATGATCCCCATCTGGCAATAAAAAAAATGACTGAGATTTTTTGTTTGGAAAATGTAGAAATGAAAGAAAAACGTGAAATTTTGAACGTGGTATATGGAATTTCAAAAATCATTTCCGAAAATTTTAAGAATCAAAAAATGTGAGTATTCTGTTTTACAGAAAAAAAAAATTGCAACATTGTGTTTTTTGATTCTCAAAAATTCATTAGTTTTGGATAATAGAAACTGAAAGGATTTGTTTTTTTTTCTTCAAAGCAAAAAAAAAGTCCCTCAAAAATAGTTTGAATATTTCTGTTTCTTTTATGATGATAATCGAAAGGCCGGAAGGAGAGGTCAAATGAGTTTTTCTTTTAAGCCGACAAAAAGCAAATCAGTTGTTGTATTAACTAATGAGTCGGACACGCAACATAAAAAAGAAGGCGAAGTTGATATATTATATGAATAGAATATATAAATGAGTAGTCAAAAGCACATTGTAAAAGACGAAAAGAATAAGATGTTTTGTTGCATAACTTATGAGACACACACTTATAATGAGGAGAAATGTCTTTTGATTGAGCCGACAATGATTTATGAGCTGGTTTTTGTGAGGTAAAATGAAAATGTAAAAAAAAACATTTTTGGATTCCCTAATGTTCCCCCAATTTTTTCTTCTACAAGTAGCACTTTTTCTCTCCTATTATGGTATCAATATTGATGTGGATGTAGATTTTTTATTGCGCAATTTGTGTAAACCTACTAAGAACACTTGAAAAATAGCAGGTGATAGAAGGAACGCAATAAGTGTTGATTTTTAGGTTGAGTTAAACAAATAAATAGACAAAAGTTAAAGTTTGTTGGATGGATTTTATCTGGGATGGAAGTTTAAATAATTTAGAATTTGGAATAACGTGAAAAACACGTCTTTCTTCATAAATTTTTTCCTACAAAAATGACATATTTACAGGCTCTGATAATTCGCGAAAGAGTTCTCGGCGGTGCTCACACTGATGTTCATTATTATCTTCGTTTTCGTGGAGCTGTTTATTGTGATTTGGGACAAATGAATAGATGTTATACCTTATGGAAACATGCTTTGGAATTACAACAAAAACATTTTTCGCCACTTCATGTAGGAACTGTCACAACTTTACAATCGTTCGAAGAAACATTTGGAATGACATTAAATGATTATGTAAATGCAATGCATGTTGATCGATCATTGCGAGTCAGCTCATCTTGGGTCAATTATGTTTTCGAGAAAATATGTTATGAATTGGAAAGAGTTCGAGATTGGGGTGATAAACCGTTGCAAGATGCGGAATGTTGCGGTGAAAATGTTTGTCCGCATACTTCGGTTGAAGCGGAACAGAAGAAATTAGTTGTTGCTGCATTGCAATTAATTAATGTGGTAAGATATTTTTGGAAAAAATCTAATTAAAATTTTCAATTGAGATTCTTGGAAAACATGAGAATATATTATATTTTGAGGGATTTCAATTTCATGAGGTTACAAATACTGGTCTGAAAAATGAAATTCAACATTTAAAAAATTAGTTCACGCGAGAAAAATGTGAAAATTCTAGAATTGTCACATAAATGTTTCACTGTTTCAAAAATTGTTTTTTCTATTCTTCCACTCTGGAAGTTTCTCTACAATCAAAATTATCCTTGAATGAATTTTTGAAAAATGTACTTTGAGGTAATGTTTTTGAATCCGTGGGATTACAAAACTCATATCTCTTCAACCTTTAATCTTGTAAATCGTTTTGTTTTTTCAGATTGAGCGACTTTCTCTTCCATCTGCAAATGGCGATGATATTGAAGATAAAATGATACCATTGGATATCGATCGACTTGTCAAAATTTGTCACATTCTCCATCTTCCAATTTTACATTATTCTCTCGAAGAAACAATCGGAGAAAGTGTTGATTATATGAGTCTACCGAAAGCATCTGTTTTGGCACAAATATTAGAGAATAATGTTGATACTACAGCTTGTGATAAAGACGGAAATTCAGTTATTCATGTTTTATTGAAAGCAGCTACTATTAGGTAAGAAAATGAGGGGAAAAATATTTAACTGTGATTTTATTTTCAGAAGAAGCCTTATTCACATTCTTCTCGAAAATGGTGCTCTTCTTTTTGCGTGCAATAATGATGGTGAAATTGTGTATGAACAATTGAAAGAAATTATCATCAAAGAGAAATGCAAAGATTTGAAACTTGGTGAGTATTTTAATATTTCCAATTCAAAAACTCCCGAAAGTTATTACCCAGTAAAATAATTTTCTTATTTCAATTCAATTTTTCACTCACTTACTCACTTATTTATATATTTATATCTATAATTATATTATCTCCTTTTTCCATTCCCCCTTTTCCTTTTTCATTTTTCAATTATAATCCAATTCATAAGGTATTTAGAACTACAAATTTTCTGCTCAATACATATCCATAATAATCATAAATTTACACCTTTTTTGTTAGTACGAAAATATTGCATAACAACAACAAAAAGGAACATTTTTGAGAGAAAGAAGGGGACTAAAAAGTAGTTTGTATGTATGTAGTAATTATGAGGAAAAGGGGAGGAATTTTAAATTAGCAATGGGATAAAGTTTGAGCAATTTGAAGTTTTTGGAAGAAATTAGGATTGAGAGAGGACTGTAGTTGTATAGTTTTGGAATATATTTATTGAAAATAAATTTTTTGAGCCGGAAAATTTGATTTGGAACTCGGAAAATGTTATATATTTTATTGTTGTTATTTCTATTCAAGGCTATTTTTTCCTGAAAAAAAGTCTAGTTGTCAAATAGTTAAGGAAGTTGAGATTTCAAAAATGTTATTTTTTCCAGGAAAATTCATAACATTAGCTGGTTTGGCTGCTCACACAATTCGCCGAAAATCTGAAAATGAAAATGTTGAAAATTTGGACGACATTTTGCCAGCCGAACTTGTGCCATTTTTGCGAAAACACTAAAATATATCAATCAATCAATGCTTTTTCTTTGCTCAACAAAAAAACAATTTAAAACTTTGGAAAAACCGGTAAAAAAAGTTGTCTAGCGCCTTTTTCGTGTAAATATGTGTTTTTTTTACTTTCGACTTTTTAAACTGAAATAATAATAAATCTCGAATTTTTGCGAATTTTAGTCTCATCTCCTCATAATTATAGTTACAACACCCTTGGGGCATGGAAAAATGGGCGGAGCTTTCATTTTTGGAAAAAAAAAAAAGAAAAATAGAAGGGAAGGAAGTTGTTGGTGTAGTATTTATTTATATATGGAAAAATATACATTTTTTGATGGAGTAGCAGGTGTTTTTTTGGGAATTTTTAACATCATTTTTTGGTGCGAGATTTTTTGGCGTCAGATTTTCTGGCTGGTCACTTCACTTTACTAAAAATATGCTCGCCGAATGAACAATCCTGTTCAATTTATAGATTGATTTATCTTTTCACATTTCTCGTTCTTTTTTCCGCTTCGGCTTTCTTCTCTCTTCCAAGTGTTAAAAGAGTCCATCAAAAAATGTCATTTTTGCTTTCATTCATCTCTTTTTTTCGCGGATATTTTTAAAGTTTTGGGAAAAAACGAAGAAAATCCCATGGGTGGCCTTGAACCCGCGACCTATAAGACGCGAGGCAGTCACGTACTACACTGGGCTGTGGAAATTTGGACGCGGGGCTGTGGAGCTGAAAAAAATTAGCGACCCCTCCCGGATAAATTTTTCTATTCACAAAAAAATTCTTTTTTTTTAAACTTTTTTTCCAAAACCCAAATCTCCATTTCAAATCAATTGAAAACCAAATTCAAATTTATCAATTTTCATATTCATATTCATGTTCTCAATTTTTGATAAGAACCTTATTTCAATATTTTATTTATTTGTTTTTCATAAACCTTGCTCATTTTGTTTCATGGGAAAGAAAGAATTCAAATGTTTATTTATTTATTTTCCAAAGTTTTTTCTTAGTTTTTTCTTGAAAAAAAACTCTAAAATGAAATAAAATAAAATAAATAGAAATAGTATTTTTTGTTGCTCGTAGTAAAATTCGAAAATTGAATTTGGGAAATCTTTGAGAAAATCTTCGTCCCGCAAAAAAATGTTTGAACTTTTTTCTGGAAAATAAAATGAAAATAAATATTTTCTGACGTGAACTTTTTTATTTCACGTGTTCATTTTCCAGTAGTTTTATTTATTTTTAAAAATTTCAAAAAACAAAATGGCAGTGAATGAATGGAAATTTGGAAACACATGAGGTTAGTTGGTTGCAACTGCGCTTTACCGTAATTTTTCTTTATTTGTCTGAGACCTCTTAAAATCATAGATAGATTCTCCACAGTGTGTAATTTATTTATTTATTTATTTATTTATTTACGATGAGAGGAAAAGTACATCGTGAAAAAAAAGGTGATAAAATGTAATTCACTATCCAAATCGCTAAACCTCAAAATTTTCAAAAAAAAAATTCAGGGTAGATCAAAAATATTTTACTATTCCTCTGTTTTCTCTGGTTTCTCTCAAAATTGCATTCTCTCTATCTCTCCTCTCTTTTTCCATCTCCAAAATCACTTTTTTTTCTTGACCCATGATAAAACAACAAACTCATCCACAATAAAACCAAGTGATTTATCTTTTTGCCACCGACCAAAACTTTTTTGATTTTCTTTCTTCCATCAAGAAAGAAAGCACATGTGGTTTCTATCTGAAACATTTTCATTTTCTTCTTTTTTCACTCATCTCTTTTTTTTCTTCTTCCAACCACCTAATTTATTATTTTTTTGTTTTGAACTTCCTGAATCACAGAACTGAACTTAATTTCAAAAATAAAATTCAGAAATTTCAGATGCCGAGCGACGATGCATACAGCGATTATTTTTGGGATTATAAATCAAGTTAGTTTATTTTTTATTTAGGGGTCCCACTTTTTTGTTTAGGTTATTAGGGTTTGTGACACTTTTATGGCTTAGGATGATGAGAGATAATAAGTTTGTTTAGGATTATAAACGGGGGAAGAAAAATATCTGAAGGATGTCATTTTGTGTCAAGTTGTTTGTTTTGACCTTTTTTGTTTTGGTTGGGTCTACTACTGTGTAGAAAAGAAAATAAGGAAACGTCAAAAAAGGCCACCCAGAATACAATGATTTTTTGTATTAGAAATACCAGAATGCAATAATTCAAGAATACAACATTTTGTTGTTCAGCCAAAATTTCAACAATTCTGTGTTTCTTTTTTTGAGAAAAAATGAATATTCATAGAAAACAAGTCAAACTTTATAAAAATCGAGGGAAATCAAGCCGAAAAACCCATAATCATAGTTTTTTGGTGTTTGGGGAAAAGTTTTCTAGGTTTTTCTTCTTGCAATCTCTATTCTCGTTAATTTGCTACTTTTTGCTGCAAAGATTGTGAAATTTCGTTAAGTACGAACGATTTTAGCTTTTTTTGTGAAAAAACGAAAAATGGTTTTTGGGTTTGCAAAAAAATTCACAAACCGTCGTGTTGTTTGGCGTCTCTCTTACGCGTTTCTATCTCTCATTTTTTCTCTTTTTGTCCTCGTCTCTTCTACACACAACACTCTCTCGTTTATTTTTTCAATTTGGTTTTTTTTTCCGTGAAATCAGGAAATTTCACGATTTTCATCGAGAACATCATATATGAGAAAATAGAGAAACACAAGGAAAAGACAGAAAAATAAAAATAGGAATGTGGAACTTAAGATTAAAAGTTATTTTTTTCGAAAAAACTGAAACTGATGTTTCAGAATTTTGAGCAATTATAACTTTGATACTATGGTCTGCTTTTTTCCTAATATTATTTTCCTCGCAATTATTTCAGACTGATATTCTGAAAACATAAAAATCCAACAAAGTTTGGAATTTCTGATCCACAGTATATTTCTACACACATTTTCCTTCCCACTTTTGATAAACTCTTGAAGTTCTGTGCCGACAGAAATCTCAAAGGTTTCCCCAATTTTTACAAATCTGCTAATCCCTCACCGCCAAAACTCATTCTTTCCCCGCTACCAGACATCCATTTTCTTTGGGTGTCAAATTATCTTCCACCATTTTTGGTGTCAAAAAGTTTATGGTGCTAAAACCAAATATTGACTGTTTTAATTAAATTCCCGCTGGGAAGAAAGAGATGTACGCAGTCAAATAGACACATTAGATACTCAGTTGACTAAACCAAAAAATTATGGAACCCACTATTTTCCGGCTCATTGCGAATAGAGAAGAATTTATGTTTTCGACAGTATGACGCCAGATTTTTTTTTCAAACAAAAAAAATTTATGAATATCTAATTTCGACATTTTTTGGAAGCAGATGGCGGCTTCGAGATTGACTGCGTACATACATTAGATACTCATCCAAGTTTTCCCTCATCGAATTCTGAATATAAAAATTAGCTGTGTATCACATTAAATACTCAGCTATCAATCAATCAACTTGTGCTTTTCGGTCACCTTTTGTTATTCTAACTAACTGGTTGTTTTTTTCTTTGTGTGTAACATTTTTGTTTCCCGCGCGGCTTTTCTTCTTTTATTTCCTTCGGACACAAAAAAAAACCAAAAATAACTTTGATTTTTTATCGATTTTCTTATTTTTCTGCCGGCAATATTTAAAGAAAAATCCACCCACCTTTTCACACTTCATTTTTGAAAAGTGATAATTTTTCAAAATAATTTTTTTAAAGCTGTCAGAAATTTTTTGACGAGCCGAGCTGTGTAAAATAATGCATGCCATTCCAACAATATAATAAGAACATATGTCATCAGTAATATGAGCAATGTAATTATTTTTTTAGTATGATTTGGGGGAGACAATAAATCTCTTTTTTTGGTCCATTTTACAGCTGGCGAGATTATTGTTGCGTTTTTTTCGAGAGAAAAAACGTTGAGGTACTGTTGAAGATTTGAGTAACTCTAGGTTTTCAAATGTACAGTACTTAAACATATTTGCAGATAATTTTGGTTACAGTAGATCCTCAGAAAATTAAATCGCTGATCAAAAGATCACATCTTATTTGAGAGGTACTGTAGGTTGAAATATTCTGGATTTAATTAAGATAGCTGTGAATGTTCGTTTTCTAAATGCCATTTTTTGAACCTGGCTGCTGAAATTTGAAGGTAGATCAGAAAATTCAAATTTTACTCCAACCTACAGTAATCGTCAATTTATCAAAAGTGCACAGAATTTTGTTTTATTTTCCCATCTTCTTCATTTTTTCTATTTACTTGTTTTTTTCCTCCTTCACATTCATAACCATGCAAAAATCTAGTAGTAAAAACCAAATAAAAGTGTCAAATAAAAAATGAGCTATGTTTTCTCTCCGTTTTTTTCCTCATTGACGAGTCATTAAACCATTCGTTCTTCGGTAGTTTGTTTCAAGGTTGACTGTTTTTAAATAGAAAAAATAGAAGAAGGTAAGATGCGGGTATTCGGCATCGAACTCTTGATCAGAGCTTGTTAATAGGCTGGAGTTTTACCACTTGACTACGTGGCACAAATTTCACGTGAAGTGAAGAACCTTTTTGTTTTTTCCCATTTTTATTCATTTCCAAAAAATTCTCTAACCTTGAGAGGTAAAAATGAAATGTATCAAAATGACATGGTTTGTTGTTTAGACCATCTGTCGAAAAGCTAACATTTGTTCAATTTTTTTCGGATTCCCCAAATCTAGTCGTTTTCATCTCTTCAAACAACACAAAAGGTTATTAGGCTTTTTATTGGCGTAACTAATTGCTGTCATTAGAAAATACTTTTTTTCTTCCCATTTTCCCTCGTTTTTTTCCTTTGTCGGTCGGAATTTTTCCCTGAACATGAACATAATTGATTAGAATTCTTTATATTATATATATAACACAAAAAAAATATATTGCTCCCAAAAAACTACTAGTAGTGTGTTTTTTTTTATTTACACAAAAATGTGTCACTTTTTTGTCGTTGGTGCTGGCCTAATTTGTTTATTTGATTTCGTCTTTTAGTCAGTTTCCCCCTCCTGAACAAGTTTTTGGTGAACTTTTGGGAAGTGGAAGGTTTTGATATTCGAGATTTGGGCTGTTCAAAATTTAAAACGAGTATTGAAAGAATCAGAATTTCTGAATAATTGAAAGAAAATTAGGAGGCATAGGGACTCGAATCCTGGTCTTGAACTCAAGAAGCAGAGCAGTAATCTCCCTTTCTGGAAAAAACAATGTTAGGAGGTAGCCGATGTCGAACCTTCGACTTGAGCTCAGAAATCTGTGAACTACCCACTTACACTACGCGTCCTTCTCTGCACGCATTTTCAAATTTCCTTGTTTTCAAAACATGATTTTTCTGCGGACCACTATACATTATTTTTTTGTTCCGAAGAGCTTTTCGAAAATAATCCCGTTTTTCACTCCCTTATCTTGATTTCCAATCTTTTTCCCCTTTTTGCTCTTTTCTATCTTTTTTACGAAATAAAAATAAACAATAAAAGTACTTACATGAACTCTTGGGACATTTTTTATTGGGTTGAACCCAATTTAGTGTTTTACTAAAATTCTTAAGAACGAAATTTGTTTTTTTTCTTTATTTTGTTAAGAAAGAAAAGATGAAACAATTTTGCCGCCTTTTGTTTTTTTTTGCTGTGAGAATAAAGGCTACAGATGTCGTTAAATAAAAACCTCATTTTTTCACTGGGTTCCTTCGTTTCCGATTTTTTTGAGGAGGAGTATAGATTTCGGTTTTTTGGGTGATTTTTTGTTAGCAGGTGGTGATGGGTTCTGGAATGGTACGGTTTCGGTGACATCTGCGAAATTTTTTTTTGATTTTGGTGCCACGAAAATTTTTGATCTGAGGTTATTCGGTTATACAAAATCGGACATTTTTTGAATTTTCGCCACGTGGCAATACTTTTTCAGCATCAGAAATTTTGAATTTGAACTTATTTTTAGAAACAGTTTGAATCTAATCATTCTGGCGCCTTTGAGAAATAATTTGAAAAAGTAATTTAATATCGGAACCGGATTGAATATTGTTTTAAAATTTCCCAGGAAAAAAAATTTTTTGGCCTACCCAGAAATTTACAAATAAAAAGTTCTACAGTAATCCCTCTTGAAACTGTACTTTTTTAAAACTATCCATTTTTTTTTCAAAAAAAAAGTTCCTCGAAAAATTTGCATAATCCAAGTTGTTGTTTGTTGTGTTCCTTCTTTTTTCCTGTTTTTTTTTGTCAAAAAGTCAAAAAAAAATTGTGGGCGGGGTTTCGAAGCTCCGCCCACTTTTTATTGGCTCTTCTTTCTTTTCTCTTGTCTTTTTTCTGCTTCTTTTTGATGATTTTTTGATTTTGGTTAGAAACAGATAAAACTTTTTATTGATTTTAAGATTTGAAAATTTGAAAATTCCTTTTGAAAATATGTTGTTATTGTTTTTTTTTGTTAAAATTCGAAGATCTCTCGACGTTTCTCTGCAATAAAAAGTTTACTGATAAATCTAGTGAAATCTTCTGACCATAATTTACACAGTAGCCCGGGCTACTGTAGATTTACTATGATTACAGTAATTATTTCTCGTACCACGTTCTTCTACAGTAGTCCTCATTACTCTACAGTATTCATATTTTTTACAGTAATGGACGAAATATCAATAAGCGAACATCCGAAATCAGGCTACGTGGTCCGTCAAAAACCACATCGATTAACATGCCGTGCACAAAACGCCAAAAAGATACGATTCAAATGTGCCGAAAAATGGGTGAGTCACGGGGGTTTTGGGGTTTTTTGTCTCCAACAGATAGATATGACTAATTTACAATTGTGACCCCTGGGAAAATATATTTGATTTTTTCTCAAAGCTTGTCCAAAATAACTACACACATACTATTTTATCAACACTTTCCCAAGAGTAGTTTTCAAAAATAATAACAATAATATTTGATTATCGGATTATTTTTTGGTTGGTGCAAAAATCTTCATTTCTTCATTTTCTCGCTAATTATTCCTCTTCTCGGTCTCTCTATTAATTTTTACCGCGCACACAAATTATGAAGACAGGAAATTGTAGTTATTGTTTGAGGGGCGGGAAACGGGAAAAGGAAGAGAGACATAAGAAAACACTTAAAATTGTTGGGAGGCGGTGAATAATTAGGAATACCGAAATAATAGGAAGAATAAGAAAGATGAATAAGAAAAAGACCTTGGCTCTCAAGTGTTTTTTGTTTGAGATTTTTAGATGATCTACAGGTTTCCGGGATAAAAAAGTTTGGAAAAATAAGTGAGGGGAAATTATAATTGTATGTTTTAATTCTGGGATAAGTTAAATAAGTTATCGAAAATAATTATATCTGATTGTGAAAAGGTTTGAAAATTATTTTTTTTTGTGTTTGGCTAAGAATCTTGCAAGCCTAGCTTTTACTCAATATAACTTTTTTGTTTATTTACAAAACACATCTGACACATTATCCCATCACTTTTCAAGACTTTTTTTTGTTATTTTCTATTTTGATGAGCTGATGACAGCCAGATGTTTGTGATAGATACGCAAAAATAAATAAATATATTGAGATGAACACAGAAAAAGAGGATTTTCGGGTTAATCGAAAGTATTAATTTGTCAAAAAAGTTTCACTTTTCCACTTTTTTATTGAAAAGAGAATAGAAAAAGAGACAAATTTACATATTTTCTTTGGTTCACAGCGTTTTTATTTTTATTTTATTTTATTATATTTTAACCAGATGCGCGGTGAAACCTTATATTTTTTAGTTTAGTTTGGTTTTATTGATAAAAGTAATAAAACATCTAGCATACATGTTTTTTTTCTCAAAAAATAATTTTGGTTGTTTGCAGATCGACGATTCACGTATCGAATCTACGAGTTCAAATTCAAACATCGAAGCAAATTTGAATATTTCGAAGATCGACGTTGAAACTTCGGAAAAGGGGATTTTCTCGTGTCAGTGTTACGCTTCGGCAGACGGAGATCAAGAAGTTGCGGCATCGGAAGAAGCTGTTGTGCAAGTTGCATGTGAGTTTGATAAGGGATGGGGGTTCTGAAGTTTTGGAAAATGAGGAGATATTGAAGCTGGAACTTTTTGAAGGATAGATTTTTGGTGTCTTAGGTGAAATAATTTGGAATGATGTTTGAAGTTTCAAAAGAACTAGGATTTGGTGAACCTTTGAGGTTCTCAAAATTTTATGACCATTTTTTGAAATACACATTTTTGACTCAGATCTAGAGATCTATTACCTTTTTCAGTTTTTTTTTGATATTCAGACCTCAAATTTTGCCGAATTTTTGTTTCACGATTTTTGCTAGACAATTTCAACCTAATACTAACAATAAGTACAGTACCCTCTTGATTATTCCCTTGGCACCAAAAACTTCCACATCTTTTCTTGTCACATCAGAAATTTTTTTTTGAAAAACAAATGAGTGTTTCATAACTTTCTTGACATTTTTTTGTCAAACAACGGAATTTCGAAATATTTTTAAACAAAGAAAGAGATTGATGAGTTGGATTTGGGGTACTGTACTTTTAAGAGTTTTGGAGACAAAAATGGGGATTTTCCGAAAAATTATAAGTTTTCACACTTTCATTAGCTACAGTATATTTTTCTGGCAAGTCATAAATCTATCGATAAAATCAACAATATTTGACACGAGTATTAGATATAACAAAATTGTAAACCTATAAAAAGATGAGATAAATATAAATATATTCGATTTGACCTGTTCTTTTCTCTTCCTTTCCTTCTTTCTTTTTCTTCCCACCTGATTAATGTAGTTTTCTCTAAACTCTCTAAAATTCTCATACTCTCTCTTACTTTTCTGGGAAGCAAAGATAACTTTTTGGTGGCTCGCTGGGTGTGATTTATTTTATTTTATTTTGTGTGTGTTATTTTGACAACTGTCGTACCTCCCAACTTTATACGTTTCAAAAATTTTATTTAGTTTTGATCAAAAAAAATTTTGGTATAATTTTTTAAACAAAAAAAAAACATTATTACTAATACCAGCTAATTTTTGTTCTTTTTGTTTATTTTTTTTGGTATTCAAAAATATTTTTGTATAGTTTTTGAAAAATGTTCTTTTAGTGCCAACACATCTAGGGTCTCAATTTTTTATTTTATAACAGCATATCATTTTTGACTCATAGATCTTCAGAGCTTGTGCGTCAAACAGCCGAGTCTAGAAAACTTAGTTTTCAGATAGCCGCGCCTAGAGAACCTGATTACCTAGATTCCGCATCTATAGATCCACTCTGGTGCCAACTTGTGTTTATATTTAAAATGTTCTCAATGGACCTAAAATTAACCCGATATTCAACAATTTCCGTGTTTCCGTCAAATGAAATAAATATTATTTGTCTCCGTGAGAAACCAAAGTGAACATCTCAAATTTCAAAATAATCCCATCTTACTCTAATAAATTCTTTGAATTTCTTATTTCTCCTCAAAAATGTCAACTTTGTTCTCTTGGGACCTTTTTGAACATATCAATTGCGCAATCTTTTATGGGTATTTCTTGGGTGTTTTTGTTGGATGGACACTGGATACCAGAATGAAAAATTGGAGAAAAGATGTTATCGGAATGTTTTTTCGTGGACTCTTACTAGTATTTGTTTTGTTGTTAGATAATATTTGATACTAGAAAAAAAGGGCAGAAAAATGATTGATGATTTGAAGGTTCTGTGGGAGAACTTTTTTTTTTGATTATTTTAAAAAGAAGATTTTTTTGTATTTTTTGAAGAAATTTTTGGGAATTTTTTGAAGGTTTCATGAAACACTTATTTAATAGAATTCCAAAAAACACCATCTATCAGAATTAGAGCTTGTGCAAATAAATTATCCCGAATTTCGTAGATCAGTTCAAAATGTGCATCAAATTTTTCCCACCTTCAGATCCAAGCTCCGCCCATTTTTCACGGCAAACTCCACCCTCTCCCATCTATTTTTATTTATTTTCTGAACAGTAGCGCTCGCGCGCTGCGCTCACACCAAGAATTAAGCCCCGCCCACATTTTTTGGGTGTTCTTCTTTAGATATTCCCTTCCTCCTTTTTTTCTTCTTTTTTTGTCTATTGCTTCCCATTTGTTGTTCTCGCCCAATTTTTCACATTTAATCGTTTTGAAAGCTCGGAAAATTCCAATTTACTTGGCATTTTTTTGTGGCCCAAAACCACGTGAATTGGAGTTTGTATAGATTGGAGCGGGGATGAGTTTTGTATGTTTTTAATTCACGAAAATTTGAACTTATTTCATTGATTTTTTTGCTGAAATTCTGAACTTTCTCAAGATTTTTCTCATTCTCACTCAATTATTTGTATAGATTCCGATCTTAGTTTTCAAAAATTATTAAATTTTTCGGCCTTCAAAACCGGCAAAAACTCACATATTTTTCTGCTAGAAGATATTTCTGAACCTGATACTTTCAAATTCAAATTTTCTTTCGCGTTCAAGTTTTTCAAGTATTTATTTTTCTCTTCCTCCACACTTACTCAAACACATATTTTGATTGTTATGAATATATAATAATTGTGTCAAAAATGTTCTTGCGCATGTAAATACTATACAAATTTATGTATGAGTAAACAATTTTCCCAATATGTTGACTTTTCTAGAGAGTAATTTGATATTTTTGGCCCCCGCCACCCAGAAAAATCCAGGTTTCTTCTCCTTTTTTGCATGTGCTATTTTTGATGAGCTGAAACGAAAAAATAAGCAAAAAAAACTTGTCAAGAATCTCACACTTACTGAATTTTTAATGAGAGCAAGCAATGTGAGAAGATTTTTTTGTGTAACATGAAAAAATTGTCGTGTTTTTTTAGTTTCATTTTTTATTTTATTATTTTTACAATTTTTACATCTTTAATACTGAAGTTGACGCTGAATGTTCAATTCTAGGTTTTGAAGTTTATCAGAGCCGCTCCTTGAGAACTTCTATGACAAGGAGCTGAGCCTATGAAATTCAATTGTTAAGGATCAGCGCCTAGAGAGCCTAGTCGTAAAGTGGCAGCGCCTAGACATTTTTTTACTCTAAGAATTCCAGTTTGGTTGTTTTTTGAAGTCCCCAATTTTCTCTCCCCAAAATTTTGTCGAAAAGTCAATCCGTAACATAAATATAATATTCGAAAATAATCTGTATAAACATATAAATATATATCAAAATAAATATGTGACTTTTAGGGTCAATATTATTATTATTAGTTAGGCTAACTAGATATCGAGGCAGACAGGCAAACCTTGAAAGAAAATGTGCCGACAATTTTTTTCGACTGTTGCATAAAATAAATGTGTATGCGTATGTACAAATATATCGTATATCATTTTGGAAAATTTCTTTTTGTTGCGCGGCACGACTATTTTATGGTTTTATGGGCCTTTATTTTTTGGCGCCAAATTTTGTACAAAAAATTAGAGTTTTACATTTGAGTTCTGAATAGTTTTCCAAATTTTAGATTTTTGGAAACTATTATTAACATTTGAGACTTCGGAACTTTCTACGATTTTATTTTGTTGAAACTTGAATTTAAAAGTTTTTCATTAGCCCATTTACATATATTTCCCGCGAAATTTTGTAAACTTCCCAAAATTCAGGTAATTAATTTCAATTATTTATAAATCCCCCCAAAATCGCATAATAATTATATAATTAGTCTAAATTTCCTTTTTCCCCAAAACTTTGTTGACCCAAATCAAATTCAAACAAAAATAGTACAACTTTTTCTCTTTTCTTTCTGATTGCCTTCAGCTTTTTGAATTCATCAATTTGGTTAGGTTTTCAAGTACCCCAACTGGCTTCCCCTACCCACTAAGAATTTGGTGGCTAATTGGTGAATTTTGTTGATGCTGGTGCACAATTGCGCAACAAGTTAAATTTTGAGAGAGAATTTAGTTTATTTTGGTGGGGGATTGGAAGAATTTAGATTTGATTTACAGTTGAAGAAGATTTTGTAATTGGTGGATATTTTGGTTTTGGTGGAGAATCAAAGTGTAATTTTGTTGATTTCTTAATTTGATGAGCTTCAATACCACGCCAAAAATAATAATTATATTTTATTTTTGGCGTGGTATTGAAGATTAAGAGGTTTTGAAGGTTTCGAAATCCACGTGAAAACCTTGAATCTCGAAAAATTTCAAAAGTTCCAAAGAAAACCAAAATCATAAATCATTTTTGAAACTTATGTTTAGTTGAAAACTTTTCAGCTTTACCTCTCTAAAGTTTGTATTTTCACCTCAACAATCTCCAATTTTTTCAGACATGCGCAAGCATTTTCTCAAATCTCCGGTGGCTCAACGCGTCGCCGAAGGAACCACTCTACAATTGCCGTGCCAATCACCGGAATCCGATCCCAAATCTCAGGTACCTCCATTTTTCTCATTTCAAAGAACTTTTTATTGCCAAAAAAGTTGTAAAATGCACCAATTTGCTCGGGACATAAAAAACACATGTTTTTTAGATGTAAAAATTTTATCATTTTTTTTTCTATTTTTCGAAAAAATCTTTTGTTCAGAGAACGAAAAGATTCGCCACAGGTGTTCAAAATTGCGACATATGTGGAAACAGAAAAAAGAGGGACAAGACAGGGAAAGAAAATGAATAAGAATAAGTAGATTATAATCAGACATTGGAAAACAATAATGTTATATAATTGGAGCATGTGTCACTTTTTTTGAGGCGGGGGACAACAGTTTTTGACAAGTGTGACATTTTTGTAGATCAAAAATAAAAGATTTTTAGGAATTGCTCATATTCCTAGAAAAGGATTGCTCATATTAATTCCCCCAAAGTCTGTTTTTTTCAGCTCACATGGTACAAAGATGGTCAAATTGTTGCCGCAGATTCAAATATTATCCTTGCTTCTGATGGTAGCCTAATCCTTTCCGCAGCTCGACTTTCCGATTCTGGAACTTATTCCTGCGAAGCCACAAATATTGCGAATTCTCGACGAACCGATGGTGTTGATGTGCAGATTTATGGTAAGTTCACACCTTATATTTCTTCTTCTTTTTTTTTTTCAAAAAAAAAGTTCCTAAACAAAAAACTGCTGCCGTTTTTTTGAATAGCCTATGAATTAGTCACACCCCATCACACGCACTTTTGTCTTTTATTCTTTTTTTGCGACCTGGTGGCGGCATTTTTAGGGAGAAACAGAAACATAAAAGATAGAAGGGTTGGTTACGTAATCTGTGCTGCCGCGTGCAACTTTTTATTGGCTCGCCTTGTTTTGATATTAATTTTGTGGATGTTTGATGGGAAAGGACCTAGGATGAGTTCGAAAATAAAAAAAATGAAACGTGACTTGTGACGTGGCAATTTAGTGAAATTTATTAATTTTTATTTCAAATTTTTTATAGTTAAAAATTTCATTTTTTTTCCCGAAATGAAATCAAATTCACTTGAAAACCACTTGACTTTACTTTTTAGTTCTTTTCCGTTTTTCTTCTTCCGAAAAATAGGAATGTTTCGAAATTTTGAAGCAATTCATCAAATGAGCCGAGATGGAGCAAGTTCCATTCTTATCTATGAATTTGATCTTTTGAGTATGCAAATTGGGCAAAAATAATAAATCCTCTTGGCGTTTTTTGATGGGTGACTTTTAATGGTGGCGCAATGACCGAAAACATTCCAGGGGTGCATTTTAGGAATTGAATAATTGGGAACAACATCGTAATTCTACAGTAATCTGGAAATAAAAAATGTTCAAAATTTTTCAATTAAAATCTTAATGAATTTTTTTTCAGTTGACGGTGGTTGGTCTGAATGGACTCCGTGGATTGGCACTTGCCACGTGGATTGTGCTCTTCTACGGCAACACGCTCATCGAATTCGCGATCCTCACGATGTTCTTCCACATCAACGACGAACTCGAACTTGCAATAATCCAGCTCCTTTAAATGGTGGAATGTATTGTAAAGGAGATGAAGAATCAACAAGAAATTGTAAAATTTCGTGCAAACTCGATGGTGGATGGTCGAGTTGGTCTGAATGGTCCGCTTGCAGCTCAAGTTGTCAACAATTCCGAACAAGGACTTGCACAGTTCCGCCGCCAATGAATGGAGGACAAACGTGTTTTGGAAATGATATTTTGATTGAAGAATGTCCCGCACAATCTTGTAATCCATTATTGAACTCGAACTCGAATTCGAATTCGAACAATGATTTTGAGAGATATGTCATCAGTGACACTGCTGTTTATGGATCTGTTGCATCGATTTTGATTGTTGCCACGTTTATTTTAGCAATTTTTGGAATATTTTTCTGCAGAAAATCTGATAAAACACAAAAACCGAAGAGCAAGAAAAATAGTAGAGAAGTTTATTATTCGGAACCACCAAGAAGAATCAATGGACCACCTTATTATGAAGTTTCTGGAACTGCACCACTTTTGATTCATCATAGTAATACAACAATGAGAAGTGCGAAATCAGCATTCAGTGGATATTCTTCAACAAGAAATGCTGGAAGTCGAGCAGCTCTTCTTCAAGAATGTCATTCTTCAAGTAGTTCTGGAAAACGAACAATTCTTCGAACAAATAGTTCAAATTGTTCAGCTTCTGACGATGATAATTATGCAACTTTATATGATTATATGGAAGATCGAAGTGTATTAGGACTCGACACGTCACAATCTATTGTTGCTGGACAAATTGATTCACGTGGTGCTAAACTATATCTTCCAAAATCTGGTGCTAGATTGGTTGTACCTGAGTTAGCTGTCGAAAATGAGCATATGTTATATCTTGCGGTTTCAGATACTTTATCAGATCAACCAAGTTTACCAAGTGAGTTAGATTTTTGAAGCAGAAAAATGAGCCTAGAGTAAATCCACTTGAAAACCACTTGACTTTATTTTACTTTGCTGTAGTTCCGCTCCAAAAAAGGGAGTGTTTCGAAATTTTTTGGAGCCAAAAAGGAAGACTATCTAAGATTTTGATCTTTTCGAGTGAAATGCAAATTGGGGAAAAATAATAAATGACTTTTTTAATGGGTTGCGCAACAATTGAAGTGTTGGCCTAAATTTGGCTCTAAAAAAATGAATTACAATTTTTTTAGTGAATGAATCTGCACTCTCACCAGTTGTTGTAATTGGTCAATGTGATGTAAATGGTCCAATCGATAATAATATTCTTCGTCGACCAGTTGTTGTATCATTCCGTCATTGTGCTTCAACATTTCCACGTGATAATTGGCAATTTGCATTATATTCGGATGAAGGAAATGGTTGGCAGAAAGTTGTCACAATAGGCGAAGAAAATTTGAACACCAATGTTTTTGTGCAATTCGAACAACCTGGAAAATTCGGAGATGGATTTGGATGGTGTCATGTTATGACTTATTCACTTTCAAGGATCATGCTTGCCGGACATCCACGTAGAAACTCTTTGTCTGCTTCGAAACGAGTTCATCTTGCAATTTATGGGCCAATGGATTTGGCAGCTTATCGAAGACCTTTTGAACTTCGAGTTTATTGTGTTCCTGAAACTGGCGCAGCAATGGAAAGTGTGTGGAAACAGGAAGAGAATTCGAAACTTCTTATGGAATCCAGTGATTTTATATTGAATGAGAAAGGCAATCTTTGTATTTGCATGGAAGATTTGCAACCTGGATATATTTCTGAAGGTCCTGAAGTTGTTGAGATCTCAGAAACACAACATCGATGGGTTGCGCAGAATGGATTACATTGTTCGTTGAAGTTTAGACCAGAAAATCCGAGTGAAAACTTCAATACGAGAGTTATTGTATATCAGAAATGTAGTGCGACTGAACCGATGATTTTGAATGTTTCAACAGATGAAGAAATTTATCGAGAAGCAGATACAGATGGAAAAATGAATATGAACTTCAATTTGCCAGTTAATGTGAAAGATGAATTAGCAATGTTGTTAGATATGCCAAATGAATTGAAAGATTGGAGAGGTTTAGCCAAGAAATTGCACTATGATAGATATTTACAGGTAAGATTTGAAAATAAAACCCATAAAACATTTTTTTATAATTTATTCAGTCATATCTTTCAGTTCTTTGCTTCATTCCCTGATTGTTCTCCAACATCTCTACTTCTTGATTTATGGGAAGCGAGTTCATTTGGATCTGCTCGATCGGTTCCTGATCTTCTTCAAACTCTTCGTGTTATGGGTCGACCCGATGCTGTCATTATTCTTGAACGTTTCCTTTCTCAATATCCGCCCATTTTTTCACCATAATACGGGTTTTTTTTTTTGGAAAATTGCTTTGTTAGATTTTTTGTTTTGAACAATATTGTCTGTGTCACGCCTTTTTAACTTGCAAATTTGAAGAGAAACTGAGAAAAAGACAAATCGAACTAAAAATTTTTTCGCGCTGCAATACCAGTCAAAAATATATTCATTTTCCATTTTTAAAAACTTTTTCTTACGGTTTTTCTTCTTCAATTCCGTATTTTTTGATCTATTTTTACGCGCGACAAGCAGAAAAAGGCGAGAGAAACAACCGAAAAAGTGAAAAAAAATGGAAAATGAATTAATTTTTGACTGGTATTGCAGCGCGAAAAAAAATTTGCAGTTCGATTTGTCTTTTTCTCAGTTTCTCTTCAAATTTGCAAATTTTCCTTGTTTCAAAATTGCGTGGTGTGCTCTTTTTGAATACCGGTAACTTAATGTTTTCTTGGAAAGATTGTATATATTTTTTAAAAATGAATTTTTTATCTGGTCAGATTGTTAATTTGTTCTGTAAAACGAGATACTTATTCACACTTTCGTCATTTAGCTTCGAAGAAATAAAACAATTTTGAATTTTTTTAAAAAATAAAACAAACATGGCCGAGTCTTTGACATTCCTCGGCCACTAGTCGTGGCATTCTCTCGTACAAAACATTTGTGTTTTTCATTTTTTTCTCACCTTCGAAATGCTTGTTTTGACGACGGAAAACGTTCTAAGATTGGTCAAATTTATCCTGAACGAAGAAGTGAGTGTTTTTTTTACTCATCTGATACCCATATTTCACTCTATTCATTCAGAAAATTCCTGATATTTCGACAGAAGGATTGGAAGATTCGGATGGATTGCAAGATTATGATTTGAACAAGTTATTGAAATCGATTTATGACAAAGTAAAACGAATTGGGGAATTTTACGATTCTGTTGATGTTTTGAAAGACGACATTGCGATTTTAGAAAAAGTCCCAGGCCTTCTTCGATTGATAGATTCGGGAAGAATAACTGAAAACTATTTGGAAACCGTTCTTCCGGATGTTTTGATTCATGAAAACAAGCAAGAATTCATGTCAAAGTTTGATTTTACGATGTATTTTCGCAATTTTCTCGACGATATGGATATAACAAGTCTTGCCAAGTTGTTTGTCAAAACCTGGTTTATCAGCAAATTGAATCGAAGTGAGAATGTTTATGAAATAATTCCATTCTCTATTTGGGAAGATGTTCTGAATTCACTCGAAAATAATGGTGTCGCTCGTATGGTCCCTGAGAAGATTGAGTTCAAACATTTTTTGTGTCTTCGTGAATATTTTGATCATGATCCCAAAACTTTTGATGATTTCGTGAGAACACATTTCACAGAAATCTGTCAGGTAAACTATTTATTGTTATAAAAATATCAATAACATTTATTTGCAGAGAAGACCAATCGTGAAAAACCAAAAATTTTATCAACATTCTTATGGAAATGCTATCACCCACCTGGAAACTATTCGGATTACTTATTCAAAATTCACCGAAATTTTCAATCCTTTTCCTCCCTCAATTACATCTGTTCCGTCTAAAAATCGTTTGCCAATTCTTCGAATATTCGGAATTACACTTGGAGGAGGTTACATTAATTTAAAGTAAAGTTTTCTGAACTTGAAGTATTAGTATTCAACAAAATCAAAAATTACAGATCAGAATTGTTTATTTTCACAAAAGAGCTTGAGAATGCTTTAAAAATTTTGTTGGGAAAAGAAGTTTGTTTGCAAGATGAAGCTAAATGCGAAGAATATAAAAAACATGGAATACTTCTAACGACCAGTTTTGAAAAATATAAAAATATTATCAAATCATTTGGAGTTAAAGAGGAGGATTTTATTGTGAGTGAATAGATTTAAAGAAAGTAATAATTGGAAAATTCCAGATATTTAACGCATGCGCCGAAACAGCATCCAATATGATATGTGTTCCCATAACTTCTTCTTATGGAACACATTGTAAGCCATCAGCAATGGCTTACAAAGAAATAATCGATTATCTCGTAAATCATTTACAAATATTTCAATATTGTACAGCATCAGACTTTCATATAACGTTATACTGGATTTTTTCAAATGTGGACCTTCTGAATATTATGCAAAATATGGTATGTTTATATTATAGTTTCATTATGGGGAAAATTGAAGACATGTTGTTTCTTTTCTAGAGTAATTGGACAATGATTGAATGTTGGAAAATCGAGAAAATCAAAAAAGCTGCGAAAGATGAGCTGGAAAAATATAAAACTACTTCCAAACGATATCAAGTTCCACTTCAAAAATCATACACAAAATCTGAGGCGATGAAACATGTTAAAAACTTGCTCCATCCTATGACATTCAATTCAGAAGTGTTTCGATTGTGTTTTGCTGCGATGTCGGAAATTGAAAAATCAAAGACCACATTGAAAGATTTATATTGGATGTATAGTTCGTGTTTCGAGAAAAGCACTCTTCAATTTTGGCAAGATGTAATTCACACCCAACATTTTACAGTTTTAAAAAAGTTTGTATTCCAGAGTTCTTGGAAACAAATAATGAAACGAAAACCCGAAAATCAGAAAATTGAATTCGAATCAATGAAAAATGTTTCCGCTCCAAAACTGAATACTGCATTTCCATCAACGAAGAAAGGATTTTTGAATCCCAAGAAAACTGATATTTTTGAGGAGGTGGCGAGAAAAATTAGTGAAATTTCTTTGTCAGTTTTTTTCCTCATATTTTATTTCCAAAATTATATTTGTTTTTCAGCAAAACTCTTGCTTATTTTTCGAACACCGAATTTCAACCAATATCAGAATTCGAAAAACTATTGGAAAAACCAGATTTTCGTCAAGTTTTCAATGAGAAGAATTTTGAATATCTGAAGAATACGATATTTAAAGATAAAGAAAAAACGAAGAAATTGATGAAAAAATTAGAGGATTTATTCGAAATTGAAGAAAATGATGAAAAATTGATGATAAAAAAAAGAACAAGTTATAAAGTTGATCCAATGAAAATGAAAATAATCGAAGAAATTGAGGAAAATGAAAAAAAGAAGATTGAAATTGAGAAAGAAAATGAAAAAGAAAAAATGATGGAAAATATGAAAGTGGAAAATTTGGAAATGAAAAAGAATATAGAAGAACTTCGAAAACAATTGGAAAATATAAAAAATGAAGCGGAAAATGAACGAAAAATGTAGGTTTTTATTCATAGAAATGTATTTTCTCAAATAATTTTTTTTTTAGATTTCACGAGGAAATTTCTCTGAAAAATGGAGAAAATTTGAAAATCGCTGAAAATTTGGAAAATTCGAAAAAAGAATTGAAACAAGTTAGAAAAGAATTGAAAGAAACACGTGGAACATATTCGAAAATTGTTGAAGAAAATCAAAAAGAAATTGGAAATTTGAAGAAAGAAACTCGAAAAATGAAAGAAAATCAGGAAAATGAGAAGAAAAAGTATGAAAAAGAAATGAAATTGAAAGAGAAGGAAAACATGGAAATATCTGGAAAATTGCAAAGATTAGAAGAAAATTCGGAAAAATTGAATTCGAAGATCAAAAGTTTGGAAAAAGATTTGAGAAATGCGAAAAATTCGGCGAAAATTGAAATGGAAAACAATTTAAAAGTTATTGAAAGAAATATGAATGAAGCTGAAACATCAAAAAAATATTTGGAAAATGAAAAAGAAAATATGAAAAAACGATTGAAACAATTATTGGATGAAAAAGTTGAAGAAAATGGAAAGATTGAAGAATTATCAAAAGAAAACAAGAAACTTCGAGAAAAACTTGCGAACAATTCGGAAAAAATGAAAAAATTCGAAGATTGGTTTGAAAATGGAATCGACAAAATGAGAAGAACTTCAAAAAATCAAGAAAAATTGAGGAAATATGAACGAATTTTGAAAATTGATTATGAAACAATTATTGATGAAATAAGTTCGAAATTAAATGAACTTATTCGAAAATTCCCTGAAAATTCCGAAATTTTGAGCGCGAAAAATGAAATCGAAAAATTTGATGAAAATTTAGAGAATTATATGGAAAAAATTCGAGAAGAAATTAGAAAAATTGAAAGAAATCTAGAAGGAGAATATGAAGAAAATGAAGATATTCAAGAATTTCCAAATCAAGAATTTATGCAAAAATATCAAGAATGGGTCGAAAAATACTTGTGAATAGTTTGTTGCTGTTATTTTTGCTTGTTAAATATTTGTTTTTTTGAAATTTAAAAAAAAATTTTTATCTGATATTGGAAAACTTATTCAAATCACTGAATAATTTCATGAAATTGTTTATTTTCACATCAATTTATCTAAATAGTTCGGCGTGTTTTACAAATATTGGATTCTTATCAGTTTTCAATTCGACAACATGTCTTAACAAGTTTTTCTTCTCCACCAAATCCACAGTCAATCTGAAAACTCTTAAAGTGGGCTTATGTTGAAATAGAATAAAAAAATCAGTTAAATGATATCTTGGATTATAATATGCTCCCCATGGTTCATTTTTTTCCAAAAATTCATAAATAAACCAATGTCGATCTTTGATTTCACCATCCAAACTCGTGAAAGTGAAGTTATCATGCATTTGGTATTTGAAAACCATGTCTCCTTTAGAATGAGAAAATTCATATGTCCAATTATACATGATGTCATAATATTCTTCTTTAAGAGCCGGAGAATCACATTTTAAAAGTAGTTTTTCAGAAAATACCAAATATTCGCCTTCAATTTTTTTTGCTGTCAATTCTTTCTTCACTTCTTCATTTATTTGATAAATAAATCTTATAACATCATGTTTTTTATCATGAGAAATATTGTAGAATTTCGCTAATTTCTTATCGACTTTAACAAATTCTCGATTTTTCATGTGTTTCAGAAAATCTTGTTTTTTCACATTTTCTTTAGTTCCATCACAATGTATCATTAAATTGTCATCTGTTATTCCATTTTCCTCAGCTTCATAATTTTTCACAATTTTTGAAACTTCATTTTTTGCTGACATTTTTTCCATAGCTGAGCAACTGTAATGTGTTTCAGATACAATTTGATAACTCGAAGTATGTTTAATATACTTCAAAGTGTAACCAATATTTATATTGTCATTGTAAATAACTGAAAATGTGAAAATTTTATCAGTATGTGTGAGATTTTGCAATACTTCAGCATCCATCATTATTCCATCGAATTCATTGTTTTTCACATTATTCAGTGTTTGCGTTTTATTTAGAGTTTCATCACAAGTTTTTAAAAAATCCGAAGCTTTATCAGTTAACATTTCTGTGTTACTCTTTTTTATAGGACGCTCATCTCCTTTTTCAATTTTTTTTCCACTTTTCTGACCTGAGAAATATTTGTTTTTCAAATAAATCTATGCAAACCTACAAATTACTGTGGATATCAGAATAACGAAAATAAAAAAAGTTGATTTATTCATGAGTTTACGAAAATAAAAATGAATCGAATGTTTGACTGTTTCTATGTGATTTTCAATTTTATATTGTCTAGACTTTCTAACCGAAAATCTGGCAAAAAAAACACATAAGCACTGTTATTTGGGAATTGTGCAAAAGGTCCGACAGTAGGAAAATTCCTGATTGATTGATTGAAAATTAGTAAAACAAATTTTATTAATAAAAACATACAAATAATAAGTTACATCAACAATAAACTATTCACAAGTATTCTTCGACCCATTTTTGATATTTTTGCATAAATTCTTGATTTGGAAATTCTTGAATATCTTCATTTTCTTCATATTCTCCTTCTAGATTTCTTTCAATTTTTCTAATTTCTTCTCGAATATTTTCCATATAATTCTCTAAATTTTCATCAAATTCTTCGATTTCATTTCTCGCACATAAAAATTCGGAATTTTCAGGGAATTTTCGAATAAGTTCATTTAATTTCGAACTTATTTCATCTATAATTGTTTCATAATCAATTTTCAAAATTCGTTCATATTTCCTCAATTTTTTCTTGATTTTTTGAAGTTCTTCTCATTTTGTCGATTCCATTTTCAAACCAATCTTCGAATTTTTTCATTTTTTCCGAATTGTTCGCAAGTTTTTCTCGAAGTTTCTTGTTTTCTTTTGATAATTCTTCAATCTTTCCATTTTCTTCAACTTTTTCATCCAATAATTGTTTCAATCGTTTTTTCATATTTTCTTTTTCATTTTCCAAATATTTTTTTGATGTTTCAGCTTCATTCATATTTCTTTCAATAACTTTTAAATTGTTTTCCATTTCAATTTTCGCCGAATTTTTCGCATTTCTCAAATCTTTTTCCAAACTTTTGATCTTCGAATTCAATTTTTCCGAATTTTCTTCTAATCTTTGCAATTTTCCAGATATTTCCATGTTTTCCTTCTCTTTCAATTTCATTTCTTTTTCATACTTTTTCTTCTCATTTTCCTGATTTTCTTTCATTTTTCGAGTTTCTTTCTTCAAATTTCCAATTTCTTTTTGATTTTCTTCAACAATTTTCGAATATGTTCCACGTGTTTCTTTCAATTCTTTTCTAACTTGTTTCAATTCTTTTTTCGAATTTTCCAAATTTTCAGCGATTTTCAAATTTTCTCCATTTTTCAGAGAAATTTCCTCGTGAAATCTAAAAAAAAAATTATTTGAGAAAATACATTTCTATGAATAAAAACCTACATTTTTCGTTCATTTTCCGCTTCATTTTTTATATTTTCCAATTGTTTTCGAAGTTCTTCTATATTCTTTTTCATTTCCAAATTTTCCACTTTCATATTTTCCATCATTTTTTCTTTTTCATTTTCTTTCTCAATTTCAATCTTCTTTTTTTCATTTTCCTCAATTTCTTCGATTATTTTCATTTTCATTGGATCAACTTTATAACTTGTTCTTTTTTTTATCATCAATTTTTCATCATTTTCTTCAATTTCGAATAAATCCTCTAATTTTTTCATCAATTTCTTCGTTTTTTCTTTATTTTTGAATATCGTATTCTTCAGATATTCAAAATTCTTCTCATTGAAAACTTGACAAAAATCTGGTTTTTCCAATAGTTTTTCGAATTCTGATATTGGTTGAAATTCGGTGTTCGAAAAATAAGCAAGAGTTTTGCTGAAAAACAAATAAAAGTTTGGAAATAAAATATGAGGAAAAAACTGACAAAGAAATTTCACTAATTTTTCTCGCCACCTCCTCAAAAATATCAGTTTTCTTGGGATTCAAGAATCCTTTTTTCATTGCCGCGAATTCATTATTTGGTTTTGGAGCAGATGACTGTGCAATTGCAACTTTTACAGGTGATTCGGGACTTTTTTTGATAAACTTTTCCAGGCCAATGTTTTTATCATAAACTTGTTTATCATAAGCCAATTTGATATATTCAACTTGATTCATAACTTCAATTTGTACACATGCTTTGTATAATTTGAGAATACCATTTCTCGAATTTTTCGTTTTTTCATCTCTGAATTCATATTGAACTTCAAAATTTAGTTTATCGAATTTTAGAGGTTTCATCATTTTTTGAATATATTCCATAACTTCTTTCTTTTCGTATGAAGATTTTTGTGGAATTTCAAACATTGGCACATTCGATTTATATTTCTGAAGTTCATTTCTAGCTTTTTCAATCATTTCATCAATTCTCCACACTTCAATTGCATATAATTTGTCAGAGACAAAGAAAAAATCTTTGAGATTGACTTCAATCCATTTTATTACTTTTGGAAAATCCGATTGTTTGATATTTTCATATAACTGCATATTTTGAACAGTATGAAATATAACATCTTGCATTGCATCAGTAGCCAATTTGACAAATGTTCCATAAATTGATATAAATGGAATCGTTGTGAGAAATGAGGTGAGGTTGGTTGCCAAATTCATGATCTAAAAAAAAGTATAAATTTTCAATCCATAATTTGAAACAATCTTACACTTATTTCACTTCTTGAAATTTGATAAGTTTTCAGAATTTCTTGGAATTCTTTCTCACTCATTAAATGAACAACTCCAAGTTTTCTCTCTTCTTCCGATTCAATAACAATCTCAATATTTGAATTCTCCCGCAACATTTTCATACAATCCAAAACTTCTTTCACAAAATATACTTTTTCATGAACTTCATGAGAGGCATCGGGAATCCAAAAACATCGAACAGTTGGTAGACGATATTTAGATGGTTTTGTAAATGGTTCAAATACCTCGATAAAATCTTTATGAACCTTCAATGAAGTTTCGATGCATCCCACGATATCCATATATGATTTTCTGTACAATTGTTGATTTTGATGAATCGGATAAGTCTGAAAATTGTTGATAAAATGAATAAATGAATAAAAAAAAAGAAATTTACATCAAGAATTTCTTTGAATTGTGTAGTCATTATATGATCCACCACAGCTTTTCGATCTCCGAAATATTTGCGAAGTTCATAAAAATCTTTCTCTCGAATGATCAAATTGACATCTCGTGTGATATTCGTATGTTGAACTGCATATTCAATAGAACTCCCAACCGAATGAAGAACCAATTCATAACTATTATTCAACTTCCGATAAATTTGTTGAACAAAACAATCGATCCAAAAATTGTAAAATGTTCTTGTTATTACATTCAGATTTGCATTATCAAAAGCATTGAAAAACATCATTGTTATATCGTTTTTCGACACAATTCTTTGGTCTTTCTCATTGACAAACATAACAGCTTCTCCACTCGCTTGGAAATATTTTATATTTCCAGGTTTATCATAACCATATCGATATAGTTCAGGAATTTCGCGAATTTTCTCGAGATCCAGTTTGAAATCATCGAATCGATCGTAGAATTCTTTAATTCTTTCTGATTTCTTGAACAATATGTTCAATAATTTGTTCAGTCTTGGTTCATCCAAAATTTCCGGATTTTCGAATTCTTCGAGTTCGCTTGTTGAAAGTTGTGGAACAATCTGGAAATAAAACAAAAACATTAATATTTATTCCTATGTTTTAATTGAAAAGACTTACACCTTCGCGAAGAACAATATTGACACATTTGACGACTTGTTCAACTGTCCAATCGGACATTTTTTTCGAAAACTCAGAGAAGTTGGACGATTAATCGCCTAGTAACTTGAATTAGCTGCTGGCTGACCGATTAATCGCCTGTGTTAATTTAGTTCAGGCGATTAATCGTAAGTTCACTTTACTCGGCGCACAGTGTCCACAAAACGACGTTTCTGCGTCTCTTTTCGAAAAATCTCTCGTTTCGGTAGAGCGCGTTTGCTCGTTTGTCTTTTTTCAATGGAAAAATCGAATTTTTTGCCGATTTTTCAACTTTTTTCTTGTTTTTACTCATTGTCATTGTTGTTTTTGCAAATTTTAATGAACGATTTCTTATTCTATGAATATCAGAGAACATTTTAATGTATAGATCGTTTCATAAAGTAACGCCATAATGCCGTTCAAAAATTTTAAAGATTTTTGTTCGTTTTTCAGGTTTTTTTGGGTGTCACCAAAAAGTGAAGAATACTCATTTTTCGAACTTTTTGGTATACGAGGACCACATTTGGGATGAAATGGGATATATTTGGACCACTTCTAACGACGACAGATTTATTTTCATATGAATCGATGGATGTTACCAGTGGTGCTGTTGAACTGTTGTCTGATGCTTGTTTGGATATAAAATGATTCGATTATGATGGGAGAGAAGCAAATTAAGCTTTTCGTAGGTTTTTTGCTTCAGAAATTTCATAATAACGGTATTTATTACGGTATTATTGCAGGTTCACGCTGGTCATCGCTACTATTGGACATTTACTGGTTCAAAAAATATGTAACTGCTCGTGATATTTGATTTTTGACAAAATCGTAATCGGATTGGATGTATCTGATCGTAATTTCGAATCAACCACACATTTTTTCAATGAGGGACATTGCGCTAAACTCGCATTGGAGGATCTGGCTTTCCAACACCAAAATCAGGAAATTTGTTATTCAGAGTACTAGAGGACAGTGAAAACATCGAGAACACACATGAAAATCCACTTGACGATGTATATGTTGGTACTATGAAGAAAATAGCGGTCGTTGGAGATGGTTGTATATGTTTGATGGCTCAAAAGATGATCAATTGAGAGGAACTCATATTTTAACAGTAACATCCGACTCTTCTCATTGCTAAATTCAAATTTTGGAGCTTGGTAGAGATTTCACGATTTTTTTTCTGAAGTTGACAGGAAAAGTTGAGTTTGAAAGGAAGAATGATGTTCTTTATTGGCTAAAATTATCGATTTGTGATATTCGGAGCTCTATAACTCAGCTAAGCAGTTCATTCGGATCCTGACAATCTTTTTGTTGTATATTTTCATATGGTCTTTCTGCTGATGTTAAGTTTCAGCCGGTTTTTCAAAAATGTTTTTGTAAGACACGACTTTCTATTATTTATAAATAAAGATGTATTTAAATAGTTCGTTTTTTGTTACATAAAACTTTATCATTTAAATTTTTCAATTTTTCACACTTGAATTCAGGTATTTCTTATTTTTTAATAAAAAAAACGCTCAAATAAAAGTGTTTTGCTAATTGCAAGAATTTTTAGGTTCGAAACTTCTCATTCCTAGCATCAAATAAACTGGTATACTTTGATTCACGTAATTCCTGGCCTCTAGAAGTAAATTTAGCAAAAATTTGGTTAAATTTCAGCTAAAATACTTCATGAAAAACATATAAGTTTTTCTTTCGATTTTATAGCCTTCAAAATTTCAAAAATGAATCAAAATGTTATTTCTCTGCCTTCCTTTCATCCTCCTCTACTCGCTCATATACCATTTACCCGTGAATTTCTCGAATTTTTTGAAAATTTTCGAAAAAATTCAAAAAAATTGAAAAAAAAATGAGAGAGTGTTGTTTGCTGTAGAGACGCAGACAACGAGAGAGCGCACACACCTCGCGTCGTCCTGTGGATATTGTGCTCGGCGATTAATCGTACTGTTCGTTTTTCAGCGAAGGAAACGCGCTCCAACTACATACCGTAGTTTGTTTTTTTTGCCGACCCAATTTTTTTCATTTTTTTTTCCGTTTTTCTTGTTTTTTCTCCGTTTTTCACCAAAAAAAAAAGCAATTTTGTAATTTTTCTGCTTTCAGAAGTTGGCAAAACTCAAATTATACTTATCTTCCAAGTTTGCCCAAACAAAATGGTTTTTGGGAGCGATTTATGGATTTTTTCGATGAAATTCGATGTTTCGATCGAAAATGTGTTATAAAATCGATTTTTGGAGTGATTTGAAGTCGCAGTTCAATTCAAATCGAAGGTGAGTTGTTTAGTTATGTATTTTCTATGACAATGATGCAATTTTCAGGTTCTTGATTGAAAATTGGTGATTTTTGCGGTTTTCATCGCAATTTTGAAATGAATGGCGATATGTGATGGATAATTTGCTCAAAAATGCCTCAAGTCAATAAATTTGCTATTCAAATGAAGAAAGTGCACATTAGTGACGAAGCAAACTACTTCTCATCAAGATTCATGCGAAAAAGTCATCGGTTCGCTCGGAGTTTTGATATAAACGATGAGGAAGTCGTGTTTTGGGTCGAAAATTGTGATTTTTCACTAATTTAATCTATTTTTTGATCAATTTTGTTGATAAACTGTTTAGTTCTTGATTTCCAACTAGTTATATATCATTTCCAACCGAAATCAGAAAATTTCAGGAAAATTTCACTTTTTCTATTATCATTTCTGTCCAAATGCACCAATTTTAAGTGAAAATGGTCAGGTAAAACCTTTTCAACTCAGTAGTTTCCACAATAACCAATTTCCTCATTTTTCAATTAGTAGAAATGCCTTTTTTCGCATGAAAAACAGTAAAAGAACAAAAATTATTGTTTGAATCGCCGCACAAAAATGCGTTGTTTATCAATGGGGCGCGTTTGGCCGCGTTTCCTTCGCTGGCGAACGGACAGTACAACTTGTCTGAGAATGAAAAAAATCCGAGAGAAATACACAAACACGTGGCCGAGCCCCGCGAGCGTTGTAAAAAAATTCGGTCACTATTAATTTTTCATTTCCTGCTTTCGTGAGCTAGGCTTCCCGGCCTGCCTGTTAGAGATAAAATTTTAAAGTCGACTTGAAAAACATGCATATTCTGTGGATAAAGTTTATGAGTAATTCAAAAACTAAGAAATTGAAACATATTTATTCAAATATTTTACAAAAGTACATAGTATTCAACAAATTATTCACAAGTATTTTTCGACCCATTCTTGATATTTTTGCATAAATTCTTGATTTGGAAATTCTTGAATATCTTCATTTTCTTCATATTCTCCTTCTAGATTTCTTTCAATTTTTCTAATTTCTTCTCGAATATTTTCCATATAATTCTCTAAATTTTCATCAAATTCTTCGATTTCATTTCTCGCACATAAAAATTCGGAATTTTCAGGGAATTTTCGAATAAGTTCATTTAATTTCGAACTTATTTCATCAATAATTGTTTCATAATCAATTTTCAAAATTCGTTCATATTTCCTCAATTTTTTCTCGATTTTTTGAAGTTCTTCTCATTTTTTCGATTCCATTTTCAAACCATTCTTCAAACTTTTTCATTTTTCTCGAATTATTCGCAAGTTTTTCTCGAAGTTTCTTGTTTTCTTTTGATAATTCTTCAATCTTTCCATTTTCTCCAACTTTTTCATCAAATAATTGTTCCAATTGATTTTTCAGATTTTTGTTTTCGTTTTCCAATTTTTGTGATGTTTCAGCAACTTTCAAATTATTTGCCGAATCAATTTTTCGAATTTCTCAAATCTTTTTCCAAATTTTTGATTATCGAATTCAATTTCTCCGAATTCTCCACAGATTTTTGTAGTTTTCCAGATATTTCCATATTTTCCTTCTCCCTCAATTTCAAACTTTTTTCATATTTGTTCTTCTCATTTTCTCGATTTTCTTTCATTTTTCGATTTTCTTCTTTCAATTTCTCAATATTTTTCCGACTTTCTTCTCTCAAATTCGAATATGTTCCTTGTAATCCTTTCAATTCCTTCTTCACTTCTTTCAATTCTTTTGTCGAAGATGTTTGTGCTTTCAATCTGCAACATTTTTGTCTTTTCGATTACAAAATTATATCAAAACTTACTCTTTTAATTCATTTTCTAACGATATTATAAATCTTTTTTTCTCAGAGTTTTTCCTGTTTATCCTTTCCCATTGCTGATCTTTCATCGTGATTTCTTTCTTAAATTCTTCAACAATTTGCGAACATTTTTCTTGTGTATTTTTCAATTCGTTGTTTACGTGTTTCAATTCTCGCTTCAAAATCGACAAATTTTCAGCGATTTTCAAATTTTCCTCATTTTTTCGAGAAATTTCTTTGTGAAATCTGGAATAAAAAAGTACTTTTTAAAAAATAAAAAATAAAAACCTACATTTTTCGTTTATTTTCGGCTTCATTTTTCATATTTTCAAGTTGTCTACGAAGATCTTCCATATTTTTTTTCAATTCCAAATTCTCTATTTTCATATTTTCTATCATTTCTTCTTTTTCTTTTTCTTTCTCAAATCGTTTTTTCATAATTTCTGATACATTATTTGACTGCCTCGATTCAGATGTTTGGAAATTGTAAAGCATTTCGAAATATTTATCAAAATCTTTTCCCACGATTTTCTCAATATGATTTTTCCGATGATAAACTTGCATGTCATGAGCCAAATGAAACACATTCAATGCATTCATGACTGAACATCTACAGCATGAATTATAAATCGAGTATATATCGCTTCTTTTAAAATTGACTTTTCCAGCACTTCTCAATCGATAATTTAGTTCAAAAACTTCAATATTGAAGCCAATAGATTTCATCATATTTTGAATATATTCCATAATTTCTTGTTTTTCGTATGAACTTTTTTCAGGAACTTCAAACATTGGCAAATTCGATTTATATTTCTGGAGTTCATTTCTAGCTTTTTCAATCATTATATCAATTCTCCATGTTTCAATTGCATATAATTTGTCAGAGACAAAGAAAAAATCTTTGAGATTGACTTCAATCCATTTTATCACTTTTGGAAAATCCGATTGTTTGATATTTTGGAATAATTGCATATTTTGACTTATATAACGTAGAACATCATCGAATGCATCTGTTGAAAGTTTGATGAATGTTCCATAACTTGAGATAAATGGTGTAGCAATTTTATTGAAAGAATATGATATTTCGATTTTGATAATCTGCGAAGAAATTATTATTTGTATGATCAATGTCAAATACACTTACTGTGAATTCATTTTTCGAAATTTCAAAATTTCTTAATATTTTCTTCAATTCTTCCTCATTCATTAAATACACAATTCCAAGTTTCCTCATTTCTTCCGTTTCAACAGTTATCCCAATATTCTGATTTTCCCGCAAGTTTTTCAAAACATTTAGAACTTCTTTGGTGAGATAAAAATTTCGAGGATTTTCTTCCCCAGAAAAACGAATCATAAAACATCGAATAATTGGTAGGCAATATTGAACATACGAAGTCGAAGAATTCGTAAACGATTTTGTTTCGTCATAATCTTTAGCCATTCTCAAGCCTCGCATCACACCCACAAGTCTATAAGCATTACATATTTTCCTTCTGGCAACAGCTTGTTGATTAACATTTTTGCGAGTCTATAAAATATCTGACGATTAGATATATAGTTTTCGGATTCAAAAGTTCTGAAAATAAAAACTTACGCCATCTCGGAGAACAATTTTCATACATTTTCCGAGTTGTCTTGCATCCTCTACTGCGTATGCCATTATTCTATATTTTTCACACCTCAAAAATTCAGATGAACATCTATGGACAACTTCTGCTATCTGAAAAAGCAATGAATCTTCCAACTAGATTTTTTTCAAACTGCAAAGAAAAATAAAAGACAGAGGTTAAACGTAGATCAAAAAATGACACAAATATTTTCTAGAAAATTTTCTAGAAACAAAAAAAATAAAAATAATAAATTCAACCGTACTTCAAAGGCGCATGCAGAAAAAACACAGGTTTTGCCACGATAGAAAACATTTCGGGTCTGGAAACGATTAATTGTTTTCCCAACCACACCAATATCTCTCACCAAGCATATTCAAGCTCTCTGCGTCTCTCATTTTTCTACACACTTTAGTTTTTGATGCACAAAAATGTGACGCTCATTTCTAAATATTGATCTCTCTTTTTTTATAAACAATTAATGAATATGAGGTTTTTTAGATTAGTACTGTATCTAAACTACAGTAATCTGTTTATTCAAAATGTTGAGTAACTTCGGTGCTGATAAGTGAGTTTCAATATTTCAAATTTTCAATATAAAAATGTTTTTTTCAGGAATTACGAAACCCAAAAAGACTACTTTGGCAATAAATGTTTGTATCATGTAACTGTATCTAAATTACAGTAATCTGTATCAGATTGTGCTTCAGGAACAGAATATGACGATTATTTATCGACCGGTCAAATTGAATAGCGTTTGTGACGCGTTATCAAGATACATTGGAAGTATAAAATTCATGGAGAAAATGAAAATTTGGAGAATGTTCCTGCATAAAGAACGACAGGATGCAATGCGTTTGCTGTTGATTTTATAAATGGTAAATATTATATTTATGCTGGAATCGTAATCACTATAAAGGAGCTATCAAATAACGAAACCCAAAAAGACTACTTTGGCAAAAATTGCATAACCGTGTGACTGTATCTAAACTACAGTAATCTATTTTTGAAAATTATTTTTGATGAAGAAGTACAACGGGATCTCTTGGATACAGGTGAGTTTATTTTTATGCAAAAAATTAATTTTTTTTAATTTTATGTTTATTCAGACTATTGTATCATATGCGAACCAGATCCCATTTGTATCATTCGTCGTAGAAATTTTATAAATTTGTGGTACAATGCGCACAATCAAAAAAGCGATACTCAAGATAAATTTGTATTGAGATGTATAATAAAATTGCTGAATTATAAATTAGTTATGTGTGTTTTTCAGTCATAAATCCCAGCTTATTTCATTGAAATAAATCCCGTTAGCAAAAAGAAAGATTTCTGGAAATGAAAAAAAGAAGAACACGTTTTCAACAAATTATTTATTATTTTTTGCAATAATCTCATGATTTTTATCCAAACGACACTTCGATCTCCATTCTGACCCAATTCCGATCTCGGTTGAACCTCCATGTGAGAATTTTCGAATTCATTGAATGTTAGCAGAAAAGTACTGTAGTCTAGATACAGTAATCTGAAAATTAGTAAGTTTTTGAGAAAAATAGAAGATAAAACTTACATTATGTGTCACTTTTTCCTTGAAAGTTTCAGAATTGAATTGTGATATATTCAAACTTTGATATCAGTTTTCCAAGCAGCTATGTTTTCGAACAATCTTTCCCATAAATTTTGACCGTGAATCCTTGGCTTTTGTGGATTTTCAAGCAAAACATAATCTAAAATATATCATTTTATTTTTCGATCTCAGTTGAACCTCCATGTGAGAATTTTCGAATTTATTGAATGTGAGCAGAAGAGTACTGTAGTCTAGATACAGTAATCTGAAAAAAAAGTTTTTAAGTGAAAATGGAATTTATTATAGATAAGATAAGATATATAAAACTTACACCATGTGTGAATTTTGAATGTCATCCCTTGTGATTTGTGGAGTAAATATAAATCTCAAATATATAAATTCAATTTTTCGATCTCAGTTGAACTTCCATGTGAGGATTTTAGAATTATTTGAATGTGAGGAGAAAAGTACTGTAGTTTAAATACAGTAATCTGAAAAAATGAAATTTTTGGGGGAAAATGAAAAACAAAAACTTACATTGTGTGTAAATTTTGACTGTGAGCCCCTGACTTTTATGGATTTCCAAGCAAAAAATAATCTCAAATATACAATTCTACTTTCCGACGTCAGCTGGACATCTATGACTGAGGATTCAATTATTTAAAATGCAGCAAAAGAGTACTGTAGTCTAGATACAGTAATCTAAACAAAAATTAATTTTTGTGAGAAATTAAATAGGAAGATACTCAAACTCACATTATTCAGTACTCTCTCCTGTTTTCGAGGAATCCACAGATTTGGAATTTATTAGAATATGTCAAACATTTTTAGTACTGTAGTGTAGATACAGTAATATGATAGAGGCACAAATTTTAAAAATCTAGAAGTATACAAAGTGAATAACAAATGAATCGATAGAAAATGGGCGTCCATCTATTTTTCCCCTGGAAAGCGAGAGACGCAGAGAATCAGAGATGTTTTTTGGGGCGGAGCCAAAAGACCGAGAGAACTACACAAAATAGAAAACATTTCATAACAAAACAAGAAAAAAAACAGGGAACAATAGATACAAAATTCAAAAAAGTTAATTAAACACAATTTTCCAATTCATTTTTTAATTTCTCGTTTTCAGCCATCAATTCAGAAATTCGAGATTTTTTTCAAAATGCTCAAATTTTCAAAACTTTCCAATTCGATTTCGATTTTTCTCAAATTTTCCGCTGATTTTTTGGAATTTTCCTCAAATTCCAAATACATTTGTTCTCTTCCAATTCGTGTATTTTCTCGTGATTCTCTTAATTTTTCAGCAAGTTTTAATAATTTGATGTCACGAATTTCTACATCTTCTTTATGTGATTGAACTTCTTCTCGATATTTCAACTTGTTTCTCATCAATTCACTGCAAAATAAAACTGGAGAAACGAAATTCAGAATTAAAAAAAAAACATACTTTTTCAAATAACTCAATTCCTCCTGTTTTTCAACAATAAATTTCAAATCTCGAATTTTCTCTTCATCAAATTCTTCAATTATCATTTTTCTTTCAATTTCTTCTTCCTCAAAGTTTTCACATTTCTCACAACTTTCAACAATTCGTTTTTCAACCACACATTTTTTCAAAACTTTTCGCTCTTTTTTGCCAGATTCTTCAGACTTCTTTTTTTCTCGTCTTTTCTTCGGAACTTTCACAGTTTTTATCTCTTTTTTCTTCTTTTTATACATTTCAACTCCATCAATCGTCGAAAATTCTAATTGCGGAAAATATTCATAAATCGACATCTTTTCGATCAAATCCGTTGAATCTTTTTCATCAAAATTCTCCGAGAATGCAGTTTTAACCAAATTTCGAAGATTTTCCACAGGTTCGAAGACATCTTCGGCGATTTGTTGAGCAATTTTAGAAATCACATCATTTTTTAATTTTTCAATAGTTTCAGCTTCCCGATATTTCATGATTTTTTCGATTCCAGAGATTTCAAGCGGATCATTCTTATCAAAAATGTAGTGTTTATCAAGAAAATCTGAAATTAATTCTTTAAAAAATACTTTTTGATTTTAAAATCCAAAAAGTCTAACCTTTTCCATCATTCATTTCATAACTTTTACTAATAAAGGGATAAATAACGCTTGGTTCATAACCCATCATATCACTTTTAATATCCGGATTCTTGGGATTTTTCAAATAAACTGGTGATACAAAATAGACAGCATTCATAATATTCTCCTTCATTTTCATCATATCTTCTTGATTAAAAAATACATAAATCCAGCTATTAAGAATATTCACTTTCAAAAATATATTCGAATATTCCATCGAATCCAAGTAATCAATAATTTCACTTGCATAGATTTCTTTCAATCGTTTTTTCGACAACTTTTCATCAATACTTTTTTCGCAGAAAAGACTCAATGGTGTTTTTTGAACAAAATTCGAATACTTCACTTCTTTCAAATAATCTTCTAGTTTTTCAGCTGTTATATATCCTTTTCCAATTTGTTTCATTTCACTCATGATTTTCGATTTCTGCTCTTTTTTCAAAATACAGTATTCTTTGTGCCAAAAAATATCGCAAGCACCAAATTGAAAAATCAAAAATTGTGCTTGGAATTGATGATAAACTTGAGTTCTTTTTGGTGATAAAATCGACATAGCATGATAACCCATTTGAAGTGGTAATTCAATAATATTTCTTGAATATTCGATATCAGGTACAATAACAAATCGAGATTTGTCTATTTGGAGAATTGATTCGAGAATTGTTTCGAATAAATTGATTTTGATAATTGAAAAAGTGCCATCCTCGGAAATCCACGCTTTTCTCCATTTCTCGATTTGATCTAAAAATAAATCAAGTTACATTGTCAATAGTTTTTGGAACCAAACCTTTAAAATCATCCAATTTTCCATCATTTTCCAATACAACTTCAATTGCCTCCAAAACTTCTTCACTAAAAATATGCCATTCTTGTTGATCTTCGAGTTTTATTTCACACATACTTCGCAAAATGATCATTCTCCCATTTGAATTGTCGAAATCTTTCAAACTTTTCATTCTTATTGAAAATTCTTCGAAAAAGTGTTGTACTTTTTTTATTCTGATCAATTCTGAAGTACTAAATTTTCTGCACAACATTTGGATTTTCTTATCAAAAACCAATTCCTCATCAAATTCTTCACAAGATTCTTCTAGTATTTCTTCAAATTCTTCCTTCATCAAATCACTCATTTTCATATACTCTTCTTTTGTCAAATAAAAAATCTTTGATGATTTTTCGAATTTCTCGATTTCGTCTTCAATAAAAATATTGAATATTTCGCGATATTCTTCAACTACACACATAATATCATCCAAAACTTTCATAAAGCATGTTTGATTATCAAAAAAACAGATTTTGTTCATACTTTCCAATCCATCATAATCATTCTTTCTCAATAATTTCAAATAAACTCTGGGTTTCCATTTCTTGAAAGCATCGAATCTTTGAACAATAAGTTCATCTAATTTCAGAACTTTCAAAGTATTTTCACTATTATTTCCATTTTCCGTTTCATTTTCTAAACTTTTCTCTGCTAGTTGATTACATACTTTCGTAAAATTATTAATTCCGTGTTGAGTGCCGAAAAAATCGAAAAACTGAAAAATAAACGATGTTTGACAATTAAGAACTTACGAAATTACTTTTTCAAAAATATTCATCATGTATACACACCGATAGTCATTGTAAACTAAAAATACATCATTTTTTGTGCAAGGAAATTTGATACCAATTTGTAGAACGTTGAAATACAAAAGAACATCTTGAACTTCGAGATTTGTTGAAAGTCGTTTGATTTCATCACGCATTTGTTCGAAATTAGAAAATACAGAGTTTCGAGGAATGTCATAATCTGGCTGAAAAAATGTTATTTGAATGGTAATTTGACAAGTGACATACCTTTCCAACATATTTTGCAAACAATTTGTGAGCTTCTTCAATCAATTTGTCCAACTTCTGTGTTTCGATGAGATAAGAGCTCCTCTGAAAAAATACCAATTAAAAAGTAGACTAAAATTAAATGCAGTTGAGAAATTCAAAAAAAATATATTTGAAACTTACAATTTTTGAATCAAAAACATCACTCAAACTAATATACCACTCATCAATTTTATGCATATTTTTGGGTGTAACTGTATCAAACCATCGTAGTTCCGTTGAAAAAACATCTGCTAGAATAACGAACGAATTATAGGCCAATCTACAAGATGTTCCATATGGTGACATAATCGGAACATTTGAGTTGCGACTTGTATTTTCGATTGAAATCTCATAAATCTGAAAAATATGTTTGAATTTGTAATGTTGAATAACAGCTAAAACATACATGGAAATCATCGAAGGATAATCCGCAGTCCGATATAATGCTCTCCACATCTCTCATTTCAATCAATAATACGATTCCATTCTTCCTTTGCTCAATTGTTTCTATTTCAATATTTTTCTTATTCCCAATAGCGATTTGTAACTCTTTGGCGAAAACGAATTTATTGCCAGAAATATCTTTGATAATTCGTAAAATTCCAGAACTTTCCTTCGATTTCAACAAAGAAAATCTGACAAGAAGTTTCTTCATCGTTTTAGAAATATGAATGTGTTTCAAGTAGATTTCATGATAAAAATCGACATTATCACGAATAGGGTTTATCTGAAAAACTTCATATTTGAAATCAAAATAATGAAAAAAAACCTCGTTAGATTTAATCAATTCATCTCGTAGACAATTCAACAACTTTTCATCATTATTTTTGTCATAAAACTTCGAATAAATCAATCCCATTTCGTTTACAGTGTATTTTGATAATACAAAACCATTCTCGTTATTCTCATCAACATCTTCATATTTCAATAGATCCAGAAGTATTTCGTCGATTATTCCAGCAGGAACCAATTCGTATACATTTCTCAATTTCCGATAAATCTTATTACCAAATGATTGGAGCAATAAATTTGTGATATTCTCATCTGTCTTCAAAACTTCGTAAACTTTCAAAAAAATATCTGATTTCGAGATGAATTTTCGTCCTTTTGTATCAGTCAGAATGGTTGGTTTTGCTTTATAATTCATGACATCTTTCAATCCCAAAAATTCAGAATTGTTGGGAAAATCAATCAATTTTTCGAGATCATTCATCAATTTTTCAGAAGGCGCATAAAGATCGAATCGATCTTCTGTGTTTTCCATCAACCAGTCAATCATCTGTTTTGAATCGAAATCCGGATTTCCAACATTTTTCAGAACTTCCAATTTATCGCTTTCCGTAAATTTCTGAAATGTTAAAATTTAGATTATTGTGATAATATTCACCGAACTAACCGTTTTGAAAATATACTTTTCTAAAGCAGCACACAATATTTCAGGGTCCATTTAGCAGCAGTTTTTTTCGGAAATAAACGCGCTTTTTCAAAAATAAAACTAAAAATTTTTTTAAAAATGTGTGTTAACACGGCCACGCAAAAATGCACACGCGCCAATTCAATTTTTTTTCTTTTTTTCCAGTTTTTCGAAAAACTGTGTTTTTAAACTTTTAAAAAAACAAAGAAGCATTATTGTGACAGAATTCAACGAAATAGCACACAAGAAAGAGAGACACAGCGCATAGAAGGGGGCGGGGCCAAAATACGCTCTGTCTCTCGTGTCTGCATACTATTGTGAAAACGGTATGAATCTCTCAACTAGAAAATATTTTTGAACGACAGAAAAAAATAAAAGATGGAGCGAAAAGGTAGATCAAAAAGCAAAAAATGAATTTTCCTTCAAAATTTTCCCCAAAGGGAATATATATTTTTGATCTACTTTTTCGCTCCATCTTTTATTTTTTCTGTCGTTCAAAAATATTTTCTAGTTGAGAGATTCATTCCGTTTTCTCAATATTTTTCTGAGGTCGAGCGCAACTTTTTCGTGTTTGCGCGTGAAAATTTTTTTAATTTTTTTAAATTTTTTTTTCCATTTTTTCATACTAAACGAAACCTCCTCTTTCAGATAGTATATTTTTTTCCATAAAATTTTGATTAGCCTGTACCCCCTTTAAATACAATTTTTTCATCAAGTTTTTTTCAGAAATCTACTTGGGATCAACACGCCAAGCAATAAACGGACTGCTTTCAACAATAAACGAGTTTCGAAAATCGGTATTGGGGTGAGTCAATTTTATTTTTTGTCAATTAATTGACAGAAAAAGTTAATCTTTTTTGTGCGATTTTTTCACGTTTTTGTCGATTAATCCCATATTTTTTTTGCAATTAATTGCATTCAAAAATGAGGAATTTCAATACGAAATAGAATTTATTTGACCTCTTTGAAACGTGTCCCAAATTCACTGCTTATTTTTTGAATTCTTTTCGAAATTTCTAATGAATGTTTCTAATGAAAAAACCCACAAAATTTGAAATTTTGATTGCTCAACAAATTTCGAAACAATTTGGCGCCAAGAATTTGAATTCAAAAATATTCTCTCAACCAACTTTTTCCAGGTAGAAGTTCATTGGCGTGATCCCAAACTCTGCTCTGGTGCTGAAACTGAAGAAGATATCACGCTGAAAAAGTCGATGATTCGATTGTTTTGAAAAAGAATATTGGATTGGTTGAAGAAATTGCTCGTGATAATGAAGAAACTGAATGTGTTGTTGAACCGAATGCGGTGAGTTTTTGGACGGTTTTGGAAACTCTTTTTCAATCTCTTCTCAATTCCTCAATTGAGTTTCTGGGTACTTTTTTTGACAGAAAATCTTGAGAATTTCCAAAATTTTCTGCTGTGAAATTCTGACAATAAGAGTATTACAATATTTTAGCTCAAAAATACGGAAAATCACAAATTTCTGAATATTTTTCATATGTTTTTAGACAAAAACTAAACATTTTCTTCTCTAAATTGCTCTGAAAACCTAAAAAATTTACCAAAAACTCAATTTTTTGAAATTTTCCTTTTCAATCTCTTTTCAATTCCTCAATTGAGTTTCTGGGTATTTTCATTCATAAAGATAGTTATTTATTTAAATACAATTTTTTATCATGTTTTTTTCAGAAATCTGATTGGGATCAACACGCCAAACGATACGGACTTCTTTCAACAATAAACGAGTTTCAAAAATCGGTATGGTTTTTTTCCGGAGTATTTTATCTGGCTCAATTATTTTTTGTTAAAAAAATCGGCTGAATATTGAAAAAAGTTCTGGTGAAAATTAAACTATTTTTTCACATTTCTCGTACCACCAGTGAGTTCAATTTTTCAGAACTCGACAGGATTTGTTCACCAAGTCAGATTTTGACAAACAAAAAATCCAAATCGACTGAAGATGCGGTAAGTAATCAAAAATCGGATTAAAATAAAAACTATAAAAATTTCTTTTTTCAGATTCGTCTGCTTCTGGACACTTATGCAGAGCTCGGAATTGAAGACAAAACATTTTCCGAAATCTCGGAAGAATCGCAAAAGAATATGTTTGGTGGTTTGGAATATGTGAGTTTAGAGTGAGAATACATGATTTTGCAAATTAGTCCTCACATTGTGAGGATTAATTCTGATTTGATAGAACTATTAGCATTGTATATCAGTTTTCAAACCGTTTTTGAATGCACGTTTTGCTATTTTTGAAAACTGATTCTAAATCAGCGGATATTTATTTCAGTCAATCAAGACTCACGTGATTCTTAAAATTATTTTGCAAATATATCCCTTAAAAATGGGTAAATGTTTCTCTCGAAAAAAAATACAAAAAATACAGAAACAAATGAGAATGTTACTGTTTTACAGATTTGGTCCAAAGACTTGTTGTCAATTTCGAAAAAACGGGCCCATTTGGAAATGCTCAACTCATTATGCGAAACCAAACAAAACCTGCCCGAATATTTGATAACAAGAGTGAGAATCGGACTTCAGCAAGAACCACAAAACTGTTTTGAACGGAGGAACGAAATTTTCAATACCTGGAGATGTAAGTTTCTTTTATCTTTATGCCACAACGTTTTACTCAGCGTTCGGTGGTGTAATTACAGCGTAGCTTGGAGCAATGCGTAAATACATAGATGGTTTCTTGTAAATACATGGATGGAACTAGCAGAAATGTAATTACTTTGTAAATACAAACTATTTACAATTTTGCGATTGCGTATAATTACAGCGAACAATTTGTGTAATATCCGTGTAACTAGGGTCTCGCAGCTTTGTCAATGAGCGAGGCGCCTGTCTGCGTGGCGGCTCAATGAAAAATGTGTTTTTTTGGGAAGATTTTCAATTTTTTCACTGTTTTCACTGATTTTTTTGCCGATTTTTAGCACACCTGACGAGAGAGTGTCCCAAATTTTTTGTGCAGTGTGAAAATTTTTTTCAAAAAAAAATGTGCAGCGTGAAATTTTCACGTTTTTCGAAAAAAAAAAGTCCGCGGGCAGGAGGATTCGAACCCTGGTATCATGCTCGCCAGTCTAAAATGCTAACCTCTCGGCTACATCTCTCTTTTCACCTGAGGGGAAAATGTTGGTGGAAAGGAAACTGTTTTCAAACGAATGCGTTGCAACGTTGTTCAAAATTTGAAGTTAGGATAACTAAGCTTAGGCTTAACGGATATAGTTGATTTTTTTCCAATAGATTGCTAAGGTCATAGACAGTGTGGAAAACCATGAGTGCAGTGTGGAAATGCCCTATTTCGCTGTTATTTTGGAGTGTCCATTTCAATGGTAAATATGGACATTACAAAGAATCGGACGGCATTTTTTCCGAGCACATATCAAGGGTTGGTATATTCAAAAAGTTGGTGTATTTTTAAGCGTAGTTTTTGAATTTACCCATGTGCAGTGTGGAATTTGAAGTTTTTTCATAGAAAGTCAATTTTTTTGAAATTTCAGTGACACTATGGTTTGCTAAGCAGTCACGTAAATTCCACACTGCACATTATGTTACCACACTAAAACAAAGTCTGCTGAGTTGATTTTCACCGAGAAACTTCGAAAAATTCGCAAGCTGAAGTTGTTTTTGAAGTTGGGAAAAAATAAAAAAAAAGTTAGCTCGAATGAAGATTCGAACCTGGGCCTTCTGAACACTAGCAAAATGGCCTACCACTGAACTAAATGTGCATTTATTTCCCCAAGTTAAATGTTGATGAAAAGGAAACAAAGTTTTTTTTCGAAAAAAAATGCAGTGTGACCTTTGAAAAAAATGTACAGTGTCCATTTTGGACACGTCTCGTCAGGTGTGATTTTTAGATAACTTCAACAGCGAACCGCTTCTCAACCTCAATCACAACTAGTGTTATTGTCTGTATGGGGATTTCAAACGCGCCTAGGTGAGAATTCCGAAAAATGTGGTTTTAAAATATAAATTCATCAACTTTCAGGTCGCTTTGCAGCAAATGTTGAACTTGCGTGTTCAATTGTCAGTTCGTGAATGGTTGATGCTCAAAAGCTGAAGAATGTTGAAATATGCTGTTTTCACGTAAGTTTTTCGTTTTTAGCTCATAACGTTTTGAAAAAAAACATAAATTGTGATTTTTTCGCTATTCACATTTTTTCAGATGGAACTTCAATGTCTACAAGCTTCACCATCATCAGATTCCGTCAACCTATCGCTAGCTCAAATGTCTCAACCTTGCTTCAATCAAATGTCTCAACCTTGCCTCCAAAAACAGGCGCTCACATCCTGCCAGCGGACTTATATCGACCTATTCGAAAATAGCCCGCTACAATGGATTCACAATTGTTTAATGTTAAATTTGTTCTTTTTTTTCATGTTTGATACTTTCAAAGAGATAATAAATTATTGACTTTTCGAAAATTTTCGAATTTCTGAGGGAGAGGGGAAGCTACGGTGTAATTACACGGGAACAAGCGCTGCTCGCTGCAAAAATCACGTCGTGCCAGAACAAAGGGAAAAGATAATTTCGTGGAGACGCAGAGATTTTGTGTGGTCTCGCAGCGATGCACCTGGGGGACCGGGGAGAGTACGGTTTGAAGCTTGGTCTCGCAGCGATTCACCTGAGGAACCGGGGAGAGTACGGTTTCGGCAATTGGTCTCGCAGCGATGCACCTGGGGAACCGGGGAGGAGTACGGTGTCTTTTTTTCTCTGCGTCTCCTCGGATTTGTGTGGTGGCACGACGTGAAATGGCTGTGTAATTACATGGGAAGGTGTGTGTAAATGCATGGATGATAAGGTGTATTTAGGTGGGAAGCAATCGCTCCTTCCCCCTTTCCTCCCGTGAACCTACACAAAATGTTCGGTGTAATTACACCACCGATTGCTGAGTAGGTTACTGATAAAGTACAAGAAATTTTTGAACAAATTCAAATTATTTCAGTCAATCAAGAACGTGGCGGACTTCGAAGCAATAATTCGCAGAAAATTGGGGAAACATATGAGCGAGGGAGAGATTCTCAAATGCATCGAGATGAGAAGCGACGAGCAATTTGTGAAATGAATGCGGTAAGTTTCTACAATTCAATAACGATTCTAAATAACTTAATTAACAACCTCTTACTAATCCAAAACTCTTTTCCAAAACTATCTCATTCAATTTTTCCCGAAATTTTCCAATAAGATTGTATTCTTACAATTGTATACTTGTTAACCATTACCGTTCCTACTTTACAGAACTCTTCACATCGACAATCGAGAAACATACAATGTGGATAAATTGATGAAGCTTTTGCCAAACATCAGAAAAATCAAAAAAAGTGAAGCAATTTTATTTTTTATAATTATATGTAAGTGCTGTAAATATTTATTTGAATTTTGTGAATGAATATATTTTTGTTTAAAAATTATTCTCAAGCCAAGCGACTAAGGGCTGTTAGCCCCCAGGCGTAACAGTCTTCTCATTTTTTTCAGTTTCACTTTTTTCAGTGATTATTTTCAATTTTCTGTGGAAAACAAATTCATGAAAAATTGAATCTCTTTTTTTTTTATTTGCATAATTATAGACATGATCGTCTCCAAACAGAAATTTCGGTTTGGAGACATGACTTTTTCTCAATAATTTCATTTCTGGATGAAGTTCTGAATTTTCTTGTTTTTTTAACAGTGTTAAAAATTTTCATTCAATTTCTTTTAGCTTCAAAGTTGCTTCTGGGTGGCTTACTAAGCTTAATGGGGTGAGTCATAAAAATTAATTGACAAAAAAAGTGCGATTAATTTCACGTTTTTTGTCAATTAATGGCATTCATTTCTGAAAAAATGCGATTAATTGACAAAAAACGTGAAATTAATCGCACTTTTTTGTCAATTTATTTTTATGACTCACCCCATAAGCCTGAGAGGAAGTGTCATTTAGGTCCCAACTCATCGATTTCATTTTTACATTTTTGGATTATTCCAAATCTGTTACTTTTTTTTGTTGACTGTATGAATAAAACTTTCAATTTTTGTCAGCTACCCGCTCAAATCGAAATTTTCATTTGGGCGGGTATTTTTGTCAAACAAAAAAAACTCGGGCCGATTTTTTTGGAAAAAACTTTTTTTTTTTGAAAAAACTCAGGCCGATTTTTTTTGAAAAAACTCGGGCCGATTTTTTTGGAAAAACTCGGGCCGATTTTTTTTGAAAACACTCGGGCCGATTTTTTTTTTGAAAAAACTCGGGCCGATTTTTTTTGAAAACACTCGGGCCGATTTTTTTTCGAAAAACTCGGGCCGATTTTTTTTGAAAACACTCGGGCCGATTTTTTTTGAAAAAACTCGGGCCGATTTTTTTTTTGAAAACACTCGGGCCGATTTTTTTTGAAAACACTCGGGCCGATTTTTTTGAAAAACTTGGGCCGATTTTTTTGAAAAAACTCGGGCCGATTTTTTTTTGGAAAAACTCGGGCCGATTTTTTTGGAAAAACTCGGGCCGATTTTTTGAAAAACTTGGGCCGATTTTTTTGAAAAAACTCGGGCCGATTATTTTTGAAAAACTCGGGCCGATTTTTTTGGAAAAACTCGGGCCGATTTTTTTTTTGAAAAACTTGGGCCGATTTTTTTTGAAAAAACTCGGGCCGATTATTTTTGAAAAACTCGGGCCGATTTTTTTGGAAAAACTCGGGCCGATTTTTTGAAAAACTTGGGCCGATTTTTTTGAAAAAACTCGGGCCGATTATTTTGAAAAACTCGGGCCGATTTTTTTGGAAAAACTCGGGCCGATTTTTTTATTTTTGTATTTCAATTTTCCAATTACATATGAATCCTAGTCTCATTACAGAAGTTCTGATTTTAGAATTATTATTACGAGATGAATTGCTGTATACAGTTCATAATTTTAATGGGAATCATGAAAACTATCCCATTTTCACTGTTTTATTTCATCGATTACTTATCGTCAATTTCACATGGTTTACCTTGGCCTGCTTAGTATAGTGGTTAGTACTCCACGTTGTGGCCGTGGCGACGCTGGTTCGATTCCAGCAGCAGGCAACTTTTTTTTTAAATTTTACTGCTCAAAAAATAGAAAAATTCATTTATTTAGTTAGTACATATAAATCATGCAATAAAAACTATTCACATAACAAAACATTAAACAGTGCCTAGATAAAAATTGCGATTTTCTTCCCTGTTTTTGAATTATTTGACACCTCGAATGACATCAACTTTTCGATCAGCTTCCTGAAATTTGAAACTCGAAAGATTTTCAAGAAATATGTATTAGAAAAATACTTACATCGGTGATAAGTTTAGCCGTTTCCAAACATTGCAACAAATGAAATGCGTGAAATTTGTGTCCAGTTCCAACATAAAATTTCGACTGAAATTCAACCCAATGAAGACGAAGTGCATGTAAAAATGCCGAAAGTCCTTCCATCATTATCAGAATTGACATTGATAAAACAGCGAAAATAAAGAAACTCTGCAAGAAAAAATACATTTTGATAGTTTAGGGAGTACTGAAGTCTTACTGTAGCTGTGACAATTGGTGCAAGATATACTGGAACCTGATCAGCTAATGCTAAACCATTGATTAGAACCATGTGCCACATAACTTCGGAGAGTTCTGAAAAAAAACAACGCAATAGTTGAACACTAGAACATCGAAAACTTTTCCAAATTTTTATTATTAAATTTTGAAAATTTAACGCTGGTTTTAATTTTTTCAATAGTTTTGTTTCGAATGTCTTTCTAGGATCGATTCGAATAAATTCAAAATATTTTCTCACATCAACAAAAATTGTGAACGATTTCAAATCTTTGCTACGTGGATCCTCAAACCAAACTACAAATTTCCATTCCTCAAAAAAAAACTCACGTGCATGTGCCAATGACAATGCCCACAATCTCAAATATGAAGCTGTATGTGAAACACATCCCAAAACAAATTCAATTGTATGAATCGCTTGATGCACAAAAATATCAGACATCGAATGCGCGACAGCTTCATCCAAATTCAAATCATCGTGTTGGCTCAACAATTCAATATCTTCTCCATTGATCTTTTTCTGTTTTTTCTTCGAATTCGAACTCTTCAAATATGCCCAAATCGGTTTTCCAAACAACATAATTGGTATACAAATCAATGCAGTTCCCAATAATCCTATTTCAATTTCTTTTTGATTCGGATACCAATATGTTAAATGGCAATTATGAACTGGAGTTGTACTATTTGTTTCAGTATATCCCTCTTTTCTCGATTTGAACATAAACATATTAATTAGTCCAATCAGAAGTGATGGGGCACAATTTGAACCCGGATATTCATAGCCAAAAATATTTTCAGGATTTACAGAGAAATATATCCATTTGATGACAATTTGAACGCATAAATATATGAAGATTGAAGAAAGAAATATGAGTTGAGGAATGAAATTTGTGAGAATATCGATATTTGAACGGAAATGACTGAAAAAATAATGTTTTGGAAAAAAATAGTGAGAGGATATTAAAATAGGTACATTTCATCGAAGAAATTTCAAATTTTTTTTAGGATTTAAATTTTATTTTGAAAGATGTCTCAGAAAATGATTTTGGAAGAGAAATTGGGAAATTTTGAATCTTTTCTGATAAGAATCGGACTACAAAAACACCTTTAAAAACTCACATATGATTCAACGCCGACAAAAAAACTCCAAAAGTCATTTGTGTAATTCCAATAATCACCGACGCTTTCATTTTCATCGAATTCAAAAATACTAATCGATTTTCGGCAATATTCCAAATTGGATCAACACCAAATGGATATGGCCCATTTTCTCGATCATACGCCAATTCTGGTACCAAATCACCCAAAATCGCTTTATCGGTTTTTTGTGAAATTTCAATCATTTTATCAAGTTGCGTCAAATTCAAACTATTTTTCCAGCTACTTCCAAATATATTGAACGATTTTGCAAAAGCATCATTGTAAAGAAATCCAGTGTAAATCGAAAATATACCCATTAACATCATAATATAGCGACCACCAAAAAATGTGTTGAAAATCTGTGGAGAAATTGTTTTCTAAAAATTCGAATTCTGATTATTTTACCTCATCTCGAATCTTCTTCTTATAAATTTTCGTCTCATTGAAAATGAAAAAACAAGCAGCTAAAAGTAGAATAAATCCATGAGCCGCATCGCCAAACATAATTGCAAAAAGAAATGGAAAAGTTATAATAATATAAGGAGCTGAAATAAGATCAGATAATTTCTGAATAAACAAATAAAAAAGGAGAAAAATACCTGGATTAACTTCACGATATTGTGAAACTCCATAAGAATCAACAATACTTTGAAAAACTTTAGTAAATTTGTTGGTTCGATGATAAGTCGGAGGAATTGCATTGGATTCAATTTCACGAAGAACCGGCTCAATTTGACTTCCATTTATTGACTGAAAAACAAAATTATCGATTTTTTAGGGCTTGAGATATTGAAAAATTATCATTATTTTGGCATGAAATTTTTTTGAAAAAAAAAACATATTGTGGTTTCTAAAAATGTTTTTGATAAATACTACTAAAAACTTTGATAAGATTACTGTAACTTCAAATTATTATATTTAAAAATATTTGATTGATAATAAAAATGTCTTTCTAAACTCGTAAAACCTACAGTAACCTAACTCATGAAAACATTTGCCAGCTTCTTTTTAACCCTCAAAATATAACAACTCACAAATGATTTTTTCATAGCTGCTTTCACATTTTCCAACTCCGTATCCGGAATCCAACATTCTCCAAACAAAAACATATCTGAATTTCCGTTTGACGAATTTTTCTCCAATTTATCCGAACTCGCACTTTTTGTAAACATATTCATCGTGTGAAAAACAGCTTTGCGAATTGACACGTGGCGAAGCATTTCAGGTAAAACGGGTGCAATCTCTTGAAGAATCTGAATTCTCCTCGTAACAATTTTCAAACAAAAAGAAAAAAAGATATAAAAACGTACACTGTGTCTATGTTTCTGTGTTGTATCAATAACAATTCCGAGATCATTGATTCGACCTTCCATTTCAGCCATTTTCATGTTTCGATCTTTCGATGTTTTTGGACATGGATATTTTGTGGCACCAAATCCATCACAAGCTTTGTCAATAATTAAACCAAGTGCATCACCTTTGAAAAACGAAATGAACACGCATTTTTGAACTGGTTCACGCTGAAATTTTCGGTTGAAAACAAATGGAATTTATTCTTTTTTTACAATCGGATCTGACATCATCTCTCGGATTCAATTTTCGAAAACTTCAAAAAAATAACTCACAGTTTCAGGATCTTCAACTGTAAATGATTCATTACTACACTTGACAAAAGCAGTTCTTCGACTTGCTCGCCACAAAACTCGCTCGAAAGATGCACGTTTGTCCCACAACAAAACACCAGCAATGAACCAAGCATTATCTTCGCCAGGGCCAAGAAGTGGAGAATTTGGAGCCTGAAAAAAACTGTTTGGAAACCAAAATTTGGATGAAGAGGAGATCAGAGAATAAATTCCTTCCGGATTTTTGTTGCGTAACAAAATTCAAAATGCTGGTTTTTTTCAGTCCAAAATATATTTTTGAAAAACAGCAGACCAAATGTTCTAAATTAACTACAGTAATCCTAATCTTGACTCACCGCCTCACTCATTGTTCGATTAAAACTTTTCGAAAACAAACTATCTTCAGCAGTCGCCGAATTCTTCAATGTCGCTTTTTCTTCGTCTTTGTGAATTTGAAAGAACTCTTCAACCATTTGCATACATTGATGAAATTCTTTGGCCGAATTCAAATTTTTGCGCAATTGTTGATCATTCGAATTCAAATCACCAATGTCTCGTTCCAACGAATCAAGTCGAGCATCGATTGAATTGATTTCGGACATTGTTGGAGCGGTCAGATTTTGAAAATCAATTGGTAGAGGATCGATTTCGGGACGACATGTTATCAATTCCATTTCGACGTATCCTAAGAAAAAATTATTTAAGTATCTTGATCTATTGTTTTCAAAATTCCCAACAAAATATCTAAAAACTTGATTCATTTTGCATTTTTTTGGTAAATCTCAATTTCATCCTAATTTCAGACCTCTAATTATGTTGAAAAATGTTGAACCAACCCTAATTATTACATAGAAAATCAATAAAATTATAAGAATTTGAACCAAACTGTAAATTAATTTTTTCGAAATAAAAACTGGATAAATTTTAATTGTGGCCACCAGTTCAAAAAAAACCCTCACAAAAACTCACGAATTTTTCTCTCCATTTCTTCACATCTTCTAATATGATCAACATATCCACGAGCATACAAACTAATGTTTGAATTGAGCTGAAAATTATTTTTCAAAATTAAAAAATGATTTTTGTTTAAAAAAATTCTCACATCAATAAATTGGACACTTGGTAATTTGCCAATTTCCGCAATACAATTATAAGCAGTTTCTCGTGCAAATATCATCTGAAAATGATGCATTCGATCGGATCGATGAAGCGATCCCATTTCGATACGATTTCCAGATTTTTTGGCAGACAAACAATTTTTATCGGGCAGTTTTCCTCCGGGTGGATTTGGTGGTGGAGCGACAGTGGGACCAGTGAAGATTTCCGACAAATTGATATATTCGTTATCGTCTCGTGCAATCTCAATATCAAGTGGTTCCTGATCTTCAGCTTCTTCGTTGTTGTTGTTGCCACGTGTCTTCGGATATCGTGTCGAGACCAATTTACGATTGACAAGATCGATGAATTTTCGCGATGCTTGTTGCACGTGCGCCTTTAGACCCGGACGTTGACGCAAGAATGAGGCCTGCAAAAAAATATGGGTCGAATAGGAAACTTTTGAATTTTTTCAAGAAATGGAATGGGAAAAACCAGTGAATAATTGCTATATAAATTTTTTTTGAATAAGCAAGAAAAATATAATACAATAACGAATTTTTTGATTTTTTGTTTGGTTTTTATTCCAATGACGTTTTGTGGACATTGGGAAAATTAATTGCAGAATATTGAAAAAAATTTGAATTTCTAGGCCCCCAAAAATCCTGGCCTAGAAATTCAGAAAACATTAAACTAGCTAGGTCAGGTTTTGGAATTCCAAGTCATCTGAAATACATTTATCGGGGTGAAGAATACGGAGGCCTAGAAAAATATATGTTATCTTTTAAGAAACTAGAAAGCACGCGACCTAGATTTCACTGGAGGCCTAGAATCCCAAAAATCCTAAACTCTAGCTCCCACCCCAATTTTTAGCCTAGTCTTGTCCAAAATCTCGCAATAAAAAATGTCGATAAATAACAATCATATCAAAATGAAATGAGATATTTCCATTCATTCTCTACTCTTTTTTTTCTTGTGTTTCCGTCTCTGCGTCTCTAATTAGTCAGTATTGCGCGCCAAAAATGGCAAAGTTACACAAAATGACTGATCGTATCACTTTTTGCGCATTGATTAGAAGAAACGAATTTTGAGACAAATTGATATGATTTATTTATACCCCCTGATTTTTTATAAATAGATAAGTGGATATATATCGAGATGAAAGGTGATGGCCTAGAAAATCACTGTCAGGCCATGACAATTTCTGGTTTTTTTTCAACAAAATTGTCTAGAATAATCGATTATCTTTTGTTGGAAATAACTTTTAAAAATGTTTCATCAAAAAACGGAAATAATCTTTCCATTTTATTTTTTGATTGATTACTGATCTTTTGTCACAAGTTTTGTGAAAAAGTGTAAGGTTAAACTACAGACATCATAATTTTTGTAGAAAATTTTTCAAGGTCAACATTTCAAAAATCACAATTTTACTCGGTCTGTAAATTTACCTGATAAAAATATCGATATCCTTGACTATTTTCCGAAACATCTCGAAGCGAATCATCTCTAAAATGAGCAACCATCGGTTCTTCTTCGCGTGTAAAAAATGCCACGTTCCTGCAGATTTCAGATATTTTTTATTTTCAATAGAAAACATCAAAACTCACGAATTTTCCGTGAATCGACAGATGACACGTGGCGTTGATGTGAGCATTGGACGTCTGAAAAAAACTTATATTTTCTCTCGGAAAAAATTTTAAATTTTGTATTTACCTGATTGATTTGTGCTCTTCATGAGTTTCTTCTTCATTTTCCTCTTCATATCCAATATTTATGAAGGATTTTGAAAACGAGGATGACGTGGAATCGGAAAACATTTTTGAAATTGAAATGTGCGAAAAATCGATTTCGAATTTTTTTTGAAAAAAATAATTTTTGAAGAGTTCATCGCGGGGTAGATCAAAACTCGAAACTTTTTTCAAAAAAAATCGAATATTTTTTGACGTGGCTTTTTGACAAGTTGACGTTAGTTTATTATTTTTAAAGAAACTAGCCTGTCTTTTCGATTCCCGTCGAAATAAACAATATTCATAATGAAGTGCACAATTGGTTATATTTGGTCAACGACTGTAAAGTCGAGTCGAGTTAAGTCAAGTCGATAAGCGAAAAAAATTCGATATGTATAAACTATAAAAATTACAAATTCCAAAACTTTATTCCGAATTTTTCAAATCATTTTTCATTATCCTTGCCAATTCTCGTCTTCGGTTCGCTTTTTCTTCTTTTTTCAATTGAAGTCGCTAAAACATTTTCAATTTAAAAATCAGACATTTAGAATAAATAAAAACCTTTAATTGTTCTTCATAACAATTATCTCCATTTTCCAATCGATCCAAAGCCAATCGCATTCTCTCAAATGCGATATCAATATTTTTCGACAAAAGTCTCGATTCGTGCACTTTGACAACAATTCCAGTTTTGAGATGTGTTAATTGACAAGCATTTTGAGCTGTATTCACTTTTTGTCCACCCGGTCCCCAGCCAGATATATATTTTTGTTCACAATCTTCAGTTCGAACTTCGGGAAATTTATAGTTTCTCAAAATTTGTTTGGGTGTGGCAAAAGTTCGTTTCAGATATATTGTTTTTAACATTTATTCTGAAAATAATTATGCTAACAATAAAATTGAATAGAAACTTTTGACCAACTTTTTGGTTCAGTTCGAAACTTTGCCCCAATTTTCCAAAAAATATAATTCCAAACCGTTTTTTCAACGTTTCCCCATCGAAATCTACCACATCTCAAAAAATTATGCAAAATTTCATATAAGCACATAAACAATTCACAAGAACAACCTATTAGAGACAAGAAAAATGAGAAACCCGCATTTTTTGGTAAGAAAATCGACAAATTTTAAAGTAAGCAAAAAATACATAATAAAGTGAAGCGTGATAAATATGAACATAAAATAAATTAAGTTAAATTATGAATACATAAATAAATTATAAATTATAAGCAATTATGAATTTTGTTGTAATCTCAGAAAACATTTTCGACAAACTCGAACAGGTCGACTGATATTCATTCGAGTTATATGAGATTCGAATCGAGAACATCTGAAAAACAAGGTTTTAAAAATTTTGAACTCGAGAAATTTCAAATTGGTTTTTTTTTCGAAATTGAGGATTTGTTGAACTTATTTTAGAATGTTTAACAAAACAGTTTTGAAAATCTTTAAATTTGTATCGCATGTTCTAGCCCTAACTTCCAACAAATTTTCCTATCCTTAAAAAAACTCACGAAGAGCAAAAAATCTGTCCACAATTTCGACAATGATGTTTCCTATCAGCCAAACTGAATTTATGTTCACAATCATCGCATCGTTGCCTTGTTACATCTTGCACCCAATGATCCGCTCTTCCACCGCCTTCTCCACTTTGCCAACACCAAACTCGCCCAATTCCATCACCAATATATAAACATTTATGATCTCTACTTGGTGCAATTGCTGTTATTGGTGCCGGATGAATATTATCAGGTCGATTGAATGCAGTATGCATTGTTAAAGCAGTTCGTTGCACCAAAACTCGAACATATTTCTGTGTATCATCTCCAATTACATCTTTCATTTCTGATGAATTATTGAATTTCGGACTAGCTGGTTCGGAAGATGCTGCTGAATCTTCAGATGATGCTACAGTACTCATCGAAACTCCTCCTCCCTTTAATCGTCTTCGCTGTTTTTCAAGTCTCGCTGCGATTTGAATGGATTTATTTGATGATTCAGGAGTACTGTAGTTACTAGTCTCTTCTGTTGTTTTCTGAATTGTTCCATCATTTTCAACCATAACACATGAATATATTTTGACACATCCATCAGATGTTCCACACATTATAACATTATCATTATCCCATTCATTCATCTGAAACAAAATTATTGATTATATTTTAAATGTTTTTTTCCAAAAAAAAGTACCGTCGAAAAGGCCAAACTAATAATCATTTGTTGTGGATCAATAGTTGGTGCCACGTCACAAGTATTGATTTTCGCCAATAATGCACCATTCAATGTCCAAACATGTAATAAAGTAGCAGAAGCTGTTGCAATATCACCAGTCGAATCATTGATTGCAACAGCAACAACAGGTTGTGGATGTTTTGCGAGTTGACGGATTAGGAACATTTCAGAAAGATGCCAAATAAGAACAGTTGAATCACGAGAAGCAGAGACAAGAACAGCGTGAGATTGACAAGAAACAAGGCATGTTACAGCATCCGAATGACCATTGAGAACTGACACTTTTTTCATTGATAATGGCTTCGTATTAACATTCCAAACTCTGAAAAATTAGAAAATAAAGAGGAGGGAACAAAATAACTTTTAAAAATGGTAACTCATTATAGAAGTTTACATGTGTCACCTTCTCGAATTGAGCATAAGAAACTTACGTAATACAACCATTTGTATTTCCATAGAATAATGTCCATTCATCTCCAGCTGCTACACAAGTCATTTCATCAACTTCACACATTTCATGAATACAAACTGATTTATCCGAGTCGATTTGTCCAATTCGAACACTTCGATCAGGCAATCCCCAAGTCACAAAACGATTTGATCCAGTTAATAAAACTTTGTTTTGTTCCAAAGCGACAACTCCAATTTTATCGTTTTGATTTATACTTCCAACAGCAGATCGAAGTTCTGAAATAATATAGAATTTATTTAAAAACTTTTTTGGCAAAACATTTTAGAAGATTATTGTGAATATCCAAAAAATTGATACCTTTATACGGAGTTTGTGGCGGTGTCAAATTATGAATCGCGTGATAAAATAGTCTTTGTGTTGTTACACCAGGCGTATTACTGTATCCTTCAAGAATATTCACTTTTTTCTGTGGATGTGGTTTTTTGAAGAGTTGAGTTGGGATTTGACCGAAATTATTGACAAATCCAATTGTTGCATTTCTTGTGAGCGGATCATCGATTCTTTCAAAATCCACACTTCCTTCGTAGAAAAGATGATGGAATAAATTGTTGGCCTGGAGAAATTAGAAATGTTTCGATAGTGAATAAAATTGGAAATATTTCAAACTTTCAAAAATTGCCTGAATTCAAAATGTAATAGTTTTTCGAGGTAAATATTCAAGACTTTAAACGAAAAATTTAACTTATACTTACAAGGTAATTTTTAATAGAAGCTACTTAAACGTTAAAAAAAAAGTTTAACAAAAAATCGGACAATTAACGTAATCAAGGATTTCAAATTTTTTAGAACCGTATGAGAAATTATCCCCAAAAAAATCAATCAAAATCCCGTTTACTCACCTTCACAGCCTCTTCTCCATTTTGTTTCCATCCAAAAATCAAATCAATCCATTCATGCAAATGTGATGATACATAATCACTTTCCAATGCTTGTCTATGACATCTAACAAATTCTCTCGCATCTCCCAATGCCCAATTCGGAAGAACAACATCATTTACAAGTGTTCCGTTTTGTTTAACACCAAGATCAAACGAATTTCGATTTTCAAACATTTCGGGAAGTGTGAAGAATTCGGGTATCAATTCTTTAACATCAGCCATATTATTTTTGGCAGCACTTTGAAATGCATCTCCAACACTATGAAACATTCGATCAGCCAAATCAAAATGTCCACCTTGTAAACTCAAAAATTGTGATGTAAACGGTTCCAATCGAACTAAATATGATACAACAATCATTGCAGATGAATAATGTGTTCCATACATATAAGGAGGTGTTTCACCTGATGGATCATCCCATTCTCGATATCTTTTCAAAAACTGTTCCAATCTGTCTGGTGTTTGTGCACCCATTGGTTTTCCCAATTCTCTAAAAGTCAAACCAGGATTCGTAAAATCCAATATTTCACTTTGATAATCTTTAACAATCCATGGAAATATCGGATATTGTGATAAATCATTATAACATCTTCCAGCCAATGTATTCAAATGCATCAAATATTGGAAATTCGTAATAGTTCCATTCAACCATTTCTGAGTCACACTTTGTTGTCCAATAAGAATCAATGAATTCAATAATGCTCCACCAACTTTTTGACTTCCCAATAAATCAACTTTATCTGATAATCTTGTTGCCATCGATGTCAATTTATCAAAAACTCGATCTCGAATCTTTTTCGGGAATGCTAATAGATAATTTCTTCCATCCGAACTGAAAACTTCCAAAGCAATCGGTTGTAAAAGATATCGCCTTTTATGAACTTCTCGAATCATATTATAGCTAAACTTTGAACAGAGTCTTGAAGATTTCGGAGGTTGTGTTGCTCCAGTTGCTGGATATGGAACAATTGGATCATGCATGCTGTAAAACAATTGGTTTTTTTGGAGAACTAGCTACCAAAATTTAAAAATAATTTGGGGATTTTTTGCGCAATAAAAATCTGAACTGTTATTTTTTTATAAACTAAAATTAAAATATTTGTTTTTCACATAGACCACCTGGTTGTCATTTCCAAAAGTCAAACTTACTCGGAGCTCAAAAAATCAAGATCTCGAATTTCCTTGGTCTTCAAAAGTGTAAATCCATCAACAACATAAAAATGTTCTCTTCCAAATAGCAATAATCCTTCAGCTGTTTCTAATCCTTGAATTCTTGCACATCTGAACATCGAATGAAGTTGTTCACCTTGTTCCAATAATCTTAACAATGTCTGATTATCTGGTCCCGGTTTTTTCTCAACAACTGGTTGCTCAGGCTCTTTTGTTGTTGTTGTTGTTTGAGCCTGTGACTGGGACAGACTCTGAGTTTGTGAAGCTTGAGAAATAGATTCGGAATTCTCCGGTGATTCTTCTTCTTCTTCATTTATTTCAACTGATTCAGATTGTTGAGCTGGCAATGTTGCAGGAACTACTGTAGTTGATAATCGGCGAATTAATGATGAATTGATTTCTGAAAGATTTCATTTATTTTTTAAAGAACAACCCTACAGTATATCAAAAACATACGTGATAAATCAGTAAAACTAGTAAAAATCGCAGTTTTTTCCTCGCTTGGTGTACTAACAGTTGCACTCGAATCAATAATCCTCACATCTAAAATCCGTTTACGAAATTTCGAGCATTGCTCATAGTATAATTTGGAATCATGTGATATGGCAACTTTAGCTCGTTGTGCTTTTGCAGTTGGAATATCAAGATGTGGTCGATATGGATAAAGATGATAAAATGTTCGATGTGGTATCAATTTTCGACGAATTCTGGTCGGTCCCTCAGTCAGATCAAGTTTGAATTTTTCGAGTTTCGATGCTCTTTCCGGTCCCCAAATTCCTCTTTCTCGAGTTAATTCGGCTTCACATTGATGCCAATCATGAAGACACCATTTTCGAACATGAGCATGCCATTCATCATATCTACAAAAAAGATTCGTTACGAAATGTTTCGTTTTTTTTTTAAATAAACGTCAGATTATCGAAAAACTGAGTTCTGAAATTTCAAATTAAAATAAAAAGTTACAGTAATCCAAAGTATCTTCATTTTTTTAAATGAAAATATTTTACAAAAAAATTTACAATTTATAATTTCGATAGTGTTGACTGTATTCATGAACTTGACCTCAACTATTTTTAATACTCCCTCCCAAAAGTACAAACCTCGTGCTCTGCGCTCTCAATAATTCTTTAATCAAACTAATATGAACTTTCAACCACATAAAAATAACATTAGCATCAACAGCATTTCCAGCACATCTCCATGGTTTAACAATTTGTGATTGTGTCTGTGTAACCGATAAACTTCTCGCTGCTGCAAATCTCGAAATTCCAGTCGCAACTTTCGTAATTCGACTTGATATCATTTCTTTTGTTGTTGCCGATAGCGGAACATTTTGACTAGTTCCACGTAATTGTGAATCAACAAATTGTTGCCAATGTGTTCCAGCAGAATGTGCGAGAAGAGCACGTGCTGCATTGATTTCAGAAACAGTTGGTCTTTTAAAAACTTCTTCAATCAATGCTTGTTTCGGGATAATCAAATCAGTCCAAACTCTTGTTGCACATAATGCAACTTGTGCAGATGTTCTATCCAAATCATTTCCACCAGTAAATAAAACATCAGGAGTAACACTTAACATAAAAATGAGATGAGTTAAACTCGCATAAAACCAAGGCTCATTTGATGCAAGGAAAATATATCTTTTCGATACCAATGAACTCAAAGCATCCAAAACAGCAAGTTGAACAGGAACACAATCAATTGGTCGGCTCAAAATAAATAAACTAATTCGCATAATTCCATTAACAACATTTCCAGATTCGCATTTTTTCGCCGAAATAATTGATTGTAAATGATATAAAGTGCTCAACATTCGAATTGATTCTCCTTGATTTATCAAACCATTCCAATATCCATCAACAGCTCGACTCGACAAATTCGATATATTTTGTATAATCTGAGCAATTTGTTGTGGTTGTTGTGATGGTGGAAGAGCGGAAGATGTTAGAAGATCAGTTGCAACAACATGTTCAAGTGTTGAATGAAGAAGATGAGTTAGACAAGCTATTTGAGTTTTTCGAGTTATTCCAGATTCGGCAATATTTTCCATAAGAATATCGATTAATGTATCTGTTTTTGAGCTATTTGTTTGCAAATTATCCGATATGATTTTCTTGAGAAGATCCATTATCATTTTGACATTTGGTTGTGACAAAACTGAAATGTTTTGGTTAAAATTGAAATTCATTTTTTAAATAAAACTTATTTGAATAAAAATCAGACTGGTACTCCTATGAATGATTTTTTGAAAAATTTGGAAGCCTATTTTTTTCTGGCAACACCCCACCCCAGCCAAGAAACTTACAACTTTGAAAATATTCGGGATCCGGCGAAAAATCATGCGACGCTTTTCTCATTTGTCTTTGTACTCCCATCGAATTCGTATCCTGAATCAACGACGAAAAAAGTGCCAAAATAAATTCATCTGTATGAGCGATTTGGAAAAATGCCGCCGAATTTTGATAGATAAATGTGATCATTTGGATGACAGTATTCGCATTTTCTCCTATTTTTTCTTCTGAATTATGAATTGCTGCTCGACACATTGAAAATAATGGGATCAGAGCATCAAAACAAAAATTGGCTCCATTAATTGCTTCAAAAACCGACGATTTCGAGCTCAATCCAAAAACATGAGTCCAAACTAATTCCATATTAAATTGTTCGCAATATCTTAAATTCGAAATTGGTTGACCAACAAGAATCGACAACATTGCATAATATGGCCAAGGTTTTTCAGCATGCGCAGCCATTAAATGCTCCAACGCTCCAAATCCTCCACAATTCGCAATTTCCGGATTTATATCAATTTTACTTCCAACACTTCCCGAATTCGCTGACACACTGAAACCCAAAACAACAGCAGCTCGATTTCGAACAACTGAATCTGCTTCAGATAACCATCCACCATTTGATGTTCCTTCTTTGAATCTTGCTAATTGAACAGGTTGATTTAGAATAAGTAATAAAATTCGAAGAGCAAGATAAAGAGTTCCAGAATGTACACCAGGTGTCATTAATGCAAAAAGCCAATCGAATCCAAGAACTTTGACAATTTGATCAGAAAGTGTTGCTTGAATTTGAGAATTTGAATTCGATAAAAAATTGGATAACATATTCAAAAGTCGATTTCTGATATAAATCAAATGAATTTTCGAACTTGGTTCCGCCAAAAATAACTTTTGCAATTCTGAAATATGAAATGGCGCTTCTTCGACTTCAGAAGATCCAGATAATGTTGCACCAACAATTTGCCCAATTTTCAGAATACTTTTGGTGTCACATGGAGGTTGAAGAATAGCAGAAATTAGATTGAATACAATTTCGTCGGTATTTTGAGTGATTTGTGGATCATCATAAATTGTTAAAAGAAGTCGAGAAAGAAGCGACGATTTTCGAACTATTTGTAGATTATTGATTTGATGACTGGAAAAAGATTCGGGTATTCGAGGAGTTTTTTTTTGGTAGAAAAAACTCACTCAGTAATCAGCTCATAAAAATGTTCAAACAGCATTTTGTGCAATTCAACAGGCGCCGCTTTCCAAACTTTCAAGTCGCACAACAAATCCTCAAATGCCTGAAAAAAAAGTCTATGGTGTTTGAAACAAGCTTGTCTGAATGATAATTTCGAGACAAAAACTCATCGTAAGTACAATTTTGAAAAAAAAAACTATACCGGTGGATTCGGAATAGTCGCATGCTCTTTGGAAGTATCAGCAGTTCCAGTTACATTAAAAACCATATGCATAATATGCGAATTCAACATTTTCGACTTGTCCTCGAGAAGTACAGCAAGAATTTGATAACTTCGATTATTGTTCAATGTTGCCAATAATTTTGGATTCGACCGAATTGCAGAAACAAGAGATTTGAGAGAGGCATAGAGACCTTCAGAATCAACAGCCATTGCGATAAGACCTGGAAGGACAATATTTAACATTTGAAAGGAAATTTAAATATTAAGATTTGAAATTCTAAATCGCCTAAAACTTTTGTGAGATTTATGAAATGTTCTAATTTTTCAAAAATTCAATTTGTGGCCTATTACGTGGCAATAGATGAATTCCAAATTTTTCATCAGAAAAACTACACTGACCATAAATACATGCAAATCCACCAATCGAATCCAATAAAGATGGCACAGGTCTTGGTGTAAAAGTCCGCATTCCCAAATATCCAACAATAACTCCACCAAAACTTCTTCCCGGTCCTGGTGCGTGCGAAACTGTGTTGGTTAGAACACGAAGCGGTGTACTGTGATCATTTGGAGAAATGCCAAGCTGGAAAAAAAAGTGTGAGATGAAAATTAAATTTGAAAAAAAAAAGTTACATGATGTGATAAAATTTCAGCCTCGATTTTTCCATACATTGCTCGAATTTTGGCAAGAGTTAGTTCTTGAGTGGCAGCAGCAGACAAAGAAAATACTATCTGGAAAAATATATATTGGAACCAAGTCGGAAAGATTGAGAATAAAAATACCTTTGTTTAAATTTTGAAACGTATTTTTCTAGATTATTTTTTTTCAGTTTTGAATACGAAAAACTGGATTTCTTTCGAATTTTTTTTATGATTTAAAAAAATAATCAAGGAAAAAATTCGGATGAAAAATTGTATTCTGATGAATATTTTTATGAATGGGAGTTAACACATCTTTTCAGAAAAATCTAGATTTTTTTGTTCAAAATCTTGCAAACCTTTTCCTCTTGCACCAAAGCCATCGCACATTTCTCAACAGTTTGAAAATTGCCAATATAATGTGGTTGTAATTGATAAACTTGTCTAACACATTCGGGACTCATTGGTTCTTCCACTAAAATAATCGAGGCCATTCGAAATCTCAATCTCGAGGGTCTTCGAAGCGCTGGCAATGTTCCAACTGCGGCATTAACCGCTTGTGTTTGCGCGAGACTCTGCGACGAATTCGTGTTTGCTCCAGCATTTTGCGAGATATACATCAATTTTTGTGTTGCAATATGTTTTCCATTGATGAAAATCGAAACTTGCGAACTTTTCAAAACACTTCGATTGAATATGACAGCAAGATGAAACCATTCTCCAACCCGTACAATGTCAGCCACACAAATTCGGATATTTTTATCATTCATTGTTGATATCGATGCCATTTTCTTTTCCAAATCAGTTCCTGGTTGATCATTTTCATCAGTTGATATTAAAATGCTTCGATCAATTGCGCTCAATTGAACTTGAAAACATGCCAAATTTTTGCTATTATTTTTCTCATTTCCACCAGTAACCGCTCGAGTTATTGTAAGTAATCGAACCGGATGAGGATCCAATTTTTTATCACTCAAAGTATCCAAATAAATCCACGAACAATAAGTGAATCCATTTAGGGGCGGAAATATTCGTTCACTTTTTGTTGGTGTTGAGAAAATTGGTGCCAAAGTTGGTAGATAAATTGCGGCAAAACCTTCAATTGACATGTCGAATTCAACAAAACTTGGAGCTGTTCCAATCTGTTGATCACGCGGAGTCATCATTGAAACAAGTGCTTTGACTCTGCAAAAAATTAAGATAGATAGGATAGAAAATATCGATTTTTAGCTTTTTCAAAATTCAATTTCCACATGGATTTTGACGCCACATTTTGTGAATTCACAAATTTCCACGTGGATTTTAATCCCCACTTTACACACCTTTGCAATGGTACAGGTCCACCTTCATAAATCATAATTTCTCCTCCAATTTCTTCATCCAAACTTCTACAACACAATGGATTATCCAATCTCAAAAATTGTCTCAATTGATTTGGTGTCAATGATTGATAAGACAATCTTTCGAGTAAATAATAAAATGGTTGCATAAGAATATGTTCATTTTGTTGATCAGTGGCTTGAAAAAGTTTCGATGAAATTTCGAGCAAATATTTTGGCATATCAATTTGACACATTATTTGTTGATTTCGTTCACTTTTCAAAATTGTTTTTAATAAAAGTGATACATAATATTGTGCACCAACAGTCCATTTTGAGATTGAATTATTTGAAGATTGTTGATTTTCAGCTCCAATTCCAGGCAATAAATTCAACATCGAAATAATTGCTCCCGGATGAACTAAAATCGATGAATTCCACGTTACAATCGATTCTTCAAGAGTTCCTTCAGTCCATTTTATATCACTTTGCATTTTCTCATAATTATCAAGAGCCATATTGAAAATCAGTCGAATAATATAACAACCAAAATAAATTTTGAATGGCATTCCAGCGGGAACATTTCTGCAAAAAATGAAGAATCTGAAAACTTCTGAAGAAAAAAAAACAAACCCGGCTTCAATATTATCATCCATTTTGAAAACCTCATGACACGCTGAAATTTCATCGGAAATTTCGGATACTCCAATTTTCCATTCTGGTTCAGTTGTCGAGACTACGGTATTTTCGTTGAAAATTGAAGTTAGACGGAGGAGTGAAGTTATACTATCCCATGAAATCTGGAAAATATTTTTTTGGAGTTTTAGATGGTTTTCAGAGTGAAGTTTCCAGAAATTGAAATTTTTGAACGCGAAAATCTGCCTTGAAAATTTAATTTTCATAATCAAATTTTGAAAAGGAAAAATATGGAGAAAATTTTTTTAACGAAAAAATTAGGCCTTTTGAAGCCCCCGTTTTTTTCTGAATCCAAATTTAATTTTTTTTTTAAATCAAATCTCCTACCTCAGATCCAAAATACTTGGCATTCGATGGTTCAAATCGCATACTCAATGTGAAAACCTTGAAAATCAGATGTAAAAATTCCAAAATTTCGCAAAACTCCTTCGAAACTTTCTCTCCATCTCCAACATCCTCAAACTTCTTCTCCAATCCTAAAATTAATGCACAAAGTGCCAAAAATCCTCCAGATTTTCGAAATTGTATTCGAACTTTGTGCGATTCTCGAACAACTCCTAGAAGAGCTTTTAAAAGGCTGAACATTGTCGGAAGATTGTCCAAGGGTGATTTTTCGTTGAGAATCTGGAAACATTGAGATTATTACTTTTTCATTATAACGATTTCTACTTACGTTAACAACATTAACAATATATTGATCAGTTGGTGCAATAATTAATAATTGTTTCAATAATTGTAAAAGTGAACTTCTCCATTCTTCATCAACTTCTCCAATTATTTCAACAAGTAATCTTGCACCAAAACATTCTGTGAATAATTTCCCATTTTCAATATTATTTTTAATAATAATTGTCAATAAATCAGTTGTCAAAAGTGCCAATTTCATCATATTTTCACATTTTTTCGGTTGTTCTTCACGAATTTTTCGAATTATATAACAAAGTGAATCTAATAACCCGACTTCTCGAAATGCATCTTTGATTATTGCATCAATTGTTATTAATTTGAAACACATTTGAACTATTATTGTGCACATTTCAGTTTTTCCATTGGATATTTCAGTTTTCAATAGAACACAAAGACTAATCAATTCTCTACATGGAATATGTGACAACTGAAAAACTGCAAACTCGACTAATTCCACTAACTTCAGTCTAGTTTTCTGGGTTTTTCTTTCCAATTGATCAATAAATATTGAAAGTGGATATTCGCGATCCAAAATGAAATAATTTGCATGATCACAACTATAAATTGATTGAAGAATATCGATTACTGTACAGCTAACTTGCTCATTTGAACTCTGCAAAAAATATGATAAGGTAAATTCAGTCTTCTTAAAATCATATAAAAATACCTCAATAAAAACATGATAAAGTAGTGAAAAGGCGTTGAGATTTCGAACACTTGAACCATTTCCAATTGGCTGAGGGAGTTGAAAATTAGGAAGTTGTACAAGGCCACTTGTCCATTGTGGAAGAATTTCGAATTTTCCCGATGTTATTAGAGAGATTGTCATTATTAGAATATTTCGCACAAGTTCTTCATCTTTTTCATTTCGTAGCAAGAATTCTTTGATCATTGTGTATCTGGAAAATATATTGTTTTTTTGTTAGTTTTTTTAGAAACTCACTTGGGATTTTCTTTCGAACAGAAAGAATTTTATCATTTTCAGCCGGATTGGGAGAAAAATAAATTGAGAAATGAGTGAAATGGTGAAACGTGTAACGTTTTTTTGCAAATTAAAACGTGAAATTCTTTTTTTTTTTTGAAATAAGCTCATTTCCAGATTTTTTGTTCAGTGAAAACTCACCCATCTGCCTCGTAAAATTCTTGCAATAACTGATCCGTCAAATACGCTGAATTTTTCAAAAAACACGCCAAACAAATAATCGCCTCAGCCGTTTTTTGTGCATCCAAATTCGCCTGACTCAAATTCTTCACATAAATTCGCACACATTTTTTGACCACCACATATTTTATAATTGCATTCGTTAGCGATTTATCGGCAATAACTTCGAGTAGTTTGGCACAAAGTTTTCGCCAATTATTATTGTTTTCACTGACTTGTGAAGTTGTACCAACAAAAAGTAGAAGAAGATCATCTTTTCGAACGAGTTCTTCCGAAACACATCTGCAAATTTTAATTTCAGCAGAATTATTTTAGATAATTTGAGTTTTTTAATCCCTACTTGAATTTACATAATCCTTCCATTATCGTCGACACCATTTCATATAATTCTTCCCTTCGATTTTCTGGATTCTCAGCGGCTGGAAGGTCGAAAAATAAATATATTGTTTTCACGAGAGTTGATGGAAGTGATACTTTGCACGCAGCATTTATCATAACTTCGTCTTCTCTGAATAAGAAAAATATTTAATTGTGGGAGAAAATTCAGAAAAAACTCACGCTGCTAACAAAAATCGAATACTTTCTAGAATCGGCCATCCCATTTTGCCAGGTTCTAGAAATTCGGAAATACTTTGAGCGGCTTCGATAGTTCCACTTGACGCAGCTCTTTGCCTAACTTCTTTCACTAGAACACTACATAAAAATGTGGCAAAATGTACAATTTCTTTAAATTCGATTGCTAATTCTTGTGATGTATACATTGACATAACTTTATGAAAAAGTGGAAGAAGCCTGTTGGGATCATTTGGCCGAGCTCCGGAAACTGGAATCTTTAAATATTCCGAAAACGTTTTCCGGAGATGTAGAAGAGAAAGCGTTCTTTCATCACCCATTCTTCATTCGCTTTTTCTCTACTCTGAAAAATTACAATATTAAATGACACCTATGCTGTTTCAAAACAACAAAAAACACCTATTCCATCGCAAAAAACAAGAAAAACACCGATTTATTGATTGATTACCACAAATAAAAAAATGGCCGAACATTTGCATTCAAAAAATATCGGCCACGTCCCCCAAATTTTTATTTTTCGTTTTTTGAAGCGACTACAAAATTTCAGCTGAAAAACCCCAAATGAAAAAAATACTGGAATGTCGATATTATTCACATCAGAGCAAAAAATGGCGAAAAAGAGGAAGAAGGTGGCGAGAGAGTGCGCAGTGTTGAGAGTGTGCAGAGAAAAAGAGCAGAATGGCACATCTTCTTTTTCCTCTAAATTACTCTAATATATTCTTGTTTTTTTTTCGGGCATTTTTGGCAGCTCTTCGTTCTTTCGTTGGCCCTAAAAATGATACTAGAATTGAAAAAGGAAATTGTTTATTATGTTGATTGATCGATAAATACATATTAGATTGCAAGGTACAAAAAATTGAGCATAGTTCATAGAAAAGCTTGTGAGTTATTAAATATGTTTATATTTGGTGAAAAGGAGATGAAGAAGTCGAAGGGTACTTTTAACATCGCCGTTGGCAATATCTTGAACTCGACTTCTTGGTTTTTGAAGTCCAGCATCTTCCATTAGTTTGAAAGCGAATTGTACATTTTTCACTTTTTCTTCGTGATTTTGAACCTGAAAAAAATTGCAAGGATTTCGGAGTAAAAATTAAAAGGAAAGGTCAGAAAAATTTCAAAATTATACGGAAATTTCTGAACGTGACTTCCTGATCAATTCTGAGAACACCGAATTGAAAAAAAAATTAGGGCTGCACGTGGGGCACCCCGCGATGAAACACCGTGCAAAAAATCGCTTGCCCCCTCGCCCCTTCGCCCCCTCGCCTCTTTGCCCCCTCGCCCCGTTGCCCCCTCGCCCCGTCGCCCCTTCGCCCCGTCGCCCCCTCGCCCCCGCTTGTAACTGTGTGTGGTGAAGAAATGAAAGAAGATAGAAGCGCGCACACAGTTACAAACGGGGGCGAGGGGCGACGGGGCGAAGGGGCGAAAATGGGGCGAGGGGGCAAAGAGGCGAGGGGGCAAAGGGGCGAGGGGGCAAAAGCGTGGCGGGGCGAGGGGGCCGCCCCCACGCCCCATCGTGCAGCCCTAAAAAAAATAATTTAATTTTTTCGCAAATTTTGTCACGTCACAACTTTTTTCGGGTTTTTGGAATAATTTTTTCTCTACAAACCTGCAAATTGAAATGATAAAGCGGCACAAAATATCCTTCCAATAATCCGACTAATAGCACCAAAAAGACACCATCTTGGAATTGATGATCCAAATCCGAAACTTCGAGATTTATCTTGTTCAAATGTTTATTGCAAAACGCGAGAAGAGAGGTTTTAACATGTGCCAATTTATCCGGTCCATAATCAAAAAGTGTGTCAAAAGCATCACGTTCTCCTTTTGGCGCCAATTCAGTTTGTACAGTCGTAATTTGTTCAGTAATTCGATGAGTTTTAATTTGTCCGTGCTCTTTTTCAGCGACAACAACATTTGCAACTACATTGTCTGGAAAACGAACTGGAGCACGGTAATGAAGAGCAAGAGCAACAAGAAGTTGAAGAATTGCAGTGATATCCTTTTCATGAACCAATTCAGCAGTCCATTTGTGCTCATTTTGTTGTTGATTAATAACTCGATTTGCAGTTTGGATAACAATTTGGAGTTTTTGTCGTTGTCCTTCTTCAGATTGTGACACTTCCGGAACTTCAATTCTAATTTGTTCCAATTTTTCCAACAATTTTTGGATAATTTGTCCATCATACATATCTTCTTGAATATGTCGAACGACAATTCGTTGATCAGCCAATTCTTCATTGAGCCAATAAATCAAAAGATCGACAACTTGACCGATTTTTGGATCACGGGCGGTTTCTTTGGTGAGGTATCGACGGGTTTCGCCTAGAAATTGGGACTAATTTTATGTGGTGCATGGGAAGTTTGATTTGGCCTACAGTATGTAAGTTGATTAATGTGGCACAATAAAAAAAACTAAATTGGACTTTTTTTCTGAAAAGTAGATTATTGCTGATTTTTTTTGGGTATCCCAAATAAAAGTTGAAGAATTTTGAATTTTTCTGATCTTGAACATAAGTCCAGAAACTTTATGAAATACTAAAAATAATTAATTTTGAAAAATTTCTACTCATTTTTTAATCAGATACTCTCGTTCGAAAAATTTTGGATTTATTAGGAAAGTTTAAACTTTAGATTACTGTATCTAAAAATCATTTCAAAAACTCACCTTCTTCAAGCCAAATATTTTTAGCCAAAGTTGGAATTAACGATGAATCCAAAGCTTGGCGTCCTTCCAATTCGAGCTGAATTTTTTTTAAATTATTTTTTTATTAATCAAAATTCAGCTCACCTCCAAAACCTCATTATCATCCAAATGTTCATCTTCTCCACTTGCTTTTTTGTTTTTTCTTGACAATGTTCCAGTCAATTTGTCCACAAAACTCTCTTTTTTCTTTCCTTCTGGTCCCGGTGTTCGTCTGCCCAAAGTCGACATTTATGCGATCTGAAAATCCTGGCTAAATTTCGCAATTTCTAGTAAAAATCATCAAAAATCAGTGGGTGGTGGATGGACTAAACAAAGTTGAAGAAGAGGGAAAAGAAAATAGAATGAGCCTACACCAAAAAGTGTAATACAAGGAAAGAAATAGTGTGTGAAGCGATGAGAGGCGAGAGAGAAAAAAGTCGAATGCATATAAATATGAGAAAAGGGAGAGAGAGATGGAAGAGAGAGGGCAGAGAAAACGAGATAAATATTCTAGTACAGTACTTTATGATGAAAAAACTGATTTAAAAAAATAATTTATGAAATCTTGCGAAAAATAAACAATTAAAATTTTCAGATTCAAACTTTGTATCTGGCTTGCGGTCCTCCTCGTGAAATTTGTGCAGTCTGGAAAAATAACGATTAGGGTATTTGGAAAAATTCACATGATTAGTTGGAAATTTTACGAATTTTTCCACGAGCAAACTATGCAATTATAGCTCGAAAAATATTTGTACCAAAATTTATAAACCCTTCTCCAATTTTCCGCCCCAAAAAAAACTCACCAATTGTCTGAAAGCCTCTTTCAAAATACGAACAATTTCTTCTTTCGCAACTTTCAAATTTCTCTCCGATCTTGCCTCAATCAAAAGATGAAGTCTTCGATCATCTCCTTTGATTTTCTGCCCATTTGGAATATGTTTTCCACGTACACTTATTCCAACATCCGCGAATTCCGCAATGTGTCCAACAGATTCCTAAAAACATCAATAGAAATGATATATAAAATTCAAAAAAAAAAATGAGAAAAGGACTCACCCGACTGCAAATTTTATATCGAACTTGTTGCGGGAAATCATTAATATCCCATTCTTCCTCAAAATATTCCCATTCCTCTTCTTTTTCTTTAACCGGCGCAACTTGGTCTCCAACATAATTCAGTTTTTCATTCAATTTGTCTGCCATTTGTTTGGCGATCATTGCTTTTGAGACTTCAGCCGGAGCGATTTCGCCACCCTGGAAACAATCGATTTTTTGTTGAGAAAATCAAGAATTTGTTTTTTTATCGGCTGAAAATTCTCAACAATTATTTTTGTCGCAATCTTTCAGGTTTAGAAAAAATACAAAGTTTTTTTGATATTTGTGTTTTCTTTGCTCAAATTTTTTAAAGAATTGCTTAGTGAAAACTTTCATCATTTCTTTTTTCGAACTCCTATTTGTCCCCGAAAAATTCCCGAACTTACTCTCATAACAGCTTCAGCCGTTTTTTGTGCATTATCTTTTTCAACAGCCACAATTTTAGCAGTCATCAACTTCGATTGCAATTGTTCAGCACGTTCTTTGGCCAATGCTATTTTATCCGCCGTTTTTTCGCTCATTCTCTTTCCTTCTGCATTTTGTCCTCCCATCATTTTTCCAGTTACAGTTCGCCGTTTTGTTTTTATCATATTATTGAGTTGTTCATCGAGATCATCATCATCGTCACCTCCGTTTTCCATGCCGTGCACCTAGAAAAATTTGAACTTTGAAATTTTTGTAAAAAAAATTGTGAACTAATTTTTTCAGAGACGTCCAATTTTTGTATAAGTTTTTTTAAATGCAAAAATTAACTGATTTCAATGAGAATATAGTTTTGGATAGAATTTAACCTTCAAATTTTTTTGTGAAATCAATCTTCAAAGTTATTCAAAATATCTCACCAATCTAGCCAATTTCTTCTTATTCGCATCCGCTTCAGCTTCATCTTCATCATATTTATATCCACTTCCAGAAAATCCTTTTCCACCTAATTTCACTTCTTTTCCTTCAGCTTCCATTTCCTTTTTAAATCTTTCAAACATTGCTTTCAATTCAGGCGGTGCTTTACATCCAGCAGTTTCAAAAGCTCGACAAACTTCACCGGCCATTTTTTCTTGGTGTTCTGGTAGAATGAATGTGTAAGCATAACCTTTTCTCCCAGCTCTTCCAGTTCTTCCAACTCGATGAACATAATCTTCATAATGATTTGGACAATCGTAATTGACAACAAGAATCAGATTTTTGACATCAAGTCCACGAGCAGCGACAGAGGTTGCGACCTGAAATTAAACAAAAATTGAATTGAAGTGGGAAAATGAAAAATTATCGACTTACTAAAACTCTGATAACTCCAGTTTTGAAATCAGTAATTGTAGCATCTCTATCAAATTGATCAATTCCACCATGCAACGGAGCCACAGATGTATATCCAGTTTTAATCAAACTATCAACAATTTCATCAGCCTTTTCTTGTTTATCAACAAAAATGATTGCCGAACCTTGCTCATAGTAAATTCCAAGTAATTCCAAAAGTTTCAACAATTTCTGATGTTCACTAAGAATTGTGGCATTTTGAGTAACATCCGAACAAACAACACTTTTCCCGCCGACTAAAATCTCAACTGGTTTATCCAGAATCTTTCTCGCCAAAGCTTCCATTTGTTTCGGAAAAGTTGCGGAGAATAAAATGGTTTGTTTGTCGGGTCGAATATTATTGACGACTTTCATAACTTGCGGTTCGAAACCCATATCGAACATTCGATCAGCTTCATCAAGAACCAAATAAGTGACACGTCGCAGATTTGTAACTTTTCCTTAAAAAATTTTAAATTTGATTTTAGAGATAGGTGGGAAATTAAAAAGTAAGGGGCTTACTAAATCTAGATTTACTGTTTCAAAAAAAAATCCCTGTTATTTGAAACTTACCACTATTAGCTGCCAACATATCAATCATTCTTCCAGGCGTGCACACAATGATTTCAGCTCCTCTTTTCAAATCGGCAATTTGTTCTGAAATTCCAACACCTCCGTAAACACAAACTACTCGAAGACCCAAAACCTGCAAAAATATTAGTTTGCTGGAAAAAAGTATTTTCTAATACTTCACAACGTGGTCTGAAAACTCAAGTATAATTCGAAAATTACAATTGTGAATCCATGAATTTCAATAATTTATACCTTTGCAAATTTGTTAGCCTCTTTCCATGTTTGCATTGCCAATTCTCTCGTTGGTGCCATTACAACTGCAATCGGACCATCGCCTTCTTCCAATTCTGGTTGATCTAAAATATGTCTAAACATCGGGAGTAGAAATGCTAATGTTTTTCCACTTCCAGTTTTTGCGATTCCAATAACATCTCGACCAGACATAATACATGGAATTGCTTGTGCTTGAATTGATGTTGGTTTTATATAGGAATGTCTGAAATAATAAAATATTCAATTTTAAATCAAGAAAAAATGCATACTTTTTCAAAACATTCATCATTTTCAAATTCAATCCACATTGTGCCCAAGTTCGAATTGGTTTCGGACAATCGACTCCTTTTACAGTAATACTATCCAATTCTTCGCGATATGCTTTCACCTCAGCTTTTGTCATATTTTTAATCTCTTCTGTCTCAATATAAAAGTTCTTTCTAAACTTTCGATAATAGATTTTATTATGATCAGTCGCTGCTAACATTCTTCCTTTATGACAAAGTGAAGCAGCTGCAGTTTCAATATCAAAATCATCGATAACAATATCAGTATTATCTTCATTTTCTAGAACAACTCCTTTTTCTTGGATATCTTTTTCTTTTGGTTCTTCTATAATTGTTACAATTCCTCGCGATTTTTCCTTCGATTTTTTAGATAATCCAGCCATAAATGCATCTAAAGGATCTTCCTCATCATCGTCTTCAACTTCCATTTTTGTCTCAATTTTTGGCGGAGGAGCATTTAAAGTTTCAGTTGTACCATTTCCATTTGTTTCAGCTGGAAGATCGAGATCATCATCATCTTCATCTTCTAAATTCCATGTCTTTTTCTTCTGTTCTTTCTCTTCATATTGTTGATCCAACTCATCCTTTTTTCTTTTTGCTCTCCATAATTCAACATTTCTTCTTCTTGCATCCATAAGTTTATCTAAATCCATACTTTTCATTCCAACAATATCATCAACATCATTATTTGTTTCTTCAACTTCAAAAGTCGCCACTTTTGGCTCTTTCTTTCGATCATCTCTAGCTCTTTCTCTATCCCGATCCCGTTCTCTATCTCGATCTCTTTCTCTCGAACGTTCTCTTTCCCTTCGTCGTTCTCTTGATCGATCCCGCCTAGGAGATCTACTTCTACTTCGCTTTCTTTCACGTTCTCTCGACCTATCTCGGTCCTTCTTTTTGCTCTTACTCTCTTTTCGACTGCTCCGATCCCTCGACCTTGATCTGGAACGTGCCATCTGTAAAAACCAAAATGAATTTGAAACGAACTAGAAACACGTTTTACGCTTGCTGCAGAAAAACAAAAAACTCGAAAATAATTATTTTCGAAAAAAAGTAAAACAACGATACTCCGCTTGCCGGTTGTTTAGCGGCGCGCGAAAATGTGGCGTTTGAAATGGTTTGTATGCGCATTTTATTTTTTTTGCTCTCTTTTTGCTTTGTCACGCCATAGTTTTAATCAAATTTTCAAGATTACTTCGAAGTAGATAATACTGAAATGTATTTACGATTCTCAAATCCATTTATCATTGCATTATTCCTGTAGATCGTGCAAGAAGACAATCACCCACTCATGATTTTCAATATTTGTCTCTAGATTTCTGACAAACGATTTTTTCTCATTTCTGCTTTCTCAAAGAAATTCGATAAATTTCCAGATATACTAATCGAATTTTTCCTGTTAAGAACTATTTCTCACACAGAAATCAGTTTTTAATGAGCTCGGTCGAGAGAACTTTCGGAAGTGAGATTGGAAATACTATGACCGCTTCCCAAACAACTGAACAATCATCAGAGTAAGTTTTACACGTCAAATCTACGATTTTTTAGCGCATAAACATTCCCTCTGCAAAAATAACCTCTCAAACACGCAAATGCGCTCCACCGAACACCGCCGCTTTTCAAAATCCAAAGATGTTTATTTAACGCCGTGTGTTCGTTTCTTACCTCAACTAATTAATTTTCAGAGTTTCATTGGTCAAAAAATTGGAAAACAACACTGAAACAGAAATTCAAGCTGATACTTCGATGGAGAAACCGGCTGAGAATGGTTTGTTTATATAATTTATTTCAATTTTTCTGAAAATTTTTGTTAAAAATTGTTTTTTTTCAGGATCTTCGAAGCCGGGTTCATTAATGGGCAAAGTTTTGGCTGTTGAAGTTTACAGTTTGATTCAACAAAGTTAGTTTTTATTTGCATTCATTTCCAATTTTTTTTTAAATGTTCTCAAAAGTTTTTTTTTTTAAAAGACGAAAAAATTTTTAGTGGGGTGAGAAAAAAAATCGATTTTCATGGTAGAATGAGTTTATTTAGTGTGTTTGGAAGGAAAAATAATATTTCAGTTCATAAAATTGAATATTTTCAGATCACTCCAGCGAAGAAGATCTACTCGACGATCTCGAAGATTTACTAGATGATGGTTTTTTTATCGGTGAATTTGTGCTAAATTCTGGAAAAGAATATGAGGTGAAAAGTAAAGAAAAACGTGGTGGAATGACACTTTATACAATGACGGATGGATCGAAAATTGGAAATCGAGATTTGAAAAGAAGGAAAGGAATAAATAAGGATTATTTGAAAGGAATTTTGGAAAAAGATGCGAAATTTGATGGAAAAACATGGAAAGTTTCGGATGAAGTTACTCAAAATTATCAATTGAAACAAAAATTGGCACCAATTTTCACAACAAACACTCCAAAATCAGCGAAAAAAGAAGAAAAAGAGGAAAGTTCGGATGAAGAAGAGGAAGATGAAAGACCTAAAATTGTGTTCCAAGGGAGAGTTTCTGTTGGAGCACAACCTTCGAAAAAAGCATTGTTGAATCAACAGAAAAAATTAGAGAAGGAAAAGGAAAAAGCGGAGAAAAAGAAGATTGCTGAAGAAGAAAAGAAAAAGAAAATAGAAGAAAAAAAGAAGGAAATGGAAGAAAAGAAGAAGGAAAAAGAAGCTAAAAATGCTGAAACCAAAAAGGATAAAAAGACGAAAAATGGGGTATGTTATATTTTCGGACTGTTTTTGGACAAAAAAAATAATATGAACCAGAAGGTCTCCGCCGGCTATCGCCGGCTCCTCCTTCTGGGTTGTCGCGGCTTCGCGCTCAGTATTCTTTTTATAAACAGTTAGTTACTCTGAAGTCCTGTTAAGAATGGAAAACTAAAAGTGTTTCATTTAGATTTTGAACAGATGGTTGAGAAACCGAAAACATGTATCAACAATATGCAACATGATCACTTATCTGTTTTTTCCTATATAATTAAGCTTTTAATGAAATCACGAACAGTGGTTGATACTTTTTCTGATCACACAAACGTCGCCCTCACCTTTTTTCAAAAAGAGGCAAAAAATCACTTAGAGAGTGCCAAACGATCACAATCCCTCTCTCAACTCTTTTGAGAACATTTGAAAATTGAATTTCAGCAATAGCCGCTGAAACTTTCACACACACCTAGCGAGAGAGTGTCCTAAAATTTCTGTGCAGCGTGGAAACTTTTCCAAAAAATTGTGCAGCGTGAAATTTTGAATTTTTGAAAATTGTCATCAAAATTCGCTGAGAATCAAGAAAAACTAAACTTTTTCGTGAAAAAATGTACAGTGTGGCTTTTGAAAATTTTTGTACAGTGACTTTTTTTTTCTGAAAGCACACCTGATCTGGACATTTAAGCCATTTTATTTTACACGGTATTTCACTGTTTTTTCGAAAAATGAAATTTTTTAACCAATGTAATAATCAGAACACACTCTTTCAAAATTCGTATTTTTTGCTCAGACTCCACTTTCAAATGAAAGAGGATTTGTTTCATCCCTTCTTTTCCTTTTACATCATATCTCTATCTTGAAATCCGTTCAATAAAAATTGGAAGAAAGTTGAGTAGTTCGATTTCAAGATAGAGATTTGATGTAAAAGGAAAAATTGATAAAAAGACATCTTCTTTCATTTAAAAGCAACTTCATATTTTCCCCTATTTCTCCTTCAAGAAAGAGTTCTCTCAGAAAAATCTTTCATCCGCTATTTCACCTCTTTCAAATCACCCACTTGACCGCCTTTGAATGTTTACTTTTTTGTTTGGTTCCAAAGCGGCCCAGGATCAGCTTAACCTTGCCAAAAAACCTAGTAAACCGAATATTTGAAGGAAGCATGAAGCATGTTCTTTGCCTTCTATTTTCTATCATCATGCCCAGCCTATTCCATTACTGTACATCGCTGGGGGTATAATTGTTTCTCTTCTTTCTTCTCTTTTATTCCGAAGAAGACACTTATTTACTTCCCAGCTTTCTGGACTAAATCTGAACCGAAACTCACGATAAAATACGATACAGTTCATCTTCTTCCATTCATTGGAAACCATTTTCATCTGAAGTTTCAAATAACTAATGAAAATCTACAGTAGTTCAACTTACTTTGTTTTCTATTAATTTACCCAACCTATTAGGAAGAAGCTATCATCGAGAAATGACTCAAAATGTTTAGCTTCTTCAGAAAATAGAAAACGATCAGATAAGAAACGTGTCCTTTAATTTTTTTTTTGAATAAAAACGTGATCATTCTTTTTTACATGAAAAAAGTTTTGATTTTTCACGTGAAAACTCGCGCACTTTTCGAAAAATCGAATATTAGCGCATCGATGGGAAAGAATTTGGGATCGAATGGTGAAGGTCTCATGAAAAACGGACTTCTGGGGACAGAGCAATCTCGAGTGGAACATTTTGAAATCAAAAAATACATTGATTTTTCTGACTCTCTTGAAACTTTCAACTCTCCGCGCACTCACAGAACCTCAATCAAAAATCCAAGAAAAATACCTCGAGGTGCCATGCAAAGCTATCTTTTCTTTTTTCGATCATCAATTTTTATGAAGTGGAAGCTGAGAACGGGCCCCGGACAAACTATTTTCCGAAAAGCATGTTTCCAATTAGTATATAGTAGATTTTTGCAGAACTTGGATGCATTCTTGAAAAAATCCGAAGATTCCTCCACATCTCCTGGAAAATCTGCACCAATTTTCAGTCAACAAAAAGCTGCTCAAAGACTTGCTAATGGTATCAAAAAGTTGGAAGAAGCTTGGAATAAACGAGATCAAGAGGCATTCACCGAAGCTTGTCAATGGTGTGAAAAACAGTTGTCTGGTATTCAAGTCACCAAAATTGAAAATGAATTATGGAGATATAGTGTGCAGAAAATGGTTGATAAAACAAAAGATCAAAATGGAATCAAAAGTTTGAAAGGAGAAAAAAGACAAGAGTTTCGAACAAATGTAATTGATAAGAGAAAAGAGTTGTATAAAGTAATGGATCCAAAAATAAGAGCACATTTTTCGGAAGATTGGTCACAAGATGATTTGATTATTGCAGCTGGACCTGCTGGAAAAATTGCGAAGTTAGATATTCCAAAATCAAGTGTACCTTTAGAAACCACAGAATTCACAATTGATGCAATGGAAATCACACAATTCTTTGTTGCAATGTCAAATCTAATTGGATTTACTCACGATGTTTCTATCGCACGATTCGAACAAGCTATTCAATCTGGATCTGAAGGATTCAAAGATTGTTTATATCATATGTATGAATCACTTATTCTTGGATTTTTAATGGATTCGGATTATCGAAAATTGGCTCATGCTAATATTCGACTCGCCGAATTTAAATGTAATGAGAATACGATTTCCGAGATGTTTAGAGCATTTTTCATTGGAGAATTTGAATTGTAAGTTTTTGTTTTTTACGGGACAATGTTAGTCGAAGAATATCAATAGAATACGTTTTTTAGAGTTCCAAAGAAAGCGAAATCTGGAAATGCGGAAACAAACGAAGAAGAAAATCAGGAACCAGTTGAAAAAGAAGAAAGAATGGAAATTGATATGGAACAAAATACTCAACAAGAAATAGTAACTGGACATTTTTCTGAAGAAGAAAGACAAAAAGTATTATCTTGGTTGAATACAGGAATGCATTTACAAAATCTCACAGCACCCCAACATATAGAACTATTGCAATTATGTATTCGAATTATGCTTCAAAGTGATGTTATTCGAGAATATCATCAACGTGATGTTGTCACTGAAGAATTAACAGAATGCAAAGATAAAATCAAAAAACTATCAGAAGAATTAGAAGAGAAGAGTAAAGAATTAGCTGAACTTCCACCGGCTCCTGAAAATATGGAAGAATTATCGAGAACCGCATCGAGAGATGCGGCTGTTGTTGAAAAGAAAAGAGAGAGACTGGAAAGAAATATTGAAGAACTTCGTGATTCGATTGAACAATGGCAAAATAAACTGACAAATGAGAGATTGAATATACAAAGATGTTTGAGAACATTCTTTATTGGAGAAGATCGACATTTCCGAAGATATTATCGGCTAAATTTCAATTCTGATTCAGGACTTTGGATTCAAGATGTAAGTTTTTAAAACGAAATTTGGAATTTTTCGGTTATTTCTCTTATGGCTGATTCTGAGAAAATAATAGAGAACTTTATTTTAAACAAAAATTTCAAACTGAAATAAACATTAAGATGTTTCAGTTTGGCACAACATCCTATGAAAAATGGGCGATGCAATGCACAACTCTTGGAATGACAAATTTCGAAAATCAATCACCCGAAAAATTGCCTGAACATATTCAAGAAAATCCAACACAAGAAAAATGGTTCAAAATAATCGATGAAGAAAGTTTGAAACAACTTGAAACATCGCTTTTCGAAAAAGGAGTCAGAGAACGAAATGTGAAGAAATATTTGCAAAAAAATATTGATTCAATTAATATGAGTGTGCGGAAATATGCGGATAAACAAAGATCGGCGAGTAGAAGCAATAGGTAAGAATAATATAAACTAATTCCTGAAATCTTGAAAAAATTATAATATTTTTTAGCCCTGAAATAACTCAAAATGGAGAAGAGGAAGAAGATGAAGATGAGGAGGAAGAAACTGAAGAACCGGTACAAACTGTGGAGAAAATTGAATTTTCAAATGGCGAATTTTTCACAATCAAAACTTCGATTCAAAGTTTGTGTCAGGATTTGGAAGAATCTGAAATTTTCATGGCTGGAAAAACTGAAGAATTTGACAAGAAATTGGAGAATGCAAACAGTTTGAAAGATATCAAGGAAGTTTTGGTGGATTTTGTGCAAAGTGTGAATTCGAGATATATTTTGGAGAGAATTCCAATGAAAGAAGCTTTGCAGACAAGTAAGAATTATTAAAATTCATTACAGAAGCGCCTTGAAAGATTCTATACAAAAGAGCAGCGCCTGAAAATCCTAGCCTTCCCAAAATTAATACAATTTTTGCAGAACAATTCTCATGCCTTTTCATTCCACGATTTACTGATCGAATTCGAGAATCAATTTCAACTTCAGCATTGCATCTTCTACTTGATTTCTTTGATTCGAGAATTGATAGAAAACGAACTATCAAAAATCAACCATGCAAATATTGCAAGCGAAAAACTGGAAATGCAATCAAATTGATGTGTCAAGGATGTTCAATGGTTATACATTCGAGATGTGTTCGACCGAAAATTGCAAATTATTTGTTAGATAACACGGAATATCGATCAAATTGGATGTGTAATCCATGTAATCGAGAAAAAGCGGCGAGATTGAAGAGAGAAGCTGAAAAGGCTGAAAAAGAAGAGAATGCGGAATCAGATGAGGATGAAGATGAAGAAGAAGTTGAAGAAGAAGAGGAGGAAGAAGAAGAGGAAAATGGAAGAAAAAAGAGAAAAGCAAAAAGAAAGGCAAATGAAGCAATTCATGAGGCAATGACTGAAACATGGAAAGCTTTTGAAGCAAAATCAAGAAATCCACAACAACAACAACAACCACCAACTAAAAAGAAACCAATTGAACCCGAAATTCGTGAATTATTTGAATCTATTGAAATGTCGAATCCAAGATTATATAAAACATTGCAAAAAGTAAATGTTCATAATGGATATGGCGGAAAAAATGTGATGAGTTTATCCGAAATTGAAGAAAAATTATCGACATATTCGACGAAAACAATCAAAAAATTGCGAACCGATATTATTGCATTTTTGAATGTGGCACGCGATGAAATGGAAGATTCGGGAAGTCGGAAATTGGATGATGTTGATGAATTGATCTCGAAATTTGATGTTTAACTATTTTTTTTCGATTCTCGTTTGTTTGATTCTATTATTGAATACCTCTTTATTTTTTGTACAATGAAAACTTTATTTATTTTGAGTGTTTTTTTTTTTACAAAAATCGAAATGTTGATGTTCCATAGGATTTGGAAACATTAGTGACCAAAAAGCTGTCAACTTTCAATTTTTTGAATCGGTATTTTCAGAAAAAAAAAACATTTTGTTGAAATACAGATTTTCAGAAAGAATGCTTCAATCCCCTTTGCAAACCCACTATGACATTGTTTTTCTTTGAACTCTGATCAGGGACAGCATACTGTAGATTACCCACCCAGAACACTTACTTCACTCGAAACCCAACCATTTTTGCGAATTAATAAAATTTGAAATATTTTATTTTTGTTGGATTTTCACGCGAACGTGCCGAAAATTAATTAAATGTTCCATTTTTATAAATTTACACAAATGAAAAAAATTCGGAAATCAGTATTATTATGTCAAAATGTCAAGGTTGCTATACAGTACCTGGTTATAAATAAATTACAGTATTTTTGTTACAGTAAATGTTTATCCAAATTATTTATTTTCCTACAGGGTTACATAAAAGTTCCTCAAACTTTTGATAGAAAATTCCAGATTCGGACTCTACAGTATCTACAGTAACCTGTAAAACCAACAACAAGACATTTCGAAATCTATTCGATTTTTTTTAAAACGTAACTCATGATAATCATCGGCCCGATATCGGCTAAATAATGTTTTTATTATCAATGACTCATTCCCAGAAAAAAAAGTCAAAATATTTTTATTCTTGTGTTTTTGAACAAAATTATCTTGGGATATACATTTTTAAAAACATTTCAATATTTACTTCTGCATACAAAAAAATCAACTCTAAAAATCATGTACAGTAACCCAACCCCCCTTCCCCCTCCTCTCAATCCATAAAAAAAAGGCCATACTTATTTTTCGCCGAACATGTGTTATTCAGTTGACAAATCAAAGAAATATCGTAATTTACAATTGCAAGAAATAAACGAAACTCCGCTTGTCTTTAGCTTTCGCGCGCGGCACTAGTTTCAAATAATTTATTGACCACCATGTGTGCTTTTGTTTATTTTACTGCATTTTTTTTGGTGATTCACACCATTTTTTTGGGTGTGAGAAAATTGAGAAGTTCACTTTTTTTCCTTTTCAGATTTTTTTTTGTTTTTGTAGCAATATGGACTACAAAAAATTTAGGACAAGGTCTATTCCAAAAATCAATTTTTTCAAGAATGAGTTTTGTGTTTTATTTTGAATGAAAGTAGTTCCGAAGTCACCTTTTCTGATCTAGAATTCTGAGACTCTCATTTTTCTATATCTGATCAAAACAATTCAGACCAAAATATCTTCGTGAATAACGTTTCAAAAAAAAAGTAATTTTAAATTTCGAAACCACAAAGTTTAAGCTAATAAATTTAGATAATATATTTTTTCGTAATGTTGTTTTGCTGTTGAAAAATCCACAGTTCCGATTTCGCAATACCAGTTGACTACCCACGAAGAATCTAGCCTCAATGTATTTCAAGAAAAACAACGTTTTCCTCCTTTTTTTTCAGATAAAATGACTACAACTCGTTGGAATATCGAAACTCTTCTTGGTTTGGCACAAAGATACATCTTGAAAACAGTAAGATTCTCTTCTTCCTTCAAACAATTTTCCAACAAAGATTCTATAATTTCCAGAGATTGTCACCAAATCATGTGGCTCGCATCAAAAAATCTTATCCAAAAAATGAGATTCTTTGCAACTCGAAAGCATTGGAAGTTCTTCAATCTCTTATTGAAAAATCTGGAAACAATTTAGAAATCTACGGAACACCCGAAGAATTGCTGAAAGATTTGGAGACGTTCGGAGATTTTCCGATGAATGCAGAATTTCATGGATTGGGACCAGATTGTTTGAATTATTTAGAATCTCCAAAGTGTTATTGGGATCAAAATGGAAATGGATTTATGTCAAAAATGGATGTTTTTCTGAATATTTATGGGAATTTATCAGTTATTGAAAATGATGGAGATGAACTTTTGAATGAATTATTGATGTCGTGGGGAAATCGATTTTATAGAAAATTGAAAAACTTTTATCGATTTGTTAGTTTGGAAGAGGCTGAAGAAATAACTCGAGATTCTGTTCGAACATTCAAAAATTGTTCTAAAAATGATGTGAAGTTCGACTCAATTGACGTTTTGTTTTCAACAATTTCCAAGTTTTTCGATTCAACGTTTGACAAAACTTTGATGGAAAAACATAGAAAATCACTTTTGAATTACAAAAAAACAAAACCATTTTCGAAAAACCACGAATTCTACAAGGAAATATATCAAAAACATCAGAAAATCGATAACATCTTGAAGAATTTGATAAATCAACCTATTTTTGAAGAATCTTATGGAAGTCGTGTTTGTCGAATTTTTGACGATGAAGGAAATATGTTTATGATGAAAGAAGAAGTTGAAATCGCAATTGGAAGAAGAATTGATGAAGGAGAAAATTTGCATATTGGATTTTTGGAAACTTTAGAAGTTGAAAAATTCGAAAAACTCTTGAATGAATTTGAAATTAAAAAGAATGATATTCATGTGAGTTGTTTTTTGAAAGAGTTTTGAATGGGACCCGATTTTGAGGATGTGACACCATATTAGTTTAAAAAAACTGAAAAAAATTTCACACCCAATCTGAGCTTATAATTTTTCTTCATTGAATCAATATTTATTTATTTTTTCTAGTAAGTCGTAAATATGAAATGGGATTTTCTTGAGTTATACTATACCATTAAAAAACTAATAAAACAAACAACATTTATTTCCAGCTTGTTTCTCAAAAAATAATTCGAACTGAAAGAAACATTGGGGTTTCAATCATAACTCCAAGAGGAACACATTGCAAATTGGCAATTGATGCATTTTCTGATATTTTTGAATATCTTTCATCTGGTCTCCGTTTATTTGAAAGTTCCGATTTTGACAAATCGAAATTAAGAAGTATTTATGAGTGGTTTAAAGAAGAATTGGATATTTATGGAGGAATAATGGAAAAAGATTCGAGAAACAAAAATGAGAAGAGAATGGGAAGATTTTTTGTGGAAATATGGAAAATTGAAAAAATGATTGAAAAAATGAAAGATAAATTTGGAAATGAAAAAGTTTTGATTGACTCCAAGAAATTGAATAAGAAGAATCGATATAACAAGATTGAAACAGTAAAAATTATTTCAAGTATCACAAATAATATTCTGAACATCAGCGACGAAGTTGTAAATTCTCGATTCTTGTATTTTTCCAATTCGCATCGAATGTCATTAATGACACCAATGTTGATTTATCGAATATATGAATATTGTGCTAAGATTGGTTTCATCAGTGGCGATGATGATTGTCGTGATTTTATTTGTAAACAAGGAGTTTGTCGACAACAATTATTTCGAGGTTTCAGTTGTTATTGTAATATGTTGATTAGCACAAACTTAGAGGAAACAAAGTCAAGTGATAAGAAAAAATATTACTCGAAAAAATTGTTTGAGAGAATATCATGCAATATTGTCTAAGCTCATCATATCAAGTTTATGGATATTTTCAAATATTGTGTGGTTGCTGAAAATGGGGAAAAATATTTTGATAATGATACTTGTTTACTGAAAACTCTGGATTTATCAGTGATCAATTTGACACTGGAAGATCAAGAAATTGCTCGTGCAATTTATCGAGAACAATATTCGGAAATGAAACGGATTTTTTATTTGGACAAGGAGGAAACGATGCAATTCGTAAAAGATAACACAAAACAGTTCAACGGTAATAATTATTCAATATTTGAAAACATAGAACTCATCCCCGCCTCCAAAGATCCCCAATCATTATATTTTTTTACAGATCAAATGTTGAAAATCTCGAGTTTTTCATATGACTGCTCAAAAAAATCGATCATAAAATGGAGTGATATTCCAAATGAATTTGCGAAATTTTCTAAAAATCTAATTGTGATAATCTTGAACCAATTTCTGAAAAATCTTGAAAAAGCAACAAAAGTTGGAATTCCTTCGGATGTTATTGCACAATTGAAGAAAAAATGCACGTTTTTTCAATTTTTTTATAACAAATGCGCTCAAAATATGAGCAACTTGGCCGAATTTACAAAAATTTGTCATGAAAAAAAAGAAAGAAGGTGTATTTTACGAACAATGGCAAAATGCCGAGTTGACAGACAATCAAGTTGGCATTGTTTTATCGATGAATTATTGGAATTTGTGCAAGTTTATTCAGATGTTACAAAAGGAACAGATATATTGATTGAAACAATCGAAAGATATCAATTGGATAAATTTGATAAATATGCGGTTTCGGAAATTGAAATTGATACTTTGAACATGGATGAGAATTTTGCAATTATTAAAAAATTGGTAATTTTTGTTCCGGATATTGAATTCATGCAATGTTCGATTAAATTGCCACTCAAAATGGGATATGGATGTGTCAAAGTTCAAGCACCCAATCGCAAATGGGTTTATCATCATATTCAGGTAAAACTGTTTTGAAACGGTTCACTTTTTTGGTCTCACACGGTGTTGAGTATTGAAATATGAAAAATAATATTCACATTTTTCAGGCGAAGTTTATTTTATTTCAATGCACAGCATGCGACGTCGATTTGTTTTTTGATCAAACTGAATTATCGAAAAATAAACGTGATTGGAAAGATGAACTTATGTTGGCGTTGAAAATTATTCCTCAAGGATATATTTCAACAAATATTATTGATGGTCTGATTAAAAAATGTATGAATTGTGTTATATTGAGATATTCGAAAAAGGTGATTTTTTGTTAAAACTTTCTAACACTTTTTTCATTGTAAATTGATTTTTCAGGTTCACAATCGTGTGGCATTAAATATAATACATGATAAACAATATAATGAACTCATTTCACTGGAAGAAGTCACCAAATTGAACATGATACACAAGTAAAGTGCAATAAGACAGTAAGGCTTTAAATGTGTAATTTTCAGCAAAAACGAAATGAATCAATTCTTGAAAAATGGCATGTTTGAGAATTCGAAAAACGGTGAAAAAATCGAAATCTGGAAGGCCAGATACATTTTCATGATGAATTGGATTGAAAATTTTATGAGAGAAGATGAAAAGGTAAGAATTATCATGTATATTTTCAAATCAAAAAATATATTGAATTTACAGCTCAAGTATGAGATAAAACAAGCATATACATTTTGTTTGCCGTATTTGATAATTGAAAATCATGCGGATTGGGTGAATTGGATGACCAAAAATTATTTGAAATCAGCAAATCGTTTATTCGATATTTCGAAGTTTGAACAATGTGTTGTGTTTTGGAAAAAAAGCGAAGAGAAAAATTTTCGTTTCAAAGAAACTGACTTGGTTGAAAAACATCATTGGGATACTCAGAAATATGATACAATCACACATTTTGTGGGGAAATCAAGAATGTTGATGCCAAATGAGCAAATTTGTGAAAGTATGCGAGAAGAACAAATATTGAAAGAGAAAATCGAGAAAACTAATAATGATGTATTGGGATTGTTGATGAATCAAGTTAAATTGACAACGAATATTTTTTCATCAAACGAATTCAAGCCAATTCAATGTCTCAAAAATCTACTTGAAAAACAATTTAGTGATTGGTTTGTACAAGATGATCAAGAATGGTTTGATAGAATCTTCGAAGATGTGGACTTTGTGGAAAATTTTTGTGAGAAGTTCAAAAATGTTCTGGAATTTCGAACAGATGAACATGGAAATCGAGAATTCAGAGAGAAAAAAGATGCGGTTTTACAACAAAAAGAAAACTATGAAAAACAATTGATGAAGACGTTTTGGCCAAACAATAAAGAACAAAAAAAGATAAGAAAAGAAACCGATTTGGTTAAAGAAATCACTAAACAAGCTCGGAAAAATGAGAAAAAAATCGAGCCAGTTATTATGGATTCACCAAAAAAAACAAAGAAGCAAATTGAAAAGAAAGAGAAACAGGAAAAGAAGGTGATTACGGTTGAAATTGAAAAACGAATTGTGGAAGTTTGTGAATTTTGTGATTCGAATAAAACCGATTTGATGAGAAAAACAAGAAGAATTGATGAATTGGAAAGGCAAAATGGACAAATGACAAAAGAAATTGAAGATTTACATAGTGTTGTTGGAAACTTGAAAGGGTGAGTAAGATTTTTAGATGTAGATGTTGGTATGACAAAAAACTATTGTATTGATAAGTGAATAAGACTAGATTTTTCACTAATTACGATTATTATGCACCCACAATTTTCAATGTATGTAGATCATACTGTAGATCATACTAAATTTTCATAATACTGTAGATCAGCCCACAAGGCATTGTAGGTTAGACAGTGATGATTACAATAAATGGTAATCGATAATTTTTATTTTTCAGACAATTGACCGAAACGCGAACCAAATATAGAACAGAATCAAAGAACCTCAAAAAAGATTGCGAAAATAAAGAAGAACGAATTTGCCAACTTCAGAATGAAATTGAACAGTCTGTTGTTTCTTTTTCGTAAAAACTCAAAATCAAAAAAACTATTTTCAGGAATCGAAAAGAATCTCGAGAAGAACGAGACAATTTGTCTGCTGAAGAACGAAAAGAACGAAGAAAAATGGAAAATGAAATGACAAAAATGAGGAATCAACTGGAAAATCTTAAGTTTTTGAACAACACGATGACAAAACAGCTGATTCAAAAAAGCGCTGAAAATGATGATCTGAAAATACAACTCGAGATTGAAAAAGAGAGAAATCAAGAATCTTTGTAATTAAAACCTGAACAAAACTGCGATGTTTCAACCAAAATCTGGAGCTGTGAGTTGAGAAAAGAATAGTAGTGAAATTTGAAAATACTCATAATCTTTCAGAACAATACTTCTTTGCTGTGATAAAGTCATCGGACTTTTTGAAAATGTATCATTTAAAGGTTAGTTGTTTTTGAGTTTCACAAAATAAATCTGATATGTGTTTTCAGTGTTTTTCCACGGAAAGCGTTTTCTCATTGTGTGCAAATTAAACCTAATTGTAAATCCAATTTTTCCACTTCAATATTTTTTTGTAATTTTGTTTTGCTGAATGAAAACATCAATCCGAAATTCCAAAACTTAGTTTTTCTAAAAAATTTCAGAAAACAATCAGCCGCGAAAAGATTTTTCAGATGAATATCAAGTCGGATTTTGAAAACTTATCCGCTTTAAAATTCTCAGTCTCAGCAAAAAACTTTTTTTATGCAAATTCGAAGCCGAACAATACTTTTCTAATTCTCCACAAGAAAATAGAAATCTTTATTATTCACACAAAAATATAAAACATGAAGAATCTTGATTATCAATCCAAAATGAAAAAAGTACCGAGAAATATAGATATTCAAAAAATCCAATCCAATTCAAAAATATTGCGTCAGGAATGATTATACACGTATTGGGAAAATAAATCCAGCTTATTTGCTCAGATCAAAGCCAATGAGCTGAGTGGACATGGAGCATAGGCATTGTGAGCTGTACGAACTGTGACTTTGCCTTCGATAAGACTATCTGGTTGAACAAAAACGATCTGAAATTAAATTAAGGATTTTGAGAATGAGTTAAAATATATTTATTTCGGATAATTACCTGATCACGATACATTCGTAACTTCTGCTCAGCGACAAAAACATTTTGTTGAACTCGCATTGCTTTTTCACCGGGATACATTTGAGCGACACATGTTGCTGGGAATGTCAATACATGCTCGGTTCTGAAAATTTTCATTTAATTTTTCCACGTCAAAAAGGCTAATGCACATCGGAAAGGCGTGACGAAGAGAGATCAAATTCCCACGGATAATTCGAATTATCTTACTCACCTATCATTATATCTGAAACCGTGTAGCCAATCGGGATCTCCATTATCCACAACACGCAATCTTTCACCCAACATTAAAGGTGCACCATGACTTGGTGAATACTCGTGGATTACCACGTGTCCTCCAGATCCACCGGCTGCCGAAGAACTGCTTCGACGACTTTTGACAACTGGCGAACAAGAACGTTCGACGTCCGAAAAATCGGAAGAACCATTCAGAGCAGCCGATGATTTTTTGTAGGCCGAAGCGGCAATTTTTGATCCTGAAATGCAAAGTGAATATGATGACGTGGCAAGTAAATAATTAATTTTGAAAATAAAAACAAAGTGATGTTCGATAAATGAGAAATTTGTCAGGTGTAACAAGTCAGAATATTTTCAATTAGAAGTGGTTAATGAAAAATGTACTGATTCGGCTACGCTGTAAACGATCACGAACGAAAAAGTTTCAGAAACTTATGTGATCATTCCTCCGGAGCTCTAAATTTGTTCAGGTTCCACGCCAGGGCTGGGCGGAATTTACTTGTCGGCATTTCGCAACGCCGACTTTTAGTGCCGAAAATTTTCTCGGCTTGTCGGGATGCCGACTTCTTGTGCCGAAATTTTTTTTCGGAATTTCGGGATACCGACTTTTTTGCCGAAAAAAATTCGGCAATTCGGCACCCCGATTTTGTTCAAATTCGGCATTTTGGCAGTGATTAAGAAATTTTAAAAACTATAAAAAATGATAGAAAAATGAATAACCGCCGAAAATATTTTCGGGCGGTAGTGCCGACTTCAAAAATTGCCGAAAAATCAGGAAAACTCGGCATTTCGGCAAATCGGCGTGCCGATTCCGCCCAGCCCTGTTCCACGCGCTCTTCTCAACTTATGAAATTTTAAATTAACTGAACTTATTTACTTTGCTTATCATTTTTCAATTTAACTTGGTCAGGTGTAAGTAAATCAGAAGAAACTATGCAACTAGAAAATTTGATTAATTTTGCGGTAATTTCATGACGTGATTTGATTTTGAACACGGAAATAATTGGATCTTGAATTTTATTCGACCCGATGACGTGGAAGTTTTTTTCTTCAAACTTACTCATTGGTGATCTCGAAGTTGTATTCATTCTTGGTGGCATATCCTGACAATCCAGGGAGAGTGATTTCATTTGTTGAGTCAGCTTTGGTGCTCGACGTCGACCAACGGATCGACCTAAAATTAACATTTATGGTTTTCTTAAGGTTTCCCCGAGGTCATGTGGGTTTTTTTGGATTCGAACTCACAAACTCTCAAACTTCGCCTAGCCGACAGCATTTTGTTATAAAGAAAAAATAAAAATTTGCGACTGCAAATAATCTGAATAGCTCTCGTCTTATGCATATTATTTTCCGTTTTTCTCTTTTTTTTTGCTGGAGGATTAGCAACACAAACGAAAAAGATGTGCTGCGATTTTGGTATCCGAGATGTTATAGGCAGGAAAAAGTGTTGGATTTGCGATGGATGAGACGAAAAAGTGAAGAACTGATTTTGGTTGCCTTGGCGAACTGACTGATAGTCGCCGCGCGACTAATTTCCGCTTTTGAGAAAAAGAAAAATAAAACGCGAGGGGATTAGAAATGGATATTTTTCGTGTTAGGATTGCGTGGGATCACATTTTTTGTTTTTGTGATAATGCTTTTGAAGTTTGAGAGATTTGCGGGCATACAGTAGTCAAATATAAAGGGACTTCGGAACAATACAGTCGATTTTAATTTTTTTTCAAATTTTCTAACTTCATAGTTCGGTCTTTCAATCTAGAAAGCGATAAATTTCTCAGAAATCAGCCAACAATAAAAAAGTTCTTGGACTTCATGAGAAAAAATCTGAACTGATCAAATTTTCAAGTTTAAGAACTGCTGTAAAAAAAAGAAAATTTAACCGACTCGGAACTTTTCTCATTTCTGCTGTAATTTCTGAAAACTGAAAATTAAAGGTGATTAAAAATTACAGTAATCTCTAATATACAGTGGAAATTTATTCAATATATTGTAGATCAACCTTATTTCAAAACCACAGTAATCTAGAAGTCTTACAGTAGATCTGCGTTTCAGCCAAAATTTTTCCAACAAATAAAACTCACTTTTCAAAAAGGCAAAAAATCAGAAGACTCATTTTCTCTTCTCAAAATCTTTTTCTTACTAGGAAAATACAATTTCGAAATCTGTCTCTCAAAAACCAAAAATAATTGGTTGAGGGTGGGGTTTTATGTACCGAAAAACTCCAAGGAAACGGAAAATTTCGAAATTTTTTGTTTCGTTGATTTTTTCTTTTTTTTCACTCTTACACTAACTCACCAAAAAACCAAGAGAAAAAAGAAATAATAAGAAAAATAATCTGAAGAAGTTTTTGGCACGAGAAAATTTGATTACTTTTTTTTCGTTTGATCGAATTTTGGCTGTGGCAGGTGAAAAAATATTAGTAATGTAATGTAATAATTTTCTCGAACAGAGAAATAAGAAATGAGTTTTTGTAGTCTTGGGAATTTTATCGAAATCCGGAGAACGTAGTAAAATTGTACTGGATTTTCGTCAGAAAAGTGTTTTTTTACGTGAAAAAATGATGTGAATTCAAAAATCTCAGAATTCACCTAGCAAACCTTCAGCTGATTTTTTTTTGAGTCAGCATGAAAATTTCAAAACAAAAATTTTTTGCGCTTGAAATTTCAGCTGTCTTAGGACTTGTAAGTTGATGAAAAAAGTTTGTTCGCGATTTTTTAGAAGCTGAAAGATTTACGTGAGTTTTGAAAAATATCCATTTTCAAAAAAAACGTGATCAAAATAGGGATGATCAAAATTTTAAAATCTTGAATTTCGAAAAATGTCAATTTTTGGTCGAATTCTACCCTGTTCCGATAAAAACCCAACATACCATCATTATTAATCGCATCATTCAATTGTGGAGTCGATCCTAACATTGGTGGATTTTTGTTCATCTCGACGTAACCGGAATCCTGCAATGAGACTTGCGACAAATTCCGCGGTGATGGTGTCGCCGAATCAAAATTCGAACTTGAACCGCGACGCGAATATCGACCGTGTGCTTGTTTCAATGCCAAATAAACCGGATCAATTGGTATTGGTTCTGAAAAAATATGAATTGAATTTTCAACAGAAAAATCTGATTATCCCAGAGAACTTCTAAAAGACACTACTATTAGTTTAACACGAACAAAAAGCACGAAAAATCGAAAAACGCGAAAAATTTCGGCGAACCACTAAATAATGAATTAATCCAATAAAGGACAGGGATTAGAAGGCGACGCACAAAAAAATCCCGATTTTTTGTGTCGCGCAAAAAATGTAGATTTTTCGCAGAAATGTAAAATTATCATAATAATTAGTAGCTCGTGAGAAAATATGCAGATCTTTTCACCGAGAATTTTTTGAAGAACCAAGTACACCAATCCACAATTATATATCTATATATACACCTTGTCAAATTCTTTCCTCCCAAAAAAAGTTTTTAGTCTCAAAATATAAGATCTCGTGAAATTTAATTGTGTAGCACTTTTTTCTGAACATCGCGTGACTTTTTGAAATTCATTTTCTTCAAAAAGAAAAATTTCGCAGCTTTGTTTCTTGAAAATAAAAAACGAGCGGAAATAATTATTTTCGACATTTTTTTGAGGAGAACAAAAAATGGAATATGGGAAATGAAATGTTTCGTTAATTGTTAGTGAGAAAATTTTTTTGATCTACGGCTTTTTTTCGAGAAAAAATTGCTGTCTGACGTCGGAAAAATTGAAGCTAGGGGAAGCACTTTAAATTCAAAAATGTTGGCCCTACCCCGATTACAGTACTCACCTTGGCTTCCAGATCGACTTCCTCCATGACTGTCAGCTCGAATTTCAGAAGTTCTCTGTAAAACAGCATATTTCATCATAAGATCAGGATTAGTTCCACGTTTCAACAACATTCTTCGAACCCCAGTTGCACCCGGTTGAGCCGGTAACATTCTTCTTCTCGGACCACTTGGTCCTCCAGGCGGTAAACCCCGCCCAAAAATATCTGGATTTGACCGCCTGTGCTGAATCGGAGCTGATGCAGCTTCCCAATAAATATGTGGATGTGACAATCTGGGCCGGGGTTCTAAGACTAAACCGGCCCAATTTGTTGAGGAGGAGAAATCTGGTCCCAAATGACCCATTGAATTATAAGGCCGTCGAGACATTTCTCTTAAATATTTAGATATGAATCTCAAGAAAAATAGATAGTTTGCAAAGATAAACAAAATAACTGTTAAATATATTTTTCTGGAATAATATGTATGTATATCTCAAAAATTAAGCTGAAAAAGGGAAGAAAAATGAGCACGAGAGGCGTGGTTTGGTTCTTTTTATAGGGAACTAGGAAAGAAACTGGGGGCTACTAACTAATAACACTTTTTTCCTCATTTTTTTTCGCACGCGCCTTTTTTGTTTCAGAAGAAGAAGATAATGAAATAACGCAAGCAAGAGAGAAAAATTAGAAATGAGTCAGGAGAAGGCAAAAAATAACGAGGTGAGATTAGAAATCGAGATATTTTTGGGAGAAAAAAGGGTTTGGAGATTTTTGGACACAAAAAATCCATGTGGAAATAATTTAATCGTAAGAATCATGTTTTTACACACTTTTCGGAATCAGAATTCGTCGAAAATTTTTAAAATTTTGAAAATGAAGGCTACTTATTCTGAAAATTGTGCACTCCAAAAAATCTTACAACGTTGAAACTTTTTTCTGATTAATTTCATTAGTTCAACTTTAGAAAAAAAATTAATTTTCTCTGAAATTCTCGAAATTGATACATTTTGAGAGCTTACAAATACAATTTTGAACTTTTTGTTTTGCAAAAAAACATTGCAGATGGATTTTATTTTTCAATTTTTTAGATTGTGGACTTGGAATTCTAGATTTTAAATCATTAGTTTTTCTCAAAAATTAAATCTTCACATACAAAAGTTCCGAATTTCCACGCGGGAATACAAAATTTAAAAAAAAACAATTTTCGAAATTGCTACTCTGTTTTGTTTTTTTGATCTCCAAACTTCACCAAAATAAAAAAAAACTTTCCGCCTTCACCCATAAAATTACTCATAAATCAACATGGGTTTCTTCCAAGAAAAAAAACCGCAAAAAAAGAAACCACATTAAAAATTTTCCCAGCAAATTTCTTTTTTTCAAGTTAGTTATAGCAGGGACTTTGAGAGTTGAGAAAAAGTGTGAGTTGTGAGCTACGTGCACTTTGATTTCTCTGAAACGACAAAAAGAAAAAAGAAAAAGCTAGAAGAACATACATAATATAAATAAATTTGATTACTAGTTTAGTTATGTATGAAGTCAGCTCGATAAAAAATAATAATATTTTTTATAATTCAATTTTCTTTTTCCCTATCTACTATGACTTTTTTTCTGAAAAAACGGAAAAAATAGAACTTTTAAGGAATAATATAGTCAAAATCAAAAATATTCATTTTGTTTAGGCGCAGGCTTCAAGACTGCGCCTATTTGGGCTTATGTTTGATTTTCTTTGTTTTTATTCAAATTTTCAAAGAATTCAGTCGACATCCGATTCAGCACAACACAGTATTTTCATTTTAATCTTCTCCTCCCAAAAAAATTCCGGAACTTTCAGAAAATAATTAGTTTTTTTTGGCCTGTTCAAGAACCAGCCATATTGAATTTCAAAATGCAATTATTTCCCAAATTATTTACCTTGTGCGAAACTGGAGCTTGAAATCGATGGAAACCTTGAAGAACTCGCATTGCTGAATGCCATTTTCGCCTCGCTGATCGTGACGTGGCTTGTTCGATTGGAGAAGATTCGATTGATGGACTTCCAGATCCACTCATTGTACTACTGTAGGCTGATGAAGATGAAGATGAAGATTCTGGAAAAAAAACATTGGGATTAGGGGAAATGAACATTAAAACACGATGGATTGTTATGGAAAAGAGATCACGTGATATTATTTCAGAATGCTATGTTTCACAATCAGTAGCCAAGAAACAATTCAAAGTAAAATGATGTTAAAGAAAAATAGAAGCTAGAAAGCTTTGAAAAAATTAGCACATTGATTATTCTCAGAAGCGGAAAAATAAGTTTGAAAAATATTGACGGAATAAAATTTTTTCAAAGAAAAATTGACAAAAGTATAAAAGATTTGATTGTGAAAATATAAAATACGCTTCAATTTAACGGATTTTTTAAAAGAAAAATCATTTTGGGGCACTGTGATACTAGGATACCACCAAACTCAAAAATTGAAAATTGGTCACATCGATTTTTCAACAAAAAAACAACACTTATAGAATAGTTTTTTAAAAAAATCCACCGTACTTATTTTTCTCACGTCATTTTCCTAAAAAATGTCACAAGTGATTTGAGATACGAGAAAAATTCGTCACCTTCTTTTGAGTCATAAAAAATTCGTCAGTCTACTTTTTCTGGCCTCACAACATTACTTAATACTTGATGAGTTACAAAAACAAAATGATTTTTATGTTGACAAGCTATAGACTTCCCAAGATTAACTACATAAAAAGCGTCAGTCAAGAAAAGAACTCAAGGTATATTTTAAGAACCAGAAATTTAAGAAACATCTAAATGAAATCAATATACATAGACATACTCAAAAATGCCGGATTAAAAGAAATTTGATACTTTTTTTCCTCTATCCGCTGAAAAAAATTATTTTTTATTCTATTTTGTTTTGTTCTTCCGCGGCGACAAAAAAAGCGGGGACCATGAAAATTCTTTCGCCTGAAGCAAAAACCAAAAAAAAATCTCGAGCGAGCAAACGAACAAATTCCTGGTCGCGCTGAATTTCAAATTGGAGCGAGCGAGCGAGAAAAGCATGTGAGAATATTCGATGAGGATTTTTTTGAACCTACGGTATCCTTTTCTCAGAAAAAAAATAAGTTGGATGTTTTTTAGTATAGTATAGGTAGATCAAGAAGAAAAAAAACTGATGTGTTTTGTTTCGGACAACAGGTGACCCGTGCAGTAATAATGGAGGTTTTTTGATGGGGACATCGAACATTCTTTTTTTTTGAAATGAAAATGCACTAAAAATAATTGGATAATCACTTGGTGATTTTTGATGAATTAAAAAAAAGAAAGTGGGGGTGGATTCTGAGATCTTGAAGATTGGGGGAGGTGGATTCCGATGCTTCTGGTAACTAAATAATCGTGGCCTAGAAATATGATAATATCGGTTTTCACTTTAAAATGATTTTGGTGACCGAGAAAAGTGATTCGTGTAGATTTGAAAAATGGATTGATAAAACTTAAATTACTTCTGAAGATGGCCTAGAAATACAAAATTACGTTTTTAGGTCATCATTATTCAGAAGTTACTCAAAAAACCCGATAGTTGGTTTTGTAGGCCAGAAAAAGACAATTTCAAGATTTGAAAGTTTCGGATCTAGTTTAACTTGATCTGAAAAATTTTTTCAGAGCTCTGAGAAAAATTTAAATTGTAACTTACACATTATGGAAAGTCTAGTCTTACTTTGGCCTAGAAATACAATTTTGGTTCTATATAAAAGAAACACGTTTCCTAGGCTCTCTAAAAACTCTTCATGATTTTCATTCTCCTGTTTCTAAGCTACAGTACCCTAAGAAACCAAATGACCTCAAACTCCCAACCCAAAAAACCAACATTCTATTTTTTAAACATGAAACAAGTTGGGGGTGGTTGGGCGTGGTCTAATTTTTGTGTTTTTTTTGAAGAAAAAAGTTCGGCCACGCCCCCTAATTACTTTTTCTTCTTTTTTTCTCGTTTTGCTCGTTCTTTATGAGTTCCCTTCTCAAAAAAATGCAGTAAACTTTTTCATGCGAACAAAATATGAACAAAAACATAAAACATAAAAACGAACCTCTCAGCAGTCGATGGATTTCCGACAGTGAATTTGTGCATTTCTGAAGTGCCGTTGTCATTTTATTTTTCGCTGCAAAATTTTGGAAATGAATATTTCGGAATTTGGATTTCAATTTAAAAATACAAAGGTCAATAAATAAAAAATCAGGAATGTAAAATAAGAAAAAGAAGAAAAACGTATATTTGCACAGCATGCAAAATTTTTGAAATGAAATTGATGGGGTTTCGATGATTTCCGGTGTCCCTTGCCATGAATTCATATCAGCTGTTCCCACTTTTATTAAACTAAACATTTTTATCACATTCCATTAGATATTGCGTAACATTCAGAAATTAGAAAAATAGAATTGAAATTTTTTGAGCCATAAATTTAGGATGACGAAAAATTTGAAGAAAAAACAATAATTTTTCAAACAAAAATGACGGAGAAGAAGTCTCGGTTTCTAGAAATCGACTTTTATTAAAACATGATTGATGAAGAAGGTGGAAGGAAAATGTGGAAAAAAAAATGAAAAATGGGGAGTTTCAGGTGAACTAGAAAATGAGGAATTTGAATTGGAATTTTCGGTGCCTAGAAAACCAAAGGCTCTGGAAGTTTGGTGGCCTAGAAACTGAAAAAAAATCAGACTGTCGTGTCATAGAAAAAAATTACTTGAAAAAACATTTTTTGCTGCTGCGTGGGCAAATTAAAATGTTTCAAATTAGAGTGTTTTTCGTTTAGAGACGCAGACGAAAAAGAGTGAGAGACGCAGAAGAATCTCGGTCAGAAAACGGCGGAGTCGCTACCGATCGGGGCGGAGTCGCTACACGTTTTTAGTTCCCCGAAACGTGTAGCGACTCCGCCCCGATCGGTAGCGACTCCGCCGTTTTCTGACCGAGATGTTCTAGCGTTCTACAAACACACGAAAACTGCAATTTGTTCATTTTTCTCCCAAAAAAAGTGTGTCGTCCTAACAACATGAGAAGATGAATCATGAATAAAAAATTGAGATGAGAGCGTCATCAAGAACTTTTTTTTTTCAGCAATTTTTGAGCCTGTCGAAAAAAAAACAACAAAATAATATATTCATAGAAAAAACAGCAAACTAGAACAGAACAGGAAAATCTGAAAATCCGAATCTCTGAAAACAAAAAAAACGACTAGTACGAAAAATTGGAAAAGTGAAAAAAAAACGAAGAAAGAAGAAGATGAGATTTGTGCCGTTTTTTTGCAACCACCCTCACTTTTATTGTTCTTTCATCTGCTTTTTTTGCAGTTGGAAATAATTGTGTAAGAAAAAGAAAAATCAGCTGTTGAGGATAAATCAAGTTTTTTCTGTTTTGCAGCAAAAATTCCTGAAAACAAAAAACACAAGTTCAAACAGACTCAAATCGTATTGTTGTTTTTTCTTCTCAAGATCAAATCCTGGATAAAAATAATTCATCTATACAACATGTTTGAGCAAAGTAGAGAATAATAAAACATATGTAAAACATTGAGCAAAATTATACAATTATTTACAAGTATTTTTCGACCCACTTTTGGTATTTTTCCATAAATTCTCGATTTGGAAATTATTCAATCTCTTGTTCTCCTTCTTCAAAATTTCCTGCTGGATTCGTTTCAATTTTTTCCATTTCTTTTCGAATATTTTCCATATAACTCTCATAATTTTCTTCAAAAAACTCGACTTCATTTTTCGCTTTACGAAATTCAAAATTCGCTGGGAATTTTTGAATAAGTTCCGTCAATTTCGCACTCATTGAATCAATCATTTTTCTATAATCAATTTTCAAAATATTTTCATATTTCCTCAATGTTTCTTGATTTTTTGAAATTCTGCTCATTTTCGCAGCTCCATTTTCAAACCATTTTTCAAGTTGAACGAACTTTTCACGAAGTTTTCTATTTTCTTCTTCAATTCTTCCATTTTTCTCTTCTGATGATACCAATTGTTTTTTCAAATCTTCATTTATATCTTCCAAATTTTTCTTGGAATTTTCGATTTCAACCAATTCAGTGTTTAATCGATTTTCGATATTTGTTGTTGACTTTTCAGCAAGTTTCTCTTCTAATGATACTAATCGATTTTTCAAATCTTGGTTTACAATTTCCAAATTTTTCTTCAAATTTTCAGCTTGAATCAGATCAGTCTCAAATCGTTTTTCGATATCAGTTTTTGAAGTTTCAGCAAGTCTCAAATCGTCTTCCAAACTTTTTATTCGCAAATTTAAAACTTCCGAGTTTTTCACAGATTTTTGCAGTTTCACGAAATATTTGATGCTTTCTTCATTTTTAGATTCCATTGTTTTTTCATAATTTTTCTTTTCATTCTCTTGATCTTCTTTCATTTTTTGAATTTCTTTTTCATTTTTTGAAGATATTTCTCGCGTACATTTTAATTCCTTTCGAACTTGTTTCAACTCCTTTTTCGAAATTTCCAAGTTTTCGGAAATTTTCAAATTTTCTGCAATTTCCGTTTTCAGCTTCATTTCCATTCTGAAAAAAATATATTTTATGAATTAAATTTCAGTTTTATAATTAGAAATCTCACTCATTCTTCTCTTCTCTCGATTTTCGAAGATCGTTTTCAAGTTCACATATTTTTTTCAAAAATTGAGCTTCATCCATTTTTTCAGATGGTTTCACTGCTTCATGCTCTTTCTTCTCTCCTTCCTCAACAGATTTCTTTTGAATCGTATTTTCTTGTGAATTCGAAACTTCTTTGACATCCATATTCGGAGGTTTTTGGACTACAATCTCACCAGTTGCGATTTTTTCAAATGTTTCAAGAATATTTCGATGAATATATTGATTATTTGTAGCCGTTTTTATCTGAAAAGTTCAAAATTTGAAAAATATTCATAGAATAACATTTAATAAACTCACATTTTCACATATATTATAGAGTTGATTTTCAACACATGAGCTATAAATCCAATAAATATTATTCATCGAAATTTTTTGAGTTCCTTTTGCCATATGCATTTTATAGGAATGTTCAAACAGTTCAACTGTCAGTTCCATTGGTTTCATCAATTTTGTCACATATTCGAAAGTTTCATTTTTGGTGTACGAAATGGCAGTAGTTGGTGGAACTTGGCAAACTTTCCTAATAGTTTTATATTTTCGCAGTTCATGTTCTGCTTTATTCATAAATGCTCGGACTTTCCAAAGTTCTACAGCATACCACGAATTTGCCGGAAACATAATCTCGTTGAAATTAACATTGATCCAATTCAAAATCTTCGGTAAATCAGATTTTTCGCAACATTGAAATAGTTTCATAGTATTTGTCAAATATTGGATAATTTCCTTCCAAACATCACCGGATGGTTTGCAATGTGTTCCATAAGTGGAAACAAGTGGAACACTCACAATATTTGATGTTTTTTCAGCGTGCATCGGGAGCATCTGAAAAAATTGACATGGATCGATTTGAAAATACAATTCAAATTACCGTATAATCGGAACCCTTGACACCTAGCGAATCGATTATTTTTCTTGCATTTTGCCAAGTTATCAATCTCACGATTCCATTCTTTCGATCTGTTTCGGTTTCAACAATGACTTCTGTTATTTCTCGCTTCAAAATTAATTCCAATGCGTTTTTCAGTTCCTTTGCAAATAAAAACTTTTCCGAGTGAGCAGTGTTGTTGACAACAACCACGAAGAGACGGAAAATAGGAATTCGATATATCGAAGTAGAACAGGAGGAAAATGGTTTTAGAGCTTCGGAAAATTTATTGTAAATCCTATCACCGACTTCTAGGAGTCTATAGATATCAAAAAGCGTTTCGTGGTAAATCTGTTGACAAGCCAATGGTACAGCCTGAAATAAAAATTATAATATTTTAGATAATTTTTCAGTTGATAAGCTTACATTGAGCATTTTATCAATACCAGTTCGCATCAAATTATCGAAAACATTGGGAAAATCAGTATAATATTTACGAAGTGACACAAAATCTTGTCTGCTCACAAAATCAGGAAAATCATCATCATCAACAATCTCTTCCATTAAAGCAGTTCGAATAGATATCCACGCGGAATATGGAACCACTTCGTATATTATTCTTTGTTGATTGAATTTACTGATAAGCCATGCTTCTATAAATGATCCACCAAGTGAAGTTGTAGCTGAGCACACAAGAAAATCAAAATACAAATTGAATATGCCCAATTTTGAAATGTACTCGTTTTTTCTTCTATCCAAGAATATTGAAGGAACAACAGCTTGGAACGAACTGCGTTTCCAAACATCGCTATCTTCAGCATTAATTGAAAGAACTTCGGCGACCTGATGAATGCTTTCAAGATCTTTTTCAAATTCTTCAACTGATTCGAAACGCTCTCTTAGTTTTGGTGTTTCATCATAAATCAGTTTCAGCAGTTTTTTCATTCTCGGTTTTTCCAAAATTGACGGCTCTCGATATTTTTCAACAAGAAACATTGGTACTTGCGGAAGATCCTGAAAGATAACTGACTAGTTTGTTTCAGCAAAAATAAAACTCACATCTTCATGCATCAAATGTGCCATGCATCTTAAAACCCTGTCCAGCGTCCAGTCGAACATCGAAAAAACAAAAATAAAACAGCGATACTCCGCTTGCTCAAATGCAAATCACTAAACAAGAGGCAAGCGGAGTGTCGTAGTTTTTTTCACGATTTTTCAAATGCAAAAAAACCTTCACGTTTCAAAGAAATTCGGGTGCCGGAGAAAAGTTTTTAAAAAATAATGGAAAGAGAGAGCGTGGTTGTAATTGGCAAGGTTCGGCACGTTTTTCTGTGGAGATCAAAAAAAAAGTTTTTCTGTGAAGATCAAAGAAAAATCTTTCTCTCTTTTAAAACAAAGAGGATACTGTATTCAATTGTGTAGAGAATATCAAAGCTTTGGTTTGATAAAAATGAAAAATGCGCCTTTTCGAAAAGTGAAATTATGCCACAGTGAAAAGAAAAACCTCACACGAAACAGGTGGGCGCGGTCAAAAACAAAGAAAATAATCATAAATCATTTTCCGCACACGCTACCCCTTTGCGAAGATTTGTTACTTTTCACCACAAAAACAAACACATATTCGATATTCCCAAAACAAAATATTCATGATCAGCAACAAGAAGAACTACAATTAAGAGCAACTTGTTGGGCTGGTTGCCCGCAAACATGAGAAGAAGCCAAAGTTGAACCGCATTGAGTATCATCGAAACTTCCGGGAGTCATTCCTATCCATGAAGAACTTGTGGAAATCATTCCAATGCAATTTTGCGCAACGCCACTTCCACCATCCGGTTGACCTGGGTAGAAGTTGGAAAACGCATCAGTTCCGGTTACAAAACCATCGGTCCATCTGAATGTATTTGTTTCTACTGGAAGACATCCAGCATTGAAATCAGATATAGGTCCATGACAAGCGGCTAAACGAGTTGCACCAATCCAACAATATCCATTTGCATTGTTTGTCGCAACCAAAGATAATTCCAGAACTAAATTCACCTCATCTATATTTTCGAAACTTGCCAATGTCGAATTTTCAAGCATACACGATTGTTCGGATTGGGTTTGATTTAATGTACTCGCAACAACTTTCAAGCAATAAAATCCTTTGATTCGAGTTACCATCGTATAATTGTCAGGACATGTGTAATTTCCAACCGAGAAGAGAGTCTGTATATACATATAAACGTTATTTTTATTAGTTATAAATATAAACCTACATCTTCCATTTTACAGTAGGAAGCGAATACTTGAGTTGAATAAAACAGAGTGATCAATGAAACAAACAGCATGGCTTGATATTTATGATGATAGATTCCAAGTTTATATAAGGATATTTAAATCGTGTGAAGCTAACATATGCTTTGATCGCACCTAACAAATTCCAAAATATATACTGTTTTTGCAAATCAATTTAAAGACCTAAAAAGCCTGGGATTTATTACGTGTCAACTTTTTGAAACTTGTGCTTTCTGTATCTACTACTTTTACTGATAGAACAAACAATGTGTCATCAAACCTAATTTCAAAAATTTATTCAATTGGCATTCTTACATGGCTTCAATTTTGTTGGATCCAAATCGCTGACAATCGGATGAATTGTTGCTTTTGTTTTTGCAATTTCAGCTCGAACCAATGATTTTGTTGATCCTTTTTTGGTTGCTGCCAGTGCTCCTTTTCCAATTGCTGGAGTTTTTCGAGATTTGATAACAGCAATTTGTTTATCAGCAATCTGCACAACATCATCTGATATTTCAACTTGATCCATTCCTGAATCTGAAATCGGTGCCTCAATCAACAATGTAAATTGGCCAGTTTTTAGAATCGCTGAATTCATCAAATATCGTAGCATTGATTTGCTACAAATTCGTTGTCCATTACATTCTCGAACTACATCACCAGGTCTCAAATGAACAGCTGAAAGACTGTGTGGTGCAACAGATGCAACTTCTAAACGATCTCGATTGTCATATTGAACCATTAGTCCAAAATTCGACATTGCAACATCTGCCGTTTTTTTCATTCGTATCAATACCAAATAATTGATGACTGGGTTTGATGTGCATTTCTCAACGTCTTTGTCGATGTTGATTTTTTGAACTGTGGTTCGCAAATGAACACACCAAGACCACATATTATGGCGGATTGAAAGCTTGGCGCGCTGGAAAAAATTATTTTCAAAAATCGGATTTCTAGGAAACATTCAAATAGTTGAGAGGATTCGGACTGTCAGAATCCGTTTAATTGTGGTTAGTGAATCCATGGAATTTCTCACCTCCGAATTACTCTGCAAAATTTTTTGCAAATCATCGCCATTTGTCATTATTTTGTCGTCAACCGCCAAAATATTATCACCAACAAAAACTTTTCCATTCAACGAACTCTCGGCTAACACGTGGGTTATCTATAAAATAGTTTTGATCTTAAAAAAAATCATAAAATTCAGTCCAATCTTACCCGACAATCCCCTTTATGAACTCGAACTCCAATTGGTTTTTTGACTGAAAATGTCTCATTGAATTCTGCCGGCATTTTCAATTTCAATGTTTTATCATTCAATACACTGTCCGGATCATCGACAAGTTTCGAATCGTTTTTAGTTTCTTCCTGAATTTGGAAAGTTGGTTCGAAATTTAGAAAAGCGAAAAACTTACAGATGAACTTTGTTTAGTCATTTTTTATTGAATATAATTTTATGCTCACTGGTTGGTTTAGAAAATCTGTTGAAAAATAAGAGACGTGTGGTTTGAGAGGTATTCAAAAAAAATGGGTTCACGTTAAAAATCACAGAAGTAATAGAAATTTTTAAATCCAATTCTCAAGATTACTGTAGAAAGACTAGATAGGCTTGACTTCAAGTAACTCTTCAAGTTCGAAAAATTGTCTTCCATAGGGTTACTGTAACTTGGAGGCATTTCATATCGAACCAAATTATTTTGAATAATCCTAATTTTTTCAAAAAATTGTATCTACTCATTATACCCCTCCAGCCGCTCGCTTAGCCGCTCAAAGCGAGGCGCTCGCTCGAGCTTCTGAGCGCCTAAGCCGCTCGAGCCAATGAGCGGCTTGAATGGCTTGAGCCGCTGAGCGGCTAGAGCCATTTGAGCCGCTCGCTCGCTAAGCCGCTCGAGCATGGAGCCGCTCGAGCGCCTCAGCGGCTTAGGCGCTCGAGCCACCAAGCCGCTCAAGCCGCTGAGGCGCTCGAGCGAGCGAGCCGCTCGAGCGGCTCGAGCGGCTCGCTCCATTTTCAAAAAAATTTTTTTTTCTATACGAAAATTGTGAAACAGTGGTTTTTTCATAATTTTTGGGTACTTCGAAAATGAAATATTTGTATTGGGACATGGTCCTTGGGTCATGAAAAAATTTTTTTAATTTGAAAAAAAAGTGGGCGGGGCTTATTTTTCAGTTTAAAGCTGAAAACACTAAAAAATCAAAAAATTCAAAATTTACTAAAAACTTTCTGGTTTTTTTTCAGATGACTTCTAGTTTATTTTTGAATGTTTTTGACTATAAAAAACACACAAAATTCTCAGATAACTGACGATTTTCAGCTATTTTTTATCGAAAATCTGCAATTATGTGTTCAATTATTTGATATTTCAAGCCGGAAAAAAGCTGAAAATTGTCAGCTATCTGAAAATTTGAAGTGTTTTTCATCATCAAAAGCATTAAAAAATCATCTAGAAAAAAACCAGAAAGTTTTTGGTAAATTTTGAAATTTTGAATTTTTTAGTGTTTTCAGCTTTAAACTGAAAAATAAGCCCCGCCCACTTTTTTTTCAAATTAAAAAAAATTTTTTCATGACCCAAGGACCATGTCCCAATACAAATATTTCATTTTCGAAGTACCCAAAAATTATGAAAAAAACCACTGTTTCACAATTTTCGTATAGAAAAAAATTTTTTTGAAAATGGAGCGAGCCGCTCGAGCCGCTCGAGCGGCTCGCTCGCTCGAGCGCCTCAGCGGCTTGAGCGGCTTGGTGGCTCGAGCGCCTAAGCCGCTGAGGCGCTCGAGCGGCTCCATGCTCGAGCGGCTTAGCGAGCGAGCGGCTCAAATGGCTCTAGCCGCTCAGCGGCTCAAGCCATTCAAGCCGCTTGTTGGCTCGAGCGGCTTAGGCGCTCGAGCGAGCGGCTCGCTCGGCTCGTGAGCCGCTTCAAGCCGCTCAATGACGAGCGGCTGGAGGGGTATACTACTCATTTTTTGATTTCTAATCATCTCAAAAGTGTTCCTCTATTAATTTCGCAACAAACCTTTCTAAAAGTGCAATAATCCGTTCCGTAACCCGACCCCTTCTTCCTTTTTTTTCTCTCTCACATTTTCTGACCAGCAACATCTTTTTTTCGACTCAATCGCCGAAAAACAATTTTTCGCTGACTGCCTGTGCATTTCTCGACCGACAGCTGTTGTGTAATAATATACAACTAAATTCCGCTGCTTCAGGGCACAACACGAACAAAAATGAAACAGTTGTTGCTCATATTATATACACATTCATATGAAAATAAATTGAAAATGAAAATGTGCGGATGGGAAGATAATATAAATCTATTGCGGCGGATAATCGATGATGATTCACTGAGGTGACAGGTCGTAAAATGGATGAGACCAATGAAAATGTTGCGAAGACATATTTTGAAAATTTCTGACATGAGGAGATGAAAATTTGAGAAAGTGCACGATGTTTCAGATTGACCTCCAATGACCTGCGATTAATCTTGTATCTCTTCGGGGTTTTTTTCCAGAATGATTTTTGAGATCCGGTATTTTTTCAGAGCTCTGGAAAAATGATACGATGAGTCACTAAATATCGACAAATATATACATTTTCTGAGAAAAAAATCGAGTACGATATAAATTCAGAGCACTCTGATTACTGTAACTATTTTAATGTCGAAATATTTCGAGAACTTTCATCAAAAACCGAACCACCTGATTTTTTCCATGAAATATTTTTCGAATAAATTCCCCTAGTCCCTCTAAAAACCTGATTTTTTTGTTAGCGCAACTCCACTTTTTTGGTCCTAAACAGCTGTATGACCCGACCAGCACTTTTTCACAGATGTTTATATAACTGAAGACAGATTTAAAAATTTTTGGGTTGGATTTTCATATTGATAATTTTGAGATTCTGAAGCGCAATTGCGGAAGAAGAACAAATAAACTGTAATTAAGTTGGCTTTTTGAGTTTTCAGGAAATAATGTCAAGAATTGAACCACAAAATTGAAACAATGATATTTTTTCTCACTTTATCTCTGAAAGTGAAGTGTTTTCATCAAGATAGTAATATAGAAGATATTACGGTAGAATACGGAAGTACTGTAGCACAGAAACATAATCAAAAACAAAAGCGGATTTTAAAATCTGGGAAAATTTTCCGCTTTTTGTGATACAATTTAATTTGCGGAAAAATCTCCCTGGGAAAATTTTTGCACATTTCAAAAAAACAGAAAAAATTATTTGTTTTTTTTCACACGTGACCTATTTTTTCTTCATCATTTTCCCATTTTTAAAAGACAAAATTTGCGAGACCACAGGGATTTTGCAATACCAAGCACAAGGTGAGGATCAAAAATAAATACAATGTTTTATGCGAATATGAAAAACATATAAACTCGGTCTGTAATCTTCCAACTGCTCACTCGATGTATTGACCATGATGAACATTTCTCCAGCCTTTTTTGTCTGAGAGAGCTTCTGTAATATATACAACAATGAGGGGGAACAAAGAGAAATATCACCCACCAATTCAATCCTAAACTATCAGCGATACATGTTAATTTGACCATGTCTATTTCCAAGAAAACAAAAATCAGAAATGAATAAATGAAAATTTTTTTAACGCGTAACAAAAATATGCGTGGAAAATTGATTTTTTCAAATCATTTCGATATTTCAGTAATGGTCAAATTAACATGTATCGCTGATAGTTTAGGATTGAATTGGTGGGTGATATTTCTCTTTGTTCCCCCTCATTGTTGTATATATTACAGAAGCTCTCTCAGACAAAAAAGGCTGGAGAAATGTTCATCATGGTCAATACATCGAGTGAGCAGTTGGAAGATTACAGACCGAGTTTATATGTTTTTCATATTCGCATAAAACATTGTATTTATTTTTGATCCTCACCTTGTGCTTGGTATTGCAAAATCCCTGTGGTCTCGCAAATTTTGTCTTTTAAAAATGGGAAAATGATGAAGAAAAAATAGGTCACGTGTGAAAAAAAACAAATAATTTTTTCTGTTTTTTTGAAATGTGCAAAATTTTCCCAGGGAGATTTTTCCGCAAATTAAATTGTATCACAAAAAGCGGAAAATTTTCCCAGATTTTAAAATCCGCTTTTGTTTTTGATTATGTTTCTGTGCTACAGTACTTCCGTATTCTACCGTAATATCTTCTATATTACTATCTTGATGAAAACACTTCACTTTCAGAGATAAAGTGAGAAAAAATATCATTGTTTTGATTTTCATTGTTCAACCTAGGAAAGTGGCAATTTTTCCCGGATTTTTTGAATTGAAATAACAACCCGAAAATTTTTAATTTTATGCTCAGTTATATACATTTTACATTTATATGAGAAAAAAATCCATTTTTTCTAATATTATATGTCGTGGAAAAAGTGCACATATGTTTTTTGAGCGATCGAAAATCCAAAACTAAATTTATTTTTACTTTTCGCGAAGTGAAAACACAAAATGGAAAATGGATTGAGATGGGATGTACAGAAGTGAAGAAATATTGGATTTGATGTTTCTCATTGTCAATTCAGTTTGAAATGGAAAATTATGAAAATGTTCTACAGTACAGTAATCAAAAATTTCAAACTTTTACAATTTTTCGAGAAGTGAATCTTAAAATTCATCAGTTTTTTTTATTAGTTTTTGAAAATTTCACTAAATTGAATTCGATAAAAATATTCCGATGTTCAAAAAGTCTTCACAACCATTAGAACAAGCACCTACAGTAATCCATCTGTTCCCCACCCATCAAAAATCCACAGTTTATCAATCTACCGTACTCCTCTTCAACTCTCCAAAATCTCATTGATAAATCGCCGTGCACTTTTAGCGCAATCGAGCAAAAAAGTTGGAGGGCGTGTCTTCTTGCGTTTTCGAGACTCCGCCCACAATTTCGTCTTGTTCTGCTGGTCCATCTGATTCTGTCTCACTCTTCTCATTTCATCGAAGATGCGCTACACGCTTCTTCTTTTTGTCGCCTTATTGGCTGTTTCGTCATTTGTTGACGCCAAGGTAAGTAGTTGTACTGTAGGGAAGGGAAAGGGTACTGTAGAAAATATTTGTGTTAGGAGTTGATTGGAATAACAGACACTACTGTAGGGGTTTGAAAAAAACTTTTTTTAGGATCATAATTAATAGAGAGGAAACTGAAACTGTGTATTGCATTTGGAATACTGTAGAATGTTGAGAGGTTTTTTGTAGTTTTTAGAAATCCTGAATTCCAGTTTCCAAAAATCTAGTTCGGATTATGGAACTTTCTAGCTGGATCTCCAAATTTCCTAAAATATGAATAAAACTAGAATCTAGGAAATTTGGAATCGATTATTCATTATCCAATTCCAAGCTCTTTGAATTGTTCCTGGGTCCAATATTTTTCGGACATTTATTGACAATTTTATAAAAATCCAACCAACTAAAATTTTTTTCGAAACTTGTGAACCCCAAGCGGTTTAGTTTGATATCTCTTTTTCAAAAAAATCATTATTCTGATTTACAGAAGAAAGCCGACGACGACGAGTTGGGAGAACTTCTCGACAACATCGACGCTGACGCCGCCGAAGAGAAAAAGAAGGGTAAGCTGCACTTTCTAAACTTATTGAAAACCAATCGATCATCTTCCAAGTTTTACCAATCATAACACAACTTTTCCTCATTCTCTCATATTTTTCTTTTTCTCCTGCCTGCCTGCTCATAGAACAGTGTAATAGCAGAAGAAAAATAGAAGAAGAAGTTAGTGTAAAATTGGGGAAAAAGTTTTGCGGAGTGAGTCGGTCGGAGGAAAGATAAAGAGAGATGAAGGGGGATTGGTGATTTATTGAGTCGATCAACTTTTTTGGGAACTTTTTTTGTTGAAAGTGATAATGGTTTAGGAGGCTGATAGGTTTTTGATGTTCTGGATGTTTAAGAACTTCAGAAATTTAGTTTTTTTGAGTGTATTCTCATTGCAAGGATATATAAATCACACACTCATCCTAAAATCTTAAATTTCAGAAGTCGCCAAAAACCCATGTGAAGATCATCAATGTGGATGGGGAAAAGAATGTGTGATTGACAAGAAGGGACTCCCAACCTGCGAATGTATCTCAAAATGCCCAGAACTCGACGGAGATCCGATGGACAAAGTTTGCGCCAACAACAATCAAACTTTCAACTCATTGTGCGATTTGTACCGTGAAAGATGTTTGTGTAAGAGAAAGTCAAAGGAATGCGTCAAGGCCTCAAGCGCTAAGGTGAGATACTCTAGTTTAGTTCAGAAAATAATAAAACAAAGTTTGCAGGTTCATTTGGAATACCTCGGAGAATGCAAGAAACTCGACGAATGCACTGATGAACTTATGGCTCAATTCCCAGAACGTATGGCTGATTGGTTGTTCCAAGTCATGAAGGAGTTGAAGAAACGTCGTGAATTGCACAAATTGGAATGGGAAGAACTCCTCGATGAGGCTGAAAATGACGACGAAAAGAAACACGTCTACCCAGTTATCTGGAAGTTCTGCGAATTGGACAGCAAGCCACACGACAAATCTGTCTCACACCACGAATTGATCCCAATTACCGCTCCAGTTATCCCAATGGAATCATGCATCAAGCCATTCTTGGAAGGATGTGATGCCAACAATGACGGAAACATCTCAATCAAAGAATGGGGAAAATGTTTGGGACTCAAGGAAGGAGAAATCCAAGAGAGATGTTAAATTATCTCTCGTTTTTTTTGCTATTTGGCTTGACTGGAATATTTTCAGTGATTTTTTTCTAATTTTTGTGAACACTTGAATACTGCCACTTTTTTAAATGTTATCTCTATTTATCCAATAAATATTCGTTTTTTCTATTTATGGATTTGGATCAGGATTCAATAGAATCAAAACCATGTTTTTAGATCCCGAAAATTTGTTGAGAGACAAGTTAAAAATTGAATATTTTCTCATAACCAAACTGTCTAGACCTATTCTAGTCTTTCATGTTTTGAAAAAAACAAACATTCGATCATCATGTTTCTAACAATGATACCAATATTGTTTCTCTCATTTATATTGCCAGATCTGATATTTGGAATTTCTATAACCCATTCTGCCGGACAACATATTCTCAATTTCCACAATGAGATTAGACAACTTGTTGCCAATGGTAAATTCAAATTAAACGATAAATCAATTGCCCAAAATTCATCAAACATGCGAAAATTGATTTGGGATGCAAAATTATCCGAAAAGGCACAAAATTATGTGGACAAAAACCAGCCGACAGAACCACGAAATATTCTTGGGGAAAGCTTTTATTTTGAAACACGCATTGAGGGTAATTCTTATGGTCAGTAAAGTTTCAGATTTATATTCGACAAACCAACTGTTCACAATACTTATTTTCAGAATCGCCTTATCTTGCTGCTGTTGCTGCAATGAACAAATGGAAAGCTGAGTTAAGTGAAATTACCTGGTCACCAGATTCAATTGTGTGCGATGATTTCAAAAAAATTCGTAACGGATTGCAAATGATTCGAGCAACAACAGGAAGTGTTGGATGCGCATTGAAAAGATGGAAAAATGGAAAAGAGACTCATCCAAGTGAAGTTCAACTTGCTCTTGTTTGTCTGTATGACGGAGATATGGCAACTTCAGCAATCTCTGAAGGAACACACGAGATTTATAAAGTGGGAACAGCATGTTCCGCGTGTCCAAAAGATTCAGAATGTGATGAAAAATTAGGTCTTTGTGCGGGTTCATCGGAAAGTATTCCAGAAAACTCGACTCTTGCAACCAATATATTAACATTTAACAATAACCAAAGAAGTTTGATAGCAAAAGGACAAACAATATTGAATACAGTGACGTGTGTTGCAAAGCCTGCTTCTAATATGCAAAAACTGGTAAGAACTCTGAAATACCTTTCAAATTAGTAGAGCACATTTTACCATAGTAGAATATCAAGAGAAAAAATAGGCAATCTCTGAATGGGGCCCCTGAATGGGGCCATTTTCTCAGAAAATGGGGCCACCTGAATGGGGCCACTTGTGTGGCAAATTCCCTCAATGGGGCCAGCAAGAAAAAAGTAAGAGTTTCTCACTTTTTCCTTAATGGGGCCACCTAAAAAGACAAAACACACAATTTTTGTATATTTCCTCAATGGGGCCAGGTATTTTTTTTGCATTTCCTGAATGGGGCCCATCTTTTCATTTTTATACATCTTGTGACGTCATAGTGATCGTGAATTGAAATTTCATGAAAGTTTTCAAATTTTTTAATAGCGTATGTGAGTTATAACTTATTCATATGCCGAGTACCACGTATGCAAATGTTGGGTTCTGAAGGCATAGCCTCTTTTATATGAAAATTCTGAAGTTTCATGAATTTTTGAAACAGTAAAATTAAATAAAATATTTCTTTTTGGAATTCAAGTCTTGCTTTTTTTCAAACACTCGAAAACTATCAAAAATCACAGAGAAAATTCAGAATTTTCACAAATTGGAGAAAAAATATCAAATTTTTTTCTCAAATTTTCGGGTCATGAGAAATACTACGCATCAAACAATTCGAAAAATATTCCCGGAAGCATGTTTTGAAAATTGAACCAAAATCTGGAAGTAGTTCTTTAGATAATTATCACAGAAATTCTATATAGAATTTGAAAACTATTGAAGAACATGTCATATAAGTTTTCACACCTTGATATTTTGTCACCTTGCCCATAAACAAGACACGGACATCGCGCAAAAAAGTGTGTTTTTTTTGGAGACCCAGATGAGTTTTTTGGGAATTTATCCAAAAAACTTGTTGTCAACTAGCAAATAATACGGTAATAACCAAAACTTAATGAAAAGTACAACTTATTTTAAAAGAAAAGATCAATTTGATTGAAGAAAATAATTGGGAAAATGTAAAAGTTTACCCAGAAAAATTATTCGAGGAAAATTTCAATATTTTCATCAACAGAGCCTGAAAATTTGAAAAAAAAGTTACATTTGAAATGTTTTCAATGCTGAGAATAAAAACCACATAATAACAACGTGATTAAAAATTTGAAAACTTTCATGAAATTTCAATTCACGATCACTATGACGTCACAAGATGTATAAAAATGAAAAGATGGGCCCCATTCAGGAAATGCACAAAAAATACATGGCCCCATTGAGGAATTATGCAGAAATTATGTGTTTCATCTTTTTAGGTGGCCCCATTCAGGAAAAAGTGAGAAACTCTTACTTTTTTCTTGCTGGCCCCATTGAGGGAATTTGCCACACAAGTGGCCCCATTCAGGTGGCCCCATTTTCTCAGAAACTGGCCCCATTCAGGGGCCCCATTCAGAGATTACCAAAAAATACACACGATTTTGACTTTTTGAATTACAGTAACCTTTCTTTCATTTCAGGTTTGGGACAATGAACTGGCTTGGGCTGCGGAACAATTCGCCAAAGCAAGAGGCAAAGAAAAACGTTGGTATACTGGTGAAAATATATTTTATGAAGAAAATGGTGATTCCGACCCGGCAACTATTATAAACAAAGCTATGAACACTTGGTTCGATGAAATTCTATTAACTCGGTGGTCAGTTAGTAGTCCGATGACTGAACAACATTATATAAAAATGGGAAATGGTCTGCATATGATTTGGGCGAGTAGTAATCGAATTGGATGCGGACACCATCAATGGAAATCAGAAAATGGTTCTCATACGAGTTTTATTTGTCGCTATGGCCCAGTTTCTATGTTATATAACCATAAGGTTTATGCAGTTGGTGAGGCTTGTGCAACGTGTCCTTTTGGAACTTCTTGTGAAACAAGTTCAGGGTTGTGCGTTAAGGAGTTAGTTACGGAATCTCAGGCACTTCCTTCGTAATAACAATAAACATTTTACTCAATGTACAGTTTTTTGTTTATTCAATTTCATCAATACATTATCAAAAACAAAATTCAAAAGCCTGAACAACTCTGAAGCTGAGCTCGTGTTCCAAACTTTTTCTCAATGCGTATTTTCTAAAATCGCGTAGCATCTCAAGAGACAGAGAATCGAAACGACACAATCCCCAGGATCAAAGTTATAGACGAAAGAATTTATGAAACATTTTCTCATAGACAATCGGTCTAGACACATTCTCCGAGCGAACTTTTCGGCTTTCACGAAAAAAACATTCATTTATCATCCTTCAAATGACGATTAGATCAATTATTTGTCTTTTATTCATTCTGCCATCTCCAACACTTGGTATTTCAATCACTCATCCTGCTGCAATACACATTCTCGACTTTCACAATGAAATTAGAAGTCTTGTCGCTCAAGGGAAATTCAAAATAAACAATAATCTAAACGCTGAACCTTCTTCAAACATGCGAAAATTGGTGTGGGATGCGAAATTGGCCGAATTGGCACAGAATTATGTCAAAGATGAGCACCCGACAGAACCCCGAAATTTTCTTGGAGAAAGCTTGCATCAAAATAACTATACAACGGATCAAAATGGTAAGCCAAGTTTCATAAACATCAAACAAATATCTAGGTTTATTAGATTAGTTCAATTGTTTCCAGATTCTCCGTATTTTGACGCTGTCAATGCAATGAATGAATGGAAAGCTGAGTTAGGTAATTCAAGTTGGTCACCAAATTCGATTGTGTGTGAAGACTTCAAAAAAATTCGAAATGGATTACAAATGATTCGAGCAACAACAGGAAGTGTTGGATGTGCTTATCACGAGAAGAAAATGCACGGTGTTCTTGTTTGTATGTATGACGGTGATATGGCAAAACTGGCCATCTCTGAAGGAACACATGAAATTTATAAAGTGGGAAAAGCATGTTCCGCGTGTCCAAAAGATTCAAATTGTGATGAAAAATCAGGACTTTGTGTTGGTTCGTCGGAAAGTATTCCAGAAAACTCATCACTTGCCTCTATGATTTTGTCACGTCATAATAAAGAAAGAAGTAGATTTGCAAACGGCAATGCAATTTCAACAAGTGGAAGTTGCACCCTCCGACCTGCATCTAACATGCGGAAATTGGTGAATATAAATGTAACTACAACAATTCATCTTTGACTTTCAGACTTGGGACAATGAACTTGCCTGGGCTGCAGAGCAATACGCAAAATCCGAAGCCAAAGAAAAACGTTGGAATGGTGGTGAAAATATATTTTATGAAGTAGGTGGTGATTCAAATCCAGAACGTATTGCAAATTCAGCGATGACGGCGTGGTTAGATGAAGTTCTATCAAAACAGTGGTCTTTGAAAGACGAAATAGGAGAAAAACAATATATCGAAATGGGAAATGGTCTACAAATGATTTGGGCGTATAGTGATAAGATTGGTTGTGGACTCTATCAATGGTATTCAGAGAATGGTTTGAAGAAACATGCAAATTTTGTTTGTCGATATGGCACGACATATTTTGATTATAAGCAAAATGTTTATTTATCTGGGAAAACTTGCAAACTGTGTGGCACAGGAATGACTTGTGGAAGTAAGGATGATGAATCTGGGTTGTGTGTAAAAAAATGATATAGTTCTCTAATGAATAAATGCTTTTGTCAGAAAATCTTAATTTTTCCCGATGCTGTTATGATATTTTTATTGATGATAAATAGTTAAATATTATTTCAACCGAAAATGTTTCTGAAAAAAATTGAAGATGATGATCCTTTGTTATCCAATTCGACACTGTATTTGAACACACGATCCCTGAAATAATACTTTCGAATAGGGAAGATCAACTTACACTAACTCAGTCTCACATGATGTTTCCCAATCAGGTTCTTTATATCTGATAGTTCTATTTTCACCGTTTTGTGTACAGTTGTGGAGGATTTGAGCAAATGGATCGTATGTTTTCTAAAAATATGGTTTCAAAGTGAATTATGAATAAAATGACTTACACTCATCATTTCGTCACCTTTTTGAGAAGAAACTACGAGATGGAAATCTGAAGTATGGTTTTTGATACAGTTATAAGGGACTTCTGTCATTCTGTCATCCAGAAACCAATCATCTTCAAAATATAAAATTTGATAACACCAATTATCATAATGGCTGCAACTGATATTAGATTGCATATACCATTTTGTGGATAGAGAAAAGTTGATGAATGACAAAGTTAGCACAGTCTTCAAGATGAAACCCATTTTGTCATGTTTTTGTTGGTTTCCTCAACTTTTTATAGCAACGAAATTATTTCAAGAATTTTTCTTTGTTGTCTGAAAATGTGGGAATTTTGCGAAAAAGATTTTCACAAACAATATTTTGTATTTTGTTGACATTTTCTTTATTCTTCTGCATAGGCTCATAAGATACAATTTTGTAAAAGACTACTTTCTGAAGTTGAACAAATTTATTGCAAGACAATGTAGCCCCTTTTTCTCTCACTTTGTTTTACAATAAGCAAAACAAAAAACACGGAAAACATTAAACCAATCCCTGTCATGAATAAAAATGAAGTGTTTCTCGAAGAAACATCCGAAATTCCTGAGAAACTTTGGAGTTTACCAGTTGACTTCTTAGCTGATATAAGTTTATCAAGTTTTGTCATGTTTTTCATCCAAAAATCATATTCTTCTTGATGGAAGTTATTTTTCATGACTGGCCAAAGATTATTTTTTGTATCGACTTGCACCGAATAATAATTCATTTTTGCAAGATTGAGAGGCTCCCAATTCGGACTAGGATTCCCAAATTTTGTGAAATTGACCAACATTTTACTATAGAATGTGTTCAAAATATCCATATCTGGTGTATGCACTTTTTCTCGATGATAACCAACAAAATATTGCATATCAGAAACGTGGTTATTATGAGGTTCTTGTCTGAAAACGTTCAGACCTTGTGAAAAATTTCAGAATGATTTGACTCACTCTGATTGAAAAATGTATACTTTTCCACCTTTTCTCGCAAATGCTTGAGAATATAAAATAGTGGTCATGAAAATTCCTTGCGCTCTAGCTTCATTAATTGTATAATTACTGTCAGCCTGAAGTTTTGTGAAATAATCGCCGATTTCAATTGGATTTTCATAACTCCAAAAACCTCCGGCAACAGATGGATCAACATCTGGATATGGATTGGGACCCATCTCATTTTTTGTACATCCAAAGAGAATCTCTCTAGGTATAATATCCTCTAGAAATTCTGCAACGGTAACTCCAGGATTTGCAAACGGTGGTCCCAAAATGTAATTCCAGAATAGCATATGCTCGTGATCCATTTCAATTTGAATATCAAGCAACATTTCGTATGGTTTACTTCTCATGCAACGAAGAATATCGTGAACTTTTGTAGAGTTTCCACATCCACTTCTTTTATTCATTTCATTAATATTACGTTTATAAAGTTGAGGAACATTGTATTGAGGAATACCACTGAGAAAAATAATTCGTTCAATGATTTTGCGATCAGGGTCCACATTTTTACTGACACCCAACAATAAAGAAATCACAGCACCAGAAGAATGTCCCATCAAAGTTATATGTTTTTCATTTCCTCCAAAATGTTTTACTTCTTGATAAATATAATGAAGAGACGCGTTACAATCTAACAAAAAAAATATAATGTATGATTCTCAAAATTATAAATCCCACCGTAAAAATCTAGATTCTGATGAGTCAATTCTTCATCGCCCAAACTGTACAATCCCAAAACTCCTAATCGATAAGCAGTAGTAACAAAGACAATATCATTTTTCACATATTTTTCAAAAAAGAAGTCTTCGGGAAACATGATTGCCGAATCCAAATTCATCCCACCGCCGTGAGTAAACATTATAACAGAACAATTCGAAGTATCCAAACATTTTTGAGAAGTGAAAATGTTCAAATACAGACAATCTTCGCTTTGATTTTGTGGTACACCGTGGAACTCTTTAGAAATACTTGGACACGCGGGACTGTAATTAATATTCCAGAAAAATATTCCGATAAATTTTTATGAGAAACCAAACCTATATTCTCGGGCATCCTTGATTCCTTCCCAGGGTTCCATTTTTTGTGGTAATTCAAATCTCAAGTCTCCCAACGGTGCTTTCACAAATGGCACACTTTTGAAACTGTGAAACATTCCATAATCATCACCTGGCACATCTTTTCCTTCCAATTTACCATAACTTGTTTCAATTATAACACCGTAGACCAAACTAGGAACAATTGAAATAAGAGAAAAATAATAATAGTGCATTCTGGTTGTTGACCCACCAAGAATGATTTTTTTGAAATGAGTAGATAACAAAAAATCATTTTCTGATAATAATGAAAAAAATGGTAACTAGATACATAAAACACACAATAAAATTGAAAAACAAAATAAAACGGCTGTTATCAAATGAATGTCTGAAATTATTCGGCGCTTCAAACAATTTTTATAATGATAATTATAACTCACAAAGCGTTGATCAGAAACTAAAAATTCAGATACATATTTTAGAATTTGAAATTATTATAATGAAATTATTATAATAATTTAATTATAGTTCCAGAAAAAATATATTCTTCAGTCCAGATTCCTCTGAAAATTTCTCTGAAAGATTCACAAATATGAGAATATGGGGAAGGATACTCCTTCCGATATTTGTTTTTGAATAAAATGACTTTAAATCCTTTCATTCATTCCAAAAAGATATCTACATGTTCATTTGTTGGAAATATATACCCGATTAGTATACACAAAAGGTGTTATGTTATTAGTGATCCATTCCATTAACATTGCTCAATTCGCTCATCGAATGTCCAAATTTGACATGAATAATAATGAAAACTACGCCGAGTAAAATGGCTAATGACCCAACCACGAGATATGCAATTCCCAAAAACGAGTTTTTGCCACCCGCCCAACTTGTTGTAGAAATTATGAACTTTTTGCGGCCTCCGAAAGATTTTACAGGATAGTCTAGAACAACACACATTTTGTTGAACTGCATAGTTTTAACCAAAAAAAATGAATAAAAACTCACTATTAATAACTGTCAGTGAATAAGTTCCTTTAGGCAATCCATTTGTGAAATCTGCATTTCCAACTTTTTCTTTATTCACAATCCGCCAAAGTTTTCGGAAGTTTGGAAGTGCCGCAGTTCTCATCCAGATTATAAAATCAACATTTTCAAATCCACCATTTGTACAAGGATCAACTTGCCAATTCGGAGGTTTTACAGTTCCCTAAACAATCCGATTTATTAAAGGAACTTTTTTTAGAAATGGAAAACAACTTACACTGAAAACACTGCACAATGTTTGTCCGGCTGGAATTGTTGGATTTTTGAACTTCTTATCTTTATCAACATCCCAAATAACACCTTCTGTGGTAACTGGGACTAATACTGGTAAAGTATCGCTATATGTTAAAGAGAAAGTGTCATTGAAGATTGAATTGGCGATGGCGCCACATGGTGCATAGGGTTTTTTGGTGGCTGGATCGACGTCGAATGGCGCACAATCTTTGACGTTCTGAAAAAATGGATATTTTGAAGAGCAGAAAGATCAAGATTTAATGATAGCTAGATGGTAAGTTTTTCCTCAAAACACAGTGTAAAATATATTTGAATATGAAAGCAACTAGTAAAAAATATTCCAAAATCACAAACACACACACTGAAACGTTGATAATTTCTCACGTTGTCTTGCCACTCTCTCACTAATTATGTTTTTTCAAGAAAAAAAGGGTGTGAATCACGAAGTTAAGAAAATGCTGTATTTTCAATTCTCAAACTGTAAAAAATACTTACCAAAATATCGCCATAATATTGTTGATCAGTTCGACTTTTTACATATCTCCGATGATTTTGATAATAATTCTCCAAATAATAATACAAATATACATCACCTTTCACATCCTCTTTTATTTCAATTTGTCTAGTACACGGTGATCCACAATCAGTATAATCAACTTCTAATTCGAAAACTGAATCCGAAGCGAGAAAAAGAGCAATTCCGATTGGAATGAAAATGAGTCCTATCGCGATTACAGTTGGGATTACTGTAGATGCTGTGAGAATTGGTTGCCAGGCGGGAAGTTTTTGTTGTCGAAGAGCCGAGGCTGCAAAAATAGAAATGAGTCATCAATATTTACAATGAATAAAAAAACATACCTTTCGGTCGATTTTTCAGAATTTTCTCTGATTCTGGAGAAGATATTGATGTTGTTGTTGCGGGTTGGGCTTGAGGTGGCATTCTTCAAAAATATCCTTATTTGAAATAATACAATAAATACGATTAAGCCACAATTAGAATGGAAATTTTCTATTTTTCACTGCGGAAACTAAATTGTTTTTGTCTTCGATTCTCGTGTAAACAAAAGAGAAATCAATTGACTGAAAAGAAGAAAACAGACAAAAATCAATATGAAGTTTTTTAGTTTACAAAAAATGAACTAAAAATGTGAAATATACTACACGTCGTGCCACCACACAAATTCGAGGAGACGCAGACATTCATTTCCGGTTAGAAAGTCGCTGCGAGACCTCAACACATCAAAGGGCGACGCCGATGTGGTCTATAAACGCAGCGACAGACGAAAAAGCGGCGCGGCCATGCGCTATGTTTTGTGTGTGTGTCTGCTTGTCTGCTGTGTCTGCCAACAGCACACTGTATCGCCCGAGGGGGAAGGAAAGGCGAGAGATGTCTCTGCCTGTGTTAAAAGTCTGCGTCTCCCAGAAATTTAATTTTTGTATCGGCTGGCATAGCGTGACTAAAGCAAACAAGAGAAAAGGGTAACCATGCCAAAATTGTCTGCGTCTCTCTACTCTTTAATTCCCCCCCCCCTTTGTTACGATGGAGCGCGTTTTCTCGCTTAAAGAGCGAAGAAATTTTAACGTAGAGCTATCTGCCCGTGTATTTCTATTCGTTCATTCAAGTAAGGAAACTTTGAAAAAGATAACTGTAGATATTGAAAAACTTTGAAAAACAAAAACTGAGCGATTCCAAGAGATCTTTATTCAAAATGGAAAGTTAATGAATGTTTATGTATTACAATATTATTTTGAGATAATAAAAACGAGATGTACAAAGGACATATTTTTTTGAAAAATTTTGAAAATTCGGCGGCAGTGAAGAGGTATATGGATAAAAACATGGTGAGAATTCGGCACCTAATCCACATGTTTCATTTATTGTGGGGCTCCTGGTGCACCTGGCACTTTTTGTCCTGGCTGTGGTGCTCCTTTCTTGTTCATCAAGTAGCGATGGATATGTGGGATAACTCCTGAAATTTTTAATATTCATTTTTGCACATTCATTTCTAATCCCCGATTACGGCGGGACTTCTTTGTGCAACGATTATTATTGCTATTATGAGGTGCGCAATTAATTTACGACATGCAACGAGCAGATGCAACAATTGTAAATAGATCTATTCACCGTTGTAGCAGCTGTTATTGTGACGTCATAAATGTAAATGCGCAACTCTTGGCTAGGTGCCAGTAAATGTCATGAATTTCCTTACCTCCTCCAGCAATTGTGGCCTTGATTAGTGTATCAAGTTCTTCGTCTCCTCTGATAGCCAAGTGAAGATGTCTTGGAGTGATACGTTTCACCTTCAAATCTTTGGATGCGTTACCAGCCAACTCCAAAACTTCGGCGGTCAAATATTCGAGAATGGCGGCACTGTAAACAGCGGCTGTAGCTCCGACACGTCCGTGTGAAAGTGTTCTTTGTTTCAAGAAACGATGAATACGTCCGACTGGGAATTGAAGCCCAGCTCGGGCACTTCGAGACACAACTTTGGATTTGGACTTTCCAGAGTCCTTTCCAGCTTTTCCTTTTCCTCCGGCCATTTTAGATTATTAGAGTTAGCTGAAAAATGAATTATGTGAGCGAAAAAACGAAACGAAAATGACGATAAAAGTGCAAAATAAAAAAGGATTTTTTATGAAAACAATAACCTCATGTTCTTTGGTTATTGAAAAAGAATTCAGTGTAGAAAAGTATCGTCAAGTTTTGTAAATTCAATTGATGGCAACTTAACGAAAAACATAACTTTTAAGTTTCTCAAAATTCGCGTTCTCAAATTTTGTATCGAAACAAAGAAAATTCGAAAATGATGCAAATGATTCAAGATACTCAAATATCCGGACCGAGACACAAATTTACGTCAAAGGATAACACTAGAATCATAGATTTTATCAGAATAATCTCCTGCCACTCAAGAATCACAAAACTGTCAACTAAAACAGAAACAACTGAACGTCTACTCAAAATACGCGCGCAAACACACAAGCTCCGCCCATTTGGCATGACGCCGACACAGTTTGATGTGCAGAGTCTTGTGACGATGTAAACTACGGTAAAGTGTGTCGATTTACGGGAAAAGAAATTTTTTTATTTTTTTCACACCCGTTTGAAAGTAGAAATGTTTGGGTGAAGTACGGTTGGCGAACTGTGCACACACCGCACTGTCACAATGCACAACTTTTTCGCTGAAAAATTATTTTTTTCGTTTCGTGCGTCTTTAACGCGCTCAACTGCTAAGAAAACTGAACACGCAAAACATAGTCGCATAGTTCACGAAAAGACGAATTTTTTGATATATTCAAGTTCTGCTATCGATACCGGGAAGTTCTCCAAAATGGGCGCACCGATTTTTTAACATATCAAAACCGTAACTGAAAATCTGCTTTTTTCAGAAGCCACTAGGAATCAAGTTACTTGTATCTTAATATTCGTTATGAAACGAGGAATTCAATGGTGTATTCACCTTATTTTTACTTGTCGAGTTACCCTAGTTATTCCAGGAAAACACGTTAATTTTCATACGGTGTTTAAAGGAACATGACTTTTATTTTTTTATTTGGTCTCGCTTGGAAGCTAACTTTTTTCCTAGGCAGTTATACGAAGTGACTAAAACATAGTCGCCTAGATCTCGATGAGCTGATTTTGATGCTATTTTCACGTTTTCATACGTTACCCTAGGGACCGTGTAAATGGGCGCACCAGTTTTTACGCAGCATTTCTTCTCTCTCAATGTATTTGAGCGGCTGTGTTTTCCTTTTTTCGCACGTTTTCTTCAGAAACTAACTTTTTTCAGTGGTATGTCGTCCTTCAAATCATTTGGCGGAGCGAAAACCGAGACAATTGATGCCTTTTCGAAGCCGTGAGTTTCTTAATTCCTGAAATATTCATTAAAACACATTTTCAGAATTGTCCGCCGCCGATTTCAAGCTACACAATCGCAACAACCAGTGGATGATTTGCCAAATGTATCAGACGATGGAACAAAATCACCAGAACAAGTATTTTCTCCGCCTGTCAGTATACCTTCAAATGTTTCAAGCTCGGATAGCAGTGACAATGAATCATCACCAACAAATCTATCACAAGGTTCAACCGCTTCTTTGAACAAGAAAATGGAAGCATCCAAAATTGCAACACCACCAAAACATCTTGCACCAAAAAAACGAAGTAATTCGGCATATGATTTTGATGAGGATGAAGGTGAGGAAACCTTGAAAAATGAAGTGAACTCGGAACCAATACAAAAAAAGATGAAACCACAAGACGAAACAGAAGGCGCAAAGTTTATACCAAAAAAAGAGAAAAAACTGGTTTATCAACATAAATGGACAAATGATTTTGAAGATGAAGAAGAGGAAGAACCTGAACAACCAAGCAGTTCCAGAATTCGACAACCAATTTTGTCAGCTCAACCAAGAAAACCGATTTATAGTCGACAACCATCGACATCTTCAAATCCACCACTTCAAAGAGGAAGTTCAGCTCGTGTTAGAAATGTCAAAGATTCCAATGAAATTCTTGAATCTGGAGAATACGATGATTTCAAGCAAGACGTTATCTATATTCTATCCACTTTGAACAACAAAAATTCATCGATAAATGTCAAAACTCTCAGTACAATCTCTCTGGCTAAAAAATGCATCTTGCCAGATTTCCGTCAATTTTTGAATACCGAACAAATGGCTCCAATGCTTTTCAAATCTTTCGCCGAGGCTCCACAAAATCCACTTTTTGCTCTCACCGCATCAAGTGTTATTTATTTATTGTATCGCGATTTTAATTCAATCAAATTGGATTTTTCAACACTCAAAGGTACGCTCAAATACAAAAAGTTTACCAGCATCCGAAACTTTTTCTGCTTCATTTGTACAATGTTCGATTTTCCCGAAAGCATCTCTTTCAAAATAGTCTTCGATTGTCAGTGGTAGTTTTTTAGCACATTCAACTGAAAATATTAGACAAACTAATAAAACTATAAATCGCATGATTTTCTTCCAACTTTTATCATTCGAACGGTCTTTTATAGTCTTTTTCGAACAGGGTTACACTTCCTGGTGAAGAAAAAACGTTTTTTTTCAGTAATCGCTCAACTTCTTCGAATTGAAACACTTGGAGAAAACGAGGAAGAGAGTAAGAAGACTGTGAATCAAGTATGGGAGATTTTCCAAAATTATGCGGAAAGACAAGAATATCGTGGAAAAAAGATCACTTTTGATATGAAAAAGGAATATTTAACAGCTTCGAATTTGATTTTGGAAGGATTGGTTTTTATCACAGCGAGATGTGCGAATGATGAAAAATTGAAGACTGAACTTGTTAATTTGAGCATCTTACAGGTAATCTTTTTTGTCCGGGCGGATTTAAATATTATATTAATGAATAATTATAATATTCATGATTTTGAAAATTATAATTTTTTCTTGATTTTGTTGCGAAATAATCTATTTGAATCCTATTTTTTTCTAAATTTAAAATTTTGAGTTCTAACAACGTGTTTGCAAATCTATTTTTATTTTTTCAGTATTGCGTTGCAAAGGTCGAAAAAATGGTTGAACAAATTCGTCAAACTCCTTTCGAAAACGAAGATGCTCAAAGATTCCCTCTTCACACACTTGATAGATGTTTCCGAATTCTTGACACGGCGTCTAGTTTTCACAAAAAGAATCAAGCATTTTTAGTGTCTCATCGATCGAGTACACTTATCAATGTTCTTGCAGAGTGAGTTAATCTAAATTTAAATTAAGAAAAACTTTGTTTTAAATTTTAGATTCCTGTCATTGATCCATGAATTTGTGCCAAAAGTTTCGAAAGAAATGTGTGAAAAATATATGAATTGTTTGAGTGTTATGGCTAATATTATGATCAATTTGTCGCATGAAAATGGTAAGTTTTTAACCTGTAAAAATCTTGTTGAAAGTCTTAAAATTTAAATTTATTTGCAGAACTGTGCTCTTCAAAATTTGGACAAATTCCTGGTTTTATTGTGAAAAGTCTTGCATCGATCACTCACTTGGCGCCATTATATGCGCAAGATAAACGATATGATATTTCTGTTTTGGTAAGGATTTATGAATTGAATTTCAACAAATAATGAGATTTTTTCAGATGACCTCATTTGTTGTGAATTTGGTTGAAAGATGTAATACAAATCGCAAAAAATTGATAACTACACCAATTTTGGTTTGTTCACCGGATAAAAAAATTGTCGAAGAGCAAAATGCGTTGGAGGCGATTGCGAAGGTTGGTTTTTCTGGGACTAGGTGATTTAAAATAATACTAGGGAATTTGGCTACTCGAAAAAATATGGAACTTTAGCAACACGAAAAACCACATTATTTTTCAAAAGAAATCTTTCATGGGATTCATTAACGAGAAAACAATAAATTATATCAATATTTTGAAACGTAATTTTTTTGTTATTTGAAAAAATAAAATTTTGAATCTACAGTTGTCTGAAAATCGCTGAAAATGAAAATTTAAGTAGAAAAACTAGAACAAACTTATCCACGGCGTGGCAATTTCAAAATAGAAGGTTTTTAGTGGCAAAATCCATGAAATGTTGTGCTTTTCCCGTAAAAAAGCTGAATGTTTCAGATTTTCTGAACCAAAACCGAAATTGTTGAGTTTCTCGATCCAAGAACATTAAAAATATTTGAAACGAGGATATGTGTTTTTTTACAAAAAAAAAAATTCTCAAAATTCAAGCCAAAGATTTTTTCATTCTTCGAATATTCTATGAATAAAAAATGGAGTATTTTGATTCATTTGTCTGAAAATAAAATCGAAACTTTTCAGCTCTTTGTTCATCACGAATCCAATGCCAGAACAACCGATGAAGATCTTGATAATGATTTGGCATTCGAAGAAAAAGATTTGGATGATGAAGATGAAAATGGAGATGGAGACAGTGATGATGAAGGAACAACAAAAGATGGACGATTAAATCGTAAAAAAATGGAAAATATGGATCAAGCTGATGTTTTCAATGTGTTGAGTAATGTAATGACAAAAGCATCAGTTCATATGGAAGATAGTATTTTGGCATCACATTATGGCCTTCTTATTGGTTGTTTATTGAATCAAAATGAGGAATTTGTTGATGTTGTAAAAGAGGTTATGCCGGATAAAAGTTTGAGTTCGATGGCTGCACAATTGCAAAGATTTCATGATTTTTTGAAAGTTACAACGGTAAGATTTCGGGGAATTTTTGTGTTGTTTTCCATATAAATTTCAAAAGTATCATGTTTTGATCGGAATTTAATTCATGAATAATTTCTTGATGATAAGGAACCTAATTCAATCTTCATTTTTTGCAGGGTTCAAAACCAGAATCTGAAGCTACAACTCGCTCAATTGAAAAAATAATCGATGTTATTGAAAGACTTGATTAATTTATCCAAAGTCTCTTGTTTTTTCTTGATCTCGTCTCCCAGTGTTTTTCTACCGATTTTTTCTTTATTTTTGACCCCCAGTGAATTTCTCATAATTCTGTACTATTCTGTGAATTATTATTGTTTTTTATATTTACTGTTTCTTTCCCTTATTTATGTTAACTTTTTGGAAATTGGAAATTAATTAGATTATTTCTTATTCTTTTGTTTACAATCAGATGATTGACATGTATTTGGTGTTGGCGTATTTCAAGAAAGCTCATGAAAAATGCGCCATCAAATGAATAAATAATGAAAAGAAAAATGAACAGGCCCGCCCAGTTCATATCAAATATTCATTTCATTCATATATAATTCGCGCGTGCCCGTCTCACAATATTTTTTTTCAATTTTTTTTTTCGAAACGTATCTATCTCTATATTATTTTTCCCTCGAATATTTTTAATTGCGTTGCGGTCAAAGCGACGCGGTTCTCTTATCATTTTTCATTCAAATTGTCATATTATCAGCTGGTTTATCAGAGAGTTTTATCGCAAACTCACATTTTTGTTGGTTGTATTATATTTTTCGACGCCTTTTTTTCTATTCACATATCTATCTATCTACAAAAAAAAACATGCTGGAATCTATTACGGATAACAAGAAATCATCGACAAGTTCGGATATTTCTACAGTACCCCGAACTACAACATACCAGCCAACACCGTCCAATGTTGAATATTTACAATTGTTGCAGAAATTGCAACAATATGAACAGAAATTGGCACAATTACAAGAAACTCCAGCAGGTCTGCATTTTCGGGGAAAAATTGAAAAAAATATTTCGGAATCAAAAATCTTGAAAACTTTCAAGAAATTAACAGAAATTTTGAGCCTGGAAAAATTGGAAATGAAAAATCACTCCTAAAACTGATGACTCACAACATATTTATTGTATTTTTAATATGAAGAATAGAGAAGTTCGGAGTTATCAAAAAAAATTGAAGAAATATTTTTAATGGTGTGATTTAAATTGAAAAAAATTAAATTTTAGACCAAATCTGTAAATATTCCGAACTTTGCTCAGATCAGCTTTAGAATGTTTCTGACAAAGTTTCATTGCAACATCTTATTTCCGTAAAATCAATTTTCAGCGAGTTATGAAAAGTTTCACTTGTTAGAATTACTGTTTATTGATAAATAGATAAGATTGAGCCCAACTATTTTCAACGTCGGTGGAAATAAACATTTTTTCATTTTCTAATAAGTTTTAACCAAAATTTTCGTGTCAACTTTCAAGTTTCACAACTTGGCCTAATTAAATTTTCCTGGATAATTTTTAACCGAATTTTGCATCAATGATTTTTCTTCCAGCAACATCTGACACCACAAATTCTAACCAACAACAACAACAACAACAAGTTCGTCGTCCAAACAATCAGTGCTCCAATGATTCTGCCTCGTCCACCTCCTCCCACAGTAACTCGTCCCCCACCATCCGCTTATATTCCACCAAATTTCCAAAACCCAGATGACGAGATTTTCCGCGAATTTATCAGTCAAGTTGTGACGACAGCAAATGAATTGAGAGCAGCTAGAAAAATCAATGAATAACACATATACGATTTAACTTAAATAAAGTATTCACTAAAGAAAATCGTCAAAAATTTCATTCACATAGAAAAAGTTTTGTGTTGGGGGAAAGGGAGGACCGCGAAAATACAAATAATTAAATAATTTAGAATTTCATGATTTTTATACAATTTTGAAGAAAAAAACAAATTGTTGGTTATAAAAATCCCGAAAGATGAGTACTTTTGAAAATCGAATAAAAAAAGAATCGAAAAATGTTTGTTTGTGGGGGAAAGGGAAAGGAAATATCCAGAAAACGAAAAAGAAGGCGGAAAATCACAAAAATGGGATATAAAAAATGTGTTGGCGCCTGAAATGTTTTTCAAAGTCACCCAATTTTTAGGCGCCAAATATATGTGGTTGTTTAGATGTATTGCGACAACCAACGGAAACCATCTCCATAACCGGTTCTACGCAAAACTGAGCACATGAAAACTTCCATTGGTCGAGACGCCAATTCGTTGCGAGAAACTTCGCCTGCAAAAATTTTGTGTAAATTATTAGAAAACAAAATGAATTCATAGAAAATTTGGAGGAAAGCACAGCTTTCTTTCGTGGAACTTTCAAGTTGTTCATTTTCAACTAAAAAATAGAAAATAATTTTGGAATTGCTTCGAATAAAAACGTGACCAATGGGAAAACAACTATCTCATTTCAATATTTATAATGAAACTAAATAGTATTTTCTAAAGCCTCAGAAGTGAAGATTGTGAGGTTATCAGGGTTCCCAATTGCAAATAACCTGGTATTTGCCTAAAAATTTTGCCGAAAAGTACTGTAGGTTTTTGCGCGTAATGTTTGATGTATGCTGATTTTCACAGAGTATTTGTAAATGTTTTCAATTCGTGTTTTTTTTTTCATTTAAAAACGATATTAAAATATCACAAATTTTTTTTACATCGGAGAACTCAATTTTTACCATTGAAAAAAAAATGTCTTGGGTTTTATTTTTGAGTTTTTCAGATTGTCAACCCCAGAAAAATACGCTATAAAAACTCTTAACTTGTCAAATTCAATTGATACGATTTTTCATAAAATTCATTGTAAATTTCAGAATTTATTTGAAGAATGACTATTTTTTCGCTATAGAAATTGTTTTTTTTCGCAGGAAATCTAATTTGAATTATTTTAATTTACCAATTTTGGACTATAAGTCTGATTTTTTGAAAAGTCTAAAAAACAAAACTCTTTGAATAATAAATCATCTTTCAAACTTCTCCAAACCCTCAAAAAAACTCACCTTTTCCAGTGCACAAATGTTGAATATTTAATTGCCATTTCAATTGATCTTCACTCAACGCACTTGGTTTATCGATTTTGTTTCCAAGAACTAAAACTGGCGCCGAAGCGACTTGTTCATCTTGAAGTAGACTTTCAAGTTCAGCTCTCGATTCAGCGATTCTTTCCAAATCGGCACAATCGACCAAGAAAACAATCGCATCTACAGCTGGGAAATAATCTTTCCAAACTCGTCGAGCTTGTGCGTGACCACCCAAATCGAAAGTGGTGAATGAAATTCCTCCGAGCGATAATTGTTCAGAGGCTGCAAATATTTTTATTGATTTTTTGCTCGCCACCGATTCTTATATTCAAATTTTAAGTTTTAAACTTCAATCGAAATCACCTGTTCTTCCGAAATCACCAGTTATTTGTAGTCAAAAAAATCGATAAAAATCAGCTGATAAGCAAAAATAACTTACTTGGATGTAAAGTTGGTACGTGTTGAGCAATCCGATCATCTTTTAACATATGTAAAAGTGTTGTTTTTCCGGCATTATCCAAACCAAGAAATACCAGTTTACCCTTTTTATTGGCCAAACCTACAAAAAACGCATTTTTTAAAAATTAACCATCATGTTTTTCCAAGCAAAAACTAACCAAGGAGATTCAGCACACTGTTGAACCAATCCCAAAGGAATGACATATTTGCTATTTGGCTGTAAATAAATCAAAAACTATAATTAAAATGCTGAAAACAATGAGAAAAAGCATAAAAATGAAAGGAATTGGCTGAGTATCGTGTTGTTTTGTGTGGTTGAAGATACGCAGGCAAATGACAAACACACCCTTCCACGTGTAACAGATGAAGAGACGAAGAGAAAAAAAGAAAAATGGAAAAAAGAAGAGAGAGAAATGTGTACTTTGAAACGGGAAAATCTTATGATTCTTCTTTTCGGATGGGGAGTATTTTGAAAATTGATAAGCCGGTTCGTGAAAATCAGGTGTTTTTAGAGGAATAAAACAACTTAGAGAAAATTGGATTTTTTTCTTGAAAAAGCATTTTCTGAAAGAGTATATTGAAAAGGAGAAATTTGAGACATTCAAAGAACTGAATAACAGAATTTGACACATATTCTCCGAGAAGATTTTTCCCATGCAGAGTGAAATATAGCACATTAAGCTAACTAAAGCTTTATTTCAACGAAGTGTTTTCAGAAGAATTTTGAGAAGTTCCAATGAACAAAAACTCTATGAAATCTTTATGAATAGAGTGAGTTTGACAGAAACAAAACTCAACGTTGAAATTTTCACCCGAGAATTTCACAATGATCATGAGATTTCTATAAGAAACTTGAAGGTCTTTTTTCTACTCAAAACCTAACTAAAATAAGTAGGTTCTTCAGATAATTCGCAAGTCACAGACACAGTGTACACTACAAAACAAAGAACCTATCACAGAGACCACAAAAACCTGACAATTCGTCACACAAAACCCGAAAATAAAAAAAAATGACAAAATTAAAAATTGTGCGCCAGCAGCGATGCACAAAAAGCGTCAGTGTTCTGGAGTATGACACGCAAAATTTAATTTCGATTTTTGTTTATTTTCGGGCGAAAATTGGTGATTTTGGAGTGGAACAATGGCGTCGTTGTTCTCCTCGTTTGGATATAATTTTGGCGGACAGGTAAGAATTTTTCGAAACTTTGTCAAGAAAATTTAAGACTAGAAAATCAGTAAAAACAGAAGAAAGGAATTTTTCAGCTGATCGCCAGGGTTGTATCATTCGCCATAAATATGTATTTGCTGAGAAAGATTGATAATGATGTCCTGGGATTGGTCAATGTTAGATTAACTCTGTTGTATACCTCCATTTTATTTCTGACAAGAGAACCGATGAGAAAAGCGAATATTATGGGAGAATCACAACAGAAATTCATTAATCTACTTTGGATGAGTCCGATAATTGCAACATTTTTGAGTTTTATTTGCATATTTATTTGGCTGACATTTTCAACAACATCAGAAAACGTATCGAGTTTTGTGCTATTATCTTTCCCGATCTCTGCAATTATCGAAACATTGGCCGAACCTTTTGCAGTGATTGCTTTGCGATTCAATCTTGGTCAACATTTTGCAATTGGTCAGGGTATTTTGGTATGCATGAAACGTATATTTGTATTCTTCGCATTGATTTTATTCCCTGATGTTTATCATCTTGATCTCTTTGCCTATGCACAATATTTTGGATCGATCTCTTATTTAATTTTCAATGTTGTCGCCTTCAAAAGTTATATCAAAAATCAATCAAAAGCAGAATTGAAAGATTTCCAAACATTTGAAACTCTTCTTCCAAAACCATCCGAAGGATTAGATTCTCAATCAATAACTGCAATCTCCACAATGTTCTCTCACTCAATTTTGAAACAACTTATCACAGATGGAAGTGCTTATATCATGACTTTCACTGATATGTTGAGTCTGAAAAATCAAGCAGTTTTCGATGCAGTCGAAAGAGTTGGAAGTTTGGTTGCTCGTACAATTTTAGCACCATTAGAAGAAAATTGCTATGCTCATTTCGCAAATCATTTGCATCAACAACGAATTGCAAAACACGAGAAAAATATAAATTCCAATGAAAATCAAAAAATAATCGATACTTTGGCAACAATTTTGCACATTGTTGGTGTAATTGGTTGCGTTGTTTGTGTATTCGGAATACCGTATTCTCCAACAGTTATTCATTTTTACGGAGGAACTTTGTTATCAGCAAATGGCGGAGCAGTTTTGCTTTCCTTGTATTCTGCATATGTTTTTGTGATGGCTGTGAATGGAATAACTGAATGTTTTGCAATGGCAAGTATGGATAATAAACAGGTACGTTTAAAAATATGGAAAAGGATTTTAATATTTTCATTTTGTAGGTGCTTCTCCATGGAAAATTTTTGTTTTTCTCCGCAATCGGACATCTCACAATAAACTATGTACTTTGTGTATATTTGAATTCTGCAGGTTTTATTGTTGCAAATATTATCAACATGATTATAAGAATAGGTTACAGGTAAGAAGATTTTTGAAGAAATTGAAAAAAAATCGAAGAAAATTTCAGCTGGCGACATATCTCAACATTTTTGGGTCCTGAAAGAACTCCCTCAATTTTCACAGTTCTTCCAACTTCCTCTACAGTAGTATTTCTTTTCGCTTCATTTTTTGCCACTGGTTTCTCTTATTTAATATTTGGTGCAACTCCTGGATTATCTCACACATTGGCTCATTTGGCAATTGGTGCGGTGCTCTTTTCAGTTCTTTCGATGAGCATCGCCCAACATGATCCAGTGTTTTTCGGGATAATCAATGGATTTTTGAAAGATCATACGGCCTAAAAATAATTTATTGTTCTTCTTTTCTTTTTTCTGTTTCTTCTAGTCAGTCATATTTTGGAGTAGCGGAAATCTAATAACATTTTATTGTTTATTTTATGTGGTGAAGGAAGAAGTTTGCTTCTTTTTTCCCTTTCATTTTTCAGCTGTTTCTGAGTTTGTACATATAAGTTATTGTTTTTTTTGTTTAAAATATTTTTTATTTTTTTGGAAAGACAATGGGCTTTCAAGTGGTGTGCACTTCTTTGAAAGGTTTTGGATTTTTAGAATTAGTTGAAAAAATATAAGATGAAATTCACATTTCAAAAAAAAATCAATTTTCAACGTGGCCCATGAAATGAAAATTTTTAATTTTATCATTTCTAAAATCTTATTCATTTGGAACTGGTTACAATTTTTGGGGAAAAGTAAGTTTTTCAGGCACTAACTTGGTTACTGTAGATCACTTTTTGGCGCCTTGAGAGCCTTCATATCAAGTAGCCGATCCTAGAAATTCTCAGAGATATTTTTTTGAAAAAATGATTTTCACTTCACAATCCCGAAAAATATTTGTATTACTGTAGCCCCGCTTTATAAATTACTAACAGCAATGATTTTTAAAATTTATTTTCAGCAAAAAAAAGCTAAAAATCTTTTCAGCCATAAAATCCACCTGCCCTTACTTATGTGCCACCGAAAAATCCCTCCAAAGTAAAATTGCTCCGCCCAAAAGCCACGCCTCCATTTTTTGCCTCTCGCGTTTTTCTTTTTACAACAGCTGACGATTTTATTTTCGTGGAAAGAGAACTTCATTCGATTTTCTTGCTAAATAATTTGGTTTCATGTATTTATTAACTGAAACAATATGTTGAATCAATTGATTTTTGCATCGATTTTTTGGTCAGGAAGTTTTGCAAATTATCATCATAATGATGAGGTTTCTTGTCAGGTTGGTTGGATTTTCAAAATAAAATTCATTAAAAAATTAATTTCAGCGACATCGCGGTGGGGAACCTTTGGCAGTTGGACTTTTATATGTGAATCAATCGAATTATCCGAACCCATCACCAGCTTTCGACAAAGCTTGGGAAGATGTTAGAAATCGATCTTGTTATTTGGAAAAATATAGTTTGGCTAAATTGCAAAAAGATACAGAGGTGAGTAAGGGAAATTTCTGACGAGTTTGAGGTTTTTGGCAAGCTTGAAGTTAAGCTGATTTTTTGAAGTTAAGTCAAGTAATGTCAAAATAAGAACTGAACATAAAGTTCTAGACTTGATTGTAACCTAAAGTCCTAAACTCAAAATCAGTTACCTAACCATTTTCTATCGGGTATCAAAACAATTCGAGTAAATTTCTGAAACTCGAAAAAAAGTTCCAAATTTTTCGAACCACAGTATTTTCACTGAACATGGTTCGAAAATTTGAATTTTTCTTGAGTTGCAGAGAACTTATTCATTCTCTACTTCTTTAAAGGAACATGTATCAATCATAAAAATGATATAAATATTTTTTCCTCCCGAAAACAGCATTTTTCCCATCCAACGTAAATTCAATTTTATTCTTCTTCTTCTTCTTTTTCTCTTCTTCTTCTTCTAACTTTATTTCGTCGTGCTCGACCAGCCAAAAAAGAAACATCCATAAAAAATTTTCGTCCGTTTTTTCTCAAAAATGAGCAAAAAAAAGAGAAGAAAAAGTTTGTCAGGTTGGCGACTCGCATGACTGAACTTTTTGAAATGCGCAAAGAATTGCAAATATTTATAAGGGTTTTTCTGGAACCATCAAAAGAGGAAGACAGGATTGGGGGAAATTAGAGTTTGAAAAACAAAAAATAAATTATTTTTTACAGTGTAAGGCTTCGCTGGGAATGAAAGCATTATTCGACTTGATTCATTCAAATCCTAAACCAGTTGCAATTTTGGGTGGACAATGTACAGAAGTGAATGAACCATTGGCAATGGCTTCAAAATATTTCAAAATTGTACAATTGAGCTACGCCGAAACTCATGCAAAGTTTTCATCTTCGGATTCACAGGAGGTTTGTTTTGGATTCGGAATAAAAAACTGGTTTTAAAAATCTTTTTTTCGTTCAAAAAACTTCAATGAAATTTTCTGATCAAAAATAATCCACGAGATAATTACACTTTTTTCTTTTTTTTTCTTCCGATTTTCGAACTATGTATGAACAACCAACTAAAAAATGAATTTCTCTTTTTTTGCTGAGCTGCTGGGAAAATTGCCTCCGGCCAGAAAATTTAGTTTTTTTTCTCAACATAGAATTTCAAAAAAATAGGGGAATCTTATTTATTTATTTTCAAAACAATCTAATCTGAACATGATTTTTTCAGCTTTTCCCCACATTTTTCCGAATGGTTCCTGGAAATCGAAACACGAATCAAGCAAAAATCAAATTTTTACAACATTTTAATTGGAAACGTGTTGGAACTGTTAAACAAAATGATCATCCAAGATATGCACTGGTTAGTTTATTTTGTTGAAAACTTGGACGAAATTTTCAAAAAACCCAATTTTTGGGCCATATTTTTAATCCAAAGCGACATATTAATACCCATAAATCATAAAGACATATATTTTTTGTTGTTGGAAACAAAACAAAAAATCTGGCGGAGAATTATTCATTTTTCGCGGCACTGACACGATTGGAGGATGAAAATTTATTGAGAAGCTGCGCAATTTATGAGGGAACGTTTTTTTTCGAAATGAGATCAAAAATTGATGAACATTTATTTTCACAAAATGATAGGATTAGAACGAACCACAATTATGGGGCTTTAAAGTTCTAACCTTAAACTTTGATTTTCAAAAAACGTTCTTCTCCCAAACTTCATTTTTTCAGCCACATGAAACCCTAACAAATCGACTTGTCAACAATGGTTTATCAATTGTTCGAACTGTCGGAGTAAATCGAGAACAAATTTCAAGCATTGGTGACGAATTGAATGAGTTAAAGGTAGGCCACGCCCACTTTTCCGGTTTTTTTTCTGATTTCGGAGAAAGTCGTTTGTGTTTGTGTCACTAGAAAACAAGAAGACATGAATAATGAGATGTCGCACAGCAGATAAGACTCTCTTGGGGAATCTTTTCGCGACACACACACAATAAAATCTCGGGCTCTTTTTTTCGGAATCAGGGAGCAGGGCGAAAGGAAGGGGAAATGATTTGATTTCAAACACCAAAATTTTTATTGTTGAAACTTCACCGGTTTTTGACTGAAAAATCAAGTCCTGCTCCCGAGATAATCTTCAAAAAAAATTTTCATATTTTAGAACGATGATGCTCGAATTATAATCATGGATGCTGACGCAGAAATGGCAACTACAGTACTCTGCGCTGCTTATCTTCGTGGAATGACTGGATCGAATTATGTTTGGATTTTACCTGGATATCATTCTTCAACTTGGTTCAACACAAATGTGACAACAAATTGTACAGATAGTGAATTGGAAGCCGCGCTCAAACATCATTTCATATTTCAATTTGCTTTGGCAAGACAAGATGTCGAGACGAAAATTGTTGGAAATACGGTGAGATTCTTGGGAAAATGGAGTCATTTTGAAATCAAACTGTAGAGAATTATTCGAAAAAAAAAGAAAAAAGCTAGCGATTTTAAAAAAAATCTACTCTTTGTCTCTGAAAACTTAGCTACAGTAACCGAACAACATTTCTAATTATTTATTCTTCCAGTATGCTGGATTTGTTTGGGATGAAATTTCGGCCAACGACGCTCATAACAAATTCCGCGGTTATGTTTATGATGGAGTTTGGGCTCTCGCACGCGCTCTTACTCATTCTTTCAATGAAGACAAAGAGTTCTCCCATGAAAAAATGCTCGACAATATTATCAATTTAGATATGCAGGGGGTTACGGTAAGTTCTCTAAGTTTTTTTAGCATTATCCAATGTTATTCTTAAGGGTCGAGTCAAATTTTTGAATAACGAACGACTTGGTTTGGTGGAGATATTACAGTGGAGCGGAGAAGAATATATTTCTGTTGGAATGTTTGATGGAACTAATGAGAAACTTGAAATTAAGGAGGTTTTGAATTCGACTGGATGGACAAGACCACAGGATTCGACAATTCGAGCAGATCGACATGAATATATTTCGAGTTTTTTGTTTTTGGCAATGAGTTTGTTGGCGATGATTGGGATTACATTGGCACTTATATTTTTGTTGATCAATTTTAGATATCGGAATCATAGGTGGGTGCATATTTTGGGCAGATTTTTCAAACATTTCATTCTTAAATACAATGTTTTCAGATTTATCAAAATGTCATCTCCAAATCTCAATAATATCATAATTGCTGGTTCAATCTTTACATTTGTCTCAGTTATTCTTCTTGGAATTGATACTCGTCTTGTTGATCCTGAAAACTATGTTCGAATTTGTTATCTCAAAACATGGACTCTTTGTTTGGGATTCACGTTGGCATTTGGTGCAATGTTTTCGAAAACTTGGCGAGTTCACTCAATTTTCACAAATATTCGAATGGATCGAAAAGCAATCAAAGACTCCAAATTATTCATGATTTTGGGAGCATTATTATTGATCGATATTGTTGTTCTATTTTTCTGGGCAATTTTGTCACCATTCAGTATGAATACTGTCAAATTACCTGATATTCATGAAGACAATACTGTAATTACTCCAAAAATTGAGACTTGTGCATCGAAAAATTCGGCAGTGTTTCAAGCGATTCTCTATGCGGTTAAAGGAATTGTTATGGTAAGTTGGAGATTAATATGAGCAATAAAATACATTTTTTTTACAGATTCTTGGATGTTTTCTCGCTTGGGAAACACGTCACGTTAATGTTCCAGCATTGAATGATAGTAAATATATTGGAACAAGTGTTTATTGTGTTGTTGTTATGAGTGTTTTGGGATTATCAACATCTGTAATTCTGCAGGTATGAAAAATAATTATTTGGAATTTGTTTGGGATAAAAATAGAAAATCTAAAATTTATTTTCTTTCCCAACTTTCGCAAAATCTTTTTCCAGGACCGAGTCAATGAAATGTTTGCACTTGCTTCATTTTTCGTTATATTCTCAACAACTCTCACTTTATGCCTCGTTTTTGTCCCAAAAGTTATTGAATTGGCAAGAAATCCGATCGGAAATGAGCCAAGAGCATATCGACGTGGATTAATGAAAAGTGTTGTGGCAAAAACATCACAACCAATGTCACCAGCTGCGAGGTTCGGACTTTTTAGGGTTTGGAAAAAAGTTTGGTGAGGGAAATACAACTTGAAGTTCAAAATTCACCGCTAATTTTTTCAATAACAAAAAATTCAAAATTTCGAAGTGAACTCATCATTATTTTTGTATCAAAATTTGAACTTTTACCAAATTTTTTCTAGTTCAAAAATGCTCTCATTTCCTAATATTTCAGTGATATGTGTAGTGGTGATGTTTTGATGAAAGCTGAAAATGAAAACACAGTTCGTCGTCGATATCTTCATCAAAAATCGAGTCAACTTTGGGATCTCGTAGAAAAACTAAAAGCAAAAGGAGATCATCAATTTTTGCAACAAGGTTAGTTTTAGAAAAATATCACATTTATTCAGACAAATTTAAAAATTATAACCCGTTTTCTAATTATTTCTTTTTTCAAAAAAAATCCTGAGTTGAATTGAGTTATAGGAAGATTATAGTAAGATATAGGATAAGTATTGATAATAATATTGATTTTTGATTAGATGAGTCAGTCATGTTTTCAGGGCTTAGAAGAATTCCAAATTTATCATGGACCTGTAATTTATTAGATTATTTAGTGGATTATCTATGATTATAAATAATCATGTTAGAACAAAGAAATATCAGTCAACTAACCTCGATTGGATTCACATCATTACAAAAATCTTCTTTACAACAACAAAATTGTGAAAATGGAACTATTGAGATGGATACTCCGGAATGATTTTGAAATGCTTCCTGAAAATTGAATGGTTTTTTCTAGTTTACAATTCATTTTCTCGTAGATGACATTTTATGGCTTCTCGTATTTTTTTTTTGCACTATGCCTAATTAGGATTATTTCTTTCGTATCTTTGGAAGATCAAAATTTAGATGTTTCGTCAGAGTTGAACATTGATGCTATAAATATCAAGAATTTGAAAAATAGGGGAAAAATTGGCGAATTCAAGGCTTACTGAAATTAGGTAAAATATTAGTCATGTTATACTACTTCAAATTAGAAAAAAATGCTCTACAGAACTCATAAACGAACATTTTTTAATTCAGACAATTTTAACAACTTATATTTTTGTAACAAATTTGAAAGTTCCTTTTTGTTTTGAAAAAAAAACGCGTTCTCTCTTTGGATTTTGAGAAAACTCATTTAGATGACAAGTCTAAAACACAACTCATTCATTTTTCTCAACTAAACTTCGTAGTTTGATTTTTAATTGTCCGTCCCCTTTCTCTTTCCAAATAAATAATTGTGCTCACCTGCATTTCCCAATCCAACTCTTCAATTGACGAACATTTGTCATCAATTCCTCTCGCCACACAATATTCTGGCCAAATACAATATCTCGCATAGTTTTGCTCCAAACTCGAATTATCCCCAGTTCTATTCACCGCATAGAATTCCGAGTAGCAAATCTGAAAATTTTCGTTTTGAAAATGATATTCGACCAAGACGAAAAACGGATTAGAAATAGATTATCGTCTCAAAAAATATACTTTTCCCCTTCTCGTTTTTCTCGAAATTTTTCTTTTTTTTTTTCGTTGGCGAGCGCGTCGCCGGAAATGAGAGATTGACATTTTTGTTGTTGTTGCCCGGAATTCCGCCAAATCAAAAAGGTCTCGTTTGCTCTATTTGGGAAAGAATAAATGAAAAACTGAAAGATGAAACTGACAATTTATTTGTTCATTCTCATTGTTTGGTTAATGTAGTACTTCAAGACACTAGTTAACCTTTAAATTGGGTTTCAGAGCTTTGAAGATCTAGAAATCGGAATGAAAGCGAATTATTCGATATTATTCCAAACTTAAGGTTTTTAAACTCGACTCATATTGTCACATATTCTCACAGAAAAATGTCATAAATTTTTCAGCCTTTTTCCAAAAAAAGGTTTCTTTGTCAAACTTTTTTGCCACTCATTAATGCATAAAAAGAAATATATGCATTTCAGAAAAAATATGTTTTTTGTTGACTTTTTCTCTTTTTTGTTGTTTTTCGAGGCTTACATATATGAAGAAAAATGGGGTAGATATAGATAATAACATGGCTTGGCTTTTCACTTCTTTCTTAGAATAAATAGTTGTTTATTATTATTATTTACCCCCAGGTTTTCTTTGCTTATTAGTTATAGTCTTAATGATTTTTGATTTATTTTTGATTACGTAGATTTTTCTGCAAAAAAAACTGCTCGGCACTTTTGAATTTGATCAGGATGGTCAAAAAATTTGAAAAATATTTCTAATTTTTCCAAAAACATTTCACGTTTCAAAAAACGATTTGTCAGAAGTTTGCTATTAAGTTCAGCTATTAAACAGACCTTGATATTTCGAAAACCGGGCCTAACCCGGTCTTGTGTCTCTCTCAAATTTTTTCGAAAAAAGTTCACACAATTTCCGGTATTCGAAAATGGAATTTGACTCTTCTCAAATAGAAACCCAACACTTTCCAATTCTGTTTTTTCAATAAATTTGAAAGGTGTGAAATTTGAGGTCTTCCTTCTCTTTACCAAACCGAATTTTTGAAAAAATAAAATGGCAACTTTTTTTTGGCCACTAATCACTTTTGACACCTCGCAGCGCGTCTCTACAAATTAGAATCCGCTTCAACGACTCTCTCAAAGTGTGGTAAAAATTTTCTAATTTCCGCTCTTTTTCCCCCCGCTTCTTCGAAAGTTTGGGGCTAGATTTTCTGCTGCTTTTTTTCACATATATATTTAGAATATCTAATTAGCCTCTTTATGCACTTTTTGTGTTGCGGTTAAATAGAAATAAAGGAATTTTCTAGAATAAAAAAAATATTTGACTGGAAAATATGAGAGGTCTAATTCAAAGGTCCTAAGTTATTTTGGACTTGAAAAAAAAAGAAAAAAACGAACCTGTCCTTCGTCACACTTTTTTCCATCGGAATATGTATAATAATTATTATCATAACAAGTTAGCGGATCTCCAAACACACCATAAAAACTTCCCATCAAAATTACCAACAACAATATAATTTTCAGATTGGTGTCTATCTTCTGCATCACCTTCAACATCACAAGATCGGCAAGGTTCCAGTTCAAATAACAGGTTAGGCTATCTCGTGTGCGCGAAAAATTGAAAAATAAAAAGCGAGCAAAAAAGTGGGCGGGGCCCCCATGACAACAAGCTCCGCCCATTTTTGGAGTGAAGCCAAACAGCAAAAAAAATGAATTTGCTTTGTTTCAGAGAAGAAACAAGTTTGACAGTGGTTGGAAAATCGAATGATTGGCCTTGGGTTGATCCGGATGAACCAAGTACAAAATTATAATATTTGATGATTTATTGTGTACATAATTGTAAATTTGATAATTAATTACAAGAGAAGAAATGTGATGAAATATTGATTATGCTAGAAATTTGAAAGACAAATTCAAATGTTTAGGCCTTGATCATTGGATTGCGCCAAAGTGTGAAGAGTTGATGGAATTGGTGGGTGAATTTCTGGAAACAAATTAATTAGGGTTGCAAATAATTTTAGAATTTCAATAAGTTTTGTAGTTCTCATATTTCGTGTTAGATTTTTTTATTCAAACTTAACAAAAATACTGATTCTAAGTACGTTTTCTTTAATTTTTCTGAATATTTGCAGTTTCATAACAAGTTTTGTTGATAAAATGTTTGAGTGGGTTGGAAATTGGAGTCAAGTTACAGGAAATCAAATATTTTGTAAAGTTTTCATGAGCATATTTATAGAACATTAATGTTTTTCACGTAACTAAAGTTTCTAGGAGATTCCAAAAAATAGATCTTTTTTAGAGATTTTCTTGTTTGACGAAATTTCAAAACAAATTTGAGGTCTCTTTGCACTTTGGTCGTAATGAGCAATATCGGATTAGAAAAACAAGCAAATACTAATCTTTGACAAAATTCAATTCTGACTAACTAACCATCACATTTTTGCGCCCCTCATTATCAATACTTTCGCCCCATTCATTAACAACACGACAATCTGGCAAATTCTCAACTCCATAAGTATCCATACATTTTTCAATAAGTGGATCTCGAAGTGGACAAACTGCCCAAGTAACACCGTGTTTTTCAAGATATTCTTCGAGTTGAAAACGCATATAATCACGAGATAAAAGAATAATCTCGATTGGTTGATTTGTTTGATTGATTTGATTGTAGAGTTCTTTCATAATTGGTGTGAATTTTCGGCATGGAGCACACCAACTCGCAGAGAAATACAGAACTACAATCTTGCCACGAACATGTTCTCCGGCATCAACCATTCGGCCATCTTCCAAACGAATTTGGGTACCGGAGAAGAAATTGGCGGCCATTTTGGGCGAGGTCGAAGACTGAAATCAAATCAAGGAATCGTAAAAACTAGTGTTATCAGATAAAAGAAACGAGTAACAAAGAGGAGACAGTAATCGCTTTTATACTTGAGAGTTTCATTGTTGATAACAAATACGTATATAGAACTATATAGATTATATAGTGAGCTGATGTAAATTTATTATTTTGCAAAAGTTTTTTGTTGATAAGAATTCAGGTGAATTCAGGTGGAAAACTAATGATCAGGTTGAGCTCAAAAACAATATCAACGTGAAATTCCCTATCAAATGTTTTCTAATTAGAAAAAAAAAGAAAAACAAAACCTTCAAAAAATAAACCCGGAAAGTACTCTTTCATTTTTTGATAACATGCAAAATGTGTGAATTAATACCTTTTAAATAGTCCCAACCTTGTTCAAATAAAGTATTTTAATTAGTCATAAAATGAACGCCCACAAGCGGAAAACTAACTGATTAGGAACAAAATTATAGATGATAATTCGTTTTTTTTGTTCAAGAAAAAAAAACAACCGGAAGAGGAAGAAAAGGGTTTTTTTGAATCATACCACCAAAAAGAAAAAAAATTTCATCAAACATAAGCCCAAATAGGTGCAGTCTGGAAGCCTGTGCATAATCAAGAAATATTTTCGCAGAGAGGACCCAAAAGAGCTGCGGTGGATTTCTATCGTTATAAAGTTTTTATAGCAGAAAATTGTTCTGAATTGCACATATTAGAGTTCCAAAACTTCTGAATTCTCATTGCTTGCTCATATTAGTGTTGAAGAAATATTTTGAATTGTGGAAAAATGTAGATTATTTTTTGAAGTTTTCCAATTTTTTTTTGATAAACTCTGAAAATGAGCCGATTTTCCGTGGTTCAGAAAATTTTCAAAGATGGAAAGTTTATTTTAGAAAAAAAAATGACAAGGAAAATTTATGAGCCAGCTCGTGAGCGTCTTGTGAGAGGAAACAAAAAAAAAGACAGAAACATGAAAAAGGTGTGATTTTTTATCATACATTTAATACGGAGATAACGTTGAATTTTGGTCTCGGCGCCAGGATTCACCTCAAAAAGAGTTTTTTCAACAAATGCTTCAAGATAAGGTTTTTCGCTTTTCACAGTCTCCTTTTGTTTCCGGGAGTTTAAAATATAACACAATTGTTGCAAAGATCTACAAAAAAAAATACTCCAAAAATATACTCATTTGAAAAGTTTACCATTGGAAAAATGAAAAATGTAGCATAGGCTGTGTATTCGGAAGTGGCATTTTTCAACGGCAAATACAAAGCGAGACAGAAAAAACGGCTGAAAATAAAACATAGTTTCCACAGTAACTCATCTCTACTCACAAAGTAGCCATGATTGAGTTAGACCAAGTTGAAGAAGCAGATCTGGCTGCTTGAGATACGAGTTCACCAGAAAGGAATAAGGATACTGGACCAGGTCCCATGGCGAAAATAAAATTGAAAAGGCAAATTGTAGCAACGAGAAGGTAGCCGATGATAGGAGACTAAAAACGAGAGAAGTTTTATTATGAAACATCAGATCTTGAAAGTCGCTTACCTCGCTCCATTTGTGAAAATACATGAGTCCAACAATCATACAATTAACAACAGCCAAAATCATAAAAGTGCACAATAAAAGAGGTCTTCTTCCATGATGATCAATTATTCTTGTTGAAACCAATATCCCTGCTAATGAAAATGTGCAAACAAAAACATTTGCGATTGAAGCTTCAAATTTCTCTAATCCAGTATTCAACAAAATCTCAAATGCAAATGCATTTATAACAGATATTCCTGTCATAGCCATTCCCATTGACACTAACATTCCCAAAATAGTTCCTTTTCGAGTTACAGCATCTCCCCATACTCCGAGTAAACTTTTCTTTTCTTCAAATTTCAAAGAATTCACTACAGTTTCAGCGACTTCTTTGCTCACTGAATGATAAAATTCGACACTTTTTACAGCTTTTTGTTTCTTTCCTCGGTGATTCAAATAACCAGGTGAATCGTGAATCCATGGCAAAGAAATCAGGACAACGAAAGAGATTATTAATTGAAAAACATATAATAAATACCATTGAGTAGAAGTTCCAAGAAGTTTAGGCATTGCTAAAATTGAGCCAACAATAATTGAAAATTGAAGAATAATTCCATTCAAAATTGAAGCAACACCTCGACAATGAACTGGAGAAGATTCAGTTATAAACATTGCTGAAATTCCCATTGATTTAGTAATTCCAATACCCATAAGAAGACGAGATACTGTGTAAACTTGATATGATTTTATCTGAAAAATATTTGGATTAGGAAAGCAAAATATGAGATATCTTGTTGACTCACAAAGTAACTGAAAATAGCGAGTAGACATGATATAATTTGAACTGTTACACTTATTATCAAACCATTTTTTCTGCCAAAATTTTCTGAGACAGCGCGAATCAGAAATGCTCCAAAAATACTTCCCAAGAAAAATACTGCAACAATAAGGGACCATTCATTCTCCAAACTTTTGACATCTTCAACTTTGATTCCTTGTTGAGTTTTGGAATCATTGAGAAATGAAATGAAAGCTTGTTGAGCTGGATTAGTTATGAGAAGTTGAAAACCAAAGTTGAAGGAAGATCCAAAGGAAACAAGAATGGCAATAAAACCTAAGCGAAAAGGTGGCCATGTTGAATGTCTGAAAGATCTCTGCCAATAAATTTAACAATTTTCGTTTGGATATGATCCACAGTTCCACTTTCAACAGTGATTTCTGTTCTCTGAACATCACGTGCTTGTTTCATTGTCTCACAATTATGTTACAATGGTTGATAAATGTGCCCTCATAAAAATTACGTTACAACCTCCCCCCTCACTCTAAACTCACTTTTTCTCCGCCGGCGGCAATAGACTATTTTGCACCTCTTCAGCATCTTGCATTTTTTTCTCAAAATATGTTCAGCGTAAGAAAATCTTGAGATATGATAAGATAAAATTCAATATTTTTGTTTAAATGATGATGTTGAAGATGATTTTGATTCGATTAAATAAATGTGTCTGGGTCTCCTGCAAAAAGCCGCAATCTCGTTGATTTGTTTGTTTTGTTACAGTATGACGGTTAAACGAAAAACGGAAAATATTTCATGTTTAATTCATAGAAAGTTCAAAGTTTAAAAAAAATACACTTTATTTATTGAAATGGAATGTTGATGGCAATTAATTTGAAAAAGGCACCGGATAAATATATACAGATAATTAGAAGATAGTTTTAACTATTTGAAAAAAAAAAGAATAGAATCTAGTTTCTTTTGCAACATGCACAGAAAAATCTGAAGAATCGACGACGGTATGGATTAAGGAAGATCAAAGTGAAAATCAGAAAAACATAAGGGCGGATAAGGTAGAAAGTTAGATGAAGTGTGAACATTTCATGAACAAAATGAAGTGGAAGATACCATTCAAAACTGAGCAATTCATTGATATCTTGTGTGAGCGAAAGAGCGGACCAAACTGAAATAATATGAGTCATGATTTGGAACAAATTGACAAATTTATTGGGATCATTGGTTTTTTTTTTTAGAAAAATGAGTCATTTAATTGCAAAAAGAAACAAACTTTCGCAACAAAAAATTTAGAAAAAATATGTTTCCCATAACATATTTTGAAAAGGAATCAGAATAGCGTGTTTATCAATAGAGCGCATTTACTCTATATTTGGGATAGTGTGAAAGTTTATTTATTTTTCATTTTTGTAGTTTTCCTCAAAACTCTAGAAACTTACTGATATATGGAGCATTGAGAACATTCATTCCAATTGTGAACAAAACCAACAAAAACAATCTGAGTTTTGAGTTTCGAACTTGCTCATATGGAGATGTTTTGGTCAATTCGTCTTTGGTTCGACAGAAAAGGAATAAACTCTGAAAACAATTTGAATTTAAAAATAATAAAATTCCTCTATTAATTTTTTTTACTCACCGCAAAAATTTGAGTTGCTGCAACTCCAACTAAAGCCAAAGCTGTAAGTCTGACAATAGTCAAAACTGCCAAATAAATCCATTCTGGAACACTAAAATAGGCAAGAAGTGTATTGATGGCGGTGAACAAAATTGGCAAAATTTGAATTTTGATAAAACTCTTCCCAATTGGTTCATAGATAATTTGCTCGGGACGAACGACGGCTTTGTGAGCATAGAAGAATACGGTAGTTGTTGAGAACAACAAGGACCAGAAAAAGAAATCACTGAAGATATAGGAGACGAGTGGGAAAATAGCATCAGATCTGAAAAAATAGAGATTTTTATTAAAAACAACTTTTAGAACTAGAATAAGATTGAAAAATAATTGAATTATAAAAATTCATAATTCATGATTTTTAATTCCTTTCCAATAATTTTATTTTAAAAATGTACGTTTCAATTATTTTTGATAATCTTCTGTATTCATGTTTATATAATTGTATTTTCGAGAATTCTTCACGAAAAATTCTAAAGGAAGTTTATTTGAAAAAGATTTTGTGAATATGAAATTTTTGAGACAGATGGTTTTATAGTTTTTGAAAACCACTCACGTGTAAAGTGTATAAGTAGTATAATGTTGCAAAACTTGTGCATAATCCTTGATCGCATCTTTTTGCCAATCAGTCACTGTGAAATTCACATTTTCAAGCTCAAAATCTGGCGACAAATTCAAATATTCAAATTTCTGTGCTTTTGTTCCAAATGTTGCTGCATGAATTTCGGTGAAAACATCGAAACCAGCCTCAATAAACAATGGAACAACGAGAAAAACAACAAAGAATTTGAAATAATCACGACGAATTGTGCAAGAAAGTGTGAAGATTAGAATAATCAAAAGACATTTGATTGAAAGAACAGCGATTCGAAATGGATTTGGAGTGTAGCCAAGAATTGGTGATGGTGTTGTTGTTGTTGTGGTTGTTGTGGTTGTTTCGTTGAGCAACATAAGCTCGGGTTCGTCGATTGAGAGAGTATTTGGATCGCCATTTCCACTGAAATCGAGAAGTTCCTCACCAGATCCCATTCTGAAACAAGAAACAACATTGTTTTGATAAAGAATTGAAAAAAAAACAAAAAATAAAAATTGTAGTTACACAAAATGTGTTAAAATTTTATGAGGTCGAAGAAAGGAAACCTTAAAATCGAGAAACAATGAAAGAAATTTGAAATTTTCATTTTCTAGAGAGAAATTCGAGTTTGGCACAAAAAAAGATTTGTTTTACTGTAGTTCCCGGACCTTTCCAACTAAAAAAATATAAACCGTAAGAAATGATAAACAAAATTAAAAGTAATGAAAAATCAGTTGTTCCGGAAATTCGATATCTATAAAACTATCGAATTTCGTTTATTTATCATCACACCACAGAAAAAATCAAAACATTTTTTTCAAACAACCAAAAAAATAGGAAAAAAAATATTTTTTTCGTTTCGTCAAGGTCAAAAAAATTTGTGTTGTTACTCGATTCGATTCGACAAGCGGAAAATCTTTTCATCATTATTTATCAAAGAAGAAAAGTGGAGGGGTCAGAAATTGAAAATTGTCGAAAATCAAAAGCACATGTTTTTTTTCGAAAAATAAATAATTGGGAACAGAACACAAAGAAAAATAACAGAACAGAAGAACAAGCTAAAAAATGAGCGACTGACTAAATAACAAATTATTACACCATTTCTTCTGTGTCACAAAGTTAGAAGGAGATAAAGTGAAGGAAAAAGTGTGTAATAGAAAAGGAGAAGCGAATGGTCAACCAATGTTTTGACAAATAGCCTCGTACGTAGTTGATGTAGTAATGTAAACTAAAGTTAAATTAGTTTTGGATGATGTTCGGAGATTTGAAAAATTTGGAAGAGAGTTTTTGAAAATGAAGGGAGGATTTGGAAAAGTCCGAATTTAAAAAAAATGGATGAACTATTAATTAATTTAAAAATTAAAAAAAAATTAATTGGAGTGGGACTTATATTTGTATGTTATTCTAAGAACATTCAGAGAAACAATCAGTTACGCTTCGAAATTTTTTAGCTGAATTATTTTCAGATACGATTTATAAAAAAAAATTCAATTTAAAATTTTGAGCTAATTTCAGCAATGACAAAAAGGCTAAGGAAAAACTCTTGAAGCCGAAAACTTCCAAAGTTTCCAAAAAAATAGTAAAAAAAAATTCTGTGACCTCCCGTAACCTCATGGCAAAATAAAATGACTCATAAAACAAAATGTTTTTTTCCCTATAATGTGTCTTTTTCATATTGTCTGCGTCTCTTAATCTCACACAATATTTCATAAGATCGTTATCGAGATGATGAAAAAAAAGTGAGTGCAAAAAACCGGATAGCCTAAAATTTCAGCACAACAAAAATCGTTTGAAAACTTTTATTAACAAGAAAAAATGAGAATTTTTGAGAGGAGAGAGAACAATGGGACAATGAAATGATAGAAGAAGGAAAAGAATGTTCAATATTATGATTGTGGTTGGTGGGTTTTGATTCTTCTGCGAACCGAACAAGAATAAGCGAAAAAATTGAAAGTTTCTTGTTCGGAGAAAAAAGATGATTGAGAAGGAAGGGAAGTAAGTGAATGAAGGAATGAATGATAATATTGCCATTGTGAAGATGAAAAAACGAATGGGTTGGTTGCGCGGTACAAAAATCTGAAAAAAATATTGGATTGGGTTGGAAATTGAATTTGATCTGGAATTCAAGTTATTCATAACACAAAAAAATTATTCGATCACTATAGTTTTCGAAAAACCTCACAACTTTTTCAGAACACATCAATGGTCCTGATTTCGGAAAACCAAATTATTTCAAAATTACAGCAGTTTCTGTTATTTCTGATTATTTTATGAATATATCTTGAATAATAGTATCTAAGTGTTCAGAATCTAGATTTTTTGTTTCAAAAACTTTAGTTGACATTCAATCTACAGTATCTCAGAAGCAATTTGGAAAACATTTGCCAAGCCCTTCAAATTCTTGAAGAGTTCAGTTTCAAAAAACACTAAGCTTACTGTGGCTATTTCAAAAATTTCCAGAAGCATAAAAAATTTCTGATTACCGCATTTTTAACATCGTAATGTTCGATAACTGTACCATCATTCTCTAATTTTTTCGGACATAGAGAAGTAATTCTACAGTAATCCATGTATTAGCCAGCTGATTTTTTTCCAACCAAAAAAATTTTCGACTCTGTTTTTGCACATTCTTCTTCGATTATTTTCTGACTCATTTTTTCGCCCCAATTAATTTTTTGTTTTTTTTTTTCTTTTTTTAATGCCCTGAGTCATGGATTTTATCAACAAAAAAAGAAAAAACACACACAAGGGAACTTTTTCAGGGACGACGAAAAAACAAACTCGCAACAAAACAAAAAATTGCAGATCAAAGTCGTTTTTTTCCAGTCCAGTCCCAAGACGCACATTTGTGTCAAGCAATAAAATAAAAAATAAATTAAATTTGTCGTCTCGTTTTTCTCTTCTCGCGCACACGCACAAAAAAGTACACACTTTCTCCAAATAAATAATTTCAGGCCTGGCTTGTCTTAGTTTTTGCTCTGCTCTGGAACAAGAATTGTATGAATTTATGTATTCTCGCATTTTTTTGCTGGCTGGAATTATTTTTTTGCATTTCCAATGATCTCCATTCAATTTCCGGTGCTAAGCATTTTTTTTATCGCTTCGTCGAATAAATTATCTAATTTTTCATACATTTTGCTATATTTTTATTATATTTTTTTTTGAAAATTTGGAGGAATTTTACACAGTAGTGGTCAACATTTTTGGGTTGATTCAGATTTTTTCCTCAAAAAAAATCGGATCCGATTTTTCGAATTCAATTCTAGTTCTTCCAAGTTTGGCTATTAAAAGAAATTTTATGATTAAAAAAATTCAAAAGCTTTTGTTGTACTAGTGACATTTAATCTCAGAGATTTGTTGCTTTGACAATTAATCTCTCAAAATATCGGAATAGTTATAGATTTTTCTCACTTTACATATTTTCTTTCAATAAAACTTTTTCCTATAATAAACCTACCCAACTGCCAGAAAAAAGAAATAAAAAGACAAAAAGTCAGAACTTCCTTTCGGAAGCTTCAAGAAAAAGACGAAAAAAATCGAATTATTCATTCATTCTTGTTTTCCATTTTTTGTTGGGAATGAACATTTGGGAACTTTTATAGCTCTTGAATAGAAAAAATGGAGCAATATATATTTGAAATTGCCTCCTTTTTTTCAATTTTTCTTTCGTCTTCGCTTTATTCGACTTCTTGAGAGCACTCATTTTTCGGTTTTTTTTGTTGAGCTTGAGATTGTTTTTTGGGTTTGGGTTTGTTTGATTTTTCAAGCAAAGCATTTCTAAATTCAAATGTCTTGTGACATTTTTATTAAATTAGAACGCAAATTTGGCTTCAGATTTCTGATCATTACTCTTTTTGAAAAAATATTGAAAAATGATCTTTCAAAGTAATTGGTATTTTTTTAATTAAATTAGAATAGAACCAAGACCGGAAAATATGCTTCAAAATTTGCATGGAAGTCCTTCAATTACAAATGTTGCTGAAATCTCTTGAACTCTTGAAAAAATTGTCAATAAACATGCGGAATTATTTTTTTTCACATTAGAAATATCATAAAAATGTTCGCAAGATCTACTTTTCTCATGATTTTCTGCATATGTTATTCAAATTCTTTCATTTTTCCAGATGTCTTCTTATTCAAATCGTTTGACTCCACAACGTTCGCCTCGTCTGAAAAGATTCGCAGATCAACTCGCACAAATCAAAATCTCTCTTGATCCACCAAGTCCACCGTTTTTGAGTCCATCGCCACTTGGAGATGTTATTCTGACATCAGGAAGAAGGATGGATTATTTACAGGTGAGTCAAGAAACAATAAAGGATTTTTTGAAAATAAAAAGAAATAATAAATTAAATTTTGAACTAACGAGGTATAACTGTTTTAGAAACTGTATTTTAAAAAGCTGTCTCTGAAATTTATTTTCGTTTTTGGAATAAACTTTTTGGAAAAAGTTTTTGTTTCAATTTCTCATCCGAGATACTGTAGTTGTTCTGAACTTGTAGGGAAACTCCTTATTAGAAAATTTACAGTATTCATGTATGGTTCTGGATTTTTATAGATGAAGCTCCAAACACTTTGTCAGCCATCTTTGAGCGATTCCCTTTCATTTTAACTTCAAAGATTGTTTCTAGTTATCGCCTGTTTGAAAGTGGGCATATGAAAAATTAATAAGTTTGAAAAAAAAAGTTCAGCCAACCTTTTTGCAAGTTTGAAAATTTTTGTGTTCACAAGTTACTTTCGAGGATTCCCAGAAAAATGTCCCGTAGAGTTTTTTGTTCATTTTACTACCTAATACCTGAAATTTGTCATTTTCTCCAGGTTCCCGGTGATTCCGATTCCTTCGACTCAAACGCATTCAACTTTCGAAATTCACTGATTTCGTCTCCTCCACCAGATCGACGAACTTCATTTGCATCAACAATGAGTGATACAACAAACTCCGAATCAATAACAATTCCAATGAGTTCAAGTTATCAAAACTTGTTATCCCCAATGTGGAGTACTGTAAAATATCAAAGTGATGACAACGAAACTCCGCCGAATGAACCAATACCAAGAAGATCGAAAAGTGCCTTGGTAAGTCGAAAAATCGAAAATTTGCGAATAGATTTCTCTGCATCTCTACCGGAAATGTTCACTTCCTGAACACCATTTTTCTTCTTTTCCTTATTTTCTGGAATTTTAAATCTATTCTAAGAAAAATATATCTATCAACAAACCTGTGTCTAAATTTATTTTCAATATTTTATTCAAAACCTATGATTTTATAACCTTTTCGAGCACAAAAAAAATAAATTTTTTTGGAAAATAATTGATTTCTCTTCATACGTGAATTTTCGTGGAATTTTCGCCACGCAGAATTCTTGAAATTTCGAACCAATATTAAAAAAAAATTTAATTCAATCGAAAAATGGTGAGTTCTATACTTCCAATTTCCCCCTTCAAAAAATCTGACCCAAATATTTGTTTCAGAGTAATCGATCTTCATCTGATTGCATAAACGTGCCTCCAATTGTATTTTCACCTGTTTTGTCAAGGCCTTTGCGATCATTGTCACCAACGATGTCAGTTTCTCCGACAATGATGTTTCGATCACATCATGTGAGTCGTTTTTTCTTCATTTTTCGAAATCTTTCAAAAAATAAAACTATTTTTATATTCCGGAGAGAAAAGTATAAAAATCTTCTTCATATTTGAAAAAGCAACATAAATCATGCTAATTTGAGAAGGAAGAGCTCAAATTTCCGCTCATTTTTTCCAAGAAAGAAAAAAAATGAGCTGAACTTCAAAAATCACATACACACAAAAATAAAACGGTATTTCAAGGCACACAAATGTTGTGCAAATAGGTCTTGACACGTAGTGTTTTTTTGAATTTCAAAAATCATTATCGACAATTATCGATTTTTTGAGCGAAACAAAATTTTGTTCGTTTGTTTTTTTCGAGAAGAAATTTTGAAATTCACGTCGTGCCACCACACAAATTCGAGGAGACGCAGACATTCATTTTCGGTTAGAAAGTCGCTGCGAGACCTCAACACATCAAAGGGCGACGCCGATGTGGTCTATAAACGCAGCGACAGACGAAAAAGCGGCGCGGCCATGCGCTATGTTTTGTGTGTGTGTCTGCTTGTCTGCTGTGTCTGCCAACAGCACACTGTATCGCCCGAGGGGGAAGGAAAGGCGAGAGATGTCTCTGCCTGTGTTAAAAGTCTGCGTCTCCCAGAAATTTAATTTTTGTATCGGCTGGCATAGCGTGAATTCACCAATCTTTTTATTGAAAAATGCTGTAATATCCGATATTTGATTTTCTAAAAACGTGCACGTTATTTGAAATTCAATATATATTAGCACCATCCCTTTTGTTTTCTTCAAAAATTGCTGTTTACTTCATTTTTCAACTGAAATTGACCAGTTTTTTTTTTCTGTTTGGAGTAATAAAACCAATAACAACTTTATCACATGCTTTCTTATTTTTTTGTTGTTATTTTTTCTCTGGTTCTGAAAAAAAAGTCACTGTGTGTGTATTTCAAAAAGCCCAAAGTTTATATATTGTTCTCTACTTTTTCGAGTATTTTCAAGTGCTCAAAAGTCAATAATAAGTCATATACTCCTCGAAAAACGAAGTAAGTATTGCAATGCAAAAAAAACAACACTTACTAAAAACGCGTCAACATTGGACTTTAGACTGACGCATATTTTGTTTCACTCTCGTCCCTCCAATTGATTATTTTGATGTGTTGTGGTTGAACCATTGTGCATTTCTCTATGTTTCTTATTTTTCCTTATTATCTCTCTAAGAAGTTAGTGTTTCAAGAAAAAGGAAATTCGCATTTCCGATCAAAAACCAAGCAAATTATATCTTTCCCCCCAGTAAGCCTTACTAAATTTGCTGGCTATTCTTCTTCTTTTTCTTCCATTTTGGTCCCCTCGTTTTCCCCCAGTCGACTTTGTTGTTTTGCAAGTCAGTTTTTTCTCGTTTTTTTTTCGCTTTCGAGAGCTGGCTAGAGTAGAATAGTTAATTAGATATTATTGGCAGGCAGGAAATGCTTGGCGTTAAGCCAATTTCTCGTCTGCATTGTGGCTGAAAATCTATAAATACTCATATTTTTCGAGTCGAAAACAAGAAATATTGCTGTTTTTTTTGGTTTTCTGAAAAATATAAAAGCCAGACTCTGAAAAGAAATAATAGTTATTAATTGTGGGAAAATAATAGGGTTTCAGCTGTCAAATTGAGTCTGAAATTATAGGGTTTTCCTCGAATGTGAACTTTTTACATATAATAGTTATGTATTTCTAGAAAAAATAAATAGGGAGTTTTTGAATAGGACCAGAGAAATCTGATCAAACTCTGGGAAACTCCTATAATTTCAGACTCAATTTGACAGCTGAAACCCTTGTCCAACAATTAATAACTATTAGTTTTCAATGAATATTGTTTCATAGTCCGACTTTCATTTATATTTTTTACAAAAAAAAATAGCAAGGTCCAAGGTGACCGCTTGAATATGATTCGGACCATATCAGATTTTTTCAAAAAAAAAAATGTTTCAACTCGAAAAATAATTTAGTATTCTGTGCTCTGTCAGAATTGATACAGTATTTAAAACACTAATCCCTTTTTCATCATCATCATTGAATTATTAACTTTTTGTTTACGAGAAAATAATGTCTAATGAAAAACCACGCGGTTTTCGGATTATCCTATTATCTATCTTATATTCTTTTGCATCACATTTTGACATTTCAATTGTTTTAGAAAAATTCAATTTTCTTTCTTGTTCCCTCCCTCCTCAAAATGTTTTTTATCTGCCCCCTTATTTTTTTTTTCTGAAATATGATTCACTACGATAAAAATGTCATTCATTTTTCATTCGCCCCGATTTTTTGCTCATCAAAAATTCATGGCGAAAGTTTAAAATTGCTCGTGCGCGCGGAAATTGCGCCATTTAATATGTATATCTGAAAATGTCAAATCTGAAATCATTTGTTTTTTATATTTTTTATTGTTTCAGAATTCCGATTCGGAAAGCGATACCGGTGCAACTTCGGCAATTTTTCCGACTAATTGGAGAGGTATGTCGTCTTTCAAAAAATCAGAACCAGGAACAAATCTCAATTTAAAATTTCAGGCAGCGGAAGTGTTTTGATGATCCCTCGCCGCTCATTTCACTATCATCATTTGAGTAGCAACAACAGTCAAAATGATGGAGAATTAAGCGGAGGAGGACAAGGAAACATGGATCGATTATTAAAAAGAAATCGACGGAAAACGATGGCAATTCATGGAACAGCTGGAACATCAGAAACTGGAGAATCAACATGGTCATCATCTTCAATGACAAATTTATGTCGAATTCGATCATCTCTTGGACATTCAGATCCACAATTATCATGTTCATCAACATCAAGTTCACCAAATGCTCCCGCCGCCTCGAAATCTTCTTCGACTACCACAAATTCAGGTGCATCACTTCGTCCTCGTCCATCAATTCATGCTTCAACTTCGCCTGTTACAATGCAAAGATGTCGAAGCCCAATGCGAGTACCACAAAGATCAACATCTTCGACACAAAATATGAATAGTGGTGGAGTGAATTTGCGAAGTTCTCAAAGAAGTTCGCTAATGGCACCAGTTGCGGATACAAGAAGATGGTCATTGGCATCGCTACCATCGACGAGTGGATATGGAACACCTGGAACTGGTAGTAATTCTGGAGTAAGTTTGATATGGTCTTTTATATTTTATCAAATTTTTCCCAAAAAATTGAGTTTTCATTGATTTCCAGCGATTTTTTTGGAAAAATTTCACACTTTGCTATTTTTTCTACAACAATTTACTTTTGTTTTTCAAAAATCAATAAATTTCATATTTTACAAAACTATCCGGTTTTTTTTCGCAAGTCGAACAATTTCAAAATTGTTTTTTGTTTTCAAAAATTGAAAAATAAATTTATAATTTGCAGGTGTCTAGTCAATATTCATCAAGTGAACAAATCGGTGAAATGATAGATGGAATGCGGGTTACTCATGGCGTACCAACACGTCAAAATTCTAGTCGTTTTGATAGTAATGATAGTTATGAAGATACAATGATTGGTGGAGCAAATTCACCACATAATACGAGTGGCGGTAGTAATAGTTCGAATTGGTTAAATCGACCAAGAAGTCGAAGTTTGACATCTCCTGCGAAATTTTTAAATGAATATAATCTAGAAATGGTTAATAGAACGAGTGTATATAAAGAAAGATTTCCGAAAGCTAAACTTCAAATGGAAGAAAGATTATCAGCATTTGTTGCGGAAAATGGTCCGCTTTCTGGTGGTATTTCGGCTGATTCGCCCGCTCTTCTTACTGCTTCTGAAACATCAGAGGAAGCAGTTATGCGAAGTCGACGATCGACTGTTTTAGAAGCCGAAAGTTATGCGGATCGATCTTTGTTGAGATTAATTGGTGATGGAGCAACACGGTTTTTGCATCATCAAATTGTTGAAATTGCCGTGGATTGTTTGACAAAATCGAAAGAGGATTCGATAACATGTTCGTATTTTTGTGAAATGAGTCAGCGATTGGAAGAGACTTTAAATGAGGTTTGTTGTTTTTATGCGCAGCTTATCATTTTAAAAAATCGATAATGTTTCAGGCGCAAATTAAAACCTCGCCAGAATCCCTTGAATATCTTTCAAAACTTGTCAAAAAACTTTTAATGATAGTTAGTCGCCCGGCTCGACTTCTCGAATGTCTCGAATTCAACCCGGATGAATTCTATCATTTATTAGAAGAAGCTGAAGGTGTTGTAAGAGAACAATTGGGAAGTGGAACAGCACGGGTTCCTGATTTACCACAATATATTATTGGAAAACTCGGGTTAGATCGAGATCCACTTTTGGATTCGACAGAACATGAAGATGAAGAGATTGAAATAAATCCTGGAAAGACTTCGACGCCTGGAACATCTTCAGGTGGAACATTTCCAGATGCAAATCGAGCACCTTGTGAAGATGATTTTGATACGATTCGATTAGTTAGTAATGGTGCTTATGGGGCTGTTTATCTTGTTAGACATAGAGAAACAAGACAAAGATTTGCATTGAAAAAAATGAATAAACAAACATTGATGTTGAGAAATCAAGTAGATCAAGTATTTGCGGAAAGAGATATTCTAACAATGGCTGATAATCCATTTGTTGTATCATTTTATGGATCATTTGAAACGAGACAATATCTTTGTATGTTGATGGAATACGTGGAAGGTGGAGATTGTGCAGCATTGCTGAAAATGGCTGGAACATTACCTATTGAAGTTGCAAGATTATATGTGGCTGAAACTGTTTTGGCTATTGAATATTTACATAGTTATGGAATTGTTCATCGGGATTTGAAACCGGATAAGTGAGTTTTTCTTTCAATTTTTGAAAATCAATTTCAATTTCTTTTCAGTCTTTTGATTACTGCAATGGGTCATATAAAATTGACTGATTTTGGACTTTCAAAAATTGGTTTAATGAATCGAACAACTCTTGTTGCTGAAGGATATGACACAATTGCTGAAACCCAACAATTCCAAGATAAACAACTTTGTGGAACTCCTGAATATATTGCACCTGAAGTAATTTTAAGAGCTGGATATGGAAAGCCTGTTGATTGGTGGGCTCTTGGTATTATTTTATATGAATTTCTTGTTGGAATTGTGCCATTCTTCGGAGAATCCCCAGAAATTCTGTTCTCCAAAGTTATATCAGAAGAAGCGGAATATCCAGAAGATGAAGAAGCATTGCCACCTGAAGCTGAAGATTTGTGTAGACGATTATTGGAGAAGAATCCGGCTGAAAGATTAGGAACATTGGCTGGAGCAGCACAACTTACTGAACATTTATTCTTTGCGTCACTCGATTTTACAACTTTGTTGAGACAAAAAGCAGAATTTGTGCCACAATTGGATAATGAAGAAGATACCAGTTATTTTGATAGTGAGTTGTATTTTCCTTTTTAAAACTATAAGACAAAAATATAGACCAGAATTTAAACAATTCGAATGTTTCTAGCTCGATCTGATCGATACAATCATGATGCTGAATCAAATGGTGAAGATGATCCAACTTCAACATCTGCCTCAGCTGTTACAATGTTTCATTCATTTTCAACCGCTTCTCCAAGACATTCAATTGTTTCAATTGATCCTGCACATTTAACACATCTCGCAAATGCAGCTGCTGCGAATTCATCACAGATTCCACACATTGAAAGATCGCATTCGATATCTGTTCATTCAAGACAAGAATATAAACCAGAAAGATCTTATTCGACTGGAAGTGGATCTGTTACAGTTCAACAACAACAACAATCATCAAATGCAACAATTCCGGATGAAAGTGTTGCTGTGAATTTGCGACGAAGATTCTCTGCTCAACGACATAATGTTTCAACAACATCTTCTTCTGGAACTGGAAGTGGAACTTGCTTTGCTGGACCTGCTTCATCAACTGATTCTTCGATTGATGTTCCAGCACATTCAACAATTCGAAAGAGTCCACTTCCACGTTTTGCTATTTCATGTGAAAAAGATAATAGCGAAGAAGAGGAGGTTCGATTCAGATCATCACAATCACCAAAATTGCAATTGGTTATTCCGGCGAGTGAATCGCAATCAACTCCTTCAACTTCTTCAAATACAAAAGATACTTGTTATGTTGTAAGTTTTTTATATATCTATCCAGGAACACCCTCTCATTTAATCCATTTTTTTGCAGATGTACACAACTGCTTCAACTTCTCAATTGTCCCCTGGCGGTGTTTCTGTTTCTTCAGCTTCTTCGACTGGAGATCATCAGTCATCTACAGTAACTCAAATGGAATCTGCAACATCTTCAGCTGATTCAACAACTTCGAAAAATATTTCAATGAGAAAAGGACCTTTTGGATTCGGATTCACTTTGAAATCAGTTCGAGTTTATCTTGGAGAAACATCCGAATATTTCACAATTGAACATATTGTAACAGCTGTTGTTGATGGAAGTCCTGCATATTTGGCACAACTTCAACCTGAAGATATGATTACTCATGTTAATGGACATCCAGTGCATAATTTAACACATCCACAATTAATGCATCGTTTATTAGCGAATGGAAATGAATTGAATCTACGTGTAACACCATTAGCTGCAACATCGATAAAAGAAGGTGCAGCAAGAAGAAATGTTGGAAAAATGGCGAAAAAGAAGCCGAAAAGACCACAAAGAAGAGCGTTGCCAATGGAAAAGAAATCAAGAAAACCATCGGCTTTATTGAGAAGATTGAGTGGAAAGAAAGGAGAAGCTATTGTACCTGGAAGTTCGAGTCAAAAACAAGCATTTATGCCAAGAAGTGCGAGTAGTCAAGAAGGACATTTTCCACCACCTGGAGGAATATCTGCAATTGAAGGAACTAATAGTTTAGAGGTGAGCATTTGACTGGAAAAAAAAACTATGTTGTCCGTCGCTAAAGAAAAATCGCAGCCTAACCTATTTTCCAAATTTGATGACCCAAGTGTTTTTTTAATGAAAAAATATCCCAAGCTTTTCAATTATTTTTTTTCAAAATCATTTCTCAAAAACATACTCGGTCAGAAAACGGCGGGGTCGCTTCCAATCGGGGCGGAGTCGCTACACGTTTCGGGGAACAAAAAACGTGTAGCGACTCCGCCCCGATTGGAAGCGACCCCGCCGTTTTCTGACCGAGTAACTTTAAAAAAATATATCAATCATCTCGGGGAAGTTGGCGTGAAATATAACATTTTCAAATATTTACTCGAAAGTTTCATCTTCAGGGAAATGTTAAAAAAGGAATCGTTTTTTCAAGTGTGTCTTCTCTTTCCTACCCAAAATATATATATCCTTTGTTGTTCCTCTATTCCTCAATGTTTTGCAGGTGAATCGTCCTTCAACCCTTCGTTCTTCCCCAACTCCAAAATCCCCATCGCCAGCTTCTTCTTCCTCAATTCCATCTTCGTCTTCCGCATTTTCCACAACCGCCAAAAATCCACAACAACAAGTCTCTCGAAAATCATCATCACTTTTTAAAGCCGGAATCGCAATCGGTTCGTCGGGTGAATCAAGTGGAAGTTGTGAATCAGGAATCGCGATTGTTGCAAGTGGCGTCGCCGGAAAATCGAAACAACATCATCAATCAATTGCAGTCAGTCCGTTGGCGAGAGAAACGAGAATGAGGTTTGTTTTTTCTTCTGAACAAATTGAGCAATTTAAAGAATACGTTATTTATATTTCAGATCACCATCTCCTTCAATAATTCATCGAACATCAACACAAACTACAGTACTATCCACATCATCATCTTCTTCAAATCGTTCTCCAATGCTTCGCCGTTCTTCATATCAACCCACATCCACGTCATCAACTACAGTACTCCCATCGCTTCCTTCAGCATCACGTGGATTTTCAGCCGCCGCACAATCTGCACAAAATCTGCTAAATCGCATTTTACCCCAAAATCCGCCAAAATAATTCTTTGTCATTTTCTTCTGGCCACGCCCCTTTTTTCGTTTTTTACCAAATCAAAATGTATTTATTTTTGAAATTTTTATAAAATCTGTAAATTATTAGAAGTTTGTCTGAAAATGGAATTATTCTCAAATATTCATTACTCGTTAGAAAAACAAGGTTAGAAAATTGATGAGATTTGCTATTTGGAAAATACTCATCAAAACCACTCTACACGTATTCTCGAATTTTCCAAAAACATGATTCGCTGTCGCTTCAAATATTTCAAGATTATAATTGAGAAAATTGCAGCGACAACAATTACAAGACTAACAATCACATAAATTGCCAGGAGTGGGATTTTTCGAGTTTTTGGCAAATCTTCGGCAAGAATTGAAAGAATAAATGTCATTGCCATAATATTTGTCAGACCAATACCAAGCTGAAAAAATTCGATTTTTAGAAACCGATTGGAAGATTTATCAAAAAAATCAAGAAAATATCAATTTTAGAGCTCCAAGTTTCTGATTTTCCAATTCATGGGGTTTTACAGAATAAAATAATCAGATTTCCAAAAATTTTCAAATTTCTGAATTTTCAGTAAACCGGTGTTATAAAAATTGATACAAGTTCCGAAAAAAAACGTTGACTCACTTTTTCTGGAATTGCATTTAAATTTAAAAATAAAGCAATAAGACTCAAAGCATTTATAAAATATGCAGGAATAATAACAAGCGAAATATAAAATCCAGGATTTCGTTGAATTTTTGCAACAAACTTCATAACATTTGCAACTTCAATATCACTTTTATCAATTGTTGCATTTATCCAATCAATTTGCCATTCTCCATTTCCTAATTGTCCAATTTCAGCCACATTTGCAATTGGATCAACACTTGGAAAAACTTGAAGAAATTCATTTGTATAATATGTATTATACATTATATCAATTGAACAAACATGTGAATCCATTGGAAATTTGAAAACATCTAATTGACAAATAACAGATGGAACTATTGTTGCATAAAAACCAGCTGAACCATCGTGATGAATCCACGCATCTTTTTTTTCATCTGGTTTGAAATCAAGTATGTCATGTCTAAAAATTATTCTCATTTTTTTCTACTATAATTTTCAATTGATTTTTGGAGACCCACACATCAGTCAATGTTAATTCAGGAATCCATATTTTACTTTGTGGCACATATATATGAGCAATTCCACCGTAATTATCAGGATTCCAAGTTAGCCTAACATCTTTCCAAATTGCAATATAATCAAATAGAAATGTAACTTTTTCTTCTTTTTCATCAACATCTATTAATTTTAGGCGATTGCATTGAATTTGAAGTTCGAGACGAGGAGGATGAATTGTTGTTGTTTGATTCACAAATTTTGATGAACCTGTGAGGAACTTCAATGATAATCAAGAAAATATTTTGAAAAATAAATAAAACCAATAATTTTCACGCTCTTTCAGGTTTTAAAGATTGTCTTCTTTCAAAATTGTTTCAAGTTTAAAAAATACACAATTGTTCCCAGTTCAAATATTGAAAAAAAGAGTGCAGCTGAAAAATTTCGAACCATTTTTTTCGAAAAAATTGCCAAACAAATATGTTTCTATTCAAATGGAACTCATTTGTATTTCGATAACAAAAAATATGTGAATAAAGTTCACAAATTATCTTAAGATTGATTTTGGAGCCAAATTAGTTCCCTTTTTAATTTTAGAGTCCCATTGCTATCTTATAAAATGTCTTGAAACCGTAAAAATTTCAGATTTTCCAAGAAAACTCACGTAATGTATAAATCGCACTATCACCCGCATCATAATCTCGAAATAAATCAGTCAATAATTTTTTTTGATTTTTCAAAAAATTCTGATAATTTTCCAATTCTTCTTTTGTATAATTTTGGGTTACTGTAGGTTTCGAAAAAATGAAAAACGAGAGAATAATTGCAAACATTTCGCAAAAAATAGTGTTTCTTTGGTTTTTTCGGAAGTGGTAGAAATTTGACGCTTTCGATCAGGTTTCAGGTTTGTACGAGTTTGTAGTCAAAAAGTCAAGGTTTTTTTGAGGATCAAAATTAATATTATTAAAAAAGATTTATGAATTTTTGACAAATTCAACACTTTTCGATGGATCTGTTGGAAAATATTCTTGCAATTTGGTCATTAGTCGTTTGAAAGCTTGAATATATTTTCGTTGCGTTTCGTCATTCAAAACATGAGCAATATTCGAAACATAAGACTTTGCTGATCCAGGACGTTGATGAATACCAGATCGGGTAACTCCAACAGGCCAAGGTGCATTTCCGATTGCCATTGCCATATAAGCATTGTTGGCTTCCAAATAATTTCGATCAATTACAAGAAGTCTGAAAATTATATGATTGTTTAGAGTAGTTGTCTAATAATTCTAATTTTTGAAAAGAAAAATTGATAAACTGTGTTAAACTCTATTAATTTGTGGGGGTAGGGTGATTGTGCTATATGTAGTTTGAAAGGGATCAGGTTTCCTCAGAAAACGTATCGTCAGTCGTCCGCGAGGTTGCGAGCTGTCGAAAGCTAGCAGAGGCATTTCGACAGCTCGCCGCGAGGTTGCTAGCTGGCAGAACCTAGCAGGCGCTGTCTGCGAGCTAGCAAACTGACAAATTAGTATCAGAATTCGACGGCCGTCTGCCGGCTCGCGGACGGTTGACGAGACGTTTTCTGAGTTCAGAATGAATTTTCTTTTTTAAAAATTTTTTGTAGGAAAGATTTTTCCACAAAACTTGAAAGTTCGGAAAAGATTTCAGAAGCAAATGGAAAATTTGTAATAGTTCAAACACAAATAATTCAATTATTCATTTACACGTTACGTGAAAATTTTGTATTGAAATTCATTTTTCAAAAAAATGTCAAACTAAAATGTTATTTCTATGTTTAAAAATTCTCGAGAAAGTTACCTGCAAATCCGGGCTAAATGATGGCGAATATCATTGTTTACATTATATCGTTCAAGCGAGTTTGTCAAATTTTTCAAATGCATTATTGTTTGTTTGTGATGAGCAGCATCGTGCATTCCTGAAAAATATACTATTGTTTTTGAAAAAAAAATAGCCAAATTTATTTTAGGAGTTCAGATTACCTCTCGCCGTCTTTTTAACATCTGCCGGTCGATCATTCAATTCTTTCGCCCAACGAGCCAAAATATATTTGATTATTGATGAAATAATATCACAATCTCTTTTCATTTCATCCCCGATTCCTAAAAGAGTTGAATCTTTTTCGATTTTCTGCCAATTATCATTATAATTTGTGGGAAGTGCAACATCAAGTTTTGAAGAAGTTCCTTCAACTGCAGCTTTATCCATTTCTTTTCCAATATCTTTCATTGCAGTTTGTAATTCATTTGACCAACCCTCTTTCATATCTGGTTGTTCGATTTCTAATTTTCTCAATCTTCTCCGAATATCATTTTCTTCTTCACCAAACAAACAAATTGGCGCGTTTCGTTGTCTCAATTTCTTTCGAATTTCGGAAATATCCATTTTCTCGTCAAAATCATTTGTCAGCACATTCTCGTGTGATTTACTGTTTGTTGGCTTCTCTGAATCTGTTTCTCTTTCCTGCTTTTTTGCCAATTTTTCCTCTTGTTTTGCTAAATATTCCTGCTCTCTTTTCGCCTCCAAATCTCCTCGTTTAAAGAATTTCGTACTTCCATCCTTGATTTCTACATCGGCAATTGCTTTTCGTTTTTTAGCCATTTGAGCGAGCAATTTAGCTTTGAAATCCATCTTTTATTCTGTAACAAAAACACATGATTGATTCAATTTCAGTTTCGAAAAAGAGACAAAAGTAAACAAAAGCGAAAAAAGCGAGAAAAAGAAAGTAGAAATGAATGTTTGCTCTATCGCACTGTCGGAGACTAGGCCACGCGAGCAAGTGCGCTACACCGAACAATTTTTATTCTTTCTTTTCTTTTTTCTGCGCTGAAACTGAGGCTATAAACCAGTTTACAGACAGATGGAAAGAGAAGTGGAGCCAGAACCAGAACCATGGGATCGATTCAAAGACTGGCTACATTCTATTTGTGTTGTAACTTTCGATTTGGAGCTGGGACAAGCGCTAGAAGTTATATATCCCGGTGATGCGATTTTATCAAATGTTGAAAAGATAAATATATGTTATTTGGCTTTTCCGGACTCAAATTCAAGTAATGCACAAGACGCCAATTTTCATTTCAGGATTCGAAGGTTTATTTTTTATTTAAAGTGTTTGTTTAATTATTTAATTTTTTGTTCAGAATTCTCGGCGATGTCCGACCTTGTCGAAAACAACTTATCGAAAAATCGCCCTCATCATTTCCATTCGATCCTCATTATTTATACGGTTTTGTGCATTTTCGACAATGTAAAGATCCAAAAATACATCGCGGGTATTTTCAGAAAGTTTGTTTAATTTTAATTTAATTCTCAATGGTTAAAAGTAAAATACGGATTTTCAGAGTATTGTTTTGATGACAACGCTGCCTTTGTTTTCGTTGTTTTATTCAGTGACTGCCAGAATCGCGGAACATTTTTTCGAAAATGGAGAAGCAGCGATTGAAGCAGGTTTCTAATTTAATATTTCAATAAGTAATTAATGAAGTATTTTCTTTAGCATGTCATCACATCGACACATGGCTTCAACCAAGTGTTGGAAAAACTCTCGAACTCCCTCTTCTTGGATCAATTATCACATGTAGAATTCCAGCAGCTTCTGATTTACCTTATGATTTTCGAATGGATGGATATGTGGAACTCTCTGATCACACAGCAAACAATAAATTGTTTCGACCTGATTTTGCGACGCCTATTTTAAGTCAAATTTATCATTTGCAATTAATTTGGGAATTGGTGTTACTTGGTGAACCTCTTTTGATAATTGCACCAACTCCAGCAATTTCTGCTTCTTTGGTTCAATCAATTGTAGCACTGATTTCTCCGCTAAGAGTTGTTAATGATTTTCGACCTTATTTTACGATACATGATTCAGAGTTCAAGGAATATTCATCGAAATCCAGAAATCCGTGAGTTATTTGATTTTAATTTATTATTTTATGAAACATAAAATTATATAAAACATCTAGAATAAAATTCGCATCCACAAAATGTCCTATTTCAGTCCTCGCGTAATTCTTGGTGTCACCAATCCATTTTTCACCAAAGCTCTCGATCATTGGCCACACATTCTAAAAATCGCTGAAAATACGGGCGAAAAAGATGAATCGCACAAGCCACGAAAAAATTGGAGCAGCTCACGGACTCTTGATATTCCTCCAGGACTCTATACACAATACAAACCATTTTTATCGCGCGATAAATCACTGGCGAAAAAATTATTGAAAACAACGCAAGAATCGCAGAAAATCAGTATATTGCAAAGACATTTCCTGGAGTTAACGCAAAGTTTTATGATTCCAATGGAAAGATATTTATCAAGTTTGATGCCGCTCAAAAAAGAGATGACTCCTTTTAAGGTATTCCTAACAGTTCCATAAACTTTTCAAAGTTTTATTTTTTGTAGGGTATTCCAAGTAGCCGGCCATTTTCAATGGATGATTTTTTGTCATCTCTTGATACAATTGGCGGACCCTCTTTAACTTGTGGAACAAAAGGAGATTGGTCAGGATTGTATAGAAAATTTATAAGTTGCGCTAATTTTGGAGGATGGTTATCGATGAGAGCGAGAGATGTTAGTACACAATTGAAAACACATTATGTAGAAGCATTGTGTTCTGCTGATTTTTGTAAGTTTTTTGTAGAGAAAAGCGTGTATTTTTGAGCAGAACATTGAGAATTTTGAATTTGGATCCTTAAAGTTATTCCAACTCTTATTCTTAAATTTTTAGCTTCAAGTTCCACTCCTAAAATACAACAATAATTATTGTTTTCAGGTTCACAAACACTGTCAACAAAGCATAATGTAGAAATAGTTGATTTAGTTTTACGGATACGCGAAAGAATAATTGAACTCGGGTCCACTGAAAGTTCAGAAAATCGCAAAAAATTGGTGAGTTATTTTGAGTTTAAAAAATTAGTCAAACAAACCAGTTTTATTTACACGAGTTTAGGTTCGGCAAATTGTTAAAATTTTATCGAACGTTGATGAAGATCTGAAACAATTGCTCATGTCAAATTGCTCGTTGCGAGAGATTTTGGTGTAAAACACAAACAACAATAAATGCATAATTAAATTGAATAATCAAAATGGCTCGATTTGGTGTCATCCGAATGCGATTTTCAGCCGGTTTTCAGCGCTAACCAGTTTTTCCTTCCTCCTCGTGTCACCCCCGCCCCATTTTTATCTGTTTTTATTGTATTTTCCACCCATTCCCTTAAACATAATCAATCAATTTGTATTACTACGTGTGTGTTTAGTGGTTTTGTCTCTTATTGTGATTTTTGGCGCGTTTTTCTCTGCGTCCTCTCACTATTTTCTCTAAATACTTAACTTATTTACCATAAAATAAAATAGTTTTTTTTGTTGAAAATAATTATTTTTCTATCTCCGCCCGCCCCTCTCATTTTTCTCCTGTTCTCCACCCTGAAAACAAATATTTGTCGGAATTTTTGGAGTCATTCATTTAAAAAGTAACTTTTTGGTCGGAATTTCTCAAATTTTCATTTCAGAATGAGTTTCTCTGTTGCCATTTTGCTTGTTTTGCTACCAATCGGCACTTTTGCCGATTGTTTTTCTGGAAAAGATGTCGGTAATTCGAATTGTGGACAAAATGGAGAGCGACAGTTCTTTTTCCATAAACAAACGAGAACTTGTCAACCATTTTATTATCAGGTAAAGTTACCGGTTAAAAATTAATTTTTCGAACATCGAGATGATAATTTGCTGGATCTAGATTTTTCAAGGAAAATCATTACCGTACAATTTTTTTGGATTTATATCGCCAAAAGTTAACCTGAACTTTTCCAAAAGAGAAATCGATTTTTTTAAATTTCGAATTAAATTTGAATTTAAATTTCCTTAAAAAATTCCGATGACATGTTGTATTTTCGGCCTTTTTTCAGTTCAAAATTATTTTTTTATGCAGAATTTTTATAAATAAATTCTCTACCCAAAAATGTTTCATTGTGAATCATTGAACAAGAATTTCTTTTCATTTCATTAAAAATTTTCAAAATAACAAAACCCATTGTTAACTTATTTAATTGAAAACCTTTCTTTTGAGATACCGATTTTTCCAGGGTTGCGACGGAAACGATAATCGATATCAAACCAAACAAGCATGCGAAACAGCGTGCAAAAATGCAACAGCACCAGGAGAACAATCTTACTGTAGGTTACTGTAGCCCATGTATAGACAGTATCTTGATCTTTTCAGCTCTTTGCAAAAGTGGAGCATATCCAGCTGGAGCAACTTCTGGTTCTTTGATTAAAGACTGCAAAAAATGTCCACATGGATATGAATGTGAAAAATCGCAGTGCTGTCCAACTAGAGGTTTGGAAATTATAAATTTTAAAAATTTCGGAAATAAAATTTATCTCCAGAATACACATGTGCCCTTCAATACGATGCTGGAAAATTCGGAAGCAGTGGAAGCCATACGCCGAGATACTTTTTCAATAAGAGTTACAAAAACTGTATGCTTTTCACATTTTACGGGCGTGACGGAAATCCAAACAATTTTGCCACTTACAACGAATGCAAAGATTTCTGTATGTAGATAGATTTGGCAAAAATGTGTATATATTTTATTTTTCATTTTTTTTTGACGAGCAAAAAATTGATGAATTATTGTTCTGAAACCCATTTGGCTTCTTCGAGAATTTCAGCATGATTATCGACGATTTTGTGGGTTGGCAAGGTTAAATATTCCAATTTTCCGGTTTCGGCATTGGTTCGGGTTTCAATTGTGGATGGGGCTGGAAAAAGTGATTTTCAGAGGCGCTCGCACATCAAAGTAAGAAAAAAAACTTCACTGACAAGCACAAGTTGTGACGTGGCGACAGTGTCTGAATTGAGCATTTGACCATTCGCGAGCTGATTGACAACCATACCAAGCAGCTTGAGTCTGCAAAAAATAACTTTGAATTTGAAATTCAATTGAGAAAAATGCGAATGTGTTTTGTTCCCAAAATGAACCCCTAAAAAAGAATTGAGAAAGTTTTTATTTACAAAAATTGTGTAGCAAAAAAATCTAGGTTGTTGTTGTTGCGTACTTGTAGATCAAAATTTCTCATAGATTTTCAGTACGCCTACATCTCTACAGTAATCCAAAAAAAACGAACCGGGTTCACAGTTCTACATGGTCCATTTTGATAAATCTTTTGCCAAGAATTCATGAATGTTTGAGCATAATTGCAAGCATTTGTTGGATCTTGTTGAGTACTTGTGATATAAGTTCCAAGAGCTGCTGAAGTATCAGATTGATAGTTGACATAAGTATTTGCAGCACAGGCAGCCAATGTTTTACGCTCATAAACAGTCCAGAAACCAGCTCCACATTTGAAACCCCAATCAGCCAAGAATCCTTGGTAGGCGTAAGCCTGAAATTTCTGGATATTTAAGGAATTCTTTTGGAAAAATTCATACATCATTAAGTGAAAGTCCTGATCCAACAAATCCGACGGTTCCCAAACAATCACGAATTTGTTGTTGACCCAAACAACCATAGAAACTCGAATAACCACTGAAATAGAAATGTTTATAAATGAAAATTGAAAAGATTTTCTAGTTTAGATAAACTTACTTGCAAGCTGCAACAAAGTTATCAACTGAATATGGAGCAGTGAAAAGAGATTGGGTAATTCGATCCAAATCTGTCAATTGTCTCCAAGCATTTGAGGTGCTGTAATTATTAAGGTTTTTGAACTTTATACCAGACGTTCTTCGTGACATATTTTTTTCAGATTGAAACTTTTTGAAAAATTTGCAAAAAAATGAAAAATATTTTCAGCTAAAAATTGATATAAACTTACTCTTGTCTCCAAAATTGTCCCAAATAATTGTTACATTGTGTGAATTGCAAACGATTACAATTATCAGTCAAACCTTGCGCACCTACAGTAACCAACAACGTGGCAAATGCCAACAAACTTTTCATTTTTTGCTATTGAAATAGTTAAAAAATTTCCTTGGAAAAAAGGAAACTTTACTATCAAAGAAAATGTTATCATTTTCCAACTCATTTTATGATTTTTCTTTTTTTCACTCGTCTTTTCGGTGTCGACCAATAAAATTTTATATTGGATTATTTTTTATCAATCAGTCAGTCAGTTTGTTCAGTTGTCACTTTTGGGTGTGCACTTTTCATTCCGGTGTTGATGATTAATAAAGATCTTGGTGAAAAAAAAATAGTTCAAGAAAAAATCAAGAAGCAAATGTAATATATAATTATAACGTTTTGACCAAAAATCGCCGGAAAATCACAAAATTTCTGAATTTTTTTTCGAAACAATTTCCTTGTTACTTGTTGTTTGCGATCAAAAAATGTTATTAAATGAAGCTCTCTATTTTCTGGTTCTCTGAAAAATGCAAAAGTTCCTGATCGCTTCCAAATTTGAATAATGGAAAGATTGATTGTTCAAACCATAATTTTTGCGTATAAAACCCGAATGAAACTAAAGTTCTATAGAAAACATTTTTTTAAAAATTAATTATTTCAAATTTTTGAAATAATTTTTTTAATTTTCAATTTTTTTCAAAAAAAAAGTATTGGAAAACTAATTGCAGATCAAACAAAAAACAGAATTCTGCTTAACCCCATGATTAACATTGTTAGAGACTAGTACGCTCCAAGTTACACAAAACTCGATTTTTTTCTTTCAATAATGTATTTCTATATTATATCATGTGTTGGAATTTTATGTGGAATAATACAGGCTTTTTTTAAATTTTCGAATATATCGAAATTATTTATTGTGAGGATTTTCACAACAAATTTATTCATTAAAAAATATAAGAATTTCAGAAGCACATCAAAAGTTGAGTTCAAATTAATTGTTATTCGAACAATTTTAAATATTATTCTTGGAATTATTGGTTCTTTCATTTTTGGAATTGGAATATTATGTGAAGTTTTTGCTGAAAAATTTCCAAACATTATTTTGTTTTCTGTTGGATTTCTAGCTTCAAATATGACAATGATTCGAAGATTGTTATCTGCTTGTATAGGAATTGAAAGATGTTGTGTACGTGATATTTTCTTTTCTCAAATTTAATCTGATAGTTTCAGGCAATTGTATTTCCTATTTATTTCAAACATTATCGTGATAAATTCACAAATTTTCGCATTTTCTTTGTATTTTCAGCCATAGCACTTTTGGAAGATTTCATTATAATATATCTTTTAGATTTCAAGTTTTCATTAGATCCTAAATGTCAAGCATACATCTGTTTTCTACCTTCAACCTATGTCAAATACAACCCAATATTTTTAGGGCTGTTAAATTCTCTTTTCATATTTTTCTCAATATTTCTTTTGGTCAACATGATAATTATGTATCACAAAAAAATGAGATTGAGCGACGATATAATGAAAATCAACATGTTATGCTTGGCCGATCTTCTTTGTGCTGTTTTATTCGAATTTATTCCGGCAGTTATTATTCAAAAAATTGGATCATCTGACAATATTGGTCCAATAATTGGTGTTTCGAGAACAATTGGAAGAGTTTTTGAGGGAATTACAATTATTCTACTTATGCGAAAAAATATAAAAATAGATATTCCAAGATCAGCTTGGAAAAACCATGTAGTGGAATAATTCATTGTGCAACATTTCGAATTGAATTCAATTTTCAGGATGCGAAAAAATAATCGAATCAAATTTGAATGTTAAAGGGTTGGTCCTGCTACAGGAAAACTTAGGCTCAATCGATAGAGCTAAGGTGCTCCTGAAACATTCCATATTTTATTTTGATTTTATAGCGAGTCGCTCCTAAGATTTCGTTTGTTTTTTTTACTTGGCCCATGATAATTTTTATTCATTTTTTAATAGTTGAATAAAGTTTTTATAATACATGTTATAATAATTATTTTTTATTATCCGATTGCACCAAAAAGTTACGAAGAAACCTCCCATGCTTTTCTAACAGTTCCAGATGAAATATGTCTTCTCATAAGTTGCAACATCGAGATTGCTTCACATACGCGACCAGCAGTTCTCAAAACGCCCAGCAAAGGTCCTACACTATTTTGAACTTCTATGAACTTGGCCAACACTGCTGGAATGAACTCGAAAACAATTGAGCATAGAAGATCGGCGAGACATAGAAGATTAACCTAGAAATCTTTGGTGTTTTAAATGCAAATCAGAAACCTGTGCACCTTCAACATATCATTAGATAATTGAATGCTTTGATAGTACATAATTATCATTTTGATCAGAAGAAAAAGTGAGAAAAAATAGATGACAAATGTAATTGAAGTGAATAATAAAGTGGCATAATTGACATATTTCAATGGCACGAAACACATAAATGCACGACATTCTGAATTCAATGGAAACGTCAAACCGAAAATCAAAAATAACATAAAATCATCGAAAAATGCAGCAGCAAGAAATACAGGGAACAATCGAAAATTCGTGAATAGCGTTCGATATTGTTTGAAATGAATCGGAAACACAATAGCCTAAAACAAACTTGAATTCGAATTCTGAAGTGAAGTGACAACTGAAATAGAGGAAACTGAAACTGACGCAAGTTCTTTCGATCGCAATACTTGCCGCTAAAAACCCTCTAATCATTGTCACGTGTGTAGCTAATAATCCAACACAAAATATTATAAATGCTGAAAATATTTCTGGGAAGAGTTCACATAACATAACAGATGTGAACAGTGAAACAGCAATGAAACCAAGAAAAATATCTAAAACAGTTCGAGCAACAATCAATTTGAAGTCGATTTTTTTCCATGTTGATGTGGTTCTATACAAAATTCTAATTATTCTGAAAAATATTAAGGGGAACTCACAGAAAACATTTGAGAACTACTCGAGTATTTAGAAAAGCTTGAGAAAACCCAAGAAAAATACCAGAACAAAGAATCAAATAGAAGTACATTTATGGAATGGAAATATTAAAGTTCGAAATTATGACTTGCAAGCAAGTCTACTGAAAAGTATAATTATCTTTCTAATTCCTTGTTTACAACGTGGTTGACTTCTGATTCATGTTAAGAAGCTGTTTCCCATGCTAATCGAGCTGATCCATAAGATCCATTTTTTCTCATAAGTTGAAAAATTGATAATGCTTCCACAACTCTTCCAATTGATCGTAAAAGTGCCATCAATGGTCCAACATTATTTTGAATTCGGACAACTTGAACAATAAGAGCAGGAATGAACTCAAATGAGATTTGACAGATTAGATCAGTGATACACAGTAAATTCACCTACATATGAATAATTAAAGTTTCAAAAAAAAATAATAATAAATTAAGTTTACCTTCAACATATCATTAGTTAATTTGACACTTCGATAATACTTTATTAACATGTTAATTGATAGAAAAATTGAGAAAAAATAAGTGATCAAACTAATTATCAAAAAAATAATAGTTTCATATTTAGCATAACTTCGAGGAATAAAACAAGCATAAATACGACAATCCGATTTCAAGGGGAATTCCATATCAAAAACATAGAGTAGCATAAAATCGTCGAAAATCGCGAAAAATATGAAGAATGTTAAAAAACCAAGATTTGTGAAAACTTTTCGATATTGTTTGAAATGCAGTGGAAATACGATAGCCTAAAATTTTCTGATTTATCTTCCCAAAATTGTTTTCGAAGAACTAACACAAGATCTCTCGATAGCAATACTTGCTGCTAATAAACCACGAACTATAGCTATGTTAGATGCCAATAATCCGACATAGAAAATACTTTCACTGGGTACAATATCTGGCAACAAGTCACATAACATTGTTACAAGAAAAAGTGTGAAAGCAACAAGTCCAACAATAATATCTAAAATTGTTCGGGCAGTAATCAATTTGAAATCGTTTTTCTTCCACGTAGAAGAACTTCTAGAAAAACATTATTTTCAAGAAAAATCCGGAATTCTATTGACTTACAGCAAATATCGAAGAACAATTCGAAAGTTCAGAAAAATCTGAATGATACTGAAAATCATACCAATACAAGAAATAGGATAAAAAATTTCCATTTTTGAAGTGAATAAGAGTTCTGATTGCAATTATCTCCATGTCTATGTTATAATGATCAGGTGTGATTTCTGGTAGAAAACTAGTGTTTTTCTACGTATACGTTTTCCAAAAATTGCAAAAAAACATTAGATATTGGAAAGTGTTAGAACAAGGGGATTGCCAAAAGGATAAATATCCTTATCAAACAGAAAATGATGTTTTGAATTATGAACTTATGGAAAGTCATCTCGTAATAATCCTGCAAAACAATTATCAAAATAAGAAAAACACAAATGTTATTCAACTTCAGCTACCTAAAATTAAGTATGCAACTTGTTTGTGTTTCAATCTACATACTTATTTTAGTAACTCAATAAGTTTTCGAGGTTTTGCTAAATTCAATCAAAATAACTTCTGATTTTTTATTTCGAAACACTTGAATTTCTAGTTTTTTGAAATCTTCAAGATTGATCTTCAAAAATTAGTTCCTCGTTTGATTTAAGAACGTACTTATTTAATGATCAAAGTCAGAAAAATAAATTAATAACAGGTTGTGAAAATCAATTTAAAACAGTGTAATAGTGAAATCTGAGTTTCTTATATTGACTATGGAATATTATCTTCAAACAAACTATTCTGTGTGTCCAACACAATCATTTTTTGAAACCAAGGATTTTCTAACCAACTCTCTTCATATTTCATCATTTATTGCGTTTCCTACAAGTATTTTTTGTTTATATTCAATTTGGTTCAAAACTCCAGCAAGAATGGAGGGTGCCAAATTTGTTTTGTTACATATTCAGCTTGTGTAAGATTTGTCTTTCATTTGTGAACGATTTTATAGTTTCAAATTCAGAATATTTCAGAAATATTCTACTAGATGCTTCGATGAACTCCCTTATAACTCCAGTCATATATATGCCAACTCCAATTGTTTCACTTCATGGAATTCTTCCTTGGTTAGGAATTCCATATAAAGTATTGATTTATATTGCACAGTTTTCGGTTTTCCGTGAGTTTTAAAATCATGAAATCATATAACTTAATCAAAAAATTAGTAATTGGGATGTCGATAGTTGCATTGTTTCAAAATCGACATAGTGCAATTCAATCAATCCCTTATCGTCTCCAGAAAAAATCTACAAAATTTATATACTATTCAGTTTCATATTTATGCGGTGCAATTGCTTTAGTTTTTGTTTTTCTCGATGACGTGGATGATAATCAATTAAAATTAAAATATTTGGAATGGTATCCTTGTCCGCCGCCAGAATATTTTCAATCTATCGCTTCAGTTTTCACAAACAGTATAGAAATAACTGAAATGTGTCTAGCAGCATCAATTATTTTTATGACTTCAAATGTTTCATTTTTTGTATCTTCGAGTGTTTATTATCTTGTTATTGCGCCTTCAAAAAATACTTCGAAAAAAACTCGAGAAATACAACTTCGTTTTCTGATTATGTTGAGTATACAAATCACAATTCCATTCTTAGTTCTTCTTATTCCAACTGCTCTTATTGTTTACATGTTTATTACAAAGACTAATAGTCAGAAAATCAACAATTTTACTGTGATTTTATTTGCAACTCATGGAATATTATCGAATTGCGCTTTAATTTTCACACATAAACCGTATCGAGAAAATACTTTGAGAATTTTCAAAATCGAAAAGGAAGTCACATCAATTGTTGTCAAATGAAAAAAATGTAGTTCGAAGTTTGATTTTTAACAAAGTCACAATTTTACACCAAAATATTTTATTTAAATAAATCTTGCCAGAAAAACAATAATCACTGATCCAATAAAACTGGAAATAGTAGAACCGCTTACATATTTGTGACCATTCCAAATTTCTTCGGCTTTTGGTCCAAGAGTTCCACGAAATCTGTCGAACTTCGATTTCAAATCATCAGCCTTTTGCGAAGCGGCTTCAGCTGCAGCTTTTGCCTCCTTGCTTTTCTCTTCCGCTTTTTCTGCAGCTTGTTTTGCTTTTTCATAAGCATCTCCTCCAGCAGCCTTCAATTCATTCGCTTTCTTTCTAGCATCGCCAGCTTCTTTTGCTGCTTCTTCATAGGTTTTCATGGCTCTATCCGTATCTTCTGCAGCTTTATCATATTGCTCTTTTGTATCTTTCGCAGTTTTTTCAACATCTTCAGCACTTGGCTTATCTTGAGTATTAACCAATGCGAATAAACATAGGAAAAAGAATACAAACAACTTCATTTCTACTTGAATTAAAAATGACTGACACAAATCACAAAGAAGTGTTACGTCAATCTTATCTTGAACAATCTTGAAACGTGGCAACGTGACCGATTAAAATCGAGAAAAAATAGAAAGAGCATCATTTTGGTTGTGATAAGAATGCGCAAGTCTACAAAATATTCGTGAGTCAAAAAAAACAAAAAATAGGAAAAATAAAACTTTTAAAGGAAAACAAACGATAAAAATGTACGCAGCGATGATGCGGATTCTCGCTCGGAAGTCATTAGAAAATATTCGAGAAGAAATCCAGCACCACCCACCGTGAATTCTTGTATTTCAACAACAGTCGAATGCAACCCGTTGATTCCTGATATGAAACTCGAAAATGGAGATCAAAAATGCTCGTTCACCTTAGAAGATGGTGGAAAAATGGTGAAAATTACGCGAAAAAATGGGGATCTTATTTACATGTTGCGTTGTGCTGATGGAAAACGCGTTTTTATTGAGAAAAATGAGGTTGGCGCTTGCTTGCTTATGACAAATGAAAGAGGAAATATCACAAAATCACTTGCCGCACAATATTGATTGGTAGAATTCGTTTCATTTGTCTTGTAATTCATACATAAATATTCAAAGTTTCGATTTCTTGATAAAATTTTTGGCGCCTTTGATTGAATCGGGAAGAACTTTCACACTTTGAAACTCGAAATCGAAGGCATCTTGAGTTGAATGATCCAATGAATGATATGTCGATTCTCGATCAGCTAACATACATAATTCAGGATGAGATCTGATAAGTTCTGCAAGTTTTATCGCTTCATCCAATGCTTTTCCATCTTCTGCCACTCGGTTCACCAAACCCCATTCTTTCGCTTCAATTGCTCCAATTTCTCTTCCAGTTAATATCAAATCCAAAGCTCTTCCTAATCCAACAACACGTGGCAATCTAACAGTTCCGCCATCAATCAAAGGAACACCAACTCTTCTACAAAATACACCCATTTTAGAAGATTTTGAGCAAACACGAAGATCAGCCATGAGAGATAATTCAAGCCCTCCAGCCACTGCATAACCTTCAATTGCTGCGATCAGAGGTTTTTTGATCGGCATTATCGAGGGACCCTGAATGTTTTTTTTTTCAAAAATTTCATTACAACAAGAATAAATAAATCAACTGACCATATATCGATATTTCTCCAAAAACTCTGACTCAATTTTAGTGAAGCCACCAGTCGATACTTCTTCTAAATCATAACCTGCACAAAATGTTCCACCTTCTCCATATAAAATCGCACATTTCAAATCATCTGTATTATTGAATTTTTCGAATGCCGTCACCAATTCTCGCGCAGTTTCATGATTTACACAATTTTTCTTCGATGCGCGATTTATTCCTATCAATAGGATGCCATTCTCTTCAGTGATCTTGACTGGAAAATTATTTAAAAATTATGTTTTGGTTGAGCTCGCATGAGAAAAATTCAAAAATGCGGTTTGTTTGGTAACAAAAACTCAGACAAGTTGGGCGATTAATCGCTAAGCAACTTGAATTAGCTGCTGGCTGGCCGATTAATCGCCTGTATTAATTTTGTTCAGACGATTAATCGTCAGCTCACTTTGCTTACCGATTAATCGCTCAACTTGTCCTGAGAACAAACAAAACAAATGAAAAATGCACACCGTAGTAAACTTAAAGGATCGTTAGAAAAACATTGTGTCCCTTTAAACGGGACCTGCACGCGAACATCTTTTAAACTTTTATTTCTAAAATTTTTTGAATTTATTTTTGTTTTCCGCGAACCCGCTACTCCGAAATTTTTCCATTTTTACTCACCGAGTTTTCCCATTGTTGAAAAAGATCGTTTTAAAAGTTTCGCTGCGTTCATCCAGAAAAAACTAGAAATAAATCAAAATATTTATGCGAGTGACCGTTGAAAAAAACAAAGATAACAAATTATTTCTCTGTTTCTCTTTTCTCTAACAATTGAATAGAAATAGAGACGCAGAGATGTTTACCCGTAAGAAAATGAGAGATAAAAAAGAATGCTTTCGAATATTAAAGAGTTCGGTTTAGACAATTAAACGTGTTCCAAATTAAATATTCTTTCCAAATTTCTCGAGAAATTTCATCACAATATAAAACTCGTTGCTCGTATACAAATTTCACTTTTTCAATGACATTTTTCGCTAGTTTTTGGCTAAAACTTGGCTCGAGACCAATTTCATGAAAAGTACCATATCTTTCAGTCCAGCCAAATCCCAGCCCTTGCGATTCAGTAGTTCGATAATGTCTGAAACATTTTTAATTTATTTTACTATGATTTTATTTGACAATTATTGTTTCAAACCGTATATATGCGATATTTTCATCAATTCTTCTACTTTCATATCCAGGATATTTCATATAAGACCAATGATAATACATTGCTGCAGATTTATCAGGTCGATAAAAACTTTTAAAAGCTTCCCATGTTATTTCGGCAGAAATGTTGTATTTCAAAAATTCCATTTCTTTCCATAATTGCGCCTCTGATTCATATTTCCACGGAATTTTGTCGGTTTTCTGAACACGTTGAATTGCCACACTTAATTCTACTATATTTTCCGGAACATTTATCAGTAAATTAGCAGCATTTCCCATTTTTGTGCCAGCGAATACAAGTCTCTCATCAATGTCTACATTGAGAACCCATTTTGAATGATATTTCGCGCGTTGGTGACATTCCTAAAAAAAAACTATGAATATTATAGTTAAAGTAGAACATAATCTTACATTGATTTGTAACATGTGGAATTGCCAATCTTCTCTTTCATATTCTGTTTGAATCACGGTTAATTCAATTTCACCAGTTCGCAAATATTCATCGAGAATTTTACGGGAATAGTGATTCATATCAAAAATTGTAAAATAAAAATGATTAATACCCTGAACGTTCAAAAAAGTTACTAAATTCCAAATGTCTTCTTGAACGACTCACCATAAGTTTGTAATGCTCAACAAACTCGATAATTTCCAACCATTTCGGTTCATTTCCATAAAGTGGTCCAACACAAACTGAAATCTCATGTTTTGGTTCGTCAAATATTCGATAAATCATTGGAACCGGTTCACGAATGTAATCAGCATCATCTTCAGAAAGTTTCAACGAAATATATTCAGCTCCAAAACGTCGTGCACAATAAACAATGTTTGATGGGAAAAATACAGTGCGGAAAGAAGATTGTGGAATTTCATGTTTATTACAATCAAAATATTGACAAGTTGCCAACTTTCTGAAATTTAGTATTTTTGGGAATATTTTATGTGGGCAGGATCTTGTTTTTTTTTCAGTGAAACGTGAAAAGAAAGGTTTTAAAATTTTGGAATATTATAAAGTTAAAAATTAATAAAATAATTTTAAAAATTAATATTTTTCAGAATACGGTGTTTTCTACAAAATATTCATTCGAAGATTCCAAATTTTGAATCAGTTTTTATAATTTAACTTTCAAAATGATACAAAATTTGAAATTCCATTTTTTGAAAAAGAGAATAGTCTTTTGGGATCAATCTTGGTTCAAAAATTTGGAAAAAATACACTGTGTTTTTTCCTAATAGAAAAATGCAATCTCGAGGAGACGCAGACACTCGCTGGTCTCGACACGCAGTGTGTCTGCCACACACTATTTCTCCCCCTTTTTCGGCGAGAGATTTGTCTGCACACGTTAAAGTCTGCGTCTCCCTCGAATTGCAAAAAAAAATACAGTGAATACCTCTCAAACATTTAACTAACCCGTAAGAATGTTGCGAAGTTGTTGTAACTGCAATATAATCTGGATAAACAAAAGCATTCAATAAACGAACTTCAGATCCAAGAATATTATCACGTCTCGATGCATTCATATTAATCCATTGAAGATGAATCTCTTCGTTTGGAATTTTTTTCGTCGTTTTTCTGTTCCAATCTTCCACGTGGCAAACTGCCACAATTTCAAAACTAAAAACTTTTTTTTGAAGAGAAAAGAGTATTTCATTGAACTCACTTTCGTTTCCATTCATCAACTTTGTGCAAAATGCCAATTAAAACTAAAAATAGGAAAAAAACGACAGAAGATTTCAAGCGAATTCGAAACATTGTTCATTAAAATAAGGAAAGAATCGGAAATCTTCCGACATTTTTCCGTAATCTTGATATGCCGTTTTTCTGTTTCTTCTAACAGGTTCTGAGAATAGGTGGGCAGAAATGTTCTCGTCATTTTTTCGGAACTTTTTTTTTTTGAACTTTTGAAGAATATAAAATTTAAAAAAATTCTTGAAGATTTTTCGAGATAAGTTTCTTCTTCTTCTCCTCTCAATTAAAGCATCCAATTAAAAATCCTAAAATTAATTTTAAAAAATGTTACTAATCTTGATAAAATCTTTATAATATTTATTGTTAGCTAAACAGGTTTTTTTCTTGTGAAATGAATGATGCTTTTGAAAAAAATCTAAAAGTTTCAAAATTAGTCATCAATGTTCGCATCCCGGTAGTTTATTTACACATTTCATCTGCGTCTCTCTCCTTCTCAATCTCTCTTCAATTTTGTTCCCGAGAAATCTTTTTGCTTTATCCCACACATTTTGTAATATTTTCGGATTTTTATTCATCGAAATGTCCTTAACTCTTTCGGCTGGAAGAGGTGTAACTCAAGTTGTTGAAAGATGTGAAGCTGCGAAGGAAGGTGGATTTTTGGGTGAGTTTTAGAGGACATTTCACTTCCCTGAGAAACTCCTGCATTTTTTGAGACCCGAAACATTTTTTGGGTTGGACTAAGATTGGCAAAATTCAACTAGAAATTGAGAGATTTAGAGAAAAATATTTTTTATTTACTTCAAAAAAATTACAAAAGTTTGATAACTACAGATTCTCACCGTAAAAGGCCTAAAGGCATATACATGAAATACTGTAGTTTTGAAATAAAGTTTAAATTCCACGTCTCAAAGTTCACGAAAAAATGTTTTCATATTAATTTTTTCAGATCTTTCATCATGCCAATTGATGTACATTGCCGATGCTGTGTACCTTCTCCTTAAAGGTTATACAATCTCAAAAGTTAGCATTGCAGACAACACTTTGAAAAAGTTCCCAAGAAAATTTGTTGAAAAGTTCCCCGAGGCAACAAGTAAGTCTACAGTAATCAATTATAAAATTATCCACATTTTTGCAGTTTTGAACATGGAACAAAATGAGATTTCTGAACTACCAGAAGAAGTTGGAAATTGGAAATCTATCAAAGGACTCAATGCTTCGAAAAATAAACTATCCGGAAAATTTCCCGAAATTTTATATTCTTTGGAAAATTTGATATACCTGGATTTATCGGATAATGAGATTTCTGAAATTGATTTTGGGAAAATTCAAACTTCTCTTCCCAAATTAGTTCAATTGAATCTTTCAAACAATTCTCTTCCAGAGGATCTAAAAGATATTGTGAAAAGTTTTGAAAAATTAAAAGTTTTATTATGATAAAAATTTGTAACATTATGATTTTTGAGACCCGATGTTTAGAGTACACAGTACCAAATAAGGAATAAAATCTAAAAAATAAAGAGTCTACATCGGGGTTACTGTATGTGTTGGGATAATTCCGAAATCTCGGAGCCGTTTCAAAGCTGGACGATACACTTCCTTCAGAATTGGTCGTTGAATTCCAGCTCGTTGAATTTCATCTGAAAATTTTCAGTAGGTAAAAACATGGAATATTTTTGAAACATTTAAAAAACTTACTATTTAAAACCATTTGTGATACAATAGCTGTTGTATATCCAACAGTTCTTGCCATTGCTGAAAATCCACCATTTGGATGTCCATATTGAACCAAACTAATTCGATGTTTCTCAGCCAATCCACCAGGTAATTGTGCTCCAATATCATGATTCAATACAACCAAATCACTTTCATTCTCTTTGAAAGCCAAAATCTTCGCCAAATATTGTGCCAATGTATCAATTGGTGTTCCATGTCGATCAACTGTTTTATCCAAGAATAATCCAAGTTCTTCCAAAGCATTTGCTCCATTTGCACCAACTTTTTGTTCAACTAAACTTTTCAAAGAATCTGTGAAAATGTCTGGTTTCTGATTTTGCGAAATTGCGACAAGCTCTTTCCATGTTAGATCTGGCCCAATATTTGATGTGAATGCATCTGATGGAGAAGTTGACAATAATCCAACAGAATGTAATGCTTTCACAGTTTCAACAAATCCTTTGTATCTCAAAGTTCCTCTCAAAATAGTCGAACAATCATTTCCTAATCCATAAACATCAGCATATTTTGTAGAATCTCGATTTGGGAATCCAATCATATTCAATCCTGGCATGAAATCAATATCAATCAAATTATCAACAACACTTCCAGATGGAATCTCAACAATCTTTCCATTTTTCAAATATTTTGCTGGGTTCATCAAAGCAGTGAGAACACCTTTTGGTGACCAAGAGAATTTGTAACGAAGTGGATTATCAGACCATTCTGGGGCTGGAAGTCCTCCACAGAATGAGACAAATGAAGTGACTCTTCCACCGTGATCTTTGATTTGATCGAAACATTCCATTGCCAACATATGATCAATTCCTGGATCTAAACCGGCTTCATTCATAATTGTAACATCAGCTTCTTTTGCTGCTTTGTCCAAAGCTTCTAATTCAGGTGACACATAGCTTGATGTAACCATATCTCTTTGATTTGAAATACACATTTTGGCAATAAGTGGGTGGAAATTGAATGGCAGCAGAGATACAACAATGTCGTGTTCCCTGTAAATGAGAAAATTGAGAGATAGAAACAGCGAGTATAAAATGAAAATTTGCGGTCGGCGCTTTCGTGGCCTTGTGGCCTAATGGATAAGGCGTCTGACTTCTAATCAGAAGATTGCAGGTTCGATCCCTGCCTGGGTCAAAATTTTTTGTTTTTTTTTTTTCGAAAATTTACCTAATCAATTTCTCCATGGTGTGATTTTCTCTAGCAACATCTACAACGACAGACGAAATATTTGGTGACTTGCAAAGTTTTTGTCCATCCCGTTCTGATTCCGTAGCAACAGTCAAATGAACATTCTCTTGTTTCGAGTAGAAATCAGCAAATGGTCCGGATACCATTCCAGCTCCCAAAAGCAACACTTTTTTATCGGAAGTTCCCATAACTCGAGATTTATGGGTTGAAGAGCTGAAAAATAATAATGAAAATGGATTTGAAATGAGAAAAGGGCGGGGCCACGTGAATTAATAATTGTTGACAAGAATTTATGTGGATCATTTTTAAACTAGGTGACCTTGGTTTTTATTTTGTTTTTGTCATAGATTTTCGAAATTTGACAGTAATCATTTTCGAAAAATTTTTGAATCAAAAATTGATATTTCAAATCGAATGAGCCAATCTCTTTCCAATTTAAAACTACAGTACTCCTTTTTATTCCCTAAACTCACGCTGCTTTATCAGCTCTCAATTGTTGAATATATTCAAAGTTTGGGGTCAATTTTCCCTGATCCGTAATAATTGCTCGTTTAATTTCATCTCGAACTTGAAGTCGATCAAATGATTGATCATTCGAACAATTTATCAAATCCATCAACCACGGATAAAGCAAATTTCCAAATTGTTCAGTGGCTTCAATTGGCATTTGAGCTGGCATATTATCGATTGAACAAACGAGGCAACCAGATTCCGCATCGAAACTATCCGAACTTGTGTTGAAATCGGCATCATAAATTGTGAAAGGTTTATCGATTGTGGTGCATTCTCTCATGAATTCAACTGAACCTCCTGGATCAGCTGAAATATCACAAAGTGCAACAAGTCGATGTGGAAGAGTTGGACAACCAGGTGTATCATACTGGAAATAAAATTAATTATAGAGATAAAAGTGACACTTGGAGAGAACATACAAATTGGTTAGGATGTTTACTTTTCTTTTTATTGCGCTGAAAAAATTGTTAGTAAAGAAAAATTAGATAAACACAAAAGTTACTGTAACTCCAACTCACTCTTTGAACAGGAGTCAATAAATTCTTGGCATCTGGAATTGTGATCAATCTTGGACTTTGTGCATCCCAATAAACTCCATTAATAATAACACTTGCGTATGGTGCAATTTCAGTAGCGAATTTCGAAGTGTATCGATCTGGATATTGTTCGAATTCTTGTTTATTAAAAGGTCCTCCATTTTTCGGAACAAAATGATCTTTTCGAGTTACAACACAACCATAAACCTTATTCAATGCTCCTTTTTTCGCAACTTTTGGCAAAGTTGCAACATCAACATATTCATGTGGAAGATGTTCGAAAAGTTCTTGAGCACCTTGAGAAACATTTCCAGATCCGGTAAATACAAAAATCAATGGTCCAAGAGATCTTGGCATTCTTCCCAATGCAATTTCATATCCAATATCTCTCAATGCATTAATTGCCATATGTGAATCATTATAATTATGAGCTAATCCCATATGAAGAAATGGTGTATGATGTCCTAAAGCAAGAAGTCGAAGTCCAATTCCGTGTAAAATATCAATAAATCCAGCATTTCCAGCCCATTTTCCAAACATTACCATTCGCTTTCCTTTGTCATCCACTATTTTTTCGTAATCAATCAAACGGATATTCTGAAAAATATGCTTTTGATTAGATTTTTTTCTAGATATTTCGGAACTCCGAACTTTTACTAATTTATAATTAATGAGCTAAAATTTGGACCAGCTCTGATTTACTTTCATAAGATAACTATAATATTACCCTTTGCAAAATCGTATCCAACATAGCCATATTATCTTGTTGCGCTTTAATTGTATGCGAGAAAAATGCATAAGTCTTATTTGGAATCAATTGATCGATTGGAACACTTTTAACAGACATAATAACACTAGCTTCACTCAAATCTTCTCGAACAATTGCACCAGCTGCAATATAATCCTGAATTGGATATGCACGACGATTTGAAGGTTGGATGAGAACATTGATTCCGGATTTTGTGAGACGTTTTACATGAAGAGGAGCAAGAGGAGCACGACGTTCCCAGGCATTCACAGTTTCACGGCTGCAAGAAAAAAATAGACACGTTACAGTAATCCAGAAATACTTTCAAAAATAATTTTTTGAGTTGAGAAAACAAGAGGTAAGTATCTCGAAAATCTGACTACAGTATCAGAAAAATTATTTTTAAATCTTTAAAAAAAATTTCACTTTTTAAGTCTTTAGATGTTGTTTCAAAATTGTCAGAATTGCCACGTCATAGGTTTTTTGTGCTAGCTGTGCACCCTAGGATGATACCCTAAACATACCGTATTCCAATAGTTGGTGTGCCTCTTCCAACAAAAGATTTGGCACTGTGCCATCTTTTGGATAAATCGAAATTTCGAAACGTGTTGTTTAACAGTCGCATGACAATTAAGAAATGAATCTAGTCTCTAGAGAGTATTTTGTGGTCACGTGACAAGGTTATTATTTCTAATAATATTTTCTATATTTTTTTGGGACATGGGATGAGGGCGGAGCTTTGTGATGACCTTGGTTTTTCGTATTATCAATTTCGACACGGGGAATGATGATCATAAATAATAGAATGTAAGAAAAGACAAATCTGATGTAATGTTTGTTATTGTGCGCAGGAATTCGAATTCTGATACACGTGGCAAAAATTTTGGAGATACAAAAAAGAAGATGATAGAAAGTTTTAAAGAAAAACATTGTTGAAATATATTATTTATGCTTTCCATAATTACTTTCACAAACCACGTGGTTGATAAGTTTATAACTTTGATCTTCTTTGTTACAAAATTAAAACTGTCAGTAATTATTTTCATCAAGTTTCCTACAGAAGATCAATCGTTTAATTTGCAACTTCGGTCTGTTTCAATGATAGCTTTTATCAATTCGCTTCAATGAAAAGTGTTTGTCTTCCAAGAAAAAAACGTGTTAATCTTCCCAGAATAGGTTAATATGTTGTAAAAACAAGAAAAATTATCTTTCCCATCTTGCAAAGCAAACGAGCCATAAAATGACCTTTAAAGAATTTTAAGATTGATTTACAACTGTTTTCGATTTGATGGAATGTTCAAATTCTCTCTATTTTATTAATAATTTTTATCGAAAAATTCAAAAATTCCTCACACAAGTTGGGCGATTAGTCAGTAAACAAAGTGAGCTGAACGATTAATCGTCTGAACAAAATTAATACTGGCGATCAATCGCTCAGTCGCCAGCTAATGCAAGTTGTTCAGTGATTAATCGCCCAAGTCTGAGTCCGAAAAAAAACATTATTTCCTCCGAGAGAAGTACACCCGTAAATCGACACAAAAATATTAAAGGGACACTTTGTCATTTGGCTGCGTATGTCTTGTTCGTCACAAGACCTTGCCTGCGTTTTAAATGTTAATACACACTGCTATGGAAATTTCTTTTCTTTTTTTCGAGTTTTCACGTTTTTTGAGAAGTTTATGCCCGTGTTTTGATTTTTTCTGAAAGTCTCGATTAGAAATTGTTATTTGGGCGTTTAGCGTAAATTTAACCTAAGTTTTTCTCTGTTTTACGAATTTTTTTGCTGATTTTTGAAATTTAGGCCTTAGTGATTTTTTTTTCGTCGTTACCAGGTTTTTTCAACAAATTATTTTTTCAGGGTTAATTCTTCACCATGGGTGACGTCGTTACTATCAGAACGAGAAAGGTTCTTACCAACAAGCTTCTCTACAGAAAGCAAATGGTGAGTTTTTTTTTTAATTTTTAGCTGATTTGAAGTATTTTAGAAATTCTTATAATCTTCAAGTCGAGGAGGGAAATTTCGTTTGAAATAGTTTCAAAACATTTCTATAATAATGAATAAATGGAGTATTTCTCAATTTTCAGGCTGTTGAGGTCATCCACCCAGGACGCCCAACTGTCCCAAAGACCGACATCAAGGAAAAGATCGCCAAGTTGTACAAGACCACCCCAGATACCGTTGTTCCATACGGATTCGAATCCAAGATCGGAGGAGGAAAATCAAAGGGATTCGCTTTGATCTACGACACCGTTGATTACGCCAAGAAGTTCGAGCCAAAATTCAGACTTGTCCGCGTAAGTTTATTCCACACCTCGGCCAAAATCGTGGTTTCCACAATAAAAAATTGTACGCTAACTTTTTACAGTACAAAAATTGTGAATTTTTCAGTTTTTGTCCTCTAAAAATTGTGATTTTTCAATTTTTGACCTCTAAAAACTGAAATTTAGATTTTTCAAAAAATTGTACTCTGGCCAGCCACGGCTTGGCCGAGGTGTGGTTTATTCACAACTTTTTATAACATTTTTATTCTTTTACTTTCCAATTTTCAGAACGGACTTGCCGCCAAGGTTGAGAAGCCAGGACGTAAACAACGCAAAGAAAGAAAGAACAGACAAAAGAAGGTCAGAGGTACCGCCAAGGCCAAGGTTTCTGCTGGAAAGAAGTAAATCGGCAGTCATATTTGTTGATTTCTATTGTTATTTCGACGATAATAAATGCGTTGACCAAAAATTGTGTTGAGTTGTCTTATTCCATTCTTGTTCATATTTCAGTTAAAACTAACTAGTCGCTATCGAAAATAAATTTTGCACGATTACTTTAAAAACGTTTTTTAAGTAATGACTTCGCGCACCGCTCCAAGTTTCGACGAAATTTCTCAATGTAGGTTTGATTAAATTATAATGGAATAAGTAGTAAATTAGATATTGATCGTCTGCGCGAAGAACGCCGTCTCACGGAAAGTTCGATCCGTCGACTAGAAGCTGATAAAGCTCAAATCGACGACAAGATTGACGAATTAAAGCAAAAACGAGATGGGGTTGATGCAAGACTTCAAAATGAAAAAGAACGAGCTGAAAGGCAAGATCGCGGTTTGAGAGAGGTGAATATCTTTTGAACAATGCCAATATATACAAAACAATTTTAATTATAGGCGGAAGCAACATATTCAAAACTAATCGAATCTCAAAAATCGCTGGCCGATTTTGTAAGAAAAGAATATCAGGACACAAAAAGATCATCAAAATAATTGCAACTAACAACGAAAACATGTTTTATTCCTTCTTCAATCTCAACTAATTTATCTACTGGTACAATAATCCTAAATCTCAAAAACAACAGCATCATAAACGTTCACTTATCCTTCGATAACATTCATCTTCTCCAAGAAAATCGACAATTTCAGAAACAGGCGGCCCTTTTTTCCGTCCAATCAGAGCTATCCTACATTTTTCAAGCAGTTTCTTTTCGGGAATCCCATGAGATTTCGCTACCTCTCGAATTTTTTCAACTTTCCAGGAATCTAAAAATTTCTGGTTTTTAGGAGAAAACTTTGTTAGGAAAAAAGAAAACCTACCAATTTTTTTCAAAATTTCCGTGTCTTCTACATTCTCCCCATTATTTTCAAATAACATCCATCCAAATGGACCATCTTCAGCCAACTCGCTCAAATTGCCAAAATTCTCCTCTTTTGCCCGCAAAAATTCTACAACTTTTCGAACTTTCTCCTCGTCGTGAGTTCCGAATTTCTCACAAATTTTTCGATAAATTTCAGGAAAACTTGAATTTTGAAATGCCATTCGAGAATATTTGTGAAGAATATCAGAATCGAGCTGAAAAAATGCTAGAGTCGATCAAGTCAATATAAATTCAGAACTCACAAGTAAATTCCTTCTTCCAAGCAATTCGGGATCGAAGTTCTCAACCATTTCAGAAATTGAATAAAAATGATTCGGATCAAAATTTCTTATTCCACTACCATTCCGAATCTAAATTTGAGCGAAATAATTTTTTTTAATTTGTTTTTGAATATTTTACTACCATCATGTTCAGTATAGCTAACGGCAAAACTCCCAACTTCTCATTATAATAATCAACGTATGCATCGGAGTCTCGTTTGGAAAGTTTTTTCGTAGCTGTTCTCATAATCAACGAAAGATGGAGATATTTTGGAGGAGTCCAGTTGAAGGATCTACAATGTTCAATTGAAAATTTAGTATTTACAGAAAAATTAACAAAAACGAACTTATATAGAATATGATGTTTTCCAGTGGAGCTCAACCATTCCATTCCTCGAATAACATGTGAAATTTTCATATCTTTATCATCTACAACATTTGCCAAATGATAAGTTGGAAAACCATCGGATTTCAATAATATTGCATCAGATTCATCAATCACTTGATTAATATCACCAAAGACACCGTCCTAAAAATGTTGTTTTTGAAGTCTTACAAAATTCTAACTCACTTTAAATGACACATTTTGTTTGTCAAGTTTCAAACGAATCACACATTTTTCACCGTTTTCAGACATTTTTAGAGCTTCGTTTTTGTCGATGTTTGCACATTTTCTATCATATTTTGGAATTTCGCCGTTTCTCGCTGCAGTTTTTCGAAGAAGATCTAATCTTTCTGAAGAACAGAAACATCGATAAGCATGTCCATTTTCAATCAATTCTTCTGCAGCATCTCGATATTTATTTAATCTTTCACTTTGAACAACCGGTCCTTCATCTGGCTCCAAATCATAATGTTTCAGAATATTTGAAATCTGTCCTTGTGCACCTTTGACTAATCTTGTTTGATCTGTATCTTCTATTCTTAAAATGAATTTTCCTCCGTATTTTTTTGCAAATAAATAATTGAAAAACGCTGTTCTCAATCCTCCTATATGCAATTGACCAGTTGGTGATGGAGCGAATCTAACTCTAACCTAAAATATGAAGCTGAGTATGCTGAATTTTTTGAAACCACTTACTTCATTTAATAAGGCTCGGGAAACCCGCATTTTCCAGCAAAGACTCCAAAAAATTAATAAAAAATAATTGGCCGAGTCGGGATCTAGGCCAGGCGGCCACGCTAAACTGCAAACCAGCGGAGTATCGTTGTTTTACTTTTGTTTTTTTTCAGTTTTCGAAAACTGTTTCTTTCGCCCTGTTCTAATTAATCCTGTTCTAGATGCCTTTGCCACCGGCGTTGCTTGCACGCTTACAGAAACGAGGAATCATCAAACAAGAAGAGGAAATTATCGCTGAAAATTACGAAGGCGATTCCTCAAAAACCAAAACATATGAAGAGAATGCTTCTGGAGCACCAGGTTGTCCAAACAAATACAACCCGTTTCATTTATGTGTCGAATATTGTTATGACCATTGGGGAGATGGAATGCCAGAATATCGTTTGCCAGAAAAATATGTGAATTTGAAAAATAGAATGTTGGCTAAATTTCCATTGCCTGACGGTTGGGTAGAAGTTTATGATGCTGGAGTTGGTAAATTTTATTTCTGGAACAAATCAACTGATGAAGTTTGTTGGTTATCTCCAAGACATCCTCGCGCATATATCAGTGATCCCGCTCCACGAATGGCTAAAGAAAATGCTGCCTCATTATTCGGTACTACAGAAATTGATGTAAGTCGCGATGAAGACAATGCACATCGATCTCGTCGGCGTCGTCCAGATGGAGATCGAAATCGAGAACTAGCAGGAGAAAATCGAGGAAGAGAAGTGGAAAAACGAGAAAGGCGAAGACCGAGAGAGGAAGAACCAGAAGAAGATCTATCAGAAATGAACGATCGAGATAGAATGAGTGAGTTGAATAATATTTTTATTATTTGGGATTATAACAAAATCTATTTCCAGAGCGTGCCAAAAGAAAAGGAATCGATCCAATGGACCCCGCAGCTTATGGAGATGCTCCAGTTGGAAAATGGTCAGATGGATTGAAAATTGACGCAGTAACTGGAGTTGATGTAACTGCTTCCGGACCATTATTCCAGCAAAGACCATATCCAGCACCTGGTGCAATTTTGAGAAGACAAAAACCACCAGGAGATGATGATGATGAATAAACCATATTTGTTTAAATACTCCCCTTGCTCATTATAATAACAAGAATAAAATATTTTTTGTTTGCTCTCAACTTGTTGTAGGCTAGACTGATGTAAAGAAAAGTGTAGAAACGACACGTTGCACCGATATTTCACAATAATTGTTTTTCTTCATTTTCTCGTTATCAGAAATGTATTTTATTTTATCATGCCATTTTCGGATTGTTTTTTGGTTTTTTCTTTGACACACTTTGTATTTTTGGTTTTTGTGAAATTATTGAATAGTACACGTTTCATTTAAATTCGAATTGATTCGTTTTATTTCATTTCTATTTTAGAAAATGGAAAGATTCCGTGAGTCTTTTGACGTGGTTGTTGGCCTAACTCGTCTTCATTATGATATTGTCAATGACAGGTAATATTTTTGAATATTTATAGTAAAAATTTTAAAAATTCATTGAATCAATCAGAACGAATTTTTCAAAGTCTAAAATAATTTTTGTAATTAATTCCAATCTCAATTTAATTTCAGATTATCACGAGTTGATCCAGCAGTTCTCGTTTTGGCTGCAGTTGGAGGAACTGTTGTCTATTTGAATGTTGTGAATTTGTATCGAAGATCAGAAGAACCAATTTTGAAAAGAATAGTTGGTTACACATTTTCTCAATTCCGTCGACTTCCAGCGGTCAAAGCAAAAATTGAGAAAGAATTAACAAAAGCGAGAGAAGATATGATGCATTCAATTCATAAAGATGATTCAGACAAGATTTTCATATCCAGTAAGTATCTTGTTAGACTCGTTGAATTTTAAAATGAAATATTTCAAGATATTCCTGTTGCTCCTTTATCTGAATCAGAAATTGTTGAATTGGCCATCAAATATGAAAATTATAATCATTTTGAAATTGCTGAAGGAAGAGTTAGTGGAGCTGTTTATACAAATCGTCACAAGGAACATATCGATTTGTTGTCCAAAATCTATTCTCGCTATGCTTTCTCAAATCCTCTTCATCCTGATGTTTTCCCTGGAGCAAGAAAAATGGAAGCCGAGCTTATTCGAATGGTTTTGAATCTTTATAATGGTCCAGAAGATTCATCAGGAAGTGTTACAACTGGAGGAACTGAATCAATTATTATGGCTTGTTTCTCATATCGAAATCGTGCTCAAAGTCTTGGTGTTCGAAATCCGGTTATTTTGGCGCCAAAAACTGCGCATGCTGCTTTTGATAAAGCTGCGCATCTTTGTGGAATGAGATTGAGACATGCTCCAGTTGATAAGAATAATCGAGTTATTTTGAAAGAAATGGAACGACTTATTGATTCAGATGTTTGTGTGGTAAGTTGAGAGATTATGGCTGAAAATTGGTATCAAAAAATGTTTGCTAGATTTTCGTAAAATGAACATTTTGAAACGTATTTTTTTCAAAGGTTAGGATTTTATTAACGAGTAAAAATATGAAGAAATAAAACCGTTTTATTTTGACGCTCACTGACTCATTATTTTTTCAGATTGTTGGATCAGCTCCAAATTTCCCATCTGGTTCAATCGATCCAATCCCAGAAATTGCCAAACTCGGACAAAAATACGGAATTCCGGTACATGTTGATGCTTGTTTGGGTGGATTTTTGATTCCATTTATGTCGGATGCCGGATATGATGTTCCAATTTTCGATTTCAGAAATCCAGGAGTCACTTCGGTTTCGTGTGATACACATAAGGTATTTTTTCTTTTTGTTAAAAAAAAAAATTGTTTAAAAAAAGTTATTTGGATCTGCGACCAGGAATTAATTTTAATCAAATCTTTCTGAATTGTCTTCTTCTTTCTCAATTAATCGCCTAATTTTTACAGTATGGATGTACACCAAAAGGCAGTTCAATTGTGATGTATCGATCGAAAGAATTGCACCATTTCCAATATTTCAGTGTTCCTGAATGGTGTGGTGGAATATATGCAACACCAACAATTACTGGTTCAAGAGCTGGTGCAAATACAGCTGTAGCATGGGCAACTATTTTATCATTTGGAAGAGATGAATATGTTAGAAGATGTAAAGAAATTGTTAAACACGCGAGATTATTGGCTGATAAGATTAGCGAAATTCCACAAATTCAGGTAAGTCAAAATTCAAATATTTCATGGTTACTGTAGAATATGATTTGGTACAATACAATTGGCACTTTTAGATTTTGCAACAAAAAATTGTAAATTCTAAAAAAATCTACAAAACTTTCGAATTTCTTAATTTTCAGCTTTATGGGAGTCCTGATGTTTCGGTTGTTGGATTTTCTGGAAAAGGGATCAATATTTATGCAGTCAGTGATCGAATGAATAAATTGGGATGGAATTTGAACACACTTCAAAATCCTGAAGCGTAAGTTGCTAGAAGGGAAATGGAAAGTTTTAAAATACCTAAAATGTTTGAATCTCATATTTTCAGAATTTTTAAAATTTCGAGAGAAAAAAGAATATTCACTGAAAGAAAATTTTTAAAATGTTTTGATTTTGAAAATTATTCCAAATATTTCAATTTTTAGTTCAAAATTTTCCTGATCTACAGTACTCTTTTTACAGTATCCATATTTGTTTAACAATCAATCAAGCAAAACAATCAGTTGTTGATGCATTTGCTCGTGATTTACGACAAGTTTGTGAAGAACTCGCAAATTCCGATGATAAAGGAAACAAAGACAGCACAGCAGCTCTTTATGGAATGGCTGCACAAATTCCAGACAAATCATTGGTTGATGAAATGGTTGCACTTTATATTGATGCAACTTATGCTAAACCACCAAAAAAATAAATTGAATATTATGATAACTTGAGATGTGTTATTGAAATACTTGTGATATTATGTATGTAGAGAAACCAGATTTTTGCGGGATTTTAAAGATCCCATTTTGTTTATTTTTTAGATTAAATGAAATAAAATATCTTACATAAGAAGAGAAAAACCGGCAAAATTAATAAAATCAAATCTGTTACAAAAAAATAAAGTGAAAATATTGTTGATTTTCGGATTTTGAGGGACGACAAGGCAAAAATGGTGGAAACAAATTTGAAAAAAAGAAGACGCGTAAAGGCGTGGAGAGGGATGGGTGATGAAATGAAAGACTTAACGGGAACAAAAAATTTTTTTTGGGATTTTTAACATTTTTTGGGTGTTATACAATTAATTAATCAATATTAGTATGGAGACCCAAATTGGGGGAAAAATGAGAAGAACCTGAATAATGCACCAAAAATCACTTGAAAATTGCAACCGAGAGATAATGTGGGGATGGGTGAATAGGGAAGGGTAAATGGGTAAAATTCTTCGAAACTATTTTGACTTAGAGGAAATTGTGTGTGAAGAAGAAAAAGAATAAAGTGATAATGAAAACAAATTGCTAGACTGTGGCAAGCCATAATGAATGAATATTAAACGAGAATAATGAAAAACTGAGCAAAAAAATCACAAAAAATATTTCGAAAATGAAAACTCAAATAATGAATGAAGTGGTACCCGTAATGAATAGAACGAATTAGTGTACGCGAGAGAGAGAGAGGGTGGAGAGAGAAAAAGATTCGAAAAAGGAGTTTTTGTGGTAACCCGTCATTTAAAAAATAAGGGAAGGAAAAAACAAGGGACAAAAAACAAACAAACAAAAAAAGATTAGATTAGATTTTCACATGTTGAGATTTTTCGGGGTGGGTTGTAAAAAGACTAAGAAAACGTTAGTGTATAAAAATGTGATGAAAAAAGGGAGAAAAAATATAATACATTTGGAAATTGTTCGAATTAATTTCCAATTCTCAATGAGCTCAAATGTGCTCCATTGAGAATGTCGGTGGTGCCGAACGGATCGTAATAACGAGGTTGTTGTTGTTGTTGGCCAGTAGAGTTGGTTGAACTCGATGTTGCTGGACCAGAAGATGTAACTGAGGTGAGATCGGTTAGAACTTGATTGGAAGACGAGAGAAGACGATCACCAATTGAACCAACAGCTGGAAAATATTTTTTTTTGACATTTTTTGAATAAAATTTAACCTGTCAAGGAAAATTTTATTTTGGAATAACTCCAAAAAAAGTTTCCTGGGACACCTGGTGTCCAAAAACATTTTATGCAATGTGGATTTTGTCTTGAAAAATGTGTAAAATTCTAACTTTTTTGAAATTTTTCATCGAAATCCGCTGAAAATCAATAAAAACTAATTTTTTTTCGTGAGAAATTGTGTTGCTTCTAAATTTTTCAGTGTTTTTCAAACACCTTTGTTCAAATGTTTTTTTCTTTTCAAAAAACCTACCATTCAATGGTGAGAATCGATCAAATGGACTGTTGCTATCAATACTTGGTGGACTAGCAGAACCGCCGGAAGCGCGTGATGAAGATCCACGATTTCCGATAACTCCAACATTATTTACATTTGAAATTCCGCCACGTCCACAAGTACACGAACATGTGCAACCATTTCGGCCGATTCCAATTGCGCCGCTTCCACCAAATTCTGACTGAACTCCGCGCGACATTACTGGCTGAAAAAATAGGTAGTTTGTAAAGAATTCTGGATTTTCAACTTATTGGACTAAATTTCGAATTCAAATTTAAAAAAAAAACTCACTCTTTGGCTCTGTGCCAAACTCAACAAGGCGCTAAAATTCGCTCCCGACAACAAGGTCTCATTAACATTGCTGGTAGCTGAATTCATTGGAGGTGGTGGTGGACGAGTATTCGACCAAGTTGTTGGCGAAAATAATGGGCTCCATTGATCGGAAGCAGTTGAAACTGGATTGACTGAAGTAGCCGATTGTGAATCCCATAAATTGATTGGACGAGATGCGTTTGACACCTGTTGTTGCTGTTGTTGCATTTGAAGAAGACTCTGACGAGCTGCTGCCGCAACAGCTGAATTTGCACCATTTGATGCTGACATTTGAACAGACATTGTTCGTTGAATTCCACGTGGACCTGCGCCATTTTGTGGTGCACCATATGATGACATTTGTTTGTGGATAGTTCTACGTGATTCGAATTCAGGGAAATGCTGAAAATATTAAATTTCAGAGAATTTAACACACTTATTTAAGTTATTCTAACAAACCTGTTTGATGAAAGCTGGATAATCATAATTTGGCAAATTTCTTCGAACAGAAACATAGGTTCTGTTTGGAAACAATGCGAAAACCCAATTATGCGAGTTCAACAAATTCAAAAAATCTTGACGTCCATCTCCATTATGATCGCGAATTTCTTGAGCAATATCTGATCCAATATAATAATCAAAAAGTGATTGAATCGAAGTTGCTCCACCGTGTCGAAGCAAAAACAAGGCCAGCTTGTAAACTGCAACATAAACCGATGGAAATTGAAGAATAATTGAATCGTCATTTTGAAGTCTAAAAATATGAGTTCTTCGTTCAACAAATTGTCGTCTTTTCAATGAAGATGTTCCAACATAACGGAATAATTCCTCATCGCCACAATTCGACATTTGTGAATGAAGGCTACTCAATTGAATTTGTTGAAGACCATGACGTTGGAAAATCGCCAATAATGCTGGAATTGCACGAGCTTCGATTGATGGACTATAAGCATCTTTTGAGTTGGCCGGTGTTGGATTGGCTGATTCGAGATCGACTTCATTTGAATTGCGGAAAACAAGTTCGGCTTCAGGGCCATAAATTGGTTGAACAATTGTGGCGGTGTATTCGCTTGTTTCATTGAGAGCAGCGTGGAAAGACAATGTGAAACCAACACGGAGAACCGATGTTAAATCGTTGAGCATCTGGAAAACATTTGAATATAAAATTTTATGTTACAGAGAAAAAAACAATAATATTATTTTTATGTTTATTTGAATGTTCTACAATATTTGAAAAAAATCAAACTTTTCGAGTACTGTAAGTTATTTTTCTGAACGTTCTTTCAACTGACCATATTAGAGAAGAATTTATCAGTACGTTCGCGACCTATTGTCAGAAAATCGAGTATGACTTGCAAATTTGAATATTTTTTTCAAAATTCTCACCTGATCACAAAAATCTTTCAACTGGAATGAGATAACCATTTGATCTTTGCAGGTAATCAATCCAGCTTTCGCACTCAACCAAGTCAAAACTCCAATTCCTTGAATTGTATCCGCTTTCGCTCCACCATTATCCACACCTTGGCTCACAATGTTTTGTGGTGGTAATTGAACAGGTTGCGGCAATTGTTGTTGTTGCTGATTTCCAGCAGCGGCAGCCGCAGCAAACGCAGCTGGAAATGCAGCGGCTGCAAATTGTGATGGTGGTGGAGCTGTTTGCTGTTGTTGTTGTTGAGCAGCAAATTGATTGAGATTCAGAAGTGCTGGAAAATCATCGAAATTCATCAATCCACCGGCAGTTGTTGCTGATGGCGGTGGTGGAATATGTTGTTGAAATGGCCAGAGATTTGGTTGAACTCCTCCGGGTTGTTGTGTTTGATTTGGTGCAAAAAGACCACCCATGCTGCTCATATCAAATGCCATTTTGATTTCTTAATTGATTATATTAATTGATTGATATATTATTGTGCAGTTGTTTTATTATTGATTATTATGATGAGCTGGTGGGTCGAATTTTTCTGCAAAAACGTTTTTTTTTCACAACAAAAATAATTGTATTCCTTGAAAAACCACTTTCAGTCAAAATTGTCTCCAAAATCCCATTAAAAAACCTATTCTCTTTTTTTCAAGGCTTAGATTTTTGAAGAAAATGAAAAAAGGTTTTTTGTTTCATGTTTTCCTCCAAATTTCAACAAACAAAAAAAACTAACCCAAATCTGAAATTTCTCACAACAAATCCATAAAAATCGTCAAATCCTTCCTTCTTCTTCTCTCACTAGTTCGATCGCCTGCAACAACAAATATTCAGTTTTTTCTTCTTCTTTTTTCAATTCAACGAGAAAAACGTTCAGAAATGATAAGATAATGAGAATGTTATTTACACATAGACTGACTGTGTATATTAATAATAATCATAGAAAAAAGGGACCAGAACCCTTGTAAAAACTAGATATTTTATTATTTTGTGTATAAATAAAATAAAATCAAATGACATGAAAAAACATATAGGGAGAGGGGTAATTATAGGACGCGCGGGTGCGAAAATAACGGGAATTGGAATTGATTTCACTTCATCATCATTATTTTTGTCGTTTTTTCTCGTTGTGAAAACAACAACTTTTAATGAAAAATTCTAGGATCAAATTTTGCAGAAAAACAGGAACAAAATAGCTTGAAATGAAATGGTTTTGTCTGTGGACTATTAAAAGTCACACAAACGCTTCATAGAAAATACACGGGGTGTAAATCAAGGTCCTTGAAGATATTAAAGAATTTCGAAAGTATAAAATATTTTATTCCGACTATATAATCTTTCATTTTAGACTATGAATACCCAATCAAAATAATTAATTTTGAGAAAGGCCACATCGACAAGATCACACATTCTTATTCATAAATTCCCAGGATTCAACTCTAATCCTAACAAAATCTTCCAAATTTAGTGCAAATGTGCACATAAACATAGAAAAAAAGAGAACAACAAAAATAAGAAGGCGAACAAGCCCTTCTTTTTCTTCTTCTTCTTCTTCGTTTTTTCCATCTTCAGCCACAGCCAGCAGGCAAACACATACACACAAATCAATACAACAAAAGAGGAAACAGACCAGCCAACCGGCCGGCCTTATGCTCCTCTTTATTTTTTGGTTGGTTTGTGTATGTGTTGTGTGTATGTATGTGAGTGCGGAGTCTTTGAGATGATTTTTTTGGAGATTTTTCTGTTTTTGGATGGAAGGATGGAACAAAGAGTTATTAGGGTGGGAAAAGACAAAGAAAATTTTGGCACGAAAAATTTCGATATTGCAGAGAAAAGAGGATTTCTACGATTGAAACAAATGCATATTTCAAGGGAACAATGCAAACATTTTTCAATATTCAATAGAAATATTCCAAAAAGTAACAATTCATCACATTTTTGAAAAACTAAATAATCAGAGGCCCGAGAAAAAAACTACCACGAACGCAGCCACGTGGATTACTATGAAGTTCAACCCAGATTGCGTTCACGGTAGATAGTGCAGATACGCGGAAGCTTGACTTTTATGAGTGGAAAGTAATTTATTCGGAAAATGCGAAGAAAGTTTTAAAATTTCTTTCAGAAAATAGAAAATTCTGGAAAAATAATGATCATAACACAACTAATCGATTTTCCTCGCTTCGCCCCGCAAAAAAACTGTCACAAGGGGGCGGAGCTTGCCCAGTTTCAGAAAAAAAAAAACGAAAAGAAGGAGGAGTCTATCTATACATATTGTCCGAAAGAACTACATAATCGATTGGGTGCAGAAGAAGAAAAAATCAACGAAGAGCCGAAGCAAACATAGATGAAAACTAACTAGAGACGCGGGAGCGATCGGTGAGCAGAAAAATATAGAAATAGACATGGGAGATGTGAGAGACGCAGAGTGGTGAATCGGGAATAAAAAAAAGAAACTAACAACTACTAACACAAAAACAACAAGGAAAAAAGGGAGACTAATACTTTCGCTCTCTTTATTTTTCTCGTTTTCTATCTTTTGGAACATTGGGAATAACGGGATCTGATGGCTACTCTTTGATAAATTTGTTACAACCAACAAAAGCAGCTGGATTATATTTCAGCTGCGATTGGTTTATTATCACGCGCCGAGTTCACTTGCTCAGGAAATCGAAAGCGTGCTACGCCGCGTTTAGGGGGGGGGGGGCTTTTGGCGTTCACGCGGGGCTTTTGGCGTTCACGCGGCGCACAGAACTCGCGAAATAAGCGATATCTGAGCGCCGCGTGAACGCCAAAAGCCTCTAAACGCGGCGTAGCACGCTTTCGATTTCCTGAGTGAGAATAAATAATTGACCTCAAGTTATCGAAAAATTTAGAAAAACTAATAAATATTATGTTCGTTTTTAGAATGATTGATATAATTTCATATCAATTTTTATGAACAATCAGAGACTCCGCCCAACACTCTGGAAATATTTCGAAACATTTTTGCACGAGAAATATGATCTATCGAACTGTAAATTTGGACCAATAAATAAAAAAAAACAAGGAAATAATTGGTGAGGTTTTTATGTTTATTTATCTTTCGCTCACGACGATGACAACAAAAACCCGTCAATTATGATATTTATTATGGTTTTTCTCATGGTAGATGATCGAAGATTATTAATGAAGGGTTGGAATGTTTAAATGAACTTCGTTGGATCTTCAACGAAATCCATATGAACATTCTGTTTCTGTGGTTTGGAAAATGAGTGATTTTTTCAAAGATTCGAAAAAAAGCATCCTGCTTGGATATTGAGAATATGAATTTATCACAGTATTTTTTCTTGCACGAATGATAATTTAAATTATAGCCATAAAATCATTCAGTTGCAAAATGGAGCAAACTACGTAATAATTGAATTATGATTCGATCAGATACTGTAGCGAGTTAGTAAAAATCATTCGTATATTTATTACGAAAAAATAAATGGAGAAAAGTAAAACATAAATCATAGCCACCGGAAATAAGTTATGTGTACTAAATACAAATGGCTGAAGACGGATTTATTTTCAATTTATCATGTTGTTGGGTCTTGGCACGAGCCTACAGTACCCTTACAATCGGAGAACCGAAAGAAACTGAACGAAAAAAAGCAAAATAAAAGCCGGTCGCTCTCGAGGCCCACGATAATGATGAGAGAGTGTGTGAAATGAGGAGATCAACGACAGACGGTCATACACCGACGCGAAAACAACAAAATATCGACAGCACGTCGTGACGGAGGGGGTGAAAGACGCAGAGAAAATAAGATAGAGAGAAACTTTCGAGTTTTTTTCGGTTGAAATATAGAGAAGGAAAGAAAGGAGAAAGAGGAATTGGGGGATTGGATTTGTTGTAGATAGAAAAGAATGGGTTGAAGAGGAAAAAAGGCGAGAAACCGGTTCAATTTGTACTGTATTATTATACTATATTGAAATAAGAAGATATTTAGAGTTTTTAGGTTGATTCTGAACAACATGAAATTTTTTTTAAAAACTTGTTAGAACTTGGAGACATTTGCGGTGCAAAGAAGAATTTTAAAGACTTCAACGTCCTGAAAAATAAACGCATTTTTTGAAGACCTTAAATTCAACGAGAAAGTTAGAGATATAGAGAAAGAATATTTTTGACCTATGACGAACATTTTCAAAATATTTGGAGAGTAAAATTCTTCATGGACCTACTAAAAATGGAAATTAATGTTTTCTTGTTATATGTGGCCACTTAAAAACCATAGAACTAAAAATTTTAGAGTCAATTTGAAGGGGTTTATTCTCGAAATAAGGTTGGATCTTGTGACAATTGGGAATATAGTTCTCAGAAAATCGTGAATGAAAAAATAATTTTTTACAATAAAAAACAACCCCATATAAACTTTCTCAGGCTAATCATTTAATTTTGAAGACATTTTTCGAAATGTTTTTTTTTAAATTAAAATTTTGAAAAAGAAAAAGAAGCGAAACAACATGTCACGTAATTTTGGTTTTTTTTGTTTAAAAAAATCATGTTTTTCGAAGGTTTGTGATTTCTCAGAAATGTGAAACTTTCACAATATTCCGATGCTTCATTTTCAAAATGTTTCTTATTACAAAGTATGACGTATTACAAAACAAAGTATGAAAAAAAGCATCAAAATACAACGTGACATGATAAAAACAGGTTTTCTTACTCTTGAACAAAAACAGATAATTTTCACTGGAATTCGAACCAGAAAATACAAAAAGAGCTCTAAATTCAACCCATATTCATTGAGATTTCAAAAAAAAAACACAAAATATACATTCATTTTTTTATATTGTTTCCATTGATTGTACATCATCATCTCTCCATTCGTCTACTACAATTTTTTCATCTTCTTCTTCATCATCTTCGTTTTCAATTGATCCAGAGTTTTCAGCAGGATTTGATTCGATGTCTTCTAGAATACAACAATGATCTTTATAGAAGCTTTAACAAAAACTAATGAATTCAGCAAAATTCCAAGACTTTAGATCTGAAAAGGGCGGCTCTTTTCTAGGCCAGGTTAGGAATTCACATTCGTCCCTCCAAATTTTGAAAAAAACTTCATTGATTTTTTTCAGCAAAAATCTAGAACCCTTGACATTCTTAGAAAATCCGTTTGAATTCCATTCAAAACTTCATAAAACACAGTTTTCAACATCGACTAGTGAGATTGCATTAATTTATTTACATTTTAATTATATGAATGTAAATAAAAGTGCCTTTGTTCAATAAATTACCTGTACAAAACCGTCTCATATTAGCCAGAACAATATTCAAAGTTTGTAATTGGTTTCGTCGATCATTTAATCTTGATTCGAGTACTTTTTGTTGTTCATGCCGTCTTTCTAATTCGTCTCGAATTTCAGATAAATTTTTGGTTGCTTCAGCGCGCGATGGGATTTCATTGATCTCTTTGACAACTTTCGAATATTCTTGACGATTTCGTTTCACAACTCGGGCTTCTGCTAATTGTTGTTTGGCTTCTTCAATTTTCCTGTGGGTTTCTTCAATCTCTGAATCTACTGATTGAGCAAGTTCTTCGAAATCAACACATTGATTTGCATTCATTACAGCGATTTGTTTCTGTTTCAACATTGACATCTCGAGACCGTCAAGAATTTTCAAAATCTTAACAGCCTCACTAATCTTGTTTTCACCATTCGGGTTCTTCCTTGCATCCCGAAGAAATGTGGATATTTGTTGAATTCTTTTTTCTTCACCGACGCCTTCACCATCGGCGATTAGTTTTCGCATGATCACTTCTTCTTTCATCGAAAAAATATCGATGATTGATGTGGAAAAATATGAGAAAATTACTATGTATCAATTTTGAAGGTAAAAATTCAACCGTGTATTAGGAAAGAAACAGAATACATCAAAAGTTCAATGTAAAGTTTATAACAAATAACAGTCGAAACGTAACACATTTAGGCCTTTGATTCGACAGCTCTGGTCACGCGCTTGTTGTTCTTTCTGGCGAAACGAAGGTTCTTCAAGAACTTGGCGTCCATTCCCTTGGTGGAGAGGAAGACGTGGGCCTTTGGCTTCTTGATTCCATTACGGTGAGCCTTCTTGTCTGCAAATTTGAAGTTTGATTTTATGGTTAGGTATATCTCATTTCAATATCTCATTATGTTTATTATGTTTACCTTTCTGGATTTTCTCACATCATTTCATCGTGGATTGGAACAGTAAAATAACACAAAATTTTAGTCATAAGACGGAATTTTATTCCAGAAATACTGGGAGTAACAAAATATTCATAATATAGTTTGTTCAAACATGAAAATGTTGTTCTTCTTTTTTAAGTGCAGAAAAATTAGAAAATGGACTTACTTTGGTTGTGATTGGTGTGATTCTTGGACTTGGCCATAGTGACAACGGTTAACCCTGCAAAAAATCAAAATAATAATTTCCAAAAACAAAAAATCCATTTTCAGCGAAACGAGATAAAAGAAAACATTACTAATAACAATTAACGGCGTAGGATCATTACTAAAATGGCTTCAAGAATCAAAAACCATCAAAAACAGTTCAAGGAACGGAAAACTCGAGAAAACGCCGAAAAAAAAGAAAAGAAAATATTTTTCTCTTGTTGAGGGTACGGTAACAGCAAGTCGAATGTGTCTTGTTCGCCGCGAGACCCAGATAGAGAGTCAGTGTGTTAGACAAAGAGATGCAGACACTCACACAATTGTATTTCTTATTTTTTTTTCGGTTTTTGTCTGGAAATGATAGGATAGGAGAATTTCGGTTGAGAAAAACAATTTGAAATATTTTCGATAATGATTTTAAAGATTTCTGAGAGACAATAGCAAAGTTCACGCATTCAAACTGTTTATTTTTTTTCAAATTATTTTTCATTTCTTGTTCTAAAAACATTCGAAAAATATAAAAATCATTTATTCGTAAAATTAATCAGAAGAAAAATTAATAAGCTGATCCACTTGGACTTTGTGCAACATATGTAGTTTGTTGTGGTTGTTGAGCAACGGCAAGAACCGATCTTGGTGCACAGCAAACACAAAGCGATGATTTTTCAATGACAGCAATGAAACCGCTAATTTGACTCTCATTTACGTTAGAGTTTTGAATTTGAGCCGACATTTTGCAACAACGTTGGCACGAATCTTCTTTGACTCCAGCATTGATACAGAAGGCTGGTTGAGGTCGGAAATCTGAAAAGAGAGGAATGGGATGGGAAGTGATTTTTTGTGAAAAAAAAACGGTTAGACTTACGTGGTCGGCGTTCTCCATACAGTCCATAGTTTCCTTCGATCGAGCAAACATAGTCTGAAAATAATAATAAAATATGAATTACTCAGTTCACAGGACTTCGTGTTATGCATACTTTTCGCACAAATAATTTTTTTTCAAAAATTAAAAAGCACTCAAAATCCATCCGCTAAAACTTACTATCAACCAATTGTGGTGGTGGTGGAGGAGGAACATAAATATATTGAGGTTGTTGTTGTGGTTGATATTGTGGTTGTTGTTGAGCTGGTTGATTATATTGCGATGCAACCAATCCAACAATCGATAAAACCGACAAAACTCTCATTTTCCCTATTCTTACAGACAGTCAAGAAAAGAAAAATAATGAAAATCCTTGATTTTCAGCCGATATTTAAAGCAAAACACTCCGCCTACACAAAGATAACAGAAGGAACAATTTATTTTTCAATCAAATCGCGAGCACAAAAAATTGTTTCAGAGAAATGTTATAAGATGTGACAAGAAAGAATTTGAGGAAAAAAAACAGGGGAAGGATCGACGAGACTTGGATTCACATTGATTTTTGTACTTGGCGAATTTCGAACCATCCAAAGTTTTTTTGTGGATTTTTTACATATCTGAAAAAAATATGGGGACTTCATTGAAAACCCTGAAATTTTAATATTAACTCACTATTTACACGGACAAAAAAACAGAACGCAATTCTCTAGTAATGAGTCATCATTTTTGCTGTTAGGTTGATAGCAAATAGGAAAATGAGAATGAAAAATCGAAAATGGGGCGGGTCTGGAGAAGACACAGAGGAAAAAAGGGAATATTGTGAAATATTTCGGTTGTGAAATTTTTTCGAAATATTGAAGGAAAAATAGTGCAAAATGAAAGTTTGTTCTGATTTGTGAAGCTTGGAAAAATTACTGAAATTCTAATACGAATTTTCAGACAAAGGGATTTTCTTAGAATTTTTAAAACACAGATTTTCAGTCGGAATTTTGAGACAATGAAACGAAAACAAAAATTTTTTTTCAGAAAATTTTACAAGAGATTTGAGAATCCATGATGATCATCAACTCAACGCAGAAAACTCAACACACCGAAGATGATCTCGCAAAAATTAGAAAAGCTCCAACCTGAGCTGGAGGAATGAGAAAATTTTAATTCAAAATTTCATGAGTCAAAATTTTATGCCCTCGACGTTTTTCAACCCAAATTACCCCGATACTTCTATTCAAAAATTGTTTATTTCAAATGAACGTTGAGAATTTTATCAACTTTGGTAGCTCAATAAAGCTGAATCAAAGAATTCCAAGTCTTCTTTATTTTTTCAAATAAGAATTTGTATTATAAATTCAAAATTTCAGATTATTCTCAAGTTACGTGAAAATTCCTGTTCCAACATTGTTAGGACCAAAATAACAAAAAAAGTGTAAAATGTGTTGTTTTTTAATTTAATTTTTGAAATTTCCCGTGAGATAAAATCTCGGTCATTTTCATTTCATTTATGACATCATTCATTTCTATATTTTCACGCTTTTCAAAACGGTGAGTTATTTTTTGGGTCATTTTTGTTTCCACACAAGACCTCCTTATCTCTCATCTACAGTACTCCACTGTTTATTGGCAACCTGCCAAACAGAAACTTGTACTTTTTTCGAAACGTTGTTTGTCTCGCAATTCTGTGTCATTCCATTCATTTCTACATACTTTGCACAACTCTCTCATTTTTCTCTAGCTTCTCTCAATTTTTCAACACTCTCTCCACCGATCCCTGCTCTTTTTCTCAGCGTCTCTCGCGCCCGATTTTTCCGCTCAACGTTTTTTTTTTCGCTGTTTTTTTTTGCTGCTTGCTACTAAGAGTGACATTTTTGGTGGCTGAAATTTTTTTGTATTCGAAAAATAGCAAAAGGTAGAAATTGAAAACTGGACTCTGATCTACAGTAACCTTGAATCATAAAAGAGGTGCCGCCTTTTTCAAATATTGCGCTTTATTATTTTTCTTTATTTGAAATGCAAGAAGCTTCTAGAACGATTCATTTTTTTCTAAAGTTTTCGATGATATTTTTGTGGCCTAAAATCTAGAACTTCAAGTTTCTGAAATCAAAAGCGAATTTTTTTTACTTTTATTTCACCCGTTTCTTTAAAATCAAAAATGGTAGTTTGAAAATCGAAAATCATTCACATTTCCGGACAATTCTGGATTTTCAGATGACTGAACTCTAAAGATTAGCACGTGTGCAGAAGTGAAGTTCAAACAACTATTTCCTCTCCTCTTTCACTCTTTTAGTTTATGTTTGCTTGCTTGCAACTTTTTTTTGAAAAAAAATAAGTGTCTTTTCATTTCGATTTTTCCAGATGCGAGCGATCACCCACAATCTTGTGTCATTATCCATCAAACCGCGACTTTTACAAAGTTTTCGATACTCTTCTTCGTCGTTTCCTGAAACTGATAATAAAAGAAAATATGAATGCGCATCGCCAGAATTGAAAAAAGAATTGGATGAATGTTATAATCGATTGGATTTGTCTTTTGAAAATACAAAGGAGGCTTTTAAGGTTGGCAAATAATTTTTAGAAGATGTTTCGATTAGAGTGATAAACTTGACTAAATTAAATCTCATTATTTTCAGAGCAAAACGAACAGCGAATTAGTCCGTGCTCTTGTTGTTCTTCGACTTTGTGGAATCAAATTCCTTGTCGATCAAAATCAATTGATCCTCGCTTCTATGCGAAGAATTCTTGGAAAAACTGCCTTCAAGAAAATTCTGAAAAACACTTTTTACGGTCATTTCGTCGCTGGAGAAAATGAGAAAGAAGTGGAACCAAATGTGGGAAAATTGCGAAAATTCGGAGTGAAATCAATCTTGGATTATTCGGTTGAAGCTGATATTTCGAGCCAGGAAGCAACTGATAAAACAGTTAAAGGAACATCGGAAGCGACGGTAAAAAAAGAGGTAGATTAGATGAAAAAGGGTAGATGCTATTAAAAAATTGGACACATTTTCAGACTGTGGATAATGTTGTTGATGGAAAAACTTTTGATGCGACACGTGAAAGATATACTGTACATCAAGAATTTGGAGATCGTAGACAAGGAGTTTCTGGAGCCAGGTCAGTTTTAGGGATTGTCAGAATCTTTTCGAATTAAAATATTTATTTTGAGTTTAACTTTCCAAAATTTAAAACATTAAAAAATGGAGTTTCTCAGGTCTCATGGAACCATTCCTAAAATAAAAACTAATTTTCAGAACTTATTTCTATGATGGCGAAGAGCAATGTGACAAAAATCGTGACATTTTTAAAAACTCAATTGATGCTGTCTCTCAAGTCACAGGAGGTGAAGGATTTGTTGCTGTCAAAATCACTGCCCTTGGACGTCCTCAATTACTCTTGAAACTTTCTGAAGCTATCGTTCAGACTCAAAATTTCTTCAAAGCTTTGACTGGATCACACTCAAAAGTTCAAGATGGTCGATTGAGTGAAGATCAATTTGTTGCCAAACTCAAAGAACTTGGAGTTAAGACTGATTCAGAAGGAGCTGCTCGTGAATTCTTCCGAGCTGTTGATTTTGATGAAGATGGACATATTGATTTACATGGATGGAATCATATTTTGGATGATCATGTGAAGTTAGGAAAACTATTCCAAGTTTTGAATGTTAAAACTGGAGAAATGGATTCGCTCATTCAAAACTTGTCGGAAGCCGAAGAACAAGAATTCCGAAATATGGTTCGTAGAACTTTAGATGTTGCTGAATATGCCATTTCTAAAGGTGTTCGAATTATGGTCGATGCTGAACAAACTTATCTTCAACCAGCCATTTCAAAAATTACAATTGAAATGATGAAAAGGTTAGATTCGCCCGACTTTAAAACCAAATTATTGGTTTTTTTCAGATACAACAAAGATCGCGGAAATATTTTCAACACTTATCAAGCTTATCTCAAAGAAACCCTTCAAAACATGGAAGCTGATATGCAAGTTGCTCGAAGAGAAGGTTGGCATTTTGGAGCAAAATTGGTGCGTGGAGCATACATGGAACAAGAGAGAAAAAGAGCCGAGACAATTGGTTATGAGGATCCAGTGAATCCAAATTTTGAAGCCACCACTAAAATGTATGAATCGTGTTTGACACGAATTGCTGATGAAGTTCATCGACGTGGAAGAAATAATGTTTCAGTTATGGTTGCAAGTCATAATGAAGGAACTGTTAGGTGAGCAAAAGGCAGAAATGATTGGGGAAGATTTTGGAGATAGATAGGTTACTGTATTTTTAATTTCAGCTTTATAATTCTGAGGACTGAATTCTCCTTTACAAACTGTAAACATTTATATTGTCAGTGTCAAAATTTAGTTTTTCATAATCCGTTTTTTGCATAATTTTTTTTCCAAAAAAATTCGGAAACACCAGAAAACATTGATTTCTGAACGTTGAGAATCAGATTAAAAAAACCGTTGTAAAAAGTTACAGTAACCCTCACCCGATATGAAACCCTCACCCGATATCTGTCACGATTTTTCATTGAGATTTCTAGGAAAGGTTAGACTAAAACTATTGACAAAAAGTTATCAATTTCCGAATTGTGAAAAAAAAGCAAATTATATAGTATTTTGTAGATTCGCTGTGAATCTAATGAAAGAACGTTGCATTGCTCCATCAGAACGTGTTATTTGCATGGCTCAACTTTATGGAATGTGTGACCAAGTGTCATTTTCATTGGGTCAAGCCGGTTATTCAGTTTACAAATATCTACCTTATGGTCCAGTTGAAGAAGTTTTGCCTTATTTGAGTCGACGTGCCTTGGAAAATGGAAGTGTTCTTAAAAAAGCCAACAAAGAACGCGATTTATTGTGGAAAGAATTGAAGCGGCGAATTGCGGCTGGCGAATTTCGCGCTAAAGTTTGAATGATTAGAGAGATGAATAGTAATTTGTAATAGTAAGTAAGTAATAAGTTAAGTTATGTTCTAGATTATCTTCTTGTTTTTTTTTTAATTCTTTCAAAATCAATCCCCGAAGAGCTTTTACCGGTTCAAAATTATTCGTTTTTGACTCCTCCCTCAACATATTTCTCTTTTTTGAATGATTTTCACATGAATGACAGTTTTGCGTTTTTTAATGATAAGAATAATAGATAAAACGTTTTTTTCTGCATTTTTTTGTCTGTTAAGTTCATGAAAATTTGAACCATGATGCAAAAATACGTTGTGGAATCCACGTGTTTTCTCGTTTAGAGACGGAAACTCGAAAAGTTTCTCTGTCTTCATCACGCGATTATATTTTTCTTTTTTTTTGGAAATCAGAGATCACACTTATATATTTATAGAGGTCAACATTAAAAATTATTTCATTTTGAATCTCCAAAAATATTTTTTTCTTCGACGAGGGAACCTTTACAATTAGTTAAAACTATCAAAATAAAATCTCCCAAAATTAAAATTTCAAAAAGAAAAAAGCCCCATCCTTGTCAGATATTTTCTTGGGGAAGCCCCTTCTGACCTTCTGAACTCTTCTATTTTTTAAAAGTCACGGAAAGACCACATGACGTCTCTCTGCTCTCTCCATTTTCCATTCTCCCTCTTCCAAAGAGGACCTTGTTTTGTTGATCGTATAAATTGTCTGCGTCTCTCAACTCTCAACAAGGGTTGTTTATTCAGTTTCTATATTTATTTGCAAAAACGTTGATAGAGGTTGTTTTTTCTTTCGGCAATTATTTCAGCCAAAATTTTTTTTAGAAAGAAATTATCTCTAATTGTTTTAGCAAATGCTCTCAAATTATTGTCGAGCGCAATTTCGAGTTCTCAGAAAATTATCCGTTATTTCAGCACTCATGCAACAAGACGAGCATATCGGGTTAGTTTTTTATTTGAAGGAAGGGAAGTTTTTGAGTTTTAAAAAGACTACAGTAATCTTGGGATACTGAAGTTTTTCATGAAGTTTGAAACAGAAATTTTTTGTTTATATTTTAGCATTCAAAATTGAAATAGAAAAAATATATATTCAAAATTTATTTCCATTTAATCTTCGTAAGAATTTTTTGTGAAATTTTTTTTTTTGAATTTTTTGAAAAATGTCTGGACAAAAAATCAATTTGATAATTTTCCGAAACTTACTAAAATTAATCCACCAAAAATTGTGGCTACCCTAACCCGATTATGCAAAAAGAAAATGTCTACGATTTTTGTAGTTCGGAGCATTCAACAGCGACTACAAATATTTCGCATTTGTGCGCTTTGACAATATCCGAAAAACCCCAGAAAACCCGAAAAACTGGAGTTATTTGTACAATCGGTAGGTCTACATTCTTTCGCCTATCTAAATTTTTTTGAATATTTCAGGACCTGCTTGTAATAATGTGAAGTCATTGAGAGATATGATAAATGTTGGAATGAATGTGGCAAGACTTAATTTCTCACATGGAACTCACGAACAACACGCAAAAACTATTGAAAATGTTAGAGAAGCTTCGAAAGATGCACCGTATCCGGTTGCAATTGCTTTGGACACAAAAGGACCTGAAATTCGAACTGGAATGTTTGCTAATGTAAGTTCTTTTAGTTAGAATAACTGTATGTTTATAAGTTTTTTGAAGGATTTGCGTGAAGTAACTTTGAAAACAGGTCAAAGTATTCGACTTGAAACTGATCCAGGTTTTGAATATACTGCTACTGCTACAAGTCTTTATGTTGATTATCAAAATATTTCAAAAGTTGTCAAAGTTGGATCAAGAATATTTATCGATGATGGTTTGATTAGTTTATTAGTTGAAAGTGTTGAACCAACAGCTGTTTTATGTCAAGTTGAAAATGGTGGACAATTAGGAACTAGAAAAGGTGTTAATTTACCTGGAACTGTTGTTGATTTGCCAGCTGTTACTTCGAAAGATATTGAAGATTTGAAGTTTGGTGTGAAACAAGGTGTTGATATAATCTTTGCCAGTTTTATTCGAAATGCTGCGGGCGTTAAACAAATTCGTGATATTTTGGGAGAAGAGGGAAAATCTATCAGAATTATCTCGAAAATTGAATCTGAAGATGGTGTGAAAAATGCGGATGAAATTATTGAAGCATCTGATGGAATTATGGTTGCAAGAGGAGATTTGGGAATTGAGATTCCACCTGAGAAAGTTTTCCTGGCTCAAAAAATGCTTATTTCAAAATGTAATCTTGCTGGAAAACCTGTGATTTGTGCAACACAAATGTTGGAGAGTATGATTGAGAAACCGAGACCAACAAGAGCAGAATGTAGTGATGTGGCAAATGCTGTTTTGGATGGAGTTGATTGTGTTATGTTGAGTGGAGAAACTGCAAAAGGAGCTTATCCAATTGAAGCACTTTCAATGATGCATAGTGTAAGTTAGGTTTCGATTCAAGATTCAAACAAAAAATATGACATCTAATTTGTACTTTTCTTGTAAACATAATCTAGAATTTAATATTATGGATATATTTTTTGTTTGAATTGGTACCTTTTCGAAGCTCTAACAATAAATCAGGCATCAACTTATAATTCTAATCATTTCAGATTTGCAAAGAAGCTGAACAAGCATTTTTCCAAATGAAACATTTCGAAGAACTCATCCTTCATACTCCAAAACCAACTGGAATGACACATACAACTGCAATTGCAGCAGTTTCAGCATCTGTCACATGTCGAGCTGTTGCAATCATTTTAATTACAACAACTGGAAAGTATGCGATCTTTTTAACTTGAAAACAAACTTCTAGTTTTCAACTAAAATTGGATTGTTTTTCAGAACCGCCCGTCTTTGTTCTCGATATCGCCCTCCAGTTCCAATTATTACTGTGTCACGAGATGCACAGATTTCTAGACAACTTCACTTGCATCGTGGAATTTTCCCAGTTTATTATCCAAGTTAGTTTGTTTTTTGAATAGTTCGTGTACAAGCCTTAGCTTGATGAATTTGTAGAAGGAAGAATCGAAGATTGGGATGTTGATGTTGAAGATCGTATTCAATATGGTGTGAATTTGGGAAAATCTCGTGGATTCATTCATCCTGGAGATCCACTTATTATAATTACTGGATGGAAACAAGGAGCCGGTTATACAAATACAATGAGAATTGTTACTGCTGAATAATTTATTTGATTACTGTAGTTAAAATGTTCTGTGAACATTTTTTGTTCTTAATTTCCAACTATATTTTTATTTATTATATCAGCGTTTATTCTACAAAATTGTTAAAAAATAGTTTAGAATCAATTGAATTTCTAGGTTACAGTGTTAGAAAGATATATATTTACAAATAGTTATCAATCATATCAATCCAGAAACAATCTCGGTGAATTCTTCAAGCACAGCTGTTCGATTGAAGTGGTATTTGAATGAGACATCAGATAATGCTACTGTATCTCTGTAAATTGTCACATATCGTTCTTCATTTTCCGAATTTGTATAAGTTTCAGTATTCACGAGACTCTGAAAATATTTTATTTCATGGATAATTCTAACTAAAAATTTACTACTCACAAGTGATGATTCAGGTTCTTCGGAACAGTCTGAATCAATAATCAATGTGACTTCTGTTTCAATTACTTTTCCTCCAGTGAAATCTAAGAAAAATTCGAAAAAATTGTTTTCTGTTAATTGAATATTGACTGTATTATTTCCGGGAACCATAACAGAGAGCAGCGAATTCGAAATGTCATCAGAAACATTTTGCCCCAACAGAGCTCTTAAGATAATAATATCTCCAGCAGTTTTTGGTTCATCAAGTTTTACTTGACTGAAATACGGTTTATCAGTAGAGCTTGTGAATTTTTTGAGTTGTGTAGTTTCCATCTTCAGCGACTATTCCAGCTTCTTTAAGATCTCCAGCATAAGGAAAATAGAAATTGATTACATTTGTATCTTCAGTTAGTGTAAGTTTAACTTCGTGAACACTAGCAAAACTCAACATTCTGAAAAGGCGAATTTCAAACATTATTCAATTAAAAAAACCTACTGTTGTTTTCCTGGAGTCACTCGAATACTATAACTTTGCACTTCAATTCCTTGTTCCAATGGAAACTTTTTCTCACTAAACACTATATAATTTCTTGATATTTTTCATTTGAACCTACTAATTTGGTTCTGCATTTTTTCGATAGATTACTGTAACATCTTCAAGAGCAATCGGATTTTCACTCGAGTATTTATAATCATTTGGAAGAGTTCGATTCAAATTACATTCAATCACATCAATAAACCAATTACTGATTGAAAATGTAGTTAGAAGTTCATCTCCAAAAAATGAAAATGCTTCTGAATTTTCAAATCGAATTCTGAATGTTCCATCTTCATTCTCTTCTAATGTATCAGCATCATCAGTGTGATATGAGATTTTAATATAATATTGAAAACTTTCAACATCTTCCGGAGTTATTGGAGTTGGAACTGTTATTGTAACTTCATCAGAGTCCTCTGCTTGGGATATATCCGTGACATCGACATTTTTTGGTACTGAAATTGTAGTGTAACTCTATTCTAAATGTCTTTAGAAACTCACAATTGCAACCCATATTTTCATCGTAACTCGTCTTTTCTAAATCTACCATAACTGTTCCAAAAAGAGTTTTGGGTAAAGTGAATTTTATCTCCGATGTTTCTTCAATTACTTTGAAAAAAATGACATGTTTGATGTAACCGGAAGGTCTGAAAAATATATACTACATATCGTATCTTGTTCAAAAATATTGACTTACCTTTCATAAAAATCAAACTCAATTTCACGACTCAAAGGAACAATTGACATTTTCAAATGTGATAAAATAAGGAAGTAAAATGATCTTTATATAGAACATGTCAAGAAGGGGAAGGTCTTATGACCAAAAGATTCAGAAATGGAACGTTGTTTGTACATTTTGATTGATGGTGTTAGTGTGGAGGTGATTGCGGTTTTAGGAGAGAATTTATTTTTTGCGTTTTTTACTAGCCCCACCCATTTGTTCTCTACTTCTCTCTTAAAAGTCCCCAAATTCCCAGAAACCAAATCTAAAACTGTGTTCTACACATTAAAAAATGCGTTGGAAACTGTTTCAACATGCAAAACCCCGAAAAAACAAACGAAAATAGTTAAAAAACAAACGAAAAAAATGTAAAAAAACAGATAGCGCACTCATCGAGGAGACGCAGAGAAACAACATAGACGACGACGCACAAGCACACAACTTTCACCTACCGTATTACCTGTTTTCTTTTTTCCCGTTATAAAGTTATTCGGTTTTTTCGCAAATTTTGAAGAGTTAGTCGAACTTTTTTTCAATTTTTTATCGATTTTTTCAATTTTTCCGAATTCCCTCCCAAAAAAACTCACCGATCGCTTCTATTTTTCAAATCATACAAAAATAATCCAAAATTCGAAAATTCCAATGAAAACCTTGAGTTTTCTCCAATCCTCCAAGTTTTCCAAGTTATTGATATTGAAATCCAATTGTCCATAAATATTTCGAGCTGAAAATCAGAACATTTGAATTTTTCATGTACCATTTATGGGGTGATTCAGGTAGAAAAACAAAATGTTAATGTGTGGAAAAAAATGTCAAAAATAGGAAAAAATAGTTTTTTGACACTAGTAGATTTTCTGTGCACGGTTGTGTCATGGTGTTTGCACACATTTTGAAGTCATTTATTTTTCGCGTTTTTTTCTAGCTCTCGCATATGTAATTTTTAATGTACTCACATTGATGATATTATCCAGCAGTCCCTCTAAATACCATATAATCGATTTTTCCTTCGAGCTGTCGATTTTTGTCGAAATTTTTCGAAACTCGAACTATAACTTTTCAAAAAAGGCCAGCACTGATAATGAAGTTGTCCAAGCCGCTTCAAATGTACTTCTTTGTCTCTTTTTCATAAAATCACACCCAGAATCGATTTTCAGTGCAATTTCGAGCCAAAATCGTGCAATTTTCGAACATCTGTAAAATAAAAAAAATGTGTGTCAACACCGACTGCCCGCAAACACCAAATCCTACGCGCAATCTTGTAAAAATAAAACAACGACACTCCGCTCAGACAGTGTGTGAAAATTAAACATCAGGCAAGCCGAGTGTCGTTTTTTTAATATAAATCCCATTTTCGCTGAATAAAACTTTTTTAAAGCATCTTCAAGCGGAGAGAACGATCGGATTGTGAATAAGCCGAAAAACTGATTTTGAATCGAGTAAGTTCGTTTTTATATCGTGGAATTCCAAATCACCAATGCAATCAAGTTAAAATATAGCAGAAATTACAACTCGACATTCCATGATTTTGGCAATCATCCTGGTTTTGGACAATGATGTGAAACGAGTTGGCGGACAGAGTGGAATCGACGCCGGTTCCTGCGAAGGTAGGAGGACTTTGGGGGTGAAATTGGGCTAAAATTGAGAATCTTGTCCTAAAATTAGCGGAAAATCCATGAAAACACGGGATCTCTAGCTGAAAATTGATGATTTTTCGATTTTCAACCTGGAAATCTAGAGATTTGGCCGAATATCGCGCATGCAAGCCGCCGCTTCTAGCAAACAAAAAAAAAGACGGGTAGCAGCGATAAATTTGTCAGATAGAATCTAGGTTAGCGACGGAAATCCTGAGGGATAGCCGCCATAAGACGGAATAACCTCATGCCATAACATTTTATGAGTATACATTTATTAAAATTTTCAAGATTAAAAGTGACACTAAAGAATTAAAATTTTGAAAAAATATACGACTAAAATTAGAAATTCAAAATGTTTTTCCTTTCGAGGGATATTTCCACATCTGTCAACACAAAATCTCCTTTATATTCATATTCATCGCGTTTCATTTTTTCCAAATTAGAATTTAAAACTCTAATCGAATTCTTCGAGATATGAAGAATCGTTGGAACATTGATGTCTGAAGTTGGTAGAATTTTCAGATTCAAATTTGATTTGCCATTGGATTTGTCGAGAACTTCATCTTCCGCATACTCGAAAAACCAATAATCTTTTGTGTTTCGAATTGCCCGCGCGTTTTTATCAGCCAAAACCATTCCAGAATTTTCGATGATCTCTTCTCCTTTTTCTTCTTTTTTATTTGATTCCTCGCAAACATCAAAATACATTACGAAAATTACCAAACATTTTCTAAAAAGACTAATGAACGGTTTAGGAGATTCTAAGTTTCAAAACTCACCGATTTTCAAGAAAAGTTAGCGATATTTCACGATTAGTTGGTCGAATTCCAACCATAACCACAGAAAATGAAAGTGTGATCGAAAAATTGTCCAGGAAACTTTTTATGGTTTTTCAGAAACTTTCAATTTATCATTTTTATCAATTTATCATTTTTATCATGATATGGTTACTGTAGTTCCAGTCCAAAACGGTTTTTGATTTTTCCAAAAAAAAAAAACACCCTAACCTTTTTTCGGCATCTGATTGACCTAGAAAGTTTCAAACAAAAAAACTTGTTTGCTTTTCATTTTATCCCATTCTCATATCATCCACAAATTGTTTTTCTTTAACCAGAAATCTTCTTTTTGTTTTTTCCAAACTTCAAACGTTACATAATAAATACTTATATAATTGATCCACTCAACTTCCTCCGAAACACTTATTCAAGCTTGTTGAATCGAAAAAAAGTGAAAAAAAACGAAAAAAGTAGGTGGAACCGTATGCCAAAAAGAGACAAAGAAAAAAGATTTTCTTTTTTGTCGCATCTCCATTGTGTTGTCAAACACATTATTATTATTCATCCTCACTATTTTTTCCTCAAACATTTCGAGATGAAAAACACGTTTTATTCTGATTCTCGTTTATTTTATAACATATACACAGCCTGTACATATGTATTTCAAATCATTTATTTTCATTTTTTCTTTTTATCCGCTCCAAAAACATCTCCACCAATTCCAGCCAATGTTTGATAATTTGGATCCATAGTTCCAGCTTTCACATTTTTATTAGCCGGGGCTGTTGGTTTCTTTCCAGCTGGTGCAGCAGCTCCACCTCCAGCCTTCTTATCAGCTCCGAATACATCACCTCCAATTCCAGCAAGAGTTTGATAATTGGGGTCCATAGTTCCAGCCTTAGCATTTTTATTTGCTGGGGCTACAGGTTTCTTGCCACCAGCAGCTCCAGCAGCCGGTGCACCTCCAGTTTTTTTATCTGCTCCAAAAACATCTCCACCAATTCCAGCCAATGTTTGATAGTTTGGATCATGTGTGGCAGCTTTTGCATTCTAGAAAATTATGAATAGGATTTTTTCGGAAGAAAAATAATTCCAAAAATAAACACTTACTTTATTGGCTGGTTGAGTTGGTCCTTTCTTAGCACCTGCTGCAGCTGGTGCAGCTCCTCCTCCAGCAGGAGCTCCGTCCTTTTTGAATACATCATTATTCAATCCAGCTAGTGTTTGATAATTAGGATCGTGTGTTGCAGCTTTTGCATCTTTGTTTGCTGGAGCAGCCGGGCCACCAGCTGCACCTCCAGCTGGAGCACCATCTTTCTTAGCAAAAACATCATTTCCAAGTCCAGCCAAAGTTTGATAATTTGGATCGTGAGTTGCAGCCATTCCTGGTTTTCCGCCAGCTGGTGCAGCAGCTCCACCATCTTTCTTAGCAAAACAATCATTTCCAATTCCAGCCAATGTCTGATAATTAGGATCATGTGTTCCAGCCATTCCACCAGCACCTGGTTTTGGTCCTCCAGCTGCAGCTGCACCAGCAGCTTTATCTTCTCCAAATTGATTATCAATTCCAGCTAATGTTTGATAATTTGGGTCATGTGTTCCAGCCATTTGTTTTGCATCTCCACTTTGTTTTGGTGCTTTTGGTTCACTTCCACCACCTCCTCCTTCTGTTGTTGCCACTTCCGATTTTTCGGCTTGTGATTCAGAAACTGGTTTTTTCTTTTTCTAAAAAAACTTGAAAAATGTATCATGTGTACTTTTCACAGTAATCTAAAAACTCACTCCACATTGTGCCGCCACATAAGTGATAAAAACCGTTGAAGTGACTAGATTTAGCAAAATATCAATAATGTTTTTGGTATCCATTGAACGATATCGTTGTGATTGCAAACTTGAACAGGTCTTGAAGTCTTTTTGAGTTATTCCGATTTGTTTTTCAAAATCGTTCGACTAGTTCTGATTGTTAAACTAGGCTAAAATAAAATAGGTTCTGAATTTGCTGTGACGTCGACTAAAAAATCAAGATAACATCAGAGGCCATCACGTCATCCACGTCATAGTTTAATATTTTTTCAGTTTTTGAAACACACAATGTTTTTTTGAAATAAATAGAAAAATGAAATTCCAAAAAGACGCAGACAGAGTCACCCTTTCAATGGGTCTCGAAACAAGACAAAAAAAACAAAATCTTTAAAAATAAATTTATTTCTTTAAAATCACTAATTCATTTTTTCTTTTTATCCGCTCCAAAAACATCTCCACCAATTCCAGCCAATGTTTGATAATTTGGATCCATAGTTCCAGCTTTCACATTTTTATTAGCCGGGGCTGTTGGTTTCTTTCCAGCTGGTGCAGCAGCTCCACCTCCAGTCTTCTTATCAGCTCCAAATACATCACCTCCAATTCCAGCAAGAGTTTGATAATTGGGGTCCATAGTTCCAGCCTTAGCATTTTTATTGGTTGGGGCTACAGGTTTCTTGCCACCAGCAGCTCCAGCAGCCGGTGCTCCCCCTGTTTTCTTATCTGCTCCAAAAACATCTCCACCGATTCCAGCCAATGTTTGATAGTTTGGATCATGTGTGGCAGCTTTTGCATTCTGAAAAAATTCGGAATGTTAATCAAAGTTTTTTTTGGAAAGAGGAATAACCTTGTTGGCTGGTTGTTGTGGTCCTTTTCCAGCTGGTGCAGCTCCAGCAGGAGCTCCGTCCTTTTTGAATACATCATTATTCAATCCAGCTAGTGTTTGATAGTTAGGATCGTGTGTTGCAGCTTTTGCATCTTTGTTTGCTGGAGCAGCCGGGCCACCAGCTGCACCTCCAGCTGGAGCACCATCCTTTTTAGCAAAAACATCATTTCCAAGTCCAGCCAAAGTTTGATAATTTGGATCGTGAGTTGCAGCCATTCCTGGTTTTCCTCCAGCTGGTGCAGCAGCTCCACCTTCTTTTTTCGCAAAACAGTCATTTCCAATTCCAGCCAGTGTCTGATAATTAGGATCATGTGTTCCAGCCATTCCACCAGCACCTGGTTTTGGTCCTCCAGCTGCAGCTGCACCCGCAGCTTTATCTCCTCCGAAATTATTTTCAATACCAGCCAATGTTTGATAATTCGGATCATGTGTTCCTGCCATTTGCATTGGCCCCCCAGGTGCTTTTGGTCCCGCAGGTGAAGCAGCGCCCGGTTCTTCTCCAGGGTGATTTGAAGATTCTGATACTTTCGATGATTTTGATGATTCTCCACCTTCAGATGCCGTGTTCTTTTTCTTCTGAAAATTATTCAAAGATTATTTAAGTGACATATGTGTCAATCAAAAATTGTATTCTTACTCCACATTGTGTTACAGTATATGCAATAAGTGCTGATGATGTAGCCAAATTCAGCAAAATGTCCATAATGTATTCAGTTTCCATGTTTGGTTTTGATTGCAATCTTGAACACGACTTTAAGCTGTTTTTGTATCAACTCAGAGAATAAGAACGGAAGACCAGTGGAGAGTTTTCGGAGTTCCGGCGGAGAGAACCTGGAATTCCATTCTACCACCGCTGGAAGTCCCAAAACTCTCCGCCGGAAGTCCGAAAACTCTCCGCCGGAGCTCCGGGAGGCAAAATTTTCAAAATTAAAAAGGAAAATATGAGGTTGATGGGGCTTCTATCTGAAGCTGTTTTTGTCATCTGGAACCTATTTGAAGCATCTGAAACTGATTTATGATAAGTCGGTTTGATTTTGAAGTTGTCTGTTTTGATCTGCCACTAGCGGGGATCGAACCTGGCTATTGAGGGCGGATCAATAGGCAGCCATTCACCCAATTACACCATCCACGCGCATAGAAACACCAGCGGCTATTGGTGTTTATATAATTAGTATCAGCCGAATTTGTATATGTTAGTACTTTTGACCCATAAATTAGCTATTTAAGGATTAGAATTAATCATTTGAAAGTTGTTTCATATGAGATTTATCTAGTTTTCCAAATATTTCTTGAAAAACATAGAAAAATGATGTTTTTAACTCCAGAGAGTCAAAATTGAACATTTTAATCATAAGTTTTTTGATTTAAAAATGTTCGTAAAATAGTGCTGAAATTTCAATTTTCGAAACATGTGTTTATAATTTTTACTTGAAAAGTAACGAAAAATTTTCTCAGGCTGATTTAAATTTTCTAATTCATGAATACTTTAGGAAAAGAGATGATACTACTTCCTGAACCGGTATTCAAATGTTTCCGTGAAATTATAGAAAAAATTATGATTATATTGAATTCAGAATCTAATTTTTATCAATAGCTTTGATGTGAGACATTCAAACAATAGAAATTACAGTGCAACTTTTTTTCTGTCAGAAACGAGTAAGTTTAGTTCGTAAAATCATAATGAGGCAACTGTTTTCCAGTCTTTGAAGTTGGGAGGAACTTCATGAAATTAACAAACTAAAACTTTTCTAATATTCATTTTTCCGTTTACATTTCGGTCGTCTAATCAAAAAGTTTGTTCCTCAACGTCTAACCGAAAACCTTATGGAAAAAACATGAAAATCGAAGTTTCAACTCAAAAGTCAAAAGTTCACTTCTTCTCTCCGCCGTAGTCTTTCTGGACACAATTGGTAACTCCGCCGGAGAGAATTCTCCGCTGGAATTCCAAAAAAAGCCGAAATCTCATTCCGGAACTCCAGCGGACAATGTTCTCCACTGGTTTTCCAAGTTTTGGAGTCCGTTTTTGTCGTTCTGGCAAAAAACAAATCTGGAAGTCCGCCGGAGAGATCTCTCCGACGGGATTCCGAAATTCGCTATTTCGGGACTCCAGCGGAGGACTTTGTCCACTGGACTTCCGTTGTTATTCTCTGAGAACACTGATAAAATAAGGCAATCTGATGAGAGCGAAGCATTTAAATATTTCATTTTTTTTTGCGCGATTAGAAATATGTCACGTTTCATTTTTTTGGAAAACCAAAATTATAGGTTTTTTTTGCAATGTACAAATGTTTTGTCGTGTCCAATAATATAAAGTTCAAAATGTGGTAGTAAAAGTAGATGAAATGAAATGAGAAAACCGGATTCGTATAAGCGGCTTTTTTCCGCCCGCCCGCTCGTCCGCCGACCAATTGATTGGATATTATTTTTTTTCTCTGTTGCTGCTGTTTTCTGTATTAGTGAGATTTGTCAACCGATTGTATTGTTGTCGTTTTTTTTTGTTTTTTTCCTGACTTGAGAAAAATATATTTCTAGCCGAAGACTATTTTTCAGCCTATAGTTGAACTGCTCTTGAACCTAAGCTCAATCCTTACTATAATTTCTGAAATTTACAAGCCTATTATAGAAAAAAACTTGTCGCAGAAAATTATTCCTATAGAAGTCTTTGTTGACTTTCAGTCACTCATTTTTGCAAGAAATATTTTCATCAGATTTTCTTAAAATACAAGATAGTTCAACTTTTATTCCGATTAAAAATTCCTTGAAACTTTTTTTTAATTCCTCGTAATTTTTCTCTCGTGATTTTTGGATAACTTTTTTCTAAATTCATATTTTTCCAGGAATGTTCTGAAAATGTCTACACAAAAAGTGACACCATTGGATATTTCACCGGGGACTCAACTCGAAAGTACATGTTAGTTTTTGAAGTTTTCAATTTTTCAAATTATTTTGAGGAATCAAAAAAGACTGTTTCATGTTTGAAAAATTAATTTTTTTATTCTGAAAAATTTTGAACCTCAAAATATTCAGATTTTTTTCAAAATAATTATTTCTTTGGGTTACTGTGATTCTTCTTCTCATTCTTTTTTTCTTTCATGGTTTACTGTGATTTGAAAAAAAATCCAAAAAAAATGGGCTGCAAAATGTTGAAAAATTAACAAATTGTTTCAGTGAGTCCATATCGAGCAAGTCCTTTATCAACCCGTCAAATAATAATTGCCATTGTCAGTTTATCGATTTTCTCATTTTTCTACCTGGTTTATGCTCAACATCATGCTCTTCTTTTTTATGCAATGACTGGGTTAGTTTCAAAGAGGAAAATTAGACAAGATATTATAGTTATCATATGTTTTATAAAAACCTCCACAATTTTCGATATACCTTTAAAACACTTTAAGGTCTTTAACAGATTTGTTCTACTGTGAATTCTACTGTAAATTATTTTTTACTGTAAATTCTACTGTAAATTTTATTTGGATTCCTATCAAAAAGTGATAATTCTGGTCCAATTTAAAATATAACCTTAATTTTTAGATGATCTTTAATTCTGGTCTATAATGAAATCTAATTTATTGTTTTTCTTCAAAACTCTAACTTTTTCCAGTTTTATTGCCATTTATATTGTATTTGTTTATACATCTGGAATTGGCGCAGTTTTATATATGGTTTTAAATGATTATGAAATTGGTGAAAATGAAATGAAAAGCTCAAGAAACATCGAAGAAGAATCAACGATTTGATCTAATTTTTAAACTTTAGCCAACAGAATACGAGTATTTTAGGTGATGCTATTTTTCTTTTTTCTCATTTATTTTATAGATAAAAATTGATTTTTATTTGTTTCGAAATATTTCTGTCTTTTTTTCTCATTTCAAACGGAGAAAAACAGATAAAAAACCAACTATTCTTTAGTTTCCACTTTACACTTTTTATTTCTCAAAATAATTATTGGCTTGGAAAATGTCGAATGCTTCTAATCTTGTTGCGAAAGAATTAAATGATCAATATGCAGTAAGTTTAAAAACCACAATCCACATGGAGCAATTGTTGAGCTCGGAAAGCTGCATTTTCGGGATTTTTTTGGTCCTGAGACGATGCTAATAGGCTGGCAAAAATGTGGCAATGAGGTCCCAAATGCAATTGTTTTTTTTACAAATTTACAAAAATACAATTTTTCCGCTTTAGCCAAAAAATAACAAATATAACGTTCCGATTTTTCAGTTTCAGTTATTTCGAAAAAAATAACTTCTAACCTTAAATTTTACAGTTCTATTCTATTTTTCTGTCGTTGCCTTGTGTTTCTCTATTTTCTCATATATGATGTTCTCAATGAAAATGTGAAATTTCCGGATTTTACGAAAAAAAAAACCAAATTGAAAAAATAAACGAGAGAGTGTTGTGTGTAGAAGAGACGAAGACAAAAGGAGAGAAAATGAGAGATAGAAACGCGTAAGAGAGACGCCAGACAACACGACGGTTTGTGAATTTTTTGCCAACCTCAAAACCATTTTTCGTTTTTTCACAAAAAATGCTAAAATCGTTCATACTTAACCAAGCTTCACAATCTTTGCTGCAAACAGTAGCAAATTTACGAGAATAGAGATTGCAAGAAGAAAACCCTAGAAAACTTTTCTCCAAACACCAAAAACCTATGATTATAGGTTTTTCGGCTTGATTTCCCTCGATTTTTATAATGTTCTTGCATTATTGTATTCTGGTATTACTAATACAACAAATCATTGAATTCTGGTACCATTAAAAAACGTGACTTGTATTCTGGGTGGCCATTTTTGACATTTCTATAAATATTGCATTGTTTTTGCCAGCCTAGATGCTAACAAGTTTATAAATACCAAATTTTGAAACGAAAAACTATGCAATAATTATTCTCCAAATGAGAAGAGCAATTTTATTCGAAAAGGTTTTGATTATGCCACGTGGAACTATTGTGCCGAAAGAAAAATCTTGAACTAAAATAAATTTCTATTTTCAAAATAAAATTTTTTTTTGAAACTTAGGCGGCTCGACGAAACCATGACATGCAAATGGCTGAAATTCAGAAAAGTTTGGCTGAAAAACGAGCAAAACTTGATGCTTTGAACGAAAAAATGTGAGTTAAAAAACGCTTCGCCGGGTTGAAATATTTCTGCTTTAGAAAACAAGAAAAAGCTCGTCATGCTGAAAAAATCAAGAAACTTCGAGCTGATCAAGAGACGGAAAAGAGAGATCGAAAGAAAATCCACGAAATCGAAATAAGAAGATATTTCGATAAAATTTCGAAAGGTGTTGAAAGTTATTCGACCCTTGAAATTGATCAGAAAAATCACAATAACAGAGTTTTGGAAGCGAGTAAAGAAGAAAAAGAGGTTCAAACCAGAAATTCGGAAATCTTCGAAGTTAAAGTGGCTGGTGAACTTGTCAGAACTTATATTGAATTTGTTTTGGAAGCAGTTATGGATGAAAACGAAAATGACATCAGCGAAAGAATTTCAGCAGCCAAGATTGAAATCAAGAAATTCAATGAAATGGTTTCGAAAGACAAGAAATTCGCAGTTCTGAAAAACGAATTCAAAGTTTTGGAAACCAAAGATTTTGACGAAATTGAGAAAGAACTTGAGAAATTCCAGAAAAAGATTTCAGATGTTCTCAAAACAAACAGCAGTTCATCGAAATCTGTTCTCGATGTTATTGCCGAAAAACCAAAAGCTGCAATCACAAACTGATTTTTTTTAAATGTTTATAATAATTGTCAGTCTGTTAATCAATAAACTCTTCTATGTTTTTTTCTAATAGAAAGTTTTTTTAGCTTTTGTAATTATCCACACTAGAAACTTCAAAATGTTGTTTATTTTTTGTTTTTCCAACTTTTGACAACAAAAAAAACATTGGAGGAAATTAAGAAACATTTGAAGTTCCATCTTATCCAAACCTGGGTTTTCTCTAAAATGTCTAAAAAAAAATGAATAAATTTCAAATTTTCTTATTAATCAATCAATCAATCAATAAACTCTAGAGAACCAAAAATAATCGGAAATTTCAGAAAATGAACACGTAAACTCAGCAAAAAGGGGGGAAATCTGGGGAAAGGGAAAACATAGATTGGAGTGAACCGGGCGAAAAAATTTCTCTCAAAAAACACTTTGGCAGGTCGAACATATCAAAAACTCAAACTTATATATAAAAAAGACTAGAGATAGAGAAAAATAGGGCTGGAAATTGTAGAGAGAAAAACAATAGAAATATTGGGCGAGATTACGGCACACTAACCAGGTAAAAAACGGTTGGTATAAATTATATACAATTGAAAAAAAGAAAAGAAATGGTGAATAGTCGCGTAAGTGCATATAATTAGAAAATATATTATAGTAATTGATATAAATTTTGAAGAAAAAAAAGTTGAAAGTTTAGAATCCTTCATCCCATCCAGAAAACTCATCTGGTGGAACATCATTATCTGGTGGATAATTATCAAAGTTTGTCACATCAGCTGGATTGTTAACCTGCAAAAATTGAAATATATTTTGTGAGATATTGAATTGAGTTAGGTCAAATTAATAAGACGGGAATTTCAAGACAATTTTTTTTTGATTTTCTAAGAAACGTTTTCAAATGTTTGATGTCTAGCGATTTGGAGAGAAAATTACACACTGCGTATATTTTTTCTAATTAGGATGCAGAAACAGTTCAATTCAGTACTGTCTCGATTCTAAATTAATTTTGTTTTAAATTTCAAGCATACCTTTGGCAAAATTGGTGGTTTGAGTGTTCGACTTCTAAGTCCTTCCCAATCGAATCCCATAAACCAGCGATGTTTACGAATATCATTAACTCCTCCACTTCCGCTTCCAAGACGTTCTCCCGGATTGTCGCGGCACAATTTTTTGACCAAAGCAGTTGCGGTTTTTCCAATTCTTCTGCAAAAGATTTTTGTTATTCAAAGGAATTGAATTCCTGGTTTTGTTGATTGTAAAACATATTTAGATTCTAAATTGCCACGTCATATTTGTTTGCGATTTTCATTGAATAAATAAAATCAAAGTTTTCCGAAACTTCAGAAAAATCACGTAAACATCTATAACGTAACTTCGTTTTATTTCTGATTTTTTTCAAATAAAATCATATATCCTCAAAACTACTAACCTGTTCGGAATTTCCAACGCATCAACTCCTTTCAAAATCAAAGTATATGTTTTCATTGGATCACTTGCTTGGAATGGCGGTCTTCCCAACATTAATTCACAAATATAAATACCCAATGCCCAATAATCAGCTGCTTGATCATGTCCTTTATTCAAAATAATTTCGGGCGAAACATATTCGGGTGTTCCACAGAATGTCCAAGTTTTTCGACCGGACGCCAATTTTTTCGCAAATCCAAAATCGACCAATTTCAAATATCCAGTATTGGCTAATAGACAATTTTCTGGTTTCAAATCTCTGTATACAATATGTTTTCGATGAAGATATTCGAGTCCTTCAAGAACACAGGCAACATAGAAACGAGCTGTATAATCATCGAAATGTCCACGATCACGAAGTGTTGTCCAAAGTTCACCACCAAGACAAACTTCCAAAAGCATATACACATATTTTTGATCGCGGAATGTTTTGTACAATCTGGAAATGAAAAATATTTTTATATTTAAATTCTAAACTTTTTCACAAAACGAGAAAGTGTTGAAAAATTGGAGGAACTTTCAGATTTTTGGAGCCAAATTTTCTTGACATTTTTTCATGTAAAAAATAAATTCGATTTAAGTCCCAAGTTCCCCTTGTTTTCTAAAAAAACATACTTAACAATCCAATCAGTACTTGTTTCCATCATAATATTTCTCTCCGCAAAAATATGTTCTTGTTGTCTCGTATCAACAATATGTTTCTTTTTCAATGCTTTCAATGCATACGTTTTCGATTTATCCGCATTTACACAAACCAATTCAACTCTCCCAAATCCACCAACTCCCAAAGTCGCCAATCTTTTGATATTTTTCAATGTAACATGCGAGAATTCTTCACGGAAATCATCTTTAACTGGACTTGGTGGTTCACGAACAACTTGTGCAAGTCTTTCTTTATCTCCATAATCTCTTTTCAATGTTTCCAAATCACCTATCAACATCAAAAATGATTCTCGATCCAATGTCAAAACTTCAACTCCAGGTGCTTGTGCAATTATATTTGCTGTTCTAACTTCTTCACCCAAAAGAGCTCTTTCTCCAAAGAAATCTCCTTGATTCAAAACTCGAATTTCTCGCGGCTCTTTTTCTCCCTCAATTAATTGAGTTACTTTAACTTGTCCTGAATTAATAACGAAGAATGTGTCTCCTTTTTTCTCCTTGTCTAATAATATAATGTCCTCCGTCATAATAATTTTGATCCATAACATCAGCCATTTTCGAAATTCGATCTTCTGACAGATTTTCGAAGATCGAGACCTATAAAGTAATGTTATAAGAGAGTATATTCAAGATAAGGGCATGGTTGTGCTCAATTTGAAACAATACAAATACCCCGACTTAACCTAACTCATCACAAATGCCTCCGGAAAAATAGAATAATTTCAGAACCCAGTTTCCAGCCTACTTCTACTCAAAACAAACCTGTCAAAATATCATAAAGAAAAAATAGAAATATCTAGTGTCGAATATATCAAAACCCATCTACAGTACCCCGTTTGAGATACTTTTTTGACGGCGTCGAAATGACTCTTATTTCCCTCATATTTGTTTTATAAACGACTTAATAAAACCCCCTATCTAAATGCGCTCAAAAGAAACGACGAAAAAAGGAGCACATCGAATGATCATTGAAAAAAGAAAGCAAGAAAGAGCCGGAAAATGTTGCTTTTTAAAGGAATTATATGTAGATAACTTGGGGAAAAACATACCTTTGTGAGGAAACTCATCCATTGTGAATGTCTTTCCATTCCCAATCTTTGAGTGATCATTTGGAAAACTGATCGATCGAGAACCCATAATTGAACATCAGTCAGAGCTTGAATTGAGGCAGTTCTGAAAAATAAAACGATTAAGAAAGATCGTGAGATATTAAGTGATCTATTTATAAATATGGATCATTTTTACTGAAAATTAGTTTTATGTTGGTTGATTATAGTTTTAATTTTTTGTTCATTTCTATACGTTGATTCTGAAAGTTTTCAGCATTCTTATGTTTTCCTAGAACAAAATCTGACGTGAAAATATCACAATTTTGAAACAATTTCCAAACTAGTTTCCAAAAAAATAAGAAGATCAAAACCAAAACACAAGTAAATTTTTCACGTGAATGGATGATAACAATGATATCATTCATCAATTCTGATCACAAAATCCTAAATACCAACATCAAAAATAAATCGATTTTTTTGAACTCAGGTCTGACTACAACCCTTGTAAATTTTTCAATTTTCATTTTTAAAGGACTTATTTGACCCCTCCCCGCTTCAAAAACCCTCGCTGATTTTTACTTCTTCAAACGTTTCTCTTCATTTTCCTTGTTTTCAACATTTCCAGATTTGAATTGTCTATGAACACACGGTTGGAAATCATCAACCAAATAATCCTCAATATTTTTTCGTTGCGATTTCAATGCAACAGTTGCACATTCAAATGAAGTCGTTGCAAAATTCGCGCCACAAAATAATCGCCGCAATTTTTCAAAAAATTTAGTTGAAGTTTGTTGCGACGAAATTTGAAGTGTCGTCGACATCTTCAGAAACAAAAAATAGAAAAAAATAAAAATAGGCAGAAGAAAAAAGGAATGATAGGAACACACACAAAATGTTTTTTGTTGTCTTTTTTTCTAAAATCGGAGAAGATCAATACTAATTGATAAAAATGAAATGAAAGAACAACAACAAAAAATGAGCGAAAAAAGTGTTTCGTGAAAATTTTCAGAAAATAATCGACTGGAACGGACAAAAATTCCGAATTTTGTTTTTTGCATGGGAAAAAATAAGACATTTTTCAGTCGGAAAATTGTTGATTTTTCGTAGAAAATTCTCGTTTGGACTTGAATAGATGTTTAAAAAAATAAATTTGAGACTTTTTGACTCAAATTCAATTTTTAGGTTATCATTTTTTAAACCGTAGGACTAAAGAGAGGTGAAGCAATTTTCAAAATCCTAATTTTTACGGCCAGATGCAGAAGTTTACGAAAAAATGAAAAATAGAACTTTTATAAAGAATCATTTTCAAAAATTATTTCAAATTTACAGGTCCAATTTCAAAAACAAATGATTCATAGGGATTTAGAACTAAACTAAACAAAACAAAAATAGCTGACCGGTTTCTGGTTTCAAAAAATTGAAAAATATCATCTGATAAATATTTGATAAAAAAGAAGAAAATCTCACGCCTTTTTCAGAGAAGAATAAAAATTCAGAAATCAAAAATCTTTGATGGAATTTTGTTTCGAGAAAGAGGCGAAAAATATAGGCTCAAAGTTTTTTGACCACGAGTTAGTTCTCAGGTGATGAATATAAAATAAAAACGGCTCAAATTTCAAGTGAACTTTGAAAATGTCTCATCGTCTTCAGATCGAAAACTGGCCTTTCCGGTCAATATTACAGTGTTCATCAAAAAAGGTAAAGAAGGAAGACGAGAAGAAAAAAGTGAAACCAAAAATTTGAGAAAAAATAGATAACATCTGTGTTTCGTCCAAGGTAACCTTTTGTGACGAGACAAGAAAAATCAAGACTGAAATGAAATGGGGAAATCTAAAAATATAATATATTTTTCTGCAAACTTTCAAAAGTCTGTTCCGAGAGACGAGTAAGCAAATAGAGAAAAAGCAAAAAATCCGGTTATAACTGAACATTTCGACCTCCTGGCGAATAAAGTAAAAGTTTGCTGATTAGCCATGTTTTATTTATAGATTCATCTATTTTTAGTTGAAATTTCTATTTTTTAGAAAAAAAATCATAAAAAATTCCTAGACAAAAAATATGACTGTGAGAAAAATATGAATCATTTTTTTGTCAATTTTCAGAGAATCGTAAAAAAATGCTAGTTCACAGAAAATGTGATATTCTTTCAATTCTAAAAGCCTCTAAAATCCTCATCAGAAATCCGATCCGATTCAATGATCAGCAAAAAAAGAAGCGAAAAAGAAAAAAAAACACACAAAATCATTTCTAAAAAAGAAACTATTCAGTATCATTTCATTTCAGGTTTGTTTTTTTTCGAAAAAAAAAACTATCAATATATATGTAATATATATTTGATATGGAAAAAGAAGAAGAAGAAGAAAAAACTGTTTAGATTGGAAGAAAAAATGAAAAAACAAAACAAAACAAAACACTTTCTCTGATTAATTATGTATAATATCGCAGAAATTATTTTATTGATTTGATTTTTGTTGAGCTAAATTTTTGAAGCGTTGAGGGGATTTTTTGAATTTTGAGATTTAAAAGATAAGCCAACCTCAAAAAACTATTCAAAACTGAAATTTAAAAAATTCATTTGACTCTTGTAAATTGAAGGCCCATATTTTTTTTTATTTTTTCCATTTCAAAAAACAAAAAATACAGAATATTTATCTGATTAGAGACAACGTATCGAAAAACTAAGTTTCCTCTAGACTCTCTCAATTGTAGTTGTCTCTAATCAAAATAATATTCTCTATATTTTTTCATCGGCTTTTCGAAGAATATTTAAGAAAAGTAACCTCTCCATTTGAAAATTTTTCAGAATAGCCTGGGATTTTTTAAAAGTAAAATGTTCATTTGAAAATTCCATATTTTCCAAACCCAACTGCAAAACCCACAACCCAATTTTTGATTAATAAAAAAACTAACCGATTGCATTTGTACAAAATGGCCAATTCTCCCATAACAGTTCCAGCTCTCACTTTTCCCAATAATTCATTATTTCTTGATACTTGACATTCACCTTCAGCTAAAACAAAAAGGCGATCTCCTGGATCACCTTCTTGAATAACCCATTGACCGGCTCGAGCTCTCATTTCATACATACAATTCACCAATTCCACAATTTGTTCTTTTGAGAAATTTTTTGAGGAAATCGTTTTTCGAAACAGCTTCGCGAATCAATTGTTTGGCTCTGAAAAAAACAAGAAAAATGAAGAAGGAAATGCAAATGAAAATTATTTTTGTATTTGAAGAATTGTCAAGGGTGAATCTAGTAGGAGGTTTTTGATTTTCTAAAGTGCTTTTTTGCTGAAAAATTATATAACTTCGTGTATTTTTGGATCGGTAAAAATTTAATTTAGCTTCAGAATCACCACTGATCTAAAAACTTTTCATGTAAAAAATTTTCAATTCAAGAAATGTGAAAAACTGTTTCTCCTTGTTTCTTCGATAAATAAATCGCGAATTATTTTAATTTTCTTTTGTTTGAAATAAAATTTTTGGAGATTCATGAATCGATTTTTGAACTATACTATAGTTAGACACATGAACAAACACAATTCAAACTAACCCAATAGTTTTATTATAATGTTGAAGAGTTGTTGGTTTATCATCGAAATTAGTTGGTTCGGCAGAGACGGCAATTTTCTTGGCACGTTGTGGTTGATCTTGTTGCAAATCATTTTGATCTCCTGGTCGAGGAGATGGTGGTTGAACAGGACTCGCTGCTGATGTTGCTTTTTGATTTAATACTGATCGAAGTTTGTCACATTCTCGCTGAAATCAGAACAAATCTGGGTATTGTTTTGAAATAGAATTCTTTTTTTTTTCGAAAAATTCATCTTCTTTGAAATCTGATTTCAAAAGAACATCCTATAAGTATCGGATTAAAAAATTGTTTGGGTTTTTTGAAAATTTGTGAAACATATAATTTCCTGGATTTTTTTCATTCAGAAATATAACATAAAGTTCGTTATTTTCCAGAGAACGTTTACTACAAAAAAATCAAGGAAAAAACATTGAAAATTATTTGTTCAAACTTTTCAAAAATCAGATTCTAATTACGATTTTGATGAATGGAGCTTAACATGAATATTCACAAAAATGCGAAAATTGAAAAAAAAACCGTGAAATTCTTGTGGCCGATCTATTGAGATCGATAGTTCGGTTCTGCCACATAATTTTCCGTTTTTTCAGAATTTTATTTTTTTTCCCGAAAGTTATGTTCATCTCCAATGTTTAGAAAGTTTATTCATTTTGAGAAATACTCATAAAAATGTTTTCGTTATATTTCTGATTGAAAATTTGCTAACGAATTTCGAATATCATAGTTGCCGAATGTAAATCCTGGATTTTCAAAACAAGTTAATGAAAACGAAGTTTCAGAATCAGAAAACTAACTTTTCCAAAAATCAAATGTTTTTTCTTTAAAAAATAATATCAAATAACGTACCTGTAGTGATGTAACTTCTTGTTCCAATTCCGAAATTCGTTTAATATGTCCCTCAACAATAACTTGTTGTTGTCTTAATTGAGCATCTTTTCGACCAATTGCTTCTTCCAATTGTGGTATTAGCTTTTGCAATTCATGCGCTTCGAATGTTCTCGATCCGACTTGAACCTAAAAATTTCACAATTTTGTTTCAACAAAAAACTTTTCTCTCTTTTTTCCCAAACTTTTTTTGATTTTTATTCATGTGCCCTTTGAGACATGGTGGTTTTTGGTGGGCAAACTGGCAATTATCTTTTTTCTTTGGTTTTTTTGGCGCCTAAAAGTTTCTATCTCTCATTTTTGTTCACATCAACCTTGATTGGGTCACGTGTTTTCATGAAAAACCAGCAAAAATGTGTAGTTTGAATGATTTGATAACTTACCACAATTGGTTCATGATGATTCCTTCCGGAAAACATCGCGGCGTCGTTTGATGTTACAATTGGAAAAAGAGCTAAACTAAAGAAATTTCAAATTTTGTTTTTTTGAAAAAACGAAGAGGAAAAATATGTATAAATACAAACGAGCGCACAGAAAAACACAATAATATTGTTTACTCCTCTGATTTTTAGTCTCGAATGAACAAAAAAATGAAAAAGAACAACAAAAATGTTGTTTTTATATTGGAAAATGGGTTGGAAAAGGGGCGAAGAAGGCTGTGTTTGTGTTATCAACGATTACTTTTTTATTGATGTTTGATTCCTCAGAAAAACTATTTGATCGAGTGAGTGCAAAAAGTTAAAGATGGGAGAAAAGGAAAAGATCAGGCGATTAAGATCATTTCGAAAAAATAGTTTGGAAGATTGCCAATATGTATTTCTACTTGGTTATCAGAATGTGAATTTCTGAATTTCACGGGAGTAGCTATAGTTTTATTACCAACAGAACTGGAAACAACAAATATCTGATATTCTGGATTCCTTTCTAAAATTCTAGGACAAAGAAAATCCACATAAAACTGATAGGAAATTTTATTAGAGAAAAACCCCGAATTGGACTAATTTTTCAAAGTCGGTCAGTTCAGACACTAAAACTCAGAGCCTAGAAGATTCAGAATCGAGAAAAAACTTACGGGGGTTCGGCTTTTAATTCGTCTAAAATTTTGACACGGAAAATCAAACTGCTCTCAGAACTATCCTAAAATTCCAACAGACAGAAAAAATTGGCAAATTGCCAACAAGTGTTTAGCAAACAAAAACTGTTATTATTTTTTGGGATTTCCTAGAATAGATGCAAAAAAGCGTGGTTTTCTCTCTCTCTCGCTCAAAAAAAGATCTTCTTTCTGAGTCAAAAAAATTGTGAGGAGTCTTCTAACCTCATTATTCAACAAGGCATGGCAAACACCGAAAAAAAACGAAGAAAAAACGGAGCGAAAATCAATAAAAAATGGAATTGTTGTGTGTTGAGAGCACAACACAATGGACCATCTTTTCAAAAATTTGTGCCTCTATTCTATTCTTGCACACACAGCCACACTGAAAAAACGAAGAGAAAAAAATCAGAAAACAAAGCAGTCGACGGCAAAAAAAAAGATGATGCACAACAGAAACAGAAGTAGTGTAGTAGTAGTTGAAAAATCGGCGGACGAGAAAAAACCCGAAATGAGACGCAGAGATGGATGCAAAAAATGTGTGAGAGAAAGAAAAATGAGAAGAATGAATGGAGACAACAAAAAAATGGAAAATGAAAAATCGCGAAAAAACGTAGGTAACAACAACAACAATGTTAATTAAAATATTTTCTTCATTTTTTCTTCTTCTTCCAGCGAAGATTTCTTGGAAAATGAAGAGATTTCTTCTTTTTCTTCTCTTCATCTTGTTTTTTTTTCTATAAAAAATCGCTGTTTTCCCCAATAGCAACAATAAAAGATCAAAGTATGAAAAAAGGTGAACAAATTGATTTTTCGGATCAATCGAGAAAAAACGCGCGGTTTTGTTAATGATCGACGAAATTTCTGTTATCATAAAAATGATAGAAGACACTTAAAAACGAAGAAAATAAGAAATAGACTAAAGTTCCACTTTTTTATAGTTTGTGTGACGAAAAAAGTCTAGGATTTTGGAAACAGCTGAAATTTCGTGAACTCACAAGATAATCGTTTTCTGTAGTGAAACCAGAATAGGAAATATATTAGAATCAGTTATTCAGAAAATAAAATGAGAAATGAAAAGATTCACACTGATTCACGTGAAATTTTTTAAAAAGAGTTTTAATTTGGGAAAAATATGGGTTTTGAAAAATGTGTACTGTCAAATGTTGAATGTTTCTTTGTCATAAAGTGGAAGACTAAAATTTCAGAGCTCAAAATTCTGAATCTCAGCTACTACGAAAGCATCGTTTGAATTGAGTCTTGAATTTTGAACAGATCTGATTTGATTAGAAAGCTGACAAGAAGGTTTGACTACATAGTAAGCCACTAAAAATAACACTTTTATATGTTTTTTTTTGAATTGTACTCTGGCTCTTCAGACTCAAATCTTCCCACTCAAAAACACTGAAAAATCCAAATCAAAACTAACATATTTATTATAACAACCTAATTATATCAAAATTCCCAAGAGTTCCAACAAATAATAAGCCAGACAAATTCTATTTTTAAACAATCTAACAACTTCTTGTCACCTATCAAGACAACAAAATGAAAATGAAATGAAACGATGATCGGCGGGCGCGAACAGAAAAAAAAGTTGGGAAAATTAACAATAATTTTCGAAAGTAAAGTACCCCCATTAAATGTACATATAATAGCCAACAATAAAGGACAACAACTTTTTTTCGACTTTGACAGACTGATAACAGAAAAAATCGAGACAAAATAAAACTGGTTTAGTTTTATTTTTCTTCTTCGTTTATTTTTTCAATTTCGAGAACGACACAATTTTTCCAACAAGCGAAGGTCGCCGACTCAAAGAATACACATTTTTAGAAAGCCGAGAAAAAATCAGAGATAGCTATTCCAAAAATCTTCGGGCGCCAAAAAACTCCTTGAAGTGGCCCAAGTAACGATAGTATGGTGAATTTAACAATTGATCAACCGAAAAAGTATATAGATTGAACCCGAAACAGCATGGATCACAAGAGATTTAGAAAGTAGATCAAAAGTTGTACTGATCATTATATTTAGACGTCGATGGAAACAAGTATTTTTAGACTTCGATGCTTAATCAGATCTTCCGAAGGTAAAAGCTCCTGAAGAGCAATATGAACTCGAAATGATGTATTTTGCCACATCATAAACTTATTGGACTGTTATAAATTTTTCGAAAAAATCCAGAAAAGTTTATTCTCCTCAAGACCCTTTAGCGAAGAAAAAACAAACGAAAAATCCAATTAATTCATGTCGTTTTTTGCTTGTGTATACACAAGAAAAAGGAGCAAAAAATATACTCGGCTCGTAAGAATTCAATATGAGCTCTCTGATTTCAGGCTAATGAAAAAAGCGAAAAAAAACGAGCGACTCATGAAACATAAAAACGAAAATGAGGGTTGAAAACAAAAACAAAAGTCTCGAATTTCTTTCACTTTTTTTCAGCTGCGCGCCCAGACAATGATTCATTTGGGAACAATTCGAGAAATTCAGCTGTCGGTCTCTATAAACTTCTAATACATCTGTTTCATTCCGTGTTTTTTTTTTGAAAAATTCAAATATTTTAGCATAAAATCGTGGGAAAACAAACAAATTCAAACAAAAATGTTGTTTTTTTTTCATAATTCTGTATAATCGTTTTCTATTTATTTCAGTTCTAGTTGAAAACAAAAACAACAACAATTTTCGTTTTTTGGGAAAATCGTAAAATTTTATGGAATAATTATTTTCCAAAGAAAACAATCTGACATTTGTAGTTCAGATCAAAAATCAAGGAAAAATTATAGTTCCTGTTCCAGTTTTTGTTTTCAGAAGATTTCTGGATAAAGTCAAGGAGAGCCACTGTTAAATATTACAATTTGGTTTTTTTCTCGAAATTGGTGTGATTAAAACTAACTTTTATATTCATAAAATTTGCGGAAAAGTTGAATTTTAAAAAAACGTGTAAACTTTCGAAATGAAAAAAAAAGTTCAAAAATTTTTGAAAATTAAATTTTTTGATGAGAGAGATCGTAAATTTGAAAAAAACGAACAACATTGAAATTCAGAAATTTTGCCAGAAAAAATTCATTTTCAATTCAAAATGAAAATTGTTTCGAAAAATGCTTTTCATAAAATATAAAACTTCAAAAAAAGAATTTCTCATCAAAAATGCGTTTTCATCAAATTTTCCCGAATAAATTGAACTTTTGAAATTCTCTGTCTACCTTCTGTTTTTTTTCGACACATCAAAAATTCCAGCTGATTTTTCTCCAACAGTAAGAATAATTACAGTATCCCCATTTTTTCAACCTGTCAGCTCAATTTATTTGTTTTATTTCAAAAAACCAACCTCAACAATTCTCAACGCTTTCAGCGGGTTAAACTTCCAGCACATTCGAAGAATTTGAAGCCAAAACCGAAAAAATTCACAATTTTTCACAGCAAAAAACGAGAAGGACAACGAAATAAATAATGAGCAAAAAGAGAAAGGCAAAACTTTTTTTCAATTTCAATTTAATTTGATGGCTCTGGAAAATTCTTTTTCCCATGACTAATACAGAAAAAATTCGAAAGTCAGCCGAAAAAAAACAGGAAAAATCGTGTTTTTTCTCATTTTCTTTTTTTTTCCGACGAAAAAAAATGAAATAAAAAACGTTTTTTCGAGTGAGTGAGTGAGAAAAACAAAAAATAATCGAAAAAGTTAAAGTTTCTCGTTGTTTTCGACAGGAACACTGCAAAAACACTCACTTTTTATGGCAGAGTTTTTTGAGGTTTTAGATTTTATCTATTTTTGGTGGTGGTTTTTTTGTATGGGGGAGAAGACAATTTTCAGAGAATTCCGAGAAAGAAAAAACATGTCATCAAAAATTAGTCGAATTAGATTGAACATGTTGATTAATTCAGAGTTTGGCTAAAAAAGAGCTGAAACTTTGGAATTTCCAACTAAATTCTAGCTTCTATTTTGAAATATTCAGATTTTCAAAAGATGAAATGAAATGTTCAGATAGTAAATATTTCGAGAACTTATGAAATTTTCAAAGTTAGTATCTCCAAAAACTAGATTTTGGATAGTCGTAAAATTTTTCGAGCGAAAACTTCTCTGTTCAAAATTTTTAGAGATAATAAAAAATGGGTCCAAACATTCAAAATCGAGAATACGGTGATGACATTTCCAAAATTTTCATTCAAAAACATTTTTGGCAAATTCAGATTTTCCAACCAAAACTTTTCGATAAAAATCTGGTAGCTATAAATTTTCAACTTCCGGAAAATTTAGAAAGTTAAGATGTGATTCAAAGATAATTTTCATCAAAATTAGACTTTTTAAAAACATATTCTTAAAAACGTTATATCTTGTAAAAATTCGAAATTTCAAAAACTTCTTCAATCTGGAGAATATCTCGAGGCTATAAAATTCTAAAATCAAGTAATAAATTTCGAGCCACATTTTCGTTTTCCAGCCTAATCAACTCACTTTTCTTTTTCTTGTTTTTCTGTTTTTTTTTGAGTCACGAGAAAAAACAAAAAAAATCAGCGGTGGTGTTCAGGAAAATTGGATTTGTTGCAGCAGGAAATACAAATGTATTACCAAGAAAGAAATAAAAAATAACTAACCAACACCAAAATAAGATACCACATTCACTCAAAAATACAAGGAACACAAATAAATGAGTGACTGAATAAAATGAAAATAAGAAAAAACACATGTCATTCGCAGCTGAAAAATGATATTTTTTCGCCGGTTTTTTTTTTCAACAACCGCGCAAAAAATATCAACAAAAGACCCAAAAAAGCGAAGACAATGATACATTTTCAATTGATTTTTAAATCAATCATTCATTCTTTTTTGATCTTGAAAATGGTATTCTCTTTTCTTATCACGTACTAATAATTTTGAAAGCAACAAAAAAACAAAAAGTTGAAACTGTGTTTTTGTTCTCTTTCATATCAATTTTTCAATTTCATTTGATTATTTCTAATGTCAAAATTATAATCCGATTTTTATGGGCAAACAATAGAAAAATCACGGAAAATAATATATTTATGAGACGGAGAAGGAAAAATAGTTTTTGTGCTCATTTTGGCGTGAAATGTGCACTTTGGCAAACTTTCAAGGATTTTTTAATTTTTCTAGTTTGATTTTTCGTCAAAAAATCGTGTAGATTTTTAGAGTCAAAAGGTGAGTTCTAATTTCCTCTTAATTCTGCTCGATAAAAAATATTTCACAAAAAATTCAGCTTATGAAAAAAACAGATTATTTCGAATTATAAGATTGCTTCAAAGACAAAGTTCCCCCCGTCTCTCATATTTTTCGCCATTTGCCACACCAAAAATCCCACCAAAAGCCCAAAACTCACATAAATCGCTGGAACCGGTATCATAACAACAATCACCTGATGTCAGTCAGTTCTTTTTGTTTTATTTTATTTTTTCCTGACACAGGAGAAGTCAAAACAAGAGCGAAAATGACAAGATATATAGATATCTTCTATCTTTTTCTTATAGTTTTTTTTTTCGCGAATCAAAGAGCACACTTGTTTTTTCTCGTGTTGTTCACTCAGATTGACGAAAATCAAAAAGAAAAACCAACCTGTTGCGATGCAATCAATTGATCAGATGGTTTTCGAAGTTTTGAGAAAAATCCACGAATTCCTCCACCACCACTATTTCCGCCGCCACCGCTTCCGGTTGTGCTATTACCACTTGTCGGTCGGCTCACTGAACTCATCTTCAAGCTGCAAAAATATGAAAATGATTTTGGAAGTAACTTATGCAATTTGCAAATTATGGGATTTGCAGAAAATATGAGAATGATTCAATTGGAAAATTTTAAGTGATTTCACATTTTTAAGCTGAATTTCGACGAAAAAAACGAAATTTGCAGTGAAACAACTTACAATTTTTGAAAGATTATTGAAAACCAGCACAAAATATTAGTTTACAAGTATTGAAAATCATGAGATTCGACGTTCACCCACAAAAAAAGAAAAAAGAAACAATCAGGGACTAGGTTTTCATCCTAGTCCCCAAAGGTGATTGGTGTGTCATTGAAAAATATTATTTGAATTTTGAGAGTTTACCGAACTTTTAGAGTTTAAAACAAACATTTCAAATCAGCTTGACAATCAAAAATGTCTAATATTCCTATTTAGTTTACATCCAGTCTACTTGCAGCAATCTAGATTTTTCCGAGTTATTTAATTATAAGCGTATAACGAAAACCCACGATTTTTTCGAAGTTTTCAGCTTATCAACATACCTCGCTGGGAAAATTAAAATTCAAATAAACATCATTTTTTAGAAATTCGGAAATGATATTTTTTTAACGTTTCACGTTAATGAGAACACGTTCCACTTTTTTTTGCAATTCTGCTTTTTTAAATTTCAAAACCAAAAGACGCTTTTGGTAGACCAAAACATTTCAACAAAAAAATGAATCCGAACTATAGTTTAAAAATATCAATAAATATTAGTTGAAAATGCTCCCAAAGGACTGGAGTGTTCCAAAGTTCAAACCAAAATAGGATGACTACGTTTTTCGAAAAAAAATGAATAGTTTCCATTGAAAACGCATAGTATGCCTAATTTATTCGTCAAATTTCGTACAGCTTTCCAAATTATAGAATTTGAGTTAAAGGATTTTAAAAATCAGAATTTTCTTCTCTGATGCAATTTATAGTAACAATTATAAAAATAGAATTGAAATCAAAATTCTGCTTATGAATTCACAGATTCCTATTTCTGCCTTTTAATTGGATTCCAAGTAACCCAGATTCTTTTATAATTAATAGAGCTGATCAAAGATGTTTTGTTATGATGTCATTTTGAGAAATTTCTATTGATGGAATGAATGCTTGATGATTCTCTTTAAGCTTCTTAAAAAATCCCCATTCCCAGAATAAAACTTACAATAACTTTCTTTCCTAGTGTTCCTAAATTTTGATTGATGTTTTCGTTGGAGTGCGGTTCGGATTGCCTGAAATAAACCATATTTTATTATTTTCTTCTTATTTTCATTTTCGAGATGAAATGAGCGAAAAAAAAGAGGAATAAATTGCGAGGAAAAAAGAAAAAAAAGTGAAAAAAAAATCTATGCATGTTTGTTGTTGAGCAGCCGAAAATTCCTGAAAAAAAGAGAACAGCATAATAAATCATACGGCAAATTATATGAACTAACCTTTTTATACGTTTTTGTTGTTCTTATATAATCGCCGAGTCGAATTGTGTAACGTCTTCGGTTCGTAAAACATATTTGAGGTCTGAAAATGGAAAAACTTAGTGTGATCCAAAAAATAAGAGTTCCAAAAATCCAGACAAGAAACTTTTTTTTCCAGATTTTTCATGTTGAAGTTTCGACTACTATAAGTTTAAAAATCGAATGAAAACTTTTTCTGAATATTTCGAAGTTCCAAAAATTTAGAACTCAAGCTACATTTTTTGGACGCTTTGATCCAATAAAAAACACAATTTTTGTGGCCCTCGATATTTTTTAATTTCCCAAAAAAACTCACATGAGAGTCGTTTCTTTCTCGCAGGGCCAAGTAGCTCAATAAGTTTTTGAGCAAAAATTTTCACATTTTGCTCACCGCTGTTATATTTTCGAATAATCTCTCGAAAATGTGGGACTTCTTCTGGTCGGAGACATGACAAAACCTGCAAAAATCGTGAGATTCTTTGATAAGAAATGTAACTTGACCTAACCTAACGAGAATGAATAAAACTTGAAATAGAAGTAGAAGTAAAAGTAGAAAAAATGAAATTGGATTCAAAGAGAGAGGAGAAAAAGACAGAAAAAAGAAGAAGAAGTTGTTGTGCTTCTGCGGCGCGAAGAAAAAAGTAATTGTGGACAAAAAATGGAAGGACGCAAACACAAAATTTGCATTTGAGAGAGTTACAATTTGTTGTTCTAGTCATTTGAATATTTTTGTGTGTTGAAAAGAGGAAAATTGGAAGATAGTTCTTTGAGTTGAACGATTTTCAAGGAAAGGAAATGATCAAAAATTGGTTGCTAGAATAAAGTTGTGCAATATAATTCGATAAAACGCAAGAGCTTGAGATGATCAGAAACTAAAAGTCGGAGTGTGAAGAAATAGGAAATTGTTTTTGGAATTATTTCTAAGAATCGAAATTAATTCTTGGAAATTATGTAAATGTTTGCAAGCTTTTGCATTCTTCATAGATTTTGAGAAAATGTCTTCTTCAAAATTTTTCTGAATAAATATGTGAGCCAGCTCCAAAATTCCACTTTTTTTGAATTGAAAAATTTTGTGATGAATTCATATAATTGTTTCTGAGGATGAGAATGATTTTTGAAATCATGTTCTTTGCATCATAAAAGATGTGCAAAATTTTCAATTTTTTTTCGGAAAATTGAGAACATTTGGTTATTTATTTAGAGTTTCACGAAAAATTCCAGATTTTCAAATCTTAAAATAATTTTTTCTTTTTCTGAAAACTTCACACTTTCACATGTTTTGTATTTTTTGAAAACAATTTTGCTGTAAAATTCCGGCTTCATAAATTTTCAGCCCTAAAATACGAAAAAAGTCAGAATAAAAACGCTAGAACAACTAATAACAATATTTATATATTTTTTCGAGAGCAACGAAAAAAAAAAAGAAAATCCGCTCCTTTCCCAAATCCTCCTCTGTCGCTCCTCTCATTTGTTGAAAAAACTAATAATCTCAGTCAGTCAGTAGCAAAAAAAAAACTACGTCAGACAAATTATTTCTTATATTTTTTCCGCTTCTAGAAAAATGAGAGAGAATGTTTTTAAGAGAAAAATAGATGGGATTTTTTGAAATTGGAAAAACTGGAACACTTTTGAAAACAGGAAGGTCAGAAGTGTGAAAAAATAGAAAAGAAAGTAAAAAGTTGAAAGGAAGGAAGGTAACACGACGCAAAAAAAATAAACAAAAAAGGCGGCACAAGAAAAAACTATGCAAACGAGACTCAGACGGTTAGACAAACGGATTATCGGAGGGCAAAGAAAACGAGGCGCAACAAAATGAAGAAACTTCTTGTGTGAAAAATTCAAAAATCAGTCAACATTTTCACCTGTTTTTTATTACAGAGAAAAGTGCAAAATGGCAGGTGAAACATTTTTTCTGTGCGAAGAAAATTAATTGACTAACCTCGTTTATCGCTTTACTAACAACTGATGATTGATGACTTGAATCGGTTAAAGGAGTGTCGAGAGGAGCAGATGAACTGAAACGAACAAAAAATAAATTGGATTTTAGGGGGAATTTTTCAGAGACAAATGGACTTTAAATTAGAAATTCGTAAAAATGGCATAAATTTGGATTTTTCAAATGGAACACATCAATTTTCGATTGCCATAATGTTGAATATGGAACTTCGAAAGACAGCAATGTATACAATTTCGGAATTTAGGATTCAATTTCAATAAAAAAAGGATCATTTTAAATTCCGGAAAAGTGAGGGTACACCTCACACAACTCGCCCAAAATATAGTTTTGACGTGGAAAAATTGCACCCCATTTTTTTTGGTTTCATAAACATATTTTGGGCGAGTAGGATTTTTTGGAATTAATAACTCTTGGGGTATATTTTTTACTGTCAAAGTTACTGTTCAGTGAATTCGCGAACTTTTTTGTCAGAATGTTTCAAAGTATGGAAAAAACTCACGCTTCAATCGAAGTTGAATACGACTTTGCGATTCCTGTAAAACATCTATTTACTCTATTATTATTTTTTAAGTTAGTTAGATTAGATAAAATCAAACAGAGTTAAAAAATCAAATAATTAAAAAATACAATTATTTTCATTTTTCAAAATGAACAAACATTGATTTGATCGACGCAAACACAAAAAAAAAACATGTTTTTCAGTTGAGAAAAATATGGGTTGTTGAAAAAATAACGAGAGAAAAAAGAAAGACAAAGATTGATACTGTTCATTCAAACAACAATAAATAAGACTTTTTGTTGTCATTTGCAAAAAAAAAGGGTCAAACAAGAAGGAAGTTAGAATTTTTACGTATATATGGAAAATGATGAGATGAAATTGTGAAAAAATAATCGTGCATGACTAATCCAATGATTTTATTTTTCATTGTTATTTTCCAAAAAGTATGGTAACTACTCTCAATTTGGCTGAAAACGATGTAAAATGATACATTTACATAGACATGTAGCAGTAAGCCGAAAAGCTGGAAAAAATAAAACGAGAAAAACGACGAGGTGTTTATTTGAATTACTAATGGACCGAAAAAAATAAGAAGAAGAAGAAGAAGAAGAAGAAGAAGATATTCGAAATATATTTGAGAAAAGATAAAAGTCTGAGATGAAAAATTTTTTTTTTCAAATTCTCATATTTTTCAGTAAAATTAGAATCTAGACGATACTAATGTTGAAAAAAAAACGACTAGAAGAACCCAAATAACAGCTGCCTTGATAAACAAACTTTTTTCAGTTTTTACTAAAAAAAACGTTGAAAAAGAGAGACTAATAGGATTGGTATGTTTTTTTCGAAATATTTTTTGCGAGACCAGTCCAGTCCAGAATTAAAAATAACAACAACAAAAAAACATAAAATTTGGAAGTGGAATATTTATTATTTATTATACTCGCTCGTTTTTGTTGTTGTTGATTTCATATTGATGCAAAAGAAAAAGAAGAAGAAAGAGAAACAACATGTTCGAAATATGGAAAGAATGAATAAAAAGAGAATATCTCGAAAAAAGAGAGAAGAAGGAAAAATGAGAATGCGCAAGAAGAAAAAGAAGATGAAAATTTGATATGATATATCTAATTGTTATTGAAAATTGCCTATTTTTGACGATTTGCAATAATTTTTCAAAAAAAAAACGCATCCAAGATAATTTTATCAAAAACGGGCCCGAACATAAATGTAAATCCCAAATGGCGCAGTCTAGAGCTTCGCTCAGCCTGCGCCTGAGCCTGTGAGTCTGGTTGATTGTACTACAGTTTGATCTTTGAAAAATTCCAAAAAATTTGAATTCGAATGGTTAATTTATGCAATATCTGAAAATGATTTTTGATGTCATATGTTTTGCAACCGAACTTATACAACTTTTTTTCAACATAAGACGAACTGATCTTAACTTGTCACGCTTCTCATTTTTCAAAACATTTTTTCAAACCTATGAAAAACTAACTTGAAGCATTTTGCAATTGTTGATCAGCAAATCTTGTAAAAGTTTCATTTAATTTCACTGATATTCTTCGAGCATGTTCTTCACTTGGAACAGCAATGACCAATAAATCTCGATAATTTTGATTTTCCGAATATGGCGCAATATTGAATGAAAATATCGTCAAATCATTTTCTGATAAACAACCACATGAAGAAATCAAGGGAATTCCAACTTCAACGATTTTTTCATGCTGAAAACGAAAACAATAAATAATTATTGTTTTTGAGTATGAAAAAAGCTTGCTTCTCACTGTTATTTTTTCAATCACATTGATTTTGTCGCTCTGTACAACTAATAAATAATTTGTGAAATCGACATTGGTTTTTGACAGTTTCCGAATAACTCCTTGTTCTTCGGCACGATCAAAAATTCGCAAGAAATCAGTTCTTCCAAAAACATCTAATTTTGCATAATTCTCATTGGGAATCATTCCAATATACTGAAATATTTATTTTTTTTTTATTCATATTTTCATAGAAATTTTTAGAAAACATACATCGATGGCAAATTCGAATTCGTCCATTTTGGATGAGCACGAGTAAATAAATATACTTTTTTATGAAAGGAAAACAAATATTAGTTAGCAACAGAAAAATCGATAATTTGTTATCTTTCTTGAAAAGTAAATATAATAAATTGTTTTGGTTTTGATGAGCAAAGTTTGAAAAAATCGATTACCGTACTACAAAAGGACAACAGCTTCAACATTTTTGCGAATTCTCTCCGCATAAATTTTGAAACATTTTCTAGGTTTCAGAAAGATGAAATTTCTATCTGCTTTTTTTGAGAGGCTTTGAAAATTGTTTGCTCGAAATTGAAAAAAATTGAAAAAAAATACAAGAGATTGTACATTTTCACATTTCAAGGGTTACTGTAGCTGAAAATCTTTAATTTGCCCAGGGCCGCTTCAAGTAGTACGGATTACTGTTGTGTAAGGGTTACTGTTCAAGAGAAGATTTGACACATTTTAGATATATCCATGGTTAAAAAAAACTGGTGAGTTTTTTTGAAATTTTGTAACGTTTTCTAAGTTTCACACAAACTTTTGGTTTGATTTATTTTTTTCAATGATTCTCAAAAAACAATGTCAAAAGATCAATGTCTTTCACTTTTCAAACGCTCTACATTTCCCAACTTTTTTTTCAAGAACTTATGATTCACCGTGTTTTTTGTACCTTTCATAAAATAGTGGGTTTGTTATCATATCATTGGATTTCAAAATAGGATTATTTTGAATCATCTTAACTTTTTTCTTGGTATAAAACCTCAAGATGCTATCAGGTTTTATCATTATTTTTTCGATCAAGAAATTAATATGGCCTCGATTCGTGAGTTTTATTTTGTTTAAATTTTTTGAAGCAGAATTGCTGTTTTTTGTTTATTCACAAAAATTCATGACCTTTTCGGTCAATTATTTATCGCATGAGTATATTTTTCGCAAGAGTCATTTTTCGTATGGATTTTTTTCGCATGAGTATTCAATTTTTTGAAGTTTTGATTTTTTTTAATTCAAAATTGCACCCTTCTGGGCTTTCAACTAAGCCTAAGCCTAATAAGACTAATAAAGCCCAAAAATTGAGGTTTTAGCTATTATTTCATTCAAGGCTTAGGCTTAGTAAACGCCCAGAAAAACTAAAAACTCATGCGAAAAAAAGTGGCTCTTGCGAAAAATTACTCTTGCGAAAAAAATACTCATGCGAAAAATAAACTCATGCGAAAATTTCCTGCGAAAAAAATAATTGACCATATTTTCATAAATTTGAAATTTAGAGAACTCAACAAATCTCGTAAATAAAAATCTTCATATTTTCAGAATCGGTATTCAATAAAAACTCAAAAACCAAAGACGATCTTCTTTCTCGTCAAGAAGCCAAAAAAGCTCTTGAAACTCTTGATTATGATCTTGATAACTTCAGTGATGACTGGAAAGCGAAATCAAAAAATGGATTTTTAGATTTTTCGGGATTCTCTGAAATCTTGGATGAGGCTTCGAAAGAAATTGCAGAACGAACGAGACATCATTCAGAAGAGCACAAAAATAAAACTCATCGGAAAAAGACGAAAACAGTGATTGAGGAAGATGAAAAAGAATCTGAATCTTTGAAGAAAAACGAGGAAGAGAAGAAGAAAAAGAAACAAAAGTCGAAAAAACATTCGTCATCTGATTCTTCAGATTCATCCGATTCTTCCGATTCTTCTGATGACGAAAGTTCGAAGAAGAAACGGAAAAATAAGAAGTCATCAAAGGATTCAGAATCTAAATCTAAATCTGACGAAAAATCGCGACATTATAAGAAAACTGTGGAAGAAGAAGAAGTTGATGAAGAAGAAGAACATCGAGAAACAAATGATGAAAATATTAAATATCGAAAAAAAGATAAAAAGTTGGAGAAGAAAAAGGAAGAAAAGGAAAAAATTCATCATAAATGTTGTTGTGGAAATTCGGAAAAACATATTCATCGTGAGCATTCTTCCCATCAAAGTCATACTGAAATATTGAATAAATATCATGATTGTTATAATTGTCAAACACTTTGTCCAGTTTGTGGAAAGTAATTCATTTCAATTTTTTGAATAAATTTTATTGAATAAATATTTGAGGATTAAAACTTTTCTATGGGGATTTTCATTACAGCTACTGTTTGATCTGAGAATTCAGATTAATTTCCAGCACACCTGGCGAGTCCCAACCGACATTTTTTAATAATATTTCATCGAAATCCTCTTAAGACCCAAGAAATCCAAAAAAAAACTTTTAAAATATTGAATGTGGTGGAATTGCTTGGCCATTCTTCGTGGTGAATAAAATGCACAATTTTTTCACAAAAAATAAGCTTTCAATCAAAAAAGTTCATAAATAATATTTCAAAATCAAAGAAAAATCGATAAAACGAAGAAAAAACCCAGATTGACGGAACACAAAAAATGGCCTAATCAGGAAGAGATGGTGCAATCAAAATAGAAATAAATAAGCAAAAAAAGAAAAAGAAACAGGGTTAGGGGAATGAATGAGGGTGAGAAATATATATTTAAAACAAATAGTAATATCACATCACTTTTTAGTCGTTGTTGTTGTCATTGAAGATGAAAGATTCTCGAAGAATCGCGTAGTTTTTTGTTTTTGATCACGTAAAACAGTTGAGGCTCGAGTTAGGAGATTGTCGAAATTTGCGCGAAATGTTGATCCACCGGATGATTGAATTGATGTTTGAGATGAGATTTCAGGCTGAAATTATTGAAATTTGCTTAATTTTAGGGGATACTTTGGAAAAATAGAGGAAAAGATGGTTTTTGAACAGGTTTTGAAAACTCAACAAGGAAGGATTTACAATTAAAACAAACCAGATCAATCACACAATTTGCTGAAATTTAAATTTTGATAGATTTTGGTTGAGAAAAATCTCGGCTGGAACCAGAAACTAGGTTTATATTTTTAAAAAATTGCAGAATTTTTGAAAAAACCTGTTCCAGTAAAATTTTCCATATTTTTTTCAAAAAAAAATTCAGTTAGGGAAGAATCAGGTTCAAACTACTTTTATTAATTCCGAAATTAAAACTTTAAAAAATGAATTTGTTCTTCGCAAAACTCAAACTTTAACCCCATCCCCTTCGACCCTTAAAAACTCACATTATTTTTCAAAAGGCCGCACTCGTTGTTCCCAGATCCTCCGGCCCCAATGGGGCAGGCGGCTCGTCCGGAAAATCCGGGACATGTGTTGCTTCTTCCTCTTCATCTCCTGTTGTTCTTGGATCATTCGTTGAAACAGTTTGATAATTTCCACCTCCAACAATTTCGACGAGAGCTGCATCAGTTGGAGTTGGTGGAGGGAAGAGTTTGACAGATGTTGAAGATGTTGCTGTCATCATATCAGGTCGTTGAGGAATCTGCAAAAAAAAAACTTTTCAACTATTTTTATTTATCTTCCTTTTGTTTTATCAGCATTATGGTCCATTATGGTCAACGAGATATGGAAAAGAACTGATTTTATGAGAAAATTTTGAAACATACAATTTTGAGGTTTTTGAAAAATGTTTTTTTTTCCAAATAAAAAAACAAAATTTTCTTATTTCAGAAATACATATTAACAACTTTACAAATTCAACTTTGACCATAAATTTCCAAATAATTCTGACTCTTTCGGCCCAAAAATTATATTTTTGAAAATCTTCAAACCTTTCGGAGTGAAAGAATAGTTCGTTCAGAAGTATCTAGGCCATTTCTGAATTTTCTTGTGTAAAATCAATTTTTCCGTGATGAACCGGACTTTTTTAAACAAAAATTTTCTAATTTTTTGTAAGTTCTCAGACAATTTTTTGTTTTCAAAAACTTACAGGCGGCGGTAATTCTTCTTCTTCAATTCCCAATTTCTGCATACAATATGAAGCAATACACTGATGAACAAATTTGAATTGATCCTAAAAATCCCATTTTTCTTCAATGTTCCTCCAGGCGACAAAATTACCTGTGTTTGTACCATACTTGCTCTCTGTCTTCTCAATGACATAACCAATTCAAAAACATCAATTTTCATCAATGCATTTCTTCGAATTTGTTCTCTAACATGATTTACAGCAATTATTGTTCCAGTTCTTCCAACTCCAGCACTACAATGAACTAAAATTGGAGAAGTTGGATTGATTTCATGAAGTTTTGCCATTTCTTCAATCATTTGTAATAACTGTTTATCTCCTGATGGGCAACCATGATCTGGCCATTCTCTGAAAAAAAATAAAAATTAGGTGTATGAAAAAAATTTTCCATTATTTTTCAGCATTTTCCGAAAAAAAAGTTCCCATTCAAAATTTCAAAAGCAAACCAACCTATAATGTAATTGATGAACCGTTCTTGTTTGTCCCGTCGTCAAATTTTGCATCAACAATTTTCGCAACAAATATTCATCGTCATTGAAGAATATTTCATCTTCCAATATTATTTCATAATCACCAAATAATTCTTTTTCATTTACACGTTCTGGCCAATATCTTTCACATTTGATTTTGTCTTGTTCGACTAATTTACATAATATCACAATTAAGCTGACTTGATGTTCATCTATCATTTTCCACCTTTAAAATGAATGGTTTTCTATCATTTTCACACAATCATAAATTATTTCATTCAAGCGTATTTTATTGAGGTAGAAAAAAATTTAAAAAACTCACCATTCATCCAATGTGGACGGCAATGGTGCTTGAGCTGCAATAAATCTGGTTTCACCACCAGGTAATTGTACAAAAGATGCATTCATATATCCATCCGGATTCTCGTCATCCTTCTTTATTTCTACACGATTATAATCATCTGCAAACAAATATTTTGATAAAGGAAACATTTTGTGAAGTGGGATTTGTAAAAAAAATTAAATTCGAAAAATGTTTTCTCTTTGAATTCAGTAATTTTTCATGAATAACCATTTTGTTTCAAAGACTTACAAGGCAATATATCTCTATAACGATTTCTGGTAAAATGTATTGGAGAAACGGCACAAGTTGATGAAAACTCAGTGTCCATTCGAAAACGTTCTTGCTCCATGCGAATCATCTAAAATCAATCTGATTTATCAACAACCAAAAAAAATTGCTCACATAAAACATTCTCAAATAATCTTGATATGCTAGCGATGTTTCGGTAGTCAAAAATTCTTTCATAACTTCTTCCATTCTTTTCTCATCTGATAATTCTTGTTTCGCTGGCGAGATTCGACCATTCTGTTGTTGTTGTAAATGTGGAAAACCTTCACCAGTTGCAGCTCGTTCTTCTTCACTTTCAAATTCAATTAAATCTACACGACTTGCTATTGGAATATCTTCATGGTCTAATGGTGAAATTTTCGAGGCTACTGTAACAAGCGGACGAGAAGGTAATGGTGGAGGTGAAGTTCGGGTTGTTGGTTGAGATATTGGTGATTCGATTTGGATCTGAGAAATTTAGAAATTGAAAAATTTTGGGTGAGGATATTCCTAACAACAACTTCGAAAATTTTGGTTTACGAATTTTCATAGAGAAGAATTATTAAATTTTTATGAAAAAATTTAACAAAAAATATTCTTGAAAACTTTCCAAACCTTTGATGTTGAAACTAAAATCTAGTTTCAATCAAAAAAGAAACAAAACATTAATTATTTGTGTAAAAATATAACATCAGTGTAAAATTTGACAAATGTTATTTTCTCGCTAATAATTTCCAAAATGTTATAAAAGCCTACCAAACTTGGTCCATCATCATTCCAGCCTCCAGGCACATCAGCCATTCGTCGTTATTTTTCTTTTCTTCAAGTGATATACAAAAATAAATTTATCCAGATTCTGCAAAAATCAATAATGGGAAAAATGAATAAAAAGACAGAGAGAAAACGACTATACAACAACCCATAAGTACACACTTTAAATAAAAATTATAATATTCAGGCATTCGAGAGCTTTTCTTTGCTTTCCTTCAGAATGGGGTGCTAAAAATTTATGTATTTTCTCTTTCTCTCTCTAGAATAAAAAAAGGGATTTCGAGAAAAACGTGTGATCAAAGCTAGAAATGGATAATCTTCTTTTCTTAGAATCAAGAAAAAATTTCGCATAGTCTAATCCTTTTTACTAAGAATGACTCATTTTTGCTCAAATTAAAAAATGAATGATTCTCAGAAAAAAGAAAAGATTTCGAAATCGCTCTGAAAAAAGCCGAGAAAGGGGAAAAGTGACGCTATTTCAAAATATTAAATATTTGTGAATCAATATTTGAATATTCATTTTTTATCAGTAAAAAATGCCGGTTGGCAGAAAAAAATGAGAGGGATCAGAGAGGCAGAAAATGGTATAAAATTTTGAAAATCGCGTGACACATTAAATTTTTTTCATTTTCAAATTTCAAACTCTTTTGGGCGGAGCTTTTTTTTTTGAAAAAAAACGGGAAAAATCGATAAAATCATATTAAAAAAGTTCAATGATTTTTTTTGATTTAGTTAGTCAGTTAGTCAAAAAAAACGCGAACATACAGGTGAACAAGAAAAAGCGAAACGAGAAAAACAGAAAAAAAGAAGAGAGAAGGCGACCTCAAAAAAATAACGAGAGAAAAAAAAGTGGGATGACTGGACTGGCGCTCGCCTAAAGAAAGGAATATATATGTGACACACTGCAAACACGCCAACGAACATATGCACATTTCAATTGAGAAATAGAGAAAGAGAATATTAAAAATGAGATCAAGAACGGATTTTTCCACATTAACATAATTAAATTTATTATGATTCATGGTGGAACATATTTCAATGAAACAAAGTTGGGAAAAGTTCTAAAAAAAAGTTCGGAATCGTGCAGAATTATAGAGCTGCAAAATTCGAACATATTTGGAAAAGCTTTAACGAAAGCTTATGAGCTTTGAGCTGAATATAACCATCTGTCGTCAAAAAATTCACCTCTGAACATTAGTGAGAAAATGTTAAAAATATCAAATATTTGTGGTTTTTTGATAAAGGGATCATGATCAGAGAGGGTCAAGAAATAATGAATTCTGCTAGAGAAAAACTAAATATTTCATAACAAAAGGCTAATATCAAAATGTTTCCCACAAACTTTTCTTGATTCGAAACAAAATCATGAGATGTATATGTCACGCTATGCCAGCCGATACAAAAATCAAATTTCTGGGAGACGCAGACTTTTAACACAGGCAGAGACATCTCTCGCCGTTCCTTCCCCCTCGGGCGATATATTGCACTGTTCGCAGAGACAGCAGACAAGCAGACACACACAAAACATAGCGCTTGGCCGCGCCGGTTTTTCGTCTGTCGCTGCGTTTATATACCTCATCGGCATCGCCCTTTGATGTGTTGAGGTCTCGCAGCGACTTTCTAACCGAAAATGAATGTCTGCGTCTCCTCGAATTTGTGTGGTGGCACGACGTGATGTTTTGGCTGAAACACACTTCGTACTGGTTATGCAGCCTGCTGTGTTTTGTGGAAAAATGGGCGGTCCCTATTTTTTTCAGAATTTTTTTCGTTCGAAAAATATGAGTCATGTATAAACTCGTGCTGATTTTTCAAAATTAATTTCTGAGAAAAAACATGTAGCTTTCTAATAACTGTTTGAACGCTAAGTTTATGGATCTAACATCTGAAAACTGTTCAGCAATTCGTACCTGATTTTCCTATTTTTTGACATTTATAAAAAAAATTTCAGCTGCAATTCACATGAACTAAATATTGAAAAACACATTTTCAACGAAGAAAAAATGAGCTTAGCTCCGAAAAAAACTTCAATCTCAATATATTATCTAACCTTTGAATCTTCAAATTTCAAGGTCTTCTTCCTTTCTCTTCAAAAAAAAAACACATAAAATATATAAAATCGGAATGAGTAACCGAACAAAAACATAAAATAAAAAAATGAAAACAAAACAAAAAAATAAATCTTTATTTTTTTCTTTTTCCCTAAAACTTTGTATGAATCATCCTCGCAACATCGCAAACTAATCGATCATTCAACCGATTTCCCATAATTTGTACAGCAATTGGATAATTCTCTCTATTTTCATTTTGTGTTGATGGCACGGAAATTGATGGAATCCCAGCTAAATTAGCTGCTTGGGTAAAATAATCATCATCGTCTTCTTTTGAATATAAAGTATCTCGAAGTTCTGAATATTTTGGTGGTTTTCCAGAAGCTGTTGGAGTTATTATAACATCTAAATTATTGAAAGAATTGATAATCTCATCATTGATAAGACGTCGAATTTTGAGCGCTTTTTCATAATATTTTGATCGATATTTTTTCATCAAAAAATAATTCCCCGCCAAAATTCTTCGTCGAACTACAGTATTCAAACTTTCGCTTCGAGATTCTGCATACATTTCATGAGTTGATGAATTATTGGAAGAACGATGACCATAAGCAACACTGTCATATCTGGAACAAAAACATTCTTTCTTTTTTTGAAATTGGGAAGATTCTTTCAATTACCTCGCCATATTTGAAGCCACATCAGCAGCTGCAATCACACTGTAACATGAAAGTGAATATTTTGTGTGTGGTAAAGATATTTCAAATATTTCAGCTCCTTCGTTTTTCAGAACATTTATAGCGTGATTCCAGATTTTCCATGCATTTTCTGATAACTTTTCATTGTGGTATTCTATCGGAACTCCAACACGAAGGTTTTTCAACGAATCGAGATTTTCTGATTCCGGAAGATCGATTGATGTTGAATCATTATCATCAAGTCCTCTAGTTTTGTCTAGAAAATCCCAACATTCTTCGGCAGATCTTGCAAAAATCGAAGGAGCATCGAGTGAATTCACAAGAGGAATAAGACCTTGACGAGATAGAACACCGTATGTTGGCTTCAGACCAAATATTCCGTTGAAAGCAGCTGGATTTCTGGTTGAACCACCTGTATCAGACCCGAGAGCTCTACAAAAACATATTTATTTAAAAAGTGTGAACTTCTCTTAACTTACACATCAGCTATTCCAGTTTGTACGGCAACAGCTGAACCTCCTGAACTTCCTCCAGGAATCATCCAATCTTCTTCAATTCCTCCTTCACTTCTGATATTGCTCTTAACTGGTCCAAAATGTCCTAACTGTGAAGATGTTCCCATGCAAAATTCATCCATGTTAGTTTTCCCGATTATACATCCACCTTTTCTCACAATTCGATCAACTACAGTTGATGTTGTGGGTGGAATATAATTGGCTAGCATTTGAGAAGCACATGTTGTTGGAGCATCTTTTGTTCTGAATAGATACATTGAAAACTTAAATTAACAATTATATCATTGCAGCTTTAATCCCAAACCTAAAGAAAGAACGGAAAAATTAAAAGTGTGTGTCAACACCAACTGGTCCGCAAACATTTAATCTTACGCGCTGACGCGAAAAGGCGCTGCAGAATAGAAAACACGCTGCTCGCCTATTGTATTTTTTGGGGATTTTCAAAAATGGGAACCCCCCCCGGATTTTAAAAGGGACACGTTAAATGTATGAACATTGGGAACCCTGAGAGTCTTTCAAGCTTTGCTTTTCCCAGGGAGAATACTAGTAAAAATAAAATAAAAACTCACAAGAAACAATCTTTGACAACGATTGGAAATGGTTTCAATCCATTTTCAATTGCTTTTGTCGCTTGTTTTCTGGCCAAATCGAAAGTCTCGCTCACAAATATGCCATTTGCACGAAACTTAATTGCTCGTTCAATAGCATTTTCGATTTTTTGCATGAATTTCTAATTTTTCGGGCGGCAAAAAAAGAAAACAAATTTTCAAATGACAGCATTGTGCAGCAAACATGCTCTACCGCACTCTCGTTCTCTGCTGCTCTCTCGAAAACACACAATGCCTCGTGTGCCACGTAAACGGAACGTTGAAATTTTCATTTTTGTTTTCTTTCTTGCTGGCTTTTTCAGTCTCATTGCTTATGGATTCAACTTATTGAATTCGTTTTTCATTGAATCGATATTCAAAGTTATTCTTCAAGTTCTCATCTTTTCGTTTAATTTTTCCCTTGAGAGAAAGAATCAGAGAGGAAAAGGTGCTTTTATGTTGCTTGCTTGTATTATAATAATCTTGTTCCTTAAAAAATTCGTTTCAATTTAGATGTCTATCTTTATCGATAAAAATCTCCGAAATCCAAATAATTTCCCTCATCCCCATTCTGTCTGTTTTATAAACGAAATCAATATTTTCTTACCTATTCTCCCTTAGCAACTACAGAATATTTGTATTTATTTCAGCAATGCGGGTACTGATAAGCCTTCTTTTGTTCATTTCTTTATTAGTCGAAGCAGATGAACATGATCATCTCTACGAAGTTGACGAAGAAGTTGTTTTATGGATGAATACAGTTGGACCATATAGTAATCGACAAGAAACGTACACATATTTTTCTCTACCTTTCTGTAAAGGTGACAAATCTCAAATTGGACATTATCATGAAACGATGGGAGAAAGTCTATTGGGTGTTGAATTGGAATTCTCCGGATTAGATATCAAATTTAGAAGTGAGCCTTTTTTTCTTGAAATTTAACAAACAATATAATTTTCAGCCAATACCCAAAAGACTGTTTATTGCAAAAAGGTTCTATCTGAAACTGATTATAAGACACTTTTGTATGCAATTCAAAACAATTATTATTATCAAATGTATTTGGATGATATGCCAATTTGGGGAATGGTTGGAGAAGTTGACACAACTACAAATCCTCCAACTTATAAATTATACACTCATAAACGTTTGGATATTGGTTTCAATGATAAACAAGTTGTTGATGTTAATTTGACTTCTGATGGAAGAATCGAAATTCGTCCAGGAATTGAGATCACTTATAGTTATGAAGTTGTTTGGCAAAAATCGGAAGTCGATTTCGAGAAGAGATTCGACAAGTATTTGGATCCAAATTTCTTCCAACACAGAATTCATTGGTTCTCAATTTTCAACAGTTTTATGATGGTTGTATTTTTGGTTGGATTAGTTTGGATGATTCTTGTCAGAACATTGAGAAAAGATTATGCCAGATATCAAAAAGATGACAGCTTGGATGATTTGGTAAATGTTTTTGAATTTTTATTAAGAAATTAGATGCAACTCAAACCACGTTAAAAAATAAACGTGATTTTTTATTCATTTTGTAAAAAAAATGATTTTACAGGGTGTTTCATAAATAGTGTTACAAGAGTTGTTCATCTTTAGGTCAGTTTTGTGAATGTTGGGAAATTCCAATCGTTTTGGTCGTAAGATCAAAAATGTAGGGTTTTTCTCCCTCTACAAGAGCTATCTATGTAAATTTGACATAAATGTGTTTTGGACTCTGTTTATGACGTGTAAACAAAAACGAATTTTTCGAAAAATCATTTTCTGGCACGACGGTCTTTCCAAAAATGAAAAGCCATGAAATCTTTAGTTTTTTTTGAGTTTTATGGCTTAATATGATATTTTCTAATGTAAACAATGTTTCTAGTAAAAATTTCACACAACTCCAGATATTTATTATTTTTTTCTTGAACTTAGAAGAAGATCTTCAATTTCGACTGAAACTTCGGATTTTCCCGATTTTTCGACAAAAATATCGTTAAAATCGAGTTTAAATTTTGATGTAATCGGTCAAATCAGTTATTTATAGAAGAAAAAACAATTGTGGTACAGAAATAATAAATATTGAGTGGAAAAAATCATATTTTTCCACAAAAGCTAAAAAACTCAATTTTATTTTTTGAAAATTTCGAAAAGTAGGTTCACTTTAACCTCCCAGATACGAGTCTACAGTAATGCTGTTATTTTGTCCGTTTTAAACTAACGAAATAAACCCGTCAAAATGGGTTTTCGAAAGTTACTTTCGGCAAAAGACCAATTCCAAAAATAAAGGATCTCATTGAACGAAAAAAATCGTGCGTGCAACAGTGACCCTCCACTGGCACACTTGAGCTGGTGGCAATGGTGTGAAAGTTGAAATGAGATGTTATTCATTTTCAAATCTTGTCATACCTACGTTCGGCTAAGTTTATGTCAAATAATATTGAGTTTTGATCTTTTGCCTTTCCCTAGGTGGGCTGTGCAAGTTGTAACACTATTTATGAAACACCCTGTAATTTATTTTCCTTGTAGGACGCAGATCTTGGAGATGAATATGGATGGAAACAAGTTCACGGTGATGTTTTCCGCCCACCAACTACACCAATGTTGTTTGCCAGTTGTATTGGAGCTGGATATCATGTTTTCACTGTTGCTGTCATCACAACTATTTTGGCTATTGTTGGAGAATTCTATACCGAGTAAGTTGGTTGAAATTTTCCGGAATTTGATAAAGTTAGCATCATTTATTAGGTTTCGAATCGAGTAATAGAGCCTTCAAATCACGAAGAGTATACCTATATGACTCGAAACGTTTTACCTTAATTTTTCTAGTATTATCATTGTTCTCAATTTTTTATTGTGAGAATATTGAATTTTTAAATTTGAACATTTCGGGAATTTCTAAAAACCCAGATACGTTCCCAATTGAAACATGTGAAACTTTTCATATTTCGAAAAAAATGCTCTATTTCCAGACGAGGATCCCTTCTCTCTGCTGCCATTTTCGTATATGCCGCTTGTTCTCCAGTCAATGGATATGCTGGTGGATCAATGTATGCAAGATTCGGTGGAAGAAATTGGATCAAACAAATGATGTTGGGATCTTTCTTGTTGCCAAGTTTGGTTTGCGGAGTCGCCTTTTTGATAAATTTTATTGCTATTTATTATCATGCATCAAGAGCCATCCCATTCCCAATTATGGTAATTTTTCTTTTTTCTTGATTTGAAAGTATCAAAATGTTTTTCTCGCCGTTTTAGCTCGCTGTTTCCGCCATCTGTATTTTTGTTATCCTCCCTTTGACTCTTGTTGGAACTGTTGTTGGAAGAAATATGGCTGGAACTGCTGATTATCCATGCAGGTACAATTTTCAAGAGTTTTGAAAATTTAGAGAAAAATGTCTTTTCAGAGTAAACGCTGTTCCTCGACCAATTCCTGACAAAAAATGGTTTGTTCAACCATGGTTGATTACATTGGCTGGTGGAATTCTTCCATTTGGATCGATTTTCATTGAAATGTAAGCATACATAAAATGGGTCCCCAGAATCGGGGTGAGGGGCTTAACTTTTTTCAAAAATCTGAAGGGAAGGGTGCCTAACTTGGTCAATTTTCTGCTGATAATTTACCGAAATTCCCTGATTTGTCCGAAATTCGCTCAAAAATGTGAGGAAGGTGTTTAACTTTGGAAAAATTTTCAAGGAGGTACCCTAACTTTGAAAACTGACTCGGGGGACCTATTTTATGTATGAATGTAAGATGTTCATAAGAAAAGATGAGCTTTTGTACTAAAAATTAAAGAGAAGATGCACTAAAATTTTCGAAAAAAAAATTAATTTTTGATAAAAAATCTGATATTATTGGTCACTGTTCCGAAAATACATATTTCAGATTTCTTTGAAATTCAGATTCCGATTTTCGCTTGAATTATAACTGTTTTCAGCAAAAATTTATTCAGCCAGTTTTGAAAAAGTCAAACCTCCTAAATTAAAAAAAATAATTAAAAACACCAATCAATTGTTCATTGTCAGGTATTTCATCTTCACTTCATTCTGGGCCTACAAAATCTACTATGTTTATGGATTCATGCTTTTGGTCACAATCATTTTGTCAATTGTTACTGTTTGTGTCACAATTGTTTGCTCATATTTCTTGTTGAATGCTGAAGATTATAGATGGTGAGTTCATTCAAAAATAAAGATCAAATCAGTTTTTAAATTTTTTTCAGGAGATGGACCAGTTTCGCATGCGGAGCATCTACTGCATTTTATGTTTATTTGTACTCGGTTTATTATTTCTTCTTCAAAACAAAGTGAGTCCTTTTTTTCGTTGAAAATTATTTAAAAACAGAAAAATACATTTTTTGAAAAAAAAAACTATCAGAATTTCTCTAATTACCTTTGAAAATTATTATTCAAGTCTAAATTCTGAAACAAAAATCGTTGAAAGAATCCATTTTTCAATTTTGATACTTCAACTCAGATTTTGATCAAAATTTATGAAAAAATCTGATTGGTACGCTGAAATCAAACGATTTTCAAAAATGTTCGATCTTGCTTTTGATTAAAATTTCAAAAATCTGTTTGGAAACATTCCCTCAAATTTTACGTTTCAAGATAAAATGAAATTTATTTGATTTCTGATATTTTCAAATTTGACTTGAGATAAAAACAACTATCTTTATTTTCTAAACATCTTTCTCTGGCTTGTTGAAAAAATGATAATTAAAAACTTTCGAAAAATTCTTCGAAGATTGATGTCAAATTTTGACTCAAAAATTATAATTTTTCGAGAAAAAAAATACGTTTCAAAACTTTGAATTTCCATCAAATTTTTTTTCAATTCAGCAGCAAAACCAAAATTGGAAAATTCTTAACATCTGTATGAAAATTCTGAATCGATTACCCAACTCATGAGATATGCATAAAACTTTAAATACTATTTTATAATCTTCAATTCTTAGCTTCTCACTCACTCTCTGAATGATTTTCATTTTTTTTTGCAGAATGTATGGCCTTTTCCAAACTGCATTCTATTTCGGATACATGGGTATCTTCGCAGCTGCATTGGGTCTTATGACTGGAACTATCGGATATGTCGGGACCGCCAAATTTGTTCGAACAATCTACCAAACCGTCAAAATCGATTAGAATCGAGGTATTTTCAAAAAATAAACATTGTTTTCGTCTTCAATTGGGTCCCATTTTCTCCTTCCCCCTTTTTTTCGAAATAATAATTTTAATAATGTGTTTTGTTTTTTCGTCCCCCCAAACCCTTTAAAATGTGTAATTATTTGCTTGGTGATATCGTATAATTTATTTATTGGAAAAATAAACACGAAAATGAGAAATGACTAGAAGAAGCTGACAGAACACAAAAATACTGAAAAGGCACTATGCACCGGTAATTATTATGGGGGAAATTGAGCACGGTGTGTTGTTTTCGGCAATAATCAAACATATACTAAATATAGATATATTGGTATTTATGTTATATACAAATATTTGTTTTTTTTTCGAATTATATTCTATGAGGTTTTGTCATCGGCGAAGCTGACTTTGGGTTTTGGAGGAACAGGTGGACCAACTTTTGAACCAGCGCCAAATCCATTTAAATTATCATATGCCATATTTCTAACATCAAATTCATCATCAATAATCAGTGGGAAATTTCGAGTTTTTGGTGGTCTTCCGGGTGGCGGCCGATTCAATGTTGTTGCACTATTTGTTGTTGGAGTTGGAAGTGGAGCTTTTCTCGGAAATGTTGAAGAAGAAGTTGATGACATTGGTGTTGTGAACGCTGGAATATGTCGAGAATCTTGAACTGGGCTCATTCCACGAGCTGGTCCGTCAATTAATTTCGTTTCAATTATATGAACTCGTTTCGGTGAATTTTCTTCGATTTCAACTTGTTCAATTGTTTCAAGTGTTGCATGAGTTGATGGTGGACGACGCATTTGAATTGTTGATAATGGAGGGGTAACAGGTCGAGGTGGAGCAGGTGATGTGCTTGATCTCTGGAAATATTGGAAGGTTATGATACAGTGAAAGAAAATTGAAAATTATTTTCAAAGATCAGCGCATAGAACTCCTAGTTCTCAAGTAGCCGCGCCTAAATATCCTAATTGTCTTGGACACTCATAAAGAAGTTCGCTCTGGCAAGGAGCCACTTTTGAGCTCTGAATATTACAGTTTTTTTTTAAATATATGTACTTTTCTCAAAATTTTATCACCCATAACTGTTCGACCTCAACCCTTTATCTACTCATTCAAATATGTTGTTGAACTCACTTCACTTCTAATACTTCTTGGCGACATTGCTGAAGATGGTGGTGGTGACATAGATGTTTGTTTCAAACTAGTTCCACATTCAACTAATAATTTATATGCTTCTTGTGCAGCCGAAGTCCATCCTTCTTGTTGTTTTTGTATTGTTTCAAATAATCCACCTTCAATTTCATTTTCTTCTTCTCTTTTTTCATTTGTTTTTTGTATTTCTTTCATTCTTTCTTCTCTCAATATTTCATCTGTTTTTCGATGTTCTTTCCATGATTTTCCTTCGATTTTTTCCATTTCTTTTTCAGTCATAAATCGAATTTTCGATTCTTGAGAAGAAGAAAAATTTGAAGTTGATGGTTTATTTGATGTTGCAGATTCAAGTAGTGGTCGATCTTCGGAATAATCACAAATTGTGCTAATTGAATAATTTGTAAGGTCACGATTTAGATGTTCGATCTCATCAACTAATCGACTATCGGCTTTTGATGGTGATGTTGGAATTTCTCGCCTGAAAAAAATTAATTTAAATTAGGAATGAACATAAAAAATGAACTGAATAGATTTTTTGTAATAGAAAAGACATTTCATACAGTTTCATGGCTATCGGTTAAAATTTCGATTTCAAATTTAATTTAAATGTTGATAGAGTTTTCAGATGATCTTAAAGTTTAAAATTCGAGGGATTTTACAAATTTAAAAATCTTCCAGCATCTCAATACATACAAAAAAAACTACATGGAAAGTTATTTTTTTTTCATTTTTCAAAACAATTTATGAAATTCTGAAATGAGTCTGGAAAATTTTCAAGTCTTGAATTCAAATATTTTTTTGTTCCAACCTTTTTCCGAATCTGAAATTCGAAAAATCTTACCCTCTGGCATAAACTGCGGCAATTGGTCCTCTCGGCGCTGGAATCGGATCTCTTGTCAAATTTGTCAGAGTAGTCGAAGTTGTTGAAAAACTTGATGGCGATAAATTATTGCAATCATCAAAAGTATCGTCATTAACAGCCGCCGATGATATCGATATTCCAATTCCGTGAAGTGGTTGTTTCAATGAATTTGGATTCGATAAAGGCGGAGCAGTTGGTGTAACACTTCCACGATCAGTTAATCTTGGTGTTGGGCGTGGTTGAGAATACATTGGTGGTTGAGAAGGTGCACGAAGTTGAGGTGGGGAAACTGTTTCACGCAGGTTTATAGCATCCTAGAAAATATTCAGTTTTTTATTTTATTTGTTTTTAATTCAAAAAAAAAATAAACTAACTCTACTTAATGGTCCAACATCTCTTAATGACATAGTTTCTTTAATCGATATTCCATTTCTCGCTGGATTTTCTCTCAAATGAACTTTCGAACTATTAGCTGATGTCGAAGATGAAGCATGCGATAAAGATGGTGATATTTGTTGCGATCCTCTCGATGAATTTGCAGATGGTGACGTGGATGTTGGAGCCATCGCTTTCTTATCTAATTGTAATAATCCAAAAGCAGTTCCATCAATTCCAACATGACAAGTATGTCGAACATCTCCAACAGGTTCAGAAATTGTCAGTTTTTTCTTTTCTCTTTCTCCAGCTTTATCTTTTTTGCTACTCTTTTTCTTCTCAATTTTCTCGCCATTTCCAGCAAATCCATTTTCAAGTGATCCATTTGAACAAGGTGGTTCGGAACCCAAATGAGCGACAGTGTCAGATGGGCGGAACAACCCGAGTTTGCCGTTTCGAAGTGATCCATACCAATAATATCCATCTGGATATTGTTGGGGTCTGCAAATTATTAATGCATATTAGATATGTTGAAATTTGGGATTTTTTATTGGAGAAAAAAGGTTAGGAATATTCCAAAAATTGTTTCACGTTTTTTGAAAAACCATTTTTTTGAACACAAAGAAGCATGTGTGCTCTATTGAGAATTGGCCGATTTTTTGGATTTTTTAAAATTATATTCTTTTTTTCGTCAAAATTTTACAGCTCTTTTTACGAGTATTATAGAATCCATAAAATTTAAGATGAATAGAAATGTTTCAAAAAAACTCACGATCTACTAATCACAACAATCAAATCATCTCGTTTAAAATGTAAATGATCAGCAGCCGCATCTCGACAATCAACAATTGCTCTCACTGATTGAGCTCGTCGCTCCGGAAAATGTTCGATTATTTCAGCAAATGTTGGCCTATCTTGATATTGATGTGTCCAAGTTTCTTTGAGCATATCATACATATCTTCAGGGCAAGCATTTGGACGAAGAAGTAGCTCTTTTCTGAAGAAAAAAAACCTTTAGAAGTTAAGAAAAATGAAATAGAAACAAAAAACTAACTTTCTATCAACAAGTTCCAAAATCTGTGCTCCAGATTTATTTTTCCACGGCATTTCACCATACGAAAACATCTCCCAAATAGTCACACCATATGCCCAAACATCAGATTTCGAGGTGAATTTCAGAAAATTGATACATTCTGGTGCACACCAAGCAATTGGAAGTTTCAAATTTGGTGTGAATTCAGATCGATAATAATCTTCACCAACTCCAAGACTTCGAGAAAGTCCAAAATCAGAGATTTTCACAAGTTTTGGGCTGAAAACCAAAACATTTCGAGCTGCCAAATCACGATGAATCAATCTTTGCGATTCCAAATATGACATTCCCTATAACATTTAAATTATGATTATAATTCAATATATTTATAAAGGGTTTATTTACCATTGCAATCTGTTCGGCATAATCACATAAAACGTGAACTGGAAAAGAATCTCGCAATGCTGGTTTGTGAAGACATTCAAGAAGTGAACCACATGTCGCAAGTTCGGAGACCTGCAAAATTCAGAAATAAAAATATTTTGAATATTTTTTTTAGAAAATAAGAAAAAGTTCACGTGTTCCATATTTTTAACATTTATTTTGATGAATAAAATTTTTGATCATTTCTAGTTTTTGAAAAATACATTTTTCCAAATCATGAAGAATTTTCAATCAAGTTTTCTTTCAAAAAAATTCCTCACCAGCATAATTTTCTTGGTGTCTAAAACGACTCCAAATAATCGAACAACATGATCATGTCTCATTCTTGTCATAATTGCTGCTTCTTGTAGAAAACTCGTCGATGATGCTAATAATTTATCGGATCCAACACATTTTACAGCAACTTGTGTTACATCTGTTCCAGTTGAATTTTTCCAAGAAGCTTGCCAGACTGCACCAAATTCACCTTGACCGAGTTCTTTGCAAAGTGTGATTCTGAAAAGAGAGAATAGGTTTTCTGAAAAAAACATCACAAAGATTTAAAAACAGTGTGATTTCGACCCGAATAACTCTCAATTTTTGGCTCAGCTCCAGATTTTTCAAACAAAAATTTTTCAATAAAATTAGAACCTACCTTTCAATAGGAATAACATGATGATCTTCATCTTCTCGATTATTAGCTTGTTGTGTTCCATTTCTTCGATCCATACTTTCAGTTCGTTTCAATGCTTTTCGAACTTTTCCAAATAACCCACTCGGATACATTTTCTCATATTCTTTTCGCAATCTTTTCTGTTCCGGTCGACTCATTCCTATAAAAAAACAAAAATAAAATATAATAATAATAATTTTTTTGAAAAAGTAAGCAAACAGACTTTTTTGTCAGTCAACAAAAAGCAAAAGAAAAAACATACCAATCGAAGTAAGATCAACCTCTTCAACGTATTGCAAATCGGCAGCATTTCGAAGTTTTAGCTTTCGTCGAAGTTCTGATTCATAATCTCGAAGATCAGCGGCGATTAATAATTTATTCAGTGTCAGATCTTCTTCCCGCATTTTTCTTATATTTTCTGCCTGGAAAAAAAATCCGTTATAATATAAAAAGTTTAACATTTTTTATTATTATTGGAGCGGAGGAGGGGCTATAAAAAATCGGTCTCTTTCAAAAGTACTACACACAACATTTATTTATCAAACATACAATTTCGATAGAGCGAATTTGCTTGTCTCTCAAATTACGGTTGGTTAATTTGGAGACAAGGACAATGATACGCTAAATTGATCACGAGGACAAAGAAAATTAAAATGATGAAAATCATTGAAAATAAAATAGTTTTTCGTTTATGTTAGAAAAAAACGGGCCGTTTTTTTCAATAAAATAAAGAGGTGTGAATCATTTCAAAACAATTTTCAATTTAAAACATTTATGATTGAGGAGGAAAAAAATATGCCTGTGAATATTATAATTTTTTTTGAAAAAAATGTGAAAAAATATTCTAGTCGGATTGAACGCTCATTTTTCATCTGAAAATTCATGTGGCTTTTGTCAAAATTTAAAAATATTTTTGAAACTTCAAACTATTGATGAAATTCGGGTAAACCAGATGAAAAAATAATTCATTCACTGGAAAAATTGAGAAAATTACTTAATAAAATCGCCGAATTTTATAACACTGAAAATCAATTTTTTTGTGAAGTTTTCAAGTTCCGAAATTTCAAAATTTTTCCACGTCATAACTCTTTCTCAGAAATTCGCTGACTAAAATATTAAAAAATCCTAAATTCTTCCAAAAAATAATGGGATTTTATATTGCAGAAAAAGTGGCCAGAAAATGTTCATTCAAAAAAAAAAACTAACTACGAGAAAACGATTAACATTTCTTCTCAGAACAAGCAAAAAACACAAAACAGGCACAGGAAACGTTAAAATTTATTGAAAAAAAGGAACCCGAACCGAGAGAAAAAGAGGAATAGAATAGAGAAAAGGAAAAGAAGAAGAAGAAGAAGAAGAAGAAGAAGAAGAAGAAGAAGAAGAAGAAGAAGAAGAAGAAGAAGAAGAAGAAGAAGAAGAAGAAGAAGAAGAAGAAGAAGAAGAAGAAGAAGACCCATGAATTTTCACATCCATCAAATTGTTGTTAGGAAAAGAAGAAAATGACCAATGGAAAAATGAAAACGAAAAAAAAAAGATTTCGGATTTTCAAATGGGAGAGACAGAGAGAAAGATAGTATGATGAGTAATTGGATGAAATGAGAAACAATTGGAACAGTGCCAAAAACAAAAAAAGAGCAGCAGATTAATTAGTGTTTTTGTTTTGTTTGGATTGTTGATTGGTGCAAAAAGGGGAAAGTAATTAATGTAGGAAGAATATTGGAGAATAGAAAGAACAAGAAGATTAATTTTATTCAGGAGAAAAAGAGGGATTTTGTGAGTTTGAATGAAATCACAATTTTAATGGAACTTTTACAACAAAAACACAATTTGAAAAAAACAGGAATATTTTTGAATTCAAAAATAGAAAAAGCCGAAAAAAACACAAAGCGATGAACTTCAGTGTTTATAAAATAATATTATTATTTTTCATAATAAAAGGACAAAAGCCTCGTAAGCGAAAAGATATAAATAAACAAATAATCGAATATCTTTTTTGCCTTATCTCTTCAAATAAAAATATACGATAATTTGAATAAACAGATCTTTTGAAACAGAAAATTGATTTTTGTTTGTTACACCTGGATTTCGATAAAAATTCAGGTATTCATTCATTCAATTTCTCTCGAAAACTTCATTCGCTGACAGAAAGAAAAATTGAAAAGAGAAACACTAATAGTACGTTTGTTAGGTTCGGTCAAACTCTTCAAAATTATCTAACAACTGTCATTTTCATACACTCTTTGCTATGATGTAAAATGTTCCGGCGATCATAAAATTGAGGTTGACAAATTGTTAGAGTTTTTTGTGGGTTTTCATTTTTTATCCAACTTTTTTTTTTGTGAAAAGGGAAAATGTTTCGAAATCGGCTGGAGCTTTTTCAGCAGCAAGATTGCTATGAAAAATATTCAAAAAAAGCTAGAAGAGCAGAATGGAAATTTCAGCATTTTGAAAATTTGAGGTTTGAAATCCCGAACTTTGAAGCTCTATAAACCAGCTTACAAATTCATTCAGACTCTATAAAATTTCTGGTGAGTTTCTCAATACTTTCAGCTTGTTTCAAAAGATGTTCATTCGAGAGAAAACTTGCGAAACAAAAAATTTAGAAGAAGAAAAAGCTACTTAATTTACCCCAAAAGGAATGCAAAAAAGTAGTTGAAAAAAAAGAAGAAAGTGATTTGTTTACACTAAAAAAAACATCGAATTGTCTTCTTTTTTCTGAAATTCTAGTTGCATTATGAAAAAATGTGTAAAATAAAAAGTGCATGGAAATATGATGCCTGCAGTCAGTCAGTCAAAACATTGTGTCATTCATTTTATTGTAAAAATTCGAGAGGAAAGAGCAAAGAAATATTTATAATATTTGACATGAAAAAATGGATTTATTTTAGAGGGATTTGTGATAAATTGGAAAAGCTTTGACAAATTTGAATTTTTGCGGAAAAGATTTTGTGAATTGTTAAAAAGTAAACAAATTTTAGGATTGAAAACTTGCTAATCAAAATGCAAATTAGAAACTTGATTTTCTAACAAGTATTTGGAGATTATGCATAATTTTATTAAGATGAAACTGAACATTTTCTAGCAATAAAATAATTGTGAGAAAATCTCCCATAAAATTTTATAGAAAGAAAAAGTTATCGAGCTTCGAGGTCCAAAGAATGGACAAATTTGGTTCTTGAAGGTCTTGAACCAAAACTTTTAGAGTTTTTTTCCGTTATTTTTGAAACAAAAATCACATGATGACAAAGTTTTTTTTGATGACTAAAAACTAACAATGGTCAGCAAATAAATAGTTATTTTTTCAAATATCTCAAAAATTCTTGAATTATTATCTCAGTCATTTTTGTTCCTATTTCCGCTCAATATATTTCTTGAACTTTATTATTATTACATCTTTTCTATTTATTTCGTTTCCATAGAAATATCCGATTTGTCATCATTTCTGACACATTTCCGACAAAGATTTTCATCATTTTTCTCGAGAGAGATAAATAAGTTCACTTTTAATAAATATTATTCATTTATTTCTTATTACTCTAACAGTTCTCAAATCAATCAAAAAACTTCGGCAAACACTTAAAAAGGGGAGATTTTCTGTGATTCCGGCAAACACTTGACCGCCTTTTGTATCCCATATTTAGTTCTTTTTGATTCTTATTTATTTACTGGTAGATTATAATATTAAATATTTTTATGCCTGATTGAATGTGAGCAGCTGATTCTCACACTTTAATGAGGTGCAACAAGCGGTGATTCAATTAGGCTTATTTTATTATTTGAAATATATAAATTTGAATTGAAAATACTCACCTTCTTTTTCCTAGACGCCTCCAATCCAACACTTTTTGAGCACAAACGAACTTTGAAAAATATTTTTTTCGAAAAAAAAAACAAAAACATTTCTTGGAGTACTGTACATTTAAAAGGCGCATTAAATTTGTGTTGTGGTCTTGTCCCGCGTGCGTCGAGACCTTGTGCGCCGTTTTCAATTTTTTGAAAAAAATCATTTTTTTGGGACAAAAATTTCGGGAAAAAAAGTATTTTCGCGTGACATTTCCACGCCAAATCGAAAGTTTCATTTCGATTTCCTGTTGTTCTTGCAATTCAGATGAAATCCAAGCGAAATTCAACACGATTCCCATAATATTTACCCTAATCTGACCCCAATACGGTATAATATTTCAGAAAGTGTCAAATATTTGTTCAATTTTAGCTAAATTTCTCGCTGCCTACCTTGCATTGCTTACCCTTCCCTCACTACTCTATTGTTAGCTCTAGCGCACCTTTTCGAAATGCAAACATTAGCTTGGTTATATTTCATTTCGATTTTCACACACACTCACAAAATCGCATTACGATTTTTTCATTTGGCCACAAAGGCGGCTCTTTTTATGAATGTTCTTAAATATTGATTGATTCGTATCTATCTGATGCAATATTTTGATAAAGGCTCATTTTTTATTAAAATTGCTGTTTTACGAAAAAAAGGGCGCCATTTCTTCAATTTTCTTCTCTAATCCTCCATTTTCTTCTGCTCCCTTTTTTCCTCGCACCGCCCACTTTTTGTCCTTCTTTTTTTCCGTCCTCGTTTTCTTCTTTTTTTCGCGAAAAAATTCTCTGGTCCTAACATAAGACTAAAATCATTACTTTGTTTCAGAATGGCGACAAAGGACGCCCTCATCGCCGAAGAGGGAAATAATACTGGAGGAGCAGCAGTTTTTGATAAAGTAGGTTTTTATTATGATTTCTCTGTACTATTTTGGTGAGAAATAGGAGAGTAGAATGTGTGAATTGATAAAATCTCATCCTTGATTTTATCTTTTTTTTTTTCAGAACGCGGAAATCGTCAATTTTGAAGTCGAACCTTTATCGATTGGTTTAACCAAAGAACAACTCGAGAAATATCGAAATGATCCATTTTGGAAGCCAGTTCGAACAATTCTTTTTGCACTTTTCTGGATCGCATGGATTGCTATGTTTGGAGCAGCCATTGCAATTGTTCTTTTGTCCCCAAAATGTGCTGAAAAACAAAAACCAGATTGGTGGCAAACTAAAGTTTCTTATCAGGTAATTTTTATTTTGAGTCTAAGAAAACATAGAATTGCAATAAAAAACGAATATTCGTATGGGCCATTCAAAAAATTTTACGATTCTTGAGAATTCCCATCTTTTTTTGTCTAACAATTGTGATCGATTACCATACAGTACCGTGCATAAAGATACACAATTTAGGTTTTTTGTCAATTATGCCCTGAAAATTATGAAAATTGTCTGAAAACATTTTTTGGGTTATTTTTGATGCTGATTCTGACCTTATTCACCATTCCATTTGATTTCATCTCGATTCCTGAAGTTTTCTGAATCGATGATCAAAACTCGATTTTTGGATATTTTCACAAATTTCTGAAAACCGTTGAGAAAAAATATTTTTCGTTTCAATTATCATTGATTTGTGTTTTCATGTCCTACGGGAAGATGTTAGCTCTCGATTCCGACCTCAAACTTAGGATATCATTGTCTACAAGGCTCATATTGAGAACTCTAGTAAGACCATCCAGAAAATCTGAAAATGCACAAATCTGGAATTTCAATGAAATTTTATCGTTGAATATTGTTCAAAACACTCTAATTAGATCATTCAAACCATTTTTCACAAAATTCCTATCAAATTTCGATGTTTTTACTCAGTTCGGACATTAGTGGATTTTCGATGTTTCTTTAGATCTTTGATTCGACAACATCAAAAACATCAAAATCAACTTTTTATTGTTGGATTTAATTCTCATAACAGTTATGAACACCGACTTATTAATTTATCCAGCTCAAACCATGCACCGGCTCGATATCAGTTCGATAAACATCGAACTACTAAAATAGGGTAATTTTATAAAGAAAACCAATGGAAAATGAAGGATTTTCATAGAGGTCAACTTTGAGCTCCTAACAATCTCAATTTACGACTGCTAGCACATTTATGACACTTGATAAACATGAACAGTCATCTAAAGAATAAGTTCGATCAATGAAAAGTCAATTTTGATGTTGTTGATGATGTAGAATCGAAGATCTAGAGAAACATCGGAAATCCAGTGATGTCCGAATTAAGTCAAAACTTCGAAATTTGATCGGAATTTTGTGAAAAATGGTTCGAATGATCTAACTAGAGTGTTTTGAACAATATTCAACGATAAAATTTCATGAAAATTCCAGATTCCTGCATTTTCAGATTTTCTGGATGGTCATACTGGAACCTTCAGAATGAGCCTTGTAGACAATGAAATCCTAAGTTTGAGGTCGGAATCGAGAGCTAACATCTTCCTGTAGGACATGAAAACACAAATCAATGATAATTGAAACGAAAAATATTTTTTCTCAACGGTTTTCAGAAATTTGTGAAAATATCCAAAAATCGAGTTTTGATCATCGATTCAGAAAACTTCAGGAATCGAGATGAAATCAAATGTAATGGTGAATAAGGTCAGAATCAGCATTAAAAATAACCCAAAAAATGTTTTCAGACAATTTTCATAATTTTCAGGGCATAATTGACAAAAAACCTAAATTGTGTATCTTTATGCACGGTACTGTAACAATATAAAGTTATAATAGATCGAAAAAAAGTAATAAATCCACAAACGCACCCATCCACCACATAATTACAATTTACTCCCTTCATTTTCTCGTCCCGTGGGATAACCGCCGCCTGTCAATATTTTATATCTTGACAATTAATCTTCTTATTTTTACTGCGCAAGAAGAACATCAAAAAGGGGAAAACATTTAACGACAATTGTTCTTCTTCAGGTTTTGACAGCAACATTCCGTGATTCTGATGGAGATGGAGTTGGAGATTTCGCCGGAATTACTGAGAAGATCGATTTCCTTCGCAAAATTGGAGTTACAACAATTTATCCAACACCAGTTCTTCAAGTTCAAAAAGATGAATATTTCAATTCATATGATGTTGTTGATCATATGCAAGTTGAACCAAGATTTGGAACTGAAGAACAATTCAAAGAACTCATCGAAACTGCTCATAACAGAGATATGTATATTGTTATGGATCTTCCGGTTTCAACAATTTCAAGCTCTCATAAATGGTTTGCAGAAGATCAAGATAAAGATTTGTTCATTACTGCGAAACCAGGAGATGTTGGATTTAACAGCACAAAATTCCATTCTTTCCATGGATCGAATACTTTGAAATATTTGGGATATCCAGGAGCATTGAATCCAGTTTTGAATTGGAAAAATGAAAAGGTCAAGCAATCAATTCAAGAAGCTATCAAGAAATATTTACTTCTCGGAGTTGATGGTTTCCATATTGATCATGTTAGTCAATTGGCTGTTGATTCTGTTGGAAATACTATTGTAAGTTTATATTTATTCTTCATCAGCGTTAAATCTGAGCTCTCATTAATTTTTTTATTTTTCAGGCTACTGATGCTATCCAAACTTTGAAAGAAATCACAACTTCGATCCGTGAATTTATCGCAAATCACTCTGAATTGTCCAGCAAGAAAATGTGAGTTTCTAAATATATTCCTTCAATTTTCATAGAATGTTTTCAGTGTCCTTTCTTCATCTCTCCAAGATATTGAAAACTTGCATTCTGATGCTCGTCAAACTGGTTTGCTCCATTATGTTATTGACAACTCATTCGCCAATTTGAATAATAATTTGTGTCTTCAAAACTTTAGCTCAGTTGCTAATTGTGTACACGTTGCTCTTGATAAAGCTTATCAAAGACATGAGGTAAGTTAAATAGACTTTTTTGAAAAAAAAATCAGTAAAGAAAAAAAAAAAGTAAAATGGGTAACTGTTTGAAGAAATCTAAATATCTTATACCAAATCATGTAAGTTTATGTTGTTTTTGTGAAACACAAACCCCATGAAAAAACACCTTTAGAAGAGCATGAAATAGTTTGAAAATACATTTGTTTTTATTTTTGTGCAATATTCAATTTCAGGCTGATAGTTATACTCCATATTGGCAATTTTCAAATGCTGATGAGCCACGTCTTGCATCTCGATTTGATTCTGAAACTGCAAATCTTTTATCATTCCTTCAATTAACTCTTCCTGGAGCACTTTCTGTTTATTATGGACAAGAACTTGGTTTGAAAAATGGATTGACAAAGACTGGAACAGATCAACAAAGAGGAATTATGCAATGGACACCAAAAGGAAACGATCATCATGGATTCACAAATGATGGAGGAGATTTGTTCTTTGCTGAAACTGAAGATACATTGAATCAAGATAACTTTGATACTCAATATGGACTCGAAACGTCGCCATTGAAAGTTTATCGAAAATTGGCAAAACTTCGACAAAGAGACGAAGCAATGATTGTTGGAGATACTGTTAGACACGCCATTTTGAATGATGTTATTGTTTTTTCAAGATATGTTCGAGCATCGAACAATACTGCACAAGGAAATGCTTATGTTGTTGCATTGAATTTCGGAGATTCGCAAGCTAGTTTGGATCTTGGAACATCACAATATCAAAAATTGTATCCATCTAACAAAAATATTAATAATGTTGAGGTGAGCTTTTTCAAAAATTGGAACAGAGGAGATTAGCCGCAGGCTTCCAGACTGCACTTATTTGGGCTTTAAAACCTTGGCTCTGTTCTGAATTTCATTCATTAAATCGAAAAAGGGTTTTCAACTAGTTTCGGATTTTTCATCGAAAAAATTAAATTTAATTTTGAATGTTGACAAGTTTTATTTCACAAAATGTTCACTTAATCTTGGAACTTCAAAATTTCAACCGAAAATCTTCATCTTTTTTCAGATTTCTGTTGTCACCACAAATGTCACTCAATATGCTGTTCGCCAAAAAGTTGATTTGGCCCTCGAACCATTGATTCTTCCACCAAAACAAGCCATTCTCTTCAAACTTTAAATGCATCCCAAATTTACAAATGTTTAAAAAACCCCCATTTTATATAATCAATCAATTTTGGAACTTTTCGAAAAATTCCTAACGTGAAATAAATTTTTGTAATATTTAGAAAGAAAAATTATTCAAAAAATTTTAAGTTATTATTCACGTGGCCCAATTCTTGATCTTGATTAAAAAAAGGGTCTAGTTCAGAATTCAGTCTTGAGCAGCTCATTCTTTTTTCTATCAAATCAACGATGACGAGTATAACTGTTGAACAAGAGGCTTTTGAAATGCCATCGGATAATAAAAAAGTAATGCTTAAAATCGACGATGTACATTTGCATTCTTGTGGAGTATTCAGCAATGTTTATAGGTAAGGTTGGCAGAATTTTCACGAGAAAGAGGATTTTCATAAGAAAACACAGTACTCCACGTGTTTTGATTTGTTTCAGAGGAAATCTACGTGAGCCATGCGAAAAGAAAATAGCTATCAAAAAAACGTGGCCTGAAAAAGGCGAACGCAACTTCGAATTCATATTTTTGACAGGAAGAGAACGTGTCAAACACAAAAATATCATTCAAATGAATTATGCATTCAGTCACAGTTATGGAAATAAGATTTGCGAATCATATGTATTTGATTATATGCCATATACTTTAGCTGATGTTATCAAATTTCCATTGAATGATTTTGATATTCGTTTGTATTCTTGGCAAATATTTGCAGGTTTGAAATATCTCGAAGAACATTGTGTTGTACATCGAGATTTAAAACCTGTTAATATTCTTGTTGATCATGATGATGGAAATTTGAAAATTAGTGATTTTGGATCATCAAAAGCGCTTGTTCGAAATAAAACGAATAATCATTATCAAGTGACACGTTTTTATCGTCCACCTGAACTTCTTCTCAAAGCAACTGATTATGATTGGACTGTTGATATTTGGTCGGCTGGATGTTGTATCGCTGAAATGATTCGAAAACATGTTGTATTTCCTGGAAGAGATTCAGCACATCAAATGAAATTGTATTGTAGATGTTTTGGAGCACCAAGTGATTCAGAAATAAGAGCAATGAAAGCAGAAGATACGCTTGAAATTGATGCCACAAAATATTTGAAAGGTTATGGATTGAAGAAAATATTGCCAGCAATCACATCGGAACAATTGGCATTTTTGAATCGTGTTATGGTTTATTCGCCTGGAAAAAGATTGAGAGGTCCAGAATTGTTGAAGGATGATTTTTTCAAGCCATTGTTCAAGTTAGTAAGGAAAATTTCGAATCTAACGGATTATTTTTATTGAAATCATAACCAAAAAAATATTTTCAGACCTGGCGCAATTCGTTCAAATGATGTTCCAGTCTCTTCAATTATCACACCATCGGATTATAAACAATCAACAGAACCCGATAATTCAACAGCATCCAAAAGATTTGCTTTATTATCGCTTTCCAAAAAACCAGTCAATACTCAAGGAATTCCAATTTGCGAGAAAAGTAATTCATTCGAAAATATTCCACATCGTCGATCAACTTTGGTTCCAAAAGAACAGAAAATGGCGAAAGAACAAAAATCGAAAGAGGATTTGTCGAAAGAAGAAGCGAGAAAAAGGTTTGGGAAGTAAGGAAAAAAGTGATGAGAAAATTCGAAAAATTGATCCGAGAAAAATGGGTTCGGCTGAAAATAGTGTTTATAATCAGAAAACACAACGTTCGATGATGAGATAAATTTGAAAGATTAATGAATTAGAAAATAAATTTATTTAGCATTTTGAATTTTCATTTGATTTTCTAAAAAATACCGTAGTTTTCACCAAAAATTATCTAAAAATTTGGATCATTTATGTATGACAAAAAATCTGACATAACCGGATTTGAATATAATTTCGGGTTACTGTAGACTGTGTTTTTCCAAACTTCTGTAAACAATTTTCTAGATCCTTTTCAACCAGAAAATCTGATTTTTATTACAAAAATATAATTTTCAAATTATTGACCTGCAGTTTGGAAAGTTCAGTTTAGACATCAAAAGAACAGATTCGAAATTCAATAAACTACAGTAACCAATAACAAAACATTTATTTTTCAATACAAATTATGGCCTCCTCCATTTGTTGGATTATTATCATTATTTGGTGCATTTACACTAATATTATTATGAGTTCCTTTTGTATGTCTCAACGGTGGATTTGGATCATATTTCAAAATTGGCTGACTATTTGGCTGATAATTGTGAGTTTGATATTGATGTTGTTGGAGTGAATTCGGAATTGGATAACCATCTTTTGGATTAATAAATTCTCTTGAACCTCCAATATAATTATAATTATCGTTTTCATCGTCCATTGTATAAGTTGTTGGTTTTACAATTTTTATTGGTTGATTGAAATATGCAGTTGAATTGAATAAATCTTCTTCGATAATTGCGGGTGGTCCAGTTATTTGTGTTTTTTCTTGGCCGGGTGTGCCTTTTAAAGTTGGAGAGAGTTCCATTTCTTTGCTTGCCAATATCATTGTCTTTGGTGTCTGCAAAATTGAATTTTTGAAGAAAATATTTTTTTTTTGTTTTTTACAGATTGGTTTGGAGATTCATTGGGAGACAAAACAAGAACCCCGAAAAGTTTCAAAAACATTGAGAGATCTAAAAAAGTGAATAAATATTCCCGATTCAACTTACATCTTCTTGCACCGAGAGAAGACTTGTCATTTGAGTTGGATTTCCAAGCAATTCCGAAGCACTGTCTTCTTGTGTATCTTCAATTATATCTTTCATTGGTTTCTTCTTTTTTGCCTCCACTTTCAGCTTTTTCTCCTTTTCATTTTTCTTTCCATTCTTCGCTGCTTTCTTTGTTGGTTTTTTGGGTTTTTCGGATTCTTGAGTTATCTCCGATTTCAAACTTTTCTGGGCCTGGAATAAATCAATTATGAATTCAATTATCAACTTTGAATAAATTTACCGATGTATGTTGTTCAGTTCTGAGAAGCGACAGATGTTCCAATCGTTCTTGTGTTTCCAAAGCTTTTGCGACTTCCCTGGCCAATTTTCTCTTGAAAACGCAAAAGTGATAAATTGCCAAACCAACATAGAAAACCGCTACTTGTGCTGCCGTGAGATAAAACACTTCTAGCTGAAAATTGAGAAGGATTCTCGAAATTTTTCTGTAAATAACACTTACGTAATGGTTCAATAACGCTTCATAGCCAGTTTCTTGTTTTTTATCCCCCATTTGTATAAATTTTGTGATCAATTTCAATTAGACATGATGTAAAAATGAGATCTTTTTCTCGAAAATTCTGTTTAAATACAGGGATTCCACGTATTCTGTGTGTATGCCAACAAATCATGACATCATCAATTCGCGAATTCGATGCGTCATTTCAAAAAAATTAACCTCTTTATAAAATTACCGTAATTTATTTATAAAAAAGAAACAATGTGTGTTTTATTCGGAAGGTCTCGAAACTGTGAGTAGTACTGTAGTTGAAATTTTTCGCAAAAATATTTTTATTTCGAATTCGCGCGAACTTGCGCGAGATCTCGCGAGAATGTTTGTTACTTTTCACTGTTTTAATTGACGAAAATTCGTAAATACGGTGATTCTTATTTAGTTTCATCATCTTTTCGAATAACCATGTTTTAAGTCTCGAAATTTGGTATCCACCCCAAAGCCACTCGTCAAAAATAAAATCTGAGTTTTCTTATTTCATTCCACTTGTATCTAGATTCCACGTTTTCTGTCTTTTTAAATGACTAGCCACCGACTGAATAAATACGTATACGTTGCCCTTTCCTTTGATGTTGTAAAACATTAATACACTTTACATGTGTGTACGTACACGAACATTTAAAACGACGAGCAATGTTTGAATTTTGCCGGCCAAGGTTAGATTTTATCATGTTTCATTTATTTTTTGTCTCGAAAGATAATAAAAGGTAGCGCATTAAAATCGATAACCTCTGCTAAATGGCACCATTTGTTATCATTGTACTTTTCTTTGTCTTGTCTTTTTTCGATTGTTCCAAATCTATTCGTTCCGATTTTTAGGACAAAACATATATTTTTTGAGTTAATCATGATTTCATAATTTTCTCAATGCGTAAATTTGTTTCTATAATAAGGGAATTTATTTCCTTTCTAAAATAACAAAGAGTTATCTATTTGCTAATTGCCAAACCATTCTTCAATATTTGTCTTTCTCATTCATTTTTCATTCGATCATTTTTTTTTCAAAATTTGCAGGTAAACTTCCCGTCGAAAAAATGTCTCCACTGCCAGAAAACACTCTTATTGGAATGTGCAATCCATTATTGGATATTCAAACCACTGTGCAGAAAGCATTCCTCGAAAAATGGGGATTGAAAGAAAATGATGCGATTTTGTGCGACGACAAATTAGTTGGAATGTTCGAAGAGTTGATCAAGGAACATCAAGTTGAATATATCCCAGGAGGAGCCGCTCAAAACAGTCTTCGTGTTGCTCAATGGATTTTGAACGCACCAAATCGTACAGTTTTCTTCGGAGCTGTTGGAAAAGACAACTATGGAGATTTGTTGGCTGAAAAAGCGACTGCTGCTGGAGTCAATGTTAAATATCAAGTTAATCCAACTGTTAAAACCGGAACTTGTGCTGCTTTAATCAACGGAACTCATAGGTAGGGATTCTAACCAAAAGCTGTTTTTATTTTATATTTTTTGATATTTTCAGATCTCTTTGTGCTCATTTGGCTGCCGCCAACACTTTCACTCAAGATCATCTCCAAACCGAGGAAAACCTAAAAATCATTGAACAAGCCAAATATTTCTATGTTACTGTAAGTATTTAAAGTTCTCAATATATTTTCCAAAATAAATATGGTTTTTCTAGGGATTCTTCATCACAGTCTGTCCACCAGCAATTCTTCAACTCGCCAAACACAGCAATGAATTCAACAAAACCTTCTCGCTCAATCTCTCAGCTCCATTCATTTCACAATTTTTCTCAGAAAAACTCTTCGAAATTTTGCCATACGTCGATGTTTTGTTCGGAAATGAAACTGAAGCTGAAGCTTTCGCTGCAGCCAACAAATGGGAAACAAAATGTGTCAAAGAAGTCGCATTGAAAGCAGCCGCTTTGCCAAAAAATACAAGCAGACCACGATTGGTTGTTTTCACACAAGGACCAGATCCGATTATTGTTGTTGAAGGAGATAAGGTAACATTTTTTTGAAGAGAAAATGATCAAGTTTTGAACTTTTTGGGAGAGAAATTCATTAAAAATTGATAAGAAAAAAATGATACAGCGGTCGAAAAACCAATTTTTTTTTTGGTTTTTTGAACCTGAAACTTTGGAAAATTTTAAATCCCTTTGTTTTCAAGATGAATCGGACCAGGATTACCATATCTCTTTCTTATTCATATCAGGCCTGAAAAAATCAGACATTCAGATTTCTTGCATACAAATTCGTAAAAATATCTGAAATTAAGTTAATCTACAATTTTTCTAAAATGAAATTTCTCTTGGAAACTCCTTTGTTTTTCAGGTCACCGAATATCCAGTCACCAGATTGGAAAAAGAAGAAATCGTTGATACAAATGGAGCTGGAGACGCTTTTGTCGGAGGATTTTTGTCACAATTCATCCAAGGAAAATCCATCGAACAAAGTGTTGAATGTGGAAGTTATGCGGCTCAAGAAATTATCAAGAAAAATGGATGCACAGTTCCAGAAACATGCAAATATCATTAGATCAATCAATTATTCGGTTTTTATAGCAACTCTCTTGAATTTGTTATTTTTCATTCCATTGTTTTTACCTTTTTATTTCAAATCGCGGTTTTTTATTAATTAGTGCCTTTTTTGATGAAAAACAAAATGTTTTATGGTTTTTTGTGGATTTTTTTAATAGTCTGATATTGTTGAATATTCCAGAAAATTTATTTTGAAAATAATTTGGGGGAAGCGAAAAGGGAGATTTGATTTTGCTAATTATAAATTCTGAATTAATACTTTTTATTGAGTCCAAATTATCAGAATGAATATGTCAATGCTTGAAAATAATTTATCGACTAAGGAAATTACTTTTTTTGCAAAGATTTCACAAGACCAATGTCCCAAAGAGCTTTTTTCATGAATTTGAAACGATATCATATTTAAACCTTTTTCCCACAAGTGTATAAATTATAGTTTTTTCAGTACTCGGCAAATGGTTAATTTCGAGTTTTTCGTTTTTTTTACGAAGCCATTCTCTAAACGGAGAAACTGTGAGCTTATTCCAAAACTGTTTTCGTTCTGGGTTCAAAAGATTAAATTAATGCGCGCTGTTGTTTGGAAAAGAAGATTACTTAAGTTCAAAAATACTCCGAAATATTTCTAATTCTAAAAAAAGTATCTTTATTGAACCCTTGAAAATTATGAAATTCAAACTTTTTCACACTTCTCCCTTTTTAGGTTTGCTTACAAAATTTCGCACAATTTTGTTTGCCTCAATTTTTCTCGAAACCATACAAGTTTTCTTTTTCTAGATTATGAAATACATTTTTCTGTTCAAACTTGAACTTTGGTTCAACAAAGCACCGCTTGCGTCTTTCATTCTTCCAATTGCTTTTTCTCTGCTCTTTTTTCTTTAAAAAAGCCCGAAGATCAGACATTGTGTATTGGACAGAAAAATCAGATGGGATTTTTGAACTAGTTTCATTTTTTGTCATCTTTGCAAATAATTTTAGATAGAACATTTTTAGTTTTCAAAATTTTTGTCTCTTTTCGAGTTAACTGATCACGATTCAGAATAATTAGGTTGAGGTATTTTGTTGAAAAAATCCGATTTGCGAAAACTCATAAGAAATAAATTTTCTGTCAAAACTCAAAAAAAAATTTTTTTGTACATCATCCCATCATTTTTCATAATATCTGCATCATTTTTTTGTTGCAAATATCTATCTATCTGATTAATTTCTTTTTTTAAAGATACCGCCTGTTTTATATCTCGAGACTATAATGTTCTTTGAGTCGATGATCAACAGTCATGTGAATGTCCCTCCTCCTCCCTTTCTCTTCGTTTTTTTATTGCCAAGCCAGTGTGTGTACTTTTTTCCCGTCCGTCCATCTGTTCATTTTTCTGTCTACCCAATTTTTTCTCGTTTTTCATGAGAAAACGAATTGTTGCCAAAACTGAAAAGACCTTCAAAATCACCTGAGCGACGTAAAAAGTGAAAATTGTAAATATTTTCAATTTTGCGACCAATAATATTTGGGTTGCTAGGGATTTATTTACTCAAAATTTCTGACCAAATGTGTATTCATTATTATTATTATTATTCATTTTCATTTTTGAGAGCAAAGAGAAAATTGATTTTCATTTCCCTGCTTCCTTGTTCTCTTTCGAGCAATTTTCGACGAAATTATTTTAATCTTTTCAAGGAAAAGGTGATTCTATTCACATCAGACAGAACGGCACCAGAAATTGTTTGTTATTTATTTCATGGTGGATGTTGAGAATCCACGTACAAATATAATCCAGGATTAATTCTCCTAGGATTTATGATCTTCTTATTATTATATCCAAAAAATGTGACATTTTAGATGATGGAATATTTTATCAACATTTTTCATTTTATAAAAAAAATGGATCAAACATCAGTTTCTGGGCCCTGTAGTTCTAGAGAGCTGAATTACTATTTTCAGACATAACTTCTGAACCTGGTCGATTTCTGATCATTCATTGAGAGTTTTTCGATCGGAAATTAGATATTCATGTAGTTCCCTTATTTCAAAGCGAATTTCTGATCAAATGATCAATAAAAATCCAAAATTTCAACGTGACCTACGCTTTCACGTTGGAATTCAGTCATTTTGAAATTTATTTTGAGTTTCTGAATTTTTATCAAAAGGTTAGCGTAAACATTTATTCGAAACTTTCCATTAGAAACCTATAGCTCATTCATATAAGAAAAATTCACGTTCACGAATTTTTCACAGAAAAATTTCGCCCTGTTATTTTGGATTCTGAATGTGGTACTCCTTGTAAAAAATTTCAAGTTGCTTCTCCTATTTAGTATTCCGCAAAAGTTCCAAGTAGTTCGATCATAGTCTTTCCAATTTGATAGATCAAAAATAAGATTTTGCCAAGTTCATAAAGTGTATCATGGAAAGTTTGAAAATTCAACCTGATCTTTCAATTTCTCTTCATCTTTTAGATATTTCTCTCTTTCTCATTTTCTCTTTCAAACACAAAAATTTCTCCAACAATTTTTCAAAAAGCGTGTGATGCCAAGCCAATATACAGCAGCACATGATGAACGAAGAGAGAAAAACGGCCAACGAAATAGTGCACTCTCCATTGATTACTCTGCGTCTTTCACCATTTCTTCCCAAAAAATTCTCTCCACCCCTTTTTTCTTTTCTCTTGTTGGTTACACAATTTCCTTCTCACTCTTTCTCACTGCCTTCTGCTTTCTTTCTTTCTTGTTTTCTTTTTTCTGATGTCTGCTTCTCTTTCTCAATCATCTTTTTTTGGCTTTGGTATTGGGGGCTATAGGTTATGTTATTTCTAAAGTCATTTTTGTAGATAAAACGCGATAACAAGAGTTGTTGTTGGATAATTTTGTTGGATTTGGAAGAAGACGACAAAAGACAACAACGACGAAACGCAGCAGTTTAACGAATTCGGGTTTACAGCTATTGCTGTAGACTTTTACAGCGGATGTTATGAACGCCAGACAGCATGAGCTGAGACTTGTGAGTTTTTGAAATATAAAGAAAAAAGTGATTATACAAAAAATTTGAAATTCAAGTCGAAAAAAATCGGACAATTTCCGAAAGTATTACATTTTTGGGCTCCCGAGTCGAGAGTTTTCAAAGTGGAACACTTAAACTTTTGAAAAGTAACCTTAATATTCAAGATTTGGTTACAAAACTGAATAAATTTCGAAATTTTACGAAGCAAGTTATTTTTGTAGATAACACTTTGATTTCGAAACCTCTCCAATTCTAAGAAAAAAAACTGATTATCAAGCCCGCAAAACTTTTATCTGACCCGATTTTTTGCAGACTGTCGAATTGCGTCAAGTTTATGAAGCGGTTCAAAGTATCATTCATGCAGTTTTATTCCATCGAACACTGGCAAAGGTGATTTTTTGGGGGCCAGTTCAAAAAGTGCACATTTTCGTTTTTACAAAAGATCATGTGTTTTCCGTGTGACCCAACCCTTTAAAGATAAAAAAGGAAATGATAAGATTATGGAGAAAAAATGTGGGGTTAGAGATGATTTAGCAAAAAAAAAAACAACAATCGAATTGAGAAATCGCGCTCGCATGCCCTGCGAGGTTAGATTTAATCGAAGAAATATAAAAGAAATATAGATCGAAGCTGAGATATTGGAATTTTTCGAATTGTCTTGGAGATAATAGAGTTTTGTGAAGTTGTGAATTCTGTTCTGAAAATGATTTTTTAATCACGGGAATTTGCATAGCCTCCAAATCACGATTTGAACCAAGGAATCAAGATATGATCAAGGCATTTTTTTAGTTTACTTCCCAAAGGGACCTTTTTTCCCCGATCCAAAATATAAAACATTCAAGATCACATGTTCTTTGAACTATTTCTTTTTTTTTCTATTTTCTCCTCTTTTTTCTCCGTCTTCCAATAATATGTATACATCGAAAATGTCTGTTTTTTCGTCACATGTGAAAAATTGAGAGAAGCAGACGGGTAGAGGAACTGAATGTTTGTTCTAACTTCTTCTTTTTCTTTTCCCTCTTTTACCAACAGAGGTCGAACTAGTAATAATGAACAAAGGAGTATTTAGAAGGGGGAAAATTGAATGGGCAGATTTTATCGCGTCGAAAAAAAACACATTATTTATTTACTTTTTGTACATAGTAGCCAAAAAAGAAGGCTAAAACCGTCTAGTAAGTAGGTGTTCGTTTTTGGTTGAAAAAAGGGGGTTGCGTCATAATGATGACAGGTGCGGGAAGGATGAGATTGAAAAAGAAAAACAACCAACACATTTCATCATTTTTCGAGGCGGGGGTGACAAATAGATAATTAGCAGCACACCGCAAAATGTTCTTTCACCCAGCCAAAGAACTTTTAGGACATGTCTCTAAAAAAAGGTCACAAAAAATTGGGGACCCAAGTAAAAACTGTACTCATAGGGCACTTTTTTTGGAACCACAAAAAATTGGAAAAGAAAAAAAGTTCAAAATGGGGAGGAAAAATGGGTCTGACAAAAGAGAAGGTTTTGGCTAGTAATTATCCATATTTTTAAAATTGGTCCCAATTGTTTTCCGAAAACCCTCTTTTCAACCTGATTTTTTGCAGTTCGCATACCAAGGCGAAAAGAACTTCTCGCTTGGCTCGATTGGCATCAAAGAAGTCGAATGTGATCATATTGATTTGACTTATGTGAGTTTGTGTTTTTTTTTGAGAATGGGAAAAGAATACCAGATTTTTGGAGAGTTTGTTTTTGTTGTTTTTTAGAGGCAAAAAAACAAATAAATAAATGAATGAGAAAAACAACACAAAAAATAATAATATTTTGGAAGGAAGATTGTATATATTTTGATTGAGAACCGGGGAATTTTTAAAAATGAAATCTTTCACAAATTTTTGAAATTCGTAAAGTTTAGGGGAATTTTAAAATTGAAACAAAATAAATTTTTCCAAATATCTACCAAAAACTTTTTTTTCCAAAAACCTGCAAGTTATCTAGTTTGCAACATGATTTTTGATCGAATCAAACATCTTATTTCACATATGTTCATTTTTTTTCTTTTATTTCCGGACACACCTATCAACCCCCCCCTTTCCCCCTCGAAAAAAAGATCAAATGATACATTTTTCTTCGTCTCGTGACCGAAATGACTGACTCGAAAATGTATAGTTTCAAAATCATCTTTTTTGTCGCCTGTGCCCCGTGTCTTTCTGTTCATCATCAGCTGACCTCCTCTTTTTTCTATCTCTGCTTCTCCGGCGACAAAAACTTGCATATATACATTTTTATTGCTCATATTAAACATGAAAAAAACTGGTAGACGTGGTGTTGTAAAAACAAAAAAAAAATACATCTAGTTTATTGTTAGATGAGGCAAAATTGTTTGATGATCACATGATTTTCGAGGAAAAAAACAACACAAACGACGATAAAGTGCATTTTTCTTTGTTTTGGGAAAAAAAGAGACCTGTGGCTATTTACTTGAGGGAGGAAAATCTAAAAATATCTTTATTTAAAGATAGATGGATAAATACTTATTGACGAAGAACAAACCAGACTTCGTCGAATGAACTTTTAGGACAACTGGAGGAAACTTGAGAGTTTGTTTTGTCAAACTCTAGAAAAAAATTGAAACAGGATTTTGGAAAAATGGGAAAATTTGAACAAAAATACCATCAGTTTTGCTTCAAAATCATGACAAAAATTGTTCAAAAATTAAATTAAATTTTGATCCGAAAAATCTGATATCTTTCTTGAATTCGTTTATTAAAGATGCGAAAAAATATCAAATAAAAATCCCCAAAATTTCCAATCATCAAGAAATTATTTCAGGCTCGACTAAATTCACCAGAATTATCAATGTGTGTTGATGAAGATGTTCGTCAATTTACACACGAAGTCGAAGAAGCATCATATTCGGGTTCAGCTCCACGAAGAACTCCATCAGTTGGTAGCCCAACAGACAGTGCAGTTCCACTTCTTCGCGCTCAAATTGGTCTCGATTTTTATCAAAAAACTCGTCGGCCATCAACAGCATTTGGACTTGGCATGTTTTTTGGATCAAATCAAGATGATACAAATGGAATGTGGGAACAATGGAAATTGATTCTCGACGTTTTTCGTGTTGATAGTTTTGATGAGTTGCAAAAAATGAAGCATAGTGTGGCTGATTCGATTGGTGATATTGTTTTGAATGTTTGTGAGCAATTTAATCAACCCGTTTATACACCAACAATGCCATCTGCAAGTGAAGTTTCGAATGTTTTTGATACACGATTCTCGGATTGTCAACCATATTTGTTCAAGATTACGAGACAAGCGGTGCCAAGTGAGTGTTTTTTTCGAAATTTGTAAACTGAAAATTGAAAAAAAATTGAAAATCCGAAAACCCAGAATTTTTTTTCGGGATTCGAAAATAAAATTTGATTTGATTTTTTTCACGGTTTCACTTCATAATAACCTGAAGCGAATAATCATCATACCACATTTCACGGAGTCTATTTCAAAACAATTCAATATTTATTTCAAAATATTTCCAATTTTCCCGAGATAACAAAAATTAGTTTCGACATTTATTTGACCAGTTATTTCTTTCGAAATCTTCCATATTTCAAAATCTTCACAAAACGTTATCATTTTCTTTTTCAGATATCACATTGCGCCCCAACTTTACACAAGTCAACTTCCAACGCCTTAAAGATGTCCTTCAAATTTAGGATTTTTCAATTTCTCCCCGAGCTTTTTCGCGCCAAAAAATCTCAAAGCACTGTATATTTCTTACTGTATAGTAATACACCAAAAAATTACTGATTCATTCATTTTGTTTTTCTGCGCCACCCACAATTATGTGTAAATTTTGTACATTGTTTATTTTTTCCATTCATCATATAATCTTCAAAATTCAAAAAAATCTCAAGTCACAAAATATGAAATTTGGGTTAATTCTTCTCATTCGTGGATTTTCTCCCCCTCTAAAAATGGTTCTAACAAGAATTCTTTTAATATGCATTTTTGACTAGACCTATATTTTAAAACAATTACCTCTTTCTCATTTTTTTCCCGGATTTTTCTTCTTCTTCGAAACGGGCCCTTTTTCTTCGTACTATCCATTTTATTGTTTGTTTTTTTTGTGATAAAATTGTTGAAAATTATTATTTTGTCTTGGTTTTTTAAGGGGATAGAAGTTGTCTTTCTTTCTGGAAAAATATCTCACGGTGGGCAACAAAATCGATTTTTTATTTTGTTGAAAAATTTTGACATTTTTATCATTCGTAATTGTTTTCGATTTATTTTCGTTTGATTAGAAATTTTAAATTAAAAAGAAAAAATAAAGTTTCAGAAAATGTCTTCAAGAATTCTGAGCGTTTTATTATGTCGACCTGCGGTTTCAGGTGATATTATTCCAATTGCAATTGGAAATTCGGAATTCTATGACGAAAATTCAGGAATGCCAAATGGTAAGGTTTTTTTTGGGAAATGCACTGAAAATTGGCAAAAACTGAAAGGGTTTTTCTGAAAGGGGGTTGACCCCCTTAAAAGGGGGTCAGAGCAAGAAGTCTGAAAGGGGGTCAAGTATAGTAAAAAGGGTTTTACTGAAAGGGGGTTAATCTGAAAGGGGTTTGACCCATATCACAAAAAGGGTTTTTCTGAAAGGGGTTGACCACTCAAAAAGGGGGTCACATTTTTTTTCAAAAAAGGGGGTCAACTTTTTTTTTCAAAAAAGGGGGTCAACTTTTTTCTCAAAAAGGGTTTTTCTGAAAGGGGGTCAACTTTTTTTTCAAAAAAAGGGGGTCAAATTTTTTTTTCAAAAAAGGGGGTCAAATTTTTTTTTCAAAAAAAGGGGTCAAATTTGATTTTCAAAAAAGGGGGTCACATTTTTTTTTTCAAAAAAGGGGGTCAAATTTTTTTGAAAAAAGGGTTTTTCTGAAAGGGGTCAACTTTTTTTTCAAAAAAGGGGTCAAATTTTTTTTTCAAAAAAGGGGGTCAAATTTTTTTTGAAAAAGGGTTTTTCTGAAAGGGGTCAACTTTTTTTCAAAAAAGGGGGTTAACATTTTTTTCAAAAAGGGGTCACATTTTTTTTTCAAAAAGGGGGTCAATTTTTTTTTGAAAAAGGGTTTTTCTGAAAGGGGGTTAACTTTTTTTCAAAAAAGGGGGTCAAATTTTTTTTTCAAAAAAGGGGGTCAACTTTTTTCAAAAAAGGGGGTCAAATTTTTTTTCAAAAAGGGGGTCAACTTTTTTTTCAAAAAAGGGGGTCAAATTTTTTTCAAAAAAGGGGGTCAACTTTTTTTTCAAAAAAGGGGGTCAAATTTTTTTTTTGAAAAAAGGGTTTTTCTGAATGGGGGTCAACTTTTTTTTCAAAAAAGGGGGTTAACATTTTTTTCAAAAAGGGGGTCAAATTTTTTTTCAAAAAGGGGGTCAAATTTTTGGGACGAAAAGCGGGTCCTGAGTGTCTAAGTTGTCTGGGCGTTCACTAAGCCTAAGCCTTGAATAACAGATTATTTACATTTAACCCTCTTTTTTTCCTCCAAAAATTACCCCTTTTTTTCAAAAATATTGACCCCCTTTCAGAAAAACCCTTTTTGAAAAAAATTTGACCCCCTTTTTTGAAGAAAAAATGTTGACCCCCTTTCAGAAAAACCCTTTTTGAAAAAAATTTGACCCCTTTTTTGAAGAAAAATGTTGACCCCTTTCAGAAAAACCCTTTTGAAAAAATTTGACCCCCTTTTTGAAAAAAGTTGACCCTTTCAGAAAAACCCTTTTTGAAAAAAATTTGACCCCTTTTTTGAAGAAAAAATGTTGACCCCCTTTCAGAAAAACCCTTTTTGAAAAAAAATTTGACCCCCTTTTTTGAAAAAAAAATGTTGACCCCCTTTCAGAAAAACCCTTTTTGAAAAAAAAGTTGACCCCCTTTTTTGAAAAAAAAAGTTGACCCCCTTTTTTGAAAAAAAAGTTGACCCCCTTTTTTGAAAAAAAAGTTGACCCCCTTTCAGAAAAACCCTTTTTGAAAAAAATTTGACCCCCTTTTTTGAAAAAAAAAAATTTAACCCCTTTCAGAAAAACCCTTTTTGAGAAAAAAGTTGACCCCCTTTTTTGAAAAAAAGTTGACCCCCTTTTTGAAAAAAATGTGACCCCCTTTTTGAGTGGTCAACCCCTTTCAGAAAAACCCTTTTTGTGATATGGGTCAAACCCCTTTCAGATTAACCCCTTTCAGTAAAACCCTTTTTACTATACTTGACCCCCTTTCAGACTTCTTGCTCTGACCCCCTTTTAAGGGGGTCAACCCCCTTTCAGAAAAACCCTTTCAGTTTCTACCCTGAAAATTTGATAAATAATCACGTGACCCTTTGAATTTCATTTTCACTTTTTCGAGAATTTTTGCGATGATGTTTTGACTGAAAATTGAACCTATGAAAATATTCTGATCATACTTCAAACTTTTCTCTAAATTTACTGTATTTTGTTCCCAACCGCTATAATTAAATATTTTTGTTACGGAAAACAATTCAATTTCGAAAACCGTGAGAATTTTGAATTAAATATCTCGTGATTTAAAAAACAACATCGAGGTGTTTTTTCGATATCACGTGGTAAATAACAACAAATTTGGTTGATGTCATAAATATATTTGTGATCGGAAAAACTATTTTTGCTTCGAAAAAATCCGAAAAATTGAATAATCGAATTAGAAATTCCCATCAATACTGTTTTTAGTTGCAATTTTTCCTAGACAACTGTACAATTCGTGAGAATTTGAAAGAAAATACATATCGCGAAATTGGAGAAAATTTTATGGGACGAATTGGGGATCATCAAAAATTTTGCAGATTCCGAAATCACTCGAGTTATCAAACAACGCGTCCGAACATATTTCAACAATGATGGACGAATTGAATTAGACGGATATAATCTACATTTTCTTGTTGTTGTTGAACCATTTTGCACAATGATTTATACTTGTATTGCTGAACAAGGACTATCTGAAGATCAAGCTATTCAATTTTTAGACACCAAAATTCGGGTATATTTATTCATTTTTATTTTCATTTTTTTTTTCAAATACTGTGATATTTACAGAGTATAATGGCTTCTTCACAACTTCAAATGGTAATTGATCAAGCGAATGCTTATGAATTATTAGGACATATTCAGCCAACTCTTTTGAGTTTTATTGTGAGTTTATTTTTTTTCGGATTTTGAAATACAATTATTGTTTTTTCCAGAAAGAACACAATCAATCTGTACCAACACCGCAGGAAGTTCGGATAAATTCATTGAGAGCACAAGTTGCAGATGTTAGAAATGTAAGAACATTTATTATTCTCAAGTAGAAATCTCAATTTTAATTTTCCAGGTTATGGCTGATAATGTAGAACGAATAATGGAAAGAGGTGAACAACTTGAGAATATTGCGAGAAGAACTGAAGATTTACAAGCATCCTCCATATCATTCAAATCCACAGCTCGAAGAGTTCAACAACATTTTTGTCAGAAAAATTTGAAATATACAATAATTCTCACACTTTTCTTTATTGCTGTTATAATAGCAATTGTACTTATTGTTCTTCATTCACATGGTGTTATTTGATCTTTTTTCTTTTTTTGCCATTTTTTCCAACTGTTCCTGTTCAACTTGTATCCACATTTACATTTTTCTGTACAAAAATTCATTCACATTTTCAGCAGCTTTAGAGGCTTTAAAAATTGAAAAATAAACATTTTCCAAATCAATTCCTCGTTTCGTTTTCTCTGCGTCTCCCGTTCCTAATTTCATCTCTAACACTGCGGTTCCCTTTTCTTCTCTCGTTTCATGTTCGTATTTTTCTTTGCATTTCACACTGCAGTTTTCATCCGCCCTTATAGCTCAGTGGCAGAGCGTTGGTCTTGTAAACCAAAGGTCCGTAGTTCAATCCTGCGTGAGGGCAAAGCGTTTTTTGAATTTTTGGAAACATTCGGTGGACTTTTTTTTGAGTATTTCTTATAGCAAACTTGAGAAATTTGGAGCCACAAAGCGATGATGAAAAATATAAATAACGAAGATTTCATTGAATTCACAGAGAATATAATAATATTATCAAAGTAAAAAAATTTGGCAAAAAAAGAGAAGCCAGAAATTCAAATCCCAATTTCCCCAAGTACGGTATTCCTCTGCGTCACTAACACCGTTTCGAGACCACATCATTGGGCAGAGAAACAAAGTCAAAGACGCACATATGGGTCTCGCAGCGACTGAAAGAAACACCGTACTTGGGAAGAGTGTCATTTGAATTTCTGGGCTCCGTTTTTTTGCCAAATTTTTTTATTTTGATAATAATAGATATATATTGTACAACATAATCAATACATTTTGCAAGCCCACAAATTAACAAAAGAAAAATCTATTCGTCGTCCAATTTGAAAGGGATTGTTGATTGTTGTTTGTTGCGAAGAATTGCGGTTGGTCCAGACACTGCTTTCTGTAATTATGAAATTTTGGAAACAGGGTTCTGGTGGAGATTAATGGGAATATTTAAAAGATAGGATAATTTATTCATGATGTGGTGTTTTATATCTTTAAAAAAACTATTTCATCTAATTCTATCCATATTTTTGAAAAAAAGTTTTGATCTAATTTTTTCACATTGTGATTTTTACAAGTGAGTTAAAATTGTTCAATTTGACTAATAGATCGTGACCGGCTGATTAAACATTACTAGAATGTATGCAGTTTCTCAAAAAATTAGAAACGATTTAACTGAAAACAAAAATTCGAATTGCCACGAAAAATTCCGAAAGGTACCTTTGGCTTACAAGAAATTATTCTCAAAATATAATTTTCAAACAAACCATATATTTTTCTCATAATGTTTCAAAATATCTAACCTTCTTTCCGAAAAGTTTGCTCGTACATGGCGACAACATGTTATCGGATGGTGATCCGATGTGAAGTTCGGCTTGAACATTTCGACGAGTTCGAACTGCAGCTGGAGTCTCGTGTGGAAGTGGAACTACTGGAGTCTAGAGAAAATAAAACTTGATCATCAACAATTCTAATTTTTGACGCTCCTAAAAACCTACTTTTCCTTTGTTTTCCTCTTTTTTGTCATCTTCGGTTGGTGTGACTTGTTGATTTTGTTGTTTTGGTGAATTTTCCGGTGTCTTGTTCATCTCTGAAATAATTTATACTTTAACAAAGAATCAATCAAAATTAGGTGAAATAACAGCTGCGAGGGAGAAAAAAAACGAGAAAAATTAGGAAAATGAAAGTTGGTCTTTCAAACGAGGAGCGTTCCCGCCTGTGCAGTAGAGCGCGCATGCATCATTAGAGAAGAGAGGATTTTTGAAATTGTGTGTTTTATTTTTTTCGCGTATAAAATTTACAAATTTGAAGAATTTTTATAATTCAAAGTAAACATTTATGAGATCAAGTATTAAAGAAAAAACAAAACATTTAGAATTTTCCAGTTTCGTTGTCATTTAACCACGGAGCGTCGAAATGATGATATAAAGGTTCTGGAAGCCATTTTGATTTGATTGGAGAAATAACTTCCATAGAAACCAGGCAATAATATGTTAAGTATAGAATACAGATAATATAGATTATAAGAGATACTGAAGCAATTGGAATAGAAATTGCATTATAACCAAAAGTTCCACCGATCCAACTATAAAGGAAAATAAAGTTGACCGCAAGAATTATGATGGAAATTAAAATTGAAATATATTTTGAGATACTTTCCAATCGATAATTGAACATAACTCGACGATCTGATACGAATGTTAGAACTGGAATCAAAGCAAATGGTAATTGGATGAGCTGAAAATATAAATTTATAAGATTTTCATTCGAATTAAATCAATTACCTGTAGTGAATTCAAAAAGTCATTGAGCGAGGAAACATTATCAATTCCACCAGCAAAAATAACAACAGCTAAAGTTGGAAGAATAGCCAAAGATCGAGTTATCAAAATTCTTTTCCATTGTGGAAGTCGAATTTGAATAAAACCTTCCATTGCAAATTGTCCAGCATAAGTTCCAGTCATTGTTGATGATTGGCCAGCTGCCAAAATACCAACAGCCCAAACATATAATGCAAAGATTCCAAAAGTGCAACCAAGGAAAATTCCAGCATGATAAATATCAACTTGTGCAGAGTCATTATTGTCAGGAAATTCGAGTTTGTAGAAGTTGGGCATCTCGTTTTTGGTGTTATTGTAGCAAACTTGTCTCTGAAAATAATGTGAATTCAAATTTTTTATTTACCAAATTAGAAGCTTCGCAAAGAGTTTTCCAAATCAATAAAAGATCCGGAGCAATGTGAAAATTTTTACATATCTGCGATAAAACTCACAATATCATGATTGCTTTTTCCGTACATTCCTTGCGCGAAAACTGAGATAACCAAAGTGTTGATAATAAAAGAGCAGAATAATGCAAATGTACTTTCGATGAAGAAATATTTGTTGGCCTCGGTGACTTTTTCTTGACGTCTTCGATCAACTCGACGACTCTGCAAAATTTATATTATAAATTTTTGGAGAAAAAATGAGCAGCCACACAATTGGAACTTTTCTGAAGACATCCTAATTCCCAAACTCAAAATATCACTCACCTTCACTAATGCTGAATGCAAATAAAAGTTATGTGGCATAACAACGGCTCCAATAATTCCAACACCAACCATCCATTGCGATGTCGAACATCCTTCACACCACGGAACAAACATTCCAGTGAACATTGCTCCAGCATCTGGTTTTGTTCTTACAAATTCATATCCAAAAGTTATTGCCATACAAGAAATCAAAAAACAGAAGAATGCTTCAAACTTTCGAACTCCATATTTTTCAAGGAAAAGGAATGTGAATGTATCAGTAATTGTAATAAGAACACCAGCCCAAAGAGGAATTCTGAAAATGAAAGAGGAAATGAAATTGAAGTGTTTTGTATTTTAGAACTCACACTCCATTTGAAAGCAGGTAAAAAGCAATTGCAGTTCCGATAACTTCTTGCATATCTGATCCAATAATTGCAGATTCCACAAAAATCCAAAGAGCAAGACGAGGACCTTTTGGATAATAAGAATGAGCAATCTGAAAATATATTGAAGAATTCGTTGATTGGGTCTCACAAATATTTTTTTTTTCAAAAACTCACTTCTGCCATGTGTTTTCCAGTGACAACTCCAATTCTCGCAGCTAATCTTTGTAAAAGCAAACCCATAATATGAGCAATCAACAAAACCCAAATCAATTTGAAATATCCTTCAGCTCCTCCTTGTAAATCACCTTCAATATTTCCTGGATCCAAATAAGCGATACTCATTAAGAAACCAGGTCCGGTAAATGACCAAAGTTTTCGGAAACTAAAAAATGTGTCGGGTTCGTCATCAATTTCGACTTGAACTGCATAAGTTTGTTGACCTTCGCGTTTTTCGTCGATTTCGTTGTTTTCTTTTTCGTTTGGATATTCATTTTCAGAATATCTATCAGAACTTTCCGAACTCATTTTCAAATTGGTAATAGTTGAAGAAATATTATTTGAAGATCACAAAAATATAAATCAAAATGATTACAATAAATAATTTTTTTCTCGATAAACCTCGTTTTTATACTACTGAATTGTTTTAATCGACAAACTCTAGGCGGTTCTTGTGCAATGAAATTGCAAAGATTATCTCTGAGTTTCTCGATTTGTCATGATATTTCGTATTGAGTGATCAAAGTTGAAGTTGCTTATCAGTGGCATCGAATGATGTAAATGGTGGCGAATTCAAATTTTTTGGATTTATTTTGGATTTTGCACGTAGCGCACAGATTGTAGTTTGATTCACTGGAAATCTTCTAAAAAATATAAATCAATTTTTCAGAAGATCAGAAACTTAGTTTTTAAATGAAATCAATTACAAAAATTCTGTCAGAACTTCTGAGCCTGAAACAAACAAAAATTCCAAAAACTCAAATAGTTCTACCTAACTTTGTAGAACTAATTCAAACCGGTTAAACCAAGAAATTTCTCATTTCGAGACATTTTTTTAATGATTGTCTAGAGTGTTGTTGTTAAAAACTCTAGTTTTTATTTATTTTCTGCAGATAAAACTCATTCACTAAATGTTCAAATTCTTACTTAAAAAATTAAAATTTCAACAAAATAATTTTTCGCGTGACATTTTTCAAAATATCAATTTTCATTCCTAAGTTTTGACATTCCACGAAAAATCCAATTTTTTGAACCCAAATCAAAAAACGTGTATATTTGTAATATTTGAGTTGTCTTGATGTTTCTTATCAGTCGCTGTTTCACTCACCAATTGATGACATTTTCGAATGCGAAAATGCCACCGAAAATTGCTGTGTTAGGTGCGGGAATTATTGGAGTTTCTTCCGCATTGGCTATTCAGCAAATTTGTCAGAAAAATGTCGAGGTACTTAAAAAAGGTCAGATAGAAATGGATGATGATAATTTTAGGTTACTATCATCGCAGAGAGATTTTCGCCAGATACAACAAGTGATGTTGCTGCTGGATTAATTGAACCATTTTTAGCTGGATCCGATGTTGAAAGAGTCAAGTGAGATTTCTTAAAAATGATGTGCTCAGAAACAAATATTTTTTTTTAGAGAATGGACTCGATTGACTATTGAAAGGATAAAAGAATATATGTCGGAAGGAAATTTGGGAGCCGAAGAAAAATCGGGATATTGGATGCAAAGTGTGAAAGAAGTTCCAGATTGGTTGAAATTGATGAAAAATGTGAAAGTTTTGAATGAATCTGAAGTTGCGGCAATTCGCAAAAGGCCAGGACATAATTTCGGAGTATTTTATACAACTTGGTATTTGGAACCGACTAGATATATTGATTACTGTACCAAGAAAATTATGGAGAATGGAGGAAAGATCATTCAAAGAAAAATCGAGAATATTGATGAACTTGGAAATGATTTTGATGTTATTGTAAATTGTACAGGTCTTGGATCAAGAGTTCTTTTCAATGATGAAACAATTCGACCATGTCGGGGACAAATTGTTCGAGTTTCTTGTCCACAAGTTCGACACTTTTTTATCGACGATGACTTTTATACTCTCATCAAGTTAGTTTTCAATTTGAGATAAAGTTTTTGATTCAAAATTGTTTCTAGCGACAGTTGTTTGATTTTGGGTGGCACAAAAGATCTGGATCAATGGGAACTTGAAGTAAATTCAAAAACAGCTCAAAAAATAATCGAAGGAAACTGCCAGAATATTCCATCTCTTCGACACGCCAAAATATTATCTCATCATATTGGACTTCGGCCATGTCGACCAACTGTGAGACTAGAAAAAGAGATCAAAAATGTTTGTTTTTAGTTCTAATACAACATCGTTTTTCCAAAGATCTAATTCGAATTCTTTTTCAGAACTATCCCCCAATTATTCATAATTATGGACATGGTGGATCTGGTGTGACAATTCATTGGGGATGTGCTCTCGAAACTGCTGAATTGGTCAATAAAACAATTATCGAGAGAAAATCACACCTTTGATAATGATATTTAACTGATCAATTAAAAATACATAAATGTTTTTATCAATGTAAACTGACATAAAATTTTCTTTAAAACATGCCAACAAAAATAGTTGTTTTGGGAGCAGGAATCATTGGAATCTCATCTGCCTTAGCTATTCAAGAAGCATTTGACAAAGATGTTCAAGTAACAATTATTGCTGAAAATGTTTCACCAAATACAACAAGTGACGTGGCTGCTGGACTTATTGAACCAGCTGAAGGAAAACGAGCCAAGTAAGTTTGAATGAAAAACTTCAATTTTTTGAAATTTTTAAGGGAATGGGGAAGATTAACCATAAATCGAATCAAAGAATATATAAATGAAGGAAATTTGGGAGCTGGTGAAATATCTGGATATTGGATGCAAAGTAAACAAGAACATCCAGAATGGTTAGATCTTATGAAAAATGTGAGAGTGTTGTCAAATTCTGAAGTTACTGAAATCGCTAAACGTCCCCAACATAAATTTGGGTTATTTTATACAACTTGGTATTTGGAACCGACTAGATATATTGATTACTGTACTAAAAAAATTATGGAGAATGGAGCAAAGATCATCCAAAGAAAAATCGAGAATATTGATGAACTTGGAAATGATTTTGATGTTATTGTGAATTGTACAGGTCTTGGATCAAGAGTTCTTTTCAATGATGAAACAATTCGACCATGTCGAGGACAAATTGTTCGAGTTTCTTGTCCACAAGTTCGACACTTCTTTATGGACGATGATTATTATACTCTCATCAAGTTAGTTAAGAAAATTCGGATCTGAATATATTTGTCAAATTTCATCTGAAATTCAAATTTTTTTTCGATAATTCTTTGTTCTAAAATTTTCTGATTCTCAGTTGTAATGTTTTCTTTTGCAACTAGGTTTTCTAAAAATATCTCCTTTTTCCAGTGACAATTGTTTGATTTTGGGTCGCACGAAAGATATGGATTGTTGGGATTTAACAATTGATAAGAAATCCGCTGATAAAATTATCGAAGGCAATTGTATCAATATTCCCTCACTTTCCAATGCCAAAATTGTGTCTCATAATGTTGGACTTCGACCATGGAGAACATCTGTGAAATTAGAAAAAGAGATAGGAAAGAACAATACTCCAATAATCCATAATTATGGACATGGTGGAAATGGAATTTCACTTCATTGGGGATGTGCTCTTGAAGTTGCTCAACTTGTAAAATCTATTCTAGTATAGTTAAATAAAATTCTTTATAATAAACATTTACAATAGAACTCTGTGATAAGTGAAAACAGTGTGTGTTTGTGACAAGAAAAGCGTGAAACTCAACTCAATTATTAAACAACATAAAAATTAGAATATTTTTTTTTGGAAAATTCAATAAATCCTCTAGAAACCGTAATAAATCATTATATCATCTGTGTTAAAAATTTGGTTATTTGAAGCGAAAGAGAAAGACAGCACATAAATATATTTGATCCATTTTTTTTTGTTCAGTCAGTTCATATTATAAAAAAGTTAACTAATCTAATTAATGAGAGTAAGACACGTTAGGTTTTTGTTTGCGAGGCGATTGGCAACAAAAATTAGAAAGGAAAACTAAAAAAAAAAGAAGCGGCTATTTGAAAAGTGAGAACATTTTGGCGCCAGCGCCTTCCACCATACTTGACATATTTGAAACAGCTGCTGTTGCATTTCCCAAAGATGTTGGAAATACTGAAGAAGTTGAGCCATTTGCAACACCTGAAAGATTTATAGATTCGAAAAGAAGTTAGCCGAAATTTGATTCATTCAAGTTTCTGAAGGAATGGTTTGTATTTTCTGGATTATCATAGTTTCCAGAACATTTCTGATTCTGATCCCATATTTTTTTTAGAAAGTTTCAGAAATATTTTATTTATTAACCCAATTTCTCCCTTCATTCTCATTATGTTTTGTTTATCCAAATACCTTCTTGAATATGCGAATTCGATTCTTCGAGTTGTAATCTTCGACTAATTGATTGATATGTTTTACTATTCAATCGTTCATCATCAATTCCTTGTAATTCAAAATCCGAATATACTTTTTTGACAATCGTTGAAAGTGATGTGAATTGTGTTGAACTCAATGATTGTTGCAATCTTTCAGTCAACCATTCATTGATTGCTTTCATTTGATGATCATACCAATGTTCGAAAAGACAATTCACCCAGATTTCGTCGATTACAACTTGTCGAAGAAGTTCATTGCAACCACGCATAAAAGCCACGTAGGAATTACCGATTTGGCCGGATGATTGTTGAGCGGTTAGAGGTTGTCTCTGCAAAATTGAAATTTGGATGAGAGATCAAACAACCATTTTTCTAGATTTTCTATTTTTATTACATAATTTGAAAACATAAGTAGAAAATGTTTCACTAGTTTTTTTTCTATATAATCAGATTTTTCATGGGAAAAAACTTACAGCTGTAGCAGTTGTTTGAGCTGATGTATCACCAGTCATTGTTTTCAGTTTGTTGAAAATTGATGCAGGTTTGGGCTGAAATTATTTCACTTTCTTTAAATTCATAATTTCCCTATTAATTTTCTTACCGCAATATTCAATATTGCTCCAATCGGATTTCCTTCATCATATCTTGCTAATCTTGATAAAACACTTTCCAAAACTCCCGATAATTTATCTTGAATACAAGCTTCCATATCTTTCAACATTGTTTCAAGTGTTTCATCAAGTTTTGATTGATATTTATACTCTCCAGAATCAACAGTTACACGAACTGCTCTAGTTTTCGAACTAAATATCACATTTATCATTACACAAACTTCAGATGGCAACATATAATCTGTTGTTTTTCTTGCTCTTTGCATCCAATTATCAAATGCTTGAAATGTGCAATTCGATACTTTTGATATCATTTCAGAAGTCAAAGTTTTCATTCGATTTTGTAAATATTTTCGAAATTCTTCTTCTGGCCAATTCAAATCAATAACAAATGTATGAAGAGCATCAAGTTTCCAATAAATATCTTCTGATGTTGCACATCCTTCTTTTCTCGATTCCCATTTTTCTTTCGAAAATCCTTTATCGATTGATTGAGCGATTGAATGTTCCATTAAATCGATATATCGAACAACGAGAGGTTGGAATTGTTGAACGATTTTGTTGTGGAATATTCCGCCTTTTAGAGATGCTAAAACATTTATAATTTTTTTTTTCAAATTTTTCGATATACGATTTTTCAAGTTCAAAATAAATACTCATGAGTTTCTTGATCTCCTGAATATTCTAAAATACTCACGTTCTGACAATAAAAAGTCATTCAACATTTGAAAAAGTGGAAAAGAATCCCAACTATCATGTGGTTGAACTTCTAGCGCAGCATCAAGATCCACTGAATATAAAGACCAAAATATTTCGGAATGATCGGATAACAAATCGGAAAACCATGCGAAAGCCTGAAAATAGAAAGATTCTTATTTTTAGAAAACAAATGTGTTAAGCTATTGGTGTTGCTCACTTCAAAAAAAAATTAAAAGTGTTTCCGGGAAGAAATTCCCAATGAAAAAAAAATAAGGAAAAAGTGAAGCAAAACAGGGTAAAAATATATTGATTAGTATTTTTTGAATTGAATAAAAAAAGAAGCGGATAAAATAAAAACTAAAGCTGCACACAAATAGAAACAAACGAATAGACATTCGGAAGAAGAAGAAGAAGTAGATACATACCCCTCGAAGTTGCTAAAATGGGTTGTTATTTTGGGTTAAAAGGGGTTAGAAAAAGAGAGAGAGAGAGATCATCATGCGATCATTAAAAAGTAGTTGAAAGCTGAAATATTCTTTCTGGAATTTTTTGTTGATGAAAACTCACTTCTCCATGATGCTCCTCATTTTCCTTGAGCAAATCGATGCAAAATTCGGTGACTCGGATCATATCTTCGATTCGTTGTTGTGGACTCACATCAATTCCCATACGTTCTGAAAAAATATTTGGGTAAAAATCTCATATTTATTCTGAATATTTTTTCTGGAACAATTTTTCGGAAAACAACTTGAACAAAGAAGGAGTTTGTACAAATTATTTAGGATAAATATCAAACTCATTTTTTTCAAACAAAAAAAAACATACGTTCAATTTTGGCTTCATTACAAATTCTCGTATAATTCACAAGTGCAGCATCTTCCAAACATTTTCTAATAACAGCTCGAACTTCTTCTGGTGGAACCGGAGAAACAACATCTTTCATCAAAACTCGTTCTAATAAACTAAGAGTTCCTTTAAGTGCTCCTTCAGGTCTTCCAAATGGGAAACAATATCGGAAATTTGTGATTTGCTTTTCTAATAAAACTCGAAGTCTTTCTTTGATCTCTTGAAACTTTTCTTTTTCTTCTAATGTAACAGTTCCAACTCCTTCAGGTCCTTGTCTATCTGGCATACATCGATTTCCGTGAACATGTGATGCACAAAATGCAAAACTATAATGAATTAGAGCTGGATCAATCAATAATCCATCATCAGCTTTATCCAATAAATTTGATAAAAGTGTAACATGTCGAAAACATCCTCGAACCATATATCTTGCACAATATTCTTCCAAAACAAATGCTTGACCAGGTGAAAACCAACCCAAAGAACAAATTTGTTCATTAATTCGAAAACTTAATGTTAATTTCTGAATATCAGAAAACAAATGATCGTGATCGAAGTTTATAGATTCTGCTTGAATCAAAGCATCCATTCCATGTTTACTTGCTTTATCTTGGAAACCTTGAGCTTTTGGTGCAATTGTTGATTGTTTTGGTGGAACTGGTTTATAAGCTTGACCCGTTGCGCGATAAAGTGCCTGGAAATATTCTGTGTTGATCAATGGATTACTGTATATAACAAAAAATACTCACTTGAACCCAAAGATGTCTTTCATTTTCATCATCAGTTGCAAATTTCAATTCATCACCCTCTTTTATCGCAGTGAAAAAATGTTTACCACCTTGCGCAGTCAATTCTTGATCAGCTTCTGGCATATAATCAATCGTAAATCCATCTAATTGTATAAATTCAGTTGGATCACATTTCTTTTGTCGAAAACTGCAAACAGCAAAAGCATACTGTGAAACTTGCACCAAACAGAAAAATCGTTTTTTCCATTTTTTCCAAGCATTTCGACCAATACAATAACAATATCCAGAATATTTTAGATTTGGCGGTTTTTCAACACGAATTGCTATTCGAATTTTGAGATTTTGATCTTGACTATTTTTTGGAAGTGTCATTGTATACCATTCGGGAGTTCGAGAACAATTTGGTGTTGGTTGAATAATTACTTTTCCTAATTCTTTGTCTTCGAATGCGACTATTGATTTGACTTCGGTGTATAATTTCACTTTGACAACCGGTAAAGGATTTTTAGTTGAGAAATCTCCTTGTGTATCCCATCTGAAAATTAAAGTGTTTAAAAAATTCAAATGACAGAATTTTTTTGGAATTTTAGGAAATAATTCTTCTCACATCATAGCTAAGTAATAATTTTCCTTTCATATCTCTAGAATTTGAAAACCCAACAATTTAATCCATTTATAATTTCTTCAATTTCAAATAACTCACTTCGGTTTGGATGCTTCTGCATGATCAGTCTGCAATTTATGCCCATCAACTTCCATCGTACAATAAACTATTTTATTTGGTTGAACAGATTTCAATCCCTGAACTTCCATCACAACAACTTCCATACTCAATGCCAATGATACATCTGATTTTGTTAGGGTAACATCTCCATCATCACTATCCGCTTTATTCAAACTTCCCGAACTTGTTCGTCGTTTTAGGCTGAAAAATAACCTCTTAGATAATCAATGAATTTATCACATCACAACCAGTTCATGCTAAATAAATATGAAATATTGTTCCTATCCAGCCATCTGCTCGGGAAAAATCCCGCAAGTGTCGGCAAGAATTGCAGTAGAGCCGCAATGGCTGCGGGTGAAGCCGCCGTTGTTGCGGGCGAAAGACAAGGGAAGTGTGAGAGAGCACAGGTAGACAGACAAAAAGTAGCGAGCGTCTGCGTTCTCTCACATTCCCCTTGTCTTTCCCCCGCAACAACGGCGGCTTCACCCGCAGCCATTGCGGCTCTACTTCAATTCTTGCCGGCACTTGCGGGATTTTTCCCGAGTGGATAAGTCCAAAATTCATAGATATTTCTCCCAAAAAAAGCATTTTTGCATACAAAAAGTGAATGAGTATAAATAAACAAGTAAAAAAGGATAAAAATGGGTCTGTTTTGATGAAGGAAAAAAACTGTTAGTGTTTTGTGAATTCCCAAAGCATGCCGAGAGCATTTTTTGTTTTTGTGATTTTCAAGGAAAAAATCAATATTTTTGCGCAAGCGATAGAGTTCAAAGCAGATTTTTCTCAGAAAAAAACTTTTGTTCAAGCAGTTCAATAAGATTATATTGATATATAGTCGAGGCAAAAACAAACCTGTTGAACAGCGACAAATCCTCTATACTTCGAGATCTAAAAAAAGTTTTGGTCAATTTTTGCGTCTGTTTTTTGCGTTCTGTGCCTTGTGTGATCGAAAAAAACAGGTTGGAAATGGAAAATGTGAGTAGGTTCGTGTGTGGAGGAATTTTGCAGAAAAAAAACAAATAAAATCATGAAATTTTTGTTTTTTGTTTGAGAATACATGGGAAATTTTTCGGAACCGGAGCTGCTGAAAATTAATTTTGAATTCATCTGAACAATGGAGATAAGCTTATTTTAGAATGCAGACTACTCGGAATTAAAGCTCTCAGTTTCTTCAAAATTTCAAAATACTTTTTCAGCTGATTCCGAAAATACTCCCTTTTGTAAAACAAAAAACAAAAAAATAAAAAATAGGAAGAGGTTTTGATAGAGGAGAAGTAATGTTTTAGCCAGATCAGGGTAGAAGTAAAAATAAAGTTTTCGGAAAACCGTTAGTAGAAGTTCAAAGAAAAGGAGAGAAAAATCGAAAAAACGTGTTTTGTTTACAAAACCATGTGCTTCTTACCGCTTAGTTTGTTTTTGATTTCTGGAATTTTTACAATTTTTTTTTTGTTGGAAAAAACCAAGAAATAGATTCAAATATCTAGATAACGAAAATACTCACCGATTTTTGTCTTTTCGTTTTCCAACAGTTTGTCCACGTGTTGTTACTGGAACTGTTTCGAGATTTGAAATTAATTGATTTATTGACATTCGAACTTCATCCATATATAATGTTTCCATGTCTTTGACAACAAATTTTGGCATCAGTTTTCGCATCTGAAGTTGAAATTTTAGGCTGAGAAATAACATAGTTTCAAAAATTTCCCACTGAATTTATTTGAAACTTTATTTTTTCAGATTCCCTCTTCTTCTTTTTTTTTTTTAAATATTCACTTACCCTCATAATATCTTTGATAGCTTCTTCTCTAGTCGCAAATTCTCTTCGAATCGCAGCTGCTTGTTCATCCGGATTATCCAATTGCAAAGCATTGAAAATGATTTGATGTTCAAACTTTTTCACGCCCAATATTTGTTGGAACACATCATAAAGTTGCTCTTTGCCTAAAACCGCATCAGCGTTCACTTGATTTTGAGCATTTCGAACACGACCTCTGGAAAACAAAGTTGGAGTTAAAGTTTTAGTTAAAAAGTGCCGTTATCTAACCTTGCATTCCTATTCTGATCTGTTTCATCTCCTTTGATAATTGCATCAAATTTTGTGAGCCAAGAATTCAGAACAGTTTCTTTTGATAATCCTTCGATATCAGGAAGCGATCGAATTCTTTTTTCAATATTTAATCGAAACACCTGCAAAAAACTCAATTCTTACTCAAGTTCCGAAATGTTTTTCTAGTTTTATTTCTGGAAAATATCGATGTTCCCCTAATTTGTTTCTACAAAACAAAATGTCCGAGCAAAATGAAATTGAATCAAATTAAATCTGTTCTTTTCTCTTTTCCTTCCCCCAACCAAATTCAAACCAAACAATTAAAAAGCCAAAAACGAACCTCTCTAAAATCATGTTGCGAAAATCCGCCAGCATGAACAACTTTTTGTACCCGTTCAGATTTCAGAAAAACTTCAAAATAACTCTGAATCGCTTTTGTGAATGCTTCATCTGCTGCAATATTTGTTTCGCCTTTAAGAAATGAATGAAATCGTTCTCGAATTCTAGCCAATTCTTGTTTATTCACTTTCACTTGTCTTCTAGCCATATCTCCAGTTTGTTGACCATTGAAAGGATAAGCTATACAACGAGATAGAAATACATACATTTGAAGATTTCGTTTATGATCTTCTTCTTCTTTTTCAGCACTGGAAAAAAAAACTTTGAATATTTGAAAAGGGCTGAGATTTTCAGAATTCTAAGAAAAAATCATATCTCACAAAATAAAAATGTATATTTTTCAAAGAATCATCTGATCACCGATTTACTATCTCAAACTTACCGTATTCTTTCTTGTTCTTCTTTACTCAAAGCTGGTTCATCAGATGGATGTTGCGGTGCAATTTCTTCTTCATATTCTTCATCTCCCGACATTTCTTGTGAACTTTGCATTATCGGCCGAGAAACCGATGACATTGTTCGAGCCTAAATAACTTATATTATATTTTCCCTGAATCAAAAAATGAATAGATAATTAGACAGTAATTTAGAGGTACACAACATCCCTGGAAAACATTCTAAAACAAAAACGAATAAGTAGAATTAATATTAGCTTTTAGTGTGAAACGCGCCAAAATGACTCGAATTTCAGATCATCGAATTTCATTTCATGTTTTTTTTGTTGCTTGGCTTGCTTTTGTTAGAGAGTATTACATTGTGTTAGTCAAAATAAATAGGACATGCTTAGAAGTTGGTAGAATATTTTGAGTTTTTAGATGGATAAACTTACGGGCGGCACCGGAGATGGCGCATTCATTCTCATTGGCTGAATTATTGACTTTTGATGATTTTTAATTTTTTTTTTGGAAAAATTCCCATTGAAGAAGCGAATTATTCATAATCCCAATAAATTAAAATTTTTTTAGAAAGAATACAACCTGAAGGACATATTATGAACATGACAAACTTTAATTCTAATCCATAATTCAATTCAGAACTTTCCGAAATCGAGTTCCGTTCAGTTCTAAAAAACTGCATAGAACTCGATGGAACCCGAGATTTTCTAACTCAAAAACATTCCCAAAAATCAACTCACAGATCTTGCTGGCGTTTGTGATTGAATTGAATCTTTTCGCCTTACAGCACTACTCGAATTATTTCGCTTCAATGAATTTGTCTGTGATACAGAATCGGATGGAGCCGGCGAATTGCTGCGCGGTGAAATTGCTCCAGATAGTAGTGATCGTTTTTTATTTCCACCACCACCACTTGGTGTAATCGTGTGCACCTGGAAGAAAGAAAAAGGAATTGAGGGGATAAAAAGGGGATGAAGGGATGAATGTGGAGTGAGTGAAAAATGGATGACATGTTTGGATGTATTTTAATTTTGGGGTGCTTTTCAAGAGAATGATTTGTTTGTTTTGGTGGAATACGGTGGCTCAGAGAGGGTTTTGCGGAGGCGGAAATCGTCAATTTTATGATAAACATTTATTTTGTTTTGGATTTTTGTTGTGAAATTGAATGGGTTACGGTATTTGCAAACTTTAGGGTTTGGCAGCAATTCTTCAGGTTACTGTATTTCAGAATAAAAATACTTTTAGTCACAATTTTCAGATTTTATCTGAATCTGAATGAAATATTCATTGAGTTCAAAGAACATTGAGCCTACAGGACGCTGAAAAACTAGCGAATATTTTCAAAAATCCAGAAATTTGAGAACTTCCAACACTCGTACATGTTTCCATTCTTTGGTCTTGTATCTACTTTTCATTATTCTAAAATTATAGTTTACTCAAAAAGGGCCCATTTTCAGTATGTGATTGTTTCAAACATACCTCATGATCATCTCCAAAATCATCATCATCCTCTTCGCTACTACTTGCTCCTAACATTGTTTAGGTTCTAGAAGAGAGGAAGAAGAAGAAAAAGAAGAACGGACCCCGTTCCTTCCTTTTTCTTATTTTTCTTTTTTGTGTGTGCCTGTCTCTGAAAACAACAACAACGAAATAAAATAAAAAAATAAGATATTATGTAAACTGATGCCAAGCAGCAAAAAACAACACATCGGATAGGATTAGAATAAAAATACATATATAATATAAAGAAAAAAGAAAAAGAAAACTATGAAGTAGAACAGAAGAATAATGAATGACAAAAAAATGAGGATATTTGATATTGTGGGGTAAAGTAAGTAGATTGGATGAATGAATGAAACAAAGGTGGAAATGTGGGTGGATGGGAATATAAAAATAGAATGAAAATGAAACACAGTGGATCAGGTGGATCAGAAATAAATATTGAAAAAAAGTGGGCGTTGCAAAAATTATTAGGCTTCAGTAATTCAAATGAATTAGAGATTCATGAAAACATATTATGAAAAGTTAGGTTATAAAATATTCATGAAATCTTAATTCCAAAAAAGTATGATAGGAGTGAGATTCTTTCAAAAAATTTCAAACGCGGAGAGCTATTTAAATATTTGATTTTTAAAAAAGAGCAAGTGTGAAAATACACACTGTAAAATTTATATTCAAATTTTTTCAACAGATTCAAAAAATTTGTAATTTTAAAATAAGCCCTAATTCTTATTTCAAAAATCCGGAGAACGTATTTTTTAGGGTTTCGAAATTTTTTTGCTCTTTTTGTGCTTTTTCTCCCAGTGAACTTTCCCACGAAAAAAATCGTAGTAGCCGCGCATTTCATTCTTCATGAAAAATTTCAGTATTAAACTTTAATCCAATAATTTTTGAATAATCAATGAAAGATAAATTCAAGAAAAAACAACAAATATTGTTATTTGTCTCGAAAGAATGTTTATGAGAAAATCAATAAAAAATGAAAAAAATAGTGTGAATGAATGAATGTAGAAAAAAGCAAAAGAAAAGCAAAGCACATAATAATATGCACATTTATATATATTTTTTCGTTTCGTCTTGTATTCATGTCATAAAGAAGCCTAACAATTTTATTTTTAAAAAATGCGTGGTTAATCAGTTATAAATAAGTTGTGAGAATTCTCCTAGAAATTTCAACAGTTCTCTTGAATTTTCGTTAACTGTTGTTGAAAAATGACATTTCAGAATTTCTAGAAAATCCGTGTCTGTCTTAAAGCTAAGTTTGAATAGAGTTTGGAGTTTTATTTATTTTTTTATTTCTGGTTTTTTATTGGAAGAAGCAAAAGGGAAAAGCGGGGCAAAGTTTATTCGATTTTCCTGTTTTTTTGGCGGCGAACACGAATAAAAAACAGCAAAATTTCCCAACGGAGCAATAAATGCAAGAATTATTATGTTCTTCTTCTTCTTCATCTTATTTTTAAAACGCAGATCAAAAATGACGAGAGCTTAAACAAGAAAAAATAAAAAAATATCCGAAAACAGGTTGATTCTCATCAAAAATGCATTGAAAACAAAACAAAATTCGAGTAATTCTTCGAAGAAAAATGTGAGGAAGAACAAAGAGAAAGAAGAAAACAAAAATAAACATGCTTGAAGAATTTTGCGATCCGAAAATGGCTATAAATCTTTGAGTGTTTTTATGAAATGAAATCGGAGAATTGTTTAGAAGCGCGAATTTTTCGGGTCGCAAGAAATATTTCACAACCCGAAAATGCGCATTTTTTTGAGACAAAAATGAGAGATTTAGAGAAAAAATGTTTTTGATCTACCAGGAAAGATTTCAAAGAGTTTGAGGCCAACAGATTTTACATAGAAGCGCCTTTGAATTTATTCTCTGCTTAATTGGATGATCTCAAAAGAGCGTTTGTGACGCAGAGGATATACAGTATCTACTTGGTTGGATTTCAGACCTCTCCATTTTTTTTAGTTGATAATAGTAAATTGTACACTATGTTAAATAATCATTTTTAAAAGTATGCAAATGTTACAAAGATTCCAGGCGTCACAAAACAATTTATTATTTGTGTTCAGAGTTGAGCTTTTCAGTATTCGACAACGAGATCGTAATCAGTGGGTCTGAAACTATTGGAAAGCATGTATTTCTTTAAAAATCTTGATTTCTAGTTGAAACATCTCATTTGTTAATAGGTTTTCATAAAAAGCTCGAAGATCTTATGAAAAAATGCTGATCTTTCAACTTCCGTCTAATGAAACTAGAATCCTCATTTCCTTCCCCTTCAAAAAACATCCAGAAAAGTTCAAAATTCATAGTAAATTACCACCCTCGTTTTAAAAAGGAAGAGGTAAGTAGTTATTAAAAATATTTGAACACAGAAAAAGAAAAAAAATAATAATGAACGAAGAAGAAGCAAAAAAATATTAGCTGCGCGAGAAGCAGAGCGAATTCGTGAAAAAAAAACGGGGCATACATAGAGAAAATAGATGTATTAGATGAGGGAAAGAATCGATAGAGAGCAAGAGAATTAGAAAGAGAAACGAGAGCTAGAAAAAGGAAAAAAAGTAGAAGGAGAAAAAGAAGCAGCTGAATATGGAAAAAAGAAAAAAAGTAGTAGTCGTGGAGAAAAAAAGAAGACATATCCATGGATTTCTTCTGGAGTAGAAGAAAAAAGAGAATGATGTATCCTGGAAGAAGAAGAAGAAGACCGGAAGTTTTGAGATTGATGAGGTGACACTACTGGAAAAAATAAGCAGAAGAACGAGCAAAAAATATGACTTCAGCAAAAATGGAACGTTTTTGTTTTTGGAGAATGTTGAAATTTTGTGAAATTTTATCAGGATTAGAAAACTTGAGAAAAAACTTGTAATTACATAAAACAAAAAATTATTCAAAATTTTTTTTTACTTGAGAGCAGCTGGGAATTCAGAAAGATTCAACAGAATATTGAAATTTTAGAAAACTCCGTAGCTACATGGCAAACTAATTTTAATAACAAGCAAGATTAGAAGTACTTCATGACAGCTGAAATTTTCAAATTCTAATAAGTTAAAAGAAATGTTGTGTGAATACGCACAATACAAAAAAAACACAAAACACCCTTTTAGTCTGATAATAAAACAGCAACGACGCAACACACAAATTTTTGAAAGAGTGCGCGACATGCAATTTTTATCAATGGGGCGCACTTCCATTTCTACTTTTATTTTCTTGTTTTTGTTTTTCGAAAATTTTTCATTCACGTATTTTTTGTTGTTTTTCCATGAATTTGAATGAAACTTGTTGTAAAATTCATATTTATCTATTTTCGTAGTACAAGTAATATATTTCTAGTTGATTTTCGATAGTTTTAAACTAAAACTGGTGCTCAAAAAGTAGTTTTATAAAAAAATGTACATTCTTGAATTTTTCTTCAGTTCTTCTTATTTAGATTTCAGTCATTTCTATTTTACAGGAAACACGTCAGAGAAATGATGGAATATCGAAACAACTTATGAAGCGAATTTTAGATGAATGATTTTCAAAAACAAGGAAAACTGGAGGAAAAGTGAGTTTTTTAACATTGTTTTTGAAAAATTTTCAAAGCAAAACTTGCTACTTTTTCCCCGAGACGTCATTAGGCGCTCCCAGTTGGAATATTGAGATTTTATATATATTTACTAAATAAACTAAATGTTTCAAAATATTCACTATGTAAACAAAACCGAAACTCAAAAATGCACAGAAAAAATTGAGCTTTGATGTGGCAATTCAGGAAAATAAAGCAAACATAATCGAAAAAAAATCTAGAAAGGTTGTGAATTCAGTAAAATCTACACTCTGAAACGAGTCAAAATGCATCAAAGTCTCAAAAATCAGAAACAATTATCCACGTTTTGTTTCTATTTTCTCTTCACAAAAAGTTTGTAGCTCACAAAAAAGGGCGAGAAAACCCGGAATAATTCATCGCGGAAAAGAAGAGCGCACTAATTTTTGAAAGTCTTTTAGTTTTGTTTTTTTTTCTGCTTCTCGTGTTGTCTTGGACACGTTTTCACTAAATATTTACATATTTTTAATTTAGGATTTCCAGTGGGCGAGTGTGAATCTTAACCCTAAATCATTTTTTGCTTAACCTGAGAATTCTTCTTGGAAAATTGTTTGATCTGAGCAATTTCTTGAATAAAAACAGTAGAAAAATGAGAACACATTTTCAAAAGTTTGAACACTTTTCGTGACAAAAAGTAACTTTTTTTAATTGAGTGAGACATTCGAGTCCAACTTTTTTTTCGCTGTTTTTTGGAATGCGAAAAATGTGGAATTAATTCGGATAATAAAAAAGAGACTTTTTCATGTGAAATAATACTGCAAAAACTGAATAATTTAGATATTTATTAGAATGAAAATTGAATGGAAATTGAACAATAACACGATATTTTTCAAAAATAAAATGTGTTATGAAAAAATATCATGAGGAGAGATCGAAATTCATTTTTTTTCAAAATAAAAAGTTTTGCGGTTTTTCGGATAGTGCAGGATTTCAAATCTGGATTATCCTGTATCAAATATTTTTCGGAAAATGTGACTAGTTTTATTATAGACTTCGATTCTTGCAGGTCTTGGGTTTTATTTTAGATTGGACTCAGTCGAGACCAAGGGTTACAACAATTATTCAAGATTTGAAATAATTCCATCTTCCCCAGATTTTCATTTAAAAAACAATAAACAACAACAAAACCGGGCGACAAAAATAAAGAAAACGGAGAGCAAAAAACATGAAAATGTAACAATTTCGCGCACCACTGACTTGTATGTTGATTGCTTTTTGGCTCCACACAAACACAAAAAAAACATAAAACATAAAAAAGGGAATGCCCTTCTTCGTTCTTCTTTTTTCTCTTCATTTGTCTTGGGGCATCCAAAACGAAGAAGAAGTAGAAGATGTCTTTTGGGAAATAAGTCATATTTGACTCTCTTTTTTGTTTCGAGCATAACAGGCACCGAAAAAAAACGAGGAGGACAGCTACGAGAATTGATACTTTTTGACGTAAAAAATTGGGAAGAGTTGTGGACCACAATTTGTGGTTGAACACAAATAAAGAAAACATGCTCAAAAAAGGCAGATTTTCGTAGTTATGATAAGTTCATGATCAAACTTTTTGAGTGAACTCTTTCGAGATACAGTAATCTGAGGAATGTTTTTTTTCGGAAATAGAGGCGTTTAGAAAACATATTCATATTCCTGAAATCCTCGAAAATTAAAACAAAACTCAAAACATAACTTGATAAGCAGAATTTATTCAAAAAATCTAATTGAAATATGTTCATTTTCAATCGATAGTTCTAAAATACAAAGAAAATAAAAGTTGTTAGAAATCGAAAAATCTACATTTGGATAGCTTATTTGCTCATCCTTTCTTGCGTCTTGTTGTTTTGACTTTCTCTCCAGTCGGTTTCGCCGATGAACTTCTTTTTGTTCTTCCACCACGTGTTGGTGTAATACATCTGGCCGCTTCTCTTGTCGGAGTCACACATCTTGCTGCTTCTCTTGTTGGTGTGATACATCGTGGATTAGCCATACGATTCGGATGCGCAGCTGGTGGTGGTGTTTTTGGTTGGAATTGTCCTCGCTGTGTTTGAGCCTTCACCATATCTGCTTCCATTCCAACCAACTTATTGAAAACTGTTTGCTCAAAAACTGGAACCATTTTGACTGAATCGATTCGTTTTTTGTGGTTGTATTCAAACAGAAGGCGGATACATTCATGAACTGCAAAACTCTTTCAATATAAATATGATTTTTTGTTTGGCAAGTTTTTGAAACTCACATCCTTGTGGTGGTTTTTCTTCTCCGCTACAAGTTCTCAAATTCAAACGAACTTCATCAAATTTATCATGTTCCAACAAAACAGCTCGAACTTCGGCATTTTTCAAATTCGGATATGGTTCAGCTCCATCATTGTAAATTTCCCAACATGTGACTGCAAATGCCCAAACATCGGATTTGATTGAGAACAATCCTTCGCGACAAACTTCCGGAGACAGCCATTTGGTTGGAATTTTTTGATATGATTGGATCTGAAAGAAATTCATTTGGTATCATTCTTGATTGTTTTCTGAGTTTAATCATGTTCTGCAACTTATATTGATCAGTGACCAGTCAAGATCAGAAAAAAAGCACTAACAGAGTAAGTTGGTCCAAGCCTGCTCAAACCAAAATCAATCAATTTAATTTGCTGCCAATCCATTGAAATCAAAACATTCCTAGCCGCAATATCTCGATGGATATAACCTCTATCGTGAATAAATGCCAAACCATACATTAATCCAGCCACAATTGACATTCTATATCCATTTGGAAGTGTTCGACCACGTAATACTTTTGACAATGAATTGCCATCAATCAATTCCATTACAAGCATAAGTGGCAACGATTCAATAACAACTCCATACACTCTTATAACATTATTATGTTCAAATGCTCTCATTGTTCTTGCTTCTTGTAATGCTTCTGTGAATATTCCTTCCGTTGCTTGCTCATTTAATCGTTTAATTGCCACATCCAAATCCACTTTTTTCAATTTTCCTTTTAATACTGTTCCAAATGAACCTTTACCTAATATTGTTTCTGGTTGTGGAATATCAATATCATTTTTTAAAAGTGCCCATGCTTGTCGTGGAACTGGACGAATCAATATAACTTGGTCGATGACTGGTTTTTTAGTTGCAACAAATGAATCAATCATTACGCGAATTGTTGGAAAAGGCTCCGAATGTCCTGAAAGTGTAAATGCTCCATTTACTGAACTTATTCCAATTGATCGAATTCGTTTTCCACTGTCACCAATTATTGAAGGTCTTTCAGCTACACTCAAAACACAAACATAATCTCTCTTATCCGAATTGTTACTGTTTTTGAAATAATATCGGAGTAAATAGTCGCCAGCTTCTGGTAATATTCCTCTACTTTCTTTTCTGAAACAATATTTTTTTCATGGTTTTTTGGTAGTTTTATCATTGTCCTTGAAAATAATCTCTGATTTTTCAGCCAATTCTGATAACTTACTGATCAATATATCCATGAAAAAATTCGAAGTCCTGAATCAAATCCATTTCATTTGAAGTTGAATTTGTATAAAAAACGAAGGCGGTAATAAACCCCTTTTTTTCAAATTCCTATCATTTTTTCGGGTTTACGTTTGACACATCACACGTTTTCAAAATTTAAAATAAAACTAGACTCTAGTTTAGTTCACAATTATTTTATTCATTCATTTATTAGAATTTTGGCTACCATCTAAATTATTATAAAACCGGGGGAAATACAAACAAAAAATAATAAAAAAAAAGGAGAGAGAGATTGTTGTTTTCAAAATATTACAGAAACACATGAAATCAAAATTACATACAAAAAGTTGTCGGAAAGCTCTTTTCAAGAAAAAAGGGTTTTTTGTTTTACAAAAATCAAAGATTTCGTGGAAAATAGGGGCAATATACAAATAATTTCATCTTCTTCTTATTCTTCTTCTTGGTTTTTATTTTGTGGAATATTTGAGACTAGAAATCATATACATGAAGATAGAAAACAAGAAGTCGAATGTTGATTTTGTTCTTATGATTTTGGACGTGCTGGTGGACGACCGGATCCAATTGGTGCTACTTTTGTTGTTACATTTTGAGCTTTGATGAGACCAAGAGTTACAGCTTTTTTCGACGGGGAGCTGCAAATTTAATTGGATGTTTAAGAAGAAATATATGATCATGATCGAACAATAAACACACTAACAAAAATGTTTCAAAAAAATTCCAAATTCAAATACATTATCACAAATTGTTTTAACATTAAAATATATCGAAATTCAAAAAGTTTCATCAGTCAAAAATTATTTTAGTTGAAACAATGTTCCAGATCTATATCCCGATTTCCTAATTTGTTCTCAAAATTTTCAGATTAACTGACTTATTACACACTTTTTTCTCTCTTGTCATTTATTTTTAATGTGTTTTGATTGAACAATGTTTCTTTCTTTGTTTTATTTGATATTTGATATTTTGTGTCTTTTTGATCATCAAAAACCAGTAAAAAAAGGGAGAAAAGAGGTCTAACCTGTTTATGGGGAAATACTGGAACATGACATTTGATGCAAGATTGTGCTTCATTTGCCACACTATTTTGACTGTTCCATTTTCGTTTGCATTGTTGGCACTGTAAAAAGATCAACTTATTTGGAAAAATCCAAAAGCAAGATTTCCAGGTGGAAGAAAAAAACGTTTCCAAAAACTTACAGTGAATTCACCATAGCATTTTTTGCGACCTTGATAAGGTGTGAGTTCATCATAAGGTGAATTAAAGCGTTGAGGACAATCGGAAATATAATGTTTACCAGTTGCATAACAAATATGACATTGATAACGTTGTGGTGGAACTTGCATCTGAAACAACAACAATTGGTGAATTTTTGTTGAGTACGTAGAAATTATTGATTTTTTTTTCAAAATTACAAACTGCTCGAAAAAATTTAGATCAAAAGTTTGAACACTTAAAAATCTGGCCGAATTCATCATCTAGACTTTAGAGATGCTCAAAAGATTCATTTTTTCTTTTGTTTTCAGAAAACCAAATTCAGATTTAACATTTCCGAGTCCCAAACCGACCTTTCTCGGCGATGACAACAATTCAGCAAATCCAGCAATTTCATCAGTCGAAAAACCATCTTCCATAGCAAGTGGAAGAACTGGCGTCGTATTTATCGACTCTTTGTTTTTCTTATCGTGTTGTGGTGTTGGCGAAACACCGAAATGACGTGTTATTTCTTCCGGTGATTGAGCTGTGAATGCACGTTGAACTTGGAAGGGTAAACCAGCTGAAAAAGAAGAATGTGATACAGAGAAATTCAATAGAAAACTTACAATTGAAAATATCATTTGATGGTGAAGCTAATGGTGTTCGAGTTGGACTTCCATATCCACTGCTTCCTGATTCATCGCCAATGTTTTGAGCCTACAAAAATTGAGTTAATGAAAATAAAAACTAGCGGGGAAGACAATTTTGGTCTAGGAATTATTGAAATGTTTTTGAATTTCAATTTTTCATAAGTAGGCCGAATACAATTTTTCAAAAATATATTATCAGTTCAAAGTTGACCCAATTTACTTCCTGGATGAGTCAAATTTCAAATTAGAAGTTCTAATGGGGTGAGTCAATTTTATTTTTTGTCAATTAATTGACAGAAAAAAGTGAGTCTTTTTTGTGCGATTTTTTCACGTTTTTGTCGATTAATTCCATATTTTTTTGCAATTAATTGCATTCAAAAATGAGGAATTTCAATACGAAATAGAATTTATTTGACCTCTTTTTTGAAACGTGTCCCAAATTCACTGCTTATTTTTTGGATTCATTTCGAAATGAAAGAAAATTGAGAGAAGACAATTTTTTTGATAATTCCAACTCATATAGATCACGTTTTAAAATATAGCTCAAATAAATTCTATTTTTTATGCAATTAATCGCATTTTTTTCCAAGAAATGAAAGCGATGAATTGACAAAAACGTGAAATTAATCGCCCTAAAAGACTCACTTTTTTTGTCAATTAATCGCAAAAAACACGTCGATTAATTCGATTGACTCACCCCATAAATGTGTCCTATTAATTATTATAGAAATATTTCAGAATGTCAAAATCGGATTTTTAAAATGCGGGAAAATCATTCTCAAAAAATTGTAAATTCTTTCTTATCACGAAAAAAAATTAGTTTCGCGTGACTCGATTTTTTGTTGTTTATTAGTGATTTGGGGTGAATTCAGAGAACGAGTTCAACTAGCAAACATGAACTTGAAAAACAATAAGACTCTAGAGCTTGAAAAAATTCCACGTCATAGATGAATAGACCAAGTGTTGCGCAGTCTTTTTCAGTTTCCCTTTAATTTTTTAAAATCTAGATTTCTCATTTATTTTTGTATTCGCAGAAAGGTTCATACAATGTTAAAATGATAATAGATATTCCCACACCTTCTCTCAGAATCAGAATACAACCAAAATTCTCACACCTCCCTTCTTCCAGTTAGAATCTCTTACCATTGATACAACTCTGCTTGGTTGATGACTCGAAATTTGCTCATTATTGATATTATCCGAGTTCAAGTTGAAAACCGCCAAATCCAATGCCAATCGATCATAAGCGAACATATTTGGGGCCTGCGAAAATAAAAATAAATGATATGATATTTAGAAAAAAAGTGTGCAAATAGAATGACTCAATTAAAAGTAAACTCAAGCATTACACTTCACAGAAAAAAGTTCGGAAAATAGTTTTTTTTCTGGGAAAATTTTTTAAAGGATGGGAAACAAAGAAGTATTTTTATCAGTTTTTGAGAGGAGAGCGAGAGTAAAAACGACATAATAAAGAGAACAAAAAAAAAATTGGAGATAAAATTTTTGCTGTGTGCATTCTTTTTTGGTAGTGAAACATATGACATAAGAAAGATTTTTTCTTTTTTTTTGTGTGGAAAAAAAAGACAAAAAAAGAAAAAAGATAATTTGGGGGCTGTCGCCTTTTTTGGCCGGCTGGTTGACTGGAGAAGTGAATATATAAGAAAAATAAGAAAGCGAGCAAGAAAGAAATATTTTTGTTTTTCAGGTGTGTGCATTTCGTGTGAAAATCAGATTATCTCGAAGGCGAGAAGAAAATATTCATATCAACCACAAAAAATTTCGTATACGATTTTCTGAAAGCTGCGAAAAATTACAGACATTTTTGATGATGTGGCAAACAAATTTTGATGACTAACTCAAATTGTTCTGAGAATTGAATTGAATTCATAATAACTTCTGTTCTGATTTTAGTTTTTGAGAAGCAAAAAATTTGGAATAGAAATTTTAAAACAAAAATAAATCTATTTTTGAAGACTTTTTTGTTACAACAAGGTTCATAAAAGTTTTGCCGAAAATATTATTCTGGCCCAGAAACGTGGGAAAATTAAGAACAAATCGATTGTCGGCAAAAATGAAACTTTTTTTGGAGAAAAAACATCTGGCAAACTGGTTAGATTCTGATTTACATGTTCCCAAGATTCAAAATGCAATTTTTTATAGCCCAAGGTCCAAAACTCATCAAAAATCCCTGATTATTCTTGTGTGCTCCAAAATATTTCAGCGTCAGAAAAATCTACTTTTTCAAACAAAAAATGTTCTTACAAAACAATAATCCACGTGCCTCGAAAAATGTGGGAAACAAAAAATTTTACGATTTTTTTCGTCGAAGAAACGACAAAAAATCGATGAGCAGATGAAGAAGCATATCAAATAAATTGTGAAAAATCGAATCAACGTCGATTTTTTCTGTGTCGATGATGTGAATTTTGTATGCAAATTTTGTGTTATATTTTATTTTATTTTTATTGAATTATAATAATATCAATATACATATATGTAAAAAAAAGAAGAGAGAGAAAGAGTCGATTTGGGGGGCCGAAAAAATTGTATATTTTTGTGTCAAAAATTATCATAAAAATAAAAATCGTATCGGTTTCCCACAAAATGTTGGCAGTTTTTCAAAATTGATAAAAATTAAATTTCGCAACAAAACCACAAAGTATCTTTTTTTCTCGAAAAAAAACGAGGATGGGAAAAAGTTTATCTCAAATTTCACCAAAAAAAAGAAGATCCCTCTCATTTTGACGCGACAGAAAAAGAAAAAAGAAAAAGTTGAACCACTTCAAAAAAGGCCAAAAGTGTCGAATTTCAAAAAAAAAAAGAACTACTGAAATATTTTTGTGACTGGATAAAAGTAACTATTTTTTCAAAATATAAAAAATAAAAAAAAGATGGGGTAGGAAAAAAGTAAATATGTTTGAGGGTTGAAAGAATACAAACAAACAGGTGAACTGGTTCGGCAGTCGAGTATAACAAATAGACAAAAAATATCAGATTGATTTGGAGGAGAACAAAATTCGAGAGCTGCTGGAAATTTATTTGGAATTGGGATTGAGTGATATCAGATTTTGTAGCTAATAGTAGTTTTTTGATTGATATTCATGGGAGAAAACATTCAGGTATTCAAAATTTCATCTAAAAAATCTGGGGAAGTCTTTTTGTGGCAATTTTTGGAGAGTGTTTGAAGTTTCTGATTCGGAAGTTCAGTGGAAATTATAAAAACATTCTGGTTCGAATTTTGAGTTTAAAAAATCTGGACAATTTTCCAAAATTTGAGAAAAATAATTTTGAGTTGATCCTCAGAAATCCAGAACAAAAAAGGCTTAATCAGAAAAAATTCAGAAATCTTGAGAAGTATCTACAGTATCTCAAAAATCTCGTGACTCTACAGTACCCCTCCCCAATCTTCTACAATGAATCCACAAGCTCACAAAAATAAATGAGTGAGAAATTTAAAACAAAAATGAGTGGTGTACTTTTCTATGTCAAACACCGACAAAAATAATAAAGTTCAAGATCACAGTTACCAGTTTAAAAAATGCTCTTTTTCTCTGCGTCTCTCATTGTCTCACATCTCTCGCATTCTATTTGAGTAAGCCGAGCAACAAAATTAGAAGCACAGAAACTACAATGCAAATATAAATAACTTGCTCAACGCAGTTATTTTTAGAAAAAAGAAACGAGTAAAACAATTTTTTGCTTTTTTGATAAAAAAACTTCTTGAAAAGTTAAAAATAATTGAACCTTAAACCTATTTATGTAATGAATGTTATTTGCGGTGATGAACAATCATTTATTGTTAGATTGAGCTCATGGAGAGAAAAATGAGCAGCAAAAAATATGTGTTGATTGACAACTGTTATTTTACGATTCGATTTATTAAAACATGTATTATATTTTTGTTAGTTCCTGGATTTTTTTCGGGTACAAAAATTGATTTGGAATAGGATAATTAAGAAATTAAAAAGTGTTGATGATTTGAAATTATTAATGAATCAAAGTTTACATATGTTCAGAATTGATGAATAGCGACTAATTGAAAGGTGGTGAACAACAGTGAGCAGTTTTTGATTTTATTTCATTAAGTCAAAGAGTAATTGCAAAGAATAACATTTTCGAAAAATTGAAATTTCGAACCAAAATTAGGGCAAAAAGTTCTAAGCTTTGAACTTTTCAATTTTTATAACCTAAAATGTGTTTCGAAGTTTCAGAATAAAAACTGAAAAGATGGAGTGAGAATCATTGACGCCGAAACTCTTCACAATCAAGAATTAATCGGGTTAACTTTTTCAAAAAATGTATTTCATATTGAAAAATTGGTGAAGCTAAAATAGATTCAGGAGTCTGATTTTCTGTGCTGAAAGAACAGCAGTTTCGAGAATTTTTCTAGAATCAACCATAAAATCCTGAAAAAGCTCATTTCAAAAATATCTCCATCTTTTTCTCCTCCTCCACCAATAAAAATAAATTCTCTTTCAAAATTGGCATTTATTTTTTCTCGTTTTCCTGCAGAGAGCAGCTCAAAATGAAAAATGAAAATGCTCGAAAAAAAGCGTTTAAAAAAGATGACTAGTCGAATGTTTTCTCTCTCTTTCAAGAAAACCAAAAAAATTGTGTATTCCGAAGAAAAAAAGAAGAAGAAGATGCTCTTTTTTCTTCTTCCGGAGCACACATGAAAAGAGGTGAAAGAAGAGAAAAAAAAAAGAATTGGCAAGAAAAAATAACGGAAAAATATATGTATACTTAGATACACAACTTTTTTTTCGTATGTTTCAACCAGAAAAATGTTTCCAGGGTGATTTTTGCTTTTTCTTTGTGGAAAAATTTGAAATGAAAGAGACAAACTCGCAAAAAATTGAAAAAATCGAGTTGTGTAATTTTCAGGCAAAAAACCTTTTTTTTGTATTTTTCTAATGTTTTTTTTTGCGATTTTAAAATTTGAAAAAGTTTCCACGGTGATTTTTTTCTTAACCAGTTCCATTTAAAAAATTGTCTGAAAAAAAGAACAAAGAGAAATTATCGCAAAAAACGACTGTTCGATTTGAAAAAAAAAGTTGTGTAAGTAAGTATATTTAACCTTGGATGGAGGCAGCAAAAAAAATGAAAAATCAATGTGTTTTTTTCAAATCAAATTTTGTTTGAAATCATGTGATCACTTAAAAATCTAAAAATTCCTCTGTGAATAATCTACATAATCCAGCTGCAAAAATCGTATATGTCGAAAAACATGCACTTTTTCTTTTCTTTCTTTGGATATGATATTTACGGATTAGCGAGAAGAGCTGACAGAAAAATAGAATAAAAATAGGAACGGACTTTGAAGAAAAAAAAGAACATAGAATATGCATAAAGTAAAATAATACAAAAAAGGGGAGAATGTAACATATTTGTACAAAATTTGTGTCCTGACATGAGTCACATTGTTGATAAGAATGGTTTCTTATTGTTGTTCGAGAATGACTATTGATTTATTTTTCTTTAAAGGTACATACAGTAAACATTAAGAAAAATTATACGCTAGTCTTTTTTCAACATTTCAGATAAGTTTTTCTAGAAATGAAATTGAAAACTTTGGAAAAGCCCATTTCCGATGCTTAAAAATTCATAGAAAAAAAAACTAAATTTGGATCAATGAAGAGTTCAATTTTTTGCACTTTAAAAAAGAGCAGAAAATTTTCAGATTAAATTTAACTTTCTAGAAAATCACGAAAACTTTCGAGAATTTTCGAAGGATTCAGAAAATCATGATCATTTTTTGATTTACTAAGGATTATTTGGATTTTCTAAAGCTGAAAAAACATTTTGAGAAAAAATTAGTTCAGAAAAACAATCCGGAACTTCTGGAATCATAATTTTGAAAATACCAAAAGAAATCACATTTTCACATTTCGTGATAAATTTATTCTAGAACCTGAACCTGAAATGAAAAAATTCCTATGCAAATTTTTATTCAAACACATTTTCTAGAGGTCATTTTGAACAAGGTCAACAAACAATTCTCAAAAAAATTGAAAATTTTTTTTCAAAATAAAGAAAAAGTTTTTGGATTTAGAAAATCTTGATAATTTTTTGCTTTTCAGGATTATTCGGATTTTTAGATTTTCTAAATGTTAAGTATATTCTAAAAATAAGCATCAGAAATATCTTTCATACAATTCAGAGTTAACTTTCAAATTTCCAGAAAATAATATTCAAAAAATGTTCTAGATGTCATTTCAAACAAGGTCAACTAATAAATTTCAAAAATATAACCATACTTCATTGTGGTCAAGATAAAAGTACAACAAAAACCACTCAAACCAAAAATAAACGCTTGTTACCTTGAGAGTGTATGTAGTAAAACACAAGAAAAAAAATGATTAGATGAAAAATGGCTGATCTTCCTGTCAGTCAGTCTAGGTACAAAAAAAAGGAAGAAAGAAAGGTAGTAAAATGACCGCAAGTAAAAAATAGTAAGCCAACCCTTTTTTCTTCTTCAATATTCTAACGCATCTTGATTCTCTTCAATTTTTTCTAACCCCAAACGACCTTCCTTCCTTCCTCTTCTTTTTTCTTTTTCTCATCTTTTTCAGCCAAACAATGGGTCATTTTTGTAACAAATTTTGAATGAGAAATAGCAAAAAAAGAAGAGAAATTAGAAAAGACTGAAATTGTATTTGATTTTAGAGAAAAAGTTTGTGTTGATGTTCGCTTCTTCTCGTTTTTGCTAGTGGTCAGTTCAAGGTTATTCATTGTTCGAGTTTTTCTAGGTTTTTTGGGGTGGTGAGAAAATAATGTGAGATGGAAAAACAGAAGAATAGACAGAACTGAAAATTGAACTTCCTAGACAGATTCGAGATTTTGGAAAAGTTTCCTTGAATTGTAGTCGATCCTCAAGTATTTGGTAACTCATATTCAAGACGTCACAACTTTTTACCAAAAAATCTAAATGCCAAAGTTTCAAACTGTCAATTACTAAATAGTACTATTTACATAATTGAGCTCAAAGCAGAGGACAAAGTTTGATCAAAACTTCAGAGAACTCAAAATCCTCAAAAGAAATGATGTTTCTCGCGTGCCACGATAATAAATAAAAAATGCATATATTTTGTTGTCAAAAGTATTTTTTTCATCTCAACCCTAAACCTTCGAAAACATCACAAATCCGCTCAGATTATAATTACGCAATTTTTTATTTTTAATCGGGATTTTGAAAATTGAAATTAAATTGGCAATAAAAATATGATCGAGAGTGATTTTATTTTCAAAAAAAAATGAAAATGTTTAGCCGACCAGATAATGATCCTTGAAAAAGCGAAGCTAGGAAAAACCAGTGAAACTTGTAATAGATTAAAATCAGATTCTATCGAGAATTAACTGTTTCATAAACTGCTTTCTTTCTTTCTTCTCTTTCCAGAAAAAAAAACAGATGGAAAAAAAATAAATAAATAAAGTTTTCTTTTTTTTTTCTGCGCCGCGCGCAAAAAATTGAATGACAAATTACTTGGGGAGGCCTTTTAGGAGCAGAAAAAAACTTTTTCTGTTGCTTTTCTTTGAAGAAGAAAATAAAAAACGACGGAAATTCTGTATAGTTGAACGGAGATTGTTGGGCGAAAAAAGTGGGCTGAAGCTTGAATGGCATGGCACAAAAAAAGAATAAGCTGAAGCAGAAAAAGTGGTTGACATATAAAAAAAGCTGATTAAATAAGGGGTTTTTGTCTGAAGGGAAAAAAAGACAAAAGAGACCAATTTTTGAAACAATGGATTTGGAGATTTTTGAACGCGTGGCATTTTATTTTGGATTTGAAAAAAAAAATTTAAAAATTGTCTAATCTCAAGAGATTGAGCGTCAAATGTAGTTCTGTCATATCAAAATTAGAATGGGAAAGGTCTTATGGACTTTGAGTGAAATAATTGAGAGCGGAATATTTTTCTGAGAAATTTAAATTTAGGTTGTTTTCAGTTATCAGTTATAAACCAAAGTACAAAAGAAATAGCGTAGCTAAATTTATTTTGGAACCTTTTTTGAGCAGACTAGAAATAGAAGAATGACTTCACGAAATTCTGGAAATTTCTAGAATGCCAATATTTTTGGATTTTCCGGCTCAATGAAATTTCAGTGTAAAATGAATTACCATGCTAATTTTTCAAAAATTGAGCTTTGAAAAAATTGACTCAAAAAATCAACGTATTTGGATCTCAACTCAAACCTTCGAACCTTAGCATTCTCCACAAAAAATCAACTTGCCTAAATGTTCTCAAAAGCTAACCAAAGTTAACTAAACATTGCCACGTCAAAACCAGAGAAGAAAAGCTCAAATAAAGGTTAAACCTTGATTTCTCACAAAAAATAAAACAGTAGTTCATTTCTTTTAAAAAAGCCACTTCCACATATTCTCTCATTTTCGAAAAAAATGCAATTATTTAGTTTCAAAAAAACTTCCTGGCAAAAAGTTCATAAACTTTGATCATTATTTTCTCTGAAATTTATATTTTCTAGTTTTTGAAACCTTTTAAAAACTATCGGTCCTCAACTCAAAAAAGTTCATCAAAATAAAATCTACAAAGGAACAAATGAACTTGTAAAAAAAGCAGAGAATAGAAAAAAGACGCTCTTCGCGGTCTTTCTGTTTTTTGTCATAATTCGACCCACGACCCGGCCGGCCGCCCGCCAAACACAAAAAAGTTAACCTCGAATGCCAAAGAGAAAGTAAATAAAAAATGGAGGCAAAAAAACAGTATGGAAATATTTAGAGACGCAGAAAATGATGGGAAGAAGAGACTAACTGAATGCCTGCAAAAATGTGCGGATAAGTTAAGTTTGTTTAGGTTTTGGTAAGTGGAAATGATTTTTGTGTACCTTTCTTTTGAGATTGATAAGGTTATGTGAATATTTTGGAGACATGAGAATATGAGAGTGAGAAGAGTTCGTTAGAAAAAAGGATAATCACAAGTATTTTCAAAATACAAAAATTTCAGCTTTCAAAACGTGAAATTTTTCCGACAAAAGAAGTCTTTCAGCCAAGATCTGGAGTCTTAATACAACAAAAAATATTGTGGCGCAATTTAATTTCCCGAAAAAAAAATTCAGAAGTAATTTTCTGAAATGATTTTTAATTTTTGATCGAATTTGTTTTTGAGCCAATAGAACAATTACGTCAAGTTGGTGTAAAATAAATGTATCCAACGTTTCGGCAATTTATGCCATCTTCAGGGAGAATCACTTAGAATTAATGAATGAATATTGGATAAGTAAGATTATAAAACAAAAGAAATCACAAAAAACCCCCAAAGTACCATGAAAATCACGAAAAATACAAAAAGATGACAAAATAAAATAAAATAAAATGAAAATTCCTTGTGTCAATGTGGAGTGTCGTAGTTTAGGCGGCGTTTTGAAATTTTGAATTATATTAAATTAAATTTGTTTATTTTTTGTTTTTTGGAAATGTTGAAATGTTTTTGAGATATTTTTGAGATATTTACGGTACTTCGATGGTTCCAAGCCTTGATAATTTTCTGAAAGTTTCAGTTCACTTGGCTGGTCAGTCATTTTGAAAATTCATTTCAAAATTAGTCAGTTTTCTATTTTTCACAAATGTACCTAAAAAATATCGAAAAAAAATCGGACGAGTCGTAAACAGGTGTTCAACATAGATAATACTTTAGTGAAAAAAAAACCATCTGGTGGATTTATGAACCTTTCAATTACCCATCTATTTTGTGCTCAATTTTCTATCCAACCAAAGAAACACAATATTCATAAGAATTGTTTATGAAGGTCTTTGAAAAATAAAAATGAAATAAACCTCAAAGCTATAATAATAATATTGATAATTATGCGTTTTCAATGAAAAAAGAAAAAAGTTATTCAAAAAAGTAATTCAGTGGAAGTTGGCGAAACTGTTCTCATATCATTTGTTTCAACAGATAAATATTTGGAAAACTCTTGAATTATTGGTTTTTCAATATTTTCAATAATTTTCACAACTTCTGGCATTGTTTTGTTATTTTTGAAGCGCATCTGAAATTTGAAATTAATTTTTTAGGGAAAATTTTTGAGTCACAGATAAACTAACTCGAATAAAATCGAGAACCACATAAATCGAGTAAATGAAGTGAATTCTTTGCGATAACATTGAAGCACGCTGCTTCCGAATATTTTGAAATACGGTGTCAATCTGAAAAATATTATCAGTAAACATCGGAGCATATAATAACCAACTCACATCAACACTTTTGTTGTCCAAAAGTAAACTTATCATTGCGTCACAATAAATCAATGCTGCTGATTGATTGATTCCAGTTTCGCATTGAACAAGAACTGGTCCGAAAAACTTCTGAAAATAATCGGAAATAGTTTTGGTTTGAAATGTTTATCTACAAATATTTTTAATTCCAGCTTTTTCTACAATCAATCAGCACGTGCTGTCTCACTTACAGTCTTATTGATTTGTTTCAAAATTGATAAAACAACTTTTGTTCGAACCGGCACCAGATTTTTTGCCCAATGTGAATATTTCATTAATTGTACATTTGCACCATGTGAACATCCATTTCTCACAATTTCCAAATTATACAAAAGTGGTCCATATTTGAGAGAACCTTGTATGACACTTTTACAAATAACTTGATAATTTCCAAATTCAACAAAAGCATACTTGGATTTCGGATAAAATTGGGGAAAATCAGGTCCGACTAAATTTGTCAACGAAACAATAACTTCAACGTGTTCATTTACAACCATACTCCAAAAATCTTCAATTGTATTTGTCATTGGATGTTGTGTAACTATATATGCTTTTTTCGAATTTTCAATCGATATATAATTTGCATGAATATAATCTCGTTCACTAGAACTATTCTTCAATTTCACTCGAGTTGTTTCGAGACAAAATACATCAGGATTTCGATTCTTTCCAGGAAATGCAAGAAAATTTGTGAATTTTTGATCTCGATTTGGGATATTTATTAGATTTGCCAGAAAATGTGGGCCAAGTCGTTTTTCACTTTCTGGAAATTCATAGATATTTTATTGTTAATTTTGAAAAGGTTCTCACCAATTTTATAAACTTTTTCAACAAATTCTTTCATTTTTTTGTCAATCGAATCATTGATTCCTTTTTGCCAATCAATTTTCAAAGTTGTTCGATCAATGTTGATTTTTTCATTCGATTGTTTTTTTGCATCTTTTTCGTTTGATAATTTTGGTTTCAATTTTACAGGTGAAATATTGACATTCTTTTCCGGTGATAATGCTAACACCGATCTGAAAGTAATGAAAAAAATCGTGAAATGAGGTCCCAGATCTGATTTTTGAGCTTCACTCACTTTTTCGGATACGCCATTGTGTTATTATAGAAATGACAGTTCTAGTAATTTTTTCACGAGTTCATTTTTTTGGAAATTTCTAAAGGTCACGTTCAGGAAAGAAAAAATTTAGCATCACACAAGGAAAAATTAAAATGTATTTATTTTCCAAAAATCAAATTGATGGCATTACAGAAGTCCCAGCTCCTTCCAATATACATTTAAATGCCTCATTGATTTCTCGAGTTTTTCTATTCAATTTCGGATCATTCACTTTCTTTTTGATATAATAAACAAGGCACAAATAAAGCGATGTATATTGTTTGAAACTTTCGACAGCAAATGGTCGTTGTTCCCGAACTGTTTTCACAATATTCACGACTTTCGGCTCAATTTTATTGTTCAATGAACTGACACAAGAGCATAATGCGAGGAAGAAACCAGCTCGACCAACACCGTTTTTCGAAAGAATTATGCATTTTTCATCCGCCGGCTGAAAATAATTGACATTTGAATTTTTCTTGAAAATTTTAATAGAAAAAACCACGTACCGCAACTTGCACATAATTCGTAACATCAATCACTGATTTAACAGTTTTGCTGAACTTCGGCGGGACATTTTGTGAGTTCCATTGAAGATGCATTATGATATTAATCATATTCGAATTCGAACAACCAGTTGGTAAGACTTCCATCAAAAATTTGATAGTTTCATTGTCTGGTCTTTCAACCCTTCGATTATTCACAAACATGCTGCCATAATGTTCATAGGCATTTGGAAGATTTGGAAAAAAATCGGCGACTTCATCATAACCAATCAGAATATGCATTAACATCACATTTTCTTGAAACATCAATCTCCAAAATTCTTCGGAAGATTCCTTCTTCGGAAATTGACCAATCAAGATATTCCGGGTGACATTTGGAATATTTACAGATGTTGCATTCACATAATCATCCGGATTATTTGCATTTTTGACAATGTTTTGATCGTAACATGGAAATTTCTGGAAAAAATCGAGAGGATGAATAGAGAGAGTGGAGAAGAAGAAAACATACATCTGATTGATTTTTCGCCTTGTTTTTCTGCCAAATTTGACACTTCTGAAGATCGCATTGAATTTTGTTGATTTCGATAAACTCTGTTCGAGCAGCTAATGAATCTGAAAATAATTGGAAATTTTGAAAGAAAAATCGGAACCGGTCACCCTGGTCCCATAGTTCCTCTCAAAAAAAATGCTTACCAACTTTATCGATAAAAGCCAATGCGGCTTCTTCGCCAAACCATTTCTCATTATCTTTTTTATCCGATTTCATCGATCCACCATTTCCAATCGTAATATCTTTATGTGAAAGTGGAGCCTCGGATAATTCAGCTCGATGCTCTTTTTCTCCTCGTCCACCATGGTTCTCTTTTACTTTCGATTTCTTTTCAACATGTTTTTCAACAGCTTTATCTTTTTCCTTTTCTTTTCCATGTGGCTTCAGATTTGTTGTTGGAGCAGCAACTGTAATTGGTGGCGGTGAATGAGCATGTGCAACATTATTGTGTTTATCAGCTGGTGGTGGTGAATGTGCTGCTGCTGGAGGAGGAGGAGCAACAATTGTGGGAGCTGCAACTGTTGGTGGAGCTGGTGCTTCAGTTGTTTGTCCTTTTTTCCGATGTTTATCCTTCGAATCTTTCGGTTCCAAATGTGTTGTGTGTTTCGTTTGGTCAGATTCTTTGTGCTTTTTCGTTTCACTTCGTTTATTTTTTCGCTTGTTCGAATGTTTTACTTTTTTATTTTGTTCACTGCAAAAATTAGGATTTTGAAGAGAAAAAAATAATTTTGGAGGGTGGTTGAAAGAATTGAGAACGTGGCCGACCCATAACAAATTGGTACAAATGCGGTTTCCCTACAGTATGTGGAGGTTTACCTATGGAGGTTTCCCTACAGTAATCCATCCCAACTCACTTTTTAGGTAAAGTCATTATTGTATCGAATTCAAATTATACTTTAGTTTCGTTCAAAAAAATGAGCAAACATTTCGAAACCGCCTGTTTCATAGCCAAATTTTTGAGGTCACGTTTCACGTTTATTTATTTTTCCGGATTATTTTTGAGAAGATAACAAATATTATTTTCCACTAAAATATAAAAAGTGCATAAAAACAGGCATGTTCATTTTGCTTTGCCGGCAAAAAGCAAAGCAGCTTTGCTGGGCGTGCCTTTGCTTTTTGCTGGCAAAAAGCAAGTAAGGAAAAAGCAAAAAAGCAGCCGCGGCTGCCTGCCGGGCTGCTTTTTCAAAATACAGAAGGCAACAAGCGAAGCTCCGCCCCTCCACACACAAAACATGGCAACACACAAAACCAGCGAACCGTCCGCGTATGCATTTATTCAAGTAGTCTCGCGCGCGCGTTAGAGAAGCAAAAAGAGGTTGTTTTGTCAATGCCTTCTCACTGCTTTCAGATGATTTTGGAAGGAGTGAAAAAAGCATTGCCGGCAATTCGGCAGGATGCTTTGCTGTTGCTTTTTCACAGTCTTACCGTGTAAAAGCAAAAGCGGCTTTGCTTTTTCGGGGGACGGCAAAAAGCAGGCAATGCCGGCAAAATGAACATGCCTGCATAAAAACACTTTTGACACTATCAAAAGGTTAATCAAATAGAGTTACTATAAATTCAAAAATCTTCGGGGAACTTATTATTCTACAGAAAAAAAATGAAGTTGGTTTCATTGCTCATTCTATTTTTCTTGATTTCTTCAATCAATTCTCAATATCTCTACAGTAATCCGTACTTTTCACAAGCTTCTGAATATTATTCTCAATCTGGATATCAACCACAATATTCTCCATATTATCAACAACAATTACAATATCCTTCGTCATATTACGGTTGGGGAACAATCAAAAAATATTAAATTTTTTTTATAACGAACATTTTATCTGAAAATTACATACGATCTGAATGATATTTAATGAATAAAATATAAATTCGAGAAAGACTTAATCGTCTTTCTTATTTTTTGGTCCATCTCCTTTCGAAGCTTCCAACAAATCCGAAACGCGATTGAATTCATTTTCCAATCCTTTTGCTTGTTTTTTGAGAGTATCTCTATCAGTTTGTGCACTTTTCAATTCGTCTCCCAATTCTTTCAATTGTCTCTTCAAATCATCAACTTCGTCAGAGGTTTCGGTTGCGTTCATCAATGTTCTGGCGGTTTTCGAGGCGGATTCAGCTTGTCTCATTGCGGCTTCGCTGGCTGCTTCAAGTTGAGCTCCGCGTCCCAAAAGTGCCATTATACGTTTGATGACGCTGGAAAAGACAAAATCATGAAAAAGTTTTTAAAAAAACTGTTTTCGAAAGTTTCAGTATTCCATAAGTAAATACAATTTTAAGCAAAAATGAGAACTTTTCCACGTCGTTTTTTTGTTGAGATTTTTGGAACTTCCAAAATTGCAAAAAGAGTTTACTCTCTGTGATGTTGTTTTATAAATTAGAAAAAAAACTTACAGGAACAAAAGAAGAGCGAATCCAGAAATGTACAAGTTTCTTTGGGCTCTGAAAAGTCTCATATGATGTGTGGCATCGGATTCAGCGGTTCTTGCGATTTGACTTTCCATTCCATTATATTTCATTGTTTCGCGAACACCATCTGAATCAAATTGGATTTGAAAAGATGAAGGTGGAACGAACTTAAGTAACTCAGAAATTTTGGACATTTTAATCTCAAACCAAAATCAATTTTGTGAAAATTCTTATAAAAATTAATTCCAGCTCTTTCATCTTAGATTCTATAAGATTTTTGAAAATATATCTAACCTGCGAAAAGAATGAACAAAACGAATCCGAAAGCCATTGAATAGATTTGAGCATGTTGAGATAATGCAGTGAAAAGTCGACTTTTGAATAATTTGCTCCACCTGAAAATGTTCCAGTTTTATTTAATGAAATGACTTTTCAGTACTTAAGTCCACGTTTTGTCCGTGATTCTTTCTCAATCTTCATTTCTTAAAATTATCTTGCAAACAACAACAAAAAACTTACAAACTTGGTCTAATCCATGGCAACAAAAGAATGAAAGTAACAATAATTTCTGCGTATAATACGAGTGCGACAATTGTCCATTGAAGAGTCATTCTGTAATCGAAAATATAATATTTTACTTATGAATACAACAACGGGAAAGATTTCTTATATAAATACTCCAAAACGACGACGTGTATTAGAAATCGTGTCGAGGTTGCGAAATTTGTTGTGTGTTCGAAAAATGAGAGAAAATGGAGAAGAGAGAGAAAAGAAAGATGTGAGTCAAGGTTTCTTCGTCATTTTGTGAAATAAAAAAATGATAATAAAGTTTTTTAACTGTTTACTTGTGGAGTTTTTTTTGTGCAAAAAGTGCAAAGATTAGTAAATTTTCGAGAGATTTGAACTTTCTCATTGAGAACTCCCAAGAATTTCCCAGGAAAGTTGATAAAACCGAAAATTTCTGCATTTTTTGAGATATATATCGATTTGATACACACTCGTAGGTGGAATTGAAATTGATGGAATGAAACGGAAAAAGAACATTTTCAGAAATTTTTTATCTAAATAGATACCACGAAGTCTCGAAAAATTGAGGCCTAACGATTTTGGGTATAGTAAATTCCACACCATAAAAATGAACGAATTTCGCAATTCTGTCCAATTTGTATCTGAAAATCGATAAAATACAGCCACCACTTTTTTATTTATCACCGAAATAAAAATGATAAAAATTATGTTTTTCAAAAAATCAATGATTTCCCACTCAAACAAACAGGCGGTTTCTATCTAAAAGCTCAAAAAACATAAACAACAAAAAAATAAGTTTTGGGTTTCTTCAACCTTTTTCTCGCGACATCAAAAAATCAAATGAAATATTTTATGGAAAAAATTAAGTATCACCGAGAAGGCTGAAAAAAGTAAAATAAAAATAAAAATAAATGGAGGGGAAAAGCTGAAAAAGACTATGGGAGACCAAAAAAGAAACATCTGACATTTTGCAGAGAAAAAAGTACGGGGATGGATTTGAATTAGGTTAGGTTTCGAATGGTTCTTCGCGTGTGTTTTTCATGATTTAGTCCAACTCGTAATATCAAAAAAAAGTTCAAAATGGGATTGAGAGGGGAAATAACGGGGAGGGGCTCTAAATTTTGCAGAAACTCCAAGCATAAAAATAAAACTCAAAAAAGAAACATATGAATGAAAATATTTTAGTTATCGTATCGAAACTGTCTTTTTTGTGCAGAACGCATTGAATCGAATAAAAGTTGAAGGTGAATAAAAATGAATGAATGAAGAAGGATAAGAAGAGGGTGCTGTACAAATTTATGCTTCTGAAAAATTAAAATTACTGATTGATTTGTCCGATTTTGGCAGTATTTACTGCAGAATTAATTTTCTTTTAAATTTTTAGTCAAAACTACTGACATTCTCGAATTTATTACAAGTTTTTCTCTCTCAAAAACGTACGTGCATAGGCGAGAGTCCATTGTTTAGCAGTCTTGATTGCTTCGGCCTCGTTTGTTTTCCATTGTTCAGCAACATCTGTTGCCAATGGATCCTGAAAATCAAAGAAAGTTATTTTCAGAACAATAATCCTTATAAACTCACTTCTGGATTTGGTGCCGACAACAATGCTTGGATTGACAACAAAACAGTTCGAATCTGAAGAGCTGGTGACCATTTGTCTTTCAAAATATCCAAACAAATTCTGCCAAGCTTATCAATATTTGGATGATAGATCTTGGTCATAAATCTGACTTTTGGTGCTGCCATTGGATATTCTTCCGGTAAAAATAATTCAAGCTTGAAGACACCGCCAGCAAATGGTGACTCATCTGGTCCAGCAATCATCACATGAAAATATCTAGCATTTGACTCGTCTGGATTTGCAGATATTCCTGGAACTGGATCTGCTAACAATCTTTGGGTCTCTTTAATAATTCGTCTAGGAAGCGCACCAGCCATTCTGCAAAAATGTGAATATTCTCATGAAAAATAATAATTTTTGGCGAGGGAAAAAAGATGTGTTCCTGAAAAAATAAAAATGCATAAAATATTGAAATTGGCAATAAAACCAAAATACATTTTCGGAGAAAGAAAGAAAGAAAATCCTAGTTTAGTGGATCACATTTATTAAAAATCCGTAATAAATTAAAGTTGAAGATAACAAATAAATATAATCTGGAAAAAACAAGTAATTATTTTTAGGAAAAATGCACACGTAAAGACCAGAAAAAATTAAAAGAACCCTAAAACAAGTTAGCACCAATTTCACAATTCTTCCTTGACGAATTTTGGTTTCAATTCTTCGATTTTTTTTATGAATTCGGTTTTTTCAGTGCATCCTTTGCAAACTTCTCCCCATTCGGAAAGAATGTTCTTGAGCTCTTTCACACGCATTTTCTTGAGATCGATAGTTTTCCAATCGAGTGGTTTGTCGTATTTCAATTCGCAAATTTGAGCATCTTTCGTTTTGAGTTTATCGCAAACTTTTTCTGGTGGCATAGACCAACTGAGTGGTTTTTGCACATCATTCATGATTGATGTTGCCGATTCTGGCAAAGCTCCGATGTAGAAACACTAGAATGTTTGTTTAGTTTTTCGAGTGCCTGAAATTTAAAAAAACTCACGAATTTGTTCTCCTTATTTTTGGTTGTAGCACAGTGTTCTCGTACTTTTTGTCCAACTACATCAGCCTTCGATTTCGAGTCCGCTGGTACTTTGGCCAATGCATCGGTCAATACTTTGACGCAAACTGAAAAAAAACAATTATTCGTTTTGAAGAGACCGGTTGGCTATTTTAGAATTCCGCACTTTCGGTGTACTTTGCCACTCTTTTGTCTATGATTCAAAAGAAGAAAAGTGCGATTTGAATTTTTCTGAGAGCAACTAGGGTACATTTATTCAGGATGAAAAATCGGAAACCCCTTATTTATATTTAAAAACCAAAGTTTTTCGCCTTCACAATTCAATAGAAAATCGAAGTACAATATGCAATTTCATCAAAATACAAATAGCAATTCGCAGTTATTCCAAAAAGGACAATTTCACGAAGAAAACTTTGTTTTAAACGAACATCTGTCAAACAAACTGTTTACCTTCACATTGTTGAGCAGCGGCGAAGCCAACCAGAAAAAGCACGGCAAAGACCAACGACTTGTTGCTTATCATCTGAAAATCAATATTTTGAGCTTTTGTTGGATTATCTCGCGAAAATTATAATAATACTTATGAAATCAATGCTCATGTGTCAGAGAAAGAAGGAATGGAATGAAAAGAGAGCCTGCAAAAGGAAAAAAACGACAGAGAAAGCTGACGTGTTGACGTGTTTGGTGTGCGCGTCAATTGTTAGTCGAACGCTGACGTGTTTTGTGTGCGCTTGGAAGGAGGGGGAATTTGAAATCTGATTTTTTTCTAGAAGAAAGGACAGTAACAGTGATTATAACCACAAGAAGGATTGGAACATCTATTGAAAAAATGAGATTCTATTTTTAAAAATTGGAAAGAAAACCTTCAACTTTCCCTAAAAATTTTAACTCCAGAAAATACCAAACTTCAAAAACGTTCAGAATTTCAGCCCGAAAACTATAGATATCTATTTTATTTTAAAATTCCGCTCGCACAATAAAACAAGCTAAATGTTCATTCTAAAGTTGTAAGAAATAAGATAAGATAAGATGGATAAGTTTTCTTGTTGTTTTCTCACAACTCTCATTTTATTCAAAATAAGTTTTCTAGTTTTGTTCGGTTGTTTTTATTTTCCAATTGTCTGGAAAAATTTTAAATCTGAAAAAAAACTTTTTATAGATAATCTAGTAAGATAATCAAATTGAATCGAATCGAATAAAATCTTTATCATCATCGTGTTTTCTGATGAATAAATTGAGTGAAAATGAATCTGGAAAAAATTTTCTTTGGAAAAAAAAGTTTTGATTTTTTTGAAAACTGAAAAGGTTAGAAAAACTCCTTGACAACAAGGATTTCTAGGCCAGTCTACTTGTTACATGAACTCTCAAGGCGTACCTCTTTGCGAGAGTAAATGCCTAGATATTATGGCTCCTAGATAAGAAGGTTCTTGAGCCGCGGTTACTTGAGTAGGCTTTCTAGGGGCTGATACTTACTTGAAAATTTAATTTTCTAGGCATGGCATCTTGACAATAATGTTTGCTAGTCTCTGCTACTTGACATATAAGTTTTCAAAGCGCGGCTCTAGCGATCTAAAATTTAGAGATTTTTTTTTATTTTTGGAAACGACGAAGTTATGATTTGAATGTTGACCAGAAGTCATTGAACTTAAATGTTCTCTTAAAAATTCAATTCTCATTCTCCTTGAATTTATGCAACATTTCTGATTGAAAAAAAATGTTTTATTCAAAAAACCCACGCTGTATGGTATAATTTTCCGAATATTTTTTTTTGTTGAAAAAAAAAAAAACTCTTGTTTTTTTTTCACGTGACACGTGTAGAATGTAATTTCATTTCCATAAATTTTAATTCAATTCAATCCAAACATTTTTTTTGTTGCCGCCTGCATAACAGAAATAATACAAGCTTTTCGTTTCCATATTTCCCCTATTCTCCTTTATTTGTCCAAAACGTGGCAACCGTTCTGTTTCTCTAATTTTTCCATACTATCTCTTTCCCTTTTTTATTATATCTAGAAATTCGGATCTTTCTTTTTCCCTTATTTTTCTCCCTTCGATAGTTTTATTGTATCTGTCAGTTTTCGAATCGAAGCCACGAAAAATGTTTGTGGCTGTATTTTATGGTCTCGCGGCCATTTGTGGAATATCCTATTTTTATACGAAAAGTGCGGTTGAGCAGAACGATGATCCAAATTTCAAAAGCTTCCAGAGAACTTATCTCATTGTATATTTGATGGCTGCAGGTTTGATTTTCAACTTGAAAAATTACTAATTTTAAACTCCTCATTTTTGCAGCTGGTGATTGGTTACAAGGCCCACATGTTTATGCTTTATATGAATCTTATGGAATGACAAAACATCAAATCGAAATTCTTTTTATTGCTGGATTTGGGTCAAGTCTACTTTTCGGAACTTTTATCGGATCGATTGCTGATAAATTGTAACTTTTCCCAAAATGTTTGAAAATTTTTTTAAAAAACTAATTTTCAGCGGACGTCGTAACAATTGTCTAATTTATGCTATTTTATATGGCGGTGCTTGTTTGACAAAACATTTTGGAAATATGCCAGTTTTGATGATTGGCAGATTTTTGGGAGGAGTTGCCACATCGATTTTATATTCTGCTTTTGAATCGTGGCTCATCTATGAGCATAATACTGTAAGAAGTGCATTTTTCCTCAGGTTTCTAATTATTTTTTTTTGTTCAGCGTGGATTCTCTGATTCTCATCTTGGTATAATTTTCTCAAACGCGGCTCTTGGAAACTCTTTAATCGCAATTATTTCTGGAGTCGCTGCTCAATTTGTTGCTGATATTTTCGGATTTGTTGCTCCATTTGATCTTGCTCTTTCGGTTCTTTTTGTTATGGCAATTATTATTATGAATACATGGCCAGAAAATTATGGAAATGAGAAAGCTCCAGTTCAAGAATCTTTTAGTAAAGCGGTTGCTGAGATTAAGAATGGTAGGGGATTATTAGAAATGAATCAAATGAAGGGAACCTGTTTTCAGGTCTAAAAATAAATTAGAATTTTTAGTTTAGTATTTCGAACTTCAAAATTCTCAGAACTATTGTTTTTTGGTATCGATTTCCCGGAATCAAAAATGTTCTTCAATTTTCATACTAATATTTTTCTAGATCGCAATATTTTGTGTCTTGGTTTGGTTCAAAGTTTGTTCGAAGGTTCAATGTATACATTTGTTTTGGAATGGACTCCAGCTTTATCGAAAGCTGTTGGAGGAAATGAAGTAATTCCACATGGATACATTTTTGCCGCATTTATGGTTTCGACAATGATTGGATCTTCAGTTTTCAAAATTTTGCAAGCAAAATATACTCCAGAAAGTTTCATGAGGTGAGTATTTTTGAATTACAAATATTTTCTCAAAATTATTTGTACATACTTTGATTTTTCAATTAGATATGTTCTTCTCATTTCTGCTGTTTGCCTATCGATGCCGATTATCGCACCTGACAACAAATATCTCGTTTTCGGTGGATTTTTAGTGTTCGAATCGTGCGTCGGTATTTTCTGGCCATCAATGGGTTGTTTGCGAGGAACTTATGTTTCTGAAGAAACCCGTTCAACAACTCTTAATTTGTTCCGAATTCCGCTAAATCTGATTGTTGTCGTCATTTTGTGGCAAAACTTTACGATGATTTCAATCTTCAAATTCTGTGTCTTCTTCCTTTTTAGTGCTTCATTGGCTCAACACGCACTTTATGTTTCAACTGAAAATGTGCCAAGAAATTCGACGAAATTGCCAATTCTCAATGAAGAAGATACTTTTTAGATTTTGTGTTTTTTTGGTGAAATATGTATTTGTTTCTGTATTTATTTATGGGTTGATCTTATTTATTATTTATTGAAATGAAGTTTTCTGAATTGATTTTTCGAAGTAACTTTTTTGAAAAATCGAAAGATTTTGATCTTATTTATTACAAAGATGGAGATTTTTACAAACAAATGTTTTTAAAAGGTTCAGACCTTAATACTTGTATTTTGTTGAGTAGTCTTTTGGCGAAATAACCAAACCACGTCCTTTACGAGCTCCTCGATAAACTGTCTCAATAATATCGATAAGTTCTTGTCCATCAGTCACAGCCCAATTGATTTTGTTGTTATTACCGGTTCCTATACAAAAAATCATTTTAGCTTCCTAAATCCTAAAACCTTAAAAATAAATAGCTTACCTAAATCGACCATAATGTGTTTGTTTCGGAAGAAAAACATTGCTGTGCATGGATCGTACAATTCGTACATTTTGTTGAAATCCGGAACTTTTGTGATATCTACCAAATAAACGACAGCAAAGTTTTTGACTTTTGGAGCAATTTTGAATAATGTTTCGTCCATTTGCATACATGTTGGGTCCCAATCGTGACCAAATCTGACAACAACAACACGATCTTCTTCGGCTAGGATGGCTTGATCGACCTGTAAAAATGTTTTTGAAGATTATATTGCTGAAAAACTTTATACTTACCTGCCATCCATTTTCTAAATGCGGTAACATATACGACATGATGAACTTTTTGTTGAAAACTGGCGAAAAACGCTAGAAAATAAAGTTGTTTGACAACAAAAAATTAATACGAAAATGTATTGATTAAGAACGCGCAGTGTCGCGCGGAGCAACGTTATTTTCAAAAAATTTCAAATTTCCCAATAAAAAAGAAACTTTGGAAAGAGCCTAGGAGAACGTTTTTGTTTCCGGGGAAATCTAGGAAAATCCAATATTTTTTAATATATTTCGAAGATATTGAAAAACTTTCATTGTTTTTATCATTTGAAAATGCTTTTGATTTGAAATTTTTGCTGCGAAATACATTTATTTTGGATAAGAATAAAACACAACGTTTTAAGCCTGAACAAAAATGACACAGGTGAGAGTTTTTCGTTTTTGGAGGGTGCAGAGAAAAAAAGAAAGAAAGTGCGCTCTATCGAACTGTTCGCACCAGCTTTTTTCATTTTCGAAATTCATTTTTTTGTTTTTTCTTTTCTCTTCTCCTTTTCAGCTGATTATCGATGATTTCTCTATCAATAAGTTATGTTTCCAACTGTAGAACATTTTTCAGCATGTTGGGTTGCTACGGAACGTCGATTTTGCCACCTACACAGGAAAAACAGGTCAGTTTTCTTGTTTTCACAATTCGGCAATTTGTTGTTTATTTCAGAGTTTTTTGTATAAGATGAATCGAAAATAGGATTGTTATGATGTATAACCAATTGGGCAATCATCAAACCGAAAGTTTTGCACCAGCAATCTCGACAAAACCGCCAGCGAATCAATCATACACTCGGAACCGAATTGCTGTTATTTTATTCAACGCTGAGGAAATGCCGAGTGTCATCCGACTTTTTGATGACCTCCCAATTGTTCAATTTATGAAATTTGGAACAACTGCTTGAAAATGGCATGTGAAATTTGACTGTTGGTGTTTAGGCGGTGAATTTGTTCAAGCGACTGTTGATGATGCAAATTAAAAAAGGAGAATTCAACAAAAAACAATGATGAATGGCTATTTTCATGTTGATTGATGATTGAAAATATGATGCTCTTGAGGAGAAATTCAATTGGATGTCTCGAGAAATTTGATGAAAATCGCCGATGTTACTTTTTGAGTGATGGCAATTGCCGAAAACCTTTGATGACGATCACCAATTTTGCTCTTCGCTTTCGAAAATCGTGGAGAACATTGAGGATAATTGAAATCCCATTTAATTATAGATGTTTTATAGCATTGTATCTTGTTTATTTTCTTCAATGTGTATTTTCTGAAATCTTGAGCTAAATTTGTTGTTTTACGCGGTAAAACAGTATTTTTTCGAATGAAATGTTTTGTCTTCTCCTAAAAATTTCAGATTCATCTCTTTAAAATCAATACCGATAGGTTTTTATTCTGGAAAACCCACTTTAAACTGAAAAAAACAGGTTTGAAATAGAAAAACGTTTTGTGTTCGGTAGAGCGCACTTCACTGTTCTCTGCGTCTCCTCGGGTGTTTCTCTCTCGCCTATGTCACCGTAAAACGTTGTGAAAATTCTAACAGTAAAAAGTTGCTGAAAATCTTAAGAGCGCTGAAAATTTCCCGCCTGCGAAATGAGCCCGAGTTTTTTTTTTCGAAAAATAAAAAAAACCGAGTTTCCAAGTCGGTTCCTAGGCCACGCAGGGAATTTTTTTTTGCGCCAACACACCCGTTCAAGCCACGCAATGAGTGTTTTCTACTGTAAAACGAAAAATCTGCAAATGAAAAAAACTGTGCAAACACTTTTGTCTAATTCTCTCTGTTCGCCGTTATATTTCGCACTACAGTATTAAAGGAGCATGATAAATTTAATGCGTTGGGTCTTGTCGCGATTGCTAACTTTCTTCGCAGGACCTCAAAAAATAAGAAAAGTAGCAAGTCAGGTTGAACTCGATGCGCTGATTTTCATGCTATATTTAGTTTTGCATGAAGCTTATCTAGATTTTGAGCTACAGGGTGCACCGTTTTTACAGCGTTTTGCTGATTTTTGTGTTGCTTGAGCGGGTGTGCCAAAATTTCAAGTCGCTTTCACGTGTTTTTCGTATGTAGAACTTCACATATAAACTTTGTTATTTCCAGTATCGACACCAATTTTCCAGTCAATAGGATTGTAGGGTAAGTTGACTTCTAGTCGATTTTGTTCACGCTCTTCGCACATTGAAACCAACCACACTTCCGATTTTCGTTTCCTAACACGCCACACCGATTTCCCCATAATTCCTGTCACTTTTTTCACGGCGAGAAACAAAAATTGAAGAAAAAAACTAAACCGGCTTATTTTTTTGGGTGGCCAAGTTTTATATTTGAAAAATATATCAGCGATTTTCAGTGTCACTCTCTGTCACACCATATTTATAAATTGTCCTAATCCGATCATAGAACTTTTTTCTCACAAATACCCACAATTTTTATAAAGAGTGTTTTCAACAATAATTCTTATCATTCTTTCGAAGAAGAAAATTGTTTTGTTTTGTTTCAACCGGTTGTTTTTCAACAAAAAGTGAATTCTAAACAAAACATTTTTCAAAAAAATGAGAATTCTTCTTGTTCATATTCAATTTTTTATGCCGATGATGATTTTTTTGTCTGCTCTTTGAGTAGTGTAAAGTGACCCATCTCTCACCACCTTTCCTTTCTTTCGTTTTTTTCTTCCCTTTCTATCTCACATTTCAGAAAAAATTAATTTGCACAAAAAATGGCTTTCATACTTCCATCAGGTTTGTCTTCTGTAGTAAATTATTAGTTGTAAATATTTAGTGTATGCCTACCTGTCTGTATGCCTATCAAAAGAAATAATCAGTTGATAGATTTATCAACCACAAAACGTCATATTCTTACAGGTTCATGATAAAATGGTTTCAGAATCATCAGAAGGATCACCAATGTCAAACGGATTACACATGAATGGCCAAGATTCTCTAGTTCAACCACTTTTGACTGATTTTTATCAGGTATTTTTTGATAGAGAGCTTTTTCGATATTTTGAGGCTTTTATCGAATAATTTCATGTTTTCACAGATCACAATGTGCTACGCATATTGGAAAGCTGGAACTCACGAAGAACCGGCAGTTTTCGATGTGTTCTTCCGTAAAAATCCATTCCATGTAAGTTTTCATCTACATATTATTCTCATTTTTTCTCTAAAATTCAATTCTTCCAGGGAGAATACACAGTTTTTGCTGGTTTGGAAGATTGTTTGAGATTTGTTGAACATTTCAGATTTAGCAAAAGCGGTTAGTTTTTTTATTCGTTTTAGTTGATCTAAAAAATCCCCAGTTTATTTTAGATATCGAATATGTTCGAAAGATTCTGCCAGACAACGCGGAAGATGAGTTTTTCGAGTTTTTAGAAGGATTAAATGGAAATAATTTGACAATCGAAGCATTGAAAGAGGGTTCTGTTGTATTTCCAAAAGTTCCACTTCTCACAATTTCTGGACCATTGGCAATCTGCCAACTTCTCGAAACTTCAATTCTGAATCTTGTCAATTATTCGAGTCTCGTTGCAACAAATGCTTCAAGATTCAGACAAGCTTCTGGAAAGAATATTCAATTACTTGAATTTGGATTGCGAAGAGCACAAGGACCAAATGGAGGATTGACTGCTAGTAAATATTGTTTTATTGGTGGATTTGATGGAACAAGTAATGTATTAGCTGGAAAATTATATGGTATTCCGGTTAAAGGAACACAAGCACATAGTTTTATTTGCTCGTTTTCGTCGCCAGAAGAATTAAAGTTTAGAAAAGTTAAACATCAAAATCGAAGCGATGAACATGATTTGTATGAACTGGCAATTCAAAAAAGAGATTGGATTTTGAAACAATTTCCATGGGGTGTTATTCCTTCGGAAATTTCTGATGGAGAATTATCAGCTTTTGTTGCATATGCAGTTGCTTTTCCAAATGCATTCCTTGCTTTAATCGATACTTATGATGTTTTGAGGTAAGAAAATAAATCGTAACTGATGATTCAGAATACGTATATTTTGTTTTTGAAAATACTTTTAAAATTGAACTTAACTTGATTCTGAATTTGCCTCAAATCTATGATTTTTCAGATCTGGAGTTGTGAATTTCGTCGCTGTCACTCTGGCTCTCAACGAACTCGGTTATCGATCTTTGGGATGTCGAATTGATAGTGGTGATTTGTCATATCTTTCCAAAGAACTTCGATCAATTTTTGTCAAAGTAGCTGCTTTGTAAGTTATTTATTTTCAAATAAATTTCCTTTTTAATAAAGACCCTATTTTTCTTTTAGAAATCCAGTGTACAGTTTCTTTGAAACAATGACAATTGTTGCATCAAATGATATCAATGAAGAAACAATTATGTCTTTGAATGAACAACAACATGAAATTAATGCATTTGGTGTTGGAACACATTTAGTTACTTGTCAAAAACAACCAGCTCTTGGTTGTGTTTATAAAGTGAGTTTCAAGTATTTTTGGTGTAAAGTCTAGTATAGTCTAGTTAGAAATTCACCCATCAAACAAACAAAGAAACTCACTAATCGTTGTAATTTCATTAGCTCGTCGCACAATCTTCGATTCCAAAAATCAAATTGAGTCAGGAAGTATCAAAGATCACAATTCCGGGAAAGAAAAAATGCTATCGAATTTATGGAAAAGCCGGTTATGCTATATTGGATTTGATGACTTTGGAAGATGAAGAAGAGCCAAAACCAAACACACAAATTCTTGCAAGACATCCGTTCCAGGTAATTTTTTTTTGCAATTTAATATTTTTCAAGAAAACTTTCATTGAAAGTATGTACGAATTATCTTGGCCCCATATACATTGATTGATTTCCTCCGCCATGTCCGCCAGATCCACCACCAACACTTATATAGGCTGAACGAGTTCCTCCTCCACTGCTTGGTGCACCAAAGTAATCTGTAAAACATCAAGAATATTTCTTTGATATTTTTAGAGTCAGGGTCTCACCATTGTTAGATTTGGTTGGGGCAGAATGCCCAGCACCACTTCCTCCTCCAACACTCATATAGGTCGACGTAGCTCCACTCGCACCTCCACCTGATGGTGCCATATAAGCTGATGTAGCTCCTCCACCTGAGCTTCCGCCAGAACTTGGAGCACCAAAGTAATCTGAGCAATTTAATTAAGAATATTTTATTCATAAACCCCACAATCGGGGTGATGAGTTTTTGCCCCCATAATCTGTTGAGGGCCTAAATCGAATGTTTTCAGTATTGAGCTACAAAAATTTCTAGATTTTAGCCAAACTAGTTCAAAAATGTAGAGAAGGGGGATGAACTTTGACTATTTCAGTAACTTATGTCTTGTGTATGCATGAACATCTTCCTGCATTTTTTATATTTTTAACAAACCTTGAGATGGTCCAGAAGATGCAGGAGGTGCTGAATATCCACCGCTGCTTCCTCCACCAACACTCATATAAGCCGACGTCGCTCCACTAGCACCTCCTCCGCCATTTGGTGCCATATATGCCGAAACTCCACCACCTCTTGATTGTGGTGCGGCACTGTATCCTCCACCTCCCGAAGATGAAGGAGGTGCTGAATATCCACCTCCGTTTCCTCCACCAACGCTCATATAAGTCGATGTAGCTCCGCTCGTACCACCTCCACTCGATGGTGCCATATAAGCAGAAACAGTTCCGCCACCTCTGGACGGTGCTGGGGCACTTGAAACTCCTCCACCGCTATATCCCCCTCCGCTATTTCCTCCACCAACGCTCATGTATGTGGATGTGGCCCCACTGCTACCTCCACCTGATGGTGCCATATAAGCTGATGTAGCTCCTCCACCTGAGCTTCCGCCAGAACTTCCGCCAGAGCTTGGTGCACCAAAGTAATCTGAAATATTCAGTCATAATTCAAAATATATAATCAAACACTTGTTGATCCTTGTCTGTTCACATACCTTGAGATGGTGCAGATGGTGCAGCTGAAGCTGAATATCCGCCACCTCCGCCAACACTCATATAAGTCGAAGTTGCTCCGCTAGCACCTCCTCCACCCGATGGTGCCATATACGCAGAAACAGTTCCGCCACCTCTCGACGGTGCTGGGGCACTCGAACCTCCACTACTATATCCACCTGAACTTCCCCCGCCAACACTCATGTATGTCGAAGTCGCTCCACTTCCTCCGCCACTGCCAGAAACTCCAAAATAACTCGATGTCATTTTTTGCTAGATAGTAGTTTGAAGTAAATTAAATACTGATGCTTGCATCGCTTTTCCTTTATATTTGAAGGATTTAATTGGTGCACGTCAAGTGAAGATCAAAATAATTGATAAGAATTATTTTTGTCGAAAAGGTCAAGATTTTTAATTGAAGAAAATGTTATTTTTTTTTAATTTCTATTCTTATTTGCCTAGGGGCTTCACCCCTAGTTGAGCAAGGCAGAAATTGTTTTTTAAATGTGGAGTACGATTTTTTACTGATATTTTATATCAATTTTTGACTGAATTCATGTGTTTTAACTCGAAAAAGTAGGACTTGTAAAACTGGAAGTTCTTCCACATTTACAAATTTTGAACCAAAAGAAAATATTGGGCAAAAAAAAAGGTATTTTGTGAAAATCTGAAATTTATATTAAATCATTTGTTGAGAATTTTTTCTCACAAAAAAAACAGTTTTCTCGAAAAATGTATTCAAAATAAAAGAAAATCATAATTGAATTCATCGTGGTCCTGCGTATTGCGATTGAATCCCCCCGCCAACACCATAATCGGTTCCTCCTCCGCCAGGATTCGGAGTCACATAAGCTGAGTGAGCTCCTGGTTCTCCGGCAGGCATTGCAACTTGTCCACCACCATCACTACTAGGTTTACTTGGCTTGCGACCTTAAAATAATGAACTTATTGTGGGGAAAATTATTCTGTTATCTTACTGGCATGCGATTTTGGGTGGACTGTATTTCCTCCGCTAGCGTGTCCCATATGAGATGTTCCGCCACCCGCGTGTCCCATTTTAGATGTTCCGCCACCTGCGTGTCCCATATGTGATGTTCCGCCACCAGAGTTTGTTGGCATACGGAAGTAACCTGAAATTGAATTTTTTTAGTAACAACCTCTATAAGAAAATATCTTCGTACTGGTGTTAGATTTGGGTGGTGGTATGCCTCCATCTACAGTCGTGAAAGCCGACACCGGAGAACCTTGTTTTTTGGGAGCTGCATGAGAAGCTGGCACTGCATGTGTTGCACTGACTACGGTTTCTCCATCAACTGCCGCAAGTGTCACATGCTTTGATTTTCCTGCTGCACTACCTCCGCCATCATTGGGTGGCATATTTGTTGGAGCTCGAAAATAACCTGAAAATTATTGAGTTTTTTGTGGAATAATACATTAATACTTACTGCCATGTGATTTTGCAAATGCTGCATTCCCAACTCCAGATTTTACACATGCTGACTCGGCCCAACAACTGAGCTCAGCTTGTGTTGGTTGTGTAGCTGTTGTTGGAGCTGCTTTTGATGCAGATGTTGGAGCTGCATGCGATGCAGATGTAGGCGCTGCATGTGACGCACTTGTGGCCACGGTCTCCCCACCAACCGGTGCAACCGGTGCAAGTGTCACATATTTTGAATGTCCTCCTGCACTACCTCCGCCATCGTTAGGTGGCATATGAGCTGATGCGCCTCCCCCACCATTTGTTGGCACACGAAAGTAACCTGGAAAATTGAGTCGTTTTAGGAGGTCTCTACATCAGAGATGACCACTGTAGACAAATAATAACTTACTAGCATTTGATTTCGCAAATGCTGCATCTCCAACACCAGATTTTATACATGCAGACGCGGCGTAACAACTGTTGTCTGCTTGTGATGCAGAAGTTGGTGCTGCTTGTGAACCAGAGGTTGGCGCTGCATGTGACGCACTTGTAGCCACGGTCTCTCCGCCAACTGGTTTAAGTGTTACATAATTTGATTGTCCTCCTGCGCTTCCTCCACCAGGTGCCATATAAGATGATGCGCCTCCTCCATTTCCGCCACTATTTGGCACACTAAAGTAGCCTGAAAAATTTAGTTTTTTGGAGGACTCGAAATCAAATATGGCTTTCGCCATTTTTTACAATGAAAATACAGCGGCCATTGATGAGACATAATAACTTACTAGCATTTGATTTTGCGAATGCTGCATTTCCAACACGAGACGTTACATATGCTGATCTGGCATGACAACTGAGTTCTGCTTGTGAAGCAGTAGTTGGAGCTGCATGTGAGGCAGATGTTGGTGCTGCGTGTGAAGCAGAAGTTGGAGCTGCATGTGAGGCAGATGTTGGTGCTGCGTGTGAAGCAGATGTTGGAGCTGCATGTGACACACTTGTGCCTCCACCAATTTGTGTCTGATGAGTTGATGACACACCTCTTTGTCCGCCACCATTTGTTGGAGCACGAAAATAACCTGGACAAAATTTGATTTTTTGGGGGATCAATACATAATATCTTACTGCCATGTGATTTTGCAAATGCTGCATTCCCAACTCCAGATTTTACACATGCTGACTCGGCCCAACAACTGAGCTCAGCTTGTGTTGGTTGTGTAGCTGTTGTTGGAGCTGCTCCACCATTATTATTTGTTGGTGCAGCCGTACCTGGCCCACCAGTCATTCCTGCACTTTTTCCTCCGAATGAACTAGCATGAGCAGATTGATTTCCGCCGACTCCGCCGTTACCAACATAATTAGATGTCATTGTTCGTTAGATAGAAGACTATAATAAAGTAGAAACTAGTAGCTCTCACTTTTTTCCATAGCCTTTTAAGTGAGTTTAAGTGGAACACGTCAAGTTAAGATTAAAATAATTGATTAGGGGAATTTTTTAAGCCAATAGTTTTTTAATACCAGGTTGAATTTTTTCGAACAATTTGAATCTCATGAATTGGTTCATTAATTTCAAATCGATCAACACACCTGACGAGACGTGTCCGAATACACTGTACAAAATTTTTCAAAAGCCACATTGTACATTTTTTCACGAAAAAGTGTGGTTTCGATTGATTTTCGGCGGATTTCGATGAAAAAAAAACTTTTCAAAAAATTCAAAATTTCACCCTGAACAATTTTTTTGCCAAAATGTTTCACGCTGCAGAAAAATTTTGGAACACTCTCTCGTCAGGTGTGTCGATCAATCTTTCAACATCGCATTTCCACAATTCCAACAAATCCTCTGTAATGAACTTCTGCCAAAAATGGGAGCATATATTTTTGAACCTAATGAATTTGAATCCGTTCTCAAAATAGCTTTTAGGTTCACTTGTGGCAACATTTGAAAATGGATTCGAGAGCATAAAAAGTTCTTCGCGAGATCTTACAAGTTCTTCATTTTCTTTCCGGGACCTTGTTAGGCGCTTTACTTCTTGGGAAATAAGAAAATCAGAATTACGCCACAAGATGTTAAAATGAACAATAGTCAGATCAATGTGTCTACCGTGGAATATTCAGAAAAAAACTGTGGATTGATAATTCAAACATCATTTTGTTATTATGGGGTTTTGCAAAAAAAAAAGTAAAATAATGGATCTGATTTTACGATGAAATCCCGTGAGAACCGGAGTTTGAATGTGACAAAGATTTGGAAATTTTGAATTTGGAAATTTCAAAGATTTTGCACTCTTCAAATTTCAATTCGTCCAAAGAAAATATCAAAGGTGGAATCCGAGCAGAAATTAAGTTGTGCTCATTTGAAAGAGCATGTTTCAATTAGTACAATCCTAGAAGGATTTTTCTGGAAGCTTATCAAACAAAATACAAAAAGAATTGTACTAATTGAAAAATGCTCTTTCAAATGAGCACAACCTAATTTTTGCTCGGACTCCACCGAATTTTCAGAAGAATTTGAACTTGAAGAATTTAAACTTGGAAAGTCACTTCTGATTTACTTTGTCGAAAAAGCCTTGGAACTATTGCCCGTTTCAGAACTTTTAAAAAAGTTCTTTATTCTCAACAAAAAACACAATTTTGTTCCAAGCAACGTTTATTAAATCAATAAGAATAATTAATACGAGTTTGGAGAATTTAAGCTTGATAGTTCAGTGAATTACTTCGGTGCAAAGTAGGCCGATGTGGCTCCACCTCCAGAAGCGGCGCCGCCACCTCCTCCAGCTCCCATGTACACCGATTGTCCAGGAATTCCACCGCCGCCGCCACCGCCGCCTATAAAAAATATTTTTAGTAAATATATAATATAACTTGATTGAAAGACACTAACCGGCTGGCTTGGCACCACCACCGCCTCCTCCTCCAACTCCGAAGTAAGCAGATTGACCTGCAGCTCCGCCGCCTCCCATAGCTCCTTGTCCAACACCGAAGTATCCAGATGTGGCATTTCCTCCGCCACCAGCTGAAAGAAGAAGTTAAGCCTTGAAAGCCCAAATTATTTGTTTTTCAACAAACCTGGTGGTGGGGCTCCGCCTCCCATTGAAACTGGTGCGGCTCCAACAGCGGTCATTGTCGATGCTCCTCTTGGGGCTCCTCCAACGGCTGTCATTGTCGATGCACCACCTCCAACTGGGGCTCCACCAACCGCAGTCATGGTTGAGGCTCCGCCACCAACTGGGGCTCCTCCAACAGCAGTCATTGTAGATGCACCACCTCCAACTGGGGCTCCTCCAACAGCGGTCATAGTCGATGCTCCCATTGGAGCTCCTCCGACAGCAGTCATGGTTGAGGCTCCACGTGGGGCTCCACCAATTGCAGTCATTGTTGATGCACCACCTCCAACAGGTGCGCCTCCGACAGCAGTCATTGTTGATGCACCTCCTCCGATTGGGGCTCCTCCAACAGCGGTCATTGTCGAGGCTCCGCCTCCGATTGGGGCTCCTCCAACAGCGGTCATTGTTGATGCTCCTTGTGGTGCGCCTCCGACAGCAGTCATAGTTGAGGCTCCACCTCCGACTGGTGCTCCACCGACAGCAGTCATTGTCGAGGCTCCGCCACCCATTGGTGCTCCTCCAACAGCTGTCATTGTTGATGCTCCTCTTGGTGCGGCTCCAACGGCTGTCATTGTACTAGCTCCACCGCCTCCGCCAGCTGAAATAATAACTGGTTAAAACCTTGAAAGCTCAAACTTGGTCTGTTTTCAACTAACCTGGTGGTGGGGGTGCCCCTCCAGATGGTGCGCCTCCTCCAACTGGTGCTCCACCAACTCCAAAATAAGCCGATGTTGCTCCACCGCCGCCACCTCCTCCTGGTGCTCCGAAATAAACCGATGTTCCCGCAGGTGCTCCACCTCCACCTCCAGCTCCAACTGGTTTTTGTGCGTTTCCAGCTGGTCCTCCACCAACTCCGTAATATGCAGATTGTGCTCCACCGCCGCCGCCTCCTCCAGCAACTCCGAAATAAGCAGATGTCATTTTCGAATCTCTTTCCGAATATGATTCTCTGCTTCAGAGCCTCTCAATTTATAGTCCCATTTTTTGATGTTATCAGTGACACGTCACACGTTTCGTTTTAATGCCACGTTTTTTTCAGCTTTTTACCTTTTTGAGAAAATCAGAAATTTACAAATTATTGAAAAATTATCCGTGACCTTTGAAAATATTAATTTCATTTCCCATTCAAAAATTCAAGAAAATGGTGGCTCAATGAAAAATAAGGTTTACACACCTCGGCCAAGCCGTGACTGGCCAGAGTACAATTTTTGGAAAAATCTGAATTTCAGTTTATAGAGATCAAAAATTGAAAAATCACAATTTTTAGAGGACAAAAACTGAAAAATTCACAGTTTTTGTACTGTAAAAAGTTAGCGTACATCTTTTTATTGTGGAAACCACGATTTTGGCCGAGGTGTGAAGGTTTAACTATTCAAAAACGAGTATTTCGAAGTTTCCAATTATTTTTTCATTTTCCAGGAATCGAAACGCGCTTTGGTAATGGCTAGCAGAGTTGAACAACTTCACAATGTTTATTGGGAGAATGGAGTTTTGACACAAGAATTGCCGAAATTGGATCAAATCAAAAAACATGTCAAAGAATCAATCAAATCATTGAGACAAGATCATCGCCGTTATCTCAATCCAACACCATACAAGGTACTTTTTTTGTAGGGGTTTTGAAAATTATTGAAAATCAGCAAAATGATGATATTCAAAATTGAAAAAAAGATTAGAACACTTTCTCAAAGATTAGATTTCACAAAGAAACCTAACCTCGCCCAAGAACCCGGAAAAAAACACACAAGATAGTTTATTCCGGCACCTGAACACCCTGTTCTTACAGCCCTACTAATAGTAATCGTAACCCCACTTCATGTCAGAATAATTTTTTCCGCATACTTTATTTACCCGAAATCATCAATTTTCATGTTTCTGATTTTTCAATTTAAAAAATCTCAACATTTTTATCCCAACCAAAAAATTTCAAGTTTTAAAATGTTTTTGAAAATACAGACAAGTTTCTACAACGAGTTTTAGCTCCAACATTTTTTTGTATCAAATAGTTCGGGTTTGGAGCATATTTTTTTCGAAAAACTTGTCTGGTACATCAATCATCCGAATCAAAAATTCCTTCCTATCAATATTTTTTCCAGGTCTCCGTGTCCGAACAACTTTACAATTTCCTTCACAGTCTTTGGCTTAAAAATGCTCCGATTGGACAACTCGAATAACTTCATAATCCCATTTTTTTCATTTGTTTTAGGCAACAATAACTACACAATGAGTTTTAAATAACTTGTGTGATATTTTACATTCCGCGAATGATTTTTCTCGACCTTTTCCCTTTTTTTTGAGAATTATAAATTTATCTTGCCCGTGTTTTCCCTTTCAAAATATTCGCATTTTTTTTGTAGCTTTATGTATTTATGAAATTTATTCGAATTTTGAAAACCGATTGAAGAGAAACCCATCTGCTCAGAGAAACGGGACATTGAACCGGGTTTAGTTATAATTCATGGAAATCAGCGATAAAGCACTGTTCCTATCAAATTCAGCTCAAAACAGCTAGTTTAAGATGTATCACCGCCTAATTTCAAAAAATTATAGATACCTGCCGATTTCTAATGAAATTTCATTCAAAATTTATGTTTTTATATAATTCATGTTCTAAATTCACAAAAACCATAAATTTGATCCTGTTTCTTCCGGTATTTGTGAGAAATTACTGCGAAAAGGAAAAGAACAGTTTGAATTTTAAAATTTTTCCTTCGTTGTCAATAGAGCGCACAAGCTCGCGTGCCAGAAATGTTCGCAGTTTTTTTTCTTTCTCACACACAACATTTCGAGTTTGCCAAAACAAAAACAACCATTTTTCCCTCTAAGATCTTTTCCGACACACAAATATTTTTTCAGGTCAATCCTGTCTATTCATGTTATTACCACACGATTCGGAAGGAATGGGATCCAAACATTCATCAGAAAGACCAGAAAGTTTCCTACAAATGTGTAATGAAGACGATGAAATTGAATTTAACAAGGTTGCATTTGGTGGAACTTTCGAAACTCAACAACTTCACGACACAATTTGGATTGTTGCCAATTTTCCAACTCCAATTAACATCTATCATTAACTTCGCAAACAAGCCACAATGTCATTACGGAAACCAACCGTTGTTTTCTCAATCAAAATGTTTGCTCCCTCATCCGTTGACTCGTTTGTCAGTTGATCATTTCGAACCAGAATTCCAACGAGTTATTCCGGAAACTGGAACATCACCTGATAATCCACAAATTGCGATACGTGTAAATTCAAGAAACAAACGACTCATTTAATGTAAAATAAGGTTTATTTATTCAAAAACGAGTATTTGGAAGTTTCCAATTATTTTTTTATTTTCCAGGAATCGAAACGCGCGTTGGTAATGGCTAGCAGAGTTGAACAACTTCACAATGTTTATTGGGAGAATGGAGTTTTGACACAAGAATTGCCGAAATTGGATCAAATCAAACAACATGTTAAAGAATCAATCAAATCATTGAGACAAGATCATCGCCGTTATCTCAATCCAACACCATATAAGGTACAATTTTTGGGAGGATTTTGAAAATTATTGAAAATCAGCAAAATGATGATATTCAAAATTGAAAAAAAAATTTAGAACATTTTCTCAAAGTTTAAATTTCACAAAGAAACCGAACAAAAAATTTGAAATGTTTCATGAATTCGATTTTAATTCTTGTTCTTAACATCTCTCAAGTACATTCAATACAGAAAAAGAGATTCAATAAGTTTTTTCAATGAAAAATTTTAATATATAAAAAAACAGAAAAGGAAATTTTTAAGTGAAACATATCAAATCAATTAGAAACATCAGTTTGAATTTCTATCAAAGAGAGAAGAAAAATATTCATTTGTCATAAAATTTATAACGGAATTTGTGCCTATTTTATCCATCACGTCGACCCAACTGCTGCAATGGGTGTACGGTTTTTCGAGTTTTCCACGAAGTGCTAAGAGAAAAAACATCAACTAGAATTAATGAAACTCCTTATCTACTATATACTAATTGAAAACTGAATAGTTTGTCCAGGCCCCGTTCAGGTCTTCAAAGTTCATGAAAATTGATGATCAAAAAATGAAAAGTTTGCAAATTTTGGCACCTTGGTGGGCTAGCTAATCTTTTTAATTTTACTCTCTCAGGGGTGCGCGGAGCATAAGAAGTTTGAAAAACTCAATGTATTTTTTGAAAATAAAACCTGTCCATCGCGATAACTCAACTTTCAGAAGGCCATTTTTGATGAGCCCTTCACCATTCCATCCCAAATTCTTTCCCATCGATGCGCTAATATCGATTTGTTCAAAAAATGCGCGAGTTTTCACGTGAAAATTCAAAACTTTTTTCATGAAAAAAAGAATGATCACGTTTTTATTCGAAAAAATTATTAGGACACGTTTCTTATCTGATCTTTCTATTACTGAGAAATAGTCAAATATTTTTGGTCATTTCTCGATGTTTCCCTTTGCCTAACTAGAGAATAAAATATTCATCAAAAAGTAAGTCAAACTACTGTAGAGGGTGAAATGATAAATTTATCAAATTTCCAGATATGGAATAATTTATTTGACTAGAAGAAGAGATTATTTTTTATATCGATGATTGTGAGTTATGATTTGTTGTTAGGTTCTCTTTTCAAGCTCGGAAATTGAGGCTCTGAACAGGAGATGAGAGGATTAGGAATGGAAAGGCTTTCGAAAAAAGAAAGGAATTCTTGGAAGAAAGATAAGTTATGAAAAAATGAAAAAAAATTGTGGTTCTCAAAAGTTAAAAGGTTTTGATTTTTGAAGCTTGAGTTTGGGAAGAATCTCTTTCTTCCGAAAAATCGGCCCTTTTTTGTTATCGAAAAAAATCGGCCCGAGTTTTTTTATTATCGAAAAAAATTGGCCCGAGTTTTTTTGTTATCGAAAAAAATCGGCCCGAGTTTTTTATTATCGAAAAAAATCGGCCCGAGTTTTTTTATTATCGAAAAAAATCGGCCCGAGTTTTTTTATTATCGAAAAAAATCGGCCCGAGTTTTTTATTATCGAAAAAAATCGGCCCGAGTTTTTTTGTTACGGAAATTCGGAAAATTTCCGGCACAGGATCGCATATTGTTGATACATGTTTTCGGTTTCTCAACAAATTGGACAAAATGTCAATTTGCTAACAGGACTTCAGAGAAACAAACTGTTTTTCAAAAGAATACTGAACGCGAAGCCACGACAGCCCAGAAGGAGAAGCCGGCGATAGCCGGCGGAGCCCTTCTGGTTTCCATATATTTGAACACGCTGATCATGAATATGTAATCAGTTTTCAAAATGGTTCAGTAGTTTTCTTGCATTTTGATGCATTCAGTCTCACACCCATTGCAGCTGTTTGTTCTTTAGTGGGTCGACGTGCCATAGGTGTTAGAAATTTTTGGGTTCTTAATTTTCAACGCATTTTAGAATCTATTTTCGGCCGATATCTAGGCTTGTCCAATTTTAAGGCCCAACCTAGCTTCAATTAGATCACTATTTCACAATTAACTTCAACTATGTATTCAACTCAGCTTTATTTTTGATTTTGATTTACAAAGGATAATCGAACAAAATTATTCATGTTTACATTTCTATTCACAATTATCTAACTTGGTGCGGTTCCAACTGCTGTCATTGTTGATGCTCCTTTTGGTGCTCCTCCGACGGCAGTCATTGTACTTGCTCCCGCTGGAACTCCTCCAACAGCGGTCATAGTCGAGGCTCCTTTTGGTGCACCGCCAACAGCAGTCATAGTTGAAGCTCCAGCTGGAACTCCGCCAACGGCAGTCATAGTTGATGCTCCAGGTGGGACTCCTCCGACAGCTGTCATGGTTGATGCTCCTTTTGGTGCACCACCAATTGCAGTCATTGTCGAAGCGCCGGCTGGTACACCGCCAACTGCTGTCATAGTTGATGCACCCGGAGGAACTCCGCCAACTGCAGTCATTGTCGAAGCTCCTTGTGGAACTCCGCCAACGGCAGTCATAGTTGATGCTCCAGGTGGGACTCCACCAACCGCAGTCATGGTTGATGCTCCTTTTGGTGCCCCACCAATTGCAGTCATAGTTGATGCACCCGCAGGAACTCCGCCAACTGCAGTCATAGTTGATGCGCCCGCAGGAACTCCTCCAACAGCAGTCATAGTTGATGCGCCCGCAGGAACTCCTCCAACAGCAGTCATAGTTGATGCACCCGCAGGTACTCCGCCAACCGCAGTCATTGTACTTGCTCCTTGTGGAACTCCTCCAACTGCGGTCATTGTGGAAGCCCCTGGTGGAATTCCTCCTACGGCAGTCATTGTCGATGCGCCCTTCGGTGCGCCACCAACTGCAGTCATCGTACTAGCACCACCACCTGAAACATAAGAAATGAATATTCTTAAAATTTAGCTCTAAGAGCATGAATAGGCCACCCAAACTCACCTGCTGGCAGAGCTTGAACAGGTGCTCCTGGCAATGCTCCAACTGGCGCAGCTCCAACTCCAAAATAAGCCGATGTTGCTCCAGCGCCGCCACCTCCTCCTGGTGCTCCGAAATATACCGATGTTCCCGCAGGTGCTCCACCTCCACCTCCAGCTCCAACCGGTTTTTGTGCATTCCCAGCTGGTCCTCCACCAACTCCAATATAAGCAGATTGTGCTCCACCACCCCCAGCACCAGCTCCAGCAACTCCGATATATGCAGAAGTCATTTGCGAATCTTTTTTTCTGAGAATATGAGCGAAGTGTGGAGACCTGCTTTATTTTATAGTCAAAAATACTGATTTTATCAATCAATTGGTACACGTTTTATTTATTTTTTCAAACTTTTTTTTTTTGGAAATCATTTGGCATATTTTTCTTTTCTTTTTCTTGAGACAACCTCTTAAAATTGATCAGAATTAGAAGTTCTCTCCAAAATTCAATAATGGTCCAATGTTTATTGTTAGAATTCAAAAAAATAATTTTATCATCCTGTCTGGTTCTATTCAAAAGCTTTCCATTTTTTCATATTTTTATTGTTAGTCCAAAAAATTTCAATATTAAAATCAACGGCTATTCAGTTTTCCTCTCATGCTCATCCAAATTTGAATTCTCGATTTTCAGATTGTGTTCGTTTCGCAAGCATTTTTAATTATAGGGACACAACAAAAATGGATGTGTGTTTCTGTTTCTCATTAGATAGGTCCTTTGAAAATAATTGTGCCAAGATTTTTTTCTGCTTTTTGTTTGTTCAGTGTTCAAAAATTTATTCAACAAGGTTTTTTACCTTTCAAAAAATTGCGAACAAAAGTGCGTTTGTGAATTTTTTAGAGCAATTTTTCATACATATTTTCAATTCACATTTTTTCGTCGAAAAAAAACATGCGACTTATTTTTCCAGAAAACTGCAAAAAACAAAAAACATGTAATTAGATAACTTTCTGGTCGCGTAAATATTATATAAAAAATAAAATAACAACAAAAAAATTGAATTTTTCCTCTATTTTGCACATTGCACATAACAGTTTTCGTTTTGACAAAAATTTGAATTTTTCTTTCGCAAACAAAAATTTGTGTCACTTTTAATGTGATTTGTGAACATCTCACTCTTTTTTGTTCAACGTAGGCTTTTTGTTTGATTTTTGATTTTTTAGTGAGTAAAATATTCTTCATTTATTTTTTCTTGGATTTTTTATGATGTTACATACATACAAAAAATAATCGAGATCTTCGCAAAACTTATTTTTCCTAGACAAAAAATCTCCGAAAAAAATTGAAGACCAAGTTTTTAGGAATAAAATATGGGCCGGCTAATTTTCGAAAAAAAATAAAGATGAGTTTCAGATTTTTATGAAAATAATTATTCAAAGTTTTCAAACATTTGTATAATTTTTTTCGAAATTCAGTTTTCCCAGAAATTTTTGTTTATGAATACTCCAAATGTTCCCAGGTAGTTTTTTGTTCACAAAATTATTGAGAAAAACAATTTTTGTACTTAAAATTTTGTATAGCATAAGCTGATTGGTTTACGGTAGCTGAAATTTTCAGAAAAATCCAAAAAAAAATGTTTGTTTTCATTTAAAACTAGTTCAGTTTTATGTTAGAAGTTCTCATTATAGGAAGAATTTCTGTAAAATGTATTTTATAAATTTTCAAATTCATGGTCCTGAATTTTCTTTTATGAATCTCAATTGTTTTTTTTTTGGATAAAGTTTATCAAAAAATCTTTATTTCAGATCTATGACCTCTTTCTAGTTTTTTTGCAATATCAAAATTTTTCCAAGCTTTTTCCAAACGTTTTTTTTGTGATTGTGAGTGTCAAAACAAATTCTCAAGTTCTTTGTTTTTACAACTTTGACTCCTAGGTTTCTTCGTTCCTATTCACAACATTTTCACACGAGAATTACATTTTGGCCATTTTTTTTCATTCTTCAAAATTAGTTTGTTTTTTGCACTTTTCAGATCATCCAGATTTTCTCTTCTTTAAAAACTATGTTTCTTATTTTCAACTCAAAATTGTTTGATATATTTTCACATTTTCACACAAAAAAAGTTTGTTTTTCCAGAACCTATATGAAAAAGAAATAAGATGAATAAAAACAAATCCATAAATTGTCTCAACTTATTTTCTTCTTCTTCTTCTCACAAAATTCTCAAATTGCAAAGTTATGAAAAATTCAGTGTGTCTCCAAGTGTTTTTGTGTCCTTTTTTTGATCACAAAAAACTACGCCGCATCTCCTATTTCAAAAAAAAGCGAAAAAAAAGAAATTGGCTTCATTTTCCGGAAACTTTTTTTCTTGTAAAATAAAGAAAGAATGTGAATGTATGTGTTTATAGAAAAAAGAAAAAAATTGCAGGAGGACAACAAAAAACGAGGTGAACTCAACTCAAGAAAAAAGAACAATTTGAAGAACAATGCATAGTCCTATTCATTTTGGTAAAATGCGAAAAATCAAATCGTCGAGTGGAAATAAGTTGCAGATTCCTAGAATCGAGGTTAGTTTTTAAAGGGGGAGAGGGTTTGGGTCAAAAATTGGATAACACGTTCAGTCTCAATTGAAAATCCTAATCTTTAATTTATTTTACCAATCGTCTTGAGAAACTTATTTGTATTGTCAAAATTTGTATGAATGCTGAAAAAAAAAATCATTTTTTTGGACTTTCTCTATTTTATTATTGGTATCTGGAATTTCATCCAATATTTCAGAACTTGCTTCAAAAAACACATAGACATTTTGGTATTTTCATAAAATGCTTGAGACAATATTTATTTGTACCATTAAAATGTGGATGACGCTGATTGATTACTGTAGATAGAATTAAAAAAAAAAAAAGCAAAAACAAGAATTTTTCAGTTGAGAAAGTTCGGGGGTTCAGGTTTCTTGACTGAGATTTTTGAAAAATGAACTCGAAGTGAACATTTTTCTAGAATTTGAGAATTGCAGGGATTGAAAAACAAAAGATTATTTGAGGAACTTCGCCAGGAAAAATTTTGATTCTTATCCAAAACTGAATAATTAATTACAAACTTGCACATTTATTGTTATAAAATGAAGTTCAAAAAGTTCATCTACCTACTTCAAACTTTGAATTACCCACTCAAATATAATTATTTTAAATCGCTCCAATTTTCACTGAACTCAATCAATCTTTTCTTGTTTCACAAAAACTTTTCAACCAATGCAGACTTTTTAGTAACATTCTAGACGTATCCTTAAAGTAGTTGCACTTTTTCTCCACTTCTCGGATTAGTGCATTTTTTTGTTCGGTCTATAAATTACTCCGAGTAATTAGATTTTTTCTCAATATCGGAAACTTGGAATCAATTGGTTTTTATTTTTCACTTCCAGATTCTGACTTGTGGTCTAAAAATATGTTTTTGAATAGAAAAACCAGTTCAATGTTTTTGAAATCAAACATTAGTCACGTTTTTTCGATATATTTTTTTCGAAAAATATTTTGGCAAAGTGTTGTTTTCATATAAATATTCCCAGGTGTGCTCATTGATTTCTAATTTTCTCGAAAACCAAAAATAAATATAGGAAAGTCCTAATTTTGTTGTTGATCAACAACCAAGTCCATCCATCTATTGTTGACTTCTGAACTTGTCCAACAAATTCAATTTTCCTCGTTTTATATTCATTTTTATTTTATTTCTTCTCAAAGAATTTTTTCGAAATAAAAATAGAAACCTGTGAGTTGAGTCACAAAAATGTTACACTACATATTGTGTGTGTGTTTTTTTTTGCGAAAATGTGGAAATTTTAATGCATTTCCGGTGTTCAACAAAAAATGCAAAACAATTTTCAATTTGCTTAATGCAATTTATTTATCTTATTTTCTTCCCGGTTCAACAGAAATACTGATTTAATAGTACATTTTTTACAAGCCATCATGTTCATTCTTGAGGATCTATTGGAATTTTCAGAAAGTTATTTTTGGAACTTTGTTTTGAAGTTTGAAACTGAGATCGCACTTTGTTTTTTTTTAATTAAACATTTGAAAAGACTTTGTAGTTTGAACTTTTTACTATATTTTCTCTGAAAAATTCCAAATTCAAAGTCCAGGTGAAAAAAATGTATTATCATTCATTTTATATTTAATCTGATCTTACAATAATTTCAGTAGCTTCAGTTTTCAAAGAAAATATTATTTTTCAATAGAAAAGGTGATAACTTCGAAGGCCTCTTGAAACTTACAATACTAGTTTTGTCACGGTATAACTTTTTTTGTGAAAATTCCCCGGAAAATAAAATGTTCATTCTCTGATTGTGAGTTGTCTAATTTCTACAGTAATCCTGATTGCATCAACTTTCTCTCTTATTTGCAAAAGTCAGAAAACACTTAAACTTCTTCGCCCTGCAGAAAAATGTGCCCAAAGTTCTCAAGCGTCGTCTAATTCCAATCCTTGAACTTTCTCCTCGTTTTTCTCTTTTTTTGTGTGTTTTTTTTGCGTGGAGAAAATAAGTTAGGAAAAACGAAACAATCGAATCGAATCGAATCTAGAATTTTATGTGATGAAAGTTTTTTTCGAACTTTTTTGGCTTCGAATGTGTTTACTCGAGAATGTGTTTGCACTTTTCACTCAATAGCCTTTAATTTTGTTTTTCAAATGTTAGCAGATATTTTGCAAATTCGCAAAAAAGAAACATTCAATTTGGGCTCGAGAATTGTTGTTAAGTCTATATTATCGGATGAGAGCCTACGATAGAGCAGAAATTTCCTGCTGTGGTCTAGAACAGCTGTATTCATGTGCCCCGAAGCTAATTTCAATACGAATTTTCATGAAATTTTCGGAAAAAATCATTTTTATATCTATCAAGTTACGGTTTTTAGAACATGTTTACTTGAAGTTTTCAACTTTTTTTGAAGATTCTGCTGAAACTTTTTTTTTATTGCTGGATGTTCTCCAAAACGCATCTTTTTTCGAAAAAATTTGTAAAATTTCAAAAGAAAAAAAATTTCCGATGACATCAAAAGGTCGTTTCGTATCTAATTATTTATGTATTATGCACTTATAAGTTAGTGGATCTTGTGTTTTCTTAAATTTTTGCAGCTATCAAGTTACTGTTTCCATTTTCGCAAAAAATAAAAATATCAATTTCCATTTTCTTTCGTTTTTGCTGTCAAATTATCGTCTTGTTTTTGTTTTTTATTCGTTTTTTTTCTGGAAAAATTCATGGAAATTGTATCCTTTTTGCTTGCTTTCTATTTATGTTAGTAAACATTTTAAAATAGAGTTTTTTCAAAACGTCATAATTAACCCATCAAGTTTGTTGCTTGCTTCAAAAAAAAGAACAACACACAAACTTCCACAATTTTCTATTTGGACTCGTTTTTTTGTGCAAACCCAGAAGTAAAATTTTTGAGAGGTTTTGAATTATTTATAGAATATTTATAGACAGATGAGAGAAAATCTTATCATGAAAATAAGAATCCGGAGCAAAAAAAGGTTTTCGGAAACCATAGAATAGACTAGAAAATCGAATTTATGCTTGTTTTTTCCTGGAATTTCTTCTTCTTCAGGATCTGACCAAGCTTATTTCAAAAGAAGTTGGTTTCTGAAAATAATTGGTCCTTCAAATCTAAAAATAGTTTTTTTTTTGAATTTTGCAAGCAAAATATTAGGCTTCTTTCTTGATCGAAAAGCGCTTTTTTGGTTCAGAACACGAAGTTTTTTAGCCTGGAAATTTTTATTTTCCACTTCTTGTCGATACTTCTCATCAAAAATTCTCAAGGATTTGTGAATTTTTTTTATTTCGGGTGGCAAAATCTGTTTTCTTTTTTCTTGTTTTCAAGTCTGAACTTAGTGCATCTTTTCATGTGTGAGGCTTTGTTTAGTTCCTTATTTTTGACAGAAACACTTCCAAAGTTGAACTTATCAAAAATTCTACTTTGAAAAAATTCAAAGTCCAGATGAAGTTTCAAACTTTGTCAACATCTACTTACTTTTGGAATTAATATGGTGAGGCTAGAAAAAAAACAAAGTTTTTATAATTCGACAGAATTATTGTCTTTTCCCTTTCAACAATTTTTAGGCACAGAGTTGTGACTCCATTATTTTTTTTGTTCAAAACACGATTTTCTCTCGACGCATTTTTTGTCATTTTTTTTCTTCAGAGTATTTATCTGATTCATTTCAATAACCAACCAAAAAATGGATGAGAAAAGATTTAATTATCCATGAGCCGAGAGCTCTTATTTCTTACTCATTTCTCTTATGTCAGTCACATAGATAATTAGGGGTATTTTCACGAAAATCGCATTTTTCCCTCCTCTTTTTTATTTATTCCCATGTATCTTTTTTCTAGGTTCGAAGATCATCATCTCTTCATACGTCACTAAATCTTCAACCAATCGACGATTCCAAATTATCCGAAGTAGGTTTTGCAAAAGAAAAAAACAAGTATATTCCATTTTATTATTATTTCCGTTTTTATTTTCAAGGTATCCGCTCTCAGCCCGTCAAATAGTTATTTATCCGTTTTCTCAACTCAAACATCCACCTACGATTTTTCATCAAATATGACAAGGTTTGAAAATTTAAGATTTTTTAGACTTGAAATTTTTCAGAACTTCGGCGATTTCAATTAATTTACCAAACGCTCCACCAAAGTGAATTTGTTTTCTGAATTTTGATTTGATTTTTCCCTCTTGTGAACAAAAATGCACTCTTACCCATAAACACTCCAATCGCACACGTGCTTTGAAAAAATGTTATACAAATTTTTTTCTAGATTTTGGAACATTTAAAATATTTTGAAATTATCTTGCTATAAAATTGAAAAATGAAAACAATAGTTCACACTTGGTAATTCTATATTTTTCCTGTAATTATCAAAATTTTTAACAAAAACAAGAGCTTTATATTAAATTTTTGATGGTTTTTGAAACCTTAAGAATTGTTTTTTTCTAAAATTTGTCCAACTATTTTTTTTGTATCACATTTTTCAAAGCACAGAATCTAAAAAAACTATCCTATCTATTTTTCCTCAATTTTTCTCCTCAATCATTTTTCCTTTTTCAGATATCGATGCTGTTTTGGAACTTGTCGAATACGTGTCGGAGCATGTATTATTGGAGTTGCTTGCATTATCATTTCTATTTTACGTGAGTTCCAATTTTCTTCCAATAAATAAATCTAATAATTAATGAATCTACAGTACTCTGCTCACTTCTTTCAATTTCAACCGAAATGACACCCGAATCTCAAAGTCTTCTTTCTCCGCCAATTATTCTTTCAATTGTTCAATTTGCCACGTCAATGGTTATGATTGTGGCAGTTTTGACGAGTTTTCATCTTTTGTTGATACCATTTTTGGTGACTTGTGTGAGTTTGAAAAATTAGACGTTTAAACCTACTTTTTACTTTCGAAAACACAATCAAACTCGAACTGTTTCCCAAAAAAATAATAAATAAATAAATAAATAAATAAAAGTCAAGCAGAACTAAAATGAGAAATAAGTAGCTCATTTTCAGTACTCTACAGTAATCTTCCAAAACTTGTAGGTAATGAATCTTCTTGGATTATTCGTTCTATGTTCTTGGGCAGTTGTTCATCGTGGCAAATTATCAGCTAGAATTGTGACATTAATTTTGGCTGGTTCAACAGGTTCTTGCCTACTTTATCTTTGGTTTATTGCAATAATTGGAATGACTTTTGTTTTGATTCGAGATCGAAAATTGATGGGTTATGATGATGAATATGATGTTGAAAACCGAACTTTTGATCGAGCCAGTAGTTCTGTAGTTTGATTTCTTAACTTTCAATTATTTCATGTTTGTTTGTAAATATTGTTTCGCGGGTTTCTATTTTTTTCTTTGAACACATTTCTTTTTTCATTCATTCATAAACACTTTTGTTTTTCCGAATAGAAACATCACATTAATCATCAACAACCAGTTGAAAATATCAAAAAGAAAAGGGGAAGAAGCGCAGTTGTTTCATTAAAATACTGGTCATTTCGCATAAATATTTCGCCATTTGAGAGCAGATGTATTGGAAGAATGAGAAGAAAATAGTAGAAGAAGAAGCAGTAGAAGAGGAAAAAAGAAGGGTGAAAACGAAAAAGATATCCTTCCCTTTTGACTCTTCTTTTTTTGAATGAATATTGATTTGAGTTTTTTTCTAGATTTTTTAAGTTCAACAATAAGTGAAGCTTTTTTGAAATTTTGGAACATTTCTCATCTTCAGAAAAAATGTTTCTGGACCGTTTTTTCCAAAATTCAAAATCTATGCTCTATTTTTGTTTAAATGTTTTACACCGAAAAAAATACTCATCAAATTGTTTTCTCAAAAAACATCTCCAAGAATTCTACTAAAAATGACCTTCCTGTCCATCAAAAAATCTCAACTTTTCAAATCTACAGTAGTTTTTCTCCGCCTTCATCAAAACACTTTTTTTTCAAACTCAAAATGACACATTTTTTGTACATATTTATTTTTCACACGATTCTGTCTGACAGTGCACAGCATGGTATCACAATAAATATTCCTCTTCCTTCTCTGCGTCTCTAACCTAAAAGATGTATTTTGTTGTTTTTGTTTTGTCTGCGTCTCGTTTTTTGTATTGTCTTGTTCTGCCATTACATTTTACTACTATTTTCCCCTATTATTTATAAATGTGTTTCTAATGTTTGCTCATATTTATTTTTATATTTATCAAAAATTGATAATTATATAGAAATTTTAAGGATTTATAGGATCTAACGCAAGTAATATTTAACTGAAAAATAAATAAATAAGTATCATCTTTCTTTTATCCATCCTTTATGTTCCTCTTTTTTAACTGGGGTGTTCTTCAAGTGTACTTCAACACAATTTTGTGTCGCTTTTTGTTTTGTTGGCGGTGCTTGTTTTGTTTTGTTCCTTTTGTTTTTCGTGTTCATTTCGAGAGATCATCGTTTCTCAAATTTTGTATCTGCCAGTCCAAAAAAAGTCAGTTTTTTGTCGAATTGTTGCATTTGGGCAGGTGTCGAACATGTGCCATATGTGACTTTTTTGAATCGATTATTTTTTTTGTAGATAGTTTTCCAACTGTTCAAATTCGCAATTTGAGCATATATGAAATTTTTTGCTGTGCGTAGTTTTTTCTAAAAAAATTATGAATATTTTCAAGCCCAAAAAATTTTAAAATCGGAGTTAGCCTGTGAATTAGAAGCTCAAATAAAAACCTGGGAAACTGTGAGAAGTTTTGAATTGGGCCAGGGTGATCTCATAAGGACCACTGAAAAGAATGAAAAAAAGTTACAAAAATTTGGAAATTTGAAAACTGTTTAAAATGATATTGGCGCTGAAAAATATTTCTATAAATAAAATTTTATGAGTCTTCCGTTTTATTTCTGATTCTTCAATAATTTGTTTTGATTGCTTCTTTTTTTCTAATCTATATATTTTTCTGACTTTTTCTATAACTTTCTGAATAACTTTTCATCGATATCTTACTGCTGGAAAATTTTCTAGCAATTCTTCAAAAAAGCGTGACCTCTGTTTGATAAGATCAATCATTTTCAATTTTTCCTGAAACACCCATTTTCATAAACATTTTTCCAAGGCTGTTGAAAAATCCATGTTTCCGCGATATCTACAAATCTTTTTTTCTAACACATCAAGGCCTTTCCGATTTCACAAACTGATAAAAAAGTTCTCTCTTTTTTCCCGCTCCTCAATTTTTCCAAAAATTTTTACAACATGTAAAATGACTCTTTAGAAAGAACGAAAAAATGTTTCACTTTTTATTATTTTTGTTTTTTTTTTCTGGAAAACATAAAAAAAAATAATAGAAAAAATGAGTTGATCAATAGCTGCTCGTCTGTCCCTCTTCTTCGTTTTTTCTATTCCTATTTTGGCCTTGACACTCTGCGCTCTCTCGAATTTCCATGATATTTTCTGGCCTTTTTTCGTTTCCATTATCGGTCATCTTGGTTTTTTTTGGCTGCATTTAGTAGTAGATTTTCATGAAAAGTAGTAATAAATTATGAATTCTTAATGGTAATAGGAACTATTTTATAGATAATATTATTATCTTTGACCTGTTTTTCTTTTAAATTACACAACTTCTTTCTGTTAATGATCTTGGGAGGTCATAAAATTTGTTGCGATCTCATTGCTTCTCAATTGATTTTTATTTAGTTAGTCAATCAAAAATAATTTTTTCCCTTCCCATGTTTTTTTACAATTTGAACAAAATCAATAAAAAAATGAATAGGCAGACAAACAGTTTATAAATATTTTATTTTATAAATATTATTTTTTATCATTCAATACGAATAATATTTGTGGTGACAAACGTGCGCGCATGCTGTCAGAATTAATTATTTGTTTGATCATATGGTCATACTACCTGTCAGAAGCGCCAGGTTCAACTCACCTTTTCTTTTTCCTAACATAAGCGCGATAATAAAATTGGCAAATAGTCCCAAATGTTGCGTGAAGGAAACAGAAAAAAAGAAAGGCTGGTTCTTTTTATTTGTTGAGAGGTGCGGAATTCTGGTCTTTTTGTTTCTGAACTTTTTGAAATTCATACTGATAAGCTTTTATTGTTTTTTTACTCACAATGAATCAGTTGCTCAAAAATTATGCTATTTAAAATTTTCGATTTTTTGAAAAATCGAAAAAAATTTACGTGTGCGCTCTTGCATTTCTACTTTTATTTCCACTTTTTTATGCACACCAGGCCTTTCGGAATTCCGAAATTCCGAAACCGACAGGTTTTTCGGAATGAGACAAACGTGTCTCGGAATCGGAATCTATTTTCTCGGAATCGGAATCATTCCGATGTTACTTCCGAAACTTTTTGGAATTTCGGAATGTGTTTCTCTTCCGAATTTCGGAATTTTTCTACCGAAGTTCGGAATTTTTCGGAATGTTTGAGCTGAAATTAGTGAAAAATTCAACAAAAAAAAAGGAAAAATTGATGAATTTTACCTGTCATTTTCAAAAAATCTCTTTTTCTCTTGTGATTCTCGAAAAATGTAACTTTTGAAGACACATTTTTGAAGTTTTATATCATTCCGAAAAATTCCGAAATTCCGAGGTAAAAATGTCGGAATGGAGGTTCGGAATTCGGAATTACGATCTGACCACTCGGAACGAGCGTGCTCATTCCGAACCTTCCGACAAGGTCCATTCCGACCAGGCCTGATGCACACACATGTGTAGCTGGCAAGAGTTCTCAGAATGTTTCCTCAACTTCGGAATCAAGGGGTGACTCTCTAAAAAAATATAAACAGCTCGTTCGTGTTCCACAGTATTCTTTCTCACAAGGGTAAAAAGGGTACGCATTTTCCTACCGGCAACAGCTTGTAGATCAAAAAATTTTGCGTGTTTAGAAATCACAAATGTTTAGAAATATTCTAAAATTGTGTCTGAAACTCGAAAATTTTGATTTTATAGTAACTTGATAACAACAAAATGATTTTTTGAAAACCAAATTTGTATGAAAATCTCGAAATTTTTAAATTTTTTGTGAGTTTCAGACTTACAATATTTTTTGATCTACTCATAAAAAGCGTGCGGAACCTTGCCATTTAGGCCCACTGTGTTTTTTTCTAATAGAAAAATGCAATTCCGAGGAGACGCAGACAGAGAGAGAAAGAGGCTGGTCTCGACACGATGTGTGTCTGCCACACACTATTTCTCTCCCTTTTTCGACGAGAGATTTGTCTGCACACGTTAAAGTCTGCGTCTCCCTCGAATTGCAAAAAAAAATACAGTGGGCCCAACCCTCCAGCTTTGAGCGAGGGTTGAATTTTTTCTGCAGCAGCGGTTTTTCATTGGAAAAGGTTCTCTTTTTACCCTTGTGTTTCTTATAATTGGTTTCGCGCACGTCGTGCCACCACACAAATTCGAGGAGACGCAGACATTCATTTTCGGTTAGAAAGTCGCTGCGAGACCTCAACACATCAAAGGGCGACGCCGATGTGGTCTATAAACGCAGCGACAGACGAAAAAGCGGCGCGGCCATGCGCTATGTTTTGTGTGTGTGTCTGCTTGTCTGCTGTGTCTGCCAACAGCACACTGTATCGCCCGAGGGGGAAGGAAAGGCGAGAGATGTCTCTGCCTGTGTTAAAAGTCTGCGTCTCCCAGAAATTTAATTTTTGTATCGGCTGGCATAGCGTGCGCGGAGGATTCTTGGCAGAACATTTTTTGATCTTCCTTTTCGAGCGCGCGCGCTTTTAGTTTTTCTATTAGCCACGCCTTTTCTTCGACTTCATTCGATATATTCAGGTTGATATTTATGGTTTTTTACTCGGGTCATTTTGAAACCGAGCTAAATAGTTGAAATTTTTTCAAAATTCAAAAAAAAATCAAATTTGACGTGTGCGCTTGAGCGACCTTGCATTTCTACTTTTCTTTTCCACGTTTTCCTGTTGTCAAAAAAATTAGCTTTTTCTTTCTTTTTGATAACCAAAACGGTCGGTCACTTTATTATTTATTCAGTTCAAAATGTACAATTTCTCTCACAATATATTTTCTCGCTGATTTCGATTCCCGATAAATATACATTTTGCAGGGGCTCATGGCGAAGGTGGCATCTTCGGGCGCCGAAGAGGCGCTTGTGGCGATTGAATCGCAGCCAAGAAAGGTTGGTTTCTGATTGTGTTATGTTATAAAAGATAGTATAGTAAAGTATAGTACAAATCTATTTATAAAGCTAAACAGATAAATTAGTAGAAACCTGTTTTTTTGCCTCGATCAAACTATTGATTAGTTGTACAATTTTCAGAGTGTCAGAAAAGCGGAGGCATTTGTGATGTCGGGTGATCGAATCATATCAATGAATCGAAATATTTCCAGCGCTTTGGCAAAGGTGAGCTAACTAGAAAATTTCATGGATTCCGTGACAGAATTGTCGAGTATCACCAAGTTATTTCTTGTATGATAGAAAAAAAAATGTATTTTACAGATCCATGGAGACCAACTTCATCCAAACACCGAAATTTGCTCAAATTCTTCAACACCACTCGGATTTACTCGAGGAACAGTATCAGCAGGTGTCGCTTTTCCATCAATGCATCGCACTTCTTCATCTTCAATTCCGAAGAAACAATCTCGTCTGCCAGTTTCGGTCAGTCAACCAGATGGAGTTCGACGAAGAAGACAATCTGAATCACCAGCGGCGCCAATTGAAAAACCAGAAAGTAGCATTTCGGATGACGAAGAAGAGAAATTCGTTTTTGATGATAATCACATTGGTCAAATTGAAAATGAAAAAGAGAATGAGAACGAAAACGAAAAGATGAAAGGTGCTGGTGGTGAGCCATTTTACACTTTTTCCCCCAAAAAACTCTTTTATGTTATTTTATTTTATTTATGAGGTTAGGAGAAAAATATGTTTAGAAGTCTTGTAGAAATACAAAAGAAAACCGTGTTGGCTGTGTAAACAGTACATTTTTTCTTCTTTCATTCCAACTTTTTATACATAACATACACCTTTTTCTCCGTGAAGTTTCTTTAAAAAAAAACATGAATTTTTTCAGATAAATTATCGCAAATTGAGCCAGAATACATGCAATCTCCGAACGAGGAGATCGTCAACAAAAGTTTGCAAAACGCGATTTTCGCGCAACCCAAAGGAACTTCGCCGTCGCCATCTACTTCGTCAAGATGTGCAGTTGCGACTGTTGCACCATTTTCATCTTCGCCGCAAATTCACTCGAAAGATACATCAGGAGGTAAGGATTAATGGGGTTTTGGACAAAAAAATAGTTTAAATTTTTTATTGGCTTCTTGCGCTTTTTTTTGAGACATTCCACTTTTGAATCAAAATTATTTTTTTTAAATTTGAATTTGATTGATAGATCCACAATATTTGAATTTTTCTCACATGATTTTCAACGGTTTCTTCTTCAAAAACTCTATACAAGTCTGTCAAAAGTTCAATTCACTAGACGAACAATTAATCATCATCAGACTCCTCCTAATTGAAAAACCAAACAATTTACAGATGTTGGCGATGGTCCACTCTACGATAATGTTGATGAAGAAAAGAACAATTCAACTATGACGAAAACCAAATTCGCTGAAGCCGAATTTAAAAGAAATGATTCATTTTCGAAAAGATCGGTTGTTACTTTGGATGCAACATCAACATCAAATCGAGATATTGACAATCGAAATGATTGTAATACAACATTTTTCACGACTTGCGAAACACCAATTCGAACATCGTCGCCACTTCGAAAACAGATTTTCAAGAACACGAGTCAGTTTTCGGCGAGCAGCAGTTCGGCAAGTGCAAGTCCTTCACTTCATGCTAATTCAGAAAGTGAGTTTTCGATTGGGTTCGGGTTTTTGCTTTGAATTCAAAATGAGAAAAGTAATGAGTTTGTTTTTGGAAATAAAATACGTGGACAGAAAGAGTTCACGTTTTTTTGCATTAATTTTGAGATTTTTCACAACTACTAATATTTTTCCAAAAAAATTACGTTGAAAGTTCAATCTGAAGTAAATTAGAGAAGATAGATAACAAATTTTCAACAATAATTTTTGCAGAACGTGCTGGTGGATCAATAAATTGTACTCTGGCAACATTGGCAACTCAAGCAAGCACATCAAATCATACAATGAATTCTACACAAGATCATCGTGAACAGCCAGCAATTATTGCTCGAAAATTATATGAACTCAAAGATTGCACAGCAAAAGATGTTGCTGACAGACTCAATGAACAGTTAGTTCTGCTCTTCTCATCTCCAAATTCATATTCTATTTTTTTCAGAAGTGATTCAGCATTTCAACTACTCGTCAGTTATCTCGATTTGTTCCAATTCTCAACTATTCGAATCGATGCAGCACTTCGCGATTTTTTGAGTCGCGTTGAACTTCGCGGCGAATCATCGCAACGCGAACGCCTTCTTCGTGTTTTTTCGGCGAGATATTTGGAGTGTAATCCATCGATTTTCGAATCTTTGGATGATGTTCATACATTGACTTGTGCTCTTTTATTGCTCAATTCTGATTTACATGGACCAAATACTGGAAAGAAAATGACGGCGAGAGATTTTATAACAAATATTGGACATACTGGATGTGTTTATAAAAGAGATGTGTTAAAAACACTTTATCAAAGTATAAAAGATCAACCGATTGCCCTACAACAGTCAGTTTATTTTTGAAAATTTGTAGAACTATTCTCATTTAAAAATATATATTTCAGAGCTCCAACTTCGAAAAAATCAGTGAGCAAATCTATCTCGAAACAATACATTTATGAAGTTGATCCAAATTCAGTTGTTGAATATTATAGTGGATATTTGATGAGAAAACATGTGAGAGATTCGGATGGTGTGAAAACACCATTTGGTAGAAGAAGTTGGAAAATGGTTTATGCTCGATTGCGTGGATTGGTTTTGTATTTTGATAAAGATGAAGTTCCGAAAGCGACAAGTCGATATTCTTCTTTGGAAAATGCAGTTTCTCTTCATCATGCTTTGGCTGAACCAGCAATTGATTATAAAAAGAAACAATTTGTATTTCATATTCGAATTGCTCATGGTGGAGAAATTCTTTTGCAAACAAGTAGTGAAAATGAGGTGAAAGAATGGTGTAAACAAATCAATTTTGTTGCCGCTGCTTTTTCTTCGCCAACTTTGCCACTTCCTGTAACTGCAAAACCGGAAAGTGCACCAATGCCAAGATTGCCAAAAGTTCCCTGTCTTGCTCCGATTGCAACACAAATTCGAATTCATGAATCGAGAGTTGCTGAATTGGCAGCAATGATTGAAGCTGTTTCGCAAGGAGTTTATCCCGAAAAACCACAACAACAAATTACCGATCGACTTATGCTTTTGCTTTTTGAGGTAAGATATTTTGAGAGGAGGGTTTGGAAATTCAAAAACATAACAAATGTTGTTGTCAACATTTTTATTTTAGAAGTGAAACTTTGCAATCTCTAAGTAATCTATTCATTTTTAAAAGTTTTACAAAAGCAAAATTTTGATTTTTTTTAGAAACGTCGTTATCAAAAATACGCGCAAACTCTTCGCGAAAAATATGACGATCGAAAAATGTCATCAGCCACAATCAATACAGTTTCGGTTTCACCCAAAAAATCGGCATCAAAATTTAATGGTTCATTGAAAAACTGCGAAGATCGCCTAAGTTATACTGATGCCGTAAATGGTTATAACTAAATTAGCTATTATTCTTTTGTTCTTCTTCTTTGGTAATTTTCCCGCCAAAAACTCTGTTAATTAACTGTTTTGTAAATAATTCGCTTCTTTTTTTTCTTTCTTTCATTTTCTGTTCGCTACCCACCCCAAAATGGCCTTTTTTGTCAAATAGTCCAAACATACTGGTTCTCGATTTTTATTAAGTATTTTATTCATTCATGTTTTTAAGGCATAAAATGTTCTTCTATACAGTTTTAATAATATGCAAACAAATTGTGAGAAATTTCAAAAAGTTATTTGTTATTTTTTTTCTATTTCTTTTCGGTCATTTGTTTTTGTGTCAATTTGAAGTAGGCGCCTTTTTGTGACATCAATTGTTGATGAGTTCCTGAAAAATTAGAATTGATTGAATTTTTTGGTTGCAAAATTAGGGTATAATTTTCTTAAATTCCACGTGGCAATTGAGAATGTTCAGAGGGAACATCAAAATTAATTCGTCAAAAATTCTTATTTTTATTGGTTCATTTTGTTTTTGTTTTTTTTTATATTCCTTCCTGATTTCATGACAACATACCCTGTTCAGTGATAATTCCATTATTAACAACTGCAATACTATCCGCATTCATAACCGTATTCAATCGATGTGCAATTACAATACAAGTTCTACCTTCTCTTGCTCGATCCAAAGCTTCTTGCACAATCTTTTCAGATTCTGTATCAAGTGCACTTGTTGCTTCATCAAGCAATAAGATCTTTGGATTTCTAACAAGTGCTCGAGCAATTGCAATTCTTTGCTTTTGCCCTCCAGATAATTGAGTTCCTCTATCTCCAACACGAGTTTCATAACCAGATGGAAGAGATGTGATAAATTGATGAATATTAGCCAATTTGGCAGCATTTTGAACCATATCAAGATTGACAGTTGTTGCTAAAAGATATCAAGGTTCATCTTGTTTTTTCAACTTAAGTTTAACTTACGATCCAATCCATAGACAATATTTTCAGCAATTGAGCAATCAAAAAGTGTTGGTTCTTGTGATACAATTGCAATTTGTGATCTTATATTTTCTGGATTCAATGTTCGAATTTCAGATCCATCAATGAATACTTCACCACTCAAACTATCATAGAATCTTTCGATTAATGAAACAACTGTTGATTTTCCACATCCGGAAGGTCCAACTAATGCTAATGTTTGACCTGGTTGAACTGAGAATGTTAAACCTTTCAGGATCTCGATTTCTGGCCTTTCCGGGTAACTGAATCGAACATTTTTGAAATCAACTCGACCAGATACTTTATTCTTTCTTCCTTCCACAGATAATGAATCAATTTTTGATTTCTGTCGAAGCATTCCGAAAATAATACCACCAGCGAATGTTGCTTTTGCATATTCAGGAAAATAAGATGTGGCAAATGCTAAAGTTGATGTCGAAATTGTAATAGCATACATAACTCTCAAAACTCTCATTGGTTGCATAATTGGTGGATTTGTGATAATTAATGCTAATCCCATTCGATATGCGCAAGTATTCAATAAATATAAAACACATGAAGCACAACCATATGAAACTCCTTGAATGAATGCATCTTTGATTGCTTCACGATGTGGAATATCAAGTTTGGAGCAGAATTTTCGGTGGAATGTATCTTCTTTCGCTAAAGCTTGAACTGTTCGAACATTTTCAATTGCTTCGATTGCAATCTTTCCAGAATCTGCAAATTCTGCAGCACTTTTAACATTTCCTCCGGTCATTCTTCTTCCTCTCAAATATTGTCCAAAACCAACAACTGGAAGGATCGCAACAATCAACAAAGCCATTTGCCAACCATAATAAAATGCGAGAGAAATTCCAGCAACCATTGAAACAAGAGTTGTGATAACTGTAGAAAATCTAAAGTCGATAACATTTCGAAGATTTGGAACATCAGTTGCCAGACGAGTACAGATTTTACCCGAAGCGTTTTGGGGTGAATCAAAGAATCCAATATGTTGAGAAAGTACATTTGTGAAAAGTTTGTTACGAAGATCCATTGCTAAATTTTCAGATGCAATTCCCATGAAAAATGTCATTGTGAAAGCAGCGAGTCCTTGAGCAAGAGCCAAAATTAAGAACATATATGCCCAAAAATGACCACGTTCACGTTGATTGTCAGAAGTTGTGAAAACCTGAAATAGGGAATATAAGTATGTTAAATCAAAACAGAAGGATACATTTTGTATCTTGTAAGAGGAATAGGGTCAAGGTTTGTGCGGTCCGGTTGGCTGGATATTGAGTTTTCAACTGACAGTGAGAAGTTCGGACACTTCTCCTGAGAAAATCACCCCGGCTCCAAAACTCCCCATTAAATTACTCACATTAATGAAACTTGTGAAGCACACTGAATAAACAGGATAAACCAATCCACCGATAAATGCAGCTGTTAATCCGATTCCCAAATATAAACTATGTGGTTTAGCATATGTCAAAATTTCCAAAATATTAGTTCTCTGCGCATTATTTTCTTTCAATTCGTCTTTCAATCGATTCAAATCATTTTTTCCAATTCGCTTTTCTTCAATTTGTTCTCCAGCAACTGGTCCCGCAATTGAAGCCATTGTAGATGTTCTAATTCTTCCAGCTAAATCATCAGTGGCTGAAACTTGTCGAGAAATATTGTGATTTTGAACACTATTTTCTCTCGATAATTTTCCAGCTGCTCCATCTACAGCATCAGTGAATGTTTGAGCAGTTACTAAATCGAAATACAATCCTTTTTGAGCCATCAAAGTTCGGTGATCTCCAACTTCAACAACTTGTCCAGCTTTACAAGACACAATCATATCAGCATTTCGAATTGTTGAAAGACGATGTGCAATAATAATTGTTGTTCTACCTTTTGCTGCTTTATCTAAAGCTTCTTGCACAATTCCTTCAGATTCTGCATCAAGTGCACTTGTTGCTTCATCAAGCAATAAGATCTTCGGATTTCTAACTAATGCTCTAGCAATTGCAATTCTTTGTTTTTGTCCTCCAGATAATTGAGTTCCTCTATCTCCAACAAGTGTATTATATCCATTTGGCAATGTTTTTATAAACTTTTCTGCATTTGCCATTTGACAAGCTGCCACCATTTCTTCCCTTGTGATATCTTCTCGTCCAAGCTAGAAAATACCCCATATTTTGAACCTATTATCTATCTTTTTTTTTAGTTCAACTGATAAGTGATGATTTATGCAATTGTGATTTAAAAATAGCATCACTCGACAAACATTGATTCTATTTTTTCACTTTTTCAGGACTGAGAAAATTGATAAAAAAGATTAAAACATACCCGGATATTTTCTTCAATGGAACAATTGAAAAGTGATGGTTCTTGTGAAACAACAGCTACTTGGTTTCTTAAAAATTCCAAATTAATATCTCTAACATCAACACCATCAATTGTAATTCGACCAGCAGCAACATCATAATATCGTAATATTAGGGAAATAATTGTGGATTTTCCACATCCTGAACTTCCAACAAGTGCAATTGTTTGGCCTGCATTTACACGAAGTTGCATTCCATTCAAAATTTTAACATCTGGTCTTGATGGATAAGAAAAATGCACATTTTCAACAGTGATGTCACCTTTGATTTTCATGTCTTTTTTACCACTTTTCGAACTTGAATCGATTTCTGGTGTCTAGAAAATTGTCTGGATTTTTGAAGAAATTCAAAATAAATTGTCTTACTCTATCCAAAACTTCAAAAATACTCGAAGCAGCTCCTTGAGCTGTTCCAAGAACTGCAAGTTGTGGTCCAGCTAATCCTAAAGCCATTGAACCCATCATAACTGAAGTGAAAGTTGTAAGCATATCACCAAATTGAAGTGATCCATCGATAACCCAACCAACACCAATATAAAATGCGAGAGCAAATGAAAAAAAGTTAGTTGCTTGCATTGCACCAAATGATATTCCCAAGAAAAGTCCTTTTAAAATTCCAGCTTTTCTTGCTTCATTTACAGCCGCTGCATATCTTGCTAATTCATGTCGAAGTCCATTTAATGAAACAACAGTTCGAATACTTGAAATTGTTTCTTCTACAACTTTTCCAGCTTTTGCATATTTTTTCGTTTCTTTCATCGCAAACATTGACATTGATTTGGCGATTGCAAATCCACATGCAACTTGAATTGGAGTCATAGCCAACATAACTAAAGTTAATTTCCAACTATGTGTAAAAGCAACAATAAATCCTGTCAAAAATTGACTGAAAAATTGAAAAGCCATTCCGACTTTGTCTCCAGTTCCTTCTTTCACTCTTTCCAAATTGCTGAAAATATTTTTTTTTGTTTTGTAATTTATGATTTTATTTTTGAGTTCAAGATATTATCAAAATATTTTTATCGTAACTATAAAATGGCCACAAAATACTAAAAATGTCATTTCACTTTTTTCTTATTAAAAAATGCGGTAGATAACTTTTTCAGAATAATAAACACATCTCAGGAGATTTTTCGCAATTTTGCTGACCAGAATGCGCGATTCTGCTTGCTAAAACATGCGGTTCGGACACTAGTTTGCCGCGGAATCGCCTATTATAGCAAGCGAAATTTTTTTTCGTAAACGGCAAGAAAACAGCAAGTCGCCGAACAAATTTCGAGAAAAAAAATTAGAGGTTCATTCTTTTTTTTATTATGAAAGACAAAGTTTGTCGAGATCAAAATTAATTTAGTTATTGGTGGTACTGTAGCATTATAATGCCATAGCAATAAAAATACCCTTCAATAACTTGTGGAGATGTCCTCGGGATCAATTTATAATTATTTTCTGCCCGACAAAAAATGAGTTTTGCCTATTGACATGCTTTCAAAAGAAATGCTCCGCCCACTATCCATCTCAATAAAAATGGATCCAGCAAAAATTTCGCAACTTGCTGGACCAAATTCATGACACAAATTGCAACCTAAAAATGCAGCAAGAATCGCGCGAACCGCTAAAAGTGCAGCAAGGAGATAGCAAGTTGCGAGAGGGCAGCAACTTGCTAAATCGTTGCCCAAAATTTCCTGAGATTTTTACGGCTGAAAAAACTCACTCAAAAAGTTTTGTGGCCAAAGTTCCCGAATGATTTGTATCAAACCATGAGATATCTTGTCGAAGAATAGCTCGAACAAATTCTCGTCTCATTCGATTATTCATTTGCTCGCAAACATATAAGAAACAAGTTACAGTAATCTGTCCAGCTGCCCACATTCCAACTGTCATTGCTGCATAATCCCAAACTATTCCCATTACATCGTGAGAGAAATCCGTATTGGTGTAGTTGGTGTAAAGTGGATCGTCTGAAAAGTTGTGGATCGTTTTTGATCGAGGAATCTCAGCAATTTTCAGAATATTTGAACAAAATAACCGGAAATAAAGAAAACAACTTTGGTCTTTTAGGAAAAATTATGAATCCTGGTTCGATACGGAGGTCCGATTCAATGTTTTACGTTTGTTTCTTATCAAAAATTGAAGATCCGTTTTTAATGACACCAAAAAATTGTAATAAAAATAGTTCCTTGTTCTGTCTCTTTTTCAAACTGGCAACTTACGGTTAACATTGATTGCGAATTGTTCTTTGATAAATGCATCTGTTACACGACCCTAAATATATTTTTCAATTAAAAATCTTATCAATTTCTAGAAATTAACCTGAAGAATTGACATAAGTGGTAAACCAGCTCCAGTTACAAGAGCAACTATAATTCCAATAAGTAATAGAAATCTTTCAAACATTGTTGAATATCGATAAAGTTGAAATACCGAAACTTTATTGATAACTTGTTCTTTTGCATCTCGAGTATTCACAATACCTTCATCTGATTCTCTGAAAGAGTTCCTGAATTAAAAAACAGAAATCAAAAGTATCAACTAACCTTTCAAAATCTTCAACTGTATTTATGGCGGTTTTAATAGCATCTTCAGGTGCCAAACTGAATGAATCTAAAGTCCGTAGACTTTGTCGAATGCTTCCGTTGCGCAGCATTTTTCAGCCGCCTCTAGAAACAAATGAATTGAATTGAGTTGTAAATCGGTTATCGGAAAATTGAAAAAAATGTTGTAAAGAATTTGTTATCAGTTATTTGATTTTTTTCTGCGAGCATGAAAAGGAGTAGTTTTTTGTGACTTGTGTGGTTTTTTGAGCTCCTCCCATTGAACTTTGATATATTTTTTGAGAACATGCGATCGCAGATTTGAGGATCTGAAAAATCGAAGTTCAAAAAATCTAAAAAATATATATGAACTAGAAAATGTTATTGTTGGAAAGAAAAGTGAGAAAAATATCAAAACAATTTTTCGCAATAAAATTCCAAAATTGATACTTCATTTTTCCAAAAATTATTTAATTCTCAAATATTCGTTTTTCATTTTTCTGGAATGTGTTTTTTTTTAACTTTTGCAACAATCAAAATACAGACGAAATAAGATTTTTTCCGATAAGTTTTTTTCGGAAAACATCCACACCAATTTTTACCATTTTGTTTTTTTTTTCAGGACTGAAAAAAATCAATATTTACAAAAAATTAAAATTTTCATGGGAGAACTGTGAAAAAAATCATTGAAATTTATCTTTCAATTTTGAACGTGGCCTGGAAATTATGAATTTCATTTCTCAAAAAATTGAACAAAAAAAATTTTTCCAGACTTTTTTATTTTTGTAAACTGTGGACAAAAAATTGATACACTTTTTTCTTGGAAAACATCCGAACCATTTTTGACATGTGTTGTGCTCTCTGGGAAAACAATGTGGCTTGTGTTCAATTCTTATCAGAAAAATAATTTCATTTCTCTTCTCATTGTTGAAACATGTTACGAAATTTTATGATTTCTAATTCATAAAAAAATTCACAATCGAATTTTTTTTAGTTTGGAGCATTCCAAATTGAGAAATTCGAAATTTGAGTTTTGCCAGTGATTCAAGAATTCATTGTATAGATTACTGTAGTTACTCTTCAAAAAATTCAGATAAAAAACTTCATTTTTTCGATCTTGATTTTGCTTTTCTTCTAGCACTATCCTTTTTTCTCGAAACACTAACACTTTTTGTTTTTGTTTTTGGTTTTCGTTCTTTTTCTCGACTTCGATTACTTCGACTATCTTTTGTTTTTTTCGGAATCGATCTTCTTCCACTTCGGCTACTTCTACTTGATATTGTTACTGGTCCAGTTGTAATTGGTGATTTTGAATGTCCCCCTCGATTTTGTTGAAGTTTGCAGTTCTCAAGATCAGCGCCTGTTAGATGTGGAATTATTTCAGTTTCGAAAGAAGATACGATTTTCGCCATTGTTGGTCGAATATCTTCATTGAATCGGAATATATTTTTCAACAATTTATGCACTAAAAAGTTCAAGTTTTTTTCGTTTAAGAATCTATTTACTTACATCCAGGAGGTGGTTTTTCCTCACTTTTCGTATTTTGCAAATTCAATTGATTTTCTGCAAAAAGATGTCGATCTGACAAAAATGTTCGAACTTCCGATTTCGTCTTGCTTTCGTATGGTTCAACGCCATCGTTGTAAATTTCCCAAACTGCAAACATTACTGTAGTTGTATTTTGAAAAATGGTGAGAAAACTCACTTGTGATTCCAAAAGCCCAAACATCAGATTTACACGAAAAAATACCACGAATCAATGCTTCGGGAGACAACCATTTTGTTGGAACTTTTTGAGTTGATTGAATCTGAAAAATGTTTAGAAATGAATTTGAAAATTCAACCTCATGTTTCAATCCAAGAAAAGTTTACTTGTGGCGTCCATTTTTTTGAATTTTTTAAAATTAAAAAAACAACTCGGAAATACCATTCTCAAAATTCCACAAACCGATTTATTTCTAATTCAACTCACACTGTATATTGGTCCACGTCTGCTTAATCCAAAATCAATCAATTTAATTTGTGTAAAATCTTTTGAAACCAAAACATTTCTTGCGGCAACATCTCGATGAATATATTTCTTATCATGAACATACCAAAGGCCATACATAATTCCAGAAACCATTGATAATCGATGTCCAACTGGAATTTCCTTATTTATCAATAATTTCGATAACGAACATCCATCAATTAATTCAATAACAATCATAATTGGAAGAGTTTCAATAACAACACCATATATTTTGATAATATTCACATGTTCCACGTGTCTCATTATTCTAGCTTCTTCTAATATTTCTCCCAATAATATTTCTGTCATTTCTCCTCGATTCGCTTTTTTTACTGCAACATCTGAACTATTTTTCACAAGTTTTCCTTGTTGTACAACACCAAAAGTTCCTTTTCCTAATACAATTTCTGGAATTGTTATTTGCAAATCGCTATTCAAAAGTTCCCAAGCTTGTCGTGTGACTGGATTTATCAAACAAATATTATCGATTATTGCTTTTTTAGATGTCACAAAATTATCGATCAAATTTTTGATTGAAGAAAAAGTTTCCGAATTATTATTATTGATAGAAAATGTTTCATTATTTGAGGATATTCCGATTGTTCGAATTCGACTTTGTTCGTGTTCATCAAACATTCCAGATCTTCTTGTGGAAACAGATAAAAGACATACAAATTGACAAGGGAACCTTTTTTACTCAACACTTCAAATCATGATGAAATTTGGTCCATGGACAGCTTTTGAGACCATAAGAACACCCTAAAAATTTTAGTCTCCCAATCGACCTCTGAGCCAAGTTCTGGGCTCTCAAAAACTCAAAAAGGCCTAAAAATGGTCATAAAAGTCATCATAGCTCCATTTCAAAATTTTTTTTGGAGAAATGAAGTTTCAGATATTGATCAGCATAGTCGATTACCTAAAAGTCAATCAATAAAAAACTTTATTTCGAAAAAATTTGAAGTTTTTTATTTTTGGGCTGATAATTCATGAAAATTCATATGTGCCCCTGCTCATTCTTTTTTTCAAAATCAAAAATTTTTCTGAAAATTCGATTTATTGATGGTTTTTGGGTAAATCGACCACGCTGATCATCATGTGCTACTCAGTTTTTCATAAAATTGATCGAGAATTGAGTTATAACGTGTTTTATGGGCCAATTTTGGCAATTTTCGAACTTTTGAGAGCCCAGAACTTGGCTCAGAGGTCCATTGGGAGACTAAAATTTTTAGGGTGTTCTTATGACCCCAAAAGCTGTCTCTGGACAAAATTTCATCAAGGTTTGAAGTGTTGAGTAAAAAAGGTTTCCTTGTGAGAAGTTGTTGAAAAATCAGATGCTGGTTTTATATAGCTTCGAAGAAGAAAATCACCAGATTCAAGCAGCAAACTTTTACATTCCTTTCTGAATTTCAGTTTATGGCAGATATGTTTTTTCAATATATAATTTTTTCTAACTTACACATCGATAAAGCCATGAAAATAATTAATTTCTTGGAACAAATCCATTCAAAAAACGAGTATTATCAGAAATGGTGGCATTTGAAAAATAAAATGACCCAATTTTTTCCGGTAAATTGGGTCACGTATTTTGAAAACAGAACAATTTATTGATCTACAAAATTGTGCACATTTTTGCTCGAGACAAATGATGAGACATGAAAAAAATATTGATGAGACCAATTGTTGATAAAGATTGCCAGCGATAAAAATGAGCATCTGAAAGGGGAAGTAATTGGATAATTGTTTAACAAGGAAACCTTTTTTACTCAACACTTCAAACCTTGATGAAATTTTGTCCAGAGACAGCTTTTGGGGTCATAAGAACACCCTAAAAATTTTAGTCTCCCAATGGACCTCTGAGCCAAGTTCTGGGCTCTCAAAAGTTCGAAAATTGCCAAAATTGGCCCATAAAACACGTTATAACTCAATTCTCGATCAATTTTATGAAAAGCTGAGTAGCACATGATGATCAGCGTGGTCGATTTACCCAAAAACCATCAATAAATCGAATTTTCAGAAAAATTTTTGATTTTGAAAAAAAGAATGAGCAGGGGCACATATGAATTTTCATGAATTATCAGCCCAAAAATAAAAAACTTCAAATTTTTTCGAAATAAAGTTTTTTATTGATTGACTTTTAGGTAATCGACTATGCTGATCAATATCTGAAACTTCATTTCTCCAAAAAAAAAATTTTGAAATGGAGCTATGATGACTTTTATGACCATTTTTAGGCCTTTTTTGAGTTTTTGAGAGCCCAGAACTTGGCTCAGAGGTCGATTGGGAGACTAAAATTTTTAGGGTGTTCTTATGGTCTCAAAAGCTGTCCATGGACCAAATTTCATCATGATTTGAAGTGTTGAGTAAAAAAGGTTCCCTTGTAAGGAAAAATTGTTCCATGGAAGTAAGCCTTGGAGGGGCGGATGAGTGCCGTTCTAACGTTTCGGGGTTCGTGGCGAGACCAATTTCGAAAAATAGCGCTCAAAATGAAGAGACCCGAGACATGTTTGACGCGCAATACGGTGACGCGCAATTGCACAAGTCAGTACAGTATACCAACAGCAAACTGAGGGCCAAAAAATACATGTTAATCCCATGCGATGAATAAAAAACCTACTATCTTGCAATTCATTCCAATAACATTGAGTTACAGAACTCATCGATTTTCCATCTCCAATTGGCAATAAAGTGGCATGAACAACGAATTTGCGTTGTTCGCCATTTTTCATAAGTTCTGCTGTGATTGTTTTGACTATCTGGAAAAATTGGATGTTGAATTTTTAAAAAAAATATACTTATTTCTAACTGACTTCTTTGGCCCATCCTGCAGTTTTGACTGGAGTAAAAGCAGCATCTCCGACAACATTATCGATAGCCTGAAAAATTATATTCAATTTTCGAAATTTCAGAAAAAACTTACATTTATGATAATACTTCTTATAAAAGCATCATCATGCAAATCATTTGTCTTTTCTTTTTCTTTCACTTTCTGGTGCTTCGATTCTTTTTCAATTATCGATGTTCCAACTTCTGATTCGACAACTCTTCCACTTGGAAGTTCTGATTGTTCAATATTTGAAGAAGCTTCAACTTTTGTAGTTTCTTGTGTCGAATATCCAGCTAATTCAGTTTTTTCATTTCTTTCAGTTGATTGAGGATTTGAACTTTTTCTTAGAGAATCTTCAAAATATTATAAGTTGGAAACGATATTTTGAAAGTTTCAACTAACCACGCATTTTTAGTTTATTCAAATGCATAAATGACTAAAATTTCGTGGGAATTTCAATTTTCACGTTTTTCTTTTTCGTGTCACGCGAAGATTTTTTGGCTTTTATTAATATTCGAAGTTAATTTTGTAAATAATGTGAGACTCAGCGTTAACAAACATTTTTTCAAATAAATAATTCAATTTATAAAATCTAAAACTAAATCTATAGAATGCAAAACAAAAATAAAAAACAAATGGCACAAGATTAATAATATTACATGCAATTAAAAAATTAAAAATCGCTTGACCAAACAGATTGATCTAGTTCGCTGTCATTCGCCATGATTGACTGCAAATAAATAATATTTGAGAATTCTTGAGAACACATTTTCAGAAACAAAAAACTTACATCATCCCCGTCCTCTTCATATTCTTCTGGGATTTTCTGTTGTATTTCATTGACTGTTTCTTCTTCATCCATGAATGAAGAAACGAGAATAGTATCATCACTGGATTTTGAAGTTAGGTCCGCTGAATTTTTTTTTTGAATTCGAGAAAAATTTAACAAATAAACTAACAATCAGGTGAAATCTTCATTCGATTTTCCTTCAACATTTTCTCCATTTCAATCACACTTCTCCCTTTTTCTTTCACACTTCTTCGCCGTTTTCCAGTAAATTCTTTGAAATGATCCATCATTGAAAATTCTTCAAAATCTTCCATTTCTGGTGATGTTTTTTCCTTTTGAATTGGTGCATTCTTTAAAGGACTGAACATTCCTCCCATCAATGAACCATCTGCAGTTGTTCCAGAATCGGAAGAAAATAATGAACTATCGATTGAACTTTGGAATGAATCTGCCATCAAATTATTCGGATTATTCAATTCTTCTTCATCAAGTTTTCGTTTCAGCGATGAAGAAATTCTTTGAATTCCAGGATAAGCGAATGGATCGTGTGAAACATGTTGGAAACCTGAAAATGAAATACTTTTTAGATGAACCTTGTCAAAAATAAAATATGAATATGCTTACCACTATCAACTGTCAACGTTTTGCTTTTCTTTCTAACAACCAAATCTGGAGTTCGGAAATCTGATGAATTTTGCTTGAGGGAAGGTTCCAATGCTTTTTGATGTTCATCGATTTTCCCTTGATATTCTTCAAGATCAGTTTCCAGATTTTGAACCTCCTCACTTCGCATATTGAATTCGTCCAGAACTTTGTCATGTCGTGTTTTGACATCAAGAGATAGTCTGAGTTCTTCTTCCAATTGTTCCCTGCTTTCTGTAAAAATCATAATGTGGAAAAACAATAAAAATATTTTTCCTCACCTTTCAAAGCTTCTATTTCTTTTTTCAATTGTTCAATTTCTTGATCGTCTTCCTTTTCGAAATCTTCAGATTTCAAACATTGCTCATACAACTTCATCATTTCCTCGTCATCTTTGAATAATTCTCGATGATCTTCAGTAATATCCTCAATATTCTCAATCTCTTTCATTGTTTTATTGATATCTTCAATTACTTTCTTCCTCTCTGTTTCCGCCTTTTCTAGTTCAAGCAACTGGTTGTCAATTTCAAACTTTTCTTTTTCCGCTTTTTCGATTTCAGCTTGTTGAGTAATATTAGAATTTTCGAGATCTTCTAATATTTTCAACAAACTTCGAGTTCTTTCTTCATTTGTTGAATGACTGTCCGAAATTTTCTTCTCAACTTCAGAGTTTTTCAGAGTAACCAAGTTGTCTAGCTCAATAAGATTATCACGAGACTTCTGAATGTCTCGAGATATCGAATCTGCAGCTTTGGTTAACTCCTCAATTTCCTTATTCAAATTTGCTTCTTTCTCACTTTCCACCTTGAAAATCGCATGACATTCCTGAATTTCTTTTTCCATTTTCGCAATCATTTCATCATATGGAAAATCGAAAAGTTTCTGAAGATCCAAAGTTTTCAGCTCAAGATTCTCGTATTTTTCAAGTTTTTGGATCATCAAATTAACTTGAGCTGTTGAGGAATCAATCAAGCTTTTGATTTCTTTTGTGACTTGTTCAATTTCCTGTTGACATCGACGAGTTTTTTGAGTTGTGTCATCTCGAAGTTTACAATAATGGAAATTGCTTTGTTTGCATAGTTTGGAGTACATTGAAAGCTCATCAAGTTTTTGCTGAAGTATCGCAACTTGTTTCTCCAATGCATCGTTTCTGGAAAAAATTTCAATTTTTCAAAAATTATTTTTCAGACAAACTCACTCCAATCCGATAATCCGTAGCTCGCAATTCGCATATTTTGTCGTCGCAGTCGCCATCTTACACGAAATTTGATTCAACTTTATGAAATTTCAAATTTTCCACGTATTTTGTTGCTGAACAAAAAACCTCGGTTCGCTGTTTAAAGGGACATGCTTTAATTTTCCACCAAAATCTTAAGAACGGCTGCATCAAATGAAAATCTGAGTACACCATCTTTATCGCCGTGAAAAACTGCATGGAAATAAGCTTTGGTGGAGCGAACGGGTGCCGTTTTAGCGTTTCGGGGTTCGTGGCGGGACCAATTTCGAAAAATAGCGCGCAAAATGGAGAGACGCGAGACATTTTTGTGCATTTGTGCGTCACCGTGTTTGCACAAGTCAATACAGTATACCAACCGCGAACCGAGTGCCAAAAAAATACGTGTTTCGATTCAAATTTTTTAAAAAATTAAAAACATGTCGCTGCGTATCACGTATGTATTATGCGGACGATACTCAGCTAAAGTGTGTGCGGTAATTCAAATGTTAATTTTTTCGCGACAATTTTTCGCGACTTATTTTCAAACAAAAATCTTTATTATCTTACTATTCTATCACCGCGCAATTGATCTCAGCTGTATACTGGAAAAAGAACAATTATTAAGGATAAGTTAAGCAAGCTTACTTGGTGGTAGATTTGAAGATGGTGCAGAAGGTGGAGCTGATGGTTTTGCAGTAGAACTTGGCTCAGGCGAGAGTTCAGAAGATTCTTTGGATTTTGTACTCTCTTTTCGTGGTCTTTTCGATGATCCTTTCGCACTCACACCAACATAATCAGGGCTATAATTAATTTGTTTCTTATTGTTAGGTGGAATTTTTTATTCAGAAACTTACTGTATTTCATCAGCATTTTCAAATTCGATGTCCATTGCTTCATTATCTTGTGTTTTGTCAGCATCCAATTTGGCAGATGCTTGATGAGATTCACCCAATTCACCAACAAAATTCGCCTGAAACAGTGACGCTACGGGTTTGCAAGGTTCAAATTCTTCGTAATTACCTTCAATTTCATCCGTTTATTGCTCATCCAATCCATTGGTTCAATCATTGAAATATCATGTTCTTTGGCGGCTTCAATCAAAAGTTCTCTCAATCTCGAGTATTTTGGTCGATCGAAAAAGTCGGTTGCCTCGATGATATCAAAAATTTCGCGAAATTGTTTGGGAACACCTTCGAAAAACTTGGTCTTTTCCGGCTCTTTTCGCATCTCCATTTTTTGCTCACCAATAAGTTTGTGATTTTTATGACCATCAATGTGAGCCCAAGGCAAAGGTCCCTAAAAAATAAGAGTATTGTGGGTTCAGAAAATTGTTCAAAAACCTTGAGCATTTCGATGGCCATGTAGAACCACGATTCTAAATCATCCCGAGTACATTGATCTTTGTGAGAATGTGCAGAAACGGCACAATATTGAAATGTTCCCATGAGAGCAGCCGCAGGTCGAGGTGGAATAATCTTTCCTTCTTTATCTCTGAAAAGTTTTATTTTTTTCAAAAAATGTTTCTTTACAAAAAAAACCAACTTGAATTTTCTGGCGAATCCAAAATCCAACATGTAAACAGTTCCTTCGTTTATTCCAACTCCAATAGCGAAATTGGGAGCTTTCACATCTCGACACAACCATCCAGCATCATGCAAATCCTCAAGTCTTTTCAATGTTTGCTCTAAAATTTGAAGCGATGTCGCGATTGAAAATCGTCGATCTGGTCGAGTTCGTCGAAGTCTTCCTAAATCTGGTCCAACAAGTTGCATAATACAATATCGATATATTTCAGTTCGACCGGCTGCTTGAAATTGTGGAAAACCTCTGATTCCTTTTGTTGCCATCAAAACCATCACATCGAGTTTGAGAACTGGACGAGAATTTCCAATTTGACGTTCGCATTTCATTGCGTAATGTTCATCGGTATTCATCTGTAAAATTTTGAAACAATTTTTCTACTCAAAAACTGCTAACCTAATTTCTAAGTTTCTGAACTCAATAACTTACATCAGACACCACGTAGACATCGGAAAACGGTCCCGAATAGATATTTCTTAAAACTTTCCATTTATGATCACTGTTTTGATGTTCAATTATAAATCCAGGCTGTGGCATACCACGATTATCAGCCTGTTCTGACATCTTGCTTATTCGAAAATACCCCATTTTTCTTCATTTTTCTCTTTTTGACTTTTTTTTCCATTTTTTTGTGTCACGTAAATAATTTTTATTTCAGAAACGTTTTTTGTTTAATCTTTTCTTTTTTTTATTGTAATCATAAACAGTATTTTTTGTAAATTTTCGTGATTTTTCCAAATTTTTTGTGAACAGCTGAGAATTCAGCATTAATTTTTTGGGTTGCTCTTAGAAAATTGAATTTTCAGCAAATTTCAAGAAAGGTGAAACATATGTCATATGTCTGGTATTTTTGAACATTTCTCATCGAACAAGGTGCACCTTGTTTTAAAAAAGGAAAAAAAATGAACTTCAAAATTTTTGGTGAGACAAACGCGCTCTGTTGAACAACAGTCGTCTGTGTACTTCTCTCGGACAAATGTTTTTCCTCCGAAAATTTTCATCACACACCCGCTCAAGCAACACAAAAATCAGCAAAACGCTGTAAAAACGGTGCACCCAGTAGCTCAAAATCTAGATAAGGTTCATGAAAAACTAAATATAGCATGAAAATCAGCGCATCGAGTTCTACCTGACTTGCTACTTCTCTTATTTTTTGAGGTCCTACGAAGAAAGTTAGCAATCGCGACAAGACCCAACGCGTGAAATTTATCATGCTCCTTTAATACTGTAGTGCGAAATATAACGGCGAATAGAGAGAATTAGACAAAAGTGTTTGCACAGTTTTTTTCATTTGCAGATTTTTCGTTTTACAGTAGAAAACACTCATTGCGTGGCTTGAACGGGTGTGATCATTTCCCCCTCGTTTTTGATGAAAGTTCCCTCATGAAATACAGTTTTTCAGAAGATGAATGGTTTGTTAACACGAAGGATTTTGAATCTACACGTTATCCGGCTTCGCGCCAGTTCGTCCGCAGTTTTGGAAACAAGGAGATTTCCGCAGAAAAAATCGAGCCCGGTTTCGGAAAAAGTCGAACATAATAGAAAAACTTTTGGTAATTTTGAAATCAGTTGGACACAGAGAACAACAAATGGATCATCCAATGGAAATCAAGAAAATCAAAACAAAAACGGAGATAAAGAAGATCCAGACAAAAAACGAAGAGATGAACTTATTGCAAAAATGAAACGATATTTTGCAATCTCCTTGTTTGCTTATGGAATACTTCTACTATTTGGTCCAAAAAATAATGGAGCAAATGCTCAAAAATTGTCATGGAGTGAGTTCATCAATGAATTATTACCTACCGGACAAGTTTATCGAATTATTGTTTTCCCGGAAAAAGACACAGCCTTTTTGTATTTATATGACACTGGAGCAAAGAATTCGAGAGGTGAAGCAATTTCCAGTTTATATCAAGTTGGAATTCCAAGTGTTTCACGATTCGAATCAGAAATTCGAGCAGCTGAATTAGCTTTGGGACTTCCACCAGAACATTGGACAAATATTGAATATCGAAGATCTGAAAATATCAGCCAATGGCTCACTTTAATCTTCTTGGGTGGTCTTATAATCGGTGGATATTTCCTGTTCAAAAAGTTTAAAGGATCATTCAATATGTCTGATATGATGTCAAATATGACAAAAGGAAAATATACTGTTATTGATCCACATAGTGCAGAAGGAAAGAAACAATTGAAAATAAAGTTCAAGGATGTTGCAGGATGTACGGAAGCCAAAGTTGAGATTCGTGAATTTGTAGATTATTTGAAAAATCCAGGACGATTCACGGTAAGAATTATATATTTTTTAGAATAAAAAAGAAAAACATTTTTCAGAAACTTGGCGCTAAATTACCACGTGGCGCTTTGCTAACTGGTCCTCCTGGATGTGGTAAAACACTTATTGCAAAAGCCCTTGCTGCTGAATCAACAGTTCCATTTATATCAATGAATGGATCTGAATTTGTGGAAGTTATTGGAGGACTTGGTGCATCAAGAATTCGTGGACTTTTCAAAGAAGCTAGAAGTCGTGCACCATGTATTATTTATATTGATGAAATTGATGCAATCGGTCGAAAAAGATCAGAAGGAAAAGGTGGAAGTGGAATGGGTGGAGGATCTGGTGAAGAAGAACAAACATTGAATCAATTATTAGTTGAAATGGATGGAATGGGAAGTGGAAATGGTGTTGTTGTATTAGCAAGTACAAATCGAGCTGATATTCTTGATAAAGCATTACTTCGACCTGGTCGATTTGATCGACATGTATCGATTGATTTGCCAACTTTGATTGAGAGAAAAGATATGTTTGAATTGTATATGAGGAAAATCAAATTGGATATGGCGCCATCGGATTATTCGCAAAGATTAGCTCAATTAACACCTGGATTTAGTGGAGCTGATATTATGAATGTTTGTAATGAATCAGCAATTCGAGCAGCTAGTAATAAAGCTAAAATTGTCACAATTAAAGATGTTGAATATGCACTTGATCGTGTTTTAGCAGGTGAGAAATTTTGAGAAAAAATCATGTGAAAATGTTATGCTAAAAGTTTAGATTATGGTTTTTCTTGAGAGAACATTCAATTTTAAAAGTTTAACGGAATTTTCCTAACATTCATATTTTTGTAGTGTAATTTCTTCTCAAATCCACATAAAATCAATTTTAAAGCCAATATGCATGAAGCGGATTCACTATTAAAAAATCTGAATAATATTTTTCAGGATCTGAAAAACGAAGCCGTTCTCTAGTGGAAGAAGAACGTGAAGTTGTTGCTTATCACGAAGCTGGACATGCTTTGGTTGGTTGGATGCTGGAACATACTGATGCACTTCTCAAAGTAACAATTATTCCTCGAACTTCAGCAGCTCTCGGTTTTGCACAATATAGTCCCCGCGATAAGAAACTATTCACAAAAGAAGAGCTTTTCGATAAAATGTGTATGATGTTAGGTGGAAGAGTTGCTGAAAATATCAAATTTGGAAGAATTACTACAGGAGCACAAGATGATTTGCAAAAAGTGACAAGATCTGCGTATGCTCAAGTTAAGATTTATGGAATGAGTCAGAATGTTGGACCATTATCATTTCCGAATACCGATGGATTTAATATTAAACCGTATAGCAAGAAATTTGCAGCTGTTTTTGATCAAGAAGCTTCGCAAATTGTAGCGACTGCGAATAATGTTACAACTAAATTGATTTTTGATAATATCGACAAACTTGAAACTGTGAGTTTATTATCAAAGAGTTTATGTTCAATGAGCTAAAACTGAGTTTTAGGTAAAATATTCAGCCTTTCCATGTCATAATTTTTGTTCGATTTTTCAATGTTTTCCTAATTCTGTATATTTTTTTTCGCTTTCAAAATTTTCAGAAGCTCATTATAAATACCTCTCTTGTACTTAAAACTCTAATGTTTTTTTCCAGATTGCTCAAGAATTGCTGAAACGTGAAGTTTTGAATTACGAGGATGTCAAAAAACTGATTGGAACCCCGAAATTTGGCGATAAACATCTAATTGATATGGTCGAAAATATATTACCCAAAGATGATCAATAATTCCTTTCCCTTGTTTTTTTCATTTTTTGTTTTCAATCATCAAACGGGTATTTTGTCTTAAAAATTGTTTAGATAGGTATTTACATAGTATATAAAGTTTTTAATAAATTTTTCTCACAAATAACCCCCCTTCTTTTGTGAGTCTAAAATAATGTTTTTTGAAGCGATGAGGAATTCAGATAAGTACAAAATATACAAGTAAACCTAAAAGTTAAAACACTAAATTGTGGTTGTGGTTGTTCGGATTTGGCAGCATTTCTCGTTTCAATAGAGAAGTTTGAAACCTCAAACTTTTTGCTGTAAATTAAAAGAGAGTAATGCTGAAAGGGGGTGTAAGTTTCCGAAGGTACGACCGAATGAGAATAACAAGAAACCGATGATGATGAATAAGCCAACTGAAAATGGTTTCAGATTATATTAATCCGAAATTTGGCTTTCAAATTTTCAGAATAAAATGCACAATTTACAAATCAAAGAAGAAAGCAAATTTAAATTTCATGAATTGTCTCGAGAAAAAATCTCAAGTTAAACTCACCGTTTGGTTCACTTCACAGTTAGTAATAAACAAATCCCAAGAAGTTGTCAAATCAGATGTGCAATTAATATTTGATCCTGGTGAACCATAAAACATTGTTGAAGTTGTTTTTTGAAAGAGAGATATACGTATCAAGATCCAGAACATTTCATAAGACTGAAGAATAATATTCGAAAAAAATTTAAAATCTCTAGGAATCCCGATTTATTGAAATCAAACCAGACCAATAAAACAAAAAATAACGAAAATAGAAAAAAAATCCCGAAAAATTGAAACATTTTGAGGAATTGTTCCTGTTTGGTTTTTTGAGTTACCTCTTTTTTTTCAAAAAGTAGAACATTCCTAACCGAAAATTCCAAACTGAAATCCCACATTAGAGTTCTAGAATTTTACTGTAATTTTCCTTCAACTTCAAATGTCTCAATTTCTCGAAAACTGTTTATTCAAAACTTTTGCATTTAATACAAAAACATCGCAAAAATAAATATTTGGTAAGACTTTGAAAAAGGCACAAAGTAGAAATCATTATAATATTTGACAGAAAAAAAAAACACTTAATCTACCCTATAAATGGAAAGAGATCAAAACAAAAAAGAAACTCATAATAAAATATATATTAAAATTAGGATGAATTACAAAGTGGGCATTTTAATTGGAACTGTTGGTGTCTTCAGACTTTCCGATGACGGAAATTTGAATGAAGTTGTTGCTGGTGACGTCATCATATATCCTAATGGACTGAGGACATGAGCAAATGGATTTATAAGTGAGGAAGAAGATGTTGAAGATGAAGATGAAGTTGAGATTGGTGGAAATTGAAATACTTGAGGTGTTTGAGATTGTTGGCTATTATCTTTTGGTGTTGTCAAAGGTGAACGGAATGGTGAATTTGCTTGAGCCAGTAATGGTGACATTTGTGGTCCATAAATACCAGCTGATACTAAAGAAGCGGATGCCATTGCTTGTAAATGATTCCATAATGGTAAAAGTGGAGAGGCTTGTTGTTGTTGTTGTTGAAGTATAAAATACGGTGAAAATTGAGCAGCAGTCATATAATTATTTGTTGCTGTTAAATTCAATGGATTTGGTTTGGCAGCTCGACGAGCGGCTGGTGGTTTTGTAGCTGTCGTTGGACTGGCAGGACGTTTTCGAGTTGGTGGATTTGCCGTTGGTGGAGTTGAAGATGTTGATGGAATCGGAGAGATTGTTGAATGTGCTGTTGTTGCCATTAGAGAGGCAGTTGAGGAGGAAATTGTGGAAGATGGTGAACATGTGCTAAAATTAGATTTTTTATATTGATAAACAACGCCTAAAATTTAGGAACTCAGAAAAATTATTCCAGGGTTCCAATTTCTTTTTAGAATTTTTCAAACCAAACTTTTAATTTTTCTAAAATACTATATCAAACATTTTTGAAAAATTTGAAATTTGCTTCCCTATCCAAAGTTCGGTCAAGAAATATTTCACAAAAGAAATTTCTCTCAAAAAATTACAGTACCCAAGCCTGAATATTCCAAAAATGTTCGCCCAATTTCTCACCTGTTTGATGGACTTGGTGTTCCGTTTGAAATCGGCGACGTATTCTGATTTGTCAAATTCAAAATACCAAACGGTTTAATTTCAGCAACATCCTCGATCTTCACATTTTTCAAAATATCCGCCGTCGCTTCTTGTGTCACAAATCGATAAACAAACTTTTGCCCAATCACTTTTTTGATAATATTCTTCTCATAATAATATCTCAACGCTCTCGACAATTTATCATAATTCATATGTGGCTTCGCTTTTCGTTGTCCCCATAATTTCGCGACCGCTTCCGCATCAATCAATTTGAATTCTCCATCTCGACAACGAGTCCATTGAATTATATCCGTGTGTCTTTCAGTCGTCAATAATTCGAGCAAAAATTGCCAAAGTGTGATATTTGAATCAGATGATGGTGGACTTGAAGTGGAAGCTGATGACATAAGAATATCCGAAACATTCATTTCTTCGATTTCTTTTTTGATTTCTTCTTCTTTTTCTTGTTGTTGTTCTTCTGAAATAAAAAACTATAGTAATCAATTGTCATATGATTATTTTCAAATGGTTTATTATCAAGAAAGAGAAAAAAGTGGAACCTAAAATGATTCCTTTCACATTCCAACCCTACTCCCAAAAAATAGGCACACATCCGGAAAAGGCGGTATTTTGTGACTCATATTATAGTATTATACTAATATAATAATAATAATAATGATAAAAGGAAGAAGAAGAAATGAAAGAAGAGAAACGAAAGAAAGTACATATTTGATTATGTTTTCGTCAAGTGTTTTGGAACTTTTTGGTTGATTATTTGAGTGAGGAAAGGTAGAGGTGAAGCTTGGAAAAAAATGGAGGGGAAGAGTTTTTTTTCGGAAAGGGGGGAGGGTTGGGAACTGCTAAAATGAGATAAGAATGGGGGAGGTTTATCAATAAAAATATACTTGAGGAAAAAATAAAATAATAAATGATGTCAGAAGTGACGATTTTCAAACTTGGAAAATCAGTGACCTCATATTTAATTTTTCCGTAAATTTGGTTTTTTTTTCAAAATTGACTTTCTGACTTTTTTGGGGTGGGTTTTCAACAGCTGTTGAAAACTTGGTTCAGAAGTTCATCTACGTTCAGATTTCTAAAAAATTTAGGCTTTTGATTTAGCTATTGGGATAAGCTTAGCCTACCTCGCTACAATTCAATTTTTTCAACTAAAATTCAAGATTAGGAAAAAATAAAATAAGCTTACACAAGCATTCCAAATAACTCGACAACTTTGGAAAAATAAGATTTTCAGACAAGGGTTCCGATTTCAAGATTTTTGGGTCTGGTATATATTGGGCTGGAAACCGCCAAAATCTGAATAAGTTGTCTAGCTCAAAATTAAAACCCTAAATCCGGTCAAGTTCGGAATCCTATTTTAGACGTATATTTCACTAATGTAATTCCAGAGAATCTCAGACCGAAAAGTTCCAAACATCCCAAAAAAATCGAAAAGTCAATTTTTTTAGGTAGTTGACAAAAAAACTTGAAAACAAACGAAAAAAGAGAATGATTAAGAAAGAAGGCAAAAGGGAAAAGAAAAAGAAGAATTGTTATCAGTCAGTCGCGGTGCGATTTTTGGAGGACTGATAATCGTTTTTGTTGATTTGATCACTTATCGATTGATGATTAGTTATTTCCGGATTTGGAATTGTTATTTTTTTCGAAATTCGATTCGAGTTAGAACTAACTTTGAGAATAAAAGTGGCGGCGAAATGGCAAAGAGTGACCAGATAAATCAAAAAACCACATGTTTCAAATAAAAAAAAGATGAATTGAATGAAAAAGTGTAATGTGTTATTTTTTTGTCAAAAAAAATTAATAAAATAATTATTATTTTAACGGTGCCCCGCACACATTAGAGAAGCGCATAATAAAGTAATAATGAAAAAAGAAGAAGGAGTTTACGATGATGATCAGGAAAAAAGTGGGCGTGGCCAAGTCCGCCCATTTGACACATTTTTGGCTGGGGAAAGAAAAAAGAAAAAGGGGGCCGGCTGTAAATGTGTCACCGTTGTGAATGAGCCGAAGAAGCCGAAAAGGAGAAAAGTTGAGTAACTGCAACAGCGAAAAATTAATAAAGAGAAGCCGTAATGAAGTCGGTGAGAAATTTGGAGAAGACAACACAAATATTCCGGAAGATAATACTGTTAGGGAAAAACAATGATTAGAAAATTAGAGAGACGGTTTGGGAAACGCCCTGCAAATTTTGGATTCTGGTTTTCCTAAATGAGACAATGATATCTGAAAACTTAGGGCAAGAAAATAAAAACGCGGTTATTTGAAGTGTGACTTTGAAGACCAAAAGTTAAGGTTTCTAGTCTACAGTACTAGATTTCTCAGAAAAAAAAATAGTGAGGTCAAAAATTGAAATAAAAAATTCAGAAAAAAATAATCTACAGTAATCCAGCTTCTTGTTCAAACGTTTCTAATTTCACTCAAGAAGCCTTACAGTGATAATTGAGGTAAAATTGGAAAATGGGAATTACAGTATTCCTCAAAATATTTTTCTCTAGACTTCAGAGAAAATTAGGCTCAACTTTAGTGAGCTTTAGGCATGAAAGAGCTTTAGGATTCAAAGAATTTTGAAAAAGCTTTTGAAACTCCAGAGATACTATGTTTTAGGAAGATTTGAGCGTTGCGGAGCTTATCTAGGCTCCAAGCTATAGAAATTACTTTAATTCGTTGAGGTACGAAAAAAAAGCAAAAACTGATTCACAGTATCTCATTATCAGCTCAAAACTCTCCCAATTTCTATTTTTAAGAAAAATAGGCTAATTTGAGCCAAGTACACTTCAAAGTTCAAAATCTCTTTCATTTTTTGCCCGCCAAAGCAATAATCGGTTATTTATTGCGCGCCGGATGGACTGCCGCAAAAAACGACAGATTTTCTCACTTTTTTACAATCAAACCGATTCTTCCCAAAAGTGCAACATAAATAGAAACAAAAAATCGAAATAGTAAACAACAACAAAAACAACAAAAAGAAGCCGACAAAAAATGGTGCAAAAAAAGAAAGGCGATGAAAATGACACCAGTGGTATCACCTGGAAAAAAAGGGAGGTGTAAGAATATTGACAATAATATACAAACAAACAAACAAAAAAACAAATAGTAAATATTTCGGGATAACATAAAACAACATAATTTGGGATTGTCAATCAAAAATTTGGTTTGCGGTATGCTTTGAAGTTCGGGTTTTGGGGTTACAGATTTTTGATAAAAAGCTAGGATTAGAATTGATATTGTTGGACTGGTGGAATCAAATTCGATTTCCGATATTTGAAAATTTTCAAAACCAAGCTACAAACATTTCGAAACGGAGTTTCAGAGAAAAAAAATATAAAGGACAATTTTGATTCTTTTGCGGATTTTTTCATTCGATTCTACAAGAAAGTACAGTAACTTAGAAGACCTACGATATTTTTAGTAATCTGGGCTGCTTTGTTCCAAAAACAACATGTCTTCCAAATTTTTCTACAGTACGAATTTTCAAGCTGGTCTACACTCTACAGTACTCCGAAATTCACAACTTTGATTAATCTATGAATGCTCAAATTTGTATCACTCTGAAGCTACAGTACATCTCTAATGAATATTAAACTACAAAAAGAAATTTTTTCAGTCCGGAAACACATTCTTTCCCCTAACACTTCAAAATAACTTCAAAGTCATTCCGCTTCACACCAACACCCGAAAAATCTCCAACATCTGCTATCACCTTATCTCGAAAAAAAATGTGACAAAAAATAGCTACGCTAACTTTCTGACTTCAGCCGACTAACTAAAAAATAAATGACCAGCAGCCCAACCTGACTACTCTTCAGATTTCACTTGCGAGCGCGAGAAACTAGTAAGTAAATATAAATCCACCAAAAAGTAAGTAATAAGCGTATGACACGGATCTTGTTGTTGTTTGAAGGCGAAAAATAATGAAAATAAATTGTCGCCAATTAGAAATTACTAGTTTTTTGCGGATGAGTAAGTTAAGTTTTGAGGTTTTTTTTCTTGCGGCTAGCATGAAAAAAGGTTTTGTTGGGTGTGTAATTGGAAAATCGTCACCATCAAGGTTGATGGTGATTTGGCGCGACTTTGACTATTAGAAGAAGAATAAGAACTATTTCGAATTGAAATGAGAGTTTTTATGATTGGTTGGAGTAGTGGGTTGGGTTCAAAAACTTGGTGGAAAATATTTAGAATCAGGAAGTTTGAAAGAACGTTTCTCCAATTTCTCAGATACTTTTAAAAGTGAAGAATCTTCAGTTTTTTGAGAATATTTCCGAATCAAGAAACAAACGGAAACTTTTGACAATATTTGAAAAGTTGTCCAAATGAAAAAAAAAATTGAGATGGTCCGATGAACTTCGCAATTTCAACTCCAAAAGAATCTTCGTATCTCAAAAAAACCAGTACGTTTTCTGGAAACCTACAAAAAACAACAACAACAACAACCCCTATGAATTCCCAATATTTCCTTCGAGCAAAACATAAAAACTGCACATTTCTTGCTGATAACCTGCATCTTATCAACCGAACCCGGGTTTTTATGATCATTAATTCCTACCATACCCAACCAAAACAACAATAAAATAATCATGATTATTAAATGGGGGCGCCACCCGGGTCTTCGCCAATAAAACTTGAGAAAATCGAACATGAAGACACATACACCAATTGGGCGCAATGAAATGGGTGGGAAAACGATTCAAAATATGTCACAAATTATATAGGAACAGCAGAAAAAAAAACGAGGAAAAAGACAAGCATTTTTGTATTTAGTGACAACCAAAAAAATGGAAAAGAGGAAGAAGAAGAAGAAGGATTGGATAGACATTAAAACGGACATCGAATGGTAAATGGCCAGATAATGAATGAATAGCAAAAGAAAATGGAATATTGAGACATCAATTGAAGTTTGAAAAAAGATTCAGGGGTTTTTATTAGGAAAGAAGTTAGAAAGATACAATTGGGATCTAATGGAAATTTAGGTGACTCCAAACTTAGGAACTTTGATCCATTATTCCGGGCTCATTCTACAAACATTTTGGAAACTGATAACATTTTCATTTAATTTTATCGTTTTTTGTTGATGATTCATGAAGAGCTTACGAAATGAATAGAAGTCATTGAATATTAAAAAAAGGGAAAATAAATTTCAACTTGAAGAAAAGTTCAGATCTGCTAGAACTCTTCAAAATTTAAAGATGAAGTTCAGCGCTAAATTGGAGCCGGAGTGTTAAAATTCCAGAAAAACTATTTATCTGAACATTAGTAATGTTTCAAACAACTTCAGAAATTTCAAACGTGAACCCTGGTGTGAGATTTCAAAAATCATTTCTTGATAAAAATTCAAATGAACATTTCCAAAATTAAAACTGCAGATCACTTTTTCAGTAATAATCAAATGTTTTCTCATTCCTTTTCCAAAACAAAAACCAAGATCACCTACAAAACGATATACGCAACAATCCAAAACCCAAAAAAAAACTATGCGGTGTCGCGGTCACACAGCCAACCAAAAAGTATCGGTTAATTGGATTAGTCAGATTGTATTATTATTATTTGTTAGTAAAAGCGAGAGGATGTATCTTTTCCCATGTATAAATAGCTTGTACAAATATTGGTCCGTCCGGTCATTGACTAGATTTCGATTTGATTTTTTGAAAAAATTGCGAGTTTGTGCCAGCAGCCTTGCTCTTCGATCAAAAGTCGTAAAAAATAAAATATGCAACAAGTGACAGACACCTTCCACCCACAATGCTCAATATAAATAAATACAATCTCAACTATAACTATAAAAAAATCAAATGAGAATGTGTGAGAGAAGAATAAGAGGATGATTTTATTACTGGTGTGACAACTATAAATTATGATGCCACCGTTTGTTGTTTTTTATGGAGGTCACTATTACTTTAAATAATATGTAGATAATGCATACTTATTGAAACAATATTCCATTCAGGATGACATTTTAGGAAGAAAAAACACAAACAGATCCCAAGAAAAAAGAAAAAGCAAAACCAAGAAATTTTTGTGTAATCCTGGATTTTATTTTTCAATTTCGATTACATCTGAAAATATTTTCTTGTGGGTGTTTTGTTTTAATAACAATCTTTCTTTTTTTATTTCGCTTTTAGTTTTAAAATTGATTTGCGCGGGCGGCGATGAACTTCCAGAATTTGATCATAGAATCTGAACTTGTGGGTCAAAAAATGGGATAGGTTCAAATTTAGACAATTGGCCAAAAAATATACGAGACCTAAAAATTAAAAAAAAAATATAAAATTAACTTTTTTGATCGCTCAAAAAGTTTCCGTCAAAATTACTGTTTCAAAAGTTGTTTCCTCATTTTATTTTCCCAACCCAACCTAAGTCATTCGCTACTTTTTTCGAACAACAAAAAAACACAAATGAAAATAGGGTCAACTTCCGTTAGTTGAGAAATAAAATGTTGCGAAAAATCGCATTTGTCTAATCGACGCTCTTTTCTCAACAACACCAAAATTTATGCGCATTGACAAATTAGACAGACAAAGGATCGAAAAATGGGATTTAGTTACCTCTTCACTTTGGTAAAAAAAACAAGTGATCGATTTCGAAATTTTCAAACAAAAAAAGATAAGTTTTTTTGTGAGAAAAAAAGAGAAAGGTTCTAGGTCGTTTGAAAAAAGAAACAAGGCGGAGTTTTTGTAGAAAAATTATGAGATGAAAAATGAGGAAAATAATAATTTTTGAAGTGAAGTACTTTAAGTGAAGAATTGTCATGTGTTTGTAATTCTTGTTCTTTTTTCAAGGTGTTTAGGACCTCAAAAAATTTGGAACGAGACCGATGCATTTGTTAGAGTTGCGATCACTAAGGAAAATTAAAAGTAGAAAACTCATTTGACACAAAGTTTTCTCATTAAAAAAAAAGAGCCAAAAATCAGGAAACAAATTGAGCTGGATATTTGAAATGGAAACGTTTCGATTAATAGAAAAGTTCTTTTCAAATCGACTGCGGCAAGCTCTTATATTATTTTTGAAGTCCTAATGCTCATCATAAACTACAGTAACCCGACAACATTTAGTAAAACAAGCAGCTGACACTTTTGACCAGTCGAAGGACATCTTCTTCTTCTTCTTCTTTTTCATCCCGAAAACAATAACAATAATGCATCAAAATAGTAATCGGATTTCCCGCGCGCAGCAGCAAAAAAGATGGAAACAGTTAATCCCCCTCACACATTTTGCCTCCTTCTTTGTGTTTTTGATAATCGCGCGGCCGGCCTGAATATTTTGATGCAAAACAGCGGGAACACTTTTCACACCAAGAAAACCACCAATTAAAAAATAGTCATACAACTTTAGCACTTTTACCCAACTTGGAAAAAAAAATGAAAAGATCTTCTATCTATCTATGTATATACATGTACTCCTAATTTGTTCCGGTCCCGGAATTTTTTTGGTGAAATTAAAAAGTTCGATTGTTATCGCGGCGGATGGAAGAAGGAAGGAAGGGAAATCTTGACCGGAATCTACACTTTTTTTGAGTGGGTTATTTTTCTCAATTCCCATCCTCCACTCATCGTAAAAATGGCGGGAAATAATAGAGTTTTGTTCCTATGTTACCGAAAAATTACATAAAAATAAACATATTTTTATTATGTAACAATATACAGCTGACATGGAAGGGTCTGGAGCGGAGAACGGAGCGGCATATGCCATTTCTATTTTATGTCGAGGTCGTATTTTGATGATTTTGTGACAGTTTGGGATATATTTGTTAATACTTACATATAGTTAGTTAGGAAATGTTGTAATAATAACAGCCATATGTTTTGGGTTAATCCGGGACAATGAGAGATGTTGATAACAATAATCCAGAAGAGGTTTGCAGAATTTATTGAAATGGGAGAGGATTTTCTAAGCAAATTCTCAGGCCTTTCTAGATTTTTCTACGTTTTCTGAGCCTTTACAAAGCCTGGCTCGAAATTATCAGAACTACCTCACAATCAGAATCTCAAGAATACCCTAAACACATTTTAGAATTTTCAATTCTCAAGTATTCGAAATTTCAGATCAGAACCTTCACTTTGAAGAATTTTTTCACGAAATTGAGTTTCATTTTATATTTCCAAAACAAAAAAAAAACACAAAGCTAAGAAGTTTGAAATAGGGTTCAGCAAATTTTTAGTCGGACCACTATTGGTTTTTCTCATAGTCGAAATCGAAGAACTCATGTTATGTTCAAACTTCTCCATCTTAATTCAAAAAATGGCAACTTTCTGTTAAAATAGTCCAAGTATTCTTGCTAGTGACACGTGGATTTAGCAAAACATAACTTCAGTTAGAATTCATTTTCTGAAACGTTCATTTTTCCCACCTCAAGAGATTCGGAATTTCTCAATCAAAGTTGAATTCGAAAAATTTGATAGTTTTTTACAACCGATCCAAGTAAAAAAAAGGGCATCCGTCTAATGTCAATACTTTGATAAACATCTCTGTTTCCTCACACCTTTTTTTTGGTTCGAGTCGGCCTGTCGGTCGAAAGAAAACGACCTTTAAGTCGGTTTATCGATAGATTTGATCATTATTTTTAGGTGAAATGATATGCGTAATAGGTATCCTCCTCTTCCCCGCTCATCTCATTATTCATTTATTTACGTTTCGCGGTTTGTGTGATATGTCACTAACCTGTCATTATTTATATCTCGAGACAGAAAAAACGAGCGAGATAGATACTTGAAATACCGAAAAAACGACGCATGTTATGACAACTATTGGGGGATCGGAAAAAAGAAAAAGAATGTGAATAAATAATTGCAGCAAAACAATAATAGACAGTAATTTGAGATAGATACAGTACTCTTGAAGAAAATATGGTTAGATTTCTTTTTTCTAACTTGCAATGAAACCCCCGAAAAACTCACATTGAGTGTTCGAAAAATCCATGATGAGTTAGAATTTGACTAAAGTCGAATCAGAAAAATAGAAATATTGAGAAATGATAAATAAAGATTGTGATTTCACGTTTTTTAAAAGAAATGGAACACGTTTTTTATGTTAAAAATTTGAATTTTTTAAACAAGATTCCAGAAAATTCAGTATAATCAGAGAGTTTCACAGTAATTTCACTTACAGAAATCATAGCAACCCTTAACATAAACAGGAATTCGAGTTACCTAAACCACTGTGCTATCTTCTCAAATTCCAACGTCCCGAGTTATCCTTATTTTCCTACAGTATTCCTACAGTATTCCGAGCTCCTCCTCTTATTTTTCCAATCCGTTATGATTTCCTTTTGTTGACACCCAAAACAATGGAATAAATCATAATGAAAATAAGAAAGAGGGTGACACAAAATTAGCATTAATCCTTTATCCAGGATCGGATTAAATCGGCCGTAAAGTCAAGTAGCCGGGCCTTAAAAGAAGGAAATTCTAATCCCGAAACGTTCAAGAGTTCCTGATTTCTGGATCTTCTTCAAAAAAAAGGGGAAATATTTTGATAGAAAAAATAAACAAAAACTACTAAACTACTTCTTTCTGTTTTGTTAATTATAACCATATGTGAAGAAAAAATGAAGAAAGATTGTATCAAATATAAATATAAAATAAATAAATAAACATTAGAAGTATTCAGATATCTACCGTAGTATTTAGTGTCACATTTGTCATCGAATCATCATTAAAAAGAAAAAGAAGAAGATTAGGGACAAGGAAAAGAAGAAAAACGATGAATTTTTGAAATATGATTCAACTTACGGCTTGTCGTTTCGAGAATTTCGCGGATTGTATGACGATTTGGCAGGGATTTTATTGCAAGAGGCTGGAAAAATGTGATATAGGTTTTAAAAATCCATTGTTAATTAGCTTAATTTGCAGTATTCAAAATTGGAGTATGAAAATTTTCAGACAAAATATCAACAGCTAAAAATTCTAATTAAAAAATAACACTTTTTTGGATTTTTGAATACTCAAAAAAATTGGTTATTTATTGAAGTTAATTTCTTCAGAACATCAAAAATTTGTTCCAGCTAAAAACTTTGAAGTTGTCTCTACTAATTAGGAATTTTCATACTAAAATCTTAAAGACACGTAGAAAACTAGAAATCATTCAAAAATCATTATTTGCATGTTTTTTATCATCCTTCAAATAGTGGAAGTACATAAACGAAATTGTAAAATATTGAGTTTAGCGAAAGTCAAAAAAGAAATTGCCTTTTTTGAAATCGCTCAGCCGACGCAAAATTTGGTGTTTGCACAAATGTTCGTGATTTGCCGCACATGTGTGCATTCTTAGCATACCGTACCACCATTTTTTATTCGTTTTTTTCTTTTTTCAAACGAACAACACACCACTTTGAAAAAAGGCGTGCGTTCAAATTTTGAAGATTACGAACACACATTTCTAGTTTTCAACGTGTCTTTAATTTCTTCGAAAAACGCTAGAACAATTCTTCTCAATCTATACAATTTCCCAGTCTTCCCAAAAAGTCTTCCGAAACTACAGTACTCCCTCCCTTTTTGTCAACTAATATTGACTAACCTCCAAAATTCTCGTCATCGTCGCTTATTGTTTTTTCGCCTCTTTGATTTCTGATTTCTTTTTGTTGTCCAGCGATTCTTTTCGGTTAACGTCTCTGCAAAAAACAACAAATTCTATGAATCACACAAAAAAGTTAGCCGCAAAGGTCAGTAGTACAACTATGACTAGCATAAGTTCCAAGAAAAAAACGGGCGAAGGCGCAAAACGTAATACGGTACACGCCACATTAGATGTGATGTCAGAAAAAAGAAGAATGGCGCCGACAAAAGGCGCGGATTACTGTAGAAAAATAATATTAGAAAAAAAAGAAAGAAAGTAGTATGAGTATTCATTGAAGGTGACACATTCAGGTCACCAAATTTTGGAAAAGGGGGCGAGAAAAAATGTCTGGGGTTTTGGGAATTGGGGAGTTTCTGAAACTTTGAAAACTAGGGGCTTCATAGATTTTTTTTTCAAACAATTGAAAAAAAGGAATTATCCTCAAAAATCGATAAATATTTATTTTTACAGCGTATCTTTTGCTATCTTCTCGATATTTTTCGAAACAAAACAAAACACATGCTCTTTTTAATCATCTTCTTTCGATCATGTCAAAAATGAATCACACAAAATCTAACAAGTTTTTTGAGCTACCTACTAACTACTTTTACTTTTCTTCTTATATTTTTTGTTTTTCATAGAAAACAATCAGTGTAAAATAAGTAACAAAATTTTCTGCAAGACATTTTATTTAATTTTTTTATACAGAAAAAAAATATAGGAGGAAAAAGGTAAGAAAAAATGAGGGAAGCACGGCAAAAAAAAAGTTGAGAAATTTGATACGTTGAGAAAAACATGGGTAAAAAGAACAGCCAAAATACATATGTACAGAAAAACTAGGAAATAATTCCGAATTTTTGAAAATTTTTAGTAATTATATTGAGGTCAAAATTTACGGAACCTGTTGAAATACTTGTGATTTTTTCGCGAAGTTGGGGGTTTTCCAGGATTGAGAGATTGGAGAGCTGAAAGAAAAATACAATTTTGTTTGGATTGGAGAAACAATTTATTTGTAGATCAAAAACATGTTAATTTTTGGAGAAAAAGTCATCAGGTTTTTTATTGTTTTTTGTTGAACTAATTTAAAAAAAAACTTCATCATTTTTTGAATTTGATTTTTTTTGTTTAAAATCTCATACCTGCATTCCACCACCAACAAATTTCTGCATCATTTCTTCTCTCCAACTTCCTTTTGGTCTCCAACATCCACATTTTAATTGATATGATCCACTCGAACTTGGCAATACCAAACTTCCATATCCAGCAATCTCTTGTCTTCCATAATTATCATGATGCCAAACCTGAATCAATATTTTTGGCCATCCTTGAATTGTGTTTGTTGATAAATGAAGATCCAAAGGATGCGAAAGATAGGCTTGTTCAAAAATTGATGGACAATCAGTTTGGGTTTGACCTTCAGATTCACCATTCATAACTTTCCAACCTCCACCTAAAAGTTTTTGATTTTTTGATTCCAATGACTCAAAAGTGCATAAATGTTTAGTAAAAGTGCGAAAACTCAAAAATCTCTCACCATGTGAAATTTGCCATCGAATTGATAATTGATTGTCACCAAAACCATCAGCTGACTCAATACTTCCACTAATAAATACTTCAGCCATTTCTCGAGAAAAAACAGTGAAAAAGGAAATGCGGGAAAATGAGAATAAAATAGTTGCTATGGTGATGTGTGCATTTGTATGTGGTGTTTGATGTAACTCGTGGGAGTTACATCAAAAAGAGGAGGCAATTTGAAAAATTTTTTTTTTGAAAATGGGAAAGAAAAACATTAAAAAATAAATAAAAAGGAAAACGCGGTCAAAACTCGCTTCACAGTATGGAATTTATGCACTACCCCAAATTGCTAGACCTCAAAATTTTCGAACCATTCAGGATCAATGTAAAACAAGTACCTTTGAAAAAACACAAACCCTTCATAACTAATATTATGAGAGAAAAACTAAGAGGACAAACTGAACATCAAGTTTTTTCTCAGACCTAGCTCGGATTTTCAGATCTGATTCGAAAAATCCCTCGTAAAAGCTTATGAATCGATCTTGTTATGCTTTTTGAATACTTTTCCTATGTCACAAATCTCTTCCAAAAATCTGATTTTTGCTAAAATTTGGAGCATTCAACTAGATTAAAAATTTCAGCACAACGCATGGCAAATAAATAAAATTGTCCAATTTGCTAAGCACCTGTTATAACAACGCACTATTCCGTATTTCCTAGACACTTCCTTTTTGAAAAAATCATGACAATTTTCTAATGACCAAGCTAAAAAGAATCTAACTTATTTTGTCATCACAGATTATTATTTAATATCAGAAGTATCAATTATTTTTTACGAGCTATCTCTGATTTTTCGCATTTTTTGTAGTTATTTTTTTCCTATTATATCCGGAAGAGAATTCGTTGTCTTTTTCTGAAAACTAAATATTATCTGTTTATTTGTAATTTTCCTCTGATTTTATTTTTCAGAATTATGAGTGGTTTTTCTTTTTTTACCTTCGAAACATGGGGAACAATTCATTGGGTGATGTTTGGATTCATAGCTCAAGGTTAGTTGTTTTCGAAGCTATGCTTTGAGGAAATACTAAAATTAACTGGCCATTAGAAATTCTCAGCCTGTAGTTTGAGGTTCTAAATTTTCTATGATTCCATTTTGAGGTTTTTCATGTGGGGGTTTTAATATAAGCAGATTTTTCTCGTCAGTTTCGTTTTCGCTGGGTTCATTATGACACTAACAAAGCTAGCCCTATTTAAAAAATGTTCTCTTACAATTCTGAAACGTGAAAATTAAGGTTCAAAAATCAAAAAAAAACCAAAATATTTGTTCAAAATAAGCATCCCAGAAGCAATCTGAGACCAAAAACCACTATAAGATCGTAACATGGTTGATCCAAACTTATGAAATTTAAAATTTTGCTGAATTTTGCAAAACTAGGGTGATAGTAATCAAAAACCAAACATTTAAAATTAAATCATCATTGTTCTTTTGCCCTGTTTCAAAATTTGCAAACTTTTCTAATACGTAACATGTTGTCAAAAAATAAAATTGATTTTTTCGGATTTGAAATTCAAAAATAAGATGGGAAACATCAATTCCATTTTTTTGTTATGCTTCGTGTCTTGCTTCAAAACAGCATATAATTAATCCCGATCTCCCAAGTCACCCCCAAGTTATTGGTTTTCTCTCAATATCATTCTGTAAATTTTTGTTATCAAAATATCTTTCTGCTAGATTTCTTTTGGAAAAAAATGATTACGGCTGTTGAAGCTACAATGTTAACTTATGTTATTGAAGGTTCGTAAAATAATTTGGAAACTTAATAAAAAAATGAACTGTGCCCATGAAATTTTTTAAAAATAACTTTTTTGGAACAACTTTGAAATTTCACGAACATTTTCAGAGTATTTCTATGAATCCATACATCAGTATCCCCGGATTTTCGTCCGGAGGGGGTCTGGCTAACTTTGGAAAAAAAGCGTGGGGACCGGCTAACTTTTTGAAAAAATAACAATTTACAGCCCAAAAACCAAGTTTTTTTCTCTTTTTTTTGAGGGGGTTCGGCTAATTTTTGAATTTTCACATTACGGGGGTGGCTAATTTTGAGGCCCTGACCGGGAGAAACAGATGTATGTATGAATCTATTAAAAAATAGGAAGAGCCTCATTTAAAAAAAAGTTTGGGATTTTATTATAATAACTTATTTAATGCGGAGAAAATCTCGATTTTTCTTACCGCCAAATAACGATTGTTATTTCAGGATTAATAATTGGAGTTTTAACAACTCCGATGATTGTGTTATTGCTATCAAAAAAGTCATATCGTGATCGAAAAGAATTTTTATTGATCGGTAGGTTTTGAATTTGTTATCGAATAACAGGAATTTTTCAGCGTTTGTTGCAATTGTTGATTTTATTTACGTTGTGGTTAATGTGATCAACAGTATTGATAGAATGTATACAACAACCATATGTAAGTTTTTATTCTGTATCAAACTAGATATTTCGAGTTTTTTTCATGCAATTTTCTAATTGAGTGTTCGAGTCATATGTGTACTTTTTGCATGAAAATCATCATAATAATAGTGGTTTCTCTGAATCTCGTGAGAAATACAAAAATCGAATTAACTATGATTGTTTTCTCCAGCTATACAACTAGAAGAATGTCTTGCACAACCGCAATTTTTCATAAGTTTAATAGTCACTCAACTTGTCGCTGGAATGTCTTTGATGGTTGCATTCGATAGATTAATTGCTTCGTTTTATGGAGTTTGGTATTATAAGCAATCTGCATTGTATACTTTTTTGATTTTGATACGTAAGAAATTCCGGAGAGATTCAAATAAAGGTGAAAAATATAATCCATTTTCAGCCCCAATTGTAATTGGTTGCTTTGTAACATCTGTTAACTCTTGGATAGTTGTTATTTATCCAGATCAAAACATCAAAGTTTATTCACTGTGCTTTACATCAACGTTATTAGCTGAGAATTTCAAATTGACTTTTCACTTGACGAAATGGGTTTGTATTGCTTTGGCTGGTATCGTCTATGTGATTATTGCATTGATTTTGAGAGTAAGTCCCAGAATTTCGAGAAGGAACTATACCTTCAATTTTGTGTATGATTTTGTTCTTCTGAAACTGAGCCCAATCTACTAAGCCACAATTAAACACTGAAACCAATTCAACGTTTAATTACAAGTTTTTTTATTTCAGCACAAATATTTCCGATCGAAATATATGACAAAACGATTGAGCACGGCGAATAAAGTTATGAGTTTTACAACAATCAACTCAATAATATTTCACCTTTTTCCTGATATTCAACTAGCTTATCCATTTTTGGGTTCAAATACCATTGTTGTTCAATGTATACTTTATTCTATGATACTTGATAAGGTATGAGTCTAATTATCAAGGACAACATTTTTACGACTTGTTTCCAGATATTTTTCAATTTCCTGCTTTTTATGATTTTTCACAAAGAGCTCCGACAAATGTATTTGAAGACTTTCTTATCGCGTTTTCTACCTATACAATCAAGTTCAGGGAATAGTCAGAATCGCATGTTCTCCTTAAGGTCTTAAAAAATATTTTATTCGTGAATAAACATTATTATTACTTTTTTTCAAACACTGATAAGATCACTTTATTGTTCTTGTTCCGTTACTCAATGTTGCCTTTGTTCTTTCTATTTTTGCTCGCAAGTTTCAATAACTTGGTTGATTCGCAATGCGTCAAAACTCAAGATCGGCTAATTGGTCAAACCTGTTACACATTTATAAAGTCACCACTTCCATATTGGAATGCTCAAGTATATTGTGAACAACAAAACTATGTCTATTCAACACTTGCAACAGTTGCCAATGCTATCGATGGGACCTATTTAGCATGTTAGTTTCTATCTGATGTCTTATTAGGGCTAATATCAGAGTGTGAAATTAACGGATTTCAGAAATCATGAAGAGAACTAGTTTATATTTAATTAAAATTTTATAAGTCGCTAGTCGAGGTGTTACCAAACGTGTGCTAAAAGTATAGTTTTGAGAAAACCTTATCTCATTTCAAAACTTCTGATCCGCTTTGCTTGTGCAAAACACAAAACGATAAGACATTATATGGGTGTGGAGTAAAAATAGTTAGAATCGAAACGTCATCATCAGACAAGGATCTAGTTATAATTAGAAAATTAGAAAAAAGTCTACTGGACAGAGAAAAAACGTTGAAAAAAATTAATTGAAGCATAAAAATGTCAGATTGAAATATAGAACGCTAGTGAAGAAGTTTTAAAATTCAAAAATCTAGAACCGAAAAATTAAAAATAATTAGCAATCGCATCAACATCTTTCGACACCACAACTGGAAACTTCTGGATCGGATTGTTCCGCAGAAACTCAACCGATCAATTCGAATGGCAAGATAAACAACGATTTGTCTATTCGAATTTCGCCGCAGGTCAAACAAGTTATAATTATGTTGCTGAAAGTATCATAAATGCTCGTTGGCAAACATTTGACGAATCTGTCAGTTTTCCATTTGTTTGTGGATATTCAGTTCTTCCATTTATCACGGGTATGATTCACAGAAGTCATATCTTTTATTACATAGATGTATTTTTAGATTCATCCACAAATGCTCCACTGACCGAATCTACACAAAACTATGAGTATTCCAGTACTTCACCTACTTCGCCCACTCCTCCAGAATTCGTAACAACAGTTTATAATGATTGGACTTCTACTTATAACTTTCTCAACAAAGGAGAGAAAAAGAAATCTTTCCAATAGGTCATTTTTTTTGAAATCGAATAAAACATTTTCTATGCAAACACCGTTTGAATTTTATATGTTCTATTTTTATGAGCTGATAAAGAACGTGACATAAAAACAGTTTTTCGATATGTCTCGATTCCTAATGAGTATCTTCATAATAAAAACAAGGCAGCTCCGTCTGCAGCAACTTTTTGATCCCAACATTTTTAGACTTTCAAAACTAGGTTTTAGTCATCGAAAAAGGGTGTGTGCAATCAAACTTTTTCAACTTTAATGCATAAATACATTTTTATCATCGCCTATTGACAAACGTTTGGAAAGCGGTTTTATGATCTACTTAAATGATGGTAGTATAAAAGTTCGAAAGTTGCAATCATTCATCAAAAAAATGATGTTGATTTCATTCTTCGTTCTTTTTGCTGCTATCAGTTCAACGACATTTGCCCAATGTCCGAGTTCAACTGACAATTATATTACTGATTTGTAAGTTGACAGCTCTGAATTATGGGGATAGATTTGATTCGACCCGGATATCGTTTATATCTCAATTTCTTTCAGATGCTACAAAATTGTAACTACACCTGCAAGCTACAATGATGCACGAAATAATTGTCATAATCAAGGATACAACTTGGCTGTTCTCCACAGTGGAATGCAAGGAAATTTCTTAGCATGTGAGTTTCTCAACTGATTTCATTTACAACAATCAACCATTGTTAAGCTCTTGTCAGCTCCGCTATTGGAACTAATGAAAATGTCTTCTGGATCGGATTGAGTAGACCATCATCATCTTCGAAATTCTTTTGGGATGATGGTAGCTCAGTTTTGTGGACATATTGGCAAGCTGGTTTCCCAAGTGGATTCAATCAAGCCGCGGAGAGTACAGCAAATGCAAGATGGAAGACAATCGATGCTAGCGAACCACATGCATATGTTTGTAGTTATGATCCAAGAAAGGGAACTGTTACTCCAGTAATTCCACAAAGTACACCTAGTTATACTGATGTTACTGGTGGACCCACCGAAGTTCCTTCAACAATCAATTATGGATCTACCGATGTTCCATCGACAGTTAGTTATGGATCTACCGATGTTCCTTCAACCATAAATTATGGATCTACTGATGTTCCTTCGACCATAAATTATGGATCTACCGATGTTCCTTCAACCATAAATTATGGATCTACAGATGTTCCATCAACCATTCCACCATCTACTAACTCTGGAACCGATTACACAGAAGTTCCATCAACAATTACAAGTGGATATCAAACAACCGCTTTTTGATTTGCAAATTTCAATATTTGAATAAAATTTTCTGCCTTTTTAATAATCTATTTTCAAAAACCGCAAAGTGCGGAAAACCATAAAAACAGTTGTTTGAATCTACATCACTGATAACTCAAAAATCATGATAACCCAGTTTTTTCTAATAAACAGTGATAATTTGTCGTCGAATGATGTCTCGAACAGTTCTTGTTCTTCTGATCATCATTTTCAGCGTTATTACTTTTTCGAGCCAAACGTGTAGATATTCTACGGATAAATTAATTGGATCGAGATGTTATATGTTTGTGACAAAATCGCATAACTTCGAATCTGCCCAAAAATATTGTCATGGATTTGGATATTATTTGGCGACTGTGGATAATGCGATTGTTTCAAATTTTCTAGCATGTAGGTTTTGTTTGCAAATCTACAATGAGTTAGCAGAAGCTGGCCCATTTGTTGATAACTTCCCAGAATGACTCACCATTAGTGCTAATTTAAAAATCTCAAAATGAGTTTGCGATAAAAAGTAAATCGGAATAGTCAAAAATTGATACGTGAGATTAAGTTTTTCATTTTTGAATCAATTCATTAAAACTCCTATTTTGCGAACCCAGTCGGTAAATTTTGTCTGAATTGATCGAGATATTAAAAGGTTGATCAAAAACTCTTATCAGAACTAGCCGGAAAAATATTTTAGAAACGTCAACAGCAATTAAATATGGGAAATTTTTGTTTGAAAGTCCGAATTTCTTATTACGATTACATTGACTTACTTTTAATTTAAAAACGTGATAACTTTCCCCAACAAAAAACTCACTTCCTTCCAAAATCCAACGGTTTCCGTTATCCATATTCACGCGAATCGATTTGCCGAAAGAAAAACATGTGTGTACGGTTGGTGTGAATGTCCGCAATACGTAAACTCTGCAAACACCAAACATATAAAATGACGACACTCGTTTTTTTGGCGCGCGTTTCGCACAAAAAAATCATTATGGGGTGATTCAGGTCGAAAAAAAAAATTAAAAAAAAAACGTTTTTGTTACAAAAAAATTCGATTCAGCAAATGTCAAAAAACTATATTTTTTTCCTATTTTTTTTTTCATTGAAACATTTTCGCTGCGAGATATATCTCATTTTTGTGTGGAAAAAATAGTTTTTTGACATTTGCTGAATCGAATTTTTTGTAAAAAAACGTTTTTTTTCGACCTGAATCACCCCATTAATGATGCGCACTAGTAGCTTCCAAAACAAAAAAAGGAAAAAACAAAAGTAAAATAGCGACACTCGGCTTGCCTGTTGTTTAATTTTTACACACTGTCTGAGCGGAGTGTCGTTATTTTATTTTTACAAGAATGCGCGTAGGATTTTGTGTTTGCGGGCATTCGGTGTTGACACACACTCTTATTTTTTTTGGATTTTGGAATTTTCACGCTATTTTAAAATCACGCTATTTTAAAACAATAGAAAGAGGGACAAATCGAGAGTTTGAGAGAGGGAAAAGAAGCTAGAAACACAGCTGAAATAGTGCTACAGTACGCTATTTTACCATTAGTTGGCGCACAGCCAAGTGTGGTCTTGGCGCGATTTCTCTGCGCTCTCTCTTTTTAGTGGATTCTCGATTTGTCCCTTCAAAAATAGCGTGTTTTAGCGTTCGCCGGTTCGGAGTTCAGCAAATCAAATGGTCAATTCTGGATTGGACTGAGTCGAGTGCACGACTTCAGTTTATTCACCTGGGATGATTCAACACCTTTTGCGTTCACAAACTTTGCTTCCGGATATCCGAACAAAGAAGATTATGTTGCTGAAAACATTCAAAATGGTAAATGGGTGACAATAGCTGCCCACAAATCATTGCCATTCATTTGTTCTTCGAATTTGACATCAACTGGTACAACAACAACAACATCATCTACATCTTTTCGAACTTCGACGAAAGCTGGAACGACAAAACCAACTGTGACTACCAAAAAGATTGTCACTACTACAACAACTGTTCCAAAAACAACTACAACACATCGAACAGCGTGCCCGAGTGGATTCAAATTACTTGGAACTAAATGTTTCATTGTTATTGAATATGGAAATGATTCGGATTATCCAAATGTCTCACCAAATTCTCCTCCATTGACAGCCGAAAGTTTGCGTTGCCAGAAAGTTGGAGCACAGCTCGCATCGATTCATTCAGAAGATCTTGATGAGCAATTAATAGGTATTTACAGATTTCGTTTTATATTTTCACGAAAAAAACAAAAGATTTTCAGGTTTGATTTATGACAAGTTCAATGAGGCTGCTTATGCAACAATTGGTCTTCGAAACACAGACACTTCTGTTGAAAATGGAAAATGGTCATGGTTCGATAATTCAACTCTTGATTACACACGATTCGGAAATGCATTCCCAAAAACTGGTGATTTGTTGGCTCAAGCATCAACCAATGGATTTTGGAATACTTACACAAGAACAGCTCCAACTGAAGGAGTCATTTGTTCGATGGATTTATAACGTGACCTCATATTTTTGGTTTTTTTTTCAAAAAAAAATCAGAAAAAAATGAATAAATATTTTTCAGCATTTCTCAGGTTTCTTTATTTAGTAAAATGTCAGTTTCATATGCTACTATTGAATCGGAAATAATTTCCGAAGAGCCTTCATGTCAAGATATTTTGGGAAAGTAAGTCAATGTAAATCTAGATTCAGTTCAATCAAACCATCATAGTTTTTCCAGAGCCAACGAACAACTCGCGTCTCTTTTGTCTGACAACACAATTCACCCTGTTATCGCAATTTGTGATGGACCTTGTCAATCAGCACTTCCATCCAATAAACTTATTACTCTTGGAAGATGCGAACATTATTTGTGTTTTTCGTGTTTTGGAAAAGTGTTAAATACTGATGGATCTTTTGGATGTAATTCATCTTATTGTTATTATCAAGATGAAACTTCAACAATTATCACAACTTATGCAAATGATTATACTTCGATTGATGGAAGTACTTGTTCTGCGGAAAATGATTATGATGATTATCCAGGACAAAATGAAATGGTTGTTGTGAAATTAGTTCTAATTGAGAGAAATCCATATAATGCGACATTGAGGTATTTTAGCACGAATAGAGTTATTCTCAAGTTATAAGTTAATATTTACAGAGTTCATAATGAGATCGAAGTTCCATCGAGATTGAACACCCGTGAAATTATTGAGATTTTGTTGGAAGACAAAAAACGAGATTCAAAGACTCTACTCAAAGTCGGAAAATTGTATTATTTGCATGGCGGAAGTGGAAGACTACGAAAATTGAAGGATTTCGCAAGTTTGAATCTTTTTGATATTCCACAAGTCAAAAATTCAGTATTTTTTGTCTTGGATACAATTGGACATTTGAATAATCAACCAGTGAAAATTTCATTTGAATAAGAATAAACATTAGGTGACTTGACTTCAGTCATTAGGTGTACACAATCCACTTTCACAATACGTTCCTTCAGGACATTGTGTACAAGTTGTTCCAATTTCATAAATGGAACCTTTTTCCATATTTCCTCTTGGTTTATATCGACAAACTAATGCATATGTAGTACCATTACATTTTTCAAAACCACAACCAACTACTCTTGTTGATTGCCAAATCATTTGAGTTGCGTGACCGAAATCTCTTTGATGTTTTTCTGAACGAAAATTCATTTTCTTTGATTTCCATTGTTTTTCTTGGAATTCGTTGAACCATTTGTACGATGCTTCTCGACCCTTAATTTCATTTTATTTCTGATGGTTCTTCTCGAAAAAATAGAGAAACAAAACATACGATATCAATTTGACTCAAATGTTCAGTGTTTGTGAGAATTATGATATTTTCACCATAATCTCCTTTAGAATGTTTTCTCGGGCATGTGTGAGCATAAGATGATGCACCATCTGCAAGATTTGAATCCCATATCTGTAATATTTTCAAATAATATTAATAAATAAAAAATAATGGGAATAAGATGAAAAGCTATTTTTCTGAAATCGGTCGTAAATTAAGTCTGAAATGGTATTCAATAACGTTCAATTTAATGCAGTTCAAAATTTATTGATCGTGAGTACCTTTTCATATTTTACAACCATTTCAGAAAAACTTCAGTTACTGCCAAAAAGATGGTCTTTTACCAGTTTCAACATGTTTGTTGCTGTTGGAAAGTATGTTATATTCCCATTTGCACTATATTTTCCTCGTGCTACCATAGACCTCAATCTATTGTGTATATTTGTTATACTCAACGCACCATCATGATTGAATTTTACAGAATGAACAACTGAACTTTAATATGTGTTTAGGACTGAAATTTAAGATCAAAACGATACCTCCAATAAATATCAGAAAATATATGGGAATTAGGGACATTTTAAAAACAATATCATAAAATTGAAATATGTCGTAGGCAGATGTTATATTCCCATATTTTAATTGCGAGAAACACGTAATTCGATTATCAAATGTTTTGGGAACCAAACAATAATTTATTAAATATCTATGTACACATGAAATAAATAAATAAAAGATTTATGAAATCAATCAATTTTTGAAATCTAGTGGATGCAAACGATTGTCAATGTTGAAAACCGGACAATTCAAAGAACCTTTTTGCCATCCTAAACCGTGTCGAACATGCAAAACAGGCTTCTTTTTATTGTCCAAACTTTCCAAATTGTCCAATTTGATCCAGGGTAAAAGACGAATTTCGCCAAGGAAAGTGATAAGAACATCGAAAATAATTCGAACACACCAAAGGAGAACTGCACCACCGGCAACGGTTTCGAGATGAAGTTTTATGTTGATATACTAAAAAAAATAATTGTTCATATTCAAAGACAGTTCGAGTTGACAGCTTTGTTTTGAAGTTACATTAATATTAAAATAGGCATAAAAATTCGAAAAATCCAGGTTTTGGAAAAATAATAATTTTGTCTGGGAATAACTTTTTAGAGAATTCCCGTAACTCTCTAATTTCTCCTTTGAACTTACATCATAAACATCACAATTAATTGAAATCATACGATTAACTTGATGATAATCTTCAGCATTTTTCAAAATCACAAAAGCACCAATGACTAAAAGTGTGACAATCAAAGTGTAGAGTGCTAAATGTGCTCCAAATTTTAGAAATTTGTAGAGCTTTTTCTTCGTCGCCTGTGGTTCGTTATGCATTCTACAAAATTTTGAGAAAATCAATGAGAAATTGCAATAAACAAACTTCTCTGTATGTGAAACTTGTGTCATTTTCAAGCAAACAATTCCGAAAGATGATAAAACTGTGAACATTGAAATGAAAACAATACTAATTGCAGTTATAATCAATGGTCTTTGACAAGAATGATAACCGCAAACCGTGGATTCTTTCGATGGATTCACAATAACATTGATCATTGGTGCATAGGCTGCCAAATACATTATTGAGAGAATCCAACTAAATATGACTGTCATCGATAAACGTCGAATACTACAAATTGATTGGAATCCATATGGCCGGGTTACACTGATCTATAAAAATGAGTGGATTATTGAAAAAATGAAGAACATATGAACTGGGTCACATTTTCTAAAATAAAGTTAGTTCTCAAAATATTAATTATTCAAAAATGCATTGTTTTTTTCAGAAATATGAAATATTCAAAAGGAAACACTTCGAGCAAGAACAGTTGTTCAACATCCTCAATTTTTGGCTTGTTGGGATCAATTGGAAGTTAGTTTTGGTTTTTCGGGTTTTCCATAGAAGGGATGGGTGGGGATTTGAGGGGAGATCATCAATTACGGGGCTTTCCAATCGGTTCTATAACCAGAAGATTTTGAAATTATTGCGGAACACTCAAAAATGAGAGGCTGGCGCATTTTCCGACAAGCCGAATTTTTATTCAACTTTTTTTATTGTTTTTTTTCTAACTTACATGTCTTAAAACAATGACAGCACAATGAGAAGTGGTTAAATGAATGACACCAAACGTACAAATATAAAGGAATAAAGTTAGAACCATATAAGACGCGGAAAATGTATTGGCAAAAAGAGAGGCAGCGGCGATCAAAACAGATGAAAATATATCGGCGGATGTTCGAGATATTATTATACTGAAATTACATCATTTATTACAAATATAGTATTTTAAGTCACCTATATTTTCTCGATGGAATTTTTCTTCCGAGAAGCGCAAAGATGATTGCGGCTAACAAAGAAAGCGAGAATAAAAATGATAATAGCGAAAATATTGGTGTGATGATGAGAATTGTAGATGTTGATTTGTGTAGTCGCTCATGACGCTGTTCGATTATATCAATCTGTTGTTCAGACATCAAAAGCTCACAAGTGTGAGCTAACCGGGTTAAATTTATATGTACCATTATGTCATCTGAAATCAAATTTTGGGAATCAAGAATGAACGATTTCAAAAAATTTAATTAATCAAAAAAGTATAACAATATTTAAGAGAGGAATCGATACATTTGGAAAATGAACTGTAGTTCAAGTGTCTCACGGTTTTCGCCTTCGCGCTGACCAAAAAAATGAATACGATTTTCAAGTGCATCTTTCTTTTCTTACTGGTCAATTTTCGGATTAAAATTAAACCGAACCATTCAACAAACATACAGAACACAAAGAATGCGACAGAAGTGTTCAGAAACGTTTTGAATATGATTTCCGGAACGATGAAACCTGAGACATTCTATTGTTGTTGTTTTCAAGAAAAACAGAAACCGCAAGATTCAGCATAAAATAAAACAAAAGATTTTAATGAAAAAGTTGCACTTCCTTATAGCTGTCTATAAGACGAGCATACTTTTGTCGAATGAAACCTTCCGGCTCCGAAATGAAAATAAAGATAAATAGTAGGATTACCTAAGAGTGCGCAGAGATGAGTTCAAACAAATGCCCGACCTGGTACGTGAAAATGCGAGAGACGGCGAAAAAAACGCAGTTGACAAGTGTGTTTGGTCAAAAAAATGTTGAGGAGGAAAAATGACCCTTGTCTGTTTATTTGAACAGTTGCGAGTTTTCTGTACGAATTTTTCTGGTTGTTTTTTGAAAAGCTTGACAGGTGGTTCTGGACTTTGATTTTGTTTTTGAACTTTCACCAACTGAAGAATTCTAAACTTCAACGTTTATTTAATTAAAAAATAGAAATACGATAACTGAAAGCTATAGATAATTGATTTTTGTTGAAGAATTTGTTTTGACGATGGAGAAATCAACAAGGATTCCATTTGTTTTTTCTCCGTTCGATTTGTAGATCAAATTCAATGATTTACCAGGATGAACATCACTGTTTCTTGTGGGCAAGTTGTAGAAATCATATGTATGATTATCAATAGTGTTATTCCAACTATCATAAGTTATGATTCGCAAAGTTGCTTTTCCAACAAGGCCATGGTTGATAACTCTGGTAGTATAGTTGTAATAATCGTTCCCCTCGATAGTTTCTGTCACATCTTGATTCGTTGATAATTCATTCAATTTTAGAGAAGAGATAAAGCCTTGTCTTTTGTAGATGGAGCAACTATTTTATTTTAGATGGAGCAACTATTTTACTACTTATAACCAAATGTGCATAATAACCGTGTGGAATTTGAAAATACCAACGACAATCTTGATTCGATGAATATGTTGGCGGTGAGAGTGTTGAATTCCAATAAGATGGAACACTTATCGAATCAGTTAAATTTTGTGGAATTGTAATATTTGTTGCTGAATTGCAAACTGAAAATATGATTTATGAATTGTTACTTGTAGAATTTTCGGAACATACCCAAAGCTTCTTCAGATATGGCATATTGAATTGTTGAAAAAAGGGCGAATAGAAACAACATTGTCAGAGAAATAGTCAGAAATAATTCTTATATCAGTTTGAGTTTGCTTTTTATGTGAAAAAAATAACGGTTACTAATAGAGATAACGTTATACGACGCCGTTGAGCACCGTTTTTTTGCACATCATTGCAGGTTCTTTCATTATTTCCAAGCGGAATCCGCCCAAAAATTGATGATAATATTTTATAACACTATTAACTTAGTTAGTTTCATAATTATTATTACTCATTTCTGATAAGGACTATCGTGAGATGTGAAAATATTTATTCCATTAAAAAATTTGATAATTACACAACTTGTCATTCCTCAATATTCTTTTTTATTTCAAATATGCAATAGAGTTATAACAAATGATAACCATACAAAACATGTCATGGCAGATGATTCAGTTGTAGAAATAGAGAAATCGACAAGAACTCCTGTTGTATTTTCTCCATTTGATTTATAAATAATACTGAACGATTTTCCTGGTTGAATAGTAGTATCACTGGATGGCAATTTGCCTGTTGAATATATTTTGTCATCGACAACTTTGTTTGAGCTGTCGTAAGTTGTTATTTGCAACGTTGCTTTTCCAATTATTCCGTGGTTGATAACTTTAGTGGTATAATTATAATAATCATTTCCATCAAATGTTTCTGTCACATCTTGATTTGTTGATAATTCATTGAATTTCGGAGAAGAGATAAAGCCTTGTCTTTTGTCGTATGACAAATTCCAATCGACGGATTGCGAAAAACTTGAGATTTTCAAAAGGCTAGATCCTGAATCTAAAGCGAAAGTTGTTATATAGTTATTCAACTTTTGTGGGATACCGCTGCTATTTGAACTGAAATAAATTTTTTTCTGATATACCTCATTAATATTAGTAACACTTACTTGTAAGTATAAACAATATTTTCATCTTTTATATTTCCGTAATATATTTTCAACTTTGAATTTTCGGCTAAACTGCAACCTGTTAGATATCTATCGTTATTAGAAATTGTAACAACTGCTGAAGTTCCTTCATGTGCAACAAGTTGAACATTACACGAAGTGCTTCTGCACGATGTTAACCGATATTGATTGAAATTTTTAACATCTGAATGAATAACTATCAAAAATATTTCCTTTACAAGAAAACCAACTGGAATAACTTTGTGCCACAATCATAGTCCCCAAGTCGACGCCAGCAAAAAGATTGACAATTCTCATATGGCTATTAGTTGAAACAAATTGATTATAGCTATCGACTAATTGTCTCAAGTTCCCGATCAATGTTGAATTTGTATCTGGACCATCGAAAACAATGAAACACCGAAGAAATGAGGCAAAATCAGCCCATTGTGTGTCAGCTGCAATTAGCGAAACTCTATCAGACGATGTGAATAGAGTTGAATTCAAATTTGCTAACACAACCGGATTTGCTGAAGATGATAGATTGTATTGTTCCATCTGTACCTCGGGCACTGAAAACAAATATTTCATAACCAATGTTTCAAAAAATTACACTTACTTTTAGCATAAGTAATAACAAATCCTAAATTTACAGTCGAATTAGATACAGATAGTATAATACTAAAACTTGGAGCTATCATGAAATAAGGTTCTGCATGACCCGATTGTGGAACATCTTCATTCACACCATTTTGATAAACAACTTTCAATGTTGATGGAGTCACAATTTGACTATTAATAATAACATACGCATAATATCCCTGGGGAACTTGAACATCCCAACGACAATCTTGATTCGATAAATAAGTTGGAGGTGATAATGAAGTATTCCAGCCAGTTGGAACACTGATTGACTCACTCAAATTTTTTTCTGGGGATAGATTATTGTTTCTGTTACAAGCTGAAAATTGTAGATATATATAATGTTTGAAGATCATATTGATTACCTATTTCAACTTCTGATGAAACACCTGGAATTGCAAAAAATAAAATGACGCATAGAGAAAACATAGTTTAGTTCAAAAAATGACTATTAATTTTTTGATATCATTTTTTCTCGCCATTTTTATGAGTTACACATTGAAAAGATAACAGTAATGATTTTTTGCGGGCATGTAAATAGCATAGTTAAAATTGATTGTTCAATGTTTGAAACTGTACTTCGACGTGATGAAACTATTCTGGAAGTTTGATCGAACCATAGAAGTTTTATTGGAAATATAAACAAATGTTCTTTTAAAAATCAATAAAACTGATTACAAGCTTCACTAGAAAAACTGCCCATACAAATTGAATTGCACAACTATTCGAGCCAGTTTTCAGAACCGAGAAATCAATTAATACTCCGTTCGTTTTTTCACCATTTGATTGATATATAATACTCAATGTTTTTCCTGGATGAACATCTTCAATTGATGTTGGAATACTATTGCTTGTATAATTATGATCATCGATTATATTATTGAATTTATCATAGGTTGTGATTTGAAGAGTTGCTTTACCAACCAATCCATTACTGATAACTTTTGTTGTATAATTATACACATCATTTCCTGTGAATGTTTCATTCACTGATTGATCCACAGAATCAATTCCATAATTTGGTGAGGATACATAACCAGTTCTTTTATCGGTTACTGTATTCCAGTTTTCATTTGGACTATCGTAGGAAAAAACAACAGTTGCGATATTCGAATCAAGCGAAATTGTTGTTATATAATTGTTCAATTTTTGTGGAAATCCTGTGTCATTTGCTTTAAAAGTTTTAACAATGTTGGAATTTTGAATGGAACCGTAATAAACAGTCAAATTAGATGTTGGTGCGATCGAAAGACTTTTCAAATATTGATCGGATTTTGAGACTGCTACTACAGCTGCTGTTCCATTTGTTGCATCCAATTCACAAAAACAATCATTTGTTCCAGTACATGTTGTTATACGAAATCTTGTAAACTGTTTTACACCTGAAAAATTATGCGAATATTTGTTTTCTGATAGATATTTGTGAACTCACTTGAATAATCTTGCACAACGATAAAGTTGTCAAGATACGGTAGACTTGGTATTAAATTTGTAACTGTCATTTGATTTCCAGATGATACTAATTGTTTATCGCTGAATAAAACTTGTTCAAGTGTTCCGATAAACGGGGAATTAGCATCTGGGCCATCGTAAACTACAAACTTTCGTAAGTTGTTGAAAAATTCAAGGGGATTTGTAGCGGATGCGATAAGAGAAACTTGAGTTGGTGCGGTGATTACGCACGAGGTGATATTTTTGATGATTTGAGGATCAGTTTTAGAGACGCCATAATTTATTGGGTTGAATGTTGGTACTAAAATCAAATAATAATGAAGCTATAAAAATTTGTGAACCTACTTGGGACATATGTAACTTCAAATGCTAATCCACCACTATATCCAGCAGCTGCATGAAGCAAAACAGTGAATGTTGGAGAAACAAACATATATGGACCATTTACAATCACATATATTTCATCGACATATCCATTTGAATAAATGACACGAACCCAAGATGGAGTTTTTGTTACTGAACTTATCAGAAGATTTGCATAGTAACCTTGAGGTACTTCAATATCCCATCGACAATCTTGATTTTGAGCATAATTCGGAACTATTGTTTGCGAAATATTCCATGTATTTGGAAAATTCAAAACCTGACTCAGATTTGCAGGAGCTTGAATAGTATTGGTTCCATTGCAAACTATAATTTGTTCTCAAGTTAATAAAATATCTGATTTCAAAACTTACCATAGCTTTCTGAATAAACCGAGGTGAAAAAGGCGAAAAAGAAAAATATAAAAAGCATAGTATTATCATATCAGTCAAATTTTTCATTTTTATATTTTGCTGAATATTGATCACATAAAACACAAAACCTTTTTATGCAATGATTCATTTGAAAAATTCCAAAGTTATAAATAAAAAAGTGAAATTGCGAAAGTTACCCATAACATTAGAATTCCCGTTCCATTATCACTAGTTTTAACAATCGAAAAATCAATAAGAGTGCCAGTTGTATTTTCTCCATTTGTTTTATAAACAATACTCAATGATTTTCCTGGATGAACATCTTGATTTGTTGGTGGAAGATTGTTTTTGTTGTAAACATGATCATCAACAGCATTTCCGGATTTATCATAAGTTGTTATTTGAAGAGTTGCATTTCCAACAAGTCCGTGATTGATAACTGTTGTTGTGTAGTTATAATAATCACTTCCACCAAACGTTTCAGTTACAGATTGATTAACAGAAGAAATTCCAACATTTGGAGAAGTTACGTATCCAGTTCGGTTATTGTAAACTGTATTCCATGTTGTCATCAAATTTTCATATGAAATTTCAATAAGTCCAGTATTTGAATCAAGAACAAATGTAGTAATAAAATTGTTCAACTTTTGAGGAAATCCTGTTGATTTTGAATTATAGGAATTGACAATATTTGAACTTTTGATTGATCCATAATACACCTTCAAACTTGATGTTGGAGCAATATTAACTGATTTCAAATATGATGCTGATTTTGAAATTGAAACTACTGCTGCTGTACCATTTACAGCATCAAATCCCACATAACAATCATATATTATACACGTGGCGAAACGGTAATTGGTGAATTGCTTGACGTCTGAAGTTTTGATTATGAGAAAGTCTGTTGTTTCTTAAAAACTCACTCGAATAATCTTGCACCATAATAAAATTACCGAGATTCGAAACACTTGGAATCAGATTGAGAACAGTCAGTGTTTTTCCAGATGAAACCAATTGTTTTCCAGATCCAAGAACTTGATCGAGATTTCCAAGATATGTGGCATTTGGACTTGAACCATCGAAAACAACAAATAATCTATTGAAAGGATAGAAAACAAATGAAGCTGTATTTGAAGCAATTAATGATACTTGTGAAGTTGGTGCAGTGATAACACAAGCGGTCAAGTCAGATATGATTTCAGGATCAGTTGCAGTGAGTGCATGATAATCTGGGTTGAAATCTGGCACTGCAAAAAATCGTATTGATTAGTGTTTTAGATTTTGTAATTATGAACATACTTTTCATATAATTTATTCGGAATGCCAATTTTCCTGGAACCAAAGACGTTGAATACAACAAAATGCTGAATTTTGTAGCAAGGAACATATAAGGAGAACCCGAAACATTTCCAATAACATTATCGATCATTCCATTCGAGTAAATCAATTGTAAACTTGAAGTTGTTGGTGTTTCTGCACTAACAGATAAATATGCAAAATATCCTTGAGGAACTTCAACATTCCATCGACATTGTTGATTTATTTGATATGTTGGAACAGGCAAGGATACGTTCCATGAGTTTGGATAGTTTATCGTGGAATTCAAATCAGCCGGAGCACTGATTGTATTTGTACCATTACAAACTGAATTGAATCATTTTTTCAAAATTGAAAATTACTTTTTTTTTCCGAACTTACTGTATGGATCAGCCGCAATAGCTGAAATTAAAATCGAAAGAGCAAAGTATAGATGAAACATAGTTTGATGGACAAGTGGGAGAAATGATATCATATCAGTTATTATTTGCTTTTTTATACTATTCGTCTCAGAAAAAAGTCATTTAGAAGCGTGGTTTTTTATATGAAAGTTTATGTTTTATGACGTAGAATCATATATGATTCAGGTGAACTTGATTTTTTGAACGGCTAGGGAATGATTCATAGATTGTGAGTTTTTTTTTAAATTTGGAAGACTTATTTTGAGAAGTCATTATGAACTAGCCGAAAAAAAAATCACGTGATTCTGAGAAATGTGTTATAGCTGCTTTTCTGAATTTATACTCAGGTAGCATCTTGCCCATGGACTGCCCCTTACTCTGCCCTTAGAGCAGGTTCTAAGGGCTGCATTGGAGCATACAAGGGGCAATCTTTGGGCATTTCAATTAAACAAGGACATCACGTTTAAAATTCAAATTAATTCAAGCCACGTAAAAAAAAGCATTTTCACTAATTTTTCTTGTTTCCAGCTTGGAAAAATGAAGCCTAGGCCCAAAATGGGGCAATTTGAAGGGGCAGCCTTCATCAAAAAGGAAGCAGCCTTCAATTAAATACAAGAAAACATTATTATAAGTGTTTTAGAAGTAATAGTTTTATTAAGCGAAATAACATAGGATAGCTTGATCATACTCTGCTTCTCATTGTAAAATCAAATTTTCACATAAGTTGATAATTTATTTTTCGAGCATTCGTGAATTTTCTAGGTGATTTGACCGACATTTTATAATTCAAAGCTGCAATGGTTGAAGCAGTTGATCCAAAACAACTTTTTTGAGAATCGGATACATTTATACATGATTTGGAACACATCTAATTCATAAAAATCCATTTAACAATCACAGTGATAAACCCAGAATCCGCTCCATTATATTTGAATTGATATCTTGCTCACAGTAGTTACTGCTTTTCTAATAGATATTTGAGAGTCATCGAAATAGTTTGATTCATTAGCTATTTTCTTGGCCAACAGAATATAAAAAATGACAAGAAATTCCGATTTCGAAACAGGACACGTATCAAAATTAGGTCACGTTATGAAAAATACCTATAAATTTAATTTTCTCATTAAAAAATTTGCCCTTAGGGCTTGCCCAAGGTGCAATTATGGGGCAACCGCTTTCCTAAGGGCAGTCCATGGGCAAGCTGCTACCTGAGTACATAATATGTATATATTATCCTATTTTTATGAAGTGTTGCCGATAGTTTTATTCTTAAATAAAATGATAAATTTTTGACTTCAAATAATTTCAAAACAGAACTTTCAACAAACTTCTTCTTCTTCTTGTTAACTTCTTCAAATTCCATGTTCATCTTCGGGTCGATGTTTCAAAATTTCCCTTATATATTACCCGTTCTGTGATTATGTGTGCAACAACAAAAAACATTGAGCATACCTGCCCTTCTATCTTGAAATAATCACCATGACGTTTTTTTCCTAACCCTCTTAATTTTTCCTTTTCAAAATTTTCTCTTTTTTCCGATATCAATCATGACTTTGATTATTTTATTACCTATATTTTCTTTATTGCTTCCTACAGTTCACACAACTTATGGTATTTGTTTATATGTATTTTCGACACTTTTCTGCAATATCTGAATTTCAGAATGTCCGAGTAGTTTGACAATTAACTCATCTGGATATGTGTTTCCGAACGATTGGAAATGGTCAACAGATCCAGCTCCGAGTTATGATACTGTTCTAGATTGTTCATGGACTTTTAACATTCCAAAAGGCAGTTTTGCACAATTGTTAGTTACAGCTGCAACTCCTGCACAAGGTTCAATTACAGTGAAAAATTGTGTAGGAGATCGAGAAATTGTTCCGAGTACCGCAAGCAAAGAACCATATTATTTTCTAACTCCTCAATTCACAGTTCATCTTCTTGTTTCTAACAATGTTAGTGGAACTTTTGGATTCACTGTCAAAATGTCAGAATGTATGTTTTCCTCATTTTGAGTTCTTGAAAGTCTGGTTTTTCAGTTCCATCAACTCAGCCTAGTCTCTTCAAAGTAACAAACAGTCCGTTAATTTTGACTAACGTGAACACAGTTCTACTAACTTCGGAAAATCGAGTTTCGTTGATTGCTTCTTCTGCGAGTGATCCTACTAATAATTCGAATTTACGAATGTTTGCAATTTTTGATGGATCCGATACAACTGCACCATTTATGGCAAATATGCGACAAATTGTTAGTTCTCGAAATCAATTAATATCGAGTGGTCAAAATTTGACAATCGTCAATTTAGTTCCTGGAACTACTATTGGTAATTTAATCGTTGTTCAAGATTTTTCAAATGTTCAACATTTCAATCAATATAAACTTGCTGATTGTTCAAATAAAGAAATGTGTTCAATTGGGCTTGATGCTCGTGATGGAATGGCTGCTGTTGTTTCAGTTTCATTAGAAGATCGATATATTAGTAATATTGAATTGACATCAGTTGTTGCAACTCTTGGAGTTTACTATGGAGCAAATTACACGTGAGAGATTACAAGATTTGATTTATCTATTGATCAATATTTTCAGTGGCGCTTTGGAAGATGTTCCACAAAAATTCAACAATCACATGACTACAATTGCATTAAATCAAGGAAGTGCACTTCTAGAATATACGACTCAAAAAGTTGCCAATTGGAACAAATCTTATCTTAATAGAAAAGGATTTTTCGCTTCGCAAAATTTTGGAATTCCATCTTCAAACCAAGATGTCAGTGAGATGTTGAACGGAAAAGAAGAATTTTCATACGGAATTCAGATTTATGATAATGGACTCATCGGAAATGCAACACTTCAAATATATACTTATGATACTGCTGGAAGAACTATATCGAGTCAACTTTATAATGCCAATATTCTTCCATCTGTTAATAAAATGACTTTTCAATGTGCCTCAATTTCATTCGATTATATGACTAATGGAGAAATAACTACTGGTTTCAATATGAATTTTGAAATTCAGAAAAACAACTTTTTCGATAGTTCAGCTAACTCTCAAGTTACATTTTTTACAGTTCTATCGAGTATTGTTTTGATGTTCATTTTTTGAATTGAGAAATGAAATTGTATATTGTTATGGAAGTTCCAATGTCAGTTTTTCTAGAATTTCAGAAACTCACATGTTTTTTTCTAAAATGAAATTAGGCCAAAAATCTTGCGCATGCCATTGCTGCGATCGTTCCAATTCTCAATATTTCGAAACAAAGGCCTACGCAAAATTTTCAGAATTTCAGTACAAAAATCAAAGAATATGTCTAGATAGAGAACTGTTGAAAAGCATAGTGTGAAAATGGCGAAAATAGTTGTTCAAATGTTTGCCAATCCATAAAATGGAGAGAAAGAGTGTCGCGTTTTCTTGTATTTAATAATAAAAGAAAGTAATATAATAATCCTAATGTATGCGTAAACATCGTATCAAAAACTTGTCAGAATAAGAGAACATTTTCATTTTCTAACACAAAAGATTAAGAAAACCCGAGGAGAAGTCCCGAAAAAAACCCGTGAAAGCAAAAAAAAACAATTGATAAGTTAGACGTCTTTTTGAAAATATGGCCATTGCTTTGTTTTATACCAAAGTGGTGGAGTGTCTGGAATATTTCCACAATGATATCGATAAATCAAAAGACTGTAATAGGTTTTTCCTTCGGGATCTTGAAGTTGTTTGATATCTCCAATCAAATCAAATGATGTTACTTGTTGATCATTATCCGTGTTCTCTTCGCCTTCGAAATATTCACCAGGTCGAATTGTTAACTGCAAAATTTTAAATTAGTGATGAGATGTTTTTTGAGGCTCAAGCTGAAGATAGATGCAAAAAATTTCAAATTTCTGAAAAAAATCCAGATAACTTACATTTTCAAATTGAACTGTTGCATATTTTGGAAGAAGATCATATTCACAGCATTGCAGTTTGAGTCTGCAAAAAAAATTGTTCATGTATGGAACATTTGGGGATTTTTCAATTATTTCAGAAAATGTTCTTTCGATTTTCGAGAAAGACTAATACAGAATTCCATTTAAGACTTCAAACTTGGATTTAGATTTCAAAATTGAAATTTTGTGATTTTTCAGAAATTAACAATGAACTGAAACAGAGATAATTATCATTTTCTTGAATAAAAAAATTCTAAATTCTAAAAAATGAAGTTTATTTCGGGCCTATCTTTTGAAGATTCGATGAAAACTTGGATGTTGATCAGTAATTTTCATCTAAAACAAGTGCGCCAATATAAATAAATATAAACTGAGTTATAGAGCTCCAGAGAACTTGTTATACCTGAGAAAATTTGAAATTTTTGATCCAACATTGTTGGGTTGAAAAAGTCCTATGTTTGTATTCCCCTTCAACCCCCTTCCCCTCAAAAATCTCACCTTCCATCCGAATTTTGTGTCAATCCTCCAACCCACGACGAGTTTGTCAAACATCTATCCGAATCTGCTCTTTCCGGACATTCCGCATACTTTTTCTCGTGACAATTCGGTCGAGCACATAACAAATTCATTTTTCCATTTTTATGCAACTCAAGTCCAAATGGAACTTTGTGATCTCCACAATAATCTGATCTCACAAGTGGAATTAAAATATTTGAAAATAATAATAATAGAATTTGTATCGTCATCAGCCTACCTAAAAAAAAATAAATATTGAAAATAATAAAATGTTTATGGTAAAATAAAGTAAACACGGGTTAATCTGGGATATTTGAAAAAAAAGTGAGAGTTGAAAATGAAAATGAAAAAAATAGGAGAACTTTCAAAATAATCATTCGAAATGCATAGGTTTTTCAACAACATAAAACTTTTTGTATTTTAGGAAAATATAGGACAATATGTTTTGTATTGAATTTCAATATGTATTGAATGTAAACAAATAAAAAATTCCATTGGGCAAAAAACGACAAAAAAATTAATTTTCCTTTTTTTCTCGTCTTTTCAACAAAAAGAAATGCTAACAACAAAAAAGAGATGGATGTTTTCAGAAACGGCTAAAATTCATGAAAATTTTAGAGCGCCAATAAATCTAGCACAAGAAAATTATGAATCAAGTTACAATTTCAAAATACTAAAAATTTTGAAAAGAATTTTCAGTTTGCGGTCGAGTTTTGAGCTTCAACAAAATTTAAAAATGTAATTTAACAGAAGCTAGTTACTTTTTGTTTTTTTTGTAAAATAAAAAGAGGATTGAATAATGAATAATATGTAGATCGGAACAATGGATATGTGAGGAAGAAATATATAAAGAAAATGAAAGTTGTCGCGAAAAAGTAATTAGTTTTTTATTAGATCTTGCATGTTTTTTGTCGCTCTCAAAATTGAGTCACATCGTAAGTAAGAGAAGAGCAACAAATATATAATAAAAATAAAGAAGAACAGCTGCATTTCATTTTTTTTTCTGTCCTCCAAAAAATGTGGAGCGAGCGACAAATAGCAGAAAAAAAAATGAAAAGAAGAGCGAAAAAATTTTATTTCATTTTTTGGTCAACAAAAAAGGAGAAATGGAATGAGAAACAGTTTTGTATTCATGAAGAAAAACTACCACCCTCATGAGTTTTGGTCAGAAAATAGAAATAGAAACAATGATGATGTTTGACGTTTCGTGAGATGAGATAAGAAATGTCTGGCTGAAGCTCGAAGCATTGGCTCAAAAAAGAAAAGAGCACAAGGAATAGTTTGTGATAAACTTTGTGTTCTGGATTTGAAAGTTCATCATAACAAAAATATGGTATTAATTAGATTATGAAACTAGTTATTAAGGTTTTGGAAACGTCATTAAAGTTTTGTGTGATGTGGTAAATCTCAAAAAAAATTCAAACAGAGTTCCGAGGATTTTCAGAAAATGAAGGTATATAGCTTGAGAACGTGTAAAGAAGCGTGATTTTTCAGTTTCAGGAATGGAAATATATTTTCGATCAACTAGAAAAATTTTGGAATATTATTTTTTCTTTAGAAAGTAGACGTGTTTGTAGCTTTTCGAAATTTATTTTTTTTCTAATGTTCCTAATCGGATTTGGAAAATAATTGTTATATTCAGAATACTTGAAAATGTCGCTGTTTGAACTTTTCGAAAAAAAAAGTTGTTACGTAGAAATAAAATAAGAAAAACAATTTGCAAAGCAAACAACAGATTATAGTAAAAATCTGAATTTTATCTGGAAATTTTGAAGTTGATAAATCGATATAAAAACTGAACCACGGAAACCACCAAACAACAAAAAAGTCACCTTTCCACTACCAAAGCACAATGTCAATAAAATAGTACATAAAAACATTGAACTTAAAAAATAAATGTTTCACATCCAACAAAAAAAATCAATAAGACCTCAATTATCCTTTCTTCCAAGGAATGCCAAAAATAAGAAAGTAGATAGGAAAAAAGTTGGACATGAGAATAGTAATTATAGCGAAAAATCGAACGAAAACAATAAAACGAAATAGTTTTGTTTGTTTTTGCGATCAACGCTTGTATTTACCTAAATATTACAAGTCAAAAAGGAAATCGAAAGAAATCCTTTGAATATACATATTTTTGCGGCCTCAAGTACTCTTTTTTCGTGGGAATATAATATTGTATATTACTTAACTTGTGGGAAAAAAAAAGAAACAGGATTAGCTTTATGTAAGAATCATAAAAATACTACTTACGATAAAAAGTATACTATATTAATTTATGTAAATGCATATTTTGCAAAAATAAAAAGGCAAATTTAGAAAAAAAGCGGAAGAGACGCAGACACTTTGTCCTTTTGTGTATAAATAATATCGAACAAAAATTTTGTATTGATAAAGATGGAAGACAACATTTTTATTTTGTATATTATGATTTTTATTGTTTTGTTTGGATTGAAACAATGGAATTGAATTTGGATTATTATCTACAGATTTTTTTTATTATTTTTTGAAATTTTTTGGAATATGCTACTTTTTTAGAATACGATTTTTAGAAAAATTTGAAACGTAAATTTATGAAGATTTCCAAAAAAGCCGCAAAAATTAGGATGAAGTTTTCAACGTTTTTTGAAATTTCTCACAAAAATGGAATGTTCAGTTTATCATGTTGCAAATTTTGATGTTTTCTTCTATTTTTTTCAAACTTTTCCCCAAAGTCCTTCAAATTTTTCAGAACTTTCAAGTTCTAATTTCTGAAATTCACCAACAGTTTTCCATTCAAAAAACCTCGAAAATTTAAAAATTCTTCATTCATTTACAACGAAAAGAAAAAAGACTGGGATTGAAAAAAAGAGAAACTGATCACATTGATTTGGAACATGTTAGAAAATGGAATACTAGGCAAAAAACAAACTGAATATTGCACAGAAGAATTGTTAGAAAAAGATAATAATGTGGAAAACGACTAGTTGATTTGAAAAAAATATGAAAAAAGTTGTATAGATAGGCAATTTCTTGGCACAAGAAGAAGAAAATCATATTCTACAGGAAAACAAAAACTGGAAGAGGAAAGTGACAAAAAACAACTTGAGCAGAATTTGGAAAAAATAAATATAATGTAGATGTGGATGGGTTTGTTATTGGGTTATTACTGAAAAATTGACATGGTTGTTGGCAAGGATTAAAGTGCAAAAATCGATAGGTGGATTGTTGAAAAAGAAGAGCATGTTTTACATGTTGCTGACAAGTTGATATTTCTCGTTCAAACTCATCTCGTGTCTGAAAAAAGATATGAAGAAAGGGAATTCAAAAAATAATTTCGGAACTTTTCAGATATCGGAAATTTGAAAAAAAAAAACTGAAATTTTGAAGTGACATTTTTATTAGAAAAATTCAGAACACGAGACAAAAAATCAGACCATTTTTTGAAAATTGTTCTATTGGGCCACCCAAAAATCAATCTTTTGGAAAAAAAAATTTCTCAAAAATCAGATTGGTAAAATTTTCGGAATTTTCCAATCCTTAAAAAAAACTTACAAATGATGTTTCCTATTCTTATTGCGAAGTCGTTCGCGTGCTTCTTTAGCCGACAAATGATAAATATCATCATCTTCATATCCGCCAGTTGATGATCCAGCATATCCGTGGCTACTTCCATTACTCAAAGGAGATGGTTGTTGATTCGATTGATGATTTTGATGATGATGATGTTGTGGTGAAACATACGAAGGAACATACTAAAAAAAAACTCGGATAAAAATTATAAATAATTGTTGATCAAAAAAGTTAATTGGATAAGAAAATTAATTGATAATTTTTGGTGAGAAAATAGGAAGAAAGCGTTAGGCAAACTCAAAAATACCTTATGATCAATTGGCACATCAACAGCACTTTCTCTGTGCGACGAGGCAAATGATCCGGTAGTCGATCCAGTTTCAGACAATTCTTGCGTGTGGCTAAGCACTTGAACAGTGTTAGTGGTTTCAGCGATTTGAACTCCAGCAAACACTTGATCCAACAAATCATCCTATTAAGCAGTTAGTGTTAAACTTAAGTGAATTGAGTTGAAAAAAAAAATGAAAAGCTGACGTGTTTCAAAAAAATGTAGAAGTAACCAACCCGTTTGGGAAAAGCAAAAATCGGTGTTTCTTTCAAAAATTGGGTGGTTACTTACATTTAAAAATGAACACGTTAAAATAGTTATTGGTTCTTGTGATACCTTATAATCATAATTGTTGGTTCCATTTGTGATGACTGTTGTTGTTCTGATGATTTCACGTTCCTCGTTTACTTGAATGCTCTGAAAAATAGAGAAATTATTAGAAGTATTGAGAAAAAATATGAACATATTAAAAAATTTAAATCAAGTTCTCGGGCTATTTTCAAGACCTCGTGAGCCAAATTTTTGAAAAAAATTTATCACAGCCAAAAAAATCATTAAAATTTTTTTTTCAAAAATATTTCAAATGTTTGATATTACTTTCATGAGTTTTTTTTTATTTTTGAGTTTGCCAATTTTCAAAATAAACAAAAAAAACTTACATGTGGATTCAAATCTTCATGATTATGATTATGATGATGAATCTCTTCATGGTGAACTTCTTCGTGATGAGATGTGACAACTTCTGGAGCTGGATGATCATTGAATTTTTCGACATTGTCAAACGAATATTCGAAACCATTATCACGATACCATTTATCAACATCTTCTGATGCAACCAAAAGAGTTGTGGATAATGGCGATTTTTTGATGAGTGCAACAACATCTTTGTGTGGTGTATTTGGGTAGATCAAAAGACCGTTGACACCAACAATACGTTGACCCATTCGGAGTCCTGCATTTTCACCAATTCCTCCAGCGTCGACGGTTCCTACAAATATTGATTTTGTTAAAAAATGTGAGAGAAATGGGAATGAGAAATACAATATAACTATTTTTGGATTCAACCTTCGGAACTTCTGATTTTTTCATGAGGTTCTAATTTTTTATCGAGCGATTTGTTTGCAATATAGACTGAATTACTGTAGGTTTTAAACCCAAAAATCAAAATTAACTTATAGTTATCGGATATTGAATTTTCCAAATTTATGTTTCTATTCATAATTTCAAAAGGCCATGTGGCAAAAAGTTTCCAAATCTAATTATGAAGCGAATATTTTTGAACACTAATGTGTAATATTTTCAAAATTCCTCAGAGATTCCCTGGCCAGCTCGCTACCAGGTGGGGAGGCTGGCTGACCTGGGAACCACATGGAAACCATGTCGCCCGGTTTTTTTCGCTGGCAAGGTGGCCAGGCTCTGGCTAGGTCACGGCCACATGGCTACCACGTGGTGGCCACTTCGCCACGTCAAAATGAATTTTCATGAAAATGTCTTAAAACTTGTGAATTGAGGCATTTTCGAAACATTTGGCTCAGTTTATGTTTTTTCGCAGCACTTGAAACCTTAGGAAGTGAAAAAAACAGTAGAAAATGCAGTGTTTTGAGTACAAACCACTATCTTGCCAGCTTTCCAGGATTTCAAACACACAGGCCACGTCGCCGGAAAACTCAAGGCGACCTGGCGGCCATGCGGTTTCCAGGTGGCCGCAGCGATCTGGTGGCGAGCTGGCCAGCGAATCTCTGAGTCAGTCGAATCTTCAAAAAACTCACCAATAAAATGTCCGCGATTCTTTTCGGCGTGCAAATTGAAACCAAATTCATCCAATGGCGACGATTTCGCCAAATGCGCCAATCTTGGTTGTGGTGTCATTTCGTCGCGTTCAAACGATGGTGGATGTGGCGGCGGTGGTGGGACAAACACTGGTTCGTCTGCTGATTTTCCAACCGACGACTGAAAAGAAAAATCAATTTTTTTCAGGAATTCTCATGCCTCCTCCTAAAAAAGGCGCCAACTGGTAACAAACACATAATATTTATACATAAATGTGAAAACGTTTCATTTCTTTCTTTACAGGAAAGAAAATGGAGCGAAAAAATACATATATGTAAATACACATGAAATAAATGACGGAAAATAATTGTCGAAACAAGAATTTTCGACATAAAATACATAATTATTGCGGATTATTTTGCAAGAAAAAACGGAATAATTTTACTCGTCTTGCTTGTTTGACAAAAACTATCTGGGTATTTATGGAAAAAAAAACAGGTAAGGATAACCTTGTCCTTATGGTACATTTGATGACACTGGAAAACGCGTGAGAGTGAGAAAAAAGTAGAGACGCAGACACGAGGGAACCTTATAAAATTACAAAAGAAAGTGAACGGCACACATACATATAATTAGAGGCCATTATTTTTTTGGACAAAAAATTGGCAAATTTTGGAGCCAAACCTCACCCAATACCTGGAATCCCAGGTGGGCAACTGAAAAAAAATTTTGTAGGTGGGTAAAATTTTTAAAAAATTCGAAGGTTTTTTCGAATTTTTCGTCGAAAAAATTTCACTGAATTCTATAATTTTCTCTTGTTGGTTAGAAAATGTTACTTCCAACGATGTTCTTTGAAAATTTTCAGAAATTAGATTCATTTCAACTATTATTTTCCCGATGGCCAGCTGGAAACATCTAAAAAATACGAAAAATTCAGTTTTTCAGGTTTTCTGACTTTTTTCCTAGGAAAAGTTTGATGTTTTGTTTCTTAATATCAAAAAGTAAGTCGATTCCCAGCTAGTTTCACTTTTCTCCCACCTGCAAACTTTTTCAATTTTTTGCAAACCTATCACCTGGAGTAAAATACTGGTCATTTTCCATAACTCATGTCAAAATCATTTTTTCAGAAATTTTGAAAAGCTCAAATGAATCTACAAGCAAAAATAATGTTAGTCCCAAAACAAACTTTTTGCTCAAAATCACTCCGAAAGCTCAAAAAGTTTGAAGTGTGAAATCACCCAAAATGTTCTAACGTTATAAGAGAAATCAGGTCATCGGTTTTCTCGGCCTTTAAACAAAAAAGTAGCTGGCCATTGTTATTTGTAGCTGGGAACTAGGCTTAGGAAGCTACTTAGTTAATTCCACACGCAAATATTCACTCTAAATACTGAAAAAGCTGAAAATGAAATTCAGTTTTTTTCACAATGTGAAATAAAAAGAAAAGTAGGTGGCACAGAAGTGTTTGTTGTCTTGGAAATTCGCCTCCTCGTTCTCAACAGGGTCGGTGGTCTAGTGGTGAACACGTGCGTCTCTTGAACGCACGTGGCGTGGAGGGTTTGGGTTCGAGTCCCACCCGGGGCGCGAGGGAAATTAGGAGGGGACATAGAGGGAGAGGGATTTCAGGAAGCTTTTGCTATTTTCACTGAAAAAAAAACGATTTTTTTTTTGAAAAAGCTCGCCATGGCGAGCGCTAGGTGGGCAATTTTGGAAAAAAACCAGCTGGGCATTTTTTCACTCACTACTCCAGGTTCTTGGGTGAGGTTTGTTTTGGAGCGGACTTTAGGTCTGATTGGGACGTCATATTTCTTTTTGACAAAAGTGAATAAAAAAAAAAAAATTAAAACCGTTCGATTTTCGCAGAAAAACAGTATTTGTCGTATCCGAATCGGACCACTCTTTGGAATAATTACAAAAAAGTTGTCCACAGATTTTTTTTTTGAAAAAAACCGAACTTAGCGATATTTCTTTGTCAAAAACTTCGACATCATAATGATGACCGAAAAATGATAAAAAGCTCGAGAAAATGAAAAGGAAAAAACTATTGACATTTCTCCTTGGCTGACCAAATACAAATACGATTAAAATTTAAATCGGCCTTCAAATATGACGAAAAAAACAAGTTTTCTTCCAAAAGTTTGTTGCAACACAAAATCTCAAAATGTTTTATGAAGAAAAACATAAAAGTATTTTCTCAAATAACAAATGTTTATTATGAGTAATAACAATAATAAAGGCAGGGTTGGGGTCTCTTCTTCTTTCAAATATTTGTTCACCTTTTCAGGTTATGCTGGTTTATTTGATCTATCCTCTAACAAATAAATGTTCGATTTTTTGTCTGCCAAAAAAATGCAAATTTTTTCATATCTAATAATATCGAATTTCATTTTCAATTGTTCTTCAAAGCCGAATAATTTTGCAATTTGAAAATGAAAAAAAAATAGAAAATCTTTTTGAAACGTGAGAACAGACAACAGTAATACAATATATTGACAAATAATTCATTCCTTCACGCCTTTTTCGCGCGGCCAAAAAAACCAAATTGAAATACCGTGTAGTAACAAATGTACATCATTTTGGTAGCTTTTTGAGAATGCAATAAAAATTAATCAAAAAGATGACTAATGGCTGGAAAACACGCAAATATTTTTGTTTGTGTTGTAAACTTTTTCAATTTCCTGTTATGATCGACCTTCGGAGGAAAATGGGATAACGGGGTTGAAAAACAATTAGTGCAGAACGTATGTAAATACTGAATTAGCGGAGGTGATCAGGTTACTTTCGAAAAAATAGAATGAAACAAAGAATAAAATTATGAAGACCAAAGTTTCGAAAATAAAACAATTATTTTTGAAATGTTTTCAATTTGCATTTGCAACAATGGAATTTTCACCGAAATTTGTAGGAAATAAGACCTAACTTGAACATTTTTCCGCACAAGGGAAATTGTTCACCAGAAAAAAAACTTAATAGATGATACAGTTAGTTTCATTGAATGCACACATTTGAACTCTGATAATTTTCTGATCCGAAACATTGTAATCTTCTGATCGATTTTAAAGTAGCCTGACGTGAGAACTTTCATATTTACTATATGTTCTAAAAAATAAAAGTGCATTACCATAACGGTTTTAACCGGAAATTTAAATAATTTCTATTTTTATAACATTTCTAGATCATAAATTCTTTCTAACACTACTATGCTTGACAATTCTATTTTCCTTGCACATTTAACAGCAGATATTGCATTCTATTCTACATTTGTCTTCAATGTTTCATTAATTCTTCTAACTTTACTAATGATTGGAAATAAGTTTGGATTTTATAAACATTTCATCATCACAAATGCATTGCTTGGTTTGATCTACGCATCTTCGGAATTCATTGTTTATCCGGTAAGGAAACCTTGTGAATAATTATGTGACAAAGTCGAATGATTCAGTTGATTCACAATTATAATGCTTCGTACATCATATTTACGACTGTTAATTTTTTAGATTTCGGAAAAGAATTATTAGGTGAGCACAGATTTCAAAATTTGTTTGAGAGAACAAAACTTTATCTAATGCCTGAAAATTTCTAGCAATCTATGTTGGTTTATTCGCAATCACAATCGCATTTCTATCGATACTATTTGTGTATCGATATATTTTCGTTTTTCATACTAGTTTACTTATTCACTTTCGAGGCTGGAAATTTATATACTGTTTATTATGGGTGACTTTTTGGGGAGTTCTATTGGTAACTACAATTTCAATATCTGGTCAATCAGATGAATATTCGATTAAATATGTAAAACAAGAAATGAGAGAAATGTATAATTTGGAAATTGAAACCATTTCGAGTTTAATTGTCGTGAACTTTGTGGGAAAAAAGTCAATCTTCGAAAAAAAAGTAGATTAAAAATTTCAGGATAATAGAAACAATATAAGATTGAAAGATGTGCTACACTCATTTACAGTAGCATTCATTATGATTATTCAATATTCGATTATGATTTATTGCGGTTATCAAATGCACACAAAAATGGAAAATACCATGACAAATCATTCCGAAACTTTCAAAAAGCTAAATCGTCAAGTTTATCGCACTCTAATATTTCAAATAACCCTTCCAACAATGTTTCTTTTTCTACCAACAATGTTGCTATTATCACTATCACTTCTAAATATCAATATCAGTTGGAAAACAAGTTTTATTTTGTGTATACTAACATTGTATCCAGCATTGGATTCACTAATTGTTATGACAATCATTTCCGATTACCACAAATTACTTGAAAAATGGATAAGAAAACGATGGACGATAAAATTTATCAGAAGAGAAAGAAACTAAATGATTTCAGAAACTACGTTTTGTTAGGCTTCCAATAAAATAAACAATTCTCGCCTTGAAAATTTCAAAAATCGGCCAATTAATGATATTATCGAGTTGTCGTTTAAAATTCAGATAGGAACTCAAATAACAATTTACACCATTTCGAAAAAAAACTATGGTTCCCCCGGGAAAATGTACGTTTCAACCAAAATGTTTTTAAAAAATTTTGTGATCTTGAAAAAACCAACCTCTCTAACATCGCTATAATCCATCAACATCGTATCAAATTCTCGAATAGCATTTCTCTCCTGTTCTCGAATATCCATCGTAACACGTTTTCTTTTAACTCGAACAGATTCACTCTTCCAAGATAGTTTAGGTATTCTATCAGCCAACAAGGTTATGACAGTATGCTCCTCCTCTTCTTCTACTTTTTCGTTAGGGCGCCCAAAAATGGAGAGAATGAGTCATGATTTATTTATTTATTGATCTATCTACTTTTTTTCAACTATGAGTACATACCTACTACTATCTATTTCCGGCGATGATGACACCAACGTTTTAAGCAAAAAACTAGTGCGAAATATTGATTCTTCTTCCTCCTCTTCTTCGTCTTCTTCAGGCAATGTTTCCACTCGCAAAACTTTTGTGTTGTCTTCGATTTTCGTTTCTTCTTCTTCTTTTTTTCCTTGTTCAACAAAAACTGTCGAAGGCAATGAATGAGGTGTTGTTAGACAGTTTGATGATGATGATGATTGTCTAACAATCTCCTCATTTTTCACACTATTTTCATCATCGTTCGTAATCGGCGGCAATCGACGGAATAGCCACGAGAATAAATGAGCGAAATAGGTGTAGATTTTGAGGAGAAAATATGAAATTGTGTAGGAATTTTGTTCAGTCTCCATAACTTTTTCTTCTATTTCTTCCTTCTTTTTTCTGCTCGATAACAGTTATGTGAATATGCTGATTTTATATCAAATATATATGGTCGGTCACATTCTTTTCTGGCCCGCCACTTCATACATTTACGATTTTCTTCGACAAACACATTAATATTATTCATTGGTTACACAATGTGCCTCAACAAACTGTTAGATATAAACTTTTTCATTCTTTTTTGTTGTATTTAGAAATTCTATATTGTCTGAAGCATCAAAAGACAAAAAAAAACAAATAAAACAAAAAAAGTTTGAATTGTTTTTAAAATTAGTTCTTGTGATATCATTTTCATTATCAAAACCAAATTAATCACTTTTTTTGAAACGCATATTTCCCGGGACACTCGAAACCATAGTTTTTTTGTAAAGCACTTTTCTTTACAAGTACATAGTGCGGTGTAAATTGTGTCACAAAAATTGAAGAACATCTCGGGAAAAAAGCCGCGAGTTGATGCGAGTTTTCATCCTATGATGCGGGTTCGCATCAGTTTGATGCGAGCTCCCGTCACTTTTTTGCAGTTTGATGCGAGCTCGCATCACTTCAAATGCATTGCAAAAAAGTGACGGGAGCTCGCATCAAACTGATGCGAACCCGCATCATAGGATGAAAACTCGCATCAACTCGCGGCTTTTTTCCCGAGATTACACTTTACAAATATTTTGTCACTCATAAGAGAGAAAAATTAACCAACCTGCAAAAAAGTTGGCGCATACCAGGAACCATTTGGTGGGGGCGATGTATTTGGACGAGATTTCTGACAAAGGAGACATTCATTCAGGAAGGAGAGACAAAACATGAGAACGTCTTGGACAAAAAATCAAGAAAAAAAACAAACCTCGTGGTTGATTCGATGAATATTTGGAAGATCCAATGATACTTCGATTCCATGATCAGCATACCATTTGGCTCCTTCTTCATTGATTACAAGCATTTCACAACGTTCTGGATTTTGCTTGATTCGTTCGACGACTTTTTTGTGAGTTTCGCCAATAATTGAATGACCGTTGACGGCGAAAATTCGATCGCCTTGGATCAATCCACCTCTAGAAAAATAACGAATATCTAAGGAAACTTAATTTGAAATGGGAAAATTTTGAGGGAAAATGTGAAGAAAGAATGTGACAGATGTAATGTCATTTGGAGTCATCGTCCAGTTTTTTGGTACGATTTTTTACCACAAAAAACTGAAATCATCTGGTGTTCACGAACTGTATGAAGTACTCACTTTTCTCGTTTTAAAAAGCGAATATAAAATGTCTAACTCAGAATTCCACATTGCAAAAATTGAGTTGAGAAAACTTCTTGAGAATATTTTCACAAAATAAAAATTTTCCAACTCAAAACAAGCAAACATGCTCTACCGCGCACCTAGAGAGTGTGTGACGTGTGGAGTGTGCAAGAGAAACACATCATTTTTTCGAAATCCCGAAATTTGTTTTTCTTGTTTTTCTTGTTTTTTCTTTTTACCCTTTTAAAAATTAGTTTTATTTCAACTCGAGTTCTGTTAGAAACACATGTTTCGCTTATTTTTCATTGAAATTTCGGTCGAGAACCGGTGGAAAGTTTGTAAAGGGATGAAAAATGATGTTTGAATCACTAATTTCGGAAAACCTTCATTTCCTGTCAAATACGAAAGTTTACGAAATCAATGCGGAACTTAAAAATACCGTTGTAAAGTACCCTAATTTTCTCAGAATAACTAACCTTTGAGCTGGTGAATCATTATCAACAAGTCCGACAAATTGTCCGCGTCCTTTTTCAGCATGCAAATTATATCCATATTCTTTTTCACCATCTCGTTTTTCCACCACACACAATCTTGGCGATGGTGCATCTGGTGGCAAGTTGTTTTGAGTCATTCTAAAAACAAATAAATAATTGAAACAGTGAAAACATTTTTGTTTGGCAAACAAAAACCAGCGGATTATAAAATTCAAATGGTCATAAAAACAGAAAACTATCATGTTTTTGTTTCAAACGAAAAATATCATGTTAGAGTTGTTGAACTGACTGAAAGACAGCTCTAACTGGGGAGCATAAAAAGTGAGAAAAACGGCAATATACAATATTTACACACATGCTCCCGAGGGCAAGAGCATGATTGTTACAAAACTATATGCTACCAACAAAATTCCGGTCGAAAGTAATTGACTGACTGCAAAAACTGCAAAAACGAAAGAACACCAGAATTTTTGGTCGCAAAAAGAAGAAAAATCGAGGCACTATCAGTTTTTTTCTGGGTGCTTGATAAAATATTCAAAATGAGAGAGAAGAAGAGGGTGAGAGATGCAGAGAAATGGTGACAAAACGTGAAAACGGAGGGACAGTTCAATGTGTTTTTGAATATTTCAAATTTTTTCGCCGGTTCAAAAATTTTCAAAATATTTACCAAAGTCCTTAGAAAGGTTATGACGTGGCACATTCTCATTTTCCGACGGACATTTCGATTACTCTAACAGTTTTCAAAAAGATAAGGAACTTTGGCATTTTTCATTCGAAAAAGGTTAAAGTATTTGAAAATTCTAATCAAAGAAACTTGGTACATTTTTGAAAAAAATTGAGATTTTCTGAAAAATTTTTTCGGTCATATTCGTAATTGATTGCAAATCCTGATTGTTCCAGTAAGCTAGAATCGTGGATAAAAAGGTAGCATTTGACTTCACGAACCACGATTCTAGTTTTCTGGAACAATAAGGGTTGCAATCGCATAGGAAAATTATCAAAAAAAAATAGTGTTTCGGAAAAAACCCAATTCATCCGGGGCAAAGTTGCCGTTTTAATCAGAATTTTTGAGTACTCTAAACTTTCTCAAAAGAAGAATTTTTTCAAAATTGTTAGAGTAATGGAAATTTCAAAATTTAGCTAGAGTCCTAGAAATGCCCAAAACTAACCAAATATTCCGGAAAAATAAAAAACAAGAAATGAACCTCCAAGAAAAAAACAGCGGAAAAAATTCCGACGTCAAAAAAAATTTGTTTGTTCCCCCACCAACAATTTTTTGTTTGAGCAAATATTTATTGTTTTACAACAACCTGCGAACAATGCCCTCGACAAAAATCATCGTTTTCTTATATATTTTTTGGTTTCGAAAAAAAGAAAAAAGAACTTCGAGAAAGAGATAATATACATAAATATGAATAAGTAGTACATCTATGTAAATATCGGAGACAACAGCAAAAAACACAGGAAATTGGAGAAAGTCAGTCAAACACAAAAAAAGGTGAAAGTTATGAAAAGTTATTCGGCGGAAGAAGAAGAAAGAAATTAGGAAAAGGAAACCGCACAAAAAACATATACGCAACAAATTTTCAGGTATTTTCTATTTCTATTCAAATTGAATTGAATTGTGTAATAAATTCGATCGAAAGTGTGAAAAAAAGGCAAAGTGCAAAACTGTTTTGACAAACAATAATAATAATATGTTATGACGCATAAAAATCATCGTTTTCCCGCCGTAAACACATACAATCATAAAAACATTAATTCGACCATTTTTGGTGCAAGTGGAAAGCATTTCTTCAAGATCGGACCAGAGTTCTAATATTTTTGTCTTAGGTGGGCTGTTTTTAATTTTGGAACGGAAATTCTGAATTCATTGATTGATGGTTATAGACTAAACCTAACGATTTGACGTGATTTTCCGAAATCTAAGTTTTTTCTAGATAAACCCAGGGTTTTTCTCTGTTTCATCAAAAAAGTGAGATAATTTTTATTAGAAAGTGCTACAATAATTAATTTGTGCATTGAGGTGAAAAGGATCCAGTTTGGATAGATTACATCATAATTTCGTTTCGGAAAACGAACAAAAAAGACAGAAAATGCCAACCAGGGCGATAAGAATAAGAGTTATTTAGTTATCAATGGCAAAAACGACACCGAAAACTGTTTAAATGACAAGCCGCAAAAGTGAAACTTGCTGGCTGCTATTAGGATTAGATGATAATAATAAAACTATGTTATTATTATATAATCATTATAATATCAAATGTTATTCAATAGGAAATTTGTTGAATGAAAAGTTGGAAATGGACATGGAATTGGAATTTATAATGAGGTGGAAAAAGAGAAACGTTTTGTATATATTTACATTATCATTTCGAAATTTGATATTAGTCAGAGGCATATAGAAAAAAAGTAGAGTTACTCGATGAAAAAAAAAGAAAATTTGAAGGTTATAGCTGTTAAACATCTGTATTAGTTAGTAGTACATCACACAACAAAAACTAATAGCACTAGTGTATGCAAAAAAGTTGTATGTAAAAATGTTATCAATCTGTCCATTTCTTCTTTTTTTATCATCAATCATTCGAAAAACTACAATCAAAAAAGAGAAAAGCTTTTGGCGGCTTTTTCAAAAATGAAAACAGAAACAGTTTCGTTTTACAGAAGACGAAGAACACAACATTAACAAAAACATATGAAAAATATTTGATTGTTGCTGTCACAAAAAATAATATATCAATAGGAAAAATGAGAGAGTGTGAAAAAAGTGTGAGAGAAAATGTGATGGCTAGAGAAATTTTGAAAAATGGAATCGAGTAGATCAAATAAAATTTGAAAAAAATTGAGTTTCATATTGGTAGTCTGGAAGGAGAAAAGGAAGAAAAAACAATAATTGTGTGAAAGATATTGAAAGAGTTTTGTAAATGTAAATAAAAGTAGGCTGGTTTGAAGTAGCCGCTCTTGAAAATCATTTTTTATTTTCTTGAGACGATGCAAAAAAGTTGAATTATGACTTTCATCACAACAAATAAGGTCAAGTATCTATTAACGTTTATTGGTTTTGTTTAAATTAAACAAAACAAAAGGGAGAAATCGCAAAAAAAAGATTTCAAACAGCCTCCAAAATGAAACGAAACTCCGCTATGCATGTTGTTTAGTGTGGTGTATTTCTCTCGGACAATTTTCGAAACATTTTTATTTTTTCGCGTCTTTTTGTGTTCTTCTCCCTAAAACGAAGTATTTCTTAGCTTCGAATGACTTGCTCAACCAATTATTCGATAAATATTTCCAGATAGACCAAAATGGATGGTAGTGCAACTCCTGGAGCCGGCGCAACTGCCACAAAAGCCAATGGTATGATTTATATTTGCGCAGAATGTCACGCTGAAAACGAAATCAAACCAAAAGACGCGATTCGTTGTCGAGAATGCGGATATAGAATTTTGTACAAAAAACGTTGCAGAAAATGTGAGTAATTTGATTTTTTTGAAATGAAATTTATCAAAGTTCACGTATGCAATTTCATCCGTGAACTTTGATAAAAACGAATTTTGGCAGTCATTTCTAGGGTAAAAACGATCAGAAATGTGAAATTCTATTCTCAAATAATGTTTTTTTCAGTGATGGTCTATGATGCTCGATAAATCAATCAAAACTCCAAGCTTCGAAGCTGTAACAGTTTGTTGAATTTTGTGTGCGTTTTTATCATTTTTATCGATGAACTTTTTGATTTTTATCTCTGAAACTGAATTATTTCATTTATTTGTTGCATTCAAATAATATATGGGAAAATTAGTGTTCGAAAATGTCTCCTTCCCCTCGTTTCCCAGGTATGTTTCTTCCCGTCTCCTTGGCAACCATCCAAACAACAATCGAATATTTGTGTGTCTTCTGGTTTTTGAATTGAATGCGGCCAAATCTACTTTGGGTGGATAAAATCAACAATGATTCAAGCAGTGAAAACGGGTAAGTCTTCCATATTTTATACCTTCCCCGTCCTCTCAAAAATAAACTTCCAACTAAAAACTGCAAAAAATTTCATCATAGAAAAAAGTGTCAAAATAAAAATACACGAAAGTCCTTTTCAAAATAAAAAAGCGTCAACCAGTTAGCTCAAAGATCTTGAATTGAATTATAGTTATTTACTTTCCGAATCGGAGGAAGTTTGGTTTTCTCGATTCTCGGTCGAAGTTTTCGAATGATCTTCCGAATCGAAGAAAGTTTGGATCGGCTGATCGTTTTCCGAATCTCAAGAAATTCGGGTCAGCTGCAGCTTTTCCGAAGCGCAAGAAATTTGGATCACTTCGACCTGAAATATATCTTGATATTTTGATTGTTTTCAAATATTTATGTACTGTAGAACTTCAAAGGTGAAACTTTGAAAGCGGCGGCAACACTTTGAACAGACTCACCAAATCGCAAAAAATTCGGATCACCACCGGCAGCTTTACCGAATCGCAAGAAGTTTGGTTGCGAACGTCCGAATCGCAAGAAATTTGGATCGGCCGATCTTCCATATCGCATAAAGTTTGGCTTTCTTTTTTCCATTTTTTGCAGTGCTACATCGGCATCACCGTCGCAGTTTTCGCCTGCAAATTTTTTCTTGAAATCTAAAATCTGAAACTTCTTTCTTACCGATGTAGTTAACAACTTCATTTTGCTCAGTTGGTGATAACATCACAAATACTGTGCAGAAGTCTGATTGTGTTCCAGGAGCGCAACATCCGGCCGAAACCTTAAAATTTGAAATTAGAAAATTTTGAAAAATTAAATTAATACGTGGTTTCCTTCATCACGTGGCTGCCGTGGCATAGAAAATATTTTCATTTTTAAATATTTTCAACTAAAAAAAAGAACTAACCGTTGCAACAACTGCGAGGAGTAACCCCACTTGGTAGAGTAGAGTCATGATAAAGTGAAGATTTTTTGCGAGAAAATCGAGGATTTAAAGAAAAACGGCGAAGAAGGGCACCGCCCATTACAGTATGTTTTTGTTAATTATTTAATAATAATAGCAATACTAATCTAATCTAATTATGAAAAAATGTAGCAACATTTCATCCAGATGAGCTCTTTTTGACGACATTTTTGGATAGATATTTAGTTTTGTTAGAAGAAAAACGATAGAGAGGGGGGATGTGTTTTGCGAGGGTGGATAACATTTTACACCCACTCTATGAAATGGTCTGAAAACACATATTTTCAGCAGACAAGAAATAATAAGATTAAAGCCTTTTAGGCTTTTAGAAAAAAAAATCGTAGAAGCTAGTAGTTCCTAACAAACCAACAGGATTTTACGTGATTAATTATTCAACAAACATCTCTATTTAGTTCTAATCAATTTTTTTCAATTTCAGGTGCTGTATTTATGACTTGGCTGTAAAACCAGATGGATCTGAGTTCATTGTAGCCGCACATATTTATGTTTATCTTTTTGATGGAACTGATGGTCGACAATTAAAAATTTTAGATGGACATAAAGATTTGGTTTATGCGGTTGCTTGGTCAGTTGATGGAGAAACTTTTGCATCGGGAAGTGCGGATAAAAGTGTGATTTTGTATAATGAACATCATGAAGCACAGTTGAAGTTTACGTAAGTTTTTGTAATCCAAGTTTTGAGAAATAATTAAAATCATGAAAGTTTCAGAAAAAGAGGTTTCGAATTTTTTGTTGAAACTAAAGTTTTGAGTTTGAAATTAATTTTCCAGACACAATGATGCGATACAATGTCTAGCATACTGTCCAACTCAACAAATTCTTCTAACTTGCGCAGTCGGAGATCTTGGTTTATGGTCAACTGCTGATAAAAATGTAGTGAAACAGCGAGTCGAATCTCGATGTTGTAGTTGTGCTTGGACAAATGATGGAAATCTTTTTGCAATAGGTCATGCGGATGGAAGTGTTACTATTAGAAGATGTGCAAATGTGGTAAGTGAATAAACACTTCCTCATTTACTACATTTTTATTTAATAATTAAATTAACAGACAGATGAACCGGTTGTGAAAATCGATCGAGGAAATGAGCCCATCTGGTCACTGGCTTTCAGTTATCAAAGAAATTCAAAAGCTGAAACAGGTGCACCAGGAGGAGATCATGTATTATTAACTGAAGTATTAGCAATCACTGATATGAATCATCGATTAGCATTTTATCAATTGAATGGAGCAAAAGTTTTGGAAAAAGAAATCAATTTGGGATTTGAACCGTATTGCACACAATATTTGAATAATGGACAATTTTTATTGATTGGAGGATCGAATAAAACATTGACAATGTTTACAAGATTTGGTGTTGCTTTGGGAATTGTTGCACAAATGGATACATGGATTTGGACTGTTACGATAAATCCAAATAATAATTCAGTGATTATTGGATGTGTTGATGGAACTATTGCTTGTTATAGTTTAGTTTTTACAACGGTTCATGCACTTTCTGACAATCGATATGTTCATAGGTTGGTTGAGGGGTTTATTGGAAAATTTTGGATGATTGATCTTCAGAAACAATAAATCTGCTGTAATAAATTCAATATATTTAAAAACTAACTGTAGTAATTCATTGAAAATTTTTAAATTGAACCCAGTTTTTTCGCACTTCGATTACTGTAGATCATTTTTTCAACTTCATAACCTAATTTATTTCCGATCTCTAAAAAACATGATTTTTTGCAGAGATGGTATGACAGATGTTGTAATCCGTGATCTTTCAAATCATACAGCAACACGAATTTATTGTCATGATCATGTTCGAAAAGTATCAGTTTATCTCAACAAACTTGCTGTTCAATTATCCGATCGTCTTGTTATTTATAAACAAGTTTCAAAAGATGGCGAAAAAATGGAATATAAAATCGATGGAAAAATTCAGAAATCATTCGATTGTTCACTTCTTGTTGTAACTGCTCTGCATATAATTGTTTGTCGAGATGAAGAACTTGTTTGTTATGATCATAAAGGATTGAAACAACGAGAATGGTTATTGGAATCTGGTGTTCGATATATGAAAGTTATTGGAGGTCCGCCAGGAAGAGAAACTTTTGTAGTTGGATCATATAATGGAAATGTTCATAAAGTTTTTGTTGACAATCCATTTGCTGTGTTATTAGTCAAATTAAATTCAGCAATTCGATGTGTTGATGTCAATTGTGATCAGTAAGTTTTTATATGACAAGGGATTTCATTCGGGAATTTGAATTTCAAAAAATACGGGGCCACGGGTTTTTTTTTTACAAAACTTGTTGCATTTGATAGAATTTGAAAAAAATGTGAATCAAACTTGTTCCAAAATAAATTCCCAGGTCTGATTTTTTCAATAATTTGTTTTGCAGCACTTTGGTTGGTGTTGTTGATGAGAACTCATTATGCTCCCTTTTCGACATAAAAACAAAAGAATGTATTTTGCAAGAACCTCATTGTAATGCAATTTGTTTCAATAGCAATAATCCTGAGATTCTATGTTATACAACACATAATTCACTTACTGTTCGATCTTTAACATATGCTGGACATTCTCAAAAAATGCAAGGTTTTGTGATTGGATTTGTTGGAAACAAAGTATTTTGCCTTCATTTGTATGTAACACATGCTTATGATGTTCCATTTACTGCTCAACTTTATCAATATGTTAATGATAAACACTTTGAGTAAGTTAGACTAAATACTTTTTTGGTAATTTTTTCAAGAATCCAAAATGAATTCTGATCGTCCAAATCCACTTCTATGTACTTCTTACAGAGCTGCATACCGTGTTGCTTGCCTCGGAGTCGTCGAAGAAGATTGGCATTTTTTGGGAATGGAAGCAATCAAAAATGGAAATGTTGACATAGCTTCAAAAGCATTTTCGCGAACAAAAGATATGCGATGTCTTCAAATGATAAGCGATATTCGAGAAATGTTGAGAAATGATGAACCTGAAACATTGATTCAAGCTTATATTTTAGCTTATGATTCGAAATTTCGAGAAGCTGCTCAAGTTTTTCGAGAAAATGGATTTGAAAATAAAGCGATGGAATTATTTACTGATTTGAGAATGTTTGATGAAGCACAAGAAGTTATGACAACTTCTTCTGGAGAAACACAAAAAATGTTAATGAGGAAACGAGCGATTTGGGCAAAAGATTCGAATCAACCGAAAGTTGCAGCTGAAATGTTGATAAGTTCAGGAGATTTGGATAAAGCGACACAATTGATAATTGATAATGATTGGATGGATTTGGCAATTGATATATCAAGAAAAATTGATAGAGGAGATTTGGAAACTATTAAAAAGTTAGCTGGATATTTTGTTAGAAAACATGAATATGGATTAGCATCGAAAATATTTGGAAGTATAAATGATACAAAATCAATTGTTGAAATGCATGTAAATGCTGGACATTGGCAAGATGCATTTGCAATTGCTGATAGACATCCAAAATATGTTGAAGATGTTTATTTGCCATATGCTAGACATTTAGCAGAAAGAGATCAATTTGAAGAAGCACAAAAAGCATTTCATAAAGCTGGAAAAGATCAAGAAGCGCTGAGTGTTTTGGAACAATTAACAACAAATGCTGTGAATGAGACACGATTCGCTGATGCTGGACATTATTATTGGCAATTGAGTCAGCAATATTTGGATAGATCTCAAAGTCATGATGATGAATCGCTTATTCCAAAATATCAACAAGCTGCTAAACTTGCTGATGTTTATTATGCTTATGATGCTGTTTTCATTTTTTGTGTGAGTTTTGAAACAATTCGAAACAGTTAATTTTATCCAGGGAAGGCATACTTTATTTTTAATTTTCGTAATATTTTATGCAACGAATTTCATCAGATTATTGATAGATACAACACGTTTTGTTTCCGTTTTAGTTTTTAAGATTTACAGTAATTTGTCAATTTCAGAATTGACGTAGAATTCTACAGTTAAAACGTTTTTCAGAAAAATTATTTTAAAAACTCCAAAACCTTTAAATCTGAAATAACATTTCCTTTTTTCGTGAATACTTGAAAATTCACAATTCCAAAGTTTTGTGGTCTGAAATCGAAATTTCGAAAAGCTTTTTTTTCCAGAACCAACCGTTTTCCTACGAACGCCCTGAAAATATTCTGAATATGGCTAGATATTTGGCTTTTCAACCATTTATTGATAACGTCTCTCGAGTTTTTATTTATTATACGATTGCTAAAATTGGAAGTGAAGAAGGTGCATATAAATCAGCAAGACAGGCTTTGGAACAATTAACACATCTACGAATTCCTCACTTTTTCGAATCTCAAATTGATGTTATGACTTTGAATATTCGAGCAAAACCATTCTCAGATACTGAATTAATGCAACCAATGTGTTATAGGTAGGCATGAAGTTATCCTAACTTTAAAAAATATTCATTTTTAGATGTGGCCTAAATAATCCATTCCTTGGTGGTCTTTCCTGTATTCATTGTCAAACTCCATTTATCATTTCATTCGTTACTTTTGATGTTCTTCCATTAGTTGAATTTCAAATTGATCCCGAAATTTCACACGATGAAGCTGTTGAGCTTATCCAATCGGAACCTCCCTTGGTCGACGTCGAATTCAATCCAATACGATCGCAGAAAAAAGGAGCAGTTATATTAAATCGTGAAGCTCTTGAGAAATTGGAACAGGGCCAAGTTGTGATTCAAAATTTTGCACCGCCCCTTGCTCCAAGATATTTGTTCAATACATATCCGACTATCACAATCTCTCAATGCACGACTTGTTGCAAACTTTTCGATTTGGATGATTTTGAAATGGCTATTTTGCAAAAAGGACATTGCCCATTTTGTAGAACATCACAACAAAGAAATGATGCAATGTTTTTCGATGAAGATGATGATTTAGATGAAAATGGAACGAATAAAATACCAAGTTTCAGTCAGTTTGCATAAATTATTTATTTATTTATTATTTCATTGAAACAATCCTTTCAAAAAAGCAAATTCAATAATGACATATCAATTTGCGGTGGTTGCGGAAGAAACAAAGGATACGGTAACATTGGAGAAGGTTGAAAAAGTGGGGTAAATGTTGGACGTTTTATGATTGGTGCTGGAATTAGGAGAGGTATTTCAGGTAGACGTTTTCGTTTTCGACCAACTGTATCCGGACGAGCCCAAGTTACCGAAATGCGATTGTTTTTCTGAAATTTATTACTTTTTATTTTAAAAAATCATGTGTTGGAAATCACATCGCTGATAATTTTACAGTTTAGTTCTCAAAGTTATTCAAAACCCTAAATTTGATTTTACATTGGGAAAATTGAGAAAAAATCGGTTATAAAAATAATTGTATTTTAAAAATTGCTGGATTGTAATTTTCGGCCCTGGTATGTCCTATAGGAAAAAATACAACACAAAAAATGAGATATTTAAAGAAATATTGATCTACCAGAAAATTAGTAAATAACACACTGTGTTTTCATAAAATATTCTAAAAAAGGATAACCTATGTCCCTTTTTTCTTACCAAAACCATTCCATCCATTTGCTCGATTTTTTTCCTCGCATTTTCCCGTGTATCGAATAAAACAAAACCGTAACCATCTGCCACGTGGCATTGAACAACACCTTCCGAAGCACCACCAAATGCATCCAAAAGTTCTGCATCAGTCATATCTTTTGAAATTCCACGCACAAAAACATTTGAGATCTTGAAAAATTATAGTTTTGTGAAACAAACTCATTTTCAAAGTAAATTTACATTGCTCATGATAGTTTCTGGTGGTTTCGGTTCACGTTTGGCGAAATTGACTTTGATGAAAACTGTCGAGAATTTGTTGAGAAGAAGAATAGCTTCTGATTCATTCTGACATTGAACAAAAGCGAATCCACGATGCCTTTTCTGGCCATTTTCCACAATTTCGATAGAAACTTGAAATGGTTGAGCAGCTTGACATATGGTTTGCTGAAAAAATGAGAGAATTAAGAAAGAGAATGTTGAAAAATTCATGTAGGAAATTATTTAAAATAATAAACTCAATTGACTTCTCAAAATCCACGGATCTTAATTTTTTTTAATTTTGGGCTTGTTTTCTAGTTCAAAGAAGTTATTCAAAATTAAAAGCCACGTGGAGTTTTAGCCTGAAAAAATCATATTTCTCAATTTGAGCTTTGGTTTGTTTCAAAAAAAGATTTGTTTCAAAAATTGTGTCAGCTCTAAAAAAAAGTGTGGGAAAATATTCAAGGTTTCAAAAATAATTTCAAGGAATTTTTGAAAACATATTGATGATAAATTAAATTATGTGCTTGAAAAATACAATAAAAATTACAGTACCCTTGTTTTTTACACCTTTAGTTATAGAAAAGTTTAGAATTACTGCAGTAGGAACCAATTTCATTACAGTAACCAGTGGTTTCTATAGATCACAAAAAATTAAAGTGTTGACAATTTACTTTAAAATTTTGAATCATTTTTTATTAAAAAGTTCCTGTTTCACTATTTTATCCAAAAAATGTTTCCCTCTAAACTTACTCTAATTTGTTGGCTGCAAATCGATGATGAAAATCCGCCAACATATAATCGATCAGAAAAATTGGACATCATCAATTCATCCACCATTTTCTTCTTCTTTCAGCTTCTTCTTCTAGTATTCAAAAATGTTCCTCAAAAATGATCGCGTGACAACCAACCGAAGCCAAATTCTACCTTTTTGAATATTAGATCATCCTCCTGAAGAAGAAGAAAAATATATATGAAGAAAATATTTATTCGAAGGAAATATTATATAGGAAAATTATTTTTTATTGGGGGCTCTAATGTTTTTTCTAATGTGAATGTTACCAAGGTTTCTCCCTCCTTTTTGTACTTTTTCTTTTCCGATCTTTAGATAATTGTGAGAAAAAGCAAGTTCTACTGAATCATCTGAATGTGAGCTGGAGAAAAAAGAGCCAAAGCGGAAAATATGATACACACTCACAGAAAAAATGTTCAACCCCAAAAAACATATGAATATGCATGCTCGGGCCTTCTGCCTCCCGAAAAAATCACCTGTTTTGGAATTGGAAAATATTATGAAGATGGAAGAAAAAACGAAACCGAGAGAGAAAGAGAGACAGGCAAAATGAGAACCTCTTTCTTTTGTTCGACACCACAAAAAATGCCCCGTTTTTGGAGTGAACAAAATAATTACGGAATGGGTGGGACGAAAAAATAAATAAACAATGAATTTTCGAAAAACGACCAGATTTTTGTTTTTTTTTCAAAAAAAAACGAGAATAAACGAGGTATTTTGGAGTTTTTTCTAACACAAAACTGAAAAAAAATAGGAATAAGATCCTGAGTTTGGAATCTGGAAAATAGAATTACTTGAGATTCCGATCAAAAAACAGAAATTTGTGATTCAGAAGATTACTGTAGAAATCTGGACTCTTTCTGATATTTGAAAAATAGTCGCAAGACATTTCCAAAATATGTTTTGAGTCTGAATTCCAAAAAAAAAACCCATCTGAAACTTCTTGCAAAATCTAAATCTTATCAAGTTTTCATGTTTACAAAGAGCCCAAACTTCTCAACTTACTTTTCAAAATCTCGATTCTTCATCGCTCCTTCCATAATATCGATTCCTCGCTTCTTGTCTCAAATTCATCATTTTTGCCTCTTCAAAAGCAATCGATGTTTGACCAAACCATATTTCTCTAGTCATATAAATTACAGTAACCAGCCATAAAACTAAAAGACTCCAACCAAGGCGACAAATTTGAATTTCTCGCTCTTCGACAGTTACACCAACTAAACTATTCATTGAATCGAGAATTATTTTCTAAAGAAAATAAAAAATACAATTTACAAATAAGTAAGTAAATAAATTGAATATGAAATGAAATTGAATACGAATTTCCTTCCTTCCGGCCGACAAAAAAAGAGGACAGGAAGCTGTCAGAAGACGAACATACAAGAAAAAAAGAAAATGAAAAAAAATAGGAAAAGCTGGAAAAGGCCTGAAAATATTCTCGAGAACACTTCAAAAAAGTTCTTCGTATGGGAAAGGGAAAATGTGATTTTGAGAGGTGAACAAAAATAAGTGGATAAAAATAAATAAAAATCGAGATAAGAACCAGATGCTTTTGAGATGAATTTATGGCGCTTTTTTGTAGATTTTTCAGTGATTGAGAAAAGGGAAAAATAGAGAAAGAGGAAAATTTGGGATGGAATCAGAAATTTTTTTTTTGAGATCAGGCTGAACTTTCAAAAAACCTCTGAACCTGAAGTTCTGACTTCATAATGTGAAAAAAAATATTGAAGACACCGAAAAAACTCTTTAAACTTCAAAACCTTTTTTGAAATTTGATACCTGGTTCTGATTTTCTGATCTCAACAGTTGCCACAGCTTATTTTCTTATTTTGAGCGAATTCTTTCAAAAATTCCACAAAAATCCATTTTATATACAACTACAAAAAATCGAGACATCTATGAAAATACATATTTATTTTTCATGTATTGTTGTTTTTTTTTCGTGTTTAACTCGATTTATGAGAGAAGAAGAAGAAGAAGAAAAATGTGCACAGCAAAAAAACGACGAGCAAAAAATTGATGCGCACACATAAATTCTGGCATATTTTTCAGCTTTTCCCCAATTTTGTTTTATTTGACAAGAAGACGAGAAGAAGAAGAAGAAGAAGGACTGAAGGACGTCAAATTCAGGCGGATAAATATCTTTTCAGTTTTGAGAAAAATATAAAACTTTGTGGTGGTTTTTGAAAATTCCCAAGTGATTTAGGAGAGGTGTTTTCCCTAAAAAAAAAGATCAAAAAGCAAATATTTTTTGAAAAGTCCCAGAATGCTGAAAAACAACAAAATAAGAAGAAAATGAGCCAAAAAAGTTGGGAATAAAACGATGCATTGTTAAACATTGTTCCGTTTTTCTTCCGTTTTCTATTTTTGGTCAAAGTTTGAGTTTTAAAATTGTTCATAAAATTATGAGAGAGTTTTGCAAAACTTTTACAAAACATCATCCGTAACCATGGAAGTTTCTTTATTTTGAGAAAAATTTTAAAAATCATCTCTTGAGCTTTATCGTTTCTTGAAAACAGAAAAAAACATCTAATTGACATCAATGAAATCACTTTTTTGTTGAGGAGCTGGAGTTGTTGGAATAACCACATTCGAATTTTCATCACGATCAAACTTGTTGGCCTGAAAATTCGATTCAGGTCAGATTTTTTATTTTCAGGAAATTTTATTCAAACACACATTCTTACGTGTTGGCGCAGTTGGAAGATTGATTGAACCTTCTTCTTTTGGAGCTGATGGAACAACTTTATGCACAACAGTTTCGCCAGCTTTGAATTCGGTGCCGCTGGAAAATTTTCAAAGAATTTTCAAACAAAAAAGAATTTTTTGAGAAAAAAAATAAGAAACCCCGCGTTTTTTTTTAAATACATTTTCCTCATTTTCCATTTCAGAAATATAAAAATCAGTAAAATGAAACCCAACTTACTCTCCTTTCCATTCATTGCATTCATCGAATTGACAACAACAGAAAGATTCATCTTTGTTCACATAATGACAGCCAGACATCTGAAAATCCCTATTTAACTATTTTGAATTTCTATTTTATCGCTTACTGGACATTTTTCTTCCATGCTGTGCTCATCGCTCCACGAACTGCATTCTCGTCTGAAAGTTTTCAGAAGTTTCGGGACTACAAATAAATATCAAAAAAGTTTTTCGCGAGAAATCTCCAAATTCGACGTCACAAAAATGATCAAATATGTCCCACTTATGCTTATACAAACAATCGGAGAAATCATTTAGGCACACAGAAGCCACGATATTTCCATATTTCATTTTTATTTTTGAATTGTATTTTCATTTTCATTTTCTTACCGCATTTCACCGCTTTTCTTGTTGATTCTCTGAACACAATAATTCGAAATTCCACCACATTCTTTTTTATGTGTTTGAGTATTATTTGTCAATCCAGCAATACTTCCTTCATAACAACGAAGTGAATAAATTGTTGAAATAAAAGAACAAATAACGAGAAAAGTAAAGGTTTTCATGATTTCTTGAATGAAAAAATGGAAAGAAATTGTTACACTGGTTGAAATCGGGTGATTTATTGTTTGTTTTTTCTTGACAAGTGTTGTTTTTTAAATGGTTGGAAATTTTTGGAAGAAAACAGGGAACAACGAAAAAATAAAGAAATAAAATCGAATTTGAAAATACGAATTTCGCGGGTGCACGTGTTTGCGGACTAACATTTTATCTGACGCGCATTTTTTTTAATTTTCGCGAACACACCCGCTCAAGCAACACAAAAATCAGCAAAACGCTGTAAAAACGGTGCACCCTGTAGCTCAAAACCTAGATAAGCTTTATGAAAAACTAAATATAGCATGAAAATCAGCGCATCGAGTTCTACCTGACTTGCTACTTTTCTTATTTTTTGAGGTCCTGCGAAGAAAGTTAGCAATCGCGACAAGACCCAACGCATGAAATGTATCATGTTCCTTTAATACTGTAGTGCGAAATATAACGGTGAACAGAGAGAATTAGGCAAAAGTGTTTGCACAGTTTTTTTCCATCGCAGATTTTTCGTTTTACAGTAGAAAACACTCATTGCGTGGCTTGAACGGGTGTGCGAAAAATCCAAAAATTTGGTCAATTTTTGATGCACGTTTGTTTTTTTCGAAGTTTCCATTTCAAATTTAGCTATGCCACGTAGGTTTTCTAAAATGCTGTGTTTTTAGATTGAAATTTAAGATTTTTAAGGATGATAAGAAATGCTGACATGAAAATACTTTTTTCAAATATTCTTTAAAGTATTAGTTTTTCCCCAAAGATCTGTGAAAAACTTAGAGACAAATGTTTCTGAAAATAACGACTGACGATCTTCATAGATAAATCTGATAATAATCTTTCCTCAAATATCATATCACTAGATAAAATCTTATCGGACCATTGACCCCTTCTTTTATTGTTTACACAATTTGTCTTCATTAATAAACTAATATTAGTACTTATATTTTCATACACCCTACTTACACCAATTGGAGAGAGCAAATGCGCTCTACAGCTAACGCGCTCATAAATAACTCTTTCAAACGCCCTAAAGAATACATACATCTGTTTTTCCTTTTACTTTCTTTCGTTCTCTTGTTTACGCCTGTTGAATAAAACAGTTTCGAATTCGAATTTTTGAGAAGAGAATGTCTACGAATACACCGAAGCGAAATAATCGTCGAGCAACAATTTTTGTCACTGGACCACATTCAAAACGAACAATTTATGAAGAAGATGAAGAACAAGAGAAGATGGTCAGTTTACAAGATGTGAGTCCTATTTTTTTAATTACACAGTATATCAAAAGGTAAAAAACAAATTTCAGATTGAATTAGCAAGGCAGCGGCTTCAAAAAGATATGGTTGTTATGAATACGGCGAATAGTATCGAAATATTGGTTCAAATTGTAATGGATGAATGTGAAATTATTCGTCATAATTTAAGAGAATCTGGAATTAAAATGCGCACATTTTTCCGAAAAAATTATGATTTATTTCATCAGTGGATTTTCAAATTTTTCGTGAAGAATCGGAGATTATTGGAATATAAAAGGGATGAGGAGATGATTCTGAATACATTGGAGAAAAGTTCAGTAGAGCGATATTCTTGGAAACCTCCCAGATATACTTTAAATGATGTTGAAGAAGTTATGACAACTGATGATTTAGAAGATGGTATTTAAATTCGTTTTTTTTGTTTGGATTTCTAAATAATCATTTTTCAGGAATTATTCAACGCCGAACACCAAAATGGGAAAGTCTTCCAGTTCGAGTTAGAAATGAGCCAATCGAAGATGATAGTTTTTGCGAGTTCCGAAAACTCAATCAACCAATGAATATGATACTTGAAGATGAAGATGAGGATAGATTGAGTATGCCAAGTACAAGAACAGTTCAAACACAAGAAGATCAAATGCAAGCAATTCAAATGCAACTCGCAATGCTTTCCAAACAATTAATGACTCTTCAAAAAACGAATGCAGTTAGTCATGTTAGTTCAAGAGCAAGTTCGAGAAAAGGAACAAGAAGGATTGAGAAAAAATCATCGATTGATATTACATCTTCTCCATCTTCATCATCCTCGTCAGTTTCTTCGGATATTTCAGAAGATGAAGGAAAAGGACCATCATTATATAGTCCAACAACAGCCAAAAAAGTTGAAACACTTCCACCAATTGTTGTTGCACCGATTGCTCCTCCACCACCTCCGCCACCAACAACTACGATTTTAAGATTTGGTGCACCATCAAAAGCTGAAATTACACCGATTACACCGAATAAAAAGTCTCCGATGAAGGAAAATGTGGATAATAATAGTGATAGACCATATTTGATGCAAATTGCGAATGGAAGAAGTTTGTTGAAGAAAACTGCGAGGTGAGGGAATTGAAAAAAAAAATATATGAATAAGGAAAATCGAAAATGACTGATAAAAAACTTAGAATAAAAAAATAATGGCTAGGTCACGTGCTATGTTTTCCCAATCATGTTCATTTTTATTTTTCATTTTCAGATCTCCCGGCGGTTCTCCACTCAACGCAATTCATCAATCTCGTCGTCATCTTTCAACATTCGAGGCTGCTCTTCGTGACAGATTCCGCGGTTTTCACGGCGAAGGTTCATTTTCAGAACAAGAAGATGATGCAAATGCCACGTGGGATGAAGAATAACTCTCATCCCAGACCAAAAACAACAACAACAACCATTGTAAGTAGATATTTATGTATTCTCACTCAAACGTGTTTTCTCGAAGTAGATTTGATTTGATTTGAAAATGATGATGATTTTTTTCTTTTATACTTTTTTCTTCTAAATATGATGATCATAATGTATTTTGATTCCTTATGTTCATTTCTGGGTTTACGCAATTTGTTTTTTGTATGTGTGTTTGTGTAACTGAAGATTTGTTTTGTTTTATTTCTCGAAAAAGTTCATTCAATTTTGAGTCGGGTTTCCGAATTTACTTTCATGTGCTGAAGATTTGGCAGGAGTTAGAACTGGATTGTGAACATATGATTCACATGGATAACACCAGGCACTGAGATCGGCTAAGGAAAGAGCCATTGGATGATTTGTTGTTTCGTAATGGCGAATCGCGTGTTCGTTGACAAATCGACCGCAGTGGGACTGAAAAAATGGGTTTACTGGAAACTTCTTTTTTTCATCCGTTTTTATGAAAGCAGTCGAAAATTTGAAAATTATTTTCTAAATTTTAGAGTGCATTTTATTTTCCTAATCACTAAAAAAAACTGATTTACTTACTTGATAACACGTCAAACATGTCCAAACTTCTGCCTGAATATTACATTCATTACAAGTTTTGAAAGCATCAACTCCAGTTTCGGGAATTTCGGCGACTTGCGTCAAATGAGGACAATCCCGCAGTGGAATTACAGTATGACCAGCAAATTCATCCGGGGTTACTGTAATTGAATGAATTATGTCATTTGCATACTTATTTTATATTCAAACTTACAAGGCCGATCAGTCATCAAATCACAGTGAACCTGAAATTTTAGAAAATTTTCAAGATGTAAATATTTTTGAATTACAAATATAAAGAGGGACGCGGACCCAAACAAGACTTTTAAATTTTGTTTTAACTATTCAAAAATTGTATTATCAAATAAAAATACAAATTCACATATAACAAACAAGTATGCACATAAAAATAATTTCAAAAAAAAAATCTATGAAATTCCCAATTTTTCCATTTCTTTTTCGAGTTCTGACATAAATCGAGGCGATCTTCTCGGTGTATTTCTATCGGTTTTCGGAGTCTTTTTAGGTTTATTCGATGACGTGGCACTTTTACGAGCAGTTGATACTTTTCCAGTTTTTGTGACGATTTGAGAATTTGTCACAGCACCAAGGATTTTCTTTAGAAATAAAGATGAACACATAGACATTTTTGAATCAAGTAGAGCTTTTTTTAAATCAAATCTCAATTAGAAATTGAGGCGGTAAACATTGATCAGAAACATTTTCAAAAATTAAATTGAAACCGGGATACATGAGCACTCATCCAGAGCTTTTTTTCCGAATTTCCAAATTCTGGAGCTTGTAACTCAACTCACAAATTCAATTTCAATCCTACATATATCATGTTCTTTTTGAAAATAATTTCAACAAATTTTTTTCGATTTACCTGAAAACCATTCAAAATTGGCCAATATTTTTGATGAATTTGTGCGACTTCGCGAATACTTCGAACAGCGTCGGATTTCAGTTTTCGTCTAGAAATAAAAAAAACAAATGTGTATTTTGTGATGTCAGATCATTTACCTTTCACTTGCAAATTGTTCTTTCTCGTCCCAAATTCGTCTTGCCATCCCTCGATTTTTCATAACTTCAGCAACCGCCAATGCGCTGTTCGAAATTGCCGTCAAATTATATCCGCCTTCAAGTACAGTAACCACTCTTCCTTCAGCTAAACTCATTAATTGATATGTCATAAGAGCATAAACTTCTGGGGATAATTCGAATTCTCCGAGTGGATCATTTGCAGCTGCATCAAATCCAGCAGAAATTAGAACAAGATCAGGATTGAATTGATAGGCAACGGGGAGAATTATTTTATTGAAAGCGGTTTGATATTCGAAATCACCCATTGAAATGCCATCGAAGGGAATATTCAGAGAATAACCCTTTCCAGCTTCCTGAAAAATTTCAAAATTATTTTCAAGAAAATAAACTGAATTTATAAATTTTCTTTTTTTTTTCTGAAAAAATTAATTTCCGAATAAACTTTTTTTAAAAATATAATTGTTATTTACCTCTCCAATATCAAAAGTATCTTTTGGTTCTCCAATCGGATAAAATGATCCTTTATCATGTCTATGAATTGACATATAAAAAACAGTCGAATCTTCATAAAATATCTCTTGTGTTCCATTTCCATGATGAACATCCCAATCCAAAATCAACACTTTTTTCGCGCCATGCTTTTTCTGCGCATATTTTGCTGCGATTGCCACATTGTTGAAAATACAAAAACCGCTAGATTTTGAACTTGAAGCGTGATGTCCGGGTGGTCGAATAATCACAAATGCATTTCGTTGACCAGCGGGTTTCTCGTAAACTTCATCGATTGACTGAAAATAACTTTGGTTTTTGATTTGTTTTTCATGAACTCTTGTTTTCCGTGAGGTAATCTCTGAGGTATAATTTGTGAAAACAGATAAAAATATCTGTATACAATTTATGGTGTCAATAAATATTGTTTTGATTTCACAGAAGAAATTCTATAAATATATTTTTTTTCATTGACATATCAATTTTTAATTCACACAAATCTTCTAGAAATCGGGCTGAAGTTTTTCTTTGAAAAATGTCTTCTATAATAAATTTCTATTAGCTATTTTTGAATAATCTGGACCATTGATTGTTTCTTTGAAGTCTCTTCTTCCCATTTCAAAGTTCAAGTAAATAAATAAATAATATCCAATTTGTCAAGGAAACAACTTGTATTATTCATATTATTTGCACAACTTGCTGCCTTTCTGCCTATTATTATTATTTGCACTTCTTTGTAACCTTACAATTTTTCATTCCAAATATTAATATGTCTGATTCACAAAAATATCTGTACATAAATAAGTTCCGTGTTTTTTTTTGTCAAAAGACGCTCAAAATTTTTGCATTTCTTAACAAATGCGTGAGAAAAAACGACTTATATTTTTCTCACTTTTTAGGAGAGTTTCGAAATATTTCAAGTTTTAGGGGTTTTTCACACTCTAGCCTATAAGTATAAATACTGACTAACCTGAACAAACAAGTTTTTTCTCATTTTGAGACAAAAATTTTATATGGGTCTCACATTCAATCACTTGTAAAATTTTTATGATTTTTTTTCAAAAAAAATTATTTAAAACATGTTGAGAAATATTTTTTACGTGTCCTAATTTTTTTGCAACGTTTGTTTCATTTTTTAATATTTCCTCGCTAAATTCCGATTCATTTTTTAAAAATAAAATTTTAGAAAATGTCCGAAATCAAAGGTGAACACAAGCTTCCGGAGCCATCAAAATTCCTGCGACCATATATCCTAATCCCATTCATAATTTATTTCGTTTTATTCCGTTTGGCCAGTCGATATGTCAAAAATAATTTGTGGTTAAGTTTCAAAGGATTCAAAAGATATCGTCTTCATAATTTATCAATTTGTTGGTTGCATGCAGTTATTGTTGGTGGAGCTGATTTTGTATGGATGAGTTATTATGCTGGAGAGATATTTGAGAATATAATTGATCATTGGACACCTATTACATCACAAATTCCATTGATTTCTGTTGCATATTTTCTACATGATGCTATTGATATGTTAAGTTATGAATGGTCAAAATGGACATTCGAATTGCTTCTTCATCATATTTTAACCTGTTTAACATTAGTGACTCCGGCAATGAGCGATAAATTTCTGATGGCTGCTGGATGGGTTTTGATTATGGAGATTAATAGTATTTTCTTGCATGCGAGAACGATTTTACAAATTTGCGGAATGTCCAAAGATTTCCCGGCAGTTTATCAAACTATAGTCTATTTTAATATTATTACTTTTGTGTTTTGTCGCATTTTTTCGCAAATTTATTGGGTTTATTGGGCAGTGGGACATATTAACGATTTTCATATTATCTATCAAATTGTTGGTGAGTACTTTTTTGAGAATAAGACAAACCGCTACGGGTTTAAATACAATATGTTTTAGGTTATGGTGGTCCAATTGTTTTTGGTGTTATAAATTCTTTGCTTTTTGTTCGTCTTTTGGCTAGCGATGGTTTTTTGTCAACTTCGATGAAAAACAAATATGGAATGACCAGGTACAATATTCCACCTTGGTTTTTCCCATTTAATTTTTTGGATTTCAGGGACCAAAAAGAGGAAGCGAACAGCAAACAAGAATAAAAAACACAATTTTTGACAAACTAAAAATTATTTTACGATCATTCGCTTTCGATTACGGAATGTGTTAACGGGTTCCATGTTTTTGTAGAAGAAAAATAAAGAGTTTTACCTACCTGTAACAGAGTTCCAACTGATGTTTTTGCAACATTTAATGTGTCATTTGTCAAAAATATCGAATCCAACTCGTCCATTTTATTATCGAGCTCATCTTGTGTCATCTACAAAAAAATTGGATTTGAATTTTTAATTTAAAAGTATCGTCTAACAAATTTTAAATAAGACTTACAGTTTGTGTAGTTTTCAACTCATTCAACATTTGTTCAGTATGAACAAGTAGAATTTCATCGTCTTCTGCAATTCTTTCAGATTTTTTCAAAGTAAAATCTCTGAGTTTTTCCATAATTTTCGCTGTTCTTTCTGGTTTTTCTGGATGTTCTGAATCCGTGATATCCCGATGTCTAATATCTCCCTCGTTGTAATAAATCATTGTTTCATTTTTTGAAACTTGATAATCCATAACAGAATTTTCTTCAATTTTCAGAAGATTCTCTTGATCGATATTTGCTGTGTCCGCTGGTTTTTCTTCTGGATTATATTTGAACTCGGCAGAAATTTCGATTCTAAAACATCAGAAGGTTGATCAAAGGCAAAAAACAAATATAAAAAAAAACTCACAACGGCCATTCGGATAATCTCATCGAAGATTTGCTTGGATATAATGCAAAACATGTCCAATAATTTCTCAAAATTGAAATAAGTCCTAAACATGAAACAACAGTACTATCCTTGACTGGTTCGAGATTCTCAATTTTCTCTGGCGGATATCCGAGTAATATTCGAAGACATTTTTCAACTCCGACTGCACAAACTTGATGATTATATCCACCTTCAAGAACTAAAAGTAAACGTCCTTTTGCAAGTGATTTCAAATGATAAATTATATGTGAATAACAAGTTGGTGAAAGTAACATGCTTCCCAATGGATCACCTAAACAGCTATCAAAACCGACTGAAAAAATAACGAAATGAGGATCGAATTGTGCAGCTAATGGAAGAAGAACATTGAAAAGTATTGAAAGATAATCTGAATCACCACATCCTGTTTCATTTAATGGAATATTTGCATTATATCCAACTCCTGATCCTTCACCAACATGATCGAAATTTCCTTCTTTGAGATGAGGCCAGTATTTACCATATTCGTATCGATGTATGGAAAAGTAGAGAACTCTTTTATCGTCATAGAATATATTTTGTGTTCCATTTCCATGATGAACATCTAAATCTACAATCAGAATTCGATCAGCGCCATTCAAAAATGCTTCCTCGGCTGCTTGAGCAACATTATTGTAAATACAAAAACCACAAGGATCTTTTCGATCAGCATGATGTCCAGGAGGTCGAATAATAGCAAAACCATTTGCAGCTTTGTTGTTGATTATTTGATGAGTTAAATCTCGAACACATCCAATTGCTTGTTTTGAAGCATCGTTAGATTTATTCGTCATGAAAACTGAATCGAAATATGTACATAATGTATTTATTTCATCTTGCTCCATATTTTCAGAGTTTCCTATTTTTTCGATCATCTCTTTATTATGGGTAAGTTCCAAATCTTGTTCATCGACTTCCAAGAAGTCTGTGAGAACATCACATTGGTCTAACACTCCCGTTTTCTCTAATAATTCCCTGATTCGTGTTATTCGCAATGAAGATTCTGGATGATCCGGACAAATTACATTTTTGTGATGATTTTCTAACTCGTTGAATCCGACCAAAGTCCTACTCTGAAAGATGTGATTATTTTCGAATGATATAATGCTCTTACCGTATTTCTAACTTCTGTTTTGTCATCTAACAAGAGCATTTCAGCGTGCAATTCCGACCAGAAACACGCATTTTTTTTCTGAAGAAAAAACGGCAACGCCAGTTTAAAGGGACATGAACCGTTTGTAATGAAAAAACTCAGATTGGCTGAACTATATAAAAAGTTACATACACCATTCGAATCTATGTAAAAAACTGCATCGAAATAAGGTTCGAGTGGTGGATTTAGTGTAACTTTTTTCTCGCGGTATTCGTTACGGGACCCAATTGGTTTTTCGAAAAAATTTCCTTTAAGAGAGAGCGTGCGAAAAAGAGAGACGCTATTGCGCAGAGACATTTTGTGTGCAAACACGCTGACGCACAAATGCACCACACACGTAGGGGTTCACACCGTAGTTTTTTCAGCAATTTCCTCGCTTGAAAATACGTGGAAATGAAATTTTTTTTGAAAAATTTCAAAATTGTCCGAGAGAACTTCAAAAGGTCGGTGTGCGGTGGGGCAGCATTGCATTTCTACTTTTATTTTATTTTGTTTTTTTCAACACATACTTTTTCATCCGCCAAGGAAACAACTGTTGTTTACCACATTCTTATGATGGATCAATTTTTGCATGGACCATTGGTGGGCGTACCACTAGGATTATGCAGTCAAGGAATGTCATTAGAGTTTGCAATTGGAGTTGCACAAATTTGTGAGGAAATTCGACAACTTTATGGAATTGAAGAGAATGTTCGAATGCCCAACAATGAGAATTTACTGGAATTTTTATACGATTTGAGTGCATTTTTATTCGAACTTGGTGAGTATTTATGTCATATGATACGGTTTGCACGAAATCAATAAACATTTTTTTACAGAATGCCCTTACGAAGAATTGTCATGTGGTGAAATTCTCACAAGATTTCAAACTTCTGAAAAATGCGAACAATTATTAAAATTCCTTGTTGCTGAATTGAAAGCTGCTCGACTTTTTGGTCTCAAAAAACTTAAAAATCACACATCGGTGCAAAAAGATTTGGAGCTGACAGCAGATATTGATGAAGCGATGAAAGTTCTAAAAATCCCGAAACAATCTGGATCAACCGATGAATGGCGAGTTTTAGAAGCTTTGACACAAAAGGTCGATCAAAAAATCAGTCAATGTCAAAGGCAACCGCTATTTTTGGCGTCTTTGGATGATAAATCGTTAGCCGAAATCGCAAATCTGTGTCAATCATTCAGTCGAGATTTCAATAATCGTCTTCTTTTGCTAACTCGCCGTCTCAAAGTAACAGTCGAATCATTTTTATGGTGTGATCGAGTTAGTAGTCGAAAAGAAGAAATTCGAAATATTCTCACCGAAAGTTTGAAAAGTTTCGAAAATGTCAAATCAAATTGCGATATTGCTCATATTCTGGCAGCGAGTACAAGTCTAACTTACATTGCAAAAGCATCAGAAAAACACACAAAAAGCAAAACTCATCCGCTTTCACTTGGCGAAGCGCCAAAAGATCGAGGAGGTCGGACAAATGAAATGATGGGTGTAAAAAATGAAACATTTCGAAGTCAACAAAATCAAGGGGCTGGAAATCGTGGTGGACAACGTGGAGGTGGACGTGGGAATAATCGAGGAGGAAATCGTGGAGGTGGAAGAAATGCAAGTGGAAATCCACACCAAAGTCAAGAACAGGCAGTTCTTCAACAATACACCAAAAATCACAATAGGCAATAATCTATTCTTGTTTTGTTTTCATTTTCATCGGGTAAAAATTGTTGATTTTCCAAAAAAACCTATTATTATTTTTATCGTAATGGTTTTTTTTCTGATAACCATGCAATATTTTGTGTTCTTCGAAAAATTGATTCAATTTTTGTTCAGGATTTAGGTATGGCGGGGCCATTGAGAATAGCGGCATCGAGAGGGTTCAGGTGTATTTTGTGAGTTTTTAAATATTCAAACAACGTTTTAATCCAATTCAATAACTGATATAATTTTTCAGAACCCCCAAAAATCCGCAATTTCTTCAAAAAATGACTTCGACAACAGGAGCCTTCAAACATTTGGATAAATTGATTATTGAAGGACCTGAAGGTATTTTCTGCTTTTCTCAGCACTTGACTCTGTAGACTGACTGTACAAATTGAAGAAGTGTGAATACAGCGAATGAACGCTGTACCTACACTTTTTTTCCCGAAAATCGTAGGTTCATTTTACAGGGTGGGGAATAATTATTGATACACATTCAAAAAGTCCCCATGTTCAACAGAGAAAGTAGAGGATTATTTTATCCGTCTCAACTTTTTTCTAGAACCTATATCAACAATTTTGTGAAGTAAACACTTTACTAGTTGTCTTCGTTTAGGCTAACCATGCGCCGGGATCCGACTCGTTTTTCTGTCACGGTACGCACCTATTTTTGACTTCTTGAAATTTTCTTCAACTCACATTATGTTTTTTTATTCATTAGAATATGGTAATATTTGTTTTGGAAATGATTCAAGATGTCTTTGAGTAGAAAATTTCAGCTTGATATGATTTCTAAAGTTTTGGGAGACACATCTAGAATGGGGGCAATGTTTTCAACCAAGAACTGCAGTTTTTTTCACTTTTTTGAGCACACGCTTGTGTGAAACGTTTTGAATTTTGATATATAAATTGAAACTCATGTATATAGTCCTAAAAATCAAAATTATGACCTATAATTTTATTATGGATCAGAAATCAGCACTCTGGAAGCTGAAAACCTATTTTTTGAATTTCAAAAATGAAAATTGAGAAAAGTGCATGTTAGAAAGGTGTCCCGCTCTAAGACCAGAATAGACTGAGAGATATCTGTACTATGGATTTTGTAGAGGAACATTTGGGCTTTCAAACCCACATAATACATAAATAAAATTTAAATCATGACTGAAGTTACTGGTGCTCAAAGTCAAAAATAGGTGCGTACCGTGACAGAAAAACGAGTCGGATCCCGGCGCATGGTTAGCCTAAACGAAGACAACTAGTAAAGTGTTTACTTCACAAAATTGTTGATATAGGTTCTAGAAAAGAGTTGAGACGGATAAAATAATCATCTACGTCCTTTTTTGAACACGGGGACTTTTTTAATGTGTATCAATAATTTTTCCCCACCCTGTATCTTCAGCGTAGCTACGAAAAAAATCAAATTCGTAGCTACGCAGATGATAAATCGTTATTACGCACACCTTAAATTCTGACGAGAGATGCCAAGCGTCACACAATCAGAGATGAAAACGTAGGTACAGCGTATCTACGCTGTAGCTACACAATTCGCGGACAGAAATTAAGTGAAGTGACCGCTCTATAAATATTATTTTTGAATCCGTAGCTACGCCGTTGCTGTTCTGTAGCTACTTTGTAGATAAACGGATGTTACTTATGTGCAATTCTCTCTTCCCCGTTTCCGTACAAAGTATCAACGAAATTTGTACAGACAGTCTACAGAGTCAAGTGCTGAGTTATTTTATTCAAAACTTTTCTCCCAATAAATAAAACTGTTTTTTCAGACGCAATGGAAATTGCGACTCGTCTAACTTGCGAAGAACAAAAAATGCTGAAAACTGCGCTGGAAGACTGTTTGGCGAAAAAAACAGTTGCCAAAGAAATCAGTGATGAACAAATCAGAGGATTGTTTTTGGTGAATTCACTTCCGTTTGTTGGTTTTGGTATTCTTGATAATATGATTATGATTTTGGCTGGAGAATATATAGACCAGGTTAGTTGTCATTTGTTTTTGGAAAATCTAGTTGGGTTAAAAATTTGAAAAGAATTTTCGAAAAATGTTCAAAAATTCCAGCAACTCGGTGCAGTTTTGGCAATCTCAACAATGGCCGCCGCCGCCCTCGGCAACCTAATATCCGACATCGCCGGTGTTGGACTCGCCCATTACGTCGAAATTGGCGTCGCAAAATGTGGCATAAAACATCCGGTTCTAACATCCGAACAACTCGAAAGTAGCAAAGCAAGATATACAACAAATGCAGCAAGAGCTGCTGGTTTAACAATTGGATGTATTCTTGGAATGTTTCCGCTTTTGTTTTTCGACGACGAAGACGAAAAGAAGAAATGAATTATCTGTGCAGCTAATCGATTTTCAGCTATTTCTATGTACATATTTATTTTTTCCCAAATACCTTACTTACCCTTTTTTCATGTAAAATCAAGCATAATGCACTGTGTTTTTTCCTAATAGAAAAATGCAATTCCGAGGAGACGCAGACAGTGAGAGAAAGAGGCTGGTCTCGACACGCCGTGTGTCTGCCACACACTATTTCTCTCCCTTTTTCGGCGAGAGATTTGTCTGCACACGTTAAAGTCTGCGTCTCCCTCGAATTGCAAAAAAAAATACAGTGAATGTGCCACAAAACCCGTTATAGTCGCCTTCATATTTGCCATGCATTTTCTGTATTTCCCCTAGTCATTATAATGTTACGAAAAAAGCTCACTCATGTCAATTTTGTTCAATTTTCTTGTTCGAATCACCAGTTTCATTCAAACTGTATCATATTTTCTCTCGACTCAAATATTTCTCAAATCAAAAATTTTTAGATGTCTGGAGGGCATGGGCAATATTTTGCCACGTATGTTGAAGATTTGGAGCAGGAGCCGTTCGATGCGATTGATTTAGTTGAGAGAATTGCTTGGAGAATGACTGGAGGAGCTGAAACTATTACAGATCCGGTATCGTTGAAAATGCGATTTGAAGAGGAAATTGGAAGTTTGCAGATGTTATGTGATCAATTTCAGGTGAGACTTACGATTAGAAAAACGCCGAAGTGTTGGGCGATTTCAAGAAATAAAGCCCGGAACACTTTTTTTAGAAAATATGATTTTTCAAAGTTCACGTGGAAATGGTTTCTTACAATCAGTGTTTTTTCTTCATTTCTACTTTTTTCCAGAACAAAGTGAATACTCTCGAAAAACAATTGAATGAAGAAAAACGAGAATATGTTCAAAAACTTCAACGACAACACGAGAAAAATGCAGAAGCAATTGATAAAATGAAACAACTCGATGCAACAATGCAAAATGTGTCAACAAAAGTGGTTCATTTAGGAGATCAATTGGAAAGTGTTGATCAACCTCGATCTCGAGCACATGATGCTTTTCAACTTATGCAACATTTCGATGAATTTCTATCAGATCAACCATTAAATTCAATGATTTTCACAGATCCTGATAAACTTCTAGAATCAGCTGATCTTGTTCATAAATTATATTCAATATCTCAGGAATTGAATAAGGATAAATTTGCGAATGTTCAAGCGAGAATTGCGCAAAGATATGAAGTTGTTGAAAGATTATTGATTGAAGAATTTGCGAGAAGTCAGAGAGATGAAAAGAAAATGGCTGAAGTTGCGAAGATTTTGAGCGAATTTAAAGGATATTCTCATTGTGTTGATCGATATGTTGAATATCTTTGTCAATCAATTCATCCAAGAGGTGATGGTGGAGAAATTCTTGCGGACTGTTTACAACTTTGTCGAACTCAACAGCCTAGAATTTCAGCTATTTTTCCATCACCACATACTGTTATGCAGAAATTGGTGAGATTTTGTTGAATTTAAAAAAGGCGGGAATTTTGAGTGCGAAAATACTGTTAAACTTTTAAAGTTATTTTTTCCATTTTTCAATAATATTTGTTTAATTTTCAGGTTCTCAATTTATTCACTGGAAAAATGAAAGAATATATAAATGCGCGACTTCGAGAATGTAAAGAAGTTCAAGACAACGAACAATATTTGAAAGATTTAGCCATGTTATATTCAAGTACTTTAAAAATGTGTAAAGAATTGGAAAAATTGCATATAAGTCCGGATAGTGCATTTCTCGCAACATTGACAAAATCAATATTCGATCGATATATTTCAACTTATAGTCGAGAAGAATTATCATATTTAAATGAACAATGTGGACATATTTTGAACAAGTTTTATGAGTCAAAAAAACATGTGAAAAAACAAATTGGGGGAGGACTGCAAGAATTGAAGCGAGATGTTGCTGCTCGATTAATGACTGTTGAAAATTATGGAGGTGAAACATTTTTGGCTGAAGATGTGGCGATTTCGATTTTACAAGAAACTAAAAATGCATTCAATCGAGCGTCGCAACTTTGTGATAAATCGGAACTTGCGAGACATGTTGAAAATATTGTGGATGTTCTTCTCAAATTTTTGTATGGCGAACATTTAGATTATGCGGTTGAAATTGGATTGGCTGGAATATCTTTAGCAGAACCCAAAAATGAACCACCTGCTTATTTTTATAGTATTGTTGCACAATGTACAACTATTGTTTTGTTAATGGTTAAACAATATGATGATTCAATTTGGCCAATTATTAAGTGAGTCTTGGGAAATATAGAGAGGGTGGCCTTTTTGATCCCACCAGAAAATACCTCAAAATATCCATTGAACTTTGAAAGACTTTGAAAAATGTGACCCCCAAAAGGTTTGGGTTCAAAACAATTTTTTAATAAAATTTGGTCCCAATTTTTTATCTACATAAACTGACAAATATATCCGATTCACTAGAACATCATACACAAATTTAATTTTGAGAATCTACCCATTTTTCCTTATAAAAATTGAACTTTCAGAGATACAATTGTGGAGCAAACAGTTGCAAAGAAATGGCAACAATCATTACGATCTTTGGAATCGAAAATGAATTTGGGACTCGAAAGACAATTGAATTCCGCTGTTGGATATGTCAAATTTTTGTTCAGCGAACAGAAAAAAACAGATTTTCGACCGGAATCACAACAAATTGATATTCGAGTTTCACCGCAATGCAAATTGGCCTCGAAATTTCTGTCGAAACATGTAACAACAATGGAAAAGGGGTGTGATGGAGAGAATTTGGAAGCATTGCAATCAGATTTGGCAACAAGATTGTTCAAGTTTATGTTGACACATATTCAACAGGTTGGTTTTAAGGGTTTTCTAAAAATAAGAAAATTGTTGATAATGTCGTTAAAAAATCAGGGCCATTACAGTTTTATTGAACTGTTTTGCAAGAAAATCCAATGTGAATTTGAGCAGATTTTTGGCGCCAAAAATCTCTGAATTATTATAGAAAGTCAGAACTTTGGAAAATTTTAAAAAATTAGATTTTTCACTGTTTCACACCGAATAATAATCGGCCTCCATTCCGCAAACTGCTCCAGCCTGCGGTATTCCCGCATTTGAATCGTCCATCCAACGTTTCACAGTATTGATCCAAACATACGGTTGAAGCAGCAAGTGATTATCCGGTCGATTAGGTGCCCATTCTATTCCGTCACTTCCCGTCGTATGCCCGTCTGTCCAATAAAACGAAGTCAATGCTGTACATGTGCTTGTGATTTTGTAGGTCCAACAAGCAGTGGTTCTCTTGAGCCCGAGGTAAAGACGACGAGGCACTGCATCTTCGCTCAACGCTTGTGTCATCATTGTTACGAGTTCCTGCTTATCTTGGAAGCCGGAACTTACTGCAGCGCTATTTAATGTACGACAATCAGCATCGGCTGTTTCACCGGTTGATGGACCCCAATAGATTTTCATACACCAATAATAGGTCTCACGGTCCAACATTATCCAACCCACCAAACATTTTGGTACTAAAATAGTTGTGGTGGTGATGGCAGTTGTTGTTGTTGTTGTTGTTGAGGTAGATGTTGTGGTTTCGAGAATCAAAATTGTTGTCACAATTTCTGAAATAAGTAAAATTTCGATTAAAGTTTATAGTTAATCTATCTAGACGATTTTTTCAAATCCTATCCCAACTTTGAATATATCTCACCTTCAAACTCCAATTGTTGCGTGGGAATACAACAAGAATATCGAGAAACGAACAAACTACAAAAAATTATCACTGTAATAATGAACATGACCAATTACACAATATGTGCGATTATGAATCTTATGTAGTTTTCTACACACACGGATGTTAGAAAAACTATCAGCAAAACTGGATTAATTTGAAGACAATTTTTTCTAAAAGATCAGGAACATGAAGTAGCATGAAAAATTATGTTTTGTTTGGAAAACCGTAGCATAAGCAGAAGTTTAGCGTTCAAAACTCGATATTTTTAAATTTTAAAAATAACGAGTTCTAAAAATGGTCCAACAACAATGTAATGGGGCGTCCATAAATCAAAAAATGAAAATTTCACACCTGTCCAATTTCTTTTCAAACTAAAATTTTTTATTCAAAGTTGTATTATAATGATCAGAATTCAGTTAGCTACAAGTTGATCATATTTTTATCAAAATTGGACAGGCAAAAACACAAATTGGACAGCTGTGAAAATTTCATTTTTTGATTTTTGCACGCCCCATAAGTGTTCTATAAAAATGTTCCCATGAAAACTTTGTTACACCAGTTTCTCCTCCAAATACTTGTTTATTTACAGTTCACTTACAATTCAACTGGTGCTGTTCTTCTTCTTTGCGATGTCGGCGAACTTCGAACAATTGTCTCAAAATGGAATGTTCAATTAGCATTTGCCCAATGGGAAAGCCTTTTGGCTCTCACAAATCTTCTCGCTGTTCTTCCCGATAATTTAAATGACGCTGCTCAAAGTCCATTATTAGAAAATGTTGATCGACAATTGGTTAATGATTTTATCCGACTTCGTGCCGATTTTAAAACTATCAAAAATTTGAAACTGTGATTTATAATTTTCATAATTAATTCTTACTTCTGAATGTACATATACTTATATTTCCAACTAGTAAATTATTATTGCTTCTTCTCTTTTTCGTTTTATTATTTGAAAAAGTTTGAATAACTTTATCATATTTTGAAGTTCTCCGAATTTTATTCGAGTTTTCTTATAACTTTTCAGAACAATGGAAGTTGCCCAAAAATTCAAGGATGAGGGGAATATTGCATTCAAAGAGAAGAGATTCAACGCAGCAATTCAGAATTACACGAAAAGTTTGGAAATTCAGAAAGACGCGTTGGTTTTTGGTGAGTTTAGGGGCTTGAAATTATAAATTTGAAATATTGGAATTTTAAGCGTTCAAAAAATCAAAAACGAATTTTCTCCAATCATTTATTCAATCTCAGGCTTTTTTGCTTGTTCTTTTTGCGGCAGCAGGTTTAACAGCGGCCGAAGATTTTCTAGCATACGATTTCTTGCCAGTCTCTTGTTTCTTTTCTTCTCCTCTGTCCGACTTCGATTTTCTCGATGCCGACTTCTCGCGAACAACTTTGGCACTTTTGGTTGAAGCTGCCGCGGTTCTAAAAGAAGAATAAATTAGTTTTCGAATTTTTATTTGAGAATAAAACTTACTTTGCGGGTTTCGCAGAGGCGTCACGTTTCGATTTCTTGTTTTCGACGCGAGATTTGCGACGAGAATCCGAACGGGAACGAGAGCGGGAATGAGAGCGGGAATGAGAACGGGTGCGAGAATGGGAACGGGTGCGTTCGGAACGAGATCGAGAGCGGGTTGATGCAGATCTCGATCTTCTTTTAACCGGAAACCCATTCTGGTATTTGACCCTCATCGATTTCCCTTTATTATCCAATTGGAAAAATTCTTCCGATCCGACTTGTGATATTCTTGTCGATCTTCGGTTTGCATTGGGCAAAACATCGCGGTTCTTCTTTAATCCTTTCGATTGCTTTCCCATTGTTAGTAATTTTTCTAGCGATTAGAATTCAAGTAGACAATTGTGTGATTTTTTAGCTTATTGGTTTGCTTTAAATACTGGCAAAATGAGATATTATCTATCTAGGCTATTTCACGTCAAAATATATAAACTAGAAAAAAATTGAAAGATGTTTAGAATACTCATTGTTATTTATTTTTGAAGGTGAGTAATCAAATGAACGTGATACATTTTGAAAAAAAATATCCTGGGCTTAAAAATTTTGCCACGTCATAACTTTTTTGAACGAAAAAAATTTCACTCTTCCCAAATTATATATAGCAATTCTCAATTTTTTAGGAAACCGTGCACAAGCATATTTGAATTCGAATTTGTTCATTCTTGCTCAAATGGATTGCACTGAAGCCATTTCAATGGATCCCACAATTTTCAAAAACTTTTATCGAAGAGCTGTTGCTTTGAAAAATCTTGGAATTTTCGAAGAAGCCGAGAAAGATTTGAAGAAATGCTTGGAATTGACAAATAATCAAGCAGCAACTGCTTTGCTTCAAGAAGTTCGTGGCAAAAAGAATTTGAAAATTATTGAAATGTTTGCGACGGAAAGAGATGATTATTTATCATCGAATGAGAAATTTGAAGAGATTCCGATTGTTTGTGAAGAACCTTCGACTTCTTCATCAACATCACAAGAAATCATTATTGAAGCTATAAAAGAGAAAGCGATTCCGAAAAGACCTATGAATTATGGAGAATTTGCGACTTCTTTGGTGTATTTGCAAGATCAACCTATTGTTTTGGCAAAATATTTCATGGTGAGAAGTGATTTTACAATCAGAGAAATCAGCGATAAAAATAATCCAAAAAACTTTGATCTCCCAAATTTAAAGAAAAAATATTTGATGTTTTTTTTTAAAGATTTCGAGAAATTCGTTCGAAAGTAGAAAATTTGAAGTTTCAAAAACAAAAAAAAAATAAAATCCGACATAACCTTTAAAATCTACTGAAAATTCTGAAGACTTCAATTTCTGTCAAAATCTCATTTTCAAACCAAATATTTTTTCCTAGGAAATCGATCCAAATCGCTATCATTTTCTATTCGATGATCTAATCAATGATGGGCAAGCATCTGATATATTCTATGCTCTTTCTCAATATCTTCGATGTTTTCCTCAAAACTCGCCTGAAGTCGCTGAAAGATTGTTGAAGTTAGCCGAAGTTGAGAGATTTGACATGCTTATTATGTTCTTGAGACCACATGCGAAAGGCTGTGAGTTTACTGGTTTTTTTTTAATTCACCCTAAACTTTTAACCTCATTTCAGATATTTCTGACATCTGCAAATTTTTGTCGGAACAAGACTCGAAACTTGTAATGGAAACATATTTGAAAGGATGATCTCGATTTTTGAAAATTATTTGTTGCTTGTTGTTATTTTTCACATTTTTATTTGTTTTCGATTCAAAATTATATGCAATTAAATAAACGGATCAAAATAAATTATTAGTTTTGAAATTAAATTTCAAGTTCCAATTTCTTCACTCGGACACCATAACACGATTTTTTTGTCGGCTGAAGTGAACGAGATATAAACTGGATTGAATTCGACAAGATTTGGTGTTTGTTCGTGTGGAGTTTGGAATCGATGAACTATTTGACCAGATTCAGTTGACCACGCGTAGAGGGAATTATCAGAACTTCCGCAAACGATGAAATTTGAATCGGGAGAAAATGAGGCGTTGAGAGCAATGTTCTGAAATTTTTGTTTGAAAAGTTGAAAGAACTTTCGAAATTTTTTATTGAAAATATGCAATCTTAAGAAGAATATTTTTCAAATGTATAATAAAGTCCTTGAAATGATTTTTTTAATCTGGTCGAAAAAAATTTCAGTGCAAAGTTTTCAGAAAAAATAATTTTTTTTAAAAACATTTCTTTCAGGTGACTTTTTTTCGTCAGAAATTATATCTGATTTTTTCATTTTCAAAAAATATATCAAAACCAACTTACTTGTTGATTTAGATGTCCTTCGAGAACTGATTTTATTATACCCGTAAACGCATCGATCAAAATCATTTTATCCGAATTTGTACAAATAAGTATCATTTTCCCACACGGAGAGAATTTCATCGAAGTCCATCCAATATTTTTCAACTCTGCCGGAACTTCAAAACTTGAGAATGGTCCTTTATCGAAAGATCGTAGATCATAAAGTTTCAAACATCCTTGTCCAGTTCCAGCTGCGTATATTAAACCTTCTGGATCAAAATCTGCGATTGCAACTGAATCCAAATTCATAATACCCATACAATTATATGTTCGAAGATCCCAAAGTCGAAGAGTTTTATCGCGAGAAACTGACAGGAACATATCATCATTTGGTGACATTCTAAGACCAGTTACAAGTTCTGTGTGACCGGTAAAATATCTTATATATTTGTTATCGGCAAGAGAAAGATATCGGATTGTGTCTGAAATATTTCAATTATGTCTATGCTCAAGAACAAAATTTCAAAAAATCTTACGATCAATTTTAGTGCTGCCATGAATTGCACAAGTTGCATCAGATGCGAATTTAACATGAGAAGCTCCATATTTTTTGCTGTTCACACTTCTCGATTTTTGACCCGAACTTAAATCGTATAAATATATCGAATCATCGTCTGTTGATAAAATCATTTGCATTCCATCTCTACTATAAGTTGCACTGTTTACTGGAAGTGTTGCATCGGTACATTGTTTTGAAGACGATAAACTTCGCAATGCGTGTAAATCAAGCTCGGTGGATGGTCCGTCGCCGTTTTGCATCTTGAATATTTAGCAGTGAAAGTTCACTCGAGACGAAACAAAACAAAAAAAACCCAACTAAAATTGAGAAAATGAAAGTGCGCTCTATTGAACGACTTGGCAAACAGCCAAAGGATCGCGTCTTTCTCATTGGAGCGTGTTTACACTGTTTTATGCTGCGTCCAATGCAAAAAGTCGCGTGAAAAAAACGCGTAAAAACGCGCGACAAATGTGTCCAATTTGTTGAAACGCGTCTCTCTATTTTTGAAAGAAACATACAGTAAGACAACGAGATATCGAGCGAAAAACACATGTTCCTTTGAAATTTACTACGGTATATGCAAACACGGCGACGAAATATTGCACATACCGTAGTAAATTTTGAAGGAACATGTGTTTTTCGCTCGATATCTCGTTGTCTTACTGTATGTTTCTTTCAAGAATAGAGAGACGCGTTTCCAACAAATTGGACACATTTGTCGCGCGTTTTTACGCGTTTTTTTCACGCGACTTTTTGCATTGGACGCAGCATTAGGAAAAATAATTTTTTTGATTTTTTCGAGTTTTTTTTTTCGTTTTTTTGCGAAAAGTTCGTTAAATAGGCCGAATTTCAGATATCGAATGAGCGTTGTGAACCCGACTCAAGAGTCTTTTGTGAGTTACCCATTATTTCTTGTCTTGGTTATTGATTTTTTCATAATTTCAGGAAAAAGGCATACCAATTGTAAAATGGAAACAAATATCTGTAGCTTCTGGTCCATCTCCGAAACCACGTCATGGGCATCGCTCGGTTTCTTTAAAAGAATTAATTGTGGTGTTCGGTGGTGGAAATGATGGAATAATTGATGAGTTACATATTTATAATACTAGCACCAACTCGTGGTTTACACCAACAATTCGGGGTGAAACTCCGCTTCCGTGTGCTGCTTTTGGTGCAGCTGTAATTGGAACCAGAATAATAACTTTTGGAGGAATGTTAGAATATGGAAGATATACGAATGAAATTCACGAATTACAAGCAACTCGATGGGAATGGAAGAAACTCAAACCACGAGCGAATGGAACTGAATATCCATGTCCAAGATTGGGTCATTCATTTGCTATAAGTCAAAAAACAAGCATCGCTTATGTTTTTGGAGGATTAGCAAATGATTCAACAGATCCGAAAAAGAATGTTCCTCGTTATCTCAATGATTTATATTCAATTGATGTCTCAGTTGCACCAAATGTATTTCAATGGGAATGTCCAAAAACAATCGGAGAAGGTCCATCAGTTCGTGAAAGTCATACAGCTGTAATTGTTGAAAATATAAATAGAAGAGTTATGATTATCTATGGAGGAATGAATGGTTCAAGATTAGGCGATGTTTGGTTCCTTAATTTGGATAATTTATCATGGTCACAAATGGATAATGTTATAAATGGAAAAGTTCCATTACCAAGAAGTTTACACACTTCAGTTGTTATTGATGATAAAATGTATGTGTATGGTGGATGGGTTCCAATGTCATCAAATGCTACCGAAAATGATCAATTGATGGAAAAAGAATGGAAGTGTACAAATAGTTTAGCATGTTTAGATGTTAATAATATGATTTGGTCTGAACTTCATATGGCATCATATGAAGAAGGTGAGATATTTCGAAGATTTTCGAAAAAATGAGAAAAGATCTTATTTTTTGTTTTCAGAAGAGATTCCTCGTCCTCGTGCTGGTCACTGTGCTTCGGCTGTTGGTTCAAGAATGTATATTTGGTCAGGTCGAGATGGATATCGAAAAGCTTGGAGTAATCAGGTAGGTCTCATTTGAATCTCGGATCGGATAGATAAATTCGAGTTTCAACAGATCCAAAAAGAAACTTTGAAGGTTTGCTGCCGCGATCTTTGGGTGCTGGAAACTGTGAAACCGGAACAACCGGGACGTGTACAATTGATTCGAGCCAGTTTTAATAGCCTTGATGTAAGTGTTTTTTGTGTTGGAAATGTTGGTGGGAAACATTTTGAATTTTTTAAAAATAAAATATAAGAATCAATTTCTTCCAAATCTTGAAAAAATCTTAAAATAAATTTCCAGATATCTTGGTCTGCTGTTCCTTCAGCCGATTTTTATCTTCTGCAAATTGCGCCGACTGAAAATAAAACTGAAACTGGAACTGAATCACCAAACAAAAATGGAAATTCATCAACGACTCCAGTTGTAAAAGTAATGAGAGGACAACAAGTTCTTCGAGTTGTTAAACAGACAACACCAACAAATAATGCGCCCAAAAAAGCGATTATTATTTCGAAAGAAGATGGAGTTACTCAAAAGTAAGCTGGGAGATATTAGATCTAGAAATTCTTAAGAATGGGAATCAAGAAAGGGTCTTGTTGTCTTAAAATCAAATCTGAAAAAAAAGCAGAAGTTTTTGAAAATTGAAAATCTGCTCATGTTTCAAAATGTTTTCAAATTCATTCTAGGAAAAAAATTAATGAAAAATACTTTTTCGAAAAAAATGAATTAATTTGTGCAAAAAAATTCATTTGCAAAAATAGTACTTTTTGAGAAAAATTTGAATAAACAATTTTCTCGCCAAATTTCACCTGTCAAAATTGTTGATTATTCTGGTTTCCTTTTCAAATTTCAAAAATTCTTTGCAGAGTTGTTTTCCTCTCAAACGAAGTGAGCGGCGGTGAAAAACCAGAAACCTCATCTCCGGCCCAAAATTCATCATCACTTATATCAACTCAAGGAACAACTTATACAGCTCCATCTCAACAAGGAGAAGAAGGAACTTTGCCTCAGAATCTTTTCGAAGAATCTGGAAATGAAGACGGCGGTGCACCACCATCACCAGCAAATCCACCTCAAGAAACACCCAAAATTGAAGAGAATAATCCGAATGAAGAAGGATTGGTTGAAGTGAAAAAAGAAGAAGAAGGAGGAATTAATGAATCTGGAGAAAAAGAAAAACAAAAAGAAGGAGAAACTGAAAATGAAGAAACTAAAGATGAAAATGAAACTGGTGCTGAAAATGAAGTAAAACAAGAAGAAATAGCTGTAAAAGAAGAGGAACCAGATAGTGAAATGGAATGGTTTGATATTGGATTGGTGAAAAATTTGCAATGTGGTGTGACACATTATTTTTCGAAAAGTTGGACCAATAATATGGGACATAATTTGGAGGTTTGTTGAACATTTTGGCTCTTTTCAGCTTGGAAATACAAAGGTATTAAATTTGGTTTATTGAATTTCAGTTTCTGAGTTCAAGTAAAAGTTTAAAATTTCATATTTCATATTATCTAGCTTTGCCGAAAATTCGAACATGAAAAAGTCGTTTCAGAAGCCATATTGTTCAATTTTAAATTCATAGCTTGAGTCAATTGGATAATATTGAAACGTTCTATCCGAAAAATAGGATTTTTATCATCCTCTTTACAATTTTCAGGCATATTTGGGTATGAGTGAACCAATGTTGGCATCAAATGCAAATATAACCGCAGAACAACGTGTCAGTCTCGAATCTGGAACAAGTTATCGTTTCCGAGTTTGTGCAATGAATGGACTTGGATTAGGAGCATGGAGTGAAGTATCGACTTTCAAAACATGTTTGCCAGGTTTTCCAAGTGCGCCATCATCAATTCGAATCACAAAAGGAACCGAAGGTGCACAATTAACATGGGAACCACCAGGAAATGCACCAGGAAGAATATCTGAATATAGTGTGTATTTGGCTGTCAAAAATTCGACTGGAGCACCAGAAAGTCAATTGGCTTTTATGAGAGTTTATGTGGGAGGAGATGCGGAATGTGTTGTACAACAAAGTTGTCTTCAATCAGCATATGTTGATCAAACCAATAAACCAGCTATTATTTTTAGAATTGCTGCCAGAAATGAAAAGGTATGTGGGGGTTTTTTTTAGGTGGAAATATGTGTCCTTATTTTGAAATTGCTATGGATCTATTAATTTTTTTTTAAAGAATTGTGGAATACAAATATTAATTTTTGTTAGAACTTTATTGTCAAAAGCCAGCCTAAATTCATAATTTTCATTTTAAATTCTAAATTTATCCCCACATTCACTTATTCAAAAAACCTTTCTAATATCCGGTGCGTCAATCCGAACGTCAGTCATCTTATTTTTGAAAAAGATTACTTTTTGTCACCATTTATTAGTATTGTTTTTTAATCCGATGCTCTTTTCTTCTCACCCGAAGAAAATATTTTGCATGCTATTTATGAGTCAGAAAATATTGAACGTTTTCAAGCACGTTTTTTTCTGGAAACCAAAAATTATACATTCTATTTGGAGGCTTCGATTGTTTTAGTTTCTAAATTTAGCATTTTTGAAATTCGGAGAAAACAGAAAAATTTGGGATAAACATTCTAGGAAAATCTAGTTCACATCATTTTTTTTCGAACTTCCAAATTATATTTCTGAATGACATTATTTGCAGGGATATGGTCCAGCAACTCAAGTCAGATGGCTCCAAGATCAAAAACCAATTCCAACTCAGCCAGGTCCAAGTGCAGCAATTGCCCGCTTCCCAGTTTCCGGAAATCCCCAATCGGCCGCTTTTCATTATCAACAAGCACAAGTTCCGATAAAACGAGCAAGACTCGAATAATTCATTCGCAATTTTATTGTTTCTCCATAATTTTTCACTCTACTCTGCCAAACATTTTTGTTGATTTTTTTTTGTTGTAAAATTTGCTTCAAAACTTCCCAATCGACTAGATTCCAAATTGTGGCTCTCCCCAACCTCATTTATTTTTAAAAAAATATCGATATCTTGTCCCTAAAATTGTCTGCTACCCTTTCTATCTTGATACTCATTCTTCCTAAGCCGAATTATTATTTTATATTTTATTTTCAATCAAATGAAGAAAAACTTGAAACCCGCCCACTTTTTATTTTTTTTTGGTTTCCTTGGTTACGCGATGAGCTGATAATAAAAGCGAGGTTTTATCGCTCTTCGCAGTCATTTTTTATTTTATCTTTTCGCACGAACGAATATTTTTCTGGAAAATATTCAAAAATGTTGAGATGGTTATTCAAATCTTCAACTGATAAATCATTCGATGATATTATGCCTGAAGAGACGCAAAGTGCAAGAGATGATGATCGAAAGAATTTGGATTGTACTGAAGATTTTTTGTTTTTGGAATTGGTTGTCGCTGAAGTTGAAATGGCTGTGGTAGAATTCGAAATTGAACAGGTTCGTGGGTGGAAAAAACTAAAGAAATTATGAAATTTTAGAAGGAAATCGAATATTTTACAAAAAATTTGAGAATTTTCGATATTTTTACCTTTTGAAAAATTATCCGATTGTTTTTACACCAAAACTTAATGCTCATCCAATTTTTTTTCAAAATCCTAATCCAATTTTTTCCAGGATCTAATAGAAGAAGCGGCTCGTAAAACTCGAAAAGGTCCCGATTATTCCTGGCTCGCCGACAAATCTCAAAAACCCAAAAAATATTTGTCAAGCAAGGAAAAAAATCGCATCGAAAACGCTTGTGATCGACTGAAACCATGTGAATGGAGTAAAACTATCGAAAATTGGAAGAAAACTATCAAGGTTAGATATTTCATTTCAAATTTTCAAGAATATGAGTCAATTATTTTATTTTTGTTGGCTTCTTGACAAGTCTAATCTCTCTATCCGCCACAAATCCAAAAACTAATCCGATTTTAAGAAAGATTAGAAAAAACACGGAAAAATGAAAAAAAAACAGATAAAAAATATTAAATTAATTTTCAGAATGCTTCAAGTCGCGATAATATTATTGACCAATTTATTCATTCAACTCATGAAACACTTCAAACTCGAAAACATGATCCAACAATTTCCGAAGTTTTGAAAAATTATGCAACTGGGAAATCGATGAGTTCAGTGAAACCGGGTGGAAATGAATCACCAAGAAGTATTGCACAATTATCCATTTTTGAATTACAACAAATTGTTTGAAAATGAATGATTTTTTTTTCGATTGAAATCTTTATCCGATTCTAGATGTTATATTTTGACAACTACTGAAACAATATTTTTTGAGTTCTGAGCTGATTCAAACTTTTTATAAAACAATCTTTCAAGATTATTCTAGTATTTCTAGAATGTCATTTACATCGTTGAAAAAATGAAAATGTTCGAAAACTTTTGAAAAATAATTTAGAGAAACCAGGGATTACTGTAGTTTATCGTGAGTATATCCTATCTATCTAAGCTATTTCGCATCAAAAATAAATAACGTAAAAAATGTAAATATTTTTAGAATACTCATTCCAACAACCGGTCAGAAACTTTTCAAAAATACATAAATCAATATTATTTATTTGTTTATCTATTGTTTTCTTATCTTCATTGACCTTCTCATTTTTTTCTAATTTTTTGTTGCATTTCAACAAATGAAATTTCCAAAAAATTTCAAGTTTGCAACTGCAACGGCAGCTTATCAAATCGAAGGAGCAAGATTATTGGATGGTTAGTTTCACTTTTCAAAGTTTTTAAAAATTGTGATAGATTTTAGGTCGTGGTCGAAGTACTTGGGATGAAATTAGAGAACAGCCTGGAAGAATTGCAGATAACAGCAATATTGATTTATCTTGTGAAGGAAGATTGAAATTTCGAGAAGATGTTGAACTTTTGAAAGAAATTGGCGTAACAACTTATCGATTTTCAGTTTCTTGGAGTAGAATTCTTCCAAATGGAGATATTTCGAAAGTGAATCAAGATGCAATTGATTATTATCGGGAACTTTGCCATCTTTTAGTTGATGCGAATATTGAACCAATTGTGAGTTTTTTTTGGTGAAAGCTGGAACATATTTTGAAATTTTCAAAAAATGAAGCTCCCGCAAATTGTTTCAAATTCCTGAAAATATCCCAGACTAAAGTTAATTTCAATTTTTTCAGATCACATTATTCCACGCTGACATGCCACTTCAAGTTTTCGATTCTGGAAGTTGGTTGAATTGGAAAAATTGTCAACATTTTATTGATTTCTCCGAAGTTTGTTTCAAAAATTTTGGAGACTTGGTGAAAACTTGGATCACTTTCAATGAAATTAATATGCAAGCTTGGTGTGGTTTAGTGAAGTTCAAAGGTCAACCTTGGCATTGTCCAGATAGACCAGAACCAGAAAATAAAAAAGAAATTCCATATTTGGCGGCAAGTAATATGTTATTAGCACATGCTGAGATTTATCATCTTTATCAAAGAATTTATAAGAAATTGCAAAATGGAAAAATTGGAATTGTGAATGGTGGAAGATTTAGTTTCCCAGCAACAGAATCCGAGGAAGATATTGAGGCTAGAAATCGAGCAATTGATTGGTTATTTAATTATACAATTGAACCGATATTTGGAGATGGTTGGCCAAAAAGAATGGAAAAAATGAATCTAATGAAATTCAGTGACGAACAAAAAATGAAAATTAAAGGAAGTGCTGATTTTCTTGGAATAAATTATTATGTGAGTCATAAAGTTAAAAAACTTGAAAAACTTGAAAATGCTCCATCGCAATGTGAAGCTGATGGTGATTTTGATTTTGCTGAAGATGATTGGGAAAAGATTTGTGGAGAAACCTGGGTGAAATATGTTCCAGAGGGATTGTATGAATTATTGAAGTATGTGAAAAACAAATATGGTGATGTTCCAATTTGGATAACTGAAAATGGATGTATGGATATTGACGGTGATCCACTTGAAGATAATCATCGAGTTAGATATATTCAAGGACATTTAGAAGCTGTTTCAAAAGGTTTGGAAATATTTCAAAGATAATTCATGATCTTCACTTTTTTGTCATCAATTTTTTGAGTGGTTCAAAAAATTCTCACGCTGAAACGTTCTAGCCGTTTTTCAAAATTTGTTTTCCAGCTCTTGTAAATGGTTGTAACGTGATTGGCTACACAGTTTGGAGTTTGATGGATAATTTCGAATGGGATGATGGATTTGCAGTGAGATTTGGAATCTGCCGAATCGATTTTGAAAATGATCCAAAAAAAGAAAAGAGTTCTCAAAAAATCTGCGAAATTTTATAGCGATTTTATTCGTAAAGCATTGTCTTGAGAAAATACACGTATAAATTATTAATTGAACCGTAAATCTCTTTTTCCGATATTAAATGTTAGTAAGCGGCACTAACAGCACCATCTGTGCATGTTTTGAATGAAACATTTTCGCCAGCGCTGATTTTCTCATTTTGGGTCATTTGATTGGGCTTCCGAAGTATTGTACTGCGAACTCTTTCATATCTGAAAATATTTTTGATATTTATGAAATTTCAATTCGGTGATTCTCTTAAAAACTCACTTCAGCTTACAAGGCATAAGTAGAATCTTTTTGAATGCTCTTCGATATTTATGACTGTATGCAATATAAATTATTGGATTTAGAGAACTTGACAAAATCGACAACCATTGAAATATTGGACGAAGACTGGTTGACAGAAATCCATAAAGTGGAGTTCTTTGATCAGCAAAGTTGAAAAATGTGAAGATTGTGAGTAAAGGAAGCCAACAAATCGCAAAGCTTATGATTACTGTAAGCATCATTGTTGCGACTCGAAGTTTTACACGATCTTCTCTAGCCTGAAATACAGAATTTGGTACTTGCCACATTTATTGTTTTAAATCTTACCCTTGCATCAATAGCCAAACTTCGATGTGTCGATACAGTTATGAAAATCTTTGTGTAAAGAAATAATATCAATCCAAACGGTATCACAAATGCAAAACATAAATTAATTGTGACGAAAAATACCGTTTGATAATCAGATTCTTGCATACAAATATTAATTGCTTGGCTTTGCTCACTATAAACTCTCTCAATATCCCATGCTCCATCTTTGAAAACCATAACAAATATCACTGCATCATAAAGAAAAAAGTTAGGTATTCCAGCAATTGCTGATATAATCCAAATAACAAAAATCACATATTTTGTATATTCTCGATCCCAAGATGTATTGTATTTCATAGTATGACAAATTGCTAAATATCGATCTGCAGTCACAGCAACCAAAGTGTAAACAGAAGTACAGGAACTTGTAGCATTTGCCCAAGTAGAAAGTCGACATAACAATGATCCAAATAACCATCCTGAAAAATTTTACACTTCTTTTGTAAACCAAAAAATTATCGTCGATTTTTCAAACTTTTGTGAAATTCATAAAAATACTTTCATAAAGTGAATGTCTCTAGAGAGAGGTGTCTGACGTATTGTGTAACTAGTTTTTTTTTTAATTTTTTTGGAAAACTCACGATTGAAAATATTATTAGCAAGAGTTGTTGGTAGACAAACCCATAAAATAAATAAATCAGCTAATGCTAATGCCAAAATCAAATAATCAGTTGTAATATTCAAATTTTTATGTGCACAAACTGCCAAAACAACAAATGTGTTTCCCAATACTCCAGTGAAAAATATGAAACCATAAGCGACTGATATCAAAATTGTTAATTCCGGCGAATGTTGTAACAATGAATCATCGTAAGATGGATATTCAGTGAAATTGTCAGACGGATAATCCATCTGGAATTCTAATTTTGATTCTGTTTTGGTTCGGTTGAAATTCAACTTCCAAAATAAAACGAAAAATATTCAAAAGATACGTGAGAAAGTTCATTAATTAGACGAGCGAAACCAAGAAAATGAGAAAAGAAGAAATGCGGATTTCCGGACGGGTGAAAACAAAAATGATGTGTCGCGAAATTTGTGAGAAAAAAAGTGTGGAGAATTTGGAAGAAATGCATTAGATGAAGAAAAGACAAAGGATTTTGAGGTCTCCAAGGATTTATTTTGACGAAAAAGAGAAAAAGGTGGATTGCTTTGAACTTTTTTGAGCAAAAAAAGTTTTTAGATGGTTTTGAGAGGGTTACGAGAATATATTTGAAATTTGAGGCTTTTTGTAAAAGTGCAACAAATTTATGAATATTCAAATCGAAAATTATATGATAGGATAGAATTGTAAAAGGAAGTGTGAAATTTGGAAATGAAATAGATTATTCTGAAAAAATACAAATATTCAATGGGAGTTCTTTGTAGTTGGACATTTGATATCGAATATCCGGAACAATCTTAGATTTCCGGTAAATTTCCAGGTTTATTTTCTGAAATTTTGACTCATTTTTTCAGCGGACAGATGATATTTTTTTTCGAAATTTAACATAAATCAGGAGTTTTCAACCATCCAAATCAAAAGTAAGATATTTCATTTTTTGAAAAAATTTAAGATTACCTCAACCTTTTTCTTTGACGAAACCATTCAAAACTAGAATATACAGTTTCCCTGGATTTTCGAGGAACGTTTTATTTTTATGCGAAAATTTTTTTCAGAACTTTCAGTTGAATCATTTCAAATAAAAATAGACAGATGATTTTTTAGGAACAAGTTAAAATTAATTCTGAATTCTGAACCAAGTTCATTGAAAGCAGATTCTGAATTTCTGCAAAATGAAAAATCAAACAAAACTTGAAACAGTAAAGTTTTCTGCTGATGTGAGTCATAACTTTTTGTCTCATTTTGGAACAAAAGTTTTCCCCGGGTGAGGTGCAAAATTGTTTGCACTGAATAAACAAGAAAAAATAAATAATTTCAGAAAACAATGCTCGTGACATCTACTAAATAAAGACCACATGACTAACCTAACCTATCCAAATATTCGTCAAAAATAGAATCGGAAATTGGCCAAATTTTCATCTCCAGCAGCCAAGCTCCTTTTTAAAGCTATATCTATCCAAGTTCTCTTTTTTTCTTTTTTTCGCTATAATAAAACGAATTACCAAAAGAAAACGCGGCGATGATTATTCTTTCAACATGACTGAATCTGTTCGTGGGACCCTTTTGGGATTATTTTATGTGACATGCAAAATGGGATGAAAGAGTAAATAAAAGGGCAAATAGGATTAATAATTATGGTGGCAAAGTTAATGTGAGAAAAAACACAGAAGTTATGTTCAAGATTGCAAAAAACTGGGTAAAACTTGAAGTACGGTGGATTTGTTTTATTAATTGTAAGCTAAAACATGGCACAATTCCTGATCATAACAATTAACTCAAATAAATCAGATCAATTTCCTACGATTCGAATGAAAAGTCAAGATTCCTAAAAACCAAAAAAATAAGGAAATGAATAGCAATAACCATTTCATTTTTTGGGGGGAACGTAGGCGCCGTCGGCGGTAATCTTTTTTGAAAAAAAAGCAAAAATAATGAAAGGGGATTTTTTGGAAGTAACTAGCGAGATTCATTGGCTCATTATTCGATTCGAAATGAGAAAGAGAAGAAAAGAGCAAAAAGTTTTTTTCGTGAAAATTTGTGGCTGAGAAAATTGTCTTCGTAATTATTTTTCTGTGCCTTGGTTTTTGGAACTTACGATTTTAGTTTGAATTTAATATTAGTGCGCTTTAATGAATAAGTAATTCAGATTAGTAATCTAAATTAAGTAGTTTTCTAGTTAATGGAACTAACTGGAAAATGAGTGGGAGAGATTTGAAGATTATTTGAGCGTGAACTATGACGTGGCAATTAAGAGAAAAATCAAATATCAAAGTGATAAGATTTTATTTGAAAAATGAACTCGTTTTGGAAAATTATTCAAAATTTAGAAATTTCTGCATAAAGAATGAATAGCTGGAAAGTAATTTTCAGGCAAATCTTTAAAAAAATATTATCTGGAGAATTCTAAACTCAAATGGAAACTACAATAAAAAAATACCCTTGAACAAATTTTAAATTTTCAGCCTCAAGTTCATAAATCATTGAATCCATTTCAAATTTTTGTACCAGAATTCAAAATATTTTCAAAAAAGGCATGAGTTTGTGAATCAGAAATTCTCGAAAATAGCAACATTTTCTTGGAAACTTTGCAACCCACCAAAAAAATGACAAATTTCAAAAAAAAAATCCACCTGCTTCCCCTTTCATTATCAACAAGATTTTTTTGACCAGAAATTTTTTATACTCGCTCAACAAAAAATTGAAATGATATTCACTTGAAACATATAGTTATGACAAATGTTTGATTGAAACTTTTCAGAATGAATGATGGCTAACGATTCAGAAATAAAATAAAAAGGAAAAAGTTTGAATAGAATGAAAAAACTTCGGAAAATCAAGATTTTTGCTCACCGAGGGCAAAATTTGAAAATAAAATAGGGAAAAAAATAAGAGGAGGAAGAAAAAAGTCAAAACAAATTTTCATAAATAAAATTGTTTGACAGCGCCTGTTCCAAAACGTACTTTATTTTTCTTATTTTTGCGATAAATAAAATAAATACCTAAATTTTGGGATGAAAGAAAAATGAAGAAATACACAGCTTCCGACATTCGGAAACCGGAAACTCAATCGAAAATCACTTTTTTTGTCTCTTGTCAGAGAAAAAATAGAAGTTTGTAACATATAATTTTGAAGACTCGGCTTATTTGCAAAACACAAATTTGTGACGGGCTAAAATTTTTCTAGGAAAAACTTGCGAATTATTCGAGTTGCAGAAAATATTGAAGATAATTGACAAAATTTAGGTAATTTTTTTGTGAAGTTTCAAAGCTCAATTGTAGGCTTTAGAAATTTGAAAAACTAAAAAATGCTTTCCATTTTTTTGTGATTCAAAAAATTCTTAAATAATAAAATTCATTCAAACTGATTTTTAGATTTTAGATAAAAAAATATACCGAAAAAATCAAGATGTTCTCCAAGACTGATTCCTATATGGAAAAGTTCTGTGAAAACTCTGTCAGACATCAGAACTTTTCCATAGAACTTCTGACGTCGTAATAAAGTTATGTTGCAGAAATGAAAAACAAAATCAAAACACATAGCATAACTCATCCTGCTCAAACATACATAGAAACAAAAATCCAGTGTGAGACATCTATCTATCTAAATATTTGGGACCGATGTATTTTTTGTGGAAATCGAGTTATCTTCGCGGAAGCAACTCTTTTTTTTCTTCTTCGTGTTTTTCTTCTTCCCACCCAAAAATTTACTTTTTTTCTCGCGCCCCGTTTTTTTCTGGAATGGAGGGAGTGTCGTCGTCGTGTCAACAACAATAACGACATAGAGGAAATATAATAATCAGCAGCAGTAAAAAAACGAAAGAAAAAACTTTGGAAATTTACTATTTCTGGTTTGTTTTGTGGTTCCTTATTCAGAAAAAAAGAAGAGGAGTTGGTCAAAAAAGGATACTGTAGATAAATGAGAGTTGAGTGATTTTTTTGTCAAAAGTAGGAGAGTATTTGAGGAAAGCTATAAATAACATCACAAGGAAAGGAAAAATATGATATGTACATTGAAAAATAAATGTATACGATATAAAGTTACCTCATGCAAAAAACGATCAAATTTTGAGACCACCTTTGTAAAGTGAGCTCGAAACTAAAACGAACTTCAAAACTAAAACAAACCGGTTAAAGTTTGAATCAATTATTATTGAAACATCAGATAAATATTGTCCAAAAATGAATCTGTACTCTAAATTTTAATTATGAGATTAGATCCACGTCTTGAGAACTTGCTAGTAGTAGTCATGTCTACAAACATCATTTTCAAAGCATCTAAGCCTATCGAGCCTGGTTCTCAAGTAGCCGCACCGAGAGATATTAATCGTCTAGGACACTTATCTTGGCAACAAAGTGTCTATACCAAGAATCAGCGCCTAGAGGTCTAATCTTCAAGAAACTGACATGAGCCTAATTACAGCTGTGTTTTGAACCTTACTTAAAAATTGCAATAATCATCACTGAAATCCGCTGAAATTCAACAAAAAATGAGTTCCCCGAAAAACCCGGAAATAACTCTCTATTTCTCCAAAAACTAGCCAAATTATCCGAATAATTCTGCTAATTTCGACATGTGTCGTTTTCAGAGCCACGAAAAAATGAGATAAAATAATAACACCTCAGACATCCTCCTCAAAAATTATTTGAAAATAAAGTGCGCTGAAAAGTTTGGCTCCTAAGAAAGTAACAAAAACGCGGAAAAAAAGTCATTTTTTTCTGTGGGGAATGTTGGTTAATCGAATCAAGATCGAATTCGAAATAAAATGTACAGGATTGTCTTTTGTTTGGTTTCCCAGGAGAAATGAAAAGCGGATTCATTAGTGAATGACAATTTTATTTGGAACTTGTTAATTGAGAGTCTTTTTTTGTAAATGAGGGACAAACATTTTGGGGTTTGTTAGGAATTAATTTTTGAATTTATTTCGAAACTTTTTAGGAGCAAAGTTCAAACCCATTGAGAATATGTGTATTTTACGATGGCTAGAAAATCGTTTACGATGTTTTGATTCAATAAATATTTATACACATATGCGAATAATAACGAGAGGTATATAATTTAAAGTCATTGCTTGGATTATTATTACAATTTTTTCAATTGCTGAGCACATTGGATCAAACAAACTGGATCCTGAAACAAAAATATGAAACAATATTTCAAGATGCTTTCAGATATAAACATTATACCTTTTCAATATCTGCAACTGTGTAGTCTTTGAGAAGTCGAGAACAATCATCAATTGTTATCGAGTGACATTCAGGCTAAATTTCAATAATAGTGTTAAACTCTTCAGAATTTCCAACAACTCACCCCTTCCGCTGTACATGTGCAAGTGATACAAGGAGTAATTCTCTTGGTTTTGCCACGACTTACGACTCGATCATCAACAATACAATAATCTCGCTCGACCCATTTATTCAAATCAACTTCCGGTAACTCAGAACATGCCATTGGAGAATTACTGTAACCTACCTGTTTCGAAAAGTAATATTATTCTCAACATAACTTACCTTAAATCATCGGGCATCAAGAAAACATTTGGTTGAATATTTGCTGCATATTCACTGTTATCACAAACCATTCTTGACATACTTGCTTTTCTGATTTCATTTAGTTGATCTGGTGTGAAACGAATATTCGCATCATTGTTCTCAAAATAAAATCGATCACATTTCTTCAATCTTTGCATTTGTTCTCCAATCAAACATGCCAAAGTTGGTCCAACTAATGCTCCTTTTGTTGGATTTTCACTCATTATTCCGGGGAACAAATCAATATCATCAACATGTTGATAAGCGGTTTCTAAAGCCGTTACTGCATCAGATCTCATAACATCTCGAAAATCATCAAAAGTTCGAGCTTTTCTCAATCCACAATATTGCCGATAAGCATTGTATCCTTGAACACCGTGATCTCTTGATCTTTGAATATTTACAGCTGGAAGATCCAAACCTGTTAATGGTCCCCCAGGTTTTGCGAACAAATGATTTCGAACAGCAGTAATAATATGTCTATCAAAAGCCATACTGTTTGTACCAATCAAACCCATAAGAATTGATTCCATATGTCCAACATTTTTATCATAAACTGGAGTTGGATTCGAGAAGGTTTCAGTCAAATTTACTGAACTTGACATATTTTTGAAATCTTCATTCATTCTTGCAAATACTCCTCTAATCAAAGTATGTCCAAAACGGAAAGCCGAAGTTGACATTTCTTGAGATATTGTAGCATCACATTTTTCATCATAACTTGTGTCATATCCATTTTTTCTTGGCATCAAATCCCATTTTTCCATATTTTCACAACCAAGAACAACTGGAAGCCATTCTTTGAAAATTATATTCTGAAGTTGTGCAATATTTATTCGACGAGCTTCTTGATATAATTTTTCATCATTCCAAAAATTGTTTGTTTGCTTCAAATATCGTGCAATACGATTATGTTCTCGAAGGAAAATATTATGAATTGCTGTTAGACCAGGTTGTTCATTACTTCTTTCATCTCCAGCTACAAAACATCTTCGTTGTGGTGATTGAAGAATTGATCGACAATCTCGTTCTTGATTTCCTTGTGGAAGAGCTTCTTTGTTGAATCCAAGATCAGTAAAATTTAATTTACCATCACTGAAAAGTCGGAGTTTATTTGCTTCACATTGTGTAGATCCATAAATATAGGAAGCATCAAGGAAAGACGTGAGTTGATTTAGTTGATTTCGATAACCAAGATTAACCTGAGCAATAAGACTTCTGGCAAATGGCATACATCTTGGTTGTCCATTTGAATGTCGATGTGGGAAGAACGGATCATCAGCATCAATTTTAATAGGGAAACAATGAATAGAAAGTGTTTTTGCTGAATCACATGATGAACAATTCAAAATTGTATTATGTGGTCCTCTTGAAATTGGCGAATGCATCATATCATGATCAAGAATTTGACCAAATTGCATTAACATATGAGTGAATTTCACATGGAAATTTGGAGCATCACTATGAACAATATTTGAGATTTTGCGAGCAGATGGAAGTTCTCCGCCTAAAACTGAACGAGTTCTTGGAGTATCAAAACCATCATCATAAGCTGGATCAAGTAATCTTCTCATTTGTCTGAAGGCATTCCCAAAATGTGGATTTTTCAAATTATTACACCATCCAGAATATGTTCGATATTTATTTGTATGATCACATGGAAGTGGTTCAGGTAAACATTGTTCTTTTGGTAATGGATCTCTACCAAGAAATGGTGTAAAGTTTCCAATAATTGTAGAAACATCAATTTGTGGAAGAATTGTTTGAAGAGTTTCAATATCCAAATCTGGTAGTTTTTCATCAGCATTTAAACCATTACCAGTTAATAAAATATTAGTTGCTTCTCGAAGAATTGAAGCAGTTCTTGCAATATCAATCGACTCTTTTTTTGGAGCCATAAGAAGTGCGTGAGATAAAAGAGCAGATGGAGACGAATCACTTTGGAGTGCACTTATTCTTCTACCTTCACCTTCTTCATATCTTTTCCATTGTTCAAGTCCAAGTCGAATTGCTTTTTCAACAGTTTCTTTTGTTATTGGGAGTGTCATCAATTTTTCTTCTTCTCTAAAAACTTCTGCATTGAATGATGGAATCAAAGTCGACGAATTACATTGAAGCGGACAGTTTCTGAAAAAATTACATACAGAAATTTGCAGAACTTTTTGAACTTACCCATATTCATCTGGAAGTTGGAAAGCCAAATGTTGTATTTGTGTCACAGTCTGAACATTATCACAAATAATTCTAGCCATTGAAGTTTTCCGAATTTCTTCAACTTGTTCTAACTTGAAAGCTGAAGGCGAAACAAAGTTTTCATACCAAAATCGATCTCCTCTTCTAGTTTGAGACATTTGATGAGCAAAAAGACATGCAAATGTTGATCCCAACAATGATCCTTTAGCTGGTTGTTCAGAAAGTCCACCAACAAACAAATCAATATCTTCTGGTGATTCATAAAGTCTCTCAAAATCAGAAATATTTACAGAAGGTTTGAAATGTGTTTGTAGAGATGCAAATGATTGTAATGGTTCAAGTTTACAGAATCTTCGCCATTCTAAATAAGATGGGAGTCCGTGATCTCTACCCATTTGAATTATCATTGATACAATTTCAATCGAATCAGAAACATCACCATTTCTTCCAATAAAAGTTTTCTTCAGTTCTTTAGCAATATGAAGGCCTGGCTTTTCGATTGGACTATTTAATAAAAACTTCAAAATTCCGTCAAGTCTTCCTTTGTCATATAAAATTGAGGGATCATTGAACTGCTTTGACAAAAGATCATTTTGTGTTGGAAATTGTCGATCACTTGAAATTATCTTATCTGGAATTAAAGTTAAGAAGAATTGTCCGACGGCGGCTGCAAAAACATTAGAAGCTGAAGCATCGACTGATAAATCATATCCACTATCATAACCACTTGTTTGAAGACGAATCCCCATTACACGAAGTTGTTCTTTGCCAACAAGAGTTGGAACAATTTCACTGAAAAAATATTTCAACTGGAAAAAATTAATCAAAAATAAGTTACTTGAATGTGATATGCTGAAACTGTGCGACTGTGATTCGTCTCGATTCTTCAAATAACTTCTGATCATCCCATTTTGGATTGACTTCTTTTAACTTATCAGCAATTTGATTATGTTGTCTCATCCAAATTGTATACATTGCTCCTGATGTTGGTAAAAAGTTGATCTTATTACTTCCAGCAAAGAAACATGGTTTTCCAGCACTAGTTTTACAATTTCCAGAATCTTGGGAGGCTGGTGGGAGACCAAACTTTTGGATGTTTCCGGAAATTGAGCGAAGGGCTAATTTTCCTTAAAAGCCATATATTTTTCATTTGACCTTTTCGATGAAATTTGTATTTAATTTAACGATTTAGTACTTACCATCTTTGAAAGATCTCATTTTATTCGAAGTTTCCGAATTGCTTCCATAAATCTGACTCAAATCCAAATACGATGTTGCCATATTAATCTGTTGTCTTTGTCCAAATGAACAATTAGCATTTGGAACTGTCAGACTTCTCGAATACGGTAAACATTCTTCATTTTTCCCTTTGATATCAAAACATTCTGGATGTGTATGTCCTTTTTTACAACAAGGCAAAGGAACTGCACGATTTCGACCATAGAAATCACCTGAAATTATTTCAGAATTTAAAGTTATCCAAATATATTTACGTGATTTAGTATTCTTATTCTTTTTTTCTGTATACAGTGTGAAGTGAACAGATGACTGTTTCATCTCTTTTTCTTTCGAGCGCGCAATGAGGAAATAGTTAGAAAGATGAAGAGACGCAGAGAGCGGACGGAGAAGCGGAACCATAATTATTATAAAAGCGCGCAGAAGAATGGCATTGAATAGTCTCTCTTTTTTCTGTGAAGTAGAAGGAGGTAAGTGTGAACTATTCGTTCATTCCCTCAAAAATTATTTTCTTCAGATTCTGAATTATAAAATGAAAGACGAAAAACAAAAGTCAAGTCTGCGTCCGGTGGCTTTTATTGCTGTTGTATTTTCAACTGTTGCAATCACATCATGTCTTATCACATTTCCATTAATTTTGCATTATATTCAAACTCTTGAATCACAAGTTCAACTTGATTTAGAGTTTTGTCAAGCAAGAGCAAGAGATATGTGGAAGGAAATGTTGGATATTGAAACTGGTGGAAAGAAAGATTCGGCTAAATTGGCAAATATTGTTATGAATCATAGAAGACTTGAAAAACGGTTTGTCATATATTTTTCACTGCAAGGAAGTTTGAGATTCTATTTTTAGTGACACCCTTCAAGACTTCTGGGCTCGTCGTCTTCATGATCCAAGAATTACGTGACCAACCAGTCGGATATGATAACCCATCAGTTGGAGTTGATTCATTCTCTGGAGAAGGTGGCGGCTGTTGTACTTGTAATCGTGGAGCACCAGGAGCAGCTGGAGATCCAGGACGTGACGGAGCTGATGGTGTTGATGGAAATCCAGGAGAAATCGGACCACCAGGTCCTCCAGCTCCGCCAGGACCAGATCCAACCAGCCTCTTCCCACCACAATGCCCTTGCGAAGCACCATCAGGAGATGCTGGACCACCTGGTCAACCAGGACCAGACGGGCCACCAGGATCACCAGGAAATCCGGGAGAAGATGGAAAACCAGGAGATCAAGGGCCACGTGGACCACCAGGAATTCCAGGAGCACCGGGACAACCTGGAAGACCAGGACCACCGGGAGAGCCAGGAACTTATCGCACAGAAATTGGACAACCTGGACGTGCTGGAGCACCAGGAAGACCTGGCCCACCAGGACAACCAGGACCAGCTGGACCACCGGGAGAAAATGGAAAGGGAGGACAACAAGGACCACCGGGATTACCAGGGCCCCCAGGACAACCAGGACAAAATGGACCACCAGGAGAGACTGGAAACAACGGAGACAACGGTGCACCAGGAAGTTGCGATCATTGTCCACCAGCCAGATTGGCACCAGGTTATTAGATTCAATAAAGTATTTGAGATGTTTTTAAAATTTGTTAAAGGCAGGAAAAAAGTGACTTACTCTTAAAAATCCGATTTGTTGGAACATGAACCATATCATCATAAAGAAATGATAAAAATGGTGAGATCAGAAGTGAACAAGTTGAATGACCATTTGGAGCAGGTGTAAAAAGGGCTGAAAGTTCGCTAGCTGAAGGAAGTTCATTTCCAGATTTCGCAACTCGTGGAGCACTAATACTATCTGCATAATCAGCTGGTAAAAATCTTTGAAGTTTCTCATAAGATGCACCATTTCTCGGATTCTTGATATTATTGCAAAGCCCCGTGTAGGATCTGCAAAACATTTTTTATTGTGAATTGTGAATTCTGAAACTCACCGATATTTTCCGATGATACATTCTTCAATTTGACTGATAGGACAAACATCTTTCATTTTGGTTTGATCAGTTGGCAAGAATTCGATCGCCTTTTTCATTTTTTTCGGAATTTTTCTGAAAATATTCGAAAACTTGATGAAAAAATCTTTCAACATACTCGATAAGTTTTTGAGCAGCAACATTTGCGGACAAAGCTGCAAAAGATAAATATTTTGCATATTGATCTGCATAAGTATACTGTAACCATGCAAGTTCCGAGGACTTGAAACTTGTATCCGAAAGTTCATCAGCCATATGTTTTTCTGTCTCATTGAATAATTTTTCGGTGATGTTGATAGCTTCAATTGCAGCAATTTCGACAATCTCTTTTTTCATCGATTTTTTGAGCTCATCTTTGAGATGATTATCGATTGAATTTGGAGAAAAGTTATCAGATCTTGGTGAATCTGGAAATCATTCACGCCTAGGTTGGGTAATCCAGATATTTCCGGTCTGATTTTATCTAGTCGCACTTTTGAAGATTGAAAAGATTGGATAGAAACTGGATTTTATGAGTGTTTGATTTTTTGAATAATAATTTTAGAAAAATTCAAGGGTTTTTTTTCATGAAACGCTGTGACCTCATTTATCAGTTTATTCTCAAGATTCTGAAACTTTTGAACAATTTTCAAGTTGATTTGAAATGTTTGTTTTTTTTTTTGACGAACATTGAAATTCTCGGAAAGTTTTTTTATTCAATCAAAAATTGGAGTTCAAATTCTTGCTTTTTCATTTCATATTTTTTCAAAATTGATTTTCAAAATCAGAACTCACGTAAAACCGCCGAAAAGGCTCGTTTCTGAGTGCATGGCACAAAACTTGGACCACATGGAAATGAACTCGCCCAAATATTTGATATCAAAGTTGTTGAAACAGTGAAAAGTATCAGAAAAATGCGAGGTCTTTCACGCATTTTCCCTTTTTGTGACGCAAAAAGTCCAAGATAGAATAAATAATCAGGAAAAGAATAAATATAAAAAATGAGTGAATATGGGAGAAAAAAAAGATGATGTTTCGAGATTAGACCGGTTTGTCTTTGGACGATTAAATAACAAGCTGACAATATATGTGTTATAATTTATATATTATCGAATATTCAAGAAGGCAGACAGAGAAAAAAGATGGATGAATTGATATTGCGTAAGAAATTGCAATTTCAGGATTTGAACAGAAATAAATCGCAAATTATTTTTTTTGAATCCACAAAACTAAAGTTGAAAGAAATTTTGCAAATTTTTTATTCCGGTTATATTTCTAGACAACAATCTCATAATTTTCAAGTTTTCGAGATCGAGGCTATAAAAAACTCACATTTTCAGGTTTTTCTTAAAATCGAATAGAAATGACAAAAAACGGCTATGAATACAATAATGAAGAACTTAAAAAAGCTGTGAAACACACATTTTTTATTGCTTGAATGCTTGAGATCCAAGCAAATGAGGACTCAAAATTTAAAATATTTACAAAGCAAATTCAGATGAAAATGTAGAATTTCCAACATCAAGAAAAAACTAGTCGAGGGCTTCAAATAAAAAGGATTTTGAAACAAATCAATTATGAAAAACTTTATTATGGAAAAAAGAATTGAATGAAAATCAAATATTATGTGGCCCTAAAGAGGGCCGTTGGGTTCGGGTTGGTTTGTCGATCAAAATTCGTTGGCGAATAATAAATTATCCTCCAAAACCGTAGAGGGTGCGACCTTGTCTCTTGAGAGCATAGACAACATCCATGGCGGTGACGGTCTTTCTCTTGGCATGTTCACAGTAAGTAACAGCATCACGGATAACATTCTCAAGGAATACCTTGAGAACTCCACGAGTTTCTTCGTAGATTAATCCAGAGATACGTTTGACTCCTCCTCTGCGAGCCAATCGTCGAATAGCCGGCTTTGTGATTCCTTGGATGTTATCACGAAGAACTTTACGATGGCGTTTGGCTCCTCCTTTGCCGAGTCCTTTTCCTCCTTTTCCACGTCCAGACATGATTTGATACGAGTTTTGTGTTGCAAAAAATGCAGTGAAGAAATGATGAATTTACTCGCTTTATATACTCAAAAGAGGCGGAGCTTATCATACCACCGTGCGGGGACACTTATTTCTGTTTTTGGATTGCTTCCAAATTTTTGTTTGTTGTTGTCTACTTGGAATGGTCAGACAAAATTCAGCAGATGGTTGGAAAATTATGAATAAGCTAAAAACTTTGAAATGTAAAATGCAGAAGTTTACTTTTGCCGAGTATTATCCGCTTACTTCAGGTAAATCACAATGTTTTAACCCTGAATAAAAATGACATAGGTGAGAGTGAGACAATTAATGGAGACGCAGACAAAAAAGCGGCAAGAGAGTGTGCCACGTGAAGAGTCGCAGACAATAAAAATAAATAAAAACGTGAACCATCATTGTCGTTTTAAAATGTTGTGTAAATATCATTTCTTAAAAATAGTTGTATTCGAATAAAAAATTTTGACAGTTGAAAAATTGACTGTGGGATATTCGCTATAAATGTTATTTTTTAAAGAACTTTATTTTAAAACAATAATTTTTGAAAAATAAAACACAATGAGAACAAGTACTTTATTGATTAATGGCCTAATGAAATTTCCAAATGTGGCCCTAAAGAGGGCCGTTGGGTTCGGTTTTTGGTCAAACATCAACAAAAATCAAAAGATTTATGCGCGTTCTCCACGGATACGGCGAGCAAGTTGAATATCCTTTGGCATGATGGTAACTCTTTTGGCGTGAATAGCGCACAAGTTGGTGTCCTCGAAGAGTCCAACCAAATAAGCTTCAGCAGCCTCTTGAAGAGCCATCACAGCTGATGATTGGAATCTCAAGTCAGTTTTGAAGTCTTGAGCGATTTCACGAACCAATCTTTGGAAAGGCAATTTGCGGAGCAACAATTCAGTCGATTTTTGGTAACGACGAATTTCACGAAGAGCAACAGTTCCTGGACGGTATCTGTGTGGCTTCTTGACTCCTCCGGTAGCTGGGGCCGATTTACGGGCAGCCTTGGTGGCCAATTGCTTTCTTGGAGCCTTTCCTCCAGTTGATTTACGAGCGGTTTGCTTGGTACGAGCCATTGTAGTTGACGAACTTGTCGATGAAGAAATGAACTGGATGTTTGCTTTTATACGAAAAGACAGAGTTGTGCGGAATGGGCGTGGTCTGTGACTCCGCCTATTCCGCACAAAAAATGTGTGTGTTTGTATAGGAAAAAAGGGAAAATGGCGCGAATAATTACAGAGAGACGCTTGTTTATTTGGAAACAAGTAAGTAACAGAATTGAAAAAAAAATCAAGTCAATCACATAACAAAAACAAAATTCAAAAAACGATAAAAAATAAAAATATAAAACAAAATGTTGGCTTTATTGTTACTATCATCAAGCGACTTTTTGATGAAATAACTTTTTTTCATTTTTAAATCATATTTTCACCAAGATACTTGTCCATATCCACAAAAAAACCCAATATATCCCCTTTCTTGTCTCAAAGTTCTAACAACCTTTAGAAACAACACATGCCTAATTCATATTTCAAAAAAAAAAATTATTTCTCCCGACCTCAAAGTTAGATTCTGAAACTTCCGTTCAAAAGCATCCTCGATTAAAATGCAAATCAGAAATTGCTAACTCTACAGAACTCCCTCCGACTAAAACTTCACTACTCAATCGAACCCCAAAAAAAGAACTAACCTTTGAAATTTCGACCATTCCTCGTTCATCTCATCGGTCAAAATTGATGTATTGCTTCATTGTTTCCAACAAAAGTCATCTTGAATATTTTCATCCACGGGCAAACTGAAAAATATTTTCAATTTAATGAAACTTTTGGTTGTTTTTTATTGATTCAAAACGCTATTTCAAAATATGGGCGTCCATACGCGAGAGAAGAGACAAAAAGATAGTGAAATCGCGCGTGATCGGTTAAAACGCAGAACAGGCCCCCACCCCAATTCAGGTCCCCACGGCCCAGGAGAAGCCCCCACTTTGGACCCACCTATTGAAAAAATTATATTGTGAGGGCTCAGGCGCAGGATGGGCGAGGCTCTAGAGAGCCCCCACATTAGAAAAACGCTCTAAAAAAATTAGAATGATTTTTTCGCCAATTTTTCTGAACAATAATTTGCAATTCTTTCAATTTTCGCGGGTAGATCAAAAAAAATTTTTTTTGTTAATTTCTCCATAACCAAAAATAATCATCTCACTACAATCTTAGGTCTATTTTTTAAAAGTAAACTCACGATACATTTCAAAAAATGAAGGCGGCAATCCAAGCATTTTGAAAAATCAGAAATGAGCAAAAAGATTCACGTCAAAATCATTGAAATTCAAATCTAGAGCACAAAAGTAGGTCAAGCGGAAGGATAGATCACGGTTTAATATATAAGTTCTTCCTGTAATAACAAAACATGATAATTACAATAAAACAATTTTATTCATAAAAATATAAAGAATTTGTCAAATGTGGCCCTAAAGAGGGCCGTTGGGTTCGGTTTGAAAATGTCAACGATATACCAAAATTTACTTGGATGAAGTATATTTGGTAACAGCCTTGGTTCCTTCAGAAACTGCGTGTTTGGCCAATTCTCCTGGGAGGATCAATCGAACGGCAGTTTGAATTTCGCGAGATGAGATGGTTGATCTTTTGTTGTAATGAGCCAATTTCGAAGCTTCGGCGGCGATTCTTTCGAAAACATCATTGACGAAAGAGTTCATGATTGACATAGCCTTTGATGAAACTCCAGTGTCTGGGTGAACTTGTTTAAGAACACGGTAGATGTAGACAGAGTAAGATTCCTTTCTCTTGGCGTGTCTTTTCTTCTCACCCTTGGGCTTTTGGGTTTTGGCGGCTTTCTTGGCTCCTTTGGCTGATGGCTTTGGTGGCATGTTGATTTTTTTTAAAACTTGCAACAAGTATGAGTTGAAGGAAAGAATTGATTTTCTTTTATTTCATGTGCGGAATGGGCGGAGACACGGACCACGCCTATTCCGAACAAAATGCGGCGTTGGTGTCCCCGCGTAGTGGTAACTCCGCCCATTCCGCATGTTTTTATATAAACACACATTCATTTCTGTAAACCTCATTCTGTTTTAAAACAGTCACAAACTCTCATCAACAATCATGTCAGGACGTGGAAAAGGAGGAAAAGCCAAGACCGGAGGAAAGGCAAAATCTCGTTCATCGAGAGCCGGACTTCAATTCCCAGTTGGTCGTCTTCATCGTATTCTCCGTAAAGGAAACTACGCCAGAAGAGTCGGAGCTGGAGCCCCAGTCTACTTGGCCGCTGTTCTCGAATATTTGGCAGCTGAAGTTTTGGAATTGGCAGGAAATGCAGCCAGAGACAACAAGAAAAGTCGTATCAACCCAAGACATTTGCAATTGGCCGTCAGAAATGACGAAGAATTGAACAAGCTCTTGTCTGGTGTCACCATCGCTCAAGGAGGAGTCTTGCCAAACATTCAAGCTGTTTTGTTGCCAAAGAAAACTGCCGGAGACAAGGAATAAATTATTATTCCAATGTTGAGATTTTCAAACCGAACCCAACGGCCCTCTTTAGGGCCACACATACTTATTTTGTTTTTCAATATGTTTAATAAAGTTTTTTGTCTTGATTTTCAGAAAAAATGTGTTCAATTTGGTTGAAAATAAAGGCTTTTAAAATGGGGTATTCAAAGAAATTTTCCAATTTGGCAATACAATATTTTTGGGATTTCCTAAAATTCCTTTTTTCAAAAGTAAATTTATCAGATTCAAAGTGTTTAAATAACTTTCTGCTTCTATTTGAAAAATCGTGAAAGTTTTCGATTTCATTCTGACGTGACCTCGATTGCGAAACCTAAAAGGTTACGTCTCTTTTAGAAAAAATATTATTCAAACGCCCGCTGCTACCGAAGACTGACGCGTTTTGTGTAGCCTCTAACGCGCCAATAGTCAGTTTCAAAATTTTTGCATTTTTCGAAGCAAAACCTCTGGATTGGTAACAATTCAACAATATTGTTGGAATGTCTTCGAAATATCGTTCTCGGGTTATCATAGAATCAAGTTCTGAATCGGAATCCGAAAAAGACGCTTCTTCTGATTTGGAAATCGTTGAAAAAACCGAAGAAAGACAAGAATCGGGTTCAGAAAATTCGCAATCTATTATTGGAGATAGTGAAAATGAAGATGATGTTGTTGGTGACAGTGAGCATGATTCAGATGTTATTGAAGAATCAATGGCTTCGCAAAACGAAGATATGAACTCGACTCCACAAACACCTTCAGTAAGTCTAATTATCCCATTAGAAAACTAACTTTACTATTTTAGGATAGCAAGTCGTATTCTTCTTTTGCTACATCAACACCAAACGATAAAGAAACATCATCCGTTTTTTTCTCTGGGGCATCTTATAATTCTGCCGGTTCAAAAAATTCGGGCGAATCTTCGTCCAATCACGATAGAAGTCGAAGTTTCATCGAGGAAACTGGAACTGCTGGATCCTTAACACCAATATCGAAAAGATTGATGGAAAAAGATGACAAACATTCGAAACAGCAGCTAAGAGAAAGATTGTTGAGAAAATCAGTGAGACCAATGGAAAATCACGATTCTCCAGTCAAACAATCAGGCTGGTCAGGTTTAGCCAATGAGGATAATCTTTTGAACGCTGCTTTGAGTCCAATAACAAAAACAGCTCCAATCAGAATTGCTGAAGTATCTCATCACGAAATTGTGCTTGGTGAATCACCGGAACCTCCAGCGTTGGAAGCTGAAAGCCCAAAACCAATCAGTGATAAATCAGATGATGATATTGTTTGCTTGACTCCAAATCCTGTAAGAGTTCAACCACCACAACAAAAAGCTCAAAGTCCAAAAGCAAATGAATATGCGAAATTGTCGATGGATGAACTGTTGAAGAAAAAGAATCAGACAATGGCGCTTTTAGGATATTCGGATGGCTTGCCGGATAAAGGAAAAAAATTGCAAGATCAATTCAATGTTATTGATGATGAAATTGAGAGAAGAAAGGTATCGTTTTTAGAAATTTTGAATACAGACTACAGAACAATAAATTTTTCAGGACTTACAACTTCAAAATCCTGATGACGACGTCGAAGTTATTGAAGAACGTCGAATTGTCCAACCAAAACTTCCGTATTATGCTGTTCCAACAAAAGATGGCGTTTTGCCACCGAAACATTTGATTAATCCATTGCCACAACAAGATTTCAATCAACTTTTGCAAAAAGATGGAAAACGCATTTTCGGTGGTAAAATGACTGATGAAAGATATCAAAAAATCACATCGATGACTGAAAAATTGATGCAATATTTGCATGAGTAAGTTTTTTGAATTTCTAAAGCTCAACTAGGTTGGAACTTGATAGGAAATCTCAATCTACATCTCTAAAACTTTTAAAAAATGATGAAACTTCAAATATGAATTCAAATAACCTATATTTTTTCAGTGCTACCAATTCGATTCCAAATGACACTGATCTCACTGAAACTCCTCCACATTTCAAAATCGATCTAATGCCTCATCAAAAATCAGCTTTGACGTGGCTGAAATGGCGTGAAGTTCAACCACAATCCGGCGGAATTTTGGCAGACGATATGGGATTGGGAAAAACTCTTTCAATGATTTCGTTGATCGTTGATCAAAAAGTTGCTCGAAGAAGTCGAAAAGAAAGCGGAGAAGATGAAGAGGATAAAAAGAAACGATTGGCTGCGAAAAGTCAAGGATTAGTTCCATCGAATGGAACATTGATTATTGCTCCAGCTTCATTGATTTATCAATGGGAAAAAGAAATTGAACAAAGAATTGAGCGAGATTTTTTGAATGTTTACATGTTTCATGGAACAAAAAAACAGCGAGATATTGAAGCGAAAAAATTGGCAAGATATGATGTTGTTATTACAACTTATACATTGATTGCTAATGAGTTGACAGAAAAAATCAGGACCAAGAATAAGGTGAGCTCATCGATTTTTAAAATATGATTAAGATTTTTACTAATATTTTGCAGGTTGATGATAGAAGTGATTCGGATATGTCAGATGATGGCGGTGGTCAGAAAAGAGTTGTTGGTCGAGATGATTCAGTTCTATCGCAAATTAGTTGGGCTCGTGTTATTCTCGATGAAGCTCACGCAATCAAAAATCGAACTGCAATGTGCTCAAAAGCTGTTTGTCGTCTCTCATCATTTGCTCGTTGGTGTTTGACCGGAACTCCAATTCACAACAATCTTTGGGATTTGTATAGTTTGATTCGTTTCATGAGAATTGCTCCATTTAGCGAGGAAAAATATTGGAAAGAACAAATTATGCCAATGAGAGGAAGAATGGGTGATCGATTGAATTTGTTGACAAAGAATTTGTTGTTGCGAAGAACAAAAGATCAAACATGTGCGGTGACAAATAAAAAGATTGTGGATTTGGAGCCGAAACGTTTGATTGTTCATGATTTGGACTTTGAAGGAGCAGAAGCACATGCTTATGAGATTATGTGGGAGGCAGCACAAAAGTTTGTCAAGAAAATGGTTGAACAAGGAGAGGACAATCGATATATGCAAGAATATGGAGTTCGAAGAAAAGCAAAACAATCGAAATCAGGAGAAGATGTGAGAAATCCGTTTAATTGTAAGTTTTTTTGAAGTTTTTCTCAACTGGAAGTCTTAACATTTCCGAAAAAATGTATTTTTTGTTCCAAAATGTTGAAAAACATATTTTCAGTCGGCCCGCGAAGTCTCGGAACTCAAAGTAACTTCCAAAATATGTCTTGTGTTCTAATGCTTCTTCTTCGTCTTCGTCAAGCCAGTGTTCATTTCAATATCACGAAAAAAGGAATGGATATGGAAGCATTTTCAATAATTGGAGGAGATGATGATGTTGATGTTGATGAAATGGATGCATTGTTAGAAAAAACTATGGCAAATATGACTTTGGATGAAGAGGAAAATGATGAAAATGATGAGGGAATCAAACAGAAAAGAAGTGATAAAATGGAACAAAAGATTTTCGACAGCGATTTTATTAGTTGCAAAATGAAGAAAACTTTGGAATTGATTGGAGAAATTATGGAGAAAAATGACAAAGTGTGAGTTTTTTCTGGAAAAGATAATTCCAAACAATACATTTGCAGAGTGGTTGTTTCACAATGGACATCTGTTTTGAACCTCATCGAACAACACATCAAATCATTTGGATTCCCATATACCAGTATCACAGGAGAAGTTAAAGTATCTGATAGACAAGCACGAGTTGATAGTTTCAATAAATTGAATGGTGGAAGTAGTGTTATGTTGTTGTCTTTAACTGCCGGAGGAGTTGGTTTAAATTTGACGGGTGGAAATCATTTGATTATGGTTGATTTGCATTGGAATCCCGCGTTGGAACAACAAGCATGTGATAGAATTTATCGAATGGGACAGAAAAAACCCGTTTTTATTCATAGGTTTGTTGACATTTTTGAGAGGGAAAATGAGAGCTTTTTTAGATAAATTCAAGAAAAAAGAAAAATTTGTGGCCCAAAAAATGTATGCTATATCATAAATTTTGCTCATAAACCAGATTTCATTTCAGATTGGTGACAAATTCCACCATCGAACAACGTGTCATCGCATTGCAAGAGAAAAAGTTGGAAATGGCGAAAAATGTGCTCGACGGTTCAGCTTCGAAAAAATTGAACAAATTATCAATGGCCGATATCAAGACACTTTTCGGTTTGGACGACAAATAATTTACCTTTTTTGCCCCCTCCCTTTTATTTGTTCTGTAAATATAACTTTTTCATCAATTCACAGGTATTTTTTTGCATTACTTATGTTTTTTGTAGAATGAACAGAATTAGAAAAATTCACCTTCGACATGTTCTGCCAACATTAATTTTGTTTCAAAAAAAAAATAAACGTGAACGTGTGTTATTTTCCACGTGTATATTTCTCATTTCACAAAAATATTCAATTCTGAGTTTGAATAATGTCGAAGTTTCCGAAACCTCGAAGAATTCTCGAATTCTGTTTGGCTATTTTCGTATTTTTTTGTTTGGGCAGATATTTCACAAAAAAATCCGAGCTTCCGAAAGATTTCTGGCTGCAAGTGCAAAATGCAAATTTTGCAAATGGTTCGAGTAGAGTTTTGTGAGTTTGCAAATGAGTTGCGATTTTTTTTGAAAGTTAACTAATTTTCAGAGACAAGTTTTGCGATTCGGAGTGTGTTTATGTTGTTGATGTATTCATTAATGGACCAGAAAAACATGTTATGCGAGCAGTTACGAAAGAAGAAGAATATATTGGATCATTTGTAGCTTTATCCATTTTGAAAATTGATGAAAATGATATTGATACTTCAAAATGGAAAGTTGATCATGGTTTGGCGGCACCTAATTCGATTCACGCAGCACAATTAAGTGAGTTTTAACTATTTGTAATTAGAAGTTCCTGATTTTTTAAATAATATTTCCAGATCTCTTGTTCAAATCTGGAGTTATTCCACTTTCCCAAAATCTAGAAGGTCATACATTGATTTTTGGTGTTGCGACTGGCGGAACATATATGTTTTTGCAAAATTTGTTTCCAAAGATGACTATCACCGGCCTGGAAATAAGCAAACAAAATATAGAAATTGGTAAAAAATGGTTCGGCTTCAAAATCAATGATCAAAATGAATTTTTGGAGTCAAATGTGTTGGATTATGTGAAAACATCCATTGATGGTATGGTTGAAATATAGAGGTATAATTTGAGAAATGTTTTTTTTTCAGAGAAACATCGTCCAAATTTAGTCCTTGTTGATGCTTGTGTTGATTTTGATTGCCCTCCGAAATCTTTGTTATCTGATGAATTTATAAAAAATCTTCGGGAAATCATGAAATCTGATGGTAATTTTTTAAATCTATCGAATTATAATTTTCGTAGAAAATTATTTCCAGGCGTTTTATCTATGAATATTCTGACCGCTCGTGATGACTTCAAAGAAGTATATCAATATGTGAAAGATAAATTCTCGATGCATTTTGATGCTTGTGATTATACTCAACTTTCTGGATACAGAAATGCTATTATGACTTGTTATTGTTCGAAAAAATCATATCAACCGCGCAAAAATACGAGCAAATTTCTCAAACATATCGGCATTATGAACAACTTTTATTGATTGATTGATGATTTTTACTCTAGTTTTTTTTAAATTTAAAAATGAAATAACTGAAATTTATTCATAATTATTATTTCGCGTGACCTAATATTTTCGAAATTAGGCCAATAATTTTTGTCCTGTCCGATGGTTTTATTTTAGAATTTTATAAGAAAGGAATTTGAACGATTCTCTAGATTTATAGCAAACAATGATCGGTAGGTTATTCTTATTCCATAATACTAAAAAAATACATTCGAAATATTTCAGCTAAAAGTATTTTCGAAATATTTGCCATAGTTTTTTTCACTACCGTCGCATTGCTCACATGTTGTTCGAGCAATGAAAAACAACCATCAGATAAAACACAGCGAAACAATAATAACAATAAAGCTGGAAAAAATCGATCAAAGAAAAAACCGATGTTGTTGCAAAGAATGCCACCTGCAGAACAGAATAAGAAAATTGAAGATCCAACGAAAGTCACTGGAGCAACTCAAGTGAAAAATGAGAATGAAAAACCGAAAGAGATGAGTAAAAAAGAAAGTGGAAACAAAGATGGGAAAAAAGAAGGAGGCGGAGGGAATGGTGGAGCTGGAGAAGAAGGTGTTAAAACAAAAACACAAACAATCGATGTTGATACAACTCATCAGAATTTGGATGCTTCAAAGTTACCAAAACTCGATAAAACTATGGTCGAGAATATTCATACACGTGAGTTTTTTTGAAGTGCCTATTTTTTTGAATTTTCGGACTCGAATCTTTTTGAAACATTTTGAAGTTCAACATTTATTTGGTTCAAATTTCTAAAATTTCACACCGTTTCGAAGGAAAAATCGGACCACTTTTTCAAAATTTCCTGATTTTTGCACCAAAAAATTGACTTTTTTGAAAAAGTGGTCCGATTCAGAATTTTTCTCAAAAAATCGGACCTGGTCCAATTCCTATTGAAAAAATGTCACCCTGGTCCGATTCAGAAAACCCTCAAAATCGGGTCCGATTCAAAATTTGCCGTAATTTACTACTCACAAAAAGTAGTGTCTGTGAATTGTTCAAGTCGTAAATACACTGTATTTATTCGATCGATTTATCATGAAAATAACATTTTATCTCTTTCTCTTTCCAAAAATCCAAATTCAAACTTTTTCCAGCTGCCGTCCACGATCGTGCTACAAAAATCGCCATCGAACGTGCCATAATCGATCCGAAACATTCACGATATGGTGGAAACATTGACATGTTATCAGTCAGATCGAAAACCAATAAAATGGATGTTTTCGAAAAAGAATTGGAAAACCATAAATCGGAGGCAACTGTTGAAGTTTCGAAAAAGGATCCAAATTGTCGTGTAAAAGTTCGCGAAGATAAATGTTTGGTTTTCGAAACGAATGAAGTTCCAACAGATGACGAAGAAGAAGAACCACAACAACAAGATCCGCAAGTTTGAAAATAAAAATAAATAAATTGGTTATGATAGTTTTTTTTTTCCTAATTCTCAATTTCAAAAAAAAAACATATGTTTGAAAAGTAACCTGATACTCTAGAATAGAAAAATCAAAAATTCTTATCCTAATTGGAGCAGGTGTCCTCCTCCTGGCACCCATTTATGCTCATATTTGCGTCCCAAAAATGTTGCCTTGCGATAAATGTGGTCTACCAAAAGAAAAACTATCGTATACGGTAAAAACGGTCTATCGAACTTCAGATGAAATGTGAGTTTGTTATTATGAATTATTCAAATAATTATTTTATTTTTAGATTTCCGGTGACATTTGGATCTATGAACACAACTCATTTTGAATCGGCGGATAAAGTTGCAAAATATCATTGTAATTGTAAATATTTGTGGTTGAGAGAATTACACGGAGTTTCAGCATTTATGATGGTAAGTGCCCTTCATGATATACAGTGACACGTCATAACCGACTTTTTCAGTCCAACTCATTGAAGGAGAAAATATTTTGGGCGTGTATAATAATCGGTTGTGCTTCATATTCGATTTATAACACAAAAAGTATTTTGGATGAATATGGTCAACATGCAACAACAACTTTGATCACAATTCTGCCAGTCAAGAAATTGAAGTTTCCAACAATGGTTTTTTGCCCGAGATATCCGGATTTTTTGAATTACTATAATATTCTATCAGATATGTATCAACATTTAGGATATATGGAAAACTCGACGAATTTTGATGTATTACGCTTTGCTATCACTGGATTTGGAATTGATAATGCTGGAAGCGAATTTTTCAATGAGACTTATCAGTGAGCATTTTTTCTAGAGCATTTTTAAATTCCTGCCTGATGTGTTTTAGAGCTCAAATGAATGACTATTATTTGAAATGGAAAGGAAATCGGAGCCAATTTGAGATGTTTGATTTTGTGTACAATCAGAATGGATACACTTGCCAGGATGTGAGTTCCAGAGATTTTTACAAATGATGCTTCAACATCTAAAATCTTTTCCAAATCTTCGCATACGAGATTGTTTTGTAGATGTTTCAAACTTGTTACGGTGGAATGAACACTTATAATTGCTGTGATATTTTCGAACCAACCTATGTTATGATACGTGGAAGATGTTTCCGATTAATCGATTCCTATTATCAAAATGATACCGATGAAGTTGCCAAAGTTTCAATTTATTTCAATAATATGACAAGTCCGATTCTCAATACTGGAATACCGGTACGAAAATTTCATTTAAAAATACCCGAATAAATATATCAATAAATCATAATTTCAGCCTCAATTGGTGATGTATAATGGTGATTCAAATACAGAAGTTTCAATTTATCCTAGAATATATTTGAATAGTCACGATTGGAATCGTATTCGATATTCACAAAAAGTTATGAAATTATTACCTGATAGCACGAGATGTTCAACAGATCGAATTTATCAAGGAAAATTCACATGTTTCGTTTATAAATGGTTGATGCAATTGGTGACAATGTTCAATTGTACAGTACCATATTATAAATATCAATTGCCATATTTAGCTGATGTTGATATTTGCGAAGCTTCTTTGATCGTTGCCAATTTTCATAATATTAGTCTAACTCCAGCTACAATTGGTTATAAATGTATTCCGGCTTGTTCAAGAATTGAGAATTCAGTGCAATTAACATCGAGTATTGATGTCGACCCAGATCAGAGTTATATGTTCAGACTTGAAGCTAGTTTCACTTATCTTGAGGTATTGTTTTGAAAAAAGAAAACATTATATCCATTTGATTATAGTATGAGCAATATAGAGAAATCCGGACTACTAGCACACCTGGTTTCATTTCCGAATTGGGCGGACAAACTGGTTTATTTGTTGGGTGTAGTGTGATGACTTTGGTTCAACTTATCAATTCGATAGTTATTCAAATTTATAAATTGTGAGTTTTAATATATAATGAAGTCGGATTATTACGCAAATTTCAGGGTACGAAATTCATCAAGAAAACATGGTTGGAGTGTATTTTTCGGACTTTTCACAACTCACCATACCGAACCATTTGATAAATTTTATCCCCGGCCGATTCCGGAAAATTATATTGAACACTTGGAAACTATACCAGAGGAGGATGATCGATTTGATGCTGATGGAACACTTTTCAACGATGCACTGCCTCCCCAAATCTACGTGTGTGTGGAAAAACGAAAAATGTCTGGCACGCTCTCACAAACACACACTCTCTCGCACACAACTTTTTACTTTTATTTCGCGAAAACAGTGCATATTAGGAGCTGATTTTTATGTTTTTTTCATCAGAACCACAATATGTGTTATACATAGTTCGAAAGAGAATTTCTTCGGCTACAAACACATATGAAATGTTATAAATGAAACCGAGATAAAAAAATAAAAATTTCATGCAAACATGACATGGTTTTTTTGAATTGTGTGAAAAACCCATGTGTTTTTTGATGACCTGGCTCATTTTTTTAATATCGAATATATGTATAATCGAGTCGTAGTTTTGTTCAGAATCTCAAGAGCTTTCAGATGGTATAAATCAATATTTATGAAATTGTGAAATCATGGAGGAGTAGGGATTTTTCGTTTGTCAATTTTTAAAACGAAATTTTCCTTTTCATTTGAAAGGAACTCGAATGAAGTTTACATACGTTTTGTAGAGAATTTCTCGGGCTTCAAAATCATATATATTTCTATACACAAAAATGAAAATTGAAAGCACCGCTTTCGGTTGAAAACTTGTTGGGTTTGCACCAAACAAACAAACCGCGTTCAGTAGCGTTGCGAAAAACAGCGGTGAGTTTTCAACCGAAAGCGGTGCTTTCAATTTCCATTTTTGTGTATAGAAATATATATGATTTTGAAGCCCGAGAAATTATCTTCAAAACGTATGTGAACTTCATTCGAGTTCCTTTCAAATGAAAATGAAAATTTCGTTTTAAAAATTCACAAACGAAAATCCCTACTCCTCCATGATTTCACAATTTCATAAATATTGATTTATACCATCTGAAAGCCCTTGAGATTCTGAACAAAACTACGACTCGATTATACATATATTCGATATTAAAAAATGAGCCAGGTCATCAAAAAACACATGGGTTTTTCACACAATTCAAAAAAACCATGTCATGTTTGCATGAAATTTTTATTTTTTTATCTCGGTTTCATTTATAACATTTCATATGTGTTTGTAGCCGAAGAAATTCTCTTTCGAACTATGTATAACACATATTGTGGTTCTGATGAAAAACACATAAAAATCAGCTCCTAATATGCACTGTTTTCGCGAAATAAAAGTAAAAAGTTGTGTGCGAGAGAGTGTGTGTTTGCGAGAGCGTGCCAGACATTTTTCGTTTTTCCACACACACGTAGATTTGGGGAGGCAGTGCGATGGAGATGAAGATGAGGTTGGGGATTTTGAAAGCATTGAATTAAGTATTCTGGGGACTCCGGTTGAAGAAACACCATCTTCGATTTCTCTAGAAGAGGAACTTCCTTCCTCGATATTTTCTTCTGAAGAATATCCGAGATTTCAACTCGAAACAATGTCTGAAATAAGTTCTGAACCACATGATACAGTTTCGGAAGATCCTGAAAATGTTAGAACTGCAAAATATGTTATGATCAAAGTTCGCGACCCCGAAGGTGGTTTCGAATGAAATAAATTCAATAAATATTTCATTCTGATGATTTAAAAACACACCGTTTCAAATAGAAATAAAATCAAGTTCAAAAAAATTCGAAAGGCGACAAAACTTCTGTGATTGAGCACCTAAAAGTTTCGGACAACAAAAATTGAGCATACGATTTTTCAAGAGAAAATTTGGGAATAACAAAAAAAATGAAATAAAGTCAAATAAATAAATTATGTATAAAATATGAATGAGATACGCCGGAAATGATTGGAAGGAGGAATTTTAGTTACATGGGTTGATTCTTTCACCAATTACAACACACTTTTGTGCTGTGTCGGATGAATTCGTTGGTGATAGTCGGGTGTCGGAATTACGATGGTCTGTATACGTCTGAAAAAATTCCACATTTTACCCCCGAAGATAACATAAATTTTCAACATAAAAGAAGCGTTTTCCCACATGCAAACTCAAAAAAAAACATAATAAGTAGAAGCGTTTTTCACAAACTCTTACTCGGATTTCGTAGTTGATTCGAAGGCAATATTACTCGACTGCAAAAGTTTTTTGGGTTTATTTTGTGTTGTTTTTAAATTTTCAAACTAATTTTCCGTATTTCATTTCAATACTAAACTCACTTTGTAACTGGATCTAATCGTCCACTTGGATTTATTGCATACATTGATTCTTCTATACTAAAATCGCCTTCATATGCAGTGCTTTGTTGTCTACCGTAACCATAGGTACGGTATTGTTGATTTGCGGGTCTTGGTTGTTGTTGCAATTGATGATGTGCTGGAACGCCCATAGAACCTGATTTCATTGTCAAATCTTCGTCAGATATTGGCATCTCAACCATTTGTGTTTCATAGTCCATTGGGACATTGGGGAGATAAACTGGCCCAAGTTTTTGTGGATAAGAATGTGAAAAGTTGGCCGAGTTACGCTGTGAATCTTTGTATCGTGACCAGAAAATACAAACGGCGCAAATTCCAACAAGAGCACCAACAGCGATGACAACAGCAAGAATTATGAGCACTAAAAATATAATTATTTCTCAAAAAACGAAGAGAAAAAAAAACTTACGAATACTGGCTGTTTTCCAATTTGATGGCAACAATGTTGCATTCAAATTCTCATCTCCCGCATCTTCTGAAATCTTTTCCAATCTGAACCATGGTTGTACTTTTCCAGCAATTAATTGCACATTTGTCGGCTCGAACAACTTTCGAATGTCTTGTTTCTTGCAAATCTTTTTGTTACTTGGATTCACTGCATACCAATAGATATCAGTTCTAACTTGATTTTCGATTGCTGTATGTTCGACCATTTTTTCGATTGTTAATAAGTTACAATTTCCAGTGAATTGTCTGATTGATTTAATGAGATCCTTCTCATGTTTCTTGAGTTGTTGAGGATTCAAACCATAAATGATCATTTTGAATCTATTTGCTGGTGTGATAACATTGACAACAACATCGGCTTTTGAGCAAAGTTGTTGACCAGAAATTGGAGAATCACAAGCGGAAACTCGGAATTCGAAAAACTGCACTCGATTGCGTTGAAGGATAGTTGTCATACTTTGCTTGGTAGAAATCTCTCCAAATGGACTGATTGAGAAATATTTGGATTGAGATGAAAGTGGATCGAGGGCATAGTTGACCAAACTACTGTTACCCAAATCTGCATCTTCTGCTTTCACAGTTAAGACTCGACTAAAAGCATTGGAAGTAGATGATACGGCTCCGAAATATGTGCTCAAGCCAAGATCAGAATCGTAGATAAATCTTGGAACATTGTCATTAACATCCAAAACAGTGATTGAAATCAATGCATAATCAGTTTGACTTCCAGATGTAACAGTAACATTCAATAAATATCTCTCAACAGTTTCGCGATCTAATTCCATCTGTGTTCGTAATTCACAATTTCCATCATTTCCAGCAGTGATACCAAATGCACCTCGATAGTTACCAGAAACAATATTACAAATAATAAATCTTGTGTCAGCTGGTTTATTCATAATAGACAAAACTTGAACGAGATGTGGAGGACGGACAGCTTCAGAGACAGATGCACTGAAATTATTTTTCTTTGAAGTTTTTACAAATTTTCTCAAAATATGAACTTACGTGTAATTTCTCAAACTGAATTGAATTTCTCCTTCATTTGGTGTATTCGAAACTGGTGATGCATCAGGAATCAAATGAGAACTAGTAGCAACAACATTGATTAATACAGTTGTTGTTGAAGAAAGTGCTGGCATACCACTATCAGCTCCTTCGATTCTCAATGTGATCTTTTCTCCAGAGAAAGCATCGATAGGTCTTGCCAAAGTGATGAGTCCATTTTCAGAATTAACATTGAAATGAGCTTCCAAACCACCAGCACTAACAAGTCGATATCGAATCAAGTTGTTTGGATCATCTCGGTCTTGATCGAAAGCAGCAACTTGTCCAACAATAGTTCCAGGCAATGTATCTTCTTTTACATCAAATTCATAATTCGCGTTTTCGAAGTTTGGAATCCAATCATTCTTATCACCAACATTAACTGTGATACTAACATAATGCGCAAGTTTTGGATCAACTTGAAGATTTTGTGCTTCAGCAGTTGAGATTTGAATGGTGATTGAGGAATTGGTTTCAGCATCAAGAGGTTGCAACAAATTAACAGAGCCAGAATATGATGAAACCCTGAAAACAAGGATTGTTTCTTTTTTTTACAACATATTTTAGTGAACTTACGAAAAAATAGATGGATCTCCTCTATGAAGAACATAAGTAACAGCCCCTGGAAGACCATCTGGATATGTTGCATGAGCTTTCGTGATTTCGACTTGTGATTCATTCTCATCGATTTGAACAGTAATTTGAGCTGGTTTGAAAACTGGAGCGATTCGTTTCGGAGCAACTGTTGGTGGATTTGTTGGTGCCATTTTTGTTGACATTGGAGTTGATGTAACTTCCTGAAAACTCTTGTTGAAGTGAACAACTTATAGCTTATGCATTTAAAGTTATTTCATTCAACGAAAATAGTCATGCAAACGAAAAAGTTAGTGTGTCACCTGGCTCTCCGTTTCCTGATAGTCAACTTGATTCGTGGTTTCGTAATCTTCTGAAGTTTGAGTTTGAGATGTCGATTCAATTTCTTCTTCTTCATAATCTTGTGTGGTGATTTCGGGTAATGGTGCAATTGTGGAAGAAGAAGAAGATTGATAATAATCTTCAGGTGCAGAGGGTTCGATATAATCATCAGTATATGGGGATACAGTGGAAGTGATATATTCTTCCGGTGAAAAAGTGCTAACTGTGGTGGGTTCTTCAGGTGATTCAGTCTCAAGTGAGACTTCAATAAATGTGCTAGAGCTGGGGGAAATCGTGCTACTACTTGCCTCCGGCATTTCCTGACTAGAATAATCAGGAATTTCAGTGGTTGTGGTTGTCATTGTGGTTGCTGATGTTTCATCTTCATCATAATCTTCACCATCTTCATTATCCTCGTCAATCTGTGAAAAGGGAGGAAAACTTAAAAATAAGCAACTAAAAAGGTGATGATAACTTAAAATAAAAAAAGAAAAAGGGAAATACCTGAGGATTTGGACTCAATGTTGGGAAGGTGGGGAATTGTGGGAACTCGGGTTCAGAAGCATCGGTTGTTGGGAATGATGAGAAAACATGTTGTTGATTCTTGGCTGATTCTGGAGTTGTGTTTGGCATAAAATCACCTGTTGATGGCTCTTCTTCAACACTTGATGTGTATTCGAATACCTCATTCTGTCAAAATTCACATTCAGGGAAAGAAAAACATAAATACACAACAGAATGAACTCAAAAAGGTATCAATTCACTACAATAAGAAATAAATCAAAACAAACCGTTGGTGATGCTGTTGCCATTGTGATCAAAGTTCCGAAAATCGAAATCTGCATAGCGGCACGAGTTTCGAGTGGAGGATCACCATGATCGCGGGCAACTACAGTTAGTTCGTGTTCGCCGAAATGAGCAGCTGTGAAATCTCCATTTACACTCACAATACCGTCGTTGGAAATTGCGAAAAGATTATTGTGTGGTGGCATAATTCGAAGTTCGAGCCGACCATTATCATCAGCATCAGCATCTTCAACGTTGATTTTACCAATAATCATATTATTTGAGAGTTGTTCAATGTCATCAATGCTTAATCGAAGACGAATTGGTTGATCGTCGACGAAAACTGGTGGATTATCATTAACGTCCTAGAAAACGCATTTGTTTATAACATTTCAAAAGAAAATAACTTACCATAACTGTAACTTGGACTAATGTCCAATATAGATGTTGATCTGGAACTCTACTTCTTGTTTCAACTTGCAATGAATACATTGCAGTTTTCTCTCGATCCAATTCATCTGCTGTCACAATTGTTCCCATATCATCAATAGCAAACTTTCCTTCTTCATTCCCACCAACAATATTGAAATATGTATACTTATTCGAATCTTCTCCACCCAAACTAACAACAACAGTATTTGGTGGTGTATTTTCATTCACTTCTGTCACAAATGTTTGAATAGTTTCTTCGGATTCAGCACTTGTTACCATGCTACTTGGTGTAGTTCCAAACATTGCCTGTGGATTTGGAAGGAAGGTTTCCATTCCAGGAAGTGGGGCAAGTGAAGCATGGGTTTCTTCAGATGTTGCTAAAACAATTACGATTGCTTGCGAAGATCGGCCACCTCCATCAGTTGCATCAATCACAACTTGATATCTTTCACCAGCAACAAGAGGACCAGTTGCAAAAAGTGTGTTTGTATCATCGTCATATCGGAATTTATCATCAGCATTGTTAGTCACCTAGAAGTTTTTTTTTGTTCAAACAATTAAAAAAATTGATCTTTTTCTCTGTTGGGTTCAAGATCATTTTTCCCATGCTTGTTTATTTACATTAATTCTATTTATAGAATGTTTATCTCACCTGAGCAATTGAATAGGAGACTTGTCCAAAAGATCCCGAATCAATATCTGTTGCATGAACCCTTACAATCGGTCGATCGCCCCCGTCAGCTGTTGTATTTGCCATATAAATTGGTTGTTCGAATTGTGGTGAATTGTCATTTGCATCAAGTATATGAATTGTTATTGTGACTGGTTCACTTCGTCGATTTGGAACAGTGTTAACTTCACGAGCTTCGACGTTCAATTGATACGTTGATGGATTTGGAGGATCGGCGTCGATTTTTGGAACGTTTAGATAGACATATCCTCGCTGATCTACGGCGAAGATTGTTGCTCCAAGGCCAGTTAAAATGTATTGATAGGTTGCCGGAGGCATTCCAGGTTGCTACAAAAATACGAATATATAATTTTTCAAAGAAGGGAATTTTCATAATAAAATAAATTCTACTTACCAAATCATCATCATTTACCAAAATCTGAAGCGATTCTGATTGCATATTTGGTGAAACTCTAACAGTTGTTCCAATATCTGCAGTTTCTGGTAGAAATCCTTCAGTAGATGAGACTTGTAAAACTGGCGCATGATTTGAAACAATTGCTTGATCTTCAATTTGACACCATGAATTATGAATAATAATTGAAAATATTAATAGTAATAGTTTTCTCTTCATCATTATTGAGCCATTAAATGAAATAAGTGTGAATTCTCTGTCTAATAATTGTACAATCTGTAAAAAGAACAATGATTTTGCGATTTGTTTACACTTTGTTAACACGGGCAGACAGCGTGCGAAAATTGTAACATATCCAAAAATCCCTCCCAAATCAGTCAAAAAAACTTGTGTTCTTTCCAAAAAAAGCCCCACTTCACCCCTTCTTTTTTTCGAAATTGTCTGATGACCCACAAACAGTAAAAACTTGAAAGTGTGTCTATATGTGCTGGTCAAAAAGTAAATAGGCGCGTGCGCGAGATGTGCTCCCATCTAATGAGCACACATAGATTTTTGGGGGGAGAAAAACAATGCGCGTGACACAATGATGATTTTTTTGGGGTCCTCGCCGTAGATACTCTCTTAGAACGCGCAAAAACAATTGAGTACATAGCCATACATAGCGAAAAAAACGAGAGAAGAACGAAGTTGAAACAATGACATTTAACACGGTGCAAAAATACACACAGGGAGCGGGTATTTTCGGGAATGCGGATTTAGACTATTAAAAAAAGCAAAAACTTGAGCCTTTTATTGATTTGTCTAGAAATCAAAGATAGTAAGTTGCAAAATATGGACATCGATAAGGTTCGAAATCCGGCCATCTATTAATAAAAAATTGAATTTATGTAGAAAAAAACATGGGCGAGAACTGGTTGATTCTTCATTTCAAAAAATTATTCGAAAGTGAAGATTTTGAAAATCTGACAAAGAAATAGGATTTTCAGAAAGTTACATTTTCTAAAAACATTACAAATTCATGGGTTTGAAAAGAAGCACAAATCTGTTGCAAAATTTTGATCAAATAATTCCAACAGAAAAATTAAGAAAATCGATAATCGGGTTGAAATCTAGTTCATTCATAGCCTCTTTAACATATTTAGATTTTTCACGTGTTAATTTTCAGGCTAAACGTTTTGAAAAATAAATCAGTTTTTCGCCTTTTTCCACAGTGAAATGAATTGTTTTGTTACAGTTCCTTTGAGATATGACTTTCGATATTAGAATTTCCGAAGAAAATTCGAGCAGTAAAAAGTTATTAGAAATATGAGACAAAAAATATTAGAAATATGAGAAATTTCATTTTACAGAGAGGCTCACAGAAAATCTTTTCTGGAATATTTTCCCGAATTAATTTAATTGCCAAAATATTGTGATTAAAAGCTTCCGAATTTTCCACAAAAATAACAAAAAATCAAGAAAACAGCACCAAATATTATGAAATTCTTAGCTTAAGTATAAGGCAAATCTGGAGAAAAACAGAAATCATTTCTCCTTCCACACCTTTCGAGAAAAAAACCTGATGTATACAAAAGGATGAACATTGCGAAAACATTCAAAATACACAACAAACAAGAGCATAACATTGGGTAATTAAAAAAAGAGCATAACATTGGGTAATTAAAACGCAGAGGTACGCAAGACGAAAGAATGGTCAGTTTGTTTTTGAAATTTAGGTTGGTTTTGGTGCTCCGCGAGCCACAGATTAGGTGCTGCGTTTTTGTTTGAGCATGGCAGAAAAAATATGAAGAAGAAAAAAGAAGACACGATCTAGAAGAGATTAAAATATTCCTGTTCCGTTGGAATTTCAACGATTTTCCGATTATCATTCAGATTATTTTTCATGTTTCATCAACAAGAATAAAAGTTCGAGGGACTATTGATAATCGATAAAAATACTTATACGAAAAATCTAGTAATAATATTTATATTTATATTATAAAGTGGTCAGCTCTGAAGAGGTAAAAGAAGGAAAAAGGTGAAAAAAGAGAGAACAGAGAAAGTAGACGAAAAAGCAACAGGTTAAATGAATACTGTTCACGATTTTTAAATACTTGACTATTTCCATGAATTGAAATGATGTATTTGAGTTTTCAAAGTTTTCGCTTCCGGTGTGAGAAGTTTTTCAGAATTGAGTGACATTTTTCAGAAATGATTTCTGGGTTATCAAAATTAGTTGAAACATCGTTTTTCAAAACAATTTCGGTATATGCTCAAATTTCTGGTTTATTGGAATTTTCAAGGGAAGCATGTTATAATTTTCACCGTTTTTCTTCTGACAATATCTTGTGAAAAATATTTCGACTGTGAATTTCAATAATTCTTGAATTTTTCAAAACTTCATTCTAACATTATTATTATTATCGGAAATATCCAGGCTGTTCGAATTTCAGATCAGTATACATTTATTTTAAAAATATTTCATTGATTTTCTGAAACCAACTTCTGGTCGAATTTTAATAATGCTTGAAAATTTTCAGAACTCGAAAAAAGTTTTAAAATTGAGAGAAGTTCTGATTTTTCAAACGAGAATCGTAAAATAGTTCTTAAGCAGAGAAGTCGAGTTTTCTTAAAATATTCGATAAAACTTCAAAGTTTCATTTTAAAAATTAATTCTTTAACAAAAATATCCCATATTTCTCTCCACATATCCATTTCCAAGTCGGTTCTTTTTCCAAAAGCAAAATAATAATCTGTGAGCTTAACAATGTTTGGCAAGGTGCCACATTGTGGCTTACCTTTTTGATTTGTGCAAGAGGTACTGTGCAAATAAACAATATGTCTAGAAGGACATATTTATATTATCCTCAAGTTAGAGAAAAAACAAAACTGATATGAGATATAAGAATTTGAGAGATTTAGAGAAAATTGAGAAATTTGTCAGAAAAAAATTCATGATTTATTTTGAAAATAGAAAATACAAAACATTTATCGAAATTTGATACGGTTGCGCGGCAAAAATGTGTTGGTCAGTCGGTATAACAAAACATACAAAAATTTTTGAAACAAAATGTTTCACCCACAAAACAAACGTTCGCATCACAAAAAAATCACACACAAAAAAACTCCGAATAAAAAAGCTAGAGCAAAAAAAAAAACTTAATTTGGAAAATCGTAAAAGTATCGAGTCATACAGCTTCTTCATCATCTTATTCTATATACAAAATAAATAAAAGCAAAAAGATTGGAGGGAGGAGGTGAGGTCTATTTGAGGTTTGTGCGCGGACTTGCGCGCGGGTGAGAGAAAAAGACCAAAACTGACAGATTAGGCTCCGCCGCACGCCGGGCGGCGAATGAAAGCGAAATTTTTTGGAAAACGAAACAATTCGAGAGGAAATGGAAGGGAAATGAGGAAGGAAGGAAGAAAGGAACAATACCCGAAAAATATTTTAATCTGTTATTGTTTCGAGCAGAAAAAACTGTATGATCTTTGAGCAAGACATTAAGAAATCGCGAACAGTTAAATGCGGTTTATATTGATTTCTGAAAACATGAAAGTTAACACCAGCTGAGATGATTTTATGTTTAAAAATGTTGCCAGTTTTGCTTTTGAACTTTCAAATTGTTTTCAATGTTTCATTTCAATATTATTGTCTGCTCAATTTTAGATCAGTTCAGATAACATCTATGTACCATTACTGAAACTTATTTCATATTTATTTTATATTCTTTCAATTTACATATTTTATAGTCGGAAGAACAAAGTATGTTTATTCAATAAAAATGTTAGTTTGTTTGTAATAAAAATTTTGCATGATTGAGATAACAACAGGACTTTTTGATTAGAATGGAACAATTTATCATTGATTTATTACGTTGATTTTTGAACCACATACAAAAAATTCAAAAACATTAAAATTCCCGGTTCACATTATTTTACAGAATTGTTGGGTGCACGGACAAGTTATTGTTTCCGATCCAACACCAAATTGGTTTTCTTGAAATTCCAGACTTGTTTTTTCTTCATTCAATTGTCAGATAACAAAAAAGTATGGCACGCGAGGTTTCATTTCATTTCTTGTTATTCTCACAATCTGTTTAGTTTCAATTATGAACTTTTTCTTCATAATTTCTCCATTTTTATTGATTCCTTATTCAATTTTGCAAAATTATGAATCTGAAACTGAGATAAGCAATAATTTCATAGAAAGCAACAAAAGTTTCAAAGATAAACTTATAAGAGATTCGATTATTCAAATTTTGACAAAGTTCTCATGTATCACAACGTTTTTTGTTTATCTGACAGTTTCGAACTATCTTCATGGAAATATCAATTCGATTCGTGAGTTAACTGAACCTTACTAATTTTGAAAATAATATTTCAGCGTATAACTTCGTGTTCAATGTTTTACTGATTTGTGCAACGATTCCTTGGACGATTTTATTTTTGAGAAAAAATCATGCCTATTCAAAGTACATGAAAAATTTGTTCATCTTCAGAAAGACTACCAACTCAATTAGTTCCGTTAGACTTTTGTATATTTGAAAATAAATGTTTTTTTTTCAAAATTTGGAACCTACACTATTCCCAAACTGAAAGAGTTGAGCTAACTTACAGACTTGTTAGAGCAGATTTTTTCCCATTCTCAGGATAATGATAAACCAATACCTATTTTTCATTTTTTGCCACGTCATAACTTTTGGTGATCAATGAGCAATTATCACAGGCGTGGCTCTTACAACTACAACACATTGTTTAACGCCTTTTGTTGAGTGTGTTTTGATAAACACGCCCAATTTAGAAACAAGATAACAAGAATGTTTGAAGGTCCAATTCCATTAAAAAATCGGCATATTTATCAATGATAAAAAGAAATAGATACTTTCCATTTATTCTATTAATAGTTCTCATTCTATTTATAATTAATATTTATTTTGAAACGAATGTTACTTCTTCGAAGGAAGTGAAAAGTTCAAAAAATATTTTGCAAAAAATTGCGATTGTAATTGTTGTTGAGAAAAAAACAAAACGAGAAGCTTATCAAATAGCAACCGACACTGTTGAATGTTATGCAAAAATTCAAAATTATGAATTTATATTTCTGAATGAATCTAATCATAAAGATGACTGTAATCAGACACATGTAAGTTCATTCATTTTTTTTTAGAGATCTCTCCTAACTAATTTCAGCATTTTTTTCGTCGTCATTGCGTTGTGGCGAAAATTCTACCGAATTACGATGCAATTTTATTTATAGACGCTGATGTTGGAGTTGTGAATCCAAATCGGAGAATTGAAGAATATATGGATGATTCGAAAGATATTATATTTTATGATAGGTTTTATAATTGGGAAGTTGCTCTCGGTTCATATATTGTTAGAAATACAAACTATGCTGTGGATTCTCTTATGTCATTTGCAAATTATAATTTCAAACTTCCCAAAAGTTTTCATGGAACTGACAATGGAATTCTTCATCTTTTCTTAGCTCAACTATTATTTCCTCAATCAAAAATAGAAATTGAAAATTGTCAAAAAATCTACAATAAATCGCGAAATTATAAAGACCTTTTCACATTTGAAGCATGCATCCGAACAATTTTGGGAACTTCAACCGATTTTGGAAAAGTTCGAATAATGCATAAAGGAACTGCTTGGATTCGCGATAATTGGTTGAGTAATTCAAAATGGAGTCGAGAAAATGATTTTATGCTTCATGGATGGAAAACAAAACAACTTCGAAAAACTCCAGACAAAATTGGAACAGTTGAAGGAAGTCGGGGAAAATGGTTCAATCCGTTGATCGGAAATATTGATTTAACAAAATGTCGACCGAATAATTCAACATGGAATTATGATTTAAAATTGATTGGAAATGTTTCGGAAATTTTAGAAAATCATCGAAAAATTGAAACTAAAATCAGCATGAACTTTGTTAAATCTCTTTCGCGAATGATAGAAGTTATTGAAGGAGTGAAGAAAAACACAACTGGATGACCGAAATTTGTTTTTTTTTTGTTTTGTCTCATTTATACATAGATCTCAATTATATATATATATTCATAAAAGATAAATCTCAAGAATCTGTTGACGAAAACAAAAAACATATAATCAAATTTCTTGAAAACAATCAGATAAAAATAATAGAAGTAGTTTGACTGACTCAAAAAATGAATACTACAGAATATGCGACAGTTTCTGATTTATCAAGACCTATCACAGTATTTCTTTCATATTTCACATCATTTCTATCAACATTTTTCATAATTTTAAGTCTTTACTTGATTTTGACTCAAGGAAAAAAGGAATCGAAACAATTTAAAATTTCAATGATCATACAACAAACATCATTTTATATTCCATCAACTTTTTATGGAATATTTTTTTGTTGTATTCCAATGTTTCCTTTTCCGGCTGTTATTCCTTATGGAGCATTAAAAGGTATGATTGAAACTTGGTTACTGTTTGCTATTTGGACATCATTATTTGTATTATCTTTAACTTCAATAATTGGTCTTTCAATGATTCGATTACAAGGTATTTCAAGACCAGAAAGTCCATTGAAGGTAATTTTTATTCATTCACTATATATATATATTTTAAATGAATTCAGCTGAGAGCTGGAATACAAGCGATTATTCTTGTGATATTTTTTATCTTGGTTCTTTTAAGTTTCGAAAATATTTGCTTCATGGCACGATCTTCTCCGGAAGCTGTTGACACTTTTTTGTTCAATGTGAGTTTTTATTTTCATTTTATAGAATTGAAACACGCTTTTGTTTTAGAATTTCCCAAAATATGCTGTTGCCCTAGAAAATCATTATCCAATAATTGTAATCGATGATTCAGTATTGTATACTCTCGCAGAAACGATAGTTATTGTGACCCCGTTAATTGTGATGTTCTATATGTTTCTACGACTTGCACTTTATTATGAAATAAAAAAGGAAATCAATAAAATAAGTGCGGCAAGGAAAAAATATCACGAAAAGCTTGCGAAACATTCTGCAATTCAAATTCTTGCAAAATGTTTATGTATTACAACTTTTTTTGTTTGGATGGTTGTATCGTATTTCTTGAGTCATGAGATGGATACAATCTGTGAGTTGCGTTAACGATGCTTTTAAATCCTTGATTGTTTTTGTATCAGGGATCACATGTTTACTTCACACAGTGTTTGTGGGTGCACCAATACCGGGAACAATTCTTATGTTTGTACAAAATGTAGCGTATTCAAATTACATCAAACAAAAACTTTGGAACAAATCGTCATATCGAATCGAATCAAAAATCGTTCGAGTTCTGTCAGTAGAATAATTTTTTCTTGATTTTCCAATACAAATCTACCGTTTTCTTATTTAGTTTGAAACGAATCAAAAATCTGAATTTATAATTTTATATCAAATTCTAAGAGTTTATAGATCTTTAGTGTTGTTTGATATTAGTTTTTCAGCTGCTCCATTTTTCAAGTCTAAATTGTTATTTTCATATTTGTTGTATTGTTTTCTATTTGTCAAAAATGAATAATACTTTTGTAATTCTCGATGATTTATCAAGAAATTATACAGCAATTGCAGCTTATATAACATGTTTTATTTCTGCATTCATAAATGCATTTGGTATATATTTAGTGTTAACAGAATCTAAACAAGAGATGCCGCTTTATAAAAATTGTCTAGTATTTTCAATAATTGCTTTGTATATAACAAAAACATTTTATGGAGTTTGTTTTTGCGCATATTCATTACTCCCATTTCCTGGAATTATTTCATATGGAATACTTCGAAATGTTTTACCAACTTGGGTTATGGGTGGCATTTGGGGTGTTTTATTGACATTTTATTTACAATCAGCTTTAGCGATTTTATTCGTTCGATTATTGATTGTTGTAAGACATGAGAGTTGGTTTCATGTGAGTTATAACACTATTAATACATTTGATTATCATTTTCAGTTCAAAAAATCAACAATAGTTTTTATCGTTTTTACTTATCAAATAATCCTTATTTATTTCATGTGCTTTATGGCTGTGAAACTCGATTTCACAAAAGAAGAAATGCAAAATCTGATAGCTGCAGTAAGTTTTTTTTTCATAAATATGTTCCAAAAAGAAACAAAAAAATCAATTGTTTTTGTAGAAATATCCGAAATACATGCATATAACTGAAATCTATGGAGTTTTGATTGTTTCTTACACGTCAAGTCAAGTATTATTTCTTGGATCAGTTGTGGTTGTTGCAGTTATTCTGATTTCTACCCACTCTTTTGTTAGATATGCGATTTATTATGAAATCAAAATGCAGGTTAACAAAATGAGTAATACTAAACGAAAATATCATTTGAAAATGGCGAAAGATTTTGCATTGCAAGTTTTATGTATTGCAACAGCAATCGCTCTTTATCCAATGTGGACTATTGTCACAAATTTCTTACCCAATGATGTTGATACAACTGGTAAAACTTTACTTGATTTTATTATTGATAATGATTTGAATTTTTTGAAGTTTTCACATCAATATTTCATACAATATTTGTTGGTGCTTCAATTCCTGGCACTCTTTTTATGATGATAAATAATACATCACAATACGGAAGAATCAAACGAATTCTTCGAATTCAAAAAACAATGGATTTAAATGTGTCACATAATATGAAAACATCAGTTATGACTATAATATAAATGTGGTTCTTGATTACAATTATCAGAGTTTTCAGCTGTTAGTTTTTTTGAAAAAGAGTGGGACTGGGTTGATTGATGTAATACTATTCTGATTTGAACATATAATAGGTTGAGATCAAAATGAAAACTGCTAAGAATTGTTCGCGGTTTTTTTAACATCTGAATTCCACTGCGTGATAGTAATTTACAGCGATTTTCTCAAAAATTAGTTTTTTACTCTAAAACGTTGGATTTTTCGATAAATTCCATTGCCGCTAAACTTGCAGTTTGAATTCAGATGTTAAAAAGTTCCGCGAACAATTCTTAATCGTTTTACATAACAATTTCATTCAAAAAGATGTGATTTTGGTCGAAAAAACAAGACAAACAGTTGAACAGAAAAAAAAAGAAAATAAAAAAAGGTGTGTGCAAACACGGCGACGCACAACTGCACACACATGATTTTCTATTTTTTTTTCGTTCTCGCGGTTTCTTCCTTTCTGCTCGTGTTTCTTGATTTACTCTTATATAAATCTATAATTTTCAGTCGCGAAAGATGCAACAACAATCAAGGATTCCCCCAAAGATGTTGGAATGCAGTGGGTGAGAAAGAGGTTAGCTTACAAATACAGAAGCGAAAACAAAGTTAGTTTTTTGATTACAGGATTTGAAGATGGAGGACAATGCAAAATGAGAGGAAATCGCATACGTGAGTCTTTTCAAAATTTATTTGACGTAGAGAAATTGCTGATCACATAATATGAAAATTTCCATTCACACGTTGCGAAGATCAAAAGTAAGAATAAAACACCTGGGTTATTCATTACCTTTGCGCCAACTAGCAATCCCAAATTGAGTCTAGAAAATCAAAAACACATTGAATTATTTCCCGAAAATCTTACTACACATCTATAATTTATTTTTTAACTAAAAATACTTGCACCTGCTCTCACTCTACATTTTGTTTAATATGTCGTTTGTGATTGCTGATGATATTTCCAGAAATATAACAATCTATTTATCCTATTTCGTTTGTGCCTTCTCAACATTATTGTATTTAATTACAGTATTTTTCATTCAAATTTGTGCTGATAGAAAATCGAAAAGGTATAAAAACTTATTGATTTTCTCCATTAGCTCTTTGTATTTTGCTCAAACTTACTGGTCTATTTTTATGTGTGCACTTCCTTTGTTACCATTTCCAGCTATTTTATCCTATGGATTACTTGCAAATACATTTCCACTTACATTTATTGGATCAATTTGGGGTGCAATTTTTCCATTTTTTCTATCTTCTGTGTTTGCATTGATTTTATTCCGTTTGCACATTGTTGTAAGACCAGAGAGCCGAGTCAATGTAAGTAGATCTATTCACTGAAAAAAAAACATGAAATTGTTTAGTTCAAATCGTTGACTTTGATTATGATTGCATTATTTTACTTTGTCACATTATCAATCCTAATACAGTATATAATATCTGAGTTAGATTTTCCAAAAGAAAATGTTAGCAGGTTTATGGAAACAGTAAGTTGGAATTTCAAAATGTTATAATACCAGAAATGATCATTTAGAAATGTGGTGGTTTTTTGGACACGTTCACGTGAATAATTCAATCTCAAATTTGTTTTCAACTCTTTTTTTTAACAAAAAAAACATGAAAATGTTCCAGAATCATCCACAATACCATTATTTGAAGGAAAAAGTCGGAATAATAATTTTCTCCGATCCCAACGCGTTTCTCAAAGTTGTATACGAAATGATTATTCTAGTGATATTTTTAGTAACAAGTTCCACATTGATTCGTTATATTATTTATCATGAAATCAAATTGCAACTTGATAGAATGAGTGTTCAAACCACGAAATATCATGAAAAGATTGGAAAAGATTCAGCTTTTCAAGTTATCACAAATACTTTTTGTTTGGGAATTTATCCATTATGGGCTTATTTAACGAAATATATTGACCCAGGTTATGATTCTACAAGTAGGTGATGAAGAAGTTCAGAAAAAGACCGAATTTTTTTCCAGGATTTACCTGTATTTTTCATACAATATTTGTGGGTGCAACAATTCCATCTAACATTTATCTGATTTTTCAATACAATTCAAATCGTGTGAAACAGTTGTCAAAAATCAAACAAAAATTTGATATAAAATGGTTATGATTTCTAATTTTGGGAGTCAAAAAACAAAAAATGTGTTAGAAGTTTCTACTCATTTTCTAAATCTGCACTAGATATTTCTCTCTATTTTTCTAAACATTCGTTGACCGGATTCAAGTTTTCTTCAACGATAAAATCTATAAAGAAGATTTTATCCGATAATTGTTGAAAATCTTTTTTCCAGTTTCAGTTTTTTTTCTTCTTTGGAAACTAATTTTCGAATATTTAATGGGAATTCGATTTATGTATGATTTGTTAAAATATTTTTCCAATTATTCAGACTTTTGAAAACAAAAAAAAATGTTTTTGGAAAAAGAGTCATAAAGAAAATAACACATTTTCGATTTTCCCCTCAACTTTTTTTCTATCGAACACCATAAATGTTTTCCCAAATGTTATCAATTATCAGTCAATAAATAACCCAACTTGTTTCAGAAACCTGTTTTTTAGTGTTTTTCCACACAAAATTTTCCTCTTTCTCTTCTTATTTTTCATCTTTTTTTCCTTCTTTTTTTGACCATTTGTGTATGTTAGTTTTTTCCACGTATTCTGGATATTTCTGGAAATATTTATTGTTTTTTCTTCTTCTTCTATCTTTCGTAAAACAAAAAACAAATAGATTTGTTGTTTTTCTTACAATTTATCCAATTCGATTCAATTAGATATCAAGTCAAGGCAAAGCAAAAAAAGAAGAGAACGAAGCATCCGTAAAAATAGTATTTTTGCGAACATTTTTGACATTTTTCGCGCGGCTTTTTTGTTCAAAGCTAAAAGGAATGAATGGCGCGCAAAAACAATGGGAAACATTCGCAAAATCGGAAATGTCAACAGAATGTTGACATTTTGCAGGAAAAAAAAGCATTTTTTGAATGTTTCCATTGGTTCCCGATTTTTTTCCACAACTTTTCGAAATTTTTTTGAGCAAGAGTTCATGAAAATCTTAGAAACTGCTTTGTTGTTTTTCTACCTTCTTAATAAAATCGCGATTGGGTGGTGTCTCGATTTTCCAAAATTATATGTATAAAGTATTTCTTTGAAGACAGCCTAAAATTAAATTTTCTTGAAAAAATGGCTCAGGATTTTTTTACGGAACCAAAATTCTGTAAAATTAATTATTCTTGAAAATCAAAAATTTCAATTTGAATTTTTTCAAAAGTCTAAACGATATCGAACAATTTCAATTTTCAAGAGTTCCCAAAAATTGAATATTTTTCGAAGTTCCAAAAATTGTTACTTTGCTGCAGCACCATTCGTCAGTTCTGAAGATCGAAATCTTTTTTGATCTATTCGATTCCACCTAATCCCTGACCTGTTTCCTTTCTCCAATTTTTCTCTGTCAGTTCAAAAAAAAAACAAACATTCTATATTTCTACTTACATATTTTTTCTTTTTTTTTCGAAAATCAACATCATCATTTTGTTGTTTGAAGTGTGTGTGTGGAAATGAGTTCATTGTCTATACTTTTTTTGAACATTGTTTGTTTTAGGGGTTGAAGATAGCCTTTCACAGGAAAAAACACATACATTTTTGTTATGTTTGTGTATTTGTTTTTGTGCTGGCTGGCTGCAAAAATTAGATGAGTTTAACACTTTTTCTTGTCAAGTATGTATTTACTTTTGTGGGAGCTGGAATTCTCAAAGTGATGTCATTTAGTTGAAATTTTTTTCAAAAATGATTTTTTGTATTTCTTATCTTTAATTTCTGAAAATAGAAAAAATGGGGAACTGTCAAAAATAATCAAATTAATTTTTTTCCTGATAAAGCAACATTTTTGATATTCCTGAAATTCTTCAAATTTTTTTCAAAATCGTAAATCGAATTAAGTAAAAGAATCTAAGAAACGTGAATATTTTTAGTTGGTTCCAGTCAAATTTTCGTGAAACAAATGCGTTGAAAACAAGTTTTTGACCACTTTTATTTTGTATTTTTTGGGTTTAAATTTCCTTCTCCCTTTTTAGTTTTTTTTTTCTTGGTGGTTTCGTTGTTTCCTCGTGAAATATTGTCGATTATTGACAAACTCTTTTCTTTTCTCATGTCGTTTTCGAGTAGTTTGGTAAATTTCGGAAAATAAACAATCAATTTTTTTGTCTTTTTTCTCCTCGTCGCACCGCGCTTTTCTAGATAAACTTTGATGAAGAAAAAAAACGAAGACAGAAAGAAAGAAACATACAAATATATACATTACAAGGCACAAAAAATGGAACATGTCAATGTATAAGTAAATAATGAAAAGATGGTTGATTCTTAGAAAACTTGCCGAATGTTTGGCGCCAAAAATCAGAGAGTAGACTATTTTTTCTGAATAGATTTTTTTTTCGAAAATTAGGTGTGGTTGTGGAGTGTTGTAGCTAGGCTAAGAATGTTTCCTGAAGTTTAGTCGAACATTGCAAAAACTTCTGAATATAGTTTTTTTTTGGTAAAACGTTCATATTCTTGAAAATTTCAGCGAGAAACTGTTTTGAAGTCAACAGAATTTTGAAGTTTCGTAATTCTGGATTTCTCTGGACATGGAAAAAATTATTAAAGTTTTTTTTTTTCTAAATTTTGATTTGGAGTTGAATAAATTCTGGAGAGATGTAGTGATTTCGAATTTTTAATAAGGCCTAGTGTAATTCTGAAGTATTATAGATACGCTATGATTGTGTTGCTATGTAACAGCAGAGCCTATGAAACTCATCCTCAACCCTTCCCATTCTCATTTTCACTTTTTTCGTTCGTCTTGAAAAAGTCAACACTACCATTTTGGCGCCACCAAATCCCGTCACTTTCCGAACAACACAAATATTTTTGCTCACCGCAATGATAATTTCCAAGAATTTCTTCTTCAAATCTGATCAAACATCTGATCAGGTGACTCCCGTCGTCTCTACCTCATTTTCTCACCATCACAATTTTTTTGATGAGCAAATAAGACAAAAAAAAGAGGAGCAAAACCTAATCAATTGTTTGCTCATATTAACACACACACAAATAGAGAGTGAGACAATTGGAGTGCAGCCAAAGCATCCGGGAAATCATCGGATTTTTGTTCGGGTCAATCTTATCAGCTTCTTATAGCAATTAAATATCTTTTTATCATTTATTTTTTCCAATTTAAAATTCTGTACTTTTTCTTCTTTCTCAGCCAACTTTATATTACAACATCTCATTTTTCCCTCGTTTTTTTTGCTGCGCGCGGTCATTTTTTCTATTGCTGTGCCTCTGTCTGTTCTATTCTGTTCTGTTCAGTTTCATCGTTTTTTTTGTCTCCTCCCTTTTGGAAAATGACCGTATTTATTTTATTCTTTGGCCTGGCTTGAGGTGAAGTGAACGACGGAAGAAAGAATGATGTTATGTAAACATCATCTCATTTTTTCTTTTTCTAACACTACACTACCGATCAGATTCGTTTGAATTTCAAGTGTGCGATTTGTTTTGATTCAAAAGATGAAACTTGGTTTTTTGATCTTTTTCTGGAGTACTGTAGTGTGTTCTTCAGGAATCTTTTCATTTCAAAGTTTTTGATAGTACTGCATATCTTTTAGAAAACTTGTATTTAAACTAAAAGATTCGAGAATATTTCTTGGATTCTGTAAATAAAGAGTTTAAGACCACTGTACATAAATTTATCGAAACGAAAAGGCTTTGAGAATTTTCTCTAAAAAATCACGTTTTGCAGATTTGCTAAAAATTTTTTAAATTGTATTTATTATTCGCATATCGTTTTTTTATCAGTGACCTACGAATCCACAGATGTTTTGTGTTGTTCCTAGCACAGATGTTTAGCAGCTTGTTGTACATTTCGACCATTCCGAACCAAACATTTTTCGGTGTCCAGAAACCATTACCACAAAAATCTATTTTCGTATTCGACCTTTCTTAACCTTTTTTGTCATTTTTTCGCATGAATCATCGTTTCGAACAAAATTCCTTTCCGCCCAATTTGTTGTGTTCGAGAAGAAGACGTTTTTTTCTTGCATGTGTTGTTGACAAATTTTTTTTCGGCCGAAAAAAACGAAGAAAAAATCTCGGTGTTGTCATTGAAAGAATTTTTTGTCATAAGGGCTCCCTTTTTGATAAATAGATAACACACACACGCACAAATTTTTATTTTTATTACCATTTTTCACATACTCACCGCAAAATTTCACTGACCAAATATTTGTATTTTCTTTTGAACAGAAAAAAAACACAGTTTTTTAATGTTCGTGTGGGTGGTGGACATTTAAATAACATGGATTTTTTCCACTTTTGCTATAACCTTTTTCTTTTAATCAAGTGCAAAAAACGTGCCTCCTCCCAAATATTTGATTTTTGGCGCATCCAATTTCTTCTTTTTCTTCTTCTCATTAACAAAATAACTAGTCCAAAGGAATGAGGTTTGCTCATATTATATTTGATACTATCTTTTCTTGTTCGTTCTGTGTTTCTTTCTTGACAAAAAATCACATGTCTTTATTGAAAGAAAGAAAAGCAAATCTGATTTGATCTGATTTTTGAACACTTGTTCAAGTGGCGGAAATCCGAACAGATCATATCATCGTGTGTGTCTTGAACTTTTTTTTTGATGTTCTCTACTTGTCTGAGTCTTGTCGCATTGAATTTGGCTCTCGAAAATGGACTCAGTTTAAACTTCTCTCGATCTTGTAGATTATATTAAGGCTTTCTTAATGTTTTTAATTTCCAGTTATTTTTAAACTTGAGAATTCGCTACCATCTTGTGATTTGAGTTCGGCTGATCGTATTATTTTCAAAAAGTTTTGAAACAAATTCGAAAAAAATGAAATAAAAACTCTTCTAGATTTCGAGTTTTGTTCGCAAAGTTATCCTGTTTTGAAAATCCACAAGAAC